CCCCAACCCCAACCCCAACCCCAATTAAGGATTATAAAAAAATTTTTGAAAATTTTTTAAAGTAATTTAGATGTTAAATAACTTATAAATTATTCCTAATAATTAAAATTGTCAAATCACTAATAGTTTTATAAAAAATTTAAAATCTAAACAAAGTTTCAATTTAAAAATATTGAAAATAATTAATATCAATTTCATTATAATAAATATCTAAATTTTTTTAAAATAAAACGATTAGAATAGATTTTCATTAAAATTTTATTTAATAAAATTTACATTAATCTTTCAAAATTTAAAGAAGATAATAAAAATTAATATCGATTTTTTTGTAGAATTAAAATAGAAAATAAATTACTATAAATTATTTTTTAACTAATTTTCTTTTAAGCTTTAGAAATTGATCCTACAAAAATATGTTTTATAATTTTATTAATTTTCATACATTATATTTGAATATTTAGTATAAAAAAGTATTTTAAATCTCAAAATTAAATAAATTAATTTAAATAATCAGTAATAAAAAATAAAATATTTAATGAAAAACATATTAAAAATAAAATTTTTAAATTTACCAAGCCTTTATAAAATTTAGCATGTTAAAAATATTTACATATCAAATTTTTTATATAAAAAAGCAAAATTCATAAAGTTAATATAATCAAGACGGAAATAAAATAAAAACTTAGTTTAGATAAATCTAATTAAAAATAATATTTTTTATTTTATATTGATTCATTTAGTTTGTTTAAAAAGTTAATAATAAAATAAAATTATTCTATAAAAGATATATAAAACCAAAATAAGTTAAAGATTAAAAACAATTATATTTTCATTTTAAAAAAAAATTAATTCATAATTTGAGGTATGTATTTATATTAAATATTATAAAATTATTTTTATTTCTTTTGAATAGTAATATTAATATTTCATTAATCAAAAAAAAAGATTTAATGTAAAATTTCCTATTTAATATATATAATTTATTTTATTCTTTATATCTAATAATTTACATTATAATTATTATAAAAGAAATATTTGAATAAAACAACAATAATTCAGATTTAGGTTCTATTCTAGTGAACTTCTTCCTAACTTTGCCCCCCAAAAATAGATATAAATAGATTATTTAATATTTTTACTTTTTAATTGCTTACTTGCTAAAAGGTAAGTAGAATACATAAAATTTTACAAAATTTTTTAACTTTTTTGGATAGATTAATTACTTATATCTTTAAATTATTATGTAAATATATAAAATCATATTATTGATTATGATTTTTATCTTAAATTTATTGATTTTTACTATCTAAATTTTATATTTTTATAAAAATAAATTTGTTTCTAAGAATAAAATATTTTTATATTAAATTTTTATTAATCTTACTACAGTTTTTGGTTATTTAATTTATTTATTAAAAATGGGCATTCGTTATTTGTTAATCAATAGACGAAAAAATTATTGAAGAGCATGTTAGGAAGAGCCTGGACATTTTCGAGCTTTATAAAGATATAATCTTATTAAAAAAGTCAATCATGATTATTTTAAATAATGAATAGCTTGCAGCAATTAAGATAATCGGATGTTCTCCCTTATGAATAGACAGTTTGATTGCAAAGATGACAAAAAATTTTAATAAAATTAAAAAGGAAAGCAGTAATAAAATAAAGAATAGATAGAGGAAATGGAAGAGTAAGAAGTTGAAAGAATAAGCTATTTTGAAAAATAACAAGCCATTTTATATTCAGATGAGTTGCAATGCAAATATCTGTAGAAATTTATCTCTAAAAGTTTAAAATGTGAAAATTTAGGAGAAATATATAATAGAATAATCTCATCAATAATTAAAAAGAAAGAAAATTGAAATTTTCATATACTTTTCTGTAATGTTAATGTGGATTTAACGTGATATTCATTTAAATTTTAGCAAAAGTATCATATTTTATTTCTTTATATTTGATTTGAAATTTTTTACTTATTTTTCAGTTAAATATTAAATTCAGAAAAAATCAAATTGCTAAGATAAAAACTTACTTTTGTCATTTAAATATTTAAATAAAAAATCAGATAAATATTTATTTATTTATTAATTAATTATTAATAGCTATTCAAAAACTTTAGATTTGTACCTACAATAGACTGTGTAAAATTAATAAAGTTACTCTGACAATAATCAGCTAATAATTTTTATTTTTAATTCGAATTATTTACTCAAATTAATGTAATAAAAAACTTTTTAAAATAAAAATATTATCTAATTTAGAAAGAGATAAATTTTTATTATTATATCAATATTTAAATTAATTTATCTATTCGAATAAATTACTGTGCACCCTTAACAATAAAGTAATATATGCACGATTACTTACTAAAAATTTTTAATTTCTTAATAGCATAAATCAGATTTTGGTACTATTCTAGTCAACTATTTCTTAACTTCGACCCTCACCTTTAGATATAAATAGTCTTTATTTTTTTACAATCAATAACTATTTACTTCTAAATGAATATTCATATATTTTTCTCTCAATTTTTTCTTAGGCAAAATATTCATTTAACAATTATGTAGATTTATTTATTCTTTGATTATCTATTCGTTACTATTAATTTTACAAATAACTAAGCAATTTCTAATTTATAAAGATGAAATACAAAAATTAACTTTTTATAAAAATATTGTTTATTTTACAATAGTTTTTAAAAATATCTTTCTAAATTATAAAAAAAAATAAGAAATAAATAAACATATTTTTTATCTTTTATCTAGATAAAACTTAGTGAAAATTCTACCTCCTCAAATAAATAATTTAAAGAGAATATTTGATTTTCGCCTACAACATATGAAGGCATTTAAAAAATAATAATAGTTTTAATAAATACACTTTTGGCAAAATTGCTTTGTCAAATAAATAATTTATTTAATTTAGTTTTTTAAAACTATTTCATTTGAATAAAATTTTTATTTTTTAAAGGCTATATTAGATAAATTATTAATTAAAATGTTTATTTTTATTAGTTTATAAGATTTATTTCTTCCTTGATATCCTATTCGAATTTTTGTGATAATATAAAATTTAATTATTCTACTTATATTATTTCTTATTTATAAATAAAACATATTCTAAAATTCTTGTTCAAAATTATATATTTCTTGCATTTAATATTTATATTTTCTTGCATTTCAAATTTATATTTTTCTTTCACTTTATTTGAAAATTTATCAAAAAATTTTTCTTATTAAGTTATATTGAAAAATAAGTTAAAGCAAGATAAAAAAATTAGTTTTTAAATAAAAATAAATATAATCTAGTATTAAATCACTAATAAGCTAATAAATATATTTAAGAAATGTCCGCGTACACTAAAATTACTAGATTTATGAACGATTTTATACTTATAATAATTTACTCAAAAAATTAATTATATCGAGCCAGAATTAATTATGATAACACAATATATTTTTAATTAAAAAGCATTATAGTACTTAAATTATAACTTAAAAGACGCAAATTAAACGAATGGTTTTAATACTTTCTTCTACAAAAAGATTATATCCATTAATTAAAAATTTAAAGTATTTATTAATATTTATTTATTTTTAATTTATTTTAGCTTGAAAAAACAAACAAAAAATAACTTCTAATATCATAATTACGCTAAAAAAACTTTTAAATTTTGTACTTTAATGCGTTTAACATTTATTTATGCAATAGAATTTTTTCAATATAGAAATATCTTGATTTTTATCTTAAAAAAATTACTTTATTTATGAATAAATCAATATCAAATTTATAATTTATTAGGAGTCATATTTGATTGATTTATTCTTTAGTAATATAAACATTCAAATCTTATTATTCATTCATTCGATTTTGTAATTAAATCATATCTAAAAATAGTAAAAAATTGAGTAGAACATTTGTAATTAAAAATACAAGCTTAACATTTTCAACTAGTATTATAATAATCAAGTTAAGGAAATCCCCCTATCACGATTTCAATATTAATATAAATTAAACATAATTACAAGTAGGTTGGTTGACCCCTCACCCATACTTATATAACCATTATAATAAGTAAACATGCCTTATTTAAATACTCATGAAAGTAGTTATTATCCAAATTTTATAAAATAAATAAACTAAAAAAAATATAAAAATAGTGTAATAATAAAATAAATAAAATGTCTAACGCTTTAGTCACTGAAGAAGTCTAAAATAAAAGCCCTAAGCAAGTTTACTAAGAGTCCAACGATTTGATGCCTCAAGGTGAACAAGCAATTACCAAGTAAGTATCAAATGATTAATTGTACCTCGAATATGAAAAAGAACTCGCATAACCTTTACCTCCTCTCAAATTATGGTATAAAGTTGCTTTTGTTTTTCTCGGTATTGCCTCTCTTGCTGGTTGGAATGCTATCTTAACAGCTTTTGATTTCTTTGGTCAAAAGTATCCCAAAGGCTAATTCTTGGATGTAACTTTCTATTTCCCCATTCCAATTATGATTACAAACTTTTTGGCTGGTTTAGCTTGCCCTGCCTTAGCTCGTCGTTTTAACTACAATCAAAGAATTGCTTACTGCTTAATGGGTGTCTGTTGTACTATGATCATAGTTACCATCATAGCTATCTTCTACAACACTACTGCAGGTTATTGGATCTCATTTTGCATTCTTTTCATTTAAGGATTTATCGATAGTGTTAATACTAACTCTTTGATTGCTTTAGCTGGAAGTGTTCATCCCTCCATCAATAATATCTACTGGACAAGTACTGCTCTTTCTGGTTTGACTATGAATGTTATCAGATTAATTGCTCTTGCCATTTTAGGAGATAGTGAACAATCTACTAACATTTGCACAGCCCTTTACTTCTGTTTTGCTGCTGTAATTTACATCTTCTCAAGTATGATGCAAATTATTTTCACTAAGTGTGATTACTTCAAGCTCGTTGAAAGAAGATCTTTCCTTAAAAACTAAATTGAAAACAAAATAACAACACAAACTGAAATGTAAAATGTTAGAAGCACTGGAAATGTTTAAACTGATGTAAATCTTGATTAACATGAAAAATAAACTTCCTCTCTTAAGAAAAATGCATTCTTCTAATATTTAGCTTACTTATCTTAAGTCTTCAAATACTCAGGATGTATTCCTCTTTACTTAGTTCTTATCTATATCCAAACTTTCATGATGTTCCCAGGTGTTTCTATCTTCCAAAAGACTACATACGAAATTATTAAATTCCCTTGGGCTGGGTAAATATTAAATTTTTTTTTTCTTTTCAAAATTTTGTTATTCTCTACTTACTAATTATTCAATACTAATAAATTCTTATTTAAATTAATAGTGTTTTTATGATTTTACTCTTTAATCTCGGTGATCTAGTAGGAAAATACATTGGAGGCATAAAGATGCTTTAAAAATTATACTTAACTTACTCTATTGTTATTAGTAGATTTATTTTCTACGTTTTCTTCTTACTTATTTCTAGACATAAAGGTAGCGAAGATTTATAAAATGATGTCTTTTCATGGTTCTGTATTTTCTTATTTGCAGTAACTAATGGTTAGTGCACAACTGCTCTCATGAATCTTGGACCTAAAAATGTTAAGGACCCTAAAATAGTTGACCTTATCAACTTTATTGGTGGATTCGCTATTACTTTTGGTATTTCTATTGGTACATTTTTAGCTCTTCCTCTTGTATAAGAGTGATAAAAAGAAATAATTTATAATTTAATGGAACTATATTAAATTTAACTTAATGAATGAAAAAAAAATCTAAATTTTCAATAAAACATTAACTATATAAAAAATTTAATTATTTTTATTATAAACATATAATAGATAATTATTTTATTGTATGATTGTGTATCATTTAATGACTTTATATCTTGTAAATTTAACTTAATTTTATATTAAATAATTCAATCAAACTCTCTCTCAAATTCCATTTTTTAATAATTAAGATTCAGTTTATAATTTATTTTTTTGTAATTAGAATTTGATATATTTATGAGCTTTCGATTTGATTTCCAAAAATTTATAAAAAAATAAAATTTTACTGTAAATATATTTCTACCAGATTTAAACATATTTAAATAATTTAACATTTAGAAGAAAAATAAATTTATAGACCATTTTTGTTATAGTTTAGAAAAATAAGGTTGAAATTATATATAAAAGTGTGACGGGTAAATAATTTATCATTTTTGTTCTATATTTGCTTTTTTCTCTAATTAGATTTATTTAGATTAAATCACTTTTAATCTTTCTTAATGAATCAATTATTAATTTTTTATCCTATTAATCAATTTAGAATAATAATTCTTAAATATCTACCCATTTCTGCATGATTGGTTACTATTAAAATTAATAAGTAAACACTTTGAGCTGTAGATTAAGATTTAAGTGCTATACAAAATAATATAATTATAATAAAAGTTATTATATTAATGTATTTTTATATTTAATTTACAGTAGTTTTTAAATTAGTTCTAAATTATATTACCAATTGATTTATTACTTCTAGTATATATAATTAATTTTTTAACCAGTTTAAATAGCTAAATAAATTATGATATAAAATTTTAACTCTTGAATAAATTATAAAGAGCAAATATATATATTTATTTACACATCAAATTTAATATTTATACTAATATAAAATTAAATTTTATTATAATTTTAAATTTTATAATATTTATTTATTAACAAAAAGTAATTTTTTATAAAATTTTGAAAAACATTTATTTTTACATTAGAGTTTTTAAAAGACATATTAAAAAATTTTTATTATTAATAATATTAATTAATATATTAATTATTTATTTTTGTAATAAGATTAAATTAAAAAACAATAATTTTATTTTTTGTTAAGTAAATTAAATCGATTTTGTAAAATATTTCATAATAAATAATACTTTTTAACTAATTTGCTTTGTAAAAATTAATAAAATGATTAAAAATGATAAAATTAAAATACTTACTATTTAATTTTGTTAAATATAATTATAATTAAGATCTATCAGAATTTTTAAGTTATCAGTCAGCCAAGTTTTTATTTATTAAAATTTATAGCATCAATATAATTATCAAATATTTATATTTTTAGTTTAACAAAAATATTAGTTTTTATTTAGATGTGTACAAACGGTGTTATTTTAGCTACGGCATCATATGATCATACTATTAAATTATGGAGCTAGGATTAAGTATAGTTTCATTCAATAGAATACTCAACAAAGAAAAGGCAAAGTCAATTTTAAGTTTCAAAAAGTGCCTTTTTCATAAATAGAATTGAGGTTTCTCATGATAAATAATATCTTGGTGCTGCAGCAAGTTTTTCGGCATATATTTATGATTTAGGCTAAGCCCCATTACCAGATAGACCAGTAAAAATATTATTTTATTGATATCAAAAATAATTTTAAATATGTTTGGATAAAATATTATGATTTATATTAAATACTTATTTTATTTTATTCTTAAAACTATTAGAAATTCGCATATGATGGTTATTAAAATAATGTTACTTCGATAGGATTTAAGTAAAACAATGGATGGATTTATACTAGTTCAGAGGATGGCAGTATAAAAATCCATGATTTAGCAATGTAAGGTGTCTCTAAAACATTTTCTAGCAAGGAACCTGTGAATTAAGTAGTATTACATCCAAATGAAGTTGAACTCATTTCAGCAGATTAAGCTGGAAATGTTAAAATATGGGACTTAAGAAAAGATACGTAATGCAGAAAAAAATTAGTAAAAATCATATTTATTACATATATAATTCATGATTTTTTTATTTTTAAAACATCAACATAAAAAATAAAAGGTCTTAGCTCCTGAAATAGGTTTGAGATCAGTTTCTGTAGCTATTAATGCTTAATTCTTTTGTGCAGCAGATTCTTCAGGATCTCTTTTTATATATAAATTAGGAAAGAATGATGTATTAATATTCTTTATTTGATAAATAAATTATGAAAATTCTTTATAAAAAGGAAATATCTTCTATGTAAAAAATTGAGAAAGCTCATGATGATTATATTCTAAAATGTTAAATTTCTCCATTAGTTACGTAAATATCAAGAATTAAGCAAAAGTTGATTATAATATAAATATTATAATCTAAAATAGGAGTATAGCAACATGCAGTGCTGATAAAACAATAAAAATTTGGAGTTAAAATCAATAATCATAGAAATTCGAATATAAAAATACACTATATGGGCATTAAAAGTGGGTTTGGGATGTTGCATATGGATGTGATGGTGAATTTTTATTTTCTTGTTCCAGCGATAATAATGCTAAATTATGGAAACTTGATGAAAACTAATAATAAGTTGAGTGTTTTACATTCAAAGGCCACCAACAAACAGTAAATTGTGTAGCCTTTAATGATATAACTATAAAGAGTTGAGAATTAATTAAATTATGAAGCCAAGCTAAGCTTTGAAGAAGAAAAAAATTTATTGTTAAAGATATAATTCTAAATGTTGAAGAAAATTTTAATAAATATATTCATTCTTATATATCTTATCCAATTTTTAATTAATATTTGCCTTAAATTAATAATATTTTATAAAAATTAATTTATTCACTTATGTAATCTTTATTTTTAAGTATTCTAAATTATTTTTATTTTAAGAGTATTTGTTTTTTTTTTATTATTTTCAGAAAATTTTTTATTTATATATGAATAAATAATAAGCAACCCTTATTTATTTTAAGTAATAAATTATTATTTACAGGATTTTCTCAAAATTTTCATAATGGGGTAGAATTTTCTAAAAACTATTTTAAGTAAAGTTTTCATTTAAATGATAATAAATTATGTAAACATTTTTTTTTAAGTGAAGAATTAGAAAAATATTAAATTTATATTATTCAATTTGATCAAAAAATATATTAGAATTAAAATAAAATATTCACTATGATAAAGCTTTTAATATCTTAATCATTTATTTAACATAAAATATACTTATAAATCTTGTAATTAATTTGCTTATTTGTCTTTTTTCTATTTAAATAATACAAAAACATTAAAAGTGCTTCTAAAAATTAAAGTAAATTGTGAATTATGAGTAATGTAATACTAGCAACAGCATCATATGATAGAACTATTAAATTTTGGAGCTATTCAGACTAAAAAATTATACATCAATTTGAATACTGCTCATAAAAGCAGACAAGCTTTGTGAATAAAATAGAAGTTTCACATGATAAATAATATTTGGGAACTGCAGGAAGTGCGACAATAAATCTATATGATCTTAACGATAAATATGTACAATTAGTTAAATAGACTAAAATTATCACACACAAAATATAAATAGAAATTAAAGCACGTTTACGATGGATATAAAAGTAATGTAACATCAGTAGGATTTAAATAAAATAATGGATGGATTTATGCGAGTTCTGAAGATGGAAGTATTAAAGTTCATGATTTAGCTATGCAAGGAGTTTAAAAAACTTTTAATAGTAAGGAACCAGTTAATTAAGTTGTTTTACACCCTAATGAAGTTGAGTTGATTTCAGCTGACCAAGCAGGAAATGTAAAGATATGGGATTTAAGAAAAGAATAAACCTATGTTAAAAAGATTGTAAATTTAGATATTCAATAAATAAACAAGTATTAATTCTAATTAAAATTTGGTAGGCTCTATCACCAGAAATAGGAATTAGATCTGTTTCAATTTGTGCAAATGCCTAGTTTTACTCTGCTGTAGACTCATCTGGATAATTATTTATTTAAAAACTATCAAAGATAGATGTAAAATAAATTGGTTTATTATTGAGTAGTTTATTTATATTATAATTCATTTCTAAAATGTAAAAGGATCCACAGAGCTTATAAAAAATAGAGAAAGCCCATGATGATTACATATTAAAATGCTAAATATCTCCACTAGCAACGTAAAAAATAAATCTTAAAATACTTTATTATCGTAAACCTTAACATCTTTATGTCTTAATTAGGAGTTTAGCTACTTGTAGTGCTGATAAGACAATTAAAATTTGGGGAATAAATACTTCTTCTTAGAAATTTGAATTAAAGTAAACATTATATGGACACACAAAGTGGGTGTGGGATATTTCTTATGGCTGTGATGGAGAATTTTTATTTTCTTGCTCAAGTGATAAGTTTGCAAAGCTTTGGAAACTAGATGATGAAACTCAATAAGTATCTTGTATAAATTTCAAACATGATGGAATAGTAAACTGTTTAGCTTTTAATGATATTAATATTTGAAGGAAGCAAAATAATTAAATCAATTTAAATATGTAGTTATTATCAATAGCTTATGTAAAATGTTAGTTTTCATAACTATAAATTAAATGCATTCACACAAAATATAATAATACTCAAAAAAATATTTAATGAATTGTTTCTATACTTACCTTAGAAAACTGCTGAATTCATGTAATGAGTATTTTAAATTAAAATATGAAATATACAAAGATATTTTTTTAAAATAATAAATTCACACTTTTAATTTGCTATTATTAAATCTTATAAAATATATTTAATTTTTTTTAATTGTTGGATATTTAAAGTAATAGTGTTTGTATAAATGTGAATTGTAAGATGCTGAGTATTAAAAAATATATGTTAATAATATAAAATTGACTATTTTATAAAATAACATCTAGATATATATAAACAAAACTCATAAATTTTTAATAAAAATATTAGTTGATTCTTTTTACTCTAAAATTAATAAAATAAGAGATCATATTTAAAATTAAATAGATCTCGATTTAGTATAATTAATATTTTCAATTTTTTCACTCTATCTACTCTATGGCTCATTTTAATTTTTTAGATATTTTTTATCAGCAATTTCATTAATTTAGGCAAGTTCAATTCCATAAGTTTGGATTTTACTTTTAAGCTTATTAACTTTATATTTTTGAAATAAATATTATTATTTGACAAAAAGGTGAATGAAATAAGTAAATAATTAAATAAAAATAAATTACTTTTGTAAGAACACTCAAGTGGGTTTCTTTTATATATCTTATAGCATTTTTTAAAGAAATCTAAACCTTCATCTCTTTTATTCAGTAAAAAATGAACAGATCCAAGATCTTCAAATAGTTCTCCCTCTTATTAAATTATTGAAAATATTTTAATGTCTCATTTTAAATAATTTTACATTTAGTTGAGCCTTTTGGATAGAGCTGTAAAATGAGCTCCTTAGACTTTTCTAAATATTTAAGTGACTATAGATAATTTCCTTTTATGATATATATCTAGCCAATCTGATTCAAAACATTTGCCTCTATTAATTTTTTAATAATTTTATTTATGAAATTGTAAATAATAAAAATTTTACTTAATTTTGACTATATGTCTTTATCTAATAAACTAAATAATATTGAAAGAGCACCATCTGTTTTGTTGATTTTCTTTAAAGTCAATGCTCTTTCAAACTAATCTTCATCTTCAAGCTTTTATTTACTATAATCAAAATCTGAGTGATGATCAAACATAACTCCATAATCGTTAGGAATATTATCTTCTTTACTATGCTACTTATCCTCAATTTCTTAAATAAGATCATTTAAATCTAAGTTTATCCTAAACTCCTCATTAGGATTTATAAGCTAGTTAATTATTTTATTGCTTAGCAAAGTTTCGTCATCTAATGTTCCCGAAGTGAGTATCTGTTTTAAAGCTTTTTGGTCAAATGGATTAATAAGCAGTTTTTTAATCTTAATAAATGTAATCCCAAGTGAATAAATATCATAAGCTTTCAAAGACATTCTTACTTTACTTGAAAGTTCTCCAAAATTTTTCATTTAAGATATCTTAGGTATAGCATAAAGTCTAGTACCACAAAAATTATACTCTTTCACTTATTTTAAATCCATTTCTATTTTAGCTGTTCCATAATCGATTAGTTTCCAAGATCTATCTTTTTTGAAAAAAACAAAGTTACTTGGCTTAATATCTCTATGAGCAACATTTCTATCATGCATGTCTTTAATAATTCTAAAAATAAAAAAAAAATTTTCTTTTAATTCTGATTAAATAAAAAAAGTAAAATATTTAAATTATTAAATAAAATCCTTCAATTGATAAAGAAAATCTTTAAAAAAATTAAAAGAATAATTTTGTTTTTTATGGAAAAAACTTTTTTGTAGCGATTTAAATAATATTTTGATTAAATAAATTTACCTTAATAACATTTTGAATATTTATAAAAGTTCTCCTTCTGTATAAACTAAGTATTTTTCTCTTCTTTTGTTAAGCAGCTAAGTAAAATTAAAATCTGCCAGCTGCTTTAAAAATAAAAGGTCTAATTAATCATTTTATTAAATATAATAGACAGGTAAAATTAAATTGCAGGAGTGTCTAAACTATCTTTGCATTAAATAGTACTCAATAATAATTTCTTATGATTTTTTCTCCAGCTCATTCATATTCTTGCATTTAATAACTTTTAAAGCATAAAATTCATCTTCAATAATAGGATCTTATTGCTATTTTAGAAGAGAAAGGAGATCTCTATTGTTTCTTTTTTTTGTATGTTGAGAAGAAGATTAATGCTAATATCTTTACTCCTTTGGTAACAACTTTGCCTTATAAACTTTTCCAAAAGTCCCCTGACCTAACAAATGAATTTTGTTACTTTCTAATTCTTTAAAATCAAAAGGAAGTGTTTCATAGTTAGAATAATACAAATCTACAGAAATAGTTTACTTATTAAACAAGAAAAGATTAATTGTTTTATGAACAATACTCTCTTCTTTCAAATATATTTCATTAATTTAGATATTTACTTCATTTAAAAATGCAGTTTATTCCATTTAAATTGTTGACTATTTTGAAGCTTGAACAGAATAGTCTAAATACTTTTCTATTTTTTTTAGAGACTCTTGTATTTATTTTTTGAGCACCATTTATTAATTTTAAATATTTTTGTTAGAGTGTAAATCCATATGGTCCATTTATAATTGATCATCTTAAGTTCCATTTTAATTTTTTTGTTAAAAATCTTCACTTTAATTAGATATTTATATCTGTAACTATTTATTTTACTTTTAATTTTATTTATAATTAACAGAATTAGTTTATTTTAATTCTTCTGAGAAGTCGTTTTCATTATTTTGTTTGTTTGATATATTTTTTAACAGTTCCAGCATTTCTTTATTGCCTTCTCTTTCATATTTTTCTTTATTTTAATTTAGTATATTCTGAACATTTTAAGATTAATCTATACATCTTTAAAGTACTTTAATACTATTTTTTATTTTTTTTTCACACTTAATTAAAAGAGAATACTCATCTTTTTCACCAGTTACTCCATCATCAACAGAATCATCGTCATCTTAATCTTAATCTGTTATTGTTCTTTTTTTATTCATATAACTGCTTTTTCCATTTGTAGAGTTTATAGAACTGTAAGCATAACTAATATTACTCATCCTTGAAGCTATTCTTGTTGTTAAATTGCTTTTTCTATTCAAATTTTAAATTTACAGACTGTTTTAATTTTTAAAATCTTAAATGTTTTTTATAATAGGTTTAATTTTTGGTTCATTCAGAGGCTAATCATTAAATTATGAAATCGAAAGATAAGATTGCTTTTATTCCATGTTTGAAAGATAAGATTAATTTGTGTATTGTTTCTAATTGCTTGAATATGATCTTATTTGCCGATGTTGATTTAAAGTATTTTAATTTTTTTCAAAGCTATTTGAGTTACCATTTTACATAAAAATAGAATTTTACTTGCCAGTCGAGAAGCTTAGTTATTGTTTATTTAATTGTTATTTTTCTGAGGTTTTAACATTAATTTTAAATAAATAATCTGTTGGTTTATCAAATTTTTAGGACTAAATTTCTTATTTAGTATCTTCTAGTGGACTTTTTTTAATTTGTGGTTGTAATTAAGGTATTTTTAAATGATTATTTTAGTTTTAACTGCTATTATGAGCTTAATCATTTTCGCCTAAATGGGACTTACTTCTGATTTTAGCTTATTGATCATTTATTTCTTTTCCATTTATTTTAAGAGAATACTACTGGAAAGCATTTTATGCCTTATACTCTTGTTTTTAATATCCTAATGTAACATTAATATTATCCAATTAATATGCTGGTTAATAGCTATCTTAGATATAATTTATTTCTTCTCGCTATCTTGCGTTTGAATTTTTTAGCTAAGCGCTATGCTATATAGAAAATGTTTTATTTAAAAAGTCTTTTCCTCTTTCTTGAAAAATATTGTTCTATATTATTTAGTTTTGTCTTGCATTTTCATAATTACTATAACATTTTGTTCTTTTTTAAATATTTTAGGTTTAGGAAAGATTTACTCTTTAAGTAGAATTGTTAGTGTTAGAAACTTGTTCATTAATGAAAGAATCAAACCTTTGATGCCTCATAATATAATATTAGGTATTATAATTTAAAATTTGTATTATAGCAGAGGATAAATAAAAATATTCTTATCAATTACAAAAGTAAACTTAGATGACACTTTAGAATTATTCAATAAATCGATAGATAAATAAATAAATATATTACTGGATTTCTAAATGTAATTTATTTAATTTTTTTACCACTATTACTTATATTTATTAAATAAAGAGTACAAACAGAAATATTATTGCTGCCTTAAGATGAGATACTTCCTAATTTTAACTTCTTATATATTTTGATAGTAAAAATTGTTTATTTTTTAGTCTTCTTTGCTTGCAAAATATAAAATGAGTATTTAAGCAAAGGTCTAAACTTAATAATAAATATAAATCAATTTTACTTTAAAATAGTTTTCAAGAGAGTATCAGAAAAAAGTAAATACAAAAAACTTAATATATTAGTTTAAAATCTAAATTTATTAATTTTTTTAAGTTTGCTAAACATGCAAAGTAAAAATTAATAACAAAAAATTCTTTCTTATTAACCAATAAATAAAATTGGAGTTTAAAACTAATGATAAATCCTTATAAAAAAAAAAGTGTAAATTTTTTCTTTGAAAATTATTTTTTGACCTTAAATGATTAGAATTACCAAAATATTGTTATCAAAAATTGACAATTAGTGATATTTAGCTAAAATATTATTCTATTTTATTTATAGTATTAATTTAAATTTATATGCTTAGTAAAAATAAAAGCTGAATAATTTTCTTGATGATTAAAAATAAAATTAGTAATAAATCATATCAAAAAATAAAATAAATCCTCATTAATAAATGCAAACCTCTCCTAAATTTATTATGAGAAAATGTGCTATTTTGCTCAAAAGCTATTTTTTTATGAAAATAGTATTAAATTATCATATTTATTTTACTGTTTACATTTTAATTTTACTCAAATGAGAGTATTTATTTTTGAAAAAGAAGATTTGACATGATTTATTCATTCATTAATAAAATTTTAATTGAAAAACTCAAGATTTTTTAAGTGATTGATAAAAATTTAAATAAATTATATTATTTTAATTTGACTCTATTTAGCTCATTAGTAAATAGTATTATCATTTTCAAAAAAATATTTTTATATTTATTTTGGGATTAATTTATAATGATATACATTATATTTTTCATAAAATTAATCAAACAACAATTTGTCTAAATATTTAAATATATTTATTCTTATAGTTTTTCCTAAAATACGGATGAAAATATTTATTACAATTAAGCTTTAGTTAATTATAAAAATTTTAAAATAAATAAATTGTCTTAACTTAAGTGTCTTTAATAAAAAATAATTTTATATCTAGTTAATTGCATTTAATTTTTGAATGATTATATTACTAATAGTTGCATATGCTTTAGATTATAAGCTAATGAGTTTTTTTATTTACTCTAAAAATATCCTCCAAAAAAAAATAAAATAATCTTTTTAAAATTAAAATTAAATACAGCAACGAAATTTATTTGATAGATACATAAATCTGATATAAAATATAATAATTTTGAAAGTTTTGTTGTCTCTGATTGTGTTATAAAATTTAAATAAAATATAGAATTTGATCATATTTACAAATAAATAAATAAAAAAAATCAGAAGATTTAAATGAGCTAAGATAAGGGAAAAAGTGAAGACAGTAGTTAAAAAAATAAAGATGTGAAGTTACCTTCAATTATTGATTAGCAATTAATAGCAACTTTATTGCAAAATATCAATTAAAATGCAAGTTTAAATAATGAACTTGCTAACCTTAATCAATAATAAGATGAAGAATTTGATGAGAACGAGAGTAATCATAATAATAAAGATAAAAGTTAGGAAGAAGAAAATGATGATCAGGATAATAATTTAAGTTAAATGACGAGATAGAAGCAATTTTTTGATGCTGTTTTGTAGCAATACTAGCTTATATAGCAGCAACAGCTTCAATCCCACGAATAAACTTAAAAATAAATTAATTAAAGGATGGAAGAGGAGGATGATGATGAAGAAAATTATTAGGAGGATGAAGAAGAAAACAATCAAAACGAAGGCTAAATTGAAGAAAATAATAATTTAGATGGGAAAAAATAAGAAGAATTGAAATTAAAAATGTTAGGTAATAAAAAATAAGGAGAGCCTGATGAAGATTAGTAAAATTAGCTCTTATAGCTTCTTATGAATTTAAATCCATCAAATAATGCACTTGCTCAACTTTAGCAATCAGTTTAAAACTCAAATAATATAAATAGAAATAATAATTAGCTAGAAAAAAATATGAATAAAACTAATTAATAGATAGATAATCAAGATGAAAATGAAAACGAAGAAAATTATGAGGGTGATAATAACTAGTAGCCAATTAACATAAGTAAATTCGATTAATTAGAATTGACAAGATTGCTTTAAGCTTAATATGATTAGTTGCATGCTGGGGAAGGAGACGAAGAATTAGAGCAATAAATAAGTGGTTTTTAGGCTGAGTAAAATAATAAAAAATTCATGAAAAGATATGGTGAGATGACCAATCAAATGGGAATGTAAAGAAATTTAATGTAACCAGAAGAAGATGAAGGAGAAGGAGAAGAGGAAGAGGAAGAAGAAGCAAAATAAGCTTTGCATAATCAATATTTAGAAAAACAATGCAAAGCATACTTAACCATGTAGCAACAGTAATAAGATTTAATGATTAATGAAATAAAAAACTTGGAATAATATTTAAGTGCTAATAATTTAACATAAGAATAAAGAAGTTTCGCTGAATAGAAACAATAAATATTAATATTAAAATTGAAACAATTGCAGTAACATCTATAAGAAATCGCAATCAATCCAAATCTCGTTTTAGAATAAATTTAATTTTAACAAATGCAAAAGTAAGGCTTCATCGAACAGGATAATTTGATCGATTAGTAGAAAAAAGAATTTTTACTAAGAAATAATGCCTTTATTAGGGGATCTGAATAAATAGGAAGAAGTTTATAATAGGCTTAGGACTAGGAACAAGCTTAGCACTAGATGCAATATTAGTAATATATTTAATAGTAAGATAAGATGTAATAAAATAATAATTATTAAAATCACCCTCTCGTTAATTTTTTTAATTCATATTCCCTATTTATAAATGATACTGCTAATATTCAACTTGATCAAGAAGTTGTTCTAAATAAACTCATAGAAAATGCTAAAAAATGCAAACCTCCTTCAAAGTAAGAAATATTTTTAAACATTTTTGAAAGTTTCAATACAATTTTTCATATGTATTTTTAAATAACTAAGCTAAAATAAAACTTCTATATTAGATAAGGAAAAGCAAATAAATTAAAAATTTTAATTAAAAAGTATGAAGTAATTAGTTTAACTAGATATTCAAATAAAAGAATTTAATTACAAAAGAATTTAAAAAATATTATTTTTTATCCAAAAGAAAAATATTTTACTATTAAAAGACGAAAATTAATCGATTAAGCTAAAATAATTACTCAAGAAATAATTTTATTATTTTAATAAAAATAAAATTTTTTAATACACAAAAAAGCCTTTGTGTAAATAAAATAAATGATAAAAAACATTCTAAAAGATGATCAGAATTATAATTTTAGTCTTAGAAATACCAGAAAATGTTGATTAATAATTCCAAATTTAAAAACAGAATAAGCATTAATTTTGACAAAAGTGATGTATTTAAAACAAGAAGTTAATTAATTATATAACCTTTTCCACTTTTTACATCATAATCTGATTTTTTCTTATTAAAAATGATAATAAATTTTTTTGTTTCTTTCTTTGATTTAATAAGGGACAAAAGGGTTTAAAAAAATTTCAAGTTTTAAAGGTTATAATTATAAATTTAATCAAGAGTAATTTCTTGTAAAAGAAAACAATACTTGCAATTGATTTCTAATGAATTTTGACTTTTATAAGTATATTTAATATTTCTATGTAAAAAAAAAATCTTTTTTAAAAGGCTAAAAATTTAATTCGGTTCTTTTTCAAAGAAATAGGCCTTATCGAATTCTAAAAAAATACATGTCAATATTTTAAAATCATTTTATAAATTTAATAGTGCTGATGAAAGAGTGAATTAACTGTGGAATTACCTTACTGATTTAGATAAAAAGTAAATTGAAGATTTCGAACAACAGCTTAAAAGCTTACCAGAATAAAATATCTACGAATGTATTTAGACAATTGAAAAACTTCACATAAAGCTATTAGTGGAGTATAATATCGAAGTTGCTAGAGGAAAATAGTTAGGAATCATAAAACAATGAAAAAAAATTAATAAAATTGCGATACTTGGGGATCTTGAAGTATGAAATAATATTATTTGGAGTAGTTCTAAGAGTAAGATAGATAAATAAATGTAAATGGTGATTTGATGAGAGGATTGTATATACATTACTTATTAAATCTTTTTAAAGTATATTAGTTATTACATCATTATTTGTACTGTCAATAGTTTTAATACTTATCAATCGTAAGTAATTAAAGCCCAATAATTTATTATCATTATAATGATCAAAAACTGTTTATATTTTTATAATTACAAATTAACAATTTGTATCTTTCTTCGTCTTTAAATCAAAAATAAGAAAACAAAAAAATAAATAATAAATTAATAAAAATTTTACATAGCAAAAAAGTAATTCAACTAAAGAATAAAAATTATTCATTCGTATTTACCTAATCAATTAAAAATAATCATACATAATAAGTCATGCATTCTTTAAAATCCTTGCAAAATGTTAACAAGATGTTATTCTAAAAGAATATCTTCTCCTTCTCATCTAAGGTTTATACATGTGCCAAAGAAGCTACTAAGGATATTTTCGATGGTGCTAAGATCCTTGTAGGTGGTTTTGGTGTATGTGGTGTTCCTGAGAACCTTATTAAGGCTGTCCAACAAAACGGTCCCAAAAACCTCACTATTGTCTCTAATAATTGTGGTAAGACATTAATTACATTTAAAATGTATTTTAATATCTTTGGTAAATTTGAGATGGTTATCTTAAGCATATTACCAATTTAAATAATTAACGACTTAATTTTTTCAAGGAAAAGCATCCATCATAATCATTCTATTTATTTATGTTAGGTTTGAAGGATTACGGTCTTGGTTTATTGCTCAATACTCGTTAAGTCAAAAGAATGATTTCATCATATGTTGGTGAAAACGATGAATTTGAAAGATAATACTTAAAGGGTGAACTCGAAGTTGAATTAACTCCCTAAGGTACTCTTGCTGAAAAATGTCGTGCTGCTGGTCATGGTATCCCCGCCTTCTATACTCCTACTGGTGCTCATACTTTGATTGAATAAGGTGGTTTCCCCATTAAGTACAAGTAGGGATCTCACGAACCTGAAATTGTTTCAGCTCCTAAGGAAGTAATAAATATTTTTGATATGAAAATAGCTTAGACTAAATGATTGTCTTTTAAAAATAGCGCAGAAACTTCAATGGCAAAGAATACATCTTAGAAGAGACTATTTTTGGTGATTTTGCTCTTGTTAAGGCTAAAAAGGCTGATAGATACGGCAACTTAGTTTTCAACAGAGTAATAATAAATACATTATTTGATTTCTTAAAAATTATAAATAGCTGATAATATGTGTCATAGATACTATGGAGTAGAATATATTCTACTTCAAGAGTATTTAGTTTTAAAGCGAGACAGATCAAATTGCTTTGAATAGATGCGATAATCTTAATTTCCATTCATATTTGAATTATTTCAAAAAGTAGTTTTCAAAAATAAAACAATAGTTAAGTAAAAATCTTTAGGATAGTTAGTTAGTTAATTTAATAGAACTAAATTATAAAAAGTAGCAATAATCAATCAATCAATGTTAAAAATAAGCAAAATCATTGAATTGGTGTGTATTTTATCAATAAAAGAATAAAGATGAATTTAAGTTTGCTTGCTTAATCTGGTCTGATTAGTAAATAATAAACGAAAAGAATAATACCTTAGCAAAAAAAAAAGGACCATCCCCAAAAATTAAGAATAGATATATTGACAATATTTTATTTTTTAAGCACCCAAAATTATTAAATAATTATTGTTTTTAAGTTGGAAATTGCATCATCTTACTCACTTTTGTCTGTCTCCCCACAAAAATAATTACTATGAAAATAACTTATATCAAATTTTTAATTTTATCAATTTCTTTTATTAATTATTAAAAAAAGACTGCTCGTAATTTCAACTAAGATATGGCCACTGCCTCCAGATGTGTTATTGCAGAAGTTGAAGAAATAGTTGAAAATGGTGAAATCGATCCTGATCACGTCCATATTCCTGGTGTCTTCGTCCATAGAGTTTATAAATCTGAAAATGTTAGCAAACGTATTGAAAAATTAACTTTGGACTAAGGCGACTAAAAGGACACATCAGCTAGCTTCAAGATTCGTGAAAAGATTATTAAGAGAGCTGCTTAAGAAGTCACAAACGGTATGTACGTTAATTTGGGTATCGGTATTCCAACTCTTCTTCCTAACTACCTTCCCAAAGGTGTCAACATTGAACTCCACTCAGAAAATGGTATTATTGGTATTGGTAAATATCCCAAGCCTGGCTAAGAAGACTCTGATATCATCAATGCAGGCAAGGTAAATAGATAGATAAATTAAATTCATTTTGATTAGAATTAGATGAGCAAACAGGTTCAATTAGGAAGCAATTTTTTATCACAACTCTCACTTTTTTTAAAAAATTCATATTTTTGAGATTTGTGATATTTTTTTGATAGAACAAAAATTACATATCTGACGTATTGCGTAGATTTTATTAATTTAATTGTACCCCCAAATGTTTTTTTTACTAATTTTTATATCAATCTTAAAATTTGATAGTATATGAGCTTATCTTTAGGCTTTTTTTTCTTTTATTTAGCATACTTTTCTTCTAGATTAAGAAAAATTAAGTCACATCAAAAGTTAAAACCAATTATTTATTTACTAAGCAAAATGAATGACTTATTTAACTAATTTTCCATTCTTCTAAATTAATTTAGGAAACTATTACATTGTTACCTGGTAGCAGTATCTTCTCCAGCAGTTTGAGTTTCGGTATCATCAGAGGTGGTCACTTAGACCTTACCATGCTTGGTGCTATGCAAGTCAGTAAGGAAGGTGATATTGCTAACTGGATCATCCCTGGTAAGATGGTTAAAGGTATGGGCGGTGCTATGGATCTTGTCTAAAGTGGCAGTAAAGTTATTGTTGTTATGGAACACACTGCTAAGGGCAAACATAAACTCCTCAACAGCTGCAGTCTTCCCTTGACTGGTAAATCTGTTGTTGATAAAGTTATTACTGAAAAGGCTGTCTTTGAAAAGAGAGATGGTGTTTTAGTTTTGACTGAAATAGCTCACGAATCTTCTTTGGAAGATATCAAGTCTACAACTGGATTCAATTTTGAAGTAGTTTCAAACCCTGCCAGATTCTGAGAGTTATCATTTAGTCAATCATTCGTCCGTCACTCATAAATATAATAAAAACAAATATCACACATACATTTTAAATATATTACAAACCCATTTTTATTACTCTATTTATATAAAAATTCTGCTTGTTTATCTTTTATTTCCATGTTCTCTCCATATTGCTTAGTCATTCATTTAATAATTAAGCTTAAGTCTGAATATTATAACACCGTGTTAATAAATAATATCATATATTGACAAAATCTTATAAAAAATTTATCTACAATCCCCAAATTGCGTATTTTAATATTATATTTGATTAGTAATTATCAAAACTAATCAATTTATTGCCTAATATCATCAAAAATAAACAATATCTGATTTTGCCAATATTACATAAATAATTATTATTATTTAATAACCATATGTAAAGATATCATGGGAAGTTTCTAAATATTCAATAAAACCAAAACAACTCTTATCTTCGCAATAAATTTATTGATTGAATATCTTTTTCTTCTTTAATATAAAAATAGTATTTATTTGAAAAACTTATTTACCTTAACTAAAACTTTTTTGTATAAATGATCACAAGTAAATAAATATATACATAATTATGATTGTAAAATATTTATTTTAAAGATAGTCTTTTATATATAACGATCAATATACAAAATAAATAAAGACATTAAAAGATAGAAACATTTTATTGAAAGATAATCTAAAATTTCATAACCAAATTAAATGAAGCTATATATATGTTCATTTTGGTTTCAAGAAATCTAATTTTATTTATAAATTCAACTAGTAAGAAATTATTAACTGAATTACTAGTAAAATTGAATTTATTCAAGTAATAAAAAACTTTATATTTATTATTTTACTTTCTGTTTAATAAGTCATTCTTAACTAATTCCTATTTATTTAAACAAATTTACAAAATTATTTTTAATATCTAGTTACAATAAATTAACAATTCAAGTATCTAAATTAATCCAAATAAATAGAGTTAAAAATACAAAAGTAACAAAGTAAAAATAATCATACTCTTAAAAAATATATTTGAGGATCATTTTTGATAGATGATTTATTTTTCTAATTTAAGTACATTTTTAAGGACTAGTACATTTTATTTCAATAAAATAAAAAATATTTACTTTTTTTTTACTTAAAAATAAATTAATATGTATACTTAAATTAATAAACACTGTTTTTCAAAAAAACAATATATTTTTGTCTAAAGGTCTTAGCTATTTATTGCACAAAAACATATTTTCTAAAGTGGTCACAAATAAATAAAATATTTATTTCTAAAGTTTTATATAAAAACTATATTTAAAAAAAATAAAATGAAGTTTTAAAACACCTATTTTTGATAATATTTGCTTAAAAATAAAATAAATAAACTATTTTGCTACAACATATTATCTTATAAAGATAATAATAAAATAATTCAAATAAATAAATTAAATGCTTATTATGCTTCTTTTTTTATATAAAAATAATTTAAATTATTAGTATATAGTATTTTTGAAACATTTTATTTTTTTTTACATTGTAAAAGGTTTTATTTGTGATTTCCTAAAAATAAATTGAAATACAAAAAAAAAATAATAAATAATCCTTTAATTTATCAACTCTCTCTTATATATATTAGCAAAAATAAACAATTTTGTAATTTTTATATTAATATTATAAACCTTAATTCTTATTTTCAATTTTTTTTGATAAAAATCTTTAGACAGATATAGAATCAGATAAAAAAAATTAAGATAAATAAATTAGAATCATGCATTTTATTTACATGTTAATCTGTTAATAAATTTTTATAAATATTTATATATTTTCATACAGATTAAGTGCAATCGTCTCCTTTAAATCCATCAAAGCATTTGCATTTACCTTATTAACAAACACCTTTTCCTGCACATGATAATGGACATGCAGCAATAGATGTGCAGAATCTTGTAATATCTGGGCATTTTATTTTTCCTTTACCTGGAATCTCTACTTCTTTTGTTTTGTTATCACAGACATATTCCTTGTTAAAAACTTTAAAAATGACTGTAGGAATTTCTGTTTTGAAATCGCAATAAGCATCATAACAAACAGATGATACATTACTTGAAGCAGCGATATCAGTGTCGAAGCATCTGGCATTAGGACCCCAAGTTCCACCAGATACTTCATATATCTTTCTACTTTCTTCATCAGGATATGTACAATGTTAAGTTTTGGATGGTTAGAAATAACTACATTTATTTGATAAAATGTCGCTGTCTGAGCATACTCCTTAACCTATGTAATCGAAATTACACCTTTTTCCAGGCATAGTACAAAATTCTTTTGTGTTTTTAGGGCAAGAATCAACTAAAAATTCGCATTTCTCTCCTATTCCCCATGTTAACTCTGCGAGTAAAGAATCATCTACTTCATACCATCCTGAAGCTCTAAACATAGCTGCAGTGAATTTAGACAAAATGCTATCATATAAGAAAGAACCTGTCATAATTTCATTTCCAAAGTATCTCCTTTCCCAATGAAAACCAAATGTAGTTGCACCTCCCGCATCTTCAAGAGCTACTTTATCTACAGTTGGGCAACCATAATATTCTTTAGCAACTTTTATAACTGAAGGAGCAACAACATATGGTTTTCCTCCAATTATTTTGACTGGATTCTTTTCTAGTAAATACTTATCATAATAGTTAGGTGAGAATACTAAAGAGTGAACTAATTCATGAGTTGTCATATAAATCCATTTAGCTAAAACCATTTTATCATTAGAGCTTATATCTTTCTCAAGCTACTTTAAGTTATAGCTCATGTAAGCAACTGTTGGTCTTCCACTTGATAGACCATAGTTTTGTCCTTAAGGACAATAGCTAGAATAGGCTAAAAGGTTAGTGTCTTAGGAATGATGTGAAACATAAAAAACTAAATCAGTATCCTAAACTCCATCAAAATGCTCATCAGGAATTTTTATTTTGCCTTAGCCACATGTTTTGCCTTTATAAGCAGGATCTACTTTTATAGGTTGAGTTAATCTTTATACTTTAATGACAGCTTAGATATAGCTAACAACTGCAGGAAATACTTTTTTTACTATATACTATCTTGTCTCAAGGGAAAGAGTAGAAATGTTAGAATAATCTACCTTAATTCTGATGTTTTTATACTCTTTTTCAACAGGGAGTAAATAGCTTACATCATTAGTGCCGTAAAGAGACTCATCAAAAGCTTACTAAGGTTAATCTAATTGCTTTTCTTTTTCTAAAACTTTGCTATGACCACATTCATAGTGAACACCTTTGTCAACATATTGATATGATTAACTTCTAGTAGTGTTTTTCTTGAATAAGCTAACCTCATTTGTTTCTAAATAAGAGTTACTATTGTATATTTGTACAGCAAATGCAAATATGCAAAGCACTGCAATTATTGAAGCAAATCTCTTTTTACTAATTTTTTGCATACTTTTTTTATTTTTTTGAATATTTAATTTAATAACAATTATTAATATTATTTATTCCAAATTGTAGTATTTATTTATTTCTTAATATATTGTTGTATAATAAAAAAATTAAAATTCAAATTATTCAATAATTTTATTAAATCTTCTTTTCTATAAACTTAATTAGTGATTGTTTCTAAGGGATTACATTGAATTATCAATAATTTTGTGTAAATTCTTGTTTGTTCAAAAATTTTTACGTCATCGTGACTTGATATCTTAACAAATATTATGCATAATCTAATTTCCAAAAGACTGTTTTCTGAGAAAAATACCCTGAGTTTTTTATTTATAAACAAATCAAAGTAATTCAAACAATTTAAATGGATTATCCTAGATAAAAATACTCATCATAAGAAATCATTCACATAATTATATTGATTTTTTTTCAAAAAGAATTACTTTTTTACTATCAAGGTAAAAGAAAGAATTTTAATTAATTATTATGCTAAAAAACCAAATTTTAATTGTTGTCTATATTATTAAATAAAAATGTTTTTATAAAACTCCATCTATTTACTAGATTATATATTTATAAAAAATCACTTTAAAATTGGATAATTCATTTAAAAATCCTTTTGAATTAGTAAAATAAGGTATTTTTTTATAAAAACTTATACTAATTATTTGAAAGATTGATTTACCTAAATCAAACAAATTAGCTCTATCTCCTTTTACATCTATCTTCAAAAATAAAATTAGATAATATTTTCTCACATTAATTTAAATTTTATTTAGTTTTATTAAAATCAAATAAATATGATTTAAAGATTATAACATAAGGGTGTGTAAAAAATGAGTAATTATAAAATTTAATTAGCCATAAATTAGTTTTTTTTGAAAAGTTTATTTAATAAAATAAAATTTTTTCAATATTTTTTTTAATTAAAATTTCAAAACATCAAAGTCAATAAAGCATAATGTGGAATAAAGTGGAGAATCTACAGTAAATAGTATTCTTGGTGATTTTAATAAGCTAAAATTAATAAATAACTATTTTTGTAATTTACTTTATGAAAGAAGTATACATTAAATAATAAGTAATATCTTGTTTATTTGTAGGAGTTTTTAAGCAAATCATCAAAAATAAAATTGATAAAAAGAAAGATATTTTTGGTTAAACTTTCCTTTATGTTTTATTTTTAAGCAATTTATTCATAAATAATTAAGAAATTTATTAAAGAAATTCTATTTGATTATTTTTTTACAAAATGATAGCCATATAAATTTTAGTAAAATTAATAAATTAATTAATTATGGAAACAAAATTTCCCTTTTTTATCAAATATTTTTTTTTCTTTCTTTATTGGTTTAAAAATTTCTTTTAATCATGAAATTTAGATAAAACTTAAATAGCCTAATATTATAAATTTAAAATGCATTATTAAAAATATCTGAAAAAAAATGTAATGATCATATATTGACATTTAAATCCAAGTGAGTGAGTGAGTATATTATGTATAGCGAGTGTTAGAATAAATGTATATTTATTAATTCATTGTTTGACAAATAGATGAAAAGATAATTAGATAGATAGATTGATTGATTAATTAATTGATTTAGGTTGATAGAAGTATAATATCATTCAAAAAATAGATAATTATCAATAGAAAAATAAAGCAAGCAGAAAAATACGTATAAAAGATAAATTGCTTAAGCCAAAAAATTGAATTGATACTTAAAAGTTTTGATTACATGTTACCATAGTAATATGTTTACCCAAAAGGCCAAAATAGCTAAGGTATAAAAGCACTTTTAAATTCAACAAAAGATCAATAAGTTTAAGAAATTTTCCTTTTTTTTAGAAGTAAACAGCTTAATGCCAGATATCCCGGATGAAAGATATTTAGATTATATAGAACAAACTCCTAAAAGAATAGCTCATTACTACTTCAATGAATTAGTGAATTTACTTTAAGATAGAGAGCAGAAAGAGCAGCAATAAATAAAAGATTAATAAATTATTTTAACTCTTGTGGAGTTGGGTAATAAATAAATAATTGGATTTTCTAAGACATAATTTTTACTCTATTTTTTTTATGTAGGATATAATGAAGCAAATTATCTAGCAATTTTAAAGGAAAAGAAAAATTAATTTAGCAACTTATCCCCTTCTGAATGTGTACAATTAATAATCCAGGCCATTGAGGAGAAATAAAAAGAAAGCCAACCTAAATTAGAAATTAAATAAATAAATTTAAAGTATTATATAAAACTTTTTTATAAATAATTCAGTCATTTCTTTCATTTTAATTGGAGTTATTAAACAAATTTAATAACTTTAAAATTTGTATATTTAGTTGAAGAAAAATATGTTAATAGCGTTTTATATAAATAGCATACAAGTTGAAAAATCTTTTTCAATGTCTAACAAAAAGCATTAAGATATCAAAAGTATCAGCAGCGATAGTTAAAGCGATGAAGATGAAGACGAAGTGAGTGAAATGGAATCATATTCAGAAGCACTTTTTACTCTTAAAAATGTTTTGGCATAAAAAAAAAAGGTAAATCTTAGTGAATAATAATAGCAGTAGCAATAAAATGCAAATGTGGAAGGCAAATTCAAGACATGCGATATATGTTGTAATGAAAAGTTAGAAAACTAATTTTATGTTAGAGAAACTTGCTCACATGAAATATGCAAAGCTTGTATTCTTGATTATCTAAATTATAAAATTGACAACTCACAGGTAAACAATACTATTTTGAAAATTATTAATAGTGTATTTGGTTAGTTATATTTGGTTAGTTATTTAGATAGGAGTTTGTAATCTTTATAAAAATTCTTTAGATAATAATAGTTAAGCTCTTGTTAATTAAATCTTAGTTTACTCATAAATATTTATGATTTAATGTATTTTAAATAGGTAGAACAAATTAAATGCTTTAACTGTAACTGCAAAGAATATTTTTCAAGTTCAGAAGTAGAGAGTATTATGTAAGGGTTTGATGCTAAAATACAAAAATATCATAGGATTTTAAATAGAAATAAAATACTGAAAAATCCTAATAATAAATTTTGTACAAAACCTGATTGTGAAGGATATATAACACTTGATTCTTCATCTTCTCAACCTTTTTAGCTCTGTAACATCTGCTAAACGGAAATATGTGTAAAATGCTTTAGTTAATGGCATCCTAGAGTTTCCTGCTCTTAAAATATGGAAAAAAATATCTAAAAGTATATAGAAAAGAATGTAGTCTAGCTCTGTCCTAACTGTAAAATAAAAATAGAAAAGATGACTGGATGTAATCATATTACTTGCTCGTAAAATATTTTTTAGACTAAATTTTAATAATTTAACATTTCTTATTTTATGATCAATCAATCAGTTTCTGTAAGCACGAATGGTGTTGGTTGTGCAAAAGCAAATATTCTAGATCCCATTTTGAAAAGTTCAATCCGATTGGATGTCCAGGATTCTATAAATAAAAGCAAGATTGGCCTATTTATAAAATCTATCTATACAGATTCTTTTGCTTAATATTTTGGATATTTTATTGCCTTGCTATACCATTATTGTTTTTCTTTTATATCTCCTTTAGATATAGCTGTCTTTTCATAAAGTACTTTAAACTATTTTTATTTTAAAAATATATTTTAAATTTAATGAATAAAGGAAAAAAAGATACACCTAGGGATGCAAAAAAATATTATATTTTTCTTTTGGTGCTGTTTGGTTTTTGCTAGGACCGGTGCTTTTCCCTTTTCAATTAATATATTATTTATATACTATAATTATGAAGAATTGCAAATGTTGTAAAAAACCGAAAATACTGCATACTATTCAAAGACCAAGAAATAGTTTGCTTTTCAATTTATCAGATTAAAGATCAATCCATCAAGTAAGGGAAATTGTGAATGTTTAAAGGAGAAGTTTGTTAGTTACTAACTAATAACGAAGCGGAAGTATATAAAACTCAGATTAAAGATCTATTCATAATGCTTCTGTCTTATAACAGCTATAAAGATTTTAATAAGCTAACCCTTACTAAATAAATAGACCTTATTAATCCAATATAAACTAAAATAATCTTTAAAACTAAGATGAAAGAGAAGTAGAAGAGCGTTAAGATTCTCCTTATCCTGCATTTTCTCATTTTTCACCTCAGAGAAGCGCAGTAAACATAAACATACCACGCTTTTCGCAATCTCCATAGAAGTTAACAATTAAAAATTTTGGTCAAAAACCAGTTCCTATAGAAAACAATAGTGAAAATAAAGAGACAGAGTCTAATTAAAAAAAAAATTAAAGCCCTAATATAATATAAAAAAAGAGAGAAAGAAGAAGGCCTTAATCTCTTATAGGAATTAAAAGCATAAAAACTATGGATTGGAAAAATCAAAAATTTTCTTCAATCTAAGAAGATAATGAAAATCAAAGCAACCATTAATTGCCTGTAGCACCAAAATCGTCAATGATTTTAGAAAAAAATAAAACAATTAAAGTAATTCATCAAGTAAAATCAACCTAAGATTTATAACTTTAATGAATGAACAATTCTTTTAAAATAATCAAATAATGACTAATTATAAATATATACTTAATTCTTTAATATAAAATATAAAAAGAGTTATTTAATCAAATAATAAATTAATAAATAAATGGCTACCACGATTCCTCTATCTCTAATTTGCGCTTTTTAAAATATACTTATCCTGTAGATGAAAAATATAAGAAAATTTTAAAAACTCTTCTTACAATTATATATCTCATACACAAGTATAAAGGAATTAAAGCTATAACTAATCAAAAACTATAAAAATATAAATTTAAAAATACACAAAATATTTTCAAAATGTTTGTGTGAGCAATTTATTCAAGGTAAAGCTAAAACTGTAAATAATTTAGTAATTATATTATTAAATATTCCTCTCTATTTATCTATAAACATATGTACTAAAGTATTTATTTATTATTCTTACTTTCTCTTTTCAATTTACTTAATTAATTAATTGTATTGTAAATAATATGTTTCATTTATTGTTAACAAACTGTGTGAAGATTTAATTTTATATTTGATTGAAAAAGAATATTATTTAAAAATTTAAATATATATTTAGAATAAAATAATTGGAAGTAATATAGTAAATAAGCAAGTAAATAAAGTAAAATATGTTTAAAAATTAATATTAATTAGATGGCTAATTATTTATTTTAATGTTTTATTTTATATCGTTTTTGTTTTATTGTTTATTTATTTTATTTGTTTGTATGTTTTACTGTTTATTTTATTTAGATTTTTTAAGTTGGTTTGTTTGTTTGTTTTTTAATTAGTTAGTTAGTTTATTTGTTTATTTATTGATTTGTTTATTTGTTTATTTTATTTATTTTTTTTTTACTCCAATATGAGGAGATTTTTTATATGTTATTTAATTTTTCTTTTTCTTTTTTTTTGTGTGTCTCGTTTTCTCCGTTAGGAGGCTATTTATATTATATTGTAAATTAAAAATACATAAAGTAGTGGACTAGAGACTGCCTTTTTAGGCTGGTAGGTCTGGGCTCTTCAATTCTCTTTGTTTTTCATTTTGACACAAGACGGTTATGTAAACAAATCTTAAACTACTAGCTTGCGCGAGTGTAAGATTTCCTACATAGTAAGAGAGCCGCCTCTATATAAACAAGGTCTCTAAATTCAAAGTAATCAGCTCAAAAGCCTTCAGTGTGCTTCGGATTTTATGGAAATTCATTCTTTTATTGAATGAATGATCACTTCGGGGGATGAGAAGAAATCTTGATCTCATATTCTGAGATCATAATTATTATAGGTAGATTTCTTATTTTAAAAACTTAGTTGCTTATCGAAATTGTGCCAGAATCGCTTAGAGAGTTTGGAATAAGATGAAGTGGAAAGTGCATTCGATTAGGGTTTGAAAAACTAGCCCTTTCCACCATCTCCCCTCTAATATGTTCATATGAACATAACTCAAAGATCAAGTAAGTAAGTTGTACACTCTATATATTCGATTACGTTATATATAGAGGGCGATTCTGCTTCAAGTCTACATAACTTGAATCAAATTAAAAAATTTAACACAATTTATTTTGGATTAAAAATGTAGATTTCTTTTTTCCATATCAAAATCCTAACACCCGACGCCTTGTTTAGATTGCACTCATAGGACTACCTTGAATTCGTGAGGGGGTATTTTTATTTACCATGACTGTTAGTTCTAATTTTTTACTAACTTTAGGGTTAAAGTCACGTTGGTTTAGGGTGTGAAGAGCTAGCAGACAAGAGAATACAAATTCCCTTAAGTTTTTTTTTTAATTAAAATTAATTATATAGTTTGCCGTTAAGGATTTTCATTAATTAAGAAATTAATTGTATTTTGATTAAAATTTGAAATTTAAAATTTATTAGGTATCAATCAATCAATAATATTGTTAATGTTTGATTTTATTATCTTTTCATAATAATAAATTTCTAATTAATCTATTTTTAATTTTGAAAAAAGAATTACAAGCATTTAAATCTTATTTCTGATTTTAAAATAAACAAAATTAATAACATTTTTATTTAATCGATTATAAACTTGAAAAAAAACAAAAACAAATGAAAATATTTTACATAAATAATTGAATATTTAAAAAAATAAAAATACTACTTTAAATTAAATTAAATTGCAAAATTAATAAAAAATCATAATTAATTTAAATAAAATATTATTTATTTTATGAGTCTAGAAAAATAAGGTTAAAATATTTGAAATTTACATGTTTAATATCTAATTTTTTATTATAAATATAAAATCTTTAAAAAATTAATTATTATTAAAGAATAAAAAATAATTACATAAAAATAATCTTTTAAGAAGATAATAATATTTAAAAAAGCTTAAGCAATGATAAGAAAGGTAGGAAATTGATCTCATTTTTTTATATTGATTATTGATTAAATTAATTCTGAATTTTATATGGATTTGTTTTGTTGTATAATGTTAATTTAAGTGTAGGAATCTATAAATCTTTTTATGCAATTAATTTTTTTATACAATTTATTATATGAGCATTATCAATTTAATAGAAAATCTTTATTATCAATTTTAGTGTTTACAAATGTAATTAATATTGATAGATTACTATTAATAATCCAATATTTTAATATATTAATCACTTAATTATTTATTATGCATTCTTAAAGTTTGAATCAAAGTATTTTTGAAAAAAATAGTCCACTCAGTGCCAGTGGAGTATTATCTAACACAGGAATGGGAAAGAGCGGAAGAGGAGGAGCTATTGTATCAAATGAAATTATTATCAAAGATAACTTAATGTCTCTTGATTCAATTATTCATAAAATAATGCTTGACAATGAAAAAAATACAATTGAGCATTATGAAAAGCTTACTTATTTTTTTTAAGAATAAAATGAAGAAGAAGGAAGGCTATCCTTTAGGGAAGAGCTTCTAAAATTTATTTAGACAGAATTTAGATTCCAAGAAATGACAATTATAGATTAGGAAAATAAAGATTTTGTTGAGAGTATAAGAATATCTTATAAAAATATGCAAGAACTTATCAAAAAGGGATTAAAAACAACTTAGTCTGAAATTGATTATTTAAATATCTTTACAAAACTACTTTAGATAAAAGAATAACTTATAAAAATTTACTAGGATTTAGGTAATTACGCTTATCCTATAAGCTCTGATACATTAAAGCATTTATAAAGATATATAAGATTCACTTAAGATCAAAAAATTAGTTTGAATTACTAAGGGCTTTAGTTTTATTCTAATTTTATATCACTAGAATTAAACTGCTTGATGAATTTAGCCTTGACTATTTAAGAGTCTGAAAAGTTTTATGAAATGTACTTTGAAGAAAAGATTCTCTTCTTCTTGTAAAGATTAAAATCTTCAATAAATGAATGGATAAGCTTGTTTAAAAGCGTTGGGTGTGAATATTCTAAATTTAAGCAGATTGTATTTTTATAAAATTTTCATCTCCTTATTAAGTGCAAGCTTGACTTTTATAACAGGAGTAACAATAAGTTCAAATTTTAATCTCCTTTTTTGCAAGTTGTTTAAACTTATTCTGGTTTGACTTAATTTTTGAACAGCAGTTAAAACTTTTAAGGATTTTCGAATTCAATCATCAATTAAGGCTAGTAATAATAGCAGTCTTAAATTAGTCAAATACACAGGCAAACTACTTATCCACAAAATTCTTCTTATCCTTCAACTAATAAAAGCTGTCAAACAAAGCTAGATACATATTTATAAGATAAGCAAATATTTGAGAAATTGTTTAACAAGTTAAATGAACTCTATCCTTAAACTGTAATAGTTATTGTTTAGAAGATTACTTCTGATAAGTACAAAGAAAAAATTGAAAATAAAAAAAAAGAAGATTAAATGATGCTTCGAGTTAATTAAAATGATTAGCTTGACAATAATGGTTAACCTTCAAAAGATTAAATATATGGAGATTATAGAATCTGTTACACTAAATACAGTATGAAAGAAAGCGAATTTAAAGAGCATTTTAAGTCATTGATGGATTATTTTTAATTGTAAATTAGCTTGATTGATAGTTACATAGAGTGTTCTAAGTATATTTAAAACCAATAATATTTATATTACAAATTAGATGAATAGTATTATCTTTTATTTGAAGTATATAAAATGGATAAAAAATAAATCAACAGCATAGTCGATTATATATCCCACTTATGTGAATTCCTCAGAAATAAAGAAGTAATCATAGCCTCCAAGGACAAAAGCAAGCCCTTTAGATAATTTGTCGATTTTATTAGAGATAAATTAGAAAGTAGCTCAGCCAGTTCAAATAACACAAATATAGGCTCTTCTACTACATTAAGCAGTAAAGGAGGCAAGTGAAAATTTAAAATAATAGTTTTATTTGTATCATTATAATTTAGCATATATGTATGTATTTATGTATTATTTATTTTAATTTTAAGATTTATTTTCATAATTTACAAAAAAAAATAAAATTTTTTTTAAATTTATCATGAAAATTAGTGAGTGTTATACAAAATGTTTGAATATGTATGTAAAAACAATATTAAATGTTATAAAAATGATTAAATTTGCTTTTTCTATTTTTAAATTTAGCAGTTTAGCTAGTTACTTTCGCTTTTATCATAAATAACTAACTCTCTGCCATGCCTAATTTTTCTTTTAAATTTATACACTAAAGCATTAGTTTTATTTTATTATTTTTCCTTCACTTTCACAATTCAAGAACTTAAATACCAGCCTTTATTAAAAATGAGAAAATATGAGTAAGTTATATAATATAGATTAAATGTTTTTATTACGGGAGTGACTATCTTAGCAATAAAATGGCTTTGTGAAATCAAGAATCTTGTTTTTAATTCATTGATGCAACGCTTTATAATAGCTATTCCTTCATCTAAAGTCAAATTCTAATTATTTATAAAAACGGAAATTAATAAACTTTATTTCAGATATTTTTAATTAATATTTTTTACGGGCTTGTAGTCATGATCGAGTGTACTCAAAACAAAGTGAGCAGCATATCTAAATATTTAAAAAGAGATTTAAATTTTTAATAGTAGCATTATTTATGAATTTACCCATGAGCAGCTTTAACACTTTTAACGAGAGTTCCCATATAGTCAACCCAATATAATTAAGGTTAATTATTATCAAAACCTGCAATAAGACAATTAACCATGAAGGGACCATTTCTGATACCATAAGCTAGTTCAGATCTAAATTATATTTATAATTATAAATATTTTATGTTAAGAGAGAGGCACAAATAACTAATAAACTAAGCTTATCTCAATAAAATTTTTTAATAATTTAACAACTAAATACCTAACAAACTCAGCACATTCCTTGGTGTTAAATTCTGTACCGTTACGATATTTATTTAAAGCAATATTTTTAGCAATATAATCAGAGAATTACAAACGATAGGCTTGTTCACCGCTCAAAGCCATAACTTTATTTTAATCTAACAATGAGATTTTATCTTCCTTATCCTAATATTTATTAACAAGTATTTATATAAATTTTTAAATTATTTGCTAAAATTTATTTGTGATAAAGCATATTGTGCTTCTTTTAACTAAACTTATAGCTGCATAAATTTCATTTTTTAAATGCCTTTATGTTTCTGATTTGTATTATCTTATGTATTTTAGATTATAATTGATTATGTTTTGTGTGCATTAGCTTTTGCTGCACAATCTCTTGAGATACTGCTCATATGTGATGATTTTGAAACTACATTAGCAAAATGACTAGGGTATTGAATTAAAGAAGGATAATTACCTTCAACTTAAGGATGGAATAAGCAACTGAACAGTCAGTGGCAACAATTACGAAATCTTTTCCTACTAAACCAAAAGCTGAGTCCATTTTATGTTTCTACTTATTTTATTATTATTTTTGATTATATTTGCTTTCTTTAAAGATATGTTAAAAAGTACCTTTTAGTTTCTTTTTTAATGAATAATGTATTTAAATTTTTTTTAATTTTTAACACTAAATGAGTTGATATCCTTTATATATCCTTATATTCAAAAACTAATAATTTATTGTTATTATCTTTCTTTTATTTCAGATTAGATTGATTGACCTTGTATTTATTTTTCTTTTTTCTGATCTTTTCTTTGATCTCTTTCTTCTCTACCCTCATATAACATCTTTTATTTCACTTAAATAAAGGTTATTTGATAATCAAAAAGATTCTCTCCTACATTTTGATTGATTAATTGATATAATCTAAACATTTTTATCTAAAAACTCATGATTTCATTATATATTTCAGTTAATAAATAAAAAAAATAAAATATTTTAAAAATTAAACTGCAAAATTTTTATTTTTATGGATTTCAAATAAAATAGCTTTGGCTATTTTAAAACATTTGATTACAAAATAAACTTAAAATATTTTTTTATGAACAAAAACAAATGGTAAATAAAAATTTGAAATTAAAATAAATTTAATTTATAATCATATGACAGGATTTTTTGAATTAATTATTTCATTTATCTTTAGAGATTCTTTAAATCTCTTGATTTAAGAAATCGATGTATTTATTTAATCAGCACTTTTTTAGAAAAGAGCCTTTTCATTTTCAAATATTTTCATTACTTCTAATTTAGCCTAAATATTTAGAAAAATCAAATAAATAATTAATTAAAATATTATTTAATTTATTAAAATTATTTACAAATTTTATCTTAGACATTTTGCAGAGAATAGCAAATTTTTTAACTAATAATTCCATTTCAGAAATATAATCATTTAATTATTATCCTCCTTATTGTGAATGTTTCAAAATTTCTACCGATTTATTCATTATTGAGCTCATAATTTCCTACATCACGTCATATAAATCTTTTTATTAAACAATCACGTCAAATTTAAACAATCAAAAATGTAAACTACTTTTGTTAGGAGTAAGAACTGTACTTATATCAGCCTTTTCTTCGCTTGAAATAGTTTCGTTAGGCTTCTAATATACACTAGAAAACTATTTAAATTATATGTATAAAGAAAAATTATTTGTCTATCAAAGTTTAATTTATTAGTTACATCCATTTTATATCCAAGTGAAAAGTATTATTTATTTTTTTAAATAACTTCCAAGCTTGGGGGAGCCATTTATTTAGGTGTGATAAAATTTCTAAAGTATGGAGGAGGAAAGCAAAATACTTGTCTATCAATAACTTAAGAGGCTGCTTGATATATATCTTGAAATTCTTGTTAAAAAAATTCAGGTTCATCATTTGGTTTCATATCATTTTAAGATTTAATTTGTATTTCTTTATCATCTTCTTCATCTTTAACTAATAAATGATCATTACATAATTCCAATAATTCTTGTTACTGATTCATTTCTATATTTTCAGCTTACTCTTCTTCCAATTGGTCTTATACTTTGTTGATCTCTAAATTTGGCTGATTTTATTGCTCATTTTATTCAATAACACTTAAAGGGCGAATTGGAAATCCTATACTACTTTACTAATACAAATATTACGGCGGCTATTCAGGTTACTCATCAATCATTTATTAATTATTGTAATAATTTGGATTAAAGTAATTTTTATCAAAATCTTCTTGCTCGCCATATACTTATCCAAAATTATTATTTTCTTATATCATATTATCACCAAATGCATCATCGATTTCCTACATATTATTATTATCTTCCTTGCTAGGACTGGATAAATTATCGAACATATCATCTGCCATTTTATATTAATGCCTTAACTAAACTTTAAATTTGTTATTATTCTAATCAAATAGAAGCTATTTTTGCTTTTTATGAGCTATCTAGCCAAGCTATTTATAAAGATATTATAATTAATTAATCAATAGATTAATAATTTTATTATATCTTTTTTTAATGAAGATAAATTCATTTGATTTCCCGCAAAATTAGATTGTTTGAGAGAAATGCTCTCAAGATATAAATAACTTAAATTAATAAACTCTCAAATAAACAGTTAAATATTAATAAGAACTAAGTATCCCTATATTTCAATAATTTAAAATTGAATAAATATTTCTAATTATATCAAATATACTAACTAAGTAAAATGAAAGATAAAATTATTTTTATTTATTTTATTTTTTATTTTATATTGCATCAAATGAGTCATGTTGCAAGCTATCATTCATAATTTTATTATGAAATCAAAAAAAATATTTTTTTATTTTAATGATTTAAATCTAACATCTTAACTAACATATTTTATTGTGTTCTATTTTTTTTTCTTAGAAGAAGTTTTTTTTTCAAAATTTAATAAAAAGAAATTTAAATATGTGCTTGGTTAGATCATATTAAAGCTATTTAAGTTATGTTTGATTAACTGTTGATAAATATTTCATTTATTTTTGAAGAAAATATAAAAAAATAATTAACTAATTATCTTCCTTATAATAAAATCCATATTCTTTCTGTATTAATTTTTTATGTGATTAAACATATCACAAAATAAAGAATGTCATATGCTAATTAAAATGCTTCTCTTTTTTTAGGGGATTATAATTTAAGGCTGAAATTAAATTAACATGAATTTCAGGTTAAAATTAATTAAATTCTAATATCGAAGTCTATTTTAAGAAATTCTAATTATGTTTTGAATTAATTCATAACAATAATTTGAAAAAAGAATATATTAGAAACAAAATTTTATTCACGATTTATTTTATTAAGAAGTGATGGAAATAGTAATTGAATACATTATTATATGTATATTATAGATTATATATTTTAAAACAATTAAGTATAAAAATAATTTTTATGATTGATGGGTTATTATAAATTTAAATAAGTAGATTTAATTAAAAGCCAGAAATATAAATAGGAAAAACAGCTTATAATTTCTCATAGAGAAATAAGGTATGCTGTGAAGTTGGTTAGTTCGTTAGATGTTTTTTCACTAAATGTATATTTAAAAAATATACTTTTAGTCGTTTATATATATAATTTAGTAACATAGTTTTTTTAATTTGAGTTGATAAGATTTTAAAAATTCAATGATCAGGAGTATTTTTTGTATTGATGTTTATTGGTGTTATTTATTTTTAATTGAGGTTTTTATATTTTAGAATACTAAAAAATTATTTTCATTTAGTATTTATTTATTTATTTAATTAATTCTTTTATATGTGTTTTCTTTTTAATTTATTTATTGACCTTAATCTTATCCCTTTCAATTTTACTGGGCAAAGTTGCTTTATCTATTAAGTTTTATACTTTTCTTTTTATTAAACATTTGTGATTTACAAAAAGTCGATGCAATTATTGATTGCACTGTATTTTTCTTTTCATCAACAACTTTACTTTTTCTTAGAACGACACTTGGAGCAGCTGATTAGCTTGAATATAAGGTATTTGTACTTACAACATCACTATTATTGAATTAAGACATAGTTAACTATTGTTTGTCTAAGTTAAGTTCCTTTTGAAGCTTTCTTCTATTTTCTGCGTCTTTGAATTTTTGCAAGTTGCTATTCAAAGTAAGTAAGAATTTGAAAGCTTCTTAATGGAAAGTTTATAAATTCTTTTCTGTTTAAGATTTTTGACCAAATTAATATTGAGAATTTTGGGATGATCCACTTTCTGAGCTGTTGTCTCTCTCATTACTTTTGAAATGAAGGACAGGGGAGGGAGCATAGCTTTTTGCATATTAATGATTAGAGGAGTTTTCGTTAAAACATGGAGTTGCTTATTCATTTTATGAATGCATCAGAGAATTTACTGCTGTGCTGAATCCAGAATCTCTGGCTTACATTTCGCCATTTGATATAGAAGATATATGATCAGACAATTCCTAAGAGATACAGCTGTAAGGTGTTGCATTACAAAATAATTTTTATTTACTTTATTTCTTATTTTTAGCAGAGTAAGAATCCTATTTTAATGGTATATATAGGGAAGAGGTAAGACTAGATTATTAAATGTTAATGGAAGATTGTGAAAGACTAATGGAAGATTGGGAGTTCATTTAATCTATTAAAAGCGTAATTATTGATTGTGTGTTTATAGCTATTCTATTATTGTTTATATTGGTATTTCAAATTAATTAGCAGTAATTATGAGACGATCAATTATTTTACTTTAGTCTTTTTTTTATTAATTTTTTTAATTATCAATGATTTATCTATATTTTTTTAACTTACTTAATACTAAGAAAATAATTAGTGTGAATAGTGCTCATCACTTAAATAATCATTAAAAACTAATTATAGACAGCTAGCTACAAGTTTTCCATGTATTCGAACGATAGAATCTCAATAAGTAATTGAGAATATAATGTTTCTTTCAATCTTCAAGCAAGCTTAACCAAGAATAAATTTTCAAGGATTCTAATTACAAACATTCAATCTAATATTTGCATTCATATCTTTTATGTTTAGAGCTCAAAATAAAGCTTGAAGTATTTGCCATTTGCATAATAAATTAAAGGAGGTAGTATTTTTTTATGATTTACAGAGATTAATTTCACTGAACTATAGTCATTTTTACTTCTAATAAGCCTTATTAAATTAGCTAATATCTATCTAAATATTATGTGCATATTAAAAGCAGATTTACAAAACACTTATCAAAAATTTAGTCTATTTCTTTTAATTTAGACACAGGAGTGGTTAAAGGCAGACAAACCTTTATATATTAGATAAACAATAAATTTTTTTAATCATTTCGTTAATTATTTTTGTGACGCATTATTTTTTATGCAGAAAATTTTTGTTTTAGAATATAGCTGACCATCTTTTATATGATGCTCATTTTATTCTAAAAAATGTTATTTTCGAGTTTCAAATAAGAAGCTAGGATTGGAATTAATAAGTGATTCTAAATATTCTAAATAGCTTTGATAAAACCATTCAGTGATTGGTAAAAGTTAAATTTATATAACTTAGAGATATTTAATTTAAATAATGATGCATCCGATAAAATATATTCCGATTGTATTATTTTTCTTATAAATTAATTTTATTTATATTGTTATGATTTTTATCATATTTATCACCATTTTGCCTACTATTGTCTATGAGATATGAAATTTTAAGCAATATAAACTTTAGTCTCATGATTATTTAAAATTTATTTACAAGATTTAGATACCATTTTATTAAAGTGTATGTTTTTAATGTATGATTTTTCAGAATTTTGGCATTTTTAAAAAATTTCATATCCCTAATAATTTTAAAATAAATGAACTTGAGCAACATGTTTTATCTAACTTTCCTTCCTTAAAGAGAAACCCGTATGAGATTAGCCAATACCTAAACTTTAAAATGGATTTGTATTTTATAATATAATTTTTGTATTATTTATAAAAAAAATTTATAGAGCATACTATATATCAATAACTAGGCGAATTTTATAAGATTTATAAGATCAAACCTTTAAATTTAGCTATTTCCCGCAAAAATATAAATTATTTTGCTTGTATAATAAGAGGTATTGCCTATAATTTTATATTTATTTTAGATTATTAAAATGCATTTAGTGTAATTTCAGTTAATTAACACAGTTTCATTAAATAACTGTTAAGAATTCATTAATAAAAATAGTGTTAAAAAAATTACAAAACAAATATAAATGAAATAGTTTTTAATGCATTTTAAAATATTCTTTTTTACTTATGAGTTGCCTTTAGTAAAATAAAATAAAATTCAAAAAATTATTAAATAAAAATATTTAAATTTACAATAAACAAAATTATAAACATAAAATGATTAAATATATTTATAAATATAAACACATTTATTACTTGATAAGAAGATATTATTTATACCATTAAATTGTAAAAAGAAATACATTTTGAGTTGATTGGTAATGGTTTTTTAACTTTATTTTTCATTTTGTTTTGATAATTAAAGGAATTTTTTGAACTAGCAGCATATTAAATCTAATAAATTACAATTTTAAAATTAATGAAACCAAATCAATTTAGGTAATTTAATTTAATCTCTATTTGACTTTTTTATAAAGATCTTAGATTCCAACTTCATATTTATCCTAAAGAATAAACATCTCTTTCATATTATTTAAACTTTATTTTGAATATCATTAATAATATTATTATCTATTTATTCATTTTGAAAAATCTAAAACATGAAATTATTAATTGAAAGCAGAATTTATTTTGCTTTCAATCAAAAACTGATTTAAAAAAATTAGTATTTTTTTTATTTCCTTAATTTCCCTAAATTTTGAGTTAAATCAATTATTCAAGTAAATTAAAAATAGATAAATAAATAAAGTTTTTTGTTATTAATATTATTGAATGGCTAATTTCTAGTTTGTATCTTTTGAATAATTTTATAAAATAGAAAATAAAAAAAATAGATAAAATAACTTTAAAATTCTGCTTAAAAATTTTTAAATACTTTCATAATTAAAATCATTCGTTTATAAATAATTTCTTCATCATGTTTTTTTAACAATTTTAGAGCTTCTGTATTATTTTTATAAATATATTGAAAGCAATAAAGATGATAATACTTAGAGTACTCTCTAATTATAGTTTATTATTAACAATTTTTGTGAATAACTAAGAAAGCAAATTTGCTGTTATAAAATAAAAAGTAGATATATAGAAACGAAGGATTCTTAATAAAGGCAACTAATAAAATAAAAATAATAACATATAATAAACAACAATCAATTAATCAAGCAAGCAAGATAAATAATTAGATATATTTTTTATCATAGATGGAAACTAAGGAAGAGAAAAAAAAGAGAATCCTAGCAACAGGAATGTCGTTTATTTATTTTTTGATATAAACGCTAAATCTAATTATCTGCATTCAACAATATTCTATAAATAATAAAATTGGCTATTTCGTTTTGATCTTGGCAATTTTTATTTTAGATAAAGTGATGTCTTTTTTTATCTTAAAAAAAGAAAAGTTTGGATATGAGATTTTTATTTTAGACATGCTAAATTTAGGATTTATTTCCATATACTTGAAGAGATATCCTTCATTTTATCGTCCAATGTATGGAGCTAAGTTATTTTTCGTTATAATTCCTACAATTTTTGTTCAAATCATATTTTTCTTTGGCAGAGACATGATAGATGAAACTAAAGAAAAGAATATTTAAATTCTTATGATTATTGTTTATGTATTTTATCAATTGCTGTAAATTAGATGCTTTTTAGCTCTAAGAGTTGAATATAATAGGACATTTAAGTAGTAAGTATAAATGATTATTGTATATACATTGAATATTTTTTCTAATTATGGTATTTGGCTGGTATTTGCTTCTCATAGAGACTCATAATTTTAAATTTCTTTGCTATTTTATGGTACTTTGCTATTTCTGTTAATGGTTGGATACTAGTCTTACTAGCTTTATAAATTATAAGATTCTACTTTCTTACTAAATTTCCTCTATAACATGATAACTAGTACAAACTACACAACTGAGTATGGTTACTACTTCCATCATTACAATAATAACTTTGAAGATTTATACCGTGAAAGATAAAATGATTTACTAATTATGTCTCTTTACAAATCAGCACAGCTATTCATTTATTTCACACTAGGAGACGTTAAGGATTTTTAAGATAAATATCACATACTATAATAAGCTTCCTCTTTTATGGTAGTAATTACTTTTCTTGATATCATATCTAATATAATACAGTACTTTTTTGGAATTCGTATGGTATTCTACAGAATAAGGACATCTAAACTAACCTCTACAAAATCTATTGCTGAGGCAATAATGAAAGTCGATCCTTCTAAGAAATTCATATACATTAATAATAAAGAACATAGTAAAGACAGTAGTGGTAGTCTGATTCCTTCAGATCATAATTCAATATAAATGGATGTCATTCGTAGTGTTGAATCCTCTATAGATTACAGAGAGCTCAAAGTATCTTCAGAGCTTGATAATTATCTGGCATAAAGGTTTTTGCAGCGCTTAACTGTTATACAATAAGACCATGGCTGTGTACTTGTAGAGTACCCAAAACTCAATATCAGTTCATAAAAATTCGAAGTAAATAGATATGTTAATTTTGCTCAAATATCTAGCTTTTTCTGCAAATCAGATGCAATCCCATCAAATACTTTTGATATTCATGCTGATTGGGAAAGCATTTTTATGTATAGGTTATTGACTAAAGGTTTAGATTTGAATTATAGAAATAATGATGAGACATATAAATATTGTGTTGAAGCTTATTTAGATATTTACCTACCAATGATGATTCTTTATAAGTATTACTAACCTTATTTATTTTAAAAAGTACATTAAGTGGTCTAAGATATTTATTCTGATTTTTTTTGAATTTTAATACTAACTCTAAAGAATAATTAATGGGTATTATACATTGATAAATGTAAATAAATAAGATAACTTGTAAGCCAAACCTATTTATTTGCTGATTAAGTGATTTTGATTTTCTAAAGTTACTAATAAATACAGTTATTATTTTAACAATTTGTAAATAAATCTATAAAAATTCTTCAATTAAAAATTATATAAAATATTTAACTTTAAGGTTGTTCATAAATTTTGTTTTTTAATTTTGATAATAATTTACAGCTTTTATTCTCACAATTTAGCATTCATTTTTGATATTTACCTGAATATTTTATTTTTCTCTTTTAGTGTTCTTAAAAAAATTCTTTTTTTAATTTTGGTATTTTTTAAACTCTACAAATGAGCTTATTTTCATGAAATATTTGCAAAATAAAGATCATATAAGGTGATTAAAAATTTATTGACATTTTTTTTGAAATACTCTATATAAATTAATCCAAACAATTTTTTGTTTATTTGTATTTTATTTAATATATTTTATTTTAAAGTTTAAAATAAAGAAATTAATAAAAAATAATTTGATTTTTCAAAAAAAATCTAAATTTAATTATATTAGATAAACTATTTGATCATTATAAATATTTTTATGTAAAAATCAAAGCAACTTAAAAACACTTGATATAGATTAATTTTGAAAGATAGACTTTATTTGTTTGCTGGGATAATAAATCAAAATAAACAAAAATGATATGAAGTGAGATCAAATCTAATTAAGTTTTATTTAATCTTTCAGTATATTTTTTTAATATTATAAAAAAATGAAGTTTCAAACGATTTATTAATCAAAAAAGAAAATACTTATTAGTATTTTTGATTAAATAAATTAATATTAAGTATTTGTAAGTAAATATGATATCAAATAAATTAAAGATTATTTATTTTGATTGTCTTTACAATATCTTTGATAAAATTTATCGAATTTAAAGAAAGAAAGAAAAATCGTTTACCAAATAGCTTTTATGCTTTTTTTAATTATTTTAATGGAATAATTTTGCTAAATAATAAATTATGAACAAGAATAAATAAAAAACATATTTAAAATAAAAGATACTTTGTTTTAAACAATTTTAGACTAATTTTAAATATTAAAGCAAACTAAAATTTGGCCTATTCGAATTTTGAAATGGCTTAAGTTACATTAGGATATTTTATGTAATTTTGTTTAATAGAGGTCTAAAATTTTGATTTACTTATGACAGATAAGCTATCAATGGATAATAATTATTTTTATAATCAAGTAAAATTTCAATTACTGAAATAATAACTGCATTTAAAGTAGAGGAATAATAAATAAACACTATTTTTAATACAAAAACTTTAAATTTTACAAAACATTATGTTTATTTATTGATAAAAAAATTTTTTTTCTAAACTTTATTTAACTAAAAAAAATATAATATTAATTAAATCTTATTTATATAGAGATGTAATATTTTGAAAAAACTTTAACTACATAAGTAAATTTAGATATACCTATAAATGGAATAAATTAGGATTGTTTGAAGTTCATTCCTAAAACCAAACATAAAAAAAAATAAAAGATAGTTATTGGCGATGTTTAGGGGTTTATTTATTTAATTAAAAACTCAAAATAGCAATGGTGTAGTAATATTTGGCAAAAAGTTGATGAAAACCTTCCTGAAGAAGAGAAGAGCATCAAATCATTATAAATATGCAAAATTTTAAAATCAAAAAAAAACAAAAGAGATCGGATACTCTTTTCAGATGGGAAATATATTAAATGCGTTAATAAAGGCAATTTATTATAATCAGATAATTAAAATTTAGATAATTAATATGGTAAATTGAACAAAGTATTTGGTGATGAAGATAATCTTATTATTCATACGCAACAAAATAATACTCTTTATAAAATAAAATTTAAGAAGAGCTCAAGTTGGCTTTCACTTTCATACGATTTGAAACTCTAAACGCTTTAATAAAAACCTTATTTAAATGAAATTAATGATTTGGATTATGATTATGAAACATAAAATCTGGTGTTTTCTTCACTTAATTGTGTTTTTATCACTGATAAAGATTTGAATGCGGTTACAGGAATAGGTCACTCATGCGATCTTGGGAGAGTTAAAGTATTTGATATTAGAAAGCAAAGATTTAATGCTTTCTCTATTTAGCCATTCAATAATCAATAAGAATAAGGAAATTAAAATTAACTTCCCCTTATACCAATTTAAAGCGTTTTAGTAGAAAGTAAAAAAACTCAAGAATTGGTATTAGGTACTTATTTTAAGAATTAATACGCATAGATAGATCAGATTTTATCAACAACAGTAAATAGAATTTTATTTATTTTTCTATAATCAATATGAATAATAATACAAAATTTTATTCATTTTTAAATTACAATTTAATATAAAAATATTTTTGTTAAATACTTGTTTTATTTAGGAATAATTAACTTGTTTTGGCTATGGAGATATATTTAAAAGCGAAAAGAATTAGATTATTTGTGGCTATAAAGGAGGCTTCTAAATATTTTAAGAAGATTTAAATAGAGCTTATCAGTCTATTGAATCAGTTACTTAAAATATACTTTTACCTAATACCCCAATCAGCTGCGAATCAGGTGACTTTAAAGATGATTTAATTCATTAAAATTTAGGAGAGTTTATTTTTTATTCTCAAGATGGCTAATTAACAAGCATTTCTCCTTCAATTGATCATAATCAAAAGCAAGATTTTAATGAAAGTTAGATGCAAGGTTTTAGATTCAGATAAGAAACTCAAAACTCTAATCCAACAAACTAAAATAATAGAAATTTTATTGATTTATCTAGTTAAGTAATTAATTAAAACCAGTAAAGATAAGTAAGAAGTACAAGTTTATAGCCAAGCTCGATGAGTTTAGAAGAAAGCTAAAATAATTAAAAATAAAATGAACTTATTTAAGAAAGATCTTCTTCTCAATAAAAATCTAAAAATGATGTTAGCACAAATAGTATCTTGTAAAACGAGCCATCACAGAATTAAATACCTCCTAAACCCAAATAAAAACATAAACTGGAATTTAGAGTAAATAGAAACAGCAACTAAAACTTATCATAATCAGGATAAAAAGAAGGCATGAATGAGTAAGCTACTTAAAAAAATGAATAGTAAAAATAAATTAGTTTTTAATAATAAATTTATAATGATGAAATAGAATAAACTGAAAATAAATAGTAATAGTAAGAAGAAAATCATAAAAAGTAAGAGAATGACAGCTATTAATACTTTATTTCTTAGCTCAAACCAAAAAAATAGTCAAAAATAGTGGATGAGGAAATGGATGAAATAGAGAAATAATTCTAGGCTGCCTTGAATAAAACTAGCTAACCATTTATAGTTTCAAAGGCTAGTAGTAATTTTAGCGATAATAAATGCTCAAAACTCTCTTCTGTAGTGTTCTCGACTAACAGCAATAACAAAACCCTAGGCTTTAAATAAAATTCTATCAAAAGCTCTATTAATAATGAATAACGATAAGAGCTTGTTGAAAAAATTATGCTAAACACCTAAAATAATAAATATTACGATGCTGAAGATATACTCAAAATAACTGAAAAATCTCCAATCAAACAATAGAAAAATTTGAGTAAAGATTCAACTCCACTAAAATAAGATTGCAATATTTAAGATTTTAACAAATTGTAAGAATATCAATAATAGCAGTAGTAATAATAGTCATAATAACAGTAGTCTCCTACAAAATTAGATTCGTATCGAGGGAGGTTGAGAAGACCTTCGTTAAATAAATAAAGAGAGAGTTCATTTAATTTTTAAGATTTATCTTGCAATTTCATAAATGATTTCCAAAATCAATCAAATATAAATTATTTTGATTAAGATATTTCTTTAAAATAAGATAGCTAAAGCAAAGTAGAATCGAATGGCTATATTTAATCCCCAGAAAAATTTAAAGTTTTTTAGGAGCAACAAAAAAGCAATTAAAAAAGTAATATTGTGTAAAATTTAGAAAAGGAATTACAAAAAAATCAAATTAATTTTAATTTTAACAATCCATTAGAATTTTTGAAAAAAAGTTCAAATGACAATTCTTCTGCTTTTAATTAACAAAAGTAATAAAAATTAAAAGAGGAGCAAGAATAGCGAGGCTAGTAGCAAATGATTTACAGAAGGAGGAGAATATCCTCTGATTTTTATAATCTAAGCTAAGAATAAAGTGATCAATTAAATAATTAATCAATTCTTCATTTAAATTAATAAAATGAGAAGAAAGACTAACAATTTTAAAAAGAAATTGAATAATCTCAAAAAGATAAAATTTATCAAAAAAGTAGCAATAGAACTTCACCTTTGAGATACTCTAGACAATCTAGCATTGATAATTTTTATAATTAGGAAAAATAAGAAGAAAGACCAAAAATTTTAATTAATAATAATAGAAATAACAATGATTTATCAATTTATACAAGATTAGAAGAAGTCTAAAATGGTGATTTTGGTTCCACATTATAAAAATTTTCTCTAAATAAAGATTATAGTAAAGAAGATTTAATATCTAATACTGGATTATCATTTTAATAAAGTTCTGAAGATCTTAGCTACAAATAAAATCCTATAAAACAAAATAGTTTATTTCAACAAAATAATATTCCAAAATATTAATATCCTGTTAATCTATCTTAGAAAAATTAAAATAAGAAAAAAGACTCGTTTGACTTTTTTGAAGATGCAAATAGCTATTTAAATATCTCAAATCAAGCCAACTAGTCTGAAAAAAATCAAGATTAGTAAAACGAAAATAGTAAGATTTAAAATGTAAATAAAAAAGAAGCATAACTTTAAAATGAAAATTACAACCAACAATATGATTTAAATGCCAAAAATAATAATAATAACTTGAACAATTTATCTACTAGTTACAGAAACTAATCATACAACGAAAGTAAAAGTACAAAATTATTTTTAAATGGCGAAGATGAATTTGACATTTATGATTATAATGTTAATGATAAATAAAATGAATCAATTCAAAGCTTAAAAAAAGCAACAACCTAATTAAACAATTCAAATAATTTTGAAAAATAGCAGAAATAAAATTCATAATAAATGAGATAACAAATTCCAAAAGATAATCGTAGAGGTTCAGTCAAGTAAACCTCTGATTTAAATGAGTAAAACAATCATTTTAATGAAAACAATAATAAAAATTAGTATTTTTAATCTAATATATCCTCTTATCATAATTAAAGAAATTCAATATAAAACTTCTTTAATAATAATAGCAATAAATAAGCATTTAATTAATAGACTAATACAAAAAGATATGTTTTAGATTCTCCTACAAAAGTGGATGATGAGTAAGATGAATATGTCTAAGACAACTAAAATTATCAACATAAAAACCTTCTTTGGAGATAATAAATTCCTTCAAGATAATTCTTAAGTATCTATTAATAAGATGAAAGCACAATGCATTTACTACCTAAAAATAAAACTAAAGCGTTTTTGTATGATCCTGATGAGATATATTAATTATAAATACTTCCTACAGGTTATGTTTATGAAAAACAGCAATAAATTTAGTAAAGCAAATATAAAAACACTTCATTTAAGATTATTAAAAAATATAATACAAGCCTAATTGAACTGTTTAAAGATCAAAATATATTTTAAATTGAAGATTAAAATAGCTTAACAAGATTCAAACAAGCATAAAAACAATTAAAATATAATCATTTGTAAAATTCATTCGATTTGAGTAATGAAAATGATTGCATAGAACTAATAATAGAAAATTTAAGAAAAGAAATTCAAGATATTTAAAATGAGCTATAAGAAATTTGTTAATTCTTTAATGAGTAAGTAACTGAAAATGTTAAGTTACTGCCTTCAGTAAATTATAAAAAAGAGGTAATTTATAAATAAAACAGGGTGAGATACAATATATAAACAGAATACCAAATTTAATCCATATATGCTTAGATAAAAACGCCTCGTTCAGTTGAGATTACTTAACCTTTAAATATAGATATAAATCAGGAAGAAAATAATGAAATTTGTATTGTCACAGAATAGTTTCCATAACTTTAAATTAATAAATGCTAAGGAGCAAATGAAGAGTATAAATTGTAATCATTTGAAATTAAGATTATAGACAAAGAGGCTAAGTCAATTTATTTTGATATGTTATATCATGAAGATGGTTTTACAGTTGAAACTGCATTCTTAATTAAATTCAATAGTTTTGAAAACTCTTGCTATGAGTTAGTTGATAAAAATAAAGCATTTTAATTTTTATAACTTAAAAATATATCAACATAAAATCTTATTCAAGATTCTATTAGCAACTATCATTCTTTAAAATTGGAAGGCTTATAAAAAAAATAATTTACAAGCCTTTTTAAAAGCTTATTTAACTTTTAAATCAACGAATATATGCAAAAATATGAAGAATTTTTTGTCAAAACTGTAAACACTATCTTTAATTTTAATATAATTTTACACTGCCTAGAAAACAAATTTATATTTTATTCTCAAAGTCTTCAGTATATAAAATGCTTATAAAATCGAATAAGTTCAAGAATAGATGAATCTGTTTACAAAATCTAATTTTCTATAAACACTTCACAAAAGGCATACTAATATCATTTTGATCAAATATTTTCAAAAGTAAAATTTAGAAAGGACATTAGAGAATAATAAAGCATCATTATGCCTCTTTAAGAAATAATATAAACTTAAGGATATGAAGGTCTATCAAAGTAATATAGAAGGTTGCTGTAAAAATAAGATGAATTAAATAAAAACTTTTTGCAATCTTATGATTTTGATGAGATATGCAGATTGCAGCTAGATAACATAGTAAGATGTTATATTTAAATTAATCCTAAATAAAAATCTACATTTGAACAACAAAAAACTGTAATAGATAATCTCATATTTAATTTAAGAGTAAAACAAATATATTCTCTATTATTTCCACTAGAGAATGCTTCATTTGTCAGTAATTGAAAAAAAAATTTTGATTACTTAGAGCAATTAATAAAAAATAATTTTTAATCAAATCTCAAAAATAAAATATTTTGATTGTAGTGTAAAATTTAAGAAAGTAAATAAACTAATAATTAGTTACAAATTTAATTATTTTGATAAAAAATGATATATTAATTTATGTTAAAGTAAGTATAGTATTTTAATGATATTAATTATTTTAATTCAATAGCTTTTTACCATTTAATACTTTACAATAATTTATTCATAATTTAATTTTTTATGTAAATTATTATTTAATTTTTTTTCATCTACTTAACAATGACTTTACTATTATTTTTCACTATATTAGTTACTTAATTTCTTTTACATCTTTGATTTATTGAAAACAACAAATAAATTCCAAATGTAAGAAATTTATAATATCAAAAAAAAATTAACTAATTTTTTAAAAGCAATTGCTTATTTATGATGAGTGAAATTTATTAATTTGACAGCTTGCTTATATTTATTTATATTCATTTATTAATATCCTTAAGTCTAATTTACTCTTATTAGCATTAATAAATTTATATGGAATTAATATAAATCAATTAAAAAAAAAATCAATTTTTTGAAAAGGCGAAATTTAAATTGCAGCAAAATAGAAGAAACTATAATAGAAAATTAGCAAATTTTATTTAGGTTTAACAAATGATCATTTTCATAGAAGCAGTTTTGAGAATTACTCTGTTTGTAATCTAAACTTTTTTTATATTTTAATAAAAACTTAAGGTAATATATCAATTTCTTTTAAATGATAAAGCTGTCTTGATTTAAATATGAATTAAAAACAATTTTTTAAGCTTAAAAAAAATTTAATATGAAAAGGTTTCGATTCAAAATATTAAAGATAAGCTTTATAGGAAATACATTAAAATTATCTATAAAAATGAAAACAAGTGGATGAAGGATAAGCTTTAGCAAATAAAAAAATAGCCCTATCATTTAATTTTAGTAATGAATGAAAATGTGTAATTGTAGCATTTAATCCAAATAACTCAATATATTTGCCATACTTAAACAAAATATGTCACCTTCTATGATATTAAAGGTAATATTGCGATTATAAAACAATTATCTCAAGCTTTTATTTTATTTTAGGCGATTTGGTTGAACATATTTCTAAATTGCATTCTGACATACTTTCAAAATAATTTACTGAAACATACAATTCGAGGTCTATCTAAATTAATTCCTTTGTTCCAGATAAAAAGAAACTCTAATATGAAATGTAAATTTCAAATAATTAATTATTTAAAATGTTTATATGAAAAAAAATAAAAAATATAGAAAAAACGAAGGGGAATAGTTATATATCTAATTCATAAACTGTAAGTCTAATCAATAAGATTTTATAAACTTAGTTAAAAAGTAAATAAATTTAATAAGTAGAATAAAAAATATTTAAGGAAAATTAATTTATATAATAGAGCAATTACAAAAAATGAAGATATTGTTTTAGAAAGAGATTTATTGAGTTACAGATTGATAAATTAAAATGAAGGAAAAGATAGTACTTAACTTAAAAAATATTCTACTGCTTTACTTATTTAATTTGATGTAAATTTTAATGGTTTATTTGGTTTACCATTCCAATTCTTGAAAAGCTCAGAGATGGTATTTAACCAAAGCATATAAAACTTCGCTTGCACTAGATTTATTAAGTAAAATTTAGTTTTAATTTTAAAATACTAATTTTTTCAATATAAAAATTAGGTGCTATGAAATTTTTAATAAAACATAACAAAGAGAAGGAAAATGATTTAAACAAACTAAATATTTCTTGCAAAAAATATAGTTTAAAATTAGTTAAATTCATATATTAAATTTTAAAATAAAATATAAAAAAGATAATATTGTCTTAATCTTATTATTATTAGTAAAATGTGCTTGCTTTATATTTTATTTATTCTCAGAATGTTTATAGCTTACAAATAAAAATATAAATTCAAATATTTTCAATTAATATTTATTTATTTATTGAATTTGGATTAGTGATTATTTATTATTATTAAAAAATTAAAGATAAAAAAACAATATTTATATAGACTTAAAATAAAATACTAATCTCTAAAAATAAAATAAAAAATTTAAGATAATCAGTAATGAAATATTTTAAAAATTAATTTAAAATCAACAATTCACAAAAAAAAAAAATAGATTTTAAATTAATTTTGAGAGAAAAAGAAATAAAGATCTCCTGATAAATAATAAGATCATGTTTTTTAAATCACAATTATTTTATGATCCTATTCATTATTTTGTATTTTTAACTTCGTACTTTTATACCATCTTCATATTCATATAGATAGTAATTATCGTGAATTTTTGATATTTTTTTATCTAATAAAAATTTAAATAATAATTATAAAATTTTGATAATTAGCATAGTAAACTTTACTGAAAATAATTTTGAAATTTTAAAAATATCCAAATTACATAATTAAAGAATGAGATTGTGTAAAAATATTTGTTAAAATATTATGATGATAGATAGTAAAATTATATTTTACTTTTAAAGTAACATAAAGTACAAGTTTAGTTGATTGTTAAACGTTTATTTGTTTTTATCATTAGATTAAAATGTATTTAAGAGTTTGTTGATCTATTATAGATTTTATCACCAAAATGGACACCACCCAATATAAGCCTAGCAAATATTTTCATGAGATGTAGCTTGATTAATTAGCTTACTAACTTATTCAGTGTATGTTAGTGATTCATTTTCTTAGAAATCTTTACCATTAAGCTTTTTCTTAATACGATCCATAACTTCAACGGCTTTTTTATTTAGATTTTCTTATGGTTATTCTTTTTCTTCATTGTAATATTTTTCTTAAATATCTTTTTCTCTATTTTTAGGAGACTATGCTCTATCAATATCATTTTAATTATTTATTTTGCTTTTTTATGCTTTCTTGATATATTTTTATATCGCCTAGCTTGTTCCTTGTTATATAATACTACCAACATAGCTCACCTAGTTTACCATGCTTACTTCAAGCAAACTTTAAGGTCTGGACTCTCTCTTTTTGTTAGCCTGGTATACTGCATCTCCTTTTTCTTTTTTCTCATTGGCTTTATCACCTTATTCTTCACCAGATATTGTTATTAATCTCCAGTAAAATAGTGGATCATAGACAAAAGCTTCCAAAACTGCAATTAGACTTTCTTTGTTTTCTCTAATTACCTTTAATACTAGCTCACAAGTATTTCTATAGTTTCCTTCTATTTAACAGGCTTCCATAGCATTGACGAGCATTCTAGTTAATCTAAATGGAACCTTTTCTGGGAATTTTTCTCTTCTCATAGCTACTTCAAAGCAGTCACCAAAGTCAATGTGCACAATTTTTCCTATAATTAAATTTAAAAGTTAGCAATAATCTTACATGTAAATTTACCTGTATATCTCTAAAGCATAATATTTGAAGGATGGCGATCTCCTAAACCTAGAATATAACCAGCTATAGACATTGTAGCAAGAGATCTTGTGTAGTTGGTTCTTCTTTCTAACCAAATTTCTGAATTTGGACTTTTTAACCATAAGATTTTTTTAAGCTCCTCTCCTTTCGTGTTTTCCATAATGTATCTGAAAATTTCAACTTTGTTAGGAAGAGGCAAAACACTGTAATTAGAACATTTTTACTCCATCAAGTTGTATTCAGGATTTTCTCTAATATGATATGCCTTTCTGTATTCTCTGATAAGGACCTAAAGAGTATCGCAATTATGAACCCAACCAAGTAAACCTGTGTTAATAGAAAGAGGAATAATTGAATATCTTTAAATGTTTAAGTCTTTCTTTTCTGTTTCGGGATTGTTGTGAAGTAAACGATTTATCAAAGCGAAAAGCTGCATAACCTATTCATTTAAAAAAAATAAATTAATTTTTAACATCAAAAATAAATGAATTAAATAAATTACTCTTTCATCTTAACGTATATCTTCACGACCTTTTAATAAGAAGTGGTATTCTTTAGAATCGGATCCATACACAAATAATTTTCTGGGATTCATTTTGGAGAATAATACTTCCAATTTTGGCTAAAAGCATGATATTTTTACAATTGGTCTAGTTGGTTTGTACAAGCCTGGAATAGAGACTTCACAATTCTTTGTTTCTAATAGCTTAGGTGATACATTTTCTAAATAAACAAATTCTAGCTTTTTTAATTAAACATCAAGCTTTGAGTAAATGCGGTAATAAATATCAAATGCTTAGCACAGACAAATAGCATCCTCTGTTATTTTATATCTTTCCAACCATGATTCGGCTTCGAAGATTTCACCTCCAAAGTTTTAGTGGAAGGAAATTTCACTCAATGATTCTGGAGGAACTTTCATCATCTCGTGAAGTCCCTACAAAATTTTTATTAGATGAGTATGTGCACCCTTATCAATTGTGTATCTCTCCCAAGCTTCTTTGATTCCTTCAAGCCATTGTTCTTTTATCAAAATAGCTGTACGGTTTAATTCTTATGAAATTAAGAGTGCTTAGTTTATGAGCAAAGGTGAATGAGTTTTGATATTTTCAATAATTTTGCTTGCGGCTTATTGTCTAATTTGAATTTTTGACTTCAAAGCTACTGTTAGAGGATATATAAGAGCTTAAGGATGCTACTAAGCGATGTGAGTTAAAAGAGAGTGCAATAAATGTTAAACACTCTTTTTTGTAGTAGAAAGACGAGCAATAATTTAAGGGACGACTTCAATCCATGCACGATTATCAATTTATTTAAAGTCCTCTAAAAATTTGTTGTGAATATCCTCCAAATCTCCATACTCAAATATAATAGAAAGCAGTCTCAAAGAGTCTATTTTAATTAAAATGATAAAATTATTAAATGAATTAAAAGAAAATTTATTAAACAAACTTTAAAAAAAAAGTATTAAAACCAAATGATTTACCTTAAAGAATATAAGGAGATTTATGCTCTGAGGAAGTTCCTAGAGTAATACTTCTCATAAATCCTTCTAAAGCATTCTTAATATAAACTCTCTTTTACTCAATAATTGTGTCATCTTATTTCATGTTAATAGCATCAAAATTGAGAAGACCAAAATGATGCCATGTTTTGTAATAATCAGGCTTAAAATCTTTTGCTTTTTAGTAAAATTCTCCGATTTTTTTCATGTTAAACGAGTTAAGCTCATCAGTCTACATTTAAAAAAACTTAGTATTTAACAATAATGAAAACAATTTACCTTATCTCTTATCCAATTACCCATCTTTAAGTACATTTTGGCAGTCAATTTGTTATCTATCTTATTTTCAGATTAAAGAATTTCTTCCATTTTTTCGCAAATCTCTTTTTCCTTAGTAATACTCATTTGATAATTACATTCTAAATCAGCTAATTGAAGTTATGCTGGCATTAGTTAAGAGTCTTTATTATACTCCAAGTATAATTCTTCTAAAGTCTTCTTACATATATGCATTTAGTTGTTTTTGAGTGCAAGTCTGCAGAATTTTAGCCATCTTTTTATTATTAAAAGAAATATTAAACAAATTTTAATTTGCAAGAAAAGAGTTTAGTAAATATTACGTATTTAAATCATCTTTTTTAGATAGGTATAGCTATCTAACAGATAAAATTTTCTACCAAGTATCAATATCCTTAGGATTACCATATAATCTATCAGCCCATATATCTCTTAATTGCTTTCTCTTTTGTTCAATTTCTGCATCTTAAATACCTTTAATCAGCCCTTCACGATTTGCAGTACTATTTACTTTCTCTTCAAATTCTTTAATATCAATGATTTCTTGCATTTCGAAGAGTTGCTGGAGTCTTAGGATACTTTCGTAAGCTCTGCTATAACTTTCCAACAATAAACCACTGACTTAACTATCTAATTTGTTGATAGATTCAGATATTAAATTCTTAGCTTCTTCATATTAGCCTTTAGAAATAGAGATAGCTGCTTACCAGAATTATTTATCTTAGCTGTTTTCTTCAGGTAGGTTATCACAAAAATTCTCAAGTAGTTCCCAATTTCCTTCAATTATTATACAATTTTATGTTTCAATTATTATTATATAAAAAAGGATAATTTAAAAAATATATAGTGTTGATGCTAAAATAATATAAAAGATTTATTTCTAAGTTTACCTAAATTCATGGCAGCATTAGCAGCAAGATGCATAACTTGCTTTCTGTGTTCAGGGTTATTTTCTTCTTAAGTATTTTTAATTAGTTATTCCCAATCTGAGAGGGCATTAAGGCACCTCATTTTAGGAACAAAGAAACTCTACTCTGGAATATTTAATTGTCTTACTCTGTAATCATCAAGAGCATATTCCCACTAATGCAATCTTTCATACCAACTCTCATTAACATCTAATCTCAATTATTGTTAAACATTCTGAAGCAAACCTTTAGCAGCTTCTCTTTATCCTAAATTAGTATAAAGTGAGATTAAGCTTTCAATAATTTAAATGTTTGCTGTTTCAAATTCATTTTCTCTGAAATAAAGAGCCTTTGCATATGCGAGACATCTAATGTTTAAAAAAAAAAAATTAGTAAATATTTAAATTAAATTTTTTAATTACCTTTCAGCTAAATCACCAAGAATTGTATTTTCAATAGGGATACCCTCTTTATCATGCTACATAAATTCTGTTAAATTAAGGATTGTTTATAGAATGTTGATAGGGACATTATTCTCTGGGTTAATAGCTTTTGAGAATTATTCTTTTATAAAAGTTTTATTGTGGTCTTTCAACTGACTCCAAACACATACAAACGAAATATTAAAAAGCTCTGCTTAAAGTTCTTCATAAATTTCTGCTAACTCTTTGCAGTGAGTTAATACAAAGTTTGGTGATTTATTTAACAGCTCAACTGAAGTCTTCCTAATCCATTAGTTCCAATCTTCCTTTGAAGTATTACTTGATGTAGAAAAGACCTAAGCTAATTTATCGCTATCAATCTTTCTTAACAAACTATTGAATAGCTCTTACTACTAAGGAGGCTAGTCTGTTTTAATTTCACCAACAATTTTCTTTGATTTTGATTAAAAATAATTTTTAAAATTAAAACTTATTTATAAATAAAAAAATTTACTTAAAATTCTGGCTCTATTTAAGATGAGACATCGTCTAAATTACCATTATTTAAGAATATGTCTACACATTTTTGGTATGCAATGTGTTAAATATTTTTTTATTTGACAACGTAATTCAGCTTTGTCAAATACACTAAAAACTGATTCTTGTGAATGTAAATAAAAACAACAACTGTGTTCATGCACTCATTGATAAACTTGGCATCTTTGCTTTATTCTATAACAAATCAATTTAATATAAGAAATAATTTTCTTTAATATAATTTTACCTAAATTTATCAAAATAGAATCCACAATAAGAGAAAGGAATTAGACTGTTGAACAGCAAGAATTAGCGAAACAGTTAAACAAATTTATGATTTCTGATTTTACTTTAGTCTTGGTTTATGAGGTATCTTTACTAATATAATTGCAAAGGAAAGGTACGATCAGATGGAGATTTGAGTCCAATAGCTCAGCAAGTAGAGTGTAGATTTTTATGACCTGCAAAACTGTTGATTCATCAATTTGAGGTTTATAGATAACATTGTTGATTAATCTGATAATAGGCTCAATGTAATGTCTAAGATTTCTCTTCTAAAATTCAATTAAATTCTCGAGGATTGAGAAGCATATTTTATAATATTAAGGATCTTATCCAAATTCAAGGAATACATTGAGAATTGGATCTAAATATTCTTAATCATAATATCTACCTAAAATTCAATTATATCAATTAATTATTTTATTATTTTTACTTTTTTAATTTTAATATTTTACCACAATTCAAAATTATTTTTTGAATCAATTGCAAGATGTTTTCACGATCTCTAAGCATATCTTAGCGCACTATCTTAATAAATATGGGAATTAAAAGATCTAAGAAATTTTTTGTTCTTGTTTATAGCACACCTTTTTTAATAAATATCAAGATATATAAATCAATTAAATTTATTCAGTATTAAAAATTACCTATTATGCAACTTAGAGTTTGAACTGCTAAGCTATGGTGCTCATTTAAAGATTAGTCGCACAAAATTTTCAAAAGTGCTTTGATAGTTATTTTGGAATAATAGTCTTCATCGGTTAAAGAAATGACTGTTGGAGATTGCAATAACATTTTAATTTCTTCATCAATTTCTTGTTTAGAATATAATTTCTCAATCATATTTTGATCTCTAAATCTGTTATCTTTCTTTTAAGGCTATTGATATATATTTAAACTATTAGCGCCTTCTAGGTTGTAATCAATCTCTGCTTATATGTTTGATAGTTTTAAATACATTTTTTTCTATTTAAAATTTTCTAGCAAAATAATATCTTCATAATATTAGTGAAGCTATTTAGTCTATAAAATAGGAATTTTATTTAATTTTTTTGATTTTATTATAAAATTAATTTACTAGTATTGAAGAGCTTTCTTGCTACTTTGCAGCGCTTAACTTTTTAAAGTATTTGAATTTTTTTTTCAAGGAAACCTTAATGATATCATTAATAAGTTATCTATTATCTTAAGAAGGTGAAGCAGTGAGTCTATTCCTAACTTTGTCAGAGACTTTCTTGTAATAAAAGTAATCAATAGCACCGAGACAGCCTATCAATCTCATGCACTATTGTCTCATCTCAACATTTACTTCATTCTTCATCAAAGAAAGAATAATCTCCAAAAAACTAGGATATTTATAATATGGAAGTACAACAAATCCAGTATATTTCAAAATATCCACAAGTGATTTTACTGCAGCTTCTCTCTTAGCAGTAGAGGATTTGTCTTACATAGCCTATAGGAAAATAGGGAATATTTCATCCATATAGAGTAAAATCGTATTATCTCCGAGTGAGCTTAACTGACTGAAGGTTTTAAGAAGCTCTGGAATCATATTATTTGTTATTTTTTAATCTTTCAAGAAATTCAAGAGAATATTAGCAATAGATTATGAGTGTGGTCTAACTAACTCTGGTCCATTTTTTATCAAGCAAGTTAAAGAACTTAATAGATTAATCATTTGCTTTTCATTCTCAAGCTGTTATTTTTAAGATATAATTTTTAAATAAATTTTTAGAGAAAAAAGTATTCATTTACATTATTTATTTTAAGTTAGGACAGAAATTCAAAAAGAGTCTTTTTTAAGAAAGGAATGATATCAGAAGGATTATATCTTGAAAGTCTGCAAAGGATTGTTAAAACTAATTATTAAACCTATCTGTTTTTAAATTTTTTAAATTTAAAAGATGCTAAAATACATTTAATTTTTACGTATTGCTATCATTAACACACAAGAACAATTTTTTAAGATAGTTGGGTTCATTTAGGTATTAGTCAAAATTTTCATTTAAACTCTTAAGCATAGTTTGTCTAATTTCATCTTCTGAGTCAGAGATTGCAACGCTCATAAATTTTTCTAGAATCTCATACATAATATTCTTAGATATCGACTATCCTCTCTCCTTTTTGACGTATAAAAGGCAACCTGCTTTGGCTGCTGCTTTACGTATGTTTTTATTCTTATTATCTAAATAATCTAAAACATTATCCTTAACAAAATTTGCTAATTCATTTTCGTAATTGCTAAAGCCGAATGTTGAAAGAGTTTATATGGCATTAGCTATAGCTTTTTCATCAGTTGAAAGTGTTTTATCTGTATTTAAAATTAACTTTTGGTAGAAATTTTTATCCTTGTCATTGTTCGGATTTAAGCTTTGAGGGAATAAGTTTTTATGTTTTGAAAGAATAGTGATGATACAAAGAAGCAGTCTATATTAAATTGATGAAGAAACTTCTGTTCTTGTTCTCTCTTTTCTATTGTATTTCTGAATGTGTTTAAGAAATTCGATACTCTAAGGATATAATCCATTGAATAGAATATTGTTTATCAGTAAGTCTTCATCGTTTATGAGATCTTGATATTTATGCTAAAAATTCTTTATGATTGACATCAAGCATTATATTCTGAAGGAAATGTAGGGCTTCTTTTCTTGTAAATCTTAACGTATTTAGCGTGTTATGTTTTATATGCTTTAAAAAACGAGATCTTTCATGTTTTCAGGTAGCTTAGCATATATGGTAGAATCTATACACTATGAAATTTTATTTAAAGTGTCATAGTAGCTAACAATTAATTCATCTTTTAAAAAATTTAATTTTAATTTATTTATTTATTTAAATTTAAGTTTATTTACGAGTAATTGATTTTGCTTTTGGAGGGTTGATACGCTATAGAAGGAACTCTGTGGTTTTTATAAAGAATTTTTCAGCAAATGCTTACTTCTTAAATTTGGCTAATGCGGGAAGAGCTTCAATTACAGTTTTTTGGATATTAGAATTTTCATCTTTTTTACTTAATACATACATACACATTTGTGAAAACTGTTAATCATTGAATTATTCAGAATTAGGATAGGTAACTAGAATTTTTAGAGCAGATATATTACCTATAACAACTTCCTCTTATCTAGCATTCATAGACTAGCAAATATCAGTAAAAAATGTGTTATATTCTCTGTCTTGTATGTCCTCTATAATTATTATTAATAAATTTTATGAGAACATTAAAAATTATCATAAATATTTTATTTTTAATTTTAATTACATTCTTTTAGACTTATTTGCTTTAATAACACATCAAAAAAGCTCAAAGCTGCTTCTCTAAGAAGAGTTGTTTTATGTCTATTTAGATATTAAATAACAAATTAATTAATCACCACTTAATTACATATTTTGAAAGTATTTACTTGATAAGATTCCATAGATTTGTTCTATAGTCTTCTGTATTGCTTATAAATTGCTTGAATGTAACGAAAGAAGCTTACTCTAGAAGTTCCTTTAAAACTAGCAACCCAGAGAATTTTTTATTATCACCTGAATTTTTAAAGATCCAATGTATAGGTTTTTAAATCTAATCAGTCAGAAGGTTCGTAATACGAGTACCTCCTAAACGGAGTAGCCTACCATAAACTTCTGCTGATTTTTTAATAACTTTTTCATCTCCTGTTTATTCTAAAAGCTAAAATACTAAAGAATTAAACTTGCTCCATAAATTCAAATATTAATCTTCCTGCACAACATATGATATCTATTCAATTCCTATTAAACTATCTATTATAAAACAAAAATTAAAAAAATGTAAGCACTTTAATCTATTCATTGCTAATTCTATTTCACAATGACTTCAAATTATATTAAGTTTTGAAATAATTTACTATATTTTTCATTTATATCATTGCTATTTATTAACTTAATGAGCCCATGATAAATCTATAAAATAAAACAGTAGATTAATAAAAATTAAATTTCTAAATAAACATTTTAAATTTCTATCAGCATAAAATAATTTAATGCTTTCAAAGATTTATTTTTATGATTAAACATAATAAAACAATTAAAATTTACTTCATCATAATATTAATTATTTTTTAAATAAAGCTGCTGCAAATCGGCTGCTAAGCGCTCACTCTCTTAATTCTTAGCCTTTTTGAATTATTCAAAAAGTTTAGAGATTTCTTGCATAATATGAGACATCTCTTAGCTTTGTTTTGACTTAAAAATCTACTTAATCTATGTATTTAAATGTTGTAAAAAACTCTAAAAATGTATTTATGAGTAGGAATTTTTGTAGAAAATATCGAGAAGATTAAATGATAATTGTTTATAATCCTTATCAGATAAATTAATATTTATTTGATAATTCGCTTTCTTATTTAGGTATTTTTATTTCTTTTAATAATTTGTTTGAAAGCGAGTAATTTCAGATTTTAATAGCAATTTATCATGAATTCCCTCGTTCTTTATTAATCAACTAGTCTTTAAGTCAGAAATCATTTATTTACACTAATAAATAATAAAAGCAATATCTTTTTTATTTACAAAGATAAAATACTTCATACTTTTAATAAAATACAATTAATTAATTACAAGCTATACATTATTATTTCATTATACATTTATGTGTTATGTCTTCATTCAAATATTAAAATGACAAAAAGTGAGAAAGTAAAATATTATAGAATATAAACTCCTTTTAAATTTAATCAATAAAAGATTTTTTACTTAAAATAAATCACTCCAAGAATCAATCAGTCTAGTTAATTATAGAGTTTTAAATTATATTTTAGTTTATGAAACAATCTAAAAAATAATTTTATATCTCTAATTTAAAAAACAGGAAATTTATTTTAAATATGTAAACAAAAATTATACATGTTTTTTGGTTATTTTTTAAATTACTTTATTTGTTAATGTAAATACTTTTTTTACTAATAAATGACTCATAATCACCAAAATGGACCCCACCCAATATAAGCTTAGCAAATGTTTTCGTCTGAAGTTGCTTACAGAATTAATTTATTTACTTGATCAACATAGCTAAGCTATTCATTTTCTTTAAAATCTCTTCCATTCAATTTTTTCTTTATTCTATCCATAATTTCAACTGCTTTTTTGTTGAATAAATCTTAAGGTTATTAAAGTTTATCTTTGTCTCCAGCTTTTTTCATTTCTTCTTTTTGTAATCTTAATTTATTAATGTCTTCGTTTTGTTCCGTTTCAAACTCTTTATAATCGAAGCTGTTTATATTTCCAGAGTTATTGCTAATTATTTAAGAATTTCTCCTTGAGATTCCATTTTTAGCTTCCTGTGGTGATTTCATACTATCAAGATCTCCTGACATTGTAAACACTATCCAATAGAATAGAGGATCATAGACAAATGCTTCTAAGACAGCAATCAAACTTTCTTTGTTTTCTCTAATTACCTTTACTACAAGTTCGCATGTATTTCTATAATTTCCTTCTATTCCACACGCTTCCATAGCATTAACTAGCATTCTTGTTAATCTAAATGGCACTTTCTCAGGTAAAGATTCTCTTCTCATAGCTACTTCGAAGCAATCACCAAAGTCAATATGCACAATTTTACCTTTTAATTTTTATTTTAAATAAGATTTATTGATATAATTTTAAATTACCTGTTTATCTTTAGAGCATAATATTAGATAAATGACGATCTCCCAAGCCTAATATATATCCTGCTATGGACATAGTAGCCAATGAGCGAGTATAATTTGTTCTTCTTTCTAACCATATTTCTGAATTAGGGCTTTTAAGCCATAGAAGTTTCTTTAAATCCTCACCTAGAGTATTTTACATTATATATCTAAATATTTCGACCTTATTTAGTAATGGAAGCTTATTATAATCATTGAAACTGCTATCATAGAAATTATATATGTTAAAATCATTCATAAGAGTTAGCTCAGCACCATATTTTATGTTAAAAGCTTTTCTATAATCTCTTATTAAAATTTAAAGAGTGTCACAATTTTAAACCCACCCTAGTAAACCTGTTTTCATGGAAAGCGGAATAATAGAATATCTCGTAATAGATAATCCTTTTTTTTATGTCTCTGTATTATTTTACAAAAGTCTATTTATCAGCCCAAATAGCTACATAACCTTATTTTAAATAAAAATTAAATAATATTGAAAAATATTTTTAAATTTTATTATTTACTCTTTCATCTTGACGAATATCTTCATGACCCTTCAATAAAAAGAAATACTCTTTAGAATCTGATCCGTAAATACATATTTTTCTGGGATGAGTTTTTGATGGAAGAACTTCAAGTTTTGGCTAAAAGCATGTGATTTTAATGACTGGTCTTGAAGGTTTGTACATTCCTGGAATAGATATTTCACAATTTTTTGTCTCTATCAACTTAGGAGATACATTTTCAAGGTAAACGAATTCTAACTTCTTTATTTGTGGCTTTAACTTTTAATAAATTTAACTATAAATATCGAATGCTTGGTATATGCATATAGGATTTTCGGTTATACTAAAACGCTAAATCCAAGCTTCTGCCTCATTGATAATTCCTCCAAAATTTTGGTGAAATGATATTTCACTAAGTGACTCTGGTTGCAAAGTCATTGTTTCATGTAGCTCCATTACATTTTTTATAAGATCTGAAGAAGTAGATTTTTCACTCTAAAAGCGCTCAAAAGACTCCATAGAATTATAAATACCTTCGTGCCATTACTCTTTTAATAATATAGCTGCACGATTGAGCTCATTAGATATCAGCATGGCTTCATTTACAAGAACAGGGGAATGTGTTTTAATATCAGAAATTATTTAATTAGCAGCTTGTTATCTAATTTGAGTTTTAGACTTACAAGCTATAGTGAGTGGGTAAATTAAGGCTTATGAGTGATGATTAGAGATGTGAATTAACAACTCATGTAAAATTTTTTATACTCCACTTTTTGAATCTGAAATACGTGCAATAATTTGAGGAACAACCTCAATCCATGCACGACTATCAATATTTTTGAAATCTTCTAAAAATAGTTGAGCTACTTCTTCGAAATCACCATAATCAAAAATAATTTACAAAAGTCTTAAACAATCTTATCAATATAAAAAATAAAAATGTGTGAATATGTAAGTATAAATAAATATTACCTTAAAAGAGGTAAGGGGATTTATGCTCTGATGATGTTCCGATTGAAATACTTTTCATAAATCCTTCAAGAGCATTTAAAATGTAATCTAATTTTTCTCTTGTGTCAATTTCATCCATCATATCTAAAACATCAAAATTTAACAATGCAAAATGATGCCATGTTTTGTAATAATCAGATTTAAACTCCTTTGATTTTTCAAAATACTCTTCAATTTTTTTAATTTTTTATTTGTCTAACTCTTCTCCCTAAGTTAATATTAATCAAATTATAGTTAAAATAGTTTTAAATGGTATTTTTTTTTTACTGTTTCACGCATCCAGATACCCATTTTCAAATACATTTTAGCAACTTATTTTTTTTCTATTTTTTTCTCATTTTTGAGATAATTTTCCATTTTTTCACATATTTCTGGGAAATTACTGGGATTGATTCTATACATGCATTCGAAATTGGCCAGATGATAATTTGGAGGTGCTTCATCTTCATCTTAATATTCTTCTTAAAATATTTGATCTAGCATTCTCCTACAATACTACAGCTAGTTGTTTCTCAAAATAATTTTACAGAATTTTAACCATCTTTTTGAAATAAATACTCAATTAATTAATTATAAGCAAATACAATAAATATTACGATTGCAAATCTTCTTTTTTAGAAAGATAAATCTATCTCACAGAAAGAATTTATTGCCATGTATCTAACTCTTTTGGATTACCTCTTAATCTATCTGCCCATATATCTTTCAAATTTTATCTTTTAAGTTCTTGCTCTATTTATAATTTATGCCTATCCATTCCCTCTCTTTGCATCATTTAACCTATTTTTTCTTGGTAAATTTTCATTTCAAGGATTTCTTACATCTCAAACAACTGCTGTAATCTTAGAATACTTTCAAAAGCTCTATTATAGCTTTCAAATACTAGACCACTGACTTTATTATCAAGCTTTTATATTGATTCATGAATGTACACTTTTGATTTTTCATAATTCTTTGATTTCAAACAAACAGCTGCAAGCCAAAAGGATTTATCGTTTGTGTTTTCATCAGAGAGATTCTCAGCAAACTATTCTAATTCTTCCCATTTACCTTAGATAATTAAATAATAAATAATAAGCTTAAGTTTTTATTTTTTATTTTCTAAACAAAAACTTATCTTACCTAGATTCATTGCAGCTTTAGCAGCGACATCCATTACTTGCTTTTTAACTTCATAATCTTCTTCCTCTTTCATGAGGGTTAAAATTTTTTCCCATTCAAAATATTACTCTAACTGTTACACCTTTATCTTAAAGTGAGCTAAATCAGATAGTTTTAAATTAGCCAATTGCTTTTATATTTAAATAGATTTGCTATTGTTTCCATCAATTGTTTAATTTGTCATAATTTAATCAGATATATTATTTTATGAACGGAATTAGTATTTAGTATACTTTTGCATATATTAGACCAAACCTTAAGCTGACTCTTTCTATCCGAGTTATTTATATAATGCTTCAAGTGTTTCAAAGGTTTCCACTCCTTGCTTTTCAAACTCTGATTCTCGATAATACAAAGACTTAGCGTATGCAGAGCATCTATTTCATTTATAATAAAATTTAAAATAGTTTTGAGAGCATAAATATTTATTTATTTATTACCTTTATGCTAATTCAGCTAATTTTGAGCTCTTAATAGGTAAACCTCCTTTATCGTGTTGCATAAATTCTGCTAAATTAAGTAACAATTGCAAGAGATTCAAAGGTACTTTTTAAGCCCTGTCACCATCTCTATGTTAAAAGTTAAGAGCAGGGTCGAGCTAATTAATAATATATTCCTTTTCTTTTTATTTTAGTTCAGCCCACACAGAAGAGAAAGATATATTATTTAACTCTACTTGAAGCTCTTAGTAGACTTCAGCTAATTGATGACAGGCAGACAAGATTAAATTAGGGGATTCTTTGAGCATTTCTATAGAAGATTTTCTCATCCACTGTATCCAATCCTCTTTTGATTAATTACTATGAGTATCAAAAAGTTTAAGAATTTTATCTGTTTTAATTGGTCTAGTCAAGGAATCCTATGGTTCTAAAGTATATGGCTACTCTTAAATTCTTTTACACTCCAAGAGAGCAATATCGCTTTCAATTTGAGAGGAAACATCAACTAAATTTCCATAATTTAAGAAAATTTCAATACATTTTGAGTAAATATTGTGGTGGATATTTTAAGATTTCACTGTTTAGTTTATTTTGGGAAGATAGGCTTGAAAATCGTTTCTATATTTATAAATAAAAACTACAATAGTATCCATAATTGAATTAGTCATCAATGGCTAGAATTTATTTGTTTCTATTTCATAAATAAAAAAGGTATTTTAAAAATTCATTCACTAACTAATAATAATTACATATATTTTAAAGGATAGAATCAACTATTAGCGATATATACTGGATTGAAGAAGAGCAATAAAAGCAAAGATATTAGAAAAGTTGAATAATTTCGGTCTTTACTTGCATATTTACAAGTTAGGCATTTTAAGTTATTAGCTGACACAAAAAAGGTATGATTAAATGAAGATGAGGATTCAGATATTCTGCTAAATTTTTATAAATTTAAATAACTCTCAACGTAAATTCTTCATCTACGTGAGCTTTTTTGATTAGATTATTTACTTTTTATACAATAGGTTCTATTTTATAATAAATATTTCTTTTGTGGAAACTAACTACAACCTTTAATATTTTAAGGCATATTAAGGAGTACCTTATATCCTAACTATATTCTAAGAACATATTTAATAGTTAATCTAAGTAATTCTGCTTATAATAAACTCCTAATTAAAAAAATAAAGTTGAATCAAACCTAATTTCAAAAAAAAGAAGTGTGTACCACAATTTTCAATAATAACTAAAATGATGTTAAGAATATCTTCTCTTATATTATCTTATTCTAAAACTTTGCATAAAACTGGAATCAGCAAATCTAAGAAATTCTTTGTCCTACTTTTTAATAAATCTAACAAAAATACAAATTAAAATTATTATATAATTTATATTTTGAATTACTCACTATGCAATTTAAGGTTTTTATAGCTAATTCATGATGCTCATTTAAGGATTAATCATATAAAATTTTTAATACTGCTTTAATGGTTGTTCTTGTATAATAATCTTAGTCGTTAAGCTAAATAACAGTAGGAGCTTATAGCATTTCCCTTATTTCATCGTCGGATTCTTAAGTTAAGTGAATTCTTTCTGTATTTCTCGTCTCATCATTCAAAATCTCGTTTTCAATTGATATTGCTTACTATTAATCCAACATTTATTATAATTATAAGAAAGCTGATGAACCATAAATTTGCAGTGGATCAAATTTATTAGGCTGATTATTTAGGCTCTTTTTTATAGATGCTAGATTTAAAAGCATTTTTTTTTATTTGAAATTTTCAAAGAGTAGTATAACATCTTCATAATATTTATGGAGTTGAAAGGGCTAAAATAAAAATAAATTAATTACTTTTAATTTTATTCTGAAAATTAATTACTTACAAGTTCTGATGATTGATTTGTTTGTTGATATTTAATGAGCTTTTTCATAAATTTGAACCTTTTCCTGAAAGATTTGGTAACAATATAATTCACAAGAATTCTATTGTCTGCGAACGATGATGTTATTGAATGGTTCTTAATTTTATCAATAACTTTTTTGTAAAAGAAGTGGTCTATGGCTCCTACACAACCAATTAGTCTCATACACTAGTACCTCATTTCTGTGTTAACCTCATTTTTCATTAAAGAAAATACAATTTCAAGGAAGTTAGGATACTTGTAATATGGAAGCACTACAAATCCTGTATTTTTTAATATTTCTACTAGAGATTTAACTGCTGATTCCCTCTTGAAGGTTGAAGATTTGTCTTACATTGCTGACAAAAATATTGGGAAAATCTCATCCATATCAATAAGGTTTTGAAAATCTCCTAAAGCACTAAGCTAACTGAAGGCTTTGAGTAACTCAGGAATCATATTGTTTGTGATTGTTGAATCTTTTAAAAATTTTAAAAGAATAGTTGCTATTGTCATTGAATGAGGTTTGACTACTTCTGTATCATTCTTAATTAAGCACACTAACCCTTTTAAGAGATTTATAATCTTCTTTTCATTTTCAAATCGTTTCTATTTTAATTTATTAAATAAAAAACTTAAATATTAATCATAATAATTTATTTGTGTAAAAATTACTTTATTGTAAGAAAGCTATGAAATATATTCATATAAAGTTTTCTTTAAAAAGGGAACTATATCTGATGGATTGTACTTAGAAAGTCTGCATAGAGTAGTTAAAGCTAGCTGTTGTACCTCTCTTATAAAATTAAAATTATAAAATTTAATATATCAATAAAATATTAATTAATTTTACAGGTTGCTATCATTTACACAAAAGAATAATTTCTTGAGGTATATTGGCTCTATTAAATATTAATCAAAATTTTCATTTAGACTTTTCAACATAGTCTAGCGAATTTCATCTTCGGCATCTGAAACAGCTACACTCATAAACTTTTCTAGTATTTTGTACATCACTGATTTTGATATTAAGTTATCTTTACCCTTTTTAACACAAAGAAGGCAGCCTGCTTTAGCAGCAGCCTTACGAATAATTTTATTTTTATTATCAAGATAATCTAAAACATTGTCTTTTAAAAAGTTTGTCAATTCTTTCTCATAGGTTTTAAATTTAAATGTAGAAAGAGTTTAGATAGCATTAGATATCTCTTTGTCTCCTTTAATCCTGTCTTCATATTAACGAAGTTTTAATTAAAATTTTTTTTAAGAATCATTGACAGGTGGAAGAGTCAAAGGAGTAACATTTCTTTATTTCTGCAAAGTTGTAATTATGTAAAGCAAAAGCCTGTATTATATGAAAGTAGAGAATTCTTTTTTTTCTTTTTTACGATTTTCTTCAGAAACAGATGTATTTTCTTTTATCTCATCCATTTTGTAACTTTAAATATTTTCTAAAAATTCTACTGTTTGTGGATACAGACCATTAAATATGAGGTCATCAATTAAATTTTCTTCATCAATTAATTCAGAATATCTTGTTGAAAAAACCTTCACAATATTTTAAAGGCAGGTTACTCGACTAGGAATATATTCCTTTTTATCTTATAAATCTTTTTAAATTGTTTTACAAACTCTTTTAATTTCATCAAATATTAATTTTTTTTTATCATCAGGTATTTTTTTTATAATGCTAATATCCAGTGAAGAGCATATTTTATCAAGTGTATCATAATAGCTAATTAATAAATCCTCTTTTTATAAATAAATTGAAATTATAATTATTCACTTTGTTTATATCTAAAGATATGTTTGTTTATTGATTCTGGAAATTATATAAGAAAGAATTCTTCAATAAAAAATAAAATAAAAACATATAAATTTTTTAAAATGTTACATGAAGGCGATTTGAATTTATTGGAGCCAATTAAATTACGGATATGATCTATTGTTTCACATAAGAAATTTTCACAGAAATGTTATCTTTTAAACTTAGAGAGAATAGGCAATGTATCTATAACTATTTTTTAAATAGACTAGTAAGTATGCTCTTTTTTTGAAAGAACATACTTGCACATGTTAGAGTATTACGTATCAGTAAACTACTCTTAACTAGGATAACTAAATATGATTTTTAAAACTGCAATATTTCCTATGATCATTTCTTCTTCCTTTTACTTTAAGTAGCTCTCTATGTCTGTATAATAAGCACTATATTCTTTTTCTTGAACTTCCTCTATTTTATAAATTTAAAAAGATTTAATTAAGATAGACATTTTTAAATACATAAATAAAATTTTTATTTGTTTATTCTATTTTTTTTTTTATGTGGTTATTTTCTATAGCAAATACTAGCCTCTATGTATTTATGAAAACTTTTATAAAGAAATAAATAATTTTATTGTTATAAATTAGTAGTACATTCTTTAAGACTTATATGCTACATGTATTGATCAAAAAAGCTTAAAGCTGCCTCTCTTACAAGAATATTTTTCGATCTTTATTTAGAATTTTATTGAATATTGAGCTAAACTAATTTCAATAGAAGTTTACTTAATGTGGGACCATATTTTTGAACGAAAGTTCTCCGTATTAGCAATAATCTTAAATGTTATAAAAGGAGACTATTCTAGTAGCTCTTTAAGGACAAGTAGACTTGCATATTTTTAATTGTCCTTTGTAGAAGTTAAGAATAATGATTCAATAATATTAGAAATATATCCAACTAAAACATTTTAAACTCTCTATCCTCCTAATCTCAATAATCTCCCAAATACTTCAGTATTTTTCTTTAAAAGCTTCTCCTCCTGCATGAGTTAAAATTATTCTAAAACCAGCTAATAAAATTTATTCCAAAAATTTATATATTGATTTTCTTATACTACAAATGATATTGATTCCAATCCAATCAGCCCATCTATTATGTTAATAAATTTTCATATTATTTATATTCAGATTAATTACTAAAATAAATATTTGTTTATTTTTCCACATTTCTTCTTTTTTTTGCAATATTTGTTAAAAGTTAGTACAATTAAATCAATATTCTTTAAATTTACTGTATTTTTCATTCGGATCGTTGCTACTTATTAATCTCTAAAGACTTTAATAAATCTAAAATATTTTAAAGAGTATTTATCAGCATAAATAATTTTCAAATTTAATTTTTTAGTGCTTCTAATAAGGTATTTTACTTCATCATTGTAGGTAATGTTCTTCAAAAATAACTATTATAAATCTTATGTGATTCTTTCTGATTCTGGAAATCGTGCTTTTCTTAACTAATCCAATAACTTCTATATCTCTATTTATATTTGGCTATTTTGCATCTTATTGGCAGCAGTCCTCCTATTTATTTAATTATTGGTGGAAGTTAAATAAACTGAACTGATATCCTATTTTTTATTTTGAGCTTTTATGCAAAAGACTTGTTGTAAAAATTAATAAATATATTTATTTAAAACTTAAAAATTGTCCTAAAGTATCTTTTTGATAATATTTTGATAATATAATATAATATAAGTCAAGTTTGCAAAAATTTAAAAAAATTATATTAATCAATAAGTAAATAAATAAAAGATTATCTATCTGTCAAAATTTTAAATAAAGTTTAACAAACATTTTTTAAAACAAATTTTTGATAATAAATTTCTTTCAAATTAATTGATGAGTAATTATAAAATTTATAAATTTACAGGATAAGAATTAAAATATTATGTTAATATAAGAATCAATCCACATTTATAAGTATTTTGATTGATCAATAAAATTATTAGTTATTCAATCTTCTTCTACATTTAGATATGCTAAGGTTTATTTTGAAATTTAAACAGATTTTTTTGGTTTTGTAAACTCAATTACTTAATCTTTAAATTCATCAGAAAAGGTTTGCATTAGATATGTAATATCTTCATTATTAAGCTCAAATTAATAAGTATTTGATATTAATATCTCTCCTATTTTGTTGGTAGAAATTTTTTCATCAATTTTTTCTTAACTAGCTAAATTGAGAATCTGCAAAACCTTCCTGCCAAGAGCCTCCTTGTCGATATTTGAAGCATCTTCTTTTTCAAGCTATTTTTTTTCTAATAAATTCTGCAAATTCTTTAATAAAAATTTATGCATTTTTTCAAAAACGAATTCTTTTTGAGTTGAAACTTCTACAGTAAACCCTCCTTACTATTTCAATTTCTCTTTAAATCTTTCGATTCGTTTACCTTTCTCAGATTCGCTATCCTATGCTTCTATCTTTTTTAATAAAATTTAAACTTAAAAATTTATTTTACAAATACTAAAGTTGGTAATTTTTATTACTTTATATACTTAGTTTGTAATAAATGATATAAACTCTTTCATGTCAATCTTGTTGTCTTTGTTCTAATCAGCTGTCATCATAAGTCTAATTTTTTATCTATCAGTTAAATTCAACTCATTGTTATAAAGATCAAGCCCTTAAATAAATTCAGCTCTTGACAAAACCATATCAGTATTTTAATCAAACTCTTTAAATAACTCTTCATATGCCTTTTTACTATCTCCGTTATATTTTTGGCTCCTTGCCATTAAAAATTTACCCAAAGAAAGTAAAGCCTCTTTAAGTTCATATGGTTTCTCTTCACCATATTCATTGAGCTTATTTCTAATATCTAAATCAGCCCTTGGATCTTCTATAACTTCTTTTTTGACAACTAAGAGTGAGTTTATTTTCTATGAAGGTCTTTGGATATCAATTTTTTCTCCTATCTCTTATACAAATTCTTGATAACTAATACAGCCATCTGAATTTTTATCAAATATTTTCATAAGCTTAATTAAAATAGAGAGATCGACACTTAGCTTAGATAGAATAGCTTTTAATTCAACTAAACTTATATCTCCTGACTTATCAACATCAGCTTACCTATTTATAATAAATATTAAACAAAGGCTTTACAAAGAGCATTTATTTTAATATTGATAATACAATAAGATAATATCAAATAAAAATAAATTAATATCAAAATATTTAATTAAAATTATTTTTTAATTTATTTGATCGACCAATTAAAATTATTTTTTTTGAAAAAATTCTTGTATAATTAATTTTTACTCAAAGAATTAAAGTGGAGTCAGATTATTTTAAACAATAACATTTTTAAGTATCTAAAGGTAATATTCTTTGTTTTCAATAGTATTAGAATCTCCTATTTTTTAGTTTGAATTTTGTTAATTTTGAGGATTTTTGGCTTTCATAAGATCATTTTATGTATTCATAAAGGCTAATTCAAATTCTTATTTGTCAATTATGCTATTATCATTTACATCAATAAATTGTAAAATTTTTATAATTTATGAGTTTTTCATCTCAGGTAGCACATTTTGTATAGCTGTTTTTAATTCGTATAGGGTCACGTATCCTTTATTTTCCTAATCAGCTTTGGCCCATAATTTTTAAATAGATAATTTTGCTTTGATTTCTAATTGAATTTTTAAATCTTCTATCATTTTTATTTTTTTTTAGACTAAGTTATCTTCTTAGGTTTTACTCAAAAGCTATTAAGTATCGCCCCTAAAACTGTCTATGATTTTAATCAATTCTTTAACAGATATTTTCCCTTCTTTTTGCTTATCGATTTCGAGAAACATCCTATTTATATTATCTTCATCTAAACCTATTGCAGCACCAAATGTTGAATGAAAGGTTTGTAAATCTATTTTATCTTTTTCGCTCACATCCAATCCAATTTCTTTAAAATAAGAAACTGTATCTTCTCCATCAACTTCAAGCATCTTAGCTTGCATAATTAAAAATGTGTTCAAAGATAGTTAAATTTTTTTACTTTGCTAAACAAAAAACGTAACTAGCTCATCCATCTCTAAATTCCCATTTCCATCTTTATCAATAGCCCTAAATAAATTATTGGTTTTTTTATAATTAGAGTTATTATTTTTGAAAATTGGCAAAATAATATAGAACATAAATAATATTTACCTAAAAACCAACCCTTTTTCCTTATAACTGATAGCATTTTCTCCTAAATACTAATCAAAATGATGGGAAATATCATCTGTTGTCAAAAACGTTTTATTTGAGTTGATTGTTAGCAATATATTCTCCAAAAATATATGAAGAGGTTTAGTTTAAAACATTTTTTATATTATTTCTTAAACTTTTTCATCAGTATTTTCTAGGCTTTGTGAAATATTAACACTTTTTTCTCCCTTGCTTTATTTGCTTTATTTACTTTATAGACTTATTCTACTCATTATGTTTAATGAAGAAAGACTACGAGAAGCTTAAGAAAGAGATACTTTAGATTTAGATTATGCTTTAGCTCTTCTTAGGACAGGTAGAACATATGATAAAAAATCTAACTTCTTAATAAAATATGTATGATCTAAGTTAAATACAATATTTATGGCTGTATTTTCTTCTTTTGTCAGTTTACCAATTTAATTATTAGGGTCATTTAAAACTTAAAAAAGACTATCTTTATTCATATATTATGGATTATTGGTAGCATACTATCTAAAAAACTACTCTGGAGTAAGACCCTAAAACTCACATAATTCTAAAATCTTTTTGATAGCATTTTCTAAATGCAAAGATAATTATGATTATTTATATTAAGACTATGTATATCCCTCTGCTTATCTTGATTTTTCAAGGACATTTAAAAATTTATCAAAAGAGATGTAACCTGATTTGTTTTTATCTAAACTATTTATCAATCTTTTAAAATAAATTAAATATAAAGTTTTAATATTTGAAACAAATACATACTTTTTAATATTTTCTTAAGTTATGCTTTAGCTACTAGGTGAGGAATTATTATTTCCTTAGTTCAAACTAACAAATTTCAGTAGAAAATTTTCAAAATCATGAGCGAGAACAGATCCTTAAGCTTTTTTATCTACTATTCTAAATACCATTATAAAGTTCAAACCTAAATTATAAAAAATAAGAAAAGATAGACAAGCTAAAATGAAAATTTATTATATTTAGTTATAAAAACTCACACCATATTAAGCTTTTAAAGCATTATTCATTTCTACTAAGATTCCATCAAGTTCATAATTATCATTTTAAACATATTCTAAATATTTCTCTTGCTAGCTTTTAGCTTTATTGCCATTTTAAATTCTTTCTCTGATTTGTTTTATTTTTTTCCTACATAGACCTCCTCGAATTAGAGATTGCATTTTGGTAACATTTTAAGTTAATTTTTATGCCTTCTTTAAATATTCAAATATGCTGAAATGTTTATTTGTATTCGGCTCCAGTTTTTTGACTTCATTCTAAAGCTACTAATAATTGTCAGCTTAACTTTTATACTGCTTCTTTAGGGCTATTACAGCTGCTCTATAATCTTCAATTGTCTTTTCTTTTTTCATTTCTAAAATATGATTTACAGTTGTAAGATTGTGGCTTTAATAACAATAAATGAAAAATATTATTAATTAAAAAAACTAATACACAAACTGATACTTTGTAAAATTTGAAAACTTACAAATCTAATTAGGAACACATAATAAATAAATATATTGAATATATCTTACATAAAATATAACTACATTAATTAAAATATTTATTATAAAATACTCAACATTTGATTTTATATGCTTAGAACAAAAAATATTTACAAATACATTTACTATAAAATTAAAATAAATTCAATATAGATTTAACTTGGTAGTAATTATAACTTTACATGTTTGATCAAGACCGCATAAAACACCAAGTCCTAATTTATCTTTATTCCAGTCAAAACCATTTATTGGTTATTAGCATAAATCTTTTGAATTAAGAATTTCAACATTACCAGTGATACCTCTAGGTCTTCCTTCAGAATCTTTAATAGATCTTTCATTTGGATAATTATATTTATAAATGTTAAGAGCACCATTACCACCTAATAAACCAAAAATATCTCTATTTTGAGGTAGATGTTTAACGCCCCAAATAGTAGCTCCAAATGCTTTTTCATTTAAGCATGCATAACCGCTTTCAGGGTGAAGAGTACGCATGTCATGAACATGGAACTTACCTTCTAATGTTGTAGCGACTAATTTATTCATAATTATATCTTTTCTATCAAATTCAACACCTACAACACCATTCTTTAAGTTACTATCCCAAAGTAACTAGTTAGTTTTAAGGTCAAAAAATTTCAAATCACCATTATCATATCCAGCAGCTAATACTCTTTCTTCATTATTATAACTATTACCAAATCTATTTTTTAAAGAGCATTTTAATTTCTATCAAAAATTTTGCTTTATAAATATTTATTACGCTACACACCAAGCATCTGGAACAGACTCTTTATCACTAGGTTCAAGGGAAAGGACGGGAGCTTTCTATCTTGGATCCCATACTCTCACACAACCTTTTATAAAGAAGAAAATTTATTAATATTTTAAAATCTTTTATTTAAAAAAAATCTATTTTCAGTATTGCTAAAAAATATTTATTTGCTTTTGGATTGATTATTTTAAAAATATATTTTACCATCTCTTCCTGCTGTAACAATTTCTGGAGCACCATACCCAATATCTAATCCTCCGATACCGTCGATAGCATTAACTAATGTGTTGTGAGCTTTTACACTGTAGTAAATTTTTCCTGTTTCTAAATCAACTATATTCATTTCACCATTAAAATCACCAAATGCAAGATCTGCTTTATTAGGCAAGCATGCTCCGAAAGTTGAACATTTTATACCCTTAGGATGCTAAATCTAGAATTAAAAAATTTTAATAATTAAATCTAAGTATTTAAAATTTCAAAAAAGTAAAAAGAAAAATATTTTTTACATCTCTTGTAACCTATAATTCATTTTTGGTTAACTAATGGATTTGAATTGTTCCTGTTGCTTTTGGATGTTAACCACATAAAACAAACTTAGCGGTTTGTGGAATCCACCTATTTAAAGAATAATAAATGCATATTTGTAAATCATCTAAAATGCTGAATAATAAATAATTTAATTTAAAAGCATATGTATATACTTAACATCGTAAGGAGTAAATGTCAAAGTTTTATTTAAATGTTCTATTATTTAAGGAGCTTCAGTAGTATCCATCTTCTTGCTATAAAATTTGGAAAAAACTTAAATTATTATTTGCTTATTACAAATTAGTTATAAAATTAATATTTGAATTTTTATTAATTATTATTAATTTTTAAATATTTAATATCTTTTATTAGGATATTTTAAAATTTGCAAAAAAAAAAACTAGCGTTTCTGTTTTCACATATTTTTTTAATTTCTAATAGAAAAAAAGACATAAAAGAAATTAATCGATTTTTTAGTTCAATAATTATTCTATTTTTCTGAAAAGTTTGTCTACCAAGAAAATAACTTTACCATCACTAAAAATTTAAAAAGAAATAATCGAATTTAATTAATGTTAAAAATTAAAATATAATATTTCTTATTTGTATTTTAAAAAGTTTTGCAATTAATTAAGTAATTAATATCTATTTTATACATACATACAACGCATATATTTTATGTAATTTTTTAAATATTTAGCAACAAACAATTATAATTAATAACATTTTAAATTAATAAAAAAACGAAAAAAATTTAAGTATTGTATGAGTTAATGAAAATATATATCTTCATTTCTTTTTGTTTTTCTTATTTTTACTCTTTTCTTTGGCTTTGATATGAGCTGTACTGTTACTAACTGCGAATGTTTTGCTAGTAGAAGTATCTTGAGCAGCTGCTGAAGAACCTTGAGTTCTTGAATTAAGGGCAGCTCCTTTCTTCTTTTTAAAATCTTTTCTTTCCCATTTAGGTAACCATCTTTCTGGATTTGGGAGAGGACCTGGGTTTTTAGGATCGAATCCCTTGGGATATCTAACTCTTTTCTTCTTGGGTTTAGTAATTTTTTTAGCAACGTGAGTTGCTGGAGTTGTAGAAGATTTAGTCTAAATTTTAGAAAGAGCAATTTCACTTTCAAGTCTTGTAAGCTCTGTGTAGTCCTCGATAACGTTGAATTTGATGTTTTTTAGGTAGGATTGGGCTTTTTCAAATTCACCTTTGCTGCTGTGCAACTTAGCAAGACGTTGTTAATAAGAACTCTCCTTAGGGAATTATTAAGCAAGCTTAGTGTAAATTTGGAGTGCAATGTTTGCATCAGTCTTTGAATAAACGTCACCAAGATATTACAAGACTTAAGGATTGTGAGTGTTAGTAGCAATTTAATTTAATATTGGTTATATTAAAGAAGTATTTTCATCTGATTTAATCTTTGAAATGTAGGAAAGAATAAAACAGCAGATAATCTCATTTTCGTAAAGAAGAGTCTTATCAGAAGTAGAATTGTGAAGAGCTTAGAAATTCTAAAGGATTTACTATGAAGAGCCTTATGAACGAGCTACTTCAGATAAAAGTAAAAATACTTCAATTCTCAAATCATAGGGAGCTTGAGAGTTAGTCAAAATATTAGTGTTCAATTAATTTAAGAAGTTGTTAAGTAAATCATCCTTTTTGGACTTCATAAGAATATAGATCTTTACAGATAAAAATTTAATGTTTTTATCGAGATTTGAGAAATTGTGCTCGATTTCATTAAGCAAAGTTAGTGCTTCTTAAAATTTACCTTTCTAAATAAGTAAAAGGGATTTATTTAGCTTAAAGACAAATATCTATTCTTAGGTCTACTTGAATTTGCTCTATATAGCTTCATCAATCAACTTAAGAGAATCACCATATTATTCGTGCTTATGTTGATAACGGAAAACAACAATATTATTATTTAATACTGCCTTCAAGTTTTTATCAGTTAAATTTTATTTTTAGAACTCTTCATACTATTTAATCTTTTTCTCAATCTCTTCACCAACTAAGTACTTATTGTTTATAAAATCAGCATAATCTGCTTAAAGAACAGCCATAATTTCATCTTGTTTATCATTATCTTCTTGGATCATTTGCTTAAACTTTAATTGCATATCTCTTGATCTTTCTGTCTCATGAAGGCAACCTAAAAGAGTACCATAGTTATAAATAAGTTCATTATTAGGCTACTTTTGGTTTTTCAAATATTCCTCAACCAAACTTTGAATGTTCTTTTAAATTTGCTAATCCTATTAGATAAATAAAATATTAATAAATAAACTAAAGATGCAATATTTAAATAAATTTTTAATCATTTCACTTCCAATTTTGTTAAACTTTATAGCTTAAATTTAAATGTCTGATATTGAAATTTATTTTAAAAACTTAAATTATGTTTTTTAAAGTGAAATACCTATAAATTAATGAAGATTTAATAACTTCAAAAACGAAAGAAAGAAAGTTACATTGGTTTAAATGGAGGAGGCAATAGCATTAACAAGTAAATCTGAATAATCGTCGGTTTTGGGGAATTTTTTAAGAATTTAAGCATAAAGTTCTGCAGATAAGCTAAATTTAGAAAGTTTGTTAAGAGTTTAAGCTTAAAGAACTTAAAATTGCATTGATTGATTATTAGCCTAATTTAAAAACTTTAAGCAATCATCATATTTTTCACTGCAGTAAAGATAATATGCATATGCAAGCTATTATTGCTCATCACCTTAACCTGCTCCACCTTTTTCGTATTCAGCTTAAAGAGTTGTGTATTTTTCTGATTTAAGCAAAGCAACCATTCTACATCTTAAAACTTTATCATCTTACTTCTTTTACAAGATTTAGTCACAGACTTTGACTACTTGATCATGATTTCTTTCCTTAATGCATTCTGATAAACGCTAATATAATGTTTCTACTTAGGTATTATCCATTTTATAGCTATGCTTTTTTATATTTCAATTTATCTCTTAATTTAATTTATTATTGTTTTCTAAATACAAATATCTTTAATTACTCAAACTACTATCAATTACAATGATATTGTTTGATAAACGTATTTTATCAATTAAATAATTTATCAATTGCCTTCAATTAATCTTAAATGGATATTTCTTTAATCTTCCACATAAGATTAATTTTTCTCATTATACAATTCTTTCATCAGTACATTTGACACTTGTACATATTTTTATAAAATAAGATAGGTTAACTAAGACATTGTGATATTCTATATTCAAATAAATAAAAAAATAATTATAACATTTATTATTTATAAAAATTGATATTAAATCAAGCTATTTTATTAAATGTTTTTTTTTTTAATTTTATCAAAATTATTTTATGATAATCTAAAATTTAAAAATCCATTTTTTTACATCTTTTGTCGAATTTAGATATTATTCTCAAGTGAAAACTATAATTAACGATTTAAAAGCATTGAAAAATATCTTTATGAATTGCTTATCTTTTTTTAATAGTTATTTTAAATTATAGGAATAGAATAAGCTAAAAAAATAAAAATGTTTTACTTTCGTAAAATATTATTTAAATTATTGTTTATAAATAGTATTTAAAGTAGTATTAGATAATATAAAACAGAAAACTTCAAATTAGTTCTACAATTAAAATATATTTATTATTTTATCATTTATTTTTAATATATAATTAATATATTGACTCGCTTTAATAAAGGTAAATTTTAACATAAAATATAAACAGTATTTTCAATCTATTTTCATTTGGTTTAAATGATTACTAAAATTTTTTACTTTTTTCGTGTTTATCATTCACTCACTCATTCTAAAGAACTTTTAATCAGCTTATTTTAATTTTGTTAAACTATTTTTCCATCTTTTTGAACTAGGTTGTAGTCCTATAAAATTGATTTAAATTTATTATATTAAGATTTTTAAAGGTTGACTATTTCATTTTGTTACTCTGAAGCTATTTTATTAATAATTTTTTTAGCATTTGATATAGCAAAGGAAGTTGAGGATGGTGATTCTTAGTTAGATATTAGTGTATTTTTATTATTATGTGAATTAATTGCTTAATTCAAACTGATGCTATTCCTTTCCCTAATTTGATTATCGCAAAAAGATTAAGAATCGTCTTAACATAGTTAATTGCTAATATTATTTGACTACATACTAAATCCATTGAAATGAGGAGGTAATACAGATTTAGCAGCCAAATTTACATTTTAAGTTTAGTTATGAAAATTTTGTTACACCAAAACTTAATCAGTTTCTATTTTATTTTCATAATTATTACTTGTAGATAAAAAGCTTTTGGCTGCTGCTCCACATCCTGCCATATATGTAAGTCTGAGGCTTCTTCTCTTTATGTATCTTGAAGATGAACTATAAGGAGTTTCAATACTTAACTTGTTATCTGTTATATAAGATTATTAGGAAGAAGTGTTATTGCTTTCAAACTGTAATTTAGTAGATTAAGATGTATTAGAATTAGAAGCTTAGCCTTAAAATAACAAATTATAAAATTCTTTACATTTTAAATTTGATACTTTTGCATTATGAGCATATGATTATTAATAAAGTAGCTAATATTTAGAATTATCTTATTCATCTTTATTGTTTGTAATTTACTATTATTGGGCATTTCTTGTTGATAAATTCTAATTAATTTTAGGCGTTTTTGGGATTTATGATTATTTCATCTATTTTTTTACTTAGTTATTGATTAAATGCTTATTTGTTTCATTTACGGATACATCTATAGATGTATTTTATGAAATAGGATTTGTTATAGTTATATATTGTTGCTAAGAAATAGTAGTAAAATTGGATTATATAATATTATCTATGTTTTTAGTTTATGTATCTTAGCACTTTGAATAGTTAAATCCATTTATACCTTCATCTTGTATTGACTTTGACCTATAAGATTACTTATTTTTACTTTTTAGGGATGTATACTCAGAAGATCCTGCAGGAGCTATTATAGGAGTGATTTAATCTAATTAAAAGTCTTTTATAATGTTTAAGCTTTAATCTTTTTCATTTATTCTATTTTACCCTTGATTTCGTGAAAATTATTTTTTTCTATCAGTTTATTCATACGAAGTATTTAGATTAGCAGTAATATTCTTTTTATTCTAGGAAGCTTGAGGTGTATTTTTATTGAAGTTGGTTACTACTTTATTTCCATTATCTTTTTCTTGTTTAAATTATGGTAATTTTACACTTTCGTCATTTTGAATGTCATTTTAATTTTAATTTTTTGATATCTCTATTTTTTTTATAGAATCTTTGTTTACTGTAAGGACTTCCTAGAGCTTATTTGTCAGTTATTTGATGAATTATTCCTTTTGATTGCTGCTTGTTACTGCTTCAATTTTCAAATCTTCTATATATTTTTGTTTTTATCTACTTTATGATTTGTTACTTTTATTAACAAATACACTGCAGATATTATCATTTGTCTTATTTTTTCCTAATATTTTTTATTTAAATTTACATACTTTGTCTTCTAAACTTCCTTCAATTAATTACTGCTAAAATTACTACTTTATGTCAAAGATTCCTCCTATATTTTAGTTATTTAAGTTCCTACCCTCTTCTATATTTGAATTTCTTGTTGATTTTGTAATAATTGGAATATTTTCCTTATTACTCAATGAAATATGTTCTAATTGTTTTTTTTTAGAGCAACTACGAAAGGAATTATTTATCATGCTTGTATCTAACTTCTAAAGCCTGGATGCAGTTATTTTTTTTAAAGGATTTGAAGGTGAAATCGAGTTATTTCTATTTTCATTAAGATTTTATTTATTTTCAATCGAATGATCTTATTATAGCCTAGCAAAGTATTAATTTTCAATAGATTTTTCTTAATTTATCAAATCATCACATATCTTTATCTTATCATAAATAGTTTAATTCATATCTTATTAACTGTTAGCACCAGTTACTTACTAATTTTATCTTATCTCTTAGTGTTATGATTTGCTTTATTATCTCCTTTTTTGCTTTTTAAAATCAGAACAACTTGTTTCTAATCTAAATCTTTCTTAATTGTTCTAGCCAATACTTAGGTTTCTTTCTAAAAAATCTAAATTTCTTAGCTTTTAAGCAATTTTCTTTTCTTCTGTACTGCTTTATTGTAATTGCTTTATAGGTTTTTATCCAGGAGTTTCAGGTGTTGTATATTATGTTTGTTGCTCTTAATTAAGCTTATCTAAGCTGCTGCTTGCTATATCTCTATTTAAATCCCTGTTTGTATTTTCTTCTTCTTCAATCTCATCTAGCAGCTACCTGTTTTCCTTGAGAGAATCTTATGTTTCTATTTAATCATTTTTATTCTTTAAAGAGTCTACTTATTAATTATTATTATCTGGTTAAAAATCAGAGTTCTATTTCATTTAAATATCAATTTTTATTTCATTAAAATGAAATTTCATTTCACCTTGATTATTTTACTCAGATTGCATCATTTTATCTGTTATTTCTTTAGAATTTTCTTATACTTAAAAAGACTAATCTATGTCTTCAGTATCATTAATTTTGTAAGAATTTAATTTTTCTTCATTATCATCAGAAATTTGTACTTTCTTATTAAGCTCACTCTTTTAATAATTGATTTTTTCATTAGAAATTTCTGCATTTCTTTCACAAATAATTCCATTTGAGCAACTTTTATTATTATTCTAATTTTTTTTCATTTAATTAGTTTAACTAGCTAATCTTCCTTGATTTATTGTGTTTATTGATTTTTAGTTAGCATTTTGATAAATACTTTATATATTTTATATTGAGTTCAAAGCAGGTTGGTTATTGGTACAAATCTATCTTTTTCCCAAGAAATCTGAAAAATTTTTAGAATTAGATTTGCCAGTAATATTTGGAAGCAGCTATTGCTACTTTTCTGGTGTTTAAGACATATCATTTTGCTTCTAACCATTATTAATAAGGTTGAGATCTATTTTCATACCTTTAGATTTATTTAGCTAATTTTTATTACTTGGTGTTGTGAGAGAACATTCACCATTTAGATATGGAAGGGTAAACTAATTTCCTTCATTTTTATTCTAATTCAATTACAATTTTTCTGTTATTTTCTATTCAGCTTTATTTTAATTTTTTGTATTATGTTGTATTCTAAAATTATCTATTGTTTTGGCTATATTACTATTACGGGATACGATATTTTTGTAATAATACATTGCAAGTAACTCATTCCTTTTGAATACCATAAATTCTGCATCCTCTACTGCCTCTTTAACTATTCTGAAATAGTTTCTTCTTGCAAATTAAGGACATGATAAAGCTTGTTAATGAGAATTTTAAATCAGTTGCTATTACTCAGAAATAGTAGTATTATTACTATTGCTTTGAAGGATTTAGTTTTTTTATATGATGCAATTATTAATAGGAGTATTAACTTAAATTGAAGAAGTAATAGAAGAATAAGCATTGCTAAATCCACCTTAAAAATTAGCCTGTGGTATTGTTGTAGGAGGGAGAACACAAAATTAATAAAATAAAAACTTCTCTTTATCATAATTACTGTAATATCTTTAATGACCTAAAAATGTCTTCTTTTCCTCATTTGCAGATTCATTGCTTATTTTTGAAGAAAAATATTTTTTAAACATTTATGATGCTGATGCACTCTAAGAGGAATTAGTTGAACTGTAAGCTCCTCCAGTAAATTTTGTATTTTCTGGTGTTTCACTCCTAGCTACATTTAATCCACATTAGTTGCTTAAGTAACTACCTCTTTTTCTATTCAAATTAATTGGAATAGCTTAAGGTTTACTTATTTTCTAATCATTAACAGAATTCAGATTCCTAAAGCTCTCCTCTCCACTTTTTAAATTCTCATGGCTATTAGACAATAATTCCTCCTTCAACTCTAATTTTAAGGTTAATTAAAAATATATTTATAAATATTAACAAAAATTCGAATAGTTATTATGTAAGGAATACAAATTACGTTTATTAAAATAATAATTAACTTAGCATAACTTAGAATATAGTATTTTATATTAATTATTTTACCTTGCTAGCAAATATTTTTATCTGAATCTGCATAGTCTTGTATCTAATTAGATGTTTAGACATTCAATTAAAGACATATATTTTATTTGTCTTAGCTTTTTGGTTTTTATAATTTCTATTCTATTTAATTTTCATTTCTCCTTTGATTACTAATAGAATTGGAGTTTTCTTTCTTTTACAATAAAGGGAGATCTGCTTTCGATTATGGTGTTATTTTGACTTTTTCTTGAAATATTTTTTTTGAGAACTCAACCAATCCTTTGTATAGCATACAAAGAAATGGAAAATTGTGATATATATTATTTTAATTTATGACTTTTATCTCCTCTACTTTATTAGTATTGTTTATGTGAGTATAATATGCAATGAACATTTCCGCAATATCTGTATAAAACCCTTTATCCTGTACTTGATATTCAAACTAAGGAGAGAGCATCACCATTAACTCGTAAGATGTTTTTTCAAAATTGATTCTTTCATTCTTACTTGCTGATTTAAAAGTAAAGAGAGCTTCTAGTATTTCGTTTTCTTTTTGAGCTCTAATCTTTTCTTGTCTTTTCATCTTAACTACACAAGAACTTATGAGCTTCTTATTTGAATCCAAATCATCCTAAGAAGATAAATCCAAAAATTATTTAATACCAGCAAGTCTTTCTTTTAGTAAATCGCATGCCTTTTCCATGTTACTTGAAGCTGACTCACTAAAAGCTATATAGAATATTTTTCAGTTGATTGTAATAACTATTAAATAGTTAAAATTTCAATAGATTTTTAATCAGCTAATTTCTTATCTTTTATACAAGCAAATTTTTTAATTTCGAAAAGGAAAAATAACCAATTAAAAATTGTATTAAATGTTTATGTATTATTAGTTTTACCATTAAGAATAAATTTCTAACTTACATCAATCTTAATCTTAACAACTTTTATAAGAATTATTAAATTTAGATTTTTTAATAATAAATCTCTTAAGTTGATTTTACCCTATTTTTAACTTACAGCTAGCTCATTCGTATCTTCTTTTTTTTAGATTTTAAAATAAATCCTTCAAACATTTACTAAAATAAAATTCTTGATTTTTCAAAATAAAATTATATAAAAAAATTAAAGATTCTGAGTCAAAAAATTAAGAATTTTTAAAATAGTAAAAATTATTTATTTAATCTAAAATATTCTTCCACTTTAAAGAAGTAGAACAAATAATTTAGATAAGAAAGTTGATTTAATTTATTTCTTATTTTTATTAGGATTTTACTAATATGACTTATTCTTAAAATAAAAAAATATCTAAAATTCATAATACTAAAAAGCTTTAATATTAAGCTTAAAAAAATAAATAATAAAAATTGCTCCAAATAATATAAAACCTAAAAATTTTACTACATTAAAAATGTATTAAGTATTTAAAAGCATACACTAATTAAGTTAAGAATTATGTAAAAATTAAGAAAACTTAGATAAATCCTCAAAAAAAAAGATTTTATATAAACATTTATATATAAAATAGTTTTAAAATATATTCACTACTGCTTTCTATTCATTTCAATAATTTTCATGAGCTCATCTCTCTCTTATTTCAAAATTACATTTTCTTTACTAATTTGATTATAATATTATTCATTTTGGTTTAATGATTCAAGTTAATTTGAATACCCAACAAGAATTCTTTCTAATTTATCTTTAAATTCTTCGAAGTTTTAATTGACTTTATCTTCTGCAACAATAATATTCTCAAATGCCTTTGAGCTCTTTTTTTATTATTTTTTAAGCTATTTTAATTCTTTTTCATTTTAAAATATCGATTCAAATAAATTATCTAATTAATATTCATATTCCTATATTAAACCTTATTGAGAAAGATTTTCTTGTATCAAGCATTTATTACTAGTTTCTAAACGCTAAATTTTATTTTTTAATTTTCTATTCTAAGATTTTAAGCACAATATTATTTTTTTGCTATATTCAGATTTTTTATTATTTATTTATTAGGTAAATCCAGAGCCAATCGCTCTTTATTTTCTAAGCCAAGCTATATTATCATCCCTAACTTCTATCTCCTTATATAATTATCCAATAGTATATTCTAATTCCTATATTCTTTTTTAATTTAAGAGCTATTCTTCTCCTAAACTTTATTTCTATTGCATTTCTCTTAATTATTGCAAAAAATTGTTATCGCCTTTTGATATTTTTTCGTTAGAGTCTTCATTAAGTAGACTTGATTTAAAATGAACTTCATTAATTGACCCAAATGTATTTAAATTTTTAAAAGGTTATGTATTATTTTTTAAATGACCATTTAATTCGCTGCTTTATCCTCTACTTTAAGTATTACTGTTCTAGCTGTTTGATAGCCTAGTTTTAAAATTAATATAATTAAATAAAATAAAAAAATATTTGTTATATTTACTGATCATAATATAGCTCTTCATACTATGGTAAAGTTTTATTGCAGTTTGGGCAGCATGTGATTACTAAATTATTTGATGTGATACTTTAAGATTAATTTAATAGGTTAACTTTCCTTTTTTAGAATGGTGATATTTTTAATTCATTACTGATAAATGCATCTGCTTAGTAACGTTATTAGGAATCGGCACTGTTGTCATAGCTATCAGCATTCGAAAGATAATTTATATTTTTATGATTGTCTTTTAAGATAGATTTTTCCATTATTTTCATTAAGTTCCCATCTGATTTTTTTCTTTCATCTATTATTTGAATACTGTTATCAGATTTATTATAAATTGTTGTAAAGTTTATCTTTTCTACTGATTGTTTTGAATGATGCTAATCTTCATTAAAAGAAATAGTTGTTCCATTTGTAGCAGTACCCCAATAAGCCTCTTCATTATCAAGAGCATCTGAATTGCTTTGATTTTTAGATCTTCTGCCTAGTGTATTATTATTATGGATACTGTTTTACTTTTGCTTATTGTTAAAATCTTATGGCAGTTAATTTATAAGTAGAGAGTTGTTTTAGTTTAAAAAAGAGGCAGGTCCTTGATAAGAATTAACAATCTAATTAATTCCTCTTGGTAGTGTTTTTTACTCTTCAGATTAGCAACCTTAGTTTGAATGATTTTCTGTATTTTCTAATTGCTGCTTTACTGCAAAACTCTCCTACATAAAATGAGAGAAATGAATTGAGCTTTTAACCTGTTAACTATTCCCTTAAGATTCTTCTTAATTGTAATTATTTTATGATACTTGCAAGCTATTTTTTTATTATTGTAAATTAGCTTTAACCAAAGTTAGCAAACTCTCCTAAAAAATATTTGGTCTGCAAGTCTGACTATTATTGCTTGATTAATTGTTATTTTAGTAAAATTAGGAAACTTCTAACTTTTTTGTATCATTTAAAGATGAATTTTAATCTCTTTATGATATTGTGCTAGGAGTTAATTGTTATAAGTTTAGTATATTTTATTATTTTGGGCTTATATCTCTCTATTACTTCAATCTTTGTTGTTTTCCTTAAATTTTATTTACTTCATTATTATAACAAATATTTGATGCTGCCTCATCAATCTTTAAATTTTTTTGAGAGATATTGAAAGAAACTTATTAGTCTTGATTTGTATTTAAACGTGCATTTAAACTCCTATGGTTTTGCCTAGATTATTACTATTATTGACTTTGTATATCTTGGTTTTAAGAAATTCCAAGCTTAATATTGATTTAATTTGATGACTAATTGTTTGATAAGCCTGCTTAAGAAGCAGCACTAATGTCAAGAGTCTAATTAGTTTAAGAATTTATTTTTTTATTATTTTGAATATAAGCACTACTATAAAAGCTATATTAAGAGGCATCTAAACTGTTGCTTCTGTTTATTCTTGAGTTTGTATAAAATGAATTAGAAGGAGTATTAATTTTACGACTTTAATTAAGCTATTCATCAAAAACGTTTAAAAGCTTATCTTTTTCTTTATCTATTATAATCTCTACCTTTTATTACATTACATCTGTTGTTGCCATCAACTAATGTCTTTGTTTAAACAGGATTTATTTTTTATTATTCTTTACTTCATTTTATTCAGTCTTTATATATCTTTTGTGATCTTCTAAATCCACTATCTTTTTCATTATTTATGGATCAACATTGTCCCAATTCTTACGAGACTTTTATTCCTCAGTTTATAATCTATTTTCTCTTAATATTTTAAGCTTTTCTTACAGCTACTTAGCCTTGTCATTTTATTAAATTTCATTATTTTATAAGCAAGTTTATTTAATTTACTAATTAATATCAGTATTTTCTTTACCAGGACAACTATTTCCATCTAAATGCCTATTTGGAGATTCTCTTTTAGAATATTATTTTTGTTTTTCTTAAGTTACAGCGCTGATGTCCATCAGTATAGTTTTTGATTATTTTAGTGTATCTTTAAATTTAAAATAAATATTTGTTTGCTTGTATAATTTTTACAATAAATTCCAGTATATTTTTTGAATAAATTTGAATTATTAAAATATATGATTCCCAAACAAACAAAATAATTAACAATATTTTGTCGAAATTTGATTATATTATTCAAAATAATCTATAAATACTATTTAAATTAAATCTTTCTTTATTTTTCATATTTTTTAATAGTTTAAACATTAGTTATAAAGTATATGTTGGTACAAATAAGTATTTGATATTTATTATGAAAAAATAAATTATTTGAAATGTTATGTGAAATATAAATTTACAAATTAAAATAATAAGTTATCACTCTTATTTGTCTTCAAAGTAATTTTAAATAGAATCTGTAAGGAAAAAGGAAGGTAATATTTTGCCTTCATAATCAACTATGCCACTAATGGCTCTGATCAATTTTAAGTTGTATTATAGATTTTTGAAATTAATTTTAGGCTAGTTTATGACACTCTAAATTGAAGATTCTAAATTTTAAATCAAATATTTTTCAATAAATTAAAAAATAAGATTTTTGATAGTAATTTTATTAAGTTCATATATTAAGTAGTGATCAGCTTTGTTTATCACAGGTTATTCTAAGTATCTAATTATATTTTTATCCTAAACTTAAAATTGAATCATTTTAATTTCGTTTTCTGTTGATTTAGATCTATCTAACTCATCTTTTTACATATTTTAGCCTAAGAATTGAGAAAAATAGCTTTATTTTAAATAATTTGACAACTTGTTAATTTGAAATTATGTATCTGAGTTGATTTTTCTAAATATTGCATAATTGTTTTCAATATTCTTGATAAAATACCATACTCTAAAAAGTAAAAGTAAATCTTTATTTTTTTCCATGTTTGCTTTATCACTTTTGATTTAGTTCAGAAAAACAATTTCTTCATTCTCAGATCTTAAGTCAATATTCTAAAGTATTATTTTAGCATATTGTTAAATAGCACTCATAGTTGTACTTAATTATTTAATTTAATCAAAGATTTTATTTTCTTGACCATCTTGTTGCTCACTACCCAAAAAAGTGTATTCGTAAAAAGGATTAGATTCACTTTCTCCATTTTCTTCCTAACCCTCATTATATTTATCAGGTTTTTTGCCTTTTTAACTATTTTACTAACTTTAACTTTTTTCTTAAGCTTTTACTTGTTCCAGTTAAATTAACTTCCCTTAAGTGACTAAATGTCTTTCTCTAAAGTGAGAGGTTAACTTATTTAAGAATTTTACTCTTGACTTTTATTCTTTTTATTTGTAATATTTTGATTGCTGCTAATATTCCTTTTAAGATTGAAGAAGTTTTTTTTTTGAATTATAGAAACTTTATAAATTGTTTTTATCCATACATTAAAATACATCTGATCCATCTTAAAAAGTATTAAATTAATTGCTCTTAGTTTCTTAAGTCAATACTTAGTTTTATATTTAACTGTTATGAGACTATAGGCTTTTCTTATTATGCTCATCTTTTTAATCAATTTATATTTAAGTAGAAGCCTACGAAGAACTAATACTATTAGATTAATCTGATGTAAAAGATCGCTCATTTTATTTTAAAAACTTTTGCTATTCTTATTGCTAAGAGCTTTCAATACTTGTCCTTTTTATATTTTAATTTACTTTTTACTGATTTTGTTACATAGGATTAGGGATATTAGGAATTTATTTAGTTAATTAAGAATCCTTGCTAGCTTCTTTTTATTGTTTAGGGTTAAATAAAGGATTTGTAAAAGAAGTTTGATTTTTTGCTGTTAAGCTATTTTATCTTTATATTGAAGATTAAGTAGGAGCATTTAAGCTTGCTTTAGTATTTGAATTTGATCTGTTTGAAGAAGTAGAACCTTTATTTGAAAAGGATGTGTTGTATGTTGTTTATAATTATGATTATTTATGAAGGATTACCTTTTGATAATTCTTTTTTACTTGAGGTTTTTCAGCTTAATTTTATGGAGCTGGCAGTGGTTTTGAAGTTTTTACTCCAATTTTATTAATTGGAGGCTTTTTTATCTAAGAATTTTATTCGTAAGGAGATACTTCAGGTTTTTAAAATTTACTTTTAGGACCTTCATTTATTTCTTAGAGAGCTTGCTCTGCTTTTTAAATGACATTAAGGATATTTTCTTAAATATGATTTTCAAATACCTCTTCTGGCATTTAGTTTATATCTTGCTTTTCAGGACCTTAACTACTTGCTAACTATTTCTTATCTTATTTTGGTTTCAAATAGTTAAGACTAAGCTATTTTTTTGCATTAAACTACTTGTTCAAAAATCTTTCATAAAATAGATTGTCTTTTATTAATTTGTTCTCTTCATGTTAAATTTCTTTTGTAACATGTTGAATTAATTGACTTAAAATTGATAGTTTTTGATCAAAAGGTAGCTTTTGGTCAACCTAAAATTCCATCAAAAAAATATCTTAAATGTATATAATTATTTGTAATCCGATTGATAAATACTAAAGATATTTATATTTTATTCCTTCTTTATTGTTTAATGTTATGTAATTCAGTAAGTAATATTTTGTTTTTTTAATTTAAAATTTCAAAAAAATTTTACTTATAATTTCTGACTTTAATTTTTTTTTTCGATACTTTGGAATGTTTGTTAAAAATTAAAATAATTTAATATTTTTATTAAATTTTATTTGTGATTTAATAACATTCTATTTTATATTATTTTATAAAAATGGAATATTCAGAGTAAAAAATTTAATAAGCTCTTAATAATAACTAAAAATTTTATTAATTAATAAAACAAACATTTATCTCCAATTAATAACTTAAAAAGAAAAAGAATTATATTTCAATAAAAATCAATATTTACATAAATAGTATTTTATATATATTAAACAAAAACAAAAAAAACATATCATAAAATTTAACGAATTTACACATTTTTAATTTTTTTATGTTAGAATATTAAGTTTAATAACTATTAATTTGAATATTAAAAAGTATAGATTTAGATAAATCTAATAAGCAAGGATTATTTTTTTGTAATTAACAGTAACTAAAAAGCTTATTAAAATTTATTATTTTCAGCATTTATTACTATTTGCAATATCTTCTTCTTACTAAAAAAAAATTTCCATAAAATTAAGTTCATCTGTTTAATAATTTAAGTATTAATAATTAATTAAGTAAATAAATTAAAAAATATATTTAAAATATTACTATTAAAGTTTTGACCAGCTTTCTCTTTTAGAAAAATTATATCTTCTTATATCAATGTGATTTACTAACTATTTAAAGGTATTTATTCTAATTAAATAATATTTTATAGTTCAATAAGACTATTTGAATAGTCATTAGTATCATAGAAATTATAAAATTCATTTTTTTATAACACTTCTAATGATTTAAGATGACTCCTGACAGATTTAAAATAATTTTTCAAAATATAGTAATAAGTGCCCTTTAAGTTATAATATTTTTATTTTAATACCGAATAGAACTAAATCAGCTACAAATTTTTTATATTGCCTTCACAATTTTTTAAGAGAATTTTAATTTCACTCAACAAATATTTGATAGGTGCAATTCTCTTTTTCTATAATAATTAGCATTTAGTTATAAGCTAGAGACATAATACTTCATATAAAATCATACATTTTGATTTATCTAGAGTTCTAAATTTACTGTTAAAATAGCATTCTTTGTAAACAATAGAAGCTTCTTGTAACAAATCAATAGCCTAAGTTAAAAGGATATTACTATCTTGTAATTATCCTATCTGAACTGGTGTTTAAATGTTATCTTTTTAATGTTTTTATTTAATATAGAATTTATTTGAATAATAATTGGATCTTTTTAGAAGTTCTTAGCAAGGTGATAAATTAATAGAATTATTATCGCTTTCATTATTAGATTCACTAAGTAGCTAATTTATGTATAATTAGTATTTAACAATTAAAAAATTTTATTTTTAAAAATTACATTAAGTGAGTACAAGTTTTACAGATAGCTTGGTAATTCAAAGTTTTTTGTAAATTCCTTCTTTTCAATAAAATGAGTGATATCTTAAAATATCTTAAATTATTCCATATTTTATTTTTAACAAAATTTATAGATTATATTAGCTAATTAAAATTTCCTTCCTGCATAAATACTTATTAAATTTTTATTTTATTTTACTTAAACAATTAAACTCAAAAATTGATGAAAATCCATATCTAAATATTATTTACGTAATTCATTTATTTTTTTTTCACTCAACAAGTTTGCTTTTTGCATATACTTCAAAGCATCTTCATATTTACCTTACATCATTAGTATTCTAGCTATATTATTCAAACTATTTTATAATTTGAAAACCGCTTAAAATTAAATGAAAAATAAAAATATTTACCATAATCCTACACCATCAAAATGCTGAATTGTCTTAAAAGCATTCATAGCAGCGTTATATTATTTAATTTCTTGATCTGAAAATTTATCTTCTTAACCATTATATTAATCTTGTATTCTTTATTAGACTCCAACAACAACTTAAAATATAGCTTCTATCAAATTTTTTAATTCTTTTTAAGTTTTTATTTGCCCGCTTTCAATCATTTTGTAAAACTTTAAAATACTAATTAATAAACAATCATTTTTAATTAAAATTTTGAAAAATATTTAATTTACTTTAATGGCTATGCGCATTGTATAAATTAGTTTAGTATACTAATTGGTATCTCAAAATTGTATTTCAAAAATTTAATTGTCAATGCAAAATACACTAATACAGTAGTAGCAAAGCAACAACTAATTATTATATAAAATTATATAAATAATTTTTAATTGCTGTCTTTTGTTTCTTAAATAGCCTAAATCCACTTTTTTTCTGAAAAAGCTATTGCTAAATATCCTACAGTTAGGGTATGTTAAGATTCAAAATCCCCAAAACATATATTAATAGGCGTAAAGAGCGTAGTATATAATGTTTTATTCTTTGATATTATTAATTAATATTTTTCATTCATTTTAAAAATATTATCACATCCAGCTTATTGTAAATTGGTCTAATTTAAAAAGAAAGTCTTATTTAGAAAGTCATTTGTTTCTTCAAGTCTATTTGTAGAATTTTAAAATTCCAAAGTTGTGATATTCTAGATTTAAGCTTTAAAATAAAAAATTTCTTTATTAACATGTTTTAATTATTTATAAATTATATTTTACTATTTGAAGAAAAAGGATGTGCTAAAACAAGCTATGTATAATAACCAACTCCTGTATCAAAATTTTTAATTGTTGGTGCAACTAAATATGCATATTAATCTATTTATTGAGAGCTATTATCAGAAATAGATTTGTCAATGTAAAACTTATTCTGCAGCGGCTTAAAATCAAAATCAATCCCAAAAATAGCATAAGTTGAGTTTTATTTAGTAAGGGAGTCATATTTTTCAATTTTATAAGTAAGCGTAGCAAGTGTGGTTTGTAAAACTATATCTATGTAGGGTTGAGATATTGAACTAGAAGTTAAAATAAAAAAAATAAATATATTAAATTCAGGAAGAGATAAATACATTTTTTGGTAATACTTTCCCATAATATACCAAGGTCTACATCTCCACTCTATAGGAAAAAGCCTTGGCGTATTATAGTATTAACAACTACATGGAACAGTAGCGTTTCCACATACTGCACCACTCTATGTCATATATTAAAATCCTCCAAATTAAGAGGGATTTGTAAATAAATATTTCTGATAATGCCCATCAGGTTATTTGATGCATTGCTGAAAAGGTCCTCCAAATTTAGAGTTATTTATTATACTACTTACAGATAAGACATTACTATTTATTATAAATATTTTTTAAATAAATGTCATAACTATTAACAAGTTTACCTTACTAAAGAATTGAAAATTCCATCTTTTTCCCTGCAATAGTAGAATTTTAAAGATTTTATTAAATCATATTACTGATTAACTTAAATTGATTTTGTAATTTAATGAGCAAACATTGTTTAAATTGTGTATTATTTTTATTCTATATTCAGGTCATTCCATTAATTCGTTAACGGACTCATCCATCCACCAATTTAAAATCTTTCTTTTAAAAAAATGAAAATAAGATGAATTACTAAAAGTTTACAAGTTATTTTAGATAAATTAAAATTAAACTTGTAGAAGTGAAATAAAGATTTCAATTTAAAATAAATTTAAATAGTATTAATTTCCTAAAATTTTAAATAGAAAGAATATAATTAATGAATTATAATAAGTTAGATTACTATAAGTCATATAAGAACTTTAATTATTATAAAAAACATAAGGGCCTATATCATTTATACATTACTAATCCTGATTGCATTATTACCATAAATTGCAATATGCATCTTAATCCAAACTAGAATTTAAAAGAAAATTCTATTTTTGAGAAATAGGATCAAACTCTGGCTCATTAGATTTGCTTTACCAACTAACTTTTAAATTTAAGAAACCATTATATAGCATATTTAATTACTCTAAAAATTACCTTCCTCTTCAAAAGTGTTATTAAATAGCAATAAACTATGAAATTTACCTATTACTTAGGCTTAAGAAACTTCTTTTTGCATTGAATGAAATACATCTGTGTTTAAAACGCGAGTTTGAACTGACAAAAACCATAAATACCTCTCTTATATCAATTCCTAAAGATTGTTTTATCTTTTGAAATTTATGAATATAATTTATATTTATAAAAATAATTAGTATTTACAACGGAAGAATGTAAATAAAAACTAATAATAGTGAATATAGCAATATTCCTATTGTGAGTGATGCTATATATGGAATGAAAATAATTATCAGCCTTTAATTTTACTCATTATAAATGTGTTTTTTAATATAATTTTTCATTGTTTTATTAATAAAAATAAATATACCTAAAATAATTATTTCTACTTTTTACTTTGAAATTAAAAAAAATTAATTATAAAAATATTTAATTGATTGATTAATTTAAATGGATTATTTTTTCGTTATCAAATAATTTCTAAAAGTTCTATCAAAATTTTAATATAATTTTTTCTAATGTTTTTTTCAGTAATTTTAAATATATTTATAAACTAATTTTTATCTTATACTAAGTTATTTATTCTTTTATTTTTAATCAAATACTTATAAAAGATAATTCTATAATAAATAATGTTACATAATAATTCCTCGTACTAAAGTAATTTATGTTGAGATAATTATTTAACCTGATAGAAGTAAAAAATTAGAAATATTTAAATAAAGATTTTATTTTTTGTAGAAGAAATTTAAACTTTTTTATCAAACATTTAATCTTGAATTTATTTTTTTTACATATAAAATGAATGAAAAAAAATGCTTAACTCTAAAAATTAAATGTTAGATTAAATCTCTGATTAAATATCTTTTATTTTTTTTGTTTTTTCAGGTTCGAAACCTTTATTTTATGATTTTAAATTTTCTTTAAATTTATAAAATAATATTTATTTCCTACTTGAGAAATAATTATTGGAGAATTGCAATAATATTGTAAATTTAAAGCTTTAAAAAATTTATATATTAGCCATATATAAATCAATTATTTTTTAATAAAGAGTTATTTTATCACATCATTTTTTTATTATTAAAAATCTTTGAATAGATTTATAAAAAAACTAACCTTTTTTCCTTTTAACATTTACAAAATCTTTAAAATATTGAATTCAAGGTTAATCACTAATTTTAGAACATAATAATATAAATGTAATATATTTTAAGCTTTATATTTTCAGTGTTTGTGAAAAGTGCTTGAAATATCTTCATACTAAAAAAAAATTTCCATAAAGTTTAGTTCATCTATTTTAATTAAATAGTTAATAAAGAATAAATAAATAATTTAAAATATATTTTTTTAAAATTACCATTAAAATTTAGATCAGATTTCTTTTAAACAAAAATTATATCTTATTATATCAATATCATTTATTAATTATTTAAAGGTATCTACTCAATAGATATAATATTTTGAAGCTAAATAAGACTATTTGTAAAGTCATTGGTATCATAAAAATGCTAGACTTAATTTTTTTTTATTACATTCAATGATTTAAGATGACAACTAACTGATTTCAAATAATCTTTCTTTAAATAGTAATAAGAGCCTTTTATATTATAATATTTTTACTTTAATACTGTAAAGAGCTGCATTTTTTGTAAATCTATTTTATTATCTTCAAAAGTTTTTAACAAATGTTTAATTTCTATCAATAAACTTTTTATAGGTTAGATTCTGCTTTTGTAGATTAATTAACATTTAATAATAAGTATTAGACATAATATTTATTGTAAAATCATATAGCTTTTCTTTTATGAAGTTTTAAATTTACTTCTAAGATAAAATTCTTAATAAACAAAAGAAGCTTCTTGCAATAAATCAATTGCTTAGGTTAAAAGAGCTTTATTTTCTTAAAATTGACAAGTTTGAATTATAGTTTAATTATTAAATTTATTATAATTGTGCCCATGTTTTTATTTTAAATAAAATTTGTTTGAATAAAAATAGGATCTTTTTAGGATTGCTGAGCTAGTGTGTAAGTTTAATGAATTATTATTATTTTCCTCATTATGTTCACTAGAAAGCTAAGTTATATTTACATTAAATCAAATTTAAATAATTTAAAAAAATGTTTAAATGTAACTTACATAATTTGAAAATTGGGTTTCTTGATTATTTTATTATTAATAGTTTTTTATAAATCCATTATGATCAGTATTATTGAGAAAGCTTACCTCATAAAATTTAATTGATTACTCCAATTGCTACTTTTAGCAATATTTATAGATTATGTTAGCTAATTAATATTTCCTACCAGCATAGATATTCATGAATTATTTACTTTATTTTATTTAAACTATATGATTCAAAAATTCATAAAATTGAATACCAGAAAACTATACATGCAATTCAGTAATTTTCTTTTCACTTAATAAATTTGCTTTTTGCATATACTTTAAGGCATCTTCATATTTTCCTTACATCATTAGTATTCTAGCTATATTATTCAAACTATTTTAAAATTTGTAGACAATATTTAATTGAACTAATAATAAAATAATTTACCACAATCCTACTCCATCATTATGCTAAATTGTCTTAAATATTTTCAAAGCAGCTTAATATTATTTAATTGCTTCATCTGAGAACATATCTTCTTATCCATGAGATTGGTCTTAAATTCTTTTTTAGACTCCAACAACAACTTAAAATATAGCTTCTATCAAATTTTTTAATTCCTTTTAAGTCTTTATTTACCCATTTTCAATCATTTTGTAAAACTTTAAAATACTAAAAAAACAATCATTTTTAGTTAAAATTTTGAAAAATATTTAATTTACTTTAATGGTTGTGCACATTGTATAAATTAGTTGAGTATATCAATTGGTATCTCATAATTGTATTACAAGAATTTAATTATCAATAAAAAATATACTATTACAGAAGTAACGAAGCAGCAGCTAATTATTATATAAAATTCAAAAAACAACATTTAGTTGCTGTCCTTAGTTTCTTAAATAGCTTAAATCCATTTTTTTTCTGAAAAAGCCATTGCTAAATATCCTACTGTTAGGGTTTATTAAGAGTAAAAATCCCCAAAACATATTTCAATAGGTGTAAAAAGCGTAGTATATTATGTTTAATTCTTTGAAATTATCAGCTAATACTTTTTATTCATTTAAAAAATACTATTGCATCCATCTTATTGTAAATCAGTCTAATTTAAAAAGAAAGTCTTATTTAGAAAGTCATTTGTTTCTTAAAGGCTGTTGGTAGAATTTTAAAATTCCAAAGTTGTGATGTTCTAAACTTAAACTTAAAAAAAATATAATTTCTTATTCTTTAATTATTTATGATAAATCATATTTTACTGTTAGAAGAAAATGGATGTGCTAAAACTAGCTATGTATAAAAACCAACTCCTGTATCAAAATTTTTTACTGTTGGTGCAACTAAGTATGCATACTAATCTATTTATTGAGAGCTATTATCGGAATTAGATTTTTCAATGTAAAACTTATTCTGCATTTGCTTAAAATCAAAATCAATCCCAAGAATAGCATAAGTTGAATTCTTTCCAGTAAAAGAATCATATTATTCTATTTTATAAGTAAGCGTAGCAAATACAGTTTGCAGAGTTAAATCTATGTAAGGTTCTGAAATTGAGCTAGAAATTCAAATTAATAAATATTATTTTAAAATTTAAAAGAGAAAGATACATTTTTTGATAATACTTTCCCTAAAGATACCAAGGTCTACATCTCCACTCAATAGGGAAAAGTCTAGGAGTATTATAATATTAGCAGCTGCATGGAGATGTAGCATTTCCACATACTGCACCAGTCTACGTCATATATTAAAATCCTCCAAATTGAGATGGATTTGTAAATGAATATTTCTAATAATTTCCGTCAGGCTATTTGATGCATTTTTGAAATGGTCCTCCAAATTTAGAGTTGTTTATTATATTACTCACAGATAAAAAATTACTTTTAAAAATATATTTTCAATATATTATTATTCTATCTATAAATAAGTTTTTTTACGTGATTATATTATTAAAAATTCCATCTTTCTCCCTACTAAAATAGAATCTACAAGATTTTATTAAATTATCTTGCTGATTGACCTAGAATACTTTTGTAATTTATTAAGCAAATAACGTCTTAATTGTGTATTATTTTTATTCTTCATCCAAATCATTCCATTAATTAGTCATCGGATTAGCCCATCCTTCAGTTAAAAATTTTTCTTTTTATGAAATAATAAATTATATGAATAGTTAAGACTTAAATTTCTTTTAAAAATAATATCAAACTAGTTTGAATAATAATTAAAAATATTATTCATTTCAATTAAATTTAAATAATTTATTATTTTAATATTTTTTCTATTATTTATAGAGCTAATCAATATAACTATAAAAGGTTAAATAAATAATATTACAGTAAGTCATTTTAGAACTTTGATTGCTATAAAAAACACTGGAACTTATATCCTATATACATTTTTAATCCTGGTTACATTAAGACCATAAATTGCAATATCCATATAAATCATAAGTAGAATTTAAAAGAAAATTTTATTTTTGAGAAATAGGATCAAACTCTGGCTCAGTAGATTTACTTGTCCAGCTAACTTTTAAAATTTAAAGATTAATAAATCACATCTTTAATATATCTAATATTTACCTTCCTCTTCAAAACTATTATTAAATACTAATTAACTATGAAAACTACCAACTAATTAAGCTTAAGTAACCTCTCTCTGCATAGAATAAGCCACATCCATTTTTAAAAAATTTGTTTGTATTTATAAAAACCATAAATATCTCTCTTGAATTAAATCCTAAAGATTATTTTATCTAAAAATTTATATTAATAATGTATTTCTACCAAAAAATAATTTGTATTTACAGCGGAAGGATATAAAAAAAAACTAACAATAAAGAATATAGCAATATTCCTATTGTAAGTGATGCTAGATATGGAATAAAAATAATAATTAGCCTTTAGATTTTCTCATTTTAAATATATTTTTTATAAAATCCATTCATAGCTATTTTTACAACAGTGTGTATGTATGTATACAGCCTAACTTATTATTTCTACTTTTACCTGCAATTAAAAATAAATAAATTATTTGAACATATAATTGGTTAATTGATTTAAATAGCTTGTTGTTGTTACGTAGCAATAATTTCTACTAAGTGCTATATAAAATTTAACATAAATAAATAAAAAAAAGATTTTTTTTTAAGATAATTATTAACTAATTTTCTTCATTTAGTAATTATTAAAAGAAATTTTTCCTTTATAATTTATTGATTATTTTATTTACACCAATTCATAAAATAAAACTATTATTGTTAAATATATTAGTTTATCTTAGTATTTTCTCAAAACAATTTCAAATAAAATACTTTATAAATATTATGAGAAAAAATAATAATAATAATTTTTCAAAATTCTGGAGGAAGAAAAAAATTTAGTTATATAAATCTAAGCTTAATTCTCAGTGCTATTGTGTAGGTAATATTGTATATTAACATAAATTATAGAAAGAAATAGAAGTGAAAAAAATCAAAAAATCATTTCAAATTAACAATAATTCCTATTTTTAGTAACTGACTAATAGAGGGAGGATTTATATATTTTAAGTTAAATTTTTAATTAATATTTAGACTCTATTTTAAATTTAGAATAAACACAAATCAATTTCTTATTTATAAACTTCTTTTAATTTCACAATATATTTATTTTACTTTGTATACTTATTTAATGAGTATGTAAAAATTTTTATATTTATTTATCTTTTAAAAAACTTAATATCTCCTTTTTTAAAGTACTTCAAATTTTTGATAAGTTTTTTAATATCTTAATAAAGATTCCTGTTTTCTATTTTCAATTTATTTAATAGCAGAATCTAAATAAACATTTTTTTGTTTTTTGGATTTCATATAAAATAAAAAATTATTTAATTTTAAGTTATAATATTATTGATTTTTATAAATTCTGAACTTTAAAAATAAATTATCATACATTTTAATACATGGATTAACTATTATTTATCGTGGTCCATTATATTTTATATAATTCCACTATGTAATAAGATAAGGTTAACAAGAAACATCTTTTTTCATTTTTAGAATATCTATTTGATAAAAATATTTTCATATTTAATTTTATTATTAAATTAAGGTTATTATCCATCTTCTTTTAAAGTATTTCAAATTTTATTCTTTAAATTGTTTTAATCTCTGAATAAAACTTCAGCAAAGTATAAAAAATCTTTTTGATAATTAATTAAAAATAATTAATATAAATAAAATAAAAATAAAATTATACCTTAATTTTAAATAGAAGCATTCTTAAAATCATTTATATCCTATTGCAGTATTTCTTACTATCTTTGTGTTAAAGCTATACTACATTTTTCTAATAATTATAATAATAGTTTCAAAGATTCATATACATCTTAATAGTCATAATTAATTATTTTTTAATATGATGATGATGATGATGAATCAAATACAAATTAGTGTCCTAGAGATTTCAAACAATATTTAAGTGATTTCTCTAATTTATTAAATTCTCTATTTAAAATTGCTTTCTGCAAATAATATTTATTCCATACAATTTCATAAAGTGGGTGTTCTTTAAAAGATGAAAATTATTTATAGTAGATTATTAGATTTTTACATTTATTTAGCATCTCTTATATCAAAAAGCCATTCTTATTCATCAATTTACTAGCTTATATTATGTTTAAAATACTTATTATATTACAAAATCTGCATTCATCTATATCTTTACTCTAAAAATATATTTCAGATAAATTACTAAATGTTTACTAAGCCTCCCATAATAAATCAGTAGCTTAAACCAAAATATTTTTTTTATACTCTATTAAATTATCAGATTATGTTTGACTACTTTAATTTTAACAAATTGTTTATTCCATTTTTTAATTCTTATAAAAATATTTAATAGAATAAAATGTCTCTCTTTTTATTTATTAATTATTAAATTAAGGGAGATATTAGAATTATGAAATATTCTATCCATTGAAAGGAGATTAAGTAATACAATTTTTACTCAAATTTGTAAAACTATCAACCTATCGAAAACTGTAATCAAAATTAAAATCATTTTTCAATGGATTTTGTATTTAATTATTACAATATTCTATAAGTAAATTAGCAAGTGAAAAACTCCTAGAAGCATATATTTTTATGATATTTTTATATTCCTTTTTAAAGCACATATCTTTAATCAATAAAAATTATCCTTATTTTATTTTTGTTAATTAATACTCCATATTTAAATTTGCTTTTTGCATGAATTCAATACTCATTTATTAATTTTTTTATGCACGATATATGTTCGAAATATTATTTTAACTATGTTTAAGAAATAAATTTAATTTATTTAATCAAAATGAATAAAAAGATTTACCAAATTCCAATCCCAGTAATGTTTTCTAAAATTTCAAAATTTTAAAGTGCTTTAAGATAAATTTAAATGAGATCATCGTCTTATATCTATTTTTAATCTCTTAACAAAGATAAGATTTAGCAATCAACAAAAGTAATAACTGAATTTATAGCAAATATTAAATTTTTTAGTTCTTATTATGTCTTGATTTTCCCTAAGCTTATCATCTCTGAAAATTAATTTATTCTGTTTTAATAAACATTTTATTAGTTAATTACATATTTTTAAATAGAAATAAAAAAATACTCATTAGGTTTAGCTTTATTCAGAAGTGAAATTAGTATATTTATAGGATTATCAAAATTGTATTAGAGTAATAATCCTAGAAGCAAGCTTAATAATATAGCACTGAATATTAAACATATTATATATGCAATTATTATAGCATTTTGCATTGGTTTAAATGCTTGAGTAACTATATTTGCTTAGGTTTATATGACTTCAGTAGAAATAGCTTTTGCTAGATATCCAACAATTAAATTTTCTTATGTATATAAATTCCCATAACATACTTTGAGAGTAGAGAAGTAAGTTAAATACTCTTACCCATTTCTAATTATTATTTCAAACATGTCTTAATTCTAAGCAATTAGATTGCATCCAGACTCTCTTATTTTTGTATTAAGCATGAAGTCAACTTACTTTAAATATTAATTTATCTCTTCTTATTTATTTGTAGAATTTTAGAATTCAATATCAATTATATTTTAAACAGTACCTATATTTTTATTTTAAAATAATATGTTAGATACATATAATTTAAGATTTTATTTTGAAAGAAAACTACCATAAAAATTCACAAAAGTTTAAAAATTTTTTAATTAAAATGAGGTTTTGAAATAAAAATCAACTTTTTTATTTTTTTTTTTTTATATTAATTATATAAAGGCTGTATTTATAAAAAATGACAGTAACAAAAAAAACTATGATTACCAATTTGCATAGCTAATACTCACAAAATTATTTTTTAAAATAAAAATTATTTAAGAAAAATAAAATTGATTTACCATTATTAAGAGGATGAATCATTGCTAATAACTAATAATAACCTTAGTTATCATCATAATCAAATGTTTTAGGTGAAACTATGTAAGAGTATTCCAATTCAAAATTATTGTTTGATGATAACCTTTATTTTATTTATTTAAGATCTAAATCAATAGACTGGACTGCAATAGGTGCCATCTCTTTCTCCTGAGTTATATTCATCTCATTTATATTATCAGTAATTTTATAAGTAATTGTTGTATCTGAAGCATTAGTACTTAAGTCAGAGTAGGGTTCAGAAAAAGTTCTAAATTTATTTATTTAATTTATTTTTTGACTTATTTTAAATTACAAATTACATTTCATATTCTTTAAAGGATGACCGAAACCATGGTCGACACCTCCAATCAATAGGAAAAAGTCTTTTCACATTAAAATATTCACAAGAACATTAACCGCCACAACTTTCTCCATCTTAATCCATATACTAAAACCCATTAAATTAGGAAGGATCAGAGTACTTATAGGAGCTATACTCACCTTAGTCGTTTTTTGTACAATTAAATGGGCCGCCAAAATCTGAATTATTTATTAAATCTATTTGATTCAATCTCATGCTTTTATTAGTTAAAAATATTTAATGGAGTAAATTTATATTAATTAAACTCATTCATTACTTAAACTCATTTTATAAAAATATTCCATCTGTCTCGAATGCAATATAAAAAGCAAATACCTCTATTTCTACCAAGAATAAATTAGCTAAAAAAGATTTGCTAATTGAGGCACTAAAATTAACAAGAATTATTTTCTTCTTTTATTCATCAGTTAATTATTCCCATTTAAATTACTAAGCAGATGACCATGCAGAGTATTAACTTGATTCTAAAAAAAAAATTAAAATAGAATTCATAAAAATAGTTTTATTTACCATATATTAAATTTGATTAATCAGACCCAAGATCAACACTAAGATAATTATCTAATTCTGCCTAACACTAAGTTTAGTTTTATGGGCAATTTCTCTCTATTAGACTGCAGTAATTATCAATAACGTATTCACTAGTTATTAGAAAATTATACTTTCCATCAGAATAACTGCTTTAATCTGTCTTAAAATCGTCCCAATCAACTATTAATAAGAGTAATAATAATAAAGTGGCATTCAAATTAATGTAAAAAGTTACTTATTTCTGTAAAATTATCAACATTTAGTATCATATATTTATTAAAGAGGGATATGATCTGCTATTATGTTGTAGCTTGTTAAAAAGAAGATATTGTTTGTTTTTGTTAAGATTAGTTTATAACAGTAATGTAATTTCTGTAAGTCTAATCAAAATACTAAACTAAATTATCCTATCTAAATTTAAAGTAAAAAATATTTTAAGCTTTTAATAAAATTATACATTTTATTATTACACATTATTCAGGTAGAAGTAATCAATTAGAAACGATTATAGAGCTATACCAGTTATTAAAGGAAATAAAAAAGGTAAAAATAATTTTAAAAACCTAACCTATCTTTCTGAACAAAATATTTTTTATTTTTTTGCTTTTGTTGTATGCTCTAATATTTTTTATTTGAAATTTAAAGCAAAAGCTGATCGTTTTTCCATATTTTTTAAATAAATTAATTAATTAATAGTAGAGCTTTTTTACTTAAAATAAACTTTTGAGGTAACTTTAATATATACAAACATGCTATTAACTATTGTTTATTAAAATATAAGTAATAAAACAAAATTACATAAAAATATAATTAAAATCAATAATAAGTAAATAAAAGAAATTAATCTCTTTAATATACAATATTATTCAAAGAATTAGAAATCGTTAAATTTTAATCTTCTAGGTTAAATATTTATAAAGAGGGTGAATAAAGACATACATATAAATAAAACTAAAAAAATTATCTTAAAAACATCAAATTTAATAGAGTATTTAATTAATAATTCTTTAATCTTTCATTTATGTCTCTTAGTTAACAAATTTAAAGTTAATCAGAGAAAGCTTAAATAAAAGATTTTTAATTTTCTTTTAAATAAAACAGAACAAACTAAACTAAACCCCATCTGTGTATTATACTAAATGAATGATTATTTATAAGCTGATTTCTTTTTTCTAAAATTGGAAATTATACTGAATGAGCTTCAATAATTAAAAAGTATATCTCTTTATTCTAAATAAATGTTAATTATCTTATTTAAGTTTCAAATATATAAATATAAATTATTAAAATGAATGATTCAATATTTTTACTTATTTAGTAATTTATTATTATTGTTTGGAAGACTTTTATAAATATTTGAATGCTAGAAATAATTTCCAAAAAATTTTTAAAGTTTAATTTGTTTTTTTTAATTTAAAAAAAAACCTTAAATATTATAACACTTAAAATTTTCAATTATAACATAAAAATAGATTCATAAGAAACGATTTTCTAAAAATCATTACTAAAAGCTTATTTTTTCCTTATAAAATACTTCATCAAAGAATATCTAAGCTATTTTAATAAAGATTTTTATTAAGAAAAAGAAAATAAATTAATTACATTAATTTGTATCATATTTTTATTTGAATCTAATAATGTCTTATAATAGGATCTAGAATTAGTATTAATTCATTTTAATATTACAATCTCTTATTAATTATTAAAGCAAAGCTAAAGAATAATATACACTATAATAGTCATAATTACTAATTTTATTTCTTGAAAAAAAGCTTAATCTATTTTAGCAATTTAAAGATTTCAAAGTTAGAATAATTGATTTCTTAAATTCTTAACTTTCCCTTTTAACTAGAGCTTTTAAATAATAATATTTATTCCAAACAATATCATAAAGATGGTGTTGTGTAAATTAATTTGAATATTAATAAGACATAATCATATTTTTGCATTTTAGAAGTATTTCTTTAATTAAGTAATTTCTATTTCCCAATAATTGATTTGCTTCTGCAATATTTAATAGACATAATATATTTAGAAATCTAAATTCTTGTAAATCTTCACTTTTTTAATATATTTCTGCTAATTCATTAAATATTTATTAAGCTTCCCAAAGTAAATCTATCGCTTGAGCAATAATTATTTTTTAGTTATTATTTGATTATTGGGACATTGATTCATTCTAAATAATATTTTAACTAAGATAATTTTTTGAAGGATTTTAAAATTTAGTAAAAAACTTTCTTGAAAAAAAATTTTCTCTGCTTACACTTTATAAAATATTTTATGAAAAAGATATATTTAAAGATTGATTTTATTGCCACTTGAAGTTTGTAATATCCTATAGTCTGCTGTTAGTGTAATTTAAAGAGTTATCTAATTCTAAATTATTTTCTTCAAAAGTAAAATAATGCTCCTATTGAATGTTATCTTATTTATTTTTCTTGAGGTAAATAATAAGTAAATTAGCTAACTAAAAATTCCTTGAAGCATAAATCTTGATTATATTTTTATTTTTAGGATTTTAAGCCATTTCTATTGCAGTTTTTTATGTTTGTTTCTTTTTATTTAGAAGCAAAATTTCAATTGAGATTAGAGCATTTTACATAGCCTCTATGCTTTTCTTATATTCTTGTAAAGACTGGTACAAGTTTGAAATATTGTTATAACTATTTTTAATATTAAATAATAAAAATAAATGCTTTTATGATATTTAAATGTTAAATTACCAAATACCTATTCCTGTTAAATTATCTATTATTTTAAAATTATTAAGAGCCTTCTCATAAATGTCTATCAATTCTTTTTGCTGAATATCAACTTTATCTTTCTGAAGCTACTCAATTTATATTTACACAAAAGAAATGACAGATTCTATTGCAAAAATTAAATTTTAAAGCTCATGTTAAGTTTTTATCTTTTTCTGTTTAATTAATTCTGAAAATTGATGAATTCTATTGAAAAAATAAGTTATTAATTTTTATCATAAAATTTAATAATAAAATTAATTATTACTCATGCATCTATGCTCTAGAAATGAATTGATTTACTATACTAATAGGTATATCAAAATTAAATTTTAATAGGTATAAAAGGAGCTAACTTAATATTATAGCATTAAAAATAAAGCATATTAAATAGGTAATTAAAATTTTCGTTTAAATTGGATTAAAAGTTTAGGTAACTATATCTAATTATTGTTTTATTAAATCTGTTGAAAAGGCTCTTGCTAAATAACCAAAAATGATACTTTCTTAAACATACAAATTTCCATAACAAACTCTTAGGGTTTAAAAATAAGTTAAGTATTCTTAACCGTTTTTAATAATTCTTCTGAATTAATAATCACTCTAAAGTATTGAATTACACCCAGAGCTTCTTAAATCAGTGTTTTGCATGAATGAAACGCTATTTAAATATTAACTTATCTCTTATTGCTTATTTGTCGAATTTGCAAATTCTAGATCTACAATACTTTAGACTGTTCCTATAGATATTAAAATTAAAATTATCAAAAATTTTAGAATATGCTGGAAATAGAAATAAAAAATGTTTAGAATTAAATTTATTTTAATGAGTAAAATTTTAATTTTAAAATCAATAAAAATAAATAAAAAAACAACCATCACTTAAAGGGTGTGTCAAAACTAAAAACTCATAATATCCCTTGTTTTGTTCATAGTTAAATGTTTTAGCAGAGATTATGTAAGAGTATTCTTGAGAAATATTAAAACTACTTGATAATCTACTCTAAACTTAACTAAGATCTGTATCAACGGATTATACAGCTATTGTTTGCATTTGCTTTTCTATTGATATATTGAGAGGATTTTAATTTTCTGTAATTTTATATGTAATTGTTGTATCTAATGTTTATGTAGTAATATCTGAATAAGGTTCTGAGTAAGTTCTATTTTTAAAATAAAGATTATATTAGCTTTTAAAATGGTAATTTTACATTTAATATTCTTGATATGAGGAATAAAACCAAGGTCGACATCTCCAATCTAAAGGAACTAATCTTTTAACATTATAAAATTAACAATCACACAATCCATTACATTACTCCCCATCCATGTCCTTATATAAGAACCCATCAAATTATTAAGGGTCAGTATATTTATATTTATTATATTAGCCATATGCATTTTTTGTGCAATTAAAAGGTCCTCCGTACTCAGGTTTATTTATCACGTCAAATTGATTTAGAAAAATGCTTATAATTTATATATTAAATACATATATATAATTATAATAAGAAAATAAATACTATAGCTGATTCATAACAAAGATCCCATCTTCATAAAATCCAATATAATATGAGGAAGCACCTATTTCTTTTAAAAAAGAATTAGCTGTTAAAGATTTGCTAATTGATGCACTGAAACTGGTCATTATTATTTTCATCTTTTGTTAATCACTTAGGTATTCCCATTCTAAAGCAAAGGAAGAAGACCAAGATTAATATTAATCCTACACTATATACATATAATAACATAAAAAAGTTTATTAAAACTTATGATTTAAAAGATTTTTACAGTATATCATCTCTGTCTCGTAAGGTCCTAAGCTTTCTAATTCTTAAGCAAATTAATTGAAGCAATTTTAATCACTATCACCACACATTTATTCTCTTAAATTGCACCAATTATCCAACACATATTCACTATTTAAAAAAAAATTATGCTTTTTATCCTAATAATTCCCCATTTCTAAAATTTGGTCATTCCATGCAACTATTTTAATATATGAAATAACATGGATTAAATAAAATTATTTACTAATTTACTAATATCAGTGTATCTATCAATATTTAGAACCATGTATTTGTTGAAAATACCTAATATTTATAATTATGTTGTAGCTTATTAAAAAGAAACGACTGTTTATTTAGTTTAAGATAAATTTATAATAGAAATATATTTTTAAAAAGTTTATTCAAAGTATTCTTCTAAATTGCTTTTCCTATTTATTATAGTTTATTAAAATAATATTTTAAGAGATTCAAAATCTTTTACTCTTTCTAATTTAGAAATTTACATAAAAGAAAGGTAGAAGTAATTTATTAGGAATAATTATAAGAAGACACCTGTTACTAAAGGAATCAAATATGGTAAAAATATTTTTAGAAACCTAATTTTCTTTTCAGATAATCCAAATGGCTTTTAGCATTGTGATTTATCAACTTCTCTGATAATACTTTTAAGTTCTACTTACATCAATACAAATAATATTTTTATAAATATAATTCAATTTATTAACTTATTGAGTATATTTATTTTGTACTATTAACTTAAACAAAAATTTTTATTAATGCTATTTTGTATCGCTCATTGAATAAATAAGTCAGTATTATTTTTTCATTTTAAAATAGCAAAGCGATTAATTTAATTATTTGGTAGACTTCTCTCTTAAAAAATTTTAAATCTATTTATATAATGATGAATTATAAAAAACAGAAAGCTACTTTTTGCAAACATATTAATAAATAAGTTAAATTTTGCATTTAAAAAAATGATAAAATTTTAAAGAAATAAATTTTCTATCTACTAAATACCAGATGATAAGATTACACTTTATTTTACAGCTATTTATAGCGAGTACACAAAATATGTTGAGTTCTATTAAAATAAAAATTTTTAAAAAAAAATTAATTATTCATTCACCTCATCAATCTATATTAATTTAACTTGATTGTGAGAGTTTCTATCAAAAATAAAATATTTTTAAATTAAATATTACATACAAATACATAAAATTAATTGATTATTTTTTTATTTATTTAAATATATACTTATTTATCTTACTAAATGAATTAATGTAAATTATATAAAATTATTTATCTATTTTATTATTTAAGCTATTGTAATAAATTTATTTATTTATTTAGTCAACCCACTCTGTCATTTAATATTTGTCCAAATGAATAAGATTTTTTCTGCATATATTTAGATTAAATGCTATTTACATTCTGTTTAATTTTTTTCTCTTATTATTCTTAACTTTAAAAAAAAAACTCATCAATTAATAATAAACCTATTTTTATGTTTAAAATTAAATAAATTGTTTTAATTTGGATTAGTATTTACTTTAACTTTCATTAGATTTTGATCTGAAATATTAAATATCTTGCTAGAGCTTTTGTTTTTGATGTAATGTTAGCTAAATGCTTAAGTCTGTGATTAATTTTTATAACAATATTAAAGATTAATAAGTAATATTATAGTCAAAACTTCCAATTTGTGTTGAATATTGTTAATGACCTATTTAATAATTAAGTGATTTGAGTGTGTTGATTAATGATAGGTTTAAATTAGACATATCTTTGTTCACATAAGCCTTTTAAAGATAATATCTACTCCAAAGAATATTGTAGAGAATGTATTTCTTAAACTATTAAAAATTTGAATATTGTAATAACATAACTTTAGTTTTAAATAAAATCTCTTAAATTATATAATTATTGTTTCCTTTTAGCTAATTTGCTTCTGCAATAAGCAAAATAGTTAGAATATTTAATGACCGTAGCTCATTAACATCATTATCATTGTAATTTATGCTAGACAAAATATTAAAAATTTATTGTGATTCCCATAATAAATCTATTGCTTAGGCTAAAATTACTTTTTTATCATCACCCATTTAAGATTGAGGTGACAGTTTGTAACTGATGTTAAGGTTATCTTAAATATTTGTATTGCAATTTTTTATGTAATATTTTTTTGAATAGAAAAAATTTCTTTTTATTCCTTTGGAAATTATTTAAGAAGAGGAATTATTACAATTTAAATAACTTGATTCAGCTCTATTTCCTGATAATAAGTCTGAGTTAATTTTTAGAAATTCCGAGCCATTTAAATTACTTTCACTAGCTTCATTAAGCGTTATTTTTTTGTTAATTGATACTTCTTATTTTACAATTGAGCAAGTTTAAATGAGTAGATTTGCTAATTAATAATTTCTTGAGGCATATATTTTCATAAAATTCTTATATTTAATTTTTTAACTCATTTTTGTTAGAGAAAAAACTTATTTTTTTTTCATTGCACTCAGTTATTCTTCAATTGTTAATATAGCGTTTTACATATACTAGATACTAAGCGAATACTCTCTTAAAATATAATATAAATTAGAAATATTATTTTAACTTTTATGTTTTTTAATAAAAAATTAATCAATTTTAAATATTTATTTTCATCAAAAATCAAAAAAAAAAAAAAATAAATAAATACCAAATTCCAACTCCAGTTAGGTTATTTAAAATTTAAAAATTTATTAAGGCTTATTTGTAAATTTCAATTAAATCCTGCTCCTTAATATCATGCTATTATTTTAAGATCATCTAGACTTAATTCTCAATAAAATATATAACGGAATCTATAGCAAATATCAAGTTTTTAAGTTCTTGTTGAGTTTTGATCTATCCTTTTCTTATCATGTCAGAAAATGTGTGGACTCTAAAATTATATATTAGAAATAGTATAGTAATTGAATTTTTATTAGTTTAACCTTACTCTTGTATTTATGATTAGCAAACAAGCTAATTTAGGATATTTATAGGAATATCAAAGTTATATTTTAAGAATTTAGCAAGTAGCATGCTTAGAGCAATACTACTGAATACTAAGCAAGAAGTGTAAGTAAGAAATAGAGCTATCTTCATTGGTGAAAATCTAATAACTACAATATCTAATTATGTCTTGATAACTTCAGTTGAGATTACTCTCGCCAAGTAACCAAATATTATATTTTCTTATGTATATAAATTACCATAACAAACTCTAAGCTAAGTAAAGTATACAAGATAATTTTAACCATTTTTTTAAATAGTTTTAAATATTTTTTAATCTTGTAAAAATTTTTCTGCACCTACTCCCCTGATATCTGTGTTAAGCATAAAATCTACATTTTGTAAATACTCATTAATTTCCTCTTGTTTATTTGTTGAGTTTTAAAATTCTATATCAGTTATATTTTAAATCGTGCCTGTTTTAAAATTAAAAAACCATTTTAAAATAATCCTTTAAAAATTATTAAATTGGTTTTTTATTAATGAGTTACCGTTGCTAAGCGGATGTACCATTGCTATCAGCTCGTAGTAGCCTTAATTTTCGTCATAGTTAAAAGTTTTAGGCGACACAATGTATGAATATTCTAAACTGATATTTTAACTATTAGATAATCTTTATTTAACTTAATTAAGTTCTAAATCAACGGATTAAACTGCAATAGTGTTCATGTTTTTTTCTTATTCTATATTATATTCATTTTAATTTTATGTAATCTTATATGTTATCGTTGTATCTGAAGAATTTGTGGTTAGATCTGAATAAGGTGCAGAAAATGTTCTAATTTTATACAAAATAAAATTCCTTATAAAGTAAATACATTTTAAATAATATAATTCAAAGAGTTAATAAATAAATACATTTGATATTCTTTATAAGAAGAATAAAACCATGGTCTACATCTCCAATCCAAAGGCAATAATCTCTTCATATTATAATATTGACAGCTACATGAACTATCTTAGCATAGCTCGCCATGGTTATCCATAAATTAAAACCCATTAAACTAAGAAGAATCTGTAAATCTGTATTTATTATAATTTCCACTTTGATTTTTAGTACAATTAAAAGGGCCGCCATAGTAAGGTTGATTTAATATATCAAATTCTTATATTCTCACACTATATAGATTAAAGATAAAGTGACGAATTTATAAAATTATTTTACCTTAATTCATTAGAAACAAATATTCCGTCAGATTAAAATGTTATATAATAGGATTGGACTCCTATTTCTTTTAGGTTGGAATTTGTTGTCAAGGCTTTCGTAACGGAAGCACTAAGAGATGCTAAAATAATTTTTATTTATTACTCTTTAGCTAATTATTCCCATTATAAGCAAAGAGAAGAAGACCAAGATTAATACTAGTACTCTTCTAAATATATTTAAGAAGAAAATATTATTAACTTATTATTGAAATATTGAATTTATTATACTATACATCATTTCTGTAAGATTTGGGATGAATTACTATTATCTTTAACTAAATTAATCAAAACATTTTAAATCATAATCATGACACTATTGGTGCAAAAGATTACAATAATCATCAAGAGTGTACTCATTAGATATTAAAAAATTATATTTGCCATCTACATAGTTTCCTCTTTCTAAAATCTAATCATCCCATGAAACTGTCATAATAAGTTAATAAATGTAAAAGCATTTTCTAATTAAAAGTAAAGTTTACTTATGTTATTAAAGTTATTAGCATCTAAAATCATTTATTTATTAAAATTTCCTATCATCTAAATTGATGTAGTTTCTTATTAAAAAGAAAATGTTGTCTATTTCGACTAAGAAAGAGCAGTAATTTAAATATAGTTTTTGTAAGTTTGTTCAAAATATGACTCTAATTTATCCTACCTATTTAATATTTCATAAAAAGGCTATAAATTATTTAGTTTTATTTAATAATAAAACATTATTTTATAATACATGAACTAAAGGTAGAAGTAATCTATCAAAATTATTTGAAGGCAAACCCCTATAGCTAGTGGAATCAGAAAAGGTAAAAATATTTAAGTAAATCTTCTCTACTTTTCAGAACATTAAAAAATACATTAAAGCTAATGAAAAAGCTTCTTCATCTTTAAGCTTATTTTATTGAAAGAAACTCCTTTTTTGTAAAAACTAAATTTTTTATTTGATAAATTTGAAAAAGATAAAGAGAGAGTTTATATGCAAATTAATATTAAGCTTTTATTATGTAGGGAATTAATTTGCATTATATTAGATTGACTTTAATTTACAGTTAATTTAATTTAAAATAAAGGTTATTTATTAATTCATTGATGGATAAACAAAAGTTGTTAATAAAGTTAATTTCAAAGTATGATAAAAAAATGACTAAATAAATAGACATATACTTTAATTTAAAAATACACAGCATAAGTTCTATCTATCTTGAGATATTTTTTATATTCCTGATTTTTTGAATCAGTTTTAAATCATTGTAACTTTTTTAAGCTAATGTTAATCAAAAAATACCTCTTCAAAATACACATCATCTATTTTCGTAATTTTATAATAAATTGAGAGAAAACAAACATAACAAAAAACTTACACTTTTCTTAGCTTTGCTTTGCTAAATTTTGAAAGTCTTAATCTAAATATTTTTTTTGGCTAGAATCAAGTGTTATTTAATTAATTTTAATTATTTTTTAAATACCTTTTAAACAATTTATTGTATTAAATATATCATATTTAGCTATTTTATTATAGATTTATTAGGAATCTTATTTTTAAAGATAATTAAGTCCTTTTAAATAGTTTCTGAGAGATTTGGGATAATTTTTCTTTTTCAGATAATACTGAGCCTAAATAGTATAAGATTTTTATAATAGAATTTAAAAGGGTATTTGTAAATAGCTGGCATTTTTGTGACTTTAAACAATACTATCTAATTATTCTAATTCTAATTTCATAACTTTTATTATTTCTTTAATAACTATTTATCTGTTTTTCATAAGATTATGACATTCAACTAGCTCTTACAAAGCTAAAATTTATACGGTAAAGCCATTTATCACTTTGAGTAAATTTCTTGATTTGTTACTTTAAGCTATCTTTTTCATTATAAACTTACATTCATATAATAATTCGCATGCTTAAGATAGGATAAATTTTTTATCTTAAATATTAGCAGAATATTCATTAATTTAGTCATAGTTGCTATTCTATTCTTAAACATTTTGATATCTTTTTTGAGAAAAAAACTACTCCCTTGATGCAAAAAAATTTTATTCACTCTCTTTTAATAAAGTACTTTGCTTTAGTTATGTGCTCATTTTTTGTTAATATTGTAAACTCATGCTATTAAAACCAAATTAATTCTATTTTTTTAGTAGTAAAAAAGAATTAAAATATTTAAATAGTTATTTAATAAAAAATACATTTGTTATTTCAAGTTTTTCATTTGAGTTTGCAATTTGATTTTAAGTTCTGAGATTTTTTATCTTCTAAAATAAATCTAAAAATTCATGATTTTTGTTTAAATTTTTTGTATTTACTATAAATTTAATTAATAATTTTGCTAGAGTGTACTTTCTGCATGCATGGAGTTTCATGAATCCTTAAAAGCTATGATCCATGCAAATATTACTTAATTTTTACTAATCATTTTATCCTAAAAGATACTTTTACTTTATTTGATCATACATTTATTCAGAAATAATATTACACTATTATGAATAAATAATTCCTTCTTTTAATTGTTTAGATTAAGAGCTCAAGTTAGATAAATTGTTATAACTTTTCAGATTAAAATTGAAAATAATTTATTATGAATAAACGCAATACAAATATTTTAATAATTTTACCAAAGAGCAAGCCCTGCATTATTTTAAAATATAGTAAAATCCTAAATAGCTTTTAAGTATATTTCTTATTACTTTTACAGATTACACTTTTTCAGGTCATCTATTTGTTATGTTAACTCTGATTTAAAGTTTAAAACTGCTTGATTTATGGCCTAAAGCAATATCTTCAATTCATATTAAGTTTTCATTTTTCCAGAATCAATCAATTAATTAAATTAATATATCCTTTTTTTCATAAGTAAAATCCTTTGTAGTTGAAAAGTAAATTTAGTTTGATGGTTCAATTTAATCAATAAATGAATTTATTTATTTATTTACTCTGTTGATTTAGCTTCGTTGATAAATGAATTTAGTATTGAAATAGGAATTTCAAAATTAAATTTAAGAAACTATATCACAATAATACTTAGAAAAAAGAAAATTAGAAGGAAAATGCAAAAAGTAATAATTATCCAATTTTGCAGTAGTTTTTCTGTTTCAATTTTGATTTCATCTAAAACATTTAAATTATAATGAGAGTTCAATGAATTTACTAAATAGCCTACTATTAAAGTGTATTAATTATATAAATCTCCATAACAGACTTATATTGTTGATACGTACGTTAGAAAGAGTGTTTAATTTTTATAAATATTATAAATTTTACTATTTGGTTTTTATATCTTACAACCATTTTCTCTTATTTCCCTATTTGTAAAAATACTCCCAAGTTACTATATATATTATTCTATTTCTTCTTCCTTATTTGTAGAATTACTAAACTCTAAATCTAAAATACTAGTTGCATTTACTTTAATTCATTTGAATAATTATTTAAATATAATAAAAAAATAAATTTTACCATTCATCTATGGATGACTTATTGCCTAATACTCATTATATAATTCAGGCTACAAAGGAACTGGCTAAGAAGGAGCTATTATATAAGAATATTCTTCTTGGCTGGATTAAAGTTTTATATTTTATTATAAAATTTGTAAATTTATATCTATCCCAAAAACTCCGAGCAAAGTGCTATTTATATTTGGAATAAATTCAAAATTAGATTCTTAATTTTAATTTGTTTAATTTAATATTCTAATAGTAGCAGTTGCCAAAATAACACCTGTTAAAGCGTCAACGTATGGATTGGTATAAGTCCTATCATTTTAAAAGTCAAATTTTATTTTTAAAAAAATTTTATTTTTATTTACATGTAATTATATGCTCCATTTATATACCAAGGTCTACATCTCCATTCTACAGGAAAAAGCCTTTTAACATTATAGAAAGAACATTAACACTCATCAGTACCAGGTTAAATACATGATACATTGTTTAAATCTTTTTTATAAAATGCTTCGAATTGATCAACATTTGTAAATTTATATTTTTTATATTATCCATTCACTCGTGTGCAATCAAAAGGCCCTCCAAAATAGGAATTATTAATAGAATCAATCTCCAAAGATATTCTAATTTATATATTGATAAAGCAATCATCGTAAAAATATTTTGTAATAAAAATTAATTTTTAAAAATATTAATTGAGAAGGAATGGATAAAAAATTATTTTTAAGTTTAATCATTATTAAATTGAAAAAAGTTTCTAATTAACTTACTGATAAGTATTTAATAGCATTATCCCATCATCCTAGAAGTTTATATAAATAATTTTTGATTATACATCTAAGAATCTTGAATTGTAAGATATAGACACTTGTAAGGATTTAAATAAAAAATACTTCATCATTCTTTACTTCTATAATTCAGTTAAAGAACTCCAAAGATACAGCTAAGAAGATGAAAAAGATATATACTACAAAGCATCTATTAAAAAAATAATATAAAATATATTAAAAGAATAAGATATTTATTTACCATATGCTTAATCGGTTAATTTTGGATCATCAATAAAATAGGCTTCAACTTATTTTTAACATAATTCGTTATCATTGCATTTTTCATAATATGGGCACATTATTTCATTAGAATAATCATTTGTAATTTTTACGTTTTGTTAGTTATCTAAATTTTCCATCCTTTAATAATTCCAACTTACTATATAAAAGTTAAAAAAGTAAGTAAATGATTTATTTGAAAAAATGGCTTATTTTTAAAATTATTTTTACCTAAATTTTCTATTGGCGTAAAAAAAGTTTATTTTAAAAATTAACTCTAAACTTAGGCGTTTGTTGTAAAAATTTAAAATGAAGTTAACATTCTTTTTTTCTCTGCTTCATTTTTTTAAATCAGATACCAAAGTTGATTTTCTTAAATCTCATCCATTAAGTCTTGGTAGCTATTGTTAAAAAAATGATAATAAAATGAGGATATTTATTAAATTCAATAGCCAAATCATTTACGATTATTGATAAGCAATTAGATTGAATGCGAAATAGTAGCCTATTAGTGTTGAAATAGTTAAAATAAAGTAGGGTATGAATATAGTCAGAAGTCTTTTCTTTTTCTCGTTTAATTTAAAATATTTTTTATTTAATTTAAATGATTTTATCTTTTCTTTAAATTATTAAGAAAGGTTTTATTAGCTCTTTTTTTTTATACTTTGCATCTTTTATTTGATGCTATTTTATTATATCATTTTTAATTATTTAATATTTACTTCTACTTAATCTTTTTAGTTAATAATATTGCTTTATCAATTAACTAAAAGAACTTTTAATTAAAGAAATAATTGATATATATATATATATACTTATTCAAATTTCTTAAATAATTTAGTTATATTTGTTAAATAACTAATAAATTTTTTTAGTATAATTAATAGATGATAATATACATATTCATATTTTTTTATTTTAAATAATTATAAACTTTGCATTAAACTCTAAATAATTATAATTTGATAATTTAATAAAATTTATTTTGTAATTATTTTATTAAAGACAATTTAGTTAAAATAATAATTAAATATTTTAAAGTTAAGTAAACGATATTTCAAAATTTTATGATAAATCCTTAATAAAGTATAAAGATATTTATCATAGATATCATCCTTTTTTAGCATTAATTCAAATACAATATATTGAATGTGAAATAAAATTTATGAATCAAATTTAATAAATTTTAAAAACTTAGTCAATTTTTTTGTAGAAAATAATTTTAAATAAGAAAAATAAATTTTACTATTCATTTATAAAATTTATTTGTAAATCTGTAATTAAATGTAAATAAAATTCTAAAATTTTTAGTGTTATTAATATAATATATTTTTATATAGATAGTAAATTCTTTAAAATTATAAATAAAAATCATAAATTTTGTTGTATGCTAAATTATATAAATAGTCCTTATAAATAGAATTAAAAAATATAAATTATTGATATCAGCATTTTTAGTATGATTTCAATTACATTAAATTCTAAATAATTTTATAATTTAATAAAATTTACTTTGTGATTATTTTATTAAAAACAATTTAGTTAAAATAACAATTAAATATTATAAAGTTAAGTAAAAATGCTATTTCAAAATTTTATGATAAATCTTTAATAAAATATAAATATATTTATAATAGATATCATCCTTTTTTGGCATTAATTCAAATACAATATATTTTATGCGAAATAAAATATATGAATAAAATTACAAAACTTTGTCAAATTTTTTGGAAAAAAATAATTTTAAAAAAGAAAAATAAATTGTATTATTCATTTATAAAATTATATTGTATAATCTGTAATTAAATGTAAATAAAATTCTAAAATTTTTATTGTTATTAATATAATATATTTTTAAATAGATAGTAAATTCTTTAAAATTATAAATAAATATCATAAATTTTGTTATATGCTGAATCCTTATAAATTGAATAAAAAAATATAAATAAATTATTGATATCAGCATTTTTTAGTATGATTTCAAATAAAATTTATTTTTTATATTTAATACCAAATCAATAAAATTTGTGAAGAAAATCTAAAATATTAATAAATTTAGTCAATTATTTTGTAAAAAAAATTATTTTATAAAAGTTAAATTGATTTGAAAAGAGAAAAACATTAAGATTTATAATTTATAATATTTAAGTAATTTTTTGTTTATACTTGCTTTTAAAAATTGATAAGACTTGTTTAATTCATAAAATAACTAAATAATAATCAATTTCAAGATATAATAAATAAGTAGAGATAGATTATTCAAAAAATTATATATTTTCAAATGATTAACCTAATATCAAAGAAAAATGTACGCTTAATAAAAATGTTTTTGGTCTCAGATCGGTTAGAATAAATAATACTTTTAATGAGTATTTCAATATTTTTTGCTATAGAATTTACTAATGATCTTTTTACGATATCATCATATGATTTAGAGTCTTATTTTTTAAAGGAGAAATTGCTAAGCAGTTTTAAAAGCATATAATCTATAGATGATTGGTATAATTGGATATAAAATGAATTTGCTTTAAGTGTTTTAAATGATGATGTCTCTCAAATTAAGAGTGGTGAAAAGTACATATTTGGTGCACCTAGAATATTTAATTTTTATTTGGAATATCCATCAGTATGTTTGGATTATGTTTTAAATACAAATTTCAATTATTAAGCTTTATGCTATCCACAAACTTAAAACGATTTATAAAATTTATTGATCAATTAAATTCCAAAACCGAGTGATTCTACTTTATGCATAAATCCTAATTGCAGTGAATTTACAGTGAATTAACAAAGCTAGATTCATGTATTAATCCCTCATATTTAGAATCCTGTAAAAATGAATGTTTTCACTGTAGAAATCAAAGCTTCTTCTCGTGATAAATTTAAACAAATTATTTAAGATCAACTAGCAAATAGTGGATGGATTTCTGATACAAATTCAAGGATTTTTGGTAATAAAAATAATTTAAATCTAAAGTTAAATTAATTGTTTTTTTATAAATCAGGTATTGAATTTACTGTAATATATCCAGGTTCATAAGATATTAGGACTTATTAATTCGTTTTAGAAAACTTTTTAGGCATTTATTTTTCAAATTTAAGAACAATATCTGCTTCAAAATATGTAGGTTTAGAAGTCTATTTAAATGTGATGCTCAGCTTTTATTTAATAACTACATTTTTCAATTAATTAAAAACTATCATTGAGTGCAATTATATTTACAAGCCTAGATATATTCTTATTTAAATTGGCATAATTATAGAGTTGTGCTATACTATTCTATATTTTTTAGAGTCTTAAGAATATTTTAAAACTTTTACCAATAATCATGCATTTGATGGCAGTCATGTACAAAATAGCTCTTTCGTTAATGTAAATAGCTTTGTAGATATAGCTGATTTGAAAACATTCTTTGTATCTCTCAACTTTATATTTGTTCCATTTAAATTATTCAACCTTTTTTCCTGGCTTAAAAATGCTCAATATTTTGTGAAATTTGCTAATGTAATTTTTAGGTAAAAAATAAAATACTAACAGTAAAATTTTTTAATACTTTTTATTATATTATGAATTGTAATAGGAGTATGTACGGTCTCATAAGACTTTGTGTAGTTTTAGCTACTTTATATCTTTGCTGGATGGTTGCTATCTTCTTAGGATTAAAGTCTTATAACCCTGATTTCGATACACTCTTTAAAGCTCTGGTCAGTTTTATAACTTATGAACCTAGTTAGATTCTATTGAATTAGAGAGTTCAGTACTCTGTTAGTCTAAAAAGTATCTATTTCATATACACTCTAATGCTTTAGCTGATGAAGTAAATTTTATATATACTAATTGTTGCTGTTGTTTTAAATGGTTTACAACAATCTCAAGACTTTGAGTTTAATTATAGAGATCCTTTTCAGAACTAAGTTGTGGAACAAGTGGGAGAGGTTTGTAGAAAACTTGACAAATTTGAAAAATAAACTCTCTCAGTAATTAAAGGTAAATAAAAATTAGTAAATGAAAAGATAATTATTTGGCTTAAAACCCCTCATGATTATGTAATAAGCGAACGATAAGCATATCTGAATGAAAAAATAAAAAAATCAATTCTTAAAAAATAGATTAAGCTTATTGAGTTTTATACTATATAAGAAGTGCGCGAATTTTTAGAATATTTATTTAAGTTAAAGCCTAATTTGCTCTATTAAAGTTCTCACTACTTTCGTATATTGCTAGATTTTAACTTTAAATTACCAAATAATAACTAAGAAGGCAATTAAGGATAAAATGATTTGAAGGCAAATAAAAATAAAAATAAAAGACACAATTTCTAATCTGAGTTAGATGAATTTGATATAGCAGATTTAATGGCAAAGCATATCCTTTAATTTGAAAATTTTTTAAAAGTTTTAAAGGATAAGGGGTCTTCTATACCTGTTTTGTTTAATTGTTTATCAAGCATATCTATCAATGACAAGGCAAGGCTAATTAAATTATACAATCATCAATTTTTCACTAATGATTACTTTGAAATAAAGAATTTTACTTCGCTGAAGCCACTTAACTACAAAAACTAGAAGTAGACAATATTGTTAGAGTAGAAAGATAACTAAAATTAAGATAAAACACAAAAAAATAATTAAAATATTTTGGCTGAAGGTAATCCAACAGATGTCACAGAGTCAGAAAATTTCGAAGATTATTACAACGAAGCAGAATCCCAAATAAATGATATTTATGTAGAAGATGATTCATACAATGAAGAGGGACTGCTGAATGTTGATTAATATTCATAAAACATGTTTCAACAATACAATTACAATGATTGAATGAATGAATTATTGAGGTTAATAGTTTCATTTATGTAAAAAAGTAAAATAAATTTTTCTTCGAAAAAAAGAATAATCTATCTATCTATATCTCTCTAAATAATATGCCAATTTATGTTATTAGAGCTAAAAAGTATTAAGAAATTTAATATATTTTCTATCAAAATAAAATATTATTGTTCTTGTAAACACATCTTTAATTCAATACATGTTTTTATAAAAATTAAAATTTTAGTAATTTTTTTAATTAATTCCTAAGCCATATAAATGTAAATAATTATCAGATATAGTTGAAATTCTATCTCATATTTTTTTTGCATCATTTGCAGCGTCAATACCGATACGACGCATTTCCTCTTATTCAACAAGTAATTAGGTTTGTAAGTGATAATTAACATAATCTTTTCCATAAACTTTATTAGCTTTATGACGCAAATTTTCAGAAAGCTATTTTGAATAAACTTTTAAAAATTCTATAAGATCAGCTCTCTCTTCTTCACTTTTAATACCACCTCCAAATATTTCACATTTATTACCACTAATTAAAGTACGAGGATTTTGCAAGAAATAGAATAAATTGCGTGTTGTCCATACGTAAGAACTTTTAACTAAGCTTGGGCTATAGTTATAATATGGATCTGCACCAGCTCTGCGTCCATAAATTAAACCTAAAGCAGGACCAGTAGTTTTTCTACCTTAGTTATTTGTTTCTAATGAATGACAACTTGAGCAATGTTGCATAAAAACTCTAGAACCTTCAACAAAGTCTCCATCAACAGGAATTTTCTTATCCTTTTCGTCTCCCTTATATATATGTTCCTTTGATTTAGCAATTTGTATTTTTTTAAGCTCAAATCTTTCTTCGAATTTCTTTAAACCTTTGATCTTTTCACTTTCTAAACTTTCTTCAAGTTCATTTATTTCCTTTTGCATATCTTTTTTTGGTACGCCTGTATATGTATAAAATTTATCACCCCATTTTTTTTCAGCTTCTTCTGGAGAAATTGTTCCTTCTGGTTAGGGTCCTTTTGGTCTGTTCATATATACTTACTTTTGAGTAGAAAAATTAATGACAATATCAGAATAAATATCTTTTTAATTTTTTTAATTTCTGGAAAAAAAAAAGTTAATTATAAAATTAAAATCATACTAAATAGATTTTTTAACTAAATACTGATAGTAAATTATCTTAAATCCTTCATATACAAATTAATGCTTTTATTAATTAATTAATACTAATAAAACATATTAACAGAGTTAAAAATATTATTTATCTAATTTGCTATTAAAACAAAGAATATTACCATAAAAGTAATCAGGATACATATATTTAAAAGATTTTAAGATAAAATTGTTAATAATTCAGCAATTATTGAATTAGTTGGTTTTTAATTTAAAATTTCTCATATTATTGTTTGATGAGTTTAAAAATTTATTATTGTATTCGCTTGTTATTTCTCTTTATTATTTTATTTAGCATAAATTTGAATTTAAATATCTAAAATGTTTATAAATGAAGAATTTTTGGGTTTGAGATTATGTGTTTTAGCAAATAAATTATGGTAGTAAAAATAAATATATTTATTGAAAATTGTTTATTTACAATATTATATAAGGAGTTTATACATTTGATAATGAAAATATTATGAATTTTAATTGAAACAATTTATTTAAAAATAATAATATTATTTTGGTAAATGATTTATTTAAAGACTGACATTGTGAGTGTATCTACATAATTTATTATGATACTAATAGAATTATAAAGCAATATTTGTAAAATAAAAATAATTTAAGAGATTTCAATATTACTTAAAATTAAGAAAATAATATCCCTAATGCATAGATAGATAGATACAGAGATAGATATAAAAACTAATCAATTATTAATAATAAAGAAATTACAAGGAGAAAATATTCATAAAATTTTCAATTAAGCAAGATGAGCAATAACAATTAAGGAGATTTCTTCGTTGATAAATACAATTTTTCAAGAAGAGTTGTTGACCATAGACAACCCTATGATTTAAATTTCTCTATTAACAATCCAGTAGGTTCTAGAGTTTGGTTCAAGGCTTGGAAATAAAAAGCTATTGGTAACTTCTTGAATCTTGTTGGTGTTCACTATGCTTTTTATGGTGCTGGATTCTGCTTACTTTTTGTTTTAGCTGACGCTTGGGGTAGAGAAAAGTACGCTTAACCCTATAAATCCTAAATTTTACATGGTCGTTAACCTTTTGGTCACACTTTTGTCTAGAATTATAGAAATTAAGCTACAGATTTAGGAAGATGGAACCACAACTTTGCTTGCTATGAAAAGCAACCTGGCTGTGGAAGAGATTTCGATTGAAAAACTATTATAGAAGAAATAAATATTCCACAAAAAAGCATGAATCAAAAATTTAAATAGTTTTAAAACACATAGATATAAATGTTTAGGTAATTCGTGAGCTCTTTAGTAAAAGCATAAATTAAAATAGAAACTATCAATTTGTTTGGTTTTTAGAAATCACTAATATATTAAACACATCCAACATCATATACAATATGTTATCAGCAAAAATACTTATTTTCATATATCTTTGTAGTTTAAAATGAAAAATTGCTTAAATACGATCTAATACATACATACATACTTTATAATATTATTACAACTACTTTATTTTATAAATGTATTTAATTTATGATTCTAAATATGTACGTACATATTTTGACTTTTTAGTCAAATATAATTTTTTATTATTTAATTTAGAAGGTTGGAAGGAATTACAAAAAAAAGACAATAAATTCTTTGAAAATAAAAAAAACAAAAAAAAAATATTTTATAAGTAAATACAAAAAGCCAATAAATATGAAAAAACTGAAATAAAAAAGGGTTGTAATGAAATTTAAAAACATTTTATACTTTTCTATTTCTTTAAAATAATTTTATAACATTATTAATATAAATTATAGTTATTTCTTATTTGTCTTTTAATAACAAAGAATATTTAAATGTTAAATTGATTAAAAACAAACAATAATTTAATGTCAAAACTTAATTAAGATATTAAAATGCAATTAAAAAAACAGACATTAAATAAAGATCAAATATATTAGTCATTGTATTTTTTTATTATATTTTGAAACCTTCATAATTTAGGAAGAGGATGTTAGATAGGCTAGAAATTCAAAATGCCATTTCCATTATTCTTAGCAATCACACCAAGAGCATGTAGATTTTCTGTGATGGAATCAATATTCCTTTTCACTTATCTCATAGAATTAGCAGATAGATACTATCCTCCATCAAGTTAAGCTACTTTATTATCCAAAAATGTAAATCTTTGAGCTCGTTCATTCAATATTCTATCATATCCTTAACTTAATTCTGCAAATCTCTTATCACAAAGTTAAGCTAATGTTGATAAATCATTTTTTACAATCGATAAATCATTTTTTACAATCGATAAATCATTTTTTACAATCGATAAATCATTTTTTACAATCGATAAATCATTTCTTACTTGATTTTTAAAAATCACTAAGTCGTTTCCTATATTAGCAAATCCATTTTAAACTAACTAAGTTAATAAAACTAATTATTCATTTATATTCATCTTTTGTTTTCAATTTATATTATTTGATTTTCTTTAAAAGGTAATTATTTTCTCTCCTCAAATTATTTTTTTCTTATTATAAATTATCTAAAAAATTCTCTTGATTTTTATAATTATAAAGTAAAGATAAATTCTAATAAATAAATTAAATTAGACAAAAAATCACTTAAAACAAAATCACTTAACCTCCGTCAAGTCATTTTCAGTCAGGTAACTTTAAATCTAGTGTTAAGTAGCTTAAAACGGGAGAGATTGAGAAAATCTATCAAAATGGAAGCTTTATTAATGTTTTTCAAGTTAGTTGTAAATAATGTGGTTATAGTGATGATGTTTGTTTCGAAAAACATAATTAACTTATTAATGAAGGTAGAATTGAATTTTTTGATAAGTAAAAATATGACAGCTAATCATAATTTTTATAAAGAAAAAAATAAAAAAGACAGCAATAAAGAATTTATCAATAACTTTAAAGATAAAAAAAATATGTTAATAAACCCAAAATAAGCAGATAATATAATATTTATATGAATAAATTTAAAAATATAAAAATAATAAACTTTTTTGTTAAAATTTAGTAAATTAATTTGTATTCGTTTATGTATTTAAATATTGTAGAATAACTGAATCCATTAAGTGAAAGAGTGAAAAATACAAATAGATGGCATATGTGTATGTAGCTTATTAAATATATACATTAATGTTATTATTAATAAACGAGTTAATTTTTTTATATTTGTAAACAAAACAATAATCTTTAATAGCTTTCTAAAAGGACTCGATTAAAGATTTTAACTTTGAATAATTTATTTATTGATTCTTAATTTCTATGTTTCATTTTCGTTCATTAATTATAATTTAATTTGTCAAACTTCCCAGCTATATTACTGCCAATTTGCTTTTGATGGTATTTAAGTTAGATGAAGGTGTAGATTATTGTTCTGGATTCAGTGATTATTTTTCAAAGTGTAAATACGAGATATTTATTGATTTCATTAAATACTAATTTGATTAAGCTTTTCTGTAATTAAAGATTAGGTCTTAGCTAAGTTTGCAACAAAGCTAATTAATATGGCATCTTGATTAGCCTTGGATAAACCCTTTTCGAAATCTTCTTATGAAATAGTAGGAACAAAATTTAACAATTTCTTAACTTATTTGCCCAAATTATCATCAGATTCAGCCTTGCCATCCTTTATATTTAAAATAAAACAGTTTAATAATTCAAATAAATATCAAAAATATTAATTAATTACGACAATATTCTATATCTTCTTTTAAATAGTAGATAAATTTGAAAGGAGTTCAGTTAGGAGAGCTTTGACACTACCAACTTGTAAGAATTGAGTATTAATTACTTATTCTGAGCTTTAAGTTTAGATAAATTGAGGAACTACATTTTTTAAATAAACAAATAAATTATTTATGTTAACTATTCAATCAAGTTATAAATATAAATGTGATATTACTTTCGTGGAGCTTTTCATCACTAAATTCAACGGTAACGGGAATGTTTTTAAAAGGCAAAATACTAGCATATTTGCACATATCTAATTACTTATCATAAGACAATACCTAATTATTATTATAAAAAATTTATTTATATTTTAAGCATTCAGATAAAATATTTTGCATGTTATTTTGTATTTTTTTAATTTTTAGTATTATTCAATGCTATTTATTTATTACCTTAAGATTAAAAGATCCACTCTTAAGCTTAGGGTCAATTGAAAGAATGATAGGAGAGCTCAAACCAGGTTGACTAGCAAAACCAACATCCTTTTAACTATAGAAATTAGTGAGGTGAATCAAATCATTTTCAAAATTTGCAGATTCAATAACAAAAGCACCAACAAGACTTTCTTAGGGGTAGACGGTAGTGTTATGATTGTACATAAGATTGTGATAATTTGCATCGAGTTTGAACTATTTAAATTTAATAAATAGGTTTAATTACTTGCTTTTAGCTAAAAAATATGATTTGTTTTTAAGATGTATAATTTTCATTTTCTGATATTAAAATAGAATAATTGAAGTACATCTTCACTCTTTTCAGATTTTTCTTGAGGGACAGCATAACAGTTTGTGACTTCAATATAAGAAGAATGAACTATACCCAAAAGACTTCCCATAACCTTTTAACCGTAGTTACGATAGGTATATTCTAAAATAGAAAGGGGAACTATGGGGTGGACTTTAACGGTGTTTTAAGATTGACCAAGATTTAAACTTAATAATTCGTCGCTCATTGCTTTATATTTTATGCTTTATATTACTTTTTGTAGTAGAAAATGTCTTATTTATTAATTTTAAGTGTTAACTTTTATCAAATAATTTTTGTATTTTTTAATATTAATTTGTGTTTTCTTTATACAGTACTTATTTTTAATCTTTTTCCCGATACATAGATCTTATTTAATACTAAATCTATTGAAGATACGCTCTAATTATTTTTTATATATTCATTCATATATGGTTAATAAAATATACAAACTCGTCTATTTCTTTATTAAAATTGCAATTCTAAACATTTCTATGAACTTAGTTAATGGCTCATCTAAGAAATAATAATTTTTTTATTGAAATTTAAAGATTAAAACAGAATAAATTAGCACAATTTTTGAAATAATAAAATATAAAAAATCATTTTTAATTCATGAAAATTATTTGATGCTTTATAATTCAAAATGAAATATATTATCAGCTATAAATATAAATTATATTGATTTATCTATTTTTACTGTTTGCAAAATTTATTTTTATCTTTAAAAATTAAATATTTTAAATTAAAAAGTTTCTCTTTTTAATTAAACAAATGATTTTTCTTTAAAAATAAAAAATATTTATTTTAAATGTTATTTGTTAGTTTGTTTTACATTTCATAAATTAATAGTAAGTTAAAATTTTATTTTATTTTAAATAATTTAAATTTGTTCAAGAGCTTCTTATTTAATAAAGCCAATAAAAATTTGAAAATGATATTATTATTTTAAGAAGGATACAAAAGAAATTAAAATGAGATTTTGAAAATAAAATAAATAAAACTGACTCAAAATAAATCAATCAATTTGATTTTTTTTTTTAAGTTTTGAGTTGATTTTGATAAAAATATGAATGAATCATTTATCCATACATATATAGATTGATAATAAAGCATTGAAATTTCATATAAATATATTATACAAAGTTTCATAAAATAAAGAAAGGAGTATTCTATATATTAATTAAAGCAAATAAGGTTTGATATCAAATATAGAGAGATAATTGATAAATAACATATCAAATTTTATCATTAGAATCAAAAAGCCATTACTTTATAAAGATAATCTAATTAGTTTCTCGATCTAGTTTCTTGAAAATTAAGGGCCATGACAACTAAAATTGCAATTAATAGTATGACATAAATTTTAGATTACAATCAAATAGATATTTTATTTACATTTGAGCAAGCATTATTAAATCAGGATATCATATTTTTCCTAAAGCTCATTTAAAAATTGAATTATGGAGAATATTACCTAATCAAATTTATAAAATATAAAATTAGATAATATATTAGATTAGCAAGGTGAATCTTTGTAGTAGTTAATATATGAAATTAAAATAAATACCACTATTCAAGAGAGCTTAATAAGATTTTGGAAGTTGTTTAAATAAAACTATAACGGCCAAATAGAAAGAGTAGAATTCAAAAAAGTAATTATTTGCAAATATTTTTAAAAAGTTTAATGATTTTAAAAAGTATGTAGAAAGAGTTCTCGCATTCTTGCTCAATATACCAGATAGATCAAGGATAGCCTCTTTAGCAGATGATGAAATCAGTAAATTTACAACTCAAAATCATAAATAGCATATATCTTATGATATTTTCTGCGAGTTCTTTGCCTTTTTTGCATTCAAATACATTGAAAATGTTGATATAAAGTCCTTTAGATCTTTCTTTGACATGATTTATGATAGAACTACTAAGTATGTGTTTAAAGATGTAAGAGGTAAGATTTTTAACAAACATTTATTTTAATTTAAAAGCTAAAAAGATTTATTGAAATACACAATATAAATAAATAAATTTTGCTAAATAAATAATTTGTTTGTTTATCAAAATAAATATTTTATTTTTTTGTTTATTAATTTGTAAAATAGAAAACAAAAAAGAGCAACTCGACTATGATATCAAAGTTTTTGTTTACAATAGAGAATAAATTGAAGGAACTTTTACAGAACATCAAAAAAACATATGCCCTTAAAATGTAGTCTATGTTGAGGAATATGTCGTTTTAGACAGCAAAAAGCTTGAGGAGAAATAAAAAGATGAATATACTATTATTGAAAGTTAAATTTTGACTCATGAAGAAATTATACCTTTAGGCTTTTCTGCTGAAAATGCAATAAATCTGATTGTCAACAATAAATTCGAGGTATAAACAAATAAATATATCATGAATTAAACAATAATCTATTATGAATTAAAAGGTTCCTTAGGGTAAGCATTAGCATCTTCCAAAGAAAGAAATTGTAAATCTCGAAAGGTATAAATAGTTTTTTAATTGAGTTTATTTTAAGAATGTCTTTACAAAATAAAAGGGTGAAGATAGTTATTGAATCTGGAAAGGATATCTTATAGAGTCTTTAAATAGCTTGTAAAGATAGTGAAGTTATATAAATGATTTCTTGTTTATGCAAGCACATAACAAAATACGTAGAAAGCCCACAAATATTTAACAGAATTAATGGATATATTTCTCATCCTTTAGCATATGAATCACTCAAAGGTAATTAAATTATATTAATATTTTAAAAATAACATCATAAATTACTAATAGATCAAGCAGGTGTTGAATAAAAGTTTAATGTTTTAAGTGATTTTTACACTGTAGATGATTTATAAATTGATTAAATACATAGAATTAATAAAAAGCATTAAGAAGCAAATGCTTAAAGAAGAAAACTTGTTGAGGGAGAAAACAAAAAAAGAAATAAAAAGCGTCCAGTTGATTGGGAAGATTATTGCCGTAACTTAGAATATAATATGGTTGAATACATTCAAAATTTCATTGATCAAAGCAAACTAAAAGTTTCTTTCCGTGAATTAAAGAGCTAAAATTAGGCTGACATTATTGGAGACACTAAGTTAAATTTAAAAGATTTTGTTTCTTAAAGTGGAGTTATCCCAGTTGACACTCTCAATGCATATTAAGATGATATTTTAGAATATGCAAATAAGCGTCCTTTGCAAATTTTTGTATTGGGTAAGCCAAAGAATGGAAAAACTAAATTTTGTCAAGCTCTAGCTAAAAAAATTGATATAGTCCATATAGAACTTGGTATTTTGATTTAGAATCTTTTTAAGCGTGTCTAAGATAATGAAGAAAATCCAGAAGAAGTAGATGGAGAAGTTGTTGATAAATTAAAACCTTGGGAAAGATAAATCCTTGCAGAGTTACAAGAAGGAAAATGCATTTCAAACTAAAATTTAATTAATTTAGTTAACTACGAGTTATCTTTTGAAGAACCCTCAAACAAAGGATATATCCTTGATCTTCCATTAACATTCGACTAAGATTAAGTTAACTGGGTAGATTGTATAATCAAGAATTAAGTTTAATTACCTCGTATAGGCTGTAGATATTTTTCTCATATCATTTAATTTGATACTTCTGATGATGATATTATTAAATTTGCATCTGGAATTATGGAAAAAGATGAAGAAGTGATTAAAGTTTTCTCCAACTAAGAGAGGGAGATATCGAGAAGACCAAAAAGAGTAATTATTTTGTTTATTTATTTTTTTTATTTTACAAACTTAAAATTATTGTATAAAAATAATTTTTAGGTTCCTGTAGAAGGAGAAGAGGAAGAAGAGCCTGTAGAAGAAGAAGATGAAGAAGGCAAGTAGCCTATTAATGATGACGATTTAGTTTATAGACCTAACGAAGATGTTGAAATCTTAAAAATACATTTAAATCAATATGAAAAGGTTACTCTTCCTAGAGTTAAAGAGTTTTTATAACACTTGACTAAAAATGAGCATTTATTCGTTAAGCATAATGGTTCAAATGAATTGGAAATTGTTGAATATATTTATGAGTCTTTAGGAAACGAAGTTAAACCACTCAGACCTCTTGGTGTTAAATTAGAAGGTGGTTCTAATAAAGATTTACTTACTCAGGGACTTGAAGAATAAAAATTATAGCGCTGCTGGTCACCATGGTAGCAAATTGATCCAGTTGAGCTATTCAAAGGCAGAGTTGTTGTAGGTAAATCTGACTATGCATGTGATTATGCAGGTCGTGTTTTTTTATTTGACAATGAATAGAATTAAGATGCTTTCAGCAAAAATGCCAGAAAGTATTTGAAGAAGCCACCATAACTACCTAAAACGTAGATATATTTTTTTAAATCAAACAGGTGAATTTATTAATATTTATTTAACAGATATAATGTAGCTATAATTGGACCAAGATTAAGTGGTAAAAAAACCTATGGTAAAAGACTAGCATAGGAATATGGCTGGAAGTTTGTAGATGTAGAAGGTATAATAGGCGAAGTGCTAAAATGGTAAAGGCAATAAGAAATAGAACAAGGTACTCACATTCCATCAAACTTCGAAGCAAGAGTTAAAGACATTCATCTTTCTTTAGAAGAATGGAAAGAGTTTTCAAAAGTAATTATTCATAACAAATAATTAAAAAATTTTTTATTAATTTAAATAAAATGAAATCAATATAAAGGGTAATCCACTTTCTGCAAAAGAAGTGTGGCCTATTATTTTACACAAATTGAATATTCCTTTGCAAAAAAAACCTGAAAATTGGGGAGTTGAAAAGAACGAAAATGAAGAAGAAGAAGACGAGGAAGCTAAGAGATTAGCTGAAGAAGCTGCTAAAAAAGGTAAGAAAGCACCTAAAAAGAAAGAAGTAAAAGAAAAGCCAAAGGAAGGCGAAGATGAAAGACCCAAGACTCCTCCACCTGAGGATATTCCTTTAAAAGAATTAATTTAAGTAGTATAAGCTGATAACAAGCTAAATCCTGTGCTAGGTATATGTATGATCGGCTAACCGACAAACGAAGAAGAAATAAATAAATTAAAATATCACAATATTCCTATCGATAAAGTCATTGTCCTTGTAGATAGAAATGAAGAAGAAGAGGGGAAAACTTTAAGGACAAGGCCTGGTATTGAATATGCATGCAATATAGAAAGTGAATTAAAATTTATTAATGATGCTGCAGCTGTTCTCAAAGAATAATTTGGTGAAGAAAATGTTAAAGAAATAAGTATCGAAGGTAGTGAGTTAGAAGTTTATAACAGAATTAAAGTATCACTTGATCCTTTCTTTTTGAAGTGCGATGAAGAAGAAAATATAGCTAGAACTTCTAATGATGTATAAGAAGGAGATGATCCTGTCCCATTAGGTGAATATGGTCCTTTTTGTCCTATTGCATTTAATGTATTAAAAATTAAAAAAGTAAAACTAATTTTTTATTCAATTTCAAATAATTTAGGAAGATAAATGGTTGCTTCCCGGTAAGAAAGATTTTGAAAGCTTTGTTAGAGGTAAGAGTCACATATTCTACAGTGAAGAAGATAAGAAAAAGTTTACTGACCATACATGGAAGTATGTTGATGGTAAAACTCACTTTGATGTCCCACCTCCAAGAATTATGATTATGGGTCCTAAAGGTTCTGGTGTTCACACATAACTTGAACTATTGCAATAAAAATACAAAATTCCCGTTTTTGATTTGAAAAAGAATCTCCTTGCACATATTTTAAATGAAAAAGAAAAGGTTTGATTTTTTTTTACTAATTAATCTTAAATTAAAATTTAAAATTAAATATTCATAGAGAAAATAAGACAGATTGTTTAATAGAGGATTCAAGCCTATTGAGTTAGATGAAGAAGGCAAACCGATTGAAGACTAAGAAATAAATGAAGAAGCATAGGATTTTGATAAGAAAGCTCATGAAATGACTGTTATCAAACATATTTTTAATGAAGTATAATAATGTTTTATCAATGGTAATTTTTCTGATGTCTAAGAAGAAGTTATTCAAACTCCACTGAATGAATTACTCATAGAATCTAAAAAACTTCCTGAATTTGTCATTCATCTTAAAGTTAATGAAAAAAGCGTTGTTGATAGAATATTTGTTGAAGACGATGTTAAAAAAGAGCATAGATTATAAAAAGAGAAAGAAGCCGAAGAAGTATTTTGATTTATTTGAAAAATTATATTTAAAATATTGATATTTAAATTTATTTTTTTTATCAATAGGCTAGACAATAAAAACTAGCTGAGCTTGCTGAGGCAGGAGAAGAAGGTGCTGCTGCTGCCGAATAACCTCCTTAGGAAGTAGATGAAGAAGAGGAGGAAGCTAAGAGACAAGCTGACGCTCAAGAGCTTTAAGAAAAAATAGAAAATAAAAAGAAAGAACTCCAAGACTATCGCGAAGCAGAAGCAAATAGAATCGAAGAATATTGCTAGAGTTTCATAGGCTTAGGTATCCCTGTAGTGGAAATAAACTGTGATGTTCCAATTCAATAAGTATTTAACCGTATTAATTATCAACTGAAAAAGTATATGGAGGAAAGATAGAATCTGCTTGAGAGACACTAATGTTTAATGTTAATGAGACCTAAAAAAACAGAAGAAGAAAATGATGAAGAAGTAAGCAGATTGATTTATAAAATTTTCAAACTAATTTTAATTTCTTTTATTTTGTTTTAGGAAAAACCTTTCAGACTTGACTTTTTCGAAAAAAGCTATACATTCAAAAAGAGTAGATATTAAGATAAAAATGCTTTGACATTAATAGATGTACCTAAGATAAGAGAATATCCTCTACTCTATAGAGATAGAATATATTATTTTAGTAGCGAAGAAGAATTGAGAATGGTTGCTCATGAACCTCTTAAATACTTAATTTAAAAGTGCTTCCCAAAAGATGTCGAAATAAGACCAGTAGTTTTTGTTATTGGTAAACCTAAAACTGGTAAATCTACTTTGTGTAAGCTTTTATAGGAAAAGCTTGGGCTAGTAAGAGTGAAATTTTCACAAATTTTAGAAGAATATATAAAAGATCATATGAATGTAAAGGCTGCTGAAGCTTTGTAGATTTTAGAAAACGGAAAAACTCTTTCTGACGAACAAATTGTTGAATTAGTTCTTCAAAGAATTCAATAAGCTGATTGTAAAGCAAATGGCTGGGCACTTGATGGCTTGCCTTAAAATAGGAACTAAGCAGTTCTATTCCATCAAAGAGGAGTAAATCAATTTGTAATAATATGATGTATTTATTTACCTTATTTTCAATATTAAAAAGATTATCCCTTCTTCAGTCTTTTCTATCTAATTAAGCTCAGTAGAGATACTTGAAAGGTTTAAAAGCAGAAGAGGACCTAAAAAGTTTGGTTATAATGACATTGTTTTGCATGATAAATTATAATAGAGTGAATGCGATGTATTAGAAAACTATTACTTAGACACATTTAATAATATTAGATTTATAGATGGAAATATTTCCAAATGGGGTATTTTCGATCAAGCCAAAAAGTTTATACATAGCTCCTTGTTATCTAAATATTAGTTTACTAGAGCTATTGTAACTTCATCCCCTGCTAATGTAAGTGAAATGAGTTTAACTCGTTCTGAAATTCTTGAAAACATAGGCAAATTTAAGAATTACTCCCCAGTTTCAATGAAAATATAAAAGAAGTTTGTATAAAATAATATTAGACATCCTTATTTGGCTTACTACGATGGATTTTTGTATATCCTTGATAATGAAAAAGAACTCAATGACTTCCTTAATAGACCAGATTTATATGTTTACCAATACTCTGAGAAGCTTAATCCCCCAATTAAGATATAAATAGATAATATAATAGCAAAATACAAAGGTAAACGATAAAATTCCCATCTTTTTAAATCAAATTTTTTGTTGAATAAATTTATTTTTATAAATAGATGTAAGCAATTAAGGACATTGTGTTGGTACTTTAAGAGCAAATGAACTCAAAAAGAGTTAACCAAGTTTATTAGTTTAATACTAAGATCAGATTCACTCTTTCTCAACTGCTGATTTAATGATCAAATTTATAACCAATCCTCATGATTATATAAACATTAAACTCCATGATAAATTGCCAGTTTAATTTGACCCTACTAACCTAGTAAAAAAAGTAGCTAAAAAGGGAGATTGTACTGCATTTTTAGAACACCACTTAGGAAATATAGTAATGAGAGTTTTGGCTTAGCTAGGTATAAGATTTATTTAATTTATGAAAAACCTAATTAGACTTAATTTATATTAAAAAGGCTATAAAAGAATCAAATATCCTACATTATCTTGCAAAGAGACAGCCCTTAAATTTATTGCAATTTAATTAAAAGCAAATAATCCAAATAAAGATGAAAGTTATAGATTAAAATATTAATAAAAGCTTTAACAATTCCTTAAACATTGTCAATTTTGTGAATAAATCAGGGATGAATTCAGAAGAAAAGGTAAAAAATAAAATAAAACTTAGCAAAAATAAATTTTTTTTTTCATTATTAAATTAGAAGAAGAATAATCTCATAATCTTTGGAATGAGTGGGATGAAGAAAATCTTTTAAAAATCACAAAGGAGTTTTCAGATTTTAAGAAAGTTTTAGATTAAGAAGAAAAGGAAGTTTATTTCTAAAAGTTTATTCATTGAAAAAATGTTGAAATTAATTATTTATGTTTCTATTTACTATCTTTATATTTCTATTCTTGATAATTTATTAAAAAAAAATAATATTTTTCACAAGCTATAAATTAAATTATTTTTTTATTTATTTTATAATTTTATTTTATTTTGGTTTTTATTTTTTTATTCAATTATTTCATAAATAATTTGAGTTTTTATTATTAATTTTTTAGAATACAGAAATTATTTTATTATTTAAGCTTCTAAGATAAATATACTCAAATAAAAATCTTAAATAACTAAATACTGAAGAATCTTAAATCACGATATTAATTGTCATATTTAAGTAATATTTTAATCTGTAAATTTAAAATTAAGAAAAGATAAAATATTCTAATTATCAGATATTATAATGAAATTTAATTTATCTGAATGAATAACTAAAATTTCGAACGAAACAGTATAAGAATGGATCCATCAAAAAGAGTTACAACAATTAAAAGAGAATGCTAGATTTTAAATAAAATTTCGCTTTTAGATAGTAATAAAAACCCCTAAATTATTAATAAATTGATAGATTTAGATACATTTTTTTTGAATTTTTTAGAGAACAAAAAAATATTTTGTAATTATTTTATTTGAATTTAGATAAAATTTAATTATATTTAAGAATTATTAATTGAAATAATTTACATAATATAAATATTTATTTATATATCTACAATATGTTATTTAGTATATATTTACCATTTTCACCTAAATATAAATTTATAAATTCTTTCTATTAAAATTCAATAAATTTATTTCATTAGAAATTTATGTCTAACATGTGAGTTTTATACTCGATTTCAGAAAGGATAGCTTCTGAGGCTGCTTTTCTTTTAACATTAAAAACATGCCAATCTGACTTGAAATGAGCTCTATATTCTTCGTTTGTTTCAAAGTAGGCTTCCTTACACGAAGTACATTTTTTACTTCCCTTATTTATAATCTCTTCTGTTTTAGAATTTGTATTAGTTTTTTCAGCAGTTTGTGGCTTTTTTTATTTTTCTTCTTATTCTAATAACTGTTGCTTGACTCTGTTCAATTCTTCTAATTTTTATTACTGAGCTGCAAATTCCCTTTCTTTTTCCAACTGCATTCTCATATCAAGTTAAGGATTTTTTTTCTTCTTCTTTTTCTTTTTTCCTTTATCGTCATCATCGAAATCATCAAATTTTTATTCTTCTTCATCATCATCACTTTCTTTCTTTTATTCTTTGTCTTCATTTTTACTCTCTTTCTTTTTATCCTTTTTATCTTTTTTCTTATCTTGATCGGCTTCATCATCTTTCCAATCTTCTCTTATAACGAGATTAACACTTCCTGCTTGTTCAATTTCCTAAGTTTAATCATTAGTAATTACATTGCTAATGACTTCAATAATACAGTCCTTAAGCTCTTCTTTTGCAATAGTACTTATGGAACGGAACTTAGAGGGCTCGATGCTGACAACTAATTCAACTCTATTTTTATCTTTATTTACTGTTTTTTTAATGCTTGACTCTTCTATTTCAAGTTCTTTGAAATATGATAATAAATTATTTTTATCTATACTAGGTAAATTGATACTAATTAACATTTCTGCTCTCTACATATAGAACTTTTTGCATAATAAACGAATACACTCAAGAGCTTGTTTTTTTGCAGGCTAATCTGGTTTAATTTTAAAGTTAATACTTTTGATAGCCTTTTACATTTGATCAATTGAGAACTTTCTTTAACTATCAGGATGAACACATTTTTCACAGACTATGTTAATTATATCATTTTGCAGAGAACTTAATTGAACTTCTCTTTCTTTCTCTCCTACCTATAATTCACCTTTTTCGAGGATTAACTTAATAATATCTAACTTTTTCATATCTCCAAAGTATGTTTAGAGATCTTGCTTTTTAGCAATAGTTCCATGACTTGCATTAGTGTAGACTTCTTCGAATTAAAGAACTTCTCCTATGTCTTTTTCTACTCCGTTTCTCCAATTAATAGCTTTGTTTTTGTAACAAGCAATCTCAAACTTTTTGTTATTGATTTTATACTTGATGAAAGCGACGTTAGTCATCTTAATAATACCAGTAGGCTAAAACATTTTTATAATATATTTTATCTATTATTTTTGCTAGTATAGAATATGTATATATTAATTTTTTAACTTGTTTAAATATAAATTTGCTTTATTTCTTTCAAAATAAGTAGAAACACAAATTTGATAATTTATTTTCTTACTAATAATTTTTATACAAATAAATGTATATCACTCTTCTTTTTTAACCTTTCTTTTTACCATTAATAATTATTCTTTCTTGCTCTTTTAGATACTAATATATCAGATTTGTTTCTATTTTAATTAATTAATCTGTCTATTTATTTATATATAGATCTCAATAGAAAAAGGAATGCCAACATTATTATAAATTCTTTTCTTTGGTGAAAAGAAATGTAATCATCGTTTTTATTCTATTATTATACGACATTAATTTTTTTTTTAAGCTTTCAAAAACTAAAAATTAATATCTGAGCAGATAAACTTAAAACGATTAATTAATCAATTAATTCTTAGAAAAACTATTTTTTAGAATAAAATGAATAAGTTTTATTGTTTTTTTAAGAAAAAAATTAATTCTATTTAATATAAAAATAAATAAAAATTTCTATTAGCGTTTTGTCAAATTGCTAAATCAAATATTTTATTTTTTAAATTTATCAAAAAAATACCAAATAAACTTTAAAATAATTTAAAGTATATAATGAATACAATTAAGCATCTATATATTATAAAGATTACTAAAGAAATAAAGAATAGTAAGCAAAATTATGCAGTAATGATATATTATATTCAAATAATGAACATATTTTCAAAAATTATGAATTCCTTAATTTTTCAACTGAATTATAGTTTTAAAAATTGTGAATTTTTTGTATTAATTATTTATTTATTATGATATGGTAAATATAAAAGAAAATATATTTGTCTATTAGCAAGCAATGAAGGAATAATTTACCTAATTTTTTTAAATGATACGTTTAAATTTCTGATTATTAGTGTATTTTTTTTTTTTGTTAATTAATTAGTTTGTTTGTTAATTCATTCAAATTTAAAATAAAAGGGTTTGGTTAATAATTTGAATTTGATTAATTTCAAATGAATTAAATTCTAATGTGTGAGATAAGATTATTATTATAATTAATCTTAGCACTTGCAAGAAGATTAAAGCAATTATTCGAATATCCAAAACCAGTACCTCTTAGATTAATAATAATATCATCTTATTGCTATTCAAATTCAATACTATTTGAATCTATTTGAAACCTGCTAAAGTTTTAGTTTAGCTAGATTATATTTTCGGCTACGCTTGTATTGAATCCTGAATTAATTATTTCAAATTGAGCTGAAGTATCGAAAAGACTTTATATCCTCTCATTTTTCTCATTAAACATGTAAAAGAAGTCAACGAGTTTATTTTATTAGCACATGTTTTACATTAAATTTGAATGGTTATTTATGTTATGAATACCAAGATCACTCGTATTCAAAGATGAAAAAACGTTGTTCATTTAAACTTTGAATTAGTCTTCAAGTTAGTTTACAAATTCGCTCTAAAAAATTTATTTCTTTATGTTTTTCTCTGGAGCTCTGAAATGATAGTTATATTAATTATAGAAGTTCTAGTTGTTCTCTTTGTCATCTTCGAAATTTTCTTATATAGTTGATAATTATTTGTGAAGATTGATAGATAAATGATTATGAGGAATATCGTCATCAAAACTAGGTAACTCTAAAGTATTTTCCAAGTGTGATAAAATACTTTTCTTCTTAGAAGAAGGTTTAGGTGTGTTAATCAACTCGTGGGCATGTTTTTCAACACTTTTGTACTTGCTCTTTGGAGTTGAGTAAGAATCTTAATTCAAAGCTGAAGTTGCTTTTCTTCCTAAAGGAGATGAAGGGCAATCTTCAAAAACTACTTGGTTGCTTTCAGTTTGAGAGATGTACATTGAGCTTCACGTTTAGTTTTAGTATTTTTTTATGCGTTTTAGATCTTAAGATCAGTATGTCGAATTGATAAATAAATAGTAGAGAGACTGAAATAATATTTAGATTTATTTGATATCTTTGTTGGAATTTTTTTTGTTTTTTGTTATGTTTATTTTAAATTTATAATTTCTGATAAATAGGCTAGTTAGCATTTAAATTAAGTGTTTTTTCAATTAAAAAATAGTTCTATTTTATTTAAAAAAATAGCAAGCAATTAATATCTTATGACGCTCATTAAGTATTGATATATGATAATATTATTTTTCTACATGATTAAAACTAATTAATATTCTATAATAAAAATATTTTTGATTGTGTAAATATTGTTTTATAATAAAATTGATAGTCTCTTTATGAATAATTCTTAAATAATGATTCCATTTATCAAGATTTTTAAAAACTCACTCAAATTACATTTTAACTTAGAAATTATTTTTTTTAGATATTCAATTAAAAATTTTACAAAATTATTGTTAATTTTTAACTTTTATTAATTTTTTTGAGTTAAAATACTTTAAAAAGCTTGTAAATATTAACAAATGAGTTATGAGGATAGAATTTTACTACTATTTAAAAAAGTTAGGATACATTTGAATATTCAAATTTGATTTAATTGCTTATTCATTTTTTAAGAGCTGATTTCATTTAAATTTTAAAATCTTTAAAAAGATTTAATCTACTATCTACTAAATGCTTTCTAAAATAATTTCATAAATAGAATTTTAATTTTATTTTTGAGCACATTTGCTCCTACTTTGGCTAAAAATTTTCAAAAATTGTTTAATGTAAATTTACTATCATCAAGCTGAGAACATTATTCACTATAAAATTTATATTGATGATGATTTTTATAGATAGTTTTTTTTTGTATTCTGTTATATTAGTCATTTATATAAAATAGTTTTTACTCTTTTATAAATATTTTTTATTGTAGATTTTAAAATTATTGCTCTATGAGTTCCGCAATTTTTAAAAACTATAAATTATTTCCAATAAGGGAACTTTCTCAAGAAATTTATTGGTTGGCATAACATTCTAAAACATACATTATAAATAATAAAAAAATTAATTATATAGAAAAAAATTATATTTTTGAACGGATCTTTGAATTCAAATAATTTTTTATTTTAAAAATCAAAATTTTTACAAAATATTACAATTTTTTTGCGATTTAATTGAAAATATTCAATAAAAAATAATGGTTAAATTATGATTGCAATTTATTTAATCAAAAGTCTCTAAAAATTAATATTTAATTAAAAGTTAAAATAATATCAAATTAAATATTTCACATCTAAAATAACCATTAATTTTTGTGCTTTACTTAAAGATTGATGGTTAAAGAATTCAATTTTATTTTGCGTTTGTGTTTATGATGAAATCTATAAATTTAACAAAATCATATTTATACTTTGGTTGGATATTATGTACAATTTATTATGTATGTATTATTAATAATTTGCTTATTATTTCTCACAAATTTTTTTTAATTTACTCATAAAAAAGACTTTACAACAAAAATAATTAAGTATTTAGATTTAATTTTTATCATTGTTTGCTTCTTATCAATTGCAAACAATATTATCATATTACTTCTATAATATACTGCAAACAATATTTATAAATTTAATTAACTAAAATCAGCTAAAAAGATCTATTAAATTACTAAAAAAAATGACAGAAACTGCTACATTTACTTCTTTTTTAAAAAACTATAATGAAGTCAATCAGGGAATTAGGCTTTAAAATGGAAGAGCGAAAATTTAAAAATCTTCTTCTTAGCCATAAATTAGTGAAGTTAGATACAGTACTCCAATTATGAAAGTTTTTAAAATTAAATAAGTTAATTATGAATAGTCTAACCAATATTACTCAGATTCTTACTAAGCAGGATCTCCTTTACAGAAATAGGTTTCCTAATTTAAAGGTTCACCATAATTATATAAGAAAACTCTGATTCGTAAAAGTAGCTAAGATTAATCTCCTATTAGTTCTACTGAAAAGCAATCTACTCCTGTTCATAAAAAATATTTAATTATTTAAAACAACTAAAGCACCTCTAAGTTAATTAATAATTAATCCCCTTACTAATAAACATATTGCAAAGATAACAGCCCTATAAATGCTTACTACGTAAATCCGGTACCAATAAATAACCGAGCCCCATTTACTAGATCGATAAATGCTAAAAGTTAAACTTAAATAGTAGGAGAAACTTAAAAATCACTTTACTTTAATACTCCTAAATCTAATAGGTAGAATGACTCGCTTTAAAGAGTTTAGTTCAATTGTATTTCTTAGCATATAAATAAATTAAATGAAAGCACTCCTATGTAGCATAAAAGCAAATTTAATAGCTAATAAAATTTAGAAATCATTAATAATTAATAATAAAAATAAAGACATTTTAGAATTCACTAAACTAATACACCCATAAAAGTTTAATACAAAATCAAAAGAAATGTTTCTACAGATAATAGATTGGATAGCTCTAAAAGAGGTGAAAGCTACTGTTTGCATTAGTCATAATTCTCAACAATAAGCTAAGAAAATATTGAAAAGATATAGAGTAACAACTAAGCTATTTCAGAATTAATAAAAGGAAACAAGTAAATTTTGAAAGACTTAAACTTCGACTGAATATTAAATTGGTGAGAAGTGATTTAAAATTTGTTATCATCAAAAATGAAATTAATCATTTTTTGATGATTTTTATTACCTAATTCAAATAACTATTTTAAAAGAGGAATTAATTATATTATTTCCTGATAAAATGTTTAAACAATTTACTTAATTATTTGAACCAGTAAAATCCTTAGTAATTGTAATCAATCGAATTCAAACATACTTTTGAATATATAAATTTAAATAAATATAAAAATGGATATAAGCTATATAGAAATAACTGTAAATAAATTCATATTTATCTCAAAATATTTAATTGTATATTTTATCAATGAAAGTTTTTTAAATTAAATTTCAGTTTTAAATTTTTGGATTACTAATAGTTTTAACAATTAGTTAATGTATATTATGAAATCAAATAAAAAATTACTAAATGTTTTCATACCAAAAATATTATTTTTTTAATAACATTTAAATATAATTTATTGTAGGTTATCACCAACAAACTCCCTCTTCATCAAAAAATTTTTCAAAAATTTTTGGTGTAAAATCTTAAAATAGAGATATAAATAGATACTTAATCTAATTAATTAATAAAGAATGTTTACAATATATAGAATAAAAGGCAGTAGCTAGCTAATGATATATTAATATTTATATCTTAATAAATTGTTTTAGTTTTTATTTATGATTTTAATATTTTATTAACATTATAAATATGCTATCTCATTTATTGACTGTAAAATGCAATTTAAATAGAATGCACTCCATTTTTTCATCTATATTTGTGATGAAAACAAATACTTCTGCAATACCGGGTTGTTCTTATCTTGCTATTCTTATCTTTATTTAGGTTTTTTCACCTACACCTAGGAAAATTTTTGGTTCGACAATCTAATTTATTAATTGAATATTATTTTAATTTTTGGTTGAAAATTTTTTAATTAGTTACTTAAAGAACATCTATTTGAGAAGATTCAATAAAGAATGTGCTTTCAGTTCCTGATCTATTTTAAAAGCTAAATTTCTGGATATGTGATTCTTTATTGACTGGTATTTTGAGATCATACATTTTGGATACAACGGGTTTATCTGTTTCAATTCTTACCAACCAGGAATATAGTAATTCCCGAGTGCTTTAATCAACACAATTAACTTATACTTTTTATCTCATAAGCGAGAAGCTTCTCATTGTTAAACCAACTAAATTAACTTTTCCTTTGGAGACTGTGCATGGTTAATCGAAAGGCTTATCAAACCAAGCACATAGAGGATGAGAAGAATAAAATCTAACTAATCTAGTTCCATCTGAATCTAAAGTTAAATTAGTCTTTTTTGACAATCCCATATCTATCTTAATATCAACTCTTTTTTTATAAAATGAAAGTTATTGTTTAATAAATTCTTAGAATAAAATAAATACCCTTCTAATGAATGAACTTCTATTTGCCAATTTGCTAAAAGATCTTTGAAGAAAGTGTCTCTATATGCTAGTAAGTTAAATCTAGTTATTTTTTAAACAGAAGGAACTCTCATTTGGAGACTAATCTCATTATCACCTAGCCATTCAAATAGAACATTTTCATTAGTGCATTATAATGAGGGCTTCTATTAAATACTTGCCTCAGAGTAATAACCTTATGAATATAAAGCTGGTAATATAAGCTAAACTTATTTATTTCCTCTTTCATAATATCTAAAAACGTGATCAACAACCTATCTATGAGGTCTAACTCTTAGCTTAAAACCTTGATTTTCGCTAACTGATCCAGAACTGCTTATGCTTACATTAATTACTCTTTCATTAATAAATTTCTTATGGTATTCAACATGTTAAGATCTTAAATATTCTTCTAAATTAACAACTTGTTGAATTTATGGATCTATTTCTCTGTAAGATAAAAATCTAAAAATTAAAGTGATGCTCTGGCCTTTTTACAATAAAAAGCTCATTCTTTCCTTTTCTATTATATTTGTATCTTTTGGTCCCTATATATTTTCAGCTTCTAATATCATTTTCCATTCTTCAGGTTAAACTACAGGATTTAATTCGTTTATGCCTAACCAACCTAAATCAGGATCATCAATTCTTATTTAGAAATTTTCTGTTTCATACCCTGTGTTAACAACAGTATGTTATATATATTCAGTTGTTCCAAACTGCACATCTGATACATATTCTTATGATAACAGTTAAGATAAAACATTTTTTATATAATTTCCTTTTTTACTATAAAAAAAGAAGCTTGTAATATCAATAATTAATTGGATGAATATAAATTTGATTACACTTCTTTGAGAACTTAAACATCATGAATTTTTTTTAATTATTCCTCTTGCTTTGATATGTATCTAGCTATGTCTGCATCTTCTCCTTTTTCAGTTTGTAAATTTTTTATTTTGAACCTTCTAATTCTTTCTCTTTGTCTTGACTCAGGATCGTTAGCAAATTCAAAGTTGCTCTTTAAAGTAGTCTGTAACTAACTTTCTTTAGCAGCCATTTCAAAGCTTATTGGATCATAAGATTTTACTTTCTTTTTGTGCCCAACTGTACTATTTAAATTACTGATATTTGACATGCCTGTCTGATTAAAGTTGTTTTGAGATTTGTAGAATCCTCCTGCTCCTTATGTACTTTAGAGCGTTTTATTTAAAGGGATAGTTTGGTTAATTTCTTATAATGATGGTTCGAAGCCTTTGTTTGTTAAGAAAACAATCAATTTACCCCTTTCTCTAGTAAAATCACTATCTATGATAGGTACAGTTAATTGCTTTTCTACAGATTGTCTTTATCTCCTAAATATTAGTAAAAATTAAAATTTATCAATTCTATTTGAATGCATGTTATTGTTTTTACCTTAGCAAAGATCTTAATGGTATTTTTACTGACCCATACAAGAAAAGATTGTCTGCATCCCAAATATCAACATGAATAGATTTTCTGAAAAGGTAATCAACAAAATTTTTATGGACATTTGGATAAAAGCGAGAGGGATCTATGCTAAAATTATAACTCTTTTATTGAGGCCCGATTTTATTGAATAAGTATGATGTTGTTTCTAACACTATTGGTTTATTATCAGTCAATATTTTCTTCATAGCTGTAATTTAGCCAGCATCTTAATAGGAATAAGGCTCTGTTTAAACTTCATCAAATTCAAAGAAATTAAAAGTAAAATACATTTTTTCAGGAACATAATAATTTTCACTGAATATTGAGTCTCTTTTAACTTAATCACGATCTTCAAAATTACTTATTTGTGCTTTAAACGCAACTAATTTGATAGAGAACAAAGAAGCTTATAACTAATCTCTATACCTATTGGATATAATTTTTAATTTTTTTAAATATAAAATAATTTATTAAGAATTTTAATTTTACTCATTGACTAAATCAACATCATCTATAAAATCATCTTCTCCACCGACTTATACTGTATCGTCTAGTAGACCTCTAACACCCTTATTTACCAAGTAAACTTTGTCTACATTTGAGATCTCTTCAGCACCAGATTAAGGTTTTAAAGTAAAAGCCTATTAATTCTTATAGTTACTTTTCATTTTAGGTACAGTTACTAGAGTTTCTAATATTTCCCATCTATATTTAAAAAAAGGTTAAAAAATGACAATCAAAACATACTTTAAATAATTAAAAACCTTCTTTTATCATCTTCATTTGTGATAACAACTTCATTTTGAGCTCTCTCTTATGCAAAAGGATCTTAAAATGTGTTATAACCAGTTCTAGGACGTTTTATTTCTCCAATCAAATTTTTAATTTCCTAAAATTCTTTAAGTGCTTCTTATTTAGATTATTCATTATCTTATCTTAATTATGCAATTGTTTTTTATAAATCTGATATTTTAGTTTCATATTATTAAACTATATCTTAAAACTCTTTAGTATTTGCTTTAAATAAAAAAAATAAAATTAAGTTAACAAATGATATCTAAAGATTTATTTATATTTACCCAAAGGAGCTCTATTTTAGCTATAATCAACTCTAGGGCCAGCTTATGCTACTACACCTGGATTTCCAGGACCTTTTTGTTAAATTTAATTGAGTTGATTTTAAAAATCTTCTAATTCTTTTTCTTTTTCTTAATTTTCTCTCATGATTTCCTATAGTTTAGAAGTTCTCTTTAAAATTTCATTATTTTTATCTTCCTAAACAACTGCTGTTTCATGGCCTGCTTCTTACTATGGAATTCCAGCTAATGATGCTTATGACTAATTCTTTCCCATTTTTCTCTAACTAGGTTTGTCAGAAACCATAGATTCTCTAGGCGAGAATCCACCTACAGCTTGAGACAAATCAATACGAGTTAACAAGTAAATAGGATATTTGATCTAATATTTTATCATACTTTTTAAATCTATACTTTTGCTTCCTTGCGTCATTAAAGGTTCAGATAGCTTTCATATGTTTTTTATTGATATAATTTTTTAAAAGTTTAATATTGACAATTAATTAATTACTTTAAAATCTGATAGACCAAATTTGTCACTAACGTAAATAGGTATAAATCCTATAATAAAATCTTTGTCTACTCTACTCTAACTAGTATTTAAAATAACCTTAAACTCTAGTTAAAGAACAATCATGGAATTTTTTGAAGCAAATACATTATCTACCTCCATCGCTCCATCATATTTAAGGATTTTGTAAGGAACTTTTTTATTATCTTCCTCTCTTTCAACACGGCCTGAATCTAAAAGTATTAATTTATTGTTAATACCACCTCTGTTAACACAAGTTCTGTTATTATGATAGCAGCAAGAAAGTTTGTATCCTCTTAATTATTAAAATATATGTTGAATATTCTTAAATTAGTTAAATTTTTAAAGTAAAACTAAAATTTTTTTTAATTAAAGATTTTAAAATAAAAATATAGATTAATAATTTTTTAATTAAATTTACTGTTTATCAATATTTTTCATTTAGTTCACAGGATCTGCTATCTATCCAGATGAATTAGTGATCATCAAATTTTATTAAGCATTCTTTAGGATTTCAGTTTCAATAGCTTCAGGTAAATGAATTTCAATTTATTTTAAAAATATAGTAAATGACTATTTCAATTAGACTGGTTAATCAAAAGGGGGTAAATGTGGTTTGTTTGTTTCTTAGTCTAATTCTAAACCTTCAATTTCGTGTTGCATGTTGTCTACTAAAAACATTTAGGGAATTAAGTGCTTAGCTTTTTCAAACTACTAAGATGGGTTTAATGAAATTATAAATTTTATTCCTAAATCTTAAGCTTAGCTCATATCTGGCTCATTGAAATACTATGCAAATGCCATTCTCCTTACTTATAACTAGGTTTAACCTTCCTTAGCTAAATCTAACTCAGCAATTCCAACTTATTTTTAGTTTAACGATATTTCTTTAGCTCCCATCTCTATTTTGTAAAAATAAAAGCAATTATTTAGTAAATAAATAAAACATTCAAATTGATTTGTTAAATTAAATTAAGAAATACTTTATAAATAAAATACAAAGCTATCAATTACCATGTATTTAGAAGTCAAAAATTGCATATACTTAATCATTAGGCTAAATGCTTGTGTGGAAGTAAATTGATGGACGATTTTTTTCAGACAATTTATAAGATTACTTTTATGTTTCTATTAATTCTAGTCCTACTGTATTATATGTATTTCCAAATACTTTTTTTTCTTTCTTGTAGCAAAGATGAATGAAAATTTTAACCAATAACCTTTCTACTGGTTATGACTAACTCTAAATTAATAATTTAATAATTTATGATTACAAATATCATTTTAAAATATACTCATTTAAATGATTTTATTTATAAAAATTGTTATTTACTTAAGTGATTTAATGCTAAATTTTATCTAATTCATCTATTTGTAAGCAATACGATCTTGTGTTATTACTATCTCCTATATTTAATGATTCAATAGGAACATATTTAGAGTTCTCTTTTCTTTTATTCCAAAACTGTTCTACTCTTCTTCTTTCTTACGTTATATCCACCTAATTAAACAATAATTTTCTTTATTTAGTTAAATGCTAAATGAAGAGCAGCAATAATAAATATTAATTATTATAATTCAAAATAACTAAGGCTAACAAATTTTATAATAATAATATAAATATTATTGCTATTCTAAATTGATTAATAATGAGCCATGAGCCTAATAATTACTTGATCATCAAATTCTCTTTATGAGAAAGCTTAACTTGTCATTTTATCTAATTTAAAATTAACTGTATTTTTGTTATTTGCTTTCAAACAAATTAATAAAAAATAAAAATCTTATTTTAAAAATAAATTTTTTGATTTTACTGATATTTTATGTATCAATGAATGATTGATTAATTTATTGATAAATATAATAAATAGGCAGGTATGTGTTTAGGCGTTGTTTTTTTTAAATTCATAAATTTTGTATCATGATAAATCAAAAAAAAGTAAGATTCTACATAAAATTTATAAAATGAATATATAGATTTGTTAAAACAATAATCCAAATTCAAAATATCCATCAGTACATATTCATCTAACTATCAAAAGCTTAGTTTCTAAAATATAAATACTCAATCAAAAATGATAAATAATTAGAAATGAAAAAAATTATATTTATTTTAATAAATTTCTAGAATAATTTAAAAACTTATTAATATTATTTTAAAAATATAACAAATAAACATAAATCTTAATTTCTGTATTTAATTTTTTTTTTAATTACTACAAAGAATGTCAATTAGTTATTTTGTTATTAAAATTAAATATGCTTTAGCACTTCAGTATAAAAAAATAAGCAATATTTCAAAATTATTTCCTTTTTAAAAAATAATAATAAATGTAATAAAGCAGTATGATTTTAATCAAAGAAACATTTTAATTTGAAATTTTTATAAATTTTATTTTTAGATAAATCAAGTAATAAGTTTAATAATAAATGATGATTTACTAAAAAAAACTTCTCATTTTATTTTTAAAAATCTATGAATATAATAATTTTACTAATTTTAAAAAAATCAAACATGACTTCTGATTAAATTTTATTATTATTTGAGAGATATAGAAAATAATAATAATAATAGTTTATTAGTTAATAGTAAATTCATTCTTACATCAAAAAAATATCAATATATTTATCTAGAAGTTCAAACTTAAACTAAAATAAATAATTGTTTTAAAAATAATATTTAGTTTTAAAGAAAAATTATATTTATTATATCAAGATTTATTTGTTTCTTTAAAATTTAAAGATAGGTAAAATAAAAATTTTCTAGCTAATATTCATCTTTTTAGTTAGAAATAGCCAGATTTTTTTTTCTATGATCGCTTTTGATAAATACTGTGTATAGAAAAAAGAAAAAAAATAATTTAAGGAGTTTAATTTGCAATTATTGTGGGCAATATTGTTTTTTGATATAATATTTAATTGAAAATAGCTAATTAAGATATATTTATATATTTTTAAAAAAATTTTAATTTAAAATAAATAATTACATTTCAAAAAAATAATAAAAAAATAGTTAAATAAATGGATCCTGTTTTAAAGCAACTTAAAATTAAGAGCGGAGCTGTTAAGCGTCTCTAAAAGGAATACGTTTGCTATCAACTTGAAGAATAAAAGCAAAAAGAGAAGCTTGAATAAATGAAATAATAAGGTGTTGACGATTATGAAATCAAGAAAATGGTAATAAATTTCTATCATAAAAATAAGATATCATAAACAATATATTAATTTAAAACAAACAGACTGAATTCTTAGAAGAAACCCAAGCAGTTTTTCCTGGATGCAGAACTCGTTTATAAGATACTTTAAACGAATTTACTAGTTGGATGGTAAAATTTTTAAATATAATTCTATGATCAGTAATTGTATTATATAAATTTAGAATGAAAATGGTGATAATTTAGCTATTAAAGATACTTAAGAAAAGACTGAAGCCGAAGATATTATTTAATAAGCAACATAATTTTTAGAATAATTGAATGCTTTAAATTGAATATATTATATATATTAAAAATATAATATTAATAAATTAATTAACTATTTTACAAATAAACTATTTATTTATTATGTTTGAATAATTTATTGAATGATTGATTGATTAACTGACTATAAATGTTTATTTCCATATAATTTGTTTTTATATTTATAATAATTGTTTTAGAATTTATAAATTAAACTCGATATTTATTTCTATAAAATTTTATGACAGCACATTTATTAAATCATGAGTAAATTATTTTAGTGGCAAAAATTATTGGAGAGGAGTTAATTTTGAAAAATACACAAAATACTTGCTCAGACTGCATCTAGTTATTTTTTTGAGAGATAGTAAATGATATCTTTTTAGTTTCTTATTATTTTAATATAAAATTTTATGGGAAAAATGTTATTTTCGTTGAGTCATTTTATTTTTAAACTACATCAACTTCTATATCTTAAGCTAATTCAGTTAAAGGATTTGTTAATTATATGTTCAGCTCTCCTAATTCGTTTATTTTGGCTTCAATTGCAGTAAACTAACCTTGAATTTGCATATTTTAATCACTTTTAAGGATTAATTAGGGTTTTAGTATTTATGCTTTTAAAATTAGGGCAATTTAATTATTAGCAGTAATGATTTAGTTTTATTAGTCATCAGCTTCTTAAATGAATAAAGTATCAAAAATCCTTTACTCTTCTTCTCTATAGCATTTTATAACTACTTTTACTGTTGAAAACTCAGGGATAATCAAATAGTTGTTATCTATTTCAAAATTTTGAGATTCTAAGCATAGCCTGATGCTTATTACTCTATCAGAGCTATTCAGTATTTCTAATGACTTTTAAGTCTCTTCGAAAATAAATTACTTTCCAAAATCTATTTCTTTCTCTCTGATTTTGATATAATTGCTTATATTTTATTTCTTTTGTTAATTTTGAATTTAAGTCGAAATACTATTTAACTTACTTTCATTTCCATTTCTATTTTAAAAATTATCTGAATTTTAATTTATTTAAGATCCATTAAATATGCTATTATTATGCAAAGAAGAGAGCAAAGAGTCATCATTCAAACTCTCCACTGAAGTTCTTAAGCTGTTTTGGCTAAATTAATTATTATAAGCCTTTGTGATGCCTTATGTATTATTTTTATTATTATTTTGAAAACCCAATTAATTTTAATTTAAGCTGAGCTGCCTTAAAGACGTAGGAAATTCTAAGTCTAAATCATCTTAAGATTTAAGCAAATCTTCTGTGTCTTAAGAAATATTAAGCTTATTTTAAAACTTCTTATCTTAATTATGCTAATTTAAATCATCTTCCTAAGTAAATAGTTATTCATCATTGTCTTAGGTAAAAATTTACTTGTTTTTTATATTTATGTCTGGGCTATAATCTGTAAGCTTAATATCTCTTGATTCATCATTCTTCATCCCTTCTAATGTAGCTTCACGAGATATATTTAAAGATTATTTGCTTGTATTTTAATTAAAAGATGATGTTTTGAGCTATTCGTAACTCGTTTATAAAAGTTGGCTTGTTCTTTTCCTCTATTCTATAATATCATCAAATACTTTTTTTATTTTATTATCTGTATCTTTAATTTCTTCTAATATATTTTTCTTCATTTTTGTGTTATTAATTTGCAATTAAAAACCTTATAATTTTTGAATTGATAAATTAATGCTACTATTTTATCAATTTGAATTTTTTAAATTACTACTTGATTTATTTATCAATCCAAATATTTGATATTTTTTGAGATATTTCAATTATCTTAATTTATTCATCTTCGATAATTAGCTTGCTTTGCTTGATTATGGTTAAAAGATTCAACACAAAATACATTAAATTTTGCTCTATTTAAATAAATATTATTATTTTAATTTATTTTATATCAAATATTTTCAAAGATAAACCAAATATTTTTTGAGTTTTTTATAAAATAATTTAGGAAAAATTTAATTTTATTCATAATGATTTTTGAAAAACTTTAAAAATAAAATTATTTAATTTAAAAAAATTTTATTATTAAAATAAAAACGTAATTTTTTATTGAAATTTCAAAAAATAAATTGAACATATTTTATAAATTAAATAAAGATGAGATTTAGTTTATTTGTTTGTTTGTTCGTTCTTTGATTTGGATTAAAAATTTACTGTTAATATTACAAATATTACTGATTGTTTGTCAAAGAAATTCGTTAGGAATGTGTTTGGAATCGAAATTTGATCATGTAATTAACAACTATCTTATTTAAACGAATCAATCCAATAGGTAAATAAGTATAATGTGTTGATTATATGAGCGATATATAATACATTTAAAGAAATTAAAAATTAGAAATTATATATTTTTCTGCTTAAAATCAAATAATAATAAAATGAAAAACGCAAATAAGGTATATTAATAAACAAACAGAAGTAGTCACTCCTCTTTTGCCTTCAAAGAAAACTGCAAGGTTGATGTCATGCAAAATATTATCAACTAAAATTGTGGAAATGGTGGTGTAAATTCATCCTAGTCAGTCTGTCCTGAAAACAAATTAAATTATTTAGAGAGCAATTTAAATCGCTTGTGTGTTCAATAGGATGCTTTAATGCCTTTACTTTAATTTGCAGAGTATCTACCTGTTATTCAAAAATATGACACAACTTTAAAAAATGTCACCAAAAAATTTGATGAGTTTGAAAATAGATAAGTTAAGGTAGAAAGAATAGTAGAGCAAAGACTAAAAGAGAAGGTAGACAAATCGCCATTGTAGAAGTTGGAAACAGCTAAGCTTAGTAAGAATGTTGATAGTCTCAACTAACAACTTAAAGATCTTGAACTCAACTTCAACAACGTACATAGATGGTATGAAGCAAAATTAAAGGAAGAATCTTAGACTATCTAAAGAAGTCTAGAAGTAAAATTAGAAAAGTAGAAGAATGACTTTAAAAACTAACTATATTCTATTAAATCAAACACTTCTCCTTTAGAATCTATGAATGTATCTACCATCTAGCAAAGCCAAGTGACAAGAGAAGAGCTTTTCTCTTTTAAACAAGAATTAATGTCTGAGATTAAAAATATCTGCTTTGAGAAGCTAGATAACCTTCGTTAAGATCTGAATGCAGAAATGAGAAACATTTACAAAGTATTTTTTATTAAGATTTTGTTTTTTTTTCAGCATTAATTAGTATATTCAACTATAATGATAAAATATATAAAATACTCACTATGATTGAGTACATACATATAATAAGACTATAATAATTATCAGTTAAATAATTAATAAAAGCGATTTATTTTACTTTTTAAAATTAGGAAATAGGAAGTTTAAGATGCGATGTTGAATACATCTCTAACTTAGAAAGGAAAAACAAAATCACCTCTCGTTTTCATGATGAGCTGAGCAACAAATAACTTTCTTAAATAGAACAATAAGTTATAATAAACATATTAGAATAAGAGTGCTTTATTGAAGATTTAGAATCTTTTGATAAAGAAAACACTGTGAGAATAACTCAAGAAATCAATTCTATTAACTAAGTAAAATTTATCCATATTTAAAAATATCTTTAAAGTTAAATTATAAAAATTTGAAGGACTGTTAGGTTCTGTCATAAGAATTGGAACAACAGGATATATGTGAAAAATAAAAATTAGACAAAAAACAAAAAGAAATTGAATATTTGTTTGAAAAAAATGTTAATCTAAAATATTAGCTTGCAGGAACGTAATTTATAGTTAATTTTTATTTTACATTTTATTAAATTATTTACTATAAAAAAGGAAAAAGAAATACGCAAATGAAATAAAAAAAATAGAAGAAAAGTTCATTATCCTTGATCAAATTAATTCGTATTTATATTTTTATTTATTTTTCATTAAATAAAATTTATTATATTATTTTTTAATTAAGAAATATTCAAAGAGAAGAAATGACTGAACAATAGGAGCAAAATTTATACATCATTAAAAGTCTTGAATTAAAGGTAATCTTTAAAGCTTTCTATTTCTTTTAAAGTTAGTTTATCATTTTTATTTTTAATAGCTTAGTGAATTAATGAATAGCATTAATGAAAACCTTGAAAATGAAATGAACAAAATTCAAGAAACAGAAAATTAATTAGGATTATTAAAGAAGAAACTTTGTCAAATTTAATGACGATGAAATAAAAGAATACTTACTCTTTTAAGTTATAAATATATATAAAGCAGCTAATAAATAAATAAATAACAAATAAAAATGCAATAGAATTATTCATACAAAAACATTAATTAGAAATAAAATATATTAATTTATATTTATTTAAGCTCTTTTTAGGTGTATTTATATTTGTAAATATATTCTATAAATAATATCTTATTTTCAAACTTATTTCTTTCACTTATTCAATATGGTTTTCTTAAGTGACCGAAGGGTCTTTTATCTGGATCATCATTTATATTTTATAAATTATATTCTGGTTGATTAACTTTTGGATCTTCTAAATCTTATTTAGAAGGTATATTTGATTCAGCTTCTACATTTTCTTATTTCTTTCTTGTGTTAACTTTTGTATATCTTGAGTCAATTATGATAAATTCTATTTTAAAAATTAAAGTCAGTTATACATAATATTCAAAAATATTACATTTTTCATTTCCTACTCTAATAGAAGTTGAAACTGGTCTGAAATTTTCTGGTACCTCTAAGTTGATGAGCAATAAAAATATTCCCAGTATAAACACACCTTTATTTATTTAAATGAATATTAAAAACTTGAATAAAAAATTATTTTATTAATTTTACCTGTTACTAAATGGAAAATTGCGATTAAAACTACATTTAATTTATATCTATCTTATAAACATGAATCACTTATGTATGAACCATCTGAATTTTGTGTAGTTGATGGGCATTTTTTCTAGTAGTATTATTATGTTATTTCAGAGAAATTTTAATAGCTATTAGTAAAGTTCTTTTACTGATCGCTAGAAAAGGCATATGCAAATGAAGCTATAGCAAAAACTACAAGAGTGATAGCCCAGAAAAATAGCAAAAATTTTAAAATTTTTATCCATTCTTTATTTAAAACGCTAATAAACTTATAAGCAATTACTAAAAAAATGATTGTAAGAGCCATGAATAACAGTAAAGATTAGCTCAGAAATTTGGGAGATTCGATACCGTTGAAGTAGCAGACCTATGTTAATCCACTTAATTTTAAATAAATTAAAGTTAATATTCTTTGATCTTGCATGGAAATAATAGAGTTAAAATTACCATAAAAGCTCAGCTCCAATTACATCTAAAAACATAGTGAATGAGATTAAAAATTTAAGTCTATTTAAAGCTGTTTAAATTGAAGATTGGAGAGCAGTTTATTTTTTTCTTTATCCAGTAACTTCCTATGCTTATTAAGCTTATTCAATCTACTAATTTTAGGCAGGAATACTCTATAAATCTGCTTCATTTTAATTTAAAGGCTACTTTTCCTCTTATCCACTACTCTCCTAGTTTTATAAAGTATTATAATTGTTATATTTTAAAAGGATATAATCTATGAATAATATTTGATGCTATTTTATCTTTTTTCAAACTAATGAAATACTTATCAAATTATAATTACTTTTTTGTTGTTTAGAATCATTTCCTTTTTGCTTAAAATATTTTTAAAATTTAAATAAATTCTTACTAACTTTTAAAAAGTATTAATGAATTAATTTAAAAATTGAAATCTAATAAAAAAAATAAATGCGTATTTTTATTTTATTTCTTATTAATTTATAATACTCTATTAATAATTAATAAAGGCTCACTTATTCCCCGCTAAATACTAATAATTAGTCATATATTTAATTAACTTTGTTTATTTAAGATATCTTACTAATTGTTTATTAAAAACAAGCACTCACTTGCTTTTACAAATAATATTTCGTTTTCTTCTAAACACAAATAAAGAAAAGAAAAAAATTAGCTGTTAAAAAATATTATTTATAATTAAAAATATAATAATACAAAACAAAAAAAATAAAACAAGATAAAAAGAAGATGGATATTTACTTTATTTGCTTATTTAACAAAAAGTTTTTTAGTTTAATAAATAAACAATAGAATTAAGGAAATAGCATTTTTTGCCCAACAAACCGGGCTGGTTTATTGGGTAAAATAAAAAATGCTTATTGATTTAATTCTCTAACAGCAGTTGAATCTAAATACATAATAATGTAAGAAATACCCTCGCATCAACATGAAAATTTTTTAATTGAATCAAACAAAAAGCAAAAGATAAATATCCTCTTTGATATATTTAGTAAATTCAAAATTAATATGAACCCTTTCTTTTTGACTATTGATAAACACATTAATCAATTAAAATCTAGCTTTAGTTGTTAGAAATCGCTCTTTCAAAAAAAAAAAAACTCATCATAATTAATGGAATATACTTACTTACTTTCATATCTTCTTACTGAATTATCTTTTTCTCTTTTTACAAAAATATTTTCTTTAAAAAGACAAATAATTAGTTAAATATAAAGATAAAATAAATGTATGTATTAAATCTTATAAATAAAAATTATAAAAATATCCACATAAAAAACAATATAAAACTTACTAATAATAAGAAATAAATTAACAAGTAAAAATTCGATGAAAAAAAAATCAGTTAAAATTTTTGTTAATTCAAAATATTTTAAAACAAAAACAATAATTTGATAGAAAATTATTTCAATAGTTATCAAATTAAATTAAGAATTAAAATTCAAATAATCTTTTTAACATACTTTAAAAGTAGTTTTTATTACTTAAAATGTATAATTTATTAATTTTTTAAACCTTTACTAATGAAAAACTAACTATCTAATAATTATATGTAGATTCTATTTAAATAAAAATAAAAATACATTACTTGGCTAATTAAATTATTTTAATAGTCTAAAATTTGATTGATAAATACAATTTATTATGATTAAATTTTTAAAAAATAGATTTAGGTTAATGAAAAGAATATTTAAATAACAAAAGTATTTTTACTAAAAATATTATATTCAAAAGCTTAAACTTTCACTTTACTTTGAAAGCTGTTTTATACTCAATATTATTTGCTGACTGAACCATTTAAACTTGTTCCTTATATATTTATATTTTTCTTTTATTCCATATTCAGTAAATATTCTTCTAATTCATTTTGTATCTCATATTAATTTATTCTTTTAAATTCCATTTTTTTCTCTGAATCATCAATCTATTTCTAAAAAAAATGAAGATAATATTTTATTTTTTAGTTGCATTTTGAAATTTTAAGATCTTAAGTCACTTATTCAGAAATCTACTTTTCATTTATTTTTAAGCAAGTCTTATATAACTCTTTTCTTCGCTCATCTAATTTTTTTTTTTTTTAATTATAGAAATCGTTACTAATTAAATCTTTAAAATTTTCATTAATTGGATGCTTATTTTCATAAATTTTTTTTAAATGAGTAAATTATAACTATTATAGATACAAAGAATAATTAGTTAAACATTATTTTAAGTCATCTTAGTTTTCGTATTCCTTATTTGTATATTAATTTTGAACAAAATTCTAGATTTAATTTAATTAATCTAAGTAATCTATCAAATTAGAAAACTCTTCTTTTTCTTTTTATCTCTATTTAAAAATTTCATTTTACTTTATAAATTAGTCTTCATCTAATTTTTGTATTTTATCTACTTTAGTTACTTTCTATACTTTATTTTAGCTATTATTATTAAGATTAGATTACTAAATTTTTAGACTATTTTCATTTTCGACATATTTTTAGTATTTAATAACAGGTTATTTTTATATAGATGTAACCTAACTATATTTAGGTTTATTTTACTAAGACATGCTTTAAGCTAAAGTATTTTCTTTTATTTAAGGTTTAATTTCTGATTTAGTTTTATTTTAATAAAATTATTGGTTTTATCCTGCTTGAATGCTTGAATTTTGCCTAAAACTTGGGTTTTCATTCTAAATAGAATTTTAATTTATTGGATGTTTTTAAATTACTTCTGACCTTGTTTCTTATTTTGTTAATTACTATCTCGAATTTTATTTTTAGTACTATTAGAAACTATTTTAAGATTTAATTATGCCCTTTGGGGTTTATATTTTTGAGCCAAAGCTACCTTAAGAATCAAATATTTATATACTATTTTATCTAATTATTTATCTAACTTATTATTGGCCTTATTATTTTTTGCTCAGCGAGCTGTTTTGCATGCTTTCTTGTTCTTGTTTTTGTGGTAAGTAACTTAATTGTTTATAATTACCAAGAGGGTACAAGTCAGTTATTTTCAAAATATCAATTCTTTTGTTAGGATCAACTTTAAGCATCTAACTCAATAAATATTTTGTTTTATCTGATATTTAAAATTCTATGCAAAATCTATTTAAATTTTAGTCAATACATTCTTGAAGGTACTAAAAATTTTAGATGAAATCTTGCATAAGAAACAAATATGCACCAAAAAGCATCTTACTTAATATCTAGCCCAAGCTAAAAATATCCTAAAAATTTATAAATTTTATGTAAAAAATAAATAATAAATATTTAAATAAGTATATATACTGCTTTTAAAGTATATCCCTTATTCATAAGAACTTCAGGAGCTACTGTAGTCATAGTACCTAATATTGACTAATATTCCATCTCTTATAAAGATTCTTTTGAAAACCCAAAATCAGCTAACTTTATTTTGTTATCAAGACCAAATAAAATATTAGGTAATTTTATACTATTTTAATTAAAGAAATATTAATAATAAATTTTATAAAAAAGCAAAAATTTTATTTTTAAATAAAAAAGAATTTGTAAAATAATTATTTAAAATAATCCTATTGATTAGAGCGTCTCATTTACTTTAATTTATCTTATTTAAGTAAATATTCTAACAAAGAAAACAACTTAATTATTAAAAAAAATCTAATATCAAAGATCAAATAAATGATATTTTTAAAATAATGAATTTCTAATATAAATAAAATTTATTTTAAATCTAAAAAAAATCATTAAAATGATTATTTATTACTCTCTGTGTGCTATTTTCGAGTAATGCATGTAATATATTGCATCTTTTATCTAAAAGAAATAGTATAAAGCTTCATTTTCACTGAAAGAATTTTATCTTTAGAGTTTATCCAAAAGGGTCTCTTATTTACAGAGTTCAGTAACTATATATTTATTTTAAGTGTCTTCAAAACTATCGATATATTTTAAAATATGCTCGCAATTATGTCTCTAAAGAGCTTTCATAACTTTTATCTCCTCTTGAATCATCAGATTCATTTATTAATTTAATCTCGAAGCATGTTATTTATTTATCTCCTTAATGGCGACTAGCTATTATTATTTGTTAACACCTTTATACACTTTACAAAAGCTTCCTTATCCAATTTATTCTAATATTATATATTCTTTGTTAATTTATTTATTTTAACTTTTATATAATTATGACATTTTTTTGTATATTTTATTTAAGTTCTAATATATTTATTTTTTATTAACTTCTTTCTGTTCTAAATATATATATATATTAATCCAATTAAGCAGTATTATAATAATTAAATAATTTAGTACTATCTGACCATTTTATTTATTTTATATAGAAAAATAAATATTATAATATAAATAAAATTATAATAAGTTTTATATATTAATTATTAAATTTATTCTATAACTAAATATTTTCAAAATTGTTTTGATTAATATGTTTGTGAAGATGTTGATTAATGATGAGAATTAAGCATTGAGGAACTATACTAACTTGTAGAATTTGAAGCATTCCCATTTAAATTATTATGACTATTATTCAAGTTATTAGATGCTTCTTTTAAATCAAATTTATTTACTATCTCTTAGTATAACCTAAAAATAATAAAATTATAAAAAAATTAACATCATTTTTATTTATTAGTAAATTAAAAATAATAAATAAATAAATACTTACTTCTCAAAAAGTTGGTCATGCTTATTTTATTGCTGATGTTATTATTGAGAGTTGCTTGTAGTGATATTTCCTGGCTTATTGTAGGTCTTTTGAGTTAAATTAGCGTTTAAAGAAGAATTCATGCTTTTAACTTCATTCTTATTTAATAAGCTGTGAAGTTTTGTTGTATCATTTTTTAATCTAAGAAGATTCCTAACTATTTATGAGAATTCCTTTTAAACTTTTAAAATAATTGCATAAGGGTTAGTTTAAATGTTAGAAATTTATTTAATAAAAATAAATTTAAATAATAGAAAATGTATATTTTATTTATAAAGATATTTCATTTTATTTTATTTTTAATTTTAATTGTTATTTTACCCATCGGATCTTCAATATCAATTTACTTATCTTGTGTGACTTAAATAAAATTTTTATTAGCTTGTTTATTTTAATCTTAGTTGTTTAAAGAAGCAGATCCATTTATAATTTTCGTGTCCTCATTAGCAGAACATTGTATTGATCCTTATATAGATGTTTTAGAGCCATTAAAAGAACTTTAACTCTTATCTTATTTTTTTGATAAGCTCTAGTTATTTTAATTCAAATGGTATTAGTTTTTTGTAATATTTTTACAATATTGAGCAGATGTTTTTGAAGGAGATTTTTTTCTGTATGCTTCATCTTGATATAATCTAAATATTAATTCAAATTTATTAATTTATTCCATTTAAAATAACTTTATTTTACTATTTTATAAATGTGCTTGTATCTGAAGGTGTCTTATAGTGAAAATTTCTCTAAGAATTGTCTGCGAGTTACTCCTTTAAGTTAAATAATTTTTTAATTAAATATGAATTATTTAAAATTTAAATTAATAAAATCTTATGATTATTCATTACTCTATTATAATCAAATCGTAAATTATAAGAAAGATATATTAGTAAAAAGCTTCTAAACTAAAAACCATAATAAAATAATATTATATAAACTATAACATTCGAAAAAATTTAATAATAACTAAATCAATATAATTAAAGAGATAAAATAATTAAATTAATTAATTAAAATTTACTTATTTTAAATCTTCTGATCTTTGCCCCTTTTGTAAGTCACTTTATACATAAGCATTATATTGGTTCGAGTTATTTTGAACACTATTAGAATAAGAATCTAAATTATCCATTGAACCATGTCTATTCTGCTTATTATAATTTGAAGGTGTGATTGGGTTACTTTAAGTCAGTGTACCTATTGGTGCTCTTGATTTAGATGTATTTAACTCACTCATGGAACCATCACTTCCACTATCATCTTAACTATCCTCTAAATTTTTAGAATTATTACTTTTATTTCTTTTTTTACTTTATTTTAGAGTGATATTCACTCTGTTTATAGCCTTTTCATGAATTTTATTTCTCATTTTGAATTACTCTGCAGAACTATATAAACCATTATTTGTATCTTCTTCCTTATTATCTTATTAGTCTAAAGAGCTTAAAGGAATATTTAATAGATTACTTTAAGATTTCTTTCTCTATTAAAAGCTATTTTATTCTTGAGAATCTTCAGATACGCTTTGAACTTTATTTTATATTTTTGAGGAGTTATTAAGTTTGTTCATTTAATTTTTTTATTGAGACTAAGATATTCTGTTTTGCTCTTCAAAATTTTGCTATTTAGCTTCTTTTATTGATGTATGCTGTATTTATATAATTAAATTAATACAAAAAATTGATTAATAAATTAAAATAATCTAAATTTACTTCTATTTGATTTTATATTTGAGTATATTCAGTGTTTATATTTAAGCTTTGTGTTAATTACTGCTAATCATTTAATTTAATGCTTTTATTGATTTATAAATCATTAAGGGAACTAAGGCCTTACTACTATTTACCTTAATCAATTTATTAATTTAATATAAATTAATTATTTTAATTTTGTAAGTTATAGTAAAGACTTTTTATTTATTCTTGATCTTGAGCACCTGATAATTATTATGGTGATTATTAAGAATATTTTTCTTTACTTTATTAATTAATCTAACTTAATTACTACTATTGCTAATTATTAATAGGTTTACTTTCTTGTTTTTCTTCTGTTGATGTTAAGTAATTAGATATATTTTTATTAACAGGATTGGACATTTCTAATTTTTATTCGAATCCCATTTATATTTAAGTATTATTTGCAGGTGATGCTTAATTATAGTAATAATTGTTACTTATCAATTAACTATCATACGACAATACAAATGAGAGAGGTTTTTTAGAATTGAAACTTGAGTTTTTTTAAGATAACTAAGACTCCACTTTGCTGTTGGATTCTTCAGTTTTAGTTTTGTTTTAAAAATTGTTTTGAAAATTTTCTTTAAATAAGCTAGGCTTTTCTAATGTTTTACCTTATTAAATAGTAATGCTATCTAAAGAATTTTTCATTTAATTCTCTGATGTATTTATTGATTCATCATTAATACTATTTTATTTTGTAAAGAATATATTTTTTTACATTCTTTGAACTATGTTATTAGAACCAGGGGATGGCATAGCAGACTTTGAAGAAAATTAATTAGAATTTAGGTTTACCAGCTACTCAGGACATTATTAATTAAATTATTATTTTTGATTATTGGAAAGATTTTAATTTAAAACATAGTTAGTAAAATTTTTTTTTAAAAATTATTTATCAAAACTTTATTAGTGTTAGCTTTAAAAACCATTTAATTTATTTTATTATTATTAATTTTTAGAAGTATTTAGGCTATTTTAGTTTATTTATAAATTTTAATGAGAATTTTGTTAATATTATTATTGTTGTTGTTATTGTTATTATTGATGATGATGTTATATTTATTATTATTCCATATTATTTTATTGATCTTTACTTATTTCATCTACTATTTTATTAGTACTACTCTAACCACTAATTATAGCATAAGTTTATGCTGCTAATTAATCATTATCCTCATCATTTTATTCTGTTTTATGTCTCCATTCAAATTTTCCGTTGCTAAATTAATTTTTATCATATAATGACTTACTCATGCTATGATTACTTTATATAGTTGATTATGTATTTTTACTTTTAACTTATGTTGCATTATTTGCATTCTATTTATAAATGTCAATACTTTCTTTGATGCCATATGAACTATTTTAGCCTTTTTACTTTTAAAGATTGCTACTATTATTATTGTAAAAGCTTATTTTGTTATTAAATCCAAAATGCTCCTTTTTACTTTATTATTCCCTTGAATTACTACTTAACAAAAAATATATTAATTTTAAAATAAATTTAACAAAAAAATGTAAAAATTTTCATATTTTAAATCTGTAAGTAAAAGTTGTATTTACAATTATTTTTGTACTGTTGATTAAGAAGAAGAAGACATTCTTTAAGCAATAGAATCAGCATTTTAGCTGCTACTTGAAATATTGTTATTCAAATTACCAAATTAATTTTATATTTCCTCTTAAAAGTTAACGATCGATCTTTGTTGCTCATTCTTTACACCAACAGATAAATTTAGATTTTGATGGGATTATACATTGTAATCCTCAATTTGTTCATCATTTTCAGTTGCTACATTACTACTTTTATGAGAATAGCTATTTTATCTTCTATGCCCATTAGCTTTGATTTAAGTATTTCCATTATTATTAGCAGTCTATGAAGGTGATTTCTCTTAAAAGTAAAGCTATTGTGCATTATTAAAATCTTAAGAATTTGTGTTTCCTCCGTTTATGCTGAACGATGTGTAACTTGATTTTTTTCCTTACTAAATTCCATACTTATTAGGTTTATTTTATTAATTGCTGTTATTGTTAAGCCCACCTATATTTTCTATTGAATTTTTGCTTTAAGGTTTTGAATCATTATGTTTTACTAAATACTAATCATATGTGCTTTATGTTTTTTAGGATTTAGATAAATTAGAGCAGCTAGTTGATATAGAAGGAGCATATTACAGTTAAACTCCATTATAAGTGCTATTGCTTAAAACAGGAGCGTTTGTATACTAGCCATTTATTATAAAGCTCTAAGTTTATCCTGCTGGAAGTATTTAATTTATCAAATTTGAAGGCTACTTATTAAATTATTCACTAAAACTGTTTTATTTTTATATTTGAGCTTTCTGATTGCTGCTTGTAGATTATCCTGACTACACTAAAAGTGATGGATTCGCAATGCTACTTGAAATATAAGCAATCTTTTAATTATCTTCAATATTATTATTTAACTAATAAGGAGCATTTTTTATGGGACTTACATCTCTTTTCATAGACTTAAATGTTGAGTTTTATAAAGGCTAATTTAAACTTTTATCTGATTTAGCTAAACCACTTGAAATATTTTAAGGAGTGCTAGTAGTACTTGTTTTTTAACCTAGTCCTATTACATTGTTTAGAGAGTTTTTGTTTACTTTTGCATTTAAATCTTTTTTTTAAAATATATTAAAAATATATTATCTCTCCTTTGAATAAATTACTAATATTTGGAGGCACTATAGACTGATTGCTTTACTAATTTTATTATATTTATTGCTTGTTTTATATATTACTGGAGCTTGATTACGAGTTATATTGAGATGCTAGCTGCTGCTGCTACTAATACTAAAGATGTTGCTATTCGAATTATTTTGCAAAAATATTGCTTTTAACTTTCTTCTAAGCTTAGTTTTATTGCTAAATCTATTTGGATTAAGAGGTGCTTTAGTTTGTAATTGAGTTACTGCTATTCATAACATTTTGATTACCTAAGCATTTTTTAAAAAGATAGATTTTAATAAATGATATGTTTATTCAATAAAGAATAGTATTAATATTACCTATTTAATTTTGACTCAACTCGCTTCCTACTGTTAATATATTTATTGATTTAGTTTTATGGTCTTCGCCTCCATCTATGTTTTAAAAATGAAATTTATAAAATTACAATTTTTTAGCAATAGATTTCAATCATATTTCAAGTGATTTCCTAAAATTTTCTTTAATAAAATCTAATAATTTTAATTAAAGTTGAATAACTATACAAAGTAATTTTAATTACTTCTTTATAATATGTTAAAATCGATTAGTGAAGGTGCACCTTAACTAGGAATATCACTAATATTAACATCCTACTCTAAAAGTTCATTTTAAGATTTTTATATGACTTATTTTGATCCTAATGATTGCTAAGAAGCATAATCAGCACTTTAGGCAGAAATTGCATTGTAGCTTTTTCTGTTATTTTATTGCATTTGCTAGTTTAATTATGGCTATTATTTGTTAATTTATTGCATATTAGATGATCCAAGCATTGAATCTGATGTAACTTATGACTAGTATGGTTTATGAAATGTATACAATGCGCTGCTCTGCTCATGAGTGTTATTATATTTATTTAAGATGAAGTTATCTCCTGACTTCTATCTTGAAAACATTAACGCTAAATTATCTATCTATCAATCAATCAACCACCCTTTGTTCTTTACAGTAATATAAAAATAAAAAAATTTATACAAAGTTATCTTGAAATTTTGATAATATGTTTGTGATTAGGTCTTTTTTCAAGCAATTATTTACTTAGAATTATTATTATTCAAATCTGAAAACTTAATGATTTTTTAATTCGATTGGATTCTCTTGAACTATATATATCTCTAGAACTAATACCCACCTTTATTATTTATACTAACTTTGATTTTATTTTATTTTTTTCATTTATTAACTGGCTTAAATTAAATAAATAGCTAAATCTGAATAGATTTTATTTATTAAATTAATATCTCCATTGAAAAAAAAAATCACAGCAAGCTTTTCTGTAATTATTTTACTATCATAGATTTTGTGTGAACAAATATCTTGTAATTTATTTGGATAAGTAAATTTTTATTTTTGCTACTTTTTTACAATCACTAAACTAAAAATCCTAATAATTCAGATAAGGCAATTTTTGAGTTAATTTAAAATAATTCACTGTTAAGTTTTTTATGAAAAATAATCCATTAAGTATTATCATATCAATCAAAACACCTATAAAGTATGAATAATAAAAAAATTGCTTGAAAATATCTTATCTCTTAATTTTTAAAAATGCTTATTTATTTTTCTTAAATTTTAATTTTTTTATACAATTATAAGAATATAAAATAATATATTTACAATCAAAGTTATAGGGAAGAATAATTTGTTAATTTTAAGTTATATTTGGATATAAATTTTTTTAAATTAATAAATTAGAATTTTTAGCCGCCTTTTATGATGATGAGTTGCTGTATTCATTTTTTTGCAGCACTTATTGGCCTATTTCTAATGTCCATAGGAGATGCTACTGTTCTTCTATTCACTATAATTAATTTTTTAAATCAAAAGAAGAGGGAAAATAATATTTACTGTATTGAAATTTTTTGTTGGGTGTTTACAAAAAAGTTGTACCGTTTGTAGATGATAAATTCAAAACACGATTATCGTCTGGAGAAGTAAAACAGTAATCTAAACTTTCGTTTATATTTTTACCAATACTGGAGTATCTTTCGTGATTATGCACATGGTTGTTACCCTTATTAAAAATAATTAATTTCAGCACAACATAATAGAATAAAAAAATTACCTTGTTTTAACCACAAGATAAACATTTAACTGGAATTAACTTTTTTGTGCTTAATAAAGAATTGTTCTGGTTTTAGTTTCCCTAGCTAGGAGTTAACATTCCTTCAGAAGACATGAAGTTATTTATAGCCATGTTATTTGTAGAATTCATCTATTTCTTAACAAAAAGAGATAAGTTATCACAGTCTCTTCTCAAAAAGCTTTGCTACTCTGATAGTTAGTTTAATCTAGAGTCTATTAAAGCTAACTCTTTTCTATATTCTTCAGAATTTAACTTTAATTTTACTTGTTTAACTAAACCATTCAAGTCTGCATCCCTAAACACCCTCATTACCTATAACACAAAATACATTAATTAGTATGAAGTTAATAACTTTGACAAATAAATACTCTTTTTTCTATTTCATTAGCTGTTTCGACTTTGTAATGTATTTCATTTAAATCTTTTTGGAGCTTTTTATATTTTTCTTCGTCTAATATACCCTTTGGAACAGACTAATCAATCATTTTTTATATTTCAGCTTTTCCAATGTTCAATTAAGTTGTTGCAGATGCCCCAATTATATCAGAATGACCTAAATGAGCTTAATTTACTTATGTGATCAAGTCTATGCCATCAAATTTACGTTTAACCTCCTATAAAATTAATAGTATTTCATGAAAAGTGTATATTTAGCTTTTTTTTTAAGGATCTTACCTAAGTCATGTAATCATAAGCCTCAATTAGCTTAGCTATTTCTTCTTCTGCTCTTTTTAGATCAGATTCAAGTTAACATATCTTATGAGGATCCATTTTTTTAAGTAGAGAAGAATAGTCTTAGATTTCATCAGTTTAATTTTAGGTTTCCTTAATCTTACTTTTCTATTGGTAATAAAAATATACTTTTATGAATATCTTCTAAATATAATGATAGTAATCAATTAATTACAAGAATATTAAACTCTTCAAATCTATGCTCTATTTATACAAATTTTGATTTGTGGTCTTCTAAGGTAGCTTGTATATTGAATTACCCTTCTAATGTTTTCATCCTTACTCTCATTTCTGATATTCTGTCATTGTTTATTTTTTAGTATTCATTGAGTTTTTCTTGTGTTACATAAGTTTGCTTAATCCTATAAATAAGATAAAAATATTTCGAATTAATTTAAAAATACTTTTAATCAATAATTAATACTAAGTTTCTAATTCTTTGAGTGATGCCTTTACCAATTTTTGTTTCTCTGCATTTGAATTAATAAACTCATCAACTTTTTAATTTAATCTCTCCTAGAATTTATCATTTCTTTCTCCACTCCCTCCATTTAAATTTTAAAACTATTTTAAAATATATTTTTAAAATACATTTTCTTTTGGAAAAATTAGATAAAATAAATAACCTCTTTCATTATTTTTTATTGCATAGCTTAAACTGTTTCTTGGACATACTCTTCATTTATTCTTTTTGTTAGTAAATCTTAACAGTCCTGTATCTTCCATATAGTTCTTCTTTCTACATCCTGTACTAACTCTTCAAAGTTAGTGATATGAACCTATACTCTTTATTCTATAGCTTTTGTATCTTCGTTTACTACTTTTGAGAAGTCGTCTATCTATTAGTAAATTAAATTATAATTTATCTAAGGATCGTTACTTTTACCTTTAATATTTATCAAAGATCATATAATTATTAATACCTTTGCTATTAATTTTTCTTTAAACTGCTTTTATTTTTCTTTATAATTTTTACTATCTAATTTAGAATCAATTTTTTATTCTAATTTTTCAATTCTTGAGTTGTATGTCTATACTTATTTGAAAGCTTGAGTCGTTCCCATACTAAGCAGATTAATCTTTTCGCACAGCTTAGAGAGTTCTTTATCTATGATACCAGCACCAGTATAAAATAGTGCTTCATTCACTTAATCTTTCATTTCTTTAGCCATCTTTTCATCATAAAGATCAGTACATTTTGTAACCTGCCTAAGAAGATGTTATATCTTATAATTAATAATGATTAAATTGAATATTTTATCTCCAATATGTTAACTAAAATATTGTTTACTTAATCTATTGCTATTTTTTATTTCATTTACTATTCTAATTTTTCTATTTTATCATTTTGTGCATTAATTGTTTCATGAACTTCCTCTAAATAGCTTTTGAGGGAGTCATAATTGACATCTAAAGAAATAAATGGTACACCTTTTAATGATAGCTCTTTTGACATTTTCAATAAATTGCTTGTTAATTCTATCTATCTATCTTCTAAAGCGAAATCTCTACAATTAAATTTTTTATTAGCTTCCTCTAATTGTAAATAAATGTCAATCAATATTTAAGAATGTATTAAAAAGTATTTAATTGCTAAGGTTGTAGTAATATATTATTTGATAAAATAATAAATATCAATATTTTATATTTTAATTAATAATTTTAATTAATGGTGCTCTTTCAATCTTGATTTGATAGTAATCAATCAAAGTACAAATTAATAATCTTACAAATAAAAATTATTAGAATTAATTATTAACTCTATTAATAAAATCTAAATTAGGAAATCTTAACTCAAAGTAATAGTTGATACAATATTTCCAAATTTATTTAATCCCTGATATTTGATGTATTAAAAAGTGTCTGACTAACTACTGAGTATATACTCACTATTTAATTTTGTAAACTGTACTATCTTCAAAAAAAAATGATTATTTGCATCTAAAACAAATCAATAAATTTGTTTTTAATTTACATATTAATTTCAATAGTCTATGAATATAATTATTTTGGAAATTTCTTTATTTTTAAAATCTCTGTTAGAAAAAGATTTTGCTTAAACTTAAATATAAAAGTGGGGTCACTATTGGAATTTAAAATTGGAATATATCCTCTTTTATTTACCATTCAATAGTTTATTATAAAATAAATATCTAAAATTATTAATATTAATTTAAATGAGAATTTTCACCACAGTTTAAAATAAATTGGATAAATATTCAAGAATTTAAATTTAAAAATATCTTTAAATAATAAATAATTTCAAATATTAATAATAAACAATACAAAAAATAATTTATGAATGTATATCTTGATTATTTGAGGGAGATATTTAAATATTTTATTTAAAGCTAAAATAATATTTTTGTTCTCATTTAAATTGAATATGATTTAGAAAGTAAAATCTAGATTTAATTAATTTTATATTTTTATATTATTATAAATAGATATTAATGATATACAAAATAACAAATATTTTAAAACTTCCTAACACTTTATAAATTTTATCATTTTTTTCCTAACATTTTAAAATTTTTATCATTTTTTTGCTAATATTTTCCAAAATTTCAAAGTATCAATTTTCGTTCTAGGCTAAGTTAATTATGAATTAGGTTTTAATTAATTACTAATTAAATTATATATATGATTAAACTCTTATCATACAAACAAATAATAAATATAAATTATAGACAAAATAACGAACATATAAAATAAATGACTTTTATTTAATTGCTTCATTAAGATTCAAACATTTTCCAATATATTAAAGTATTTTTGTTCTAATTTAAGCTTACTACGAATAATTCATTTAAATGGCTCTTACAAAATTGAAGCTTCTCTTTAAATACAGAGTCTATTATCTTGAAATCTTTTATGTGATGCTTTGTGCTTGGTTGTGAATTTGGATTCTGTATAATTATTCTATTATCATTTTTGCATATCTAAATAACAGAATATTTCTGGTTATTATCTGAGTATTAAGCAACAAGGATATCACAAATGTCAGATACTGAACTATCATTTTAGTATGAATCAATTTTTTAGCAAAGCTCAAATGTTTTTGTATCCCAGACTAATACCATTTTTTTAATAGTTATGAATACTTTGCTATTGAATAAAGAGGAAATATTTGAAGGGACATTACCCTTTCCTAAATCAACTTGCTTGAGTAATACTATTTATTTAATTTTATTTTCTTCAACTCTTGCTTTTGCAGAATCATATTCTACTTTATATATACCAACTTTACTGCATTTATACCCTATTAATATTGACTACATAACTTTTCCCATTGAGTGAATACTTGTAACTTAAGATGTTGAAAGGTCGCCTTATTGAATAATTGGTTTGATATTTTAAACCTTTTTTTAAACTTTAGTATCCCAGACACATATAGATGAAAAATTATTAACAACAGCTATGATATTTCTTTCATCAAATAACGAACTAATAAAATTAGTATTCAAATTCTACTTGCTTGTTTATTGTTAGCCTTAAACTAATTCTTAGCTTTCTCTTAAAGAAATATTTCCTTTTTCATTGATGATATTCCATAAATGGATTAAACTATCGCTTGCTGATCCACTTAGAATATAAGGCTACTCTGATTAAAAGGAACTTATACATGAGATACTAGTTTTGTGAGGCTAAAGTTCACCTATGCAAGTCTGATTTGAAATATTATAGAGTTTTATAAATCCTTTGTTATCTCCACATGCTATAAGAGCTCCTCCAACTACACAAAGACAGTTTACCTTTTCTTACTGCAAAGAAATTTCTTTTGGAATTTATGTTAGATTCATAAAATTGTTATTCTTTGTTTTTACTCTAACTGATTTATTTCCTTCCATAATTTCTATATCTTGCAAAGGATGTGTAGTGTTGCTAAGTTGCTATGAAAAAAGTGAATTTACAGAGTTAGATTAATTTAATTCTGGAATTGTTTCTAAATTATTCTAAACAGATTAGTATTATTAGTATAAAGGCAAATTTAAATTTATTTATTGTGTTGGGGGAGAGGGTTGAGAAGAAGGTGTTTTATTATTGAAATTTTAAATTGCTTGATTCTATAACTACTAAACCTACTAATTGCTTGATTAATTTGAATTTGAGTAGTCTTTCCAATTTGAACTTTGTGATTTTTAAGGGGTGACGTTCTAAAATGGAGTTACAGCTTCTAATTCATCTAAGTTTTGCTAAAAGTTTGAGTTTAAGCTTTTATATGAACTCTAATTCTTCTATAAAGTTTGTTAACCATCGTTATTATTATTGTAATAACTTTACAACTATTTTGTCATAAAATTGTTACCCCTACTAAAAGGCTCACTATTTTAAATTATTTCATTATCTTTGCTCAGAGTCTAGGGTATATTGGATATATTTTTTATAGAGGTATGCTTTATTTTTTCATCTTAATTTTCTTTTAGCGTTGTATAATCTACTACTGAGCCATCTCCTGCAAATGTCATCATTTTTTACTATTACTTTCCATAATCATACTCAGATTGCTTTGACGAACCCAAATACTAAAAACCATTTGGTAAATTTTCTTAGTTAAAGTCTTTTATAGTACTTTCTAGTACTTTGTTAATCAAATATTCTTTTGTATATTGCTATGATTGCTAAGAATCTATTGAAGCTAAGTGGATAGGATTCATTGACTATAAAGTATTTTAAATCTACCTTTCTCCATTAACACCTTAATGATTATTCAAATCATATACCTAAATACTATCTTAAATCTGCATATTTGGATTTAGCTTCTTTTTGAAGCTATCAGTTTTAGCAGCACTTGTGTTTATTTGGTAAAATTAATTATTTTTTAATGAAGACCTTATTTCGCTTGTTGCGTTAGTAGCTAGCTAATTAATTCTCTTATCTATGACTTTTAAAGATTCTTTTGATAGAGGAGTATATTAAGGAGGAGATTTCAGCTATTCTGAAAGTTAAATACCAACTTATTCTATATTTTACACCCTTGCTCTCTGGCTCTCTATAGTTATTTTGTTTCCAAATAAAATATCACGAATCCATCTAAATTACTAACTAACTTCTTTCATATTCTAGTTCATTTAAAGCTAGTTTTCTAAGTAACCTCTTGGGTTTATATACATTTTTGAATCTAGCTCTTAAACATTAAAAATTTCAGATTTTAGTTCTTCAAGCTGTTAGCACACCTATTTAATTTTTATTAATAAAATTTAATTAAAATAATTCTACTTAAAATCTTTTGCTGAAAAATTTTTTTTAACGTATAGATAAATTTTAATAATATCAATTAAATTTCAAAAAAAAAATTAGCAGTTTAATTGATTTCAAATAAATGTAATGAGCAAATCAATTTTAAACTCGATGAAGTATATGCAAACTGTATTAAAAGAAAAACGTAAAATATTTTTACACTCTGCAGTTGCTGGTTGAGGAGTTAAATCAATTCGTTCTCAATGCTTTATAAATGTGCTTAAAATTTACCCAAAATAATGTTTATATCATTCTAAATCAATTTTTTTTGAACTTCTATATATTCTCCGTATTATGTTGCATGCTTTTCAGGAAACTTTACTAAATTATATGTGTTTTGGCTAAATACTTCCTTCTGCTTTTCTAATAGAGTTTTCCAATTATGCTTATTTCCTTCGTTTTCAACTACATCTAAAAATTCGTTCACCAACATAATGTCCTATTAGTGCATTTTTGTATGATCAGGATCTTCGTACATACAATCTCCACACAAAAGAATATCTTTACTACAAAATGGAATTGAGCATATTCTCTTCAAACCTTCATCACTATGTGAAGGGCAGCATCTGAGGTAATTTTTAATTAATCCAGGTGCAGATTATTGATTAAGTGATTATTTGGGGTTTGAGCGAGGAGGGCTTTATAAGCTACTTCTAGATAACAAAATATTTCCACTACTTCCATTAGTATGTGTAGGCCTTGATAGCTAATTTGTATTTAGTGTTTAAAAACCACTTGAAAGCATAGGTGCAATACTTTACTAAGTAAGAGATTATACCTGCAATCCCTTTTGCTATGATTAAGCCCTAGTGTAGCGAATACTAGGCTTAATAGATGGCTTTACTTAATCTTTATATTTTTCATCTGGGTTATTATTATCAAATGATTTATCCGTTTATAATATATAATCTTTTTTTGTTTCAGGGGGAGATATAGCTATGGATTGAGGAGTAGGTAAATTATTGTCTATTTGCCTATTTATCCTCATTTAAGGGCTTTAAAAAATATTCTACCTCTTTGACATTTCCTTTGTTTATTCAGATAATCGAAATTTTAAATATCAATTATTTGTTAACTTAATATGATCCAATTATTTTATATATTAATATCTATTAAATTAAAAATAATGTTTAAATTTTATAATTGCTAACCTGTTACAAAATAGCATAAACTTTCACTTTAAAGTTAATGGCTTAAGTTAATATCGTAAATATAAATCGTTAATAAAGAATATTGGTGAGTCATCTAAAATATTATAGATTAAATAATAAGATTACTTTAATATATTATAAACGCTTTAAATAGAGTTAAAAAATAATCATCGCTATTTATTAGCAATGATTTAAATAATATTTAGAAATAAACATAATTAAATTAAAGATTATGTACATATTTATAAAAAATTTATTTTCTGATATATTTTGATATATTTAACAAAAAATAGTTAAAATAGTATTATTAAAAATATTTTTAAATTTTATGCAAAAATTACAAAAAATTGCTCTAAATTTTCAAAATTTAAATTATGTATTTGACAAAAATAAAATATAATTTAGAAAATTAATAAATAAAGTTTTTAGAAAAATTTTTATTTTGTAAAACCATTTAATAAATTTAAAGATTTTTAAATTAAGAATATAAATCAGTTAATTAATCTTAATGAATTTAATTATGTCAATTCAGCATCATCTATTTCAATATTTTAACATTAAATACTTTTAAGATCTTTTTTTATCAGAAAAAAATTTTTTTTCGTCTAAATTTATTTATTAAGAATATTTGTTAAATAATTTGAATTTGTTTTTTTAATGGTCTTTAATAGATTATTATTTAATTATAAATGTTTAATTTATATAAACTATTAAAAAAATGTTTAATACTTCTCAGCAGTTCCAAAGACTGCCTATAAAAATTTGCAGATACAATAAAAAAAATTAGTTTTTTATATTAGAATAATAAAATCATGTTAAATAAGGTCAGTATTATTTCTGCTAAATGAAGAAATCTTCAGTAGACATTTTAAAAAAATATTATACTTATCATTCATTAACAAACTATAAATTTATTGTTTTGTTTTATTTATTTCATATCCTTGTAAGATGATTTATATTACGTATTTACCTACTAACTGATAGTATTTGAATAAATAAATGATATTGCTGAAAAATATACTTCAAATATAGTGCAAATTAATTTGATTTACTGTACAAATTTTATTATTTAATGATTAATATAAATAAATTAACATTTTTAAAATAAATTGAAATGTATCTAAAGATAATTTACTTAAAATCAAATTTTAAGGGTAAATAAATTTATAATTAATTAAGTAGAAACAAATTCTAAAATTTTAGTTTTAAATAAAAGCAAAGATATTTTTAGGTTTTAAAGGAATAGCTTATAGATAGAAAGTTGCACATTTTTTTAATATTAAACGAAGATGTAGGGATTTGAGTTTTCAGCTATGCTTCATTCCTTGAAATTAGAAAAGAAATGGCTTATGGTAGGAGGAAGCATAGGTTTAGTTGGCTTAGTTGGAGTTTCATATTGGGTATACTAAAATTGCAATATCAAAAAGGAAGAAGTTATAACTAACTTTTTGAATAAGTATAAATTGAATTATGAAAAATCACTCATAGTTAAACCTAAAGAAATTAAACAAAAACACAATTGTGAAGAAACAGAGAAAAAAATCATTAAGGATTTCAACCATTCCATTTCTAAGTTTATCTATAAAGGAATCAAGCTTGAAAAATTCTTTAGCAAAGTAAACTCTGATGGTGAATTTGCCAAAGAATTTGGTCGTAGATTCTACGATTTATTTGCTGAGTTATTCAACTAGTTTTTAAAATTTATTTAAGAATAAATTAGACTTAGATCTTTGCCAAATTATTTGTATATGATTGATCACATATTTGAAATGATATTTGATTAGCTATTATAGCAACTTAAATATTCTAACTAATACGAATGTGAGTTGTTAAGAGGACTTATAGCTAGAACATTCAATCACATGATATTAAGCGACTTGCTACATTTGACTCATGATTTCAGATCAAGCGTTCCACCTTCTCATGCTTAACAGCAATATGAAACTAATTATTTTGAAATTATTATCCGTTATACAAAACTAATGAGCATAAAAACATAAGAAAAATTCTGTACTATCTTATAAATGCTTGTTAGTTACGATAATCGCTTTTAATTCTTTTTATAGATGTGTATAGCTAAAAATATAAATTTTGTTTCTTGTATCGATAGCAATTTTACTTAAGCTCTTAATGAACTTTCTACTTCTAGGTCAGATGAAAGTACATAGCACAATTTCCATAATCAGCATATTTCCCATCGTTAGGATATTTCTTTGCAGCAATCTATTCATAATGTTACTAAAGGTGGTCCAGGGTCTTCTCATTAAACTCAAAACTTCAAATCTCAAGGATCAATAACATACACACATTAAAACGAGCATAGAAGAAAACTGATACCTTCTCCAATCTGCAGAATTTTAAGCAGTGGCATTAGTTAAAGCTGTGCATAATAAATGATACAAGAAGGATTTGCATTTAGAATCATTGAAAATTTGTGTTAATTATCCTAAAAAAGCAGTAGTGATCTTTAGGATTTAGAAAAAGTTTTATAGAATTTATTCCTAATTATCATGAACATAATAGAAAACAAATAAAACAATTAACAATTTTTCCAAGAATATAGAGATGATATTTTAGAATTGTTATTAAAATCTTTAGCATTTTAAGAGACTAACGAAACAACAACAGTCAGTAACTCTAACATAGTTGACTTAGTAAATTGGATGACATTTAACATAGACATTATATTAATTCGTGCAAAATGCTCAACATGGATTTAAAAAATACTCACTACTTTCCTCTGCTAGAACAAAACCTAAATTCCTTAAGTAGGACCATTTTATCTTTAAGAAATTCGCTGGATTCATAAAATTAGAAGAGATGATAAACTCAAAGGATTTCAACAGCTTGAAACAGACCTATCAATAACCACTTTGTTTCTCCATTTAATTCTTAACTCAATGCAAGAAGTTCCCCATATGAAAAATATTAATTAGCATTTTATTTAATCCATTCCCTTTGCAGATGATTAAGAAAGATTTTTTATAATAAAATCCTTCTCATCCTTGTTACACAATTACGTGTTTATGAAAGAACTATTTATTTCTATGCTGGAAAAGAGTTGCTAACAATCAAATCATTTGATTCTAACTTTTACTGAATTTAAAAATTTTTTCTATTCTCCTGAAGGAAAAGTAAATTTATTGAATTTTTTTCTTCTTCAATTAATCAAAGAATTAAAATAAGTCAGAATACTAGCTAAATTAATTTGAAAAAAAAATATTTTTCTGGCTTAAATTATAATTAGGAAGAAATTAATGTCATTCTGATTTTTCTTTAACAGATTTTAGTTTTATAAAAAAAATATGAATTTAATTAAAATAATAATTTTAATTTAGAAATATGATGAAGTTTTATTGGCATTGTAATTGATGATTCTTCTTGGAGGAGGAGATAGTCTTTGTGACACAATTGTATAGAGATGGTAGAAAGATGCAGAAGAATATGATGATTTTAAGATATACATGAGCAGTGATATAGCCTTTTTATTATAACTACTTGAAAATGACATTTGTTATTTAAATGTTAATGCAAATTGGTAAGAATAATTAAAAAGTTATGAATCAAAAGCAAATTATCGTAATCACGCATACATGAAAGTTTAAAAGCTGATCATTAATTATTTGCAAATATTCGGACCTATGGAAAAAGACAACATTAAAGATTATATTTAGCATTAAATTTCTCAACCAATTTTAGACTCTGATAATATTTTCGAATCTGCTCTTGAAGAAGTAGCAGAATAAACTTTCAAAACCAACCAAGGCAATGGCAATTTATATTATAGTAATCATAGTAGCAATAGTTAACACACATAGAATTTTAACACATGTAGTATGAAATTTAAATTAAAGGAAGAATATAAAAATAAATACTTCCATTCACTTTTCAATCGAGATATTCCTTAACTTTTGTAACTTTTGAACAAAATATAATTGAATTCCTAAGAATGTATTTCTTTGAATTAGCATGATTTGAACATTGAATCATAGCTTAATGAACGCGATTAACCTATGGACTATCTTAAATAAGTTAGAAAAGTTATTATTGAAAATATTAATCTCCACACAAATTTCCTTGAAATCTTCATAGAAAACATCCCAATTTTCCTTGAAAAGCTAAGAGTCGTTTGCCGTATTTTGAATTACATTTTCGATGTAATTGAAGAAGGTATTTTAGATTGCCGTGCATCTAAAAAGCTATAAAAAGATAGTATTAAAAGTCTCCTAGTTAAGTATATATTTAATCCCTCTTTAGCTGAAAAAATACAATATGTATCTGAATTAACTGACGAGGATGGAGCATTGATTGCTTATTAATTTATTCCTACATTATAAAATATTTCTTACAGAAGAGAAGCCATTAAAGATCTTATTAAAGATATCTTTAAGGGTGTTAATATAGCTGAAATAATAATATGATCATTTTATACATTAATATTTTATAAAAATTATTTATTTGATTTATTAATAGTTTAAGATTTAATTCTTTATATTTTATTTAGCATAATAATCTTAATAAGAATAAATATGTTACATCAAAAATAGAGAGCATTCATTTTATCAAAATTTTCTATCAAATGTTCAGTTATTAAATTTTTTATTTAAATTTTTTTAAAATCCTAAATTTAATCATATTAAAATTTTTTTTTATAAATATTTATTAAAAATTAATTTCAATTATTTAATTAAGAAAATTAAAATTAGCTACTTTGTTACTTTGAATTAAATATAATCATTTATTTTGGTATGAAAGTATTAATTTAGACTTACCTTTATATTTCACAAAAAACAAACAAATACTTTAACAAAAAGTAATCTTCAAATTATATTAAATTTTCCTTTTATAACTTATGACGTTTTAGAGTTTTTAATAATAAAATATACTTACTTACTTATTTACAAATATTTTTTGTTTATGTGATCTAAAAGTTTAAAAGATATATATAAAATAATTAACTATAATTCTTTTGCTTCTTTTGAGCTTAAAATTTGGTTTTTTAGATAAAAATCACTTAAATACAATTAAAAAGTTTCAATATTTACATTTTTTAATAAATTTATACAATGAAAATAGTTTTATATAATGAATGACTGACTATTCAAATATATGAATAACCTATAATTTGGATTATTAATTCATAAATAATTTCTAATTTATCATTTTGATATACTTAAAATCAATATTATTATTTATATTATTTAATTTTCAATTTTAAAGTTAGTTATTATTGCTTTTTATTTTTCTTTGTTTTTATATTAGTTTAAAAGGGCTTTCTTGAGGGTTTTTTAGGAATAGACATTTGAGAATTTTTCTATTTTTTTCAGGATCTTAATTTTTTGGAGTTATGCTACTATTACATAGTTAGAGAGTGGAGCTTTTCTAACTTGAGTTTTAAAAAATAAAATCACTAAAGGTATTTTCTGTATTCCCTTCAGCAAGCTTTTGTTAAGGTGTATTACTTTATGAAGCGTTTGCATTAGTAAAGGATAGTCTACTGTTGATAGGGCATATTTATGATAAACTCCTTTATTAATATTAATCCCGAACACGGTATCTTTATTCAATATTCTACTAATGAATTGAATTCAATTTTCTTGAAGGAGAGCTTTCAATATCTTCAAACAGTTAAATTTAATTGTTGGAAGATTTCTTATTTATTTGAGCTAATTAAATCATTATATTTGCATTATTTGGCGAGCAGTCTTTTTCTTTTTAATCAACAATTACTATTTTTTAAGTAAGATTATTTTATTTTTAAAGAAAATGGTTGCTGTTTTGATAAATACTATCATTTTTATATATTTAGTTGTTCTGTAACTCATTTTAGTTCAAAAATGAGATATTTTATTGATTTTTAGTAAAATTATCTATAGTAAATTGTGTAAAATCAGACATTTTATTGACCTCCTTTTTTATAATATTTTATATTGTTGTTAATGAAGAGTTTTTTATTTTTTAACTTAAATTCTCAAATTAAGAAAACTAAGAAAACGATTTTATATTTTATTAAGATTCTGGATATATTTGTTAAATAGTTTCTTCATTTTCGGATTAATAATATTAGCTTTCTTTATTATTGACAGAATTTAATTTAGAGTATAAAACATTTTTCGTTTATTTATTAATATTTTTTGGAGATAGATTATCACTTATTTTATACTAAATGACATTAGTTTTTTAACGAGAAGGAGATAGACTACTGCCTTATTTACTAATTTTTTATGGATAAAACTAATTATTTAATTAAAATAATTTAATTCTTCTTTCATAAGGCATGTTATTTGGTCTGATAGGGTTGTCTATAGCAGATTTTGGTGATGATATAGTTTTATCAGATTTATCTAATAGAGAAGCACTTTAAATTTAGGATGAATTTTTGATAATTTATTCTGATTCAGAGTGTTATTTAAACATCTTTTAATCAACTTCAGTGTTACTGGAAGAATAAAGTTATTTATCATTTATTAATTATTTATTATTTTAGTGTAATACTGAAATAGATGATTAGACTTGAGATATAAAATAGTTAACTATATTACTATTATCAGGATTTTAGTTATTTTTGTATTAAGTTTATTGGTGACTCTTTTAAAAAAATAAGGTCTAATTTTTAGAATCTGCTGTGTTTTTTTAAGATTGATAATTAGGAGTTTACTCTGAATTTATATTTTCTTATTTTAATCTGTTTTTACTTGTTGAATAATTATTTTTATCCTATTAATATTTCTTTTTCTAAACCTAATTTAAGTGATCTTAAAAAGTAAAGGGTTCTTGATGTTATAGTAATGATTTTTAGTTATTATGAGACAATAAAGTTGAGAATGAATTTCTTTAGCTAGCATTAGGACTTTAAATAGAAGATAGAGAAGCTACCTTTTATATAAACTCATTTTGGAATATACTTAAACCATTATTCAATTATTAATCTGTATCAATATTAAAATTTGGCTTTTTAGTGTTAATTACTAAAAGTTTTTATTAATTTTCTAAATTTATTCTATCTTTTTCAGACTTTTCTTATTAAATCTATTATTAATTTACTGTGATTGAGTGCTAGAATTTCAACGAAGAGTGCTTTTTGCCATTTCTAATGCAAGACTAAAACTAATTCTTGTTACTAGTTTCTTAATCATTACAGAGTTTTATTGATGAAGATAGTGTACTAGCACTGTTAGTATTTGAGTGAATAGCAGGTTATTGTATTTATTGTTGTAAATTAGGCTTACGGAAATCAAGCTGCAAAGATTAAGTAAAAGAATCATTTTCAATTTAATTTTTATGAGGTAGAACAGAGTTATATCCAAAATTTAACTTAAATTAGTTATTAGAACCTGTTACTGCTTCATATTTATTCTCTTTTTGAATTCCATTCTATAACTATTTAACTTTATATGTATTTACAATATCGATTTTCTGTAAGAGCTATGTCTTTTATGTTTGTTTCACATCTTTTGGTGAATTAGCGAAATCTATTGATTTTCCAAGCCTAGAATAAAACATCAAGGCTTTTTTTTTTATTGGAGAGAGCTATTCTTCTTATTAGTCCTTATCACTGTCAGTAGGAGTTTCAAGAGGACTCTACTCTTCAGATTTAAAGAAATGGATACTCGAAATTTTATTAAAATCTAATTTCAAATTATTAGCATTAGATGTCATAGTCTTTATCTATCTATCTATCTATAAACTTAATCTCAAAATTAATTAAATATTTTTTTATAAGATTTATCAATCTTAGCCATGTAAACAAAATAAATCAAATACTTGAAAACAAAATGATAATTTTGTAGAAAAAAATTTAAGGTGTCCAATTCAATTGATTCTACATTACTAGAAATATAAAGAAAATATTCTTCATACAAAAATATAACAATTGAAATTCAATGATGTTTAAGTCAGTTTGTAGTTAATAACATCAAATAAACCATACAATTATTTAATTACCTTCTTGCAAAAAACAATGCTTAAATAATAAATTGTAAATAAACATCTACATTTCCTAAAAAATAATTTTTAATTCACTTTTCTCCATTAATTTAAATCTAAAATTATTTTGAAATCAATAATTTAATTATTTTTGTTGGCAAATATATTTTTTAAGGATAACAAAATATAAAGTAACTTTTTAGTAATAATCAATTTCTAAAAGCAAATCTTCACAATAAACTAAATTTAGTTAGTTATAAAGAAACTTTAAATCAATAAATTTATAAACGATATAAAATAATATAGACAAACTAACTTATTTACTTTCTTAATTATTTTTTTTATTTATCAAAATTATTTATATTTATATATTAATTTCTATAGAAAAAGAATAAAGGAATCGATTATCAATCATTTCAAGATTAAATTAGCTTATTATTTTACCATATTCCATCTACTTTTTCTCCATTTATTTTATAAAAAGATCCTGGACCACAAACAAAATCATTTTTAAAACTACCCTCAAACCTCTCTCCATTAGAGAGATAGAGAGTTCCAAAACCATCTTTATTATCATCTTTGAATTCTCCATCGTATTTAATCCAGTATTCGTCAACTTAATCAAAATCCCTATAATCAAAGAAACTAAGCAATTCTGCAGGGTTTTCGTTAAATAGTGCTCCAAAACCATGGAATTTATCTTCTTCCCAATATCCGTCATATGCAATTTTACCACTTGCATAATATAGCACACCTCTACCATTCATTTTATTATCTTTCCATTCTCCATCATAAAGACCACCATCTTGATAGAAGAATCTTCCCTATCCATGTCTCAAACCATTCATTTTTTCACCTTCATATCTAGATCCATTTTAATAATTTTCGATAACTACTTCTGGTATTTCATTATTGAATCTATTTGAATAGAATTAATTATTATTATTATAATCTGAGTTTTGGTAATTAAAGTTTGGTAGATTTTCTTAAACTTTATATTATTAGGATTAGTTATTTTGTTATGATTGCATAGGACTAAATTGTTAATAATTATGATTTGATTAAGCTGATTAATTTAAGAAGCTCTAAACATTAGTAACAGGAGTAAATGTAGGGGCACCATTTGTCTTGACATTAGAAACAGGAGTAATATTTCTTGAAGCAGCGTCACTCATTGATTATTATTTTGTGTGTTATATTACTTATTTTTATTTTTTGACTTGTTCTTCAGGTTCATTCATCATTTAAGAAGAAAAATTTTTTGAAATAACATATTAATTATTTTATCCATCAGAATTTCCAAGGTATTGTTGGTTTCTTTTTTGAGTTTAATCTCCATCGCTGCTTTAGCTTTAATTGAAATTCGCATAAGATGTATTATTATTATTATTACTATTATTGTTATTTTTGATATCATATTTTTTAATAATGTCATCAATATTATTGTTTGCTTCTAATTTTAAATAAAATTAAATATTAAAAATTTATAAATATGTTTAAAAAATTACTTGTATTTCCTTTCCCATATTGTATTGAATAATCTATATTTTATGAATAATCGTTTGTTTATTAAATTACTGTGCCATAATTTGATGTAGCATTAGAACTTATTTATCCATATTTGGATTCATATTCCATCTTGGCTTTTAATTCAGCTTCCTGAAGTTTCGATTTTAGTTCTTCAAAATTAGTAAGAAGATTTTTTCCATCGTTTGCTGATTAAGGAATTGTGAACTGTTGTGTTAGAGGGAACGATGATTAAGCAGGTTTTGATTGATTATTAATATTGCTAAATGAAGTATTATTAGATGTCAAATTAATACTCTTAGCTTAGTATTAAGGTAAATAAGATGATAAATTGTTATTATTTACTGTTGTTGGAGTAGAATTAATACCATTCAGATTATTTTTGATTATATCTTCTTTTTAATTTTTTAAATTATTTTCATAAAAGCTATTACTAAAGCTTTTATTTTGCTAGCTAACAATTTTAATATTTTATAAATCATCTAACTTTGTTTTGTTTTCTTATGGGTATTGATTTTGAGCTTTGTAGGGTGTTGTAGAAGTTATTTATTACTACAATTTAGGATTATTATTAAAGATATTAGATTACTAATTACTAATTTTAAAGTCATCAATGTTCGAATAGTTGTGAATATTTGAAATATCATTCAGGTTTTAAACATTGTGATCCTTTAAAAGCGAAGAATTAGCTTAGCTATTATTATGGAATGAATTGTTTTTTTGCATGCTACCATTTATGTTTCCTTAGTTTTGAGATTGCATACCTCCTGCACCTGTGATATTATTGTTTGCATGTAAATTAGCACTACTACCACTTCTCATATTACCATTTAAATTGTTATTATAATTTATATTCGAAGAATTATTATAGAAACTATTAGATCTGCTAGAAGCCTTTTGCTAAGTATTATTAAGAGCTTATTATTAATTATATTTATTATTGTTATTGTAAGTATTATCTATATTAAATTAGCTATTTAGGTTGTTATTTTGTTGTGATTATAAGAATTGTTCTACTTCTCCTTAGCGCACAGTTCCTCTTTCTATAGCTCCAGTATTTTCATCTGGTTAGGTTTTGCAAATATAAATAGTCTTGACATTCATTAGCAATGATTATAAACTTTCAAAATCTTTACTCATAGGATGACTAGGTAAAGAAAAATTAGCATTAACAGGGGCAAGTGCTTTGGAAGATAAACTATTGTTTGTAACGGATGAAGTACTTTGTATTGAAGGAGGCAGAATATTGCTAGTTTATTTAACCGCATAGTTTGTTTTAATAGTATTATTTTAATTCAAATTGCTATTTTTAAGAGGATTACTTCCTTCTATTTTACCTGATTATGATATAGACCTTGAAGGCACAGCTGGAGTTCTAACTTCCTATTAGTGCTAAGCCAATTAATTAAATTATTGTTTTTCAGCATAATTTTTGTTGTAGTTTTGAGGATTTTATCTCTTTATTTAATCAACTGAGTCTTCTGTATCATCAACAACATTTTCATTGTCCTCGTTAACAATTTTTGGCTGTGTGCTTGGAGATTACTTCATTTTATGATTATTTTATCCAACTATTTCACCTTAATGCAAATCTTTTTATTATTCATGGATATAATGATTTTAATATCTATTTTATAAGTCTAGCTGTGGGTTGCTTTAGTCATAATTCTATTTTTCATGTCCAACCTATTCATATAAAATAATCAATCAATTTAAAAGCTTATTTGAATGAAATGCATTTGAACTTAATCATCAATAAAATTAAAACAATATTTAATGAACTTTTTGAATTTAAACCATAAGTGCTTAAAAATTAACTAATTAAACATAATTTAAATAAGACATTGAGCTCATTATTTACTTAAATGTTGCTTGGCTAGTGAGGATTCTTAACTTAAAATTACTACAATTAATTCCATAACTAGTTAAAATCAGGTCTTGTTTCTTCACCAAGTGATGTCATTATCCCTAAGATATTCGTTAGTTTGCTGCTGTAGTTTGATTTGAATTAATTAAATTTTTATTTAAAAATATCTTCTTAGAAAGCTGGTTCAGGATAGTAAATATAACAAGAATCAAGATCCTCGAGTAAACCTGCACTTATGATAGTCATACCAAGACTAAAAATATCACTTTTAGATGTATCATGGTTTGGAGACCAGTTATTTTATGCCAATGCCTGAATTTATGATTAAAAATGAATAAAAATAAGTATAAATTATATGTTTAGATATTACCTCTATCAAAGCAGGAGAAAGATATGAGTTTTTAGGTGGTTCTTTTGGGTTAGTTGCAACTAAAGAAAAAGTATTCATTTATTAAATAACCTAAGAATCAGCAATTTTAACCATTTAATTTTAGTCAAAGAATATATTAGATGGTTTGATATTCTAATGAGTAATCCCTTTTTACTATAAGTAGCTTAATGCAGAAACGCTTTACATAAGAATATCCCATAGCTCACTTTCTATAAAATGCTAACCAGTTTATTAGTGAAGCTAAATATGTTATTCTAGATTATCGTTTACATACTCATAAAGAACATACAATTTATAAAATGTGCTGCATAGTTAAGACTCTTTCTTTTATGCTATGCCTATAAATATGATAAAATTGTAAGTTTATTTTAAGTAATTTAATTTTTCATAAATCAAATGAATTATTTTATGCAATCTATCTATCTAAATTTGCCATTTTTTAAAATATAGAATAAGAAGTTTCAATATTTTTGTAAAGTTGCAATTATTGAAATATTTACCTAGAAGCATGACAATATTTTCATGTTTTAACTCTTATCTTTTCTTGTATTTTGAGTATGCTTTTTCAAATTCATAATCATCTGTAGAGTTATATTCTTTTAACAAACAATATGCTCCTGTAAGTTTATTTTGCATTAAAACTCCTTCTCCATACTTTTCATCCTAAATATTTTTGACAGTAATGTAATTTTCCATCAGTTACGAATGCTCATCTGCATTTGCTTTCACATCAGAATTTTAATTTCCCATTTAACTCTATCCTTAAATTTTTTTGTTAGCTACCCTAAATCAATATTTGGTTATTATACTACTTCTATATAATTAATATTGATTATTTTGAATTCTTCCTATTTAAAATTTTGATTTTATTTTTTGTTTTAAAATTAGATTGAATATTATTATCAAATATAATGAATGTATGTATGCATGTATGAATAATCAACAATTCATTTTAATTAAATATTTTGCATTTTTGATACACATTTCACTCTGTCTTAATCAACTGCTAATTTTCAAAATATAAATTACTTGTACATTGATTCTCTTTCTTAAATGTAAATCAAAAAAAAATAATATAAAAATAATTGATTTTTATGCTTCTTATAAATATTTTACTTTTATTTATATATTTATTTATAAATTTAAAAAATCTAATAATATAGATATATATAACTACGATAAAATCAATAAAAAAAGCAAATAAATTTATGATCGATAAAAAAAAAAATTTAATTTTCAAAATTTTAATGATATTTTTTTTGGACTAAACTTATAATTTAATAACTGATGTAAAATTAAGGTATATAGATTAGATAAATCTTATTTATTGGATATACAATATTACTAAAAAAGGAGTAAATATGTTAGGTTTTATATAAATTAAGAATCAAAATTTTAATTTACGTTTTTTTAATTAGAATAAATATAAAAAAATATTCTAAAAATCAGTTATGAAATAAAAGAGTTATAATTTCAAATATTATTTATTTTTTAGTTTTTAATTAATTACTTTTATTTAAAAGCTAGACAAGTTAATAAATAAATAAATAAAATTATTTGGAGGATTTTGGAAAAAAATTTTTCTCTATTAAATAAGAAATTATTAAACAATTTGCTATATTTTTAATAAAAATATAAGTGTATATTTAGCTATTAGAGAAAAGCGAATAAATTAAATTAAAGTAGATTATAAAAATTAAACTGAAAATATGTTGATTAAGATTTTAATTTTTATTGAAAATGTATTTTGTTTTGTGAATTTATTTATTTATTAATTGATTAAATTATTTATTCAAATTAATTAATAGAGGAGTTTTTTGTACACTTATTGTCTAATAATCAAAAAATATTTCTTATTAGCCAAAATTAGTAATATGAAGAACAGGGAAGAGACTGAAAAGAAATTATTATATTTATTATTTTAAAAAAATTAAAAAGAAAGTTTTTTAGAAAAAAAGGCAGAGCTATCTATCTCTTAAATAGTTAGGAAGAAAAACAGGAAAAACAATCAAATTAATTTAGATTTGTGATAAAATACAAGAATAAACAATAGCAAGACCATATAGCAAATCATCTATATTCTGTTCAACATAGAGATTTAATATATATAGCTAAATAACTTTTGATAAAAATTTTTCATTCATTTTATATTTTATAAAATAAATATATTCATAAATAACTAATAAACCATTCTATCAGTTAATCATCATCATCATCGTCCATATCAACATTAACTGCAATAATAACATATTGATTGATTAATTAATCACTGCAGTACTTTCAAAAAAAATCATAGATAAAAAAGATTCTTTTCATTTTAATTGCAAAATTAACTTTTTAAAAAACATTTTTTTGACTTTCAAATAAAACAAACATCAATAACAACAACAAAAAAGAAAATTTGTGTGAATTAAAAAAATGGATATAGAAAAAAATAAAGATATTTAAGTAGAAAAGAGTTCTCCCGAAAGAGAGGAAGATGCTCAATAAACAGATTTCGTTCGTATCACAGGTATAAATAATCCTAAAAAATATCTATCATATCGAAGGCATTTAATGCAAATTTTTGGAATTTTTCTTATCAAGCATGGCTAAACCAAAAATTTTACTTTTTATAAGACTGATTTCAGTCCATCATTAAAAGATTTTTATATAATTAGTTTAAAAAAAACTAGTTTTAAGACATTTTTATAGTGATAGATAGATTAAATCTTATTTTTTATAGATGAAGTAATAAAATAAATTTTTTTAATAAAAAAGAAAAATTGACTGATGTCAAGATGATTAATAGATTCAACTTCTAGCTCAGAAACTGCAAAACTAACGAAGATAAATTAAATGATCTCAAGGTTCTTTCTGAAACACCATCTCCTATACTCAACAGGTTTTCATTTATTTTTTTTCTTTGTCTTTCTAAATATTTCTTTATTTTTTTGATTTTCCTCTTCTTCTAACCTCCTATTCCCTCCAATAATATCACATTCAAATAGGCCTTAAATAGACTCTATTAAAACTTTATAAACTAAAAACTATGTAATTAATATATTCTTTAACTAAATTAGATTTTATAGCTCTCCTGGGCTTAGGACTCTTGGTGAGTGGATTTATGAAGGAAGTGATAACATCACTTAAAATTCTGAGGTTTTAGAGAAAATTTTTGCTCTTTTAAAGGAAATTACACTAAAAAATGAACATTTTGAAAACGCTCATGTAAGTTTATTTAATTAAAATCAAAGAGTCATAATTTTATTATAAATTATTAAAAGTATCTCGGACTAGGTATAGAGAAGATGCACATAGCCTAACAAAATAGTGAATACAACGAAGCACTAAATATTTTTTATAAGTTTTATAACCTCAACAAATAAATCATCAACGATTGGCTTGAGTCATTTAAAAAAAGAAGTCAAGACCCCAACTTTAAAAGACAGTAACTTTGGTCTGAATAGCAAAAATTAAACGTTAAGAGAAGCTTTAATGCTGCTAATAACAATAATAACATGAACAACAAATATCAATAAAAAGACTTTAACTAAAATAAATTTAACTAGGGCAACAACTTTTAAAAAGTAAATATTTAAATTTTAAATTTTTATTTTAATTTTAATATACTTATAAAAAAGGGTAATAATGGTAAATATGGAGCTAATAACTTTTAAAGAGGAGACTCTCCTCCTAACTAAAAAAAAGTAAAATACAATAACGGAAACGCAGGTAGCACTGGTTTTAATAACAATATAAATCTTAACCAAAAGCCAGGAGCTAAATCTGTCAGGTATAAAATGATGATAAATTATTTTAATCTGTTCTATTTAAATCTATTCAAGCTAAATTATTAGACATTTTATTAAAAATAATTGATTAGCTATTTATTTATTTATCTCCTTAGTCATATTGAGTACTAAGTACATTCATTATATTAAAATTTCTTTAAAAAGTTTATTCAAAGAATGAACTAACTATTTTTATTTTTTGAATGAAGAAATTGAATAATGAATGAAATAATAGGTTTTCATTATAAATAACCCATCTAGTACTTTCTATTGAGTTACTTTCTTACAATAATTAAATAAATAAACAAATATACTCAATAAGACATTTTTATTTTTTTGCTGCTGGCTAGTTTGATTTTATGTTCTTCCTCAATCAATTTATGACGATTTTTTTTTAAGTATTATCTTTTGACTAATACTTCAAATAATATTGGGATTATTTTAATCATAATATGGCCAGTCTAAAAATGTGTCTAAAATATCTTAAAGTAAAGTGTAGATTGGTTAGCTAGTTGAATATGGACGAAATTTGATTAATTGTATAATTTTTTCAATAAATAGGTTTTTAAGTGTTTTTAAAGGGCAGTTTTTAGCTGAAATAAATTATAATTGCATAAATATTAATGCATAAGTTAATATATATTCATTATAATTTTATTATTTTACAAAAAGAAAGAAAGAAAAAATTAAATAATAATTGAAATTTAACTGAAGTACAAAAAGTTGGTGTACTTTTCAGTTAGTTAGCGGTTAGTTTTGCATGTCAATATAGACTAATTGTTTATTTTTTAAAGATAATAGATTATCAAATATTATCTTTATCTATAAATGGATAATTATCACGAATTGACATGCTTTACTAAAAATTTTAAGCTTTTACATTTTAAAGTAGATATCAAAATATTTACTTTGACTGCTCCTAAATTAGCACTAAACCCTTAAGACAATTAATTTTAAAATATTCAATAATTAGCTAAGAATCAACAAATTTAATTATTATAAATACAACTCAGCTCTAATAATTAAAAAAAATTTTAGAATAGATTTAAATTATAATTCATTTTAAAAAATCTTTTCATTAATTTTTATAATTTTATTAAAGGTTCGCTAACACTGACTAAGTTAAGAGATTCAGAAAAGAAGATGAACCAATTATGCCTGATTTGACTGAAGAAGAAATAGAAAAATACTAAGAAGAGTGTATTTAAAAGAAATAGTCTGATAGCCATATTTTTACAAGTTAAGATATGAAGAAAAGAGAAAACAAGCTCGAAAAAGAAAGCAGAAATCAATAAAAGGAGTCTGAAAGAAAAGAAAGATAATTGCTCGATGAAATGAAAGAAGACATTTAATGGAGAACTCCATAAAAATTAAAAGGTCTTCATTCTTAATATTTTGAAATCCTCAGCTCAGAATCAACTGAGAAAGAGCTACATAAATAGAGAATACTCTGTAAATTACAAAGTTTATATGGAAGTGATGCTGAGATTCCTTCTTCTCCTTCTTACGAAAATGTTATTAATGATAAAATATCTGAAGAATAACCCAAATAAGTTTATTTAAATAAAATTGATGAGAATGATTTCATTTAAATTATAGAAATGGCAATAAGAAGTAAATTAAATTTTAAAACAAATTTGTTTTATTAAAATTATTTTTAGGTGAAAATTAGCAACAAAAGTAGAAAGTCGAAAAGAAAATTCTTAAAAGTATTCTTAAAATTTCTAAAGAAGAAAAAGAACTACAACGTAAAAAAATGATACAAGAAAAGAAAAAGCAAGCTGAAGACGAAGAGAGACTTAAAAGTTAAATAAATCAGAATACCTTCAACTAATTGATTGACTTGATTATGCACAATAAAAACAGCAGAGATGAGCTAAGTAATTTTTTATTAAATAGCTAATTATTTTTCAAATTTTATTAACCAACTTTTATTTTAGAATAATCAGTTAAGGCCTTAGGACTCACAGAAATAGAACTTTAAAATATTTACCAAAACATAAATGTTATAAAAAAGCTTTGGCATCAAAGATAATCTGTTTCAACTCCATCTAATGTTAGGTATGGCCCTGCTGTAGAAGAGAAAAAGGAACAAGAAAAACCAGCAATTCCCCCTCCTTAAAATCCCCTCACATAGCAACCATTCAATAGCAACTTTATAAATAGACCAGCCAATAACAGTTTGCCAAACAGCTAAAACTAGTAGCCTGTTATTAATAATCCTTTTTCTACATCTTACAACCAATAAAATTCTTAAAACACTACCTATAACTAGTATCGTAGCTAATAAGTTAATCCTCAATAAACTTTCTCTAATAATTTCAATAATAACTTCTCAAATAATTAGCCTAAGTAGATGCAAGGAAACAATTCATTTAATGCCTAATAAAATAATTTTGGAGCCTCCTAAAGATTCTAAAGTAATAATAATCCTTAAAACAACTAGCATATTGTGCCTCCTCCTCATTCCCATTCATAATAAGGCACTGAGTTTAATTAACAAAACCCAGAATAAAACTAATAATTCCATGGTATATAAAATTAAAATTTTTCATAGGAACATTAAAATTATTATTAGCATCCTTAAAACAATAACAATTTTAGCTACAATCCTAATAATACTAATAACAGAGCTGGTCCTTAGGCTCATAGACCAGTTAATTAGCCTCCAATTTCTTAACAAAACAATCCATCTAATAACTAATTCTATCCCTAATAAAATAGAAATTTCAATAACAATAACTAATAGCCATAATAACATCACATTAAATAAAATAACTATAGTATACCACCTAATTAAGCAACGGGTAACAATATTCAACATCAATAGAAGCAACCGATTGAATAGTTCTAATAAGATTAAGGATATTAAAATAACTTAGGATAACCTTCATAAATGATTTAAAATAAAACTTTTATTCCATAAAAATAATTATAAAATCAATAAAATAAGCCTAATTTTAACTCTAATATTCCTGATTAAAACGATTAAAAATAAATTGCTACTCCTAATTCCGGTGTTGCCTAACATTAAAACGAAGAAAGTAAAAAGCACATACCTTGTAGAATGTATCATTCAGCTATGGGTTGTAGATATAATGTTTGCAACTTCATGCATAATCCTGAATATTAAGGTAGACCAGTACCTAATATGTAAAATAAAGTTAGACCTATGTATGCACTAAGTAAAAGTGGAGAGAGAAATTTAGAAAACACGTTTGCATATAATAAAGCAAACTATGAAAAGAGAACTGGATAACTAAACACTTTACCCTTTCCATAGGCAGGTGGTATATCTACTACTTATCCTCCTCCATTACTTAACTAATAATAAAACAATCAATTTACTAACTTACCATAAGTGTAGCAGCAAAGTGTTAGACCACAAGGTCAAATCTAGTCTTAGTAGAATAGCATGTTTATATTTTAATAAACCAATCCTCTTTTGAAGTAATAGCAAAAACCTTAGCCTCCTTAAAAGATATGATTTAAATTTCAAACATTCAAAAATTTCAAAACAAAACAAATATTAATATATAAATTAAACATACCTACCTAATTTAAAACAAAAACTCTCATTAGATCACAACTTCATTATAGAATTTCAACAAATTTAAGTTATTAAAATTATTTTTTGTATTATTTTGTACAGAATTAAATATAAGAGAATTCTTTCTTTATATTGTTATGATTTACTTCTAACTTTTTAGGTTTTCTTTTAATTTTTTATCTAGAATTAATTCTTTAAAGAATTTACTAATTATTTTGTTAAAATTAAAGTAATAAAAATCTGTTTTAAATGAATAGTAAAGAAGGAAAAGATACCTCAATTACAACAAATTTGTAAGAAAGAAAATTAGATGAGTAAATAGCATAAATAGAAAATGAAAATTCTCTGTTAGTTTAATTAGAAAATCAAATAAATGTGGAAAGCGAAAAGCTAAACGTAAATAATAAACCATTTTATTCTTGTAATTTCATTTCATTATTTCTAAATTTAGGTAGAAAAAAAAGCACTTCAAGAAAAGATTAAACAACTTCAAGAATAGAAGAAAGAAAGAGAATAAAAGCTTAAAAAGAATAATATGTATTGAAAATATAATAAAATTTTAAATTTATGTAAGTAAAAATATTTGCAAACAAATAAATACCATCTTCAAACCTATTCTTTAATAAAATGATATTCTAAATTCTTTGCAGTTTTGATAAATATTTAAAGTTTTATAAAAATACAAAATAAAAAAAGGCCAATCAAATTTTATTAAAATTATTAAACAATAAACTATGCTACTTTAGCAATAATAGATATTCAACCGTTGAACTGAATAAGGTTGTTGCAATTTATTTGATTCGCATAATGTACTATTTATCATTATAATTATACTAGTGTTTACTTTTTATGAATATAAAAATATGGTTACAAATTTTATATTGCATTTTCACTAATTATTTTTTAAGAATCAATTCAAACCTTCGGGCTTTGAATAATCAACTTTTTAATCCCCCATTTATTGTTTTTCCTTCATTCTTTAATTAACATTTTATTAAGCTTTTTCCTTTATCTTTTGAATCTTATTAAACAAATATCTTTATTCAGCTTCTTCGTTTTCCCATGAACTCTCTTCAGTAAAACCTAGCTTTTCAAACTCTTCTTTTTCCATAAGTCCAGCTTTCATTCTACAACCTAAATAATCTATTTAATGCTATCTACATCTTTTAGGCATGAGTTAATGTTTCAAAACGCAAGAATTGTATGCTTTAGCAAATTCATCGCATTCATGGAAATGATCAAGAGGAAAACTACCTTTATCTATTTGATTATTAACAAAAAAAGATTTAGCAGTTGTATTTTGGCATATGTTTATAATGAATTAAGCCAACTTCCTAAATTCAATATTCTATTTATTTAACACTAAATGATTGATTACCAGGAGCCTTAAAAGACTATCTTGACATAATATTAAAAAACTATTGCTTGTTTTCTTAATTAAATTAATAAAATACTAAATATTTAAGATATATTATTAATTGAATACAAAATGATTAAAGAAATTAATTAAATCTTTTAACTAATATTGAATAAATTAGAAATTTCTTTATTTGATTATAAAAGTAAAATAATTCAGATTCTTTTAATATATTTTTGATATCAATACTAATTAATGAATGTATCTAGTAAAATAATCATATCGAAGTAGCATTTCTTCTTCTTTTTTTGATTGGTTTACAAATCTCTACTTATTTTATTCACTTAAATATTAAAGTTTATTTATGTTTTAGTACATTTTTAAAATTGATTAAATTAATTTCTTTTATTCCTATTGTATAGTTTTTGCTTTACTAAATAATTACATTTTTACTGAATTTGAAAAGAAAAAACTTATTTTTAAATATTTATAAAGATGAAGATTTTATTGAAACTAAAATAATTGGAGTTTTAATTTTGCTTTTAAAAATAAGAAATACTCCTTTCCCTTAAATGCATCTATTATCAAAGAAATGTGTAAAATAACAACAAGCTTCATTGCTGTAAAGTGAATTAAAATGTTTGTTCGTTGAAAGATGATTATTAATTAATTAGTATCTGTTAATTTAAGACAAATAATTAATTAGCATTTGACTTTTTTATTCTACCAATTCTAAGGTTACTAGTACTTTCAAAAAGAAATTTAATAATTAATAAAATAAAGTAATAAAAAGTAGGAATAATTAATTAATATGCATGGATAGCTTTATTAACTTTGAAGAGCCACCAATTACAAAACCAAAGCTTAGAGTTAATTTAGAATAAATTACCAACCCACCAAGAGGTGAAACTAGGACATCTTAGATTTCAATAGAATATAATTAGCCTCAAATCCTTTATGATTTTAGAACAAAGCACCAAAAAACTCAAGATGAAAAAAATATAGTAAAATAAATATTTTCAATAGTTACAAACTCCCTAAATATTAATAAATTGATATTTAGTAGCCAGTAGAGAAGAAAAAAACAGTAATTATAAATTCTGCTAAACCTGTTTAAACCGAATCCAACTAAAATAATGCTCTCTCCTCCAGCGTTAATACTCATCCTAATAATTAAATGAATACATAAACACACAAAACTGCAGAACAAGATAAAAATTTAGATTAAAATTAAATTGACCCTCCTCTTTCGACGACTTAACCTGCTAATGGGAATTTGAATAGTCAAGAACCAGTATTAGATGGATCCACGCACAAAGATGAAGTGAAATAATATTTTAAAATAAAGTAAGCTATAAATTTAAAAATATTTGTTATTTTTTCTTTAAAATAAGTTCAATTAACTAGCTATAATCTAACTTACTAAATAAACCAATAATTAACTATTCAAATAATTTATACAGAGAGATATCTTTAATGAGGAGAAGGCTCAAAAAATTTCTTAAAAATTCGATTGTTAGTTGGTTTTTTTACATTATAACATGGATATATTTACTGATCATGTTTGTTTCTATTTCTCTTCAGCAGTTACTAAATTCTGACGATGCTTATTTAGCCTCAGTAGTTATAAATTATATAGAATTATTTTTACTAGCATGTCTTATTTTGGAGTTCCTAATGGCAGCATATACTTAAGGATTTTGTGTAAATTAAATAACTATTTCTTAACTAGAATAAAATAAAAATTTTTAAAAAATTAATTAGAATTATTTTAAAGTCAAATTGCAAGTACTAGATTTTATTATAATATTTCTTACACTGGCACTTGTTATCCTAGATTTATTACTCGGAAAAAGTCCTTAATTCACAAAAATAGCAGCAGTAGCTAAGGGAATGTTTAGATTCTTCAGAATTATACTTCTTTTTAGAAAGGTTAATTTAATTAAATATGTTCTTTATTTATTAAGCAAATTTATTTATAGAGCAATTAATTCAAGAAAATAAAGGCAGCTTCTACGATAAAAACACCTGCTGAAAGAATAATTGATATTTTTACTGACTTAAAAGAGTTTTTTGATTCAAAAGATATCATTGAAGATATTGAGTGGTCTATAAGTGTTATAGCTTTAAATAAAATTTATGAAACCAAAATTGTGATTTAAGGTGCAGAAAACAATAAAGAAGTAAATAAAATATTTTAATGTGAATTGAAAAAAGATAATTTTTTCCAAAAAGATAGTAGATTGGATTAACTATGGAGCTAGACAAAAAGAAGAGCAAGATAAATAATTTGATTAAGATATTCTTTCGAATAAAAATATAGATACAAAGTTATAGACTTATGTGAATTAGATTCCTCAACCTATTTTAAAATATTTTAAAGATGTAAATGAATTGAGCTTTGATTGCTTTGAAGTGGAAAAAATAGCTAAAGGGTCGGAGACTTCATTTCTACTTCTTTATTTGTTTTAATCTAATAATATCTTAGCTTCTGTAGATATAGAACCTGATATTTTATTCAACTTCTTCAAACAAATTGAAAAGGGTTATAATGATAATTTATATCACAACAGACTCCATGCATTTGATGTCTTACAAACTGCAAATTTCTTTTTGAAATCATGCAATTTTATTGAAATAGCAGCTATAAATGAGTTTGATTTATGCACCATATACATTTCTGCAGCTTGCCATGATTACGATCATCCGTATTAAATCAAACATTCAAAATTCTAAAATTTCATAAATTTTGTTATCTTTGATATTTATTTTAACAAAAAAAGCATGATTTACCATTATTTTATTTTATTTTTAAAGCTAAAAAAACTACCATAAATAAGATAAATAACAATAAATATTACTTTTAATTATTAACATAAATTCTTTTATTATAAAACTTATTATTTTAAATAGAGGAGTTAATAATGCCTTCATCATAAATACTTCTCATGAAATTGCCTTAACTTACAATGGTAAACATTTTTTTTCATACACTGTTAATTTTTAATATACTTATTTCTTTCATCAGACTAATCTGTATTAGAAAATCATCATGCTAGCAAAACATTCTAATTGTTTAATGATCAAAATTTAGACATTACTGCCAACTTTACAAAGGAATAATATAGATCATTTAGAGAAATGGTAATATCTATAATATTAAGTACAGATATGGCAAAACATTTTTCTGACATAGCCAAATTAAAAAGTAGACTAGGAACAGGTTTGTTGATTGATTTATTTATTTATTTGCATTTTTTTTTTTTTTCATTTTTGACTTTATTTTAGTTTTTAATATGAATAACAAAATATATACTTTTATTTGAATATTTATTTGTAGATGATTATGACATAAAAGGCAAAGATAAATAAATGTGTATTGACACAATTATACATGCTTGTGATGTTTCTAACCCTGTTAAGACATGGAATGTTTATCAGCAATGGGCTCATAGAGTGTTGTCCGAATTTTGGAGCTAAGGTGATCAAGAAAGAAGTTAAGGAATCTAAATAACTTACTTGTGTGATAGATATACTACAAATACTGCTAAAAGTTAAGTCGGATTTATAGATTTCATTGTAAAACCTTTATATGAAGTAATATGCAATTTTTTGCCAGAATTAAAAAATTATATGCAATAAATCGATTCAAATAAACAAAAATGGAATGAGCTCGTAAGTTTTTACGATTAAGACTTAGGTATAAATTTTCATTTAAATTTTTTTAAAAACTAATAATTTTATATATTTAAAATAAATAAATAGAAAGAATAAAGAACTAAATATAATAATTATAATAATCAAAAATAATTTGAAACTTAAGACTAATTAGATTTTTCAGAGTCAGCTTTTTTAAAACTTTACTTTTAATTATTAAAATCAATTTAAATCTGCTTTTGTTTCATTTAATCATTTTCCTTTTATAAAAATATAAAATATTTTAGATTGCTTATAATGCAACACTCAACTAATATTTCACAATAAAAAATGAAAATTAATTTAATGTATGAATTATCTTTTTATTTCTTTGATATTTATTAGTATTACTATCTATATAAACTTAGAATAATATAAAAAATTTATTCAACTTATTTATTACTTATTGTATTATATTTTTTATACTAAATTAATCACCAAAGCTATTTCGATTTTGTTTTCTTTAACAAATAACTAAAGTTTCTTTATCCTTGTCTTGATAAATTAAAAAAACATCTTAGAGTTTAACAATTATTCTTAAGATGGAAAATCATTTTGTTAATCATACTTATAGATTTGATTAGCCTCCTAGACACAAAAGCGTATCGAATTTGATTAAAAACAAAACAATGCAAGATTCAAATAGCTATCTCAATCAATTTTATTACAAATAAATGGAAATTATTAAACTTTAAAAGGCGCTTTAGGGCTATTAAGTTAGAGGAAAAATAAATCCTATTAATGCACAAAGAGCTTCCACCAGTTCATTAAATGATTCATCGTAAAAAGTTAGGCTTCCTTAAATAAATTAAGATAATTTAAGTAGAATAAAAGATGCCAAAAAAAAAGTGTTGCAACCTGTCAAAATATCAGCATAAATGTAAGTAACTTTAAATCGTTTTTTATGATAAATTAACTAAATACATGAATAAGCTTATAATATATAAACATTGAATTTTATAAATTTTTATTAAAAATATTTTATAAAATAAAGAAAGTATAACTTGTCTAAAGAAATATAAGATTTATAGTCTAATAATTTGAATGGAAATTATTACTACTTATAAGATAAAAATCAATAATGGGAATCAAGAAAGTAATAGTGGCTCTAAGGATTAGATGGTTGTTTAAAATCAGAATTTTTAGATTATTAAGAAATGTATGAAAAATTTTTTAAAGGAAAATATGATTAAAAAAAGAATTTGTTGAAAAGTAAAAAAAAAATAAAAAGCTTAAAATGTATAAGCTAAAACAATTAAGGCTCAAGCCAAAATCATCAAAACAAAATAGAAGAACATGCTATAGATTAAAATCAAAATTAATCGTTTTAGTAGGGTGATGAAGAAAAAGATTATTAATAAGAGAAAAGTTTTAAAAAAGATGAATCCGAAAGCCATAGAAATACATCTCATGTATAAGAATAAACTGAAGCTCAAAATAAGTAAGCATAATCATCATCTTAAAATACTAGTGCTATAGCAACAAATAGGCTAAGTAACTAAGATTAAGAGAATAATAATTTTGCAGAGCAGAACTCTGATATAATTCACAATCAAGATGTAGAATAAAACTAGTAGATAATCTTATCAGGAAGGCAGTAAGATGGATTAATTACAGAAGTAGTTTTGAATTAAGAAACTGATACCAAAAAAAATGCTTAAAAACCTTAAATAAAGCCAATTTAAATCTAGAGAGGATTGCATGAAAATAATAATTAAAAAAAAAAAGAATTATTACATTAAGAGCATCAATATAAATTATCTATCGTATCTCCTACAATGTTACAAAATACAAATTAATCTGATAATAAATACTTCATCAGCTCCTAATCATTAAATAGTAACAACTAAGCTCACTAAACACCTCGTGTATTTTCATAAATTAGATCTCAGTTAGATAATTAACTGTTGTATTCCCCCTTGTAATCAAATATAACTTCTAACTAAGAATTCTATCCTATCAATAACTAAATTTATGTTAATTACCCTTATTAAATGAATATGTATCTTAATACTTTTTAAAGTTCAGAATAAAGTAGCATCTAAAACCCTCAAACCAAATTCTCTTTAGCATAGCTAAAGACTAAAAACTTTAGTAAAGGTAACAAATTTTTTAAATTACTTTATTATTAAAATTTTTTAATTTTAAAAACAGTCTAGCAATCATCATAAAAAAGCGAAGATTTTTTTTTCAGGGTTTCACAAGTTGTAAATGTTAAAAAGATTTCATGAATTAAAAAATGATTTCACTATATTTTTTTATTTGTTTGTTTATTTTTTTAACTGTTTACTTAAATTAATAATTCAATTAAGTTTTTGAAATATTAAAATGTCGTATTAAATATACTTATTTTGATAATTAAGTTTTGCACAATTGTCTTAAGATTTCGTGCGTAATATATGATAGTGTAAAATTATTTGTTATATTATCATAATTCTTATGCTATTTTCATTTAATGTGCTGATTCTACGTTCTTTATAGAATTCAGAAATTTTTGATAAATACTTCAATTTATTCAAGATTTGTTAAAGAAAGTATGTATCATCAATTAAATCTTAACAAAAAATATTATTATTTCTTCTAATTTTACTAATTCAAAATTAAGCGTAAAAATAAAAATTGGATTTAGAAATGGATTATAGTAACAGTAATAACAATCCGTCACCACTTTTTTAAAGTTGTGCAAACAAAAACTTAATTGGTAAAAAAAAGGGATTATCATTTGCTGATTTGACAAAAAAAATAAACTAAAATTTAAAGGTTCCCATTTAGCAGATTAAAATTATGGCTACAAAAGTATTTTGCATTATCAATTTAGAATAATTGAGAATTTGTTAAAATACATTTATATTAGATGTCATAAGTATCTAAAGTGATGAAGACATCTAAGGGTAGAGATAAAATATGTTAAATAATATAGTATTCCTCTGATTTAACTCATGCATGCTATTAACACAGTAATATAGAAAATATTCAAAAGCAATACTTGTAATTACTACAAAATTATATTTACAAAGCTATTTCAAATAAAATTAATAATAAACACAAAATATTTATTTAAAATTTAGTTTTTTGGTATGATATCTATTACATTAATTAATTTATTTATTTATTTTAGAGAAGGTTTGTTAAAAGGACCAAAAGTAGCAAATAATGTTAAGCATTCCATCAAAAATGGTAGAAAAATATTTAAGCTCTTCAATTTTCTACTAGAATTCAAAAGAATATAAATGGTAATTGAAAAAAGAAAACCCATCCTCTATAAAATAGCATTGATTCTTTGCAGAATAACTAATTTCTTTTATTATTTGTTCGATAATATTTTATGGGCAACTAAAATAGGAAAATTTAGGTATTATTTTTTGCTTATTTTTTCATAAAAACAAATGAATTTATTCTAATTTTAAATATACTTTCTTAAAAGAAAATTATTTTTTCTCTAAGACCTGTTTGTTTTTTATATTTATAATAATTAATAAAAAACTAAATAATAATATAGTAATTTGCTTACACATAGCCCAAAAACTATTAAATTGCTCAAAGACTTATTCTGTTTCGCTAAGATTATTATAAAAATAATTATTTCTGTTTATAAGTGTCAAAAGCGTAAATAGTAAGTTATTCTATTACTGAGTTTTAGTTATTATAATTATTAAATTACTAATAATTCTAGGAAAATTAGAACTATACTTCAAAAGACAGCTGGAAAAAGCACTGTAATTATAGAACCAAATGAAAAATATTTTTACATGAGTAAATATCTACTCACTCAACGAATTAAGTTTAGGGAAGACAGATTTAAAATTTTAGTTAAAATTTTATAATTTTTAATGCTTTGTAAAAGACTTAGAATTTATTTGGTGTAATTTTAATCTTATTTTCAAAAATTATAAATTTATTTCTTATTATAAAAAATAGGAGCGACCATTTTGGAGATATAGCCTATGCTTCTTTTGGACTGTTTGCAACAATTATAAATACTCTTAAAAATATCTCAGAAAAACAAAAATTAGTAAAAATTTAGCAATCTCAAGATAACAACAACAATATTTAAAAAGTTAAAAATAAGATATTTGCTTGAATTCTTCAATAAAAATATAAAATAATATAACTGTATATATTAGTGTAAAAATGTATTTTATAAAGAAAATTACAAATTATATATAAAAAAAACTACAAAAATACTTACTTCTTCTATATTTAATATATAATAAATTAATTTACTGTAAAACCTCAAAAATTAAGACTCAATAAATTTAAATTCGTTTTCTAAATTAATAAAATTAGCATTAATCTTAGGGAAAATTATTTTAGGAGGGCCAAGTTAGAAAAAATGAGAATCTACAACATATTTAAATTTACTTTGACTTTGTAAATTTTTTAAAATAAATAAAAAAAATCAGCTTAAAAAAATTAAAATAAATATAAACAAACAAATAATCTACAAACAAACTTACTTTTATTGTTATTTTTAATTATAAAATGCTTTCAATAAATACTACAATTATTATTTTTATTATTTATTTAATTACGTAATGAAGTTCATTTAAACGATATCTCAATTATTTCAGACAATATTTTTATAGCAGAATACTTTTTTTATTATTAGGCAAATTCTAAAGAGCTGTAGATTTATTTAAATTATATATGATTATATATTAGATTTAAGTTTATCTATCTATACTAATCGCTTTACTCATCAATGTTATTTATATTTTAAATATAATATAATTATTAATAAGTTCAATAGTTCTAAGAAAATTTTTATGCCAAACGAATATATAGTTCTGCTGATTTCTCTCCTACTTACGAATTAGAGCTACTTGAGAGTTTATATACTTCATTTGTTAATTTTTTTTATTCAATAGGAGTTAAGTTATCTAAAATTCTTTCTTATAAAGAATGATCAAATATCTCTAAGTATATTTTTTCTAAAAATTTGCTATCAAGAATCATGCACAATCGAGACATTAGTCTTTTAGAATTATTAATATCTAAATTTTTAAGGCAGGGCCCAGTAAGCATCATTAATTTTATCAAATAAACATCGTCCTCTATTTAAAAAATTAATAAATATTTTTAATCCTGACAAAATGCTACCTACCTTCATCTAATACTATTTGATAACAAGAGTTTAAATCATTTTTTTCATAAAAAAGAAGTATTTCATCCCAAAGTGAATTATTAAACTATTTAATTTTTTGTTTCTGATTAGGAATTTCTTCAAATAATACTGTATTTCTCAAATCCTCGTTCATTTATTATGCTTTGTAATCAAAATCCTAAGTATAAACAAACAATTTAAAAAAAAGTTAAAAAATGCAAACTGATTGAGAGATTTACAATAAAAATCCTACTTTGTATTGGTATTAATTTCTTGATTAATGAGCATCAAAATCATGCAAGTCCTTAATAAGCCTAGTTTTATTCTGCTATTTAGTTATATTATCACTAAATGATACTTTTTTATTCTCATAATTTATATTTTCATTATATTTTAGCTATTCCTAATTATTAACCCCATTTTAAATAATTTCTTTCCTTATAATATCTCTAATTGATTCTTCTGATAGAATACTTTCTGATTTATTGAACTTATCCCTAACATGATCAAGGCTCTCTTTGTTATCTTTAAAATCTACGTATTAATTATTCATATTACTATTCTAAGTGAGCTGTAAATATAAATTGAAAATTTAAATAAAAAAAGATTTGTAAAATTAATAAACTAGCAAAAAATATATCAACCGTAAATTAATTAGAAAATATACTGATTTTTTAATTAAATATAACTTAATTAATTAGTCAATTGATAGGTAGGTATCAGTAATTAAAAAAATAAAATCTAAATGTTTTTATATATTATGATTTAGAATTAAATATAATTCATATATTAATTTAAATATAAATTAAAATACTTTTTTGAAATAAATAAATAAATATATATATTTCCATTACATTAAGCTATTTAAAAACAATTTAAAAAATATTTCATTTAGTTTATTTAACTTTTATGATTATTCAATGAACTAATCATTAAATATAATAAATTAAACAAAAACATTTTTAAACACAATGTTTTAAAATAGAATCAATTTCTAACATTTTAAGACAAAAAATTTTAAAATGCTAAAATAAAAGCATAATTAAATTTATTTTAGTTTTTATTTAATTAATTTTTTCCTTAAATAAGTGTATAATGAATCAATAGGATTTACTAATTAGTATTGATAAATATGAAAACAAACCTGTTTTAAATATATTATTTTATTTTATTTTATTTCATTCAGTAATTATAGAAACAGCTGCAGCATATGAAACAGATGAATCATTTTTGTCTCTTACCAAACTTGATTATGAATATCTTATAAATTTAGTATCTATCTGATTACTTATCTTGCTCTTTGCGATTGCCTTTTATTATTAAAATTTTAATTGAAGTTTTTAGTTTTTATGCAGCAATTTATTTATTTACATTCATCAAAATAGATATAGCATGTCTGCCACATATATTATTTTCAGTTTCACGAATATATTATTAAAAAGCACTATTTAATATAGTTTTTAATAAAAGAGTTTTAAATTTATTTTCTTGTTTTCATAAAAAATTACTCTATGTCATTCATTTCAATATGCTCCATTCCTTTTTGGTCTAATTTCTCTATCTATTCATAAATCTCACAATCTTCTTTTGTACTGTAAGTATATTTAAATCTATTATTATATTAGCAATTATATTTATTTTATTTATGTTTAAGTAGTTACTTACTTTTAACCCCAATGACAAAAATCTGTTGATATTACGAAAAGTGTATCTTCTTAATTTATATATTTGCTGAATAACTTTCCATATTTTTCTTCTTGGGTAGAATCAATAGAACCTACCATTACAGGTATTAATTTTATATTTTCTAAACCTAAGGTTTTAATAAGAAAACAAAGCTGCATTTCGATAGAATGTTCTTCTTCTTCAGCATCTTTATCAGATACTTCAAAGCTTCCTTCTTTAAGCAGCTATTATATTGCTAATTTATTTGCATTTTTATATTTAATTTTTATCAAAAAAATTACTTTCTTGATCTATTTCAATATTTCCTAAAGGAGTTTCATATGTTTTCATTCCAGATAAAGCACAAGACCTTATAAAAATATAGTGAAAAGGCCCTAAAACAAAGACTCTTAATCTGTTAAAATAAATATTCTTAAATTTAAGTCAATAAAAGCTAAATTAACTTTTAAGTAGGAGGATTTTGTTTAAGATATCTATAAGCCCAAGCAGCAGTAGGGCCACTGAAAGAAAACCCTGCGTGTCTTTTATTTATTAAAATGATAACGTTTTATTGTGAGTAATTTCAATTATAAATATAAGTTAGTACGGAGCTATTATAGCCTTTATAGATTTAATACTTGTAATATCACATTTAGCCATATCTAACCAAACATTTAATTAAATATTTAACTCATAGTCTTAACTTGAGTACCATAAACCTTGATATGTAGGTTCTCTAACATCTAACTTTGGACAAAAAATTTGATCATAATTTTATTCTTAAGTTGATGTTTTCTTCTATTAATTTTCTACTTAAGTTTATTTAGATTCTTCTTTATCTGCTTAACTTTACTCTTAACTTGCCTTAGAGCTTAAAGTTTATTGAATCTGCTGAGACATTTATAAACGAAAAAAATATTTTGATTTTAGCTTAAATAAGTAGAATAAAGCAACTAATATTTATCACTATATCTTTATTTTAATAATTTATTTAAATGATCTGTGTAATAAATTACAATTCTTAAGAATTATTTTTAAATGAATTTTTGTTAGGAATTCCTAATTGATAAAAAGTATATTCAACTAAATATTTTAAAAATTAAATGTTCACATAGAATATTTAAAGAATATAATTAAATTTTATTATTAGTTAATCTTATTTTATTAGTAAAAAATAAATCGATTATCAAATAATATTATTCACTCTATTTGGTAATATCAAAATTGTGCAATCAATACTTTAAAAATTTTTTTATTGATTGATAAATTCAATTTATTTTTAGAATTAGTTAAAAATAAATATATTGAAAATCAAATATTATCATTATATTTATTTTATTTTCACAAAATTTTGCAATATATCTTAAAAATAAATTTGATTGAATTAAAAATTAAAATGTTTTTTCAAAATAATTTTCATTTTACAATTAGATTTTTTTAGCTAAAATAGATTAAATATTTATTATAGCATTTATTTTTTAGAAATTAAAACAAAAACTTCTAGATTTTTAAAGCATTTCAAAAAACTAGCAAGTGTGAAACGCAAAAGATAAGATAGATAGATATTTTACATCTTAAAAATTGATTAACTTTATTTTTATAAGTACTATCTATATAAATTTGAAAAATGGATTAATAAAAGGATAATTTGTAATAAAAGTTAAGCTAAATCAAACAAAGGGTAGCTAAATAAAACGAAAATAATGATGCTTATTAACCTGCTTAAACAGTTAGTATGGATTTCACAACTTTTATTTTTAAATGCATTTAATAAAAGTTGGATCCTTAAGAATTTTTCAAGATTATAAGCGGTTGCTATAGTATATTAAAATGGGTATTAATAGAAAAGAAGGCAATAAGATATAAAGCAGAAATAAGTTATTATACAATAGTAGTAAATTATATAGCTTCATTAAAAATTAGAGTATCTCCTTATATGAACAGTGAAACCCAAATAATCTTTGAAGCAGATGATACTGAGTAATCTTTTAATTTTAATTTCAACTAAGCTTTTTTTATAAAATAAAGGACTGATTAAGCAGCAATCGCCAAAATCTGTTTACATCTTTTTGAATCTTATTTAGAATTTTACCTTGAGAATAAAAAAGAACTTACAAAGATGACTTTTGATACCTTCTATTAAAAGATGGAGAAATATAAGAAAGATTAAAATGTGGTATAAGAAGCTTTGAAAAAAGAATAAAAGTAATTAACATAAGAAGATGTTGACTTGTATATGAAGAATGAAGAAATAAATGATAGCATTAGAGCAAATGTTAAATTAAGATAGCAAGCAGGTTAGGCAATAAAAAGATTTTATATTTCTAAAATAAAAAACGAGGATTTGGATATATAAAAAATATAAAAGGTTAAAGAATAGATTCATAACGATTTGTTAGAATATCGTCAAAAGAAAAAACAATAATTATAATAATAAGAATAGACTAAAGATAAAACAAATAATAAATCTATCTATCAAGTATTAGAGGTGGTTGCTTCAGTAATAATTTATACAATTATTCTGTATCTTATATTTGTTTATGTAATTAAACCCTTTTTTTCGTGATATCATTTAAAAAAGAAGGGCAGTTTTTAAAAAAATATGGATTGATATAATTAAAAGTTTTATTAAAAATATTTAATTACTTAATTAATTATATACTTTATTGTCTTTATCAATTAATATGACCACTGATTATTTATTGGACTTAAATATTCAACAATTTTTTTTCACAATTATGAAGTTTGTTTGAAATATTTTGTTTCAAATTTATTTTTAAAAAATGAATATTGTTTAATTGATTAATTTTATGAAAGATAGTTGTCACAGATATAATTTACATAGATGAGACTGATAAGTTAAATTTTAAAATAAGAATTGTTAAATTATAAAGTAGTTGGTTAGAGTTTATTTCATTATATTTATAAAGAAAGAGCAAATTTTTTAATAATTATTTTGGCTATCTATTTTATTATTATAAATATTAATTGCATTTAAAAGGAGAAATATCAAATTAAATCTATTTCCTACTGTTATTAATTTGGGAAATTAATGAAATTATTTTATTAATTAGAAAAAAATTATATTTATTAGTTTTTATGCTAAGAGCTATCTTCTTTGTTGCTGTTATCTATTTTTAGAATATAATTTTTTAAGTTAAAAATTCATTTTTAATATATTTAATTTTACCATTTAGTTGATCATGAAAGTCAAAATCTAATAAATCTTCATGCTTATTAGACTATGATTGTAATTGCTATTGCATTTATTAAATGGGGATTTTTTACTGTTTATTTTCAGATTAAACTAAATTATTATGTTACAATCCATTTTATTATTATTATTAGTTAATATTATTGTTATTAACGTTAGTGTTGTTAACAAATACTGGATTTATTTAATTTTTATCTTTACTTTATGATGCTAGTTATTGCTTATTTGAATCTATATTAGTTTTACCATTAGAACGATTATTATCACTTTTTACATTTTTATCATTTTAAATAAACTATATACCATTAAACTAATTTTCTATGTTTTCCTATATTATTTGGTGATTAATTTTATTGCCATATTTTTATTTTAACAACTACATTTATTAACTGCTAAAGCTTTATATTTTGGGTTTTAGTTTATCTATAAACTTTAAATTACTTTTGTTGAGAGGATAAGACATTCTAGTTGAATCGCTTTATGAGCAAGCACTCTTTACTTTCATTTAGAAGGCAAAGGTATAAAGCTTGTTTCTAATAGCTTCCCTTTTTGATTCATGATTATTTTAGTTAAATACCGCTGTTGGTATCTCGATTTTATTGTTAAATGACTACAAAAATTAATTGGTTTTTGTATTATTGTAGTATTTTTTGGCATATTTGTATGGAATAACTGAAATTGCATCTCTTTCTTCAAATATTTTTGATGAAAGTGTAGAACCTATTTGCTATTATTGCATAGAACCAAACCTCGTTTTTATCACATCTTTATCGCATAACTTGTCTTCTATAGCATTCTTAATATACTAATTCTTAAAATTGATATTAAAGAGCTTGTGATCTATAAACTTTTAGTAGATGCTTTGATGTAGCATAAAGTAAACCTATTTTATTTTAATTTAAATGCTTACTTTTCAGTTTCATTGTGTTGTTTAAATTTATAATAAAACCTAATTATTTACCTCAAAAATTTTTTTTTCCATGTTTGAAGCATCTAACACTTTGCAAGCATTGAAAGCATTTACTAGCTTTTTGATTAAATCATACCCTACTGCGATATGAGCAGAGCTTATGAACAATTAGAAAATAAACTAGTTTTTCATTAAAAAATAATTATCAACATTTGAAAATTTAAGCTTTTAATTAAACTAATCTACCTAGTCTGTTATGTATATAATACCTGCTATATTATGGTCTATTATAAAATGGCGATCTACTTTGGAATTTGATTCTTTTAATTATAGAATAATTTACAACAAATTTATTACATTTATTAAAAATTTTTAAATTATTTGACATTATGATTGATCATTCATTCATGTTGGTATGCGTATTCAATTAAAAAATACTAAAAAATGAAGCTAAAGAATATTTTACTAAATTGCAATATGACTTTATCATATACTCTATCTGCTAAATAAAGAGCCTTATCAGTACGGAAGGCATTATTTGGGACAGCTAACATAGTTTCTCCTTTTTTATTTTGTATAACAAAAGCATATATATTACTGCTCATGTTTATCAGTAAATTCAACTAAAGAACCTCTCTTTACTATTTTATTTATCACTCAAGTTTATACTGTCAAAGCACTGACTAATTCTAAAATATTTAACTTTAACTTATATTATCCTAGTGCCTATAGAAAAATATTATTTCAACGAATGTAAAATATTGTTGGAGTGTATTTTTATATTTATTTAAAGAATTGATTATATAAAATAGATGATATCAAGCGTAGTTTAATATGATCAAATATTAATAGTAAATAATTAAGCTATTATCATATGAACTTAATCTTTATTGCCTATTGATAAAATATGTTTACTGAATTATTAAAAATTAATTTAATTTTATTTACTAGAAATTTATAATGAAATAAAGAAGCTCAATTTGCTTGCTTTGTTTTTGTCTAAATACATAAAATCTATTTCAAATTAATCTACATTTTATTTTTATGATGTTGTAAATATCAAGAGTAAACTCTATTTAACAAATAATTAGAATACTTTCATTAATTTATTGATTAATTTAATATAATGAACAAATATAATATACTGTTAAGTTATTTAGTAGAATTATCAATAAATGAATTACTTATATATTTAATAAATTAATAACTAAAAATCTAAAATAATATATTTAATGTTATAAACATACCATAATCTTATATTTCATATTTATAAAGTATTTAATTAATTTTCCTAAAAAATGTTCGTTCTTGTTTAAAATATATATCATTATTTTAAATATCTTTCAAACAAAAACTCATTAGCTTTATTGTAGTCGACTAGAATTTTGTAAGCGAAATAACTAAGAGGTATAGCATTTAGTATAGTAAAGCTACTTATTTTTGTAGCAATGCTGTGTTAACTGCTTTTAAAAACGAATTAATATACAAACCAATTTATGCCTCCAGTGTATAGACAAACTGTTAATCCTTATTAACTTAATTTTCTTATATATTTTTCTCTATAAAGTAGTGTTTCTTTATCAAATTCATATATGTATTTTTGATCACCCTTAAAAAAAGCTTCAAATAAACTTTTTTATTATAATTCTAAAGGCTTTAAATGAATAGGTTTTGTTTCTAACTTTGGAGTAGCTTTATACAATTTCTAACTTTTATAGATTTCCTCAACATCAATTAGATTACTGATCATCGTGTCAGATTTTAAAGAGTTACCTGATTTGTCTTTATTTTATTCGCTACTCATTTCCTTTAATTTTTTTACTTCTTTCAATTATCAAGGTAAAATTATTTGATAATAATTTATACTTGAAAGATATATTGATTATTGCAAAATAGAAATTGTAAGAAAGATCCAAATTGTTAAAATTATTGAATAATGCATAAATAAGTGCATAGATACATACATAAGGATACCAAAACTCAAGAAATAAATAACAGATAAAAATTTATGAATTTTAATATTGAATAGAGGGATAAACTTTGTTTGATAAAATTTAATCATTTCAAAGTGGTTAACTGAAATAATATGATATAAATGTAAAATATTTTAAAAATATAACTTAAAAATATATGATACTAATATATAATTAAACAAACAATTTGTTTGTTTGTTTTTTGGCTTGCTTAACGAAAAGAAACTAAATGTTTCTTGATAGTTTTAAATGTATTTTTTATTTATAATCATCTAATTTTATTTTAGTTAACTTATAAATTAAAAAATAAAGCTAAGTAGTATCTCCTATGTCATCCATACGGGAATTTCAAATATTTCTGGAGTTTAAGAAACACAACTTAGCTATCAAATTCTTTATTTATTTATAAATAAGCAATAAATTTATTGTAATATTTTTATTAATTTAATTAGATTATGTTATAATATGTTAATTTTAGTATAAATGGTATTTAGTTAGTGAGTAAGAATGAGGCGTTGCGTTCAATTAAAAAAATTAATTTGTATCTCTGCAAGATTTTTAACGATAGAGGCCTATTTACTGAGCTAAATTTTAAATGTATAAATATATAGATGAATGGATTGATGGATGCATGGATAGAATAATAAAATTTAGCTCATTTTTTCATTTCATTTCAATTCAATATTCTATTATTTCTGCTTTATGATCCGTTGAGATTAAATTGATTTGATTTTTTTTCAAAGAAAGTCGAAACATCTACTCCTAATGATTGTGATTGGATATTTGTTACTGAATTAGGTTTGACTTAAATGCGACTTAATAGATTGCTATTTGACTTTAGTTATCCTTTTTATTTAGGATTGAAGCTTGAGTTTTCCTTATTTTAATTCATAAAATTTAAGAAACCTTTATTCTATGAGAAGGAGAGAGATGAAGAATTGAGAATATTTGAAACTCCTATATTTGTACTGGATTAGTTATATCTTGGTGATTTAGATTCCCTCATTATCCCTATTATTTTTTATGCATAAAAAATATATAATTTAACTAATTTAAATAATGATAATTTTAATTTACCATCTTCTATTGAAAGTGATTTATTTAAGGTTTGATTAATTATAATTGATTTGTTTTCCTATGACTACTGTCTTTATTAAAGAGGTTTAATCATAATCTTGTCAACTAAAGCTTTTATTTCCTGTTTTAAGACTCTTTCTCTTTCTTCTTTGCTTAGTTAGAAAATACTTTTATTTAGTTATTTTGAGTATAATTCCTTCATAACTTATTAAACTAGCTATGAAAAAGACGAAGCAGATGTCAAAGAACCTTTTTATTTTTACTAATTTATCATAATGTAGTTTTACACTTCAGTTTCTAAATTTTTCATTTTTTCCTCTAATGTCATTCTTTCTTGCATATTTTCCTGAATAGCCTTGACTAAGAAAGATTATTCTTAATTAAGGAGTGAGCTTTAGCTCATAGGGTTGCTTTTGATAAATGATTATGATCCTCCTAGCAAATTGCTTTGAGAAATAATTGATTGATTTGAATTGTAATAATTTAAGTTGCATTAAGATATGTTATTTTGAGTAGTATTAGTTATATTTGAAGATTCAATAATTGATTTTTTTAATTCGTTTGTACTCATAGGAATATTATTGTTTGATAAACTTTGGTTTTTATTGTGCTGCAACTTCAAATGTTAATTTTATTACTATGATTCAGTCGACTTACTTGGATTTAAAGACTAATTTCTTAAATTTTGGTTATTTTATTTTTTCTGCATTTAAATTTATTGCAAAGTGAGAGCCTTATTCGTCAACTCTTAATGAATACCTTTCTAGAATTGCAGTTCGCTACTGCCATTCTTAAATTGCATTATATTTGTTAAAGAGTGGCTGTTTCCTGCTCCACTATGGTAGCTTGCTGATGTTGTAGTTGTCCTTTCTCTTTTTATTACAGTATCTTCTGTTTTTAAGTTATGAAGAGATGCTTAAGATTCTATGTTTTCTATGCTTTAGAGCTTCTTTTTAGAAGTAATTTAACCAGCTTTGCATTATCTCTTTTCAATAGAAGTATCCATTGTAATTTGTTGTTGATGATGAGAATTTTAAGATTAAGTAGATTAATCGGTTTTTAAAAAGTTTTAAGCATTCATATCTAATACTTATATTCCACCATTTCCATTTGAATGAATAAAATCTTTTACAAGATTGCTAGAAGATGTAGAAGCTGAGATAACTCTTTTATTTTTTACAGCACTTGGATTACCGAAAGTATCACAATTAGAAAGTTCAGAACTAGCTAATGATCCCTATCTCATAAAAGCAAATTATTAATTAGCACTGGTTTTTTATTATTCTATCCTCTAGTTTCCATTGTTATTGATATTATTAAACTAGATACTCTGAGTTAATCCGAAGCCTTATGGGATTATATTCTAATTCTAGCTTTAAACACTAGAATAATTACTCTGATAATAAGGGATTTAATTTCCCATACTTGGAGTTTAGTAGATTATATTTCCATTTCCGTTATTCATAGCACTATCTATTTGACAAACTTACAAAGTATTTTAGCTATTTTAAGCAAAGCTATTAATACTTGCGTTATTACTTAATCCATTGTCATTTGCTAATCCATTAAATCCCAAACTATTACCAAAAATATTTAAGCTAGGCTGATTGTTATCTCTATTCATAGGAGTCATATTAGATATGATAGATTCATTTACTATACTTCTTCTCTTTGATCTTTCTGGTTCTATGCGACTGATTTATAACTCAACATCAAAAAACTATATATATTTATTACATTTCAAATTGGATTAAAATTAAATATTTATTGATAGAATTTACGTCTTAAGATGTTAAAGGTAAATTTGCTTACAATTATGCCATTTTAGTCTTCAAATCTTCTATCTGGGATTCTTTGAGTTAGAGAGCAGCGTTAATACCGGAATTTTAATTTGAAATTTACTAAAATTTAGTAATTACGCTTTACAATTGAGAAGACAATGTACTCTTTTCTTCTTCTAGCTACTAAATTTTCTAAAGTAAAGCATTAGGTTCCTATTTATTAGCTGACAATGTTAAAGAATTTTATTCGATTTGTTTTTATTTATTCTCCATATTTTTAATTTCATTTGAAGTCTATTAACGGATAAGTTCAATCTGTTTTAGAAATATTTTTAAGTTAATTTAAATTAATTTTTTTGATTTTCATCAGCATAGTTGTTTGCTTGCTTGCTTGATTATTAACTTAACTATAGTATTGTTTAAATGTATCTATAATTTAGTTTTTTATTTATTGATGTATTATTAAGTAGATTTTTTTATAAATTTAAAATGACAAACTCTTTAAGATAAATTCAATTTTTTTTTATTAAAATTCAATTAAAATTTATTTTAATATTTAAATTTTATTTTACTGCAAGCAAATACGTTTTAACATTAAAAAATTAATTAAATCCTTTAACATACTTCTAATTTGTGATTTTGAGTCATAGAATCAATAATACTATTGAGTCTGCTAATTTCATCATTATCCTGCTCTTATTCTTAATAACTTCTTCCTTATTAGTTCTTTTGTATAAAAATATTTGATTAATTAAAAAGTATATTTAATAAGTTTCAAATTTGATTACTTATGCAATTTGATTAAGTGCATCTTAATACTTTTTTTAAAGGCTAAGCATTTCCTTCTCATACATTTGCTTTATTTTAGCATTTTCTTTCTCTATAATTTTCTTATTTTCTTTTTCTTTTCTTTATTTAATTTTAAGGGTAAGTTTAATCAAAAAAGAGGGGAATTGAATTATTTATTAATTAGATACTCTTATGAAAGCATTGCAAGATCTTATTGTTATCTTGACAAACTATTTTCTATAATTTTCTCATTTTCTGATAGCTTCATCCTTAAAAACTGAATTTCTTACTCATATTATGTGATTTTCTTCTTGAGATCTTCAATCTTTTTTTATGAAAGAGTTAATTTATATTTTTGATAAGCAATCTTAAATTATGAAAAAAAATCTAAATGATAATATTTAATAAAAAAGAGAGTGTTTGTTTATTTATTTATTTCTTATTTTCAAGTTGAATTTAATTTTTTTTAAAATGGATATAAGTTTATAATAATCGTTATAAAAGCAGTAATTATTTATCTAAGGATAAAAAATAATTTGTATTTAATCCTCTAACTTATTAACTTAATAACTAACTAATTTATTGTCAATTATTAATGATATTTGATTCCTTTATTGAAAAATTTAAAAATTTAATCAAAAAGATGCATGTTATCTAAAAAATGTAATTTTTGAAAGAAAGAATCATATCAGAATTCAATTTTCAAAATATCAACAACATCTAATAAAATGGTCATCGTAGAACAAACAACAGTTAACGTTATTCCACTTCCACGCAAAAAAATTATTTTTAATCAAATCAATTGTAGTATAATTTGATAGTAAATAAATCAGTTTACCTCTTCTTACTGTTGTTTGATAGTTAATGCACTTTTTTATAATTTAGATTCAGTATCTGGATCCATTGATATTCTGTTTTCAAATAGCTGCTATAACTCCTTAAGCATCTTATTCTTAAAAATATATTTTTTTAATACATATTTATTGTATAGAAAAGCTATTTTGTGCTTAAAAAATGTTTTTACTGAGAAATTTTTAGGATTGGCTGTTAGATCGTTTAAGGTAGTCATAAACGCTTCATTCATTTTTTAAAGATTTTCTTATCTTATTTTACTCTCATGAATATGGCTCTCAAGTAATTCTATCTTCTAAGTAAGAATTGCGCGATCTTTATTCCAACTTTGCTCCTTCGTCTTCATCTAATTAAAACAGTTTAAATTTTAATTTTCCTAAATGCTATCAAATAAACTTGCATATTTAAATTTTTTTTTTATTGCCCATGTTATTTAGTAATAAATACTGTAAAATCAAAAAAAAATATTTAAAGACAATCAGTATCAATAGAAAATTAAAAAATATGAAGAGAGTGTAAAATTCCTAAATTTAAAGCTATCATAAAATAATATTTTTTACCTAAAGCTTGAGAGTATTGTTTTCACTTTCGAGCTCAACAACGCGGCTTTTGTCTAATTAAAATGATATTTATTCCTCGCTGAATGTAGCGAGATTCATTTGTTAGACCTTAGAGTCAAGATATTCGATATTACTGGTTGACATAAAGATCTTATCTTTTGTTTGTTTCTCTTCAAATTATCAATTAATTACTTTTTGATGTATTTTTAATATATTAATTATAAAAACTGAATGATTATTTCTTGTCTTTATTTTCTTAACAATTTATTTTATTTGCTTCTATATACTTGCTAGCTATTTAGTTAGTTAGTTAATTAAATTTTTTTATACAATCCTATTAATTACTACTCAATCTGTTTATTAGAACTTCAAACACTACTTCTTTATCTTATTCAATCAATTATTTTAGGGAATTTAGATGCCTTTTTCTCAATCAAAATTTAATAGCTTATCTTTATCTTTTTATTAAATTCAATATTTAGTTAAAATTTGAATATATTATTAATGATCTGAATACAATTTTACGTATCTTTTTTTTTTTTTGAAATTTGTTTGATTTTTATTACTTACTTTCTTCATCCCAAACTCTCATAAAAGTATATATGAGCCAATGAAATTCATGATTATAAATTTATCATGTGATCTTAAAAGCAAATAAGTATTTAAATTCGTTATAGTTTATTAAAATTTCAACCATAAAAATCTTAATCCAAAATATTTAGTAAATATTAACTGACTAACTTAATTTACCATAAGGAGTTGAAAATCCATCCAAAATAACAATAATTAGCATTTAAGCTATAATTTATCAAATCGCTAATATAAATAAATAAAAACTCTAAGAATTCAAATGAGAATGAAAATAATTAAAAATAGCAATTTTTTTTGTGAAATTTAAATCAATTTTAATACTACCAAAAATTTAAATTTTTATTTTCTTTTTTGATTAATTTTAAATTTGATAATTAAAGCAAGGTAAAATAATAACACTCCAATTTTTTTACTACTCTTGAAGAAATTTTTTTATTAGGTTTAACAATCAAAAAGCTTTATTTGAATACATATCTAAGCAAAATATACAAATAGCGCATACAGAATAAATAATAAATTTAAATAAAATTAATAAAAATCTAAATTAATTAGCTCAAACAAAATTTAAAACTATTTTTCCTATGTTTTGGTTTTTTTCCATATATTAATGAGCTTCTCTTACCTTTTTATATGTTTATTTTATCAAATTTATAATATATTTAATATTTTTAAAATGATGTTAAATAGATAAATAAATACCTTTTCCACATCTTTATCATCATTTAGATTGACATTATAAACTTTATCAATAATTGTTTTGAAAGTGTTATTTCTAAAAAGAGGCATAGCTTAAAATTAGAAATCTCTTACAAGATCTCTTTTATAACAGTCAGTACGACTCCTAATTATATTTGAAAATTAAATTTAAAAAAATACTATTCAATCAATACCTTAAAGTAGAACATATGAGAGACCCTCTTTTTCCTACTAATGAAGCTAAATTAAAATTTGGAACTTTAGCTCCTCCCATCAAGCCATATAAAACCCAGCGGGCATCATAGTTAAGTACGCTTAGAGTCTTGAATTTATAAAAAGGAATTAATAAAGTGTAAGATAATCTCGTAATTAAATTACTAAATCAACGTTAGAAGCTCCAATACAATCTAAAACTATATCAGCTCCTTTTCTTTTTGTCAACTCTAAAATTTACTCTTTCTGCTTTAAGTTATCTTTATAAATAATACCTCCTTATGCCCCTAAGCTAATTTATACACTTTATTTATTAATCTTAAAATAAATATGCTTACTTTTTGCAAAATTAGAGCTTTTCAGGAGAGGAAACACTAACAATAGCATTTGTATTGAATAGGCTACAAAGTTAAATTGCTGCAGTTCCAACTCCACTTGCTCCTGCATAAATTAAAACATTTTCACCAGGTTTAGAACATCCTACTTTCTTTAGCAATTAATAAGCTGTTAACCATGTTTCAGCCAATCCAGCTGCCTATTAAAGAGTGAAATTAATTATTATTTTTAGAAAAATAAAATATTATCGAGTCTAAAAAAATATTTCATTTAATTAATGTATTACATCAGAGAAACTCATCTAATCTGGAATTTCTAAAATATGATCCTTGTTAACAGCAACATATCTATTTTATTTTTAAATTTTATAAAAGAAAATATAAAAAACATCTTATTTATTTACTCTGAGTAGCCTCCACCGGACAATAAAGCAACTACCCTCTTACTAGTTTAATTTCTTAACAAAGAAATATAATAATTTTCTGATAGATAGAAATTGCATATCTAAAATACCCATTTTGATCTAATAAGTATCCTGCTGCTTCTAATCCAATAATATCAGATGCTCCAGGAGGGGGAGGATATTTTCCTTATCTCTAACAAATAGTTTTATTTAAAAAAAGCGTATAGTTTATTTATTCTTACTTATAAAGTATCTGCTCTATTTAAAGCTGTTGCCTACACTTTTATCAAGACCTCATCTTTTTTTAATGCCTAATAATAATTGTAATTAATAAAGATGTTTAGTATTTCGCACCTCTTTAAATTATTATAACTAATTATAATTACAGGTATTGGACTTGTCTTGAAATTTAAAACATCTACTCCTCCAAATCCAGAGCAGTGGACATGCCTCATTGTGCTAAATCTTGCTAAAATTTTTCTTATCATCCCTAATATTCTTTGTTAATTTTTTTTACTTGATAAATAGTTATTTATTTACAAAAAATAAATTAATTAATTAATTAATAAATGCAAATACTTCTAAATCTACAAAAGATTTTAGATAAAATATTCAGAATAAGATTTTTTGTTGATTAAAAAAAGGTAATTTTGGTTACTTTACAAAATAATTTATTTTTTTAAATTAACAAACATCATTACTTATTATAATTATTTTATTACATTTTTTTTGTTTTAAAGATACTAATATTTTGAGCTAAATAAATTGTTGTTGATTGATAATCAATTTATTTATTTTTGATATTTTTATTTTGTTTTAAAGTTAAATACACAATTCTTTTAATTAACTTATAACTTATAAAATATACATGATACAACTAATTTTTATTTTTATTTAAAACTAAATACTTAATTCCTTAAATTAATTCATAATTTAAAATTATACTAGCATCATTCTGCAATCTAAAAAAGTATTTTTGAAATATTTATTTGATTTTAAATATTAAACAACTTTTTATTTTAAATAAAAAATTTTTCAGTTAATTAATCCTTTTATTTTTTTATAAAAATGTATTATATAATTTATTGGAATTAAATTAAAATTTAGATTGACAAAACTTTAAATAAATCTATATTTTATTATTTAAAATTAATAAATTAATGATCTACTTTATAGAATTTAAATATATAAATGAATTTTATTATTTTATGGTTAACAGAAAAAATATTTATAAATTAATTTATCTAAAATTTATAAAATATTCAATTAATACATATTTTTAAAGCTGGTCTTTATATGATTGTTTAAATTAATAATTTTTTCATGTTTTCAAATTCTTAAAATATCAAAAATCTTAAAAATCTTGTTTTTTATAAAAATATCAAAAAAATTTATAAGAAAAAAAAAATTAAAAATACACATTTTTTATAAGATTAAAATTTAATTAAAGTAAATGGAAATATTTAAGCTTACTGTTGAGGAATTTGATGATTTATATAAAAAATATAATAGTCAGCTCATTCAGTAAACTAAAGAATTAGCTTAATAATACAAAGATTGTGTTTCAGATGAAAAACTTACAAGCTTTGATTCATGTGTTACAAAAATATTTAGTAAATAATTGCAATTTGATTTTTTAGAAATAAATTTATTTAAAATCAAGGCTCTAACAAAAGTTTTCTTCATGAAAGACTAAAAGTTAACTTTAGTAAGAAAGACTACTCTTATTTGATTGATAAAGTATGGAATTTATATTTATTTAAATGAAAATATATATTGCATATCATTATATAGATTCTTCCTTTTTTGTATGTTGCAGGCTGAAGTTGAAATCAAGAAAATTAATCACGAGATCATGACAATCAGAAAGCTTTATATCAATAACAATAGTAATCTGTAGACTCAAAGTTCTCACCAAAGCATTATATTCTAAAATAGCTAACTAAGGAGCTAAAATACCATTAATACATTACCTAATGTAGTTTAGGATTCTATTTTAAAACTACCAACTGCTAAATTAGTCAAACTTAATTAAAAAGAAATAGAATAAAGATTAAGAGAAACAATGAGATATAAAGTGATGAATAGTTTAGTAGTTAAAATATAGAAAGCCTTTAGGAGATACCTAAGTATTATTAAACCAAAAAGAAATTTAGCAGCTACAAAAGTATATTCTTATTTTCATCATTAATTTACATAAAATTTTGAAAAATTAGATTCAGAGATCATACAGACACTACAAAGAGATATCTAAAATTAATTCAGAAGGTAAACTAAAAGATAATGCTGCAAAAAAAATTTAAATGTGGTATAAATATTTAAAGTAAAAAAAGACTGTGCAAAAAAATAAGTAAACTTATCAGTTTTTCTATTTTAAACCTCATTTTTATTCAAAAAAATAAAATAACAGAAAAGTGTGTTAAGGATTAGATATATTATTAGAAGTTTTTAATTAGAATAAAGTTAAGAAATATTTTAGATAAATTCTAAAATATTCTCTTGTTAGATTAAGAATTGAAACTAGAGCATATCAAGTTTACAAGTTAGATCCTCATAGAGTTCATTTAAATAATGTAGATCATGAAGAGCTTAAAAAAATTATACCTGAAGAAGGAAAATACAAAATGAGTTCTGTATTTTGGGATTTTATATTAAAATCTAAAGTATATTATAAATGGTTATTATTTACTGCACTAAGAAGAAAGCGCGCAGCAAAATAACCATAAAACTGATTAATTAATATTTGTACAATTCATATTTCATCAATAATATTTCTTAAATATGTTTAATCATCCCAATACTTTATTACTTTAAATTTTAATTATTTATGTGTGCATACATAAAAACATGGTTATTTTATTAATGTTTCTAAGCCATTAATAACAAACAAATCTTTTTTGAATTTCATATTAATTTTAAAATATAAATTTAAATTATTTATATCATATAGTATTTTAATATGTTTAATAAATTATAAACTTAAATATTATATATTTACTCAAAATGGTATTTTTATATTTCGTAAAACCTACTAAACTCAACTTTTATTGAAAATAGGTATAAATTTTTATTCCAATTAAATCTAAAATTAATATAAATATGACAATAAAAAGTTTAATAATATGTTTGATAAATTTTAAAGGTATATATTATAATGCTTTGCTTACATAATTTTTAAAATTACTCAAAATAGCTATTTTACACATAATTGATAATTGTATAATCAGAAACATGTATAAGAATAAAATGCATTTTTGTATGCAAAAAAATTAGTTTTTGATATTTTTTATGTTTTATGTAAAGTAAATTACCAAATATTTAATTATAAATCTTACATAATTCAATTTTTTATATCCTTTTACATTCTCAAACTAATTAAAATAAAGACAATATTTGAGTAATTATTAAATATTTTTGTGTTAAAGTGAAGGAATCAAAATGAAGAAAACAAAGATAAGTGAAATTAATTTTGATTTAATTGTATTATGGATTTTGTTTATTGGGAGAATTCTTCTCGAGATATGGTGTTAATTTGCTGATATACTTTATTTATATATGTAAGATTTTGCCTATATTTCTCTAAGGAGTTCGATGATATTTTTTTTATTTGCTTCTCCATTTATACAAATGTTGACGTGGATGTTTTAGCTGTCTTATCCACAAGTTTAAATAAACGAAGAAGAGAAATAAAACTAAATTAGTAATGCAAAAGGAACATTTGATTTAATATTAGTTGAACTGAAATGGACTTTAAAATACTATTATAGGCTTTTTAAAATTGCAATTACAAAAATACCTCTTTCAATGATGATAGCACTAGCACAGTCAATAAAAATTTTTCCATTCATATTGTTTGTTTATACCTACAAAAAGTACAAAATTATTATTACTGATGACATGATGAATAGTCTAAAGTAGCAATGGAAGATGGAGAAAGAAGAAAAAAAAGATATTTAAGAACTATAAAATAATGATAAATAAGATAATGATCAAATAGATCATATAATTAGATAGTCTAATGCTGTGATTAACAATAGGACTTCATTTCTTCCTCAGCAAGATTAACTTTATTTTAATCGTGAATCGAAAGTTCCAACTGTAATATAAAATGCAATGAATAATAGAATTAGTGAAAGCAATACTAGCTAAGCATAAAATATAGTATCTTAGTTTGATAGAACAAGTTTAGTTCCTAAAAAATATAGTAGGCCTACAAGTGTTTAATAGAAGTAATCATATAAAATGTTTATATAAAAAGGAAAGCACAAAAAATAATAATACATTTTCAATTGATTTGATCAAAAATATTTATTTTTTTCAATACAATTTTACACTTTGAACAAATACTTTTAATTCTAAGAATGATATTGATGAATTTTTTTATATTTTTTTCATTATTAATGTTTAAATAGATTGCTGGATCATTAGAGAGAAAATTCTTATGATAAACTAATTGATGAATAATAACTTAATGAAAATAATAGAGAATATTAAGGCAAGAAGAATGTAAATCTGTGTTTGGATTCTAACATGGAGCCAAATTTTCAAACAATTTTACTAGATTCTAATTTGTAAAAGTTTATGATTATGGCAGATGTAATAGAAGCTATGTTTAAAGCATTACCAATGTGTGTTATCTAATTTATTAATAATGAAGAAAGGAACTCTTGGGTTCATAAATCAGATAATTCAATCAATATATTTGTTTTATCTGTATTTCTTGTTTCTGCTTTAAGTGTTGTGATACATTTAATATGGCTTTAGCGTTTACTATATGGAGATGGAGTTGAAGTCTTCTTTTAAACCATGAAATTTTTAAATGATACAAAGTAAAAAGATAAATCAGAAAACAAATAAAAGAGTTGGAAAGGTATTGGTAACATATATCCAGTTCCAGCATAACTAAAAGTGAATGATCTTACTCGATTAAAGAAAGTATCTATACTCAGTAAAAGTTCTGCAAAAAGAATAAAAAATATTACTATTGCAATTCCTCCAGATAGAAGAACTAGAAATACAACTTGCAGCTTAATTTTGCATTCACTGCCACTATTTGAAAAATTAGCAAGTTTATCATTAAGTTTAGAGTATTTTTTAATAAAGAATTACTCTTAATTATAACAAATCTTTATTTTTAATAGAGGCCAAATGCTGAAAGACAATCAAATAAAGAGTATAATCAATGTGATCACTGATCAGTTAAACAATATTTAAAATATAGATCTAGTTATAGGGTATTATTTTAATAAAATGTAATACAAAACTAATTTAATTTTTTAGTAAAAATGCAATAAATGCTGAATTTTAGAATAAAATCAGATAAAAAATGGAGAAAATAGAAAAAAGAGTTTAGACATTTAGTTTGCTTGGGTATATTAATTTTTAAATCTTTAAAAATCAAAAATGTGTTTGTTTATAAAAAATAGAGATGATTTCTTTAAGTTTATGACTAAAGATTAAAACCAAAAGATCCTTCAAATGAGAATATAGCAAATTATAAACAAGAACTATTGTTTAAACAAGATTTAAGTAAGATACTAAAAAGTAATTGCTTAAAAAACAGATTTAAAATAGATAATAAAGTTAATCCAAAACCAAATGCAAGTCCAGCACCTATAAATTAACTTGGGGTAAATTTATTAAGGTATTTCAAATTAAAACAATTTTTTAAAGGTAAATTTAAAGAAATTCAGCTCAAGAAATCAGTTTCTACATAAAAAATTTGAAATATTTATAAAAATGTCTATTTAAAGCTGGGTAATTTATTTTTTATAGTTTGAAAATCTTTGTAAAAATTATGAATTTTTAAATAGTAATATATTAGTTATCAAAAATTCAGAAAAGTTAGTTTTAGATTAGAAATAACTAATGATATAAATGGAAAAGAGGTCTCTTTTATATGACTATGCAAGAGGAGTAATAGACCCTAACCCAGGGAATTTACCAAGGATATAGATGGCTCCAATAATGTAACAAGCTCAAATAATTGATATAAAACCAGAGCAAATAAACAATTCAGAAGTTAACATAATTATGGAGTATTTTTTTAGATTTCATAGAAAAAAATATTACTTTATTCTTTTAAAATTAGCAACAAAAAGTTAAATGAGAAGCATTTTTAAAGTATGATTTAAAATTTGTAAAGACTCCCTGATATGAGTATTCTCAATTTAGATTTCTCTAAAAATATGATCACACAATACGATTCTATGAACATATTTGACTCTATTTCATAATAAACATAATTGAACGTTTTAATTTTAAATTTGCAATTTAGCAAAATTTGCCTTTAAGGAGCCTTAAGTCTTTCTAATCGTATTTCTTAGCTGCAAAGATTAGTCAAACTAAAATTAAATTTAGTGTAATAAAATAATACCAAATATTTTACCTTCATATAATTTTTTTATAAATAAGAGGTAATAAGATAACATCAGAAGGTTCATAAGCTATTTTCTTTTCTTTAGGAAGGATGGCTAATCTTTAGTACTTATCCTTAAATCTATCGTAAATAATAAGTTAAAATTAAAAAAAAGTTAAATTTTATAAAATTTAGGAACAATTTATTAAATGAAAATGCCTTATGTAAGCTGGGAGATTGCTTGAATGAGCAAAATAAAATAACTTATTTAAATTTAGATTTATCTTGGAACAAGATAGAAAACGAAGGACTTATTTTTTTATTTAAAAGCCTTAAATGTATAAAGTAGTTGAAGAGTTTCAAATTAGTGATAATGTAATTTTGTCTCATATTTTTTAAATATGTATTTTTTAAATTAATGAGTATTTTATATTGTTAGAAATGTCATAAAGAAAAGAACAGAATCAAAGGTGTGGAAAGATTTTGCAGAGTTTTTGAAAATAAATTAAAATATTTCAAATTTAGACATAAATTTTGGGTAATTAATATTTATTTTGATTTAAATTTTTATAGTTAATACCAAAACTAGATTGAATTAATTAATGAATGAAGATATTATTGATTTATCAGAGGGATTGACTGGCTTAGCTAAGCTTAAATAGATCCACTTTTCATTTTATAGAAATAAAATAAGTGATAGCGGCTTAATTATCTTTATTGAATCTTTTATTAATTTAGGTATTGTAACTCATTTTAGTCTAAATACTGAGTAAAAATTAATATATAATTATAATTAATTAACATTTTCTATATTTAATTTTTTGAATCAGAGATAATAGTATAATGGGATAATTTGTTAAGAGTCTTTCAAATCAAATTCAAAAAATGAACAATCTTGAATACTTGAACTTAAATATAAGGTATTTCATTTATTTATTTACTTCTTTAGTTATTATTTTTGAAAGATATTAAGTTTTTTTATATTTAATTAATTAAGTCGATGCGATGTAGACTTCTCCTGCTTAACATAACTTAATAAGAGTCTAGGCTATGCTTAAAAAATTTAATTCCTAGATCTTAATTTTTAGTAAAATATTATTTCACTAGAAAATCTTTAAAAAGTTTTAATTATCTAAATAGCTACAATAATCTATCCTTTTCTTCGATTTAAGAACTCTCAAAATCAATATAATCAATGAATGGCTTGAACATATTGAAGATCAACTTATCGTATTAATTTATTATGAATATAAAAAATATCCATATTCTATTTATTCTAAAAAGAAAAACATTGATATCATATGAAGAAGTTATACAATTATGTAATGTAATAGAAGAAAAAATAGAGTTAAAAGAATTAATATTGGGTTTATCGTAATATTATTTTTAAATATTTTGCATTATTAAGTCGATGATTATTTTTAGTAACAGGAATAGTATAAATTAAAATAGTGGAAAACATGTAGCTCAAGATAACTTAATTACTGTTGGTATTTCATAAGCCCTAAATAAATTATAGAATTTACAATATCTTGATTTGAATTTAGAGTATTATTTTTTAAATTAACTTTTCAAACAAATAAGAATAATTATTGTTTTTAAAAGCTATTAGAGCATAAATAATGAAGGGTGTTGCTCTATTTTCGAAGGTATCATGACTCTTTCCTAACTCTAATTTTTAAGGATCTCTCTGAAGTAAAATTAAATTTCAAATAATTTTATTTCAATACCAAGCATTAAACGTAAAGGGGAAATAATATAGGAATAAAAGGTGGTTATGGCATCAGTTAATTTATTGATAATTTAAAAAATTTGATAAGATTAGATCTGAATTTGTCACATAATTAATTAGAAAATCTTCCTTGTATTAGATTAATTTACAAGCTTAAAAATATGGTTAAGCTTATGTAAGCTGATGTTTATCTTTCGTAATTTTATTTACTTAAAAAGCAAAATTGTAGACTTTTCATAAATTTTATTTATTTAAAAGTGGGAATCTACTGAATTAGAATGGCATAGACGTAATTAATTCAGTCAGGAGAGAAACTCATAATATATTTTATGGTTATCCAAATGAAGATCAGCTAAACGAAAATATTATTAAGTTCCTAGTAATGTGAACAATTTCAAAAATTATTAAAGAATCAAATAATTAATTTTATAAGATTTGAATATTTATTTAATATCTAAAGCTAATTAAAGATAAAATATAAACAAATTATTTTAAAACATTTTTTTTATGCGAAAAAAATAATAATTTTTACTCATCTATCTAGCTTTTAGCTTTGTAGTATTTTTAAATTAAATGGAGTGTATTTTTTGTGAATAATTAATTTCATTTGTATTTAAAAGTTTGATAAAATATTAGAAATTAATAACTGTGTTTTTTATTCAATTTTTTAGATTAAATCAAAGCTAGTTAAAAAATTAACAAATTTTTATTACTTTTTTGTTTTTCAGGATATATTGATAGTTAATTACATACATATATACACATATAAATATTTAATTACACATAAAAAACAATATAATTTTGTTCGTCTTGATTATACTTTATAATCTACTATGAGTGACAGTAATGATCAAGATAATCTTTTCGAGTTTGAAGCATATTAGTTACAATAATTTGATTATTAAGACGATTAGAGTACCATTAATAAAAACACAAACTACTCCAACACAAATGATGATTTGAAAGATAGAAAAGTAAAAGTAGAATTTACAGATCAAGTGATAAGATTTAATCCTAAAGAAACAGTAGCTTCATCTAATATAACAATAACAAATTAGAATAAGGCCAATGGATTAAAGATTATAAGTACTGGTAATACTGGGTCATCTTCTCTAAATAAAGAAGATAATAATGATTTACAGTTTAAAAAAAGTCAAAAAGTAAAAAAACTACAAACTGAATATAAAGATCACATTGAAACATAGTAGGCTCTAAAAGAGTTTTAAGATAAAGAATACCAATTTAGATTTATTATTGATAATTTTATTTAGGTAAACAATTTTAAGCAATAGTAGTTGGAATCTTAAAAATAGCTGCTTTACAAGCTTTAAAATAGCAGGTAATATTATCAATTTTTGAACAATATTATTATCATTGTAGATTTTGGTAGGATTATCTAACTAACATACAAAATAAAGTTATAAAAGAAAATAAAATAATTATTATAAATTGTTTATTAAACATTAATTTCACTATTATTTAATTTTTATTATATATTACCAATAGGTATACATAATTTGATAAGAGCGATCCTCTTCTGCATATTAACAACAATAACAATCTAAGAACTTTTGCAAACTAAAAAATCAATAAATATGATGAGTATTATCCAGAAGAGATTGAAGAGATTTTGTGCAAATTAAAGGATAAAATTCAGAAAATAGTTGATAAAGTGAAAGAAGAATAGTTTTATACCAAGACACTATGCCATATGGAGTAAAGGTTAATATTGCAGAAGGAAGAGGTGTAAAAACTTTAGCTTGAATACGAAGAACTTAATGAAGCTGTTGAAAAAAACATAGCCTATCTTGAAGATGATGAAAAAGAAACAAAAGCTTAAAATACTTTAAATGTTTGTAAATAACAATATGTTAAGAAAGCTATGAATCACATAGAAGAGATTCATAAAACTGTAATGTAAAAAACTAATCATCTGCAGTAAATAGCTGAAACAGATTTAAAGTTAGAAATTGACTAATACAAAGATATAAAGGAAAGCTTAGTAGAAGCAAATGAAATTTTAAAAGAAACATAATAAGAAATAGAATATTTAGGGCATCAGCATATGCTTAAATTAAAATAGTAACAAGATTTAGATTCACTTTTGAACCATTTAGGTGATTTTGATATGTTAGCAAGAGTTTTTATTTACGATGATCCTGCTAATCACTTTAATAGTTAAATGCTGTTTGAAGTAATTTATTTTTAAATTCGATATATTTTTTTCATTTTTATTGTTTAAAGCCAAAAATAGATTTTAGTATTTTAGATGAAGAAAATGAGGTAGTTTCAAGTGAACAATAGAAAAATAACTCAACAAATAATAAGTCTGTAACTCCTAAATCTTCAAATATTTTAAATCAATTAGAAGAAAAAAACAACTTCTTAAACTTACTAAATAGCAACAACTATGCGAATCACAATAATTAGAGCAAATATACTTAAAAAATTTTAAAATCTAAAAATTTATTGCTACATTCTTTAAAACTTAACAAGAAACCTACTTAAATTAAGAATGATCTAGACTCTGATGAGGCAAAGGCCTAATTTATAATATTGATCTTAAATTAATTTTATGAATTCCACAACAACGATATAACTGGATTGTTTAATTAGTTACAAGATAATTATATATATGCTTGCAAACTTGGCGATAACCTGAGTGCTAAAGTAATATAATTAGAAATGGATAAAAAAAAGTATTAAGAGGAGTTAATTTCAACAGAAAGCGAAGCAGAAAAAGTAAAAAAAAAGTTTTATTAAAAAAAGAAAAAAATAGACATAATGGAGGTAGATAAAGAGCTTGATCAATATTCATACAACTAAATTATTTCTAGCTTCTTTGTTAACGATTAATTCTTGGATAATTATTATAATTCCGAAGATGATAATCCTAACTTAGATATTTATTAACTTCTCAAACAAAATGAGATTCCTTAATAATCTTCATTCTAGTAAGAGCAAGATGAATTTAGTAAGAATTATAATACATTTCTTAGTGCGTCTCATCTGATGTTGAGTAAATTTTATTATTCTAAATCTCTCAAAACATTCTTTTTTCTTATCAAACAGAGAAGTTTTTTAGCCTGCTGAATCAAATTAGAGATAGAGGAGATGGATAAAATTAAGAGCTAAACGATCTGGTCGACGAAAGTATTATGTTTTTAAGAGGGTGGAAAGTTGAAAGTAAAGAGCTAGACTCAACAAGTCGCTACTTGATTGTTTAAGAAATGAAAAAATTGAATATTAAGTATCTAACTAGTAATATATTAACAGAAAAGAATATCCTTGATTGCTTAACTTTAGATGTTGGCGATTAAAACTATTTGTTTGGTATTTTAAAAATATTTGATAAATCTTTTAAAGATAGATTCACCCTTAAACAAATTTGTGAAAGAATATCAAAAAAGTTGTAATCAAAAGCATTTGATGAATAAGAAAAGCAGCTCATACAATAGAATATTGAAACTATCTACCAACAATCTAAAGATTTCAATATCAAAAGATGTAAAGATTTCTTTTTAGAGATCATTGAAAGTCATTGCTTTATATATAAGTACACCACTAAGGCTTAACTTTTGAAGCTGATTAATGACACAAAGTAGTAGTATGATTCTGATTTAGAAGAATACCTCTTAAATAATTAAGATTTTAAAGAGGGAAACTAAAAAATAAATATCGATGAAAATCATATCATACGTATTTTTTTGTAAAAGTGGGACTGGATTTTCGAAAAAGCTTGTAACAGAGCTAGAGAATGGATATATGACATCATGTCTCTATTTAAAAAAGTTTTAATGATAATTTTAAGGCGAAAAATGATCTTGAGCAAGCAACTAGGTTTAATGGATTGGTATGATGAAGAAGGAGTTCTCCATCATTGGTATGATCCAGTGAACACATTTAATACTAAACAGTTTGATTAGAAACTAAACTAAATTATAAGTACAATACACAGTAATAAATCTAAATAAATTTCTATGTATCTTGGAAAGCACTTTGAGTCAACCCTAGATACTTTTTAATGCACTACCTTAGATACTCAAATTCCAATCAGGACCAATAAAAAAAATAACATTTTTAGTATAGTCAAGGAGTAAGTAGATTACATGGAATAAGGAGAAGAATTCATAAACATAAAAGATGATTTAATCTAATTTGAAACTGATAGAATTTAAATTAAAAAAATCGTTGATTAAGTTTATCGTCCATCTTCAGCAGGACTTCCTACTTAAGTGGACGAAGAACAGAATGAGACTTCTATAGGAGCATCTAATATAAACTCTAATGAAACAGGATCTAAGAGATAGAGGGCTTATTCAGCTAATAAAGGTGATGAAAACTCAAGAACAAAAACTACTGACTTGAGTGTATCAGGCCAATTACAATCTATTAGTAATATGAAAAGTACTTAAAGCAAGATTATCCAGTAGAGTAATTTAAATAATTCTTAGTAGATAAAGAAGATTAAAAATGATGGGTAAAATTCAGTTTGTATGTCAGGTAAAAAAAAAAGAGGCTCGATAATCTAAAATAAGTCAAAAAAGAGAAAAGGTGGTGTTTCAAGTGCTGGAGAAGAAACTGCTGCTTCTATGAATGATTTACCAAGTGGAGAGTATCAAAAAAAGTAACCATAAAACTAGGATACTCTGAAAGCGTAATAATAACAATAGTTTTAAGGACTTCTAAATAGCTTAGGGGTTAGCCAAAGTAATACAGTAAAGAATAAAATTTTAACAGAGTTGACTAAAGAAATTTAAAAAGTTGATAAAAACGAACTTAAAAGCCTCATACAATCTGAAAGGAATAATATAGTCCACCAATAGGAAGAATATAGAAAAGCTCGAGACTTATATATAAAAGAAAAGTAATTTGATGAATATCATGAGAAACTTTCAGCAGAAATATAAAAATAGATAGTATATCTATAGTAATAGATAAGTTAAGCAAATAATATCTCTCCTTAGACAATAAATTAATTGAATTAATAAATGCAATAATTGCAAGCATAATTTTAACGATTGCAACTGGGAGGATTGAAGTCTGTTCCAGCTTAATTCAAAAAAAAATAATAATCAGCAATTTAAGTATTGGAATAGTAGTAAGCCCAGTTATAATAGCTATAATCGGTAGCATATCAAGCTCATACAAAGCGAAATTTTCTATCAGGTACTACATCTTCTAATGCTAACACCATTCAAAATCAAAATAAAGAATAAGACAATAACTCATAAGAAAATAAATAAAACAAAAAGAAGCAAGTTTTTCTTGATATACTTAAAGAAAAATGGGAAAAAAAAGAAATTTCAAAAATGTAGTCATAATAAATGAAAGGATTTGCTTTTACCACCGAAATTTAGAAGGATAAAGAAGATTTAAATAATAGTATATTAAATTTAACGGTTAATAGTGCCTCAAGTCCATATTCTGTTTTAAGAAATAAATAAAATCCTGCTTATTAATCTTAAAATAATTTTTAATTAACAAATAAATTTGAGTAAGCCATCTAAAAAATTTTAAAAGACGATTCAAAATCCATTCGAAAAAATACAATAGACTGTTTAAGTTAGTAATAAATATAAAAGCTAAAAAGAGAGAATCTTTTTCTATAAAATCTTGAAAGGGATTCCATTCAATAATAATTTATAAAGCTAAATAACCAACTATTAACTAAAGAAAGATTCAATAAAATCCACACTAATATTTCTTCTCCAGATGCTGTTAACAATAAAGATAAGTAACCTGAGTTATTTAAAAATTCTGTAAAAACAATAAAAATAATTAACAAATTTAAAATGCCCTCCAAAATGGATAAACAGCAAACAAAAAATTTATTATAAAATGATAATATGTTAAATTAATTATCAAATTCTTATGGCAGGGTAAATCAAAACACTCAAAATCAAACCTAAAAAAGAGGCTTTTAAATAAGGAGCTTAAGTCCACATTAAAACTTAGAAAGAAGAACAAAAGAAATTAAAAACTTTGAATATTTATGATAGAAATTAAATAAAAAAAATTAATTATTTTAATTAATTAAGATAATTTTTATGAAATACTTTGATTTAACCTTTAAAAAATATTTTTTTAAATTATAAAAATAAATTAAATTTAATAATTTATTTTATATAATTTGATAATTAAAATAAGTGTTTATTATTTAAATCTTAATCTGATAAAATATGAACTTACTTACAAGCATAAAAATACTTTTAAAAAATAAATTCATAACGAATTTTACTTTTATTATTATGAAATGAAATATATATTTTGTTGATAAAATTCAGTAATATTATTTTGTAAAATAGTTTAAATAATAATAATAAAACATCAAATTTCTAAATTAAAAAATAATAAGTTTGTTTAAATAATTTTATTTTTAATATTATTCTTTTAAATCTCAATAATTTTAGTTCACTTATTAAATGATTTAAATTTATTTTAAGTTAATTATATTAATGCAATAAATAAATGAAACAAATTTACTTATTCTTTATCCTTTATTAACGAACTAAAATCAAAATTAAACTTGACATACAACATTTTTTTAAAGTATTTTTATCTTGAAAAAATCAAAAACTAATTTGATGAAATATTTTTAAGAATGGAAATAAAATATTTATTTATTTGTAATTAATTTATTTCTAATTTTATTAAAATTGTTTTTTTTTGTTGGTTTATTAATTATCATTTTTGTTAAAATATTTAAAAATATTTTTAAAAATCTGAAAATATATTATTTCAACTTTTCATATTTGTAACAAATCTAATTAAAAAAAATAATTTTATCTTAAAAATGAAAAGAAAACATGTATTAATTAATCTAAAAAATTAGATTTTATTAAATTATAATTAAGTCATCATTCAAACTTTCTTTTAATCTATTTGAATTAAATATTCTTCAAAAATATAATAGCGATTTCAGCTTTTTCGATTAGATTATTTTTATAATATTTATTGTTTTTGGAAAATCTAATAAAAAAATATTTAGAGCAATTTTGTTCATTCAAATATTTCAAAGGATTATGGATTAGTTCTAATAAAAATCGATTACTTCATAGTTTTTATTTAAAAGATAATTTTATTATATATTAAAAAATATCAAAAATAATCTTAAAAAAAAAATAGTTCTTTTTTCTCAAATAAAAGAATTTGTAAAATTACACAAATACTATTTTATTAAAATTTTAATTATTTATCAAAGGATATATATAATTTGAAATGAATTGTTGTATTTTGGTCTCATATATTTGTGAAAGTCTATACAATATCAAATATATTCTTAAATAATAATATTTTAATTCATAATAAAAAAAACTTGAAGTTTATTGAAAGTAATCAAGATATTTATTAATTAAAAATTTAATAAACAAATAGTGATTAGAATTATAGATATCTTTAGATATTTTTAAGAGCTAATTATCATCTTTATTTAAAATGAGTAATAAAAATAAAGTATAGAACATTACTTCATAGTTTTTTATTTAAAAGATAATTTTATCATTTATTTATATAAACATCAAAAATAATCTTAAAAAAAATAGTTTCTTTTTTCTCAAATAAAAGAATTTGTAAAATTACGCAAATACTATTTTATTAAAATCTTAATTATTTATCAAAGGATATATATAATTTGAAATGGATTGTTGTATTTTGGTCTCATATTTTTGTGAAAAGATTAATTAATTAAAGTCTAGACAATATCAAGTATATTCTTAAATAATAATATTTTAATTCTTATTAAAAAAAACTTGAAGCTTATTGAAAGTAATCAAGATATATATTAATTAAAAATTTAATAAGCAAATAGTGATTAGAATAATAGATACCTATACATATTTTTAGGAGCTAATTACCATCTTTATTTAAAATGAGTAATAAAAATAAAGTATAAGACAAATTTTGCAAATATGAAATATTGGATAATCCATTATATATTATACCCATTATCGCAACAGAATATTTTAAATGGAATTTACCAAACAATAGCATGGAAATATTAAAGAAAGAATTAAAATTTACATATAAGAGCAATCCTGATAGAAGTAAAATAAATGATTTTTTAGAGAAGGAACTAAAAAATTTGAAATAATTAATTTTATCATTTAAAATCTCTGAACCTGAAGAACTTGAACCTGAAGAACTTAAACCTGAAGAACTTAAACCTGAAGAACTTGAACCTGAAGAACTTGAATCTGAAGAACTGACAGAGAATATAATGGATTAGCTTATAAATGATGATTTTATGATTGAAAAGTTTTTTAAAATTTAACATTATCCATACACCAAAAATCACTTCTTTAAGAGGATTGAAGAAGTATCTTTAGACCAAAGCATAAAAAATAAACTCACTGATTTTCATAATCAATAAATTAATGAATTTTATGAAAAATATTCTAAAGATTATTTACCATTATTTGTATATTATAAACCTTCTTCTTCTGAGGACTAGAAGCAAAAATTTAGAGAGTTAGTGGATAGTTATTTTAATTAAAAACACTAAGAAACAATTCATTAAAAATCTACGAGTAGAAATCAAGATTAGATTATTAGAGCACAATAAACACCTATGAATTCGTAAATAAACTAGACCATAAACTAGAGTGAAATATCTATAGAGTAGTAGAGATAATAAAATATAAATGATTTATCAAAACTGACAGATAATTATAATAACACTGATAAGAATAAAGGATATTTGAAGGATAATAAAGACATAGTGAATAGTAATGTTTAAGATAAGACAAAAATAATATAATAAAATGAGAATAAAAATATTTAAAGCTCAAATCAATAAAATCAATTTGATGAATAGAATTAAAGTGATGATGATCCAGAAGGAGGCTAGTTGCATGAACCTGTAGTTATAAATACTTTGAAAGATAAATAAAATTCAAACAAGAATTAATAAAATGAATCAGAAAAGTAATATTTATTATTTAATTTTTAGTATTTAAATTTAATTTTTAATATATTAGCTCATCTATTATGAAGCAACAACCAATAAATAAAAGTGAGCAATACAAAACAATCTTATATAACAATACATCTAGGTAAATTTATTGAAAATATAAATTTATTAAAAGATATTTTTTATTATTAAAAGTGAATAAGACAACAAGAAAATTAATTTTAATTCTAAAAAGACAGAAACTAAAGGAAAACCTTAGTCAAAAAAAAATGGATTTTAATCTGAATAAGATTGTACAAACACATCTAATGAAAATATCAAAATTAAATAATATTAAATGTAAAATCTTCCTGTTGTTGAAGAATATCCAGGGAAAATAAAATAAAAATAACAATCTTAGCATTAATAATCAAATTAAGGAAATAATTAATTATAAAAAAATCAGTAAGATGAGAGAAATAGTCATTTAAATAATAATAAAAAATATAATTAAGAGGTTTAATATGTAAAAAAGCAAAGCAATTCATAAAATAGCAATTTTTAAGCAAATAGTTAAAAATAAATATCAAAAAACTAAAACTTTATTTATGAGAAAAAATAAAAAAGCAACCAGAATCAAGAACAAAAGCAAGAAAATTTACACAATAGTCAAGATGTTGAAGTTGAAGATAACGATTAAAATTTAATTGATTCAAATAAATAAAATTCTTCATAAAACTCACCTTCTCAATAAAAAAATGACAAAGTTTAAGGAAAGTATAAATAATAAGAATTTAATTAGTGTTAATCAATAACTCCATAATAAAGCAATCAAACGGATATTACTCATGAATAGGATGAAGGAAAAGAAAAAAGAAGAAAATATGTAAGAAAAAGCAATAGAACAGATGATAATTTTAATTAATAAACATAAAATATTTAATAATAGCAATCATAAAATTTGAATAAATATAATTATAATATGCCATAAGAAGAATAAAAATACTAATAAAATCAAGTTTAAGTAAGAAAATATGATAATAAAGGGTTTAAAAGAGAAAATGATTATCAATAAATTGAATAAGAAAATAATAATATTTATGAAAATTCTTCAGATTAAAATTATTAAGAAGATAATTAGTAAAATGTTAAAAGAAAGTATAAAAAAAGAATTGATAATGATCTATAAGAATAATCATAGCCTACTCACACAAGAGGTAATAGAATAAGAAAAGGCAATGCTTAAAATGATAACTAATTTTAAAATAAGAATAATAATTTTAATGGAAAAAACCATCATAATGATACCAATAATAAATAATATAATGGTGAATATTAACATGACAGAAGACCAGTAAATGAAAACTTTAAGTCTAGCAATTAATAGTATTAAAAACAATATGGTAGAAGAAATTATGATGGAGACAATGAATATTAAAATGATTTTTACGATTAAAAAAAAGATACAAATGAAATTTAAGAAGTTCCATAAATAAGAAATTAAAAAAATGCAGGAAGAGGAACAAGAACAAAAGGAAATGATAATAAATACTTCTAGCAAGGAAATTAAGAATAGCCCGATGAAATTAACTAATAAGATAATATTCAATAAGAAAATTAAGGAGATAATGAGTAAGAAACTTATCAAAGAAGAGGAACGAGAACAAAAGAAAATGATAATAAATATTGCTAACAAGAAAACTAAGAATAGCCTAATCAAAGTAATTAATAGGATAAAATTCAAGAAGAAAATTAAGAGTAGCAAACTTATCAAAGAAGAATATATAAAAAGAAAAATAATGATGATTAAGCAAAAGCAGGAAGAGGAACAAGAACAAAAGAAAATGATAATAAATATTAGTAACAAGAAAACTAAGAATGGCCCAATGAAATTAATTAATAAGATAATGTTCAAGAAGAGTAGGAAACTAATCAAAGAAGATATGGTAAAAATTATGATAATGACAATTAAAAAAATACAGGAAGAGGAACGAGAATAAAAGAAAATGAAAATAAATATTACTAACAAGAAAACTAAGGTTATCATAATGAAATTAATTAATAAGATAATATTCAAGAATAAAATTAAGAGTAGGAAACTTATCAAGGAAGGTAAGGTAAAAATTATAATAATGACAATTAAAAAAATACAGGAAGAGGAACGAGAATAAAAGAAAATGATAAAAAATATTACTAACAAGAAAACCAAGATTATCCTAATGAAATTAATTAGTAAGATAATATTCAAGAAGAAAATTAGGGAGATAAAGAGTAGGAAACTAATCAAAAAAGAAAATATAAAAAGAGAAATTATGAAGATTATTAGGCATAGCCTTAGCCAAAAAATATGAGAGGAAATAGATATTCTTAAAATGATAATTATTAAGACTAAAATAGAAAAAAACATCAGTATAATTAAGAACATTAGGATGAAAATGTAAATAATTTCTAATACGAAAGAAATTAAACTATGAGAGGAAATAGATAAAATCCTTAAAATGATAATTATTAAGACTAAGATAGAAAAAAACAGAGATATAATTAAGAACATTAGGATGAACAAGTAAATAATTTCTAATACGAAAGAAAATAAATTTAAAATCAAGAAATTCATTTAGATTCAATAGATTTAGATAATACCTATGCAGGTTTACATCCGTAAAGGTATTAGACTATCAAATAAGATGGTAAATATACCTCAGGTATTAATAACTTTGATCCTAGTTCAAATAGAAACAATAATAGATATAATGGCTAAATAAAAGAGTATGATAGGACTAAAAATTAAAAACCAAGAAATAATTCAATAAACAATAGAAATGAATAAAGAGATCAAAATTAAAGGTAAAATTAAGAGAGCAGATAAAATGGCTATAGCAACAATTACAACAAAACAAATGAATAAAACTAAAACTAGTATTAAAATGAGGTCTAAACTTATAAGAGAGGTAGTGGTTCAAAGAGCAATTAATATAGTTAGGATAGATAAACCGATTTAAGTTAAATGGAATTAACTATCGAATAGTTAATGTTAGTTAAAAGCTATTATGAGGGAAAAAAGCCTTCTGAAATAAATATCTTAAGCATACAAAATTCAAATGAAAAAGAACTTATTAAAATAGAGTTCTAAGATTCAGAAAAAAATTAACTCAAAGCATTTTAATAAATCATAAGTTCATTCAATTTGTTTAAAATTCAAAGCTAATTAGAAAAGCTTGAGGAATTCCATCTTAAATGCAAAAATGTTTGTAAGTACTTAGTTAGGTAATTTTTATTTATTTTAGTTAAATAATATAGTTAATTTCTTAAACCTTTAAGATATTATCGCCTTCATTTATAATTATTTTAAAATATATAAAAGTTAAATCAAATTGAAAAATCCTAAATTTATCTCTAAGGATGACATTATAGAAAATTTAAATTATAGCTAAGATAATCTCAAAGAAAAAATTGTAAAGAATAAACTATTCTAATCACATAGCTATTTTATAGGTGTTAAAGAAAATAAGGACATCAAACAAATCGAGAATGGCATAAAGGATGATTTATAGTAGATTATTGATTTGTTTTTATTCCCATTAGAAAAGTACTATTAAGTTTTAAATGTTAATAATTATGAAGAATTATAACATTACTTAGACGATTGGAATAATAGACATGATAATTATTTTATAGGTTTTTAAGATGATAAATTAGCTAATAAGGTTATATTAAGTTTGCACACCTTTTCAAAAATTTAAGAAAGCGAAAATATAAAAAAAGAATATAAAAAATATCTAGAAAGGTATTTCAATGCATTTGGTTTTATTATCTAAAATTATTCGATGAAAGATATAGCTATTACTATGAAAAAATAATACATTACAGGAGAAAATTCTAATATTTAAATAAGTTTGTTTGAATGTAATTTTTTTTTATTATTTATAATTAAATAAATACTCATTCTTATTTAAAAAAAGGCCTAGCTAGTAACATACCAAAAGAAGACATAAATAGTTTGAGTGATTCATAAAAATATAACTTTTACTAAAAAATTAAATAAAATAAGCTAAAAATAGATAATTAAGATACTGATGATTCATATTCATCTGATAAAAAAATTATTTTATCAATTAAATGTTGTAAGAATGAAGTTAAAGCAATAATTAATGAAATATAAAGATTTTTCTTAGAACTCATTCCTGAGCAAATAACTATTTAACTGTTTATAGAAAGCTTAAATGGTATAAATCCTCCAAGCGATTAAAAATAGTATAGTATATATTTAAAGCATCTTTAAAAAATATATATGCAAGACTTAAAGAGATTTATACTTTACAAGAAAATGTTTACAATAGCTTTTGATGTGAAACTAGAAAGCAACAAATAAATTATTTTTAGTTTATATAGTTGTGAGAAAGAAAAATAAAAGATATTACCATAATTAATTGATGTTATTAATTAAACATCAAAGAGAATTAAAGTTAAAGAATGCAAATTTTCATTACAATAGCTATTGAAATTTTTGCAAGATGGTAAAAATATTTTTTAGCCAATTTAATACGATTTCTAAAATTAATCTTAATGCTCTGATGATCTTAATATCAGCAACGGCTCTATAGGTAAGAGCAACCCAAATTTTGTAGATTTCAAAAATAAATACAATATTGGTGTTTTTGAACAAAACCATGGTAATTGTTACATTTTAGGATTAGAAAGCGATTGCGAAGCCTCTTTCATGTTCCTAAAGACTCATTTAGATCCATGTTACTTTTACAAAAAAAGTTACACAAAGAGTTTTATAGAATAAGATCAAGTTTAAGGTAAACTTGATTTCCTAGTTGCTAAGAAACTAATTTTACCTACTTACAATAACAGTGATCTACCTGTGCAATATAGAACATATGAAATAAAAATCTTTGAAGATTAATATGCTTTTTCATATTACTCAGATCATATTTCTGAATTTAAAAAAGAATTTAAAGAATTATTAAAGCTCGAATTAAGCAAAATAGAAAAATACAATTTTACATTTGAATTACAAAAGTAATCCTAATATGAAAGATTAAAATAGGAATAAGTGAGAGAATTATTTTTTGAAAGATTTGGTGCTGTTTATATTTTAGCTGAAAAATTTACATAAGAAAAGAAAAACAAGACTGTAATCTTTAAATTATTAAATAAAGATAAATTAATTAGATGTAAAAGTTACATCTCAAATCATATTAATAGTCTCTGATTCTTAATTCCAAATAATAAAAATTTTCAATGAGACACAAATCTCTTTTATAATCAAATCTGTCAGTTATTTAAATTAACATTCTAAATGTTATAAATTTATGTGTATATATTAATGTTAACTACTAAAAAACGAATATTTAAAAGAACTAATTTATTATCATAAATAAAAAACAATATTTGAAATAAATAAATTTTTTCATTCAATTTATATTAAAATAATCTTTTTAAATATCTTTATTTTATTAATTTTTTAAAAAATTAAGCAGTTAATTGCTTATTCATTTTTAATTTAAGATACTAAATAAAAAATTAACTTAATTATAAATAATTTATCAAATAAAAAATACATTTTAATAATGATAAATAATATTTCAAATAGAAAATTAAGATTATTTTACTAATTTTATGAGTAAAAAGTTTTAATTGAACATAGGTTTACTTAAAACTCAAAATATAAAAATTATTTTTGAAGAATTAAGTAAGATCTTCTTTCTGTGAATTATTTCAGAGATCATACTTTTTTTATCTCTGAAGCTCACAATCCTTTTCATCTATATCAATAGCATCCTAAAGCTTTAATAGTCCAGCTTTTTTATTTTTTTTGCTCATAAACTTTTGTGTGAATCCTAACATATTCTAGAAAACGAAGCTTTCTTCCATAATTTTATATCTAAAATATTTTAAATTAGTAAATAAATAACTTATTTATTTTATAAATTTTATCTAGATTTTTACTTCCAACTTTTAGAGTTGTAATACAAAAGATATGGCATATCTTAATCGGAAAGATTGATTCTTTTTAAAAGTTGTTTATGGCATCTACCGTCGATATACACCCAATTTACTGCCTTTTGGTTCCTAAACTTTTCTGATAAAGTTTTAAAAAGATCCAATTCTATCTTAAATTTATTTTCACGAGAGTAATCCAAGAAAGCAATAAAGCATTCTTCTCCATTTCCACAATACTTATCAAAGTTTTGTTAATTATTTGTTTCAGCAATTAAAACTGATTCTATTTTCTCCTTTTCTTTAGAGAAACACAGCTAACTTAGATAATTATGCAAAGCTCTAATTTTTTATAGGAGTAATTATTAAAAAGAAAAATTATTTGGTAGATTTTTAATTATAAAAAAAATTTTTTATCGAATATTGAAATTTTTTATTAAATTTTTATTTTTTTTTTTAAAAAATTATTTTAAGAAAAATTACAGATAAGAAAAATCAGGTGCAGAGTCATAAACAGCTGTTTGAAGTTAATTATTATCTCCTATATTATGCAAGAAAGATACGATAAAAGGAAGATTGTCAATCTACCAATGTTTTTGATATTCTTTGGTTATGTCTTTATAAACTCCAAAACTTGAACAGTCTCTAAATTTTTTTTAATTTGACAGATATCTAAATACAAAAAGCAATTCAGAAGATTATTTATCCTTGGTGTCTATAAAGAGACTTGTTGCTATTCTATTGGTACTAATTGCATGCTTTATGTAATGCTATATTGCTTCTTCATCTAGTAGATCCTCTTTATTTTCCATCAGAGAAAATATCTCAGATATCATTTATTTTTTAGAAAGTTTAGCTCTCACTTTAAAGAAAGAATTTAAATTCTTAATTCCAGTAGGATAGAATAAAAGATGGTCTTCTTAAAGATTTAGTTTATTTAAATTAAAGAATTCTTCTTATTCAACTTCCAATTGATTTTGATAGTACTTGTAAATTAAGATAGAATCAACATAAGTTCTTTTTGTAAAAAAATAATAATGTTTTAAATTAGAAAGAATATTTTCCAATAATAAATTTCCAAAAAAAAAATAAATTATAAAGATTTAATTGGAATTTACTTAAAATATTCTATAAATGATGAATATTTATGAATCTATTATAGAGTTTCAAAGGATATATCATCTGTAGATGTTTAGTCAGTAATTAAATAAAGTAAAACTCCCTAATCGCTATTAAAATATTAAGGAATATCTTTGAATTGGTGTATCATAGTTATGTTATACTTTCTACTTTCTGTTTTAGGCTTATAAGTTAAATTAATATCTTTTTTTTCAACACCAGAAGAGTATTTTTTAAAAAAGGTTATTGCAGACTAAATTCTTTTAGGACCCACATATATTTCTTGCTTATAGCTTTGCTTCTGTCTAATAAATCTAAAAGCTAAGATTGTTGGTGTATCCTCTATTTTGTACTGGTCAAGCAATTCTTGGTCAGCTTTCACAACACAAAACTTTATAAATAAGAAAATAATTTTAGGATAGATATGATTTTTTATTTATTGTTTACATGAATTTTATATCTAAAGTGAGAAGTTAAAGCCTTAAAGTAATAAGGAATTTCTTCATTTTCCTTTATAAAGAGCATTATTTTATTTTGTAAAGTTTTATTTTCCAATTACTTTTAAATATCTTGTTCAGTTCTCACTTCATAAGCAAATAAAGGCATGATTGCTTTAGAATAGTCAATTAATCTGTTTTCTTAAAAAACATCTTTGTATTGAATTACTTCTGGCTAACGTTTGCTTGAAGTATCATCACCACTTGGATCATAATCTTCAGCTGGAGGCTTAAAAAACTAAACTATTGGCCAAATATTAGAATTTTTAGGATCACAAGCTGCAAAATGCTCTCTTTCAAATACTTAATCCCACATCTAATCACAATCCATAAAGTAGCTATTTACATAACCTTCCATGTTCATTTTATATTATTAAAATATGAAAAGGGCTTTTTCACAATTTTCGCATGACTTTCCTGCGATCACTACAAAAGCTAAAAATTTAGATGACTATGATAGCTTTTCTTTAAGCTGCAAAAATGAAGTTAGAATCCCATTATCTTTCTTTTGCTAATCTTATGGAAAAACAAGACCTAAAATCAAAAATGCTAAAACCACAATTTTTATTCCCATTTTATCTTATTAGAATTATTTGTAAAAAATATCAAATCTTTTGTTTTTAATATTTTTTATTAAAGATAATAGCTGCACAATAAGATTTAAAGGAATTTAATTATTAGAATCTAACCAACTATTATTTCTTTATAAGATATATCTGATTTCAATAAAAATTGGTGAAGATAAATATACTTAAACAATCTCTTTATGAGTACCAAAAGAATATCTCTCTTGAATATTATTTTAAATTATTAATTAAAATATAATAGGCTTTATTAAAATATGTTTTAATATAAAAAATACTCAAAAGAAATACATTAAAACATGTCAAACTTAGTACTTTTAAAAATGGATAAAAGTTTTTATACTAAATACATTTTTTATTAGAAAATTCATTTATAAATCAGGCAACTGTATAATTTGGGCAAAGTTTTTGGTCCCGTAGGTAGGTGTGTTTAAACAGGTTTCACTAAAAAATATTTGTTAATTTTATGCTAGATTTATTTTATTGAGTCATATTCATTTTAATTTAAAAAAGTCTCTTAAATGCAAAATTTTGATTTCTATAATTAGCTAATAATTGAAAGTTATTTTAATTTAATTTAGAGTGTTAACTCATTCAGTTTAAAAACAAACTCTCTTTGAAAGCTTTGAACTGAAATTCTTTATTAAGTAAATCATTTAATTGGCTTTTTTGTATTTTGCTTTATTAAATATAAGTTAATCAGATATATCCAAAAGCTAGATAAAAACATTTTTCTCAATAAAACATTAAAAGCTAAAAGTAATAGGCAAAAATGAAGACCAGCGAACATTTTTTTTAAGACTAATAGCTATTCTCTCCAATTTTAAGAAAAAGTACTTACTAATAATTGTCAAAAATAACATTTTTCAATTTTTTTTTTTTTTTGCAGAAAGTTAAAAAGAGTTGATGTGTTAAAACGATGCTATTCCAAACAATGTGAAGAATGATTAAAAAAATTAAAAAGCCTTATTTTTATTAAGTAATTTTACTATGTTAAAGAACAAATCAAAATACTTGAACAGTTCGTTTTTTGAGGATTAGCTAAGTAAAACAAGCTAACCTCTTCTAATGGAAAAAAAAATATCTATTTCTTAACACAACAAAGTACCACCTAACTTTTCACTCCTAAGGTAAATAATGCAGCCTTAAAAGTAACAATATGAAGATAAATCTTAATAAAGAATATCTGCGGTTTAAGATTAATATTTTCAAAATAAACCTAATTTACAACTTAAACAAATATCTAACTGTAGCCTAAATAATATTGAAAAGTAATTTTTGTCAATTAAAACTAAAATAAATAACACTTTAACATATTTAAAAGCTCTCCACTGCTATAATATAGTAAAGGCTCTTCTAAAAATATTGAAATTTTAAAAAAATGTGAAACAGAGAGATATTAGTCTTTAAGATAAAGGGAATTTACTAGATATTAAGAAAAATCAGATTCGTCTATGAGGTTAGAACCAAATGAATTATCTAAATAGTAGAACTTTACCTAAGTATTAGACTAATCATTCAATACAAACTGTGAAATTATAAGAAAAGGATAACCTATTAAATAACTATTTCAACTAGATTAATTTTAAGCCTAATATAAAAAAACTTAATAGCCTTTTTTCAAATTTTAAGATATTAATCTGAATGAGTTATAAAACAACAATTTCATTAGTAATTCAAAGTATTTTGCCAAAGAAACAACATAATTCTCACAATAAGATTTAGATATTAAGATGAATAAACTTTTATAAAGTGAAGGTTCTTTATTAGATCAAGAAAATTTTAGTAGCACCAAATATATCACTAAATAAAATTAAAATAAAAAATTAACAGAAACAAGTATTTTGATTAAATAAAGAAGTCTTACTAAATAAGAATACGGTTGCAATAGTAAAATTATTTGGATAGAATTTATTATCTAATTATTTATTTAAAAAGCATTGAAACATAATATAGATTAAAGCTTCAACAATCAGAAGGAGTAAAATGCATTGATAAGCAATAGAGCGAAATTATTAAATCTATAGAAATTGGAGAAACATAATTTGTTTTATTAAATATTTTAAAATAATTTAAAAAAATAAACTAATTCTCCAAATAATAAAACAACTCTTAAAATTAGTAATAATACAAGTGGTATAGCTGCTACATAGATTGAAGAGCTAAACTAGTCATCAGTTGCTCAAATAAACTAATAATTAAGAGGCACAAATAGTTTAAATCGAATCAGTAAAGCTGATTTGATTAATTAATAAGCATAGAGTGAATAATTGAAAATAAATAATGATGAATAAAAATTTAAAATTTAAATTTCTATATTCCCAGTTGATTTAAATGATTTTAAATTTTTAAAAGAGCTAGGTAAATATATATAATTTTTATTCTGACTATTTATAAAATCTACTTAATACATTTTGATTGCACAAATAATATACTAATATATATTGAATTTTTCGAAACAGTAAAAGAATATTTTATTCTACTTATTTTTTATTGAGTAGGTTATTACTGAATGAAAATAAATTAATTACTTATTATTTATTTAAATAGATTTTGTTAAAAAGAAAATTATTTTATAACTTTTATTCTTATTAAAAAATTTAGGACATGGGTCATATGCTACTGTTCGCTCAGCTCTGCACAAGAAAACAAATTTTGTTGTAGCAGTTAAAAGCTATAATAAAAGTAAATTGTTGGATCCTCAAAAAAAATAAAATTTAGATAGAGAAATAAAGATTTTGTAAAATTTAAACCATAAATACATAATAAAATTGTATAAAGTGATTGAAAATTCATAAAGCATTAATCTTGTGATGGAATATTCGTCGTCTATTCCATTAAGTGTGTATTTAAAATAAAAATCAGGTAAAAGATTACATGAATTAGAAGCAAAGGTGATTTTTAGATAAATTTTAGAAGCAGTTTTGTATTTACATAAAAAAAGAGTAATTCATAGAGATATAAAACTCGAAAATATACTAATAAATTCAAATAGAAAAATCAAGCTTATTGATTTTGGTTTTTCAATATAAGTGTAACCCTCATGTAAACTCACGATGTTTTGTGGAACTCCAAATTACATGGCACCAGAAATTATAAATAAAAAGGGTTATTCTTTTGAGGTAGATATTTGGGCTCTTGGAATTCTTTTATACAAACTTCTTACGGGCTATTATCCATTCGCAGGTATTATTTATTATTTCTCATTTTTAAAAAAATATTTATTGACCTTTTTGTTAAATAAATTTGTATCTCATAGGCAAAGAAAATAAGTAGCTCTATAAAAATATTTTAAAATGCCAACCCGACTATCCAATGTTTATTTCACCTTCAGCATAAAATCTATTGTAATCAATTTTAAAAGAAGACCCTGAATAAAGAAAGTAGTTAGAAGATGTAATAAATTAAATTTATCAAATTTGATTTTAAATTTTTACATTAAATAAATTACACTACTTTTTTTATATCTTAATTAATTATTTAATTAATCTATAGATCCTACAAGATGAGTGGTTTTGAATTTCTTATTTGATAAGAATCTATTTATTTTTTAAATAAAAACATAATTAAATTCTTTAAATGTATTCTAAAATAAAATAAAAATATTTTAGTTTTAATTAATTTATAAAAATGTATTAATCTTCAAAATATAAAAGTTAAAAAAAAATTATAATTTAAAAATAAATAATACTTTTGTTTTCTGATTTAAAATCTTTAAAAAATTGTCTAATGAAATTATAAAATTCAATAAAAGATAAATTGTGTTTATTAAATTTATCCTAGATAAATTTTAGGGAAATTTCATAAACTTTTTGAATCAAAAAAAAGTTTCTTTGTTTAATTAAAGTACTTTAGTATTTACGATGTAATTTTTTATGGCTGATAATTAAAAGAATCTAAGGTGTTAATTATATTTCTGTTTGACAATTGATAAAAAATTAGCAATTATCAAAAATACTTTGTTATAAAATGTATGCATTAAATTGTAATATATTTGATAATAATTAAAAATATCATCTAAAACAGTAAGATTTGTATTATTTATTTAATTAAATAGTACTAAAAGTGTTTAGAGTATGATAAGTAAAGGAAATTAGAAGCATTTTTATGAGTAAGAATTTATATGTACAGTAAGACGAAAACATAGATATCAACAATATTTATTAATTAGTTAATTATTAAAGTAATAAGAAAAAAGAATATAAGAAGAAATTTAACATTTCTATTTACTTTAGAAGTATTTTAGTCTTCGATTTGAAAGAAATATTTAAGTGATGGTTATTAAAATTTTAATATAATAGTAAGATTATTTTTGTTTGTTTGTTTGTTGAGAATAAGAAATGAGATAGATGCTGTAAAATCAGAATACAGGCTTAACTATTAAAGAGCTTGATCTCTTTCTAAAACCAACCCTATTAGTTTTTTTTATAGGGTATTCAATATTATTAATTACAATTTTTTCAGGGTTAACTCTTAGTTATGTTTGCGATTTTATAAGATGTTAAGCTTCTTATGAATCAGCGCAGTCTATTTATTATGCATTAAGCATTTTTTCTAGAGCATTAGGCTTTCTTTATTTATATAATTTATTGCAGATTAAGGGTTTCAAAATAGGGTTTTCATGAAAATAAGCCACTTGAGAGCGCTTATTTTTATGAATGTATCTTTTTACTGCTTATTGACTTAAATTGTTGCTATTTAGAGAAACTTAGCTTACGCATGTAGCATTTGTGGATTAAGAAGCAGTTCTTGAAATAGGTTTTAAATTCAAGTGATTTTCTTCATTTGTATTAATACCAAAGCACGTTCCCATTTAATTTATTTAGTGTTTTTAAGCTGTTATGATTTATCAAAATGTATTTATTTATGCTCGCTTTAGAGATGATTTATTCTTTTATTTGATCAGATAATAAGCTAATAAATAAAGGCTTATTTTTCTTTTTAGTTTAATGAATAATTGTTTGTTATCCTTTTCTTAATTGCAGTTTTGAGTACTTTTTGTATTTATTTTTAATTTGATTATTATAATTTTTTTCAAAAGCTTTTTGAGTATTCTGCTTAATTTTTTTTTTGAATTTCTTACTTGAATGATTAAGTGTGAGTTCGTGAATCAATTAATTATTCGCCTAATTAGTATGCATAATATGTATTAATCTATATGTATGGACAATCTATTATTTTACAAAAAACCAAGTTAATATTAATCATATTTATATTTGCAATAAGTTTTAGACTAAATAAATACCATTTTATTATAAAAAACAAAATTGATGAAAATCAACATCTTTCAGATAGTTTAATGATATGAGATGGATCTATATTTTATTCTCAGTTTTTATTATTTTTTAAGCTAATTAGATAAATGGCATAAGCATTAAATAAAAATTAGAGTAATATTTAATAATTACATCAATTTCATTATTCAATTTTATTTAGGACTAAATGAATAATTATTCAAAAAAATTGTAAACTAAATAAATAAAAAATAAATATTGATTTAATTAATAATGTAGATTAGGTTTTAATATTTCTTCTATTATAATAAATTTCAATGAATGGGCTAATTTATATAATAATAGTATTTAACTGTTTAATTTATTCTATTTTATGTTTTTGAAATTACTAACTTCCAAATATATCAAAAGCTGATGTATTTTTAGCCCACTTTAAATGATTATCATTTCATCAATATATTTGCTAGTCACACTTTTATTAATTCCATTAATCCTTCATTTACGAAATAAATTGATCATTACAAAATTTGGTGATGCAAACTGATTTGATCTAGATTATTTGTATTAATTAATAAATAATTGATTGTATGTTATTTAATATGCATAATAAGAATTATTTAATCTTATTTCTACCAATTTTTAATGGTTGTTAATTAAAAAGTGCTCTTTTTAAATTATGCAATAACGTGATGCTGATGCTATGTTAATAGTCTCCAGAAATTTCCTTCATTCCAAAATGTAAAATTAAGATCATAACAAAAAAGATTTTTCTATATCATTTTCAAGTAACTTAAAAAATTTAATCAAAAGCACAACTTTGAAAAAAAATAAAAATTTGTTTTAATTACATTTAATTATTAATTCGTTTATTTTTTTTTTGAATGAGTAAAATATTTAAAAATCTTTAGATTGGTTTCTTAATTATAAGTCAATATCAATTAAATACAATCAAAATATAAAAGCTTTCTATTTGCTGAATATTTTTTTTACTTTTCTAACTAATTCAATAAGAGAGAGTTAGAGATAAATTTCTTGTTAATTTTTTTCTATAAAGTTTAGAGTAGTTATAAAATCAGAAAATTTAAATAATTTTAAACAATAAATGGATTTTGATTATATATTTATAATCTAAAATGTAAGAAAGTTAAAATTATTAAGAATTTAGCATGAAATAAATAGAGATATGTAAATTATCAAATGTATACTTTACACCAAAGGTATTACCAAATAAAAAAAAATGATATAAAATTAATTTTTCTATATGTATTTACAACCAATCATAAACTATGAAAAAAATTAGTCTATTCCTTGATGTGGAAGCAAAAAAGCTATCTTTATAATTAAAAAAATAGAGAAGATGTTATTAATTTTTGAAATTTGCATGATTAGAATGTCTTCAATATACAAAATATAAGTATTATCTTTGTATAAAATGCTAATTAATTAATTGATATTCCCCTAAAATTAATTAAATGAGGTGGAAAAATTTGTTAATGTAAAATAAAATTTAAATTCATTTGATTTGCAATGATTAATCTATCTTATTTACTTTAAAAAATCTTGAGCTAGCATTTGTTTTTCATAAAATGTTTTGATTTAGAAGATCTCCTTTTTAAGGCCTATAAAATTGTTTGATAAATTGATTTGATTTTAATTGAAAGTTGAGAAAAGAATAGTTAAATATACTTACTATATATTAGTATTTATTTATTTATAAAATTAGACAATACAGGTATACAAAATATAAGAAATTATACAAACGGACGCTATCTTATTCAATTACAGTTAACTTCAGGTATTATTTGCTTAATAAGCAATTCAAAAGAGATCAATAATATTGTTTTACTATTTAGCAAAAAAGAAACGGCTTCAATTTTGCGTTTGTCTACTTTCTTACTTACTTACTTGCTTAAAAAAATGAAAGAAAGAAGTACATAATAAGCTTTAAGTACAATTAATATTGACTAGTTATTTTAATATTTATATAATTGTGTATTTTAGAAAGTATTAAAATTGCAATAATTTTATTTGTTGCTAATTCTAAAGATAGATTGATAGATTATTTTGTATTATAATATAACGAAAAAAGAATCAACTTCTTTCTTTTATTCATGTAGCTATAATAACCTAAATCAGCAAGCACAATCATCATTTTGTCTTTAAGTACTTGTTAAATCTTTTATATTATTGTTAGGTATCTAAGGTTAAGGATTCTTTTTCTTTTAATTGTATATTTCTATTTATTTTATTAAAATCATTTATTTTAATTGCTAGTTTAACTGAAATAAAAAATTTAAATATGTTTTAATATTTTATTAAACACATTAAAAGTAAATCTTTTTTAAAAACATTCATCTGATTGCTTGCACTCGTATTTTACATTACATGTGCTTAACCAAATACATGAAGCAGCTTTATTGTTGCCATATTTAAGTTAAATAATTTACCTTAAAGGAGTTATTCAAAGACTTCCTTAATATTAGTTCCTAATACAGCAGATGTTTCTTTAAAAATAAGTTTATTATCAAGGGCAAATTGTTAAGCTTCAGCGATTGAAACTTTACGATTTTCTTAGGTCTTTGTAACTAAATCAAGTTTATTTCCTACAAGCATAATAACAATATCTGGATCGGCTAAATACTTCAAATCTTCCATCCATTTCATTATAGAATTGTAGGTCTTTTCTTTAGTGATATCATAAACAAGTAAAGCTCCAACAGCTCTTCTGAAATGGCTATTTGCATACATTAAAATAAACTCTTATTAACACTATATATATCAAAATAGAAAAATCAAAATTGAAGATGATGCTTATTATTGTTGCTCATTTAAACAATATTGAATTTATTTACTGTGATTATTAGAATTTATATTTTTTTAATTCATTTTATTTTGTATCTTTTTTCTGTTAATTGCAATTTTTTGTTTAACTATGAAAGCAACTAAATCTTCAACTTTTAATCAAATCAATATAAAAATATAATAATAATTTTTACAGACTCAAGATTCCTCTATATCTTTCTTAACCAGCTATTAATTAGATACAATAAAAATATTATTAATACAATTATCAACTAAAATTTTTATTCAAAAATGCAAAAAGAATCTGTAATTTACCTGTATCCCAAATTTATGCCTTAACTTTAGTACCATCCTTAAGAGTTACTTCCTTTGTGCCAAATTCAACACCAATAGTTGGAGCAGAGTTTTTAGGTAATTCGTTTTTAGAGTATCTATGTTTAAATTAATTCATTAAAGCTTTAAAAATTTATCTAAAAAACTTAGAATTAAATAATTTAAAATTAATGGAAGCACAATAATGCCCTTATAAATTAATTCTGGTGTTTTATCATTAATAATTAATTTTTTGCTTCATTTTTTTTATAGTTAGTTTTATTGATATGTTGGCTGATTGTTTTTGTTCTTTCTTTCTTTGCTTATATTAATTTCTTTGATTTTTGTTAAATAATTTTGCAATTGTCATTTTTTTAGTACCTCTTCAGTAAATGGGTTTTACCAACGCTTGTATCTCCGACTAAGACGACTTTTTTAATAAAATGTAAAAAATATTTATCATTTTGTTTTTATGAAATCCAATTTTTATTTCAATAATTGCAATTAGTGTGTTTAAATTAAAACTGAAATAAAAAAATGAGTTAGTAATTCCTACACAAATGATATTGTATAATTTAGCTAAAGTTGGGTAGGTAAACTACATCTTAACGGAAATGATAACACATAAAGTATAAAAATGTTTGTCTTGAAAATATTACTTTTATAAGTGGCAATAGTGTCCTTTTCCATTTCTATAAAAACTGCTTGTTTTAATAATCCTTTTATTTATTTAATTTTCTTTGTAATTCTGTTTTATTTGTTAATTATTTTTTATCTTCAAAATTTCTTTCTTTTCAAATTTTTCTTATTAAAAATGGAAGAAAGTGAGATATAAATAAATAAATAACTATTTCAATTCAAATAAAAGAGTATCAGAAAGAAGCTATGCTGGTTTATATGAAAATTTACTAATTAATATCTAATTAATTATTTATTCATTCATTCTTTTTTTCTTTATTTTCCACTATGAATTAATTGTTGTACAAAAGAAAATCTAAAAAAAAGTATTAGTGAAGCAGAGAGTATTCATTCGTTCACGCTTTTGGTCATGTGCAATCACGGACAGAGGCTCAGTTATAGTTAGTTAATTATTTGCTTGGATCTTTCATGCATGTATGCATGAATAGAATTAATTAATTAAATTTTATGAAAAATCTTATCTTATTAAATAAATTATTTATTAGTATTTTTTATATTAAAGAGCAAATTAATTATCGATTAAATTCAAATAATAGTCATCACTTTAATTTTATTTTATTTTATTTCAAAAATATGGATACAATTCTTAAATTTAAAGTAGAAAGAGATAAATACAGAAAAATAAATAATTTGTTTTTCAATAATTTAATTATCACAAAAACTTATTGGTAGTTTGCAATTTTTCTTAACATCAAAAATATAAATAAGTGAATGAATTAAAAGGTGATTCAAAGGTAAATTTATATTATTAAAATAGAAATATTTGTTTTTTATAAAATTATTTAAAATTAAAAAATTAAATCGTTAGAGCTTTTTTCAACTTTTTTAATAATAATTTTTAGTGTAAAATAAATTTATTTTGAATGGATATCTTTTAAGATATAAATCAGCGCTGTATAAATTAGTCCAGTATTTGATTGATTTGTTCATTCATTTGTTCATTGGTTCTATCATATTATTTAATTTTATAAATTTATACGTTTAATATCTTCTATAATATCTGCTTTAATATATAAATCCTACAATATTTTGTTGGTTTTATATTAGCTTTCATTAAATAGCTTCAAGTAAGTGCTTTTTTATTTGATTATGAAAAAAGATTTGTTTTAATGTAAGTTCAAATTATAAACTAAGAAGTTATTAATGAAAAAGAATTTTTATTAATTTTTTCAATCTAATCGAAAAAATATAGTGAATATACTTCTCTAAACTAGTTAAGAAATAAAGAAAATAATAAATGCTTATGTTAAAATTAAATTAATTTTGTTTTTTAATTCTAATTTTTTTGCTTAAATCTAAGAAAAAAATAGTTTTAAAGTAACATAAATTTACTTTTGTGAAAAAATTTAATATTGTTTTTGGTTAAAATTTTAACAAATTAAAAAAAAAAAATTATAGTTTAATAAAAACTTTTAATTTAAATAAAAAATATCAGCATTTAACATTTTTGATGAAATAGTTAATAGATATAGTATGTATGATCTATTTGATAAGATCTAGAAATAATAAAAAAGTATATGTATTTTTTATCAGAAATTTTAAAATTAAGAGTATACAATAGATGGGGGTGTTGTAGTAGAAAGAAAAAGTTAAATAATTTTACTTTCAATTTTATTAAAGTAATAAAAAATTAAACTAGACTAACTAACTATTTTATACAAAATAGTTGCTATGAATTTTATATTCTACAAAGTCAGTTTTTATAAATAAACAAATTACTTAATATTTTCCAGTATCAAGAACTATTAATTTATATTTTAATTAATAATTAAAATGTTTATATACAAAATTTTTGAGGATTTAATACTTCAAGCAAAACGAATTTAGCCTTATTCCTCATAGATAAACTCAAATAAGTGACCGTAAATAAAGCTTTAAACTAAAAATGGAAGTATGTACTAGAATTCCTCTTGATATAAATTAATAATAATAAGATTAAAATAAAAAATTTATGCTGTTAATAAATAAGAGCAAAAGTTAATAAAAGAAAAATTTCTTTTTTTCCCTACCACCCATTCAGTTAAATGCTCGAATTATTGATAATTAGATATTATAAAATTAAATGTCTTATTTATTTATTTTATATCTTCTTCTATAGTAAAAAATAGTCTGAATTTTAACTACATATTAAACAATTGCATTTATATTGGTTGAAGTATTTTATTTAAACTTAAATATTATTTTTTATGAGTTATGGGGTTGGCTATATTATTTTTAATCAGTTTTCAAAATTCTTTTACATAAATTTGAGCATTTTTTTTTCCCTATTGCCTAAAATATCAGTAAAAATTTTTCCCCAAATAATCTGATTAGGGTTTTTACATTTAATTTGAATCTCTAATGCCTTTTTCTACACTTAATTATATACTTTACTAATCTGAAAATAAATCATGAATATGGTTTTTATACATCGTAGAAGTTTTTTAAAAAATTTTTTTGTTGATTATATTTACTATTATAATTACTTTTAAAAATTTTGTCACTCTTAAAACTCCAGATTTGAGTTATCTTTGAGTTGTAAGCATATAATTATTGATGAATTCTCAATACATATAAATTTTAATTTATGTTATTGTAAACAACTGATAAAAACTCATTTGTTTTCTAGTAGCTTTAATAATCTACATTTTTCTCCATTAAATTTATATAAAAAAATTATATATAATATGCTCTCTTTACTAAAGCTTGATTACTCAATAGCAAAATTTAAAAATATAGTGAATCAAAAAATGTTGAAAAATTATTTAACTTGGTGTATTTGGCATTTTTAATTTGGAGAGTAATATTATTCAGATAATACAAGTAAATATGGAAGTATATATATATTTATTATAAGATAATTTCATGTGGATCTAAATATTTACTTTATACATATGAATTAGATTTAATTTAAAATAAGTGTAAGAAAAATAGAGCAGTAAGAGAAGATTGTATTGTAATATATTGTAGTTAGTCTATATTAATTAATAAATTAGTTATTAAGAGAGTATTTAAATTTTAATTATTGTGTATTTAAAGGGTAGTAAATTTTATTTATACTATTGCTATTTGATTAAAATATTTTTTTGTAATAGAGCGAAAGCTAGAATTCTAATCTGATGTTAATAATAAATATTATTCATATTTATAATTTTGTATAACTTGAGTCAAACTTTATTAACTTGATTTCTATTATAAGATTTGTTAGTTTTTTAGTTAAGGAAAATGCTATTTTTTTATGAATTTGTTAAATGATTAAGCTGATAACTATAGAACTAATTTAAGAAAATGTGTGCTAATTTAATTTATAGTGATTATTTAAATCATAGCTATTTGATTTTCTATCAAATAATATTTCAAGCACATCCTTATTAAACAACATATCTTTCATTATGAATTTAGATTTTTCTTTTGAGATAGAGTTTATTTAAATGAAGATTTCTAATAATTTTTGGATTTTCGTGGAATGAATTTATATCTGATTCATTAGGAGAAACTTTACTAATATTTTTATTATTTTGAATACTGTTTTGTGAGAGCAATCTCTAAGACAATTCATTATTAACTTATCTAACTGAATTGATGTTTATATTGTTATATGAGATATTCTTCTTTTAATTTTATTAAATATTATTAGAGCTATTATTACAACAAGCACAATGGCTGTAATTTGAAGGAGCAGCCAATTGATCTTCTTATCTTTTTTTTAAAAGTTCCTCATTAAAAACAATAGAATTGAAGTTATTTTAATTTTATTCTTCAGGTGCAGCGATATCTCTAACAATGACTCCGTTTTGTTGACAATATTTTTGATAAATCTTTACCAGTTTTTTGTCTGAAATATTGTAGCGGCCAAATGCCTCAGGAATATTTCTTTTATTTATTTTGATGTTTCCCTTTGCTGATTGAATGCAGCCCATTTTGAGATATTTTTTTAAGTCTTTTTTGTGTTGGTGTATGTGCGTATGCTTTTTGGTGTAGCGTTTATGTTAGTTTGTTGAGAATTGAAGATTTGTATTTTATTCTTTCAATAGTTTATTATTTTGTTTGTTTGTTTGGTTGTATTGAATTTAATTTAATTTGATTTAATTTATTTATTTAGAATTTCTTTATAAGGCTTTTATCATATCATAAAGTTAGAAGTGAATAAAGAATCTATTAAATTATTGTGATTTATATTATTACTGCCAATTATCAGGTAAAAAAAATGTATTTTGAATAGTGATGATTATTAGTTTTTATTTTATGCGAATTTTTATTCTTAATCATTCAAATTTTATTAAAAACTTCATTAGTTTCTAACAAAATGTAATAATTTACCATCATATAATACTTACCAGCGTAGCTATACTGTTTCTTTTCTAATTTGATTTAGATTGCTAGTCTATTGTAAATTTTAAGTACTTTCACTTTAATACTCTCGCAATTCTTTATTAGTCTAACACTTTGCATGCTTATGTATTTATTGAAAATCTTTGTTAGCTTTCCTTTAATTATTTCAAAATCACTTAATTCTAATTCAATCAATGGAGAAGTAAAAATAAAGCATAACAAAAATATTATGAAATAATTTTTAAATCAAGATATATTTTACATTCTTTAAAATTTCTCAGTAATGAATGATAAGTAATCAAGTATATTTTTTATATTTTTCATTTTTTTTTAGTATAATTGAACTTATTGTATTTATGACAAAATCTTTTTATAGGATTCAAGATAGTTAAAAGAAAGAAAGGGGTTATTTAATCTAAAAATAGACAATCATAAAAAAATCAGTTAAATTACTTAAGGCAATTTAAATAATTTTATTTTACATTTTATAACTTGTCTTTAAAATTGCAGTTTATATCTTAAAAATAAATAATTCAAGTTTAAAAACTGCTTAAAAAATTGCATTATATTTTGTTTCATAATTTAATCTAGTTTGACATATTAAATTCTCTTTGACTTTAAAACAAATTTGTAATGCTATAATATAAATATGTTTTATAAAAATAAAATTATATTTCCAATCAACTCTATCCTAAATCTTCTTTAATTCTTGATAAACAGATTTTTGAGAACAAACAGAATTTGAGGTATTTTTCGACATTTTTAACGTAATATAGATTATTTAAGTTTTATGGGTAAATTCATTTAATTTTAATTACAGCTTGTCTATTCTATGAATTTCAAAAAATCTCTCTCTACTTTTATAATATCTTAAAATGAAAATCAAAACTATTTAATATCAAATCCATATAATAATACAAGTGTGAATATTTTATAAAAACTAAAAAAAATTAATTTATGGATTAAAAAAATTTAGAAGATTGATAAAATATTTTGATTTTATTTAAAGATATAAATATAGAGTAGCCTATCATACATAATTCATCCTATAAACGTTTAGTTTTAAAAAAATATTTAAGGATTCTTTGCATCAACAAGTGGAAATAATCTTTTCATATATCTAAAATTTCAAATTAATTTGTATTTTTAAAAGTGCGTTATTTTCTTATAATCAAATAAACTTAATAAAAAAATACAAATAAGTTAGACTGATAATACCAAATAAGTTACTGATTGGAATTATTTAAAATATCACAAATATTTATCAGTACATTCTAAAAAGGAAAGGTAATATTTACAATAAAATCTTATTATATATATTATTAATTAGTAATAATTGTTTAGACTGTTAGTATGTGAAATATTTTTTATATTATTTAATAATTGGTGAGATGGTTGTTATTTTTGTTAAATTGTATATAAGCTACTGGCTATTTTTTTAAATATTTTTGAAATCGAAGTTTGTATAAGGTTGAATACAATTGTTTAATTAATATATTTAATAAATTATGAATGAATGATTGTTATTAGTTTTAGAATTAAGGAATAGTCAGTGATTGAGTGAGAAATTGAGTAAGCTAGTCAGAATGATTGATAAATATTTGCGAGAAAGGGAAATTAATTTATGTATTTTAAATTGAGAAAATTAAGATGATAATCTTTTGAGTGTTAATTGAATGTTTGTTTGTTTGTTTTAATTTAGAATTTTAGATTAAAAAAATTCCTAATAAACTCCACTTTTCAGGTATTTTGATTATAATTTGATGGGGAAAATATCTTTTTTACTTATTTCAATTTTTTTCAACAGTTTGGAATTTATAAAATATCCTTTCTAGGATTAGGTTCCTCAATAAATTCTTTTGTTTAGTAGCAATCATTGAAATAAGCACCAGATTTATGAGGTTAGAGAGATGCTATTGTTGATCTTTAATCATGAACACATAAGCCAAGATTTTATCTGTTCTTAAATAAGCTGTTGCAACTAAGTGGTTTTAGCTTAGGATACATATGTTTATGCAATATTTCAATATTTTATAGTAAATTTGGGTGGCTGAATGTTTTATTCTTGTGTTCTCTTGTAGGTAATTCTGAAGGTGTAGGATCAACAATGAGAACTTTTTCGACAGAAATACCTTGTATTTTAGCCTTTTAAACAAACTCTTAAGTGATATTTTGAGGCTTTGAGACATTTTTTTATTATTTATTTTATTTTTTATTTGATTGATATTTATTTTATTTGGTTGATTAAGCGCAGCCCATGATTCTCAATATGGTTCAGATGTTTAATAGAATTGAATATTTTTGTTATTGTGAAGATGGTTGTTGTACTTTTTTAAAAGGGGTTTTAATTACAGTTTTTACTTTTCTTTTAATTTTTATTATTTATTAATTATATAAAGCAAATAATAATTTATATTTGTATTTGTTATGTTGAAGAAGGAGATTATTAAAATTGTGAAATAGATAGAGAGCTGACTACTTCTATTATAACTTATACTTAATTTAAGGAAAGTAAATCGAAGAAATTAGAAATACTCCTTTATATTGCAAAATTTTGAATTTTACATATATAAATTGATTGATTTGATTTAAATCAAACGCTCCTAGAAGAATAGGATTAATAAAGATAAAGTAAAGCTAACATTATAAATTTTTGTATGTGAAATAAAATATGAGTCTCTTCATTCAAATACAATTATATAATAGTTACTTTTAAATATAAAATAAAATTAACGTTTCTGCTTTATAACTACTAAATGTTGCATATTAAATAAGTGAATTCTTGTTCCATTCATTTTTTCACTAATTCTTCATGGCAGGCTATCAAATTTTATTTACATAATTTCACTATATTTAGCACAAAAACATTAGTTTAATATTCAAAATACTCTCTGAGTCTTACTTAGATAGTTGGTTAGTATAACAAATTAATTAATCTAGTCTTCGGATTTTGAAGTTAACTTATTAATTTCATTCATGTGTAAAACATAAATTCAGGGATAGCAATTTTTAATACGTCTTTTGAAAAATTTAAAGTTTTAACCTCTAGTGAATGAGTGAGCATTTTTCACTCAAAAAAATAAAAATATAATTTTGTTCCATCAAAGTAACACTAAATTTTAAATTAAAAGAAGATTTTTTTAATTATTTGTTGATTACTATGGGAATCATTTGGTGATATATTTTTTCGCCAACAAAAAAATTAGATTACTTCTTGAAATAGAAATGAAAAGAAATTGTCTTTTTGCTAAATTAAAAAGCCAAGATAATTTAAAACCATGGAATTTTATTTTCCTTTTGAGTAAAAAATCCTTTTGCAATCAATAATATACAGAATCGAATAATATTTCTTTTGAATTTGTAGATTTTACCTCGCATTTGATCTTTTTTCTTATTAAGTATATTTCTAAAGAAAATTTACTTAAAAGTGATGCAGTAAATTATGTTTATTTATTGATTTCCTTTCCGTTATTTAATATTTTTTCTATGGTTTATCTAATTTTACTCAAAGAGCTCTTTCTAATTATTATTGAGAGCAAATCTAATACTCTTCAAGATAAAATTACAATTTTTATTTGTTGTAATTTTGTTTAATTAATTGTTTAAACCAAAAGAAAGCAAAGTATTTCATAGCATTTTTACCAAATGGCCAAATTGAAATTTAAAATACTATCCATCCAACGTTAATAGTAATGCAAATCGACATATCTAGAAATTAATTGCTTATATTCCTTTTTAATTTAAATTAGATTCATAAATCATACATACATATTATTAGGCATGAGTAATTTATTTAAGAGCGAAAGTGCTAAAGTAATTTTCGATTTAGTTGACCTTAAAATATATAATTCCACAAATATAATCTAATTTGAAAATAGATAAATTTCTTATTAATTGGTACCTGTAAACTAAAACAGATTTAATCATTTTAAAATAAGCAAATTTTAAAAAATTAAAAAAGCATGAATGATAAATAATTAAAGTTTTCTAGATTACATTGATATTACTATGCCTGTCTGCTATAAGAAAAATTACTTAACTTTTTAAAAAATATTTACATTTATTACACTCCAAACTAATCAAATAAAATCTACAAAGCAAAAATATTAAAATTTTGTTAACATATATTATTATGTTTATAATATAAATCAATCTTATTCTAAAAATTTAATTACTTATAAAAAAATCTTATTTCTGCCAAAATCTAACAGAATTAAATGATTTTTACCCAAGTCGTTGTATCAAATATTTAAAAATTATAATCTTTCATTATTTCAATTTATGCCTCATTTAGGTTTAGATTATATATTGATAAAGTTTTTATTACCAATCATTTAAATGTTTCAATCATAAATCAACAGGTAGTATTAATAACTCACCTATTTCTTACTCACGCATTCATGGAATTCAATCGATCATCAATTAAATAAATAAAATAATAAAACTTAGTTAATTAAAAAGCAAAACTAAGATAAAAATTAAAAATTTAGATGCATTCCAGATATCTTTTATCAGCCTTTCTTAAATTTATAAATAATTCTCTTTCTAAATAGACAACATAGACATTTCTAAAGAAATGAAATATCGAAAAGGTGCAATTTTATTACTATTTCAATACTTTTTAATAGTATGTTTAATAATTGGTTATTAACACAAAAAAAATTTTAATTGGTGTCAATAATGATTTTACCACATATTTAATTTAAAAAGGGTATAACAGTCACATAAAAACTTCAATTTTATCCTATCAGTAATAGGAGTTGCTTGAATTTGGAGTAAATAAGAAAATAGTTGATACATTTTTGAATAAATATAATTATTAGAAATTAATATTTGATAAATCAATAAAAGTGTTAATTAATTGTGATTAGATCCTTCTTATTAAGATAACATATAGATAGAATTGATATATAAATACAAAATAAAAAGATTAAGAAATACTTTTTAATAATTTTTATTATAATTATATGCTTATTTTAGTAATATAAAAAGTAGTTGAAAATTTTAGTATTTTATTAAGATTTAACAAGGTTAATTTAGTTATTTACATACATAAAAGCGCTGAATGGCTCACTGGGATTAAACCTCTTTTATTCTCGCTTTTATTATTTTAGTTTTTAGATATTACATTTTTGCAATTTACTCATTAACAAGGTATTTTTTAAGATGCTCTTAATCAATTTTGAGATGATGTAGAATGTATTAAATGTTTATTACTTTATTTATTGATATTTTTAACCAGATTTTTAGAAGTAATTGAAGCTATTACTGAGATTTTATAGATAAATTGCAATTTTTATCATTATATATTCAAGATTATGGCTAAATAGCAATCTTGTAACTATGAGGATTGAATGAGTTTGTGAATGAGACTTGAGATTTTGGCTATTTGTTGTGCTTATTTGTTTTATTTATGAATGTTATATAAAGTTAATCAGTTTTATTTACTTTTAAAATTAAAAAGGTGTATTTTGATGTATTTTAGATTTTCTGTTTATTTCATTTTATTTAGAAATGTTAACATTTTAAAAATTCCTTTAACAATAGGTTTACGCAACTCAATTAAAGTCAAAATTTTTGAAGGTATCTTTGTTAATGGCATAATCTTCATCACTGTCCCCCCTTTTAAGCTTTGCTGTATAGTGGGTTCTAAGCTTTTGAGGATTCAGTATACTACTTCTCCCATCCTTAATGTGGGTAGATTCTTATTCGTTATTGTTTTCGCATGTTGTTTATGGAATTGCTTCTTGTTATTTGTTAAAAATAGCTTATATGTCTTCAAAATTGAGTCCATTTGCTTTACACTCTTTTTCAGAATATTTTTAAACTCCTTTGTATTTTGAAGGGAAATAAACACTGTACTTGCGCCTCCCGACTGAAGATCCTTTCTCAGGCTTTTTATTTGATGTACAATTACCCATTTCTTTGTAGAATAGACGATATTCTGAGCGGATAACTAACACCAAGCTTTGATTTTTTGCTAGTTTGTAGGTCCAGTTATCCTCTTTTTAATCTGTGTCTTATATGTATTAGAAAAATAGAGTATAGTTCTTTTTTTATTATTCTTCTATTTATTTAATATATGTATGATTTAGTTGTGGATGTGAATAAATATTCTTAAGTGAAAATACTTATATTTATTCATAAACTATTAATGTTTGTATGAAAGAATATTAAGATTTTGGATGAATATTTCTGTGATTTATACGAATCTCATGTTTTTAATAAGGTTATTTTGATTATCTTCCACTAAAATTTCATAGTAAGTTGTTTAAAGATAAATATTAGGAGAACACTAAACATACAAATATTTTTTGCATTTAATTATTTACCACACCTTGCAATCAAAGAAATTTGCAAATTATATTGTATATGCTTTTTTACCAATAATAACAATACTGATACTTTCATATAAAATGGATTGTGAATTCTATTAATCTATCTATCAGTCTAATATTTGTAATTACTGCAATTGATGTTAAGCTTACCTTCCATTCATTTTATCAAATTGTAAAGTATATTTATTTTTTTTGGAGCTTAATTTATTAAATAATGTAACATAATCTTATGCCTACATATTAATTATTTTAGCTTTACTTCTATTTTTTAGCTTATGTGATTTAAAATTTATTACTTGGAGCTAATTTTAAAATTAGACATAAATTTATATCTGCTAACTCAATTTTATTATTTATTGACATTAAATATTTAAATTGATTATAAGTTTCATTATATAAATAAGCAACTAAACTCTTTAAAAAAACTTGCCAAAAGATTTCAGAGCTAACAATTTGTTTTTCCTTAACTGATAAGTAAGCTCATAGTATGTACGGGTAAACATTAATACTAAATATTAACAAAATTATTTAAATAAAAATAGACAAAATTAATTGATATTTTTTATTTATATTTGTCAAATTTCACCATGAATTTTAGCATAAATTTGGTTTCACAAAAGGATTTTGCTTTAAACTGAATTTATTTTTATTATATTACACATTACTCAAATGGAATGATTAAGTATTTAACTCTTACTTTATTTACATTAATTTTTACAACTTAAAAGAATTAATCTGGAATATTAACAAATAATTTTGTTGTATATATGTGTAAAAAGTGATAATCTAATCAAGATTAACAAAATACTTATAAAATAAATGAGATTATTAAATTAGATCTTAAAATTTTTCATAAATCGTTAATAAATATTATTAATGTGTTTTTCAAAGTGTTTCATTAATTTTGAAACCCATTAATTACAATAATCAAAATCTGTATTGGATTAAATTTTTATAAATTTTATTCAAATTTCTTTTAGAATTAAAATTTTTTATTTTTTCACAATCATTTTTTTAAATTGTTTAAAGCTAAATTATAAACTCATTTATTTTTTTATTTTAATGTATAAATAATCTTTGTCAAATACATTTTTTAGAGTTTTACTTTAATAAAATTTTTGCTTAAACATTATTTTTTCAAAGTGTTTCATTAATTTTGAAACCCATTCTAATTGTAATATTCATAATTTGGATTGGATTAAATTTTTATAAATTTGATAAAAATTTCTTTTAGAATTAAAATTTTTTATTTTTTCACAATCCTTTTTATTATTGATTTAAAGCTAAATTATTTATTTTTTTAATTTAATGTTTAAATATTCTTTATCAAATACATTATTTAGAATTTTGCTTTTATAAAATTTTTGCTTAAAATTGAATTAGAAAAAATAATAATTTTTTTTACTTTTTATCCATTTCTTATTATTCAAAACTTTTGACAATAAAAAATTTGAAGTAATAATTGATTGTATTTTGATATAGATAGAAATAATGAACTAAAAAATATAATAATACTAATTAACAATGAAAACTCTTTTTTCTAACCCACATTAGAGTTATTGTATTTATTAAATTATCATATATTAAATTAAATTACTTTCTTTAACTATCACATTTGATTGATTTCTATTTTTAGGCTATTACTTACTTAATTTTTTTACACTTCTCTTTTATGCGATAACAAAATAATTGTATTTTAATTAAAAATAAACTATTTTATGTTTTTAATTAAATTTTACCTAACCTGCTAAATAACTTAATGTATTTTTTTTTAATTTTTAGTTTAATTTTTTAATATTAAAGCTAATATAGTAGAATTCTCAATAATAGTACTAAGATTTATAAAAAACTTATCAATATATTTACATAATACTTAATTTTCTACTTATTATTTTAATTAACAATAATCAATATTTCCTACTGACTTTAAAGAAGAAAATCAAGATTATGAACTTTTAGACAGAATCCACAAATGCGATTAACTGTATGAATGGATTAGAGGGGAAATTAGCAAAAGAGAAGAGAGTAGAAAACCCCTTAAGCTTAAATAATTCAGTTTTATCTTTAAATAATAAAATGTCACCATATCAATCACCAAAAACACGAAATAATGATTATATGTTACCTTTAGAAAGTGTGAGAGTAAGATTACTAATAATATAAATAGTGGTTTTAATAAATAAAATTTTAGTAAAACTAAATAGTTAGCGAATAGGGTGATAATATGCATTTTAATTTAGCTTAAGACGCAGAAGGAACAGCAAGGAGGAATAATTTAATGAACTAAACAAATAAAGAACTTTTATACAAAAATAAATTAGATTATGGTGATGTAGATAATATTTTGTAATCCCTAAATAATCTATCTCCTAAACGAGAAGATTTTGAAATGGATGGATTTAAATTCGATGAGCATATTGAATATTAATATAAAGAAGTAAAAATATTTTTAGGAATTAGAAATTATTTAAAATATTTTCATTAAAAAATAATATGCTTACTTACTTACTTTCTTTTTCTATTTAATACTAACTTTAAAATAAATTCATTTAATAAAACCAAATATAGTTAAACTAATTTATTCAAGTCGAATCTGAAAAAGTTATTGCACTACCATCGAAGAAGGATGTGAATATGCAGGTAAAAAAAATCTAAAAAATAAACAGATTCATAAATAAATAAAAATTAACTAGAATACTGAGTTTTAAGATTATTTATTGTTTTTTGAAATATAATTTTAGAAAATGGTCTCATATAAAAAACAATGCACTACCTCTATTTTCCCTATTGTAAGAGAGCCACAGCCAACCTATATAGTATTTGGAGAGAAATATTTTGTATGATACCATTATTTAATGTTGCAATATATTTACTTTAACAACAACTTTCTTAATAGTTTGCAGATAAATCGTTAAATTTATTTTCTACAGAAAGTTTAATCAGAAATCTATGCTTGTTTATTATCACATCAAAGTAAGATTCCTTTCATTTTTAAAAGTGAATAATTAAATTAAATAAATAAAATAGATTTTTTAATCTGCTTAATTTATTTATGAATCTTCTCTATATTGCTGCAGACATCAATTATGATTATAGTTTTCGTATATATCCTGAGAATGAATTTGACATATCCAATAATATAGCTACTAAATACATTTAAATTACATGTGATTTCTTTTTCATTTGTGAAACTATTATGAATATTGTAGCAGCAGGTTTGGTTGAAGTAAACAAATAAATATGTTTATTTAAATGGTGTTATATTTGTTTTATGTAAACAAAAGGGAAAACATTCATACATGAAAAATAGTTATAATGTTCTTAATCTTTTGGCTATTATTGGGTCAGTTGGAGACAGATTAGCAAATGAAGATCGATCTTCCTACTTTTTTCCTCTAAAAGTACTCAGAATAATTAGGATCATGTACTTTTTTCCTATATTAAAAAATAGGCTAAATTCTTTGATTTCTACTCTACCTGAGCTGTACAAAATTGTATTAGGTTTATTAGCTATAATGACAATTTATGCATTGATTGGGCTTCATATTTTTTAAGGTGCTCTTGAATTTAGATGCAGATTTGAAAGTGAACCCACACCCGATGGCCTCTTTGAAGCAGATGAAAGTTAAATAAATCTCTGTGGAAGATAATCAGGCTGCAAAGAAAAGTATTTAAATAAATAAACACATCCCATAATTAAAAATAATAAAAAAATTTTATGATAGTACATATTGCAGAGCACCCTTTGAATATGATGTTCCATTCCATGCTGAAGAATCGTATTTAGAGAATTTAGATTACGGTGTTGTTAAATTTGACCATTTTGGATGGAGCCTTTTTACAGTATTTCATATTGTTGAATCAATCGGCTGGTCAAGCATCATGTTTACAGTAAATAACTTTGATATTATTCAAATTTAATTATTTTTAAAAAATATTTTATAAATAAAAAAAAAGCATTGGAGATTTTTTGACACAAGAGTTTGCTCGTTCTTTTTTATTAGCTTATTGGTTCTTGGGTTTTATATTATTCTTAACTTATTTTTAGGAGCCCTTTACGATGGATTTTAAACAAGATAAACAATCAAAAGCATAGCTAAAAGAGGTAAATAAAATAAAATTTTCAACTCTAACACCAATAATATAAAATAGAAGTCAAACAAGAAAAAAAGAAGGAAAAAACAACAATTAAAAATGTTATAGGTAAAAAAAATAGGAAGACTTATAACGAGCAATCTTAAAAGTTGCTTACAAATAACTCTTCCTAAGCTCTAAACATCTTGATAAAACATGCTATAGAAAGGATACACTCTAATTAAATTCCAGTCAAATATAAAATTTATAATTTCTAATCTATTAAATACTATGGTTATTCTTTTAAAACCATGCTTTAAAACATGGGATTTTTGAAATGCTTTTATGAATCTGGATACTTTAATTTATTTTCTTACTCAATAATTATAGCAAATTACATTGTGCTGTGCTGTGATAAATACCCAATAAAGGATAGTCTATAAAAAAATTTAATTTTAGCAGATTCAATACTTACTATACTCTTCCTTATTGAAGTAATTATCAGAGTAATAAATAAATTAATAAACAAATATTTATATTTTTTTTCTATTTCTAATATAAGTTTACATTATTATTTTTTAAAAGATATTTAGCTAAAAAAAATAATTTTTCACAAATCTCATCGATTTAGCTGATTTTGTAATACTTATTGCAAACATTATCATGTTTAGTGTGGGATTTGCTTAGGGATAGAATATGTTTAGTTCTGAAACATAGGAATAGGCTATTATAAAATGTTTGAAAGGTTGGAGAATTTTTAGAATTCTTCTTGAAATGACTGTTTTATACCCTTTAGGCATCCTAATTGAAGCATTTTTTAAAACATTTGTAGGATTGTTTTATCATACTATCATCGTTGCTATCTTTGTTTTAGCTTTTGGCATATTAGGAATGAATTTATTTGCATATAGAGCTAGATTTGAAGAAGAGGTAAAATTAGCTCATGATCCAAAAGAAGGAAAGTCATATATTTTCAACTTTGATACTTTTGGTAATTCAATTATTACGGTTATACTTTGTTTCCTTAATGAAGAATGGCATCTAATTATGTATCACTATATGCATGCTGTGGGGAATATTGCATCACTTTTCTTTATAATAGCCATTTGTATTGGAGAGATTACACTGATGAGACTTTTCTTAGCTATTTATATTTAAAACTATTTGATAATATTGAAAAAAAAAGAGATTATTGCTTTTGAGGATGAAGGAGACCTATAGGTGAAAGCAGAAAGCATGGAAATATTACCTCCAGAAAAAAGGAAAGAGGTTATTGAAAAATCACAAGAATAATAGTTAGCTCCCTATGCTATAGAAAATCATTAAAGAATATAAATGAATTAAACAGTGAATTCGAATATATCAAATATTGAGATTTAACTCTAAAAAAATTAATAGTATGTAAATGATGTTGACAAAAATAAAGAATAACCAAGAAGATCCTTAACATAAAAAAATAAAAGTGAGAAATATGAAGAAAAAAATAATTTACTAGACTAATTAAATGTGATGTAGCTTAATAGGAATCGATAAAAAAGTGAAGATAGAAATATGTTGAAAATTGAAAATCCAAAACAAAAAAATAGTTTAACAACACAACCTAATTAAAATATAAAAAGCTTAAGTGTATTAAACAATGACTATTTAAAAGAACCCTCTCCTACCTAGCTGATGAATAACCATTTATACTTATCAAAAGAAAGTATTTACAAAGAAAATACAGCAAAAAAAGAAAATAGCAATGTAGCTTTCAAATCTGACAATACTTCTTAAAAAATGTAAATTATTTTTATTTTCTCACTTTAAACTAAACTAAACCTATATTTAAAAAATACTTAGAGCAATCCGTATTTAAAAAGAAAAAACTTAATAGCATCTATATGACTAAAAAGTTTCACTCCTTTAAACATAGAAAAGTATTTAAAAAATGTTTTTTTTTAATTTGTTTATTTATACTTGACGACAAAATATCAACGAACCCAAATTTCAATTAATTAATTTTCTAATTTTTAGCTTTAAATTTTAAGAGAAAAAAAATGATTATTTGTTTAGATATTTTATTCTTGGTTTTTATGCAATTTTATAAGATTAAAAATATACTTTTAAAGTTACTATGAATTTATTTTTTATTTAAAATTTGAAAAAGGTTTAATAGGGAGATCAGCTTTAAGTTAAAAATTTAAGTTCTAAAATTTGTTCGTGCTTTATAGATTTAAGGTATTTTAATTTTAAAATTTAAAACAATTAATTATTTATTAATTTACTTAATAATTTATAGCTAAGGTTGCTTTTAAAGTCTAAATATTTTGAAAATTCTATTATTTTTTTAATATTCTCATCATGCATTATTATGGGAATTAGTGATCCTTTAAGAGATCCGAACTCAACCACAGAGAAAACTATTAGATATTTGGATATAATAATTGTTGTAATTTTTATTATTGAGGGAGTTTTAAAGATGTTGGCATATGGAATCTACAATAAAAACAGAGATAGCTATCTAAAAAATGGCTGGAATATTATAGATTTAACCTCAATTATTATTTCTGTATGTGTCTTTTTTTTCCCAGACGCTCTCAGATTTATGAATGGATTTAGAGCGATAAGAATAATAAAGCTAAGCAAGAAAATGTCAAGTGTAGAGATAGTTCTTATTTCAATTATCAAAAGTATTCCCACTGTAGCAAAGCTAAGTTTGCTTGCATTTGCCAGTCTTACATTCTTCGCATTATTTCCTTTAAAATATTTCAAAGGAAAATACTACTAGTGTGCTAATTTAACTGTTTCAAATATTTCAACAAAATGGGATTGCATGGATACTGGAGGAGACTGGGTTCCATAAGATTTAAGATGGGATAACATTATAAGAAGTACTTATAATATGTTTATAATATCTACATGTGAAGGATGGAGTTTCATGATGCAATAAGCTTACAATGCTACAAATGTTTAAATTAATTCTATTCCAGGTCTTTCTACTTAAGCCAAAGACTGGTCTATCTTTTTTGTCTTTTCTTTTGTGGTTGGCAATAAAATGGTTTTCAATTCCTTTATAGGTGTTATGATTGAAAAATTTAATTAAATTAAAAATTTCTACAGTCCATATAGAGGACTAAAGGGGGAAGAAAAAGAATGGGCTATTATAAAAGAAGGAATTGTTAAATCAAAACCTAAAAAAGCTGTAAATAATTTAATTAATTTAACTTAAAAAATAATCTTTTCAGATTTCTTTTATTTTTTTTTTTTGTATGTAAATTATTTGTTAACTTTTATCTATATTTTTATACAGTTATCCACAAAACAGCTAGGGACCTTTAGAAGGTGGCTCCATAGGATAATTCATAAAAACAAAAATTTTAAAAGATTTGATGATTTTTGCACCATAGCAAATACTGTTGTGTTTATGCTCTATTTTCATAGAATGGATGATAAATATAAAACAATATTAGGTAATAATTTACATCTATAATTTATATTTTATTAGCCAGTAACGAAAAAAACAAAAAAGAAAAAAACTTACAGCTAATTAATTAACTTCTCTACTCTAATTTTAAATAAATATAGATTACATAAACATGGGGTTTTTGATTGTTTTTGGAATTTAAATTGCTTTAAAAATAATCTTGTATTAAAGTAAATTTTTTTCTAAGTCTGTATGGAATTGCTTTGAAGTCTTCCTATTTTTATTCTCGTTTGCTGGTTTATTTTTAAAATTCTATTTTAAAACCGACTCATATGAAATAAACGCATTGTTTAACTTTATGTAAGTGATTAGATCTTGTAGAATAGTATTGGTCTTTAATTCAGCACTTGAATTACTTGGTACCATCACTTTAGTGCTACCTTCTGTAGGACCTATCGCTATATTTTTTTGCTTCGTTCTTTTTATATGGACATTAATTGGTTTGAATCTCTTCCCTTATCTTAAACCTTAACAATATATTAATGGTTTTGATTTATCCTTTAGAGACTTCACATCAACAGTTGCTACATTAATAAGAGTAGCACAGTCTGAATTCTGGTTTGGCCTTGTTGTAGATGCTGGAAGAGAATAGCAGCCAAATTTTGTATGCTTCAATGTCAGCTCTTACGCAGAATTTGAAATTCATGGTAATAAATTAAAATATTTGGAAATAAATTTATTAATAGAGATAAATGTATATTTAGGATTGTAAGCTTAATTTTAAATTACCCAAATTTAAACATAAAAATTAACTTCTTAATACCTGAAATTTAAATTACTAATATTTTTATTAATTTAGTAAACAGATTGAATTTATTTTTAAAAAATAACAATAACAATAACAGGGTTTAGTGGCTGTGGGCATGAACTATCTGGTTTTATTTATTTTTTCTCTTTCCACTTGATTGTTTCAATTATGATCGTTAATTTGTTACTAGCTTTGATTATAGATGGAAGTGCAGAAGCATTTAAAATCTAGGATGCTGCTTTAAATAGATATTAATTAGATTAAATTCAAGATCTTTGGATGGAATATGATAAAGACGGGCAGGGATTTATAAATTATAAAGATTTTTGGCAATTCTCTTCGCGTATTTCAATAATCTATGGTGTTAAACAAGAGGATCTCTTAGATATAAACCATAAAAAAGATTTTTTAAAAGTTTTACAAATTCCTATATATGAGCTGCAACAGAGAGATAGTAGTGGATAAAATATTTCTCAGTTTGGCTATATTTATCATGATGTAATTATAAAATTAACTGCTATTTCTGTCATTTTGAAGTACGGAGCTAGTGATTCAATTAACGATGAATCAAGCATTAAGGATACTACATTATTGAGTAAATTTCATTTTTATCTTTTTTGTCTAAAATATTTGATTTTTCAATATATCATATAAATAGAAGTACCAGCTTACTCAAAAGTAGTCCCAACACAACTATTTAGTGGTGACATGTCTAGTATCATATTAATGTAAAGAAAAATTAAGAAATGGGTGTAAAGACATAAACAGTAAATTTTTAATTTTTATTGTTTAAAAACATAAAAAGCTCTTGAAATAAAATAAATTAATAAATTTAGCTTTGAAAATCAACTATAATAAACTACTTACTTAAAATAAAAACATATTATATTTTGATGTATGCATGTAAAAATATGAACAAAATTATTTTAAATTAAAAAGGATTTAATTGGAAAGCTAAAAGATGTCGAAAAGTAGGTCAGAAAAGCAAATGAATGATTAGCATATGATGAGTGGAGATGAAGATATTCTTTCGTTTGATGATTAGGTAATAAAGAAATTTGAAATAGCTTTTGAAGATAAATCAAATAGCACCTTCACAAAAACTAAAGAATTTATTAATCCTGCTACCTAAAAAATTGATGGAAAGCCAATCAAAGAATTAGAAATAAAGAATCGTGAAAATTATCTGTAATCAAGTGAAGAAATAAGCAATTAATCATATAAAACAAAATAAGATTAAAAAGATGACTCGACTTCTTAAATTTAAGAGCCAACACAAAAGACTAAAATTAATGTTCATGCTAATATAGAATAGTAGATTTCTCTAAAGGGTGATAACGACGAAGGTGTATTATAAGAAATCAAAATATGATAATTTTTAAACATAAAAATAATTGCTTCAAAGATGAACCAGCTTACCTTCTTTTTGCTTCTCATTATTAAATTCAAGTCTAAATTTTGAAATAAAAAAATTGCTCAGTCTATCTTGTTAAGAAGGAAAATAATCTAGATACACAATCATAGATATTCTATGTTAAAATTAATATGTCTATTTTATTATGGCTAATAAAAAAATATATCATTTCTATAGAATTTATGCTTTAAGCTAATTTTTATTTATCACTTGAAAAAACGCATGCGTGATTAAAAATCACCAATGTTTTAAATTTATAAAAATAAAATTGATAAAATAAATAAATAAATTTACTTCATGCATTTGAATAAAACTGTTACTTTATGTGAACTATACAACCTTACAATCAAATAAATGCTTTATTTATCAAATCAACTATTTTTGAAAAAACAAAATAAATTAATCAAAAGAAATTTGCCATTTAATTATCATAATTGTGTATTTAGAGACTTTTGATCTCATGCTTCTATCCAAACTCTAATACTAAAAATAAATTAATATCAGATTAATAAAAGTTAAGAATATTTCTTTTGAGAAATTTCAACTATTCAATATTTTGCTAATTATTGTATTTCCTTAATTTTTTGGTAAGAATCTGTGTGAATGTAATTTCATTTGAAAACTTGAAGCAATTATGAAAGGAATGGGATTTTTCTCTCAAATCAAAATGTATCTTTAAGGTAAATTAAGAGTTTTTGGTAACTAACTAATTAATTACCTTATTAATGAACTGAGGAATTAAGAATAATTTACATATTAATTTATTTGATTAGCTTCAAAACAAAAAGAAATAAAGAAATTTGATAGAATTCTATATAGAGTTATTTTATCTAAAATAACCAATTATTACAAATCAGTCGAGAAATAATTTATGTTTAAAGGTTATTTTAAATATGTGAGGAATGTTAGTTAGGTTTTGTCCTTAATTTACTATTTGTGTGCAAATAATGTAAATCGCAAAATAATATTCAAAGAAAGTAATTATAACCAAGAAGTTTAAACTAAATATTTGTATTTGTATGTAATTTAAAACTTTATTTATTTCTAAAACACAGTAAACAATATTTTATTAGATTTTGTAAATGTAAGCAATTTAAGTATTTTTGTGATTCACCTCTTTCCCTGCTTTCCAAATATCTTAAATGATACTGTTTTACTTTCCAAAAATCAAATACAGATTTAACTGACTCACTTTTCTATCAGGTTTTATTATTCCCTTTTTAATTGCATATAAAACCTTCTAATCTATAAATTTTCAAATTTATATTGGGATGTATACTAAGAGAAATAATATGCTAACAAACCATCTCTCGAAAATAATAAAGAAATCATCAAATAAATGTATTTTTCCTAAAAAAAATATAAACAAAAATTAATTAATTCTTTCTTAAAAGCAAAAAAAAAAAAAAGCAATAACAAAAAAACAAAAAATTATTGAGAGCCCTAATTTGAAAATCCTGACTTTAAAAAAGGGGCAAGAACAATTCTTATAAATTGTATTTACATATAATTACTAACAAAAACAAGAACTTGAATTAAACTATTTTAAAACATGGGAGCATGTGGAGGTAAGCCTAAAGTTCAAAAGAGAAACATTGGCTAAAAAATACATAGAAATTCGACAAAAGGCTTAAGTTTTTTGTAACAGGTACTGACTGTTAATGGAGTTAAAAGTGATAACTATTAAAACGTAGATCCAAGAAAAATAATATAGCAAATTTAACAAACATAAAATGACACTGATGAATTTGCTGATAAAAAAATAACTTTAGCTTAAATCAATGAAAGTAGTATCTTAAAAAGAAGACAAAAAAAATTTCCTATTTAGGGTGAATAACAATTTTCTTCACCCATTTACCTAGAAGGAAATCTAATTGATAATTACACTTAAATGATAAAATAAAATACTAAAAACAAATAAGTATGCTAACCACATAAACTTTAACCTTTATATGAAGTTAGTGTAAATACTTTTTAAAACTACTCTACAACAAACAGTTTTTAACCAACATTTTCTCAAGCTCAAATTAATATCCCAAACTAAAGATAGTCTGCTAACTCTCTTGATAATATAAAATGAGATTGAATAACTATCATTCATATTTTGAGTTGAAATCTTAAATACTTCAAAAAATATCCTACACTTATGAAAATCAAAAAATAAAAAAAGAATCTCTTACATTAATAACTTTTACAATTATTATTCAAATCTAAATTTAAAAATAAATACCCAAATCCTTCTAAAACTATCTTACACCTATTTCTTTTTTCTTATCATCTATCTATCTAACCACAATCTAATAAATATTAGTTAAATTAATACCTTTTAGTTATTTGATTATAAATTATTTATTTGTAAAAATTTGTGATGTATATTTAAATAAACAAAAGATTACTTTTTTACTTCTTTTCAAGTGAATGAACTCCTCAAATTAAATTAAATTCTTTTTAATGAAATGCAATTAATTTTTTACAAATTTTTTAATTTTAATGTAAGCTAAATAAGTATTTATAGTATATAGATTATTATTGTTTTGAGAGTATTATTAATATTTTATGGCAATTTCAATTTATTATGAATTTAATTTCTAAAAAGATTGCTAATAACAATATTATTTTTTCCACTGTAGTAACATTCATGAAATAACGATAAGCAATCAATCTTATCTTATTATAATTAAAATAAAAAATTATCTATATTAAAAATAAAGTTATTAATCTAAGCTTGCATACTAAAATTGCACATTTTTATCTTATATTTTTCTGTTATTTAAATTTTGTGATTTTTATAAATAAAAATCTTCAATTTACACACCCAAATACAAAATAAAAATATTGTTTTTGTATAAAATTAAAATTAGATTAAAATTGCTTTATAAAAATTTCCACTTTTATTCATAAAATTACATTTTTATTTGATTTGCTAAGTGATTTCCCTTAAAAAAGTAAAACATGAATTTATATATCTTCATCAAATATAAAATTTTTTTAATTTTTCTGAAATTGAAAATAATTATTTTTAGAAAATACTCTCATAATAAAAGGAAAGATTTTATAAATAATTTAAAATAAAAATGCATAATTAAAATCAAAGACACTTTAAAACAAGCACAATCAAAATACTTTGATATAAATTTTAATGCAGATTTTATTATTTTTGATTAGAAATTCAAAATAATTTATTTTATTTTAATGATAAATCAATAAAAATAATATCTTTAAAAAATTAATAAGAATTAAAATATTTTTTTCTATAAAAATAAAAAATAATTCAAAATTTTTTTACCTTAAAAGTAAAATTATTATTTCCATAAACTAATTTGAGGAAATAGCACAATAGCGTTTTTGTAAGGTATTTTATTTGTCAAAAATAAAATATGAATTTAATTAAAATATTTCATAAAAGATTATCGCATGCTAAATGTGTAAAAATATTTTTTATTGACTAAAATATTATCTCTAAAGTTTAGATAATTTATTTTTTAACGTGTATAAAATAATAATAATTTATAATAGATAGATAGATTTGATATTCTCAAAGCATGTAAATGCAGGAAGCTAAGAATATTTATTTAGAAAAATTCGGATCATAAAAAATAATAAATTTAATTAAATGTATTTCTTACACTAAATGCAAAGCTTTTATTAATGTATTTGTTATGAATTTATTTATTTATTTATTTTTCTAAGGAAATATGCAGAATGGAAGGTCAGGGTTCAGAAAAGATAGGAAAAATATATATTAGAAAGAAGGGAATAATATACATACCTTTAGATAAAAAAAGCATCATGCTATTTTTGATAAGTAATATCAAAGCAAGTAGAAAGACAATCAGATTTATCGAATTAATTTGTTTATTTGTTTATTTGTATAAAAAACAAACAAATAAAATAGCGTATATTGATTAATGTTATTCAATAGTTTATGAGTGAGTATAAGACACTTTATCTTTTAGCTTTTGAATCTTATAGATTCTACGCAGTGAATTGCTTGGAATTATTTGCAATAAATAATAAAAGATAGAAGAATAGAAGAGAAAAGAAAGAAGAAATAAGAAATATTAAAACATAAAACAGAAAATAAATAAAAGCTATTTTCATTTAAGAAATTATATATTACTTATTTTTTAATTGTCTTTCTTTCAAAATTCAACAAAAACAACAGCTAAGCAATAAAATAACAAGAAAAGACAGCAAGTCGGTGTTAATAGCAGGTGAAAATTAACCTTAGAACAACATCATATATTTTAGAGCTCGTTAATCACTTCAAGTGGAGACATTTATAACTTATCAAGAGTTTCCCGGATAAAGTTTGAAGAAGAATTAGTTAGAAAAACATATAATTTTGAAAGAATAATAAAAAACTCATTAATATCATCATACAAATGAGCATATAATTTAGTGAAATTAAAAGTCCCATTTTTCAATAAGCTAGTGATTTTGCCTATGATAGTTCTGGAAGTTAAATTATTTTGGTCAATTCTAGCTCCTTATAAGCTTAATAAGTGACTTTCGAAAAATAAAGCAGCTTGAATTAGCAAGTAGTAGGTTAATAAGCCCTTAATAATTAATAATAGGTTATGTCAGATGATATCTCTGAACAATTAAGCTTTTAAAATACTTCTTTTACATATAAGTAAAATATTTGTATTCCTGAAGAATATTAGCAAGTTGTAGGCAAAGAAATGCTTCCTCAATAGCAAGATAAAGATTAAGATAACACCAAGCAAGATACATAAGTAGTAAAAAGCGATAAGATTTAGCCAAGTTTAGGGGCATATTTTAACACTTTAAGATTCTCTAAGTTAAAAAGTTCATAGACAGGGATTTCTATTTCTCCTTCAGGATTGACTGCAACTTGTAAAGCCTCACAATCAGCTAGTTATGCTATTTGCGGTACAAGTTTTGCACACTAAAACTCCTATTATTTAGAGTTAGAATTCCCAAATGGGTGTGAAGGTATAGATTTCGGGTTAGTCTAAATGCCCGCAAATTTATAAAATCCTTAGTCCCTCAAAACTCATTTGATCACTTACAAGTAATATTAAATATATCTTAATAAAATGTTTATCTAGATCAATACTCCATGAACAAGATGCTATACTAAATTATACATAAATACATCTTGAAATCAATACATAATTTCTGTATCTCACATTTTTATTTTCAAGCAAATAAAATAACTAGAAGCACAAACAAACAAACATTAAAAAAAACATATAATAGAAAAATAATTATAATTTCATCTTATTGAAAAAATGATTCAATAAACCAAAAAATTTCAATATTAGGATTTAAAATAAAAGTTAACAATTATATATAGTTATAAAAATAAGCTTATCATTTTTTAAACATCTATTATAGGTATAAAACATAAAAAACGGTTGGCGTAAAAATTGATACAAATGACTGGACTATTAAAGTTTGGTTTAATGGAGAATTCTAAAAAGTAAAGTCAAAAAGAATCCCAAAAGGTGATTATTCATTCTGTCTTAAAATGAATTTGAGAGGTGTAACTTGCATAATTAATCCATTTGCAGAAGATCCTGAAAAGAAGCTTTCTTTATATGTAAATTTATTTTTATTTTTATTAAATCTGAGATTCCGCTTTTATCGTATCTTTTCTTAAACCCTGATCTTATTGCCTTTAATTTTCCTTACACATTTCAAATTAGCTTATTTTTTGTGATCAAATGAAATTTAAAAATCTTTAATTTAACACAATAATTATTTTTAAAGTAGAGAAGAACTCATTTGAACGGATAAGTAGAAGCAAAAGAGGATTAAAATGCTACTGAATAGCCTCTAATTTAAGATTTGCTCATAAAAGTTAAAGATTTACTTAATTAAACCTAATAATCACCAAAGCAAGTTGGATCAAACAAAGATGAAAATATTTCTATAGGTTATTTAGAAAAAAATAATAATTTAATTGCAATTAAAGATAATAAAATAAAGCTTATTAGAAAAAATCATTAAGGCTAATATCCCTTTCATCTTTCGCATTTTTAGAATCGTCCTACTAAATTATCTGATATTGTTTTCTTGCAAATATATCTTTCTGAAATCGAAGAGTTGATATCATAACCTAATTTATTTGAATAGATTTCTCCAAAAATATCTGAAAATTTATTGAAAAAATTAGCATAAGCAATAGAGCTCTATGGACATATAGATGATAATTAAATTTTAGCTGTCCCATTCAATTTCTGTGAAATAAAAAGCACAATTGACTCATTAATAGAGAATGTCACTTCCCACATAAATGCTATTTATGAGTACCTCAACCCATCTGTTGTTTAAAATGTAAAATTTGATGGTTTTTATAAAGTTTTAATAAATACTTTTTGCTATTAATATAAAGTTACCTGAAGATAAATAGGTCTATGTAGCAAACAATATAGATTTAATTAGTAATAATTAAGTTTATCCTAACGATGGACTTCCTTTTTTTAATGAAAGTGATGAAGATTTACCTTAGTAGGCAGTATTAGAATAAGCAAGTAGTGCTGCTGAAAAGGTTGAAGAGCCAGCCTAGTAATAAATCAAATAATAAATTTAAAAGAAGTCATTTAAAGAAGATACAGATTCTCATAAATCAGCAGTTAGTGTAAAAGATCCTATTGAAAACCTGAAAGATATAGCAAAAAATTGGGATATAAGCTCTCTTCATTCTATTTTATATACTTTATTAAGGTTAGATGAGTAGTTATTTGCAATGACTTTACACGAAGATGCTTCAAATGAGCTTAAATAGCTGTTTAATACAGGAGTTTCACGTATTTTTGCAGCATTTGGAAGATTAATTTCCTTTTATAATTACACTAATACAAATTTTTCAATTGAGAATTTGGCTTAAGCAGGATTGGTAAATATTCACGATTTACAATAAAACCTTCGTCATTTCCTTGATTATTATACTCCTCTTTAAATTTCAAAGGCTTCTAATGTATAAGATATTTAGAAATAAATCTAAACTCAATTAGAAGGAAACAAGTAATATTTTAGTTGATATCATCTATTTCAATTTATAAGTTATTTTTATATTTAAATTAGCTTTGTAAACGGATCTTTAAATTTAGACGTTGGATTAGATGTAACTGTGAATTCAATGTCCTATTAAGTTCATAAAAATAGCAAAAACTAAATAAGTGACAAAAAAGTTAAATTTATAAAGCCTTAAAGAAAATACCTTAGTAATTATATTTGTTCTTTTGATTCAGAAGGTTGTGTTAACATCTGGAATACAGAATTAAATCTTCAAAGAGTCGCTATTTCTGAATTTAAAAAAGAGTTTGTTTTTCCAGTTGAGTGCTAAATTGGTAATGATCTTCGTAAAAATGAGGAAGAGCTTAATAGCAAAATGAACGAAGCTTCCAACAGTTCAAATTTCTAAAGTTAACTCTATAAAATTCTTGAAAATTCCATATCTTCATAGTGTAAATATGCTAAGAAGCCTAAGCCTATTGAAAAATCGATAGTAGCAGACGCAGAAATTATTGAAAAGCTATTAAATTATGTATTTTTTTTAAAGTTAGATAAAAAATCTAATTATATTTTTTTCTAAATAGGGTTTTACTGTTAATGTTGCTAAGAAAGCTTGCATTGAAGTTAAAAACGAGAGTGTTGAAAAAGCATTAGATGTTGCTTTAAGAATACAACAAGAGGAAAATAGTGAATTAGAATAAAATAATCAGAAGAGCTCACTTTTCAGTGGTGATGATGAAATTCATGTTAATAGCATAAAATAAGAGTGGTCATGCGAAATATGTACTTATTAGAACTTTGGCAGATTCTAAAAGTGTGAAATGTGCTTTTCCCCTGCCCCTGAGAGTGCATATTACACAGAAGAAGAAGTAATGGAGATTATGCAAGAAAAATTGCTTTAAAAATAGTTAGAAGAAGAAAGAATATTGAAAGAAATTCAAAGAAAAGAAGAAGAAGAAAATAGAATTAAAAAGGAAACTCTGGAAAGAGAAGAGCAGAGATTAAAATAATTAGAAGAAAATAAATAAAAAATGAAGGCCTTCTTAGAGTAATCTGAAGCTAAAAGTGGATTCTTATTAAATTTAAAATAAAATTCTTTAGCCTAACTAATCGCTGGTGTTTCATTTAACAGCTAATGTGGTAGCGGTGTCTCTTAAAAGAGCTTGCTTCGTATTAGAAGGTTTGCAACTAACCCAAATTTACTTAATTAATTTTATAGCTTAACCTCGAAGGGTATTGTTTGTAATTTAAATGGCTAATATATATAAGAAAATACAATTAACTCACTTGAGAGTATTCTCTTTTCTAATGAAAATAATCGCTATATTTTTGAAACTCTTTCACCAATAGCTACTGAAAATTCAGATTTACACAATTTGCTTGCTGTGTCAGAAGCTAATTTATAGTTTGAAGAAGAGAGCATTATCGATTGCAGTTGGAGATTAATTTCATAATCTTCCGAGAACGAAGTAATGATTTTATTAATTTTTTAGCCAATTTAATATTTAAATATTAAAATAGACCTATGATTTATTTATCTTGACATGCTCCTCAAACAATTAATTAAATTTGCATTAATATAAAATGGTTTTTGATATCCTCGATCCCTATAATCTTTAAAAGAAAGAAATTGAAACATAATTCATTAAAAAAATTATAATTAGCACTTAACAAGAAAGAACCGAAGAAGGTCTTATTGTACTATCAGAAAAAAGCGAAGTAGTTATAGTAGTAATTTAAAATAAAATATTCTATATCCCTATAACTAAATAAGTTATGTCTAATGAGATATAAGTAAAAGAACTAAAAGGCAGTGCTGAGAACATTAATTTAATATTATCTGGCAGTCTATTTATTACAGATAAAACATAAACTCTTACTATTATTAATATACCCTAATAAATAACTGTTTAACAAACATAGCCTAATCAAATTGAATAAGATAGCCAAATTGATTTATATAATACAATCAATTTCACAGAACAATAGCTTAAATTTTTAAAATAATAACTTTAATATTATCAAATAGGCACATTAGCTAATAAACTCTCCTAAAAATCTGAATTATATGATTCATTTTCATAACTCAATTCTAAGCATTCATTTAATTTGAGAAATAAACATAAATTTGAAGTAGAATTTTAATTATAGAATCCTTAATACTTGTAAAGCATTCTATTGGACTTCAGCCTAGTCTCCCCTTAGAAGGACGCAAAATCACTTCTTCCACTTACAGAGTAATTTTTACTATTTAATAAATAAATAAATTTTATTTATCATTTTAAATAAAAAAACACTTTAGCTGTATCTTAAAAGAAAAAGTTGATCAGAATAGCTTCTTTTCTTTTGATACTTGGGAGCCTTAATCTCAACCTAAGACATCATAAAATGGAAACTCAAATTTAAATTTAAATGAAAAATCAAATAAATACTTACCTTTATCTATTTAACTTTGCACTGGAACTCCTTATTCATAAAAGCATTAATCTAGTTCAATTTTATTCCCTAATTAAAGTTCATTCTAAAGCTTTGATTAAAATTGTTGCTTCCTGGTAAAACATCTTCACAATAAATATATTGTTGCAGATTCTGTAACTATAGAATCTTACGATCATCCTATTGAAGGAGGTTATCCAGTAGGCACTTTGTTAATTTTCACTGCTGATCATCCATCTGTTATTGAACGTGCAGCACACCAGTTTTCTTAAATGACATAAGCAGAATACGATGAATGGAGAGAGAAAAATCAAGGTAGAAATCTTGAATAATGGGAACCTGTTGCCTGTGTTTCATTCAGCGAGTCACAAACTATAAAAACTGTTAATGTTGACTACAAAAGGTAAGCTTAAATTTTCAATACTTTCAAACAAATCTTTAAATATAATTTAATAAATTAATTAATAGGTGTTCAAAGTATATTTTAGTAATGCCAACTTCTCTTAGACAAAAGTTCAAGCATTTAACTGGAAATCAATGTACATCTTATTAATTTGTTGGTGTTTAAGGTTTTGCTCTGAATGAAGTTTCTCAACTTGAAAATGGCTTTAATTTGAAAAATTCTAGCTCAAGTGAAATCTAATTTATTTAAAAATATATAAACGAAAATGTTACAATTGAAGTTAAGACTCAGCAAAGTAATGAGTGGATTGCTTTAACAGAAGAAAAAACTAGCATATTCTTAAAGAACTTTGCTAAAAACACTGTAGTACCAAATTATAAATTAAATACTTCCATAGTAAAGCGCTTAAGTGATCTTGGAGAAGTAGCTAGTTCACTTGCTAATTCTAGTGATTTGACTCTTCAATTTATTTCTGAAGATATTTTCACATAATCTAAAATATCATAAATTCGCATTAAAATAGCAAATAATTAAATAAATAATTTTAATTAAATTTAGTCATTGGGATTCACTGTAAAAGGTAGGATTTATGGTGGCTCTGGTCAATCTCTTTCGGAAATATAAAATAATATTTTATTAAATCCATCTTACTACGAAACTATAAATGGCAAGATAGTTAGCTAATTAATCGCCCTTTCTTCTGCTTCTTACAACTAAGCAACTAGAAATTTAATAGAAGCAGCATCTTAATATTTAATTTAGGTTATGTCAAGTTCCCATAACTACCTTCTTAATGACGATATGATAAACCTCATTTATACTAAATTTGACTTAGAAAGATTCATATCTTCAAATATTCTTTAAAATCCTACTCGTAAATTCACTTACTAATATAACCTATTGAGAAGTTTCAGCAGATGCACTGGCTTTTAACAAAAACTTCTTAGCGCTCTTCTTAACCTTCTCCCTTAAATTACAACAAGATAAATCCCAGTCACTGAAAGCGGTTTGAGCATTTATTTAAGTCTCTTAAGATGGTGTTAACCTTAAAACGCTTCTAAAATATTCTTACAATTACTCAATCAACTTCATATAATTTCTAAAAAAGTATAAGAGAAAAAAGATTCCTATTATAATATTTTGACTTCAAGATTTGACATAAATACTTTATGCTTTGAAAAAAGTCTTTTCAGTGAGTTATTCCTTTCCAAAGAATATAAATATTCCCACAGTAATTTACAAGCAAAAGATAATAGCTACTTAAATTCTAAAGTTTACATCACTGAAGATGTATTTGTTCACGAAATTTATATTGATCTCTAAAAGAAATATAACTTGAATGAAATATCCTTAGCATTTAATAGAAACTCTATTTATTAATCCAGTTTTAGAGTGATTGTTTGGAAATTTTAAAATAATAAGTAAGAAATGCTAGTAGATGAATAATATGGAAGTGAGACTTTCGTCTAGTTGTCTAACTACTCTCATGAAAGTTCATCTTTAAAATAATTTTAAAATAGAGAAGAAATCTCTACTTTGAAGTTGCTAGAAACAGCGGAAACCTCTTAAGTATCTTCACGTTATCTTATTATCTAAGTAATTTTTTTTAAATAAAAAAATAAATATTTTAACATATATTTTACTTAATTTTAATTAGATCAATTTTAGTTTGAGACCTTTTATAGGTACTTCTAAATAATTGAGTGATATTCCTTTTTAGAATAACCATTTTAGACCATTAATATAAGGTGTACTTTCATAGGAAGAATCTAATGAATAAATTCCTTCATGTTTCCCATAAGATTTCGCTTCCTAATCAGTTGGCATTGATGCTGCAGGTGTCACAAAATCTAAAATCGATGCTGCAGGAGTCACAAAATCAAAAACTGATGCTGGAAATTCTTAAATCAATAAGGAGCACTAAAGTTTAGCTATTCTTGATGAAATGCAAAATAAATTAAAAGCTTTACTCACAAATGAAGAAGCCCATAGAGACATTATAATTAAATAAGTTATTGAAATAGAAGAGGTATTAAAACAAAATTATTTACAAGAAAACTGTAGAAGGTTTAATAATACTAATTAGTAAGCTGCACTTTCTAATGATTGCAATTTATCATATCTCTACACATTAGCTTATAGTTTTTCACAATTTTTAAGAAAAATTAATGAAGTCAACAACAATTCAGAGGATAAAAAGAATAATTAATGGATTAATTCTGCTACAAACGGAAGAAATAATATTTTCCATGATGTGTTTGAAACTTTTGTAGTTTTTGATAACAGTTTATTATCATAGGAAATTCTTACCCTCCTTGGAGAAGTTCTTATTGATAACTTAAGTGAAAAGGAATGGTTATAGTTTGTTTTTACTATTCTTAAAAGATATTTGATGCAACCAAAGTAAGCCACACTCCCTATAAACTAACTCTTCTCTCAAACAAATCTCATCAAAGCTTTAGACAGGATTTCTATACCTCTTGGAGAAGTATTGGCTTTCTTAGCTACCTAGTTAAACATTCCTATTGAAAATGTCATACTTGAAACTTAAGAAAGAGAAATTTCTTATGGATACCTTGCTCCTACTTTAGCTCTGTTATATAATGGATTCAAAAATATTCCTAAAATTAGCGTAATTAAATCATCATTTTTAGTTTTAAAATTTAGTTTATTTTTATTTTAAACAGATTAATTAGAGAGCTCAAAAAAATAAGGAAAATACAAACAATCAATCTGCTAATCCTAATAAGTTAGCTTAGGTTTTAGACCCAATGAGTTTAAAGCTCACAAAAAGTGTTTCTCGTGAATTAGAAAGAATAAATAATTAAAAAATTGTAAGTTAAGACCAAGAATAATCTTAATAAAATAAAATCAACTCAAAAGGATAGAATTCTGCTTAAAAGGAAGCAAAGTAATCAGATAAAAATGAAGAAGAGGAAGAAGATATTTTTATTGTCCTTCCCCCTGCTGGAGTAAAAAGAAGTGTATCTCACCCTTTGAAAAATGAAATCCAAAAGAGACAGTTGCAAAACGAGTCATAATTGCTAACATCTATTGAAGAGCAAGAAGATATTGTAAGACTTGATTACGATGAATCTTTCAATGTTGCATTTTAAGTTTGTGTTTGGATTGTCGAGCACAAAAATAAGTTTGATAGCCAAGAGGAGTTCGTTTAACTTATGAAACTATGCTTCAATCTTTTAGAATTAATCTCTTCCTTGTCTTCAATGAATGGAATTAAGAGAACTCTACTAGCAAATTCTTTTGATAATAACACCTTCTTTAAGCTTTATTTCTATGTCCTTTCTTCAGGTCACAAAGAAATCATTGCTCTACTCTCTCATTTAGTTTTATTATTATCCAATCCTCCTTCTTTCTCATAGATAGATTGGGCTTCTTTGAATGTAATTTTATTTATTTAAATGTCAAAACTTTTTTAAAAATTTGCATTATATCAAACAGAAGGAAGAAAGAAGCTTCTTACTTAATGAGAAGTAAAGCTTAGAAGAAATACAACTCATATTGGTCTTCCAAATTGAATAAATTATGTAGTGGATGCTTGAGTACTCTATGTATCCTAGTTCTTCAAAAAATAACTTATATGGCATGATTCTCCAAAAGGAAATAGATTCAGAAGAATGGTCATCTCACTTATAATTTACTATGCAGCTTCTTCTTGAAGTGAATAAAACTTTGCAAGAAGAATTTAAGCATAAATCCTTTTTGGAAGCCTCTGCATCGAATCTTAGAAAGGGATCTTATGACTAGAATAGAAGAAGATAGCAATCAGCTGAAAGAAGAAGCAAGAAAAACTCTTCTCCTAATTAAAATACAAATCAATCCTCTCAAAAAGAAGAAAATATTGATGATGCAGGTGAAGTTGAAGATGAAATAGCTGAAATAACTTAAAAAACATTTATGGCTACATCTCACGATCCTTCTTAATCTGTAGGTAGATAAATTTCTTAATAACAACAACACAATGCTAATACTAACGATTTGGTCCCTGTTGGCATCTCAAGATCTTTGAGTGTCCCAATTAATAAGCAGCAAATATTAACTCAATATACTAAACAATAAATGCTGGAGTTTGTTGATAAAAGCATCAGTGAGAGATCTTGCTCTCTTTCTTTGCGTACTGCTATCACACTCATAGATTTAATAGAAGCCTCTTCAACAGGTACTTAAGCTAATTAGATATACAACTCAAATGGAAAATTGTTAAGCTTTATTGATAATGCTTAAATATGGACTTTGCTATTTAAATTCATAGAGTAATTAAAGCTCAAGTAAATACTTTCTTCAAAGCTTTTTGAAAGACTTGCTAATCTATTCTTTAACTATGAATTTTTAACCTCTAAGACTCTGCAATAGATGCTTCTCTCAAAATCCTATGATTTCCTTATGTTGACACAAAGTCTTTTTAATAAAATTACAAATGAAACTTAATCTCCTAACTTCCCACCTCATATGAGTGCTGTCCTAAACAGTCCTACTTTAGCTAGCAAGAGAGAATCTGCAGTTAAAGACCATAAATAATTCTGCTAACTTCTCTTGAATATTATTTTTGAACAGCTCATCCCTGGCTTAACTTTAGAATCAACAATTACTTCCAGTCTTCCTTCAAAGAGAATATTTGTGTAAGACATACCTCAATAAATATCTTCAGTAATTGCTAAAAAAACAGGTATTTTATAAACAAGCTCAATCCACTATTTTATTATAAATGGATGGCTTGATATACTATTGACAAAGAGTACTCCTAAACCAGAATCATACTACACATAACCTTAAAATGATGTATCATACTGTAAATTAAGCCCTCTAAGCGCAGCCTCTCTATTAGTGAATATTAGTTAATACTTATTAACTCATTGCAACTTTGGTGGTTTAAGAGGTATTGAAATTTCAGACCATGAAGTTCTCATTAAATTATAAATTATTTCCATTCTAATATAAATCTTTACTCGCTCTTAAGTTTCTCCAACTACTAATACCTGCCCTTCTACTTCTTAGCCTTAATGTTTGAAGGAGTTATTTACAACATCTGATTATATTATCTAAGAAAAAATCACTAACAGTCTTCAAAATTTAATAAAGTGGTACATCTTTAACAAGGTATATTTTTTTAAAAATCATATAATTCATCATTTTATTTAATATAAAACTTAATAAATTTAATAAATAGAGTAAAGAAACAAAAAATTCACCTTGTTCAGTTAGCTTGTCTTAAATTAGTTCATAAGTTATGAAGATCTTTGAAGCAACAACTGAATTTTAAAATATTGCAAAAATCTTCTTGAATGAATTAATTGTTGTTTGCAAAAATTTAGACAGAGTAATGAAAGAACAATTTAATAAAAATTAGATCAACGTTTTGATTGCTTAATAAATAACTGATAATGCTTCTTATTTATTAGAAACTATGTTTGATTTGTTAGTTTGTAATGACGAAATTGCTTCTTATGTGTCATTTTAAGTAAAGGGATTCTAGTTCCTCTTAGAAAAGATGGGATTAGAAAAAGTATAAAAAGCTAAAAGAGAAAAATTGACAATGCCTGAGTGTAAGCCAGCTTAGGAATCTAGTATAATTTGTGGATAAATTATACATAAGAATCCAAAGTATGAAATAGCTTCTTACATAGATTCATGCATTTTAGGAACATATTAATAGTCTCTCTCATAAGAGGAAAATGATAAATAAAACAAACTACCTGCAAACAAATAAGCTAACCAATAAAATAAAGAGTCTAGCGCAATATCTTCATCAGCTCCCAGTAGCCTTCTTATCCATAAAATACTCCCTGAAGAGTAGTGCTCTAAAGCTACTCTTATAAAAACTCCAGGATAGACTTGGATTAACAACCCTACAAATTGGAGTGAATAGAAAAATGGAGCTCTAAATCATAACTTGATATGGACATAAATGAATGGAAAACAACACTCAGAATGTTATTTAACTATTGAATTAGAAAATAAGGTATAAAAATTCTATTCAAATATCTATTTTACTTATTGAATTAACTAAATTTTATTTTATGTTTATTAGGTCTTCTTATCAAGCATTAAAATTGGCTTTAACTTGTACTGGGCTGACTATGAAGATAAAGTTCTTGGTATTCCATCAAGCATTTTAGTAGAATACACTAGCGATCTTTCTATACCCTTCAAGCCTCTTACTCATTTATCTACAATTTAAGATTAAGGGTAATTAATTATTCATTAAATTTTTATAAATTTAAGTTAATTTATTTTTTTAATTTTTTTAAATAGATATGAAAACTTCAAAGTAAAAGTAGCAGCCAAAAACTTTGAAAGATTAAGAGAAGATGGAAATGGTGATGTTGAAAAGCTTCTTAGGGCTAACTATAATTAAGAGGTTAAATTCTTGCGCTTTAGATTTACTCGTCCTATTATCAACTTTATTGAAAATGGATCAGTATTATAAACTAAATTATTTGAAAATATTGCTATCTCATTAAGCTTTATTAGTGTCATGGGTTACCATACTAATATATTGAACTCCTAATAAATAACAGAAAAGGTTATTTCTGAATAAGAGTCAAGTGCTATTAAGCTTATCGGAAAACTTTGCAATTAGTCTTTCTCTTCAACACTTAACTTGATAGCAAACAATGAATCAATATTAGATAAAATCAAACGCCACTTTGAAGTTATGAGTTTATTATTAGTAAATCATGAACACTGCTTAGCTCCTGTCTTCTTAGCTATTGCTGGAAATAACTAGGAAATGGGTGATTGGATTCTAACTAATTTCCTAGATCTTAATAAAGTTAGTTCTCATGCAAAGATGGTTAGCGAAATAGTATGCTCTTAGCTTTCTCATACTCATAAGAGAGTTCAAAAGGTTCATAATTTTGTCCTTTAATCTGCAGTAAAAGAAATACTTACTCTTCAAGAAGTATCGTCAAACCAATATCAAGCAGCTTTCCACTTCAATGCTCTTTTACCCTTCGCTGAAACCTGGGCAACATCTATCCATATAAGCGCTTTAGATTTTAGCACTTAAAATCATCTTGCAAGTGCCAGTGGGGAAAGTAATGAAAAATATAGCAAATTACTTTTGCCTGTCACTCAAGAAATGATAAACAACCTTATCAAGCTGTATAAAATTTTCTACTAAACTTCTAAATACAAATTAATAATAAAAATCATAATCACTGCTCTCAATTTACCAAGACCTTACGTTATAGCTGAAAATATATCATATGAAGAAGAAAAAGTTGTTAGAGAGAATCTTCTCCTTAACACTTTGAATGAACTATGGGCATAATCTAAAACTGATTCTAAGTATCTAGAATTGATAGCTCCTCTCATTTTAAGTAATTAACGCGGAGTTGAATGGCTTCTACTTGACGAACAAAAGAAACTTTTGTAAATGTTAGGTTAATTGCTTAACTTAATTAAATAAAGCAACTCAAGCCAACAAAATATGCTTATTGACTATCTTAACTTCTTAAGTGCAATCACCACTAATACTACAATCTAAGAAGCTATATGCTCTCAAAAAATGCACATTAATTTCTACAACTGCTTAAAAGATAACAATAAAAATTCAACAAAACTTATAAAAACATTCTAAGACCCTCACATGATTTCAATTATTGTTGAAATTTTGAAAAATGTAGCCTTGTCGTCTCCTGAATAGGCTAAAATCTTCGCTAAAGTGTTGAGTGATGATATAAAACTACTAACTTCTAAACGTGATATGATATACGTCACAAACCTTTTGGTTCCATTACTAAATTCTGAGAAAACATTGTCTGTTGCCTTCCATCCCTTCGATAGCTTTAGTAAATTTAAATTTTAAATTATTTATTTTATTTAATATTTTTTAAAATTTTAAAGGCAACAAATGGCTTGCAGAAGGTAAAAAGATCCTTGAATACAAGAGAGACAGAAAAGGATAATAATTACCTTAAGATCTTTCAAGTAAATCTGCATCAGTGTTATCTTCTAATTTAAAGAGACCAAATAGCATTCCTTCATTCGCAACTCAACTTGGAAAGAAAGAAGTTGTTAAAGGTATGTTCCCTTGCTGGGATACCTTAACTCAAAGTTTGACAACAAAATTACTTTGGAATGATAAATAGCGTGAAGCATTTAATAGAAATATTGAATTATTTACTAAAAAAACAAATTTATTCTCTCAACTTTCGCAACCTGTAAAAACTTAGGAGACTGATCCCACAAAGAAATTACCATAAATGTGCTATTAATGGTAGCTTGTTTAAGTTTAAGATAAAGATTGCGATCCCTCTATGCTTGAACTTGTTAAAGAAAATGTTTTAAAGCAAGGACCATTCTTAATTATAATTGAAGGCTACAATTAAGAACAAAAATGCGTTAGCGGTGTCTTTAGCAGCCAAAGTATCTAATTATAGAAAGTCGAGACTGAGTCTGGAGAGGCTTAGATTATTCCTCGCGCTGATGATAACTTTATCTTTTACTATGAAGAAAACTTCTAGATGCATTTCGATGTACCACCTGACAACAGCAAGCAGTTTGGTTCGTTGATGCTTATCGAAAAAACTGGAGCCGGACTTCAATTCTAATATCTTGAAAATGAACGCATATTCATCAGTTATTAATAATAAATTCCTTCAGTTGTTGATATAAACTTACAAGAGATGACTCCTATCGACACTGATACTAAGAATTTCCCAAAAGATGTACCTGCAGAATTCGAGCTAACAAAAGTTGAATATTGGGTCCTTAAACCAAAAGAGATTTAATCTAGTTTGCTTTTTTCATAGAACACATCAAAGCATGCTAATTCATCTTCATTCTTACAAAATCTTCATAACAATTTACTTTTCTAATCTCAAAAGTAATTCATTTAATTTGATTTAAAATAAATAATTTTATTATTTTTTTATTTAGCCTCAGCGCAAGTAGCATAGCCAACTACTATAGAGCTGTTCCAGTTTATTATATTCCAGAAAGTTTAGACATTGAAAAAATATTAAGCATGGTAAATGTTGGTGGTTTCTGGTTAAGCGATGAAGGAAAGAATACTCTTAGCTTTAAACTAAGACAAAATAAGAAGCATTAAATTTAATTGAATACCAAGCTCGCTGAAATAGCTAGTGAAGGAACAAGCTCAGATGGAGTTATAGATTTAGAGTTCGATGCCTTATAACTTTATGAAAATTGCACAGAAATAACCAACCCATACTTGAATCCACTCACTAATAAGGTCGACTATTTACCTATAATGCCAATATTTGAAATGTTCTCTCAAGAAGGAGGAATATAATAAATTATAGAAGTTATTTAAGCATCTTTGAAGTGTTGGAAAAATACTGAAAGAGCTGGAAAATGGGAAGTCTTTATGAAAGAACTTAAAAAATTCAGCTTACTTCCAAATTACTTTGGACTCTTTATGAAAAACAAAGATTGTATCGAGTTGTTATTTGAACTTTTAGCAGGGCTCCCTGATGAAATACCTTCATAAGACGATAAAAATAAAAAACTTTCAGGAGGATATAATGTTCCCCCTACAACAGGCACTACTACAGTTACTTCAACAACAACAGCAACAACTACCACAACTACAACTACAGCCACTACAACTGCTTCTGGAGCTATTAAAGATAAATAGAATGCTGCTGGATCTAAAAAGTGGGATGAAGAAGAGTAAAAAGCTGTTAATTATAGTTACCAAGTGCTAAAAGATACATTTAAATTAGGATAAGATAATGCTGTTAGAGCTGCTGCTCTAGAACATGGACTTATTGAAGCCATTCTTGAAAAAATAGCTTAAACTTCAAAAGAAATAAAGAGAACCTTTGTTGCTGATTCTACCTCAAATGAAGAAGAATAGGAAGATAATAATTTAACACTCACAAAATAAGCTTCAGAAGATGATGGTAAAAAGAAAATTGTACAGAAAAAAGGTATCGGTTATGGTTCAGACAATACTGGATAAAACCAAAAATGGAATACTAATGATTATATAGAATCTAAAAAGGCTAGATCTGAATCTCTCAAGAATCTTGTTGCAGTTTTAGTAAGAAAAATCATATTTTTTTCATTTTAAAATTAATATATTAAAAAATTTTTTTCTACTTTTAATAGGAAGCATTTTTGGACTTCAAAAACTGGGAACCACCAAAATTGTTAGTAGAATAACTGATGTCAAGTGCTCTATTACCTTTAGTAGAATCATCTTTAAGAAGTGGTTCTCTATTAGAAATGTCAAAGGATAAAGAATTGGTTTTCACTTATTTGAGTTTGTTGAGAGTCATTGCTAAAAATAGTTGTTTAGTCCCTTGTTTATTGCCTCTTGATCCTAGATATATTCCTAAGCAAACTGAATCGGTACTCTTCCTTATTGGATAATTAAAGGATACTGCCAAAATTTTCTTAAGTTGCATGACTGCTAAGACTGATAACACATCTTCATAACAATAGTAAGAAGAGACCGCTAATTCTAAAAAATTAGCTGATGAAATTCTTTTAACATTTGAAGCAATTAACGACGCTTGCAAGCATTATCAATAAGAACATGAAGAAGAAGAAGATTTAAACAGCTAGCAAGATGCTATCAATTAGGTATTAGAATTACCCCTACCTTAAAAATATAAAATATTACTGTAAGATTTGAGGTTCGATTATACTTCATTCAAAAATGAGCAAGGAAAGTATAAGCACCACTACTCTTCAAGTATCACAACTTCTTATACCCCTCCTTAAGCTAAAATGGTTCGTCTTGCTTAAGAATTAGCAGATTTATCAACTGCACTTCCTATTGATCATACAAATTCTATATTTGTTAGATGCGATACAGATAGAGTAGATGTAATGAAATGTATGGTTATGGGTTCTAAGGGAACTCCATACGCACACGGAGCTTTTATTTTTGATGTATACTTCAGTGATGAATATCCTAACTAGCCTCCTAAATGCAATCTTGAAACAACTGGTGCTGGTAAAGTCAGATTTAATCCTAATTTGTATGCTTGTGGTAAAGTTTGTCTCTCTCTGCTTGGTAAAACTTATTTTCTTAAATTAAAATTAATTTTTTTTTTTTATAAAGGTACTTGGAGAGGTAACGCTAGTGAGAATTGGGATCCTAAGATTAGTACTTTACTATAAATTTTAGTTAGTTTATAAGCAATTATTATGAGTGAAGAAGTATATTTCAATGAACCAGGATTTGAAGGAGAAGCTGGCTCTGAGGAAGGAGAGAGAAAGAATGAAGCTTATTCTAACATCGTTAGATATTGCAATATTAAATATGCTATGATAGATTAAATTAAAAATCCTCCTGAAGGTTTCTAAGCTGTTATTATGAGACACTTCTACCTTAAGAAGTAAGAAATTCTTGAAGAATGTTAAAAATGGATTAAATACGCAGATGTAAGATAGGCTTCTTATGTTGGCTTAGTTAATGATCATAATAGCTCATGGTGTGCAGAATTCAAAACTAAATATCCATAAATGTTGCGTGAAGCAGTTACTGAACTAGAGGAAGTTCTTAATTCAATCCCACCTCCAAGCGCTTAAGAAACTAAACTTAAACTTAAAAACATCAAGAAGAAACCAAAGAAACTTGAAAAGAAGCAATAGTATGACATCACTTAAGGTGTTGCTAAAATTGACGACATTGATGTTAAGTACGATGATGAAGTAGAAGAAAAGAAAGAAGATAATAAAGAAAAAGATTTTATTGATATTAATGATGAAAAAGTTAAGGATAGATGGAGCAGATATATTGGAGCTATGGGTATTGATGCCGTAGCTAAATAGTCTAAGTGTTCAGTATTCTTGAGCGGTTTAGGCTCTTTAGGTGTCGAAATCTCCAAGAATTTAGTCATGAGTGGTATTAAGAGACTTACTATACATGATTCTAAGAAAACTTAATTCAGTGATTTGTCAGGTATATTTATTTACTTTTTTTAAATTCATTTTATGGAAAAATTTTATTAAATTTTTAGGACAATTTTACTTGGGAGAAGAAGATATTGGTAAGAATAGGGCTGAATAAAGCTTAAAGAAAATCAGATAACTTAATCACTACGTCAAAGTAGATACAGCAATGCTTGACAAAGAGCTTCCTGAAACTGAAGAGGGATTAAAAGAAGACTTAAAATTGCACGATTACAATATTGTTGTTCTCACTGAAGTGCTTTCTATGAAAAAATAAATTTTAATCAATGAATTCTGCCGCTCTAGAGGTATTAAATTTATTAGTGCTGATGTTTTAGGTCCTTGGTGTAGACTATTTAATGACTTTGGGGATAAATTCGAAGTCATTGATAAGAATGGAGAAGATCCTTAGGAAGTAATGATAAAAAATATAACTAATGCTGAAAAAGGTGTTGTTACTCTGCTTCCTGGAGTAAAACATCCTTTTGAAGATGGTGAGCATGTTATATTCTCAGAAGTCTTGGGAATGGAACTCTAATAAGAAAAAGGAAAAGAAGAAACTTAAACAATGACTATGATGGGTGGAGACGAATCTTCCAAACCATCAATTAATAGCACTATTCATAAGATTAGAGTAATTAACTCCAATTCATTTGAAATTGGAGATACTAGAGGATTTACCAATTACGTTAGAAATGGTATCGCTAAAAATATAAAAACTCCTGTTAACATTTCCTTCAAGAGTATGGCAAATGTCTTTAATGTCTCAAAATTAGATGAAGTTCCTTTTGATCCAAATTTAATAATTCATGATTTTGAAAAAATAGAAAATCCTCATATCTTATTCTTAGCATTTAAAGTACTTGAAGAATACTAAAGTACCCACAAAGGATGTTTACCACAGTGCTGGAACGCTGATGATGCCAAACAATTCTTGACTTTAGCAGAACCAGTAATAGCTAAATATTACCCTGATTCTTCCTAGCAACCTAAAAACCTTAAAGAAATTCTTTTACGTTTTGCTTTAACTGTTAATAGTAATGTTGGTCCATTTGCAGCTTTCTTAGGTGGTTTTGTCACTCAGGAAATCGTTAAAGCAATAACTAATAAGTATATTCCTACTTCTTAAGTATTTTTCTCAGATTGTATGGAAATCATTCCAGAAAGCGGAGATCTAAATATCAATAATTACGCATCTTATATAGAAAAGAATTATGCCTTAGAGTTTGCTCCTACTAATGACAGAAATGATGGTATCCGCCATGCTATCGGAAACACACTCCTTAATTAAATTAAATTCTGCAATCTCTTTATGATTGGATGTGGTGCTATAGGATGTGAACTTCTTAAGAATTTTGCTATGATTAACCTAGGAACAGGCGTTGATAAGCAAAATGGAAAAATAGGCTAACTTACAATTACAGATCCTGATCATATTGAAGTATCTAACTTAAATAGATAATTCCTTTTCCGTGAGAAACATTTACGTAAGCCAAAATCATAAACTGCAGCAGCATCAGCTATTCAAATGAATCCTCTATTAAAGGATCACATTTTAGCTCGTTTGGATAAGGTTCATGATGGAACAATCAATATCTTCTCTGATAAATTCTTCTCAACTTTGAATGTAGTTGCCAACGCACTTGATAATGTTTAAGCAAGAAGATATGTAAAAAATTATCATTTTTAATTAATTACTTACAAATAAAAAATATAATTACAATAATAAAAAATTTAAATAATAAATAATAGGTTGATTCTAGATGTGTAAGTAACAAAAAGCCTTTGTTAGAAAGTGGTACACTTGGTCCTAAGGGACACGTCCAAGTAATCCTTCCTTATAAAACTGAAAGTTATGGAAGTCAGTAAGATCCTTAGGAAGAGGGAGAAATACCTCACTGCACTTTAAAGATGTTCCCTGAAGAAACTTTACACTGTGTTGAATGGGCTCGTGACAAATTTGGAAAGCTATTCACTTTGAGACCAAAGAGCGTAAATAAAATCTTAGAAGATTCTAATTATGACCCATAAGGTGGACAAGAATTAAAGGAATTCAAAGAAGCAATAAAATTATTAGAGAAGAGACCCCAGTCATTCTCTGATTGCATTGCCTATGCTGTCAAAAAATTCTATAAATACTTCAGAAACGACATCTGCTAACTTATGTACACATATCCTATTGATTCAAAAACTAAGGATGGCGAACCTTTCTGGAAACTCCCTAAGCGACCTCCTACTGATATTAGCTTTGATCCTAATAATTAATTACATCGTGATTTCGTCACTGCTTTAGCTGTTTTACGTGCCAAGATATTCTAGGTAGAGTATCCAAAGTCATTTAGAACTGAAGCTGAGAAAATAAAAATTGCTTAAGAGGCTAGTATAGTAAAGATAGAAGATTTTAAACCATCAGAAAATAAAGCCTAAGCCATTTCATCAGAAGTAAACAAAGATAAAAAAACAGATGAGAATGATAAAGATGAATAAGAGGCACAAGAAGAAGACCAACATTCAAATAAGATAATGGATGAAGTCGCTGAAAAGGCTATGCTCATGAAAAAGCTCTCTGAAATTAAGAAAGTTATTCCTGAAGAGTATTTCAAGCCAGTAAATATTAATTATTTTTTTTATATTTTGTTAAATTTTTTGGATTAAAAAGAATACTGAAAAGCACCTTTTACTTGCAGAGGAATTTGAGAAGGATGAGGATGATAATGGTCACATAGATTTAATTTATGCAATGGCTAACTGCAGGTCTACTAATTACAAACTTGCTCCAATGGATTGGATTTAAGTTAAGATTAAAGCTGGCCGTATTGTTCCTGCTTTAGCTACAACCACTGCAACAGTCGCTGGTTTGCAAACAATAGAATTAATAAAAATATTGAAAAATGAAAAGCTCAGTAATATGAAGAATGCTTTCTTGAATTTAGCTGTCCCTCTCATTCAACTCACAGAACCTTAGAAAGCTGAATAAATTAAAATACATGAAGAGTTAGAAGTTACACTTTGGGATAGATGGGAAGTGTCCCTGGGTTAAAATGTAACTCTAAAATAGGTTTTCTAACATTTCGAAACTAAATATAAGCTTAACGTTTGCGATATAATAAGTGGAAGCAAACCTATTTATTTAAGTACTGTGATGGACATAGCAGGAAAAGAACATGAAAAAGAAAAGACTTTGAATAGCCAAATAACCGATATTATTGAAGTCGAAGTAAATATTTATTATATCTAATTACATCAAATTAATTAATTTTATTAACTTAAATAATAGGATGATTACATTGATTTAATATTTACTTTCTCAAATAAGAAAGGAGAAAAAGTAAAACAAACTCCTCTTGTACGCATTTAATTCAAGTGAAATAATAAACTTTGTCTATAAAATTAACAAATTATTTTAACATACTTTTTTAATTATTATATATTTGTAATATATGAAATTTAATTTATATGCATTTTTTACTAAATAATTTAAAAATACTAAAAATTTTATCAATTTTATTCCTTACTTTTACCTTATATCAATTTTAGTTTTACACAAATTTCTTTATGTCATTTTTTTGAAAAAGGATGGATGTTTGATAGAATCAATAAAAATCCATATAATATTAAAACAATTTAAATTAATTACCTTAAAAATATTAAAATTTAATTTAGGAATCTTTTCTAATAATTTTAAAAATAGCTCAATTAATTTTAAAAAATTATTTAGATAAATTCATCTTGGATAAGGTTAAAATGTATATTTTATATAATTCATTCAATATAAAAAATTATGAACATTGATATATCAAATAATTATATTAGGAGATATGTTAAAAAAATAAATATTAATCAATTTTTCTTATAAAATATCATTTTAAATCATATAAAAGAAATTTATATTTTAGTTATTCATAAAATCTTTATATTATTTTAGAAAAATTAAAAAAATTATCATAGAAAATTAATTTTTAATAGAAAAAATTTAAAATTTGTTACATTTTATAAAATAATACATTTAATTTTCTTAAATATATTTACTGAACCATAAATGTTGAATTCAATAGAGTATTTATCTTTTTTGACACTTTCTTTCAGTTGATTAAGTCTAAAATTTCTGGAGCTGGAGGAACGAAGCTTGACTTTTCTCTAAAATATTTAGGCTGCATTAAAAAGTTAGCAAAGTCTTCAATCATTTCTTTTCTTTTAATTTTGCCAATCATGAAAAGCTTCTTGAGCAAAACAATCGAGTAAATTAGTTACTTTCTGAGGAATATTTTTTATTGAACTCTGTTGTACATTTCATGAACATCTATGTAATAGTTAGAAGATATTTTATCTAGCTCGGTTAATTCAAAGTTCATCAAAGGAGTTAATTCTCTTTCTATTATCTGGATAAGATCTTAATAGATTTAATGATTTCCTCTGTAGGTATTTCTTAAATCCATATTCAAGTTTAACATTTATAGGGATTTTAGTTATTATATGCTGTTTTCTAGCATTTTCATTTTTCTTTCACCAAAAGGTATACCAATCAAGCTCAATTAAAGGCTAGTTAGCTAAGTCAGATTACCTATTTGGGTGAATAAAGGAGTTATTTCATTTTTAATCTCACTCCAACTTAAATCCAAGTTTAATTATTTTAGTTAACTCATTTATCCTAAACTTTAGCTGAATTAAAGTAGGCATTCTTTCAGTTATGGCATCTTTATTCTTTACAAATTCAAAAAGAGCTGATTTAGGTGAGTTAAATTTTTAAAAGTACCAAATAAATTCAAGGAAATATCCTCATTCAATATTTCAAACATCCTTAAATCAAGACCAAGTACTTTTAATTAGCTTAAAGAAGCAAACTCATTTAAAAATTTTACGATGTAATTCGAGCCTTCTACTTTAAAGCAATTAGATGAAAGGGAAAGCTACAAATTTTAAATAAATTGCTTCTTTTCAATACTTTAAAGTATTTAAATCAAATCTTAATCATCAAGTTTATTATATCTCAGATTTAGCTTAAGACTCTCTAAGTTTTCACATCCAGAAAGGAAGTTAGATAAATATTATGACCCATTCTTGCTTAAGCTAGTATTTGTGAAATCAAACTCAAGTCTTTTCATAGAGATTTGTTATTCCTTTTTATTTAGGGATCCAAGAGATTGGAATGCATCACTATGAATATAGTTTGTAAAAGTAATCTTGAGTTCTTCAACTTTAGGGAGAGAGGTTGCAATATCTATGATATTATTTATTTTATCAGGATTTGATTTGATTTGAGCAAAATGAATGTTTAACTTCTATATATTTTCTTCGCTAGAAATTCTCTTAAATAAGTTTAAAAAGGAAAGAACTTTCTCATTTTACCCTATTTTAGTGATGCTCTTCCAATCAAAATTCAAAGATAACTATTTTTTTAACTACATATCATCTACCAATTAGTCATCAAAAGTAGCACTTTCATCAATGGCATGAGTTACCTTTATTGTTATTTCTTCTACAGTATCCTAAAATACTTTAATAACTTAAAACATTTTTTAAATTTCCTCAAATTTGACCACAGTTAAATTGAAAGTAAACTCAATTCCGTTTACAGAATATGTTTCAATTTGCTTTTATTTCATGAACTCTAAAATATCATTGGTATCAAGGATATGAGGGTAATTTTAACATTTTTCTTCATCTATCCTAAAAAACAAACCAATCTTTTTTTCTGTCATACCAGGCCGAAAATAGCGCTGGCTTCTTCTAGGTATCTTTGAAAACTGTTATTAACTAAATTTATTCATGGTTTTAGAGTATTAAAATTTTTAAGAATTTAAAATCTCTCGCTTTTACTTGTATATTTCACAAAATTAATTATTTTTTCATATATTAATTAATTGATTTTCTCTAAATGACTAATAAATATATAATTAGTGAACTGATTAAATACTATTTATGTTTTCTATCATCAAATAATGAATAAAGAGATAAGAAGAATTTACCCATTATAAAAGAATATAAAATATAAATAGTTCAATTCTAAAAAAAGATGATTTGTTAAAAGTTAAATAAAAAAATTATGATTTTATATTTTGTCTTTTTTATTTTAAATATTTTATTTTGTTTCAATATTTGTTTTATTTTTTTGTTTATTAATTACTTCTTATTTAAATTTTGAAATTAAATCATTTTTTATTTATTTATTTACTTCTCTTTTATGATATCTTTAACAGGTTTTAAATGATTAAACATCAAATCAGATATTTTCTGGATAAATTCTTTTTAAATCTTGTGAAATTCACTATTAATTACTGCTACTTTAAAAATATTAAATAATTTAATTTTGGATATCTTTTTATTTTTATTAACTAAAAAATAAGATTAATAGTTAACAATAAATGAGTGACTAAAATTAGCAAAGCAGCAGTGTTTAGACTTAGGTTGAAATATTTAAGGATAATTGGGAAATGGCTAAAGTTGCACTGAAACTTAAAATATATTTTGCTGAAAAGGGATGGGTGAGGTAATTAAATATATTGAATTCAAAAAATTAAATGCTTTAATTCATATCTTAAAAAAATGAAAAGTGTAGATATTCAAAAAGTTGAAAAAGGGTACTATGATTAAGATCTCTCATGGAGAATGAGAAGATTAGGAGCTCCTAGCGAAGCCTATTTGTGTAAATCTATGATTATGGAAAATACAGGCTTTAAGCAAGAATTTGAGAGCAAATATTATTAGCGTTTTTATTGTGTGATTATTTAATATGTGACTAAAATGAATAGCGATAAGCTTCTTAAAGCTGCAAGAGCAATTTAGAATAACAACTGCGAAGAAAAAGTAGGCAAATCTGGATATAATTTAAGATTGCTTAATGAGGAAGTATATTAATAATTTAAAGATTTGTATTTCTAATATTTCAATTCTTATAATAGGAATCTAATTAAATGACAGGCTATGGCTATAATGGAGTCACTCCTTTTTTGTTTAACTAAAAAATGCCTATTCTTATTTCTGACAAATTGGGCAATCTTAATCCAAAGTTTTTCTTTTTAGGTGGTGGTCACGCTGATCTTAAGCTGCGTAAATTAAAATTGATAAAAAACATTTCATATTAAAACTTATTTATTTAAAAAGGTGTTTCTTTTGATGAATTTATCAATAAGCATGAATATGATGTTTATCCTTGTGATCTATCAGATACAGATAAAAATTGGAAGCATTTACAAGACTGATTTTAATGAAATCAGCTTTGGAAATAAAAATTTTTTAATGCTGTAAAAAAAGTGTTTTAAAATGAGATTTTCAAAAGAACCTGTTTTTATTTTATATTTTATTTTGCACAAGAATTAATAAATAAATACTTAGTTAACATAATATTTATATAGGTTTATCAAATTTATTATTTTTATATTAGTTTTATTAAACACACACTACCCTTTAGTATAATTTATTATATTCAAAAATTTATTGTTTTATGTTACTTATTAGAATTTATGATTTCTCTCATTGAATCAACTTGATCTAAAAACTCATTTGAATCATATTATGACTAGTTTGAATATTTTTATTTTAAATCTTGCTTATGGATTTGTGATTAATTTAAAGATGGCTTGGTTATTCCTAAACTATTGTTCAGTTTTGCTGGAACAGTAATATTTTCAAAATTAGCATTGATTTCACTTTCATCATTTAATTAATAGGGCTAAGTTTGACTATGTAGATGAGGACTAAATTTTACTGAGTTTTTTACCTTTTCAGTATTCTAATATTGCACTTATTAGTTATTATAATCGTTTTCATTTTCATAGTATTAAAATTCGTCTTAGTCTGTATGTATTCTTCTTTACGGTTTTAGGTTATATTAGTTGTATAATTAATCTTAGTTTCCTTATTGATATATTTTTGTGATATATTATTATCTCATAATTGCAGTCTTATTTGCGCTTACACTTCTTAATTTTTTAGATTGGTTCAATATGTTATTTATTTTCTGTCTATATTTATTCACAATTTGATCTTATTCTTATTTCTGCCTATTCTTTTAAAATTCTTCAAGACTATCACTTCTAAAAAAACTTTATCTATCTTCTGAGCTTTTTCTGAAAGTAAAATTGTCAGAAATAAATATTTTATTTTATAAATGAGTTTACTTATTGGAGAAGTTATAGTGATACTTTGAGGTCAGAGAAGCTCTTCTTACTGACTGAACAGGATTTAAATCATATTCAGGTTCAACTTACATTAATTAATTTCCATTTAACGAAGGTGCTCTATGCCTCACATAGGCTTTGTATTACTATTTTTTTGATTTACAAATACAATTAATATTACAAATGTTATTGAAATGATGTACATTTTTATTATTGATTGGAGAATTCTATTTTGATTTTACAGGCACTATAATTGGTACATTTAACTAAAATTCATGAAGATTATAGTAAAAATTTTTAAATTCCTCTTCACATAAATATCCTTTTTTTTCTTTATCCAAAAAATCAAAAGCTTCATAGATTTAATCATCTGTTAAATCAATAGTTAAAATTTAACAACCTTAAAGAAATTCCTCAAATGTAATATATGAATCACAGTTACTGTCGAAAAATATAAAAGCACTTGTGTGAGATTAAAATTACCCTTTTCTTATTGATTATCTGATAATATTTAGATATTATTAGATTGCTGTAAATTCTGATCTAAATTTTTAGAAGCTTTTCTATTTTCTATGGTTTTACATTAAATTCATCTATTTGTATGCTTATGGAAGCTTGGAAAAGGCCAAAGCAAAGTGGTTTATTTTTACAAATGAGACAAGTCCCTTTACTGAAGCATCATCAATTATTTTTATTAACTCTTACTTTTACCTAGTGTTCCAAAATTGTTTGGTTAATATTTCTTTTTCTAGCATTTATTAATCTACAAATCCTGTTGCTTTTGTATCTAACTTCATATGCTCTCCAATTAATTACTAAATGCACCTCATATCAACTCCTTTTTTTTCGAGTTCGGTTAGCAATCCAAATGATATCTCTTTTTCAACACATGCATTAAATATTTTTTCTAAATATAAAATAAAATTAATTAAAATCTGATTAATAAAGTTTGAGTCTCAATATTAATTTAGTTACTTTTAGGATTTAATTGATAAATTTTTATTATTAGTGAAGAATAAACTATTAAATATTTTAATTTTTACCTTCTGGAGTATTGTTACCTGTTTTTGCAATTATTCTCTTTACACCTCCTCCTCCACTAATAAATTTAGATCTGTTTTAATTTATGGATCCTTATAAAGGAAGCTTATCACCAGAGTATTATTCTCTTTGCTAGATAAGTAGCATATTCTTTGAAGGGCTCTTACTCAAGTTTCCATGAACTAATAAATTGCCAGATGGTGAATGAGTTATAATATTTGATTTATTTTTTATCATGGAAGGAGGAGAGCTAGATTATTTGTCTATTAACTCAGCTTCTCTTTTAGTGATTTCATTTTATCCAAAACCATATGCTAAATTGAAGTTTATAATTCTAAAAAATAGATTAAAATAAAGCTTCATTATTTTGCTTTTAAGTAAAAGCAAATAATTAAGATATAAAATAAATTAAAGAGCTAATTTATCACATTAAAAATATTACATATTATCTTTGTTTTACTCTACAAGGACAAGTCTATCAATAAGCTCTTAAACTGGAATTCTATTATTGTGATCCATAAAAAAATTTTTTAGCTTAATAATATGTTTTGCTAATGCGAAGCGAAACTAAACTTTCCTTGCTGCTTATATAAATTAATCATATGTTAAGTAATCATCCCCATTATTCTCAATTAAAATTTATTTTTTTAGCTTTGCTTTTGAACTTTTGATTAAGTATTAGAGTTAATAATCTTCCTTCAGCTATTTTTTATATAAAAACATATTAAATATATATGAACTATGTAGTTTTTATTTTATAAAATAAATGCAGTTAAGGATAATAAAATAAAAAGCAGAATTTCTATTTCATCATTAAGTTACTCATAAAAAATTATAATCATTCGTAACTAAATAATTACTGCATTTATATCTTTCAAAGACGGGCTTCTTGAATTGCTCAAAATTTTATTCTATTCTTGATTTGACATAGTTATGCAATCAATCAAATAAACAGATTAATCTATAAATTTACTAATTTAATTAAAAGTTTGATAAAAATAACCAATTAATTACTTATTATAAATACTTTTTGTTTTAATAATCTAATAATTACCATATAATAATTTAATCTAATTATCTCAATAATATATCTATCAAATATTAACTTTTATCACAAAATAATTTAATTTAAGATATGAAAAATTATTACATACATTTTTATAGTTTTTCAAGAAAGATTTAAATATTCAAATACCATTTATTTAATCACATCAATTAAAATGAAAATAATTTGCTTTTACATAATATATTTTTTTATGCAAAAACACAATTTATTATAAAAAAAGAAATTAAATTTAAAGATATGATTAGCTTTAATGATTTCGGTATTTTTATTGTCAATATATTAATTAAAACAATAAACTCAAAATTAAATTTTCATAAAACTCTACATAAATAATTTTTTAAGATTTTACTTAAAATTGCTTGATTAACTTTTTTTTTCAAAAATTTTTTATCATTTTTAAAATAATTTTTTAAGATTTATTTTAATTTAATTATTTATGAAATATTCAGTAGATTTTTCTATTATTTAAGCTTTTTAGAGAGTAGAAATGATTAAACATACATATGTTATTATTAAAAATATTTATTTTAGTTAATGAGTATAGTTAGAAGAATAAATACTTTTTTAATTTTCCATTTTAAATTTTTGATATTTATTTGAAATAAATTTCAAAAAGTAAAAAAAAAGAAACTTATAAATAAATTGATTGCAAATTAAATTCAGAAAGAATCATTAATTAAAGAAATCATCATAAATTAGCAATAATAGAAAATTATAAAATGGATCCAAGAATACCAACAGCATAAAAAACAGGGTGATTTGAAATTAGATAGTAAAAAGGATAGTTATTTATAAAATATTTATTTTAAAATTAGTATGAGACCATTAGGTACTGCTATGAAACCTGGTACAGCTATGAGAGTATATATTTAATTTTATTAGCATGATTATTGATATGATATATTTTAAAAATGATTCAATTACCTCTTGATTATCATTTCAAAATATAAAAATCATAAATTTTGGGTTATTAATTTGCTTAAAATAATTAACTTTAAAAAGGGTGAATTCGGCTTCAATGCTGGCTAAGCTGCCAACTTAAAAATTGTTGATAGACCTGTCACCAAAGGTGGTATGATGGGTATTAGCACAAAACCCTAAACACAAGGTAGAGCAATCTAAGACAGGGGCTACTTTATGACTCTATTGAGAAATAAAATATCAGAAATCCAAAATGAAATTAAAGTCTTCAAGGATAAAATTGAATAAATTTAGCAAGATAACACTACTTATAACAGTTTGCAAAAAAGGTAATACATACATTATTTCTTTTAAATTTTTTAAAAATGAAGCTCGTAGATAATGATTAAGAAAATAAGCTATTCAAATGTTAAGAATATATTCATATAATTAAATGAATTGATTAGATCTATTTAAATTTGATAAAATATTAAAATTATTCATAGATTTGATGATTTGATCAAGGAAGTTAGAAATTTAGAAGGTTAACTTGCTGATTATAATCTTGCTTCTGATAAGCAAAGAAGCAAAACTCGTCCAGAAGAAATACATAACATGTATTAGCATATTAAATTACAAAACTAACGTAAGGCTGATTAATTAGATGAGATTTTCTTGGAGCGTAAGAGACAAGAAGAGGAAATTTAAAAATTAGAAATGAGAATCCATGAAATTAATCAGGTTTTTATTTAATTTAAATGACTTTTTTAACTAATTTTTTGAAAGAAGTATGAAATATCACTCATTCCTACTACATTTAAAATATAAAACCATGAAATTTTAAAAATTTTATTGTTCCACTTTAAAATATTTTCATATTAAAGAAATAATTTCTCATTTTTGCATTTTAGAAAAAATATTTTATTTAAAAATATGAAATTGTAGTCAGATTAAAGAGATAAAATATTTGAATTTTCCTTCATATGATTTACTATTATAGTTTATATAGAAAAATTCAAAAATTTTATCAGACTATGCCAGATATATTCAAATACTAAAAATTTAAAATGCAAGTTGCAAATAATAAAGAGCCTATACAATTAATTAATAATTTAAGAACATGATAATAAAAATTGATTCATCACTAATATTATAAATAAATTAAAGTATCCTAATACAATAAAAAACAGCTTTCAAAATATTAAATTAAATTTAATTTATTCTAAATAAAATTTAAAAATTATTAAAAGTAAGCAGAATAAAAGATCACCGAATTAGATCCAGAACAAAGATAAGAATATGAAAATCTGCTCTAAGAAAACAGATAATTAAATAATGATATTAATCTTTAAAGAAATGAGTTAGAAGAAATCAATATAAAGCTCTAATAAACTGAATCTAGATTAAATATTGATTCTTAAAAATTGAAGGGTAAATATCTTAAGGAATAAATTATAGAGCTCGAAAGAAAAAGAGAAGATTTAGAGCTTTAACTCAATGAAGTAAATAAATAAAAAATTATTTATTTTTTATTCACACTTTTTTACAAGGCTAATTTAAGTTTCCCTGAAGCCAGAGATAAGTTAAAGGCTAGAGTTGCAGAAGATAATGCTTTACTAGCTCAAACTGAAAAGAGAACCAAAGAAATTTAGAAAAACATTGACAATTACGAAAAGAGAATTAGAGAAATCAATGCTGAATTAAATGGAGGAGCCGAAAGAGAAGCTTAGAAATAGAAATATGAAATTATTTACTAAAAGGACAAAGAAATGAATGATTTTATTTAGAATTACTAACAATTTAGAGAAAGAGAAATTGAGCAAATCAATTCTATTGAATAAAATATTATTACTCTACTTGAAAATTCATCTAAAATTCTTTCATTAACTGGTAACCTACCCAGTTAAGCTGATTATACTTAAATAATTGGAAACTTTAAGTTTTAAGTAAAAATTAAAAAATAATGAATAAAAAATGGAAAATTTATTAAATTAACTTAGGAAGGAATGAAAGAAAATTCAGAAAACACTCTTGTTATGATTGAAAAACAAGTTGAAACCCTCAAAGAAAGTCTGAAATAATTAGAAACTCTTGAAGAAAAATTAGCCTAAGTAATTCAAATTAGCTTATTTTTCAAATGAAATATTTAAATATTTATAATTAAAATAAAGAAAAAAGAAAAGCAAGTTAAGCTTTTAGAGTAATGGAATACTGATATTGATACCAAATATAATAGAATAGATCAATTCAAGAGAGAATTTGAATAAAAAGAAAAGAGACTTCTTAAAGATAGAGAAGAATTAAATGGATTTAAAAATTAAATTTCAGAACAAGTAATTTTTTTATTTTTGTTTTTTTATTAAAATTCTTGTAAATAAAAAGCTTAAAAACGTTACATATGACTACAACTTGAAAGAAAAGAAGCTTAATATGCATGAATCTTATCCTAGTTATACTGAGGCAGAGAAAAAGTTCTCAAATTGTGAGAATCAAGTAAATAATCTTAGAAATTTCATTATTACCAAAACTAAAGATATGGACTACGAAAATATCAAAGAAGAATGCAAAAAATTAGTTGATGATATTAACAGAGCAATATTAAAAAATTGATTGTTTTTAATTAATATTTATCTTTAATTTCTATTCATAATTAACTTCAAAAGGTCTAAAGATATATTCTATGTATGCACTTATAACTAAACTAAATAGATATTTGTATTAATTTATTTTTTTTTAAAATCTTTAACTTTAGATTAATTTCAATTTAATTTTATCATATTTACATCTTGTTTGTCTATTATTTTATATGGAGATTAATCTAAAACTAAAGGATTTCTATTATTTAACTATTAGATGCTGATTATTTTTTAAGTAAATATTTGATATATTTAACACTAAAGACTTAATTCAAAATGAAAAATTAATTATCTTTCTTTATAGCATTTTTATGTAAAATCCTTAAATAAAATATTTTAAATTTATATTTAATACATACCAAAATTATGAGTTTAAGATTAATTGATTATATGATGATTTACACATTACTATAAAATTGCTTTTAAAATTAAAAATTAAAAAACATCTTTAATGCAAAGAAATCATAATAATATATTTGTATCCCTAAATGATATTACATTTATATCAAAAAATTAGATTTTTTTATTCGAAAAATACTTTAGAATAAATAGTTGAAATATAAATTGAATTACTTATATTACACAAAAAAATAATTAATTTAGTGATATTTAATATTTAATTAAGTTTTCAAAAAATAAATATAGTCTATAATAGAAATTTAAAAATAATTCTCAAGAGAAGCTTTCGATTGAAAGATAAAAAAGAACTTTAGCTTTGCTAAAATGCAGAAAACTTTTGAGAAGTAAGTTAATTAGACGAGTAATATAACCGTCTTAGAGGAGAGTCCAGAATGGAAAAAGACAAAAATAGATCGCATGAATAAATATCAAATTATAAGAAATAATTTCATAACATTACTTATCTTTAACTTTATAGATTTATCTGGCTTTAGCTTCGCTTGTTTATTTTACCAGTGGTTTAAAATAGAATACTACTCATAGTTTATGTGGGTTAATTTTCTCTACATAAAATATAAAGGATAAATCACCTTTGTGCATGAAAACTATGATGAAGTTTATAAAAACTTTTGTAGTAATTACTATAAAATTGATTATACAGATTGTACAAAAAGCTTTAAAGTACTAAAAAATATTGGGATAGCAGCTTTTTCTTTTGTTGTTATTGGGTTGATTCTTCATATATTAGAAATTATCCGTCTGATTTATATCTTAAGAGGAAAAAGAAATAGAATATGCTTGAAGGCATATTTCCTTCATCCTTTAATTCTGGTTTCTCTTTCTTTACCTATTCTTCTCTATTTATTTATAATTATGTTTCTTGCAACTAACCAACAAAATGGTTAGTTCTCCTTTGGACCTTCATTTTATGTTGCTAGTGCCTTTTTTGTTTTCTACATAGTAGTTTTGATTTATTACAAATAACAAAAAAAGAGACTCGAAGTTCATGAAACTATGGATAAATTAATTATTGAGCTCAACAAAAATATAGACTAGACTCAAAACTCTGATGTTATAAGTTCAAAAAAAATATAAACCATGTATGAAAATACCAATAGCGTGAATATCACAGATATGGAAAAACCTGAAAAAGAAGGTTCAGCAACATTCGTGCTATGATATTATTTATAGTTTAGTCTATTATATTAAAATATTTATTAAAAAGGTATTCTCAAAAAATAATGATATAAATATTAATAAATAAGTAAATATAAACTTTAGCCAATTAGATAAAACATCAATCTAAAATAAATTTTCTCAAAAACTAAATTAAATTCACATAAACCAACAAAAAAATTAAATAGAATAGAAAAAACAACAAAATATTATTTGATTATTCATTTAATTTAAATATTATAATATGATTTCATATTTTTTCAGTATGATTGATATAGTTTCAAAAGGCTTTAATTTTATTTTTAGCTGCTTTATGTTTATTGTTATTTCAATGAAATTATTTACTTCAATTAGCTAATTTTTTTTACCTTTATATTCTAAGATTATGAATGAATGAGTGTATGATTGAAGGATATATGTTTGAAAATATATTTTTTTCTTTTTTAATAATGATTTTGATTGGTATTTAGTTAATGATGTGGTACTTGTTTATGTGTATTTGTATATTTGTTTGTTTGTTTGGTTTTTATAGCAATAGACAAGCAAACACTCAAATAAATTACAATATCTCTGATATATTCAGATAATATTATGATTTTACTTTACAGATATTGGATTACAATATTAATTTACTAAAAAAAAAAGAAGAAAAATACAATTTACGATTATTTACATTTTTCTACTATTTTGCTAAAGAAAGTAAAAATTAAAATAAAATGATTATTTAGATTATTGGTTCTGTGTTTACTGCTCTACTTGGGGGAGTCTCTCTGTTTGGTCTATTATTTGAAGTAGCAGTATATGGAATTTATATTGGAATATTAGCTTTATTTATGATTATGGTGCTAAAAAAATTCTCTTAAATGACTAAAGATCTGTAATACCTAAAGGAACAACAATATACTAAACAAGATGTACAAGTTTACAGATAGTTGTTTAACTAAGAGAGGAACATTATCTATCTTTTGATATTTTTTTTTTCTGCAACCTATACTTTTTTTAGCTTCTTCTCAATGCTACCTTGGATAGAAAATAATGTTCTTTTACCAATAATATTTTCATTTGTAATGGTAAATATGAAGAAGCATGTTTAATCTTACTCATATCGTGACTAATGTGTACCTATTTGCTAAGGCATTGTATTCTTTATCATGTATCACTTTATCGGAGCATCATTCAAAACTTTAGTGTACTTGAAAGATATTGTGGTTTGAGTAAAAAATTAATAAATAAATAAACAAATAAATGGTCAGAAAGTTTTCATGTAATTAAAATCATAACTATCTTAATTAGATAATTAATAAAGTTAATTAGTTCTATTTTGATTTTTTTTTTTTTTAAATGTTCAAAAGAAGTTTTTACAACTAAATTAATTATTATTAATAAATTAATTAAGTTTTTACATCAAATTCTTTTTTTTATCAAAATATTTTTAATTGGATATGTATATTATTTATTTATTCATACCTATATAAATTAATTCGTTCATGATTTCTTTTATCAGTTCAGATAAAAAACTTTAGGGCTAAGTCAAGTTATTTTGTGATTTGACTTTTGCAAACCTCTTTTTTATATAAATTTATACGAGAAAGTAAATGTTATTTATTTTTAATGTATAGACACTGAAAAAAATATTTTACATTTGTAAGAATAAAGCTTTAAAATGCACAAATTTAAAATAAAATTGCACTTTTTCCTCAAATGATTTTCCTTTATGATTTAAAATATATTTTTGTGTTTAGGGATTTATATTAAAGTAAGCGATAAATTTGCAAAAAATTAATGGTGAATTTTTATCTCTTATATGACACACATATAATTTCATTTTAATCCTCCAAAGAAATAAAGCTATTTTACTCATCTATACAGTTTTGCATGAATAAAAAGAGTTATGGATACACAAACTCATCTGAAAGTTAATTTTAAAAAGAAATAATAAAGAAATCTCGCTAATTAATAATTAGAACTATAAAAAACCAATTTAACAATTTCAAGTAAATTATCTACATTAAAGAAGAAGATCACATAAAGAAGTAGATAATAGCCTAGCTTTTAAGCATTAATCACAATAGCATTTAAGCAATAGGCAAGAGTGTATTCTATTAGTTTAAATGAATTGCTCTAGCATTATTTTCCTTTCATTAATCTTCATTTTCATAAGCAATTCCTCTGAACAAAGAATTATTAAATCATAATGGACAAATGGATATTCCACATACTCAACTTAATTTGATTTAAAGTCAGGTTCTGCTTCTATATAATTTTATGTTTGGATTTTACCATAAGTAGGAAACACGCTTACAAATAAAATGGAAATAGCACGAATTTCTAGCACTCCATATTTAAATACTGCGAATGAATTAGCTTCTAAGATTCTTTTAATTTCAGTCAACACAAGTAATAATAGCTTCTTCTATTAGTTAATTATATAAATACTTCATCCAATATCACTAACATTAAAAAAAATGCATCTTTTAATTTACATATTTAATAAAGAAGATTTTTACTATATGCATAAATTAGTTAGTGTATTAATATTTTTATTTTTTAATTAGGCACTCAGCAAATGCTGATTGAATCTTTTGCTCAAGTATTTACTCTAGAATTAAAGGGATTATACCAAAGCCCTAAATATTATTATTAAGATTGGTTAAAAATCTCGATTACCTTATCTAAAACATCAATAGCTGTAATAAGCGGTCAAAAAACTACAACTATAAATATATCAGATATAAGTAGCATTTAATAGTTTTATTTTTAAATGGGATTAGAATTCGAACTAAGTGTTTTACCTTTAAATGGATATTATTTCTTTGATGACAGTGTTATTACTCTTCCAAATGTAATAGCATCGCCTCCATCTACAACAGATTTTACAAATTAAGGATTTTCTAATCAAATTTCATACATGTAAAGTTTAGGAAACTAAAAAATTAAGACATTTGAAAGCAGCTAAAAATAATTACGACCAAGCGGTCCAATGAATGATTAAATTATATTTTAGTACTCAATAAAACTTGGATTATAAATTACTGGCAATTTTCTTACTCAAAAGTAAATTTTTAGAATGACTATGGATCCATCTCTTAATGATGAGAGAAACCTAGGATACTGTGTCATTTGTATATATATTTAATAAAACACTGTATTATTTACTACATACTAATTTGAAAATGGTATCTTTAGCTAAAAAAAACTATAAGTATAAATATAAAATATTGATCCATCCAAAATATACTAATATGTAGTCCAATATGACGGAACTAATTTCTCAATTTTTGATGATTAAAAGGGATTAGTATAGTAAATCTAAATATTTTAAACACCATTAATGGGGTTCACTGTTATAAGTGGTGGAAATTTTTTATCTAACGGGCTTTATTCTGGAATATTAAATCAGGTAATGGTAAATTATGGATAGCAGTAATTAGTATAACAAGATATATCATAATTTTTGACTTGCTCTAATAAATATTGTGCTGTATGTTCCCTAGATTCAAAAACATGTATTTCATGTATTATTTCTGATGCTGATCCTAATAAAAATACAAATTCTTGCGATTGTAATGCAAGTTATTTTCTAGATATCAATAGTAAATGTTCTAAATGCTTTAGCACATGTGCAAGCTGTAATGGTCCTTCACCAAACTAATGTACTTAATGTATTAATACAAGAGAACTTCTACCTGGATAATAATCAGGGACATGCGTTTGTTCTTCTAGTATATAAATTTTTTATTTTGAAATATTGCTCATAATTGGATAAAATTAAAATTTACATTTCTAACTTTTTCAATAAATTTTACCTATTTTTTATATAATTTTATTAAATAACAAATTATATTTAATAGAATATTTTGACGACAACTTCAATTCAATATGCTAACCATGCTACAAAGATTGCTTGACTTGCAACGGATATGGAAGCTCGAATTGTTAAACTTGCGGAAAAGGAAGAGCTGTTAATTAAAATGGTGAGTGTATATGCCAAAGTAACTATTTTAAATAAGGTGATGATTGCATCCAATGCAATAAATTATGTCAAACTTGTAATGCAGCTACAACTTGCTAGACTTGTGGTGAAAATTAAACTTTAGATCCATAAACACAGCTATGCAAATGCAAAATAGGGTTTTATCCGTAATATAATTAATTAATTTTAATTTAAAATTTTCATTGTAAAATTTAAAATTATTTTTTCAAGGGTTTAAGAAGGAGATTTTACTAAATGCTATGCATGCACAGAATTCTGTGATTATTGCTAAGGACCCGAATAAACTAAATGCACTTAATGCAATAATAAGTTTAATCTTTTTTACGATAAAGGTTCAACAAGTGTAGGCTCCTGTGTATATAAAAAATACATACCAACTTAAAAGTTCAATTCTAGTTTCAATTTTTAGAGTGAATAAGCAATTTAATACTGTGTTCTGGTTATGATTATTGTTGACTTTTTAGCCAATATTTATTCAAATAGATATACCTTTTCTAGAGTATTTCGCATGCAGCAATTTTTATTGAAAATATTTTATTTAAAATTGATAGATACTGATTTTGTGCAATCTAATTATATTTTATTAAATGCGCTTAGCTTTTTTAATGGAATCACTAATGTTTTTTATTATATAAATCCTTTTGGATCTATTCCAACACTTCCTAAAGCTTAAGATAGAGTTAAGATAAAATTAGAATAAGTTTCTTCTGAAATTTTAAACTCTTGTGGTGGAGTGCTATTTGTAGCAATTATTCTGTTTATTATTACTCTCATCATGACATTAATAGTAAAGTGTAGAACTAAAGTTGAAAATAGGCTTGAAAGTGTATCAGTTTTTAGCAATCCTAATGATAATTCAATGCGTATCGAGCAGCCGATTGTAAGTTCGAGAAATTAAAATGAAAATGATAACCATGATACAATAAAACATACAGACTTTATATCTAAACTAAACTACTATATACAAAATATTTATTGGCATTTCAATGATTATGCAATAAATATCTTTTGTTTTGGATGTATTTTACATTTAGCAGGACCTCCTTAAGAGCAATAGTAAGCTCGTGCTGACAATTTTATTTGCTATTTTATTTTAATTTATATATTTTTTGTATATTTGCTACTTAGGAGCTGGCTTATCCTTAAACCAAAATAAAAAGATGATCTATTGAAAGATAAGGAATAAGCAATTAAAGTTGATAAAATACTTTAAAAAAGAGATAGAAGAGTTAATAGATATTCATCCCCATTGATTGAATAAGAACACTAAAATAATGAAAATTCTGACTTTAATGATGTTCTAGCAGGTTAGCATTAAAATTAAGAAAGTGCCAGTTCCAGTGAATAACACTAGAGTAACGGACAAGCACATAGAAGTAATAGTGTTAGTTCTCAAACTGACAGTGAAAGTAGTTAAAAAGAGCCTGTTATATTGCCAAACTATAAAAAATGGCATGAAAAACTTATACTCCACGATTCAGTATGCTTAAATGGAATTTTTGAGTGCCTCCACATGGAATATATACCTATGTAGAAAGGATGCAAGTTTTACTTTTGGATTTATGTCTTAAATTACTTTAGTGTTTCTGCTTCAATTATTGGACCTATAGATAATTCTACGAGCCAGTATGTTAGTTTGGCCATAGTTTAATTTGTTTTCATAATTTTCAGTCTTTTTAGACCTTATCAAGATACTTTGGAATCTTTGAAAAATATAATAGATAATGTTATTTATTTTATAGTAGTTGTATTACAGTGTGTATAAAGCTGGCTTGTTTCAAATAACTCTGCTGATTTTATACTTTATCCAAGCAAAGAAACTCTCATAAACTCATACTCCTGGGCTTCCTTTTCACTTCTCTTAATAGTTTTGATATCTTTTATGGGTTTATCTATAGCTTAAATATTTACAAAAAAAAAATATTTAGTTCTTTTAGAAGAACAAATTTAAAATGAGAATAGGATTAAATAATAATAATTAGAACAAGAACAAAACGAAATTAACTTAAGTGTGACTGATTAAGACTAAATTTAAAAGGAAAATGATAATGAATAATTTCTTATAGACTCATAATTAGCCAACTAATTTAGAGAAATACGTTAGCAGCAAGGAATCTTTTAAAATCACTAAATTGAAATGTAAAATTTCAATAATGGAAGTTCTTTACTAGTTACTGATACAATCAGTAGAAGAAGGGCTACATAAGTAAATGAAAACACTTTAAATACTAATATAGACCAACAAAATGTAGGGATGTTCGATTATAGTAGTAGATATATTCAAAGTGCAAATAGGCATAGAAATAGATAATAAACAGGATAAAACTTTAATACGCTAAGAGTTGATGCAGATTATTTCACCGGAGGCTTTGCGACTGATTAAAATTATGGATAACTTTAGCTTGTAAGCTAAGAATTCAATACTTAACTTGAAAATGATATAAGGTTTAATAATCCTTTGCTTCATTAATAAGAAAGGCACTCTTAATAATATTTTACAAACATTTAAAATGTGCAAAGCCTTTAATTATTACCAAATCTAGAGACAAATAGTGGTAATCCTGAAGATAGCGATAACAGTAATAAATAACCATTTAGTTCTGATTCTGACAGCATTGGAAGAAGCCAGTTAAATGAAGATTTGATTCTACTACATAAATCAGATAAAAATTCTGATTCTCAAATAAATTAATAACAATTATTTCATTAAGTGAATAGTCCTAGTGAGTAATTTAATATAAATTAATAGGAGTATTAAGAAAAGAAATGAAATGCTCTGATAAAAATCATATTTCTTGAGAGTTAATTGATATACTGAGGGAACTTTTTTCAATATATAATAAAAAAGATTTGATTTTTTATATTAAAATTATTTATAATAAAATATTAAAATTTTCCAAATATATTTGTTTTAGTTTATAAATTTTCAAAATAAAATGTTTTCATCAATTTAAAGTACTATTTTTACTCTGGAGATTTTAAAACGCAATTTCGTTATTTAATACATTTTTTTATCTTTATTTATTTAATAATACTGATGCGTATGTGTGATTTTTGAATGAAAGATATTTATTTAATAAATAAGATATAAATTACAAAATAGCCTTTTAAAAAATAGCAAATATAGCCAACAAAAATTACTTAAAGTAGTTAAAGCATTTTGAAAAGTGTTAAAATGGAAGGTAAGTTTATTTTTCGTTTAGTTTGATTCACACCTAAATTTGATAAAACTATATAATTCATAGAGTAGATAAAACCAATTTTTGAAGGAATGCTAAATTTCAACTTGATGTTCACAGATGATATTTTTTCATCACAAGATAAGCTGAAAGAAGTCTTAGATGATATCAATAACAGTAAAGCATAAAATTTTAGAAAAAAATAAATACTATTTTACATTTGCAATAAAAAGAATTAGTTAGATTATAAGAGTCAGGTGATTTGGATAGAGATAAAGAAATTAATGAATACATTGAGAAGATATCACTTCATAAAAAGAGATTGGAAACCTTGAATAAAAGCTTGATGAATATATAAACAAGGGTTGATAAAATAGAATAAAGATATATTTTGTATAAAAAAAATAATAAAATTTGAGCGATCAGTTAATATTTTTAAATCTTAAACAAAAAATATTTTATTGATGTAGTTTTTCTTTCTTTTTTGTGAGAGTATTAATCATTTTAATATCTGTGCTATTGAATGATTACATAATCTATTAAATGATAAAAACTAAATATTTAGAATATTAAAATTTTTCACAAGTTAACTAAAGTTCAATAATTTACCATCTTTTAAATAAATATTAAAAAGATGTATTTTATATTTTAAAATAAACATACCAAATACGAAAAATAAATATTTTATACTTTGTTAAGGTATTATTTCTATTTACCATCTATTAGAAATATTAAAACGATGCAAAAATAAGGATAACATGTTAATACAAGATAAATATTAAGCTGTATAATGGGTTAGTTAATATGAGCAATTTTTTACATTATACAAAGTTGCTTTCATAGTTATAAAGTTAGTCCTCAATTTTTTTTAGGCACCTTTGATTTTTTTCATAGTTTCTGAAAAATAAATTAAGTAATTATTTCAAACATTGAACTTATCGAAACCATTAATATATCTTGATAAAGTAACTTATTTGTAATCTTTAACATTTTTATTTGAACTGTTGTACATATAAGCATATCTGTGTCTAAAAGGAGCCCTTTTATTTAAAAAAATATTAAACTTGAAACAAAAAAGTAATCATAATTTTACCAAATATCGGTTTGATGGAATCTCTTTTGCATTTTTTAAGCATATTCTTCTCCGTGAACAGATAAAAGTTCGTTATAGAGCATATCGTTTCTTTCTCTTAAAGCTAAGTGTCTAAATTATTATTTTGAAAGTAAAATATAACATCATTATTAAAATTTCATTATTATTTCTAAATTAAATGTTAAAATAGTTTTTTATATCTCAATTTTATAAAATTTCATAGTTAATTTTAAATGATTGGTTGATATCTTTCTCATAAAACATTTAAAATAGTAATATCTTTGAATGGATTTCCTTCATTTCTTCTAATAAACAAGAATTTTCATCAAATTATATCCCTCAATTTTTTGCTTTATTGTTTATAAACTAACTAAATAATCTTCCCATTCATTTAATTGATAATCTTTTTTTTGTATTTTGCTAACCAAAATTCACTTAATAACTTTTTAATCATATTTGCAACAATAATATATTAATATTCAAAGCAATACCTAACATCATTCATAGATTACATAAAAGGAGCAGCCTTTCTTTATAATCCCTTTAATTCTATATCTCTACGCCTATGGTTTTTTACAAAATAATAATCAGATTTTGCAATTAATTTTATATTTAAAAAATAATTAGATTCAATATCAAGCATTTATTGATTGATAAAAAATGAAATTTATTGAATTAATTCATAATTTTGAAAAAAAATATTTCATGCTCAAATCTTTTAGCTTTAAAATAAACTAAAATCTATTTATTATCATATTATTTATAAGATCAAAGCAATTTACTTCATGAATTTCTTAATTTCAATAATTTTGCCAACACCCCACATTTAGAGAAGGAGTGAAGCAGCAAGTAAAAGCTTAGCCTTACGTCCAGGAATTCTTCTACGATCAGGGAATAACTTGGAGCGCTTATCTTCGAGGTCATGAATGGCCTTGTGGAAAGGAGAATGAGCCATATCAGCTCTTCTCAAGACTTAAGTAGCTATAAAATCTGGTCTAAAGAATTGCATTTCTTTTCTAAAGTGATTGATTCTCTTTTGATTTCCTATCTTTTAAGTATCTATTAATGAATTATTCTTATATTCAGAATCATTTAAGAGATATATTTTTATTTTATTTTTCTTAATTTAATTTTTCTTTCTTTATTATTCCCTTTGAATTTTTTGATAGTATCATTCATTCCATACTTTTTCAATATAAAAATACATAATTAATACAATACTGATGGAAATAAATATTTCATGCAAGGTTGTCTGTCTTATTCATTTAAGGCATCATATTAATTATTTTCATGCATACATGCATGAATAACAGTAATTACTCTTAATTCACATAAAAAATTAAAATTAAAGATAGGTTAATTTATAAATTATTTTAAAATTATTCAAATATGCTCATTATTTTACGGTTACTATGGACTAAATTATTTTATGTATATCTTACAAAACCTCAGTCCTAAGTTTCTTTTTGTATGTTTCTAATCTATTTCATGATAATTCTAAAGAGAATACTTTTCCCATAAACAAGAAAGGTATTTAGCTTCAAACTTACATTTCATTTTTTATTCCCAATCTAAAACAAAACATTCATTTTTTTATTAATCTTGATCCCACAAAGCCGAAAATTGTGCTCTCCATGCTTTCTCCTTGGTTTTAAGATCTTTATAATCTTTACTCCTAAACATTTTTCTTTGACTCACTTTAATTTCTAACATTTTTTTCTTTTCTAAAGCTTCTTCAGCCTTTCTCCATTTTATAGAATGTAATGAATTGTCTAATCTAAACCTTCTATACCCTCCTATTTATCTTTATTAAAATATTTTAAAAAATAAACTAAAATTTAAGCTTACAGGCATGAAATTAATATAAGCCAATATATAACTTAGGCAATTAATACATTCAAGACAAATAAAAATTGGAAATCTTAATTTAAATAAATTTCATTCTAATTTATTTTTTTCATTCCAAAAAGTGATAAATTAATTAATTTTTTTAATTAATCAATTATTAATTTACAATTTATTTTTTAATTAAATAATTATTTATTTATTTACTGTTTATTTTTAAATTAATCAAATAATTTTTTTTGAGATTAAAAATAAGATTTTTAATACTTAATTAATTTAGCAAATTTAATTTTTAAATAAAAATATAATAGAAATCTTTTTAAATAATAAGTTTAAATAGTTAAAAAATTATTTATTTTTATATTTATTAGGATTAATTCAAGTTTCTTTAAATTCATTTTATTAAAAAGTTTAATTATTAATTTATAAAATAAAAATAATTATGTTAATTTCAAAGATTTTAATGAATTAGTTGATTTCATTCTTTAAAGTTTAGAGTAACTTTAATTAATGCTCATTTTTGAATTTTTATTGTTGATTAATTTTTATGCTTTATGATTTCTTTTTATAAATTGAATTCTAGATTTTAAAGATCTTAGATTGTTTTATGTTTTTGTTATAAAATTTGAAATAATATTCTATAAGTTTTAACATGATTATTTTAAATTATGTATTAGATTTGCAATTGATGTCATTAACTGCTCCTCATTAATAAAAAGATTCTATTATCTCAAAAAGATTCTTTTTAAAGTAAGAATATTAAGTGTTTTAAGAAAAGAGAAATGATGTAAGAAGTGATTTCTTTCGTATATCTAATTAGAAATCAACACTTTATCTAATTTAAAACTAACATATCTGATTCATCAAAACCAATTAATTATTCAAGATAATTAAACATTATTAAAATAGTAAAAACGTAATAAAAAACTCAGCATTATAATAATAAACATGAGTTTCAATAACACATAGCTAATTCTTAAGCAAAAGCCAGGCAGTGACTTCCCTTAAAATGTGAATATTTTTGAAATTAAGAAGTCAGAAGTTCCAGAATTAAAAGATGGATAGTTTTTGATTAAAGTATATTTTCTCTCTATTGATCCAATTATGAGAGTTTGGATGACAGGAGCACCAACTTATCTACCTACTCTTAAACCAGGCTAAGTTATGCATAGTTATGGTGTAGGCGAAGTAGTACAAACTAAAAACGATTCTTGGAGAGTGGGTGATAAATGTGTTACAAATTCTGGGATTTAAGATTACTGCTTAATGGATGAGTAGAGATAAATGTTTTGCTTCAAAATTCCACATAAAACACCATTAGATAAATTGGCTTTTTATCTTCCACTTTTAAATAATTGGTTTGTTGCCTATCAAGGTATAGTAGTGGATGGAAAAACTAAAAAGGGAGAAACTGTTGTCGTATCAAGTGCTGCAGGAGCTACCGGAATAGTGTGTGTACAATTGGCAAAATTAGCAGGTAAACAAATAAAAATTATTTACATACTAACATTTATTATTGCAGTTAAGAATAAAAAAATTGAGATATGGCATCATATAAACTTATTTATTACAATATATTAGGTGCAAGAGTTGTGGCTATTGCTGGTGGAGAAAAAAAGTGTAGATTTTTAAAAGAATAATTAGGAGCAGATGAAACAATTGATTACAAAGATACTAATTCAACATTCTTTTAGAAGTTAAAAAAAGCTTGTCCCAAAGGAGTCGATGTCTACTTTGATAACGTTGGTGATGAAATGCTTGATGATGTCCTGAAAATAATGAATTTGCATGGAAGAATTTCCTTATGTGGTGCTACAAGCAATTACTCAGACCATAAAAATAGAAAAGGAATATCCAATTATTAAGTAACAATTAGTAGGAGAATATTTATCAAAGGTGTTTTAGCATCAGAAATAGGACCTATTGCAGATAAAGTAGTTCCTGAAATGCTTCAACATGTAAATTCTGGAGCAATGAAATCTATTGAAGTTTATTTTAATGGTGTAGAATCTGTTCCTCAAGCTATGCAATACTGCTTCTTAGGATAAAATGTAGGAAAAGTAATGATTAAGCTTTAAGCTGCCTCTAGCATCAGCTCATCAACAAGCACTGTACCCAAGCTTTGAAGCATGCAGATATTAAAATTTTTAAATATAAATTAAATAAAGTTTTTTAATAAAATTTAAAATATTTCAGTAAAACAAAATATTTGTTTAAATGTTAATTAATACTTTAAAAAGATAATTTCAATTTTAAATCAATCAATATCTTCTAGAGTTATTCTATATATTTTTTTTACTTTAATAGGATAATTTGTAGTTGAGATTTTTCATTTAAAAAAATATAATTTTAAAAAACGAAGGAAACTATAAATAAAAATGTGTAAGTTAGGTAATAGATTTTATGCTATTTTATCTGTTATAGATAATATTATAAAGTTATTTATTTATAAATATGATATTAGTTAATTAACAAAAATTGTATAGATGCAATTATACACAATAGTATTTCAAAGTAAAAGGGTGCTATTTAAAGAGACAAATAAAATTCATTGAAAATAAGCCAAATAAATTACATAGACATCAAATAACAAAATCAATATCTTCTAGAGTTATTCTAATATATTTTTTTTATTTTTATTAGGACAATTAATTTGTTGAGATTTTTCATTTAAAAAAATATAATTTTAAAATACATAGGAAACTATTTTAATAAAAATGAGTAAGTTAGATAATAAATAGATTTTATACTATTTTATCTATTATAGATAATATTATATAGTTATTTATATATTTATTTATGAATATGATATTGGTTGATTAACGAAAATTGTATAGATGCAATTAATTATACACAATAGTATTTAAAAGTAAAAGGGGGCTATTGAAAGAAACAAACAAAATTCATTCAAAATAACATATCCTAAAAAAATAAGCCAAATTAAATAGACATCAAATAACAAATTATTTAAAATTAAGATTATAAATAACAAATAAATAAGACTTTTATGTATTTTTTGGAAAAAGAAAAATAGCGAAACAGGATTATATAAAAAGACTAGTAAGTGATAACAATATAAAAAAATGGACAAAAACTTTTTGAACATCCCTTCATATATTGAAGATCCCTCCTATCGGTAAATAAAATATATTATCCAATACTAGCTAAAATGATATTGCTCTTCAAAACAATTAAAAGAAACTAATTTTACCTGTTTTTTAAACGGATTGTTTCAATTTTATCCTCAAATGAATAAATTATATTCATTATTTAGATGATAAAGTGTATGGAAGAAATATGAAGAGAAAGCACTTAGATTAGCAAAATTAAATAAATAATTTTAATATTAAATAAACAAGTTACAAGATGCCTAAAATGATCTTAAAGATCGAAGGTAAAGGAAATGGTATCAAGACTAACATTGTTAATATGTAAGAAGTCTCTAAAGCTCTTAGAGTTCCCACTGAATGTAATAAATCAATAAAATGCTTTTATTATCACATTTTACAATAAAAATAATTTTGAATCAAATCATCAAATTAAAAAGTCATAAAATCGCTCTAAAAAACATAAATATGAGGATAAGTTTTTGTACTGCAATCTACCAAACAAACTCAACAACAATATTTATTCCTGATCCAAAATTTTGATTAAAAATGGAGATTTAATAAATAATTTCTAATTTATAAAAGATCCTTTGAAGTTTATGGGTTTCGAATTGGGTTCTCAAATTATTTACAAAGAAAAGGGTAACGATGTTACTACTATCATTAATGGTGCTTTCAAGGTAATTACTCTTATTATTGTTTTTTTTCTTTTTATAGTTATCTACCTACCTTGATAGCTATTTTTTTTAAACTCCTAGTCAAGTATATAATTTGTCTATAAGATATTTCTCAAAAATTAAGAAAATCATACACAAAAAAATAATTAAATAGCTAATCTTATGAATATATTTATTTATTTAGTTATTAGAAAATCGTATCATGCACAATTATCTAAAGCCTAATTTATTTGATTGAAAAAAATTATTATCATATTTAAAACCTTATTCTAAAAAATAAACAGGAAGATATATTGTAAAAGCAATTAGATAAATTCATTTAAAAGTATGTTTTATGTCCTAAGTGCACATATCCTGAATTTGTATTGAGAGTTCGTTAAGGTTTGGTTAGTGGTAAGTGTGATTCTTGTGGTGAACGTGCTAAATGCGATAATGCTCACAAGTTTGCTGCCTATATTGTAAAGAATCCCCCAAAAACCAAAGGTATTAACAAGGAAGAAGAAGACGATAAAAAAGATAAAAAAGTTGCTGCAACTGTTCCTTCCACAACTGTTACTAAGCCAGTTAAAGAAGAAAAAGATGTCAATTTGAATATTAAAAAACTTGAAGCTTCTGATTTGACTCTTGTTAGTGAAGAACTTGCCAAAAAAATTTAGCTTCTTACTGAAAGTATTAACAGTTAAAAGCAAGAAAATGGTGAATTCACTGAAACTGATATTTCTCAAACTAACATTGTTAAGGAAATTAAAGATATGAACATATAAAAAGGACTTGAAAGCTAAGTTGCTCACATTCTTTTCTAGTCTTTATTTAGCGTTAATATTGCTCATGAAGTATAAAATAATGCCGAAGTTCTCAGTAAGACTTTTTCTAAGCTTAAAATTCCTAATCCCGAACTTGAAACTATAATGAACATCAGTTATCTCTTATTTAAAACTTACAATGAAAAGCAAGATTTCACTCCTTACGTTCCTACAATTTTAAAGTACTTTTATGATGCAGATTTGCTATCTGAAGATTTCTTAAAAAATTATGCCGAATCTAAAATTAATTTGTCTGAACATTACTTATACGATGCTGAGCGTATAAAGAAGTTTGCTGAAGCTGCTTAACCTTTCTTAGATTGGATTCTGTATTTATTTTATTTTTGCTTACTTATTATATATTTAACAAATGAATTTAAAAAAGAAATGCTGAAGAAGATGAAGACGAAGAAGGTGAAGAAGAAGAAGGAGAAGAAAAAAAAGAAGAAAGCCAATGAACTATATTTAATAAATGAATTTAATTAATAATAAAGTTTTAAAGTTTTTTTTGTCAATGTTTTAAAATTTTATATTATTGAAGTTTCATTTTAAATTACTTTATTTAAAACAAATAATTTTATATTTTTCAATGATAATAAATATATATCATAAAGAATAATAAAATAACACTTCTCTTAAGAAGAAATTTAATATAATTATTCTTGAAAATATTATCAGCAACTTTTATTGAGGTAAAATCATATTTGTTGATTGGATTTAAAGTACTACAATATATTATTTTTTTTAAGTAAAGCTTTTTTGCTAATTCAGTAAGCTTAAGTAAAAATTTTATTTCTCAAAAATAATTATTGAAAAAAAACATTTCTTAACATGTTTCTAAATTTTCTTTATTTAATTTTATTGATTAAATAAATGAGAATATATATATGAATAAATAAATATCTATTTATTCAATTTAGAAGATTGTTAGTATTTTATTGATAAATGTTGTGTAAATAGATATTAATTTGAATTAACAAATAAATTATAATGCTTGAAATCAATCAACAGATATAAATAAATAAATATCTAAAATTAATTTGTTAATTTATAATCCATAGTAACATATAAAAATATAAAAATAAAAAATTTTTTCATTTAATTTATTATTGGTTATTTTAATATATTAGTTTAAAATAAATATTTTAGTATTTTATACTCTAAATAATGAATAAAATATTACTAGTGTAATAATGTTAAAGACATAAATCAGTATGTATTTTTAACTTTATAATCAGATAATTTTTGGTAAAAAATAAATAGCTTAAGTAAAATGATAACCAAAAAATAAGAAAAAACTATAAATAGAAGTTATCAAAAGATGGTTGGATATTCAAATCCACATAAAACAGAAGGAGATTGGTTTTTTTTTTTGAATGATTTTAAGATATTAAAATACGTTTAGAATTTAAATAGTATTAAATCAGAAGATACATACACATTTAACTGAAATGAGCATTGAGTACTGTATATTTATAAATTATATTGTGATTTTTAAATATGAACAAAGTAAATCAGTAAGAGAACTTTCTCTTTCTTTCTTCAAGAATAGTTTCTCTAACACCATCACCGGAAGGAAGTTCGATCCAGGACTTCTTACCTTGACCTAAGACGAAGATGTTACCTAATCTGGTAGCGAAAGCGTTACCCTTAGCATCCTTAACGTGGCAAATATCGAAGGAACCTTGATGCTTTTCGATGTGTTAGATGATACCGACTCTACCGATGTTGTTACCTTATTGAATGTAGCAAACATTACCGGATTCTAAGTGAGCGAAGTTTTCAATCTTGTTGTTAACGAGATCGTATTTAAGGGTATCACCGATCTTGATTTCGGGGTTAGGGAATCTGATGGTTCTAGAGTCGTGGGTAACGATGTAAGGGATTTGGTTGGGACCAATAGCCTTAGCAGTGACCTTCAAGAGCTTGTACTATTGAATATAAAAATAGAATTTAGCACATTTGGATTACAAAAATAAATGTTGAAAATAGCTAAATTGCTTGAAATGCTAATTAGAGAGATTTATTTATTCATAAATTCAGTTATTTATTTTGCTAATCTGTTTTTGTTTTAAGATTTATTTCTAAATTATAAGTTGGGGATGAGTGCATACATAATTTCATGTATATAACAAGCAATAAATTTAGCTTTTTTTAGATTGTTATTTTTACCTTAGCTTCTTCCTTGCTGAGGGACTTGAGGACGAATCTACCCTTGGTGTCGTAGAGGATTCTGAAAGATTAGTCAGTCTTTTCAATTCTGACGACATCCATAAGACCAGTGGGGTAACCCTTGTCTCTTCTGACCTTACCGTCAACAAAGACGTTTTATTCCTTATCGTTGAGGATAAGGGTGACATCTCTACCGTTCAAAGCGTAGTTAAGTCTTTCCCTAAGTAGTTACATCAAAAAAAATTAAATAATTAATTTCCATTTTTATTATTTGAATAAAATAAATTCTTCATTTGCTTGCTTGTTGTAATAGTCAAAATATTTAAGCATTCAAGGAATCTAAATTTATTAAAATGATAAATATCTTTAGCCTCAATTAATTTATTAATTAATAAATTAATAATTCATTGATTTATTTATTTATTAAGTTTTAGATATGTATGTATGTGTAAGTTTGCATTTATTGTTAAGGCAGACATGAGATGGTAGAAATAAGCAATTATTAGAAATAGTATCTAGTTATAATTCTAATGAGAGATTGCTAGTTTTTTTAACGTTTTCTAATGAAAGTTTAGAAAATTTATTAGCTTTTGCAATTGTTTATCCATTTTTTCAAATTATTATTTTCCTATTTTTCTTTTTATTAGCTTAATAAATATGCTTTGCTACACCTTATGAATATTTTCTTTTTTTTAATTACTCTCTCACTAAATCACTCACTTACTTATTTACTAAATTTGATCATTCCTAACATTAACAAATCTTCACAACTTATGATGATACTATTATGATATAGCCTCATTCTTTTACTCTCTAATTTTAAGAGACTCTAAGAGGCCAAGCAAGCAGAGCAATTGCCATCAATTTAAGTACATTGAATTCAAATTTAAGATCAATTTAATTGATTTTACATCAAACAATTTAATGAAATTGCTGCTAGCTAATTAAGCTAATCTAGGCTAATAAGGCTAAAATAATTTATTAACAATTGCTCCTAATTCTACCTCTATTAAATCTTAAAAGCAATAAATCTATATAAATCAATTTTAAGTTGTAACTTTATTCATTTTGCTTTAAATTTTTCCTTGGGCTCTAAGTATTTGACGATTACAAAAACGAGAAGAATCAAAAATTATGTTTATTTTTTATATTCTTACTTGAGTAAGACAGAGAGAGGGAGAGATTCTCTAAGCTTGTGAGGACCTTGGGAAGGTCTGGTAGCCTATTTTTTAAAATAAATAAATTTAAGTTTAGGAATTGTAGTAATAAAGTCATTTTTTCTAAGACGAAATGCAAAAAATGTAATTACCCAGATACCACCCAACTTGTTGAGCATCCAAGACTTGGGAGCGTTGATTCTCTTTAAGTGTTTTTTAGGACCACGAGCCTTTTTATAAATTTCAAAAGAAAAAAAATGAGGGACTGTAATAGAAATTAATTTGTATATTAAGCATAAAATATATGCAATATCTTATGCTGTTTTAAGTTGTAAATTATTCAAAGGATTACCATTTTTGTTTTCTTCTTTTTATTTGGTGTTTATTAATTTTTAATATCTTTCCTTTATTAATTTAACTTTTATCCCCACTCTAAAATTCTTTTCTTCTTCTTTATTAGGCCTAATTTCATACATCCCTCTTCTATACACTAATTTTAAACTCCTTTAATTATTTTGATATTTTAACTAAATTTCTTTCGTATTTTTCTTTTCTTGCCTTTCATTTTTAATTAATTGCTCTTTTTTGTGTCCTTTCCTTTTTTTCATTTTATTAACCTATATTGTCTCCTGTCTTTCATTCATTTTATTATTTGTATTTCTCCTCAATTTTTTAACTTCTTTTCTCATGTAAAAGCCCTTAAATCTCATATTTATTGATATTTCTAACATTTTTTTACACATTTTATTTATATTTGTAAAATTTTAATTTTAATCTATTATACTAAAAGCATTTAAAAAGTATTTATCAAATTTAATTAAATTTAAATATAATTTATTTTTATTCAGTTGATTCATTTTTTTATTCATTTAAAATATATCCAGCATCCCATTATTTTTTATTTCAAGTATTTATTTATTTATTTATCTTTCTGATAAACAATATATTTATATTAAATGCTTGATATATAGATAGACTTATAATGTTAACATGTTTTTCTCAAACCATATCATAAATTTAACTGAAATAAAATTCAACTAAAATAAAATAGTATTAAAAACTGAATTCATATATTTTAAAAATTATTTTTTTATTTTAAATAATAAAATATTAGCTAAATAAAAAACGATTAATTATATTATTTTAGTGAATTAGATGAGAAAAGAATTTATTTATTTATTATTGTGTTTTAAACAAAATAATAAAATAATTACTATTCAAATTAATATAAATTTTAAATTAAAAATGCTTGATAAATAAAGATGATAGCATTATTTTCTAAATGACAAAATTTTAACTTTTATTACATAAAATATTATAAAAATTGAATTAATTTATTGGATTAAAATAATATTTAAAATAATCCATTACTTTTAACTAAAAAAAATAAATAAGACAAAAATGACTCTTTAAGTAAATAACTAGAGAAAAAAGTTTATTTATTAATAATGTTTATAACACAAAAATAAAATAAATACTATACGAATTAATATAACTTTTTAGAGTAAAATAATCAAACAAAATCCCAAAAACTTTTAATATAAAATATTGTAATAAATTCTATTTAGATATTCTTTCTTTTCAGTAGAAAAATACTTATTTAGATGGGAAACGAGAATATTCATTCTTTTAAGGTGGAACATATCTATGTCTTTCATATCTATTTAGAAGAGTTCCCATTTAGAATATTGATTGATTTTTTAATTAATTGTCATTATATCCATTCGCTAGATAATTTGTTTGTTTTTAATTTTGGTTATCAAAATTTGATGGTGAATATCTCCTGTTATAAAAAATTTTTTAAGTTAAAAAAAATATTTTTAATTAATATCAATTTCTTTAATGTATAAATCATGCTTTAATTTCTTATTTTTTAATACTTTTTCAAAATAATAATTTTGATTAATTTTTTACTAAAATTATTTTTGTGGTCCATTCAAATTATTTTCACTTCTGATGTTTTAATTATAAACAGGACTGTTAATCCTATTTAACATATCTTAGCTTCCTAATCTAGGTTTACTATTTAAAAAATAAAAAAATAAATCAATTTATACTGAAAATATTGGTTAAAAATGTGCTTACTTTTCATACATCATAGAGCTAGATATGTTTCCTTGAGATTAGTTTCTTGGCATGATTGAGCTTTAATTATTTATAATTTAGTTTCCTGCATTGCGATAAACATTTATTTTGTTTTCACTATTTCCAGAATATCTGTTTGGATTATAATTCATTCCATTTACTTACTGGTAAGGAGAATTATTTGATACATCCATTGAGTACCTTCTATTAAATAATTTAATTCAGTATTTTATAATTTTATTACTACAACGTAAAATTATAAATTTGAATAACAAAGTAAAAATAAAGTTTTACGCTTGTTATCCAATATTAGGAGAGTTTTTTATGGTTGTGCTAAGTTAGTCAACTTATTGTTTTAGCTGATTCTGAATAAAATTATTATAAATAAAATTAAACAAAATAGTATATCTCATTTATTTTAATAAATTAATTAATTAATTGTATTGCTTACATAGTCATTCTTGAGTTATTATAATTCATTTCCTCGATACTATTATTGCAGTTTGTTAGTTGCCCCTTAAGAAAACATGTAATTTTGATCTCTTTATATATAAAAAGTTAAAATATTTACTAAAAAATGCATTCCTTTATAAAATTATTTTTTACCCTTATCTAAGCCTTTCCATAAGTTCTTTGCGTTCAATAAACTTATTTCTTGCTCCTATTAAAATAAATTAATAGCTAATTCATGTTAAGAAGATTTAATTACTGAAAATAAGAAATTTTGTTTAATTTGAATAATTAAAATGAATGCTCACCTTCTATATCTTTAGTCTTTAAGCTAAAATCGTGAGGAGGAGTATTAGGAAAGATGTTAAGTCTTTATTGCATCATTTTTATGAGTTTTCTTACCTTTAAAGTATGTTAAGTTAATTTTTTGAAGTTATAATAATTTATATGAATACCAGAAATTTTTGCTAATTATTTATAATAATCTAATTTGTTAATAAAGATTAATAATATCTATAATTGATTTATGAAAGAATGAATGAATAAATCAATCAATCAATAACAAATTTTATTAAAATTTTTTAGTAAATCTTTAAGCACACAAGATAAATTTCTCTTGAATTTTAAATAAATGCAAGCAATTTATTCGCAATACTTCTAAAATATAAATAAATATAAACATAAACTCAAAATTAATTTTTTACCAATCACTCTTTTTGGAAAGATTTAGTAACTTAAATTAAAATACTGAATTTTATCTTAACATTATTTTGATAATTTTCTTTTAATATCTATCTTTCATACCGACATGCATTACTCATTTGAGTTTTAGAATTTTGTGGTGAATAATATACAATTAATATTGCTCCTAAAAATATAATTTGCTAAATTAAAAAATACACATTTTTTTACAGTTTGCTCAAAGAATTTTTAAGAAATTAATTAAAAAATAATTTTAAATATTAAAAATAATTATCAAAAATTTTATTTTTTAAAGTAATATTTGGAATTTAAAATAAATTATATAACAAAAATTAAATAATAAATTTATGATAAATTTTCTAATTTTCATTAAGGTATTATAAATTTTGCATTTTGACTTTACTTTTGTGAGGTAAAACAAATTACCTATTGAGAAATTTCTTAGTATTATCGCGACATAGCATACTGCTTTTTAAAAGATATTAATTAAGGAAAGGTGATGGAACAAAAATCTCAAATTTAATTAAAAAAACTACTAAATTTTAGTAATAGAAAAAAATACTAAAGAGAAAAAAATTGTAGAACATAACATAAATTTGAAATGTAGAACATTTAATACCTAAAGACATTTTATCCAAAAGCTACAGTTCTTAAAAAAATTCCAATAGTTCAGTTTTAAAAAGAAGAGAGAGTTTATATTAGAAATGATGAGGAATTGAGAGATAAAATTATTGGAATGAGAAAAAGGTAATAGTAATCTAGTGTAGATGTTGTTACTGATTTTGATGGGACTATAAGCTCTTTTTATGATGATCAAAGAAGAAATGTTTCTGCTTCTTTTGGGATATTTAGGGAGTCTAAATATGTTTCAGCAGAGCTTTGCAAAAAGGCTAATTCTTTATTTGAATATTACCACTAGTTTGAGACTTCTAAGTAATACCCTTTTGAGGTTAAAAAAAAAATGATGGATGAATGGCTGGCTGAATCTATGAAATTAATTCTCCAAAATAACATAGACAGTGAATGGCTTTAGAATATTATCAATGATAATGTTTTTGCTTTGCGTTATGGATTCGATACTTTTTTAAAGTACAGCTATTCTAAAAATCTTAATTTTATTGTAATTTCCGGAGGAATCCAAGATGTTATATTCTACATGATGAACTAAATCATGAATTTAAGCAACTATAAAAATTTCAATCTGATTGCTAACAAAGTATTTTATGACTAAAATGGTAAAGTCATTGGCTCTAGCGATTAGTTAGTACACTCACACAATAAAGAAATATTGCTCAATCGAGCTGACTACCCATAATTACACTCAAGCTGTATCTTATTAGGTGATATGCCTCACGACAGCTTTATGACATAATACGCTTCCTACACTAATCAAATAAAAATAGGATTTGCAAAAAATGAATCTGATATAGCTAATTATAAAAAACGTTATGATATAGTTCTTCATAATCAAGGCAGTTTTGTAAGTATTGAGTATTTAATGAGAAAAATAATGGATTCTTAAGAACCTATTCCTGAAGATCTTCATAGTAAAATGAAACTTGTTGGACCTTAACTCTCTAAAATCATAGAGGATTTAGAAGCAAAAGAAAAAAATATTAATGTTTCTTTCTCCACATGATGCATCTAATTTTAGAAGCTGATCAATTTAGCTATTAAACTCTTTAATTAAGTAGAAATATTTTTAAAAGTCGATTTCAATATTTTATCAAATTTATAAAAATAATTGAATAAGGCAATAAAAAAATTACTTAAGCATATATAAAATAGATTATTAATACAATTAAAAGGTATAGAAACATATATTTAATATTTATAAAATGCAAATTCAAGTTATTTTAAGCTTATATTTATTTTACTTTGTTTTAAGTTAAAATTTAAATTTATATTTTTAATAAATCAATAAAGAAAGATAATTGAATTAAGTTCATTAAGTGATTTCATTTAATATTTTCAAGCTATACTTTAAATAAGTTGAGTTTGATGAAATGATAATTATCATAAAAACAAAAAAATATTTTAAAATTGGTCATTATTGTCTTTCAGTTTATTCTTTTAAAAGATCAAATGAGTATTAATTAATTTTTTTTGCATTTTAATTAGCTCAAATTTACACTTCTTTCAATTTTTACTAATATCTATGATAAAGTATGTCGATAATTAATTTTTCTTCATCCTTGAGCTGCAAAATGCAGTTTATTTATTCTAAAACCTATTTAGCTTGATTAAATACAAATTAAAAAAACTTATTTATATAAGCTTCATAAGATGGATCTTTTTAATCTAAGCACTAAATGTAACTAGTAACTAAATTTTTCATAGTCTAAAAAAGTTTAACCATAAAACTTTCATTCTTAATACTTTCTGAAAGGTTTTCTTAGTTTTCTAGTAAGCTAGATATTTTTGTTTCTGCTACTTTTTAAACATCATTTATGTTATTTTTAATAAGATTTTAAATTAAATCAAATTCTTGATCTGAAGTTGAACTTGCTGTCTAAATTTTTTTGGATAAAATCAAATAATTACTCAGAAATTATTTAATATTTATTAATTTACCTTATTCATTTCCTATAAGGGATCTTATTTGCTTGCTTATACTGGCTCTACCTATTAGTTCTCTTCAATTTTTTCTTCAATAACTAAAATGTTTTCTTAATTTTGAACTTCTTTTATCTTCATATTATTCTAATCTGATTAAAGCTACTCAATTTATTTATTTTCTTCTTCTTTTACTTCTAGTAATTCTAAATTACATTCCTCTTATTTAGGTTCTTCCTTTACTTCATCATCTACAATAACTATTTAATTACCTTTATTATTTACATTTTATTCAACAACTTCTTCAATTTTTTCTACTCGTTCTTCTTTCATTTAATCTTAACTATTTTCTAATTTGATTTCATTTCTTTTTTCTATACTTTCTTATATTTCTTATTACTATGACATAGAATGATTTTTTTAATCAGTTCTCAAAATACTTTGCTATTCAGCTTTATGATTACTTTCTTCTTCAACCTAATTATTATTTTCCTCTTCAATTAAATTATTTTTTTCTTCTTCTTTTTCAGCCTTATTATTATTTTCATCTTCAGTTTTATTATTATTTTCTTCTTTAGCTTTATTATTATTTTCTTCTTTAGCTTTACTCACATTTTCTAAATCCATTTAATTTTTATTTTCTTCATTTTTTTTGGCACAAATTTCTTCCTAATTATTTTCTGTAATAATTTCATTTTACTTCTTCTATTTTTCTTTATTAGAATTTTCCTCCTAACTCTTTAAATAAGGATAATTATTTACAATTTCAAAATACTTTTTTTTCCTATCATTTAAGACATCCCACTCAGCTTCTTCTATCAATTTTTTCTTTATTATTTTAAATAAAATTTACAAAAATATTTTTTGTTAAAAATAAATTCCTTACTTTCTTTTTTGGTTCTTCGTTTCTTGGAGGGTTTTATAAATAGTTATTTGCAAATTCTGAAAGTTTGTCAATTATAACTAATCCTTTTGGATTAAATTGAGAGTTCTTAGCAGTATTTTATTTTACCTATGTAGTTCCCACTTCTATATGAATTAAATTATTTTAATTTTTTATTCCTTGTTATGATGCTGCGCTACTAGGCCTTCCTTTGTGAGGGACAGCAAATTATGGATCTTTTTATTTTTTATTGTATGGCCTTTTTGTAATTTGTTTGGCTATTTATAAGGAGGCTGCAGAATCTTTTCTTCTTTTTGTTTTCTTTGTTACTCCTCTTGATGAGATTTCTGAAACATTTTTTCTTTTATAAGGTCTTTTGGGCTTTATTTATCCCCTTTACAATCTTTAATCCATTTTAATTTCTTTTCAATTTGAAATTTACTTATCTTATAATTAATTAAATATTATAATTTAATATATGATATTTATATCTTACTGTTTAATTAGTGTTAAATATGTTTGAAGCAAAGTAGATTAATTACTCTAAGAATGTAAAACAAACTTTGAGATTTTAAAATAAATTATTTTTATTTATTTGAAAACTTAATAATGAATGATAATTATTTTAATTATAGAGCAATGATGAAGATTAGAAGAACGAATATGTAAAAAGAATACTTAATTAGAAAGAGATAACAAATATTAATATAAATACTGACTGAAAGGTAATATTTAAAGAATTTTAAGAAGTATTAGATTGTTATTAATATCAGTATGCAAAGGAGATGATCTGTGTTTAATAAAAGTGATGATTGATTGATTAATTACTATTTTTTGATTAATTATTCCTTTGCTTTTTGCAAATTATATTCATTCTTTTAGCTATCCTTTCTTCCTTTCTTTCACTTCATTAATTATTACATCTTAACATCAAAAATAATTAGCAATTAAATGGGATATAATTTTAGATTATTTTGAAAAATTATTATTTATTTTTTAATTTTAATAATAATGGAAATGCGTTTCCAGCCATCTCACATTCTATCTCTTCTTCTAGGAGCACATCTGATAATGCTATCAACTCTAAGAATAAGTTCAGCAGCTTCTGAAGCAGATAATAAAGCCTATTCCTTAACTCTTAAACATTCCTTTAGATTTTAAAATAAATAATTTAGATAAATATTAATTTTTTAAATAAAAATTTTTACAGTAACACCGAGCTTTTCCATATCAGCAACTTCACCGTTCATCATATCAAGACCAGCGGAAGTAGAACCTTCAGCGATTTCGACCTTCAAAGCTTAAACTAATTCAGGAGCATCATAACCACCATTATCAGCTATAATAGTAGGTAATTATCTTAAAGCTCTAGCATATGCTTCAATGGCGAGTGCCTAAATTATAAAATAAAAGTTATTGAAATACAAAATCACTTGGAAACAAAAGTATTTTAATAAGCAGAATTATATTATTAAAATATATAAAAATAAAAAAATTTATTACTTATTTGCCCTTAACAGATTAAGTAAGCTTTTCAACAGCAAGAGCCATTTGGATTTCAGAGTTACCACCACCATAGACAACCTTAGAGTTCTTAACTGTAGTAATAAGAACACAAAGTGCATCGTGGAGAGATCTATCAGCTTCGTCAATAATGTGAGTAGAAGCACCTCTCAAGACAATAGTGCAAGCTTCACCCTTTTCACATCCAGAGAATTGAATGAACTTGTCTTCACCAATAATAATTTCTTCAATAAGTTTGCATCTACCCATAATCTTTTCAGCTCTTTCAGGATTATCGAAAGTAGAGAGAATTTCAGCACCGGTAGCAGCGGAAAGTCTTTCAATACCATCGAAATCAGCGTGTTCAATAACCATCAAACCTTTATCAGCTAACATTTATTCAGGATAGTTATAAATCAATTATCTGTTAATGAAGACAGTGGGTTCGTAAGCAAGAATCTTTTCGACCTTAGCCTTCATTTTTTCCTTTTCAGCAGTTTCAATTTCAGCAATTTTATCCATGCTTTCTACTTTAACCTTGGTACCGTAAATCTTAATCTTGTCGTAATCCATAGGAGTGTTAGCAACCATAATCCTTTTGAGATTAAGTTAAATAAATAAATAAGTTATTTTTTTAATAATAATTTTATTGATTAGAATTTGAATAAATTCAAGATAAAGCTATATATCCTTTGTTGAATATATGTAAGAATGAATGAATGAATAAATAAAATAATTACTTTGCATTTTCAAGTCTCTTGGGGCAACCGACAGTAATGGACTTTTCTAAAATAAGACCGTCAGCAAGGTAAGAATCTCTGATAGAACCACCAGACTTTTTAATGATTTAGATTTGATCAAGATTACCAGAACCTCTTAATCTGAGAACAGCTTCGACAGCTAATCTAGCAAAGTGTTCCTTGTCTTAAGTCAAAAGCTTGGAAGAAAGAGTAGTTCTTGCAATGTTAAGTAAATCTTCTCTGAACTTTTCTTCATTCTTGGAGTTATCTCTAGCAATTAAATTAAGAGTGTGTTGAGCACAGTCTCTAGCCTTTCTCCAACCATTGATGATGTGTTAAGGGTGAATCTTTTGGTTAACCAATTTTTCACCTTCTCTTAATAATTCACCAGCTAAGACAGCAACAGTAGTGGTACCATCACCAACTTCTTCGTCTTAAGTCTTAGAAATTTCTAATTATTATCAATAAATTTTTTAGATACCATTTATTTATTTTTATTAGAATTAAATTTTTTTAAAACTATGCTAAAATGCAAACAAAGAAAGATATTCATTATGTGCTTGTTTTATTTTCAGTATGGTAGTTAAGGAAGTATAGTGTAGTGCTCAAAGATAAGTTATCTCAACCAATTTATATAATGTGTTGAATATAGGTGTTTAGAATAATTTCTTTATGATATTCTCAATTATATTGTTAGATTTTTGAAAACTAACTTTAAAACATTTCACTAATTCTTCACTTATCATACTGGAAAATAAACTTAAAACTTTTAAATAGATAATCCTATTTTCTGATGCGTGCTACTTTAATCCTTAAAATTTTATTTTTAATCGCCTTTGCAATGTTAATGCATTTATTTAATAACTCGCTAAACAAACTTGATTAAGGCATGTTTATAAACTGAAAAGCAAATTAGCTATAGACTTTCTGTTGCAATAAAAATATGTAAATTACCAATTAAAATCTTAGCAGCGGGATTATCAATATACATAGATCTCAAAATGGTAGCACCATCATTAGTGACAGTGATAGTGTCAGCCTTAGGACCAGCGCCAGTAGGTCTAAGAATTTTATCCTATTAGAGTAATAAAAAAAAATTAGAATCAAACTAGCTTAAATCGAAAAGCATTAATTCATTACCATACCCTTAGGACCTAAAGTGGTTTTAACTAAATCTGCAACAGCAATAGCTCCGACAAAAGATGACTAGATTTAAAATTTATTAAAGTTAATTTTTGAAGTAGAATGTAAATTAACATAATTAATTAATTGATAAGGATAAAAGCAAAAATAAAAATTACAAGTCTAGCCATTTCACCCTTTTCTTCAGAGGCCTCGTTCCTAAGAACTTGAGGCAAGACATTCTGTTAATTTAATTATAAAAAATATAGTTAGTTAGCTTTTACTTATTGTGAATTTTTGAAAATCTTACACCAACCATATCCATGCTCATTTCTGTGTATTTTTGCTATTTATAATTTAATTGTTTTTAATTTGAGATATTTTTTTGTTTTTTTTAATTTTTTATGTCAAAAAGATGTATATAATTTTTATTATATATATTTTTCTTTAAACAAATATTTATTTTTATTTTTTTAATTTAATTTATTTGATTTTTTATTGTTTTAAAAATATAACAAAAAAACAAACAAATTAGTATCCAAAATTTGAATTTTTTCTTTAAATGTTTATATTTATATGTTTATTTAATATATAAATATCTATACATTAAAAAATATATAATAACCTTTTCTTTTTGTATCTTATTCAATTCTTATTATAAATCATCTTGCCTTCACTTGTCTCTTTATTTCATAATTTATTTATTTATTTCATTCATTCTTTCTTTCTATCTTTTTTTTGTTTATTTATTTGCTTGATTGTTTGTTTTTTATCCATATCTTCTCTTGGTAAAAAGATATCCCTGCTCTTTCCTTTATTTTTGTGATCAATACTTTCTTTCTAAATTTATTAGAATTCTTCCCGCACTTTAAATTCAATAAATTGAAAGAAAGAATATTTTTGAAGATTTAAAAAAAACAAAATGAAAAAAATAAATATATAAATTATTAATAAATATTCCAATTTTTATTTTTAAAATTTAACAATCAAATTATTCAAACATTTTTACCAAATTTCATTAAATCTTCTTCAAATTAATTAAAATAATTCGTTTGTATAATCAAAGGAGTTTTTTTCATATGAAATACAAACCATATTTCAGATACTTTCAAAATAATTTAAATAAAATTGCTTTTTTAAAATATTTTAAAATTTTATTTTTAAAATTAATAATAAAAAAAAATCTTTTGATATGAATTGGATTAATAAATTAAATTTATTTCATTTAATGATATTTAATATTAATTTTCATTAAATCATTCATATATAAAATAATTATCAAAAATTTATTATTTAAAACTCTTTTTGTAATTAATAAAAACTCAGTTTATATTATACATGTAAAATAACTTAAATTAATTATTAAATTTTTTATATTATTATAAAAGGCGAAAATTTATTTAATAAAATATTTTGTTTTTTGTTTTTAAATTTAAACTATTTTTTTTAAAAATAATTTTCTTTTCAAATCATTTTTTTTTTCTTTAATTTTTATCAGTTTTAATTTAAGATTTCTGTTCACTTTTCATTTCGCTTACATAATCCTCAATACTAAAACCATTTAGTATTGATTACTGATTTAAATTATCATCACCAAAACCAGTTTCTGTAATTTAGATTTCATGATTTTGTTAGTTACTCTTTTTCTTTCTACGAAAAGCATTTAAGTTTCTATTAAAGTACATATGCTAAAGAAAGCTGTTATCAGATTCTTTACTCTATTTTTGTATTGGTTATGGAGATTGATGAACTAAGCTTTTGCTTATTTCATGAAGCTACTATTAATTTTAGTTTTACATTGTATTCATAGTTTTTGAGATATTAATTACAATATTACTGAATTCATTTTGTTAACTATTCTATATTTATTCATCATTTGGAATACTATAATCTTGATTTTAATTCATCATATAATTTTCTGAAGTATTAAGGGAGTAATAAACCTAATCCCTTACATTACTTGATAAATCCAATCGAGAAACTTAAATTGCTCTTCTTGGAGACTACTTATTTGTGTTTTAACTAACTCCACTTTAATTTCTTAGTCTTAATATTTTTTTATTAAAATTATATTCTTATTAATTACTTTAAATTGGAATTGATATATTTCCATCTTTACTAAAATATAGTTGACCATAATCGTAATGTTAAGAATTAGCAGACTAACTTACTTATTAATTATTTTCATGGTTTTAATATTAATCAGCTTATGAATTAGAAAAATTGTATTATTATCTTTATTGAGCTGCTATTTGATTTTATTAAAAGTATTGCTATTTCTACTATTATGGCTAAAGTTATAGAAATTATATTAATTTTTAGCTATTCCTTTCATTCATTTAAATTTTATTTGGCTTTTCTTCATCATTAAGGATATTTATCTAACTTACTTGGCTTTTATTTTATTACAAATTTTGATTTGGAAATAGATTTGGCGATGATATTTGCAAATTTTGAAGTTTTTTATTTTTTTATTTTTCCAATAGTCTATGTATGTTCAATTCACTTACGTTTTTTGCATCTAATACACTAGCTGTTGATAATTCTTAAACTAATCCGTTACTTGCAGATACATCTTCAATATGAGTATCATTAAACTCATCTGAATAAAGATTATTCTAATTTATTTATGAATAATTGTTTTAGGAAGTATTTAGCTATTCTGTGTATAATCTATTGTTATTCATCTGATTTTTGGCAAATAATCTGTAAAATCTTTCAGCATTATTACAGAATTTCTACTTTTAAAATTTAATTTATGTATTCTAATGAACACTTTTGCTTTTTTATTTCTTAGCTTTCTGAGGATCTACATCTGTGTCCAATTTTCTAATTTATAAATTTAGCTCCAATTTATCAACCGAATCTCTTCTATTTGAATCTTTATTAAAAATAAAAAGAGATCAATTTATTATTTAATAAAATTTATTGAAATACTTCTCAATTAATTTATTTCAAATAATTATTAAAGAAGTTTTTATACAAAAAATTTAGAATTAAAATAATCTAAGTTATAAATTAATTAATTAATTAATTTATTTATTACCAAATATTTCTCCTACTTTTTCTGAAATGCTATTTTATTTAATATCAGGTAGCTTATCAGTAGGAAAAATGATTCCATTGCTTTCATTTTAAATTAACTTAGTATATGGAAGTTTTTAAGGAGTTAATGAAGATTTTTGAGCAATTATTGTTTTATTTTTTTGATTTCTAAGAAAGAGTTAGTATTTTTTGGCCAATTATGTCTTTTGAATTGTTATTTAGCAATTTGGTAATTAAGGAGAAGGATCCTTTTTTATAAGAGTATCATTTTAATATTCTTCTAAGATTTTAAGATGCAAAGGCAGAAAATCCTTCGAATCTTATTTTTATTTTTAAATAAACTGTTCTTTTAATTCATAATCTAAAGTGTTAGAATCCTCTCTCTAACTAAGAGATTACTTTTGTGTCTTATTTCTATAATTTTAAATCTGATTTTTAAGTTAATTATTACTCTCAACTCCTTGACCTGCTTGAGGCTTCTTTATGAATTAATCTGAAAAATTTTCAAATTGAGTTTTTGTTTTAGAAAAAACCTTTTAAAGCTGCCTTTTATTTTCATTTTCTTAGTAATAACTAGGAATGACCTATTCAAATTATATTGCAACTTTAGTTTGATTTGATTAATGTGTTTTTGCTTTGTTAAAATCTGTAATGTTTTACAATTAAGCTATTTGATTTTATGTTGGGTTATTATTACTTACATCACATGATATAGAACTTTCATGAGTGTTTAGCTTTTTTGATGAAATATTGTTGATATTATTGTTATTATGAGGTACATTAATTTTTTAAGTGTCATTGAATTCCTTTTTTCTACAAAAAACTCTTTAATTATCATTGCTTTCTAAATTTTTTGTCATAGTTTTTATATTTGATGAAGGAAGTATTACATTCTTTTCTCTATGACTCTTAAATGAAATTTCTTCTTAAATAGTATTGCCTTTTGGTAAAATCGATAAATCAATACTTTAGTTTAAAGCCTTTATTTAATTAAGATTATCCTTTTCAGATAGCTTTATTCCATGGGGTTTATTTTAGAATTATTAATTTAAGTTGCCTTACAATCCCTAGCGAATAAGAACTCGCTTCATTTCATTTTTATTCATTTTGTTTGGTACTGAAGGAGAATAGCTTGATGCATCATCTTTCTATTATCTGTATTCCTAAGCAGATATATTCTTTTAAAACTATCTAGTTTCAAATATATTAATCAGTTTTTTGTTCATCTACTATGGACTCTGATCTATGATTAATTAGTTTCCTACTCCTACATTGTAAAGTGGATTTGTAATTTTATTTATTTTTATATCAAAGTTTCCAATATTATTTTCTCTCAATGGTGAATGAGATTTTTGTAAGCTTCTTGACTGACTTTAATGCTACTAATTAAGGGTTATTGGAGATAAGTTTCTAAATTACGCTTTAATAGACTATGATTCTTCTCCCCCAATACCTTTTTTAATTTCAAGCATCTATCTTATCTTCTAGAGATCTTATGCTATAACTCAAAGAAGAAAGAAAGATTAATGAAGCTATTGCAAGTGAAATCCCTATTAAAGTCAATAATAATTATTGAAATTTTGTAAAGTTATTGATAATATTCTTCTAAAACTTTAATTATTAATTTGTTCTTTAAATTATTACCGTTCCTTAGCTGTTTACTTATATAAAAGTTATGTACCCTAAGGTTGCAAACAAAAATATCTAAGCTTTATAATTCTTTATAATATCAATTATGATTAAGCTAATAAATGAGTAAAAAAGATTTAGTATAATTAAATAGCTATTTTTTAAAAAAATTAATGGCTTATCAATAAAGCCCTGATTATAGATAAATTTAATAAGAATTTCTGTTTTCAATAAAATTACTATCAAAAATATTGGCTATTTTTAATAAATTTTAGTTATATAACAATTATGTTTAAGAAATAAATTAGCCAAATAAATACATAATAATTTAATGCAGTAAATTTTATAAAATACCCTACTATAAAAATTATTTAAAAAAATAATTTCATGCAAAATGGTAAGTAAAAATATTAGGGGGTAGCTTTATCTTAATTTATTTAGAAAGTTAACTTATTTTATTATTATTTTTATATTTTATTTATAAATAATTTAGCATTAAATAGTTTTGCTATTTTTAATTTAAAAAATTTAATAGAGTAAAATTAGATTTATTTTAAAAATATTTTATATTAAATTTATATTAATTTTTATGTAATACTCTAAATAAATTTATGAATCAGACAAAAATATTATGTTTCTTTAGGTAATTTATTTGGTCTTCTTTTTTCTCACCAACGTTTTTTAATTTCCAACTATTTAAGCTTACTAATTTATAAGGTTTGTTTTATTCTTATTGGTTATTACTATTTAACTTTTCTATCAACTTTTCGAAGAATCTTTTCCTTAGTTAGCCTTATCCTGATAATGTTTATTAATCATAATTTACAAATTGATCTTATTCTAGTAAGACAATTGTTTTAGTTTCTGGAATGTAAATATCAGCAGTTAACAAATATTCTTCAAATAGATAATCTTGCTTGCATTCAAAATCTTTCTCTTACTTTACTAAATCTTAAATGAGCTACTTATTGGTGGTTTGCTAATTATTCTTATTTTAGTTATTTATAATTTATAAAAGGTTTTAAGAAGCTTCAATAATCTTTTCTTTTGGCTAAGTCAATTTTTCAAAAATATCTGGTTGATAAAGCACACAATGAGAGACAATATCTAAAATAAAAGATATGCTACTAAACTATAAATTATGCTTTTCTGAAGTCACTTAGCTGAATTACTCATTTAGAAGTTGTAAAAAGCATTCTTTGTTTTAATTCTACAAATCATAAAATATCATAACCCAAATCATTTTATATTGATAATAAATTTTATAATGACCATACAACTTAAAGCATTTATCTATAACTGAAATATATTATCCTTTATCATCATTAAACTCTTCGTCTGATGATGAAGAATAGGCTTAGGATTTATCTAATAGAATAGAATCTTTGTTTTAATGAACATATCCTAATAAAGCAAAGTTCCAAAGCATATCTTAGAAAGAGGAACGGTAGTGAAGCATATTCTGATCAAAATGCTAATAAATAAGCGATAAAACTTAAGGATGATGCAATTTAACATTAGCAATATGCTTAAGTATTTCTTATAAATTTGAAATCTTAAAACGATTAAAAAGGTTGAGAATATCTTGTAAAAGTTTGTTATATACTTGGGGTTAGCTATAAAATTTCTTAAAAGTTGAAAAGAAAATCATAAACTCTGTGACCACATAAGGTAATTTTCCAGCATCTTTGGAGATGTAAAAGTATTCAATTTACCTAAAATACTTATTTAGAAGTGATTTTTTATCACTCTCTTCCATTTCTTCATTAGGTTGGTTTCCATCATTTAAATTGTTTTAAATTTATTATTATTTGAAGAAACGCAGCATCTTCATCCCTTCCAAGTAGCTGACGAAACCTTAAACACTTAGTGAGTTAAGAGACTTAGTGAATAAATCAAGTAAAAATTGTTAATTTAGGATATCTAAATTTATAATTTATTTTGTTTGTAAAATAGCCAAGAGTAAGATAGAACTTAACGTTTAATTTGTTTAATTCTATAGTTAAATATTTTATAACTTCTCTAAGAGTTTTTGAGATAAAAATTATATTTCATCTTTTTAGATTGTCATAATTTATTTTTCATAAATCCAAGCAGTAGTCTCTAAATATTTCAGTAAATATACCAATCCAAAGTTTTAATTGGATTCTTCAAATTATTGATCAAGTAATTACTTTATGCTAATTATCTTTTTATTCAATTCATTTAATTAACCTAGCTCACTTAGTTCTGTGTCATATTAAATTAAGAATTGAGAAACTTCAGTAAGTTAGAATTATTTGTCTGCTAAAATATCTTCTGTAGTAGTTTACTCCAATAGTTTCATAATGGCTTCCACAAAAAAGCAAGAAGGTATCTTTTTAAATTTTTAAATTATTAAAATGTTATAAATAAAATTTTTTAAAGTTTTTAAAATACAAAAAAATATTCAATAAAATATATCTGCCAATATTTTGTTTTAATATATTAAGCTAAATATATTTTTCAATCTGGTAAAATAATTTTGTTAATCAGATTCTTATTAATAAAAGCAATCAAAATTAATGATAATGGTAAAAAATTGTTAGAAAAAGTAAACAATTTGCTACCTTAGAGAGTTCGAATACTCTTTGTGATTTAATGAGCATAGAGAAACTAACTTTTTGCTCCTTTATATTGAGAGCTTTTAAATCTATTTATTCAAATACTTTCTGAAGTAAAGGATGAGGAGTACCTTTCTTGTTGATAATACTAAGGTAAGGAGTGTTTAGTATTGCTTTAACTTTTAACTAAAATAACTCGTTTTTGTCAAATTTACTATAGTAGCACATTTTCAAAATAAGATCAAGCTTCAAGTATATTTTGTTTTGGTCTTAAATATATTTACTGATAATCCATGATAATAACTCTTTGTCGTTTAAATCTTAAGCTTTACTCATGATAAAATTTTACCACTGATCATCAAAGATATTCCAGTTGCAAACATTAAGTAAACTATAAGACTTCTAGTTATTATTGAGCTAATCATAAATTTGACTGTAAACCTCATAAAATTGCTTATTAATTATCCTAAATGGCTCTGATTTTTGAGCTACATAATTTTTACCTATATTAATTAGAAAAGATTTAAACAATCAAATATAATGAAGAAGGGAAATATTTACCATAAGTATCTAAGTAATATAAAAATAAGGCGACTGATTCATAATTTTTAATTTGATTGCAAATATTTTATGTTAATTTCTCAACAGAAGCTTTATACTATAAATGGTCATTTGGGTTACTCTTAATTTCGTAGTTGAATATAAAAATTAATTCAAGGTTTTTCTAAAAGTTCTAATCGACATCTATGTTAAAAGTTCCAGAAAGCTATTTTCTTAAATATGAGCAGTCGTACTTTAACTTGAGCATGTATTACAAAATTTTAGTTAACATGGTAAATCCTAATTATTTTTAATTTCTTAGAATGTTGTCAATAAGCTCAAGTATTTAGTCGTCATTATGATCCACGTCGAACATAAAAGTGAGAACTTCTAAACATAAGCTTGGGGTGATATCTTTTTTCAACCTGAGCTATTTTATGATTCTTTTAATAAAAGTATTGTGATTGAATATTTATTATTTATATAAATTCAAAATATATTTTACAAATTATAAGCTTATTGGATTTGTGTTTTTGATAGTTTAAATCCTTCTCTCAGCTAGGAGGTATAGTTTAAAAATTACATTATTTATCTTGTATTCATTTATTAGTTTTATAGATATATTGTCATTTACTTAAGTACATTTTGAAGGAGCAAATTGTCTAAAGTGTGAGGAGCCCTATTTATTTAATAATTTAAGATAAAATATGCTTTAAGTCAAGAGAAATTACTTTGTGTAGGCCTAGATAATGTACATTCCATTTCTAATTGTAAAATTTTAATCTATTTTTTTCATAATTTCATCTTTTATTACTTAGAGTGCTTATGGATTTCTGAAGTGGCTGGTGTTAAATTACAACTGTAATTATGCAATAAGCATGAATATATTACATAATCTATCTAAATCAAATTATTCAATCAACGGGATACTTTTTACTGAAAGTTGGTAGAAAAAGTCAGAGTGCTTTTTTTTACAAAACTGCTCAGTTGACTTAAATATGTTGTAAATTGTTTAGTTAGTAAAATAAGGTAACTAGTTTGGGTCATGTAATTTAATTTTTAACTGCTCTATCCAATATTCTTAACAAATATCAAGATTCACTAAGTCCAAATGAGCCTAACTTATTAATTTGGGATTGATATTGTTATTTTTTCTTTCACAGCTTTGTTACAAAAGCTAATCAATTTATTTTGCTAGTTTCTTGGTTAAGTTTTCATTTAAGTGTCCTATTAATAATATAAAGAATGATTTAGTGTATTTTAATAACAAAAATAAAAAAATTCAATGAGCTAACTTGTTAATTATACAAATAAATTTGAACCTTTATAAAATAAAAATAAATTGAATTACCATTTTAATAACATTTTCTAATCAAAGTTAAAACCTCAACCTGCGTGTAAGGAGGCATTTTTTCTATATTACTCTCAATATATTAAATTAACTTCTAGAAAATATGATTCTTTTATAACGTTTTAGGATCTTCTGAATAAAACCTTGTTTACATTTCTCTCGCAATGAAATAAAAGTTGAATGGAGTGATTTAATCTTAAATTTATAAATAAATTTCTAAAAGATTTTTCATTGAATAGGCGTTTTATACTTATCTTGAAATATTTCCTTCAATTTTAGATGACTTATTTAGATTTTCACTTCCAATCATATCAATTTTTGAAAATGCAAATAGTGGATTGAAGGTAAAGCTCCTAGAGCTAAATGGCTAAAGAGTAGGCTTATACCTAAGCTATAACTAAGTTGATTTAGCTAAATTTTTAATTGAATGCATGCTAGTATAATAAAAATGAATTTTATTCATTTTGCTAAGCTATATATTTCTTTAATTTAGTGATATCTAAAATAATTTAAATGCAAAGATTTAGTAGAAGAATCTAAAAATTTCTTAATAAAGCTGAAGCTGATTTCTACAGATGATAAATTAGTGGCATATGAAAGAATAAATATACTTTTTAATTTAAGCTTTTCTAGAAATATTTAAATATAATAGATTATAGTATTAAAATCAATTAATTTTTAATTTTAAATTAAATTTGCATTTTATTAAAATAAATTATTTAAAATAAAATTAAAATAGAAATAAATAATTTTAATAAATTTAAATACTAATTAGCAATAATTGCGTGAGTGGAAATTCGTCTTAAATTAAGAGCAAAAATTTAAATACATATTGTCTTCTGATTTAATCAATCTATTTTTTTTTGATTGAAAATAATTAAAATTTAAATTTCTTAATTTGGTAAGTTATGTGCTATCTGTTTATGATTAAATCTTTCTATTTATTTGTTTGGGAAAATAAATTAAACAAGGTTGGCTGGGTAGTAAATTTTTATATGTAATTTTTATCTAATCATTAAAAAATTCATTGGTGTAACTTAAATGAAGAATATATCAACTAATTATCTAACTAAATGTTAACATCATTAACAAGAGCGCATTTATTTATATTCAAAAATATACACTTGATTTCTATTAAAAAGTTTAAAAAATAGTATTTAAGATCCTTTTCAAAAGATTTAATAGCTAGTATTAGATAAAAAAGTTATTAAAAACATCATTTTATTTTATTTTGAATATGGTTTGATGATTGATTCAAGCACATTTACACATTTTAATAAGCAATCTTACAACTTTAAATTTATTGCAATAATATTAAATTTAATCATTTAAATATTTTTTTAAAAGCAAAATTTATTTTGATAAATGAATGGTTGGCTAGTTTATAAACTAATAATTTATTTTAGCGAAGTCATTTTTTAGTTGAAAAAAAAGATAATTTACTTAATATGCTCCATTTCAGACCTATTTCCAGGTCGAAATTCAAAGAATATAATTTTATTTTTATGATTTTAGGGAATGTAACAACGCTTATTGCTAAGCAAAATAGAATACTTTAATAGCTATTTGTGTTTTTTAATTATTTATCACTAAGTAGTTTGGTTTTGAGACTGTAATTTAAATAATAAGAAATTTTTGAAAAGAAATTAGTGTTTAGTTTAGAAGAGAAGAAAAGAATTATAGAAATCTTTGAAAGAACAAACTTTTATATAGAGTCAATCTAATAAATTGAGTTGCTTAATATTAAAAAAAACTAATGTAATAAACAAAATTAAAAGAAGAAGTTGTTCCTATAGAAAAATTTAATTAAAAATTTAGGTAATGTTATTTGATTAGGTATAAGTAAATAGAAAGATTGTTTTAAGGAAATGTAAAAGTCATCCAAAATGAATAAATAATTCTTATAGTAAAATAAAAGAAAATCATGGTTGATAAAATAAAAATTTTGAGTATTATCAATTTATAGATTAATAAATAAATAGATTAAAATATTAATTGAAATCAAGTATATCAAATATAATAGCCAAAAGGCATTTTCGGTTTAAGTAATAGTTATAAGATATTAACATATAAATTAAAAAATCTTTGATTCATTCATTCATTATCATCGTAATCTTTTTCTGAATTCCTATAATTATATTATTTAAGGAAATTAAGGAAGTAACAAAAGTAAAAGAGCTTAGAATAATCATTAAATCAAAAAAAGAATCTTTAATATTTTTAAAAATAAGAAAGAAAGAAAAATAATTAATTAAATCATAAAATAAACAAATAAACAAGCTCTTTCCTATAACTAAAGCTGAAAATCTCACACATAAAACAAAACTTTCAGTGTTAAATATTCTTAGATTCAAGATTTCTTTTTCGAAAAATACCTCCTTCGTTTTACATCTTACCTTATTTAAAACTAATAAAATTATATTAAATCTTGAAATCGTGAAATTTGTTTTTTAAAAGTTGTTACTTAATCAATAAGGAGACCATATTTATTTATAATTAATACAAACAAAGCAAACAATATTTTCTAATAAAAAGTATAAATAAATAAAAATAAATTCAAATGTCTAAAATACCTGTGTAATTATTAGATAGATTAGAATTAAATATAAAATTTGCTATCGATGATATTTAAAAGGAAAAGAGGTAATACATCAACAAACACATATAGAACTCATTAAACAATTACTTCTTAGAAAATTACTGTGTCCTTGACCTTAAAAAAAAGTTTGAAATATACAGTGGCCGCTAAATAAAAAATTTGATTTAAGAAAAATACTCTTTTGCAAGTCAATTTAATAGTTTAAATCTAAATTTCGCAACAGATTAACATTCAAGTCTTAAAAAATATTATATTTTATTGCTAGGCTTTCTTGAGGAGCATGTAGCCAATGGAACTTTAGAAATTTACAGGGAAGCTATGCTAAAAATACTTAATGAAGAAACTCCATCTTATTCAGAGTCTGAAATTTCTATTGACCATTCTTAAGAGTGGATTTCGCCTTTCATATTTTATAATAATGACTCAGATAAAATTAATAAGTGGGTATAGTTGCAGTGGAAAAAGCTGATCGCGTTATTTGTTTTGCATCATTCTTATTACCCTAAAATCGAAGCTATCTACTAAATATGGTTTGACATATTTCAAAATAGAATTGTAGATGCATCAACATAGAAAAAAAAGAAGCCTGAAAATAATCGCCCATACAAGTACTAAGGTTTGCCTTATGTATCTAATAGCGATTTTTATTCTTCTTAGCCTTTGGTTGTTCCAAAAAACGATGAAATATCACAGGCTTAATAAAAGAAATTAAAATTATTTAAATCCCAGAAACTCCGTTCTCAGGATTAGGAAAATGGAACCTAACAGGAGAATAAAGAATAAAAAGAGTCAGAGTAAATGCTAAAGCAAACGAAATACAGGATAACACTAATCAACTAAAAAACTTAGCAAGCTTTAGGCGAATTAGATAATTCAAGTATGGGAGAAAACAATGATATGAAGCGTGCAAAGAAGGAGTAAAGCTTCAGAAAGGAATATGGTATATTTAATTATAAATCTAATATTAATTTATTGATTGATTGACTAGATAGAGTAAATTCTGTCTATAAAGCAAAAAAGAATTATAGTACTATCAAATAAAAATATGTAAATAAATAAATAAAACCCTATCTATACTCTTATTAGATTTTTAAATAAGCGATCAATCACTTTTTCTAACAAATTTCAAAATAAATTCCACAAACTAGATTAAAAGATCTACAGCTTAATTTTCTGACAACATTAATTCACTTTATTTTCGATCTAATTTAATATTTTCTTTTAATTAATATAATAGAAACATAGAATATTTCTGATAGTTAAGTTATAGAAAAAAAGCCATACAAAAAGCTTAAATAGGATTCAGACTTGCCTTTAAAAGCTGCAGATAGTAGCAATAATTCATTAAACAGCATGGTTAGCATATAACTAATACAAAACAATAATAATCCACAAGCTATGAAGAGTGCTTGCTAATAAAAAGATTCAAAAGATTATAGAAACATTTAAGTTATTTGCTAATAATCCATTATAAAAGAAGACAATGATATACATTTAAGCTCATAAAATTTTAAACAATCTAAAAAAGTATAAACCAATACACTATCTAAAGACTATTTCCCACAGCAGGCTCAGTCAGCTTTTTCAAAATACAATAAAAAAGTTCCATTTAGCAATCAATAATAAGGTAAATTTTTTTGTCATAAATTATAATTGCTCAATAAATATTAGTCTTTCTAACATCAGTAATAGATTTAATTTATCTTTAATCGTATATTAAAATGCAAACAAATAAATCTATAAATTTATATTTTTTTCTTCTCAGTATCAACAGTCATAATATTTTGAGTAAAATTAATAAATTTATTAGTGGTTAATAAAATAAAAGCTAAATTTCATCAACTTTTTCTTTGAAATTTTTGCTATTTGACTCTTTTTCATCCTCAATTTTATTAAGATTGAAAGATTCTACTCTCTCACTAAATATAAATTTCTATCTTTGAATTTGCGTTTGTTAATAAATATTCTTTTAAAAACATAAGCTAAACAAATCATTGATTCAAATACTAGCGAAGAAAAAATCGTAATCAAAAAAGAATCGAATCAAGTGAAATAAGAAACTAATAATTCTCTCTCCCCAAAAGCTGTTATTTCAATAATATCACCAAACAACTTACAAGATTCCTAAAACACAACTAATTAAGATATTCCATCCAAATAATTTATCAAAAACGAAGATTATGATTCAAGTAATTGCTTACAAGAAAAATAAAATGAGTAGAGTACTTGTGATCACAGTCAAAATATCCTCTAAAGTCCAATTAGTTAAGCACCACAGATTACATTTAGCACTATTCCTGTTAATAGCTTTTAGTACTAAGTAGGTAGTATTATAAATCCTTAACCAACAGCAGCACTTCATTATTCTTAATAGCCACTTCAAGTGATGTTTTAATAATTCCTTCCACATTAATAAATTAATTAATTTATCCACCCTAATCAAATATCATCCAGTCAATAAGTAATTCCATTAATCAATGTAAATAATATTCCTATTGTTCATGTTCCAATTAATTACATCAGCATGATATAGCCTAACTGTGCTCCTACTACAGCCGCTTTCGTAAATATCTAAAAATTTTGAAATATTAGCACAAAGAGTTGCTTACATACCCTTCAAAAATTTAAATTTATGTGGAATATTTTAATAATTAATAAATCTGTAAATTAAAACATAAATACTATTTCTAATTGCAAGCATGAATACAAAGCAATTTGAACTAAAAAATAAATCTATAGTAATTAATTATAATAGTTTTAATGCAAATGTCTTTATAATTAATAAAAATTTTAATATTAAAAAATAAAAATTATTTAAAATTAATAACAATTATAATAACAATTTAAACATATATTAAATATAATAATACTAAATAATCACAACTACTTATTTAATTTATAAAAGTTTAAATATATATTTCCTAGTATGTTTTTATCCTTTTTATTTCTTAGATTCTATAATCAATTATATTATATTCTTTATTACTGATTGTTTTATACTTATAAATTATTACATCCACCTTCATTTATAAAAAAAAGCAGTTAATCTAATTTTAACTTAGGCCTTTTCAGATTAATTATTTATTTATTTATTTATTTATTTTTCTTCTAATATTGTTATACTTTCCTTTTATTATTGCTAAAATTTATATGAAAATTATTCAGTAGTTTACTTAAATAAAATAAAGTTAGATTTTCAATAAAAATTTTATACATTCTGTAACAAAAGTAACTAAATTTTTCAGTACCATAAATCATTCTTGTTAATTTAGAAATATATTAAAATTGAAAAATTAAAAGGTTGATATAAGAATATAGAAGAAGTCTAATTTCTTCTAAAATAATTTTGGTATTCCATTTAATTTTTAATTTTTATTGGCTGTAATAAAAACACTCAAATAAAATATTTTCTTTTGTTAAAAAAAGATATCTTATTTATTTTATCAAAAAAAAAAAAAGATGAAATAATAGTAAATATTATAGAAAATCACGCTAGTTTTTTTAAAAAATAATAAATCATTATTTTTATTTATGTTGATGTTAATATAATTGTATGTTTATATACTACTAATTATCATAAAGTATAAATATAAATATTTAAAACCATATTTTTGAGAAAGAAACAATAAGTTTCTAATTGTGAAAAAATTTAATTTAAAAATCAGATTTGATAAAAAGTTTATCATTTATGGTTTAATGAAATGATTTAATAATATTAATTTTTATAATTATTAAAAACTATATTAAAATTAATTTCAAGTAAATTAAAAAGTTATTTAGATTATTACTTAATTTATCACAAGAAAAAATTTATTGAAAAAAGAAAATGCATTAAAAAAAATAATTAAATTTAATGGTAAAATAATAGCAATTAATTGGCTATTTATAATATATATTTATAATTTTGAATAAATTAATATTAATAACATTTATTTTAGATATAATTTTTAAGATGTTCAGTTTTGTTGAAAAACTATAAATTACTTTTAGAAAAAGAAAAATAGCCTCACAAATATAATCTAAAAGTAAATTGATTTTTTAAAATTTGTAAAATAGTAATGAAAATAAGCATTTAATTTTTAAAACTTAGCAAAAAATAATAAATTATTGATATTCTTTTGTAATTATTTATTACTATTAATTTAAGTCTGCAATCAAATAAAAAAAATATTTATTTTAGAAAGCTAATGAATAAAGTATAAATTAATATTTAAACACATAAAAATATGAAAAAATACAATAGAAAAATATATTAGTATCTTTCTCTATTTTAAATTTTAGTTTTTTTCTTGTTCCATAAAAATTTATTAGCATTCAATAAACTATAAATTTATTTATTTATTTTAGATTATTATTTAAACAAATGTTAATCACACAAAAATAATAATAAAAAATGTATATTTTATATTAAGCAATTTTTATTTTTATATTATTTATTTAGAATCATTTAATAGAAACATCATAAAAAATTATTAAAAAGTAAAAACTTTAAATATATTTTACCTCAAATTTTAATCTTGTAGATAAAACTTACTAAATTTTTGATTTAACCTTTTTATTCAACTAGTTTAATACTTAATAGAAATTATTTTTAATAGTAAACTTTATATTACTAAGCATTAAAATTTAAGCTTCAGAAAACAGTGATGTGAATAGATTTTTCAAATAAAATAGAATTTAAGGATCAAAAAATTAAAAAATGATAAAAATAAATTAATGGATTTTCATATTTTAAATTTTAATAAAATAATTAATTAAATCAATAATAATTTTCTATAATTTATTTCCATCACTATTAAAAATTACTTTTTTACATTTATAGTAATTTTATCTCGGGTCATCATGTTAAAAGGCAATGAGAGCAGTTATTTTGAGAGTTTTATCAAAAAAGAGTGCATTTTCAAACTAATTTGGGCTAAACTTGAAAATAAATTTCATAAAAAATATATTTCTTCCTTGAAATAATTTTTAAGGATACTAATTCATTTGAAATTAATTCCTTTTCAGCTATAAAATAGATTATTGTTATTAGTTAAAACAAAAAATATATAGCTACGCAATCACTACATATATTAATGATGTTAATAAAATATTATTTAATTTTTGTATTTTATTAAGTATATGTTGAAATATTATTCTTGATATTATATCATCCATTTTCTCTAATGAAAATGCAATTCAACTGATTATGTTCAACTGAATCAATTAAGAGTTAGAAATTCAATGCTAATTGAGATTAATTTTCTCCAAAGTTGATTTAATTTAGAAGTTAACTCTAATAGCTTGGTATAAGAAGAGTGCATTAAGATTTTTTAGTATCAAGTAGTTGGTATCTAAAAAAGGGTTAATATTGAAGAGATAACAGCCTACAATTGAGCTTGTAAATTGACATTTAAGTTGAAGTTTGATAAGATATGAGTGAAGATTAAAATAATAAAATAACTAAATTTAAACATTCAATTAACTTACTTATTTAATATAAGAAAGAGGAACTAATTGTAAGCAAGATCATCACGTGAAGTTTGTCTTTAGGACTTCTAGCATGAAAAAATAATCAAGATTACCTTAATAAAATAATGAAAGATAGAGATGAGAAGAATTAAAGAGAGGATATTATTCATCAGCTTTAGACTGTTTAAAAGCTTTTAGTGAGTTCTTATCTTGTTCATTATAATAAGAGAGTTATAAGTAAACAAAAACTTATAGTTTAGGGTCAATTCATGAACTTCCCTTAGAAAGAAGGCAATATATATTTATATTAACTAATACAAAAAGGCTAATTGAGGGATTTATTTAACAAATAGGAAAGGGTCATATTAAAAGTTCTTTCTTCTTTCAAAGGACAAGGTTGGATTACCTTATATGGCTTGTATAAAGGGTAAGGTCAAAGATGGGTACCAATATAATAAGAGTTGACTGATTAGGGTATGTCTCTCCTCTTAATGTATTACGTTATACATGAGAAAATAGGGAAAGAGATTAAAGTTCAGATATGTAGGTGGAAAATATGTTCGAGATTAATTCTTAATTAATTAACCTTATGGGTTGAGTTAATTAAAGATTTAATATTGGGCATATTAAAGGGTATTAACATAAAGAAATAGTTTTTAATTGGAATCAGGCTTGGAACCAAACCTTACCACATGGACTGTTAGGGTAAAAATCTGCAAAATACCCTTATTGTTATAGTCTTAGATAAGGTCTTGAATGGCCTTTATCTTAGTAAAGATGCTCTTAGGTATACTAATCCTACTAAAATTTTAAGGCTATAGGTAAACATTGAATAAAGTGCTAAGAATGTTGGGTGGGTTCATTACGAGATTGGGACAAGCTTATATCAAGTTTTTGATCAGTTTTCTTTAAATTTTAAAGACCTTAAGAGTAATGGTTGAATAATTCATTAATGTATCAATAAGTGATATCATTCTAATGGGAGCTTATATGTTAAGAACCTTCATCTTCCTATAGATAGGTTAGGGTTTATAAATAAAATAGATAAATTAAATTTATGTTATAGTAGAATCTTATTTAACTCATTCAAAAAACTATTGAATTTCTGTTTAATTCTTCATAATTATTAGTTTTTAAAGTGTATTTGGTCATAACTTACCTATAATTCAAGATCATTTTTATTAATATTTTATTAAACAGCAGATGGTAAATTCTGCTAAATAAATTATTTTTTTGGAATCCTTGGTCAAATATATTATTAAATTTTAATTTAATAAAAAAATTAATAAATAATCAAATAATTTTTTCATTTAAAAAAGATGATCATTGAAGCATGTCTTGATGAAACGACTAGAAATAGTAGATTAAATGTACATTATATAGAATGTAATTTGAAGTTTAATTTAATGTATCAAAAATAACACTTAAAAAAATAAAAATGAGGGCTCTAGCTAAAATTTAGATAAACTGATGTAATAATTTTTAAAAAGTGAATAAATATAAAAGATTGATCAAAATATCGCAAGAAATTAATTCCCATACGAATTAGAAACATATGATACCGTTTACATGTTTCAATATTCTATTTATTTTTATGTATCTATAATAGTCAGATATACTTTGAAATTACTTATGTCCCTAGGTTAGAGTCAATATGAGTTATAGCCTAAAAAGGAGAAAATTTTATTCAAGCAGACAATTGTTAAGAAAGGTACAAGCCAATATTAGGATAATTTGAAGGTTAACAAATATTTATTTAAGGAAAATATTACTGCACTTCATGAGGGTAAAAAGTTTTACAGATTACCAACTAGAATCATAGATGTATTTTATTTATGATATCTTTTAGAGTCTAAGACTCGTACTCGAGGCAATATATTTAGTATTAAGAATACATATTTACTATGTTACCATAGAGTTTATAGCTGTAAAGACTTGAAGACAGAAGTCTTAAGGTTTAGTTATAAGCATAATTCTATACATTCGGGAATGTGGCTTCAATAAAATAAGCTCCAAAGCTTTTATAGAAAAGGTTGACAGTTTACTATATCCTGATTTTATCTAATGCGCTTTCATTAGTGTTATCTAGTCTCTGAATTAAATCCTTAATGAATAAAGCCATTCTAAACCAGACATTTAAACATTAAATTAAATTTCACAACCATATCATATTAAAATATATTATATTTTTTACTTAATAAGATATTTACTTTTGAATTTCATACTCCTGAATAAAATGTGAGCATTAACTACCTTTTTTTGTTTTTGAAAGCCCTGTATAGATTGATTTTTGAATAATTAATGCATGTAACTCCAAAATTTACTACTATTTAAAATTAATATTAGAATGAATTATTTTTCAAAATAATTAGTAAAAAATTTTTATGATTTATAACAAACAAAAAACGGCTTGTTAACTTTTTATGTGATATTAAAAAACTTTAAATTTAGAATAATTAAAAGAAGAAAATTTCATTTATTAGAATCTACAACTAATAATATATTAATTTTAAAAACTTAACAAGCTCAAACCTCGTTTAAATTTAATATTAATTAAATTTCAAATAAATTTATAGTTCTTCGGAAATTTTGTTTTTTATTGAAATTAAAATTGTATATATTCATTAAAAAAACATAAATTTAATTTTGATTACAGATGAGGCATAATTTTTAACAAAACAAAATACTTTGGACAATTTTATTTAAATCTTATAATTTAATTTAAAGCCTTAATTGTTTTTAATAAAAAATATTTGTAGCTATACAAAATTCAATATATAAAAAGATATAATTAGTTATTAATAGTGAATTTAATTATTTAAAAAGCTTAGAGCTTTAGAAAAATAACCTATATTTTGCAAACTGTGCAAAGCGTATAAATATAAAGTAAATATAAATTGTTTTTCGGCTTCAAAAATGGAGTCAAAAAATAAATTTGTTAATATATTACAAAATAAAAAATAAATTAAATTTAATTAATATAGAGCAGGAAATAAATAATTTTTGAAAATATTTGCAATATGTTTTATTTAATTCTTTTTACTTTTGTTAATTTTATGATTAATTTATTCATAAATTATACTGTTTTTTTTCTTTTCTATAACATACATTTAAATATAATTTAAATTTAAAAACTGAAAGTAAGACTTTTCTTAAAATAAACTTAAATTCAATGTTATCAAATCTTAATTTAGATTTTATGCTAAAAAAAATATTTTATTTTTTAAATAGCATTTAAAATAATTGGATAATATAAATTATCATTTTAATTAACAGTTAGTCAAATATTGAAATTGAGTAGGAATTTTTTAAATATTAAAGTTATTAGATCTTAAAAACAAATTAAAAAATATTTAAATAATCTTTAATTTTTTTTGAAAATATTTAAAAATTTTCTTATCAAAACAGTTTTTAATATGAAACTGTTTTTTTAATTTTAATAAAAATTAAACTGAATAATATGTTTGTTCATATTTAATAGTATTATCAAGAATACTAAAAAATATACTAAAATATTATTTATTGCATTTTTTTGGTTTTTATGAATGATTATTTATAAAATTTAAGACATAAAACTTATTTTCTTTCTTCAACTACAGGTGGTTGGCACATTTATGAAAAATAAATTCAATTGTCTTATCAAAAAATTTATTGATTTACAATTTTATTTGTATATTTAAATAATTCTATATTGTTAAATTCTCCCAAATGATAATCTTTTTTATTCTAAAATACTTTTTAGAACATTTTTGACACCAATCAAATGAGTAATTATTATCAATTTGAGCTTAGCTCATATCCCATAAAAAAGTAATACTGCTCTTTATAGCTAAATTCTAAATAAATAATTATTTTTATTTTCGATTAGGAAGTATATTTTATTTTTTATGAGTAAAAATTTAAATAAATTATCAAAAAAGAAAAATTTTCAAATGGAAAAGATAAAATTTTAGTTATTACTGCATTTTTAAATAATTAAATAAAATTTTAGAAATCAAAATTCAAAAGAAATTTTCTTAATCTTTTCATTACATAATTTTAGATTAATAAAAAAGCAAATAAATTTAAATAAGAATTAGATTATAAATGTCACTATTAAAATAATTCTATTTACTTATTAATTAAGGCTAGAAAAGGTCTTTTTTTACAGTTAGGTCAACACATAAACTTTTAAAAGACATGAATTTATATGCATATTTAGTATTAAATTTTCATCATTTTTTGTATTTATAACTATCTTTACAATTTACACTTTATTTATGGATTACTCTTGAAAAGAAGAGGGAAGAAAATGATTTGGTATGGTATTAGAAGATTTTTAAATAATTTCCTTTGCTAGTGTAAGAGAGAAATTAGTTGTGAAAAAACAATCAAATAAAATAAACTATTTGTTAAAATTTAAGTGCGATATTCTCTTCGTCAACAACAATAACAATAGAGAAAATAAAAATAATTAATTAAATTCAGTTTTCAAATTGAACCAATCAAATTCTTAATCTATCTATTTAATCTTTCATGTATTAATATTATTCTAGGGGAAAACTTCTCCTGATCTTTTAGAAAACTACATAATAATTGTATTAAAGCGTTTTATACATTTTTAAATATACTTTTAAATGAAAGTCTTATTATTTTATAGGTGTCTTATGTTACATTTGATAATAAAATTTACTTTATTCATTTTACAAAATTAATGATAACATTTTGTTAGTTATTTATTTAAATTCAGTTATTTAACTCCAATAAACTGAATGGGTGACTGCTAAATTTTGTCTTTTTATGCTTTTTCTTTCATTTTTGAATAGTCTAGGGTTGTTTTATCTAAAAATGACCATTATTTTTTTGAAAAATTTACATTTACAATTATTTATCGATTAAACTAAAATGATCATAGACAAATAGTTTTTTTTTTGAAAGTGCCTTAAATAAAAAGCCATTTTAAACTATATAGTATGCAAAAAAAACTGTATAAAATAATCTATAAATAGTTTGATCCAGTGAAACAATTAACTTTTCAGAATTAAAATTCACCTTCATGAAAGATCATTTTTTAAAAAATTTAAATTTAAAATCACAATCAGTAAAAAAAAAAGACGTGAAACTGATGCTTAGATCAATAATCCATGAATATAAATAGCGCTAGCAGTAATCTCAATTATGTAATCTAATATGAACGCACAATTACTATGTATAGAATACTTTAAAAATTATTTTCGATGTGAATTAAATGAATAACTAATTTAAAAGAAAATTTCAAACAATATATTTAAATAATTTTTAAGATAATAAAAGAAGAGGTCTATCTGGTATTATTGAATAGATAAGAAAAACCTATGATTTTTATTTCAAAAAATAAAAGTAAGAATTTAAATAAACTTATAAAAAAATTTGAATTATTGTTTACAAGAATTTATTATATTAAAATAAATAAGTAAAAGATTGTTTCCCTTTTTGTATTGCTTTTTATTTTTATTATCTATCTAAAGAAATCAATAAACTGTAAACTAATTTACAATCAAAACATGGGGCAGCATTATTTTTATTTTTGATATTATAAGCTTAATTCATGAATTATTTGCTAAATAATTTATATCACTAGCTATATTTATGAAATGAAGGGATAAAGGCCATCAAAACTCCATAATTTAATTGTAAGCTTTTTTATGGGTATTAGTCAAACTTACTCAACAATTAATTACTTTTCATCCATACATACATATTTCAAAAAACGTCCAAAAAAGTAATAAAAAAACTTTAACAAAATATGTGAAAGCATTTCTTAGAAAACAGAGGTTTTTGTAATGTATTTAAACCCAGCAACAAGATTTTTAATCCATATTAAATATAAAATTATATAAAAATCGAGCAAGTCTAAAATATAACTAATTGAGGTTAATATTTAATTATTCACCTTAAAAAACACATTTTCGTTAACATTTAGAGCTTATGGTAAAAAAATGTTAATAAAAAATGAACCTATTGTTATAATAAAGTCACTGATTGTGTTTTAACAAAAAAAATTGAAAATTTTAATGTAAATTTTTAATTTTCTTCACTCGGAATGTAATTGCTCACGTTTAAAATTTCTGAAATAAGATGAATTACGAAGGAGATTAAGTATTAATTAAAATTGATCTATTTCCCTTTAATGATTAACTTTTATTATTCTGTTCTATATTGTGAAAAGCATAGAAGCTAATTTTCTTAAAAAATAAATAAATTTAAATGAAATTTTACCAAAAAACACTAATTTTGTTTTTAATTGAAATTATTAAGATCGAAATATAAATATGGTAATAACTTAAATAAAGACTTTTAAAATGTGTTAAATTTTTTAAGTGTGATTTGCTCATTGATACAATAATATATATTTTTACATAAAAGATACATCTGATAATTAATTTTATCATTAATTTATGATATTAAGCAATATAGATTTTAAAACACTTTTTGCCAAAAATTCAGGTTGATACTATACAAAATATACCTTGCAATTCAATTCTCAAAAATTGACAAGAAATTCAATCTTGTTGTTGATTTGGAAAAGTTAAAAAACTATATATATTTGTTTTGTTGGAGGTTTATTTAATTACTCAGGAGTTGAAAAATCAGTTAATTGAATAGAAATGCTCAATAATTAAACTTCGTAGCAAAATACAAATACACATAAAATGATAAAACAGCAGTTTTTTAATGAAAATTAACATTTTTTTATAAAATATTTAAAGCACTATGAGATAATATGAAACAATAGCGGTGAATTAATAAGCTTCAGAATTCGATGGTTGTTTATTTGAAAAAGAAGTTAGAAATATTATTAGACGCTTAATCGAGGAAGGGGTAAGTAGATGTAAAAATTATATATTTGCTTATATGATGAATATTGAGATGTAAATAAAACTTAATTAAAAATAAGATAGATAGGAAACTAAAAGAAATATTATCTTGTCATTCTAATTACTTTTATTTTTCTTTTTCATTTTTGATTTAAATTAATTTTATTAACATTAGAAATAGACTCTATTGGTAAAATCTAATAACCTAAAATAGATTGATTGTATCTTTTCCATATTAAAGAAATTTATCAGGAAGACTGACTCTTTGGTTTTATATTAAGATGATTCTGCTTTTTGCTGAAGAGTGTAAATTTGTATATTTTAGTAAATTTTTACTTTCAAATAAATATTCATTCGGTACTGGGTTTTAAAACTCATTAACTTAATCACAAAATTTTATTTGTTATTTGATTACGCTTACAAAATAAATTAAATGATTACCCTTCTTATTCCTTTCAAAGGATTGATAATCTTGACGCTAATTTTGTAATTGAAATATATTCAAAACAAATAACATTAATAATTATTAAGTAAAAAAAAATAATACTAAACATTAAAATTATATCGCAAATATTGGAAATCACAGGGTAATCCTGAATTAATAAAACAATCAATAAATCGATCAAACAAATAAACAAAAAACAAATAAAAAAACAATTAATTGAAAGAAAACAAAACAAAAATCAAACCTAATTAACTAAATTTCTATCCTCAGCTTATATCAATCTAAAGCAAGCAAGCAATCAAACAAATAAATAAATATTAAGACATAGATAGATAAGATATTTTGATAAAAAAACTCAAATACATTTACAGTAATACAAACAGATAAACAACATAAAGAGATATATTGTAAGAAGATAAATTTCGTAATTAATAATTAAATAAAAAATACATTTCAATCATTTTTTATTGAAACAAAAAAAATAAGAAAAGTATTAATTTGTTTACTATTTTAGAATAACATAAAACCTAATTTATTAGAATCTTTAACGCACTTAAATCTAAAGAAAACAAAATAAAAAAAAATCTATTTATCCCTACTAAGATATCCTTTTCATAGCAGATGTTATAGTCAACTGTTGATGAAATTAAGAATAATCTTTTGTACGTGTTGGATGAGGTCGTACATTCACGTCAATATCTCAATAAACACTTCTAAAATTCCATGAATAACTATTTCCTTGAAAATTATGCCACTCTCCCTTGCTTAAAGAAGAGATTTGATACCTAAAGTGGCCGTCAAGTCAGAAAAGAAATTTTTGAGAAGTACAATTAAATCTAAGAAACTGAAGGTAAAGTCGATGGTAATCTTAAGTGTTTTTTAATAATGCGCGGATTTATTGAAGAGCATAAAATCAACAATTCTTTGAATGATTATCGCTAGTCTCTTATGTACCTTGTTAGTGCTACTGGTTTAGACGCTAGTATAAAACACGGATCTGCTGAGTGGATCTCTTTGCAATGGCGTCGTTTATTCGCACTGATGGTTTTACATCATACATACTACCCAGAAGTATAAGGCGTTTACGAACTTTGGTATCATGTTTTTGATGAGCGCTTAATCGCTCGTGAACGTCAAAAAAAGAAGAAAGAAGAAGTCGTTTATAAGAAAGGAAAGTCTCCTTATATTATTTCTAGCAAACAAGAAGAAGACGAAGAGTCTACTTCTCCTTTAATAAAAGAAGCAGGAATAATCTCAGCTGCTGCAACAAGAAGCAAAGAGGGATCTCTATCTAGTATAGCAACAAATGATGAATAGCTTACACAAAGCACAATAAATTCACCTAAAACTCCTCGCTCACTTATAAATATAGGCAATAAGAGAGATTCGAAGAGAGTTCAACAATCTAAAAAGAGTCAAGTTAAGGTAGAATAGCAATCAGGAAGTGAACATGGAGAGGATGAAGAACCTGCTATTTCTAAGAAGAGATTTACTTAGGAGACAATTATTCTTATGAAAGATCGCAGTAATTCAGATATAGAGCTTAAGTAGAGCAATTCCACTACTGTCTTAATAAAAAGCTCTTCTGAAATTTTAAATTAAAATTTGGGAAATGAGTAAACGTAAGCTTATGAATAGAATAGTCAAAATGTTGAATTGAATTAATAAAAAAATCATCAATAGGATATTTAAGTATTTACTGGATAATAAATATAGCAATAATCATAAATTGCTAACAATAACTTAATCTAAGCAACTTTCAATAGTGAAATGCCAAATAAGATGAATTCCTAACATAGTGATAATCAAGTCAATTTTGAAAATAAATAATAATCAAATGATTACATAAACTCCTATGCAAATTAAAACTAGGAAAGTGTTCTTCATTAATAATACTATGACAATTAAATTTAATAGAATTATCCACAATAAATAAGCTGTTCATAATAATACACTTCGAATCATCACTTACAAAACTAAATAGATTCGAACCAGCCTTAATAGGTGAAGGAATTCGATTAACTCGCATAACCTTCAAGTTCTTACTTAATTGAAAGGTAATAGAGCTGCAATGGATATTTTGGAGAAGAAACGTATACTCCTTATAATCAAGCTTATTACAACACATATGGGTAATTTAAAAATAACCTAAGCTCAGAATTTCATCAAAATGATTACTATTTAAACTGTAACCAGGAAAACTATGCAAATTATTAATTTGAAGCATACAATAATGAAGAATTAAATAAACTTAAATTTGATTCTCAAGCACATCATTATACTAGCTAAAATTTAGACAGATAAAGGAGTAACTAAATGCAATTCAAGTGTGATCCTAATATTCAACACCATCAGTCATAATAGTAGTAGTATTAATAATATGATAATAATCGTTGCATTTCTAATAATTATATTAACGCACCTGTCAATTATCAAATATAATAATAAATATAGTAATAATAAACAAATACTCCCCACATTAGAGCAAAATAAAATTTCTAATAATCTTAACAAAGCTACCCACTTCAAAACTGTAATCAAGTAAATTTTGATTATCCTCCATAAGACTCATCTTATTCTTCTTATTTAGATCATTAATCTGATAACTAATACAGCTCATCTACTCCTAGCTCAATCAGCTAATCTGCTTCTTATTCTAACTCTCCAACATATCACAATGAGTAATAACAACAGCTTTATCAGTATAATTATTTCAACTAAAAGTATACTAACTATGATTAATACGATTAAAACTAACTCTAACATTAAAACTATCAATACTAACACCAATAACTTTACGATCAATTTTGATTCGAAAAAAAAATAAAAAATCACATATAAAAAAGGCTCAACTAAATATTAATTAAGATTATCTTTTTATCTATCTATCTATCAATTAATCAACGAACCAATTTACTTTTTCTAAAGGCTGCTTTCACAATTAAAAGTGCACAAATAAACAAATAAACAAACAAAGCTGCTGCTTTTAAAAGGAAAGGCGGGCAATTAATAATTTTTATTTATTTTTAAATAACAATCTTTTATCTTTACTACTTTTAAAAAATCTGTATAGTAATTAAAAACACATTAACCAAATACGTAAAACAATAGTATAAATATTATTAGTATTATATGTAAATTAATCATAAAAAATTTTAACTCCAAAATCATATATATTTTTGCTTCTTATTCTATTTATCTTGTATAGCTTGAATTCAATTGTAACTCTAATTTTCATAGACTCTGTATTTTTCACTTAATATTATGTTTGATAAGAAATATTTTTGGCCAAAAAAAGGTACTTGAAAATTTGTAAGTATAAATTTTTTTCAAATTTTTCTTAATGAGTTTGTCTTTTTATTTATTGATTTTTTGATTTAAATTATTTTTCATTTAAACAAAATAAAGAAATTAGATGAAAATAATATTAACTAAATAATAACTGTAAGATTTAGTTAGGAAAGTAGCTTTTATATGCAAATTAGAGTTAATACAAATTAAGAGTTTCATATTAAATTTGCTTCAGTTTAATTTATTATTTCATTTTTATTAGAAATTAATAATCTTTATAAAACTTTTTTCATGATATTTTTTTTTTACTTTGTAATCTAAATAGCAATGTAAATACAATTTTTTAAGTAAAAAATTCGGCTTCTTTCTAACGTTTGTTACAAGATACTTGTTGTTGATATCCTTTTTCAAATAATATATTGACTACCTACACAATTACTATAGAGCAAAAATTAATTAAATTATAACTATTTTATAATTTTATCGAAATAAAGAAATCATTCAAGTAAAAGTAAGAGAACTCAATAACTAAAAAATTTAAATTTTTTGATTATTCAAGCACATTTTTTTGAAGCAAATATATCCTTTCGTATTTTAAATAGTTCTTTGGACTAACTATGTTAGCAAAGATTTTAGTAAGTGTATTTTTTAGTAACAAAAAGGAAGAGTAGAATTGGGGACAAAAATAGTTAGCTTAGTATTATAATTTTTTAACGACCTGTATAGAGCTAGGAAAAAGTGTAACATTTGTCTCAAATACATTTGAAAATTTTGAAATTTCTATTTTTAACTCAAGTTACTTTGTTTGCGAGATAAGGGTTAATATTTGAGATAAGATCAAAATAAGTATTACTCGAATTCTTTTACATTAATTGACATCAAAAAATCAGGTGAATAATTATATGTTAAATAATTTACTTTGTTTAATAGACCAAAATTTACACAGCGCAAATCAAATTCAATCACAAATAACGTTTTAATAAAAAAGAATACTTTATTAAAATAATCAAATTTATTTTATGATTGTGAACAGCTCTAATTTGATTTAAAACAAATGTTATCTTATTTCTCAAGAAAAAATATATTGTAAAAAAGGTAAAGCATAGTTAAATTTATTAATTTTAATATCAATTTTTGGGTCTTTCTTATTAGTTTTTGATTATAATTAAAAGAAAATTAGGTAAAACAATAGTATAAGAAACAATCTTTTCCCCTTTTGATTCACTTAAGTATTTTACATATATAAAATAAACGAAATTAATTCTTTTTAATATAAGAATATTCTCAGAATTTAGTCTTTTAAAATTCTTAGAAATTCTATATTACACATCAATAAAAATATGGGTTAAAACTTCATGCTTTTCATTAAATGATAATAAATCAGTAATCCTTAACTTTTTTTACATCTATCTAAAAAAGTTAGTAAAGCTAGCTTTGGCATAATATAGATTATTTTCTATCGAAATAGTCATATTTCTAGAAAATAATAATTGTAATTTTGTAATAATTAATTTATTTTCTAATTAATAGAATACTACCTACCTACCACGCAAATCAACAAATCATTCATAAAAAAAAATAAATATTTTTAGATAATCAATTAAATATTCAGATTGTGATTAAAAAATTTATATTTTTCGAGGTTACAAGAAATATCAAAATTAAACAAAGTTTTTTAAAGTATGAATGTGATCTAATTTTATACCTTTTCTAATCTTTGTATCTTTAGAAAGAAACTAAACAAAATTAAGTTCAAATAGTTTTTTTAATGCAAACGTTATGCTGATTGCCATCAGCAAATTTGATTTGCTTTTATTTCTTCACTTTTCACGGTAATTTAGATTAATAATTGTATTATACTTTTTAAGTTGATATTAAAATCCAATAAAAGACAAAATAATATAGAAAATAGTATCATTTTTATTATTTTTCAATATAGTTATTAAATAATGTCTTCTTTTAAACAAGGATTACTTACACTTTTGAATTATATGTTTGTGGATAATATTTTAAGTTATTAAAGATATTTTTTCATATACAAATTTGTATTTTTGTGAAGTTTGATTGAATTATAACTTACCTTACATCAAATTCACTCACATAATATTTTTTTTTAGATGCTAATAATGTTAAAAGATTCGATTTCAATTTACTTACCTGTTTACAAAATTTAAAAATGTTTTTTATGATTAGTTTTTTAAAACTTTTTTTTCTTATTCTAACTCATGTTTTACACTGCTCAAAATTATTGTATTACTCCCTGCTAACAATAATTAAAATTTATTTAGTTTAGTCAATAAAAAAAATAATAATTTCTATATAGCTAGAAAACTCACTGATTAAGCATATATCATAGCAAAATAAATAAATAATTTGCAGAATATCCTAATTTTATTTATTTTTTTAAAAATAGGTTAAAAATACTCTTTTAAATTTCAATTTATAACAATATTCCTAATAATAATTGCTTAAAAATATAATAGCTTGATTCAGCTAAAACGCCGATTAAACAAAAAAGTTTTATGACTCTACTGTAATAATGCAAAGATAAAAAATTGGGTTATTTGTATTAAAATTATAAAAGGTGTAATATTCGATATCAAAAAGTTTTTAGGTAAATTTAAAATATAATGATAAATAAAATCATACACCTATCTATCTATCCGATTATCTATCTATTAATCAATCAAAAAAAAACAAAAAAAGATTGGTAATATATATCTGGCTTTGTATTTCTTCTTTTTTTCCCCGCATTAGAAATTTTGATTACTTTACTACTTTGATTTATCTTAAAAACAAAAAATATAAGTAATAATCATTTCGTAATTTATTAGAATTAGTTATAAATTAATGGCTATCACATTAAAAATATCTCTTTTGCTAATAGATCTTCATATATTTTCAAATATTATTTATTTTATTTTTTTCAGTGTAAACTTAAGACCTTTAATCATTTTCTATTTTTTGTGCGATGAAAGGTCTTATTTCTAGATTCTAACTCCTGACTCAGTAAATATTTAATTATAAATACATCTACTTCAGAAAATAATAGAATTCAAAAGCAGCTTGTAAATAATATAACAATAAAACTATTTCTACTATTACTAAAGTTTTAAAACTTATAAACGAGAAGTTAGTTAAGAAGAGAGATTAAAAACAACAAACATAACTACAAATTATAAAATTTCTTCTAGAAAAAAAAATTGAGTATCAAAAAAAATAATGTTAGAAAATATTAAACTGTTTTGAGAAAAGCAAATAAAAATTGAAAATTTTTCTTAATTTATTTATCTTTAATTAAATTTAAGTATTTGCTTATCTTATTTTGCTTTCATCATAATACTTTTAAGATATAATATGCAGCATGTCATTTTTATAAATAAATATATCCAAATTGTAATTTTAGTTGTGAAGATTAAATAAATTATGGGTTAAAAAATAATAAAAATTAAAATGTAATCTTTGTCTATAATCAATAACTTCATATTTCATTTTATTTTATTAATATAATCTAATTTTTTGCTTATCAGACATGCTTAATTTACTTAGTTTTTTACATCTTAATGAACTGAAATTAATTAATTTTTGTAAATTTTGCTTGCTCATCTTTATTAGAATACAAACAATCTTTAAAACTAAATAGGAGTGCAAAAATACTCTTTGATTAATGAATTTTGGATTTTAATCAAATAAGGCGATCCTACATAATCGCAATGAATAAGCAAACGCAAAACCTAACTAAAATAAAGCTAAAAGTTCTTCACTGCTATCTAGCTAGGTGTAAGTTGCTCCTAAAATAAGGGGCAGTGTACAAAGTTAGATTAAGCATGGCTAATAAACTAAAAATCTACACTAGTAGAGCGATATTGAATATAGTAAGAAAAAAGAAGAATAAGTGAATAATATTTTAAAATACTTCAAATAAATTGATAACCATGATATATTGTAATTAAAATTGAATTTTTATTTAAAATACATGTATGCTTTTTTTTTTTGAGTTTAATTATTGATAGATATTTAATGCATTTGAGAATAACTAAGCTCTAATTATTAATAATATAACATTTAACTCTAATTTAGTTTTTTAACTCAAACGAAGAATGAAGGAAGAGATATGAAATTATTGTAATTCTAGGATATCAGATCTGAATTGAGTCAACTAAATAGCAAAAATGTCATACAGATAGGGCTTAATATCGAGTAAATGAAGTTACTAATATTTTATCTCACAAAAGTAATAGTAAATAAAGAGGAGATTAAGTTACATAAATTAATTATTTTAGTGCGATAGACACTACATGATAAGAAATTAAGAGTGAACGAACTCCTCTCCTTTAAATTTCTAACTTTCTATTTCACTCTTTTTTAATAAATTAAGTAATTAAATAACTAAGAAGATTTTTAATAAATAAAAAATAGTATACTTACCTCAAATCAATTATCTTAATCAATATTTTCCTTTTTCAATCTCTTTCAAGCGGTTTCTGGATTTTATTTAAAATCAAGGTAAGATTAATAATAAATTCTTTTAGCCTCATTTATTTCTTTACATTTTGCTTTTAAAAAAGTTGATATCTTTTTTAAATTTCTTACACTGATTTAAAATAAAACGGGTAGGCAGCATTGTTCTATTAATAATGCTCTTAATCTATTTTGACTAACAAATGTCATATTTTTTATTGAACTCATTTAGTCTGACAATATATTTATTTATCAATACTCATCATTCATTATCCTGCAAATATTTCCTCGTCATACAATAATTTTAATGCTTTACTAACATTACTCACTTTTATTTTCTCTAAATTAGAGCGAAATTAACTTTAGCAAATGCCGAGTACCTGAGTGCTTTGGCCAAAGAAATCGTCACAAGGACACCACTTCTTTTAACTCTGAATATTTATCTTAAGTAATTTCTTCATATTGATTGATTCTGATTTTATAGATTCATTAAGATTTTAATTGTATTTTCTATTTTCATATTTTTCTATGTTCCAACATTAATTGTCTCTTTCATCTTTGTTACTTTTACTGAAATACGTAAAATCCGTAAAGCAAATTTGACATTTTCTACTATAATTTTCAAACCCACAAAGTTACATCTGTTTATGCGTTCCATCTTTTAGAGATTTCTAAAAATATGATGTCTTACATTCGTAATTTAAGAACTTCTAATTAACACGATTTTCAAAAAGAAAATTTTTTTTAATGAATTAGAAATTCGTCTTAAAATTTATATTTTAATCTTATAATATGCTAACTAATCTTTACTCGAAAACTAAATAAGCTGGTCAATAAGCCTGAATCAATCTCAATAAACATTTTTAGATATTATGTTTTTGATTGAAAATTTGAAAAACCTGACAGCCATAGAACTTTGTTTGATGTAATGCAATTTACTGCTTAATGTTTTTTCTTTACTTTGTTTAAAAAAGGTGTTTATGTATATCTTTTTATTTAATTAAGGAAAACTGATATATCAAAGAGCTAAATAATGAGACTCGCATAATCCATTATGGATCTTCCTTACTTATTAAAATTAAATCTAGTCGTAGAGTAAAAATTTATTTTTATAAATGATTATAATCAATCAGTTATTTCATTTTGTTAAATAATAATTTTTATTTAAAAAACAGCAAACACTTAAAGTTAATTGACTTAATTGAAAGTTATTATAATGCGAAAAATCAAATATTGTCTATTCTTTTGCTGAAAAATAAGTTAAAACAACAAATATTAACGAATTAAATTATTTTAGAATTAGTTACTTTTTGATACATCAAAAATGAAATAGAAATATTTTTTTATCATAAAATGAATAGTATTTCTAAAATTATACACTATTTTGTAACTGTATTGGGTGATATAAATCAAATATTTTAACAGCAATCTTATTTTTTTAACTATTTATTTCAATCTATCTTATTTAGTTTAGTAATTAACTTCCTTTGAGTGGAAATAGATTAAATTTAGAAAGGTCGAAAGAAAAAAGAAATACAAATAAAAATGCTTATAGATAATTTTTTTTTTTCGATTATAATTTCAAATCTATATTTACATTATTCTAATCTAAAGAAATTATCTAATTTTTATATATTATTTGTTTTATTATAGCAACTACCATATGAAATAAAAAAGCCCAATCTTCCCTAAAAAATGATGTATTATAAAAATCTTAATTTAGAATAAGAGAAAATTATTAATTTTTTATTAGTAATTTAAGAATAAAAACAAAATAAAACTTAAGTGTTTAACCTTAAAATACTAAATAAATAAATTTTTTTTTTTACAAACAGACAAACCAAATAAAGAATAAAATAATATGAATTTGTTTAACATTTTACAACATTTTTCTTGCCAAATTTAAAAAAATAATACATCTTGTATCATACAAATATCAATTGGTATAATATAAATAATTATATAAAAAATAAATGCTGTTCATTTTAATCAGTAATATTAGCTTACTCCTAAAACTTGATAAATTTTTTAAAAAATAACATTTATTGATGACTCAAATTGGTTTTAATGTGATGTCATGCACTACTTTATTAAAGGGAAGAGATATATAAGGTGTCCATATTCACTATTTAAAGCTTAACTTTCAAAATTGTTTTGGATGTCATACGGTAAATCAATCCCTTTTTAATCTTCCTAGATTTAAATATTGTGGAAACTATTTGAGTTTATCTCTAAGTTTTTTAACATTTAAAGAATGTAATCTATATCTTTAATTTTAGTCCTATTGATTTAAAAACAAATGGTTAATTGAATTAATATATTTTTAAATATTGCTTACGCTTTATAGTATACAGAGCCTACCATATATTTTTATTCTTACAAAAATTATTCGAAGGTTAGACGACATCTATTCAATAAAAATGGAAGGAAGAGTACTGCTTTTTCTTAATTTTCTTTATCCTTATCTGCTTAAGCTGCTTTAAATAGTAGATTTAAGCAATTTTTTGAGAAGTTTATTCCTAAATCATCTAAATTGTACTATGTTTATGATTACTCACTCTCAATTTTAAATTAGCTATTTTGGTAAAGAACATACCCAAAAAGTCTAAGATTCTATTTAGAGATGCAAGGTAAAGGAAGAAATTTTGAAATAATCAGATCTAAAAGTATCCTTTCACATTCAAAGTACTCTTTTAGCATATCAGAATTATAGTATTTTATAAGATTAGCTAAGTATTTTATAAAAATATTTTATTCAAAATTAATAAATATTTTATTTACCTATATCATATTTATTTTGAATGAAATATTCACATAAGATTTAATACAATTTATGGATGAATTAAGGTTCTTTTTATATTAAAAAGAGTGATAAGTCTTATAGACATTCTGTGCTTGTCATCCATATAGGCTTGTTCCTTGAAGAAAAACAATTTTATTGGGTTAACTCCATATACTTAATGTTGTTTTTTGTAAAAATTGTTGTCTAAATAGAAAGAACGAATTGATAAATATATTATTTTTCAAAATTAGTTTCATTTTTTATTTGCTAAATCATAAGAGGGATTATCTTTTTTTGTATGTTATCAATCAAAAGAGAATTTAATGGTAAGTTAATGATTTTTCGTATAAGATTTATGTATTCTTCTTCTAAAATTGGAGATTCTTGCATGGCTTGCATGCATCTCTACAAGATTTCAATGTAGTATTTTTCATCAGGGAAAATCTTGTTTGCTTATAGTTCATGTTCATCATTAACAAGCTTTGGAAATAAAATTATCAGGTAAAAAAGTTCAAAAACATTTGCTATTTGAGAGTTTTGTAATTTTTTATCTTCCTATTATAAAAATATTTTATTAAAATATATTTTGGCTATCTTTAAAAATAAAATATTCACATCATTCGTAAATTTGGTTTAAATGAAATCATCTATCCACCCTAAAACTTCTGGCTAAAACTACTGAAATATGCTTTTCACGTTTTTAACTTATGGAGGAACAGTTTAGAAAAACGATTAAAGGTAAACAATGATGCTTAAGAACATTTGATTATTTTGCAGTGTTTATAGTGGCTTTAACCCATATAAATCTCTCATGCATTTTATGGATTCCTTGTTTAAATCATTAAGATTTATTTCAAGGAATTTAAGTAGCAGTGATAAGCATTTTTCTATTAAAGAAACAATACTCTTTTAATTAAGAGCTAATAATTCCTAATATTCTGATTGATTCTCTAAATCAACCCCATTTTCTTGTTATTCTTAGCCTGGCTTTTAAAAACTTTGAAATGATTTTTAGATGCTATAAAACATAGTATCAGAATCTTCCATTAATGTGGAACCTTAACTGAGAGTTTCTTTTTTATCAAGGATGTTAATATAGCGTTTTGTTATTTTAGTCAAATGTTAGCATGTATTAGAAGCTGTCTCTTCCCATTACTTTATCTTATCTGAACCATTTCTTATTTCTTATTTTAAATTTGTTATAACACTTTCTCCCATGTTCCACACCATGTTTTCTAAAATTTAAACACTAGACTAAGCTCTAATTAATAAAATCTTTCTCAAGCAATATTAAAGAAGTAAAATAAAATTACGATAATTTTGAAAAATTGTGAACGATCAGTTGTTAGAATATATGCTGAGCTGAATTTCTTGCTTCGGCGTGAGGATCTACACATAGTGAAAGTAGTTTTTCAAGGATAGATGTAATAAGCAAGCCAAACTCTTCTTTGCTTATGAATTAAGAATCAGTGCTGCTTTAGATGTTTGTTTATTTTTTGGCAATATGGTCTCCTATATGCCAAAGCATATCACAGCTTAAATAATTAATATTATTATCATCTTTTATTTATTTTAATAAAAAACAATTAATTGTTCATTTTGAAATAAATAATCAATAATATATAATTTATTTTTAAAATAGCAAATTTTTACTAGAATATTTTTTAAAGTTTTCAATAATCATGAGCAAAGTGGACATTTTAGAGTGATGTAAGTTACTTAAATATTAGTTAACCAAGAGTTCAATGCATTTAATGCCTAATATAATTAAAAGTTTTTTTTTGAATAAATTTAAACAAATTAATTAATTAACCTGTAAATATATAATTTTAAGAAGAATCTGTTGATATTCCTTTGAGTATGTCTAAAATTTGGCTCCATCCACTTTAATTGATAACATGCCCATTATTTTGTAAAATTTTTAATATATTATTCATTATGATGTCCTTTGATTCACTGTGACACTAAATATCAATCCAGGGCTAAAATAGAGTAAACTACCAGTTCTCTTTGGTCCACTTTTCCTTATCCTTAAAAGTGGGCTGCTTTACATCAACCTTACGGACATATGTAGTTGTTGAGTTTTCTTAGTATTCATCTTCTAAATATTGGAATGACTCTAAAACAAAATCTCCCAACGTCTCCACAGCCTTCTCTCTAAAAAATTTATTTCTAGTAGTTGCTATAGACAGAAAATTTGCAGAAACTGTCTCCCACATTCTTTGTATTTACAAATTAAATTAAAAAATTTATTAAATTTAAAATATTTTACAAATCTATTCTATAAAGGTTCACTTTTAGTGTTTCGAGAAGCTTTTGCAAGCTAAATATTGACTACTTGCTTTTAACGTTAATACTAGCATCATTTTTTTTTTATGCAGAAGAACTGTTAGATAAAGAGGCGCAATTTTTTTCATCAGAAATTTAATCAACGATTAATTCAAATAAAGAATTCAATAAAGTAAGAAGATGGTTGTTTTCATAATTCTATGAATTTTCAAATAAATAGTCTAATGTGTTTTATAATGTTTAAATATCTGTTAATTTTGAAAGTTCCTCCTAGGTGTTATCTCTAGCTATCCTATTTTTATTGTAAAGACTTTCACTTTTCTAAAGGAAGACGAGAATATAAATCCAACTGTTCATCTCAAGTAAATCTAAAAAATAAATATATTTTTAGCAACAAAAATTAATGATCAAAGTAAATTTTCTGGAAAATTATAATTAAAGAAAGCAAATTTTCTTAAAAATTACTTCCTAAGCAGTGTGCTATATTTAAGACCATTTTATTTGTTTGTATATTACGGGGAGTCATATCAGAGTCTTTTGGTAACGAATAATTACAAATAGCTTTTATGAACTGATCTGAAGCTGTTCTGTTTGATATTGTACCTGAAATATTTGTAAATGTTTGTATAATATTTAGAATATTCTAAAACAACGATTCATCTACAGTTTATGCAAGTAATATTTTAACAGAAGAATAAACTTCTTTCCATATCAGGTCAAAAATGCTTTTGAATCCTTCATATTATGAAGTTCTATTATTTTCTAATATCTTTTATCCTAATTCAAATCCTAGTTTATTTCTGCAAATTATTTCTAAGGAATTAGAAAGCTTTAAGAAAAAATCTATTGCCTGCTTAATCTATAAAAATGAATTTATTTGAGGAAACTCTATATCTTAGTCATTAGTTTCAATAGCTTTTGCTGTTTTTATATTTATTTGTTATGATTAAATTACCCTCTGTTATCCATATTCATTTTATTGCTGATTTATTTGTTGGACTACCTTGACTGCACATTACAGTATTTGCATAAATGTCTAATCAAAAAAAATCACTTAAAACGTCGATGTATTATAAAATTAATTTACATTATTTGGTTGTTTTTTGAAGTTGTAAGCACAAAACATCTAATAAAGTGTTTCGTACTCAGAAACTACAAAAATCAACCCTTCAAATGACCAATATTTGACTTAAGATAGTTCTTTTCCTAAAGCAAGTTAAACAAGAGTTTCTAAAACTTCAAATTCATCATTGAAAATGGTTATAGTTTTTGTTAATCCTCTTATCAAATTAAGAACTTTAAATTTAAATATTAAAAAAAAAAGATTTTAGTTGAAATGAAAAATTTTTAATTAATTTTTTACTTTAAATATTAGTATTGCTATTATTAGTCAGTGATTTTTTTATAATTGGGAAAAAGTTAAATCTGAAAACACTTTGAATTTCTTTGTAAGTTTAAACATTTTTGCCGATTTCTAAAAGTGATTAAAACAATATATTAAATCCTATTTTATATTTTATTTATTAATTTTTACATTCTTTTGAATTTACTTATTATTTAAATTACCTAATTCTTTATCTATAGGAATAGTTTTAGGCCACCATTAACACCTTTAATCATCTGCAAGCATTACAAAATCATACAGTACTTATGCCAAAAATCTAATTTTCTCTTCTTAAGCAGTTATACTTACATTAACTATTTTTACTCCATTTTCTCTCTTTAAAGGAGAACTATTATTATTGCTACTAATCTCTTTCCTCTCTGGAGAACTATTTTCTTCTCCAACGTTTTATTGCTAGTTTGTATTAATAGTTGATTCTTTAATTATATTTGACATAATTTAATTTAGAGAACTAATTGAAGTGTTTGCAATTAAAGGATTTTTAGAGCTTTTCATTAAAATCAACATAGTAAACACCTATTAAATAATTTATAATAAGTTTAATTGACTTTAATAATATTTTTTAAAAATTGAATATAAATTTGTAGCTATTTTTATTGCATTACTTGCTTATTAAACCTAAATAAAAACAATTTATCTTTATTTTTTTAAAAATATTTCATATTTCAATTTAAATACAAATATTACTTTTTCTAAAAATTCTATATTTGTAACTGTTAAAGTCGTCTAGCTGACAAGTATGCAGAATGTCTGCTATAATTTAATCTACAGTGCATCATTATTGATTTCTTGGATTTTTAATAGGTAATCTAAGATTTAGCTATGAATAGACTATTTATTAAATTAATGGATCAATTTTAGATAGTAGAAACTAGCATCGTGAGATAAAAATTAAGAAATAAAAATGATAACTAAAGAATTACTGTATTTATTATTTATAGAGTGAGCAGATTCTATACAAATCCTAAAATCAATATATTCACTTTTGCTTTTTTGATGTCTCCTATTATGATTAAAATACGCTATAAACAGTCTATGGGAAAGACAAACGCTCTATTTTATTACACATAAACTTTTTAACCTTCTATATCATTTTGCAGTAACTATATATTCTAATTTTAACATAAAAAAATGAAGTAATCCTATCGAAAAAGTATATTTTTTTCATTTATTTAGTATATACATCATCAAATGTATAAATCTAGATAAACTTAATGATAAGTATTAAAGATTTACATCACGTAAAAGAGTGTATTTTTTCTTGATGTTATTCTTTAAATTTTTAACTTCTTCTATGATTAACCCTAATTTGTTCATTTTATGATACAGCTAATTGATGAAATAAATGCAATGAGTCTCTACTACTTATCTAATTATTAACTAACTCTCTTTATAATTAATATAGAGCTTGATAACTATTTTATCTGATGATATTTTGATTATTTATGCAATTATTTATTTTAGCGTTTTGATGGTTTTCTTTCTCAATAAAATAGTCGGAATATATAAATTACTTTAAAAGTGTATAATTTGCACAATCTTCAAAAATTTATTTGTTTTAATAGTAATAAAAAGTACATATCAAAATCTATTTAAGGTTTGTTAATTTTCTTATTCAGCTTATTACATTTATTTATAAACAATATTTTTTTTTATTTACATTAACTAAATACATTCATAATTAAAATAAATTTTGCGATCTTATGAATTTTGATGTTGAAAAAGTTAAATTTTTTTAAATTGTTCTTTTTCTTCTTTAAATACCAAGCATTTTAATGTAGATTTTTTTTAATTCATTTCATTATTATTGGTTTAATTATCAAAAAAAATCTAATTTATTTTATTTATTAAAATAAATTTTGAAAATGTAGAATTACTACAAAAAAAAAGTTCTACTTTTTAAATGTTTTCTATTTAAAAGACTTCATATATGCATAAATACTTAAATTTCTTTAAATAGTAATTATTAAACAAAAAAATTAATTTATTGATCAAAAAAATAATTTTATTTTAGAAAACTCTTCAATTAAATAAAAATAAAATTTTTTAGTTTTAATTGGAAAACTAAATTTTTACTATTAAGAGAATGTTAAATAAAGATAAGATTTTATGAAATAGATTTTGAGTAAATATTAATAAGTAATAAATATTTTTATCTATTTTAATATATATTTCTTGAATCTAGTATAAAGCGTGCTATTAGAGTGTTTTTGAAAACCTATTAAAATACTTGTGCTTGTAATATCCAAATAACTTATTAAATACACAATTAAAACGAATTATGCATGTATTTATGAATAATCATCATAAATTTAAGGAACAAAAGATCAAAATAAAATTGAATTACTCTGAATTATTGCAAAAGCTCATAATATAATTTAAGTATCTTATTAATTTATATGTATTATTTAATTTATTTAAATTAAATTCTTAATAAAGTTATAAACAACCTGAAGAAAGTTTAAGCGAAAAAGGATTTGTTTAGTTTAGTTTAGTAGATAATATAAATTTTAATATGTTAACACATTCTTCAAGTAGAGGCTAGTTATTGATGCCCCTTTTAAGTAGAGATACTTCAATGCAGGAACTAAGATAAAATGTTTTACCTGTCTATGATCCATTCAAATCACCTCCAGATTTTACTTTAGTTGACATGCACGCAAAGGCTTGCCTTGTTGGTAAACTCGAGGAGAAATAGGACAATATCGAATGCTGTCCTTGCTGCAATAACTTTGTTAATAAAGGAAATATGGATATTAATTGCAGCGATTAAGATTTGGAGTTTTTAGGAGCTGCTTATCCATTATTTTTTAAAATGACAATCTATGTGATTATTTTTATTCTTATCCTTTTTTTCTTTGGAGGCTCTATGCGTATTATGTGGAGTAACTGGAATTGCGAGGATGATTGTGTAAGATTCTTTGGATATTTTGTAATTATGGATTCTAGTAAAGAGCATGAATAGTTTAATGGCATGTGGTATGACCTTCTTACATCTTTAATTCTTATGGCAGCTGTTATAGTAATAAAGCCTCAAATTGCAAATAATATAAATGATATCAATATTGGATTTATTGATCCAGCATCATTTACTATTGCTATGAAGAATCTTCCTCAAAACACAAAAAAGGAAGACATTGAAAATTTCTTCAAGCCTGTATTGAAGCGTTCAAAAGATTAGCCTAAAATAGAGAAAATAAATTTTGCTTATTCAGTCGATTAATATTTTGCTGCTTTTAATTCAAAAGTAATTTAATTAAAAAATAGAAATTTAGAAATTTCATATTAAAAAGAAGGAATGAACAAAATTAAAAAATGATGAAATAATTAATGAATGAATGAATGAATTATTGTTATTATTTAGGTACAAATAAATTATTAATTAACTTTTATAAAAAATATAGATTAGCTGCATCACTTAGATAAATAAAATCAATTTAAAACTTAATGATAACTTTTGTGAAGAAAGTAAAAAACCTAAGTTGAGACAGTAATTAGAATATCAACAAAACCTTCTCAAGTAGCATGAAGAGCAATTGGAAAAATTCAGTAAAGAATGCGAAAAAGAAGGTTATACGGAAAATTTTACAGGAACGGCGTTTGTTACATTCAACACTTAAAAAATTATTAAACCTATTCTTAGTGAATGGGGCAATAGCACAAGAAGAAGTTTACAAAATTTCCTGTTTGGGTGCTTTTAATCACCTTACTAGGATTTCAAGGGTAATAAATTAATCATTACAAAGGTAAAATTAGACTTAAAGGCTTTTTACTTTAATTGAAACAATTTAAATATTTAAAGGCTCCTACTCCTACTGATATTCTTTGGGACAACCAAAAATTCTCCTTCTTCAGAACTTATTTGAATAATTCACTTATGATTTTTGTTGCCCTAGCTATTTTGTTTGGTAGTTTTTATCTTCAATATATAATAATGAAAATAGTTTATCCCTTCAGAAAGAATGCAAGCTAAGATTTCGGTAAAAGAATCTAAGCTTATGCTATGTCACTTGTAGTCGTCACTTGTAATGCAATTCTAAGATTGGTTGTCATGTATTTTACACAGCTTTAAAAGCTAGACTCATAAGTACGCTATAACTCTGCATATATTAATAGGTAATTTTATATTTAAATTTTAATTAATTATTAAATAAATTTTATTTTATAATTAATAGATATGTCGTTCTTTTGTTTTTTAATAGTGCTTTTATGCCTTACTTGATTCATAAGAAATGGGATGATGATATTTAAGTTAGCTCAAACCTTCTTTTGCAAGATATTACTTTCTTATTTTTAACTAATGCTTTCTCAGAGCCCTTAGCCAAAATATTTAATGTTTTTTGGGTTCACAGAGTTTACATGAGATACATAATTAGGAAGTATGAGCCAAACAAATGCCCTTACACTTAGCACGAAGCAAATTACTGGCATGAAGGTCCTTCATTTTTTATAGCGAATAGTTATGCTTACATATCTCGTACTTTATTTTTATGTACTTGGTATGCTTCTGTATCTCCTTATGGGCTATTGTTTTCCTTAATAGGTAATCTACCTTTCTCAAGAATTAATTCAAATCTAAAACTATTTTAGATTTTTATAATGAAAATATTTTTAATTTAAATAAATAGGTTTAATCTGTAATTATTATGTGGACAGGATCTTACTATTGAGATATTGTTCATGCCCTGAATCCTAAAGTGAAGACATAATTACAGAAGTTGTGAATTCGCTTCCTTTCTTGCCTATTATTTATATTTGTGGTGTGATATAATTCTAAAATAGATCGAAGTTAGAGGTTAACGAAAATTTATTTGTTTTCTTTGGTTAATATTTTGAATATGGATTAACTTCGGTAGCTATGTTTGTGTCTTTTGTTGGATATCTGCTGATAAACCATTTGTAAAAAGATAAAAAAGAATAATTTAGTGATAAATTCAACATTCAGTATAATGATGCAATTAGTGAGTTTAGAACTGAATATGAAAAAGTCAACCCTATCACTTCTTTTAAAGCAAATATGGAATGGACTAAAGCCATGAACAAAAAAAGAGCAAATAACGTAGTTGGTAATTAAATGACTAATGTGTAAAATAGAAATACTAGAACAACAAATTATTTTGCTTTCGGTGGTGCTAATATAAGAAATTCAACTTTGCTGTAACGTAACAGTAGTTTGGGTAATTTAAATGCATTTAGGTAAAGAATACCTGAAGTAGATCACAGGCTACCTATGACGTCTTCTTAATCGAATTTAAATGCTTTTGAATTGATTAAATTTAACTGAAAGCAAGGTTTATATAATACAAAATCATTACTTTAAATAAAAGCTATTTACTTAATATTAAAATAAATAAATAAATATTTTTATTTTTGAGTAATGAAAAAATGATGATTGTATTATATTTTAGGAAGGATATCTAAATAATTAATTAATTAATTCTCTTTATTTCAAAAATATAGCTTAGTTAGTAAATTACTAATTACTTAACTGGATAAATTTAAAATATAAATTGAACTCTAAATTCATGAATAATAAATGCATAATTACATAGATTAATTTAATAACTTTTATAATAATCAAAATATTAAACTAAAAACTGTTTTATCACATAACAATATTTACATAGTATCTAAAATAAACAATTCAAACAATTCTTTCTTTTTTATTTATAATTTTGATAACATCTCTTTGTTTTTCATTGAAAATAAATAATTAACCTTCAAATAAAATACCAAATGTAATTTATTAAGTTTAAACATTTTTATCCTTCCTTGTTTACTGAAAAAATTAACAAAAAAATTGAAGATAACTTTCATAATTTATAAAATTTAACATGTTGATTTATTTATATTGTTAAAAAATAATAATCCATAGAAAATCAATTAAAAAACCAAAAGAAAATAATTGAATAATTTTTTATATTCTTTTAGAATAATTTAAGTAATATAAAATAATTTATTAGATCATTTAAATTTATATTTTAAGAATTATAAATAAATTGCATTAAATATTAATTGAATTTAATTTTAGCTTACTTGCTACTAACTATTTTTATTTTTAATTTTATCAATTACTCACTCATTTTTATGTTTTTTATTCATAATATTTATCTAAATACTGCTAAAGCATGTCAGATAAAGTCTCAGTCATTTCACTTGAAATATTATATATCTTAGAAAAATTATAGGCTAATTCAGATGCATTATCTCCTTCATGCAGAGTGATTTTTCCCTTTTTAGTTTTTGTTATATTTATATCAACATGACCTATTAACTTTCTTTCTTCTTAAGGAAGCTTTTTCTTTTAATTTTTTTCATCAAAACTAAATGGTAGTACTTTCTTAGATCCTTGTTTTTGATTTTATTATGAAAGCAAATATCTTTACTTTTCAAAGAACATTTCTTTTTCTAGCTTCTCTTTTCTGGCTTTGTACATTCTTTGTAATTACTAATTAAGACCTTTAATATTCTAAAGCTATCCTTCCTACAGCATTTCTTTATTTATTTCACTAGTTTAAGGTTAAAAAGTGCATTGCTCTAACTCTTACTCTTAACGATAAAATTCAACGTATTCTTTTATTTCTTTAATTTAATTCTATTTTCTGTTATGTATCTTAAATAGCTGCTCATACCTCTTTTAATTTTCTTCATATTATTATTGCTCATCTTCCTAATTATCATAGAAGCCTTCTTATTAATTATATTTAGAATTTTTTGACCTTTGTTCCTTCCTTAATATTTTATTTTACATTTATATTTTAGTATTTTCGAAGTAAAAAATAAAAAATTTACATTTTTTACACATTTGTTTGAGGTTTGAATGTGCATTATTAAACTTCTTTTTAAAGCTTTTCAACCTTTTGTTGCTATTATTTTTCTTATTTAATTTTGTGTTGGTCAAAGAGAATTTCATGCCTTTTTTAATTTATGCAAGATTTTGACTACTAAATCATTGAATCCATAACCCTACTTCTTTAATTGATTTGAGGATGAAAAGACATTTCGCTATTTTCATAAACGCTGCTTTAAACAGCTAATTTCTTATTCCAATTAGCATAAAAGTCCATTAAAGTCGTTTTATCATCAAAAATTTATCTAAAATTCTTTACAAGTTATTCTAGAGTCCAGTTGTGTTGTACAGAAAAATAAATATCAACGACTTCTTAACCTCTATTAAAATCTTCACTAAATAAATTACACAGAATAATTTCGTTTAACAAAAGTTCACTTTATTAAACAGTAAGCTTTAATTCTAATAAAACCATAGTAATGTCAAATAAACATTTACTCGATATTGATTCTATTTCCTCAGGCTCTTTATATTAGAGCTAATCGATTGACATTATCTTCCATAGCTCCTCATGAAAAGTCATCTCTTATTTCATTCTCTCTATTTCTATATTATTTAAACCTTTTAGCTGGCTAATGCTAATATCACCATTCTCATTTTCTTCAAATTTTACACTTCTAAAAATTCCCAATTACTAAAAAAAGAACCCCACTCCTTCAAACTTTAACACCTTTTTTTTAGTTGTAGAAATGTCTTTACATACATCTCCTTCTTCTTAATATTAATTTTCTTGAGGATTTTTATCATCATCATCCTCTTCAATACTTGCAATCAATGCCTGCAGAAATTCCTTTTGTATAAAATGAAAATTATATTTTATAAATCTCAAAACATAAAATGCTTACTTCAATTTTACTCAAGATAATTTTTTGAGAATTAACTCCTATTTTTGATTAGTTTGTCTACTTTTTAGTTTCTTTAATCATTTATTTTTCCATTTGTTCTTGTTTTTATTTTCTTAAAACTGCATCTTCGTACAGATGATTTGGAGTTAAGTTTCTCGATCTTTAATTTTAAATTTCTTTTTCTGATTAAGGACAGCTCATATAGCTATTCTTCAAATCGTTAGGCTTGAAAGTACACTCATAACTATTATTATCCTGAAATTCTATATCTTAAGTTTTTGTATTATTAAAAAATTACTCCTAATTCATTTTATCCTAAATGTAATTATTTTTTAATGTTTATTTTGAGCTAAATGAATCAATATTTTCTTATTTAACTATCCTTTGAGTGCTTATATTTGATTTTTCATTACTTGATTGAGATTATTTGATGATGGTAGTTTCATAATTTTATTTCGCTCCCATTTTTTATTTTTATTCTTTATCAATATTTTTTTTCTACTAATTATAAATTTATTCTTTTGAAGGTGAGCATCTAATATTATCCATTTTATAAGTTAAATTTTCAGCATCTTTTTATTGCTACTTTTAATTATTATTATTATCACCCTTCATATTTTTTAAAGAGCTTTAAAACTCCTTTTGCTAATTACTGCTTTTTTCTTCTAAAATTCTAAATTTTTCTCCCAATCTATCTAAATATTCCCAATCTTTTTCATTCAGTAGGCCACTTTGCTTATCATTTTATTTTTAAACTTTGTCTTAATTATTCTAAGATTTATTTTACTAAATATTTTAATTGATAACACCTTTACTTTTTCTCTCATATTCTTCTGTCTTTAATTTATCTTTATTATATTGAGTTTAATCGCTTTCATATTTTTTTGCCTTTTCACCTATATTATTCTTCCAAATATCTTCAAATGTTTTCAATTTAGCAGACATTTTGTATGATAAAAAATATAAATTTTTTAAATTTCAATAATCAAAATTTAATTAATATTATTTATTGTTTAAATTTTTGTTTGTTTATTTGTTAGACTCTATATTTATTTGTGTATATCTGTTTATATTAGAAAAATTATATGAAACCTAATTGTAGTATTGAATGAATGAATACGAATAAATATCTTATTTACTTTTTAATTTTCAAAATCTCTTAAATAAGTGATCAGTATTTATTTTGCCATTAAAAACAGGGTCTTTTATGATTTGCTATTTAAAATTTTAAGATTTATATATAAATTATAAAGAAATGCTAATTTTTAATTTTCTTTTCAGTTAAAAAGAGTGTGATTAGGACAGAAATTAAAAAAAATATTTATTATTTTTAAAGCCTCAAAATAGTAATTATATCTAAAAGATATTTAAATAAATGAAATTTATATCTTTATCTGTTATAGTTTGATTTGAATAGTTTCTATTTAAAGAGAAACTGCGATACTAATGAGTAAGCTAGATATCGAACTACATAAATTAGTGCTGGATAAAAATAAGAAATTCATAAGAGAAAAATATTCAAAAAATAATACAAGTCAATAAAAATGTTAAAATAGTTATAGCAATTTATCATTTAACATTTCTATAAAAATAGCATCTTTACTGAATCAAATTATTTTACTAGAGTATATTTCTATTTATAAATCAATGAATATGCAAAAATAAATAATAAGAGTTATTTTAATATTCAACTCTATTTTATTATCTATATGATTCAAGCAATTAGAAGTTTTTAATAATTATATAAAAATTTTGAAAAAAAAATAGTCAGAATCCATAAATAGCTATTAAAAATTAAATATATAACTAAAGGAAAATATATTTTTCTTTCTTGCTGCTTAGCATATATATATATAAATAAATAGATTCAGTTTATCAAGAAATTTGTTTAAGCTTAAAAATTTGAGTTATTAAAAATTATTAAATAAAAAAACTAAGTATAAAAAGCTTTAAAAATATTGAGTTATTAAATTTTGAAAAATGAAGGTCAAAGATTAAATGTTTAAGGTTCTAATTTTAGGTGATCCAGCAGTCGGAAAATCTTGTTTATTGCTTTAGTATTGCGATTAAACTTTTTAACCAACTCATGTTGCCACTGTTGGTAAATAGAATATATTAAAATTTTCAATAGCTACATAAGCGAATAGTTTAATATTTTAAAATGAAATTTAAATCATTTGCTTAAAAAAAAAAACATTCTAAAAACAAAAATTAAAGGACAATAGGACTTAAAATTAAAATATTATTAAAATATAGGTATTGATTTTAAAATGAAAGTACTCCAAATACAAGATTCAACTGTAAAGATGCAATTATGGGATACAGCAGGTTAAGAAAGATATCAAACATTAGCATCTACATTATATAAAGGCGCTATGGGTATAGTACTAGTTTATTCTGTTGATAATAGAAAAGCATTCGATGGTATTGCTAGATGGGTCAAGTAAAATAAATATTATTACTTAAATTAGAGTTATTTATTTTCATAAACTCTACAAAATAAAATTCAAATTTTCCATAAGTTTATTCTTTGCAAATATAAATAAATAAATATCTAAATTTCTAAATATAAAATAGATAAATCAAAGAAAACACAAACGAAAGTATTTAGATCATATTAGTGGCTAATAAAAGTGATTTACCCAATAAATAAGTATCAACAGCTGATGGAAGAAGATTAGCTGAACAGTACTAGCTCGATTTCTTCGAAGTATCTGCAATGACAGGTGAAAATGTTAAGAATGCATTTGAAACTCTTGCTAATAAAATTTATGCTCATATGAAACAAAATCCACCTCCAGTAGCTTAAGAATAAGAAACTGGAAAAAAATTAACTGTTGCCTAAGCAACTACAACAACACCTTCTAAGCAAAAGGGTTGTGCATGTGGTTGAAAATTTTTATTTATTCTTATGATAATTTTAAATACTGTCCATATTTTATTTTATGTTTAGTAAGTAAGCAATTCTCTCTTAGGCAAATGAAATTAATTAAAATTTTTAACATTAATATAGGTATTTTATATTTTTTTACAATGAAAGCTAATTTTTAATTATCTATGTTAGTTAGTTCATAAAGTAATGTTGCTTTTCTTTGATTTATTTAATACTAATTGTTTTTGAAAGATAATTATGTTATTAAATAACTTAAATAATATTAAGCAGAAGAAAAATATTTTAAATTTGGTTAATAAATTATTTTGTTTCCATCCTTGAGTTACTAATTAATGTAATAAGATTATAAATAGTTTATTTTTTTTCAGTAATTTAATTTTCTCAAAATAATATCCATTCAAAAAAAAAGATTTACTTTTAAATATTTAGTTTTCTTTTTATGCAAATTAATTTATAAATCAATAAAATTTTGTTTTTTTGGTTTCTCAATTTAATAAATTAAACAAATTATAAATAATTTCATAATCTATTTATTCATTTTGTTTATTGTGCGTATCTCATCTAAAAAGTAAATCTAAACATGAAAAAGTTGGAAAAGCAATATTCTCCAAATCAACCAAAGGCTAATCTTCAAAGAGGAGCATTCTCTTATGTAACCTAGAAGTATAATTAGTATTCAAAAAAATAAATTGATTAGTTGCTTTAGGATTTACAAAAAACACATGATTAATCTTACTTAGAATAAAGAAGTTATGAGATTCCATTAAATATCCAAAAAATAAAAAAATTTGAAGATAGTATTGAAGAGTAGTATCCAAACAAAAGCTTAAATATAAATGAGTAAATTTCATTCAAAAGCTGCTAAGAACATAGTAACAATTCACCTTCTAAAATAAAAGGATTCTCAAACAATCAATTTTAAAATGATAATTTTCACTCGAGACTCATTAACAATAAGTCTGGTATATCTATTCAAATAAATCAAGAAGAATAAAATTAGTAGCTAAATATGCAAAACTAAAATATCAATTCTTTTTATTAAATGTGGGAGCTTAAATAGCAATTTGAAGACATGTGCTAAAACTCTTAAGATAAGACTTTGATCATAAATGACCTAGTTGAATAAATAAAATCTGAGTACTCAAACTTAAAGAATTTATAATAAGATTATTCTAACTTTAAGATAAAGAATGATATTGAAGTTATTGGGATAGAAAAACAGATAGAAGTTCAAAGAAAGTAATCTTTATTTATATACATTTAAAATTATTTATTTATAGAGTTCTAATTTTAAAAATAAGAAAGTTAAAGATACTGAATTTGAGAATTTAACAAAAAGAAGATTTTGACATAGAAGAAATTGAGCTTAGATAAAAAATTAATGAAGAGTTTTAACATTTAAACGAATAAATATAATTTTTAGAAACAGAAAATTAGTTAGAAGTAGAATAATTCCAAGCAGAAATCCTTTTGGAAAAGTAAATATAAGCCTAAATGATTAAATAATTGGCATAAATAAATAATTAAATTGAAGAAAAGTAAAAAAAAAATAATTAAGAGGAGTAGCTGCTATTGCTTGAAACAAAATAATAAGAATTAAAAGAGTTAGAGGATCGAAAGGTTAAAGTTATTACTGATATATAAGAAGTTTAGAATAGTTATAATAAATTAGACTAATAATATTAATTGGCTATTGAATTAACTTAAAATGAATCCTAAATAGAGTAAACAGAGTTTAAAGTCACAATTTAGGAGCAAAATTTGCTAATTTAATAATTAATGAGAGATATTAAAATACTTTCAGAGCTTATAACTAATTAGAGTAATGATTTAGCTGATAGTCATTTTGCATCTAATTAACTTAGCCAATAATTATATAATAATGAAACACTAATAGATGAGGATTAAAGTTTAGTAAATAAATTAAATTATAATTAGAAATTAATATTTTATTTAAATTAAAGAAAAGCACAAATCATAGTAGTCCTAAGATGAAAGATAATGAAGTAAAAGAGCAAATTTATTCCTTTTAATAATTCTCACAAATCAGCCAAAACAAAATTTACTAAGCTATATAACAACAAATGCATGTTATAGATGAAGAAATTTAAAAGTCATAAATAGTATACGAAGATTAACTGAAGAAAAAAGAATCTCTAATTCAAGAAATAGAAAAAATAAAGGCATCATCTACATAAAGATAAACAAATTTCAAATCAGAAATCTAATAGCTATAAGCTACTTTGGAAAAAGATAAAACGGAAATGTAAAATAACTAATCTCAGGTAATTCAAAAAGAAAATGAACTGAAAGAAATTGATAGCTTAATTGATGGTAATACTGATATAATAAATTAATACTAAGTAAATATAAAAAACACAAACATTTAAATTGAATAGCTATAATTAAATATAACTGATTTAAAAGACCAAATTAAAGAGCTTGAGGAATAATTCAGTAAAAAAAGTAAAAAAGGTAAAAAAAATGAAAAATTTACTTCTAAAAATTCATTTGAAATTTAATTTAACAAAGACTGATCGTTTGAGAAAATCTTAAATCATTAATAAAAAAAACTACTATTGATTAGCTAAGAAAAGAAAATTTAAATTTTCTTAATAGAAAATATAATTTTAGAATATGATAAATTGTTAAAATGGATAACTGTTAAATTGAATAGTTTTTTGAACAGATATTGACTATATATCTATCATAAGATATTAGCTATTTATATAAAAATAAATTTTAATCAAATGTAAATAAATAAACTTTAAAAATAATATATATTTTTGTAAATTTTTTTATAAATTTACAAAAGCAATAAAAAAATATTTAGTAATGAATGTAAAAAATTGACTGTATAAAATAATATTTTCAATTTTTTGCTAAATTAAAAACACAATTTATCATAAAATAAGAAAATTTCTGTAAGTTGAGGGTGCTTTTGAATAAGATATTTTTGTTAATAATTATTATTTAATATTGAAAAAAAATAATTTAACCTTTAAATTAAAATACAAAAAATATTTAATTATAAATTGAGTTTATTGTTTGAATCCTAGTATGTAGATATATTTTAATTTTTACTATTTTAATTGAGTTATATAAAATTTTTTTTAAAGAATTTTTGAATAATCTAAAAATTAATAACATTTAAAAAAATAATAAAAGATTTACTTAAAATTTAAATAAAGATTAATGTTGAAATATTTATTGTTTATTGTTTGAAAATTGATTTTTGTTTAGATTTACTTAAAATTATTTTATTTTAATTCAGTTTAATAGAATACTTTTTAAAAATAAATAAAAATACACTTAATAATTTTTTAATTGAGATAAATTATAGATCTAAAATAAAGGACTAATAAATTGGTTTATACAATCAAGATTAAATTAAATTACAATGCATTAAATTTCTATTTAAAGTTAACTAAATTTATATTAATTTAATAAATTTATTTTTTTCAATATGCAGATGATAAAGATTCATAAATGACTAAATTAATCTTTTCAGCTAGCACTTCAATTTATTCAATAACTTCGATCATTGATTCGTGGTTATTAGCATACAATTAAAGAAGCATTTGAGAGGTTTGGTCTTCGTTTTATCCTACTAAAATATCAGCAACATTAAATTTGACTTCATACTTTTAGCATATATCCAAAATTTTATTGATAGCACCTGTATCGAATATGTGGCCTTCGATTTTTAAAGAAGAGAAGCTCTGAACTTTTTTGCTGAGACCTCTTTTAGGTTCAAAGTTTTTGCTAGCTTCTATTCTTTCATTAGCATCTCTTAGCTTTCTTATATATTAGTAGGCATGTGTTAAATCGCCATTATGAGTAATAACTGCTCTTTTAATACAATCTATAAGCCCACTTTCTTCAATATGTAAGCTGATGTCGCTCTCTGCTATATTTGGAATCCATTCTTTTAAGTGGTTGGAAAAGTGAGTGCCTTTTTTTAGATAAAAATTAATTTCAGTAAAATAATGTGATTTTATAGAAAAAAAAATATGCAAAGTTAAGCTTGCTATGAAGAAGAAAAAAAAGAAACCAAGAAAAGACTAGGTACTTAATAGTGTTAAAGTAAAATACCTAAAATTAAAACAAATTATTTGAAAGATAAATACTTGAATAATAAAAATTGATAGAAAAAAATTCTTTTTTGAAAAATGATGCATTAATTAACTTTTTTTATTTAAAAGTGACTCAATAAAAGTTAAGTGGAAGATAATTTTAATTTTTGTTTATTTGATTGTTTGTGATTTTTAATTTAGTTAGAAAACTTTAAATAAAAGTTGTGGAAAAAAAGACAAGATTTACGTGATGAAAATAAATAAATAGTATTGAATTTATTATTTTTTAGATCAAAAGAGTTTTTGATAAAATTAGTTGATTTTGTTTGGTAGTACTATTTTTATTTTTCTAAATTCCAAAAGAAAAAATAGTTTTTAATTAACTTACTTGCATCAAAAGGAAGCTCGCATGGAAGGAAATCGAGGGCTAGATAAAGAATACCATTATCTCTATATTTTAAGTCATCGTAAATCTTTTGTTCAATAGGTTCATATACATAGAAAGGTTAGTCAGGGGTGGTGAATTTTTTCAAAAATTCTATAGATCCTTCTAAGTCACAAGTGACGTCTGAAATACCTAATAATTTACTTTTTCCTTTTTGAGCTAATTCTTTCATGTGTTAATCAGTTATAAGACGTGGGAATTTGTAATCCCAATACATATTATGGAAGATAGATGATATGTAAGGCAAGTATTTTTCATGGAAAATGGGTACATATTCATGAGGATTTTCATAGTAGTGTTTCTTTTCAAAGTGGTCCTTATGCTCTGAATGTTCAACCATGTGTTCAGGCAAAATAGAGCAGCAGTAAATGGTTGTAGCATGAGCTGGGTTATCGATGTCATCATGAAGAGCTTTGAGCTCATCAGGGGAAACCTTCTTAATAGGAAGATTTTCTAGGACTTCCCATGCTCCATTAGCGCAGCGTCCAGTTCCAGTAACTGCAAATACTAATGGACGCAATTCTTTAGGAATTTCTTATGATTCTAATTGCTATCCAACCTTTTAAAAAATAAACAATATATTTATAATGCATTAAAATAATATCTTTAATAAAATAATTTATCAAACTCTTCCTCAATTATTCTTTATTTTATAAACAATCAATATCTATTTTTATATATTAAATAAACCAAGAAGAATTAATTCTACTCTATTTCTATTTTCAATTATATTGTTTATATATTTAGTTCATTAAATGTGCTTAAATAAGATGTAAAAACTCTATAATCGATAGAGATTATTGCTTTATTAAGTGGATTTTTCTAAACTAGAAAAATTTATATAATTATATTATAGTTTAATAGCAATGTAATATAAAGTAGAATATTTAAAAATTTACTGATTTAAGGTGGAGGTATGCTTGTTCTAAATTAAAGTATTTATAGCTCATGCTGATGTTGAGGAAAGCAGTTGAGATAGATTTGGTCATTAAGTATTAACCGAGGCCACTCAAATAATCTATGGTACCAGCGATACCAGCAAATCTACCAAAAGCTACAAGACGATTGTTTTTTTCATCTGTGATTTTTTCATAGTCAATTAATCTAATCTTTTTCTAAATCATATCATCCAGAGCAGCCATATTTTACTTTTAAGCTTTGATTGTATGAGAAAAGAACATGTATGTCTTCTAAGGATAAAGCTTTTCAATAGGAACTTCCTTAACGCATATAATTAGAGAGCAGTTTGTGAGATCTGAACTAATAATAGCACCAGCATTTTCATATTCCTTGTTAGAAAAAACTCTTTTTGTGCAAGGTTCAACAATAAACTTGATATAAGGATACTTATCATGGATTTCTCTGACATGCTTGGGGATAATAGGAACTCTTCTCTCCCAGTGACTTTTGTCTTCAGCTCTTACACCAACATAAATTATTTTATTTTGTTCGCTCATTCCTAATACCTTATTTTTTTTAACTTTTTTTCAAATATTTAATGCGAATGCTACTTTTTTTTTATTTTTTAATTTTTTGATCTATCAATTAATTATTTAATATGTTTAAACTTTTTTGTTGATATAATATTAATAATCCTAAGCAACAAACAGGAAAAACTTCAATAATATTTATTTGCTCTTCTATGGTTCGCTTTCCAGTCATGCTTTTTATATGCAACTTTTTTAATTTCATTTTCAACTTAACGTAGATAAAGACCCCATTTTTAGTTTTGTTCAGCAGCTATGTGAATCTATTATTAAAATTCTTTATTTATTTCAAGCTGCTATTGATTTTCAATATTTTTTATAAATGTCATTTTTCACTTAATCTTTTTGAAATAATATGAGCTATTTGTTTATACCTTATATAATTTTAAAACGACTTTTGTGCATCTTTGGAAATGCAAATTTAAGCTCATTGGTGGGCATTAAATTAAATATTATAATTGCTTATTAACTTATATATTATAATAAATTTTATAGAAAATTCATAGAATGTTGAGATAACAATTTTGCTATTAGTACGTCAAATTAATCTATCATCAGCTAATTATGATCAAATTTTTGAATTGTTCATAATAAAATAAAAATTACTAGAAATCATTTAAAAACAAATTTTATAGATAAAAGAAATAAAAATGTACATTATATCTTTTATATACAAATTTTATAAAAATAATTTTTTTTTCTCTTTATTTCTATAAACATGTCCATTGTATGGGGGAGAATTAGAAAGTAAAATTTATGACTACAGTACCCAATAAAAATAACCATTTTGCTTAAAAATCTTATCCATCAACGAGTCTCAAAAGTTTCATCCCCCTAATTATAGGAATAACTTTTCTGTTTTACTTTATTATTTTAATAATATGTAAATATTTAATAAGATTTAAATATTTATTTCTTCATTCGGATATAGGTAATTGTAATTTTTCTAAAGTTGCAGCCAACAATGATGGCTCTATGTAGTCTTAATAAACCTAGAATAAACCAAAAAATTTGAAAATCAATAATTTAACTAAATTGAAAAAATTATAAGCTCACTTATTAAGGTTCTTTAATTGTTACAGATATATTAAAGGAATAATCTAATTTAAGTGAGTTAGAATATCTTTACGTAATCACAAAATGACAGAAGAAGTTTTTTAAGTAGATATTCAATTTATTTAAGAGCTTATCTTAAGTAAAAAAAACTACTTTAGACTTAAGTTAATTTGACTAAGATCTCTACTTAAGAGACAATAGTTTTTAACATGTTTTTTAATGTTTGTAATGCTTAGCCTCCTTCTCTAGTAGATGGATTTATGTTAAATATAGTAGGTAATAAGATTGAATATGATTAAGGTAAATAAATTACTAAATCTATTTCACCACAAGTCAACTTAATCCTTTAGCTTTTTTATGCAATACAATCGAATTGCAAAAGAAATAAGAGATAAAATGAAAGAAAATTTTGAAGGTCTTAAAAATATATGGGTAGAAATTAAAGAACTAGAACTTTGGTTAGCTTTCATTTAATTTGTATTTTTATCAATTTATACATATCAAAATAAATAAAGTGCCTTTTATGCTTATTTTTCTTTAACTGCAACAAAAGCAGTTTTCTCTTAAAGATAATATTCAAATAACTTAAATAAGGATTAGAGAGTTTGAATTTTGTAATCTCTAACTTATAATATTTGCAGTAGCCTTAATTGTTATCTATTTAAGCTAATATATAATTGCTTCTAAACAATTGATAATTGATTATAAATGTTGGTTATTATAATTTATTTCTTACTGAATTTATAATCAATTAAATTCTATTAATTAATCTTGAAAACTAAAAATAGTAAATAATTGAAATATAATTAGAAATCTTCAAATATTTAATTTTTACACATAAGTAAACAATGAATGAATTTTTATATGCACAATAAAATCAATAAAAATTAAAATTATCTTATCATAAATATTTAAAATCTTTAAAATAAATATTAATTAAATACAATACTACTATCTAATTTGCTAAATTTTAATTTTTCATTTTAAAGGAATTAATATTTTTTTATTTTTTGTATTTTTTAACTAAAATATTACTAAAGAAAAAATATAAATTATAAAAATAGTAATATTTTTAGACGATATACATTCAATTAAAATAAACTTCAACTTTTAACTAGATTAATATTTATAGTGATAATAGACCATTATACAAAATCAAAACTATTAAATTGAGAATGTGTATTTTATTTGAAATTTATCTTATTTGAGTTACTATAATAACTTATATAATTATAATACCTTCTTTGTTGTAAAAAAGTTGTATTCAATTAATTTTATTTTAATTTAATGAGATTTTTAAAATTTATCAAAAGATTTAAATTTAATTATGACATTTTAAACTAAAAAATTTAGTTACAATTAAATTCTATAAGTTTCATTAAATAAAATCTCTAAAAATAAGCAAAATCACAATTTTATATTTTCTAGATAAATTCAGATTAACAAATAAAGTATCTTTTAATATTTAATTTTTTTAACAGATTAAAATCAACTGCAAGTAGTGAAAATTTATTTTATTTTATTTAAATCTATCTAGTTTATAAATGAATGAGTAAATAATTTTATAAAAAATTAATAAAAAACTGAGATACTCACACATTCAGGTATTTTTTCTTTTTAATAAGTAAGAAAGAAAATTAAAAAATAAAAATTAATAAAATCATATTGAGGAGCTCTAATTATTCCAAAATATTATAGACAACTCTTGAATTGAAATTTGCTTATGTGAATCTAACAGTTATTTATTACTCTCACTCAACAAAGACAATTTTATTTTGATAGAATCGAATCTTGATAAAAAATTTAAATAAAAATTAAGACTTTTAGATACAATTAATAGAGGTTGTTAATATCATGATTTTACTATTTTTTTTGTATAATATTAAAGGAATATAGTTTTTGACTATTCTATTAAATGTAAAAAAGAAAAAGTAAAATTAACAAATTAATTAATTAGAAATATTCTAGATTATTTCATTACATTTTTTTAATTTAGTTTACATCATTTAAATTTATAAATACAAAAACTATTTACACATTTAAAATTATTTTGACTATTTATAGGGGTAATAAAAAATAAAATTCCCTATAAAATATTTTGTAGATAAGAAATAACTGAAAAAATATTGAAATGCCAAAATATATTAAAAAGAAATTACCTTCCCTTATTTAAATATAAAAAAAATGATTTAGTAAATATTCCCTTTTAGGAAAAATTAAAAAGATGAAATAAATGATATGAATATACTGGTAGTATAGATTTATATAATATTAATTAAAGAATTGAATTGTTGATTAGCTGACTATATTTAATAATGCGCTGAAATTAATTTGAATAATAAAAGGGTTTTCATTGTATAAATGAAAGAAGAAATGAGAAGAATTATTAATTATATTATTTACTTAGTTTGGTTCTATATTATAGAGTACTTTTAATAATTAAAGAGTAAATTTATTTGAGAGAAGGATTGGTTTTTAATTATTTATTAAGAATAAGCTTAATGCTGATACTTATACTCAGTAATAAATTTAAGAGACTGGCATAAGATTTAAATGAATTGCAAATTGAGCTCTTCACCATTAGAAGAAGTAGCTAGAAGATAGGAAGCTAGAATCAAGGGTGGGCAAAAGATTTTTTTGATTAAAGTCTTAATTTTTGTTATAAGTATTTGGTTCATTAAATGTCAAAGAGTTAGCAATTGGAATTTGATTGTAAACAATTTCTTATTAGAATGGGTTTCTGAAAAAATTATTTTCTTTTTATTATAATTGCAAAGTAGAATAAGGAGCTGTTAACTATTTAGCTTAGATTTCAATTTAATTATCAACATTATTTTTATTAAAATTTTGTTAGAAAAATAGTAGTCTACTACTAGTGGAGCTAGAAGTATTTTATTTAGAAGCCTATGGTGTTGAAATAGTCAAAAGTTTCTTTTGGTAAAAAGTGCTTGGCTTAATTATCTCGTTGATAGATCTTGTATCATGATTATATTTGCATCTTTAGCCGTAAGGGCAAGTTAAAGTATTGAAAAACTCCTTACAAGGTCTAGTTTTATAGTATTAATTAGTTTTTCTTTCAGGTTTTTATTACAATTCGTGTCTTCCATGAGCATATTGACACTTTTTTCCATAATTGCATGTTCCATGTATTTAGTAATTTCTGCATAGCTCAGTTTTATAACGCTCCTTTTGTATTAAATTTTAGGGTTCAGTGGTAGATGATGATTCTTATTAATTTTATGATAGATTTTGATTGTTTTCTCCATCTGAATCGGAAGATGTTGCAGTTGAGTATGATTCTTGAGGATGATTGGATGAAGTTGACTACTTATGGTTTTACTTTTGTATATGCAAATCTTTTTAAGCAGCTGCAGAATCTATGAGATAGTTATCGTACTAATAGTTTTTAATCATTTTTTCAGTATAGATTTTGAATAAGATATGATTTATTATATTATTTTTCCCTTTTTTTATTCTTTCTAATTTAATTAATTGTATTATTTTTGATTGACAATTTTTTTATAATTTTTTTTATTTTAATAATAATTATGATTTTTTTGATATTAATTAAACACAGATGTCTTATATAATATATAAGTTCCTTATTAATACGTAAATTAAATGCATGCACTAAAATAGAAGTAACAAAGAACCTTTAAAAAAATAAATTGTTTATATGCAAATGCAAATCCTTACTGGTATTATAGACATTTTAAAAAATTTATTAGGTTCCAAGGATTTCAATCAAGAGTTACTATTTATTTAATTTAATATTTATTTATTTTCCAGAATTTATCCACCAGCGAACAAACCAAGTAACTCAAAAAAAAAAAATTACTTTTAATGATTACATAATACATGAAATAATTAATTCTATTATCTTTTTTTAAAATGAAAGAGGTGATTATTTCTTCGTTTATTCGAATTAATACATCCTTTTAAACCTTATTCTTATATTTTTTGAAGTAGTTTATTGACATTTATTTGCAGTTTATGCATAAATAAGATATTTTGATTTGATAAATAAAGTATTTGACCCATACCAAAATTAAATTCATGTAACATAAAATAACTTAATTTGCTATATTTAGCGTGTTTTGTCCTTTTATTTTAAACTTGTTAATTAGTCGATGGAGGAGATTTAAAGAAAAAATTTGTCTACTTTAAAAATTTGCATTACTTTGTTTGATTGATGTAGATTTGTAAATAAAATTTTTTTTTTTGTAAATTTTGATTAATCCTAATAGTTTATTTAATAATTTTGTTTAATTTTTTTATAGTCAATAATATTTTATTTGGATTTAGAAATGGCAATTTTTTTTTTCTTAAATAGGCGCTATGAATGTTGGCCTTAGGATTAAATTGATTGTGGTAGTTAATTAACCCATGATAAAGAAATATTTATTCAATTATTTTTTTTTATTCTTACAATAAGTAGATAGATTTTAAAAGATAAAATTCATTTAGAAAAAGATTGGAAGGTTATTTTTATATTTACTTTTTAAATTTTTTAATAAATTTGTAATTAATTTTAGTAATAAATAGAAAGAGGAGAAAAAAAAGAAATATTCTTTAGAAAAAATTAAACTGTTTATCGATTCCTATTATTTCTAAATTACATACGTAATTTTAGATAGTAAATTTATTTAGAACATTTCCTGAATAGTTGTTACAATTAACAAAATCAATCAATAAAACTTAAACAAAATTCACAATAAAAATAGGCAAAAGTATCATCATTAATTGCTATGTAAAGTTCATAAATATGTTAATTCGAGTTTTGAAATATTAGTTTCTTTTTTGAAATAGAATTAAATTATTAATTATTATCAAAATTAATCAAAATTTTATTGATTCTAATTTCAATGAAAATTTTGAGAAATTTTGAAGAAATTTTTTTCTAAGTGGTAATGGTTTTAATCCAATATTTTTACATTTTAAAAATATGTTTACGCATTATCATATTTTGCAAATATCTGCTTATTGCTTGCTGCTACTCATAAATATAAAAACTCACAATGCTTAAAATTATTGTTACTTTGAATTATCTTGAAAAGTATGGATAGATTAATCAACTATCAGTTTATTTCATTATTGAACTACTTGATGCGCATTTTGTCATTTATCTTTTATCTAAGAATATTATTTATCTAAATAATTACGTTTTTATATAAGAATTCTTTATATCACCTTATTTGATTGATAAATGCTAATTTGGATAATTGATCATAATTTTTATCAATTTGGTTGACATTAGAGAGCGAAATAAAAATATCATGACATTAAATAAAAGATATTTTTAAATAACCAAATACCAGTAGTGTTAGTTAGATAAGAAGCAATTTTTTAAAAGAAAATTTTTAACAATTGGAAAAAAACAAATATTATAAATATTTTTTTAAATTTTTGAATAGTATAGACAAAGGATACTAATGATTAATTAAGTAATTGATTGAACTAAATTTAAATGATTAATTTCAAAAAATATACTCAATTCTATTTTATAAACTTTAATTTCTTAGATGTTTTTTAATTTCATCTTTGTGATTTTCACTTTTTAGAAAACCTTGAAGGTTCTCTCTTTATATTTATAGATTTCTATTATTTTGCTTGAGGAGTTAATGACATATATTTAACTGATTTTTAATTTATGATTTTATTATTATTTATGAATTTAATGGTAAATTGATCTTAATACTTGATATACTTTTTGATAATATTCTCCAAATTACCTAGAGGGAAATATTTTTAGAAGCTTTGTGGTATTTCAAAAGAGAAAATAAAAGTTAACATATCTTGTATATGCTTATTTTATAATTAAGGTGTCATTACAGTAACATTTTCAGGAATTAGCTAGCTTACTTAATTACTTTAATGTTATTAAGGTTATAATAATTATTATTGTGCTTAATTATTTGCAAAAGCTAAGCTTAAATCTTAAATTGAGTTTAATTTTTAAGCTTATGACTGTGAGTTAATTATTGGTGAGAAATAGATGTCACCATTATTATATGGTACTTTTTAAGGGTTCTAATTTTTCAAATGTTTTTATTAGACTGCTTGTTTATTTAAGTATGTTTAGTTTCTCATATTTTATTTAGAAACTTATTAAGAATTATTGCTACTGTTTAACTTTTCCGGATTGATTAGAGATATTTGACTGTTTGATTTTTGGTCTTCTTTACTAATTTCTTGCAAATTAGAAAATTCTTATTTAAAGTTTTTGTTGTTGCTGTTGTTATTGCTATTTTCATTTATTTATTCTTGTACTTGTATGATATTTTCCATGTCAGTCATTAGCTTGCTAGCCCTAGGAGTTTTATTTTTTTAGGATTAGATGTCCATGCTTATTGAAAGTATAGATTTTAGCTGTTTAAAACTCATTAGGTGTTTGCTTCTTCTCTTTATTCCTACTTTATCAGGTGACTATATTTACTACTTATATTCTTTCTTCTATATTAGATCTCCTATTTCTTATTAGGTCTTTTGAGTTGGTTCAATATCATTATTACTTCCTATAATATTTAAATGTATATCCTATTGTTTTATAATGCCTGCTTAAATACTTTCTTCTTTTGATAAATTGCTTGCAAAGTTAGATTTTTTTTCAAGAGGCTTTAGCTAAAAGGGTTTCTCTTTTTCTTGAGGTTATTTTACTTTGATAAGATTATTATTATTATCTAATACATTTGCTTAATCTTATTAATCTAAGCAGCTTAAAGAAGTATCTGACATTTAAATCAAATTATCTTCTTCAGTAATACTTTTCAAGCTATTCTTATTCAAATTCTAATTATTATTAATAGGAGGAGGAATTAGCAAATCTGTCAAGTGATCTAAGCTCTTATTTTAAATATTTTTTTCATAAATTTCTTCTTCTTCTTCATTTTAAATTTCTTCAAAGAGATCAAGTATATTTAAATTATCTAAAGTTGTAGTGATATCATAATTTTATTCCAAATAACACTAAATAGCTATACTTCCTTCATATTCATCTTATTCAGCAGATGTTTCATACATATTTAATTGTTAATTCCAAGCAACTATTGGGCACTTAAGATAGAAGTACTCATCATTCTCCTGTGTGATTTCCATAAGTTATAATGTTTCTTATGTAAATTGCCTGCTTTTATTGGTTTAAACCTATGTTTTTTAAATCGAACCGTACTCTCTTAATTTATAAGCTTCTTCTTCATTAATTGATTCGCAATCCGCAGGATTATTATTAAGTGCTTAAAATTAAGGAGATTCTAATTAACTCTACTTTTTAAGTATGTTATTAGATTCTATCAGTACAAATTTATTTTGCAATTCTTTTTGCATATTTTATTAAAGCATTTTTGTGCTTACGACAAGATGAACTCTGTACTCTTTAAGATCTTTTTTTATTTAGTACTGACTTTAGCCTAATGGGTTTAACTTTTTTCTGTTTGATCTTCTATAAAAAGACCTCTCTTATGCTAAAGAGTGACTGTATTTTAAAATAGCTTTTTATTTCTATTTTAAAAAATGCATTCGCGGGCATGCATACGTTGAATGATCATATCTAGAACATGGTTGACATTTTATGTATTTATCTTATTCATAAAATACTAATTCATCTCTAAGCGCACAATATACTTCCTTTTTATATTAATTTTTATGAAAAAAAAAAACAAATAATTATTTTATTTTATTTACATAGTCTTTAGGAAATCTCTTGAGAACTTCTAAAAAATGAGATCTTTAAATTTTTAAGACTGTAGTAAGCCCTTTACTCTGTGCTGTGAATTCATAGGGTACACCACACAAAAATTCTTTAACTGCAAAGCATTCTCCTACCTATATAGAAATTTTTTTATATTTATCAATTTAAGCTTTTAAAATTGTTAATAAAATTGAAATAGTAAATTTATTGTTACTGAATATTTAGTCTTGGTATTGATAAAAGTTTTTTTTGTTAGTCTAGAAATTCCATTATCTTAAAAGAGCAATACTTTGCCTTTTATAACGAGATAGATATTTTAGTACTGATCATTAAGCTTATTTTGCTCTTCTTCATGAAAATTTATTTATTGTTCTTTTTGGTAAAAGATAATTTCTCCTGGTCCAAAAACTTACTCCTTACATGCTACACTCAACATATCTAAAAATTGAGTTGAAAATTTAGAAGAAAAGAGCTTGCAAGACTTCAGATATCTTCCATAATAATCTTTGTATATGCTTTCTTTTAATTTAGGATTCATGATTTCTATTACATTTTATCCACTCTCAGGTTCCCACTCTTTCTTTAACTTAAGCATTTCTAAATACTGGAATACTTTTGTTTGCAACTCAGAATCTATATTTCTATTCTTCATATAGTTTGACATTTCATATCTTTGCTGTCTATATAAATAATCATTTAATTTTAACAAATATTCTTTTAATGTATAAAAATTAAATATATATAAATTACCTGTATTCTGCTTCATTTATTTGTAGTTACTAAAAGAGAGATCCTATTATATTTACAACATAAGCAAATGTACCGCAACTGAAAACAGTCATGCATGTAACGAATATTCTCTCAATATTATTAATAGGAGTAATATCTCCATATCCTACACTAATCATAGTTATAAACGAAAAGTATAAGCTTGCTATATATCTGTCTAAAATACCTTTGTCTATCAGCTCTGCTTTATCAAGCCAACTTACATTGCCGCTATCATGCACTTTCAAGCCAATATACTAAAATATGCAACCAAAAACATGCGCTAGAATTGTTATTGCCAATATTAAGTTTGTTATGGTAAATGAGACAGGAAATCTCAAAGATAATTAGAATTTTTCTTCAATTGAATTATACATTGATTTAAATTTGATAAAACGAATAAAAAATATAATTAAGATAAAAGCCACATAAGAATTTTCGTCTATAAGCCCTGTTCCAGCTATTCCTATTGCATCCCACCAAAAATCTTTCTTAATATATCTTAGTATAATAGTGTACTTATCAGAAATAAGTTCTCCATGTTCAAAGTATTTTAAATTAAAATTTAAAATCATCTCCAAAATAAAAGGAATGACAAATATAGCTCTTAACATCTTTTCATTAACTGAGAATAAGTTAATCGAATTATATGGGAAACTTATCAAGAAGGGAAGCATGAACAACTAATAGGTTAGCTAAAGAGCCAGTATTATTTTGAAAACAATAATCAAAATTTTAGTATTTGTTGTTGAAGGAAAAAATCGAAACACAGTATAGAAAACTTAAGAAAGATTAGCTAAAAAATAGTCTAAAGAAACTAAGTCTTCAAAAAATTTCGTTTATTTCTCATCATATTGCCTATTTGAAGATTTATCATCAATGATCATTAAATGATAATTCCTAAGCTTTGACCTAATTTAAAGCAAGCTAGATAGCTCTAATCTCCTAACCATGTATTTTAAGCTATCTATTCTTTTTTTAAGATTTAACCACCCAAAAGGATTTTTATTATCGCTTATCTTTTAGATACCATCTAATTGTGGGCTAACTGTAACTTTTTTGGTTCTTTAATAGTTATCGTTTAAATTTTAGCCATCTTTGCTACTATAAGACAATTACCTATTTTTTTCATCACAGCTATTGTTTTATATTTTTATTTAGTTATTCTCATAGCTGAGTTATTGATCAATATGTATTTCTTTTTATGAGCTCCTTTATTAAAACAAATTCTGCTTTGTAACAGGCTATTAATTAGACTATCATTTATTGTAATTTTTAAAGTTAATTTAATCTTTAAAATTAACAACTAATTTACTTCATCTTTAAATAACTAGCGCTTCGAGTTGGATGTCAATAAAATCTTATCTTCATTCTAATCGAATTCTGTGTTCAGGTTAGGAGTATTATACTATAGATCTTTTTAATTATAATTCATTTATACTATTTAATAGGTATTTACAATCAAAATTAAATTAAATAAAGTTTTTTGAAGAAATTATTTATTTATTTAAATTAGAAAAAAAAGCTGTTTACTTTTTTAAGGTCAATAAATAAATAACTATTATCTGATAATACTTCAAAACCTCAAATTTTACTCATTAATGTAAAAAAATATCAAAAGAGATTTGAAAGTTAGATAGAAAAAATTAGATCAATATGATGAACATTTTTCTAATGAATTTTTAACAAAGCAAACGATATTTTTCGAGACTGTAATTAAAATTTGATCCATTACACAATATTTATTCAAATAAATATATATTCAAGAAAGCATATTTTTAGAGTCTTTATAAAAATACAAAATCTATCTTAATAGTCTACAGAAATAATTAAGAAAATAATTTAATTTATTTAGCATTTGTAAAATTTTTTGAAATCTTGAAAAATTATCTTTTTTACCTTAAAATAAAACAATTCTAGCAAGTAGTACTTACTGTCTAAAAACTTAAAAAGTAGATTCACAAATATTTTTGAATACTTGATTAACTTTTTTATTATAAAATTTCCTATTTAAAATTAATTTGTAATATTCTATTAATGTATTCTTTTAAAATATCATATTTTCCTAATATGTTTTAAATCATTACTATTCTAAAATATATAAACTAATATCATTAATATTTTAATAACATTATTTTAATCACTTTATTCAATTAATAAAAGCAATTAATGTTTTTTCGATTATCAGGAGTCTAATTGAGAAGAAGAAAATTCAAATAAAATAATTATTATCAATTAATTTTGAAATATTTTAAGTTATTTAAAAGCGAAAAATTATATGAATAGCTAACTTTTTTATTTTGTACCATAATCAAAACAGTGCTGTTTTAAATTTACAAAATATTTAGAAAATAGTTTGAATTAAATATTTTAATTTAACTTTTTTAGATTATTTTAATAATTATTTATTTTAATATTTTATGTAAAGCTATTCAGAACTTTTATAAGTTAATAAGAAATTGTTAATGAATATTGTATATATGAATTATAATAATTATTAGTAAATAATTTTTTCTTTTTATATTTAAAATTTTTAGCATTTTAGCCTTTAAGATAACTTTTCTATCTATTAATTGGTAAAATATTTGAAAAATATTAATATAGAATTATTGAATTTGAAGTCGAATTATTTTAGAGAATATAACATAAATAAATTTTTCCTAAACAACAATAAATATAATTGATTTTCATACTTCTAGTTTAAATTATTCTAAGACTGTTTCTTAGAATATTAAGATATCTTTATAATTTAATCTATTAATTAAATAATTTTTCAACTTTTTGTTTTTGGGAAAATATTTCTAAAATTATGATCCCATTTTTATTTCTTTCAAATAAAAGCAAAAAAATTATTCAGAATCAAGTCATATTTTCATATTTTGATATGATTTTTAGTCATTTAATTTATTTTTAAGCTTATAAGAATTTTGAATCTCTTCAATTTTTATGATATCTTTTAGAATAAATGATTTTTTGTTTTATTTTTGATGATAGTTTTGCAAATTAACTTTTTTATCAAAAATAAACACGCGCTCTGCTGTTTTTGTTTTTGGCTTTTTATAAAAACTAAGATATTAAAAAAAAAAATATTATTTATTAAATAACTATTAATTTAAAAATAAAATAAAAAAACTAAAGTAAAGAAAAATGTCATAGGATTTATTAAAAGAAGTAAAGAAATAGAATTGTGAAAAGGTTAAGGAGCTATTAGCTTCTAAGAGAGACAACATCGACATAAACTTCATAGATAGCAAAACTAAACTAGGATTTTTGCATTTAGCAATATAAAACTATGATTATGATACACTTTAAGCTTTGTTAGGTGATAAACATGAACATAATTAAATAGATTTAAATTTACTGAACGGAGATGGGCTAACTCCTCTTGCTCTTGCATCATCATTAGGATATTTAGAAGGAGTAGAGCTTCTTTTAAAACAAAAAAATATAGATATTAACTTTTCTCTTAATTATGAAGACGGGAGAACAGCTTTTCATGTTGCTTGTGCAAATAAAAATAATTAGGAAGTCATTGATAAGCTAATCAAAAGAGGTGCTGATCCTAATATTGTTTCCAAAGGATTAGGTACTCCTCTTAAGATTGCAATTGATGAGGGAGATAATGAAAAAGCTATATGGCTAATCCATAATCCCAAAGTTGACGTAATGCTAAAAGATGATAATGATAATACATGCTTGCATACTGCAGTAGAGGCAGGTTTAGGTGATTTTATTAATTCATTATTCCAAATTTTTTAGGATAGAATTTAAGAAAAGCCTTCAACTGCTGAATTAATTAAAAGCTTTATGAACTAGTAAAATGATTAAGGAAATACTTGCCTACATTAAGCTGTATTAAGTAACAGATTAAGTATATAAAAGCTTTTAAAATTAACTGGTGTTAAGTTAGGACTTGATGTAAACATTAAAAATAAGTAAAATAAAACAGCAGAAGACTTGTAAACAGAAAAAGAAGAAAAGAAAAAGTAGTAAGAAGCATAAGAAATGTAAAGAAAAAATGAAATAAAAGTAGAAAAAGCACAAGTAAAGGAAGAAAAAAGAAGAATTGAAAAGCAAGAAAGAGAGCAAAAAAAAAAGGAAGAAGAAAACTTCGAATAAATTCAACAAGAAATGCTTGAAAAGAAATAGTAAACTAACAGAAGAGCCTTATTTGTGTTTTTCCTTATTTTCTTAATGGTATTTGCAGGAGTAGTTCTTTTCTTTTAGGCTAAAAAGAATATTGAAAAGTAGCCATATATACCTAAACCAAGAACAGACTATGATGATTTCTTGTGAAAAAGAAGCTTCAATTAATTTAATAAAACAACAAATGAATGTTCGTATGAATATTTTATAGTTCTTTAAATATCTATTCAATTTCTTGAAAAAATTTATTAATCTTAGATTAAATTTTGTACAAATCAATAAATTGATACTAATTCTTTAAATAAAAAATCTAATTTAAAAATTAATCTAAATTATTTTATTTATTTACAAATTTTTTTTATAAATTAACTAAAACAAAAATCATACTTTAAAAATTCAAATATTAAAGTTAATATTTTTACATTAAATTTTATGTTTGAAAATTTAAATTACTTTTTGGCTTGTGATTTTTTATTTTTTAAAATTTGTTCATAAATAGGTAAGGAAGTAGATGAATAAATTGTATTAGCTTTACATATAAATGTTAATTATTAAATTAAGATTTGCTTTTATATTATTTAAGATATATTACTAATTGAAATTAAATATTAAAATACAATTAATTATTACACATATTCAAAATGTCTATTTTTATGCGAAAAGAGTTGTTCCCTTCAATTCCCAAAAGTCTTATGGCTTACGTGAGTTGAGATATAAATAGTATTTCGTCTGCATGTAAGAATATGAAGAAGAAGTGCAGGGATTTTTGAAAGGTATTTTGATTACAAAATTATATTTTGATTAAGAATAAATATCATTAAATTTGAGCTCCTTTGGTGCTAATCTATTGAAATTTTATTAGGCTTGCTTATAGCTACTAAAATCGTCTTTATTTGTGTTATCGACTTTTTATTGTTCATTTCCTTTTGTTGGGCTTATTGAATTTTAAGCTCTTTACTTACCTTTTACATTTTTTTTCTATTAAATGCTGCCTCTCTTTTCTCCTTATATACCTTAAGACATAGCATTTGTCAAGGAGTTAATATTATTTTACTCTAACTTTGAAGTTTCAGCATTTATTTAAGTTCCATCGTAATTATAAAGATCTATAGGATGTAATTGCTAGAACAAAAATTCATTTTCCATATCATATCTATTTAATAATTAATTAATTAAAATAAGAAAAAATATTTTGTTTTATGAGTTTTTACCTTAAGACTTGAGTACCTGGATCATTAAGCTCGATAGCTATAGATTATTCATAGTTGATTGATATCTTTTTTTATAGAAATTAATATTAATTACAATATCATATAACAAATTTTTACATTTTTGTATATTTCTTATCTACTTGACAATTTTCTTTCTATTTTTAGTAAATAAACAGGAAATTCACTTTAGAACTGCCTTATTTCTTCTTCAATTAAAGATAAATTATCTTTGTGAACTGCGCCATTAGTTAAATATAAACCTTTGATATAGAATCCATGTTCAGGCTAAACATTTTTTTATACTTCAGCATATGTAGTCTTTTGGAGAACAAATTTCAATTAATGAATATCAACCTGTTTTATTATAAGTTAATTAGATTCATGTAAAAATTAAAAAATAAATATACATTATTTGCTTCTGCATAGTTATATAAATAAGACCCTAAGAAAGTATGGGAATCAACTAATCTATCAAGCTAAATTACAGTAGGAATTTATAAGTTAGGTCCTCTTTCCACTAAAATTTAAATATACTAAATTTTTTAAAAGAGCTAAGAAAGGTAGTTAGCCAAATTTCTTTAGAAAATTTTAAAGCTAAGCTTTCTCCAAGTTTCAGGAATGGTATTTTACTATATATCATATATTAACTGTTTCAAGTAGTTTCTTTATCCTAATGGTTATAAATCGAATTGGTTGCTAATGTAGTCTAGAACATTTCTAATGTCAGTCTTCATTTGCATTATTAATCTAAACAAAATAATACATTCGTTTAAAATAGTTGTTTTAAAAGTATTCTTTTCAACATCTTCGATAATATCAACATCATCTGAGCTCTATTCATCTGAACTTGTCTCACTAGAATTACTTGAGTTCTCACTTGATTTTTCTTTGTCACTTTCTTCCTATAATACAACATCTCTATGAATTCCTCCTAGATCTCCGAATTTCAAACTACTTTCTCTTCTGCTGCTTATAATCTTTTAGTTTTCTTATTATTTCATATATTTTTTTTATTCTTCCTAAAAAATATGAGCTGACGTAGACTCTCTTCTTGATTATCTAATTTTCTCACTAAATGATGATTTCCTAAATTAATTTTATTTATTTAATTTAAATTAACCATTAAAATACAAAAATCATTCTTAATTTGAAGATTTTTGATTTATCAAAAATATAGAAAAATAAATAGAAAATTAAGTTCATTTTAAAACAATATTTTTTAATATTTTTAATTATTCATATTAATTACAAAAAAATATCTTAAAAAAGTTAAAAAACAACTCTTACCCTCCAAATAAACTTCCCATCGCAGGTGATTAGCTCATTTAGGTGATTTATCGATTCTAGGTAGATTGAGGAGAAAAACTTAATTACAAAGAACTTCTCTTTGGAGACTAAAGAAGCTCTGAGTTTTTCCTTAGATTTGGAGATAAAGCAAAAGCATATTGGAGATTCTTATTTTACTTAGATCTAAAAATGACTAAATCTCCTTAATTTTCTAAATCTTTTTAAGTAGTCACCCACTGTTTAATAAATTCAGGATATTCCTCTGGCTGTTTGTAAGAGAATTTAACATTTTAATGATATTTTAAAAATTTAATATTTTTAAGATGGAATTCATAGTTAAGATTCTTCAAAAGTAGTTCTAAAGTCGATTTAATGTCTTTATATTTTTCATGAGAACTCATGATATTTCTGTAGTATACTTTAAAGAAACTCTTTTATTAATGTGATATCTTTTTTATTAACTCTTCCAACTAATCAAATTCGTAATTTTATGAAAAATTGTAAGAAACACTTTTTTGCAATGGTGCAAAATTCAATTCCTCATTATTTTCTAAGTGTGGTAAAAGCTCAGGAATTGGAGGAGACTAAGGACTTAATAATTCTTTTGATTCATTTCCACTTCCAAATAATAATCCTAATGAAGGATTTTTTGTAAAGAGTTTAAGTTACTAGTTTTTTACACTCCTTCTATTTTCTTAAATTTATTAGGATGTCATTTATTATTACAAACTCAGTAATTTTTATGAAGAGTTCTCAACTACCAAATTAGCGATTGAGGGTTTTCTGAAGATTTCATTTGAAGAAATATCAAATACTTTTTCACTATCATACTTATTAAGGTTAGCATCTGTTTACTTGCTTAAATTAAACTAATTCTAAAATTTATTTTATAGAGTTTTAGATTTTTGGATATTAGCCTGTCCTGAGTTGTTTGAACGAGGAATAGGTGATAAAATACCTGAATTAAATTATATTTCACCAGAAGCTCTAGTTTTTTATTATTTTTTGAAATTGATATCTTTCAAAATAGTATCTTTTTAAATATCATTGAATTATTAGATTTTCTTAATTTTTTCTAAATACTTAAGGCTTTTTACTAAAGGATTAGACAACCATTCATCTTCTATTAAATTTATCTTACGAATAAATTATTTTGATTTAGCATAATCTTAAACCAGAGAACTGTTAAAGCTAGAGAAAAATAAATCTAAGGGGTCAGATTTTGTTGGGAACTACAGAGCTAATATTTTGGTGATTCCTTCCTCCACATAGTCAAAAACTCCTGTATTAAAATCATATAAAAGATATGATTAATCCTTTACAATCAGCTTTACAGTGCCTTCCATATTACTGAATACAAAGTGAAGCATCATGTTAATATAGTATGGATTGTTGTAGCCATATATCATCTTAAAATAGTTTTCTAAGAAAGCCTTAGAATTAGTGGGATAGTATTATAAAATGTTAAATACTGACTGGATTTCTTGTTAAAAATCTAAATCTGTTTCAAATATTTCACGAGGATTTTGATCTAGTTAAGAATCGTAGCTCTTTAAAATAGTGTTAGTCAATTCTCTTTTTCTTCCTAAACAATTATGCAAAAAGGCTAAACTAAATTTGAACTTATTTTGAAATCTATTAAAGATGGTTTTGTAATTTTCCTTTTCATGAGTAATTGGGTCAATATGGATATGACGAGAAGAATAAGTATGAGAGATTGCTTTCTTATCAGCATAGTCTATCAGACTAAATATATTCAAATATTTAGGACTAAGTGAAGTGATTTACTGAGCAACAGAAAGTGAGGATTAATTATTAAAAAAGCCATCATCAATTGTTTCTATAAATGGATAAGGAATTAATCCTTATCTAATATTATGCTTTCTCATCATTTGAACAACATTGCTATATATCATATTTTTCTTGATAGTTATTTCTTTTTCCTTTTTTAAGTAATATTTTTAATTAGAAAATTGAATCAACAATCAAATTAGTAAGCATAAAATTTATTTTTTTTAAAATTCAAATTTTATATAAAATTTTACAATCTTGGTGATGTATTAGTCTGCTTCTTTACCCTGCTTCGTCTTTGTATTTTAAACTTTTGGCTGTTCTGAATTGTATCTGTAATCATGAATACTCCTAAAATAGTATCTCTGCATTGATTATTGGACATTTTTAGGTGTAGTATAATAAATTTTCCAACAAGTTTGATAGTATGCTAATAAAATTTCGCTATTTTTGTTAAAGTCGAAAGGTTTAAATTAAAAAGGAGAGTTTTGTCGACTTAAAGTTGATGAGTGTGTTATCCAAACTCTAAAAGAATTTGTAGTTGTGCTAGCTTCTAGTTCTTAATCGAGAGATTTTAGTAAATATTTGAGATCATTTGTTTCCATTTGCTCAATTTCCTCCAGTAATATCCATCTTCCAGCACCTGCAGCTTAGTCTATATTTTGATTAATAGTTTTATTTTATAATTTTTAGTTAAATCAATCAATAGAAATAAATTAAATTACTGATTTAATCAATGATACTTTTTATAGATGTGTACCCTAAAGCTATTCTAAGCAGTTAATTTTCATGGTTTTAAATAGATTAAAGTAGCTCTAATTTTTCATATATTCTGTTTTAAACTTGATCATGAAGTAAAATAGTTGGTCTTCTTTACCAATCTTATTCGCAATGATTTTCTAAGCTGAAAGGAGCTTGATCATAATCTATATAACTTCTCAATATTTTCTGGCTAATGTATTCTGCTACTTAAGGCAAAAAGTCTGGTCTGTTGTTGTGATAATATTATAAATGTTAAAATAAGTTTTTTATGATTTTTTATTACCTGAAATGCTTAAAAATAAAAAGCAATTAAAGATTAGAGCAGTTTTAAAGTATTTCTTTTGGTAAAAAAGGAATGTATTTTATTGAATTAAAGCTGTAGTTTTGATATAATTTTTATTTTTTTTATTCTTAATTATCATCTTCATCTTCTTCTATGTCATCCTCATCTTCCTAAATGTCTTCTCCTTAGTTCTATTAATTTTCTTATTTTATTTCTTCATTTATCTCTTTCAAAATTTCATCTTTAATTTCATACTCTGATAGACTTTTCTAAAAGAATTCAATCCTAAGAAATAAAAGAAAGGAATGTGATTAATTTTAGATAGATTTTAAAAATAAATGAAAATACCATTAATCTGGCTAATCAACTAAGCTATTGACTGCTATCTTAATTCCGTTCTTGGCCTAAAAGCTATTGTAAGACTCTATAAATTTTTCAATAAGCTCTTTACCCATTAAATGAATTAACTTTTTAGAAACTTTTTCCATTATAACTTAGGGTTAAATATTTTTAAAATTAAATTCGCTTTTAGGTTTAATAGAGTCGCCCATTTGAACTCTTGCAGTTAATTTTTAAACAGAGTTATTCATAATTGATTTTGAGGTTTTGAATGGACTATTATACTTTTTGGTATCATTTTCTATTACTTCATCTTCATCTATTTATGTTGGAGAATTTAATTCCTATCTATCAAAGAATTTTTTAAATAAAGGATTATATTCATTTTATTTAGAAGGAGAAGAATCATATGAGCTTTTATAAAACGATTCATCTCTTGAATTTTGGCGACTAACTAATGAAAAATTATTGCTTTGTGACCTTTAAGAATTATGAGGACTCTCACTTATACTTTGAGTGCTTGCACGCCCTCTTTATTCTATTTCTTATTTTTCTTTTTCAATGTATTATTATTTTAAAATTTTCTCTTTTAAACCAAGTATTTTTGCTACTGGAGAATAACCACCTCTAGAAAAAGAATTTTCTTTGCTATCAACAAGTAGCTCCTTTCTTTCAACAAACTTCTCAAGAAGACTTTATTTTTCTATTATATTTAAAAAAATATAAATTATTAATGATGAAATTTTATTTAAGTTATAAAATATCTGTTTGATGGTTAAATGTATTTGTTAATTACCTTAAATATAGCATTAAAGGGGAGCAATAATATAGTTAGGTATTTTGTAAAAGTTTATAATCTTAGAATTTAGTTTATTATAATTATTTTTATCCATTTAGTATTATTGTTTCAAAGATATTTTGTTGTTTTTTTCTGCATGTTGTCTCCTATTTTTTGCTGTTTTATTTTATTCATCTTATAAAATCATTTCTAATAAATTCTCATCATTATTTTCAGCTTATGAGCTTAACTTAGGAATTTGCCAGTTCAAAAATAGCCTCCATTCTTTTTCAGAAAAACTCTTTGTTCCTCTAGAATACATCATGCTGAGATAAAAACTGAATAGAAGGCGATGGTCATCAGCTAAACTTGAATATAAAAGATAGAATACCGTTTCACAGAACTTTTTGATGAATGTTTTTTTCTAAAATAATAAATGAATAAATTAATAAATAGAAATTTACATAAGTTTAAAATTTATTAAATTTTAACAAATAATCTTTTACAATTTTTGATGGCTGGGATGAATAAGAAGAGGGAGTTACATTTAATTATTTGCACCTCACACAAGCTTGTTAGACAATCATAAAAAAGAAAATATCAGAGAAAGAATAGACTTTACCCAACGCTTTTTCTAAATTGATGTAATTGAGTTTAATTGCATAAAGAAAATCTAAAATTTCTTATAAGCATCCATTCTAAAGAGTTATTTCATCTAATTAGAAATAATTTTAAGCAATAAATCCAATTGTGTTTTCTCTTTCTCTTTGTTTTTAAGTTTAAACTTGCAGTATTTTTCTTTTCTTTTACAAATTTTTAGCAAAACTTTTTTAAGTTTTCAATTGTCTTTTTTATTCCTTTTGGGTCGTCTATTCATTTTATTTAAGTTTGTTAAAGTCAACAATAATTTATAGATTCTTTATTGTTTCAGCGCCTATTGTCATACTTCTTCTAATACTAGTAGCTGAGACTTAAGGTAATAAATTTGCTTATTTCTGTTGATTATCATTGTTACTATTTTATTAATTTGTTTGAGTACCTTCTATATTCTAAGCTGATTGCAAATCTAATGCTTGTATTGTTCTACTTTTCTTGATTATTTATGAACCTTTTTCATTTTGATCCTATCCTTAATCTTCTTAAGCTACTTACTCTTAGTTAATTTCCATATTAATTAAATCATTTATTTTTTTATCTTACTCTTGAGTCTTTAGTTCTTGCTATTCTTCATCAGCATCTTATTCTAACTCAATTTTTTCAATTAAATTATTTTTATTACCTTGGTTGTCTCCTACCTATACGAGTTCTTTTATTATTCTTTTAGGAGAGCTTACATCTTCATCACTATGTCCTATTATTACAAAATAAAAAATTAACTTTGTTTTATTTATTTATATTATATACCTCTGTTAATAATTGGTGCATTTAATTAATCGCTCTACTAAGAACCAATATATTTTTTAATTTACTCTGAGTTATCGATTAACATCCTCATAAATTCTGTATCCTCGCAAGTAGTACACTTCTCTAAGCCAATAGAAATTTAGCTGAATAACTAGTTAAAAAAAAATTTTTTTAATGTATTTAGTAAATAAAAAAATAACTACTTTTGACATATTATCTCTCTTACTGGTGTAGTGATCTATTTTCATTTAAACTTAGTTTTATTTTGCTTCAAAATTTAAATTATTAACAGCATGGTCAAACATGGCTTATTTCCATTAAATTTCGTCTTCTACTTCACATTACAGTAGAATTATTTTTGTAAAGATAGAGTGTGAAAATGAAAAATTAATATTGGTAGTGATCAGCATAAGCCTAAAATTTTTATTTACTGTAATTTCTTTGCCATTAAACAAGAGAGGTTGTTATCGAGTTAATTCATTAAAATCAAACAACGCTTAGTTATGCCACTGCATCTCATAATTTAGTAAGCTCTGGTTAGGGTCAATATTTTATTTTTACCAAATTTATTCACCTTCGCTATTCTGTATCATAAATCTTAATAATTTCATCATTCTCTTGTATTTCCATTCAATAATTGGCATAATTTGTTGTATTGTTTTCTCATCAATATTTCTCATTAGCAAGAAACCTCCTTCCTAAAGAGCTTTTTCTATATTTTAATATGATTCCTTTTCAATAAGTGTATTGCTCTCTACGACTATAGTTTTCTCGTATTTTTTCTTAAAATATTACTAGTAAAGTCCAGTTTTATCATTAACCCAAAAGTAATAATACAAATCATTTTCACTTTAATTATTAAAAAAAATTATTAAAAAAAATTATAAATTATTAGTTTTATATAAGTTAAATATATTGTGTGAAATTTTAGATAAAACTCAAAAAAAAAGCTAATTTTATTATTTTTATTTTATAAATGATAAACAGAAACTTAAATTAAATTTTAACTCAAAAAAAATTAATAAACTAAATTTTAAAATTTTTAATAAAATGAAATTTAAAATTAAAAAAAAAATGAGTTACTATAAGAAATCTGTAATGGTAATCTTGTCTACGAGATCTTAATTAAGAGGTATTTAGTATGAGAAAATTTAGAAATAGTATAATGGATTATAGAGAGCATTAAATAACTTTGTATTTTTTAAATGCTAGCTCTTTTAGAGGCAATCTTGAATAAGCTCTTAAAATTTATTCAAGAAATAGAAAGGGTATTTAAAGAGAAAAGTAACTTATAAAGCTAATTGTATTGATATTTCTTAAAGATACGAATTATTAATTAATTGGCAACTTTCTTCATTAACTAAGTGCTTAAATTACATTTTAAACTTTTCTAAATGGTTGTTAAATTATTGCTATCCATCCTTCTTTTAAACTATATGAACCATTAGATTTCTTTGCTCTTTTTTCATTTTTTCTATCAAAGTAGGATGATCCTTTATTATCTAACGAGGTTTAATAAAATTTTATTCAATTTGACATTTTTCTCTTTCTGCTTTAAGCTGTCTCAAATTTTCTTTTTGCTTTAAATAAATTAGGTTAATAAATTTGATTAAATTTTAATTTAAATATTACTTCTGTTGAGCTAGTTTGAAGGTTTCTCACTTCTAAAGTTAATCTGTACATTTCAATAATAAAATCTATATACTTCAATATTTCTCTTTGGTGAATATTTAAATTTCCAGTCAGAGATATCATATGTCCATGATCTACAGATCCTCCTTCTTTATTTAAGCACTTAAAAAGATCAAAAGTGTTACTTTTAATGTGTTCATCCTTAAAAGTAGTAATTATATTTTTGAATTCATCACTGTCTGAAATAATTTATTAGAATTTTTCTCTATAAAGATCAATATTATTGAAGTTATTAGAGTTTTTATTAACTTCGTCTATACTATCAACAATATCATCTGCAAGCTGCTGCATATTTATGTTGTACTTATTTAATATAACAAATATATATTTAGTTTAGTTTAAAATATTTTTAAAAATAATAAAGTAATTTACTCTATCTGGAATATTTCTATGGAGACCAATCAAAAATATAAGAATGTAAACAGTCATTTATTTGATTTGTACAAATTAAGTAGGCTTAATCTTTTTATTAATATGATATAATTTTATTATTAATTTAATATTTTTAAATAAATAAATAAATAAATAAATAGATAACTTACTTCATCATTCCAGCTATTTTTGCTTATTTTAGAAATTTTGTAAGCTGTTTCATTCATCTAAGATTAAATCGCTTTGAATTAATTTTCTATTTGAGTACATTTTGCGATAAGGTCCTACAAATTTTTTTCTTTGGAGTTATAGCCTATTTTTTATTAATTATTTGTTAAATATTGCAAATAAATAAAATATTTTATACTCTCCTCTAAATTTTTAAGCTCTTAAAATTTCTCTTCTGCCTCTTTTAATTCTCTGAGATGCTACTTCTTTGTTTCTTTAATTTTTACAAACTCTTATTCAGCATTTTCTATTTCAATCCTAAATTCTATGGACTTCTTCTCCATTTCTTGAATAATTTTGAAAAATCCTCCCTTTCTTCTTAGCTTTTCTATTTTAAGCCTAATTTAATTGTAAACAACACTTCTTGTTATATAAAATAGACTGTATGTTTCTTCATATGTTCTTTAGAAATTTTATTTTGAATAATCTTCAAATATTTTTTATACTTCCTATTTATTTTTTAAAAATCAATCAAAATTAAAAAACTTTGAAAAAAATATTTTTTTACCAGCTCTTTTGAATACGCTTACATTACCATAGCTTTGTGCTTGGAATTAATAAAATCAGGAATGTACTTAAACATTTCTTCAAAAAGCATATTTTGAATTTGATTAGATTCATCGTCAGAAAGTGGAATGTAATAAATATTTAATTTTGTGAATTACTAAAACATATGATTAAATTCATTTTATAAGCATTCTAAGGTGTTGTCCTATCTTACTTGGAGATCATAATGTAAAATAAAACGCAATTGAGTTTTAAGTCTTAAACTAAATATATAATTTAGGATGTAATTATTGAAACGAGGATACTTAGTTTTCATGTTCCATTTTTGCATTAAAAATTCTAATTACTAAGTTGTAAATAAAGATTAAACTTCTCCTCCTTCTACTATGTGATTAATGATATCGTAAATGTTACTTATTGACTCAAGTCTAAGTTTTTATGCATTTTTTTAATTTTTATTTAGATCTTCTGTTTCATCGAGCTAATTTTCTTAAATTTTTTCATCTAATACAAGTAAATTGCTTGATAATTTAATATAAATGATAATCATCTAATTTTCTTCGATAAATAGATTTTGGATTGCAGAAAATAGGCAATTTTAGAATCTCTATTAAGTTTTATTTGCGCTTTCTTCATTTTGAATTGTAAATTCAAATGCATTGAAATTCAACAAAGAACAACTATAATACACAAGATGCTCTGTTATACGTTATGAAAGAGTGGATTTCAAATAGATATTTTGAGAACTAGATTATAGTAAGTGGATTAACTTAATAGCGTGAGTTAGGAAACAATTAATATTGACTTCTTGTATTAAAACAAAATCTAGTAAATCTCCTCCTCTCCAGGTGTATATTTACATATTACTTCTTTCTGTTGACTATAAAGGATCTTAATTAACAGTATTATTCTTTAAATTTTAGATCTCTTCCATTTGTTATGTACTAAATTTGAATACATCTTTTTTATTTTTTTTCTTTGCAGATACCAAAGGATTTTACAAAATGTTTATACTAGATGATGCATAATTAACTATACCTACCTAATTACTGTTATTTTAGGATAATGAAAATTAACTTTTATCTTTTATAGAATCTTAACTTTATAACTTCGCGATATTTGTATTTAAGAAACTATCTGAGCGTTTGGCTTTATGAATTCCCTTCTTAAGCTACTTTTGTTAAAAGTCATCAAACATTTTGTTAAGATCAATCTACCTTTTATTATTTATTCCTTCAATACTCTATGCTTAGTTTGTATCAAAGCAAAATTATAATAGCTTTTAAACTAAAAACAGAAGTATTTTTTTTCTCCTTTTATCATTTAAATAAATGAAATCAAGCTCTTCAAATAAATTCATTTCCAAATTAGCCAATTTAGCTGTGCTTTTTATTCCTAAAGCACCTTCATTTAAATCTTTTGTCTTTTACTTGGAAATTTATTGATTAAGATCAGTTAGTAATTTATTCTTATGTATAAGTGATAAATTAAAGAAAAGAATATCCTGTCTTTATTTTAAAATTTATTTCCATAAATCAACTGATACACTGCCTCTCTATTTTTTTTAGCTCTTAATCGTCCTTTGAGTTTTTAAGTTATTTTCAGCTTACTATGCTAAAAGTAATTCTTATACAACTTGGCTTGTTAATTCTATCGTAAATTAATCTGGTAGAGTAGAGAAGAAACTGAACATAAATTCTACATTTTAGAGCTTTTAAAGGATCTCATCTGTTTTTTGCAAAGAAGTAATACCTTAAATCTAGTTTGAATTGCCTATATACTACAACTTTTACGCATTAGTAACATCTCTACTAATTTAGTAATGTTAACTACCTGTTTTTTTTTCTTGCTAAATGAATCTTCTTTCTTCTATTTTAGCTTATTTCTAAGCCTCTAATTAAACCTACTGCTATTTAAATTAAAGAATGTTTAAATCAGTATTTTCTTGATTCTAATGAGTTGTAGGTAGAAGCTTAGCGCTTTTCAATGCTAACTAAGTAATTAAAGTAGCACTGTAGTCATACAAATCACTTAAAGACTCATCTTCTACTTCCTTTGAGTTAACACTTGATTCTTCTTATTTACTTTCATCTAATACATGAATTGAATAGTCACCCTTATTATTATTTTTTTTGTCTTCATACGCTATTTTAAATTTTGAAGATTGCTTTTCTAAACCTGAATTAGAAACAAAGTAAGATTCTTAATCCAACAGTTTCTTGTTAGGAGAATTTATCTTTTGTTACTGTTGTTCCTTTTAATTTTCTAATATATCTTAAGAATATTAATCATCCACCTTGAACTCAATTTAAGGAAGGTCTAACATGCCTAAAAACCATTCAATCTACATATAAAAATAATATAATCAATTAAATTAAATTAAATTTAAAATTATACCTTTTTGTCAGATGAAAAATTAAAGTTCTTTCTAATTTCATCAATTTAATTTAAGTTTAAGATTTTAAATTTTTTGTTAATTATATTTTTATTTTTCCTCTAATTAGGGTTTTTGTTTTTGCTTTATTAATTCTATGACTGTGCATTATCGTTATCAGAATATTTTGAAAGTTCAGCGTTCTGTGACATTTCAGAAGAATCAGAATCTTCATCTTCTTCTTCATCATCATCATCATCGCTTTATTCTTCATCTTCTTCTTAGAGTTTTTCTTCCAAACTTTAATTATTTTCTATACGACTATTCTATTTATCTACTGCTTCTGAAATAGTTTTGAGAGATATTTGATCTATTTCCTTTACCTAATTTTTTACTTAAAAAAATATACAAAAATAAAATTAGATAGATTTCTTTCATAAATTTTATACATTTTTCAAGACTGCCCATATTCGGATAAGGCTGATGGATAAACTCAGAAGAGTAGAATTAATTAATTAAAAATACTAATGATTTAATTAAATTTTCGTAATTGATTGCTTTTGTACTTTTGTCATAAAATTAAAAGGAATTTAGATTTTTAACAATTTCTAATCCTTTTCTTATTGATAAATTTGCATTAAATTAGCATGAAATTTTCTTAAATTCGCTTCTGTATTTGTCATTCAATAAACCAATTAATGAGCAAAAGTCCTAAATGATGCCTGTAACTTTTTTATTTGCCTTCATGCCAGGATGGTTAATAGAATTATTGTGAAGCTAGAAGATGCTGATTATATCTAATAATTTATAATTTTTAACAAACTTTTTAAAAAATAAAATTAGTTACCATTCTTTTCTAAATCTGGTACTTTTAAAGAAGAAATTTTTTCGAAAAGTACAGTGTTAATTGAAGGTTGAATAGAGTTTATATCAAAGTATGAAAAAACAGCTAATAGTGTTATCATACTAAAATTAATAAACTTAAACTTATTATTACTAAACCATCCATCATGCTACACAAGAGACCTGATTGCACCTATAGGTGAAATTCCACTAAATGTTTATTTAAGAAAAAAAAAAATTAAGTTAATTTTTTAATTGATTTGTTTATTTACTCTTTGGATAAATTAAGGTCATCAATAAAGATTAGACTGATGGTTTAGTGAATTGAAGTGAGATGATTACTATTTTTCCAAACTAAATTTTTTTCAATTCTTCTTTAAAAGCTGCTTATTGTGGTACCTCTTGAAATCGAGTTATTAATGCAGCTAAAAGAATGATGCTCTAAGAGATTTTTAAGCTTATTTTTGATTATTGATGTGATACCATTAGATTACTAGGCTAATAAAATATAAGGCTTACAGTATGCAGAAAAATACTGTATAAAGAATTTTGTGATTTTGGACGCTCTTGTTTCTATAAAAAGAATATTTTCTGGAATATAAACCTCCCTTTTTTCTTATGTCAGCTTTGTGTTGACTATACTAATTGCTAAGGGGTTTAATCTTTATTTAAAAAAAATAAATTAACAATAAATATAAATAAATATTTTTTTATGATGATCTTATTAGATATTTATGTTTTGAATTGAATTGACATATAAATACGAAAGAAATGGTATGAATAAATGCATACCTAACAATTTCTCTGTTATTTAAATTGTTTGATTCAAAAGATCCACTTATTTCACTGCATTCTTCAAGATAAAAATTCCTCCATTTAATCCACTTTTGTTTATGAATATCAAAAATATAATCAAATATGTTAACATCCTTTTCTTTAAGCAATATTCTTAAATCAATAGCAAATGGATATGATTCATTTGTATATTTAACGTTCGTGTATTCAGACCTAAACCTATTTTGTCATTTAATGAATATAATTATATAAATTTTTTTTTGAAAATGTTTACCTGCAATATCTTTCAATTTACTCATTTAAAAATTCTATATAAGTTTATTGATAAGAATCTTTTATTTAATTAGCTAAAGACCAAGTCATACAAAAGACAAATGCAGATTCAAAAGAAGAAATCAGTCGAGACTCTGTATCTAGTAAAATATTATTATAAATTATCTCATTGTTGCTCGAGTCAACATAGTTCTTTCCATTTTTTTAAGCATTTTTATTCTTAGATCCTTTCTATTTTTCACTATCAGCATCGCTATTACTTTCACTATCACTACTTCTTTCTTCATCACTCTCTTCTTCAATGAATGGTTCATTTGAATTATTTTAGTTAGTTTAAGTAAATTATGGAGCAATATTTCCACTACCTCTATCTAAACGAGAAGAGAGAGCTGTTGTTAAACTTGAAGTTATATGATTCTTGCGCTCTCTTCTTAAATTATTAGAAGGGAGATTCATACCTTCAGCTTCATACTCTCCTATTGCTATTTCAAATTTACGTATTTCGTTTAAAAATATCTCTAAATAATCTAAAAAGCATTTTAGTTCGCTCTTTTGGTTTCTCTTAAAAATCAAATGCTATTTTAAATTTAATTAAATATTAATTATAATTTTTTTTATTTTGAAATAATTCTCTTAAGAAATATTTTATGGATTAATTGGGTAGGTGTTGTTAGCTTGGATTTTTAAAAAAATTGAAAAAATTAGATTTTATATTTGCAAGAAAAAAAATTTTTAATTAAAAAATCAATTTATGAATCCCTATTAAAGTGATAGTTATATTTCTAATTAAATGGTATTCAATTAATTTTTATTTTAAATTATAGAATAATATTTATTACTGAAGAAGGAATGCTCTCAATCATTTAAAAGAATGGCTCCAAGAAATATACAAACATTGATTTGACTATTGTGTGGAATTTAGAAAAAAAGTTATTCTATTGAACTTTTCTCAAATACCAACTGGTGTATTCATCACTTAACTTAACCATTTGATTAGAAAAGAAGAACATCATGTATTTGTTAAAAGAAGAAGGTGATATATTTTGTAGCTTCTCTAAAGAAAAAACAACTGTAGCAGCAGAAGGTACTCTTAGGAAGTCACCATCACCTAAGCTAAATTATTTGTTTTCAAATCCATCTAATAATTCCTCTATAGTATGATTTTGAGGTATCTAGTTCATACATTCAGCACATCCATCTACAACAATCCAATCATTTTGTGATCTTTCAACTACTTTTTTCTTTGTGTTTCTATTATTTTTATTTTTTAAAACTAATTTTAACAATAAATTAATTTTACTTCAGCTTTTCAGTTATAGTATTAGCAATATAAGTACTAAATATAGTCTATTTTCCAAGCATGGTATCAATTATTTCTGAATTTTCATTGTTTTAGATCTTCATTGTATCAATTAATAAATTTAAGAATCCTTTTTTCTTTTCTGAATAAAAAGTTTTAATGGTAAGTATTTCTATATTTTGAAAATTAATTAATTAATTACACTTAAATAAAATAGATCCTTAAATATCGTCATCTACATCAAATTCTTTTTTAGAAGATAACAACGTTTCTCTTTCAACGCTGTCAACATTTAAAAAATTGACATTGAAGTTTATTTCTATTATTTATAAAATAAAGTTAGGATGTAAGAATAATAAATAAATAAAAAACTAAAGATAACCTTTTGAAACTGACACCAAGAAACTCAGAAATTATATAAATAGATTCTTTTTTGAAGAGTGAGGACCATAAATAATCAAAGGAACATTTTTTAAGATCAAAGGGAGTATAATTCCGGCTTGTTCTGAGAATTAAGATTAAAATGGATACTTATGAAAGTCAAAGAATTAATTCATTTATTCATTGTATTATTTTACGAACTCTACATACTCAACACTTTGAAGAGAATTCATTTCCATAAATAGCTTATTAAAAATATTTTTCATATAGTTAAAAGCTCCTGATGGCATTATTCCTTTGAAGTAATTTTCAATAGCAGATTTGAGAGCTGTTTTATGGGTGTATGGGGTCTATTATTTGCGTGTTTCTTACATGTAAAATAGAGCATTTCTAAGTATAACTAAAATTGATTTTAAACTTATCAATCTTTATTACTTTTCACTTCTTTAATGGATAATTTATTAGAAATCAATGTAAGTCAATTTCTTTGAGTAAGAAAATTGCTAATTGTTTGTTACTGTACAAATAAATTCAAAAAAGAAAACAAGTTTTTGAGATTTTTCATGAACTTCTTCTTTATCAAACCCTATTATAAGCAAGTAGTTCTATTTTTAAAATAAAATCTATTAATATTTTATTATTTAATTAAAATATTTAATTACCTTTATAATTTCATTCGAGTCAGGTTTTAAAAATGTTATAATTCTGAAAGATTCTTGCACACTTTTTGGCATTGTCTAAAATGATATATCTGATGGTTACGGAAGAATATTCATAGTACCAAACAATCCAAAATATTAACTCACATCTACACACTTGGAATAGTATGATAATTATGAAGTTCCCATTGAAATGGTCTTACGAATCTAAAAAGATATGTTTGCAATTAAAGATAGAGTAGCTGAAGGCAGATTTTCAAAATTGGTAACATTAACCCAATAGTTACAGGATGCTGAATTCAAAAGTATTTATTCTACTATTGCAAGAGACTAGTTTTAGAAGTTACATTCGAAAATAGATCTTCCAAGAATAGCTGCTAAGCTATTGATAATAGACTTTTTACCACTGCTTGGAGAACCTCTTAATATGCAACTAAAATTACTAGATATAGTGACAACTGCTTGGTGAATAACTCTTAGTGTATTTTCTGTAAATATAAAGTTATTCATTGTAGGAACAAGCTCAAAAGAATAAGGAATTTTGTGGAAAAAGCAGTTCAAAGTAATTTATAAATCTTAAGGTCTTTTTTTAATGCTATTTATATAATCTGATTTAAAGGCTATCAATGGCATGTTAGAATTATTTATTTCAATTTCTTAATTTTGCTAATTTTATACTTATTGTATTTGCACCACCTAATTTGATTTTTTTGTATTAGTTGTAAAATGCCCTTCTTCTAATTTTTTTTCTGCTTCTTCTTCATCGTATTTCTTTTTTTTAAGAATAAGAATTGTGGTTAATATTTTAAGGGAAAAATTTAGTTTTACTTGCTGAAGAGATTCTTAAATTGTTTTTCTAGACGACTGTATCATTTATGAAACATCTCCTTCATCGATAGGAATTTGAAGGGTAAATTTAGGTAGAATCAAATACTCAAAGCTATTTAAAGAAAAGGTTACTTATTTGATAGCTCTTTAGAGTATGTCTAGATGTTGTTAAATTTATATTATTGCCCTAAATTAAAAAATTTCATAAGTTAGAAAAAAAATTTTCTAAAAAGAATTTACTAAGTAAATTGAATTGATTGAGTTGTCGATAAGCCAACCTTGATGACTGTCTGATAATAAGAAATAAGATCATCAAAATTCAACTTAAGGTGATCATAAAAGCGCTTTATATCTTAATATTTTTATTCTAATGATAGTAACATGGTAAGGTCATGCATAAATAGTATATCGTTAATAAGATAGAATGATTAAAAGATAATATATTTTTTTATTAAAAAGTTATTCCATATTTTCCAATAATTATAATTTTTTGAAGCAACAGGTTTAAGATGCTACATGATTTAGAACCTAAGGTACTTTTTCATTTCACTTTCTATTAAATTCACCATACCCAAATTTGGAGGTTTTTCCATATACTTGAGAACATATGGTATCTGTTAAATAACATAAAAATATTTTTAAAATTGAAAAAAAAATTCAAATATTTTACAGGAAAGGATAATTCTATCACTTCATCGTAATGGTTAATTATTTTATTTATTTCCCAGACATTCTCGTTACCACTCTAAGGATCATCACTTAAAGGTTAGCATTAGAATTCTTTGACTCCAGGAAAAAGTAAACTTATTTTATTTAAAAATTCCTATTTTATTATTAAAAGAACACTATTAAATATTTCTTTTATTTAGTTAAATAAATTACTTAAGGCATAAAAAGAGATTGAGAGATTTCAAAAATAAGTTCATCTGAAACAAAAGCATATCTTGGATGGGTTTGTCTGACTGCATTAACTATATGGTAGACTTGGCTTTAAATCTTTTCACAGGTTAAGTAAATTTGCATAAATATTTCAAATATTTCTGATTAATTCTTGCTGTCAGGGTTATCTAAAGAAAACAAATTCATAAAATAACTCATTCCTCTTTTTGTTATTTCTTCTGTATGCTTTTTAAATTCAGAAACAACCTTACGAAATAAAATTTCAATTCCTTTATACTTTTATTCGCTTTCTTTAAATCTAAAGATTGGGGCAAATTTTACTATGTAATCTTATATTTTAGCAATTATTTTTAACACTTTCCTTGTATGCTTAACAAAGTGTTTTATCTTTTTAAGTTTTTCTAAATAATCATTTTTCTAATAAGCTTTGTTTCTAAGCAATTCCTATCTAAATATTTAAAAATTAATCAATATTTTATTTTAGAATCAGTTATTCAATCAATCAATCAGTCAATTTAATTTATTATTTACACTTTGAATTCTTCGTTTCTTAAACGATCTATGATTTATCTGATATCAATAATAACTAAAGTGGAAAAGTAGTTGTGTAATTAAAATTTTAAATTAGAAAACTCCTATTCAATATAGCTGACACTTTGCTAACTCTTGAATTCATCTTTAGCTTCCTATATTTAGGTATGTATATTTTGAAGTCAATGTAAATTATTAAATTTTTTTTTACAACTGCGATGACTTTGATGCTTTAGATATAATCTAACACTCCGTCAGAAATGAGATTATATAGGTTAAAATTAGTTTAATCATCCATTCTCTTCATTTTTTTTCTCTTTTCTTCATCTTTATCGTAAATGAAGTCAAATATTTGCTATTTTTATAAAAATTTAATTTTGCTATTTTATTAAATTCATTAATCTTTTGATTAAATTATACATGCCAGTGTTGAACTTTAAATGATTCATCTTTCACTTAGACTAGAAGTTCATATACAGATTAAAAGTCTGTGATTTCTTGACTAATAGCTTCTATAAGAGGAAGTATATCAGGATTTTCTTATTAAAAGAAAGGTTCTACTTCTCTAAGTACTTTATTTCCTCTTTCTAAAGTGTAGGATATATCCCTGATATCTGTGATTTGTAAGCACTATGCATTTTAGCTTGAGTTTATTAATGGTTTGAATAACCAAATCTGTTTTTTCTATTCATTAGTTAAGTTATTATTACTAATGATATATTTATCGTATAAATTTTAATTACTGTTGTCCAATCTTAGGTGTATTACCATATCTTCTCATAATTTTCAAAATCTTCTGTCAATTTTTCTATATCTATTTCAGAATCAAATCCTAAACCTAAATTAATTCCATCTTATTGAAGCTATCTCACTTATTGTCTATGTTAATTTTATTATTCGAACTCTTAGATTAACTAATAAAAAAATTTGTTTACCTTAATTGATAGAGGAGTGTTATGACCGCCTCACAATCTCTTGATTATTATTCTACTAAACTAAAACTACTAATCTTCCTAATTTATTCTACTTTTTCTTTTACTTCTTCTATTTTTTTCTTAACTTTCTCTTTTTCTTCTAAGTGCATTTAAATAAATTTGGGATGTTCTTTTTCTTGTTTTTCATCTTTTTTGTTCTTTAAATCAACAACTTCTCTATGAATCAATTCAGCCCCTATAATCTAAAATATTTTTTAAGTGTAAGACTATACTAAATGATTTTTAAAAATACTTTAACAAGATCTTCTTGGCTTATGTCTATAAGGAGTAATTATTGTTTTTCAATAATATTTTAGCTGATATGAATTAGGTTTAACATATTATTAAAATCTGCAAATAGCTCCTCCCCCTACAAATATAAACTTAGTTTAATGTATTCCCTAACATCTTTTGGTTCATCTTACATTTTGGTTAAAATTTTTTCTCCTAAAGCCATGCAAGACTCAATACTTTTTTTAAATTTTTCCTTTAAAATTTTTTTAGAAAAAGCTATTTTTTATTTTATTTCTGTGATTAGCGTTTCTTTGAACTCTTTAGTGTCAATTAAAAATACTCCTATTGGCATTTCATCTAATAATCTATTTTTCAAAAAGCTTAGGTCACTTTCCATTTTATCAACTTCAGAAAATACTATTTCCAATTCCTTAAAATTAAAAGTATAAATTCATAAATATAAATTAAATATTTAAACTAAAATTTACATCAGTATCTACTCTCTTTTACAAATACCTTTCATATTTGTGAGAATAAAGAAAATAGAATTCAAATCTTTGCAATACAATAAAGAATGAATATAATCCATAAAATGAGTAGGTGAGAAATTCTTCTATATCGTCATTCAAAGAATTCAATTTTTCTTATATATCTGAGTAATTTATTAAATGATCCTCTAATATTATAAAACAATAATTGAGATTAACATTTTTAAATTTATTATAATAAATTTTTCATGAAATTACTCCTGTAATATATGTTTATTTTGCAAATCTAATCAAAAATATCCTTGATTAAAAGCTTAAACCTAGATTCAAACTCTGGTAAGCTAGGCTCATACACGATAGTAAAGCAGTTAAGATTAAACCAGCCCATTTTCTTTATAGTAATAGTTTTATCCTATTGATAATCAATTTTAAGTTAGCTACATTTGTTTAAATTTGTATTAATTACTTTTATAGATTCAAAATATGTGTTTGGGTCTATTTCTTCAAAGTTTCTACATGCTATTTCCTAAAATATGTCCTTCATGGTAGCATTTAGCTCCTCCAATTTCCAAAACTTTTCTCTTCCGTTATCTATCATATCTTCCATATTAGATAGATTTTACAGTCTTTTGAAATTTATTCTCTTAGTTATATTGTCTAACTGTTTTTTCCTATATAAATAAGCCAAGTATTTTAAAAATTTATTTTCTCTTAAAATAATTTTGAAAGTTATACTCAGCTGGTATTTTTTCATTTAAGAATTTGGCTTTGATCCTATAAATAGGTTTCAATATTTTTGAATCAATTTTCTCAAATCTTATGTGCGTTAATTTATCTATTATGTGTTTTATTGAATAAATAATTATTTAGAAACTCTTATTTATAACTTACCTGTCAAAAGAAGATTAACAATCTATCTATATAATTTATAAATAATGTTTGCTTCTTTGTAGAAAGGCCAGCACTCTTCCATTAATTACTAAACTTCATTATCTTACACAATCGAAGAATTATTTATCTATTTATAATTAAATTTTTTGTTAAACTGTATAAAATCTTAAGCTTACTAAAGATTAATTTCCAGATCCTAGTGAAAAAGAAGCTAAATTAAACTCTCTTAATGTGCTTCGTCTTGCTTTTACATGCTAAGTTATTAAAGTTTTAGACACATCTAATTCTTATTTGCTTGTGTTAAAAAATTATTAGGTTTGATGTAAAGACTCATTGCTTTTCTTTTTAAAATTTATAGTATTTAGTTTAGAGGAAAAAATATATCTAAATTTAAACTTACTTCTATTTTTTTAAACTTGACTGAGGGTGCTATAATTAATAACTAATATATTGAAAAATAGCTTTACAATTAATTGCCAAAATTCTGAAAAATATATTTACTTATTTGTAAACTTCATTAGATTCTCTTAAGAAACATTTCTTCTAACTCTCAAATTATTTTTTATAAATATGATCTATTTTTAATTCATGCTACAAAAACTCAAAAGGAATGATAGAAAAAAATAAGTTAATTTATTATCTAAACTCTTCTATTTGCTCTCTTATCATATCTATAAGATGAGACTGTACAACCTTAACAGTTCTTTTAATTAGAATAAAAACATATGTTTAAAATATTATTATCTAAATAGTCTTACAAATCTACAAAGCTTTAGTAGAACTAGTCAGTCCATAAAAAGTATTTCTTACTATCTTACTAGTTTTTCTTTTTATTGAGTGTTTGCATTTCGTATATCATAATCTTAGTTAAGATATTCAAATAGTAAGTAAATATATATACATTTAACAAAAAATTAATTAGTTTTACTTCAAACTTTTCTACATTTTTACTTAGGTTTGATATTTTCTGCTTAACAATACTATTCATTTCTATTTAAAATTATTTAAAAATTAATTTTAACTTAGCTTTTTAATTAAATTTTACAAGAAAGAGTAAATAATGATGGCAATTAATATGGAGACTTTATTTCTTTTATAAATTAGAATATGTTAACCGATCTAAGTTCCTATATTCTCTTTGCAATCTATTAAATTTAATTTATTTTTACAATCAAATTAGAAAACTTAAAAATAAATCATTAAAAGATGATTTTGAAAGACTTACATTTGGAACTATTCTTTTGAAGACAGTGTTATGATATTCATTAGAGAAATAGAAGTTTTGTAAAAGTTTTTCTTTCAAAAAAGGAAAGTAAGGATGTGGGATAGCGTAATGCTAAAAGAATATCTAAGCTTTTTCCAAATTTAATTTATTCTCTTTATCTTTTTAGTTTAATTTCTCAGATTAAGTGTATTTAAAAACATTGTGGTCATCCTATTTTGGAGTTTGTAATTCTTTTTCTTACACTTCAAGCTATCTTTTGATGTTAAATGTGTAAACCTCTTCTGTTAAAAATTCATAATCATTAAATTTAACTTGGCTGAGTATAGAGTCGATTTGGCTCATCTCTTCTTACTGAGTCTGTCTTAAGGATATAAATTCATTAGTATCTGGCGAGAGCAGATACTAAGATCTTTTGAAATTTATCTGACTAATACCATTTATAGATCCTGGTTAAGTTATGTTAGCTGATTTAAAGAATGTAAATTTATTACTTTATATAAAGAGAGATGAATTTCTCTTATTTTCCAAATTAATCTTAAACTAATCATTATTTTCTTCATTTTAATTTGTTTTTTCAAGATTTTAATTTGTGTCATTTTCTAATTACTTTTTTTGATCAGATTCATTTAAAACTTCTAAATTAGTTTATTTTTCTTAGTGGCCTTAAATATTTTGGAAGAATGCTGATTTTTTTTTATGACTATTTTGCTATTCATCTTAATTCGTTTTATCTATAGATTGGTCATCATGTTAAGTGCTGTTTAGTATATTCTTTTGACTATTGCTCTAAAGGGTCTTATGTAATTTAGATTTTTTTAGATTTTTATATTACTCCTTAATAATATTTTGAGTTTAATTCTAATTGTCATTTTCTAAAGGTAGGTATTCATCATGCTCTTTCTAATTCTCTAGGTGCAAGCTTTGAAAAGTCTTATGCTTTATCAAGGTGCTTTAGTCAGTCTTTTTTTTATTTTATACTTTTTATTCTTCTAACAATCTTTCTGGGTAGTTTTAACAATTCATAACAACATCATATAAAAGATTTTGTTTTTTTTTTAGTGATTGCTTTAATTCTGGAAAATATGCCTCAAAGAAATGGTCAAGAGAAGGCACAGTATTTATTTCACATGCAAACTTAATTACTTCGTACTTAAACATTTCAAGTATCTCTTCTACTACTCTTTTGTAGTTCATCCTCTTTAGCTTTCTAGAATTTTTAGAATTAAATACTTTATCAATAACATTTAGCAAAGTCTGTTTTGAATAGTAAATAGATTTATCTTAGCCTTTTTCTTCATTAACAAATATTTTCATGCCCATATAATACAAAAGTTACTCTCTTTTTTTTAAAGCCTCTTTATTTCTCTTATTCATCATCTCTTCATTTTCCCATTCATACATCAGATTTAATCTTGTTACCTTATTAAAAAAATATTAATTTGCTTAAAAATACTTAAATAAGGTTATTAATTTCCAAATACATACCTCTTTCATACGATCATTTGATATCCATTTAATTAAGAATCTTTTTGTAGTTGGATTATATTTAATGACTTAGCAATCCTTCCATACACTTTCTCCATCAGGCTTTACCCATCTAGAGTATGCTCTTATAGAGGATTCCTTGATTAATTAAAGAGGATCTGGATCTTAATTTAAATATGAGTCAAATAATTCAAGAGGTTGAATTTTATAATTTTGTAGATTTGGAATTTTTATAATTAAGAGTTCATCTCCTGTTTAATTAACTAAAATGCTTAAATCTTCATCTTGTAAAAAAGGGTTGTTGTTCATTGTTGTATCACCTTCTCTCTAATCTAAATACCCTATTGATGATCCAGCTATAGGATTAGATGGTCTCATATCTAATTCAGTTTAGAAAGAAAGAATTGGATTAATCATTGTATTATCTACTAAATTATCGGTTTTTTTCCCAATCATAGAGCTCTCATCTACAAAGATTTAATTGGCTGGAATTTGAGTTTAATTAATTACAGTTTAATTCATTTAAAACGTAGTATCTTTCTATTTAGATAAATTTATTGAATTGCAGCTACTTTTTCTTCCAAAACTGTTTATATAAAAACATAGGTTAATTTATTTTACTAAAAAATATACAAATGATTTTTTTTTTAAATATTAAAAAAATATTTACAATTTTTTGCTTTTAAATATTGGGTTTTTTTTAACCATAATACTTTAGTCTTAATCGAATTTAATATCTTCTTAAGAAGGAATTAAATGTTAGCTCTAGTTTAACTAATACTCATTAAGTTATTTATTATTCTGTTCAATTTAATGCAACAAGTTTTAAATTTAATGCTTTGATTGAATCTGCTAGGGAATATTTGAGTAAAACTCCTAATTTTAAATGACTGAAATAGAATTATTTTGATTTCCTATTGAATCATTCAGAAACTCAGTTGGTATAGTTTTCTTTGATTACTTTTTATTATATGTTTAAATATATACATAGTAATTTAATATTTATTAATCTTTGTAAATGCTTATTACTCATTAAATAAATAATAAACATTTTTAAATAGAAATTAAATGAATGAAGAATTTTACTATTTAAATTTTTGATACACTCATTAATTTAGAGGATTCTAGCTTTCCTTTTTATTCGCTTAATTGCAACTTACTTTCATTAATCCCAATTTTACCAATTTATTAAATAGAAGCATCTTAATTCTACTGCTTTAACATTTAAAGTTATTGTTATTGAAGCTGCAGTTCAGCTTTCTAAATGCCTTGCTTATTCATTTCTTTTAATTTTTCTTTATTTAATTTATATACTGGATCAGTCATTTATATCGTTATATCTTTAAATATTTATTAACTGGCGTACATCTATTAATTTGTATCTCTATATTTTTTTGTTCTGTTTAAATCAGTTCTCTAGGATTTAAAGTCAAAGGCTGATTTATTTGAACTTAAGGAAAGCTGTGTTCTTATTTCTTCAGGCTTTAGGTAAAAATCATCTGTATCAATATACATGCTTTAAGGTATTTTAAATGTAGACATAGTCCTTCGAACACCTCGTTAAAAATTCTTTTACTCTACATTTTACTATTTTAAAATTTATATATTAAGAAATAATATTCAAAATGATAACTAAAAATTAATATTTAATTCAGCTAATTACTTTAGAACTTCCTGAAACATTAGGAAATTTTTATCGCAACTGAACCATTTACTAAATGGTCCTGGATGCCTTAAATGGAAAATCAGCTAATATGAATTCTTTGCTATAATCCCTATTCTTATCCATAACTAAAGTAGACTGAATGAAAAAATATTATTTAAGGTTAATAATTAAATCTTGTAACACTTTTTTTTTAAATATTAAAAAATAAAAAAAAAAGAGATCTTTTCCCAAAATAATTTGCAAAGACTTTATAAGAAAATTGCAATAAAAATGGCATATTAGTGAAAATTTGTTTATAATCATATCTTAAATAATTATTTGAGAACATGATAGCATTTTATTGAAATTACAAATGGAATTTAAAAATATCTCTAAGAATAAAAATATTTGTTTTCAATTCAAAAATCAGTTTTAATAACCACAAGATTTTCATAAGCACATTATTCTTATCAAATTATTAAAATCAATATACTTACATTTAATATATATATTTTGTTAACATCGTCTCAACTTATATGATTACTTTTGAAATCATAATAAAATAACAACTATGAGTTTATAAACATTTTCTTATGTAACAATTTAAAAGCTAATTTAAAATTTTATTATATTATTTAATTCTTTTTTATAATTATTTATAAATTCTATAATTTTAAAATTTTATTTTTTTTAACAATTATTTTAATTTTACATTAATTCCTAAAAATATACGATATTACTAAATGATAATTACTTTTGTTATTATTTAGATTATATTTCTTATTTTCAAGCACCAATTAATTAAACAACTAAAAGAGAATTAGAGAGGTTAATAGATCATTTTGCTAAGGTCTATATAAAGATTTTTTTATATTAAATCCAACTGCTAATGATACCTAATTAGTATTTTTCAAAAAATATGTTATAATTATAAAACATATTATATATATACTAAAATATTTCAAGGCTGCAAATCTTTCTTTAGTTTTAAAAATAAAACTTTTTAACCCAATTTTCATAATTTTAAGGGAAATTTAAATAAATAATTTTCCTTGTATATAAGAATACTTGATATATATTATTTTTTTTTGCTTTTTAGTAACAAGCACTAAATTTAAATTATTTTTAATCTAAAATATAAATTTATAAAAGAAATTATTTTACCATTCAATTGTTGAAGGTAGGTAGTTTAAAGAATTGATACAATAAAATTATAAACATTATATTTATAATAAAGAACACTTTAAAATTGGAAATATCAAAGAATAGTAATTCTTATTAGGAATTCCTAATTTTTTTTTTCTTCAATAAAGCAATTTTGAAAGAAATGCTTTTTAAATAAATTAAATTAAGCTAATTTAAGATATTCATTACATACTTATACAATAAATATACAGTATTTATCCACATTTTAGATGAGTATGAAACGAAGTGAGTTTTATAGAAGTCAAAACAACAGTTTAAAATTAATTTATATAGAAAATTAGGAATATTATAGAAAATTAACATTTTTTATTATTTATTATATAAACATCTTTTCTATATAATTTAAATAAAATCTAAATTTATGAGAATTTATTTATTTTATAGATTTGACTGCCTGATTAGGAATAGCTTCCGGATAAGAAAGATAATCAGAAATTTAGATCAAAATTAAATTCTTTACATTTTATTCCTAATTGATAAGTCACATAATAAGATTAATTTTCTGTTAGGATGAAATTAAACTTTTGAGACATCAATCAATCTGTCTATTTATTTATTTAATATCTATCTGTCTATATTTTATTTCTTGATCATTAAAATTAATAGCAAAATTTTAAGCATTCATTAGTTTTTAAATAAATATCTATGAAATTAGTTAACTTCTTTGCTTACAGTCTAATTAAATAATTAATTTTTTTTTTTCAGTAATAGTAAAAAATTAGATGATTGTATTTTACTGATGATTTAATTATAAATACAAAGAATGTTTTATATTAGATTTTAAACATAACTACAAATTAGATGAACGAAAAATTTATGTATTTATATATGTATGATAAATATAAAGAATCTTTATAAATCAAATAAGAATGTATGTTTGAGAGATAAAATTATAAATTTAATTAAAATCAATCGTTGCGATTAAAAAAAATAATTAGGAAATAATGATAATTATTATTAGGAAGAGATTTTTGAAATAATTACTGGAGGGTATATAAAAATATAAATAAAGATTAAATCAAAATTTATTTTCACCAAGTATTTAGATATTAAATCATCTTACAAGGTTTAATTTAGATACATTTAGGTTCTTTTATTAAAGAAAATGTATATTGTTTAAGTAGAGGAAATTAATCCAGATTTTAAAAAGTTAATAAAAGAATTTTTCGAATAACAATAGTACCTTTGATTTTAAAAGAGTACTTATTTGTCGTAAATAATAGCTTTGAATATATCCCCTTTTAAAACGCGTAATATCTTATACTTATAATTACGCAATTTAAGCATTATTTTAAAAGTTTTATAATAAAAATAAACATTTATTTTGTTATTTACTTACTAAATGCATGTATTGCTTTTAGAAATATATTTTTATGATAGCTGTAAATTGTAAATAAGAATTGATTGAGATAGATATCTTATTGCTTAATTATATCACCTAAAATAAATATAAAATGACTACAAAGCAACATAAAAAGCTTATTTTGAATATATTTTACTGTTTTAAATTATTCATTAAAATAATTTTAAAAGTTTATATTTTTATGATATCATTCATTATATTTGTTCTAATAGTTAACTTCATCTAAAATTTAAATCCTTGATGAATAGAAAAGGTACATAGGATGGTAATTTCTTTTCTAATGAACCTAAGTCTATGTTATCATCTATCAAAAATTTTTTTGATAAACCAAAGTCTAAAAGTGAATATTTTAGGTTTTTTAATCCTCTTTGATTGATATAAGCGTAAAACTTACTAAGTCATTAAATAAAAATTCTTTATAATGATCTCTTTTATTACAACTTATGCAGTCATTGCAACTGCAGATTTTTAATTTGAGAAAAAATTAATAAATTGGAAGCTAAATTTGAGAATTTACTCCATTCATTTAATTACTATTGTTTTCCTCAAAGTAAAATATAGTAATAAGCGCAATTTTAAACCACAAAAACTTTCTAATTATTTTAGGAATCTGAAATTTGGGATAATTAGGATCTCTTGTTTCAAGTAATTTAGTTTACTTTACATATCTACAAATTCAACATATGGTTTATATAAAATTAAATAGGATCAGCTTTTTTTTATGGTGTAAAGGTTTGTAATTTGATAATTTAATGCAATTAGAAAAAACACGTTATATAGCTCATGAGCTTTATGAATAGTTTATTTTTCATTTTTAATTCTTTAAGAGTTATAGCGCTTACAGATATATGATTACCAAAATTAAACACTAAAATAGATTGAGTTGAATTAGACTTTTACAGTGCATTTAAATTTATTATTTGGTTTGTTATTCTACTATAAAATTAGCTTAAAATAACATCAAATAAAAGAATAAAATAATTGTAATATTCAAATCATCATATTTTTCCTTAAGAATACTTAACCTTTTAAAAATTCAAATAATCTAAAGCTATGAAGAATAATATACAGTGACTTCAATTTTTATTAAAGAAGCAAAACAAAATTTAATATTGACAATTTCATAGCATTTGCATTTTTAATCCTTATATGCGAGAGCAAGTGACTGAGTTAGTGAAGGAAGGAAGGAAGAAAGGAGTGATATTTGATAAAGTAAATTATTTAGAAATTTTAAAGAAGAAATTAAAGAGTGATTGATTGATTAATTAATTAATTTATTGTCTTAAGGTAGAAAATTAAATTAATTGCAAACTAAATCAATATGTGGGGGCGGGGAGAGATTGATTGATTGATATTTAGAAAAATAAAAAGAAAAGTCTTTTGAAGGAAAAAAAATGTAATTAAAAAGCTGTTTTTGAACAAAATTAATCCAAACCTTTTGATTTGATAAGAAATTAAATGACAAAATAGGATACCAATTATCTTTTTTGAAATTAATGTTAGATCCACTTCTTTTTGACTTGATTTTCATTTAATTAAGACTAATATTTTGTGAAAGCAACAAGATTTTTCTTTCTGTATCTATCATATACAAATTAATTTGGGAAGGTAACAATTATTTAAAAACAAAGAATTCCTCAAATTAAATAATTAATATTTTTTGATTAATATAAAAAAAATATTTATAAAAGAAAAAAAAAGTAAAAGAATAAAAAATCAAATATTTGTTTTTGTTGGCTCTATTTGTCCACACACCAACCAACCAAGAACTTATCTTATAACACTCGCGCTCATTTATTGATTATTATCTTTATTTGATTCAACAAATTAACCACATCCTCCGAGTAATCTGATCACGTCTTAACAATAACTTACAAACAAATTACTCAATTATTAATCTCATCTAAAAGAAATACTTAGAAATTAACAAAATTATCTCTTTTTGATATTCATCACATTCAATACAAAATTTACACTTTGAATTTAAGACTTAAAAAAAATAAATGAGTTTCAACGACTAGAATAGTTTAAATCCCACTCTTAACAACTCAAACAATCCAAATAACAACACAAACACCACTTAAAACATGTTCTCTGCTACTAATACATCAAAGAACATCAATAACGAGTGCAAAACCTCTTAAAACGGAAATAACTCCAGCATTAATAATAATAACTATTTAGATTTTGACTTTAATGACTGTGATCTTTTCGGAGGAAACAACCACTCTAATTTGGGTAACATGATGGGCGGAGCTCTTCACAACCACCATCAATAATAAAATAATTTCTTCTTCGATGGCACTTTCGGTGGATGCGGAACTACTTCTGCTCCCTAAGGCTAAGGACACATTTACTTTGCACCTGTCAAATATGGTTACTTGGGTTAATAAGAAGAATAAATTTTCCATGATAAACAAATGAATAACATTCCTGATTTTGAATTTGGAAATTACTTCTCTGGAAATAACCACAATAATGCCTACTCCTTAAACCCTATGGGCAGCATTAATAATACTTAAAACAACAATAATTAAAATGGAAACAATAACTCATCCAACAATTAGGGATCATCAAACAACAATAACAACTCATTCTTACCTAATAACTTCTTATTCTCTACATACAACACCAATAATGCAGTTGATCTTGCTGACTTGTTTCCCCCTGAACCAGTTCCCAAACTTGAAAACAAGCAAAATAGCAATGGTAACTATTACATGGAAAATGCTGATTAATTCTCTCCTTCTCACCACAATGCTAGCAATAACAATAATAATCTTTCTCATAATTCCTCATCTTAATAACCTATCATTACTAAAACTGAATGCAGCACTAATCACTGCTCCAGCAATACAGGTTTAATGAATAATTGCAATAACGTTTTGGGAAACTGTAATAATTTTATTGGCAGCACATTCAATATGAATGCTAATAATGGAAATATGTTTGGAGACAGATCTGGAATTTAAATGATGCCTACTCAAAATCCTTATGGAAATCACCACAATCAACCTTGTGCTTAAACCCATTATGGTATGATCAATGATCACTCTCACCTCTCTAATATGCATTAAACTCAACATATGATGGGAAATAACTAAATGCCCAACTACCATCATTTAGCATCTAATAATATCCATCCCACTCTCCCAATGATCTAATAACATAACCAATAAGCTTAAAACATCTCAATTATAGCTGGAAACAAAGGAAATGTCTTCTCCATTGTTAGAGATTAATAAAAGGAAAAGAAGAAAGACTATGATAAGAACATATGCAGATATATTACAAGATAAGTTGTTAGAAGCTTTTCTAGCCCTGATTTCAAGAACAAAGTTCTTTTAATTATCAACGAAATCTATCCTGATGCTCCTTCTTAAAACAAAATCTAAATCTATAAGGATGTCACTGAGTTTTTCTTAGGTGAAATTGAAAATCTCAGCGGTTTCCGTGCCTTGAAGGATATGCTAGTTGTTAATCCTGACATGGATGGAACTATTCTTGCCACCCAAAAAAAGATTTTCCGTGACTTTATGAGATGGTATTTAAAAGAAAGATACTTCCGTAACATCATTAACGGAAATATGAAGGATAAGCTTGCTTTTATTAGATACAAGAATAAAATCATGCTCCACTACATTAACAAGCCCCACAAATGGAATTCTAACAAAAAGAAAAGATTAGGCAAAGTATCTTCTCCTACCAACGCTTCATAAAATGCAAATGGAAACGCACTTTTCTCTTCCGTCAATCTCAGCAAATAAGAATATTGAGAAATGAACTGATTCTGTTAATAAATCAATCTACATATCAATTATAAGATTGATTAATATTTTAATATTTTTTTAATAACTAATAAACAAATAAAAAAAATTAACAAAGATTTAACAAAAAAAATACCTTTGGATAACAAAATAATTATTAAACACTCATAACAATATTTACTTTAATTTTATCTTTAAGAAAATCATTCATAACAAATAAATAAATAAAATAACAAATTTAATTATAACAAAAAAATAAATAACTAAATATTATAAAATTATTCATATTAAATTCATACTAAATATTATTTTTTATTTACATTTCGTATCATTAATAAATTCGTAACAATATTTTCATAATAAATTAAAATCTATCTCTTTCTTACATGTTTATTAATTTATTCTTTTTATGAAATAGAAGTAAATCTTAAATGAATTTTTTAAGCATAAACCACTTTATGCTAAATTAATTAATAAATTTTTATTCATAATTTAAGTATTTTTGCTTTAAATAATCAATGTTTTACTTTTTTAAATGCATTACATTATAAAAATATAAGGTTTTTTAAAATATCTTATAACTATATTTCTTTACATATGCTATATTTAAAGTATTTTATCTTTATTTTAAACCAACAAATTAATAAAGTTTTCATAAAGTTATTTTTTTAGAAATATAGGGATTAAAAAATTAAAATTAATTATAATGATATAAGGAATATATTTAGATTGAAAAGAGTATTTAATTTACTTATTAAAAAAAATCGATTACCATTATAATATTACTCACTTTTTTAAATTTATGAGAAAATTTGTTTTTTATTAGAGTTCATATTGAGAAAAAAAGGGATATTAAAAAATTTACTAACATTTAAAAATATTATTTAACATATTTATTACAAAATATAAAATTTAGATCTTTATTATTTGATTATTCAATAAGAAACTTAGAAATTAATTTACACATAAAATTGTTTAAATTTTGAACTTTAGAAAAATCGAATTTTACAATATAAAATGATATTAACATAAACATATTTAACTAATCTAAATATTTGTATATGCTCATATTAATTTATATTAAAATATTTCTTATTAAATTGTGTGATAATAAACACTAGCTTTATCTTAAATAATAATTAATATAATAAAATTTTCTAATTAAATAAAAAGGGATCATTGTATTCAAATTCAAAATTCCATTATTATTGTTTTAGGGAGAGCTACTATATCGAAAATGATTTTTGTATTTCTAATTTAATATATTAAAAATTTAAATAAATTGTGCCAAGCTTTTTAAATCAAATTATTAATTCATTTTTGAAATTGCTTTTAGTAATGATAATTAAATTACATATTATGAGATCATTTTTGTTTAAAAAAGATTTAAAAAGTATGTTTTTCTTTTTCTTATTTAAAAATTGCAATTAAAAAGTTCCAGTGATAAAAAATTATTAAGTACTTTTAAAAATTGTTTAGAAATTTTTACTAATGCATCAGTTTTTAATTTATTGTATTTTTCTTTCTTTCTTAAAGTTATCTTAGATATAATCAAATAATATACTCTAAGATTTAAATGAAAAAGTTTTAGTTATTCTTATAATAACAAACTAACACTGATTCATCATCATAATTATTAATATAATAAGATCAGTATCTTTACTTTTTAACTAATTTCAAATTTTTTATCAATCAAATATATTTAGTTAAATAATCAAAATGAACATCCAACAAATAGGTTTAAGAAATAAAAATGTTTAAAAGTAAAACAAAAACTAGGAGAACAAGCTAGATATTTTGATTCAAGGAAACAATAATTTTACATTAGATAGACTAAATGTTCCTAGAGGATATACTTCAAATAGATTCTCCTCTTAAATTCCAGATATGTCACCCAAAAATTAGATGCATCAAATATAGACTATAGATGAAACAAGCACTTTTGTAGGTAACAAGTTAAATTAAAAGCCTGAACCTATCAACTAATAATACTTTTCATCTCCTTCATCAACAACATTATCTTACTCATTTTTCCCAACTAAAGGTTTTGCCTCTTCAAGCAATCCAAGAATTGTAAATAGATAGATTTCTAAGGGTAATAACCAGCTTATAAATAATATGACAACGTAACATAAAAACCAAAATAGCGCTGAAAAAAATATTTCTGCAGTATCTGACATAGGCACAAAGAGAGCAGAATAACTGATTAGATTCCAAAAAAAGAACAGTAGCTAATATCTTACAGATAATATTATGAATAATTTCTTGAAAAATAATGAATAAACTTAATAGTAGAATAAAAATAGCTTAATTGGAAGTAATAGAAGCGGTTATCTTAAAAATCCGCACTCAGCATCTTAAGATAGGAGAATAATTTAAAGCAGCTCTGGACAAACTTACTAGACATTAAATTTTAAGTTAGACCCTATCATCGATGAGCAATACTCCAACGAGAAGCTTATGATCAAGAACAAATAAAAGGTGAATGAAAAGATAGATTAACTTTTAGCTTCAGACTACCTAGTTTATTAGAAAAATGTTGAAGGTCTAATTTCTTAATCTGTTTAGCAAGGAAGAGCTTTTTACGAAAATGAATAGCTTCAATTAAATGGAAAGTAAGAAAGTTACAAGGAAGTCATAGTTGAGGAAGATTAAAATTGCAATGAGTTATAAAAATAGAAAAGGAAAGCTCAGATTTTTAATACTAAACCCCTTTCAGAAAGATTCAGTGAGAATAATTTAAATTAAAACCTTTTAAACAATTAAAATTCCAATTAAAAAGGTGGTTCCAATTTTTCTGAGTAATTTAACTATAATCAAACATAAAATGAACAAAACCCTATACTTTCTATTAAAAGTGCTTAACCGTTTCAATTTAAAAATGGAAACAAGTTTGAATCTGTAAAAAATATTAACACCAATCCTCTTACAATTAAAAATTACAACATTTAAAATTCTAACAACAAAAATCCTGCTTACCAAAATTAGCAAGAGTCTTATTAAGTTTAGTAATACAATCATACAAAGCAAGCAAAACCAAATAGACTTCTAAGTGGTAGTAATTTATAATCTCAAGTAAGCAATTCACCTTCTTTGTCTGAAATGGTGATATATGGACAATAGGCAATAGACCATTCTAATCTGCGTTTTAACAGAATAAGTCAAACTGAAGTCCTCTAAATGTCTAAGTAATCCTAAAACAAAATAGATTAATTGAATTCACAGATAATGATGAAGAGTGATGATCCAACTTTTTTCTACCCATAATCTAACTATGGAGGTACTATGTAATTCAAAGGATATTAAAAAGATGACTAGTAGTATAAGTAATACATTATCGATGCAATAAATAGTGTCAATTCAGGTAAAGAAACTAACAAATTAAATCAGCTTAATATTTAGCATGAATCCTAATAGAGAAACAAATTGTTAACACCTTCTTCATCCCATGGTTAGAAAAGATCATACGCTACTTCAGAATAATAAATATAAAGAAAGCGTAACTAATAAAAACCATCCTATCTTCTATCTGATGAAAGCGAGCTTGCTTTATCTAATCAAGCTTCTAATATTATTATAGGGCAATGCAATCATCTATCTTAGACTTAATCTCCAACTAAATAAAAATGTGTTTAAGATTTTCAACCTAGCTCAGTTCAAAATAACTTTGAGTTAGTTAGTTCAGAATCTGCGCCTTTATTTATAAATTCTATCAATATTGTCCATAATAATTCATCCATCTAAAATAATAGCCAATTACATCAACCTAGTGAATAAATTTTTGAACTTGCCATCAATAATTAGAACTAATCAGATTAGTAAAAAAGATAACTTTTAAGACTAAACCCTTACAAGATCAGATACCTTGAACTGCAATAAAAAAAACTATAAATGCAGTTAGGATAATAAGATCTACAGATATCAAACCCTCCTTAATTTTTTGGATAGGCAAATAGTATAAATGGATAGTAATAATTAGTTGATTTAAAGGGATTATAAAGCTAGCAATTATTCTAAGGAGTAACGAATAATGTGGTAGGGAGTAATTTGACTTCAGGAAATCAAAACTAATTTCAAGCTTATCGCTATTATGTTGGATATGGTAATAATGCAGAACTTGTTAAGAGAATTTTAAAATCTAGAGAGTGGTGGTGTGAGTTTAACAGTGAAACTTAATAAGGGAGCTATAACTTCAGATGGACATAAGGGATTTAAGGAATAAAGTATGAGAAATTGAATTCAAACGGACCTAAGTAATGTGTAAATCACTTTGAAGAGCACAGAGAAATAAGTTAAAAAGATAATTTAGTAAAGAACCTAAAATTATTTTGTGAAACGAATAAAATTTCTCTTTTTAGCTTAACTCCTTGCACATTTTTGATTGATCTCAATGATGATTCTTGCGAATTACAGATAACTAAATTTGCTAATTTCTTTTGTAAACATCATCCTAAATCAGAGTTTTTTGAAAATAGTAAAAAAATGGTTGCAGAATTCAAAAAAAATATCAGACAAATTTTTTAATCAGTAAATGCTAACTATAAAAAGATTAAATCAAATAGCTACTCCAAACCTATATTATATCCATCATTTGTAAATAAAGAGTATTGCCAATATATCTGGTTACTAAAGACAACCATTTATAATAGAGGAAGAGGTATTGAGCTCTTTTCTTCTTTTGACTAACTTGAGAAGCAGATTAAAATTTATTCAGATGGTACTCTCGATAGAAATTTAATGTTAGCAGAGGAGTATTAACAAATCTCTACAAATGATTAAAATAAGTAACTCTAATCACCAAGTGAAAATGAAAAAGAAGGAAATAATTAAAATCAATAATACTAAGAATCTTCAGGCTAAATGCTTTTATCTGGCTCAACTTAATAATCAAATCAAACTGGACTTACGTGCAGTGTAGAGCAAATTGGTTGTAGCCTTAAAGACTCAAATTAGTAAAAGGATGTACTAACTTCTAAAAATAAAGAAAAAGATCAGAAGCAAGTGAAAAGCTGGTAAATTTTAAAGAGCTAAACATTTGTTATTTAAAAGTACATTGAGAAACCTATGCTTATAAAAGGAAGAAAATTTGATATGAGAATGTTTGTATTAGTAACTCATACAATGGATAGTTACTTTTACAAGTGTGGATATATCCGTACAGCGAGTGAGATATATAGAATGGATGATTTAGATAACTAATTTATTCACCTTACTAATAATGCTGTATAAAAATATGCTAAAAATTATGGAGAGTTTGAAGATGGAAATATTCTGTCACTAGAATAGTTTGATCAGTTTATAAAGTAAGCAGGTAATAAATACGAAGGCTTAGATCTTTTTGGTAAAATAGTTCCTACAATAAGAGAAATTTGCTTAATAACTCTAGCAAGTGCTAAAAAAAAATTAAACTCACAAGATAGAAAGTATTGCTTTGAGATGTTTGGATTTGATTTTTTTATTGATGAGGACTACAAGGTGTGGCTGATTGAAGTTAATACAAACCCTTGTATAGAAGAATCTAATTAATATTTGCATTAATTAATGCCACGTTTGCTGGATGATACATTCAAATTAACTATAGACTAAATATTTCCTCGCCCAGGAGGATCAGGCAATAACTAGCAATAACAAAAATAATAGTAAAATTAAATGTAATCCTCTTAAATGATAAATGGAAACAGTAAATTAAATAAGAGAAATTCATCACTTATTTCTTAATAGGTCCCAAATAATCATTAATCAAGTGATCGTAATCTGTAAGAATTGCAGTCAGTAAAAATTACAAGTAATATATAACAAAAAAAAGAAAATATATTATAATTTCATTAATAATCCCCTTCTAAATATGAAAACGAGGATAATTCACAGTAAAAGAATTTCTAAACTCCTCTAGAAAATATAAATCTAAATTAAAATGAGAACAAAGAAAATACTAGAGACCAAGACAATAATAGTAATGTTGGATCAGATTTACAGAAACAAAGTAGAAAAAGAGAGAAATTTCAAATATAAGGACACAATGACGATGAAAATCTATGGCAATTTATGGCAAATTTAAATAAATTTAATTACTCTACTTATAGTTATTAAACTCTTAGTAGCATTGCTCCTAATCAGTACCACCCACTCAAAGAATTATATACAAACTCTAGTAAATTAGCAAACTAAAAAAATAGTAAAAAGAAAGAATGAGTAAAAACAAATATAAAATAAATATACCAAGTGATATTCCCCTTTTACTTGTCATTCAGCACAGTTCAAAAATGCCAAAAAAAACTAGTATATTTTTAGGAAAACTTTAGCATAATGGTTTTTTGATCATATCGAGGGAAACGCTGTAATTATCTTTTAAATATTATAATAAATTTAATATAAGTTAGTAAGTAAATAAATAACCGTTTAATTATTTGATTTAAATTAAAAATACTTCTTAAAAAAAATAATAACTTTAAAATGAAATAAAAATAATTTATTATTGTAAATTTATTGTTCTTTAAAATTATTTTGATTAAATATTTATTTATTGCTTAAAATCTCAATTACATATAATATCTATACTATCTATATCTTGGGTTAAAGTTTTTATTATGAATAATAACTGCTTTATATAATTAAAAGCATTTTTATGAATTACTCCCAGAAACATATCTCAAATTTCTTAAACATCTTTGAATATTTTATGTAGAGATCAAAAATTTGTACTGAAATAATTATTAGATTTATACTCATATAGTTAATGTTAGTTTAACTTTATTAAGAAATAATTCAATTTAAAATCAGACTTTTTATTTAGATGGATTAATTTAATTTCCTACTAAATATCGATATGGTTTAAAACTGAATTTAAAAATAAAAAACATAGATTAATTAGTCATAAAATAAAAGATGATTGGTAAATTATGAGTTTTATTGATTATTTATTTACAAAAAAAGATTAATTTCTCCTCAATTTAATTAATATATTTGAAAGATGGAAAAGTAAGTTGCATCCAAAAACAAATTTTTTGATTTCCAAAAATTATTATCAAAGGAATACTTGATATGATTTATCTAGTAAATATCTAAAAAAACAGATGGAAAAATTTACTGAATAAAATATTTGGAGAGAATATTATTAATTGACTTTAAGGAGTTAAAATTCTTTTTTTTAATGCAAAACAATGAATTTTTTATTTAAATAGATGTATTAAGATAATATTTTTGCAAATTTTTTTCCTTAAATTAAATTAATTTAAAGACCTTTTTAGATTAAATCATTATCAAAACTTACGACTAATAAAAAAAACTATAGGAAATAAAGGAGTTATCAATATTGTTTTATTTAAGTTTTACAAAAAATAAATAATCATAATTAATAAAGTTTCATTCATACATTTAACTTAATTTGATTTCCTTGGTTTATGTATGAAAAATATATTTATTGATCAACCTTATCAAATAATAATAATAATAATAACTCCAATAAACAAACAAACAAAGAAACAATTAAAGACAAAATTTATTTGAAGAATTAATAAAGAGAAGGGAAGAACAGAGGAGAAGAATACATAAAAATACTAAATAGTATATTTAAAGTAGCAAAAATTAAGTAAAGAGTAATACAAATTCAACCAAGGACAGTTCAAAATCTGCTTTTATTATATTTTTGGTAAATTTAAATTATATACTATTGCATCACTTAGCATAATTATTGTTCTATAATGGAGAAAGAACTGGATAGTTAGTAGATTAAAATGGAAGAAAATAATAACAATAACAACAATAACAATAGCATCAATAATAGCAACGGTATCAAAGATTCCTCTAACACTAATAACTAAAATGGAGCTTAAAAAAAGAGTAATTTAAGTTAACCGAATTAATAAAAGGTATCTAGGTAAAAGAAAAAGCTTCAATGGAAGGAGGAAGTAGATATAGTTGTTGTAGAAAACCTTAAGGAGTATAACATGCAATCAAATGATTTTGAAAAAAGTGCTTGTCGTTGCAATGTATTTTAATCAAGCTTCTTTGTTACCTGTTCTGCATGATAACTATATTTGTCTATGCTAGCTCTTTTCAAATTTAATCAAATTATAATGGTTTCTAGTGTGATTAGAAGCACCCTCAAAAACACAGATATTGCAAATTGATAATGAATGAATGAATTAATAATCTCAAAAGCCACTACTATATAATCTCATAAACAAAAATATTTTTAGAAATAAACAAAGAATAAGTAATAAAAATTATTAAAATATTCTAAAAATTAAAGTGTAAAAACAAAAAAACAAGCTATTTAATCATAAAGCTTAACAGATACGATGTTTAGCATTAAATAAATATTTATTTGAAATAACTAGGATAAATATGATACCTCTAATTATGTACTCAATCTATTACTCAGATTAATAGATGGATATCTATTGTCTATCTACTTAAGGAATTAATAAAAAACTTCGATAATATTATCAAAATAATCTTAAAATAAATAAAATAGCTAAATAAATTTTAGTAGATAGAGAAATTAAGCAGTACTTACTTACTTATTTTAAATCTGAAAAGTGACTAAGTCAAGCAATTGGTACTTATTTTACAAAGTGGTAAGTAAAAATATATAACTAATTAACAATAAGTTTAAGCAGAAAAAAAGTAAACAAATAAATAAATAAATTATCAAGTAGTAATCAATGAATGGCAACTATAACTTATATAAATAAATAAATTCTATCATTTAATTTTTTAATATCTTCACTTATTAATTATTAATAGTATTATCTGTATTGAGTGTTTTTCTTCCTATACTAGAAATATTAAAATTTGTGCGATGGAGCTATTACAATTTAAATAAATATCATACATAATTTATTATTATTTCAAAACTTAGCTGATCAAAAGTTTTTAATTCATTTAGCATTCATTTAAATAAAGCATAAGTTTCTTTTCAATCAATGAAATATTAATTTTTAAAAATAAATTGAGAAATTAAAATTATTAGTTGATTTATTTGATAATATTTTATAAAATTGACTTAGAATTAGAAACTTTTTTTCAAATACATTTATTTATTTGTAATTTGATAAAGCATTTTAAATAAAAGGCATATAAAAAGATAGCTAAATATTAATCATACATCTAGACAATTAATATTTATTATCAATAAGATACTAATTTAATATATCGTATTTACAAATTTTATAAAAGTCAGTATAGGGACATTATGATAGGATTTAGCTCAATTGTTCTAACTTAAGATAAAAATTATTTATTAGCAGGAGATTTTTATGGTTTTATTCACATATTTCCTATTAAATATCTATTGGTAACACTTATTTACTTTTGATTTAACTTTATGAATTTTATTAGTTATTATGATAATTGCTACATATGTATTTACAAAATAGAAAAATCATCATCTGAGTACTATACAAGAAGAGTAATTCAAAGAATACAAGTAGTAAAAATATTTAGCATTTAATTTTACAATTCAAAAGGATGGTCTATAAATAAACTTGCTTCTTTGAAGTAGCCAAGTATGCAATTTTAGATATGAAGATATTATCTACAGGAGAACTTATATTAGCTGATCGCGAATCAGTGAAACTCCTCTCAGCCTAATTTTTAAATAATGCAATATCTGCTTCACTGAATTAAAGCGTACCTAGAAGTTTATTAAGCCCAAATATATACTCTAATGATATGAAAAAATATAAAACAGTAAATTTTACAACATTTCATACTAAATCTAAATATTAAATATCCTTTTAATTTTAGAGTGAAGATTAATAAATAAAAGCCTTTTTGTGCAAAAATGAAGTAATTCCTAATAAAATATCAAGTAATTATAAACTAATTGTAGTTTTTATTAATACTAGAATATTTATGTTGGCACTGATAGTGGTTAAATTATCATCTTTGATAAAATGAGTGAAAAAATAAAAAACGAATTTAATACAGCTTAGTATTTAAATGAAGCAATTAAAGATTCAACTTCAAGAAACTTAAATCCACTAATTAATCTCAAATAAAATCCTATATCATCAATGATCTTGGCCAAGGATGGATAATTAATCATAGGATCATAAATAGGAGTCATTCAACTATGGAAAATCCAAGAAAACGATAACTTAGAATATATAAGAACTTTCAAGCATGAATAAAATTGCTTTTTTGAGTAAATTTACACAACAGAAGTATTTTATAGCACTCTAGTAAATAAAAAAATATAATAACAAAATAATAAATTTATTTTTTAAATGTAGTTTTGTGGTCATAATGGATTTATAACTGCATGGGATATCTAAACAGGAAATCTTAAGTATGTTATTAATGCATAAAAGGATGTCTACTTGATCAAAGTTGTAGATGAAAATGTTAAATTTTAAATTTACATAGATATAAATTACTAAATAATTTTAATTTTTTTTTATTAGAGGATTTTGGTTGGAGGAGATAGTAAATATATCAGCTACTATAATATTAATAACGGCTAAAAAATAAAGTCTATTTCTACAACAAACAATGCAAATCTTTCTCTTTACTATGAATTCACATCTTAAAATACAGAAATTGACACCTCAAATGTAAGTTATTTTATATAGTTAAATTCATCATCTATTTTTATTTATTTTTACTAATTAGCTTTTAATTACTGCTGGGTCTTCACCATTTTTAGATGTCTTCTACAATAACCTGAGAATATTCTTACTCACAAATCCTAATACAAATGAAATTTAATAGTTAAAACTTTAATCTTAAAATTTAGATTGATTAGATTAATTGGTCCTATATTAATTACAATAAAGTTTTCTATAAATTTTTATATTATCATCAAAATAGTATATATTTATGTATCAACAACTAATTTATTAGCCTATTAACTAATAAATATCTCAAATTAATTAAATAATCATTTTATTTATTTTTAAATTGCTAATTTATTTTGTTAAGTGGTTTAAACACCAAAAATTTAATTTAAAAAAATTATCACTAAATATTTATTAATTTTATACAACTGACTAATATAAAAAATAGTTTTTCCTTACTTTTATAATAAGTATCAAATATTAGAGTATAAATAAATACATTAATTTTATATGCAATTAATTGAAATTACCATCTATCTTTAACTTCATTGAAATAAATTTAAACATACTTATATAAATTTAGATTTTATATTTAAAGAAATAGATTTATTTAAATCATATTATTTATGATATATTTTCCAATAAATTAATAATTGAGTTAAGGTTTGATGTATCTACTTATTATTAGCTACGAATGCAGTGCTCTTTAGTGAAATTATCAAGTTGTTCTTATGAAACTTCTTAATTTTCTTCATTTTTGATTATTTTTGTTAAGATAAATGGGAAATTATTATGTTGATCAGCATGTAAACCAAACTCGATAAATAAAGTAATCCACTTATCAAGTTCTTATAGTGATTCATTAGAATCATATAGTAATATGACTCCATCAACATTTTTGAGTAAACTTTTATTCTAATGTATTATCTCTTCATCTCCAGATATTTCTTGCAAAGTAATTAAAATCTTTTTGGTGCACAGAGCCAAATCATAGACATATACCATATTTCTTTGTATATGAGCTGATATATCAGGTTGGAATTCTCTATGTATTAAGGTATTTATAAGAGTACTTTTGCCAATATTACTTTTTCCTAGTAATAAAAATTTTTTTCTCTCTCTTTTTGTAGAGCTTGACGATTACTTTTTCAGTAATGGTAAATTTTCATGATCTTTTAAATAATTTTAAAAATTAAGCATACTGTAAGCTTAAAATAAATTTACCATTAGAATTATTGCCACTGTTTATTACTTGATCTTAATTGTTAGAAGATTTTCTTTTTGGAGAAGAAGAAGGAGAAAATATGTCCAAGTTTTTGTCAGCTTTCATAAGCTAAGGTAATTCATGAACAAGCTACTTGCTTAAGTCTTTGAAATTTAAACTTTATTCAATCTTAATTATATCATTAAAGGTTTCTTCCAACTCTTAAATCTAAAGCTTTCTTTCTTCTGAATTAACTATTTTCTAGTTTAAAAACTTCTCAAATTCATTCTAATCCAATTGATCATCGCTTAACTATTTAATAGCTTCCGAAATAACTACTATTGGACTAACTTGTATAAACTTTTCGGTTAATTCTAATAAAGTAGCTGAGTCTCTACCTAATCTTTCTTTATATTTTTTTTCAGCTTCATCAATTAAGATATTAACATTTTTTCTGAATGCACTAAAAATAGCCTCTATTTTCTCTTCTCTCTCTTCTTAGTTTTCATCAAGAACCCAATCACAAATTTTATTGAATACTTCTTCACCTTCTTTCTTCCATATTGGAATATCAAAAATATCAGATTTTTCATAATCTACATAATCCTTTAAGTAGATTATTTCCTATTGATGACTTGAATGTAATCCTTCTAGTATACACTTAGAGCATATCAATTTTTAGCTTTAATGGCAACTAGAGCTAATACAGACAGCAATAAATTGCTTAAGCTCGTGTCCTTCTAAGTTACACTTCTGTTTTTGGCTACCAGTAGACATTATATATTTATTACTAACTAACTGTTTTTCTTTAATATGACTTTAAATAAATAAAAAATTTTATCTATATTTAATAAAATAAAAATTTTATGATTTAAGTAAGAATGATCAAAAATTTTTGTTAATTAATTTATCTATTTTTATTTAGTATATAGAGTTTTTCTTTCTTATCATATACAATCAAAAAAAAAATAAATAATTGAGAGTGCTTATCAATATCAATTATGTAAAAATGTTGATTTAAAATAAATGATAATATTTAATAGATAGAAATTAATATTCAAAATCTATATTAAGCTTTCTTATTTCAAGTTTAAAAATAACAAAAAAAATATTGTCTTAGCTATTTAATATTTGAATTATTTGCATTTTTATAAATAAAATTAGAAATTCTACATTTTATAAATAAACGTTTTACTTATTTTAATAAATACATTAGCATTTATTTTTTAAATGTTAATTATAGTATTAATTTTTTTTGCAGAGATCATTATTCAAACAATATTTAATTTATTTACTTATTTATAGTTCTGATATTAGTTAGGTATTTTATTTAAAAAATGAATAAATAAAAGCAAAAAGGTAAATAGATTTATTTAAGAATGATATCATCTATTCGAAAGTTAGAACTATATCCATTTTCCTTATTGTTTTTCTTTAATATTTGAAAATAGCAATAGTTCCTATATACAGCGATTATGAAGATAAAATATGGTGGTAGTATGTTGAATATAGCGAGCAATAAAACTAATAGTTCGAAGATTTTTTTAAAAAAAACGCTAAAGATTTACCTAATTATATAACGAATGACTTTTTTTAAACATTAAATAATATTCATAAATTAATTGGACTAAAGCCTCACCCTGTTTTAGCAGAAGAACCTTTGTATTTCTAAGAAAATCATGGGATTAAAAATAATGGATAGATTTCGTAGGAAGAATTGGGATAAGTACAAATTTAAAATAACAATGCACCTTCAACAAATGATATTTAAGAATCTAAATATGTTTTTTTGCTTTTCTAAAATATTAGAGTTGACTAATTTTCTTTGAAAATAATTCAACTAATTCTACCTAACTTTAATAATTTGTGTGCACTCAAATTTTGTAACAATAATTTTAGTTAATAATCTATCAACCTATTACTTTAATTGATAAACCAACCTAATTGCCCTATTACTAAGTTATTTTTTGAGTGGAATCCTCTTAGGCAGGACTTAATGCAATCATTTATTCCAGCACTGTAAAAATTAACTGATTTTTTTAGCTTTAATTTTCCATATAATATTTCTTAAATAGATTTATATTAATTTATGTTTTGTTTATAGTTTGATGCAAGACTTATTTTATTAAATATGCAAAAGTAAGTGTGTTGAAATAAATAAATAAATTATTTTCTTTTTATAAAAGAGGATTAACTCAATTAGAGTTTTTGGTGCTACGTTCTTGCTAGATCACCGATGAAATTCTCATTAGCCTTGTTGATAATTTTAAGTCTAACCCTAATTTAAAATTAAAATATTTGGAATTGTATCATAATAATTTAAAAGGCGAAGGTAATTATTTGAATTTCACAACTAAAAAATAAATACTATTTTTTAAAAATAAATTTTATTTAATGATGGCAATATTATAATATTTTCAATCATTTTTGGATTTATCAATAAAGGGATAAAAGCATTAGGTTAGTTTATAGAGAAATATTAAAAGTTTGAGTATATTGGGCTATCTAAGAATGGAATCCAAAATCTAGAGAATTTAAAAGAAATGTTTCAAGCTATTGGGAAAAAAGTAATGAGCTAAGAAGAACTAGCATTTTATAGGGAAAAAGAAAAAGAGAAAGAAGCTATAATATAGAAAGCAACAAAAAATAAAAAACGTATTACTGAAGATATGTATCCTCACCTTGATCCCATAATTTAGATGCCAGACGGCTGTATTTTAAATTAAAAAAATAAATTTTCAAGTTTATTAATTTTTTGCATAAAATAAATAGAATTTGCTACTGTCAGAAACACCCAAATGAAAATGCTCAACCTTAGTTTAAATAGTATAAGTGAAGCAGAATCAGAGTAATTAGAAAAGTTTTTATCAAACATAACTGAAGATCTTTAAATTGTCTTGTATCATAACAACTTTGAAGGAAAGTACAAAGAAAAACTTAAAAAGAAGTATAGGAAAAACATTTAGATCTGAGGCATATTGATCAAATTTGAATATAAAAGATTAATGAGAAGAAAATCAATTATTTATTTATTTATGATAATTCAATATAAAAAATATTTTGGCTTGGTTGTATCAACAACATAAAATTTATTTAATTTAAAAAAAAAACATTATTTATTAAAAAATAAGCAACATTTAAATGTTTTTATTATTGACTTTTTTCAAAAAATTAAAAGAGAAAAGCTAAATTATTTGAACATATTATTGTTATAGTATGATGATTTTTCTCTTAAAAATAATTAAAAAATTATATTTTTCCAGTAAATAAAAACTTGGCAATTATCAAATTTATACTCCCATTCTTAGATTTAATTTAGGATTAACATATTTTGTCTATATATTTTGACTATATCAAATAAAAAATGAAAAGATACTAATATTATTAGAATGGTAAAAAAGTTGAATGAATATGTTTTGGGTTATAAAAAAGTGTTTTGAAAATTGAAGCAATTTAACATGAAATAAAATTTGCAAATTTAAAAATTTATTAATTCCTTTTTAAAAATTTAATTACTTTTTTATCCAAGATTATATTTTTTTTTAAAAATTGAAGTAAAAATTTATTTTAGTTTTTATATAGGCTGCGATTTAGAATTTAGAAATTCTAGTATTAAAAGTAGCTAATCAAAAAATTTAAAAGCTTGAATCATATTATTAAATTAAATGCCTGTTTGGTTATTGTAATTTATTTATCTCACTTAAAATAAAATTTAAATCGAGAAAATATTTATAAAATAATTGTATTTTTTTATTTTTTTTTTTTTTGTTCATTAAAAAATCTCAAATCCTAGATTATTTCTTATCCCTTTTATTATTTTAATCTATGGCTATATTTTTAAAAATGAATTTTCATGTTATATTAAGCTTTACAATATTAATTATTTATATAAAAATAAAAGATGAATTTAAAACTTTATATAACGAAAAATTAATTGTCTGGTTTTTGTTTACTTGCGATTGATTACATTTGAAATGAGAGAAATCAAAAATTTTATATTATAAATGATAATTAAAATCATTCATAATTTTGCTTATTAATTGGATAATTTATATACAATTTCATCATATTTGAATTATTTGTTAGTTATAATATTAGGTGTAATATAACACAAATAGTATTGACAGAATACTGAATTTTTTCGTCTTTAGTCAATATTTAGTATCTTGTTTACAGATTATTTCACATATATTAAATTTGTTACTCAATCAATAAATCTAATAAAAAATTAACAAAAAATTAAATTCTTTTGAATATAATTGCTTGAAATAAAAAAATGAAAAATAAAAATATTCTATCTATGTTTATTATTCTAACTTTTTTCAATAAATCTAATAAATCTGAAACTAGAAAAAAACATTTTTATAATTGGCAATCCAAATTTTTTTTACTGTCATTATTTTTTAAATGAATATACAAGATTAAATAGTTGAAGGATTGAAGAAAAAGATCATAATCATTTAAATTACTTTAGAAGGTAAAGCTTTTTTTTATATGTATTAAATATTGACTATATTTCTTAGCTTGAATTATTTATTGATTGCTAAATTAAGATTGAAAAATATAATGAATTAAATAAAAACATCAAGAAATTCACTTTATATAATTTCCTTTTAATATAAATAAATTTTTTTATAAACAAATTTCTGAAAAACACCTTTAAAGTTAAGGTAATAGGAAGAATTACACAAATTACATAAGATTATAAAAAAGAAGAAAGAAGAAAATAAAAAATATAAATAAGAATTTACAATATTTTTACATAAAAAAATCAATTTCTTAAAAATTTCGGAGCAATCCTCTGATAAAACATATTAACTTTTACTTAAAAATTCTTTTATCGCTTAAATACATCTAAATTTGATCTAAAATGCAAAAAGAAAAGCCTCAGAGGCGTATAATAAAAATGAATTTTGCCGCAAACTAAGGTAAAAATGAACCAGATGGAAATAACATTTTTTTCTAAAGTAATCTTTTGAGCCATTTTGAGTAAAAAGGATGTCACAATAAAAATGAAGATTAGCCTTCTCAACAATTTCAATAAAATAAAAACCAAGAAATCAAGGACTCAAATATCTTTTAATGCAAAGAGCATAAAAGCCAGGCTATTTTTGTTTGCTAGGATAACTCTTGCACTTCTCAAAGTAAATAAGGATGTTCTAAATGTATGAATATATATCACTATAATCATAGTAATGTTATCATGATTGAGGGATCGTAATAAATGGAAGATGATAAACTAGCAATTCAAAAATAAACTGCTTCTATAAAATAATAATTTATGAGATTTTAAAAGATGATCAAGGCACCAACAGAAACATTATAAAATGAGAGTACACATCAAAGTGTAAATAAAAAAGATTCAGAGCAATAATAATATTAACAAAAATAATAACAATAAGTTATTAAATGTTAAAAACTGGGGAAATTCAATTCACAAATTAATTAAACTGAAGAAAAATTGTTTAAAAAAAATAAGTCCAATACTCACATAGCTATTGATGTAAATCAAGCAAAGGAAATTAAATACAGTAAAAATTTATTTCTTCAGGGTTAATAAATTAATTATTCTAATGAGGCTGAAGATATTCCAAAAAATACAGAATCAATAATAAAAATACATATGAAATAAAATGATTTTGCAAATTAGACTAAAAATATTGATTTTGCAAATTAAAATAATGCAAAAAATTAAAATTTAAGTGAATCAAATAAATAAAGTAACTCAGAATAAAAACTTGTTTCGTCTTATAAAGTTATTAATCCTATTGAAAACAATATTAATCAAAGAGACAACTAACTTATCAATATCTTTCAAAATACAAATTTAAAAATTAGTAATTCTAACTAGATAGAGACACAGTAAAAAGAAATTATTTAAAAATTATCTATTCCTTCCTTTGAGAATACGCAAAATATGCTTGAGTTAAAAAATCAGTTGGTTTTTCTCCCAACTCAATACATACCTTGCTATTCTTATATTCCTCCTCAATTCCCTACAAATTACTTCTTAAATACATAGCCAAGTTAAGTCTAATATGTTTCTCAAAGTTAAATGTTTATTCCATAATCAAATATCTAACAAAATATCATTTAAAATATTTCTAATTTTTAAAATTATGCTCCTTATAATTTTCTAAATACCAGCATTTAGCCATAAATAAATAATACATAATAATAAGTATACAGCGCTTGGATACAACCCTAAACTTTTAATTAGAACAATCTCAATAATGAATATAATTAGCAAAAATGCAATAACAATAATTATTTCATCCAAAACAATTTGAATTTAAATGATCAACACAATTATGAAAAAAACTAGTTAATTAATTTAAGAAGCAAAAAATAATTAGAAGAGTTGGATCAAGTTAATAATAATAATTTAATTAATTAATAATTAAATTAAAATGATATATATGTTACTAGTTTAAGTGTAAACTAATAAAGTGATCAAGCAAAAAACTCTAATCATTAAATTATTAACCCTTAATTAATAGAAACCAAAAATATTGATTTTTCTCAAAAATCTACTAGTAAATCTCAACAAGCCTCTTAAAATATAAATTTATAGTAATAATTAGCTGCAAGCGCTTACCCAATTCAGTAAAAACATATAGAAATTCAAGCTCCATAAAATGTTAAGATTGAAGCTATTGAGAGTAAAGAACTGCAGTATGAAAAGTCTGGTTAGAAAGCAGTTGTTGATTAATAGTCTGAAATTTTAGAAAAAGATTAATTATCATAATAAATATCGAAGTAATCTTTTGTCACCTTAAAGCAAGAAGAGTAAGATTAGTAAAGAAATATTAGCGACACATTTTAAATAGAAAGAGTGCAATTACGCTCGTTCTCCTGCTAAGCATAACAAAGACAAGAAAGCGTAACATTAAACAAAATAGAACCTTCAAAAAATATACAATAATAACAATCAATAGAGAAAATATAACTAGTCCCTTACAGAGCTACCTAATTTTCAATAAAGAGTGCATGCAATCCTAATGGCAGTAAAAAAGTTAATGTTTAATATTTTATTGATAATAACTGCATGAAATCTCAATATACATCAATAGATAAAGTTATCCATTAACACATTGATTACTATCCATAAATAACCTTTCTGAGTGCTGAATGCTTTTTATAAATTTCTGTTAACACATTCGAAATGAAGTACTATTTGAATCTTGTGGACATCAAGTAAAAAAAAATATCGTAAAGAAGAGAAGCTAGCGGAATATTTTAATGCAGAAATAGTTCTATTTTTGAAGAAAATAAACTTGTCATTTAAAAAATAAATAATAATATATCTGCACTTTATGAAAGAGGGGAAAACTAAGTTGATTTCATTTCGAATTCTACCCTCAAAGTAGTTAAGAGATTAAAATAATACTCTATATAGAAAGTAATTTCCTACAATAACGGGAGAGGTCTTGCTATTGCTTCTTTAAGTGGTTTAGTTACCCTTTACAATATCAACTGTAACAAATTCTCTCTTATTAACTAATTTAATGTTAAAAATATTAAATCAAAATACATGCTTTAGCAAAATCTTAATTAAAATCCATAAAACGAGCAACAAGAAGAAATTGTAAATTAAGAAGACCAAGATGAAAATCATATTCAGAATGAAGAAAGAAGAAGACAAGGTGCTCATTATGAAAAGTTTACTTTTATACTAAATTGCGATATCTTTATCTAAGATAACAAATTGATTTGGTGTGGTTCTAGCCTCTTTAAATTTACTTACTGCATAGTCGATATCACCAGTAGCGCGAAGATGATCCTTGAACCAACTCAAGCAAACTACCCAGATGGTATGATTAATAACGATTAATTAAAGATATAAATATCCAATTTGCATGTTTTTAACGATAGAGTTTACTTTGAATTTAGCTACATAGGAAAGGAATCTGATCAGTTTTAAAATAATCAGAATTCCAGCAGCGTGCTTTTATAATCTAAATACACCGTCCTTCAATACAAGATGAATAAATAAGAAGATAACTTATAACTGACTTATTACAGTATACATCCTAATTCAAATATTATAAAAGTTTCAGACCCTTAAAACTAGATATTCCTATACAATTAGTAAAAGGCTCATATAATTGGAATTCTTTTTGAAAAATAACCCAAAAAGAAATAATAATAAATTTTGAATTAGGGTTAGATTTAGTCAAATAATGATAAAAGAATGGTTATTGTAGATGATATTGCATATTTTTCTAGTCTTTTTAAGGAAAGACGCTACAAAGAAAATTATGAAGAAGTAAAATTTAAGATGAACGTGTCCTAATTCCAAAATAGTCAGACTCTCTATATTTTACTAAATAGTAATAGTTCAACATCTTGTTAGAATTAAAAATTTATTACATTAGTCGATAACAAGAAAATTTTTCACAAAGTTTTTCTAAGCCAATCGTAATACACTACAAAAATAAAATGAAAGAGATGAATAACTTTATTACTAAATAAATAACTAACTAACTAACTAACAAACAAACTAACTAACTAATTTATTTATAATAAATTTACTATAAAAAAAGATTAATTTATTATTATTTATATAATTATTGATGACTTTATATATTATTTATTTACTTTAGTTTAATTATAATAAGCATATTTTAAATATCCTTTACTTAATAATTTTTGAGAATTACTAAAAAAAGAAATTTTAAGCAATGAAAAAATTCAAAATCTTTTTTATAAGACATTAAAAATTATTTTTTAAAAGTGCAAAATATATTTTAAAAAATAAAAGCCTATTTAAAAAATAGAAAAAAAATGGTTTAACATTCAATGCTTTATTTGTATTTTTTGGCTATTTAAGTAAAATTAAATTTATAAAAACTAAAGTAATATGAAAAGCTAAAGAAAGATTTGATATCTTATTTCAATAAAAAAAGAAATTTTATTTTATAATAACCAAAAAAATAAAAATAAAATTATTATTTAATTTTATTTTTAGAAATTGCTTCTTTAGCTTAATTCTTCAAAAATAAGAATCTGATTTGAAATAAAAATATGTCAAACACTAATAAATAAACTGTTTAGTTTTATCAATTTAAAAAAAAAATTTTAATTGACTCAAAATAAGGAACAAATATCAATAATATTTATTGATAGATTCATATAATATAATCATTTAAATAATAAATGTTCATTAAATTATAATTTTTGTTAAACAAACTATCTAAATATTTGAAAATAAAACAAATTAATTTTTTTTTAAAAAATCTAAGCTGATTTATATCAATCAACTTTTTATTTATTTTTTATTTATTAAAAATTAAATATCATAATTTAATTTATATAGAAGATTTAAATTATAAAAAAGATACAAATAATAGCTTGAAGCACAGATCTCAAAAACATTCTATACTGGTCTTTATTTAAATGAAGATACATTAGAGCCAAATAGAGTATTAAATATAAATTATCAGCCGCACTGTCATCTAATTTTATTGACAAATTATTAAATCCAGCTAAAATAAAAAAATGATGCTTTTTAAATCTAAAACAGAAATATAAACTATTTCTAGATATCTTAAGCATATATCTGATATACATGTTAGCTAAAGCTTAAGGTGGTTGTAAATACTTTCATATAAAAACAGAATTTACTTTTTTATATTCGTTTTATTTATGAATTTTATGAATCACCAATTATTTGTAGGTAATGACATACGCTAAATAAGAATGAACGTGTTTGCTTGAAAGAAAAAATTTTAGAGGTATTAAAATTTGTGATAAAATAATAACCATATTTAATTAATTTTTGCCTTTAATGATATATTTATCAGCTAATTTGAGTATTAAATTGTTTTCTCTATTTTTTTTAATGAAATCAAATTTAAGTATATCCATTATATGTTTTCAATTAAATTTTACTTTTAGTTACTCAGGTAATTGTAAATAAAATTTGGGTATATTCCAAACAATAAAAGCAATAGTTAGTTAATCAAGCAAATTTAATAAATTTCAAAACAAAATATTACCAAAAAAAGCAGTTGCTATTTTTATTATGAACTATTTAAAAATAATTTTATGAGAATAAAAATTTCTTTATTATTATTTTTTGCATAGTTTTGAAATGAAATAGTATGAAGAATTAAAGAGGTAATAAAACAATTCATATAAAATTTATATTATATCAATGTTTAATTAAACTCAAAGTCACCTAAATATGTGTGTGAATTAATACAAATCTCTTATCTTCTTTCTATTTTTAAATTTGGAAGAGAGAATTTTCCTCTGAAATTCTTTGTAAATTTTCCTCATTTAAGGTCTTTTTTAATTTGTATTAGATCAATTGTTTAATAGATAAAATTTTTAATAATAATTCTTAAAGGCATCAGAATACTATCTCTAATTTATGCATTTTATGTTCCTTAGTAGTTGTGAATGCAGACTAAGTAATATTAAAGTGGTTTTATCGTGTAATTGTTTAATATTTATGAGCTAATTATAATTTTCATAACCAATTAGAGTAAAAAGAAAAATCAACTAATTAACATAATCTTTATGATTTTTCCACATATAATCTAAGTAAGGTTTGATTTTTAGTGTCTTAATTTGTAAATTAAAATGAAAATTTTTTTTAAATAGAAATATTCATTATTAACTGATTGAGATAGATTAAAATCGCCTTCGTTCTGTAAAAACTTTATAATTTAAATATAATATATGATTACATCATTAAAATAAATCTTAAAGGTGTATGTATTCATCTGTTAGATATTTCTTTAAAAGTTCTAATTTCAGAAAGAAAAAAATTTAAAAATGAAACACCGAGGAGTTTATTGACTACCAATCTATTTTGCTTGCAATAGAAGGAGCTAGCATTTTAGAAGACAAAAAATTCATTCAAACATTATTTTGATAATATTTAAAAGATTTAGGAATGTGCCTTTAATATATTTAAATAAAATTAGCTTTTTCAATCAATAAATGAAAGGCTTGGAATATTTCTCATTTATAAGTTATGGTAAAATACATAAAAAGTTAATCTAATTAGAAAAAATATAAAAATTTATTCTACAAAAAAAGCCATTCTAAAAATAACAATATTTTCTTTTAATATTTACTTAGTGAATTAAATAATCTGAGTAAGTAATAAAAAGAGATGTGAACAGATTTATCAATTAAAAGAATGAGGAAAATCAATCAGTGAGTTTGGTTGTAACCAAAAATGATAATAATAATAATATAAATAAGGAAAAAAAGAGCATGAAATTTATGTGAGTTATTGAAATAATCAATAATAAAAAAAAAAGGATATTCTTCTAATATTTCCAATTATTAACAATGAATGAATTGATAAATGCTTGCATATATATTTGTATGCAAAAGAAATGAAAAAATACAAGGAATTGTTAAAAACTAATTAATTAATCATTCATCAAACAAAAGCTAAAGAGAGGAATTAATAAAAAATAGCAAAAAATAATAGAAAAAAGATTTTGAAAAGAAAAAAAATCAAATAAATACAAAAAGAAAAATAATAAATAACACAAATCGCTTCTAAACAAAAAGTGAAGTCATTCAAACGAATATAGTTATAAACACAAAAAATTATTAATTTTCTATTCAATACACTGTAAAAGAGAATATAAATAAATGTTTAACCTAAACACTCCTATCAATCCGTAATAAAGATTGATGAGTGAGAGTGACCGAAATTAATCCTCTACTAAAAAAATACATACCTGCCCATCGCATCTTGCTGCGGGGATATTAATTTAATCAGATCACTAAAGCAAACATGCTTAGAAAGTATATTGTGACGCATGCATAATTTAATTCTATCATCGCTCTAATACATTTCTCTCTAATTTCAACATCGGTTAGCAAATATAGCTGAATTAGAATGGCAACGCTTTGATAAATCTTGGATAAAAAACAATTGATAAATTTAATAATTCTTTAATACTTACTGAGCAAGAAGAATACAAACCTAATTTTATTATGGACTGCTAAAGTAATTGTAAAGAGCGCAATAAAGAAATCACAATGTAGTAATAGTTAACATAGAAATAAGCTTTAATATATTTATAAAATATGTAATAGAATTATCATACAAACCCTGAAAGTAATAACAATTACTCTTAACAATAAAATAATTATTTATTTTTGTAAAAAACAGCTTAGAATTCTATATAACCTTAAGGAAATAGTTTCATTCCTCCAAACCACCAAAACCAAAATCAAGAATAATAAAATTAATTTGTAATGATGCAAGCTTAATAAAATACAGTGGTAACATATAACTATCAAAATCCTGATGCTTTTAGATCTTCAACTTAACATAATAACATGAATAATCATAATATAATTAGTTATAATAATTAGTGCTAAATGCAACAAGGATAATAATAAATAGTTCAAAATCCTAGTATGTAATAGCTTAATGAAAAATTTTAAAACTAAACGAGTAATAATACTTTCTACTCGACTCAAATTTAATAAATTAACTAATTAAATACCCCATAAAGTTAATTAGATGAAATAAATCTTTAGGCTAAAAACTTTTCTCTCTCTGACTAGCCAATTCATCATTCAATGCAAAACCCACTAGAATTGTAATATTTGTAACAAAATAATATGATTTTGCAAAATTAGAGTGCAAGCCAATCATAGAATCAACAAAGCTATTAAGATATTTTCTAATACCCACAAGCAAGACAAGAATATAATATGTAATACAATAGCGGTAATAACAATTATAATAATCAAAATTCTTTTAACAACTTTGATAATCAACAAAAAAATTAAATAATTATACCATCTGAATAACAGCTAGTAAATGGTTTTAATTAGTAAAATTAGTAAAATATTTAAAATGGAAGAATTATTTCTTTAGAATTAAGCGCTGAAAAAAAAAATTACAGTGCTTTACAATTTTAATTAAATTAAAATTCAACAACGTCTAACAAATTAAACTCAAGTGATGCATCAGCTCAAATTTAAAGTAACAGCATGCTACCATATTAACAAAATGAAAAGCAATTAGTACTTAAGCAGTGCGGATTAAAGAAAATAAATCAATAAATTAAGCACGCTAACAGACAATATAAGTAACAATCCGATTCTCACAATTAAGGACAGAATGAATTACATATTAGCTATAGGGCATGTGATGAGGAATTTATTGATGAAGAAGAAATGAAATTGGTCTTAGGCCACGAGTACTAATAAGAACTCTATTCTAAAAATAAAAGATAATAAAATAAGAGATTGTCGCAAGAAGCTCAATGTGATAAGCTAATTAAAAAATAATCTTAAATAAAGCAAACTTAAGCTGTAGGAAAATCAAAGGAAATAGAAAAGAAAAAATCCGATAAAAGCAAGAAATAATAGAATTATGTAGTCTCAAGATGGTGTCCCTAATCTTAATAACTTCTTTTTGAATGGAATAACACTCCGTTGAAGCAAATATAACTACAAAGTGATAAAATCGTGAATGAATCAGTTAACGTGGCCTCTTATGTTAATATTCTTAATAAAAATCGTATCATGATAATTTCTTAAAATACTTGCTCCTTAAAGTATTAAATAAACTTGATAGATCTTCAAGAAAATAGAGTAATATGTAAGAATTAGCTTGGTTCAAACTTTTAGCTATATCCTTTCGAACCTTCTAAGCTTAACGTATAAACAGTGAAGATTAATGAAAGATTATCTTGCATCTACTTGATGGGTGGTAGCTATTTTAAAATAATAAAGAATTCTTCACTAAATAATGTTAAGCGTGTAAAACAATTTTGCATACAGTAGATTCTTCCTATTTACAAAGGTCGTCAAGTTGTTGCTCTTTCACTAAATGGCTTGATTAATATATATTCAACAGCTTAGGATAACTTCCACCTAATAAAATCTATGAAAATTAAGCGCGAATCCCCAATCAGTATTTCCTACGTGAACTACTTTGATGTAGATACAGAAAATTCATTAATTTACTGCTGTGTATTATCAAACAGAACTCAATTTATTTAAATATTTAACATGTTTACTGGAGAAATTATTTACACACAAGATATTCATATCCTTTAACAAAACTACGGTTACAACATAACTAACATGAAAATATTTTAAAATCACTTGTATATAGAGCTGCAACTATAACAAGATGAGCATCACCACCCTGTTTAAAGTGGATGCGAAGTACCTATCTAATTCAAAGTATAGGCATATAAGATAGATAATTAATCCCATCACTTAAATGAATTTAAAACATACAATCATTCAAATATACTCAAATCAACCTTTTCCTCTCAGCAATTCTTCCTCTATAACTCGTAAAAATCATGTATAATAGGATTTGAAAAACTCAACCAAAAAAAATATAAACATTATTTAACACCTTCATCAAACTAGCTTTGTATGCCTAATTAACAAATGAGTTCAAACTTAATTCCTATAGATAAAAATGAAAAGATACCAATGATGAACTAAGAATAGCTTAGCTTGTCATTAGGAGAAAGCTCTGTGAACGAAAAAATATTTAAACTCAACATCAAACAAACATCTCCGAAGTTTAGACCAATATTTACCCACATATTTAAAGAAATTCCACATGGACATCAGAGCAAACAAAAAAAATAGATTTCATCAATTTGTAATTAAATTCCAAACTATTAATAATCACTCGCTTAAAATTATTCATCTTAATTTATTTGCGAATAAGAGTTAAACTAAATTTAAGATAATCAAGATATGGTTTTAACTCTCTTCGATCAAAACAAGAATGTATACAAAATCTATTAAAACTGAAATAGATGAAATTTTAATTAAAAAAACAACTTTAATAATTGAAACCAAAACTTTATTTATTTATTAAATCTGATTTTTAAAAATATAATAATTACTCTCTCCCCCTTTCTATCTATCTAAAACTAATTATTTATTCAAAACAATGCATATATATATTTATATACAAATACATTCATTCATAAACATCCATTTTGATCTAAATTTCAAATAAAAAATAATTATTTCAATTAAATTATATGTATTCATTAATTAATTAATTTATTCATGCTCTTTCTAGTTAACACTCAATCTTTCATAATTTAATCAAAGCAAATTATATTATTGAAATTTTTTATTATTATAAATGGGAGCTCACCCCTATAATTTTTTTCCTGAATTTTTCTATTTTTTCCCTATTTTTCTCTCTTTTATTGGCCAAAAAATTAATTAGCATGACAAAGGTAAATACAGAATTTTTTATATATAAAAAATTTTAAGAAAAATTTTATTATATCTTATAATGGAATAATATTAATCCTAACCAACATTTATATGAAAGACATTCTTTTTCATATCAAAAATAGAATTTTTTTGTAATAAATTATAATGATTTAAGCAAAAGCTATCAACTATTCAAGATTTTTTTATTTTAAAAAAAGTATGTTTTATGGAGTACGGTCAAGAAAATGTAAAAGTTTAAATAAATATCTTAATATTTATTCATAGTAGAAAATATATTTTTAAACTTAAAAATACAAAAAATATATTTTAATTTAAAATAATATCTTTTAAAAATTAAATTAAATAGTATTAATTCTAATAATCTATGAGTTTCTTAAAATGTTTTACTATATTTTACTAATAATTTAGTAACATGAAATTTAATAAAAATTATGATGATTATTTTAATTTTGTATATATTTTTACATATTAAATAAATAAATTTAAATTAACTTTAACAAAAAATAAAGAAATTATTATTCATTTTTCTTATTCTAAAATGAGTTAAATTCAAGCTTACAAATGATGATGTAACAAAAATCAATAAATTTGTTTGCTCTCAAAAGAAATTTATGAATCAATAATTAAATTAGTTTTATATATTATTATTTTCTAATATTTTCGAAGAGTTGATATGTTAAATATTAATTTGATATTTCGCTTAGCTAAGTTAAGAGCTTTTTTTCTTCTTCATTTTTTTTTTTCATCAATTTATTTATAAATAATTGTAAAAATTTAACAGAAGCAAACAAAGCTGCATACGAAATGGTTGTTGGCTTTATTAAAATAAATATTAGTATATTAATAAAGTTTTAATAGTTATAATACAAGATAGGAGCTATTTTCAAACTCATATCAGTCTAATTTTATGAATTCTCAGTAATTTTGATCACAATAATTGTAAAATTATTAACACTTTACAAATATGAAATAGTAACGCTATAAGCAGGATTTTCTAAGAAAGTATCTAATTCAAATCATTTAGGTTGATTATATTTTAATATATTATGAAATTTCACAATCACTTAAGAAATATTTAAGTTTATTATTTGGCAAAATTAATTAATTTTATTTATATAAATTTTAATTTATTTATTTTCCTGAATAATTTTTATACTTATAAAATTCAAAGATACATTCAAACAAATAATTTGAATGATAGCTATAATAATAAATATTAACTAAGCCAAATTTAATTTTTAAAAATATATAGAAGTCTTTACATTATATTTTCAGTTATCATTTAAAATATATATTTATGTAAATTAAAATATTTTGATTTAACTCTTTTTATTTTAGAAGCAAAATGAATAAACATTTTCAAACAAATATTTATTTTTAATCAAATTAATTTTATGATCTCCTCTGCTCATATTTTTTTTTATCTAATTAAATTTTACTTTCAATAATTTAAATAACATTTGTTATTAGCCAAAGTTATTACTAAAAAAAAATTTGTTTTATTTTCCTATTAATGTTTTAATTGTTTATTTAGCAAAAATATTTAAATTAATGTACTTATTAAATTGCAAATTAATTATTTTTACTAAAATTCATCAATCTTAATTTAAAATTTTACTATGCCAAGAACATAAATTTAATATTTATATTAAATTTTAAATAGCCCTAAATCTTTCTATATATATAAATTTTTATAATTCTTTCTTTTCAATTTGAATTAAACAAAATTCAAATTAATATAATATTTATTTATTTAATTTGTTATAAAAATAAATAGAATTTATTTATAAAAATTTTTTTTATTATTAGTAAATTTTTTAGAAGCAAATCAAGCAAGTTATTATGTTTAATTAAAAATTTAAAAATATAAATAGAATTACACTTAAAAATATTATATGATACTAAATAGTTTTAAAATATTTATTTTATTCTATTTTTTAACATTTTTAATTGATAATTAGCATTCTTTTGATGTAAATATAAATTCATTCAAGTTCTACAAAAGTTTCATTATCTTTATAATCTGGCATTACCCATTTATATTTTTCAGAAAATTCATAAGGCACAAATCTGCCACCCACAAAATGTTTGCCCTTAAAATTTCGTGAACCCTCTTTTGGCAAAGTCAGCGAGATTAGATAAGCGGGATCAAAAGAGTTATGAATGTTCCCTTTTTCAACATCCCATCCACTTGGAATATCAACAGAATAAATTGGAACATCTACATTTTTTAATGCCTATAATACAATATCTGAGGGAGGTTTAACTGGAGGCTAAAATGAAAATCCAAAGAGAGCATCAATTACTATATCATAAGATTTAAATAATAATTAAATTTTCTCTAAAGCATTTTCTGCATTAACATCGATTTCATTTGGTAACTCTTTGATTGGTATAGAATATTGCTTACAAATAGTTAATTAATTGATAAAAAAATCTTTAGCTGGAGCTTTTAACAATAAAATTGTTAGCTTATACGCTTTATCTAAATGAGCTATATGTCTAGCGGCGACCATTCCATCACCTCCATTATTTCCTGGACCACAAATTACCAGTATATTTTTAAGCTTCTAATTATGATATTTTTTATTGATATGATGAAAACAGTGAGCAACTGATTAACCAGCAAGTTCCATCAGAATATCTATGCTATATCCTACACGGTTACTCATCAAGTCTTAATCTGATTCATATGCTTCTTTTTGTGATAGGTAAGTAATACTTTAATTCATCTTTAATTATGTAAATTGGTTTCTTAAAACTTATAATCTTTTCATACAATATTTATTAAAAGTGCTTTTTATTTATTATTCTTACAGAATGATAATATTTTGATGGTAATAATAAGTAAATAAATAGATAATGTCTTTGCATCAATATCAGATATTTTATAAATATCTTGCTTTAAACAGCAAGACACTTTTCTGTTTAATTCCTGTGGATATATAAATTGAAAATATTGTTTTACTACAATTATATTTCTTTCCATTCATTTTATTTCATGAATCTTCTAAATATTTCATTATTGCAAAGTTATTTTCTTATGTTTTTAGAGTAGCATTTTATTAAAAATTTATTTTAATTTTAAGAAAATAATTTTTAGGAAAAAAAAAAAAATTAAAAATATTTTTATGTAATATTTAATTTGGGGAAACACACACAAGTTAGACAAACATAATATCTGCTAAAAATCATAACTTTATTTACTTGATAATAAAAATTACAATTTTTTAAATTAAATGTAATAAAATAATTAAACAAAAAAGCCTAAGTGTGAAGTATTTTTAATACTAATTACCTATTATAAAATTGAAAATATTTAAGATAAAATAAATAGCCAGATTAATGAATTTTGCAAGGAAATGGCTAAGATATTCGAAATATAATAGAAAAAGAAGAAAATTAATTATTATGAGCAAATAAGAGGGTGATTTAATCAAATCAAGGGAAGAGCTAAAAAAAATACAAGATTAAAAGAATATTTGGCTTAAAAGAAAATTGAAAAATAAAGCACAAAAGAATTAAATTATTTGATAATAAAAAAAAGGATAAATAAATAATATAAGTAATTAATTTAATCACATTTTAAAATGGCCCAAAGAATCACCTACAGAAGACGTTGCTCCTACAACACCAGATCTAACAAAGTCAGAAAGGTTAAGACCCCCGGTATGTCTTTCTTCAAAGCATTTATATTCCATTTCACTTTCTAATGAAGCCATTTTGTATCCAACTTTAGTAAGCTTAAATAAAAAATAAGATCTTCCTTCCTTCTTAATCGAAATAAAGATGTTGATAATATCTAAATAAATATTGCATCTTTATAATACATACTAATTTAGAAGTTATAAATAAGTATTGTAACTCATATAAAAATAATAAAATCTATTTTAGAAAATAATAAAAGCTAAAATAAAATGAATTTGTAAAATAATCTCGCTTAAAACTTTTCTTTAGAGTTTTTAGAAATTTAATCCAAAATCGCCATAATATTATTTACGGCAAACTAAAAATTGTTTAAATTATTACTCTTTAAGCATTGAATATAAGGAAAGTTATTAGGAATTGCTCTAAAAATTAAAAATGAGCTCATTTTTCCTTGTAATTCATGCACTAATCTAGAAAAAAAGCAAATTAATCTAGCATTCATAGGAATCTTTTAGAAATGTATTTAGATATATCAAAATATCTCTTAGCACAGCAAGTAAAAGGTTTGCAACAAAAAAATCTGATAGCTGAATTAGTTTTTTAACAAGTTCTAACTCTCAATTCAAGTTGATATTGCAAAATATTTAGAATATTCAATTAGGAAACGATTTTAGAATAGCATACCAAAATAAATAAATAAAAATTACTACTAAAAATTTAGAAGAAGTTAAATTGTATTGTATTGTTATGCAGCAGGAAGCAATAAACTTACTACTAAATAGATTTAAGAAAAAAAAAAGATTAATATATTTTAATCTGAAATTATTGAGATGTTAGTAGTTAGTTGGTAATACTAATAAAAAATTTAATGTGCTGATTCATTCGAGTAAAACCTATTCGATATTTTTGAAACAGACATGATTATGTTTTAAAGTTGAGAAGGAAGATATCATTTATTTATTTAATTATTAAAGATAGTTAGTGAGTGAAATGAATATTTCAAGAAATTTAATTTATAAATTGTTAATTTTGATTTGTTTATTTTAATTAGGTGGTAGACTTGTTGCCCAATACGTTAAGAAGGTTGTTAACTATACTAAGTGCTCTGAAGCTGGTTGCAATGTTGCCCTCAACGGTATTGCTTAAGTCAGACCTGCTGAATACGCCACTATTGCTAGATCTGCTAAGACCGTCTCTAGAGTTTACGGAGGTGAACTCTGTCACACTTGCGTCAGAAGCAGGTAGATAATTATATTCATTTTTTGGCTAAAGAAACAATTTACCTCAATAAAACTTGTTTAATTAATAAATTTATTTTACTAAAAATAGAATCATCAGAGCTTTCTTGACCGAAGAAGTTAAGATCGTCAAGAGAAAGATGATCTCTAAGCCTAAGACCGACAAAAAGAAGAAGAGATCCCAAAAGAAGTGATATATAAAATAGTTATGCATATCATTATTGAAAAAATATATAAATATAATATTGAATGCTTAAATATGTGTAATAAGTTTTATATTTAAAAATGTCATATTAGTATTGAAACTATTTAAATACTCACTTCCAACTCTTAAAAAAAAATTATTTAAAACTAATTTAAATTTATGTAAAACTTATATATTTTAGCTTTGTTAATATAAAAAATCTATCTATTCAGTATATAAGTAATAAGTTGACTTATACAATTTTATTAAATGTTTGCTAAATAAAATATTTAACTCAACAGATGAATCCATCAACAAATATAAAATATATTTTAAGTTATGAACAAGATATTTGGAGCTAAATTCTACTTTTTATTTTCAGTATAATTGTTTAGTTTTGAAGATATTTATAATAATACATTGAATAGATATTTAGTTAGTTAGTTAGTTAGTTAGAAAGATATATATATATATTGATGGGAAATATTAAGTTAAAAAAGAAAAACAAAAGTTAAAAGTAAAAATTAAAGAAATGCTTTTATTAAATTTGTATCTTTAATTTATCTTCTTTTTTTTTTTGATTCTAAAATTCCTTTCTTATATTATTAAAAAAGTGAGTGCATGTATACTATACTGTTCATTTAATATGATAAATTATTTTTAAGATTGGCCTTTTTTATTAAAACAGAGATTTTACAATTTAATATTGTAAAATTTTTTAAACTAATTTTTATAAATATTTAAAATTCTAAAATATTCTAATCAAACTTTTAATTGATTATGTATTTAGATTAAATAATTTGCATTCTAATTATAGTTTATTTTATTTATTTTAAACCAGCATTCATAAATATTCAATGATGAGTTTATATTTAAGAAATATTTTAGCACAACTAAATTACACACTGCAAGTTAATTTAAATATAATAAATAATTTTTACAGTGGTAGGTAAAAGAAAAAAAATATTAATTTTTTAGTAAATAAGAATATAAATTAATTAATAATACATGCTATCATTTTTCAAATACAAGTGAATTAAAATATAATATTAATTTGTTAAACGATTTACTGAATTTTAATATATTTTCAAAATATTATTATTGAGTTATAATAATTAAAATGCTTTTAATGCTTTTTTCATACATCAAAGATGCCTTTAGCTATTTCGTTGATAAAACGATCAGCATATATTTTTTGGTTTTAAGCAGAGGTATCAAGGTTTCCATTTAAGTTCAATATTTTTTTGGTATTCTGTTCTAAATTTTTTTAAACATTCCATTCTTGGAGGTAATCAATAATACCAATATGATAATAGATGCCAACTTCTTTGGTTGACTCTATGATGTTAAGATCACTATGGAATTTTTTCAAAACGTCTTCAATCTCAACTTAGGTATCAATAGAGTATTTAATCCAATTTATTTTAAATACAATTAGAGAATAATCTATCAAGCCACATGATTCAAAGAGACGAGCATCTTTTTCTAGAGATTCTGAGCATCTCTTTGCATATTTTTTTTCAATCCAAATCTTTCCTTCTGTGTTTTTGAAGTCTATGTCTTTCATAGTCATTTCGCTTAGCTTTTTTCCTTTGTTTTTTTTCTAGGAAATAACCTCTCTATCATAGGTAGAGCCTTTTAGATCAAATGTACGTTCAATATATTCGCTTGGGCATTAGCTGATATTTCTCATAATCAACACATGGTTTTGTGTTTTGTTAATCTAGAAAGTATATATGCCATAAATTTTGACTATAAGCGAGTCTTAATTTAGAACAAGATGAATAACATATTTTTTAAGATTTTTTAAAAAAGCATCAAGCTCTCCTTTATTCATGGTCTTGATGATCATTTTTCTATCCTAAGTAAAGTAGAAAAATTCACCACTTTTACCTCCATCAGGACCTCCAAACTTTTTCTATATCGACTCTATATTATTAATTAAATCGAAAGAAGCTTAAATATCTGCCATCAATCCATCAGATTATTGAAGAGCGCGGAAAACTTTAGGAGCATGTACTGTGACTTTGCCTTCTACAGAAGGACTACCCTACTCATGTTTATGGAAAGGAATATATTAGCTAATAAGTTCATCATTTAGCTCTATTTCTTAATCGCTTGTGTAATCATCATCATTAAGAGCAACAAGAGGGTTGGAAATGTTAATTATAGTAGGACCATTTATTGAACCATTACTTTATGGGTTTTCTTTTTTCTTTTAGATTATGTCATTTATAATAATACCAGAAATCATAGCGTATATTTAAGTCATACGTAGATTCTAAGTTAACTTTGTGAACCAACTAGATCCGTCTTCCGAGCTTTGTCTTCTCTATTATCTGTAAGTTAATAACAATTTTTAAAAATAAATAAAATAATATTAAATATTTTTTATAAATAAAAGCATATAGTCTAAATATCTAACTAAATTTTGTGAACAATTATTTAAAATATAGCTTCAATTTTATATTTTGGTAAAATTCAGAGTGCTTTTTAATTGAAAAATAGTTAGTTATTTTCTAATCTTTTCTTAGAATATTAAATAAAAAACTTAATTAATTATCTTTAATTAATTTATATTTTAAATTTTGGAAAATTTTGGCTAAAAAGTTATTATAGAGCTACTTACTAACTAGATAAACAGACCTTATTTTTATTAAATACATTAATTATTTTATTATCTTTTTCAGACATAAAATTTGTCTGATCTTAATAAGCTCATTTTTACAAAGTTAATGGAGCATAATAAGGTAATTATTTTTTATAAATTAAGGAATGAAGGAAAGAAGGTCTCAATTTAAAATTTAAATTAAATATTTGAGTAAAAAAGATTATTTTTCATTTAATTTATTTATATATGATTATGTTTAAGCTTTGAACCTAGAATTTCATTAGCTTTGCATATGATTAGAGTTTATTGGGTTTGGATTTGAATTATTTAGAGATGTATTATTCGTTTATTGTGTTTAAAATATTGAAGAAAATTCTAATTACTCGCTTAAGGAAATATGCTGAGATTGATTACTGTTGTGAGGATTCAAAGGATTGGTCAGAGAGGGACGGTTTTTACGAATAAATCCCCATCTACACAGCTAGTCACGGACTTTCTTTTTAATAGTAGGATCTTTGTAGCGGATTATACTAAGAATAATAGGAGTTCCTATTTTAGCTGCATTTCCTATAGTTATTATCACATTCATTGAAGGGTCTTAAAAGTAGCTACAGTTGAGACCTGCAAAGAGGTTACTGAAAGCAAGGATAGTCCAAATTACAGATGTTGAAACTACATAGTAGAAATAATATCTCAAAAACTCTTCACGCATCTTTTTAAAGATTTGATTATTTGGTATAGATTTACGGAAATACCAAATAGTGTACCAAGAAATAAAGAGGTATGCGAAGAGAATCACAACACCAAATACAGGAAAACCGTCATTAACTTTAAACGAGCATGTTCCAAAAAGAGATAAACCTGAATTCTTAGTAGCAAAAACAAGAATGACTATTAAAATTGTAATTCCTCCACAAGCAAGATGGAATATTTTTTAAGGAATAACTTATCCCTTGAGGTTATTTCTTATCACAAAAATAACATACAAACAGAAGCAGCAATTATATGTGAATTCAGTAGTTCCTGCTGCAACACTAAAGAATGAATTTGACTAACAAAAAGCGCCATCTGGATCTGGGCCAATCTCATAATACAATGAATAAGCGCTAGAAATAATCCAATGGAAACATAAGATAAAGTCGCTTATTGAAATAGCTAAGATAATATCACCAGGCTATTTACGAGTGGTTGGATACTTATAAAAAGTGAGCATAATAAAAAGTGTAGAGAGAATAGCGAAAGGTGCTAATATCAAAAATACCCATTTGTCTATTTAGTGAATAATTAGGGTTGTTTGGAGAGCTTCATTTGTGTGGAAATCTTTGCAATTTAAGAGGTGTTCTTCATCATAATCGAGAAAACCTTTAATACTGCTAACAAGCAGCAAAAGAGTAATTAGTATTGTTTTTTAATAGCTAAATTTCATTGTTTTTAGTTTCAAGTCTTTTATGTTTTTCTTTTTGTATGATAGGATCAAATAATTAGGTATGAGGTGAAAATTTCAAATTTTTATCTTAAAGACCTTGTTCTTTTGATTCTAGTCTGGGCTCTTAATAAGAAAAAATATTAAATTAATTATCCAAGCGTGCTAGCTATTCTATTTTTACTTTGAGATGCTAACAAAACTCGTTATTGAGTTAAATTTGTTTGTTTGCAACACAGACTATATTTAATTTATTTTTGGTATTGTTTGAGTTTGTCTCGCTTATTTTAAAGGAGAGTTGAAGGTAATTTAAAATCTTTTTTCTTTTTAATTTATTATGATTACTTTGCAAAATTCTTAATTAATTGACAACTAAATTATTTTGTTACATTCAAAAATGATCATAGGTGCTTATATCCTAAAGAATTTTTTGTTGGAATATTAATTTTTGACTTAATTGATAGATATGAATCACATCTTCGCTCATTTAATAAAGAAATAAACAAACAAACATAATATTATGTCAAGGTATAATGTATTGGTATTAAATTATTTTCGTGCATTTTGTACATTTTCATTTTAAATTTTTTTATTTTATATACAGATAACAATTTAAATATAAATAAATATATAAATTCATCTATTTTTGTTAAAGCTTGCATTTCTATTTTCTCAGGATATTTTAGCTTTAAGCTAATTCCCACATTATTTTTATACATTCACTTGTAGTCTTAATTTGTAAAAAAAATAAAGAAGTCTTTAAACAAACAAAAAATATTCATTGTTTCTTAAATCAAAAGTATTCGTATTTTAAGACAAATGTAAACTTTTGTTGATTGCATAATTAAATTTACCAGACATAATCTTATACAAACAATAAGAAAGTAACAAAAAATTTAATAGGTATTTATATGGTTTCTCAATTTTTATTTAATTAATCTTCTTAAATACTAATTTTCTTCTCTAATCACTATCTTATCATAAAAATTTTTCTTCTTATAAGATTTCATTAGTTTTCTTTAAAAAAAATATGTTATTTAAAAGGAATTACACATTTTAATATGCAAGTTATTGCTTTAAATTATCTTCTAAATCTAAATAAGTATATATAATTACCAAGAAGTTAAAAAATTTCTTTAAATTAATTTTTTTAGATATTTTATAGCAAATATTAAATTTGTTTGATTAATTAATATAAAAATTATTTTACTTAATAAGTAGGGATAGACCAAATGCAAGGTTTTTCCTATTATGTTGAATATTTAAAAAAATTAAATATTTATATAAATTAAATAAGAAATTTTAAATTAATTTGAACAAAAACTCTAATTATTATATAAATTAATATTTTTTTTTATCAATTAAGAGCTAAATTAACTAAACATATTCTAAAAAAATAAATAAAAGCAAAATAATTTGTTTATTGAAGAAATTAATTTTTATAACTTTAAAATAAATTTATGTTCTTCATTTTAAATAAAAATATAATTTTGATTTCAACAATAATTTAAATTTTTATGCTTTTATTATTAATTTTTATTATTTATTTGATGAAATATAAAAAGAAGTGTTTCCTTTAATTTAAAATTTTTGGCAATACTTGATGTAAATAATTTTTTTATTTAATTTTACTATGTAAATTATTTTCATACTAACAATTTTATTCTTCAAGCAAATTAGCAAATTGATACATTTTTTAAATCAATGAATTAATGTATTATTGCTTTAAAATATAAAAATTATTTAAAGTAATGTATATATATAAATAGAAATTTGAAATAATACCAATTTTTTAAAAGTTTTGATAGTGTTTATAGTTTATAATAAGTATTTGCAAAATTTTAATAATAAAAAAATATATAATTATCTTAATATATAATTTGAGCGATTATTTAATTGAGTTTTTAATTCTATAAAATATAAGTATTATTAATATCATTTATATTAACTTAAAATTGCTTCATTTATTAATATTAAACTGCAAATAAAATGAAATTTAAAAAAATTAAAAAAAAACTCATACATACATACATACATAAAGACCTCAAACACTAAGGTTTCGAGGTTTGGTTTGAAATGTTTTAAATATTAGGAATAATTATAAAAAATAAAAGAAAGACTTTTCTATCTTTAAAAATCAATTGATTAATTTTTTTTAGATGATTAATAAATGAGCTATATACACAATTTAATTAAATTTATAAACATGTTGATGCTTAAAAAATATATTTATCAAAAATTAAAAACATATTTTATGTATTAATTTGACACGAAAAATGAATTCTAATGTTATAATCTATTTTTCTAATTACGTCTTGTATTTAAAAATTAAGGCTTAAAATTCTTTAAGATGATTTTTAAGATATAGTTTATAAGTAATTTAAATTAATATATAAAAATTAATAATAAATAATAATTAGATTCTTTTGTTAAATTAAATAAGCATAAATAAATGTTTGGAACAAAATTTTATATATCTACTCAAGGTGAGGATGGAGTTAAAAATTTTAAATATAAAGGAGGAAGCGACTCAATTCTTTACACTTATCTATGGTCTCCGTTGTGTAATTGGATAGTGGAAAATTGGGTACCTAAGTGGATTGCTCCGAATGTTATTACAACAATAGGTTTTCTAATCCATGTTTTTGTCCATTTATTGGTAATGTTCTACAGTCCCAATTTGCAAAATAACTTACCCTCCTGGGTTTGTATATTGATGGGATTCGCTTTATTTTCATACTAAATATTAGATAATCTAGATGGAAAATAGGCTAGAGCTACTGGTAGTTCTTCTCCTTTAGGAATGCTTTTTGATCATGGGTGTGATGCTGTAGCAACATGGATGGTAGTTATGAATACTTTAGCAATTCTTTAAATATAAAGCATTAGGTTTTAATATTATGTTATTCTTTTTATTGGTCTGGTCCCATTCTACTTTGCTATGTGGAGCTAATATCATTTAGGCGTTTTTAGATTAGGTACATTTAAATTTGATGATTTTAACATTTATCAACCAATCAATATATAACTATAAATATTTTTTCATAAAACAAATAAAACATGAAAAATAAATTACTTTTTAAACGTTAGGATATATTAATGCAGTGGATGAAGGTTTACTTTTCACTGAGATATTGTATGTTGCTACAGGCATATTTGGTTAGTAGATTTGGTCTTACAAAATTGAATTTTTAGGTTTTACAACTGCAGAAGCTATGCTGATTTCTACATTTTTTATGTCAGTTTTACAAATTATATAGTTCTCAAATGATTTATACAAAACTGTGCCATTTATCAAGTTTTTAGATGCTCTCAAACTTCATTCTTGCACTATTTTGCTGATTATAACTTTTATATCAGCTGACATATTTATAGGATTAGATTTTATTTCTTAACATTTCCTTTTGTTTATCTACTCTCTTTGCTTTGCATGGTCGAAGATAATAGGTCATATCTAATTGGCACATATAACTGAAGAAAAGTTCGATTAATGGAGATATAGCTATTTGTTTGTGAATGCCTCTTATATACTAGGCGGTTTCTATTGCTATTTAACTGGTTCCTCTTTATCAAATTTAGTTTACCTTATTTATTTAAATTTTTTTATAGCTTTCGTTTGCTATACTCACTTTGTTTACTGTGTATTCAACCACTTAGCAGATATTTTAGGGATTTACATTTTTAGAATAGGAAAGAGAGAAAATAGCTTAATAAACGAAAAGGGATTTATCTCTTTAACTAAAGAAGATGTTTCATCATCATCTTAATGAAATTAAAAGAATAAAAGTTTATCTCTAAAATGATTTTTTTATCAAAACTAAGTTCTCTCTAAATGCAACTTATTTATTTATGTTAGTATGACTTTAAAATTACGAATTTAAATTAAATAATTCAAATTAATAAAAAAAATAAAAAAGATTAACAAAATAAAATAATTTAAACCAAAAATATAAATTTTAATTATAAAAATACTAACTTTAGTTATAATTTTAACATTTTTTTTCATTTAGATTTGATAAACTTGAAAAATTAATTTATTTTTCATTCTTGTTATGTCAAAAATTTACTAAATTTTTGGCTTTCAAATAATTCTTATTTTAGCAAGTCTTAAATAGTTCTAGCCTTTCTTTATGAATCACTATAAACTAATTAAGCTGAAGAATTATTGTTAAATGTATAATTGTTATTATTGCTATACAGAGAAGCTTTGGGATAATAATTGTGGTTATTTGAAGAATTAATATTTTATTCATATTAATTGCTTGCACTCTAGTTTGAAAAATAGCTTGGATTTTTTTGGTTATTTAGCTAGTTTTAAAACTATTATGTATTAAATTTGAATGAATCCTAGACTAAATCTACAGATTGTCTTTTTGAAGCTGTTCGAGATTTTGTTTGACTATTTGATCTTATTTTTTCAATTTCATTTTAATTTGAAGATAGTTTTTATTCTAAAATTTATTGTTACTTTTTAAGTTCTAAGTAAGCTAATTTCTTGTTATCAGTGCTAAAAATGTTTTAATTTTGATCTTAATCTACAAAAATATTGTTTCTTATTTAATCAGATTTTTAATTTGAGTTTTTTTAAGATGACTAAAACTTTAGAAAATCAAAAGAGCCTATGTTGCTGTTCATATCATTGTTGTTATTAATTGCTGGACTGTTTAAGCAACTTTCAAAATTGGAAATTTAATTTTTATTTTAATGGTCTTTAAGATTTTTATTTGATCCAAATATTTAAACTGATAATTTATTTTAAGTATCATCTTACTTCAAAAATATATTATTAAATTTATTTTTAGATTCGTAGTTGTTCTAAGTATATCCATCTGTTTTACTTAACCTGCTAGAAACCCCACTTTAATAAAAATTATCTTATGATGGTAATTTGGCTGATTCAACATAATTTTCCTAAACAAAATGTTATCTGTGAAATTTTAATTGTTCATTTAAGGAATGATTTTCTTCAGATAATCTTTTTGATTCAAATTCTAGCTCAAAATTTTTTTTTCTTAGATCCTCAATTACATTTTTGGCTGAATCTTTTTCTAAACTAAATTGATAAAGCTCTTCACTTAGTTTTTCAAATTTCAACTTTAGTACATCGATTTCACTTTCTTTGTTTTATATTTTTTGCTATATATTTTACTCTATTTGAGAAGTAATTTTACTGCTTTACTATTGTGTTACACTGTAAGGATAATAATCTTAATTTTATACATTTAAGCTATTTACTATGCTGCTGAAATCTTTTTATAACTCAAGCTTCTCCATTTTGTATTGGTATTTCTACGATTACTTTATGGCTTGATTTACAGTTGTGACATCTATTTTCAGCAGAGATCTTCTAGATTTTATAAGCTAAGCAAAGAATACAGCTTTAAATACTTTTTTTAATTTTCTCAAGGCTTTCTATTTTACTGAATTATTAGAATTTGTATAAAAAATGTTTAGATGTTGTGCTAAACCATTCATTTTATCCATTAACTTTAAATATCCAGAAACAAAGCTACCACAGACTTACTTTTCATTGAGAAGTTTTGCAGTCTTACAATGCAAAGCCTGTACATATTAGCCAAATTACTAAGACATCTCTTGATATTTTTTAGAGTCAAATTCTTCAAATTCATTCTGTAAATCTGAAATTTTGGAAGTGATATCTATTAACTACTACTTTAGCTTCATCTCTTCAATATTCCTCTCGTTTATTTATTACTCCATTAGAATTACTGTCTAGTCAAATTACTATTATAACAATAAGCTTTCTGTTTTTAGCTATTCATTTTCTAATTTTTGCTGTTTCTACATTTCCTTTAAGTCCCTGATTTCTTCAGTATAAAATTAACATTTATTTTTATATTTCTTTATTTAATTAAAAAAATTATTTAACAATTACCTTTATAAAATAAAATAAAATCAATTACTTTTTTTGATTATTTAATATCTTAATACTATTTAGCTAGAGAAAGAATATTATTTTTTAAAATATAAAGAATATCATATGTGCTGGTAGAGTCTCCTTAGTTAACTAAAAAAATATTTTTCTTCTTTGAAGTAGACCTAACCAGTTCATCTAATCCAACAATAATCTCATTAGCTTCAGAGTTAGTTTTATTACTGATTTCAATATTTTTTTGCTGACTTAGAATGATTTCTTTGTATTTATTTGTTAAATTGATACAGTCAGATAACTCTACCAATTATTTATTTATTGTTTCCATGAGATCAATATTTTCTACCTTTGCTTTGCTAATTTCATCTTTGAGTTTTAAGAAGCTTTCTTTCTTTTCTGCCTATAATTTATCCATATCTTCTTAAAAATTCTTTAATTTGTCTTTAAGCTGCCTATTTTCTTCCTCAAGAGATTAAATTTTAAAGATTTACTCTTTGTGCTCTTTATGAATTCTTCTTAATTGATCATTTTCTTAGAGCAAAATTCGTATTTCCTCATTTTTTTATTTTATCAATTCATTCTAATATTTCTATTCTCTATTTAAATCTTCACATTTATCACTTATTTTACCTATTTTAATTACTTGCTTCTTAAAATCATCCTAAAATTATCTTTTCCTAATCTCTATTTCTTTTTCTACTGTTAAATTTTTCTTTTCTTCTTTCATATCAATTTATAATTATGAGTTCTATCTCTAAGTATGTTTTAGTTATTTTTTTAGGTCAAGTATTTTATTTTTTAACTCATCAATTGTTCTTTCTTAATCAGAGTGCTGCGTTATCATTAAACTTTAATCCTTAATTAAAAAATAATTTTTGTATGCTAAAATCTATTTTATCATACTCTTTATTTTGCTGAGGCATTTTCGATCTATTCAAATAACATATCTGGTTTTCTTTTAAAAGAGTTTACCCCTTCTCTAATGCTATCACTGTACTAAAAACAATCTTCTTGTGTAACCTACTACTTTAAATTAGGAGAATATATTATATGATTATCCTGTTAGCTAATAAACCTTGAATTCATTACTATATTAAATAAATAAATGACTAAGCAACTAAAAATTTTTTTGATTAATTTATTATTAATAAAATTTTTGATGTTAATTTTTGTAATAAATAATTCAATTTTTGGTTGCTTAGTCAGTGATTTATTTTAAAAATAAAAAATCCTTTAAGTTTTTATTTTAATATAATAAATTTATTTTTTAAAAATCATAACACTATCAAAAAAAGCATCTATCTATCTCATTTCTTTAATTATTCAAATATCCATATAATTTAAAATAAAAAAATAACCCTTAAATTTTTCTAAACTTCTTCACATATGGTAGTAACACATTTTTAAAGAATTTTCTAATCATTGTAATAGTTGTGATAAATAAATAGATTTTATTATAAACTTTTAATTCAAAATTTGTTAAAATATTTATATGGAATTTTTTATAAAAAGTACAGTATTCAAAATATATATTAATAATTTCATTTATTCAATATCCAAGGATATTGCAAATTTAAGTGTATGTATCTTATCTAAAGTAGAGACTGGCAGTACCTGAGTGATTTCTATCAGGATATACTCTATTAGCTAAAATAACTATAGCCAAGTCTTTTTCTTTATCAGCCCAAGCAGTTGTGCCAGTGAAGCCTGTATGGCCAAATGATAATGGAGAAAACTTAGTACCGCAAGGAAGAACACTTTGAATTGGAACAGTATCCCATCCAAGAGCTCTTGAGTTAGGATAAGGAACATTTGTTTCTTTTGTTGTGAAAAGATCAACAGTTTCAGGTTCGAAGATTTTAACTCTTTTACCTTTAGAATTAATGTATTCACCTCTGTTGAGCATCATATTCATGAATTTAGCTAAATCATTTGCAGTAGAGAATATACCAGCATTACCTGAGACACCTCCTAAGAACCAAGCAGTTTCATCATGTACAATACCATGACATAACTCATGACGATAAACATCATCAAATTCTGTAGGGGCAATTCTATTATAATTAAGTAGAAAGAATAAATAAGAATTAGGTGAAAATAATCAATCAAATATGCTAAAATATTGATATTAAAAATTGAGAATAGTTAGATTCAAAGAGTACAAAATATTATTTTGAAATTTTATTTCATTGAGTGTATGTATGTTGTTGAATAGCTCGAAGATATTTTCTTTCTTTAAAAAATAGAAAAATTAATTCATATTTATCCATTTTTTATATATGTTAATTAAAAATATTTGTGTAACCTAAAAGTGGCCTATTCTCTTTGTTAATCTTTGGTAAAGAAAATCAAAATTTGATATATTTATGCATGTATAATTAGAATTAATGAAGATATTTAATTATTTATTTACTTATGGACGTATAGAGGAGAAGGATTAAACATTGTTGAGTCCATTTCGAGAGGTCCGTAAACATTAAGCTTCAAGAAAACATCAAGTGAAATTTTTGTAATTCTTTAGACAACTTCTTGCAAAATAACCATGTTTAAGTCAGAATAAACATATTAAGTACCTGTGGGATATTATAATTCAATGTGGTAGATTGCATCTTTAATATTTGAAGGAATTAAAGTTGATTAGGGGAATAGAGAGAAATCTAAGTCAGGCTATAAACCAGAATTATGGAGAAGTAAATTTCTAATGGTGATATTAGCCTTATCGTGGTTATTAAACTCAGGGATATAAGTAATTACTAAATCATCAAGTCCAATTAATCCTTAATCATAAAGTCTCATAGTAGCAGCAGTTACACCAAATACTTTGGAAAGGGAGGCTATATCATAAATAGTTTCATTGTTAACAGGAATATTAAAAGCATCTCCTGGGTATGTTTAATTACCTAAAGCTGCAGAGAAGATAGATTAGTTTTTATAATAGACTGAAACAGTAAGTCCAGGTGTAGTTCTATTTTAGATAAATACATCTGCTATTTGATAAAAGCTACTCCAGTCATAATTATTTTCCTATATATCAGCATTGAGCTTAAATTTTTTGAGGAAACTTTCAAAGCCTCTGTTGCAACTGGTGCTAGATATTTGGATGAATACTATAACTAACAAAGCAAATAATTATTTTTAGTTCATTTCCACTTTCACTTTAATTAACTTTTTAAACAAGATTTGACTTTCTTATTAAATTATTATTTTCTTTGAAGAAAATTGCCAAATTCTTTGATTTTTTCTTTTGCAAACAAGTCTTTTTGTGAACTAAAATACTTGACCAAGCAAAAAGAAATATTTACCTTATATTAATTAAATTAGACCAATAGAATATGTTTGCTTTTTGATTATTGGTAATTTTTGATAAAAAGACAAAATAACACATTTGGAAATAATATTAATTGTAAATATTAACAAAATAATCTAGTTTTAATTCATTTGATTGATACATTCTAAAATCACTTCAAATTATTTTTTTTCTTTTGTATTTATTACCAAATAGAGATAATACAAACATTATTTTTATCAAAAACTCATTTATTATAGTATAGCTTTAATTCTTAATCGAGCTAAAATTAATTTTTGTTGGCATTCATTTTAGATGATTAAAAAAGTTTTATAATTACATTTAAAAAAGAAACAAATTTTCATAGAATTTTCGCTAAAATTAAATGATAGTAATCTTTAAAATTTAATCAAGCACTATTATAGAATAATTTAAAGAAGACTACATCAAATTATTAATTACTGGAAATATAATAATTTTTAAATATAAAACGTAAATAATAATTATTAAAGTAAAAACCTATTTTTAAATATTTTATTCCAAATATTTTTGCGAAACTAAAATGTAAATAATAAAAATAAATAATAATTTTAATAATTCTAATAAATAAATTATTTAGCATTTACAAAACAGATTTTGTTTTAAGTTTTTTCTTGTTTAAAAGTCATTAATATAAATAAAAATAATTAATTTATTTTACATTATTATTATGAGTATTGAAACTATATCATTATATTTTTTATTTATCTAAGTTATTTAATCTACATTTTAGTCCATTAAATCTAAGAATAGAAATGCAAATAAAAATAAGAAAACTCAAACTATATCAAATTAAAGTACTTTGAAATAGTAAACATATTTTTCTAGTACTCGCTTGTTTGTAAGTAATCATAAGGAACTTTTATATATTGTTAATTATGATTTATTTGCATCTTTTATTTGCTACCTTAAAATGTAATAAAAATATCTAAATATATTTTCGCAAAAAGTTCCTAAGATATTTCTAATATTACAGAAAATACTTACAATTCTGAGTTTAAATCGCAGTTATTATCACTTATAAAAAGAATATTTTAGTTAAATTATTTATCATTTTTTAATTGTGAAATATTTTCTATTTTCCAAAAAAAATAAATATTTTTAGATAGCTTTATAAAATTTATAAATAAAAAAATTTAATATATTATTGTATGATTTTGCTCACTTGGAAGCGAAAGGAAAGTTAAAATTTATTGTTCTTATACTAAACAATAACTAAACTTAAAAAACAAATACGATTTCTAAAAGGAATTTTTATTGATTATTGCATTAAATAAAAAGATTGATGATGCTAATTTAAATCTGTAAAGTTTTTGTCAAATATTTTTTGGTTTGCTAATTAATTGAAAAAAACTAGAAATAATTTGTTAAAGTGCTATTTAAATTATGTTACTATTTTTTTATTTGGTATTACATATATAATAATGTATATGTGGGTCTATTGTATGTTTTAATATATGAAATTATAATAATAAAAGTATATTGAAGTACATTTACTTATTAAATATAGTTAATCTTACAGCAAATTTTCAAATGCAAATATTTTTACTTCTCTTTAAATACCTTAGTTGATAATTTTTTTTTTTAGCTTATTCAAAAAATATGTAAAAAAATCTATTTTTTTCATAAAACTAAATATCAAATTGTAAGAAAAAAAGGAATTAATTTTAAAAAATGGTTGATTTATTCCTTTCTATTATTTTAAAGTTTAACTTCGATAAAGAGTTTACTCATAATTTTTGTAATACTGAAAATAAGATTTATGATTTAATAAAATTATTAAGTTATAGTGCTTTGCTTTAAAGCCATTTTATGGAGACTTTATCATTTGATAATTATAGATTTTGTTTGTGCTAACTTTTGCATGTTAATATGTAAATATGCAAATATATTGAATTTAATTATACCTTCCGAATTTTCAATTTCAATCATTGAAACATGAGAGTTTCTAAATATACAATCATTAACTCTATTAATAAAATCTGTTGCACTTACAACTCGAAAAGCAATCAATAGCTTTCAGAATATCAGAAATATAATTAGAGATTGATGTATTTATTATTGATAAAAACTTTTGAGATTACTTCTTGAAAATTTTAATAAATTAATATTTCTTCTATAAACTACGATAATTCACATTAAATGATGTTTTTAGCAAGAATAGAGAGATAATTAAGTAAACGATATTTAAATTTTGTGTAAAAAAGTTTTTAGTTTGATTGTAAATTTCTTTTCGTCTGCAACTGATATTTTTAGGTCTTGTATTTTTACACGATTTTCACAAGGTTATGGAAAAAGTAATTAAAGTACTTATATGCACAAAATCGAATCAAGCATCTTTTTAATCCATAATTTTACTAAAATATTGCATAAAATGTATTATTTTTGCAAATAAATTGCTTAAATTTTAAATTTAATTACATAAATTACCATTTTTCGAATGATTACTTTTTCATTTTTTGAAAAATTAAACAGATCAATCACGTAAAAAATAATGCTGATTTGGAATAAGAATGATCTTTCCTTAAATTAGAATGCAGTTCATGAGGTTATATTATTAAAGAGCACTGGTAAAAAAATTTTTCTACAATTTGGAATTGTAAATTTTCCATAGTGCACTAGAATTTTTAAGTTTTTATGAAACATTTAAAAAATATTTGCGCTTTTGAAAAATTTACTCAGATTTACTTTTTTCTGTATTTATTTGAGTTCATGGTTGAGATATTTAGAGAAGGTATTTGAAAAAAATAAAAAATTAACTTTCCTTACTATTACAATAAAATTACTTATGCTAATGATAATAAAAAAAATAGCTAAATATTTTACAGAGTTTTTAGTCAAATATAAGTATTTGTAGCATTTTAGTTCTATTTTGTTACTTTTATTAGTATTTATTTATTTATTTTTGCCAAGTTATAAAAAGCTTAAATGACAGTTAATGAAAAATTTTACTCTAACTTAATTAATATTTTATCTCTGAAAAAATTTACTGCATCATTTTAATAATAATTTAAAAAATTCTTTTAGGAAACCTTTATGGTTTAGTAATCGAATGCTTTTATATTATAACCAGCTATCTATATTATTTATTTATTATAGGTTGAAAATTAAGAATAGGAACTTTTTCTAAGAGTAAAGGAAGTAAATTTTTTTTAAAATTAAAGTAGTAGGTGGAAGTGAGCAGAATCAATGTAAAAATTTTGTATCTTAGTGAAATTAAACAGCAAAGATTTATTTTGTTTTAGGATTTCTGGGAAGAAAGTAAGCAGGGTAGCTTTTTACCTGAAACATGAAATAGTTGGATTGTGAGTTTGTAAGTTAGATATAATTTATCAATTTGATAGTTTGTTATATTCTTAATCTAATTGTTTGTTTTTATTAATAATTTATTCAATCAGCAATTTTTTCCCTTATCTTTATACTTGCTCGATCTTTAAGAATTAATTTTTCAGTCTTATATTTTGCGCTTCTTTAATAAATCAATAAGAATAAATGTTACCTAAGAAAACATTTTTTATTTAACAAACAATGTTATTAAATATTGCATGATCAAATACCTTAACATTTCAGGTATAATGAAGTATTTTGAGAGCTTTCTGAGGATGTAACGTTTTTCTCACTTGAATAATTGCTATGTAATATCTATGTGAAGTATTTATATAAAAATACGAATTAAAAATTTTTTGAGTAATTATAAAAAAGGGGTGACCTATAAATAAATGGTTACTTCTTTAGCAAAAATGAGAAAAAATAATTCGATAACAGTACAAAAAGGTTAAAATCTATTAGAAAATTTTATAATTCAGTCAGCGAGAAGTGAAATTATATTTTTTTATTATAAAATTTTAACTTTGATTGATTTGTTAAGTAACATTTTTTATACCAAAGGGAGGTATGATAAATCAAAATTTCAATAGCTTCTTACTTACTTTTTTTCACGTTATGTATATATGTTTGGTATGTATGGTGGTAATTTGCATTTTGGCTTAAGGTACTTTGAAAATGTAAATATTATAAGATAGTATCAGATTCTGTGTACATTTAGATAGTAATATAAAATACAATTTAGTAAAATATTGTAAAATGGATGATTTGGGCTCCACATGATAATTGATGATAAGAATTCGATAGATTAATTTTTTTAATGTCATATTGATTATTTTACACAGGTTCTAGGACATTATCTAGGTATTTTAATTTAATGAATTAAATCTTGGCACATGAAAAATTTATTTGTATTACATTCAAAATTAAAAGATAGTCAGCCTAATTCTGATATATTATTACCATAAAATAATAGAATTCTATAAAATTTTAGTTCAGGCATATCCTATGTTAATAGGTCGGTTAACTTTTAACTTGTTTCGTTTTAATTTTATTATGGCAGCGCTTTATTTGCTTTATAAATGTACATAGTGCTTTTACTTCAATTATCAAAGTATTTTAACAAATATCACAAATCGACAGATAATTCCAGCTTAGATTAATTATATAAAATTTACCTTATAAATTTAGGTGTATTATGTCACGCGCAAAATGTATTAAAATCTAATATCATAAGAAATTTTAGATTCTATTAAAATTTTAATTCATGAAGAAAATACCTTTTAAAAACAATAAGGTTTGTTATAACTTTTCATTTTTGCCTTATTAAAAAATATGTATTTATTTAATGATTGATAAATAGATAATCTTTATTTATCATTTTGCATAAACAAAATAAATTAACGGGTAGGTTAAAAAAAGAAAAATAATTTAGTTTGTATCTATTTTTATACGTAATATCAACAATGCCCTAAAGCTTTCGATGTAATCACAGTAATAATTTTTAAAATACATAAAGTTATATGGTTAAATAATATAACTCTGGTCAAATTTGAATCACTGAAGGCTCGCTCTGTCATTTTTTATAATTTTTATTAAACATTAGAAAATATTAATACATATTACAAATAAAAAGACTATTTATATTTATGAAGGAGAAAAATTTCTTAAAATAAATTATGATCGAACTGTAATTTAAAGTTTCAATCGATGCATAAGAAGATTTAAAAAATACAATAAAATACTGTAGATATTTCTTTTAACAGCATATGAGCTCCAGTTAATCTTATAGTTAATACATATTTTATAAGCAGCATATTTAAATTTAAGCCATTAAATATCAATACAAAACCACTAATAGTATTAAAGCTCTTTAGTAATTGTATTTTTGCTAATATAGATACTCGGAGTTGACTCTGTAATACTTGGTATTAATTTCTTATACACTAAATTTACCTTTCACTACAAAAGAATTTTGTTAAAGTTGTATTATCTTTTTCTATTTTTTGCTATACTATTTTTAAAATTTGTATATAAAGTGCAATATAGAAATATTAGCGATAACTTTTTTAATGATTCAAACAAAAAAGTGATATTTTGTGAAAATATTTTAGATAATTACCAAACTTGAATTAATATTTTTATTCAGAATAATATACAAAGCAAAATCTAATGTGTTTGTGATTTTTAACTCATCTATAGAATTAATTTTATTAACTGATTTTACTTGTAAGTAATTACTTTCAAAAAAAATGGAATAAACAATGGTTCAGTAAAATGTTAATCTCATTCCTGAAAACTACATAAAAAGTTTATTTAAAATAGAATAAAGCTTTTAAAGGATGTTTTTTTTTAATCAGTTAGCAAAATTAATTTGAATTATATAAAAGTGCTATTGAGATAGAATTCAATAGGATAATTTCCCAGAAGTTAATAATTAACTTTACTTACATCTAAAAAAATAAATTAGTTCAACTAAATTCTTTAGGGTATAATATATGATTAAAGTTATACTGAATTACATATTTTTTAATTAAGCAAGCGTAATTTGAATAATTAAGGGAGAAGGTATTACTTTAAATATATATGTAATACTGGAGCAACGATAACATTAATAATTTATTATTATTTATTATTAACATTAAAAATTTTTTGCTAAGAAAAAAGAGCTCGTAAATACATCACACACACACAAACACAGAAGGCATTTACTAAGCTGCAAAGGTAAAAAAATATCCCTTAATTGCTGAATTTCTACTATGGCTTGCTTACTTTTTGAGCCATACCAACTTTATCCCCTCATTTTTTGCACAAACATGTCTAAATCATTCATATGCATCCATTATTACTTCCATTAAATATCTTAAACTTCATTAATACTTTTCTTACTATAAAAAAAAAATAGATTCTTCATTTCTTGTGAATTTACGCACACTATCCAATAATTTACAAAAATATTGTAAGCAGAAAGCCTACCAATTACAAAAGCGCAACCTTGAATCAAATTTTTGACTATTAAAAACAATATCTATTATTAATATATGACCACCGCAAATAACTAAAACTAACCCTACTAAGATTTTGAGGATTTCTATGAAACAACTGATAAAGTTAATGTCCGTTTTAATCTTACAATCGAAAATAGTCAAGAAAATATCAACATGTTTTCTTCTAGTGCTACTCAATAAAAATAAAGGTAAAGACCATATTTAATCTAGTGTTTTATTTTGATTTTATATTTTTAATTAATTAAGTACAATTTGTTCTTAAAATTTAAATGTTATTGCATTCTAAATTTTCGTAAATTAACTTCTAACACATAATAGTAAACTTAATATTACATTTAGTTAGACAGTAAGTAAATAAATCAAGCAAATAAGAACTAATTTTACAAAAACTGATTTTCATTAATTTATTGACGATCAAATATTTATAATATTTAATTTATTAACAAAAGCATCCAAATATAGCCATTTATATAATTCAAGAAAAGTGGACTCCTCAAAATTTACTTCAAAATTGTCGACTTCAATAATCCTAGTAACACAACTATTATCAACAGCGAAATAGAAATGACCTCTCAATCATCCAGCGATTCTTAAATTTCTAACAGCGACTGTTTCCTTAGAGAAGTGACAACAGGACCTTAGAGCTATCTTGATGAGGACCATTATCTTTAATAAAAAGCTAATGAAGACAACCATTTCAATTAAAACTAGCTTTTTGCTTTATAAAAAAAAAATTAAGGATCAAATCTTAATAACATAATAAAATATTAAAAAATTAACTCAAACAAAATTCATGTAAAAGCTACTGGTAAGATGTTAGCAAAAAAAGTCAAAAGAGCTGAGGAAAAATACCTATAAAAATAGAAAAGAAAGCATGAATCATTGATGAGAGGTGCCCAAGATGATGAAAATAACTATATTTGCTAGAGAATCGGCTAAAACGTTAATTTAAAGAGGATTTCTGAAAATGCTTACAAATTGAGATAAACTCAGGAAACACATGAAGATATGGATACTTTAAACTAAAAGGACGATAGACTTATGTAATCTAATCAATATGAAACTTCTCAAAGCGATATCCTCTTTAACTTGGTAAGAATAAATTTTATTTATTTTTCACCTTAATATTTTCATTTAAGCTTGATGAATGAAAGAAAATAAATTTTGAAAAACGAAGCTGTGTAATTTATTCTATTTTCATAAATACAATCTAATAAAAAGAATATTCTTCTAAAAAATGTAATCTTTTTGTCAAAGAATCGCTTGATATAAATTAAAGAATATCTCATTTAAATAGGAAAATTTAGAACATAATTTACCAATTTTCAATAAAATTAAAAATTAATAAAGACTAATATCAAAAAATTTCATTGAAATATTTAATTAAATATCAAGCAAGTAATAGAGAAAGAAATAAAGAAAACAACCCTTTATTCATTCACTCATTGATTCGTTTTGACTATTTATGAAATTAAAATTTCTTTTTATCCACATATTTGCATACAAATTCAAAATAGGCAGCATAAACATTAAATTCTTATTTAGGAAAAAATTTCCAAATCAGAACTAATATATAGTTGAACCTATCAAAATATATTCATCTTTACTTTTACCAAATAAAAATAAAATGGACCTATTTTTTTGATTAGAATTTGTAATCTAAATAATTTATGATAATATTCTTCCTTAGAACTATTACCATTTCTAGCCTTAAGAAATTTAGTCTTATATAATTTTAATTCATTTTGTAAATGAGAATAGTACCACATCAATCAAATAGATGAAATTTCATCAAGTTTAAATATCAATACACTTGCTTTTATTCATTCTCGATAAAAGTTATTATTATTCTTTTTCTAATATGTTTTATTTATTAACCAAAATAGTATCATGGAAATACTTCATCTTAGCACTCTCCATAGATAGTTCCCTTAAATCATGCTTAAAGGTAGATAGATTATAAATTACATTTTAAATTTTATACTAAAATTCTGATAGTTTATGATGCTCATTACTTATTTTAATTATCTAAAAGGGACTCGAAAAACGACATCCATTCAGAGTTTGCAAGCCATTCATCATAGCTTATTGATAATAACCAGGCCATATCTCTTTCTCAAAGATTTAAATCCTAAACAGCCTTTTAGACCAAGATTGAGTAATAAGAAAATAATTTTATTGATAATTCCAATAATGAATACCAAGACTTATCATATAGTAATAAATCTTAAGAATAAGTTAATGCTGATGGAATTACAGTATTTACAAGAACTAGAAGAAATTACTTTTCAACTCCTTAGCTTTAGGGAGCTTTATTAAATGAATTACCATTAAAGAAGGTGCACATTAAGCCTGCTAACAACGATAATAATAAAGATGAAAACGGAGTATGTAAAGGAAATGCTGTAAATATGGCTAAAAATATTCTTAAAGGTTTTATGGAGTATGTGTTTGTCTCAGCTAAAGAAGAGGATTTAATTGAATGCTGCTCTATTAATAATTAAAAGAATCCTTAAGAAAATTAAAGTGCAATATAAATGGAATCAGAGCCTATGGATTTGTAAGAAAATGAGGATGTATAAAATATTTCTAAAGAACAAATCCCAAATAATGTAGACTAATAATAAGAATAAGATGACGAAAATGAAAACTGTGAAGCAGATAAAATAGAAGAATATGCTCCCATTAATATTGAAGAAGTAAAAGATTAAAAGTAAATAATTGATAGTATTAGAAAGAGATTTAAAAAATAATACAATTCTAAGATGCTTGAAAAACCAAGTAATAGTAAACTTCTTAAATTATTCTCTAACAACAACTACGGAAAATTATTTAAGCACTACTTTAGTTCCTAAGAAATAATGGACTATATCGAATCATCTAACATTTAAAACAAAATAGCTCATAAAGATTTAGTTGAAAAGATAAGAAGCACCTCCTTTGATTTTGAAAAACTCTAGGATGTTCTCAAAACCAGAATCTTCAAGAGACCTCCTTTCCAAAAACCCTAAAAATGAATGAAACATATAAAATAGCTTTTATTTAAATATATCCACAACATCTGAAACAAAATAATAACAATATAATATTTATTTTAAAAATAACAAATATTTATAATAAAATTATATTAAATGCAGATATTTAGATAGTCTTTCTTCCTTACTTACTTACTAGTAATTAACATACTAACTAACAAAATAACCAACTATCTCCTATTCATTTATCCTTATCCTATTCTTTGGATATTTATTTAACAAAATATTAAAAAGTAACTAATTTCAAGTAAAACAAATCTATCATAAAAATGAAGCATGAATGAATACCAGACTGTCAATTTGATTGATTGATTGATTGACTGACTGGTGAGTTTTAATTTAAAAAATTTATATAAAAAAAACAAAATTATATATTAATTCGCCTTTAAAAAAAATAAATAAATAAATAAATTATTATAATTTTATGAATGTAATGTATATTAAATGCATTGTAAACTCATTATAGCTCTTTTTAAAGTTATTACCCATCATAAATAGTTTTTTTTTAGAAGTCATCTGTTGTTTACATATTCTTTAAACCTCAATCAAAGATTTAAGATAATTTGTATTATTATTTCTGTAAACAGAGCTAATACACAGCTAATTCTTTGCTGAATACCATTAAAAGAGATCCATAAATTGTAATTTAAAATATATAAGTGAAATTTTTTATATGCTAAAAAATTAAATATGAGACCTTACTCTTTAATGTTTTTATTAAGTAGCCAATTTTCAGAATAAAATAATGTAATCGAATCAGATTGTGTTCGACTGCTTTTCAAATCTTTTAAAATCAATATTTCTTCCTTTTCATTTTGCAAATCAATTTTGTAAATACTTGTTGTTAGAGAACTAATTTTTTTATTTTTAGGTCATCAGCTATAAAAAAATGAAGCATGATTAAATCGTAGCAAGGCTTGTATGCTAGGGACTTATTTGTTTATTTCTTTTAAGTATTTTAGAATTCGTTAAGAGATATTCAATTCGCTTAAGACAGGTTTAAATTTTTGGATTTTATTTCATTGTTCTGTTAAATACTGATTTGCCTTGTAATCGACCCTGTAATCAAAATATTTAATAAATATTTATGTAAATTTTTAATGAAAACGAGATAAATTAAAATTTTCAAGTAATTTTAATTTAACAGGTAAACAATCTAATTTGCAATAAACATTACTAGGTTTTATAAGCAAAAAATCATATTTAGAGTATTTTCCCAACATCAACTAATACCATTCAGACTGCCATTTATTATTTATTTCAAAATATCTTTCATCTAGACTCTACTCTAATCAGAAACACTACTTCTAAATTAAGTATATAAATTAGCTGGCGTTTGATCAAGTTGAATTTACTTTAGTATAGGATTCTAGAGTTAGAAGAAGTCTATGACTGCTTACACATTGTAAAGCATAATATATTTTTATTCTTACTTACTCTCAAAAATATATGATATTGTCCTTTATAAGTTTGTAAATAGAAAAAGAAAAAAATACTAAAATAAACAGCTCTAATTATCCTTTTAAAATTAATTGGAATATTATTAATTACTATTAATATTCATCATATCCTTTAATAAAAAAAGATACTTTAGAAAAATAAAAAATGAATATTTTTTAAACCATTTTTTATGAATTACTATTTGGATAAATATTAAAACTTGTGTACACTTCTCGATAATTGAGAATTTATTTTTAATCTACTTTTATGCAATTTATAGTATTTAGAAATGAAACCTTCTAAAAGTATTTAGAAATATGAAAAACCTAATAGTTATATCGATATAAAGCTTAATTTTAATTCTAATAATTAAGCTTAGCCTTACCCGCATAAAGTAATTGAGTAAAAATATCTTTTAAATAAAAATAATTCATATTATAAAACAATATACCATGTGTAATCCGCATTATTAGTCAAATACCATTTAATAATGCAAATCAATTATTATTCTAGAATTCTTGATAATTAATATCTTTTGTCATAGTTAAAATTAATTTCTATTAAATTAATTGATATTTGGTATTATTTTAGGATTTTTATTAATGCATTTAAACAGATGATTGCTTATAAGAATATGTTATGGAAAGTCATAATAATTATTCATTCTAAATATTAATAAATCCCTCATTCATTTTTATTCTTCTTATTATGTAAATATATTTTTTAAATTTTACATTTTTCTTGGGTGATTAAATTTAGCCATTTAAAAAAAAATTTTTAATTAACCTAGCTTGTCAAAAAATTAAAAAATGTCAATAACAAAAATATAATTTTAATTTTATAAAATTTTTATTAAAATTAATTTTTATAAAAAAAATAAACAATAAATGGAATATAAAAAATTATTGAATACTTTTAAATAAAAATATAAAATAGATTTTATTATTTTAATGAGTATTTTAATTTAATAAACATTTATTTATTTAATTAAATAAATATAATAAATTGTTTTAAAGATAGCTCATTTGTATAATTTGAAGAATAATAATTTAATTAATTAAAAATATATTTAACTAAATAATAATGATTAATTTTGATAAGGATTGATTAAAACTATACTATAAAAAGTAATCATTTAAAATTATTTAAAAGTTATGTTTATAAAGAAAGTAGGATTTACTATTTTATTATTAATAATCAATAATATCAAACAAAATCACAAATATTAAAATTAAAAAAAAATATTTTTATCAATATTTTACTACAAAATTTTGTTTAATACAATTTGTCAATTTTAAAAACGTAAAAAAAAATGTAGAAAACATACTAAAAATATTCCTTTTTGTTTTTTTTAAGAAAGAATCATATTAATTGAAAGGTAAAGATTAAGATATTGAAATTAATATTTATCAAATTTTTACCAAAGAAAAAAAAATTTACAAATCAAAAAAAAGTTATTTATAAAAGAAAAAAATTTAAAAAGCAAAAATGAAGATCCTCTATTTACTAGGTATGATACTTATGCTTGTCAGCAATGTCAAGGCTCAGAATACTAACATAGTTGAAACATTCTCAACAATAATCCTTTTTATAATATTTTTCATGTTTTTATGCGCAGGATTAGGTTATTTTGCACGCTCTAAAAATTATGTAGAAAGCTCAAAGCCATCTCAAACTATGTATTCTTGATAACTTAAATTTATAAAAACTAAATAAGTAAATAAATAAATAAAACTATTATATAATTATTTGTAATTTATTAGGCCATTCTTACTAAGTATTCTTTAAAATTCAACTGAATCTCATTTTATATTTTTTAAATTCCTAATTTTATTATGATACTGCAGAAAATAATAATTAAAGTTCTTGATAAATACTTTTTTAGGATGACAATCATTTGATTTGCTTAGTGTTTAGGTTAAATGTGATTATCAATATTATTTATTGTATTTTGTTAGATATAGTTTTTTAATTACTGCCATAAACTGTTTTAAATTCAAATATTTTATATTCTGAAAGCTATTAGCAAAGAAACTAAATCTATTTTTATCAACAAATAAACTCAAAATAAATTGCTTGTTTATTTAGTATTTTTTATATTTTCAAGCAAAATCATTTTTTTATTCTACTTTAACAGTAAATTAAAAATTATCTCCATATGTTATTTCAACAAAAAATAATTATGATTATTCATGTTCACAAACACAAATATAATAATAGAATATAATAAATTAATTGCTGTATTCATTTATTGGTTGAAAGATTTTATTGTGCCAATTAACGAAACAAAAATTTAAAAATTTGTAAAAAAAAAAACTTTTAATTTATCTTTTTAATTGAAAATTAGCTAATAAGAAGTATTATCATTTAATCTATTTCATATTTTTAAATGAAGAACTCTGAATTATTTAAAAATGATAGTGATAGGAGAAAAGAATATGATAGAAACTTCCATTCTATCAAGTCGTTTACTGTAGATTTAAATAAGCTATATCAAGTATATCAAACAAGAGATTATGATGCAAAATAAGCATGGATGTATATTTTTGATTATGTGTGCCTCACAAAAATAAAAAATTAAAAGGATTGCTTCCGTAAGACGGCTATTAAATTTTATAAAAACTATTTTCCTGAATATAAATATTTTAAAGAGAATTATAGAGATTATAATGCATTTAGGAATTTACCAAATAGAAAAAACTATTTAATAAGGATCAAAAAGAAATCTTCAATGAGGATTTATGAATAAAATTTTTAGCATGACATCGAAAATATTTTGCAAGATTAAGAACCAGAAGATGGTAAAGATCATGAGATTATTTTTTAATTAAAGATACTCATTAAAGATCTGTTATAAATAACTTACAATTCATTTTATAACGAAAGTTTAATTTTGAATAATTCTAGAATATTAGAGTATTGCTTTTAGCTGCTTAAATATCTTGAGATTGAATATTTTTATTGTTGCATAGCCTTTAAAATAAAGAATGAATAGGAATTACTAGAAAGAATCACATGTATTTTAAGAAGATATTATCACTTTTGGGTTGAGCTTCTTTTCGAAACATATTGCTATAGTTATTGGAAGTAAGAATAAACTAAAAAAAGTATGTGCTGATTGATATCCTTATAATAAAATATTTAAATTTTTTTATATTTATATTAAGATAACAGTGTTGATTAGAAAAATTAAAATGCATCATAAAGGGAAAAGACTTATGAGGACATATTTTTAGAAAAAAATAAAGAAATTAATGAGAGAATTGAAAAATTTAAAAACAATAATGGCTTATGTAAAAAATAATAATTTTTTGAGCAAAAAAATCTTCCTAATGAGATCGAAGAATAGCAAAAAAATGAAACTTATGATTTTAGTTTTTTAGAGTTTAACCAACAAGATGAATTTGATGATGAGACTTTGAAGTAACGCTTTTAAAGGTTTGATTTAAAAATAACCGATATTTTAGATTACTATCCTTTCCTTTAAGCTAAATAAAATTCAAATCGTATTGAAATTATATAAGATTAATAAAGTAGATAAGGTGAGTATACAATTTTTTTAGATAATATATAACTGTTAGCTAATACAAACATAAATATAATATACGAATTTATTTGTGCTGAATATTCTAATTGGTCATACTACTAAGGTCCTTATACAATTATTATTTAGCTTTTTAGCTTTTTAAAAAAAGCATTGGAAAAAAAGTCAATATTAATTGCAATAGTAGAAACTTATTAAAATTTTAAAGACTCAAATAACTTGAAGATAATATATGAGCATGATAGAGAAAACAATTAATTTTTCTTAAAATAAAAATTTAAAAATAAATAATTTGAATTTAAGGATGAAGAAGAAACTGATGAAGAGTATGATTTAGAAGATGATTAAATTAATAATCATGATGATATACATAATATAGAAAAGCAAAGTAGAAGCTATGATGATCTACAAATTAAGGAGGATAACAGAAAAAGAAAAGAAAAAATATCAAGAGTAAATAATTAAAAAATATATAAAAGACACATTTATTTAACTTAAAATAATTTAAATTATTTATTAAAAATAAATAGATTATTGAGAAAATAATAAATTAAATTCTTTAGAATAATTGCTAGAAACTAACTCAAATCTTTGCACTTTATCTAAAAGATGAAAATATCTAAAAAATTGGATATAATATTCAAAAAATGTTCTTTATTTTTTAATTTGACGGAATTTAATTTTAAAAAATACAAATGGATGACAACAGTAAGCTAATTTATGAGTATAACTTAGATGATGCTCTTGCTTTTGATTTACAGCTCTTTATTTGTTAGGAGTAAAGCAAAATATATTAATAGTAAGAAACCGTTAAATCTTAAACCTCCTCTTTGCCAGCTTTAAAATCTGATGAAGATAACTAAAATAATCATAAGCTAGATATTAAAGACGATTAAAAAGAAATAACTAAGAATGATGATAGTATTGACCTTGAGGAAAAGTTTGAAGAAAAAGAAACTAGGGCAGCTTAAAATTTTTATGAGTCTTGCTTTTAAGTGAAACATTAATCCAAGGGATATATCATGCCTATTCCTTATGAAAATTTAACTTTTCCACCAATTATAAATGAGCCAGTAATTCTTCCTGAATATAATGACATTTAAAAGGGAACTGAGCATTTATTTGATGGTTATTTGTTAAAGCCTTAATAATAATTAGCATAATAATATAAATCAAGAACATTTTCTACTGTTTCTAATGCCTATTCTAATAATTCATAACAAAAAAAAATATAATATCCCTTTAAAGATGAAGAATAGATTTGTGACATCAGAATTTTTAAAAGTTTAGCCTAAAATGTTGCAAAAAGTATTATCTCTGATTATAAAGGTCCATAGTCAAAATAAACTGATTTCGACTATAACTTGCAGCAATATTTTTACTCTTTTAGTGAAGCAAAAAGATGATGTCATAAATTAAAATTTTTAATTATCTAACTCTTCAGCTATTTTTATCATTAAAATTATTTGTAATCAATTTATTTTATCATAAATGTATGTTTAATTTTGTAGTTTTTTACTAAAGCAATTTTCTATTTTTTATTAGGAATTTTTGAATCTAAAGGTTGCTTTTTCTTTTAGTTAAAAAATTATTTTAAATCAAAATCCTTTTTTAAACAATTTAATTCAACTTTACTTTTTTTTTTTGAAAGAATAAAAAGTTATCAAAATACATTTACTTTTTTAAGAAAAAATAAATTCATTTTAAACAGTTTATAATTGATTGTGAATAAATAAAATTTATAACAACCATTCATTTAAAAAGAATAAATAAGCAAAATAAAATATAAATTATAATAGTCATAATGTATTTATTTTTTTATTAATAATATAAATGGCATTAATTTATTTTTTAAAAATATCAATTTTTTTTATCAATTTAGTTAAGCTTGCTACTGCTTTGAATTTTCTTTACATTAAATAATCCTCTTTCTTTCTTTATAGGAATATGGTTTGTATTAGAAATCATATTTACAGGTAAGTCTTTATTAATATTTTTAGTTTTGTTTCCTGATTTTTAATTTTCTTAACTTAAAATTGTAGTTTATTTTTAGGTTTATTTTATTTCTGGGTTTTCAGCTTCTGAAGACAAAATAGACTCCTAAATAGAATTAATATCTTTTTATTCTTGATTGTTTTTTAAGTTACTTTATAGGTTTTTGTTTTACTCTTAATCTATACTGGAATCTTCATACTTCTAAATATCTTCAAGGATGTAATCTGGATTCACACTTTTTTAGCTATCTTTTCTCTTTTCAGACTCTGATAATTTACTACTTGAGCTTTGACTTTCTTTTCGATTTGCTTAACGATATTTATCTTAACTAAAGTTACTTTATTCATTACTTATCAATATTTTTTCATTTTTTTACTGTTGCTGTTATGAATCTTAAAAAAAAGAAGGCTTGCTAGATTTATTTTCTGACTTAGGAATATTTTATAAGCTGTCTTAAATTTATTTTGCTTTTAAACATTATTGATATTCTTCAAAAGTTTAGCTCCCAAAACTCAATCTAAACTGGTAAGGCTACTCATTAAGTTCTTAAGGTAAAATATTTTTGTTTAAAATATCATTTTTATTTGGATGCAAATTTTATTTTGCATGCTAAAATGTAGGAGTATTGCTGTATTCAGGGGATTTTTATATATTTAAAAAGTTGTATGTCTCATCCTTTTTATCAGAGTGTTTTACCAAATTAAATAAGGTAATATCTTCAATATTTGCTTGATCTATGTTTTACTCCTTTTAATTATGCTACTAATTTTGTAACTTCTATGATTCTAGCAATCCTTTTACAGATATTTTTTTAGATTCCTCTTCTTTTTTTTCTTAATTATTCTCTATATTTTCATTCTTAAACGACTACCTCTCAGAAGTGCATTATTTTGTAGATAACTTTTATGTTTCCTTATTTTAGCTAGAAAACTTATATGAACTTTATGACATTTAAGGAACGTCCATTCCCTCTTCCACACAACTATAAGTAGAAAATACTTTTTTAATAGCAAACCCGTTCGAACAGTTCACACTTTTTACTTTAAAATAAATTTAAGATAAAATACTAATTTTCAAAATTTACTTAAACTATCTTGAGATTAAAGAGATTTTTTGTATTTAAAATTTAATATCTAAGCTTCTGACTAAGAATTTATAGGCTTGTTCACCTAGTTCAAAACATGGTTAAAGTTATTTGTGCCAGTAGAATAATTTGATTAATTTAAATCTATTTTTATATTCTAAATTAAATATGCAAGTTACTAATAAAAAAATTACTGTCAATATTGTTTCTTGACTAGAATCCACTCAAAGAATGAACTCCTATAGCTAATTTTTCTAAATTTTTGACAAAAACAGTTGGCTGACTACATTCAGAATCATCCTCTATAATTTTTTAAGGACTAATTTAAAACTGTTAAGTACATAAGGTTTATTGATTTTATTTTGCTGAAGCTAATCTGATTCTATGTGGATATTTTTATTCTGAGTGAGTAATATAAGAAGATATTGATCCTTAGCTTCTATTATTCCCAACTGAAATAGATCTTTTAACATTCCTCATACTTTGAAGATTTATTTGTTTAGTCTTCTCAGTTATTTTTTCAATTATTTCATAGTAACATTCAGAGCATACTCTTTTTTTAAACATATAACATTTTTATAAAATAATCTAAACAAAGTAAAAATTTGATTGCTAAAAATTAATTTTAACTATTTCAATAATTAAAACTAAAATCAAAATAAAAAATTATATTTGATTTAAATTGAGTTAATAAAAGATATTTACTCTACTTGCCTATTTTAGAAATGAGGACTCTCCTTTATGCATACATAAGTTGGATACTTCAAGTTAGGATGTATTATTTATAAAATTCGCGGAATATGATATACTTATTATGATTTTTTTGTAAATTTATTTTTGTACTATTTTACTGATTCTGGAATATTTAATTTTTCAGTTTCCATACTAGACTAATCAATTTACATTTAATAATCTATAAGATATTTATACGATATGCTAGTGAAAGATTCTTTTACTTTCTTTTAGCTACATTAATAACATTCAATTAAAAATTTATTATGTATGCTTGAAGAAAAATGCTTTTGCAAACTTTTTTCTGACTATAAAAAATAATTAATAAAAATTTTTATATTTATTATTAAAAAAATAAATTACCTTCAATTCTTGTATAAGATTTGAATTTTTTTAGCTTTAATTGCTACTATAATTACTTTTTTCTTAATAAATAGGCTACCTTTAAAAAATTTAGGATTTGCTCTATTAAGAGCTACTTCTTCTTTCTACCTTAATGTAATTAGCCCATAGAAAATATAAGTTTTCTTTTTCATCCTCTTTAAAGTAACATGTAATTTTTTTTACTTTTTGTCCTCCTTCTTAATTGAGTATAATGTTCTTTAAATTAATAAAATTAAATATTTTGTATTAACTATAAAAAAGCTGTAAGTAATGTACTGATTATATCTCATTGATGCATTATTTAATTACAGGGCATATCTTTCCTTTAACATTAACTTTTTAAGAAATATTAAGAGACTTTAACAAAGGCAAATAATGCTTAGTAAAAATATTAAATACCAGAATCTGTTTTATTGCTTTATCCATCGAACGTACATGCTCTATCAATCAAATCTATCTCCTAGTTGTATATATTTTTTTTGTTAATTAATTTTAAAAAGCTGCAACTTTAGTGATTTGTTGACGCTTATATAACAGCTTTATTATAAAAAGATTATATAACATTTTTAATTCATAAATTATATATTTTTTACAATTTCTTTAACTATTTGGATCAACAAATTACTGCAATATGCCATCTTATAATAAATTATTTTTTTGGTCCAAGAAACTACCTATACATTTATTTTTTATATTTTTAGTATTATTAACTAGTTTAATGGTATAAGTTTACTTATTTCATCAGTTTTCATGTACTTTATCTATAATTTATCATTTATTTAAAATATATATTATGCAGCTATCCCGCTAATATTTTTAATATTATTAAAAAACCCTTTTATATGCTCATGAGTTAAAATTTCAGTTGTTTTTTTCATAACCTAATTATTTGAATTTGAGTATATCCATAAGATAGGCTGTTGATTTTTAAAAACTATAGTGTTTGGGACTTTAAAAGTGTATTGATTAGATGAATGCTCATGTTTCCAAATCAAACCATAAATATCAAATGCAATAGAGTTATTGATTTTACTTTAACTTAACTCCTAATCTTTTGACATCTTTATTAATTTTTTATTTAAATGTATTTAGAAAGATAGATAATAAATAATTACACTAATATTTATTAGTGGTGTGATGATTGTGGTGGTAAATTTAATTATAAATGCAAAAGATAGATTTTTCTGCAAATTTAATATTTCAATGCTAAATAATCATTTGAATCCTACCATTAATAATTTTTATTATTTCTATTAAAATTATAGAATTTAAAATAATTTCACGATCATTCAATGTAAAAAAAATATATTAAATAAATTTATTAATGTGACAGGATTTATTTAATATTGCTTCTCTAAAGTTCAAAAGTGTATGCTTGTTTTCTAAATTTATCTATTAAAGTAATTTAAATAAATATTATAAAATGAATTTAGTTAGTAAAATTTGTGTTTTAAAAACTTATATTGTTAAATATTTTTGTTTTTTTTATTGAGTTATGGTTAATCTATTTCCGATCATTAAAATTCAAAGAGTTTACTAAAAATTCAAAAAATAAATTATCAATTAACATTTAAAAAAATAAAAATTGAAATTTTAACTATTTTATATCAAAAAAGATATAATAAATATTCATTTATTCTCATATTTTTTGAAAGGAAAAGAAACATAAAAGTAGAAAACTAAAATTAGACAAGTTAATAAAAAGGAATGAATAGCAGTTCAAGTAGTGGAAGTATTAATGATAGTTAGCAAGTGTTGCATATTCGTTCAGATGTATTCGAGCATGCTGTATTTCCAACACCTGCTAAATTAACTCTGATCAATTTAGTACATTTATTTGGAAGTTTGAACTAAGTGGCGAATAAAGAAAAAAAAATAACTCTTGAATAATTTAAGGAGCACATATAAAAACATACTAGCAACATTAATGAAAAGGATGCAGAAATTTATTTTTTAACTTATAAAATGGTAACTGAAGATGATGTTAGTTTTGTAATTTAAGCAGCGAAAAAATAATCAACTAGTTCAACAGTTTAGCAATAATAGAATTAAATGCCTATATTATATGCTGATGTGAGAGGTTTGGCTGTATTCTTCTTCTTATAGCTTTTTAGTATTTCTGCAAGAAATTAATTTTCTATGGATTTTAGAAAGAGCGAATTTAATACTCACTTTAATGAAGGTTTTAGGGGAAATTTATCTCATAATTTTTCTCCTCTAAATTCACCTCGTTCAAAGACAACAAGGACAACTCCTTAATTCTCTTCTGAATAGCAATAAGCAATTTATTATATCAGATACAATATAAAGACAATACTAAAGTTGTTAAGTAATGATATAGACAATGAGGATTGCTCTCTCAAAGCTCAAGATTTTAATGTTTTACAACTTATTTTAAAGCCAGATATCAGCTAACTTAATAAAATTACATTACCATCTTAATTTTAGGCATCTAAGCTTGCCTAGCTCAACTTACCTCCTACCTTGTCATAATATTCAGGAAAATTCAATAAAGAAGATAAAGTACATATGAATACACTCTCCGAATATATTTCTTCATCTATTTCTATGAATGAACAAGCAAGTAAAATAATATAATATATATATATATATTAGAGATAATTTTTAATTTCTGACTAGTAATCATATTAAAATGTCATAAAAATATTTAATTCAAATATATCAGTGAAATTAAAAATGAAAGATAATCAATTCATATAGATAAATTATTTTAGAACAATCATTCTCTTTAGAAAAATATTCTAAATTAACCCAATTTTTAAAATAAAAGTTGATGTAATATATATCCAAGGACTCACTAAAAGTGTCATGTGCAAAGATGAAAAATTCTGTGCAGGCCAAGATTTAAGAATATTAAATTGTGAAGATTCTTACATATATATAGATGCAGCAGTTTAAAGTCTTTCAGTTACAAATTGTACAAACACAACAATTTTTATTTCAGCAGTTAATAAAATATGCACAATTGACAAATCAGAAAATTTAACAATTACTGTGGCAAGTAACTTTCTGAGAATAGGCAATACCATAGACTCCACAGTTTATTATTATGGTAGCTATTATCCCGTTTTGTATGGTGACAATCGTTCTGTAACATTAGCTCCTAATAATGCTAACTATTTAGACCTGTTTGAAAGAATGAAATAAGCTAAAATCCCTCTTAACTATAAAAGTAGCCTTAATTTTGCTTCTCCAATTGTAATGAATTAAAACTAAGCCATGAGCTATACTGTCTTACCAACAAAAGAATTCTTCCCAATAAATTTACCTCCTTAATTCAAGCCCGTTAGCCATAGTTAAGTTTAAACATTCGAATAGATCCTTTCTCCATAGTTTGAAAAATATTTGATAGATTAAAAAAATAATCAATAAGAATCAGTTTCTACTAATATGATCATTCCTTTACTAGCTCCAAACGACTATCGTGACTAAGTCATTCAAAGATTTAAACTCTATACCGATTACTAAACCATGTTAAAAAATTCTGGACTCTCAGATTCTCAGTCTAAAATGCTCTAAAGTGCCATATAAGGTTATTTCAGAGAATGGATGGTTTAAACTGGCTAAATCAAACCTATTTCTGATCTTGTAAAAATGATTAATCAAGATTGATCAAATAAAAAAAGTTTGTTAATATCTTTAAAAGTTATCCTAATTCGTATTATGTTAATTTATGTGAGTAATTTCTCTAATTAAAACTAAAATGAGAAAAAATTCTCTTGTATCTTAAATAAAAATCTTTTTAATTTTTGAAAAATAATCTAGGATTAATCAATATTTTTCTAAATTTGATTCTCGGTTTTATGCTTATTTTAAGCAAATTACCCAAACAGAAAATTATAACAAAATTTATTTATGAATTAATTTGATTTAAATCAACAAATAGATAGTTTAAATAAGCCTAAAATATATTGATAATTATATTAAAATAAAACAAAAAGTAAATGATCTTAACAAGTTAGATGATTTTATTTTTTGTTATGAACATTAATAATAAAATAGAATAAAAAATATTTATTTCTGTGTTTTTAATAAAATATCAGTAAATTCTTTTTTTTAAAAATTGTTGAAATTTTTATTTTTTCTAAGAAAATTATATCTCAATTTGGATTATCTTTTGAATTTAACCAAAAATGAAAGATCAAAAATGTTTTACAAGATGTAAAAATTTAATAAAATTAGCTTCCTTTAGGTATAATTTAAACTTTTAATACTAAAAAAAGAATCAATAAAATTGATTAGTGTAAAGCAACTATTACTATTATTATTTACTAATTTGTAATACGTCATATCCTTAAATAACATTTTACTAAAATAATTTTAAAGTAAATTCTTTGTGACTGAAGTAGCTAAATTTTTTTTCATAACAAAATGAAAAAAAAAATTATTTATTGATTTTAAGGTTATAGTTTAGTTTACATAAGGAAAAATCTAGGTGTGTGTTTATATTTTTGTATGAACAAGCTAAAATATTTAAATGTATTGATTTTTTTTAGAATCAAAAGTAATGCTTCTAAGAGTATCATTCATAGAATTTTGATATTCTAATTAACAATTTTTTTCATAATATTGAAAAAGTTTTTGATAAATATTTTTTTAGACTGAGTATCTTTAAATTATTTACAAAATATTTGTTTTAAGAATGTTCTAAAATAATCAAGAATATTATTGTTAAACTAATATCCTTATTAAATTATTTGAATATTTTTTATAAATATATATATTACATAATAATTATATAACTATTGAATAATTACATTATTTATTTCTAAAATTTTTGATTTATAATTAATAATTTTAAATAAAGATATTATTTTATAATAATAATTAGAATAAAATAAATATTTAAATAAGTTCGTTTCTTGAACAAGTAAAATATAGCTTTATGAATTTAATTTAACACAACTTAATACATAGCTATTAAAATATTTGTAATGAGTTAGTCAATCTAAATAACTCTTTAAAAATTCTCTTCAGAAATTGAGTTAAATAAATTTATTGATTTCTTAAAAAAATAGAACTCATAGCCTATTATCAATAATAATGTTTAAATTTATTAATTTAGAACTCATAATTTCTTACATTTTTATTATTTGAATAATGCTGATTCTATTTTATTTAATATTCTTGTTTTTAAATTTATTTCTTTTTTTATTTGTTCTATTAAATTCTTTTAAGTATGAATTTAAATTTGAAGTTTTTAGGGATATATACCCATCCTTTGATAAATTTATATATATATATAGAGTTAGTTTAAAATTTATATTTTATATTTTTAGAAAAAAGACAGATTTTATGAACTCAATAAACTTTTAATATGCTTCAACTATTATTAAATATTTTAAAAGTATTGACATTTAGTAGAAAATCGAATATAAATTTTATTTTACATAAAATTCTTTTCAGCTTACTAACAATTATTTGTGTTTATTTTACTTGTTTGTCTTAGAAATTTTAAATTTAATATGGGTTTTTATGTATGTCATAAAGACAAATTGAGAATATATGAGTTGAATATTTTTATTGTTTTACTTTTAACTAAAAACAGAAATAATGAATTAATTAGAGAAGTAGAAGGTACTACTACTATTAAGAATGAAGTTGTAATATAGATCTATAAGGGGAAAGATTTTGTATTTTGAATTTATTTCCGTAGAAAAAAATCTAATGAAAATAAATAAATAAAAAAGCATTCAGTCGATGAAGTACTCTATTAAATTATTAATTAATTATATGATGATTTTTACAAATTACTTTAAATAGAAATATTTATCAAAAAAAAATTTGATAAAAATACACACACAAATAGAACTAATAAAAAGCAAACAGAAATGTCAACTTCAACAGAAAGAAAATAAAACTATTTATATGATGAAATTATAGGTCAAGGATTCGATGCAGAAGTGTTTATGAACTATATGGCAGAAGCAAAAGAAGGTGATTTCCTACATTTATTTTTTAGCATTAAATAAATAGTCATTTGGAAATTATTTTCTAAATGAAATAGAAGTACAAAAATAAATAAAGATTTAATGCTAATTTCTTTATTGAAATATTTAACACTTTTAAATTATGATTATATTAGATGGTACAAATATTGAGAGATGGACAATGGCCGAATTAGTCAATGTAAGATTTTTTACATTTCATAGATTTTATTTATGCCTTAATAAATTAAATTTATTGATTTAAAATTATTTTTAAAGATAGTAAGTGAATTCAAGGATAAGTATTCTAACTCATAGCTTTAGCAAGAAAATAACAATGCAAATGATTATAATAGTTAAGTTCATTAGCCATAATAGAATTATGATACCAATAATCCTTACGGATATGATAATTAATACAGCGCTGCTGCATCTACTATAAATCATGAGAAGCCTTAAGTACATGAGGAACCACAATTTGAGAAAAAACAAAGTGATAATAAATAAACTGATTTGAAATTTGGAGGATTTTAATAAGATTTTAATTAGTAAAGTCTTAATTAATAAAATATTTAATAATAGAGTTCAGTAAACATGTAGACATCTTAAAATTATAGTTTTCAGCAAAGTTAGGTTTAAGCAAAATAAAATTAATAAGAAGCAGCAATCAAGCCTAATACCGGATCCTAAAATATTAAGAATAATGAAATTAATTAATAACCTTAATAGCCTTTAAATGATATGAACGCGAGCAAAAATAAACCTTAATTTTCTGAAACAATACAATTTGACCCTGGTTTGAGCAGCTTGATTAAAGCCTCTGATCCATTTTAAAATTTTAATAGCTCATAAAAAAGCAATATGCCAACCCAAAATTTTGAAAACAGTCATATCTGGAGTAATCCCTTAGGAAACAATATCCAAAGTAGCAATAATAATTGGACTGCAACATCTTAGTCAGATCCATTTGCAATGATTAGTACAGGGAAAACTTAAGATCCTTTTGCTATGGTTAATTAAGGAAATAATTAAGATCCTTTTGCTATGTTCCAATCAACAACTAATACAGTAAGTTCATAAAACTAATCTGATAAAAATGATCCATTCAGTAGTTTTTATTAACCTCAAACAGCATAAAAATAGTAATAATAGCCATAAAAAATACCTTCATAACCCCCAGCACCTGTTCACTAAAATCCTTAAACACAAAAAACAAATGATATTGATATAGAAGATTTTTTATTTGGTGGAATAGGTAGTAATAATAAAGCACAAAAACCAAATCCACAAATAAATGTTTAAACAGCTGTAGCTGCTCCAGTAGTTGCAGCAGTAGGAGTCAAAGCTATAAATAATAATATTAGTAATAATAATAGCAATATTCAATAGGTTTAGGATTAGTCTAAAAATAAGTAAGCTGCTTAATAAGTTAGTTCTGCTGCATAGAAATAACCTTAAAAATAAACAAATTAAAATCAAGATTTAACTTCTCAAATAAAAGAACCTGTACCAAACAGCAATAAGAATAGTGAAGAAAAATACAAAACAGAAAAAGCATGTAAAAAGAGCGTTTAAACAGTTGTTGGTGTAAAGCCTGAAGTCGTAGTTTCGATAGTAGAGCATGAAATAGTTCAAGGATCTTTGTTCAGTATTGGAGGAAGTAATTTAGCTATCTATCATGTTAAGACAATGCCTTTTAACTGGACAGTTAAAAGAAAATAAAATGATTTCATTTGGCTTAGAAATATTCTAATAAAAATGTATCCAGGTATACCTATTCCTCCACTTCCTGGAAAGACAATGAAGTCCCTCGATGATAAGCTTGTCTAAAGGAGAAAAGGATATTTTGAAAGTTTCCTATATGAGATTTTATCTTAGCCTGATCTTAAGTCTTCTAAATTTATAACAGATTTCCTTTCCATAGGCGATGATAAAATATTTAAACAGAGAATAAAAGAAACAGAAAAATGCAATCGTCCTAAAAATTTAAACGAAATAGAAACAACTTCAGGAAAAGTATAAAAAAATTTTTTTAAATATATTTTTAAAAAATCATTTTTTTTTTGGAAATATTTTAGATCTATTTAAACAAAAATCCTGAGTGCAACAATCATTCTTAAATAATATCAGAATACTTTACTGAAAATGATTAGTGCTATGAAAAGTTGAAAAAACTCTCCAAATAGTTAATGGATGCTTATGGTCATGTAGGAGGTATTCTACATTAAATGGGTGATACTTTTGCTCAGCTTCACACAAATGTTGTAACATACGATTAAAAAGCTATGCAATCTTCTTAGGTAATTTATTTAGCATTTTTATTTTTTTGTTTAAAATTTATTAACTAACTTCATCTAAAATAAAGATTAAGGAATTAGAAGAAACATACAAAATAATGAATAATATGTGTGTAATGCAAGCGAATTCCTTTTCAGATCAAATTAAAATTTTCTAAAATCACTTTTATAATTTCTTCAAATTCCACAAAGACAATCTCACAGGATTAAAAGAAGTTGTAAAGACAAGAAATGAGTTGAACTAAATCCTTGCTAAAAAAGGTAGATTTATTATAGAGATTGATGAGCTTTTTGTTTACATATATTATCAAATATAAAATAGATTCAAATGAAAGTAGTTTTTCAAATATCTTTAGATCATCAAAGGAGGCAGTTTACCATCCCTCAAAAGTGAACAAAAATTTTAAACAAATATTTAAACTCAAAAAATAATATATTATCAAAAAAGATATTGAAAGAATTGGATGAGTAAGTAGGCTACTATAATGAGATGATGCTGCTTGGAACTCGAAAAATATTACATAATCGTGCTAATACTTATTCAAAGCATTTTATGACGTACTGCAATTTACAAAAATCTATTGTTGCAGAAGTATTTTTTTATTTATATTTCTTCTTTTTATTTAAATTTTTATCGTTAAATTTTATTTAGATATTAATAAACAAATATTTTACTATTTTTATTTTCAATTCATGCTTATTTTTAATATTTTGTTATGATGTTTTTATAATAATCTATAACATAAATTTAACTTAGATGGGCACTGTTTGGCAGGATATTTCAGATCATTTTAATAATGTTTTGAAAAATGAAATTGGAAAGAAGAAAATAGAAATAATGAAAAAAGTAAATTGAAATTATTAAGTGGCAGTTAATAATCTCAATTTTTATTTATTATAATATATCCAAAAGAAAAATTATTAAAATAATATTTTATATATTCTTGAGTATATATATACATTCTTCATTTTACATATTTCTTTGTTGTAAAATTATATCTATTTATTTTATTATTTGATTAATCCTTTTAAATCCAAGACATATTTGTTTCAGTAGAGAGTTTTAAATACCATTTTAGAATGGTCTTCACTTAAAAAACTGTTTCATATACTTGATATTTCTATCGCGCTGGTTCTGGATTAAAAAACTATTCAGCAAAACTCTACTACTTTTAAAATAGTCTGATAGCATTTTCTTTTTTACTATTGTTAAAAGATTAATTAATATCTTTTCTTTTAATTAATAACTATATTTTTTTTTTACGCTAATTTTCATAAATTAAGAAATATTAATAATATTGTTAGTTATTTTCAATAAAAAATTTAACGAACTTAATTTATAAAACCTCTCAACCTAAACAAGAACCACAAAATTTAATTAAAATTTATTTACTTTTGAAAAATTTATTAAACTTCATACATAATAGAATTAATATTAAATTGATTTTTAAAAAAATTATTTTAATTAATTTTTTTTTAATAAATAAAAAAATATAAATTTTATTTTAAATTCTCCTTGGTAATTGGGATATTTATTTTTAATATTTTATTTCAAATAATGTTGAGAATTATAATAAAGAATTAAGATTTTATAAAGATACAAAATTGTTGGATATTTTTGAAGGCAAAATAGTAAAAACTGAGAAAAATCAGCTTATCGCTGTATAATGCGAGCTTTGATTGATTTTTTGGGTAATATTTATTGATAGAAATTTTTTTTAGCTTTCTTTTTTATAGTTTGCAAGAAATTTGTAATTTTAATTTTTTCATGAATCAATAATAATATAAATTTTATACTTTTTATTTATATTTCGATTATTTGTTTGTTTGTTAAATAAGTTGAGATTGAAAGTCTCAACTTGATATATGATTTATATAATTTTAAGAACAAGACATAAATATAAGAATGAAGTATCTCGAGAATGTTGCAATATGTTAGATTTGTTAGTTTAAATAAAAAATTAACAAGTATGAAACAAAAAAACATATTTTATATATTTTCGAAATAATATTATGTTCACATTGTTTAAATATTTACTTTTTACTAATTGTTCGGTATAGTACTTATTTATAAAAGTTATCAAAATCACTTTTTGGTAGTTTTTTTAGCATCCTTAACAGCGGGAGCAGGGGTAGTAGTCTTAGCAGCTTGGGTCTTAGGGGCAACCTTGGTAGCAGCAGGGGTGGCCTTGGTAGCAGCAGGGGTGGTCTTAGCAGCCTTAGGATCAACCTTCTTAGGGGCTTCAACCTTCTTGGGAGCTTCAACAACGGGAGCGCTGGCAGCGTGAGCCTTAGCAGCTCTTTGCTTCTTCCATTCACTTAAGAACTTTTCGTATTCTTCCTTAGCAGCGTTAGTCTTAACGTATCTTTGGGTCTTTTCAGCCTATTATTAAGAATATTAAGTTAATTTAAATTAACTAGATAGATGTTTGTAAGTTTTACCTTGTAAACCTTCTTTCTGAGGATTCTTTCAGGGGTAATAAGTCTTTGGATCTTGGGGCATTTTGTTCTATCCTTACCCTTGGCAGTCTTGAAGGTTCTTCTGATGACGGACTTCTTGATGAGAATGGGATCATCTTCCTTCTTCAAGCCGAACAACTTCTTGATGTTGTTAGCTCTCTTGGGACCAAGCTTTCTGGGTAAAGTAACAGTGGTAAGACCTAAATTAGATAAAATAAGTTAATTTTAATTTTTTTATAGAGAGAAAGAAATTTATAAAAATCAATGAATTAATTGTCTTGGATATTAAATTTAATTGTGAGTATGTGACTGAATGAGTCTCTTTAATGATAATTTTTGAGTAAGTTAGCATCTTACTGTGCAATTTAATCAAATCATAGTATAGATCACTAAATTATTTTTAAGTTTTAGTTACTTATCCAGTATAATTAATAGCAAGCTATACATATTTAAGCTAATTCATTTAATCTTTTGTATATTTTAGTGCAAACATTAATTAATTTACATTAAATATCTAAATTTACTTAAAATAAGCATTTAGAATATTATTGTAATTATGTTGATTGTTTGATTTAAGATACCTCCAGCTGTCTATTTATCTAGCTGTAAATAGAATAAATGCATTTATTTATTAATTAGCTCTTATAAAACAGAAGTATTTGAAACAGAAAATTAATTAATTTATTGATCATATTGATTGGTTAATTATACAAATGAATGATTTCTAAACTTTGAGGGAAACTAAATACTTTTGCTATCTTTAATTTTGAGAGCTATTAATTGGTTAATAGATTGATTTATTTATTTAGATTATTGCTTTCACTCTAAGCTAATTTTGTCCTTAGTTTTGATACTAATTAATATTTGAAACCTATAGTGGATAGATAGTTAGATAGATATCTTACTATTCATTTTCAAGCAAAGAATTGACAAAAAAAATAGATATTTGAACTTTTGACTTATTTTGAGTTAATAATAATATATTATCTATTCGTTTTTACTTTAAAAAGTATTATCCTACCTACCTATCTACTATTTCTCTAATATTTCAATTAAAATCATAGTTTTCTTCAAAAAGAACTAAATCTACTAAAGAAACTGAGAAAATGCTTAAATTGACTATCATAGAAAAGACATTCACAATTACATCAATCAATTAAATAAATATATCCAAGAGCAATAAAACATCTATATTTTATAATTTTATTTACCGTCGATTTCAGCAACACCCTTCTTGACGATTTGAAGAGCAAGAACTCTCATATCGGGACCAACGATGCAACCTCTGACAGACTTTCTCTTTCTGAAACCAGATCTTCTGCTGGTGAAGCAAGAGTGACCTTCACTGAGAAGGAGTCTAACTCTACCTCTGACCATGACACCTTGCTTCATGGGGAAACCGTCCTTATCGTTACCACCAGCAATCTTGAAGACGTATCCCTTGAATTCGTCACCCAAGGTATCACCTTCGACTTCTTGACCCATCTTCTTGTCCATGAAGATGTTGCTATATATAAAAGAAAAATTGTTAGTTATTCTTAAAATATAATTAGAGTGTTTCAGAATATAATTTATATCCGAATGAAATCAAAATAGCTTCATCATCATCATTATATTTCAATATCTTTGTTGGTAGGAAAATGATAGAATTTAGCGTTATTCAAAATCTCAGCTTCCTATTTGGCATCAAAATTCAAATACTGCTCAAAATTAATATTCTTCCCTCTAAAAATTGTTAGCTAAAATTATGCTGAGAAAACCTATTAAAAATAAATTCTACTGATACAGACTTTCCTCAAAATCATTTTTTACCACTTTAATTCTTTTAGAATTCTAAATATTCGCTAAAACCATTTTCCTTTTTTTAGTGTGTTTCTTGCAAAAAATATTGCTGAAGGAATGTGAGATAAATGATGATGATGAAAACAAACAATTGATTAATTATGATAATATCTTTACCATTTCTTGTCGTCGTCGATTTCGATGCACTTTTGAGCACCAGTGAGAGGATAACTAATGTTGAACTATTTTTTAATAAAATAGAATATGTTAAAACAGATAGGATTTTGGATTATAATATATTTTTGTTATTCTATTATTAGAATTATATTATAAATTCTGCTTCAAAACAAAGAAAAAAAATTACTTTCATTTCTGCTTTATATGTATATCTTGACTTTCTATTTTTAATTTCTTTATTAATTTTCTTTAATCTTTTCTCTGTTTTTATCCTTCCTTTAGTATTGACCTAGTTTTAATTTTCTCCCAATTCATGATTAATTAGATCTCTCCCCACAATATTGAATTAAAAATATATCTTTTTATCTTTTCTTGTTTTTATTCTTCTTTTTCAAAATTAGTCCTTTTCATTCATTTTTTGTTATCCACTTTATTCTTCTCTCATTCATTTTATTATTTCTTCATTTATTCATATCAATCATTTCATTTTCTATTTATTTATCTCATTCACAGCTTCATATATTTTGATTGATTAATTGATTGATTGTATATATATTAAACATATTTATATGCAAAGGCATGCAATAAGTCAGTCACTTGAGTTGATTATTTTTTGAGCTACTTGCTTGCTTATATTAATGCAAGCTTTGCAACCTATCTTTTTATTTTTTATTTATCTTTATTCCAATAATTTGTTTAAATAAATTATTTTGTAAATACTTGTTTGGAAAAGCAAAAACAGATGTACATTATTAAATAAAAACAAAGCAATAAATAAATAATTAAGTAAAATAAATTTTAAAATTATTTTTTCACTTTTAAAATAATTTTTATTTTTTGAAATTACGAATAGTTAAAATAAGGTCTAGTCTTATTAATTAAATTTATTTTATTAATATTATAGTTTCATTCAATTCTTTAAAATTTCTTTTATTATTTCAAATATAAATTAAAAATTATAAATATTTCTCATACAAACATTTTTTTATTTTAATTTTAAATTTTTCATTATTATTATTAAATATCTTAATAAATTAATAGATAATATAAAAGTGTTAGATTTAGTTTGTTAAATTAATAAAATAATCTTTAAATGCCTAGATTTCAATTTCAAAAAAATTAATACTGAAAAATTAAAAAATTTAATGTTTTACAAATTTTATAAGCAAATTTTTGCTTTTTAATATATAAATAAAAGATTTAAAATATTTTATCATAGCCTTAATTAAATAACTATATTAAAAATAATATAAAAAGGTCAAGAATTAATACAAAAAAAAATATAAATTTACTAAAAAATCTTAAAAATAATTTCATTAGAATTATGCTGTTTTAGATTTATATTATGGGAATTATTAGAAATGAAATTTGTTTTATTATTCAGTAATTGATTATTACTAATTAATATTATTGAATAACTAACTTGGCTGTAATTATGGTTAAATGTTTTACTAATATTAAGTTTATTATTATACTATAAAAGGTTATTGCTAGATATTCTAAATTTACTAACCACTGTTTTATTAAACTTACATAGGTTATATTGGTTATGTTTATTAATTTTTAGTTGTTAAATTGTTCAAATTTTATTCTTAGATTTAATAGTTTTTAGGTAATTAAAGCTAAAGATATTTTTCATTTTATTTAATTTCTTTTCTTTAGCCATTAATATCTTAGTTAATATTTTGTATGGGGTATTGTTATATATTTTGTGCGGTTTATTAATGAGTTTGATTTTAGTTTGGTTGGTTAATGGATAGATTGTTCATTTCTTTTTAAATTTATATTAATTCATTCTTATCCATGCCTTATAATGTTTTTGCTCTGTTTGTATTAGGAATTTGATTAATTTATTACTATTATTATTATTGTTAATACTAATAATTTTAATTATTTAGCTAAATATTTTTTTTTTCATCAGCATTTATTAGTTATTTAGGGATGAATAAGCTTCTTCTATTATTTGAAAGATTTTGTTGTTGTTAATAATTTTCATTTTAATTTATTATATTATTATTTTCATACTGTTGAGCGTTGTTAATATTATTTGAATAATAATTTTATTAAAAGTAGATAGGTTAGCCTCCTTTTAAATCAATAGCTTTCTATTAAGGAAATTAATTATTATTATTTGAAGAATAATTTTATTAGTTTTACATTAAGAAATTTTCATTTGATTATCTTTAAGCCGAATCAAAATTTTACTATGGAAATTTGTCATTATTATTAGTAAAATAATTTTGTTATGTTTGCTGCTGCTAACAATTTACAATTGGATTTTTTTGATTTTAAAATTATTGTGGGATATGATTAAAATCTTAAGAATACTTTGGAGTTTAGCCAAATATATCATCACCTTAAAGTGTATTAAATCTTTTTTTTAATTTATTTTCATTTGGCTAAATACCTATAACATTCTAAGCAGATTATTAGTTTTAAATTAAGAAATTTTCATTTGATTATCTTTAAGCTGAATCAAAATTTTACTATGGAAATTTGTCATTATTATTTGTAAAATTGTTTTGTTATGCTTGCTGCTAAAAATTTGCAATTGAATTATATTAATTTGAAATTTATTGTGGGATCAGATTACAATCTTATAAATAATTTTGTTAGCCTTTCTAATAATGAGAAGAAATAGAATTTCTTTATAAGTCTTCTTATTTTGGAATACAATTATTATTTGGCTAAGGATTTAACTATACTTGCTATTAGTTATGATTATTATGTGCATATCCTTAGATGTTCATATTCTGCTATTGGGGTATTTTTTTTGTGTTAGGCAATTAAAGATTTTTATTAAATTATTCCATGTTATAATTTGTATTGGCTCTATTAGGTGGATTTTCATATGAACTATTATCATCCTCTGGTGGTTAAGGAGTGACGCCAAATACAGCTTATTAATTTTATTCAAATCTATTTTTTTATAAAATATTTTCTTTTTACAATATATCTATAACTTTCTGAACAGATGGAATAAGATCTTCTAAGGTAATTCTATCACATTCTTAATATGCCATCATTTTGTAAATTAGATCTTTAATTTCTTAGATAACAACAGGACTATCATCAAAATTGATTACAGATTATATGGGCATTTTTTAAAGCTATTTGATAAATTTCAATAATTGCATATAACTAGAAATCTTATTTGGATATTTTTTGTAAATCATTTTATAAAGAACAACTCCTAAGCTATAAATATCAGCTTTATAACTGTAGCTAATTTCTTAAAATACCTAAGGAGAAGAATAGACAGGAGTACCTTTATTTAGTGTATGTTCATTTTGTATAGTATTATCACGGGTGACCTTAGCTAACCCAAAATCTGCTATCTTAGGGATTCCATTCTTCATAAGAATATTTTCATGTTTAATATCTCGATGGATTACATTATTTGCCTTTAATAATTTATATCCTTCAAGTATTTTCTTAAATAATTACATAATGTCTAAAATACTTAAATTATTTTTTTTGCAATAATCATCAAGCGTACCTTGCTCACAATATTCGCTAACGATATATACTTAACTAGTATTTTTAAAAGCAAGATATGCTTCTACTATGTTTTCTCCTTCAATTTAAGTAATTATTTAAATTTCTCTAGTAATATCTATGAGATCTTTTTGATTATTATCCAGAATTTTGGTAGCAGATATTTTTGGGGAACTTGATTCATTTTCGTAATAATCAGATAAATAAACTTTACCATAAGCACCTGCACCTATCAATTTTTTTAGATATATCTTGATTCTTTGTTATCCAACTTAAATAATTTGGTTTTCGTCTTCTCCAGATATCATTCTAACTTGTTTTTTTCTTCAATTTTTTGTTTTAATGTATGTTTGTTTTTATTATATATTATTGATTAATCGCATTTTAAATTCACCCCTCTATAAAAAACAGCTTAAATATTCTAATAAGATAGAGATTGATAATAGATATTTAACTTATATTTTCCATAAAATAATAAATTAATTGAAATAAATACTATTCTCCCCTAAATTTAAAAGATTATTCTAAATTATAAAAAAGATCAATCAATATTATATTTTTTAAATCTTTTCAATTAATATCTAATGAAAACAATAAAAGCATTTTATGAATTATGATTAAGTGTTTTTAATTATACTATATTTCAAAAGTAATACTTCAAAAAAAAATAATAATAATTTATTTATAAACCATCTTAAGCAAAATGTTCATTTTAAATTGTGTTAACAAATAAAATTTGAATAACAATTTTTAAGTAGAAAATTGTTGTGAGCATTTAGATTCTTCTTTTTAAAATAAAAAAAATAATTTTCTGTTTGCTTCTTAACTTAACTAAATTAAAATGAAAGAAATATAAAAAATACTGCACTAATGAGAAAATATGCAATTCTAAGGAAATGAAAAACTAAATAAAACTTCTAACTATTAATATCAAAGAAATAATTAATTTTTTTCAGGAAGTAGGGTGAAAACTTAAAAAAAGAAGGAAATCTTTTAATTATCTATTTTTATTAAGATAATCAAACTTTGTAAGATATAATTTAATTAAATTATTTATATTTATCTATCTTTTAGAAGGATTAATCCATGTACTTGAAGATGAATCTATTTGTAAATAATATGTAAATATAAAAAAATTATTAAAATTATTATCAAAAAAAAATTAAAGTAATTAATTAATTTATTATTTGATTTTTAAAATAAAAAAATAATTTAATTATTTTATTTTATAAAAAATAAATAACTCTTTATTTTTGAATTTTCTTTAAAAAATTATGAAAGGAATAAAAATAAAATTCTATCTAAATTTTAAAGAAAAAGCACATTTAATTTTTTATAAAATAAATTATTAATTTACTTTTTGATAGATTAATTGATATAGAGAAAAATAAATAATCATTTTATAGTTTCTAAAAGTATTATTTAATCATAATAAATTAGGCAATTGCTTATAATAAGTAAATAGATAAATAATTAAGATAAGATTCTGTAGCCAATAAATTTGCATATCTAATTAATTAATTAATTAATTGATTGATTTATTTTTACTGTTAAATTTTATTTCTTAAAAAGCAATTTTTAATATATTCCAATCCTGTTTGTTTGAATATTAATAATTAATTTCTAAATAATCAATTAAATTAAAGAAGAAATGAAAATGAATAAATTCAAGTTTTTAATTCCACACTTTAAAACAAATATCCAATCAAAACTTATAGATGGCGAAGGAAAATATTATCCTTAATCTATTTTAGGAGTCAAGGCGCAAGAATTAAAACTCTTAGTATTGCATAATGAGTTATTTTACAAAGATAAACATTATGCTATTGACCCTATAATAAGTAAGCATGGATTGAATCAGATCATATAATTTTTGAAATCGAAAACCGCTACAAAACATTTTAATTTCTACTTTATAACTTCATTTTACATTTAAGTGAAGAGAAAGATGGATTAATTCGAATTATTAAATTATTAAAAATTATTCTTTCTTAAGAAATAATTTCATAAAAATATGAAAACAAAACACACTATTTAACGGCAATAATATTACAATCTTTTTCATAAGTGATCATTTTTCAAAATTAACTTACCTTTATTAATATATTTACTCTCTATCTTTGGAATCAACGAGCTGGAAAATCGAATCTTTAAATAAACTAACTTACTCTCTTTTTCTATGTATTATAAATCTTAAAAATATACTCTAACATAAAATAAACGAATAGAATATTAAAAAAAAAATCATTAATTTATATAAAGAAAACAATAATAAAAAGTAAAAATTACAAGTATTAAAAATCAAATACACATAATTTATCTATATGATAAAGAAAATAGAAATCTAGCATCTATAATATATAATAAAATACCTTATTTTGTTTACATACATTTTTAAAAACTCTTTATTTCAGTTAAAAAAAATAATATTTTTATAAAATTCGAATAAAAAAATTTTATTTAAAATGTAATATCTTTTAGTTTATTTTTTTTATCTTTAAAAAAATTGATTCATCTTTTGAAAAATTTAAGTGGAATACAATATAATAGCAAAAAAATATATCTTTCCTTTTTTCTGCCAATAATTAATGAGATTTATAGATTTACAAATTAAATAATTAATAATATTTATATTAACAAAAAAATATTAGTCGATCCCTTTATAATTTTAGAGATATAAAAAATAATAACTATAAAATATATCATAACTTAGTTTTGATAACAATTAAGTCATTAATAGATTAAGTAAATAACGTTAATATCTTTTACTTAAAAATGTTAGTAAATATATTATATTATATTTTATGAATATTTTTTTAATTGAATAATAGTAATTTATATTCAATCACATTTGTTTTGTCATTGCCTCTTTAAATTTGATTAGTATAAATTTATTAACATATTTTAAATATAAATGTTTTCTTATTTATTATTTAATTAATTTGCTTTAAATAATCCTTTAAGATATTGATTATTATTTTTTCTATTTAGAAATAAAATAACTTGATTTAACGTAAATTTTTTATTATCTTAAAAATAAATAGAAGACACAAATATTGCTTCTGAAATTTCATAAATATTTTATAATTTAAAGAGAATTTGATCAAAATATTAGCAATAAAATAATATACAATGAGGGTTTTTAAAATAAATGCTTTAAAAAAACTTCAAAATGAATTAATTACTTTTATGGATGATAGCCATTTAAAAATTTCAATATCTTATTTTTTCAATCTACCTCTATTAATCTATTACCAAAAAAAAAGAATTTCAGTTATTTTAAAATAATCATAAATATAAATTTATTATAATTTGAAATGATTGATTACTGATATATTAATTTCTTCAAATAAATAATTACCCCGTTTTATTTAATTTAGTTATATACTCATGCATTCACGCTTTTAACTTTCAAGTGTATTGTTTTTCTAACAAGTAAAGGTATCATTTAATTGATTTATTAAATAACAGATAAAAAATACTAAAACTCTACATGTTAATACCAAAATAATTGCTTGTAAAAGCTATATGAAAATTAATTATAATAATATAATATATAATTATATTTCTAAACTTTTTCAATAAACTATTAAATTTTAGAAAAATAGAAAATGTCATTCTTAAAAATGAATTCTTTTCAAGTCAAAGTGAACTCACTGCCTGAAATTTCAGCTACTATGTTTACATCTTGCAAAAATACTGGAGCTAACCGCTATTAGAATATTAAATGTAATAAAGTGATCCTTTACTAAAATTGATTGTTAATTACTTACAAAGAAACTAAAGTTGATTATATATTTTTATTAAAAACAGAAAATAAAATGGATAACAAAAATATTGCTAAGATAACTGCAGAAAAATCGCCTAATATGGCTAATATGGGTAAATATTTAATACAAAAATTTATTCTTATATAAAAAATTAACAAATTAAATAATATAAAATGTTAAATTTAAAATTTAGGTTTAATAATAGAGCAGGTTAAGTAAAATAACTAAAATCAAAGTAGACTGAGAGGATTCAGTACTCCTAAAATATTAAAGGAATCTAAAAGTCCTATAAATTAAGAAAATAAGCCAAGCTTTCTAATTAGAAATGCCAGTTAATTAAATCAATAAAGAAAATTAAATAAAAATAACACAGTTAATTTCGGAGAATTTATTGAATCATTCACTGAATTAGTAGAAATCCAAAATCAAAAAAACCCAGTAGATGTAAGTTAATCATATTCTACATCTGATACAGGCACAAGTGACTCAGCGCTAAAATCTATTAGCCTTCAAAATTCTCAAATTAAACAATAATCTAAACCACTTTCGTTAGCTAGGCTTAAATCATTCAAAGATATCAACGATGTAATAAAAATAATTTTTAATTTAATCAAATAATTTATATTTTATTATTTATAGGCTCATGATAGACACCTTGAATAAAAATAGTTAATCATTTCTGAATTAAAAAGTCATAATGATAACTTATAATGCGACTTAAAAAGAAAGAATGAACTTATTTCTTCTCAAAATAAGCTTATTTAGAGTTTATAAGAAAATATAGCTACTTTAAAAGAGACTTTAAATCAAAAAGAAAACAATGTAACTTCTGTTGTAAAGCAATTCTAAAGCATTAAAAATGAAATGATAGAGTAAAGAAGGGATTCACCAGAATATTAAACTCTTTTGGATGAAAATACATTTTTAAAAGTAAAATTAAAGAGTAAAAATATATTTTAATCTTTATATTTTAAATAAAACAGTAATAGTTGAATAAGACATAACAAAATTTAAGATCTGCTGAGTAATTACATTAGAAATATCTAAATGATCTTACAAATATCAATAATTGGAGTGCTATTAATACCAACTAAAATATTACACCTGAATTTTTAAAAGACTTCTTAATTATTAAGATTGATGACTAAAAAAAGTAAAAGGAATAATTTTCTGAACTTTAGCTTGCTAGCTAGCAGTTTAATCATAAATTATAAATTCTTTAAGAAGATTTGGTTGCATAGTAGCAAGAAAAAAGAATCTTAAAAGCTACAATCGAAATGTTGGAAACAAAGATAGAAATACTTAAACAAGATGATGGATATTCAAAAACGTTTAAACATCTTACAGGAATTTCAATGGAATGTATAGAAAAAGATATTATTGCAGTTAAAAAATAAATTTAAGAAAGATAGTCTTTGAATGAAAATTAACTTTCTGAAAGCGATAGGATTTCTCTTTTTTCCTTAGATTATTTGAATGTTTAAGTAGATAACTTAAAGAATATATATAATTAAAATCAAAACCACATTAAATCTATTGAACAAAAGTTAAAAGATTAGCTAACCAATGTTGAAAAATATAAATTTATACAAGAATTAGAAGCTATTCAATATTCAGCAAAGGATCTTTTAAAATGTAATAGATGTAATTAATACCTCCACAAAGCTATCACTCATTAACCTTGTGGTCATAGCTTCTGTCAAGATTGCCATGAAGCGAGAAATTTAAAAATAGAACTTTGTGATATGATACCGTAAGATTAAAAGTAAAGTAAAATTAATGCTTGTTCAATATGCTGCCAAGATAAAAAACAAGACAAAAAAGGTATTAGTTTTAGTGTTTACAAAAACTAATAGATTGAGTAAATTACTATGTTTTTTAATATTTTGGTGAAATACAAAGATATGATTAAGCTATTAGTTTCTAAATTTTGAGGCAATCTGAATACTTTGACTTAACCATTAAACAATATGTCTATTAACAAAACACCTAAAATACTAATTAAAAGTGCAAACTTCTTTTTCGATAATTAATAACCAACAAAAATATAAATTAAATATAATATAAATTATTTTATAAACATCTTCAAATTATTTTGTCAAATACTTATTTACTTATACCAGTAATTGTATAATTATATAAAATCTCAAATCAAATTTCATACAAAATTTCATTTATCAGTTTTGATATTTAAATTATTTTCTTCCTTTAAAAAAATAATAATTTATTGATATTTTAATATTTATTTAAAATTTGTTAATAAATAATAAAATAAATTATGGAATTAAAAAAAATCTAATGGATTAATATTTCAGATATTTAGATATTTGAGATCAAAGTTGTTATTTCAAAAATTAAATCTTCACTAAAAATTTAATAATTATTTGTTCTTACAAAAACTGATTTTAAGAAGATAAATTTTAAACAATTAATTCTTTTTGTAAATGGGTTAAATATTTATCAATCCATTTTAAAAAATGGTTTTTTATTAGAAAAATTAAAAAATTTATTTCTAAAAAAGTTGAATTTTGTAAAATTTTAAAAAACTTATTTTTAAAGATTAATTTAATTAAAATCATCATATTTTTATTATTCTTAAATTAATTCTAACACATTTATAAGACAAATATATTAATAGTATATTTTGCTGCACCCTTTTTAAGTTTAATGAAATAACCACTTAATTTTTAAAATATTTATAATAGATAATTTAGAAATTAGTTTTTAAAAATTTTTTAATTTGTTACAGTTTTATTTTTTATTTTTCAAATTTGACATATAAATACTCTTTTTATTATCTATTATATTTTTAGATTAGGTTTTCATTTTTTGATATAAGGATAACTCATGTCGTTGTATAAACCACAAGTACCTTTATTATTACTCTCCTTTCTAACTTTAAAATGGCCTTCTTCTCCCCAGTGAGGTCCCCAAGAATTTCTAATTAAGAAATACTCAGAAGTATAGCCAACAATGACTACAGCATGATTAGCATCGTTTCTATCGATGCTACAAGGGAAATCATAAATACCGGAGCCATACATTTGCAAGCTTTTTGCATCAATAGCTGCAGTGACAGGGGCGTATTTCAAGGCAGTTTCTAAAGATTCAGCATTACTTTAAACATCGTAATAAGTGGATATTTTTACTCTTTTGCTTGTGTCATTGTAGTTGACTCCACATCCAGTTCTTTGGCGTTAAATATAAGGATATTCTTCTTCATAAGTTATTCCAAGATAAGCAGCATAAGAATAAACCTTTTATGGAATACCTCCTTTACATCCTTTATTTCTATCATCACAATCAACCAACTCTTAAGTAGAAAGAAGCTTATTGCTACCTAAAACAGCTTGCATAGCACTAGTAGTTGCAAATGTCTTTTTTATAATAAATTTTTTAATAAAAAAAATTTTTTTAAATAAATTTTACATAACAAGAACCACAAGCACCTTATTCTAATGGTTGATGCATTTTATTTCTCCAATCGATTTCCATGGGTCTATCAGAATCTGATGATTGACTGAATAAATATTTAAAAGCATCTACATACAAATCAATAATTTTTTTCCATAAAGGAATAGTATTATTGCTAATCAAATTAGTAGGTTCCTTAACATTAGAATAAGTACTTAAATCTTAGTTAGAAGCAGGCATTGATAAATATTATTTAGGAATTTCTTCTTCATAGGATAAATCAGATAAGTGCAATTCTATTTTTATATTAAAACATTAAAGATTTATTTACCTTTTTAGGTTTTCCTTTATAATTAATAAAAGAAATTTATTTGCAATTATCACTTTACTAAATTTTGTAAAGTAAATTTTCTATCTATTAAATCTAGGAATACTAGTTAATTATGGAAGAGTAATTTATTTTATTCTTTACCTTGGAATTCCTCAGAGCTTAAATGAGCAAATTGATTGAGTTTCATAGTAAAAGAATAGTGACCATCTATGAATTTTTTGTTATGCTCGCTAATCTTTAAAAGATTTTCCTTAAAGTTAGTTAATCTATAAGTCTCAGAGTATTCAGAATCTCCTAATAGAGTTTGTTTAGTCTATTAATGTTTGCTCTTCCATTATTCATAATGTTCTTTCAATTCAGCATGAGAAAGTTCCGATTATAAGATAAAAACTTCTCTGAGCTAGTCTTTTTTAGGGATAGCTAAAAGAGCAACTCCCGCTAGAGTTACAGTAATTATACCAATAGAAAGTAATGTTAATTTATTCATATTTTAAATTCAATTATACTTATATAATTTTTGTTTTGACTTCTTTTAGATTAATAATTTATTTATGAAAATTTCAAAATCCCATCAAACACAAATAGTTTATCATTATATCAGAAAAAAACCAAAGAATATTTATTTGATTGATTAAAAAGAATATTGAACATCAAATAGAGTGAGAAACAATATTTTTCTATTAATTTGCAAAGAGATATTAATTAAAATAGAAGTCTTCAATACAAAAATTTAATTTAGTGTTCCTGACTTAATTTATCATTTATTACAACCTTAATTTAGCAGAAAAGTTAAACCTATATTTGCTTGCTTACCTTTTTTTTAGAATCTAGAAACATCATTGATTTAAGATACTTTTATACTCACCTTATATAAAAAATAAAAGTTGAAGTAATTGACAAAATTAATTAATTTGACACATATTGCCAACTAGCAACTCTTTATTTATTTTTGTAAAAGAATAGTATCTAACAATTCCACTCTACCAAATCTGGCAAATAAAATTATTTTTATATCTTACAAAAGCTAGAAGGTAATTAACTATAATGAACTTTATAATTATAAATATATTTTTTTTTATAAACTGTATAAATATCTACATAAGCAAAAAATAAAAAACCTGAATATATTATTATTTATTAAATAGGAAATATTATTTATTATCTTCTGTAAATATCTTATTTTAAAAAAACAAGTATTTTCGAACATTAAATATTAATGGTTATATAACAAATAATTTATTTTTCTAAAAATAAAATCAAACTTAAGAATTGTTTATTTTGAAAAGTCTTATTACATATCTTATGTATATTCAATAAGTTGAAATCAAAATTAAAATATAAATTTAATATAACAAAGTTAGATATATTTATTTATATATTGTTAGATCTAATTTGTGGTAACTAAAAAAATTTATTGCAAAATATGAGGTTATTATTTAATGCTATATGAAAATAAAGGTCTAGGAGACAAAAATTTTAGTTTTAAAATTATGTATGGTATATAATTTATTACTAAAATATATTATTTTATAAAAATATCTCATTTTTTAAGTTATTGATTTTTAAGTTTTAGATTTACTATTTTAAAAAAACTGTAGAGTATTTAATTTAATAAAATAAATCACGTTTTGTTTAAACATACTTAAACATTAAACCCTCATTTTTCTATAAAAAATAAAGATAAAAAATTGTATAGATGATTAAATGATTTTTAAAGCTCAAAATCTTATTAACTAAATATATATCCTTTATGTCCGAAAAAAAATCGATTTATGAATTAAAATAAGCACAGATATATTGTTTTTTATTTAAAATTGTATTTTTAAATTTCATTTAATTGTTATCACTTAATCTTTACATTTTTTATAGTAGAATTTTTAACATAATTAATGCAATTTATTAAATATATTAAAATTAAAGGTGTTTTTACAATATATAATTAATGAATGAAAGAATCATTTAATTCAAAGTACAATTGATTCTAAGTATGTTTCTATATGATTAGATGAAATTAAAATTATGGTATAAAATAAATTATAAACAATCAAATTTTTTAATGTGTATTTAATTTTTATGATTTTAAATTATTGACATAAATTGTTGTAGAATTTATTATATTTGTTATTAAATAAATTTTAATTAATTAAATTTATATTTTTCTAATTATTAGAAAGATAATTGATATTTTTCTTCTTTCATTTAGATCTAACTTTTATTGTTCACAAATTAATTAAGAAAATCTAGCTGTTTGAAAATTTTCATAATTAATTAAATTTAAGAAAAAAAAAGATATTTGGTTAAAGAAAATAATGAATGTGGATGGAAAAGTTTTTTAAAAAAAATAAATAAAATGAGATAAAATAAACATTGTAGATTAGAAAGATGTTTTAGAAATACTTTTGATAGTATAGTATAATCATCATACATCTCATTAAAATGCCTTTCAGCAAAAAGTTTTTTGGCGCAGCTTTATAAATTTCCATATTACTTCATTCTTTTCTATGAGACTAATAGCATTATGATAAAAGAAAAATTCAAATAGGTTAAATCTGAACGAACAATCTAACTAAAAGACTAAATTTTATTTTTAACTTGTAGATTAAATTCAAAATTAAAACATAATTATTAGAAAAATGCTTATTGCTAATAGGAACTATGCGTTATAAAATTTAACTCTCTTAAAATCATTATATGTTAATTAATATTATCACTATTACTCTATTAACATACTTATCATCAATAACAATTTCTTTTTCCAAACAGATTACAAAAATCTTAATAAAAACATACTTAACAATAAATAAAAATAAAAATAAGATTATAAATAAAATAACTATTAAAATATTGAATTACTTTTAAACGATAATCTAATATTAAATTATAACATCTAATGTATGTTCTATACAATTAATATTTACAATAAAAGAAATTTTATAAATAATTAATTAGTTATACTAATTTAAAAAAAAGTAAAAAAATAATAATATTAAACACAATAGTCTGCTGTTGAATACAAATTATTCTACTAGAAATGCCTCCTAAGAAGAAAGTAGATCCAGAAACTTTATAGCAACAATTTGAGTAATGGAAAGAGAGTACAGAGTACAAAAAATGGGAAGAAATGAGTGAAGCGCTCAAAAAATATCCCCCTATTACTGAGACTACGTTAGATATAAATGGTCCTTGGTAGGAATATTATGATGAACTGATTAAGTTTTTTTAAGTTATGAAGGCAAAAACAGGAAAAATAAAAGAGATTAAGCATGAACATATAAGATCGTTTTTCTTCGCCCATGAAGATAAGGAAAACGAAAAGATCATAATTGATGGAATTTAATGCGGTGTTACCAAAGAGCATGCTGATAGAGCTTGGACGTTACGTCATAAATTCTGTGATATTTTAAAGGCATTCTGTAATAATTATTTAAAGTGAATTTTGACAAAAACATTAAATTTGATTCTTTTAAATTTAGGCGACATTGAGGATTTAGATTTTGAGAATTTTTAGACAAACAAAAAGAATTTACAAAAGACGATTAACGAATTCTTTAAGTATTACAACCCACATGTAAAATCAGGTCATAAAGAAATTTATGATAACAAGATTGCTAAAGTGCTTGAGCCTTTAAATAACTTAATAGAAATAAATACAGTTTTAGTGTAATTTTTATTTATTAACTGATTGCTATTTGAATAGCTGCTATTTATTTTATGATAATTGATTTATTTATATTTATAATATAAAGAAACTTCAATAAGAAATATAAAACAGATTATGAAAGAGAGGTAAATAAATAAGCACTACATTTTATTTCAAATAAAAAATTATTTTATATTTTTCAATTAGATAAATTCATTTAGAGTCAAAGCTTTAACTGAAAAATACTGTTAAGCATATTCAGAGGTTTAGAGAGTTCTTGAAGAAGATAGTAAGGATTATAAGCTTTTTGCAACATGTGATTTAAGAAAAACCTTTTATAAGCTAAGTTATAAAAATTGGGAGAATAATCCTTGTGAAAAGCTCTACCTTCAAGTAAATTATTTTTTTTAATTTAAATAAAATCATTTTAAATATATCATATAAATTGATAGCCATTAAGAGAAAATCTCAAGGCCATGCAAAAACAGCTCATGGATTTGTTCGCTTATGGTATCAACTTCTGGAAAATTCCTCTTTGCCAAAATGAAGAACTAGTTAGAGAAATTGAAAATTTGGTTAAATCGGAATTGATTGCAGATAGATTGTTAGGTACTCCCTTGAGAAGAGAGCTATTTAACTTTGTCTATAAAGTTGTATTAATAATTAAAGAAGCCAATCCTTACCTGGAAAACAATTTACTTAAAAAAGATGAAAACACAGTAAATAGCTCAATACCTAAATTAGTAGTTTTTAAATTGATTTAACACATGAAAAACTGGAAACTCAAGAAGCAAGAAAATGAAAGATAGATAGAGGAAAGAAATTAGCGCCTTCAAATTTTAAACAAAATGAAAGAAGAACAAAAGAGTAATTCACTTGCCAGTAAATTAGGCAAAACCGTATCAGTTAATAACCTTGCCTCAGCTGATAATACCAAAGCTATTGCAATAAATATTTTGCCAAATATTAACAACAATAATAATAATTTAACACAAGAAGCAAAGGATGCATCTTTTTTTAACTCATCTAATAACTAAGTTACTTCACCAAACGCGAATAATATTTCTGTGAATTTATCATTTTTGGCTAGAGACAGATAAGATACCAAAGAATCAGACAAAGAAAAAATTTTAGAAGAACTGACTCCTAGAAAAGGTGATATTTCAATGCTTAATGCCAGTATTACAACAAGCGCTACTTATAACAATGCAATCTACCATACTTCTACCAAAACTAAAATGTTAAAGTCAGTGTCTCAACTACTACCTGTAAAAACTTCTATCAGATCTCCAACAAATAAATAAGAGGTTTTTAATTTTGCAGATCAATTAGAAGATAAGATAGAGGACCCAGCAATAGAAAGTGATCTGATAAAATACGGACGTTATTTTTACCTTGAAGGTTATGTATCCTAAGAGATTTTTGATTTATTTGAGGTTTGTGTAGATTAAATCTCTCGTATTAATCCTGCAGTTTAGTAAGATATCGAGGATTATATTATTTTGTAAGGATTTACTCCAAAGGTTAAAGACCGTCATGATCAATAAAGAGTGGAGGCTCGTTTAAAATTAGAGAAGCTTCAAGAATAGGAATTTTCAGATTAAAAAATTAATTCTACTAGACCTCCTGATTTATGGAATTTTCCTTAGGCAATAGAGACTCATAAATTCCGTTCTATAGTTAAGCCTAAAGATTGTTATGTAGATGGGAGATTTGAGGAATTTGATTAAAAGCTTGACTTGATTACTCAAAATTTGATAACTTTCAAACCTACAAGTTGGAGATAAATTGTATCTAGAGTTATTGATGTTTTTGCCAATAACTATTAAAAAGAAATAACATCTATAGATCCTTCAGAGATTTTATGAATGAAGCATAAATGAGTATCTAAAATCAATTAAATCCAAATATAACAAAAAATTATGAAGATAATTAAATATATATATATATAACTTAGTAAGTTATTAATTTTTCTTATTTATTGATTTGTTTATTGATAAGTTTAAATTTTTAACGATTCAAATAAGTAAATAAATAAATAGTTTAATAAGAAAATAAATATATAGTAGAAATATTAAATTTGATTTTTTTAATAATAAATCTTATTTGTAATAAATGATTAAGATAAAAAAAGAATAGAAATTGTAAAAAATCAGTATACAGAATAACATATCTGATCTGAATTGGAATCAATAATTGATTGAATTTCATTAAAATCCACTTTTAATCTCTTTGCTTCTATATCAAAAATTGTTATATAGTTTAAATAAAATTAAAGGAAAAATTTTTATTTATTTGTTTATTTATTTATTAATTTAATAGAGAAAGATAATTTAGTTATAAAATTCTTGAATTAATTAATATTCAATATAATTCAGTAGACATATCATAAAACAGATATATTACTTTCTAATAAAAACTATTAAAAAAGCAAAAAGGAAGTTCAAATTAAGCCCAAGTTAACTTATTAAATAAATGTAAGATATTTATAAAGTTTGGAATATATATAAGGTTGAAATGATCAGTATATTAACAGATTGAGCTTAATTTTTTAGTATTTTTAGGAAATTTACAATGTATGTTGAATATATCAAAGCAACATTATAGCTTTAAAGAAACAATTTGAAAGCTAGCTAAAATGAGTTCAAATATTTTTAATAAAATTTCTAAAATTTATGGAAGAAATATAATTTTACATTTATTCAAAATAATAGGTAAGTATTTTAAAAGCTAAGTTATGTAGAGTGTGAAAAAGGAGGTTTTCACACAGGCGAATTAGTCAATTATGCTTGCACTGAAAAAAAATGTAGGATAAACAAGAATTCAATAGGGTGTTCAGTTTGTATGGAATAAGAGCATTTGAATTGTCGCAAGTCGCCATTAAAATTTTTATATAAATAATTAAATGATTTAATTGAGTCTTAGAAGAAATCTTCAAATATTAATGGATCTTTAGGTATGGCTAATGGATTCAATGCAGAGCTAGCATCAGAATTAAGTAGCAGTTATGGCGAAAGCAGCTACTAAAGAATGCAATAGGAGCTTTTAAATTTAATAATTTCCAGTCGTTAACAAATCCTTGAGGATGTTTTGCAAAGTACTAATAAATTAATTGAAAAAACACGTAATATTTAAAATATTTGTGTCAGTATCTTTGATAACATTGAAGATCAAACAAGGTAAAAAATTAATACATAAAATCAAATGGAATCTTTGCTTTAGAAGATAATCTACTCAACAAAAACAATTGGCAATCTGCAATAAGTAGTTGAATAGTTATTTGATATTATCCCAGAGGATTGCATTAATTCTATCTCTTAAGGAGCTTATGTTCCAGCTTCTTCTGGCTCTTCAAATTCATCCTAGCAACCAGCACAAACATCATAAGGACCTGTAATAGGCGTGTCTTCTATAATAGCATAATAGTCAGTGTCTGTAGGATCAAATAGTAGCAACATAAGCACAAGTAAATAAGATAACAGTAATTCTATTGATTACTCAAGTAATGATTTATAGAATCTTTTAGATAACTTATCAAATCTTTTTAAATAAATATCTTCAATGATATCTTCAAAGAATGATGTTATTATTTAATCGTTGAATTAGTAGGAGAAATTCCTAAGCTAAATTTAAGATGATTAAGCCCTTATATAGAATTTAAGCGGAAAAAAGAAATTAGAACTCTCTTTTTCCCCTGTTGATAAGCATGGCTCAATTAGTATTATTGCTCCTAATAAAGTTAAAAGTAATACAGGATCATCTAGTAATTATAAGTTTGCTTTAACAACATAAGGTCTTCCGATGACAACAACTACAAAATTTGCTTTTAAGATGAAAAATATAAATTCTCAAAACTGGATTGCTATTGGAGTTGCTCTAAAAAATGTAAAATTTTTAATTTATATTCTTCTTAGTTTAAAAGAAATATACATATTTATGATAAATAGGTAATCAAAGGAAAGAATTATTCTTTTGGTCTAAGTTTAGGTCATGGTGCTTACATGATTAGTTCGAATTCAGGATCTTGGAGTCATACAGAATAAGCAAATAACAATGTGGTTAAATCATTTGATTTTGGTGGTAATAGCATAGTTGAATGCAAGTTTGATCCAGTTGAAGGATTTATACATTTTGCTTTAAAGGATAATCCTCTTAAAATATATAAGTTAGCCATATAAAAAAATCTGAAAGATGATGACACTTATCATCCATGTGTACTTTTCTATTATCCTAATGATGAAGTTGAATTAATATATCCCTATCAATGATTGATTGGTTTGAATAAAATATGCTATTGCAGAAAAAAATAATTTTTTGTATATAAAAATAATTTAAAAAAAATATATTTTTTATATTAGTAAATTTTTTTTAAATAAATAATATAAAAAATTAATATTAGAATAATTTTTTCAGATTTATTTTTATAATTGTTATTTTTTATTGAATAAGCTTTTTAGTTACTTAAAATTAGTCAAATTTTTTAAACAAATATTTTAGCTAAGCTATTTCCGATGATACTTCTTCAATAAAAAAAATAATTAATTGTGAAATTAAAAAATTATAAAATAAGTTTTTAGAAAAAATAAAATGGCTAATTAGAAAGCAAAAGTCATTATAAATCCAAATATTAATAACAGCTAAGCGAAAGGCTAAAGACATTACTTCGAATCATTGGATAATTTTGGTAAGTTGATAAAAGAATAAGATGTTAGTGATCTAGATTCGGAATATGATATTAAAGACTCGGTCCATTAACAGTTTAACTAAGATATTTTATATACTGAATTAGACCGTGATGATTAAGATTTTATGTCTCTTTGGAATTAATTCATGTTAAAGTATAACGAAAAGTCAAATGTTAAGAGATCTACTAGCATTAATAGCCTAAACATTCATAGCTTAAATGGAGAATTTTTAAAGCCTTCAAAATTTATATTTATTCTTGATGAGTTTATCAATGAAAATTTTGACGTACTTAAAAATACTTTGAGAAATTAATTTCTGAACCATATTTGCACATTAATCCAGTATTGCATAGTTACCCCAAATTAATTTTTGTAAATAGCTTTAAGATTGAAGTGAACTTATTTTAATTATAGTACCCTAAAACAAGTGAATTTATTCACTTTTTATAATGTTATTGAAAATAAGATATAATTAAATAATATCAAAAATTAGTAGAAATAATTAATTTAATATTGTTATTACTGTACTTATAAATTTATTATTATGTATTTAATCATTATTATTATTCATAGTGTTTTTTAAATTTCTAACCAATCAATTTAATTAACTCATCTTTACTTAAAGTAATAATTTTTTGACAAAAAATTTAAATTTTAAAAATTCAAAAATGGAAAATATTGAGTAAAAAAAGCTGAAATTAGATTGCTAAATTCACTAAAATTAAAACAAAAAATTTATTAGAGTAGACTAAGATGCCTCAGATACTCTTTATTGCTCTTATTGTCTACATGGTTCTAAAAATTGTTAATTCATGAGTATTAAAAAACTCATAGAGATTGAAAATAATAAGAATTAATTTTTAACAAATTGGCCTCCACTTTAGTAAGACGAATAGGATATAATATTAAATAAAATCAATCATATTTTTGAAGATGATTCTCAGGAAATAGATAAGGAAGAAGGAGAAATAAAAAAATAGTTTGAATAAGTTAAAATGAAAATAAATAATATTATCCATCAACTAGAAGAATTTATGTAATCAAAAATAGAAGATTTTGGTAGAGAGAAAATAGAGCTGAAGTAAAAATACATAGAAATGACTTAATTTTAAAATATTCTATCAATTATAAAAAATGATTAGCTCAGTATTAGTTAAAAAGATGAAGCTGTTTTATAGATAGTTAAAATATGCCATTAAAAGTCTGAGATCAATACTTAATTTCTTAGCACTAGATTAAAACAATTAGAAGAAAATAATAATAAGAATAGATTCTTAAGCTAAGTAGAAAGCTTTCATTTGCAAATCGAAGAAATTACAAAAAACTTCTAAAAAATGGTTAACTAAAACAATTAATTAATTGCATAAGAGGATCACAATTAAAATATTGATATTGATACTGATTAGAAAGTTAAACTTTTACAACATTTTATATCCAATAAATCAAACAATTTAAACCATCAATTTTTGCAAAACATAAACAAAAAGTTGTAAAATTTAAAAATTTTTTTTGAAGACCTTGATTTTAATGATATTTACTAAAATGGAAATGTTCTCCATTTTAGCTTTTTAGACTTGGATGATCAGAAAAAGGAATAAATGTAATAAATTTTTAATTTTATTTAAAATGATGAAGCTCAAAGAAATCAAAATGACAAAGTTGAAAAATTAATTTCTTTGATTGGAAATAAATCAAATTTTTGCACTGACACATTTTTGTAATAACTAAAAATGAATTTAAACAAATTTAGCTTTGTATTTTCAGAACTTGATATTGAAAAAGTTCATGATTAAAATCTCCATCCTATTGATTTTAATATTTTAAACTTATAATAAATGGTTGATTTATAGAAACTTGTTGATAAAATATCAGAAATTACATAAAAAAACAGTTTTGATTCTCTCTAATAAAATCAGCAAGTTATTGTATAAAATATTTAAAAATTTGCTTAATTTTAAGATAATATTTCTCAACTTTTCTTAAGCTACCCAATTCTTTAACTAACCAATTACACCACCTGCTAAATTGGCTTTAATTTAGTTAAATCAGAATATGATAGGTCACCTTTTTTAAAGATAGAAAATTAGAGGGCTCTTATACAATACGAAGAAGGAAATCACCATTAGGCTTATACTGATTTTGTTTTGTAAAAAGAGAAAAACTATATATTTAGAATTTTATATAAAGCAAAAAATAGCTTTATAGGTTTTGGTTTAACCTAAGAAGTATATAAAGATCAGAATTTATTCAATTAAAATCTGTCTTTTAGAAGCAAAGGAGGTAATTATGGCTTACATAAATCGGTTAAGGGTATAAACCTAACTGATATTAGCATTGGTGATAGATTTAACTTTTTTGAAGTAAGAATAAACTTATCAAAAAAATACTACCAAATCACGGATTATCCTAACTATCAAAATTTGAACACAGTAGCAGACTCTTTTAAAATTTAAGAAAACGAATCTTATAGATTTGTTGTTAACATTCATGGTTAGCCTAAAATAGGTGATTTTATAGAAATTGTAGAGATTCTTGATGTAGAAGAATTCCCAAACTGGTGATTAATTTTATTTTTTTATACATTTAAAACATTTTTAATGTATTTTTTTCTGAATTAAATTAAATTAGTATTATTTTTATTAAAGACTAACAAATAAATTTATGGGTTTTTTTATTTTTTTTATCATTTTTATTAATTAAAGAAATTAAATAATATTTATTTGAATTGAATATTTTATAAAATTTTATTTGTTATTTAATTACTTCTAAAAAGAATATTTTTTGTAAAAGTTTAATTTATTGACATCTAAACTAAGCTCGATTTTAAAAATTTATATACTCAAGTTTTAATACATAAACTCGACAAAAAAATTTTACTTTTTAGAAAATAAAATAAAAATTTTTGTTTTAAAAGTTATAATTTTTATTTAGTAATTTTTGTAAAATTTTTATTTTTTAATATCAAATTTTTTGAATGTTAATATTTTAAAATCAATTTAGATAAATGAATCTGTCTCAAAAATATAGTTTTTAAGGAGTATTTCTTAAAAATAATTTTCTTAATTATAGAAATATTAGATAAAATAAATATTTGAAAGATTGAGAATATTAATATTTTTAAGAAATAATTTATAGACAATATAAAGATTGATTATAAAGTTATTTATACTTTTTAATTTCAATCAAAAATAATTACTTTGTTTGTTTCTTGTACTACAGAATTTAATCCTATTTATATTAGTTAATTATTAAAATATAATAAAAAATAATAATAAAATTTTTATAACCTCTAAAACTAGACTGTAAATTGTCACAGTTTGAAGTCTACAAACGCATAGTTTTTATAATTTTCATTTCATTTAAATAAATTTCTGTAGGCTAAATTTGCTCTATAAGTGACAATTAAATATTTTAAACTAAATTTCCCATAAATTCTTTAGAGGGTTTCATATCATCATCCTTTATTAGATGAATTTCAGATAAACCAGTATCTTCTTAAGTGCTTTAATTCATTTATTCTTCCATTTGTTTAGATAATAAAACAAGCAATCTGTTAGACTAGTCAAAGCACATATCTTTTAGATCATAATTTTGAGGTACTTTGATAAAAACAACTTAAATTATTGTTTGTTTTCTTACTTTCTTTACTCTGAATAACTAAATCAAATTTTAATCTATTTATTTTTTTATAATTGTTTAAAATGAGTAAAACTAATAAATATATAAGTAGATACTTCTTATTTTTCCAGGCTATACTACTTTGTATTCTTATGTTACAACTTCTTAGAAACTGTGTAGTTGTTTAAATCTTGTTAAACTTGATAAAGGACAGAGTCTGATCTGGTAAATATAAAACAGAAACAAATTATTATTTCAATTGACGAAAATTAATTTACTATTTCAAGTGGCTTTTTAGTGTAATTTCCAATTTCATTTTGCATCTTTAAGAATATATTATTCCATTATTTTTCCAAATTTTTTGCAGCAATTATCAAGTTTGATTTTGGGATCTTTTAAAGTATGCTAGAGGAATGAGTTTCTTTAGGCATAGCTTCTCTAGTTTCAACCATTACATTAAAAGGTTAAATCATGTTACTAACATTGCTAATTTAATTGTTTATGCTATTTAAAACAAAATCTAAAATTTAGCTTTATAAAAGGCCTGAGTTTTCAAATTATTTTGTATTTGATGATTAAGATGAAGATGATGAACCAATAACAGATGAAATAGCAATATCAAATTTATTCTACATTTATGAATTATTTTAAGCTACACCAGATGTAAATTACGTACTTGACCTATTTAATGGAATTAATGAAAAATATAAAATATTTTCTTTGAAAATATTACTTTGGATTTCTAGAACCAGGTTTAGGTATTTTCAAAGATCCTTTGATTTCATCCTCATCTTTAATAGGTAAATCTACTTTATTTTCAGTAAATATTCTGAGATCTTTCAGCCTGAATCTCTCCTCATTAGAAAGAAAATGATGGAGTCTTTAAACATCCACTTAAAATTCCTTCAGTGCAAATTTATGATTCTAAATTTCTTAATCGTTATCACTTTCAAATGTTTTAATTACACCTAAAAGATTTGTTTTAAAAATTTTTTTCACATTTAATTTTTAAATATTTATTTTTAAAATTAGAAAAAAATTAATACATCTATTTAACCAAACTATTAGATTCCTTATACTAAGTTTTATTTCTGTTGCGGTGACAAGGACTTCATCACACAAATTAAATATTTACTTAACTACTAATGACAAGTTTCTTAACTCATTCAAATCAAGGCCTAGTGTTTAATATTTGTTTCCTCTAATTAAAAAAAATATGTTTGATTCAAAATTTTTACTACATTTTCAATATTAATTACTATCCAGCATAAGACTCTAATTATGATATTACAACCATCATTCTTTGAACAGTACTTTGCATACTTTCAGTAATTAGCTCTTAAATACTTTATATCTTCTTATTCAAAGTCTAAATTTTTATAAATAGTGCTTTAAACAACAGTAATTATTTATCTAAATTATTTATTACTTAATCCATTTTTTCTAAAATATTTGTATCAAAGACTTCCTTTTTCAGAAATTGGTCTATTGCTGGTGTATATTCGCCTGAAATAAGGAATCTTAAAAACTCTTCACTAACTGTTGGTAATTTTTCAATCACTCCTGACTCATTTGAAGAGCCTTAATTTTAAATAACAAGTTTGAACTAAGATTTAACAAATATATTTAAATAGTAAGAGCATTACAATTATTTTTAATGAGGTCTTCCATAATATACATTTTTGCATCATATGATCTAGAAACTTCAAGAATTAATTTGTTTAGAGACATAAATGAGTTGTTGAGAAAGTTTATCATATTATCTAAGTAGGACATAAGATAAGCTATATTCTAATAAAAAATAAACATTTTATAGTAAAAGTTTGACTTTCAAAAAGAAATTTACAGCAATATCTTCTTTATAGTAATGAATTATATTAGTATCAATATTTGCAAAGCATAAATAGTCTTTAGAAGGGTTTGAAGATGATTTTGCAGAAATAAAAATATGAAAAGACGATAAATCGTCAAGAAATAGAGTTGATAATGATCGAGGCTCAGACAAGTTCGAGTTAGATACAAGTTGTTAGAGATCAAATTTACAAACTGTAAAAAGACCATTAAAACTTATGTTAAGATTAGAAGCAATATCCGAAGTGACTAAGAATCTAATATCATTTTTATTGTTAAATTCACTCAAAAAATTTAATTTCATCACATTCTTTTTTTCGCTTGCTTCATGAGGAATGATAGGGATTATAAAACTATCTATCTGAGATCCCTTGTTAAACATATTAAGATTCTCTATTTTACATTACACTTACAAATCAACCCAATCAAGTGTGCTTATTTGGCACTTGTGCATTTTATCTATTGAAAATAAACGCTTCCCATTTTCTGTTTTAACAATATTCATTGAACCATCATCGCATGCATATATTAACAAGTAAGCTAATTTTAATACAATAAATTTCTTAAACGCTCAAATTATCATCAAAACAAAACTGGATTATAGGAATTTAAGTTGACTATGCCAGTTGAATAATAAATTTACAATCAGGACTAAAGCAAGTGCTTACAATTTAATTTATTTCTTCTATATGAAATACTTTCTATGATTTATAGCTTATTCTATGGAGCTGTTATAAAGAATTTGATGATGATTTATATATTTAATAATAATTATTTAAATGATAAAAATTTACTTCTAGTATATTTTCTGATGTTACTACTGCTAATAAATCCATCCTATTACTCCAATAGAGTTATTTAATATCTTATGGAAAAGGTTTTTCATGCCCAACTGTAAACTATTCAATTTCTTCTTCCATTTAATAAACTTTTGTTTACTCTCTAATTTCTGTATGTATAATATTGGTATTTATTAGTTAAAATTTAATTTTTTTGACAGATATTTGAATTTTTGTTTTTTAAATCTGAATTAATCGATTAGGTACACATACATAAATAATTAGATAGATAGATAAAACAACTATTTAATTATTTTAACAAAATAAATTAACTCAAATGTTATTTAAAATAAACTTTTGTAGTTTAAAAAATCATTTTTGAGTGATTTGATTATTTATAAATCTTTTATCAATAATAAATACAAATAAATAAATAAATAAATTTATTTTATAAATGCATAAAATGAAAATATAATTTAGAAAACGAAAAAATGAATGCAGTTTGCTTCATAAATACATAATAAAAAAACATATTTATCATACATGATAAACTAAATATTTAAAAAATATTTTTTAAATCTATTTCAATATGATAATGGAATATATTTGTTAACTTTTTCTATGAAAACAGGGATATTTGTTCCTAAAACTTCATCAATAATTTTTCCTTCCTAATAGTTATTTATTGTAAATAGTTACAAAATTTAATCTAAAACAAAAATATATAGTAACTTACGGATATAAATAAGAATTTAGGCTAGCAAGTTGCGTCTATTTTTATATTCAAATAAAATTATATTAAAAATATATTTCATGAGTAAATTGGCTAAAGAATAAATTACGAAATTTGTCATTTTTATAAGTAACTAATTTATCTTGGTCGAGCTTTTGTAAAAAAAAAATATTAGTATATTTATTAATTATGAAAGTTATTTGAGATAAAGAAAATATGTTTAGAATATTTTACTAATAAGATATCAATTCTTTTTTCGAAATCATCAATGCTTATCATTAACTAATTATAGGTAGGATACATAGCAGTGCATGGACCGGACCATCCAGGGTAAACATCAACGACTATTTTTATATTTTTTTTATCAAATTAAATTCAAAAAAGGTCTATCTAACTATATTCATCAATATTTTTAACATCTCATCAAATTAATTACCAATAAGTTTTTTATTGTTTTCATTATAAAAAGTCATGAAGTGATCTTCACTAGTAACAGTTGTTGTGATTTCCTTCTTTTGCTTTTTAGACATTTTAAATCAACCCTTTATACTTTAATTCTTAATTAGATATTTTTTTTTCAAACTATAAATTTTTTAACTTTAATTATAATATTTCTTTATTAAAACTGCCTGCTCACTACTTAGAGATTGATTTTATTATTTGAAAATGTTTGGATTTAAATAAAAATTGATATTTTTTAATATTTTAATTTAAAATTCTATTCAAAATAATTAAGAATCAAAGCTCATACTTTATATCTTCATAAATTATTTTAAAAATAAAATATATTAAAAGATAAATGAAAATTAATTGATAATTTGATTCATTATTTTTATTTTTTATTCAATTTTGAAAGATTGACTGTTCGTTTCATAAAAATATATCAATTATGCAATTTTTATTATTTTTATTACTTAAAAATATTCATTGATGAATTTTATTTAAAAGCAAGCATATTGCATAATTACAATTCATTTATAAGTAAAGTCTTAAACAAACAAAGAAACAAATAAACAAATAAATAAAGAAGCAACTTATTATAAGGAATTACTATAAAATTATAAATAAAATTGTATTAATAACTTTAGGAAATATATAAAATAACTTTGAGAAGTATATATGATATCATAGGATTCAGAAGAACTGATTGATATCAATCATTAATAATATGATCTATTTAATAGAATGCACATCATTCACAATAATTAATTTTGTCGTTTGGAAAAACGTTTAATAAATTTAATTTTTATATAATTCTTTCAAATGCAAAGTGAAATATTTATTAGATATTCCTTGATGATAATTAATTTTGAGATAATTAATTTGATTGAAAAGAATAAAATTAGTAAATCACTATAGTAATCATTCGTCGTTATATTAATTATACTGTTAGTTATATTGCTATATTTTTGTATCAGAATTTTTTATGATTGAAGAAAACAACTATGCATGTGATATCATCTCTGACTAAACTTTCCTAATAATTAAAAAATACACAATTAGTCTTTAATATACATTAAATTTTAATATTTTACTCTCTTCCATGCATTAGTAGACTCTGTTATTAACCTCTCTGCAGCCTATTCTACTAAGCCTCTTTCATAGAATTGTCCAACAAACTTGATAACCTAATTCAAAACAAAAAGTTAGCTAATATAAATATAGATATGAAAGTATACCTCCTAGTCAGATAGATATTCCCAAACACCATCTGAGGCTACAATCATAAATTTATCTTCTTCTGTAATTTCCATTTCTTCAATTTCTTTTTTTTAGATTTTTGATTTATATTTTTTTAATACAAATTTAATTATTTTTTTTACCTGGCTCTGCAATAACACCTGCTTACACACCAACTTTATCACCCATACTTCTTGTCATTGCTAATCCAGGAAGATCCATATTTTATAACCAAACTCTTAAAGGCCCTAATGGTTATCCAGTGAAATCTATTAAGTTAAGAATATTTAAAAATTACATAACAATTATATTGAAGATTAAATCTCATTGAAAAAATGGTTTTATTTATTCAATGAAAAGGTTAAAGGGAAAGGTGGAACAAATATTTTACCTCTTTAACAATCAACTCTTCCTCCATTTTTTATGATTCTTAATCTTTCTCTTTCTAGACTTGGTTTATGATCTGTTGAAAGTGGATGGGCCTTATATCCTGCAGTATTTGCTTTTTGCTTTCCAATCACTGCTCTTGAATCTCCAACATTAGCACAATATAGCTTATTTTCATGAATAAATACTGATATCAAAGTTGACCCACTTAAATTACAGTCAAAATCTGCTGCAAATATCTCATGATTAGTCGTATAAAAACCTCTGCTGATGGCATTTTTAATGTTATCAGGAGAATAATCCTCAGGTTTTAAAAATTTGTGAACATTTTTAGGTAAGTTTTTCTTTATTAACTGAGAAACTAAATGACCATTCAAACCTATTTAAAGCATTAATACCATTTTATAATTTTAATTTTTAATAAAAATACTAATTACCATGTCCATCTCCAACAGCAAATTAATAAATGTTTATATCAGAAAGTAATTTTGGATTAACAATAGCAGAATCCTAATTTGTTTTTGTCACCTTATTAATAGTACATCCAGCTTTGGTTTTCATAGAGTATCTAAACATTTAATTTGATGTAACCTTTATTATTAAATATAAAATCATCAATCTTAAAATGCATTTATTTCAATTACATTTGCTTCTTCTTTAAATTAGCTAGGTTGACTATTAAAGTTATTAGTTCCTCCCAAATTCTATTTATCTGGGGTGTATCTGGATGGAGTTATGCCATATTTCTTAATTGGTGAGAGGGTATTTTAGTAAGGTTTCAAAATATTTTGATTATTCGTACTCATCAAATTGATAGAAGAATTATGATTTTGGTTGCTTGTTCTATAAAGCAAAAAAAATATTAATAATTAAGTTAGGTAATATTTATTTCTCAATTAAAAAGCATACGTTTGTGGGTTTGATGTATTATTTTCCATCATTTTATTTAAGAGTTAAGAATTATGGACATTAATATCATATGAAGTGAACTTTTTTCTCTTATCTACTGTATTCTCATCATGCGCCCTTTATTTTTAAATTAATCCAATTAGCTGAAAATAACAATATTAAATCTAAATATTATTCGTTCTTTATATCTAATTTAACCAGAAAGAAAACCAACTAAAATCAAATTTCTAAAAAAGCTATAATAACTTTTTTATTATTCTTTTTTTTCTCTTTTTCTTATTTTTGTACTTTTATGTACTGTGATTTGCTTAATTTTCGTTTCTGTTTTTTCAATTGCCCCAAAACCAAAAGATGAATACTTATTACAAAAATAACTAATTACATAGGGTGTTAATTCTAGTACTAATTATTGCCATTATTATTAATATTATTAGGTGTGTTGTCTAACTTCGGTAACTTTTAAATGGTACTAATATTTCCACCTTTGTTGTATGAGTCAATAGGAGCTTTTTCAATTATAAAAATTCAGAAATGAATTTCTATTTTATTTAACAAACAATTTATAATATTTTTTACCTTTGTTGTAGGGGTTATTTTAAATGTAAGGATTCCTTATTGAAAGGTTGTCATTTTCTTTACGATATGAATTGAATGTGTTTACCATTCCGTTCTTTTGATTAAAACTTGGATTTAATCCATTTGCTACGCTAGGTTTATTTCCTTCAGACATTGGTTTTTCTTCTACATAAGAATGTAAATTTGGAAACTGAAGCTGAGATAAAGGAGGGAATTTTTATGTCTTTTCATCAGTGTATCCTCCTTTTCTACTAATTTTTAACATTTTAAAGTTATTTTTTCCTAAATATTTTCAATTGATATTTACTTTTTGATATTCTCAATCTTATCTAACAAACTGATCTACTTTGGAGTTAATGCTATTTTATAAGTGTTTTTTAGTTAAAAAAATATTTTCAATAATTCTAAAATTTTTGATTTTTATATTCATCAATGTAAAAGTAAAGTAGATGAAACTTTAATAGCATATCCTTAAATAATTACCTTGGTTTTGATATTAATCTAATGAAGTTTTTGATTTATTTTTATACTTTTAATCTGCTTAAAAATCAAATTCTGCGTTGCCAATTTTATAGTTTCTACCTCCAAAATTCAAAAGTTGCTATTAATTTTGCATCAATTGCTGTTTTTACTATATGGTCTTATTATGGTAGTTAATAGGATATGGTTGCATAGGCGAATTCAAATTAACTAGAGGCTATTATCGGTTGTTTAATCCTAATGTATTGTTGTTAGCTAGTGCACTTTAAGTAAGTGGATGCTAGCTATATTATAAGCTCATTCCCGGAGAATAATTTACTTGCTTCCTATTCATTTATTTTGATATTATATAAGGTAATATTTTAATTTTTGATTATTTTTTCAGTGTTTATTAATTAAGTCCGACTAATAAAAATTTTTAATTGTTTGCGATTGTTATCTTTTTATTTCTATGATGATAGCTACTATGCTGAGTTGTTATTTCTTCAAATTAAAAATTAATTTTTACTTAAATACAATCTATATTATATATATTTTCTTTCTTGATTTCTAATTAATTATTTGAGTTAGAGATTTTAAGTAAATATTTTAACTAAGCTTGAATTGCTTAGCTTATAAATTGAATAATTTTCTTTTTATCTATATTAATTATTTTTTTTTTTTGAATATTATCTTTTGGTTAGTTGAGCAAAAATTAATATTTTTCATCAAGAATTAATAACCGTATAAAATCTATCCATATATAATTTTTTTATGCTTTAAAATTGGTTTCTTAATTCTAGTGGTAAATTATTCAGCTTTGGCAGATTTGACATCGAACTGGATAGATAGGTTTTAATAAAATTTCACAGTACATATATTTATCAAAACATATGAGAGTTTCAATCTACACCGTATAAGTTTAATAATATTAAATTTTAAATTATATTTAAGCAAAAATCTAATTTAAAATAAGTGTGGATTGTTGATACTTGTATTATCTAAATCAGTTTATATAATAAAATAGAGCATATTTTTTCTATTTATAAAACTCCTGCAGCCAGATAATTCTTTAAATTTAAATAAAATATATAATATTTTTACTCATTTAATACATTTTTGAAATATTTAAATATATCTAAAATCTTTTTTTATTTACACAAATTATAAAATAAAATTATAAAAATAATTTTTTTTGTTTTAAATTTAAATAAATGCTAAATATAATTGAAATGGTGATAAAAAATGTAAATAAATAAATATTTTGATAAAATAATTACTTGCTTTATTTGTTTGCTTATTAGTTTGCTTGATTGCTTGGTTTTTAAAAGATAAGCAGACAGACAAGTTGTGATTAATTGTGTTGAGATAAAAAATATATCTTAACTATTTGAAACAGATTTTAAATATTAATTATTTCTTATTTCAATTTGATTGTTAAATAGTAGAAGAAGATAAAATATTATTAGATATAGTTTTTATAAATATAAAATGTCTCAATTTAACAATTTATAGATATAGTTGTTAGAGTAGTAAAAAATTATTGATTATCTTAGAGTTAAATATAGAAATTCTACAGGACATGATCCAGATATTCCATAATCATTAAATAAATTCTTAAATGTTTCAGTTTAAAATGCTCCAATCATGGAAAATGAGGAGGAAGCTAAAAAGTATTCAATAGAATAATCAGATTCTCAATTAACATTTTTGCAAGCTCTCTTATAGTTAGGATTGCCATCTAAAATTCCTCCAGAATTAAATAAAAAGAAGGGCAGTGGAAGTATGAATTAATAATTTAAATTACCAGTAAGCAAAATAGAATTATTTGTTGGATATATAATAAATAGAAGGCAAATTAAATTTAACTACATCATTTGATCCATAAAACCCATAGCACATGCTTGAGTCTATAAATTTATCAAATTTTGCTTTTAGAGTAATTAATTATTCTTTTGTTTTGATAAAAAAAATGAATTCAATCAATTTTAACTTAAAAATAGTAATTCAGTAAAAGCGGTCTAAAGGAATTACTTGATTCAGTTTAAGATATGAGATGTTTATATAGCTTGACCTTATAAAATAATGGAATAAATGACACCTATACAGATGAATTGAGCATTCTATTTAATTTAACTCAAATAAAAAAAATTGATTTATCTAGAAATGAAATGGGTAGATCTGCTGGTATGGCTATTGCCAATTTACTTAAAACTTCAAGTTAGCATCTGGAATGGCTAGAGTAATATAAAATCACAAATATTTTCAAATGGCATTTTATTTATTGTTATATTATTAATCTACAGTATCTCTAGAAATAGATTTGGAAGAGATGATGTGACTATAAGTCATTTAGTAGCTGGTTTGAGAAAATAATAAAACTTATTTCATATTTGTATGGATGCCAACACTCCTGATGTAACAAATAAGACTTTCGCTTAATCTGAATAAATAACAAGGCTAATTCATACAAATCATAATTTAATAAGTTTTGGATTAATTGATTCCAGAATAACTAAGACAGCTATACAAAATATTTAAACAGCCCTTGAAAATGACAAATTACATATAATAAACTTGAACTTTTAGTACAGCTATTTAACATTAGAATAAATCTACTCTATAAGAAAAGGAATTCAAAAGAATAAAACTCTTGTTAAATTAGATTTAAGTCACAATGCTCTCGATAGCATTTCAGGTATAGCTTTAGCAAAGGCTTTAAGAGATAATATTACTATAGCTCATGTTAATCTCTCACATAATCATATGAAAAATTAATTTGCTTTTGAGTTAGCTGAAACATTAAAAGTGAATTAAGTGTTATTTGAAGTAGATATATCATACAATCCAATAGGTCCAGAAGGTGCTGAAGCTTTAGTTAAAGTTTTGCATGAAGACAATGAATCACTAGAAAGTCTCGGAGATATTTAAGGGTATTTAATTTAGATGTACTAAAGAAATAATTATTTCATTTTTTTAATATTATAATAGAATTAATACAGAAATGGGAGCAGTAAATATTTAACTTTTAAGAAGAGCTTTAAAAACAAATTAAGTTAGTAAAGATGTTAGAAGCAAGCTTTTAGCTTCAAGTAAAAATATTAAATAAATATACAAACTTATTTTTAAAAATTTTTGAATTTTTGAATATGAATTGCAGGAAGAAATAGAAAAGGAGACAACCCAACTGATATCAATATTAACTAAACAGAATTTGAAGGAGAGAAAAAAGATATAGAATCAGAATTTGAAGACTATAAAATTTGCTAGCCAATACTTTTTACTAATGACCCCTATCAGGATCCTAGCATATTTTAAATGTGGAACGTCTGATTTTAGAAATTTTAAATTTAAATAAACAAATACAAAAAAATTGAAGGAAATAAAGTTTTTGCATAAAGTGGAAAAATAATAAATGATAAATAAATTCTAAATACAGAGTAATACATTGAAAGATAAATTTAAATTATTGAGTTAAGGATACATAATTTATGGTAGATAACCGGGTGTATAGAGTGAAAAATTTGGGTTTTGAATTTTTTTAAATCTAATAAATTAATTTGTTATTTATTTATTTATTTATTATATTTTTAGGGTATATTATAACTTAATTATTAATTAATCTTTGTTTTAGAAGAATAATTCAAGTTGTTTTTTGTTTTTTTTGTTTATTATTATTTTTTTTGCTTTATAAATAATTTTAACTTTCATTCAAAAGAAAGTCCAATTGTAAAAGTAAGGTGCTTGACAAGGATTGCTTCCTATTGATTAAGCTAATTCTGTTTATACTGTGGTATTTGATTGCTGAATTTCCATATCCTCGAATTCAAAATCATCATAATTTTATTAAATTTACCTCTATCTATCTGCATTCTGCTTTATATTTTTTAAAATGTTTTGCAAGAAATTATCTTTCATCCAAGAATATTATGGCACCTTCAATTTTCTTTCAAATTTCAGAAAAAATAGTTAAATTATTTTATTATGGTAATTAGTTAATTAAATAAAATAATTTACTTTTGATAAACATCTTCCCAGTTTATATTTTTAAACCATGGATGATTTTTTACTTCATCAGAACTTTATGTGCCTAGCCTTTTAGAGGGATCTTTGCACATTAACTTTATTTATTAAAAATATAACTTTCACCTTTTTTTGTATGAAATTATTAATTTACCTTTTAAATAAAATCCCAACCTTCTTATGAAAGTCCTGAAGGTTTGTTTAATCTCTTATTCTGAACGCTATTAAATACTTATTTGGCATCATTTCCTTAAAATGGGTTCTCTCCATATAATAGCTCATAAGTTAAAATGCCAACACCATACCAATCTACTGCATGATTGTGTCCTTTTTGTTTTATCATTTCAGGAGATAAATATGAAGGAGTACCACAAAAAGACTTTGTTTTTTTTCTTCTATTCATTCCTGTTTTAACCAACCCAAAATCTACAAGTTTAATATGTCCATCTATATCAATAAGTACATTTTCAGGTTTTAAGTCTCTATATATGATTCCCTTATTATGAAGAAACTCTATTGCTAAGACTAGTTCTGCGATGTACATTCTAGCAATATCTTCTTCCAGGCTATCGCCTCTGAATAAAAGTTTGCTTAGATCTTCTCTTTTTATAAGAAAATTAGTTTTGGTAAAGTTAAAATTATTAATCCAAAATCTAATAAAACTTACCCTTATATATATTCTAGCACTAAATACAGGAAATTGATATCCTAAAAAGCAAAATGAAGCTAGCAAACAAATGGATGACCCTTAATTTTTTCAAGAGTTTACCTTTCTTGTATAATATATTTTTCAGCTGATCTTCTGATAATCATATCTTTCCTCATTATTTTTATTGCATAAAATTATTTATTTTTCATATATTATACTAAGTTAACTTCACCAAAACCTCCTGTACCTAATTATCTTATTAACAGAAAGTCGTCTTTTGATATTATGTCTTGATCTGACATAAAGCTACTTTTCAAAAGACATTACTTCAGTTTTTTGTGCTATTAGCAATTTTAAAGAAGTTTCATGACTTGATCACTTCTTCCAGGTCTAACTACTGAACCAGCTATTGAATATTTAGAGTAATACCTTGTTTCTTAGCTATTAATACTATTTGATATTAGTGAACTATTGTAAGAATCGAAAATATTAAAAGTATTAATCCCATATAAAAGATCCTCAGCACACAATCCCTAATCGTTCTTTACAGAAGCATCTATTTTATGATCAAGAAGAATTTTAACTATTTAATCATGATTGTTAGCAGATGCATAATGAAGAGCAGTACTCTTGGAGTGGTCTTACTGATTAATATCGCATAGATTATTTTCCAATATATACTATACACATTCTAAAGATCCCCTAATGCTCGCCAGATGCAAAACTGTTCTTCCAAAAGAAGTGACAGCCTAAAAATTGCAACCAATTTAGTTTAGTCTTTCTAAAATTTGTCTATTTCCATGAATGCATGCATAGTGAGCAGCATTGTAATTGTCTCTGGACCTGTGTAATTAAATTAAATATTATTTTAAGATTGAATTTACAGAGGGATTTTAATTTCAGACCCATCCTCTTTTTACTTCCATTATAAATGTGAATGAAAATTGATTAAATTTTAAGATATTTATCATTGATTAAATGAATGAAGTTTAATAAATAAAAATATGGGCTCAAACCTTTAATCTTCAAAACAATTTTATTTCTCTGTGTTATCAAAATTTATTAAGTAAATATTGAATATTAATCAATCGCAGCAAAAAGATATAGGTGAAATAGTTCCAAATTTAAGAAAAAAATAAATTTATAAACCACGTCGCATTTATGTTGATCATTTTCTTCTCAAGTAATTAGTCCAGTTTTTGCAAATCACCGCTTTCACAATAATCCCAAAATAATTCAGTGTTTTACATTACTTGTTTCCTAAATTTTTTACAAAAAAAAATAAATCTCCTAACATGCTTATTTCATTTGATCAATATTACCAGTATGTCTTCCATAAATCTTTCATTTAATTGCATGAGTTTAATTTCAAAAATAATTCTTTTAATTCTTCACCATCTTTTATCATGTTATATTTTTTATCATAAGTCATATCATAGATTAAAAATTTATTCTAATTCAATTAATCTTCACTAATTTCTTATTATTAGTCACAAAATTCAAGAAATTAAATAGAATGCCTTGAAAATTCAGCCAAATCTCTTTCAAATATGTCACTTTATTTGTATTCTTCTATGTTACTTTTTCTTCCAACCCCAACAAATGGGTCTGTCTACTGAACTTAATCTTATTGTTCTTCCATTTATTCTCTCAACTTATTAGAGATCTAATTATATTTAATAATTTGATAATTAAATGCTTAATTGCACTTACTACGAATAAAGTCAAAAAAAGAGTCAATTATACAAATTAAATTAATTTATATTAAATATCCTTATTGGCTCAAAATCAATATTTTACCAGTTATTATTACATCTGATAAACTTACTTTTAGTATTTTAATTAGCAAATAAATACCTAAATAAACTTGATTATCTATACTTAAGCTAATTTTTTTCGATTCAGGTTAGTATGATTCTATTTCATTTATTTTATTTATTAATGTTTACTAGGACATATTATTTTTTTATAAAAACACAATACAATTGAATTGTTTTGCAAAATTTCTAAATTTAATAATCTTTTGTCAGAGTTTATGGTTTGGTACTTTTGGAATTTTATTTATATATTTGAAGTATTAAGATATATCATTTTTTGTATAAAAGTAATGTAAAATTAATAAATCACTCAAATTAAAACTTTCTTAAAAATAGCTTTATAGTATGTGTATTTTAGTTAGTGTTTAATAAAAATAGAAATAGTATATTAACTTTTTTCATATACAAATTCTTTAATTTTTAAGTTTTTATATTAAAAATAATATTAATTAATATAGTCTTTTAAATCCGAATCTTTATGGTTATAATAATTAATTTAAATTTAAGTTAAATAAAATATTAAGAATTTATTAGATTTTTAAATATTAACAAAAATTAAATTATTTTTAGCTAAATAATTTTCAAAATATGATTAGTTCTTATCTAAAATACAATATAAATTAGATAATAATTAATGCAATAGAATTTAAATCTGAAAATCCTGAGCTAAGAAAAAAATAGGATAATAACAAAACCAAGAGATCTTAAAACCAAATTTTAAATAACAAAAGAAAGCAATAATTTCTAATTTTAAAAACTGTAAACCTTCATATATTAACAGTATCCTATAAAATGTTTTTGCTAATTAAACTATTAATTTATTAGGTTCTTATACCCAAAAAATTATATTTGAAATTGGTGTATATTTATTGGGATTTAAAGTATCGAAGTAAGATTCTAAAAAATAAAATGTTAAATCATACTTTTATTAAATGCAAATAAAACTAAAGGAAGAAACATTGAATAAATAAAAAGTTCAAATTTTGTTTATTCAACAAAAACATATAAATCTTATAATATATATTGGTTTGCGAACATTCTGAAAATCCTTCAATTTGTTATTTTATAATAAATTAGTAACTGGTTAATAATATTTTAAACAAAAAGCAAAGAGTATATTAAAAATTTAAATTTAAAAAGCAAAGCCAAAGTATGTTCGGAGAAGATAAACATCTAATTTTAAAAACTTAAGAAGGATAATAAGAAAAAGGTAAACTGTATTTAGGCAATATATGGGCTGCTGAAAATCTTATAAACCAAAATGACGAATAGATAAAAGCAATTTTAACAGTAGCTTCAAATACAAATTTAGTTTATGACCCATAAGAATTTAGACATAAAATTATTGAAGCAAATGACGATCCTTCTTTTAATCTTAGCCCAAACTTTGATGAAGGAGTTAGATTTATAGATGAGCATTTGTAACAGACTAATGTTTTAGTACATTGTTTTGCAGGAGTTTCAAGAAGTACTACATTAGTTTTGGCATATTTAATGAAACATCACAATATTGGATTAGATGATGCCTTAAAATTAGTTAGACAAAAAAGGCAAATTGCTGGTCCAAATTATGGGTTTATGAAGTAGTTAAAAGAATATGAATAAAAATTGAAAGCAAAGTAAAATTAATGAAATAATTTTTGATACTAAATTAAACTTAAAAAGTTAAAATATGTATTTTCTTAAAAAAATGTTTTTCCTATGTTTTTATAGAAGTAAGTTTTCATGAGATTAAATTGCAATACCTTAAAAACTGATAGAGTTTTTTATTCACTAACATTTATTTTTAAATAAACTTAATAACTTTCTTAAATTTAAATTCAAAGTCTTAGTAAAGTATTCGATTGTCAAGTTAGCTCATGCAAGTTTTTTATGTTTTTTTTTTAAATTTAAGAATTTAATTACATAAATAATTAGAAACATTTTTATTATTTATTGACTTATTTGATTTTTCACTAGTCTTTCAAATAATTATTGAATTTAATTTAAAAAATGATTTGGATAAAACGAGTTGTGGTAGCTTTACATTTGAGTCTTATTAAATTCTTTTATAAAATTGAAAAATTAATTGATTTATGTTAATTATGCTAATAGAATAATTTTTAAAATTTTTTCATAAATCATCATCTAAAATTATAAATTAAAAAATAAATTATTTCTAAAAGTTAAAAAATATTTGTTTCTTTTTTGCATTTAATAAATTTGAATTAAAATTATTTAAATAGAACTAAATATTTATTATACTTACAATTGTATTTATTAATTTTTTTTTTCCATAAGGAAAGGATCAATAATCTATCTTTTAAATCACAAACTTACTTTTTTAGGCTTTTGTGGTGAGTTTATTTTTAATTTCTTATTTTTTACTGATTTTGTTTATTCTTTTTTGTTTTAATAAAAGAAAAAAATAAAAAAATATCTTTTCTATTAGATAAATGAAGAATAAGTTAAATAATATTAAAAAATTTATGATTAAAGGCTAAGCCTATTTTACTATTCATATTTTTATGTTATGCTAGATTACTCTATTATTCTTTGGAGGTGTTAGCTCACAAAGTTCACTTGAAAGACTTTTAGTTGATCAAAATGTTTAATATAATATAATAGATAATTATATTTTACAATTAGATGGTTAAAGTTCAATCAAGCTAGATATATTACTAAATAACACTAATGTCACGCAAGTTCTATAATTCTGTGAATAATAAAAAATTGAATTAAACATCTATATAGAGAATGTTTAAATCTACTAGAATAGCTAAGGGTTAGCTTTTTTAAATAATTGTAAAAATAGCTAAGTATAATTTTTGTCTATTAATCAATTAGCTTTAAAAAATGTTACTTTGGATATAAGTTTGGTAAACTTCAATCTTTAAATTTGTTAATTTTGCTAAATTCAGCAGGTATTACTATAAAATTTAAAATCAAATTAAGCAATTCTTGTTTATCCTTAAGTATTGAACTTGATAATTTAAGATCTCAAGTCTGATAGTTTTAGTATATTTTAATCAAAATTACCACTTTTAGAAATAGGAAACTAAACATAAAATTCAGTCATACAGCTAAAACAATTTATAATTCCATATTTAGAAGATAATAAATAAAATATTAGTGAAAATAGAAAATAAATTTCAGAGTCATTCAAAGAATTAGAAAATGGATATCAAAGTGAATAAAGATCTTTAATTTTAATTTCTAATTAAAATTATAATTATCCTCAATTAAACATTAGCAATGTCAGTGTTGATTTTGTTAACAACAATATTAGATTTATTGAGATTATAAATTATGGTGCTTAATTAATGCTGGAAAACTCATAATTTTATAGAAACAAAGCCCTTTATAATGGAGGTGCTATATATTCACAATCTACTTTTCCATTAATAATATCTAATGTTACTTTTGATTCATGCTCTAGTGAATATTTTGGCGGTGCGGTTATGGCATACCAATTACAAATAATAAATTGCACATTTATTAATTAGAAAAGTAAAATCGGGGGAGCTGTATTCACATCAAGCAAAGACTACTCAAAAATTACAAACACAATATTTATAAATAATAAAGCAACTATTTGCTCCTAAGATGTCTTTCAATGCTAATGGTTTAATTATGATAAATAACACAGTACATGTGATCTATTTTAAATAGATTCAATATTTGAATATAACTAGTAGTTACAATAAACACCCTTATATATAAAACCAAATAATTACACTAAATCAATAATTCCTCCAGAAGATATAGATTACTTTCAAAGCACTCTAATGTATGGTATTCTTTATATTATAAAATTTAAGATCAACAACTTTATAGCAAATATAACCACTTTTTCTTTAGACCAATAAATAGGAAATTTATATTCTTACTTACATCCTGTTGATAAATAGAATTTTTTCCCACTTAATATTCCAAATATTACGTATCCTTATTTAGTTACAACATATTCCAATAACTTAGATTGTTCTTCAAGATCATTAGTTGATTTTGTTATGTTAGATTATTTTTATAACTAATAACAGAATTATATTAAAGGATGCTTTAATGTTTCCCAATAGTGCGGAATTGGAATGAGCCAAACAAATACTATTTATATGCAATAAATTTATAAATAGTGTACTTATTGTAATACAGGATAATTTTCTTATGAACTAGAATATAACTGCTAAAGTTGCAATTCTTTCTATTATTCTTAATGTTATGCGTCCACCACTTTCTTAAATAATGGATTTTGGAGAAGTGAATTTTCTAGTGATGAATCATCTCTTTACTAATGTAGCTTAAGCCCTTAAAATTGTTTCAGCTCAAGAAGGGAAGGAATTGGAAACTCTCTTTGCAAAGAAGGATATTTAGGAGATTAGTGCTTAACATGTGATATAAATGGAATAGTCTGGGGTGATTTCTATGGGTAGACTAGATAATTTTAGTGCGTGAAGTGCAGCTCTCTGAGCAACAATTAAGTTTATTATATATCTGCCTTTGCTTTGCAATTTATTATATTTTTATTTGCTTTGTCAAGCAATTATAAGAGAATGAGGAATTAAATTATTAGGACATACCTTTAGAAACTATAAATAGTCTACATTGGAACAAGCTTTATGAAATAATCTCAGGCTACAGTTTACATTAAAATTTTGCTTTTTAACTTTTAGATTTATATATCTGCTTACTATTTTATAAACTTCAACGAATAAGAAGAAACGTCTTTTGATAGTTAGATGTTCTCCTTTTTGAATCCTCTTCAAAATTAAAGTCACTCTTCTTATGATTGCTTTTTATAAAAAATTTTCATGGATTTTGACAGTATAGGATTCTTAAAGCTCTAAATTGCTATTTTTACACCTTTTGTAATTAGCTTTACATTATTTCTATTGTTTTTATTAATAACCTTGTTTAAAAAATACCAAATTTTTAATCTCATTTATCTAACATTCCACTGCATTTGTTACTTAATACTATTTGTATTCCAGCAATAAGTACTTTAGCTCTCTATTTTATCTCTCTAATGCCTAAAACTCACTAATGAAAATAGCTATATTTCTATAGATACAAATTTAAAATGTGAAGAAGCATAATCTTAAAAAATCAAGCTTTATGGGATATTTTCTTTAATATTTTTTAACATCTTAAGTCCATTAGTTATTTTCATTGTGCTTTATTATTATAGAAAAAAGTTAGATAGAATTAAAGTAATACGCCTATTAGGTTTTCTATTCGATGAATATAAAAGACGTTACTTTTATTGGTAATTCTGTAAAATTTTGCTTTCTAACTTGCTTACATTTTTATTACAATAACTCGATACTCAAGCGATTCTGGCTATTGTTATTTACACAGGATTTTTATCTCTGTATGCAGTTCTTGTATTAATATTAATGCCTTTTTAGACTAATCATTTAAATAGAATTGAAGTAACATCAGTTATACTTTCTATTTTATACTTACTTGCTTCTATCTCAATGCAATAATCTTACTCTTACCAAACAAAATATGAGAATATAACTATTTCTAAATACTTTGCAAGTATATTTTACTATGGTGTTTTACTGTTTATGCTTCTTTTTTATGTCTATATGACTATTTTGATAATCAAATCATTCTTTTATTTATCCTTGCTAAAGCTTTAATCTTTCAGAATATTTAGTAATCTTATCAGAAGGTATCCAAGCTTATTTTCCAGAGTATATTCTAAAAAGTTAAGAGACAATTTGAAGTTATTTAGGAAAACAGCTTAAAAAATATTCAGAAGTACAAGCAAAAAATATAATATGTATCCTTTAGAGTAATAGTATGAATAATTTCTCCTGTTAGAAAATCAAGATACAAACACCCTTGCTTTTGGTGAAAACCTTTCATAAGAATGAAGAGTTTCTTATTAACAATTAAAAAATTATTTCTTTTATTATAATCTGCAAACACTGTAATTTATATGAAAATTTTTTTAAAAATATTAACTCTTTTGAGTTGGTATTTGAAATTACAAAATTTTATTTTAATTTTGCTTTAAAAAAATGAATTAGTTAAAAAAACTATAAGTTTTGGTATTTATATGAATAGATAAGTGATATCTTTATTTTATAATTGAGATCAAATATTTATAAATATATTTGATAAATTCTTATTCCTACATTTAAATTGATAATATTATGCAAGTACTGTTTGTCTAAAGCTTTTGTATGTATTTTATAAAATAAATTCCTTTAATCTCAAAATAAAAGTCACATTTGGAATATATAAAATCCACAAAATATTATGGATAAACAGCCTATAGATATAAATCTTATAATTAAATTAGATTAAAACGAAAAACTAAAAGGTAATCTTTACTTAGGATCTGTTTACGGTGCTGATAGCATTAAGTAAAACAACAAAGAAAAAATATTTTCAATTCTATCAATTGGTAATGAACCAGAAAACTAAATTAAATTGGATACAAAAGAATTTAATCATTTGACATTAGAAATTTATGATCACCCAAATTTCTAAATACTTCATTTTTTTGAAGCAGCTATATCCTTTATAAAATAAGCGTTAAGTAAAAATAATGTGTTAGTCCATTGCTTTGCAGGTGCCTCAAGAAGTTCTACTATTATTATAGCATATTTAATGAAAGAGCATTAAATGACTTTTTAAGAAGCTTTTAATCTAACTAAATCAAAAAGATAGAAAACAAATCCGAATTAGGGATTTTTAGAGTAGTTAAAATAATATGAAAATATAATAAAGTAGCAAATACAATGACAGAAAAAATTAAGGAATTTCATAATTAATTTGTTTCAATTTCTTACATAGATAAATGTTTAATTTAATTTGATATTCAATTTGAGTTATTTATTATCAGGATATGTTTATGTTTATATCACTTTTTATCAAAACAAATAAATTAAAATTTTCAGTTCTTTGTTTATTTAATATTATTTTAATTTAATTAATTGAAAATTAAGGTTTTAATTTCTTTTGTTTATTTCTAAAATAAATTAATTATTTATGTAATTTATAAAATAGAATATATTTTTTGATATGAAAATAATTAGAATATTTACCAAAATTCTTCATTAAAAATTTTTATTAGGAATTTAAAATATACTTATTCTTCAATCAAGTTGATTTATTGTTTTAAAATAACTAATGCCAGTTTTCATTACACAATTTATTAGATTAATATTTCATCTTAATAATATTTTTAAGAAATTATGAACAGTAAATTATCTTTGCGAACATTTTTTTATTTCTGTTTTCTTTATCAAACTCTCAATTAAATAATAGTTTTTTAGAAATATTAAGTTAAAAATTATATTCAATTCAAATTTTTATTTAGCATATTAAAAAAAATTTATTATTATTTTATTTTAAAAGAATATTTGTTTAAAAAAAGAAAATAAAATTATTATCATAATAATATCAATAAAAAATAATAATTTATTATAATTAATTTAAAAATTGTCTCTCAGTAAAAAGCAATTTATTAATTGTATCTAATAAATTATAAACAAATCAATATCTTTATAATTTGATAGTTTTAAGTATCTTTAACAATTCTTTAAAAATATAAAATTTGTCAATAATTAGTAAAGCATAAAATGAGTGGTATTAACCCTTTAGTTTAAGATATGAGTAACATAGATCCACGAGCTGAACCAGGATATATATTGAGTTAGGAATATCCTTAAGAACAAGACTATTAGGAAAGCAGCTACATCAAGTAGATGATTGATAAATACTTCTATCATCCTGAAAAAGAGAAATTAAAGGAATAGATTATTATGAAAATTTAAGAAATAGTAAATCAGTGGATGGTAAATATCAACATTAATGAGAGAAAAATCCCTGAGCAAGTAGCTCACATGGTATTTATTTTTATTTTTTTATTTTTTACTAAGCATGCTTAAGTTTAGTATTGAAATTTTGCTAAATTTCAGAGATGTAAATTCTTTTTAAAATGTTAGTAACTTGCAAGAGTTTTGCCTTTTGGTAGTTATTTTCTTGGTGTTTCAAGTGTAGATGGTGATGTTGATCTTGTTTGTATTGCACCTAACTTTGTTGATAGATTCAAACATTTTAATGGATAACTTTATGATATGATTTCAAATATGGATGGAGTAGAATATCATAATAACGTTATTGATGCAAAAGTTCCTATTATGTAATTTGAAATCCAGGGAGTACCTATAGATATTTCTTTTGCATAGCTTGATGTAGAAACTCTGCCAGATGATATTGATAAGCAAATACCTGATACACATTTAACTATGATGGATGAAAGGGATAAGCTGAGTATAAATGGTTATAGATGTAACTAAGCTATTATAAGGTACGTCACTGAGCACAGTGAGGATAAGCAATAAAGCAAGCAGAGATTTTAAGAATCTCTTAAGGTTATAAAAATATGGGCAAGAAATAATGGAATTTATGAAAACAGATTAGGCTATTTAGGTGGTATAAGTTGGGCACTTTTGCTAGCTAAAATATGCCAAATGTTCCCCAACCTAGAAGTTAATGGAATCATAGAGCAATTCTTTTTATAATATTCTTCTTGGAAATGGCCAACTATGGAGGTTCTGTTAGGGCCATTTAGCTAACCTGAAGAGAGATAAAAAAACTAAAAATTTGAAATGTCAATTTACACTCCTGCTTATCCAGAATATAATTCTACTGAAAGAGTTAAAAAAATAAATTTGGAGATTATTGACTATAAAATAAAGTAGAAATATTATTTTATTTTTTTAAAAGTTTATCAAGCAATTCATTTTTATGTTTAGATTTCTAATTTTTCAATCGATTTTGTAAATTATAAAATTTAAATATTTTAAAAAATTATTTTAGGGAAGCAAACAGAATTATTCAAGAAGAAATTAAAACAGGACAAGCTCCATGGGATAGGTTGATATAGGAAGAAGATTTTTTAAATAAGTATACCAAATTTATTGAGATAGACTTGATTAGAATTGAGCGCGATGAAACTATGAGAGAGTTTAAGACTCAGTAAGATAAACTTTCAGTTAAATTGCTTACACTGTTTGAATTTTTCTCTCAAAAAAAACCCTAAGAGCTAGAGATTAGACCTTGGCCTTTCTTTTATAAAAAGAAAGATCAAAAGTATCCTCAGTGTTCAGCCTTTTTGATAGGCATAAAAGCCAAAAGCCATATTTAAGAAGAGTATAGTTTCAAGAATTGCATTTAAGAATTTGCTATGTAGCAAAGAAAATCGTAAGTTTATTTTATTCATTAAAGTAGGATTAAAATAAAAATAATTTATAATATAGGCTTGATGCATTAACTAATTGCATGATTAGAGTATTTTAGGCAACTAAGTAAGATTTAAACGACATAGCATTTACTGAAGAGGACGAATAACAATTTTAAAATTAAAATGATTTCTAAGAGAATGAAGACTATCAAAATTTAAATCAAAAAAGATAAAATGATAATATCCATGATTACGAAAAGCAATAGCCATACAAAAAGTTAAAAACCTATCAAGACAATGATGAAAGTTAAAATGATTAATAAAACTAAAATAATGAAAATGAAGATTACAACAACTAAGAACAAGAGTACGATTAAGGATAATAAGATTATTAAGAAAATAACGGTGATGCAAATGATTAAGAAAATAATGACAATATGGATGATTTTCTATGAAATAAATGGTTCAAATTTTATATAAAGTATAAAAAAGAAAGAAATAGATTGTTACTAATACAAAAATGATTAATTTATAACTTTTTAATATGTTTGTATATAGATAGATAGATGTGTATATTAATAATTGATTGTATATTTTAAGCTTTAGTATCTTTAGAATCAACTGCTTCTTTTTAAATCGGATTTAAAAAATTGAACATAAATTAAATTTTTAAAATTCATCAAAAATTTACATTTTCGATAATTAAATTTATTATTGGCGGTAGGTGAATTTATTATTAAATACAAATATTTCAAAAACTTCTTTTAATTGACAAATAGAATCTTATTGATCTGTATTCTCAAGAGTATTAGTGTTTGTTATTTATTTATTTATAAGGATGAGTCAGCAATCATAAGTTTCTAACAAAAATAATTTTAGAAGGAGAACAATAAATAGCTAATAACTCGAATTTTAGTCTCCTGAAAAAGAATCGAATGCCAATGATTAACCTAAATTATCTTAGGATTCAATATGTGAGTAATAAGAATAATAGATATCAGTAAACTTATCCATTGACAATTCTTTGCAGAGCAATTCATAAAAAGATGATTAAGGGATAATAACACCTAAAAAAGATAAAATTTTAGTTCAGTCTTTTACTGACGCATTGATACAGCAAAACAACTAGTAAAATAATAAATAGTTAATATCAAAGAATTTTCTTTCTCCTACTTCATCATAATCTAGCAATAAATCAAGGAGTTCTTTATCATCACCAATATAAATTAGAATAAATCCTAATTAATACTAAATATCTAACAATACTGCTCGTCGCAGTTTAAATTATGAAATTAGCTAAATTTAAGAAAAGAGGCTAGAGGATGAAAAAACAGCCATATCTTATGCTGAAAAAGTTTTATAAAGTAGAAACTTTTTAAGCCAATAAAAGAGCAAGCAAGAAAATTAAAGATATTCTTTGTTTGTAACAACAGCTTAACAAGCTGGAGTATACGTAGGTAAAGAAGGGTAATAATAGGGGATTTTAAAAAAAAAGACGAATAATAACTATTTTACTAATACAAACTAATTATTCAATACCTAAAACTAGCTCACCTTCATTGCTGATAAAACAAAATCTGTAGAATTAAATGAAAATAATATCTAACAAGATGAAAAAAACAACCTTAATAATTCCAGTAGTAAAATTAATAAAATTTTACTTCCAGACAGAAGTGAAATCACAAACAAAATAAATGGTGCTGAAATAAATCAATTTGTAGCTTCAGACAACAAAAAAGTAAATTTTTAGACATTATCCTAATAGCCAGCTTCTTCAAAAGTAAGAAGTAGGAAAGTGGGAAGCAGTAGCTTAAATAATGAGGTTATCAGTGGTAAAGAAATTTCAATTCTAGATAAAAAAGCTCTCACAAAAATAACAAAAGTAAACACTGAAAGAAACAGTATTATTTAACCTGAGAGAAGTATGGATGATCATTATAATAAATTGCCACGTTGCTATGAGCATTCAAAAAGAATTAAAGAACTGTATTGTGTAGATGATAATTGTTAAGTGAAAAATAAATTTGGATGTGTTCTCTGTTTTAGCTCTGTCAACGGATCACCTCACAGTTTCCATGAATATTACACAATTTCCTCAGAAGAAGATTTACAAGCTAAAATAAATAGAAATAGATAAGATTTTATTCAATTTATTTAAGATAAGATTCAATTCAAGTGCCAAGATAAGAAATCTTAATTTTATATGTATTAAGATTAAATCACAGAATCTTTAATTAATTATGCTGATTCTATACAGGATAGGCTATTTATAGGATTTGAGGCAGAAGAAATACAAAAATTTTAGCTCCCTCTTTTGTAGGGAAGTATTGAAAGAAAGAGTCCAGCAAAAAAATCAAAGCGAAATTCTAAAGAAAATAGGGAAGAATTCGATGAAAAAGAATTATCAATAATCTTGTACATAGACCTACTTGAGAAATAATTGAATAAAAAAATAGAAAATTAGAATAAAATATGGCTACAACAAATCTATCTTGGTGAAAAAAATGAAGAATTTTTAAAGGAAAAGAAATGTAAATTAATTATAGCTGGTAAATGCTTTAGCAATCTTAGTGATCAAATATTAAAATTATACTTAACTAGTGAGCAGGTTAATTATGATTTATAAGAACTAGAAAACAACAAATCATAGCTGTATTATATAAATGATGAAAATAGTGATGGTATTTATTAATTAGATGATGATAAAGTAAAATAAGGAAGAGGAATTTAATTTTTTAAGAGTGGAGGTTTATATGAAGGGTATTTTAAAAATAATTAAAAGCATGGAAAAGGGAAACTAATTACATTTGAAGGAGATGTTTACATAGGAGAATTTCAAAAAAACATGAAAAGAGGAAGAGGTGTATTAACCTACTCGAATAAAGATATATATGATGGAGAATTTTATTAAGACACATGTCACGGAATTGGAAAAATGAGTTATGCTAAAGACTAAGTTGTATATATAGGTGGATGGAATAAAAATTAAAGGCATGGAAAAGGATAAATTTTTAAAGACAATGAACTAATATTCTCAGGCGTATATATAGGAGACAACCCTAAGGCTAATAGTAAAGAATGAAAATTATTTTGTTATTTATTTATTTATTGTTTATTATATAAATGTGTAATAATTTACTGTATTTATTTTATAATTAAAATTTAATAAAAATAAATTGCTACGAAATTAAAGAGAGCACTTGTTAATAATTTTAAATGATAGTAAAATTTCAAAAAAAATATAAACAAATATATATTTATTTTTAAAAGCAACAATTTATTCATTACTCGAAGAAATTTAAAAACAAAAACATATTAATTTTTAATCATAAAAATTAAATACCTTTTTTAATGTAATCTTTCAAAAAATAAATTTGTAAATTTAATAAAATTAAACAAAGTAGTCCAAATAATCTCATAATTATTTCATCCTCTAGATGATAAATAGTGTATTAAAATAATTTAGAATTAATTGTGAAATTAAAAAATTAATAAATTTCTTAAAAACTAATTATGAATGTATAAGTATAAATTATTTTTTTAGGAAAATTCAAATATTTTGTAATCATTTAAGAAAGAAATAAGTAATTTAATTTTAAAATGAATGAATACATACATATACATTAATTCAATTATATAATAGTAATTTTTTAATTATATTTGTGGACTAAATATATTTTAATTTTAGTGTTTAACTTAATTAATTAGTTTGTATAACAATATGGTATAATTATTTCTAGATTTTAATAAATTTTATTATTATTTTAAAATACAATTTTTAGTAGTAACTGCTATAAATACTTTGTTGATTTTTATCATCTCAAAATTCTAATTTCTCATCATCATATTAGTTATTGTAATTTAAATCTTTAACAGCTTTCTCTTAGCTTCTTATTCCAAAAAGATTTCCATTATCACCCTTTTAAAAATATTCAATACCATGAATAGCATATTGATACTCTTAGATTAATCTTTAGACTAAAGTGATTGGGAAATTAAAATAACTTAAGAACAGATCTTTTAGGACTTTTTTTAATTCAACGAAAAACTCGTATTTTAACTTTTTTTAGCTAATATAGCATTAGAAATCAAACGAAGAAATATCCACCGGATATCCATTTTAATCTACAAATGGGTAAAAGTAGCTAAGAATGTGGCGACATAGATCTCTTGAACGGGAAACTTTGCTAAATGGGCATAACTTGTTTAATTCGCTTTTGTTATGATAGATGTCATCTAGTCGGTCTAAGATTAACTCAATAGGATTAGGGTGATTGAATAACTCATGAAAGAAGCATGATCCATTTAAATAATTTGATTCAATATTAGCTTGGACACTAAAATAAGAATCTTGTTTAGTTTAATGCTAAGCATTTAATTTATTCAACTAAATTTTAACATGTTATAGTCTTTTGTGGGTATCTTTGCTAAAATAAATAGAGCAATGAAAATTTTTAATTAAATTTTCCATAAGAAGCTTAGAAAAAATATAAAAAAAGTCATCTGTCAGTAAAAGAATAGTTCTATACTTTTCGCTATTCTTCAGCTCAAAGTATGCTATAGAGTCGTTGTTGTTCAAAGCAAAAATTTATATCAACTGTGTCAAATATTATTCAAATACAACTTTGTTATTTAAAGAGATAGATTGGTGTTTAATTAATGCCTGTTTTATTTTAATCATAGCCATCATCTCGCTTCTCATAATTGCAGCAATTTAGTAACAAAACTAAGGTATCGTTGTTTGTTCATCATTATTAGAATCTTCTACATTTTATTCTGTCTTTTAAGTATATGTATCAGTCACCTTGTTTTCATTTTAATTTTTCTGAGTTGGAGAAGAAGATTGATCAGAATTTATGGATTTATTCTACTTGGGAAGTAATAAGTTCATGTCTTATGGAAGAGGAAGTGTAACAAAGTACCTCATTTATTCAATAAGTAAAAATAATCTATTTTTGTATTGAGGTTGAATTTTATTTTTAAACATGGCTCTTTCAAAATAGAGTTTAGTTGCATAGAAAAATTTTGTATGAGAAACACGATAAAGAGGCTGTTTAAAAAAATTTTAAACAGACTTAAAATATTGCTTATGGCGCCTTTCTTCAAAGTGCAAAAGCTAATTGAAAGCTAACCCAATTGAGTCATTAGAAATATTTAATAGCCTAAAAGCTCCATTTATACTAGGGTTCGAATTAACAAGCTAGATATAAGTGTTGATGACCTCACTAATTCTTTCTTTTCCACCCATTCTATCGATTAGATTCCAACTTAAATATTCTTTCTCATACTAATTGTACAAACTGCTAAATTTACTTATTTAGTCATTACTAATACCATATTTTTCGCTCATAAGTCTTGAAATTCTTTCAAGCACTATCTCACTCACTTCTGGGGTGAATCCAATCAGCTTCAAACTTTCACGCATGTATTTCTCATTGTTTTGATAATTTCTGCCTACCACATTATTCAAGAAATCTAAAAATAGCTAATAATTAAATTCTTAACTTGATACTATTTTTTCTTTTTTGATAATTTCAAATGAATCTTTGATAATATTTTCCCAAATGTGTATACTCTCCCAAAATTCTTCTTCTTTATTGTTTGTAGTTTCAGGACTTATTATCATATTGCTTTAAGTCTTACTTATTTGTTAGGTATCCAACTATTAATTAAAACTTTAATATGGTTGTTTGTCACTTTCTAGAAGTTCACCGCTTTTATTTGCAATTAAAGTTGGGGATTATTTTGCATTTACATCTTCTTTTTGTATTAAAGCTGATTCAGGACTTGTGCTAGTAAATGTATTTGAGACCTTTCTAGCAGAAAATAAAAATCCTTAGCCTTCTAATGGAGATTAAACTAAAGAAGTATTTTAATTTGTAGAAATAGCAGATTTTTTTACAGATGAGATCATTTCATTAAAAAATTGTTATTTTTTATTTTCAATGTGCTTTGTCTTTAAGTCTTTTAGCTATTCTTGTCTCTGATATTTCAAAGGAGATTCAATACTTCCATCATGCTCAGATTTTTACCATATTTATTACTATTTGTATTCTTTATTTTTTATTCTCTGGAGCTCATACTATTACCATAGCTACTTAACTTTAGCAACTTCTTCTTACATATACTCTTCTTTTTCTCTCTATCTTAATAGTTTCTGTCTTTATTAGTATTGAGAGTGATTAATTGACTGGCGGTCTAACACTCCAAAAGTTAAATTGCTCATAGATTTAGAATTTATTCTATTTACCAAGTTAATTTAGGTATTACTAGAATCATATTTCTTAGTTTGTTAATTTTAACTTTTCTCTTCATAGTATATATCATCAAATTCACTTAAACTATTTAAGCATTTATCTTTATTTTATCTATATTACTATTTAGTAGTTAAATTAAGAGGTAATTTATTAACAGACCTCGATTTGTTGGCTAGCTTTGGTAGCTCAATAGCTTAATTAAATTAATTATTGGTAATATTATAATAATTAAAGTTTTGTGAGTTACTGTTGCTAAACTCATTGTTAGAACTATTTTATTTGCTTTTTGATCTTTGATAATCAAATATGCATGTTTTAGCATTATTTGTATAAAATTGCTCTTTACTCATACCATAAGAATTGAGTTTTTAGTTGGGAAAATAAGCTTATGGAGAGTTTAATTCACTAACACATTTCTAAAAAAAGTATTATTTTGTATTTTGCTAAGAGCTTGTATTTTCGCTTGCCTAAGTTTACATTTTAGAAAGGAATAGCTCTTTTTTAGCTTGAATTGATGTGTCTCTATTGTTATTCTAATCAAGAGCAAATTCATTATTGTTATTAAAAAGATAAGCATTTCCTTAAGACATTTTACCATTTTTTTGATCATTGCTGCTACATAAAGGAGACTCATTTATTAAATAGTTGAATTTTGATTTGCTAAATTTGGAAGGGGATGGTTTTTCATTTAAATATTTATCTGAACTATTGTTGCTATTTTATTTTTGAATTAAAATATCACTACCAAAACTGTTATTTGATTGGTTAGTCATATTTTTTTATACTACTCCATAGTCATTAATTTTAAAAGGAGAACTATCATTTGAGCTGTAAGTATCAAACTTGCTATTATTAATATTACATGATTTTTACATTAACTTTTAACTTGTTTATATTTTATGCGCTTTATCTTCTTGCTACTATTCCTATTTTTATTTGAGGTTACTATTCTATAAATCATCTATTTTTATATTGATAAACATTATTTAAAATGGATTTATAGTAATTAAACTACTTGTCCTTTGTCTTGCATTTGCTATATTCAAATTAAGATTATATGGCAAATTGCGACGCATATTGTTCCCTTCAAATCCTTTTGAATACTGTTACAAATCGCTGTTTATTTATGACATTTCTAAAATTTTTAATTCTATTAAAAAATTGTATTTTTTGTTATAAGTAATTAATATATCTATTTATTCAACTATTTATATTAATTACCTTTAATTGAAGAAACAAAATGATTAATTATATTACCAAATAATGTTTATAATTGTTCAATTGATTATTATTAATTATATCCATAAAATATCAAACATGATTTATTCATTTATTATGTGTGGCTTTAAATTTATTTATTACATTTTTTTGATTCAGTAATTGGATGCTAATGCTAAATAATATACTGCTTTTATAAACTAGCAAAGATGAACTATTTAGAATGATTACTCCCATTAAATTTTTCCAATTTAGCAGAATAGTATTTTTGATAGCTTTTTATAGATTTAATTAACACTTACTATAGAAAGAAAAGGTTTAATATTATTTACAATATTATTTTTTACTTTTAACTTCCAAAAAATTTTAAATTAATAATGTTAAAATATTTATTAAATTTATGAGAAAGAAATGTGGATTAATAACTAATTTATTTAATTTGCTTGCGTCAAAGAGTAATCTGATTGAAATTTATTTATTTTTTACAATAATTTAATTTTTTATCTAAATTTTTTTTGGATATTAAAAATTGTTTTTAAATTATATTCAATGATCTTTAAGCATTAAATTAGGATAAATTTTTATTCAAAATTTAATCAATTTTATTTTATATCTATTTAATAGTTTTTTTAATAAAATAATATTATATGTAATTAATTATACTACTTTTAAAAGCAAAAAATCTTTAAATAAAGTAAGTCTTATAGGGATTTTTTAATCAAACAAATCTTTATATTATAACAAAATCGTATCTTGTTTTATTATTAAGAAAAGTTATGTGAATCTCATCAATATTTTAATAATTACTAGGCAATAATTAAAATATGTTTATGACCAAAATAAAAACTTTTAATTACATCTTGCTTGATAATTAATTTTTGTAACAAAATCCAATAAATTGCTTTGAAAAGCGATCTCGCCAAAAAGGAAACATTTTTAAATAAACTTTTGAGTAAAAAAAACTATTTATTCAAAAAAAGTATTTAATTTAGTTGAATAAGAAGGTTTTATTTGAATTTTGATATTACAGACTTTATTATTATTAATATTAATCATAAAACAGTATTGAGTCTTTTTGGCATTTTAGAAAAATAAATAAAAAATGGGCATATTTACAAAAATATAAATATAAAGAGTAGCTTGTTTTATTTAAATTATAGTTAATAAGTTAGTATCTATCTATGTATGTATGAATTAATTAATAAATTTTTCATTTTAATTTCAGAAAGAAATTCTTAAATATTTTTAAAATTGTTTATTCATTAAAAGGTTTAGTCTTATTCTAGCTTAATTTTTTTATTAAATTTATATAAACCTTTTTAATCTTTTTGTAAAATCCAGCATTCACAGTTAAGTGGATTCTCCATTTTTTCAAAATCAGAAATATGCTGTTTGAAATATCTCATTAAAATCAACCTCATTACCATTCCATGAGTTACAATTATAAACACTCTATTCTATCCATATTTGGCAGCTTACGAGTAACTATCCATTTCTCTAAAGAGAGATTCTAAAAATAAACTCACTCTATCATATACATCTGATGCAGACTCACCTTACTTAAATCTATAGTAAAATCTTCCAACCAAAGTCCTTTCTATAAAAACCTATTCTTATTCTTATTTGTTTAATTGGAATTTTTGTAAATTCCCCCATTCCTGCTCTCTAATTCTAGGTTCTGTTATCATTTTTTCAACTTTTGGAAATGATTTTATAATTTATTGTGCTGTTTACTATGCTCTTTAATAAGGAGAAACAAAAAAAACTAAGTTTTTATTTTCTCCAATCTCTTATTTTAAAAGCTAACCTATCTTAAAGGACTAATTTAAACCATTTTAAGTTAATTCTATTTAACTATCAGGTTACTCTGCATATAAATTATCATTAACATTTGCTTATGATTCTCCATGTCTAACTATAATAATTTTATCAGGCCTTAAAGTTTTTTTATATTTATAAGCAGCAGTCTCAAACTAGTAAGATAAATAACCTAAATAATAGTATAATTAAGAACTTATTTTTCTTCTATTAACATATAAACTAGAGCATATTATTATAGCAATTGAGTAAAAGATTTGCTTTGAAGTCATTAATGACAAAATCTTACTTTTAAAATTATGTATTTTTTCCATTTAAAAAATCTAATGATATTTTTTTTAATTTAATAATTTTTGGTTTGATTTGAAACCAAAATAAATTAATTTATTTTCATCAAAATTCATCGTATTTATGATTTGAGACAATAATTAATGAATGTATCCAAAATAAATTACTACTATGATTAATTTGATTTAGATTAAAATTATTTTCATAGTAACTAAAACTGACTAGCCTATTATTTAAAATCAAGTAAAATTTTGAGATTTAATTTTAAAATTAACCTTAATTTAAAATTTTTTAATATTTAATTCAAGTTTTTTGTTTTTATTTTCTAAAATGAAATATGAATTTTACAATTTTTAGTTTAATTTGCAATAAACGATATTATAAAATATGATATTATGTTAAGCAACTATTTTATCAAAGCTTTTACATTATTAATTAGTTTTATGTTTTATAAAATTTAATTTATTTACAAAAAAAAAAATAGTATTAATCTAAAAGATATTGATTTTTAGAATACAATTTATTATGTTAACTTTAATTACTTTAAAAAAATAATCTATAATGTGTATAATCATAACAAATTATTAACTATTTATTATAAAAAATTATTTTGTTCAAATATTTTTAGCTAAAAAATTTTAAATAGAAGGTTTTTAGAGTCAGTTATAAATGTTAATATTTTTATTTAAAAGTTTTAATTTATTTTTTGTTTTTAGATAAAAAATAATCAAAAACAATTTATTTTTATGGTTAAAAAATTAACTATAACATAATCATTATAAATGAAAAAGTTGAATTATTTTAAATAAATTTGATTTTTTTAATATTTAGTCATAATTAATTTATCAATTTGTAGCAAAGACTTTATTTTTTTTATTCGTATGCTTATTTTAAAGCTATATTCATGATTAAACTAGTCTAAATTTATTTTTTCCAATATTGATTTTTTAAAATATGTATTTTATAGTGTTTGAATATAAAAACGTTTCTGTTTTCATTACTTAGTTTTTTAACAAATACCTAAAATCTGACTTATTAGCTTTTTTTATTGAAGTTAAAAGCCTGTACTTAATTCACTCGATACCTTCCATAATAATTTTATCATGAAAATCATATCTTCCTTTTGAGTTTAATTTTAAGATCCAAGTTTCACAATTAGAAGGGTTAGGCATTGTATCATAATTTTCAACATCAGCCCTTAAATATCTAAAAACAAGTAAACGCTAAATAATACCATGCGATACTATTACAAAGATTCTATTGCTATTATTATTATTATTTCTTTAATTATTTGGATTATCCATATCTCTAAATAAAGTCTCCCAAAACGATGATACTCTATTATACGCATCACATCCTGATTCTCCTGTTTCAAATCTGTAAAATAGTCTTGAAACAAGTTTCCTTTCATTTAATACTTAAAGACTTTTGGCCTTATCAAGCTAAAACTTTTACAAATTTCCCCATTCTTACTCTCTCAGCCTAGGATCTACTATCTTATTTTCAACATTTAAATATTGCTCTAATATCTAGGCAGTTTGCATAGCTCTTTTTAGTGGTGAAACATACATTGTTATTTTAGAGTTTTTATCTATCAATTTATTTAATATCTCTCCTAATTTGGAAGCTTATTTCTTTCCTTTCTCTGTTAGTTCTATTTAATTATCAGCTTTATGAGTATATACATGAGGATCAATATTAGCCTCAGACTCTCCATGTCTAAGTAAGATAAGAAATTTAGGTCTACGTTATTTTTTAATTTCACATTATTAACTTTCTATTTCATAACACATTTTTTAAATCTAAAATTATATTTTTTCTTTTGCTTTCTTTAGCAGAAAATATATCCCAACACTCCCAGCAGCAACCATAAAATGTTTATAGCTCAATGTTTTGGTAATTGATATTGATACTCCCATTTTCAAAAACCAAAGAATTAAAAATTTATAGTTATATTTTTCACTAGATATTTTTTTTTTGAAATAAATATCTGATATAATATATTTATAAAAGCTAATAAAGTAAGTATGTTTTATGATCAGACAACAGTAAAATTTTTCTTATATTTTTAAGCAAATATCTTGTCTTTTTTTTAAAGGAAAAGGATTTAAATATTTACTTAATTGAAGCAACAAAATAAAAATAAAATTTTTTTTTTGAATTTAAAAGTTTAAGAGATAATTTATTTCTATTTGACTACTCAAAATAAAGTATTATAGATTTGAAGTATTAATTAAATTTACTATTTACAAGCAATAAAAGATTTTATGTAATTACAAATTAAGCATTTAATATCAAATGTATTTTATATTTATTTATATTCTTTCAATGAAAAATTTATTTACTTTTTTATCCATTTAGTTTTTTATGTAATTTAACTTTTTCAGTGATATGAAACATATCTTGAAGAGATTGGAATTTAAACAGAAATAGGAATAGAGTTATAAGAAGTATTTGCAACAATAAGATTTTCTAAAGACTAATTGTTTTTAATTAAGTGATGAAGTTAATCTTATATTTCTCTATTTTTAGTAATATTAATATTAGAAAGAGTATGAATTTCAGCAAGCAGAGCATTTAGTTTACCTTACAATACTTTAATTTCATCGATACCTTTTTCATACTAGATTTACATTTGTTATTTTTCAGAATTATAGGTATCTTAAACAGCTCCAACGTTGTGTTTTCCTTACAACTCCTGGTCTTAGAATCTCTTTTTCCAATATTCAGCTTCACTTGTTTTCTCTTTTAAACCACTATCTAGTAATACTAATTCTTCTCTGAGAATAGCTAATTCTTTCTCTAAAGGTTCATCAACTTTAACTTCTTCTTTAATTACCACCTTATTAAATAATGCAAATTAGAATATTTTAGAACAAATTTAAATTTACTTCTTTTTCAACAACAACAGGCTTTTCTATAACAACAGGTTTTTCAACTACTTTTTCTACTATTTCAATTTTTTTCTCTCTCTTTGCCATTTCTAATTCTGATTCTAAGCTTAAAATAGTTTTTTCTTTTTTTCTTAATTTCCTTTCATATGTTTCCATTTCTTCTAATTTATCCTTAAGGATTTTATGCTACATTTATAACTTTTAAATTTCTTTTTTTTCTTCTTCAATAAAATTTTATAAAACTGTAATTTCTCTTTCAAGACCTTAAATTTCATTTTATGAATTCAAATATTTTTGGTGTAGCTCATTATATTTATCATTTGCGTCCACTTATCTTTTTTCTAATTCCTCCATAATCCTATCTTTATCTTATCTGATCTTTTCATAATCCAAGTTAGCGATATTTCTCTTTTAAATATGTAGTTCAAGTTCTTTCAAAACCTTATAAAATTGATACATATTTATTTTAGAACTTTTGGTTATTTAAAAATATAAAATTACCTTTTGCCTTTCAGAAGCATTCAATTTGTGCTTTTCATTTAATCTAGCTATTTCAGATTCTTTATCTTTAATAACAAGTCTTGAAGAAGTAATTTCAGATTCTATTTTTGATTTTTTAGTTTGCAAATTGAGGATTTCGTTTTCTTTTAGCTTTATATCTTTCTATTTATTTTTCACATCTTTTTAATTCAAAGTCTTTTCATTCTCTAATTATTTTATTTTTTCTTCATTTTCCTCTGCTTCATACTGAGCTCTTATAGCTTTATTTTTTAATTTATTATTTTCTTTCTCAAGCTCATCTATAATTTATTGTCTCTTTTCTTCTTCTTTAATTTTTTACATTTTAAATTATCTAACTTCATCTCCATCTTCTTATTGCTTTAATGCTTCATGTCTAGCATCTTAAGTAACAGATTAAACCATTGACGAAAGAAGTTTTGTATTATCGAATTAATTTGGAGCTGATGTTTTATCTAATTATTAATTATTATTTTAAGCAACAAAGGTAGGTGCTAGAGGTATTGAAGGCCTATTCAATAATAATTAAAATAAATATTATCTACTTACTATAAATTAAAATTACTTTTTTAAAGTTGCCTTGTTTTCAATAGCTGCATTACTATTAGTAGCAGTAGATGATATTAAAGAGGGTTTATTGTTTCTTTTATAATTTATTATTATAGAAATAAAGCATACATATGTAATTAAAGTCTAAATTTTACATTTATTTAAGAGATGATTTCATGTTATAATTGAATTCCTTGATATCTTATAATTAGTTTTCTAAATTGCTATTAGTTTTTCTTAGATTTCTTAATTCAGTTTCATATTAAGTTTTTTTTAATGATCTGTTGCTTTTTTCAACAACTACTAAAGACTCTATATCATTATTAAATCTTATAATATTAGGATTAACTTAAACATTAATATTTTCCTCATGTATAGGACACCTCTCTACACTTCTTTAATAGGTAGGCTAATTAAACTATTATCTCTGATAGCTAGCAACATCCTAAAATTATCATCAATAATTTAAATTTAACTTTAAATTAAATCATATAAAATTATCAATCAAAAATATTTACATTATATCTTATTTCAGTTTATTGTTAATTAACAGGCTAGTAAGCTAAACAATCTGCTATAGTTTTAACTCTTCTATTATTTATAGCATTTTTAATTTCATTTGCTTACTACTAAAAACTACTATTTGCTTAAATGATGCCACTTTTATCATTTTGATTTAATATATGTGTATCTATTTGAAATATTTTAAACATATCCTTTAAATTATAGTTTTTTTTTGTATCTTAATTTACTTTATTAGGAGGTTACAACGAAAGGAACTTAACTATCAATAAACATCTTCGACAATTTTGAATTATTAGTGAATGTAATTTAAAGTTTTAAAATATTGTTTGATATTTGTAAAAATTTGAAATATCTATCTATCTAATTAATATTTTTATTTTTCAAAATAAATCAATAATTTTTTTAGAGATTCTTTGATAAATTGAATGCAATCAATTTTAATCAATTATTTAAATTCAATTAATTCCATAAAATAAGTAAGATTTTATAAATAATATAAGATAAAACACTGACTGAACATTTTCTTAATTTGAAATTTAACGAATAAAAGAAAAGCATCAATATAATACTATTATAAAATTTGATCGAAAGAGGTTAATTCCTTCTTAATATTTTTTTATAAAATATATTGATATAAAAACAAGTAAGCAATACTAATCATCATAATTTGTCTAAAACATAAAAAAGTTAAGTTAATGAGCATGAAGTCTTGCAGTATTGGTCGAATTAGGTTTATACATTCAAATAGTTATTTTTATTTTTTATTCAATCATTTAAGATCAAATAATTAATTCTGTGTGTTATGTTATTTGTGTACATAATTTTTTATAATATAGATTTTTATTTAAATTATTTATTAAAATTTTTAATTGAAAAATTATAAAAATTAAATTTAGCAAATCATCATTTAACGATAACTTTATTTAACTTTCACTTTGTAGTTATTTACTTATTTCTTTGTTTGTTTATTTATTTATTGTTATTTTTAGTTATCTGTTTATTGGATTTCATCAGTGAGGGTTAAATTTTTACTCCTCTTCTTCCTCTTCGAAATCATCAAATTCATCTGGTTTAATATCTTTATGACGTCCAAAATCATACTCTTATGATTAAACTAAGTGAGGAGAAGGAGTTGAATAAAAATTCTTTTATTATGCTGCTTATTATTATTATTATCTCAACAACTTATCTGCATCTTGTTCTTTTAGTAGATTAGTTTATGGTGTTTAGACTTGAGATGCTTCACCTTCTTAATAATTAGCAAATAAACCAATAAATTCTACCCCAAGTTTTGTATCAAAAGGTAATTATATCTTTTCTAAATTAGGTTTTTTACGTGCAACATTATGTTTAATAACTATGTCTGATCCTACTAAGACTTTAGAGGCTATAGAGGGATTTTAATGTTGTTGATGTTAAGCTTTTTCTTAAAGTTGACTACGATTACTTGCAAGCTATTCTTCAGCATTAACATCTAATTAGTTCACATATTCATTTATGTTATATTTTTTTTACTTCAATATATCGTTATTGTTATAATCATCATCGAATAAGGGATCTTCTGGAGTTTGTGTTTCTGTTCCTTACCTTATTAAATAAAATATAAATAAATAAATTTATAAATTATTTTAGTGGGTGCTTTCAATTACTTGCTTATATGGGATTTTGATCTATTTGTGCGGCCTATTTTAATTTTGTAATAAAATTTTAGATAAATATAAATTTTAATATTAAATTTACTTGATTTAGGACGGGTCAGCTACACCTCTCTTGATTATATTTATTATCTGTCTTCATTAAGATTAAAAGCTACAAAATATATAATTTAAATTGATTTAAAAAATTATTTAAAAATTTTTATTTTACTCTTAGATATTTATTCTTCTTAGCTTTTTAGTAAGGAAAATTAATCTAAGTTAAATTAATCTGAAAGTTTCTTTGGTTTCAATAAGCCTAAAGTTATTTAAATAATCCATTTTCCTTAATTATATATAGAAAAAAGAATATTAATTCATACTTGAGTCATTAGAAAAAATAATATCATTTTTTTCAACTGAAGTTTTTTGAAACATTTCTTTCACTGGAATATCTTCTCCACTTTCTTCTGATTCACTAAACCCCAATCCTAAATCTTTATTTGGTATTTATATTAATTTATCATTAAAATATTTTATCTGCTAAAAGTTACTCTTTGGTGGTAATTTATGTCTAGAAGGAGGTCTTAAAGGATTTTAAGTTGATTCACCTAGCTGAATGTCGTGCCTAGGTTTGATAGGACCCTTCTTTATTAATGTAAATTTTAATTAAGCTTAAAATTTTAAAAACTTACATTTGCTCCTATTCCTTCTACATTAAATGTATTTAGCTTTTTACGACAAGGAGGCCTTTGCATATTTTAAAATTAGGCAAAATCAAAGTTATAATCAATTACAGAAGAATGAAAATCTTCTTTTTTTTCTTCTTTTTCATTTTAATTATCTTCGAATTCATAAGGAGTTTGGTTTTAAGATTTTTGTTTTCTCGGATCTAATGAGCTTAAAGAAATATCAATATTTTAATATATATCCTATTGAGGTGCTTTTGAAAAAGAAGTGGATGGTTTTTAATTATAGGAAACATCTGATTGATTTGTGCTATAAATTCGTTTTCTACTACCCGTGAGTTTTTCTTAAGGTTTGGATTTGCTGATATAAAAATTCTTTAGAGTCTAAGCACTTAATTTCTCGTAAGGGCTTTTAGTAGATTTATAAAAATTTTCAGAAGTCTCTGCAAGTTTTTTAGGTTAAGCTATTTTTTTAATTAAAAAAACAAAAAAATAATTTAATTGATGTATTTTTTATTCTTTGAAATGATATTTGTTCAATTTAGTTTAATAAAAATAAATAGAATTTAAATTGTTAAAATATTGATTAATTGCTTACAAAAATTCTAACCGATGTATTTTAATAATCTTTTTTTGAGATTGTTAAAACTCGATTAAAAATAAAATTTTTTAAATATACACAAATCTGCTAAATTAGGCATCAATCCTTGTTTATTTATTGATAGCCACTGTAAAATTGGAAAATATTTGTGCAAAAATTTTAGACATAAATTTAATCTTAATTAAAATTCAATCCTGAAAAATAAATGTTGATGTAATGGATAGATGAATCCTCAAAAAGCAGATTTGACTGTATCGTAAATATCTTGTTGTAATAGTATCTTACATAATTTTATTTTTCAGTTAGATACCAATAATTTAATTAATTTAATAGTTACTTGAAAGAGGTTTTTGTTTTTGTGAAGAATATATTTCGTTGGGAGATTTTGGCCTTGAATATTAATTATTTGTAATTTCACCTTATTATTATTTAGATTAGTTTATATAGGAATCCACTCTTTAATTTGATTGGACAGAAAGCCTTTATTACTTTAAACTTAATTATTAGCCTTGGTTTTAAGAGTTTAATTTTGCATTTTATTTTAATTAGTCGTTAGAGTATTTTTCCCCATAAACCGGAGATTCCTACTAAGATGTAAATTCAGAAGAGGAGGATGATTTTATCTCTTCACCCTTGCCTTGAAGTAGCAGATTATCTAAATTACTTTCATTTGAAAAATCTATTCGCTTAGATACTTCTTAGCCTTTTTTAATTTTCATTTGTGTATTGCCTTACATTCCTTATTTTTCTTTTTCAGACGTACCTAAGTAATTCTGCATTACCTATGAAGGCTACTTTGATTTTTATTAATGTATTGAGTATTGTGTTGATGAATATTATGTTTGTGCAAAGCTGTGAGGCTACTATTAAGATTTACTTAATTCTTTTAATGGCTATGGTGTTTAAAATTGTGGCAATTTAGTTTCATTTTAGTTACTTTGGTTTTATTTGCTTTTAGAAATATAAGAATTTTATTGAGAGCCTATAGATTTACCAAACTAGTAAAAATTATTAGAGGATGATTGAAATTGAGGATTCGCTTGCTATTAAACATTAGCTGCATAAACAGTAGATGTTTAGCTAGTTTTTTTTTATATAGGAGTTGAATATCTTTGCTACTCATCTTGCTAACCTTTATCTATTCTATGGCTATTTTATGCTGTCTATGGTTTTAGATTGTAAACTTGTTATAAATTCATAACTTAATGACGAACTCTATCTGAAGTTGAAGGCCTTTAAATACTAGTATAATATGGTGAATCCCTATTTTATTTAAAAAATTAATTGCTAATCACTTCCTAATTGCATATTTGTGATTTTAAATCATTTGTAATCTAACTTACTTTATCTTTTATGTAAATACTTCTTATTGTTGCAACTATTGCGCCTAGCCTTGCTAAGATCCTTTCATTTGCTAAATTTGTTAACTTATTTATCTAGAGGAAGGATCATTTCTATTAGATTAAGGTCTGTCAACACTATAATTTATTTTATTGAAATTATATTAATTTTATGCTTTTAAAATGATTCTTTTTTGTATACTAACTACTTAAAATAAATATATTTGTATAATAATCACTATGGCAGTGTGATTTTGATAATTTCAATAAAAATAAAATAAAAAAAAACCCAATCAATTTATAATTATTTTAAATTGAAAAAGTGATGAATAAACTTGAAAATGTAGATTAAAAAAAGCAAATTAAAGTATTTAGATATTAGTAAAATTGGTATTTTAACGAAGAAAATGAAGGGGCCAATATATTGATTAAATTGTTAGTTAGAATTAAAATTAATAAACACAAAAGATATTGGTTTATATTTGATTATTATTTATTTGTTTATTGTTAATTAATAAAGGAAATAAATATACTTTGTTTAGAACGGCTATAAATTTGTTGTTGGAATCAAAGTATTTGCTAAAGGCTTCTACTATGGCACAATGTTAGGATTTTGCTACATTCTTCTCGCAGAAGACTGATGACTATAGCTCCGCTCTCTAGTCTTTTAATTTTATTGCATTTTTTGTTTAAAAAATTAAGGCCTTCACTTTCCAATTTATAATTGCAAATGTTCGTTTGCCCTTTTATTAGTTTTCCCCTTTTTTGTTGTTATTTCTTATATTTTGAAGATATTTTGTCGTGTTTTAAAGTATATTTCTTTATTACTTTTATTTATTGTTATTATTATTTATAATTAATCATTTATTAAATCGAGTGTAGATAGCTAATGTTATTGATGAGCAATCTAAGTATTACCCACTCTTTTTAATTAAAGGCCATCCATTTTTGTTTTATTATTACCAAAATCAATAAATAATTTATAAATTTTTAATAATAAAAATACATTTAACCATTATTTATTCCAAGGGAGAATGAGAGATGAGTTGATAATTGTTTGAATTTACATTTAAACCAATTTAATTCAGTAACTACAAATTTTTCTAGACTTCTCTTTATTTACCTACCAAATAGAATAATCAAAATTTAACATCCTATTTACTCAAAATTCTAGGCTCCATTTATTTTTTTTATTATCATATATTTTCACCAAATAGTTTTTAACGGATAATTTTATTTAATTTATTTTATTGTATTTTATTTCACAAATTTTTTCACATGTTAAAAAGACTTTGAGACTCTAATTATATTATAATACAAATATTAAATAGAAACCTTTACTTTTAAAGCTTTTAAAAAATTAAATATTTCTGATGTAACATAATGTAATATTTAAATAAATATTTTAAAATAATTTTTTTAATTGTTTATTTATTTTTAAAAATATTAAAAAATGTATTATTTATTTGCAAAAAAATGTAAAATTTTTATTTTTAAAATTAAATTTATTTTTTTTAAAATGAATTTTTTAATAACTTGCTATTTATTCTATAATTCTAATAATTTTTTATCAAAAAATTTCTTTAAAATCATTAAAATTTTTCCTTTAGAATAAATGTTTTATAGAATAAAAATACAATATATTTTTAATATATTTCCTCTTTTTTTTTCTTCTCCTACATCCTTGTTTTATTAGCTTTACAAATTGTTAGCTTATTTATTCTATTAATTATTTATCATATATAAGCATTATTTTAAAAATGACTAATAATTTCTATTTTATCAAACAACTTTGTTTAAAACTATGATATATGACTTTAATTTACTAATTATTTCTACATTTTTAGTATAAATTGTCTATTAAAAATATTTAATAGACAATATAAGATCTACTTAATCACGACTATTTAGGAAAATTTGCATATATTTTGATATTTTTTCAAATATTAACATTATTTATTACAATATATTATTAATAAAAATTTAGATTTATTTTTTTTTGTTAAATCATGATAAAAACAATATACATACTTATGTGACTAAGGATATATTCATATTAAAGAGTCCTTTTAAGATTTGTGAAAGATTTTTTACTTTTCTTTAAATAAATATAAATATACAAAATATTAATTAAATAAAAAGTTTAAGAAGTATAGTAAAAGAAAAGAAATTTCAAATGGATACAAAAATCAACTACTTGACTGGTGGATTGCAATTTAAGCTTCATGACGATATCGAAGAAGAAGTAGTTTAGCTTAAATAAAATCTTTAAAGAATGTATAAACCAATAGCACCCTCCGTAGATTTAAATGCTGCTTTTGACCCTTAACCCAGCAAGTATATATTAAATTATAAGCATAAACGTTTAATAATTTTAAAAAGAAAAAATAACTAAAATTGCTAAAATTATTTCTCAAATTACAAACTAAAATCATTTTAAGTGGACAATATTAATTTAAAAATTTTTATTAATAATAAAGGTTATCTTTGAAACAAAGATTCTAACTCATTAAGAGTTTTGCTGAAGAAATAATTCAAGAAAATGAACTCGTAAAGTTATTATCTACAAAGCAATTCCCTATTTGCTATGATGGATTCGAACCATCAGGTAGAATGCACATAGCATAAGGTATTATGAGAGCAATCAATGTAAATAAGCTTGTCGATGCAGGCTGTATTTTCATTTTTTGGGTTGCTGACTGGTTCGCTTTACTTAACAATAAAATGGATGGTAAATTTTTATAAAATACATGAAACCAAATAAACTATAAATCAAATGAAAAATCGATTGTTTTTATTTCCCTCAAGCTCATATTACTTTTATAAATTTAAGGTGATTTAGATAAGATTAGAACAGTTGGTCGTTATTTTATTGAAACTTGGAAAGCTGCAGGAATGGTAATAAGAATAAAAATAAAAAAGATTAATCTTTTTATTTAGTTTTTAGAGGAAAACAAAGACAAATAAATTTTTTTTAAATATCTTAGAAAATGCACAATGTTAAATTTTTATGGTGTTCTGACGAAATCAATAAGAAGTCAAACGATTACTGGCTTCAAGTCATAGATGTTGCTAGAAAGTTTAATATCACAAGAATGAAAAAATGTTCTTAAATTATGGGAAGAGCCGAAAGTGATGAATTAGCTGTCTCCTAATTGTTATATCCTGCTATGTAATGCACAGATATCTTCCACTTAAAGGCTGACATTTGCTCTTTGGGTTTAGATTAACGTAAAGTTAATATGCTTGCAAGAGACTATGTTGCCAAGCCTGATAATAACTACAAACTTCACACTCCTGTTATTGTTTCTCATCGTAATTAAAATATTTAAAATTTTTAAATAATAATTTTAAAATTAATATTCTGTTTTTGCAACCCACCCACATAAAAAATATAAACTTATCTAATATTCTAATCTTGTTTTTTTATTTAAATGAATTAATTCTCTTAATCTAAAAATATAACTAAATTAACTTTTATATTTAGTAAATATGCTTTAATTTTTAGATGAATTATATTTAATTTATCAAATAAAAATTTATCTTTTTTTGCTGAATATTTTTTTAAAATTAAGATATGCTTAGTGGTTTAAAAGAAGGATAAGCTAAAATGAGTAAAAGTGATCCTATGAGTGCAATTTTCATGGAAGATACTGAGGAAGATGTCAACAAAAAGATCGATGGTGCTTACTGCAAGCCCAAGGAAGTTTACTAAGAAGATGGTAAAACTTTTGTTAATCCTATTATGGATTACACTAAAAGCATTGTATTTGGTGCTTTCAATAAAATTGAACTTATCCGTAAACCCGAAAACGGTGGCAACATGTAAATTATAAATAAATTTAGAGATATTTTAATCATATTATTATACATATAGTACCTACAACACTTACGAATAACTTGAACAAGATTACATTGAAGGAAAGGTACATCCTGGAGATTTGAAGGCTGCTGTTAAAATTGCCCTTAACAAATTAATCCAACCTGTTCGTGATCATTTCTAGAATGACCCTGTTGCTAAGCAACTATTATCTCAAATTAAATTATGGCAATAGTAGAAATTACAAAAAGAATAATAGTTGTTGTTGCAATAATAAAAAGAAGCAGCTGCACAAGCTTAATGAAATTATTTCTGAAATAATTTATATTATAATTTAGTATCAACGAAATATTATATCCAAGTATATAAAATATTTTAAAATGCATAGTTAGTTAATCTCAAAAATAGTATTTATTAGCATTTCTCATAAAATAAAATAAATTTTCTATCAATTTTAAAGTATTTGGAAATTAAAAATGTGAATGAATTTTCCAATTTTATTAAGAATAAAATTTCCAGTTTTTAAATTAATTTTCTTTATTAAACTAAATGTTCTATTTAAGATATAAAAAATAATATTTTTAAAATTTTTAATTATTTCACTTTTTTGAAAAATTAAAAAAAGTTTAAACTAAAATTAATCAACTTTTATTTAATTTTAATAAATACAAAAATTTTCTTTTAATATTTCAAAATTATATGAATTGCTTAAAGTAGACATTAAGGTCTCAGCTTAAGCAAAAAAGGGCTGATTTTGTTAAGTCTCAGACTTAGAGCTAGTTAAAATAAATCGAAGAAGATGTTTCAAAAAATTTATAGAGTTATATAAATATAATTAAGTCAGAATTTCCAGATTAAAAAATTATTTTAGCAGGTTTTTATCCTATTTAAAGTGAAATCAATTGTATAGAAGTGATAAAAAATTTACAGGATCAATATACTTGCGCTTTGCCTGTTCATTTTAAAAATGAGGAATTAAAACCCCTTTATTTCAGGGAATTTAAATCAGATACTTAGCTAATTATAGGCCATTATAATATTCCTATTCCTTCAGAAGACTCTCCTTAAGTTATTCCTAACATTATATTAACACCATTTTTAGGTTTTGATAAGTTAACTCTGCAAAGAATAGGTTTTGGTGGAGGTCATTTTGATAGAACTATAAAATATTTTAAAGAAAAGTAATTATTAAAAATATTTTTAAATTCTAAAATAATTATTTTTAAATTAGTTAAATTAAGCTTAAATTCGTTGGAATAGGTTTTTAATGCTAATATATTTAAGATCTCCCAGCTGAAGAGCAAGATGAGCCTTTGGATTGTATTATAACTGAAAAGGGAATCTACTTAAAATGAATTTAAATTATTTAGTAAAATAATAAGTTTTATTTTATTAAATCATTAAAATTAATTGCAAACTAATTAATAGTAAATTTGATAGTTAAAAATTATTTTAAGTGCTAAGTCTATTTTTAAATTATTAAATATACATTTTAAATTAAATGTTGATTCAAAAATGCTATTCAAATAAGTTTTAAAATTATTTTATTTTTTGATTAAAAAAAATATTACTTATTTTTTTATAACTTTGGATAAATAAAAAACATGTTTGATATATTGTTTTACTGATTGATTGATTAAATTCTGGATATTATTTTTAACGAGTATAAAAAGTAAAATAGAATGTTAATAGAATATTAATTTTCAAATTTGATGAATTTTGGTTTAATTAACTTATTTAATAATGAATTTGATTTCGCGCGAGACTTTATAAAGTTTAATTTGTAGCTTGCTAGATAAACTAAAGTTGATTATCTAAAAATTATTTATAAATGCTTTGATTTACATTCATTTATTATTAAATTAAAACTATATCTTTTTTATATCATTCAAATCATACATATTCCAAAAACAAACAAATAAATAAAAAAATCAATCAAATAATTGTTCTCAGAATAGTGTTTATTATAAGATGCCTCCTAAAAAGACTAAATCAAGCGAAGTAAAAGAAAGCAGATCTTCTTCTAAGAAAAATGTTATTGATTCTGAAGACAGTGAAGATCAAGCTATTAAGAAAACACCTAATACTAAAAAAGGATCAAATGCTGCAAATGCAAAAAGTGTTTTATCAAAAGAAAGCTCAGTTTAAAAAAGCAACTCATCAGATAATAAAAGAGCTTTAAAAAAAATCTAATTAAGTGAATCTGAGGGAGAAGATAAAGAGCTTTTTCCCACAGCACCTGCGAAAAAGAAATCTGCTCCTGCTCCCAAAGAAATTATAGTTAAGGAAGAAGAAAGTAGCGAAGATGATTAAGTTGTGAAAATTAAAAATAATAAAAATGGATCAGCTGCTGCTGCTACAACAACAAATAAAGTTGCTAAAAATAAAAAGAAAATTAGTGATAATGAATCTTGTGATGAAGAAGAAGAATAAATGACTAAAAATAAAAAAGCAACAAATTAAGCTAAAAATAAAAAAACTGACAAAGAAAATGAAACTAAGTAGACTACCTAACGCTCGTCAAGAAATTAGAAAAAGATTTCTTACAAAGAAGAAGATGAAGAAGACGAATACACTCCTGAATAAGAAGATGAAGATTTTAAGGATGAAGAAGTTGATGAAGTTGAAGAGGATGAAGAAGAAGGAGATGAGCTTAACTCAGATGATGATTTTGAAGAATAAGGCAAAAAGAATAAAAAGAATGGATAAAGAAAAAATAATAAAAAAGCAAATGGAAGAAGTGAAGGCGCAAATAATGAAAAAGCTGCTAAAAAAATTCATAAGGCTCCAGAAAATGCTGATGACAATCACATAATAGATGTATAAAAAGAATAAGGAAAATTGGATATAGAAGATTAATATGAATTGCCATACTTTTTAACAAAGAAGTATTTAAAAGATGCAGAAGGTAGACCAGTAGACGATCCTGAGTACGATCCATCAACTCTGTTTATCCCTATATAAGAGTTAAAAAAGGAAACACCTCTTTTCTAGTAAATTTGATATTAAAATTTAATAATATAATAAAAATGTTTTTTTTAAAATAAATTAATAGATAATATTGGAAAATTAAAGTAAAGCATTTTGACAAGGTAGTGTTTTTTAGATTTGGAAGAAATTTTGTTTGCTTTTATACTGATGCCATTCTGATGAAAAAGCTCTTCGATTGCTATATTGGAGTCTGGGGCAAAAGACCTGTTGCTAATATTTTCGATAATCACTATCGTTTTTATGTAAAAGAACTTCTCGAAAAAGCAGATAAGTCTTGTTTAGTTGTAGATTAAGTTCAATTTTCAGATGATAGATCAAATGAATAATATCTTATTAAAGTAATTTTTAGTTTAAATAATAAAAAATTAATATTTTTTTTTAAAGAGAGAAGTTACCTAGATTATAACTAAGGGTACTTATACTGATTATGTAGATAATGTCGAAGATTATAATGCAAGATATTTAATGTGTATAGTAGAGAGTGAAACTGATCATTCATTTGGTTTAGTTCTTATAGATTGTACAACCCATCAAATATATTTAGATGATATCAAAAATGACCCAGCAGGAAACCAAATTCGTACAATTTTAAGAAAAATGAAACCTGTTGAAATTCACTCAGTCTTTAATAATCTTTCTGAATAAACTAAAAATATTTGCAAAACAACATGCAAACCATAATTTACATTTGATAAATCGTTTGAATTTTATGAGCTTTAAAGTATTTTCGAAGAGCTTAAAAATGAGTTTAGAGAGAAAATTCCAATTAATAATCCCGATAGTATGAAGAAAAGTAATTAAATGGAGATAGAAAAACCCAAGGCCAACAAGAAAAACAATAAAAAAAATAATAAAAAGAAATAAAGTGATGATGATGAAGATGGATCAGATGAAAGCTCTGATGAAGAAAAATCAAAAAGCTTAGTAGATGAAGAAGATGATGACGGAAGTGACAGTGAAGATGATATTGAAAACCTGTACAAGCCTGAAGTTAAAAAAGAGCCTAAATTTACTTACGGTGAACTTAGCAGCGATTATCCTTTACTATTGAAAGATATAGAGGAAATGTACAACATAGATAAAAAAAAATTTGAGGAAGAACTCTAAAAAAAAGCTAATAGGAAGCAAAAAAATTCTCAAGATATGTAAAATGAAGAAGATGATGATGAACCTTGCTTCGACATAGAATACCAGTATTATATGATGCTTTAAGCATTAATGCTTGGAGTAATTAACTTTAGACATTATTTTTCAAAGTACCAAAAATATTTTATTTAATTAAATTTAAGCTAAGCTACTTGAGAAAGCTGAAATTGAATGATAATGTATTTAGACTTGGTTCCTTTTCTCTTTTAGATTCAACTGTTTAAAAGAATACTTTTCTCCATTTAGATGCTCATGCAATAGAAAATTTAGATATTTTCGAGGTCAATTTATAAAACCGTGTTACTTCTGAAGGGTATAAATTATAGATATTAAAAATAGTAAAAACATTAATAATTTCAATAATAAAGGTCTTTGATGTCTTTTATTGATTACACTAAAACTCAATTCGGAAAAAGAATGCTTAAGAGATGGCTATCTTATCCACTAAAAAGTATATAGCAAATAGAATAAAGGTAAGAAGCCATAGAAGATTTAATGAAAATAGAGGATGTAATTGAGTAATTTGATAAGAAACTCAGTAAATTAGGAGATGTCGAAAGATAAATTAGCAAAATTTTTAACTCATCTTAGAAATCAAGACTTAAACCTACTTCTTTTGAAAACTTCTCAAATGTCAGATTAAAAGATGCTTATTCTTTAGTTGAGGATTTAAAAAATTTAGAAGAAATTTTACTTATTTTCAAAGATTATTAAGACAAGTAATTTTTATTTAACATTAATTATATATTCAAATTAAATTAATACTTTTAAAAATAGTTTTAATTCAACTAAACTCAAAAAATTGGTTACTGTAAAGGATCCTGAATAAATTAATAAAATTTTAGAGAGTACCAGATAAAAAAATAACTCGTAAACCTATCTTTCATAAAAATTACTTAATAGGTAAAGCAGCACAAATAGTAAATCTAAGCAGTAAATTATAGTTGGTATTTTCCCAGACTTAAAGCCTTTTGTAGAGTTGATATAGAGTTAGCTCGAATAGGATGAATAAGGTTACTGCCAACCTAAATAAGGAGCAGATGCAGTTTATGATGAAATTGTATTTAAAATGAAAAAAATTTATAAGAAGATGAATAATGAAGCACTTGTCTGGCGTAAAAAATTTAACAATAACTAAGATATAAAATTAATAAAAAGCAAAATGTAATGGGAAATATAAATACCTGAGAAGCTTGTTGAAGGATCAAAGAAACCTAAAGAACTTTATCTCACTTCTAAAGTTAAAGGTTATCAAAGATTCTAAACAGATAAAATAATTAGTCTATGTGCAAAACTTAAAAAAGTAGAAGTCTAATTGCAAAAAGCCCTCTCTCCTTTTTGTGAAAGATTTTTCCATTTGTTTTATTAAAATAGAGAACTATTGTATTAGGTAAAATTTTATTGACATTTAAATTATTTTTAAAATTTTTAAATAAATTATAAATCAGGCTGTTAATTGCATTGGTGAGTTAGATTGCTTATGCTCTTTGGCTAAGTGTTCTCTTAATCTTAAGATAAGATGCAAACCAACTTTTATTCCAGAAAGTTTAAATAAAAATGTTTTCGAACTTATAGAAATGTATCACCCCTAACTGCTAAAGGAAAATAAAAAAAATTTAGTACCAAATGATACAATTTTCGAAGATAATGTTACTTGTATGCTTGTCACAGGTCCAAATATGGGTGGTAAATCAACACTTCTTAGATAAAATTGCTTAGCTGTTATTCTAGCACAATTAGGTTGCTTCTTGCCTGCTAAAAGTTTTAAAACAATTATAAGAGACAGAATTTTCTGTAGAATAGGGTAAACAAATATCTTTAAACATAATAATTTGTAAAGATTTTAATATTCTTATTATTGAATTAATTTAGTGCTTCTGATAGATTACTAGAAGGAAAATCAACCTTTTTGGTAGAAATGGAAGAGACAGGAGATATAGTGAAAGAGGCAACAAATTAAAGCTTGGTTTTATTAGATGAATTAGGAAGAGGTACAAGCACATTTGATGGTGTATCTATAGCATATGGTGTTTTGAGATATCTTGTTGAGAATGTTAAATGTCTTACCCTGTTTTCAACTCATTATCATATGCTTGTTGATGAATTTAAACTTTACAAAAATGTTCAATCCTATGTCATGGATTTTGATTACTGCTCATAATAAAAGAAAATAGATTTCAAATATAAATATATTAAAGGTTCTTCAGAAAAAAGTTTTGGTGTAAATGTAGCTAAAATGGCAGGACTTCCTGACAGTGTAATAGATAAAGCTCATAAAATGGAACATTATATGAATTCAGAAGATTAAAATATAGGTAATGTTCGTAGAATTACTTAAAAGTTTAATTCTATTATAGAAGCTTAGCATTAAAGTGACGATACACTTTTATAATTACTTAAAAATAGTTTTTGAGAGTATTGAAAATTTAATTTTTAAAAACAAACATGTAATTTTATATAAATTTATAAAAGTAAAAAATTTGTATTTACTGACTAATTAATTAATAAACAAACAATAGAAATTAATTTTTGTTCAAATTACATTTCATAGAATATTCAATTTTTTTAATTATTTAGCTTTTCCATAACCTATTGATATATGTTTCTTGCTTTTTCTTCATCGGTGTATTTAAATCTATATCTGTAAATAATCTCAAATTATCTCTCAAACTACATTTTTGCAAAATCTTAATCATTTTAATCAAATTCTTATAATAGTTTTTTAAATATTTTTGGATCCAAAGCTGTTCTATTCGATACTATATTAATAAATTAAAATTTTAAAATGACTAAATTTAAAAAAAAATATATATATATAAATATCATTTATTTACACTTGATTTTTTATTTAACATTGTCTAATTATCAAGTAAAAAATTTTAAGAAATATTTAAGCTAAAATTTTGAAATAATATAAGAAATATTAATTATTTACTTATGGGTTTTAGTTCTTAATCTTGTACTAATGAGTCTAAAAATTTTAACAATCTCTCTTTATCTGGGTGATGATTTATGTATATTATCAAGATTGAGTAGATTAATGACTAAACTTTTTAATTAGTATTTTATGATTTCATCATATTTTGGATATTTAAAAATAATTTTTTGTTTTTGAATAAGTAGCTGATATAAACTTCCCTCCAATCATTCATTTGATTATCTTTAAAAAATTAACTTTCCATTTGAATGAACTTTTCAAAGTATTCCTCGTCTAGCTATTCTCTTTTTCGAATAGCCTCATTTATTTGGATTTACTAAGCTTCGTTAGATATGTCTTTTAAGAAAATTGTGAATGAAGGGGTTATATAATCTGATAAACTATATTCAAGCTATAAATCTAGATTTAACTTCTAGCTAATTTGGCTAAAAGAATTTTTAAAATCTTGCTATAAATCAAACTAAATATTAGTTTAATATTTTAGATAAACTGACACAAATTTTTTGACTATTTGATCAGCCAAGCTAATATTTTGGATTTAATTATTGAGTTTGATCTATTAATATGAAAATAATTCTATCTATAAATATGTCATAAATCTTTAGCAATAAGATAGCTAATAAGTTGACTATGTAGCAGAATAACAAAATTCTTTTAGTGTTTAAGAAGGATTAATATGCTATGAGTCTATCAATTCCTACATAAAGCAAATCACACTATAAATGTCTCTTTCTTAACAATTAGATATTATATTTAAAAAATAATAAACATTTTTTTTATTTTCTTAAAGTTATTTTAAGTTTATTTTTTGATGTTCTTAAATCCAGAAATTATATTACAACAATACTTAAATCCACTAAAATTTTAGATTAGGAATTTTTAGTTTGTATAATAAATCAATGGTTTGCAGAATTCTTAAGCAGAGCATAATAAAACACCTATTTGCTTCTAATATATCTTTTGAACCTTTTGAATTCTCATTTTGCAACAGGATAGAATTTAAGCGCTGATAATATAGAAATATTTAATGAATATAGCTGTAAGGGAAAACATTCATTAAAAATTGTATGTAAATCTCTCCTAAATTTACTTTTTTCATATACATAAAATTTAATATTCTCTATATTTAGTCATCTCCACTATTCTATATCCCAATGTAAGGTACATTCTAATCTTAAAAGAATGTTATACTCTGTTAATTATTTTTTAATTTAAATAATTAAAACAATTCAAAAGCTAATTCAAATTCATTCAACAGTATATTGATACTTTATTTACCTTCAAGCAGTACATTAAAAAGAATAAATGGTTCTTAAAATGAAGGATTGAAGCTCTGATCTTGTTATATATATTTCTTTTTGATAAGATCAAATAAAACAAATAACTTTCTAAACAAGCTTTAATCAATTGAATTCGTATAATAATTATGCAAATCTAAAAAATTATTAAAGCCAAATTGACGGCTTTCATAAATAGATTGATTTAAAGATTTTAAATCTAAACTAAAAAAGGAGTTTAATGCTATGATATGCTAAACTAGAATATATCTTGTAGAAGATTGAGGTTAATCTAGGTATTATCTTAAGCATTAGTTAGAAATTTATGGTTTATTTATTTAAGATAAATATAACCCTTGATAATATAAGGCATCTTAATTTAATTAAGCTGCTAACTTATATATATAATCACAATTTATTTCACTTTGCTTTTCCTTCTTTAAATATTAATACAAAAAGTCTGCCAAAAAAATTAATGCTTAGAAATCTTCTTCGTTTTCTCTTAAAGATTAGATATCTTCTTAACCTTCTCTTTCATTTTTAGTATCTTATAATTTTTTTAATAGTTTTAGGAGTTGTTAATAAGCTTATTAGTCATCTCCAACTTGAGCATAGCAATAAGCTAAAAGTATTATTTATCTTTTATAGTTGTTATTTTCTTATTGATAATCTTTCAAAATTGTTTTCAAGGCTTTATTGAATAGATTTGCTTTAAAGTAAAGGACAGATAAGTAGTGCCTTAATTAAGAATCTTTTACAAATTAATTGTACTCTATTTTATTTAAAATCTCTTTTTTTAGAGGGATTAACAAGTTCCATGCCTTCTAAAAGTCATCTAACATAATATGTGCTATTCCTAGTAATATCTTTTTTCTAAGGTTGATTAAAGGATCACTAGTAACTATTTGCTCAAGTAATTTTATAGCTTGTGTGTAATCTTCAGTTTTTATACAAATTTCTGATCTATAATAAAGCTTGAGTTACTAGTATTCGCTCTTATTTATAATCTCAAGAAAGTTTATAGCTTTTTAATAATTCGCAAGCTAAAAATTAGCATATCCAGCAATTAAATTATACAATTCAAAATTATCTTTGAGTTTTTGATTTTGTTGAGGTTAGTTTTAAATCTATATAATTGCTTCTTCGATATTTTTTGAAGCATTTTCATAATTTTATTTATCTAAATATAGTAACGATATCATACTGTAGAAATAATGCTGATAAATTTCTATATTTTCTTTATGATTACTATTTTTATTTTCACTAAATATTTATTTTGCTTAATCAAAAGTTTATAAGAATTCCTTAAATATTTACTATTTTATTGAAGCATCATTACTCTAAATGTAAATAGTTTTACATGTAAATAAAATATACAACTTTATTTAAATTATTTGAAGTAATCGAATACTTTATACCTAATCTCTATAAGATTTACTATTAATTTAATACTAATCATTAGAGTTATCCAATAATTTTTATGCGAAATAAAAATTTTTGAGAGCTTCATCATTGTTGTTTAGCTTTTAATTTAGTTTACCACACAAAAAAAACATTTCTATACTTTGTTTTCCTTCTTATTATTTTGATTCTTGAGCTAAAGAGAGACATTCTTCATAAGTTTATCTATCTGAGCTCAATTTTAATTTACATTGAATTAGATTGGTTTTGTAAATATATTCTTTATCATCTGTTTTCATAGCATTTTCAAAACTTCTTGCAGCTTGATATATTTAATTTAGGAATATATGAGCAATCCCTATTGCATTTTATGTCTATGCATAAACGACATTATCTCTTTATATCTCTATTTAAATACTTTCAAAGTAATCAATCGCCTATTGATATTTTTATTGTTATATTAAAAAAAATATTTTCAGATATATACTTAGTGGTTCAATACAATTAATCTTATTTATAATATGTATTGCCTAACCAAATTCTTCTTATTTGATATAGGCAATTATTTTTGCATTAAAAGTAGCTGCTTTTAAGTTTTCTTCTATATCTTATGAATCAATTATGGAATCAAAGCATTAAATTGCTTCTTAAAATCTTCCAAGTTAGACTAAAGTAATACCTTAATTATATACTTTCACTTTTTAATCATAAGTTACTGATTCCTCTTCTACCTTCCTATTATACGTCTATAGTGACGCTTCATAATTTTTCAATACATATTAAACTTAAGCTAGTTAAAACTAATTAAGCGTATTTTAGAAATGGTCATTATTTTAACTTTTTTAATTTTATAACAGATTTTTCTACTAATCTTCAAAAAAATTTTCTATTTGATTCTAAAGATCATCATAAGAAATTAAGGATTAATCATTCTAAATGTTTATATTTATCTTTTAAGCTATTGAATATTCTTTTTAGACATTAAAAAGCTGTTAAATGCTTGATCCTTACTCATATTTGATAAAATTGATTGAAGAATTCATTTTTGTTTTTAAATTTTTTATAAAAATGATTCTTGATATATATTGTAAAAGTAATAAATAAAATATTGTTTGCAAAAAATATAAATAAAATTAATTGAAAATTAATTGATAAACTGTAATTTATTCATTTTATTAGAATATTAAATAACAAATATAAATTTCTTTATAGTTTTTTAATGATAAATCTAAAAAATTTTAATTAAAAGTGATACTTTATATATTCATAATTGCAATATACTTATATTAATCATTAATTAGATATTTTTGTATTAGTTAGTAGATAATAAACTTGGAATTCTAAAAATTTATATATTAAATAAATTTTCGAATTTTGGTTGAAAAGTATTTGGTAGAGAGATTTGATGTTAATAATTTTCAATCATCAGTTAAATAACTAGAATTAGTAAAATAATCAAACACGTTTGACTGAATCAAAGCGTTATCTTATTTATTATTTTAGTCATCAAGATAGTATTTTTGATCATTATTTTGATAGTCATTTAATATTTGTTTGAGATTATAGTTTTTCATTTTAGAGAGAAGTTATTCATATATATCAGAGTCAGTATGGAAAATAGGATCTTTTTAAAAGCAAATTTTAATAAATGCTGAGATGTAATTGTTATTAATATACTCTAGTTAGGATTCATTTTTAATATAATTATATATTCTAGATAGTTTATGACATTCTTTTTTAACATATTCAATTTATTTATTATCAAGGATACATTAATGCATTTAAACATATTTAAAAGAATTTTTAAGCCATTTTTAATGGATCATTTTATCACTTGAAGCTATTTCAGAAAGATTAAATATCTAAAAGATATCATCCTTCTCTTACATAGTCATTTTTTTAGGTCTTCCAGAAGGAATAATTCTATTATAAGTCATATTTTAGTGGTTTTTTTTGAAATGAGAAAATAATCCGCCATTATTTTTATATGTTTTAGAACAATAAGGACACTCAAAAGGTAAACTGATAATTGTAGATTCAAAAAAATTCATTTGATTAATTATTTTTTATTTGTTTATTTTATTTAATTATTATAAAAAGATTAATATCTGATTGTTTGTTTAATGATAAACTAAAAGTATTTTATCATAAATATTTAATTACTTAGTCAATAATATAATTAATTTTAAATAACCTAGCTTTTGTTTCGCTGCTTATTAAAATCAAAACTGTTTATATTAAATAATTATATTTTTATAAAAATAAATAAATTGATAGATCTACCAATTATTTTGAGAGAAAAAGGAAAATAAATGAGAAAAGTATATTTCTGGCTCATATTCGCATCTCTTTACATTCTAACAAACCTCGCAATTAAAGATTTGATTTTAAAAAGTTATTAAGTAATATTAACTAAGTCTGATTAGGATTATAATTCAAATAATCATATATATTTGTATTTTAAGGTAAAATAGGTTTTTTAGCTAGAAGGAATTTCGCCCACAAATAAAAATAATTTGTTTGCTTAAATCGATTTCAATTATCTTCTAGAAATAAATACACAAACTCATCTTCTTTTGTCTCATATATAGGTAAAATATCTTAATTTAAATTTTAAAACTATTTATTTGTTGTAGATGCTAATTAATACTTTTATTTACCTATATTTGCTTGTAAAATTGCAAAAGAAATTCATTAATTTCAGATTTTATAAGATGCATAAAATTTTTTAAAAAGAAATACTTTTATTTGTTTTTATTGATCATAAAAAGAAAAAACTTTTTGTTTTTCCCAATTTTAAATTTTTATTTTTTGATTGCTAATAAAACAGTAACAGAAATTTTATAGGACGATTAAGGTTCCTAAAGATTAATAATGCTTGTACTTTAAATAGTAAGAAGAGCATGCTGTTTGCAAGAATAAAAGCTGCAGTATTTGTAAATGTGAGCAAGAGGATGTAAATATATATTTATACTTTTTTATATTTATTATGTTTTTACTTATAAAGATACCATTAGAATGGAGAAAAGAAGATTAAAATGAATGCTATATTAAAAACAATGATTATGAAGATGAAACTACACAAAAGGAAAAATATGACTGGTATTGGTCTTTAAATTAAGAAAATGATTTCAAAGATGGCGAATATGTTGATTTGGTTGAGAATATTGAAGGGTATACTGCTAACAAAGAGCCTAATATATGGAAAATTATTTACACAGAAGACTGCTTTTAAGGTTTTTTTATTTTTATTTTGAAAAAACTAATAGTAAAATACACGTAAATAATATTTTTAATAATAGGACAATAATTGAGTTCTGAAAAGATGGTACTTAATTCTATTATTAGTGGCTTTCATGCCAGTATTAGTAGTCACATTTGTGAATTTTATTAAGATCTTTCAAAAGAAGAGGCTAAGCTAAACCCTAGCTGGGAGTTTTATTTTGAAAAAGTTGGAAATTATGAAGACAGAATAAAAAATTTACTATTTTATTATGAATTCCTCCTTAGGGCTGTATAAAAATCTTCAGAAGTTTTTGTGAATTTCCCATACAAGACAGGAGATTTAGAAAGTGATAAAGAAGTTGTTTAATTAATAAAGGGGTTTATATCTCAAATTACTTCCTAAAATAGAGTGTTGTAATTTGATGTAAATCTTTTCAAAGACCAAGATTCAGTAAAGTATTTGTATATTTTATAACTTTATTAATAATAAATGAATTTTAGGTTGAGATAAAGAGGAATTATTAAAAATATGTTAAAAATATTGCTCAGTTAATGGATTGCGTTTCTTGTGAAAAATGCAAATTGTTTGCAAAAATTTAAGTATAGGGTATATCTCTTGCTATGAATATCATATTTGCTGATAATTCAGATGAGAGAGTTAAATATATGAAAAGGAATGAACTAATTGTAATTTTTCTTTTAAAAAATTCATAAAATTTATGCTTTTTTTAATATAAAAGGCATTAATTAATACTTTACATAAGTCATCTGAAAGCATCTAAATAATAAATAAAATGCATTAAAGAAGATATGACCATTACTCATTCAGATTTTATTTAGCTAGTACTTTATTTGGAGCTTGTTTAGCAATAATAATAAGTTTATTGCTAAAGACAAAGGATAACTTAACCAAATAAAAAAAATAGTGAAAATAAAACTAGAAAAATATTTTATAGTTAAATGACATTTTATAAGCTGATATTTACAAATACTGTTTTGTTCATTTTTAATTGTTAGAAATTAAAGAATTTTTCATACTTTTACTTGATAGAGCTTATTCATTTTTTATTCGTAAATCTAAATTACTAATAACATTCTACTTTGCTAAAACTTTTAAAAATTTTGTTGAAATATGAACGAAAGATATTTTGATTCTTCAATATAGCATTCATAGCTATAAATTGAAATAGATTAAAGTTTTTTATAATATTGTAAAGATACCATCTAAATCATAAAAAAAGGATAGATGAATTACTTCTTTTTTTCTTCGTAACTTTCTTTTTTTAGTGCTAATTTGCTTAACTTAACAAAGAAGTAATTAATTATATTAAAAGATTATGTTTAATAAAAGTGTTTTTTGTCAAATTGATAAAATTTAATATTTTATTAGAAATTAATAAAAAATTAATTAAAAGCGTATTTAGTTAGATTAATGAAAAATTTGAGTTTAAAATCTAATAGTCTTAAAATATTTTTAATATACTTGTTCTTATTTTAGCAACATGTTCTCTGTTTAGATACTTCATAGTGTTCAAATTATGAAGATCCTAACAAATGTATGAATACTTAAAGTAATAAAAAAATTCTGGAGATTTCAGCATTTTATATTTTCATTTATTTTTTGATTCTTTTTATTTTAAAATATAAGTTAAAAGAGATGGTAAATTCTACTATGACAGAATAGAGAAATCCAAGTAAACTGATCTAGCTGTACCTCTCTTATCAGATGAGTATTAGTTTACAATGGCTTACTCTCACTTTGAAAATAACAAACATAATGATAAAGCTGTTTTTGAATTATTTTTTAGAGTTAACCCATTCTAAGGAGAGGTATTACATTAACATTATGCATCAAGCTGTTTAATAAAAATAATTTTATTTAGAATTTAAAAGAAGAATTCTCAAACCCTTTTAAAAATTTTTAGTCAGTTTAGCAATCTTTATTTGATTTTTATGCAAATTTGATAAAATTATTATTCTATTATCATTTTTGAAAAATAAAAATGTAATTTAATACAAGAAAAAATCATTTAACAAATTGCATCTATAGAATTAAGGCTATAAAAAATTGTTCGTTTTTAATGTGAATAATAAATATAAAATAAATGAATAGTATACTGTGTTCGCAGGAGTTGAAGAAGTTATTTCTTTTCTAAAATATTTTAAAATCACTGATGAGCATATTGAATATATGAGGTAAATTAACTAAATTACTTTAAAAATAGAAAACACTTTTATTTAATTATTCAACTAAAGAAAGATTATGCCTCCTCACACTAAAGAAGAGTTTTTTGATTGGCTTAAAACTTTAGATTGCAAATAAGTTAAGCTTTATAGTATAAAACAATTTATTTAATATTTCAATTTGCTAACTTTTTATTATAATATAGCTATGAATGAAGGTAGTTTAGTTTTTCCTAAAGAACCACTAATTTAAATCGAAGGACCTCTTAGCTTACTGCTTATCTTAGAAAGTCCATTAATTGCATTAACAAGTTTTCCAACTCTAGTAGCAACAAATGCTGCTCGTATGAGAAAAGTAGCAGGAAATAAAACACTTTTAGAGTTTGGTTTAAGAAGAGCACAAAGTCCTGGTGCAGCTTTGGTAGCATCAAGGTGAATTCAAAATAATTATAACAATAAGAAATAATTCAACATGTTTTTAACTTAGATATGCATATATGGGAGGATTTAATGAAACAAGCAACCTATTAGCAAGTAGCAAATACGATATTCCAGTCTCTAGTACTATGTCTCACTCATATGTAACTTCATATACTTCATTAGATGAAGTACACGATTTTCTTCTTAATGGAGTTAACATAAAATAAAAAGCTCTCTACTATAGATAAGTCTTAAAAGTAATTACTATTAGGTTTTATATAAAAATTTCATAAATATAAATTCATTTTTTTATAAAGTTCTCAAAAACTAGTGATAGCGAATTATCTTCCTTCATTGCTTTTTCTAAAAGTTTTCCTCATAAATTTATTTGTCTGGTTGATAGTTTTGATTCTTTAAAATCTGGAGTTCCAAATTTCCTTGCAGTAGCTTTGGCTTTAATAGATGCTGGCTATTAGCCTATAGGTGTTCGTTTAGATTCTGGAGAATTAGACTTACTTTCAATGTAATAAAATATATAAAAAAGTGCTTTATTTAAAATTTTTATTTAAAGTGCTGCAAGACAAATTATAGATAATGCCGGCCTTGTAGTTCAGAAAGATTTATCATTTATCAAAATTATGGCTTCTGACAGTATTAATGAGAGCAAAATAAAATAGTATAATATGAGGGTATTTATAAATTTTTTGCTTATGAAGTAACTCAAATAATTTTAACTAATAGGGAAATGCAATTGATATTTTTGCAATTGGAACAGAGATTGTCACTTGCAAGAGTTAACCTAATATGGGAATAGTTTACAAGCTTGTTGAAGTAAATGAATTAGCTAAACTAAAATTCTCTGAGGATATAGCAAAGTCAACTTTGCCAGGCAGGAAGGCTGTATATAGAGTTTGGGTTGAATCTTAATCAGTACCTGTAGCAGACATTATTGCATTGCCTGAAGAAAAGATAGAAGGATAGAGCAAAATTAGAGTTGTTTCTCTCCAAAAAACTCAAGAAAGATATACAATAATTCCTAAAAAAATTTAAAGAATTTTACACCTTGTTTGGGAAAATGGAGAGATTGTAAATCCAGTTTTTGATTTAGAAGTAATTTGCTTTATTATAATTTTAAGAAATTGAATGTCTTTTTTTTAGGAGTCTAAATAGTATTTAGAGTAATAAATGTAAACTTTTGATGAATAGATCATCCATGATCAAAAGATCAACAAAAGATACTTAATTGTCACTACAGAAAAGTATTGGTCATATTTCCAAAAGAGTGCAGAAAATGTTCTTATTCCAAAAATTATTGCATGAAAAAATAAAATATTACATTATTCAATAATTATTTTAGGATTTCTTTTTTAATATTTAGCTTAATTTAATAAATAATAAATATTGTCAGTTTATTTAAGCTGTTTTTTATTTTAATTTTATTCAAACGAATTTTAATTTTAATTTCAATTCAAATTATTAAGTATTTATTTAGAAATTTTATAGTATTTGTAATCTTATTTATTTTTAAATTTTATGAATGATGAGTTTTAAATTTTAAATAAATAATTTTTCTAAATTATCAAAAGTTAATAATTAATATTTTTAGCTTTGAATTGTTTTTGAAAATACGGCTGATAAAAAAATAAATAATGTGCTTTAATATGTTAAAAATGTGCAATATTTTGATTGTTACAAAAAGATTTAGGCATTTTTGACAGAACATTTTAAAAATCAGTAGAAAAATAAAAAATTTTTTTTTGAACAAATCCTGATTTTAAATTTATGAATTGGCTTTTTTGGCAATCTATCAAATTATCTGTTAATATTTGAGTAAATTAAAAAAAATCAATTTTACTGTTGGCTTCAAAGTAGCTTAATAAATTGAATATTTAGATTTTTAATTTAATTAAGTTAAAGTAAAAATAATTTGTTAGTAAATAGACAATAGAATTATAATTATCATAATCTGAAATGTCTTTTATAGACAGATAAATTAATAATATTTAATTTGTCAACAGAAAAATTTGATTTGATATTATTAAAAATTAATGCATTAATGTGAGATGTGATAAGGTTGCTAAATAGAGGTTTTGAGTCTTATTCATTATCTATTTTAGAATTTGTCTGCTCATAATGGGCTATAAAATATAATGAACAAAAAATGATTGATTAGCGCGGATTAAATGTATGAGTCTTTTTCATGATAAATTTACTGTAAATTATATCCTTTTAGCGTTTATTATTGATAGTGGATTTGCATGCTTAATTAATTTATATAAAAATTAAAACATCAAAAAATTCAGAGTTATTAGTATAAAGAGAGAAAAGTAGGAAGAATAAAATAAAGAAAGGTATAGAGAAAAAGTCAAAATTTAAATTCAAACAAGCTTTAATAGCTATTTTCACAATTGCATTGAAGAAATGAATCAATTATCGTTTTTATTAAGTGGTTAAGATTCTGAATAATTTAATGGTGGAGAAGGTCCAGCCTAATAAATCAAAATTGAAACCAAACCAAGTTCTCAAAGTAAATGAAAATTTTAAATATTATCATTTTTAGGCAACTTGCTGCACTCAATTTTAAGAATCGAACTTTTAAGCTAATAAGTTTTTTCCTCCTTATAACTAAAAAAGCAAAAGACTTGTATGCCCATTAAGATTAGACTACTGCTTTGTTGAGCAAATACTCTGTATTAGACACAGCCTCCTAATTATAATAAATAGATAGCACAGAAATGAAAAAAATTAAAGATTAAATTGAAAGAAAAAAAAAACAAACTAGTGATAAGGACGATGATGATGATTTCGATGTAGGTCCAATAATTAAGAGAAAAGTTGATAATGATGTAGCTGTCAATCTTAAATCAACCTCTTCTTCTTCTATTTCTAACTAACCATCACAAAATTCTATCTCTTCTAAAGCTGCTCTTTAAAGCTCAGTTCCAACTTCTTAAAACCTTGCTCAGTAAAAAGTAAATAAATTAGATGAAAAAGTGTCTCAAAAAAATGCTACAAATTCATAAAGAGATTAAGCATTAAACTAATAAGCAAAAAAAGCTTAAAACGGATCATCTGAAAAACCAAAAGTTAACCCTTCTTAATCTGAAAGTAATTTAAGAAAACCCCAACCTAATCCTAAAGTGCCTCCTACATCAGCTTCTTAAGCAAATGCAAGGACTCAATAGATTCAAAATTAATAAAATAAATAATCAACCACGTAAAATAATGCTACTTAAAGAATGCAAGCTCCTCCATAAAAAAATTCTATGCAGTCATAATAAAAAGTTACTTAAAATAAAGCAACCCCTTTAGTAAATTAAAAGACATAGTCTATTCCTGCATAAAAGTAAGCAAGTTAGTTATAAAAAGGAACAAATTAGTAAAATTAATAAAACCCTTAGAAAAGCATAGCATAAAATTAATAGTAAAGACCCATCAATAATTAATAATAGTAGTAATAAAGATAATAACCAAATAACATTTAAAAGCGTCCAGTTGATAAACCAAATGGACAAAATGCAGTGAGCAAATAAAATATGTAAAATAAAATGAATGCAAATTAAAAGTAACAACAACCACAAACTTAAAAGCCTGGCTTAAATTAATAATAAAATATTATAAACTAATAAAAATTAGCTTTCTAGAAGCTACCTCCAGAGAAATAGCTCCAATAATTATAAAATTCTAAGTTGAAACTTGAAAAAAATCCAAAGAAGACACCTTAAGATATTTAAAAAATCGAGAAATTAAATGTTTATATATAAAAACTCTAAAAAATAATACAGCAAAGATAAAATAAAGCAGCAACTAATAAAAATTAAAATAATAGGACTTAATAACAAAATAGATAAGCGACTAATGGAAGTTAAAAGCCATAAAATTAGTAGTAAAGATAAAATCAATTGAGCCAATTAACCACTAAAGAGAAAGTAAAAATTTTCATAGATAAGCTAAATGCCTTCAAAAAAGCTAAAAGCTTGACTCCAGAGCAAGTTAAATAAAAAGAAAGAATTATTAAATATTTATAAGACATAAAGAAAAAATCTTTGTAACAGAAGTAATTAATGTAGAGTAAATTAAGTTAAGAATAAAAATAAAAAGAAGAATAGCGTAGAATACAAGAGTAAAGATAGAAGTAGATGAGAAAAAACTAATAAGCATAAAGAGACTACGATTATGAAGATGAATATGATTTGGATGACAGTTTTATTGCTGATGATGGTGACGAATTCGATTAAGAGTTATAATAAGACCTCTATAAAATAATTAAAAAAGACAAAATACAAAAACTAGCATAAAAAAACGATAAAATTAAAATCGAAGAAAGCAACATTTACTAAATTAAAAGAGAAGAGAAAATTTCTGATAGAATAGGTAGAATAGAAGATGCCAAAGAATAAGAGTTAATCAAAAAAGAAAAAATGGAATTAAAAAAGAAGAAAGGATTAACAATCGACTCAGATGATGATGATGATATTGACTAAGAGGATGAAGATGAAGAAGAAGAGGAAGAAGAATAAATGTCTTATGATGAAAATGATAGCTTTATTGTTTATGGTGATGACGAAGAAGTAGAATGAAAAAGAAATATCTTTTAAATTTCAATAATAAAATTATATTAATGAATGAATGAGTGAAAGCAAGTTAAAAGCAAGAAATAAAATTAAATTTTTATGTTAAATATTAATAAATATAGAGCATATGATCAAGATCAATTGATTGATTGATCGTAATAGTAAGATAAATATATATAAACAAGTTTAAAATTAAAAATTATCAACTATTTTAGTTAAACACAATAATCATTTTATAAATAATTTTTTCGTTAATTATTTATTTATTTATTATTTAGTTATACATATCAAACATACCAAATAAAATAAAATCAAACTAATTTATAATACTAAAATTTTAATAATATTTAAATCAATTATTTTTTTCAAAAAAAATTTTAATTTTCCAATTTCTAATATTCTAACAATAAGTATATTTAAATAATTAATCCATTATATGCTTCTTTCTAATTAAATTATTAATTTTGTAGTAATAAGATTTGTTTTAAAATAATAATTTTCTCTATTTCCATTTAAAATTTTTAATTAAGAATCAGTATACACATTTTAAACCTTTTGATTTTCTTAAATTTTTTTAAGCAAAATTTTTTTTTATCAAAAATAATATAAAGAAATTTAAAATAAAGCGGAGTCTTTTTTTAAGAGAAAAAGTTAGTTAATATTTACACAAATGATATTATTTGATTACTTATAAAGTATTATAAAATAATTGACATTTATGATTACAATATTTTAAGATTGTTAAAAAATATATAAATGTATATAATTTGAGAATATAATATTTATAAAATAAAAAAAGATATTGATATATTTATAAATTATAGAGTTATTTTATCTAATATTAATTTATTTTAAAATTTAATAGAGAGTCAATATAGAAAGAATATTATTAAGTTTTTCTTATAAATTAATTTTAATAAGACTTAATCAGAATTTTAAATTAGATACAAATTTATGTATTCTACTTAATAGCTGAGTTAAAATAAAAAAATAATTGAAGCTAATTTAATATTGTATTTTTATTTATTTTGATAAATTCTTACTTCTATATTAACTACAAATACTAACAAATAGACTTATTTAATATTTCTTTTTAATAAATAACTTTAAAAAAATAAAATTAATTTTGCAATAATAAAGATGAATCAAACTAATAGCCTTACTTATTCTCTTAATAAAAATGAAATACCTTGCAAGCTTCCATAAAATTTAAATGATATAAAATATCTTATATTATTAGCAGATACTTTTATACAATAAATAAGCTTTTAAGATATCTAAAATATTATTTCAATACTTTCTGAAAATAAATTTGAATAAGTTATATTTGAAGGATTAGAAAATGATATTTCTATATTTACAATCTAAGAAATTGAAAACTTTCTTTTGAAGTCTCAGTATATATAAACTATTTACTTTTTTGCAAAGTCTAATCTACAGTTTAGCTTTTAAAGCTAAATCTTTACTTCTTCGATTGGCAATATTAGAATTTAGTATGAAGGATTCTCTATTGAAAAATAAAAAAAGAAAATAAAGATTAGGGTACGCGAATTACATATGTTTGAAAACTATCTTAGTTTTTTAAGTATTCTAAGTAGAAATGATCAAATTAATATTTAGGTAATAATACTGAATCACTTGAATGCTTGTGGTAAAAAGAAGATTGAATTATTTAGCATTATATGGAATATGCTTCAAAAGCATAAGTATTTTAGCATAGAAATCAAAAATTACATTTAATATTATAATTATTAAAAATTTATTTCTATTCATTACAAATACTGGTACTCAGATAGTTTAGAAGAATTGATTCTTAATAGATTTCTAATTTCTAAATTAAAAATTCATTTTGATTAAATGGATTCATAAAAAAGTAAACTTGAGTAAGTAATTGTTGCTATTAAAGAAAAATACAGTTAATTGAATGAAGTTTTTATTGAATGTTCAAACCTTCTTGAATTCTTAAATATAAATTTAAATATTTAGTTTTTTGTTAAATTGATCAGATATGAAATATAATATAAAATGTCATATATTAAACTAGACTTTAAAGAAAATAAATGCATTCTAAAGTAAATCAAAAGTGATTAAATTATCTTACATATAATAAACTACTTTTTAGAAAATAAAAATAGCAATAATGTTGCTATATCGTTAGATAATTAACTTTTTAACTTATCTTGCTAATACTAAATGTTACAGAAAATATTAGCTTTCAATAATATAAATGTTCAGAGCAATAAATTTTCAATTATTCTAAACGATTAAGAGTTTAATTTATAATTTGTATTAAAGAATTTTAATCATCTCATCAAAATTCTAGATATAATTTAAGAGTAATAATAATAACAGTTTTATAGATTAAAAATTTAAAGCTAAAATTACATTCCCTTGTCAGATGAAAATATTTTGAAACTAAAAAAATCATACAATTTTTAGGAGCTCAAAATATCATTTGGGGGAGCTGAACTTAGTTAAAAAAAATTGATAACAAATGATGGTTACAATTTAGATCTGTTTAATGATATTTTTAATTATTTACCTAACTTAGAAATTTTAAGCATTAGTTCTTAAAACAATTTCTATTATTTACATAAGTTTCCTGAAAATCTTCCTCTCACTTTAAAGTATATAAAAATATATAATTTTAATTCAAGCTTGATTCTAGACAAAGAAAACTTAATATCTTATAACTTTGCATTTCTAGAATAAATGAAACCTTTTATTGGTGCAAATAAATTAAAAAATATAGTAATAAAATCCTCATTTGAATATATTACTAAAGAATTTCTTCAATTTATTACATAATAAAATGAATTAAGGAAATTTTATTTTGATTCCTTCAACAATTATAAATAGAAAGAAAATAAAGAAGCGATTTTAGAGTTTGATAAGATTTAAGAAAATGAATAATTCCTCTTATCAATATAAGAAATTATTAGAACACCTTTGATCTTTTATATTAAAAATCATTAACTTATGGTATTATAAAAGTCATTTTAAATTAGAAATAGCTTAATGACTAAATTAAATTACAAAAATTTAGATATATAAATTTATAATACTTAAGAATTTTTTGCTATCATCTAGTATATCTAATCAAGAAAACAATTAAATTTACCAATAATTGAAGAATTATCTCTCCTTTTTATTGATGAAATTGAGGTGAAAGGACTTTAGAATGAAATAATTTAAATGAAAAATTAAGTAAAAAAAGTTTTTGTATATGTATAAACAAGGTGTAAATTATTCTTTGACTTTGAAAAAAGTTTTTATCTTAGAAAGATTGAATTTGATCGATATTATGATGAGTGTTTATCAAATCTAGTTTATTTTGATAAGATATAATATGAGTCTAGCTGTTGTACCATATTTAAGTAAATAAAGTAAATGTTGAATCCCTAAAGTAGTAATTAAAGTTTCTATCTAATATTAACTTTAACATTTGAGGAAGCTGTATAATTTTTTTAAGAGTTATCAAACTTTAAATTGGTTTTATTTTGTGATTTTTCGATAAAAAATTTAAATAGTTAACAATAAATATTTAAAATTCTTGAGCTTTTAGCATCATAGATTTAAAAAGGTTAGATTAAAAGTTTTAAGTTGTAATTTTTACTTCAGTAAATAATTTATTTTTAAGATATTATGCAATTTTCATATAATGAACGAAGCCAGGGTTTTAATTAGCATGATGATTTTAATCAAAATTAATATCTTGAATACTTTTTAAATAAATTATAAATAAAGATAAAAAAATTAAAAATAATTTTATCTCCTTACTCTTATAAATAAAAAGATGTGATAAACCGATTATAAAATATATTTTCATATCCTTATGTGAAATATATTTTCTTAGAAACAGAAAATTATTGCTAAGTTAGTAATTCTAATATTACAACTTTATAAACATATTAATATCATAAAAATATCTTAATGCTATTCCTACCTAATTTGGTTAAAATAGGACTTGATCGTTTTGAAAAAATTGAATAATTTCTTTAATACTTCACCATAAAGCCAGGTAATATTTAATTTACAGATCAATAATTAGAATATAATTATAGAAAGCAATTTAATAATTCTATTAATTGTTCTTATTATGTATAACCGTTTCAGAATTTGAAAAATTATGATTTGTGATATTTCAAATAATTTTTATATTAATAATGAATTTTTTTTTCTAAATCTTTATTATTTTCATTATATTTGATTTCAAAAATGCTTACAAAAATTAATAAAAATACAGAAAAGTTTTTTCAAATTTTGATCATACGTCAAATATGTTAATGAATTGTTTTATTCCACGGACGCTGCATTGCCAATATCTATTATAATAATTACTTAGTTATACATATCATTCATACCAAATAAAATAAAACCAAGCTAATTGATAATACTAAAATTTTTATAATAAATTAAATAATTATTATTTTCAAAAAAAAATTTTAAATTAAGAATCAGTCAACACTCTTTAAACCTTTTGATTTTCTTAATTTTTTTTTAATCAAAATCATGTAAATAAATTTAAAATAACTTGATTTTTTTAAAGTGGTATTAGTATAATTAACATAATGATTAAAATATTGTAAGATTGTTAAATAATATTTATATGTAAAGATTTGAGAATATTATTTTTACAAAATAAAAAAAGATATTGATAGATTTATTTATTAGTGATTGAATTATTTTATTTAGCATTAATTTATTTTAAAATTTATTAGAGAGTCAATATAGAAAGAATATTATTAAGTTTTTCTTACAAATTAATTTTAATAAGACTAAATCAGAATTTTAAATTAGATACAAATTTATGTATTCTTCTTAATAGCTGAGTTAAGATAAATGAGTAATTGAAGCTAATTTAAGATTTTATTTTTATTTATTTTGATAAATTCTTACTTCTATATTAACTACAAATACTAACAAATAGACCAATTTAATATTTCTTTTTAATAAATAACTTTTAAAAAATAAAATTAATTTTGCAATAATAAAGATGAATCTAACTAATAGCCTTACTTATTCTCTTAATAAAAATGAAATACCTAGCAAGCTTCCATAAAATTTAAATGATATAAAATATCTTATATTATTAGCTGATACTTTTATACAATAAATAAGCTTTTAAGATATCTAAAATATTATTTCAATACTTTCTGAAAATAAATTTGAATAAATTATATTTGAAGGATTAGAAAATGATATTTCTATATTTACAATCAAAGAAATTGAAAACTTTCTTTTGAAGTCTCAGTATATATAGAGTATTTACTTTTTTGCAAAGTCTAATCTACAGTTTAGCTTTTAAAGCTAAATCTTTACTTCTTCAATTGACAATATTAGAATTTATTATGGAGGATTCTCTCTTGAAAAAGAAAAAAAGAAAATAAAGATTAGAGTACACGAATTAGATATGTTTGAAAACTATCATAGTTTTTTAAATATTCTTAGTAGAAATGATCAAATAAATATTTAGGTAATAATAGTGAATCACTAGAATGCTTGTGGTAAAAAGAAAATTGAATTATTTAGCATTATATGGAACATACTTCAACAACATAAGTAATTTAGCATAGAAATAAAAAATTATATTTAATATTGTAATTATACAAAATTTATTTCTATTCATTATAAATACTGGTACTCAGATAGTTTAGAAGAATTAATTCTTAATAGATTTCTAATTTCTAAATTAAAAATTCATTTTGATTAAATGGATTCATAAAAAAGTAAACTTGAGTAAGTAATTGTTGCTATTAAAGAAAAATACAGTTAATTGAATGAAGTTTCTATTGAATGTTCAAACATTCTCGAATTCTTAAATATAAATTTAAATATTTAGTTTTTTGTTAAATTGATCAGATATGAAATATAATATAAAATGTCATATATCAAACTAGACTTTTAAAAAAATAATTGCATTTTAAAGTAAATAAAAAGTGATTAAATTATCTTACATATAATAAACTACTTTTTAGAAAATAAAAATAGCAATAATGTTGCTATATTTTTAGATAATTAAACATTTAACTTATCGTGTAAGTACTAAATGTTAAAAAAACTATTAACTTTTAATAATATAAATGTTCAGAGCAGTAACTTTTCAATTATTCTAAACGAGTAAGAGTTTAATTTATAACCTGTATTAAAGAACTTTAATCATCTTATTAAAATTCTAGATATAATTTAAGAGTAATAATAATAGCAGTTTTACAGATTAAAAATATAAAGTTAAAATTGCATACCAGTGTCAAAAGAAAATATATTGTAGTTAAAACAATCATATAATTTTTAGGAGCTCAAAATATCATTAGGGGGAGCTGAACTTAGTTAAAATAAATTAATAATAAATGATGTAGACAATTATGATGGGTTTGAGGATATTTTTAATTGTTTCTCTAACTTAGAAATTTTAAGTATTAGTTTAAAAAATTACTATGCTAATAAGTTTGTCAAAAATCTTCCTCTCACTTTAAAGTGTTTAAAAATAATATAAAATTATAATTCAAGCTTTATTTTAGACAAAGAAAATTTAATATCTATAAACTTTGCATTTCTAGAATAAATGAAACCTTTTATTGGTGCAAATAAATTTTAAAATATAGAAATAGAATCCTCATATAAGTTTATTACTAAAGAATTTCTTCAATTAATTTCATAATAAAATGAATTAAAGTAATTTTATTTTTGCTTCGACGATTATAATTTGAAATAATCTAAAGAGGCGATTTTAGAGTTTGATAAGATTTAAGAAAATGAATAATTCCTCATATCTATCTAAGAAAATATTAGTACAAATTTGTTCTGCTATATTAAAAATTATAAGCTTATGGTATTATAAAAATCATTTTAAATTAGAAATAACTTAATGACTAAGTTAAATTACAAAAATTTAGATATATAAATTTTTAATACTTAAGAGTATTTTGCTATTATATAATATATCTAATCAAGAAAACAATTAAATTTACCAATAATTGAAAGATTATCTCTCCTTTTTATTGATGAAATTGAGGTGAAAGGACTTTAGAATTAAATAATTTAAATGAATAATTACTTGAAAAAAGTTTTTGTATATGTATAAAAAAAGTGTAAATTAGTCTTTGACTTTGAAAATAGTTATTATTTTAGAAAGATTGGCTTTGATCCATTTTATGATGAGTGTTTATCAAATCTAGTTTATTTTGACAAGGTATAATATGAGTCTAGTTGTTGTACCATATTTAAGCAAATAAAATAAATGATGAATCCCTAAAATAGTAATTAAAGTTTTTATCTAACATTAACTTTAACCTATGAGGAAGCTGTATAATTTTTTTAAGAGTTATCAAACTTTAAATTGGTTTTATTTTGTGATTTTTAAATAAAAAATTTAAATAGTTAACAATAAATATTCTAAATTCTTGAGCTTTTAGCATCATAGATTTAAAACGATCAGATTAAAAGTTTTAAATTATAATTTTTACTTAAGTAAATAATTTATTCTTAAAATATTATGCAATTTTCATATGATGAACAAAACTGGAGCTTTAATTAGTAAGATGATTTTAATCAAAATTAATATCTTGAATACTTTTTGAATAAATTATAAATAAAGATAAAGAAATTAAAAATAATTTTATCTCCTTACTCTTTTAAATAAAAAGATGTGATAAACCAATTAAAAAATATTTTTTCATATCCTAATGTAAAATATTTTTTCTTAGAAACAGGATGGTATTACTAAGTTAATAATTCTAATATTAGAACTCATTAAACATATTAATATCATAAAACTATCTTAATGCTATTCCTACATAAATTGATTAAAATAGGACTTGATCGTTTTGAAAAAATTGAATAATTTCTTTCATACTTCACTATAAAGCGAGGTAATATTTAATATAGAAATAAATAATAATAATAATAATATAATGATATCAATAAATTTAATCATTATACTAACGATTATGGAGATAAAATTTGATATTTTAAATGAGCAAAATTTATTTTTTTATTGAGAAAATAAAGCATAAACTTTATTTACAAAATAAAAATTGTTATTTATTATATTTTTAAATCTTTTCGATATTTTATTTTTTTGTAAATTTTTAAGATTTAATAATTTATTAAAATAAATAATTTATATTCTTTTAAAATTAAATTTAAATTGATAATTAGTATTTATTGATATTCTTAAAGTATATTCTTCATGAAAAATTTGACAACCTAGAATATTTTTATTCATAATCCTAAAGTAAAAATATATAAAGGATAATGGGTACACAAATTCAGTAGAATTTTAACCCATTTTGTCAAATTTACATCTATTTTTTTTTGGGTAAAAAAGATACTTAGGGAATGCCTTAATTAATGAGCATTTACAGTATATGTAAAAATTTGAGAATATTATTTTTACAAAAATAAAAAAAGATATTGATAGATTTATTTATTAGTGATTGAATTATTTTATTTAGTATAAATTTATTTTAAAATTTATTAGAGAGTCAATATAGAAACAATATTATTAAGTTTTTCTTACAAATTAATTTTAATAAGACTTAATCAGAATTTTAAATTAGATACAAATTTATGTATTCTTCTTAATAGCTGAGTTAAGATAAATGAGTAATTGAAGCTAATTTAAGATTTTATTTTTATTTTTATTTTGATAAATTCTTACTTCTATATTAACTACAAATACTAACAAATAGACCAATTTAATATTTCTTTTTAATAAATAACTTTTATAAAATAAAATTAATTTTGTAATAAAGATGAACCAAACTAATAGCCTTACCTATTCTCTTAATAAAAATGAAATACCTTGCAAACTTCCATAAAATTTAAATGATATAAAATATCTTATATTATTAGCTGATACTTTTATACAATAAATAAGCTTTTAAGATATCTAAAATATTATTTCAATACTTTCTGAAAATAAATTTGAATAAGTTATATTTGAAGGATTAGAAAATGATATTTCTATATTTACAATAAAAGAAATTGAAAACTTTCTTTTGAAGTCTCAGTATATATAAAGTATTTACTTTTTTGCAAAGTCTAATCTACAGTTTAGTTTTTAAAACTAAATCTTTACTTCTTCGATTGACAATATTAGAATTTAGTATGAAGGATTCTCACTTGAAAAAGAAAAAAAGAAAATAAAGATTAGGGTACGCGAATTAGATATGTTTGAAAACTATCTTAGTTTTTTAAATGTTCTTAGTAGAAATGATCAAATAAATATTTAGGTAATAATAGTGAATCACTAGAATGCTTGTGGTAAAAAGAAAATTGAATTATTTAGCATTATATGGAACATACTTCAACAACATAAGTAATTTAGCATAGAAATAAAAAATTATATTTAATATTGTAATTATACAAAATTTATTTCTATTCATTACAAATACTGGTACTCAGATAGTTTCGAAGAATTGATTCTTAATAGATTTCTAATTTCTAAATTAAAAATACATTTTGATTAAATGGATTCATAAAAAAGTAAACTTGAGTAAATAATTGTTGCTATTAAAGAAAAATACAGTTAATTGAATGAAGTTTCTATTGAATGTTCAAACCTTCTCGAATTCTTCAATATGAATTTTAATATTGAGTTTTTTGTTAAATTGATCAGCTATGAAATATAATATAAAATGTCATATATCAAACTAGACTTTTAAGAAAATAAATGCATTCTAAAGTAAATAAAAAGTGATTAAATTATCTTACATATAATAAACTACTTTTTAGAAAATAAAAATAGCAATAATGTTGCTATATTTTTAGATAATTAAAAATTTAACTTATCGTGCAAGTACTAAATGTTAAAGAAACTATTAGCTTTTAATAATATAAATGTTCAGAGCAGTAACTTTTCAATTATTCTAAACGAGTAAGAGTTTAATTTATAACCTGTATTAAAGAACTTTAATCATCTTATCAAAATTCTAGATATAATTTAAGAGTAATAATAATAGCAGTTTTACAGATTAAAAATATAAAGTTAAAATTGCATACCAGTGTCAAAAGAAAATATATTGTAGTTAAAACAATCATATAATTTTTAGGAGCTCAAAATATCATTAGGGGGAGCTGAACTTAGTTAAAATAAATTAATAATAAATGATGTAGACAATTATGATGGGTTTGAGGATATTTTTAATTGTTTCTCTAACTTAGAAATTTTAAGTATTAGTTTAAAAAATTACTATGCTAATAAGTTTGTCAAAAATCTTCCTCACACTTTAAAGTATATAAAAATAATATAAAATTTTAATTCAAGCTTTATTTTAGACAAAGAAAATTTAATATCTATAAACTTTGCATTTATAGAATAAATAAAACCTTTTATTGGTGCAAATAAATTTAAAAATATAGAAATAAAATCCTCATTTGAATATATTACTAAAGAATTTCTTCAATTAATTTCATAATAAAATGAATTAAGGTAATTTTATTTTTGTTGCTACAACAATTATTATTTGAAATAATATAAAGAAGCGATTTAAGAGTTTGATAAGATTTAAGAAAATGAATAATTCCTCTTATCTATATAAGAAAATATTAGTACAGATTTGATCTGTTATGTTAAAAATTATTAGCTTATGGTATTATAAAAATCATTTTAAATTAGAAATAACTTAATGACTAAGTTAAATTATAAAAATTTAGATATATAAATTTTTAATACTTAAGAGTTTTTTGCTATTATATAATATATCTAATCAAGAAAACAATTAAATTTACCAATAATTGAAAGATTATCTCTCCTTTTTATTGATGAAATTGAGGTGAAAGGACTTTAGAATGAAATAGTTTAAATTAATAATTAAGTAAAAAAAGTTTTTGTATATGTATAAAAAAGGTGTAAATTAGTCTTTGACTTTGAAAATAGTTATTATTTTAGAAAGATTGGCTTTGAACCATTTTATGATGATTGTTTATCAGATCTAACTTATTTTGACAAGATATAATATGAGTCTAGTTATTGTACCAAACCTAAGTAAATAAAAGAAATGTTAAATCCCTAATAAAGTAATAAAAGTATTTATCTAACATTAACTCTAACTTACGAGGAAGCTGTATATTTTTTTTAATAATTATCAAACTCTAAATTGATTTTATTTTGTGATTTTTAGATAAAAAATTTAAATAGTCAACAATAAATACTGTAAATTCTTGAGTTTTTAGCATCATAGATTTAAAACGGTTAGATTAAAAGTTTTAAGCTGTAATTTTTAAGTAAATAAATAACTTATTCTTAAAATACTATGCAATTTTCATATAATGACCAAAGTAACTTTAATAAGCATGATGATTTTAATCAAAATTAATATCTGGAATATTTTTTAAATAAACTATAAATGAGGATAAAAAAATTAAAAATAATTTTACATCCTTACTCTTATATATAAAAAGGTGTGATAAACCAATTATAAAATATATTTTCATATCCTTATGTGAAATATATTTTCTTAGAAACAGAAAATTATTGCTATGTTAGTAATTCTAATATTACAACTTTATAAACATATTAATATCATAAAACTATCTTAATGCTATTCCTACCTAAATTGGTTAAAATAGGACTTGACCGTTTAGAAAAAATTGAATAATTTCTTTCATACTTCACTTTAAAACCAGGCGATATTAAATAAAGAAGTCAAATTTTATAATACAATGGTGTCAATAAATTTAATAATTATTCTAAAAATTATGAAAATAAAATTTGATAATTTTAGTAATTAAAGTTTATTTATTCATTCACAAAATAAAGCAAGACCTTTACTTACAAAACAGAATAGTTATTTTTTATATTTTTAAAAATCTTTTATAGATTTTTTTTTTTTTTAAGATTTAGGAATTATTTTAATTCTATTAAAATTAAATTTAAATTTATAATCAGAATTTATAAATATTTTTATTGAAAAATTTTACAACTTAAAATATATTTATTCAATATTCAATAGCATGAATATTTATTTTTGATACTTAAAGTAATTAAAATTTCTTATTTAAACAGTAAAATATTATTAACTCTTTATTAATAAAATAAAACTAATTATTTTCTATTTTTAAAAATTTAAGATATGAGTTTATTTTTATACTTGTTTTTTTCATAATAAGAAAGACAAAATAAGCATCCATCATTATATTTAAAATCATAAACAATAATTTTTAAAAAGCAGTATTTTAATTTAAATTTAAAATAAATATGAAAATTATTTTCTAATTATTCAATTAATATTTATCTTATTTTGAATGAATATTTTTTAAAAAAATGAAACAATTTTAATAATAGTAAATAATGATTCATAAATAAATATATATTGTCATAAAGAAGCAAGTTTCTTAAATTCCTTGTCAATATTACGATATTTTTTCTATATTATATTTTTCTTTTTTATAGACTCATTTTTTACCTTTTTTGTCTTATATGATTCTATTTTGCATTATTTGTACAGCTTATTCACATAATTTAAGTATTTATTAGTTTCTTCACTTACAGCTTGATTTGCTAATTTATCCATGCACTTATTGAAAGCATCTTGGCTTACCTTTTTGAGCTTGCCAATTTAAGAAACAGACTTGGAAGTTCTTATTTTTGGTAATTTTTATTAATCTTGTTACTAATATTCTTTATTTATAGGCGTTTATTCTAATACTGTATCTATGCTTTAGGATTACTTATTCTGAAAGTTAACTTTTTTAGAAATAGTTTGAACTAATTAAAGATCCTGTAGTTCATTATTCATAGCTTTGCTGCTTGAATACTTGCTTAAAGTAGGAGTATCTAATTATAATGGCATTTTTTAAAGTTATTGATTATCTTTAAAACTACTATGGACACTTAAGAGAGGAGGAGTCTTAATCTTTTCATTACTAATTTATTCTATAGATTAAGAATCTCTTTACTTTTGGAACTGTTAACTCAAAAAATTAATTGAATTTAATAAACTTTTTCTTTTTTATTGAGAACTCTTTTTTACTATATTGCTATTATCTATCAAATCTAATTGCTATTCAAAAAAATCATGTTTGTCTCTGCATTATTCTAATCTGCTTTCAACTTTTTTCAATATTTCTTCTTTGCTAAGCTTATTTTAAGTTTCTGAAATAATACTATACTCTCTAAGATATTAATAGAATTCTTTAGAATATAATTAATTTTGCAATTCTTGATTTGAACCTAAATTAGAATATAATTCATTCTAGCTTTTTTCTGAACTTGAGTTATTTTCTAATGATTTAAGCACTTCGTTTGTATCAGCAAGTTAAATTTACTAGAAAGATTAAGTCGGTTTTTCATTTTTTTCGTTATTAATTGCTTTCATAGATTTTATTTGTTATTAATTACTAGCCTTTTATGTATCTGATTGATCTAAATTTGTAAGCTCATTTCTCTATCTATTAGAGCTAATTTGAGGTAAAAATAACTGTTATTCATTTCGCTAAGGTGATCCTAAAGTTATATTTTCTTTTGGTAGCTTATTTTATTTTAGCTATTCAAATAGCTAATCCCAAGTTTCTGATTTAAAGTAATATTCTAGATTCTCAGTAATAGGATTAAAGTAAAAGTCATACAAGTGCTGTAGAACATCCTTTTTTTTAAAAATATAAATTTTACTAAAAATTTAAATAGTAAAATAATTTGTTTAATCTAACTTAAAGATTTTAAATAGAAAAATGTTACTTTTTAGAAATATGTTTCAAGTATATCTAAATGCTTTGCTTGATAAATAGGAACAAGTTTTAAATCAAGGCTTTTATGCATCATGCCAGTATGTGATAGTTAAGAAGTAGTCGTTTTTGAACCAGCACTGATAGTGTTAAGAAACATATCTTCCATTTTGTTACCTAACTTTTCTTTATATCTTTCAGATTAATTATAAGGAATAAATATATCTTAAGGTTTTGGTTTTCTTTTTATCTCTTTGGTTTTTTGTATTTATTTTTTGAGCATTTCAGCATCGTTATTTTATAGAATTTTATCCATTCTAAGTCGCATAGAATAGTCTCTACCAAAAATAACTCTAAAAAACTTCAAAACATGAGAATTAATTTAAAGAAGGCGAGCATTCTCTTCATCTTTAAAATAATTTGAAACTAAGGTTTCTATCTTCTATCTCAATTCATCTCTCTAACTTAAAAGTGTTATGAGAGTCTTTTATTTTTCCCATAACTTGTTATTTATTTCACCAACTTTTTATTTCATATACTCTTAGTGCTTTTATTATTCTTTTGGGTCATGAGTAACCTTGATAGAATTTATTAACTAAAGACTCCTTTATACATTTTCCATAGACTATTAAGTAATTTATCTTTATTATTTTCTAATTTTATTATCCTCAACCTCCAGTTCCTCCTCGTATCTTGATCTTACTTATTCTTTTTGAAATTATTGTATTTCTTCATTTATGAGAATTATATCATTTACAAGTTTTTTAGGTAAAATGATCTTTTTACTGCTACTTTTTCTAGCACTTTAATTATTATCATATTCATAAGCAGCTTCGAGTTCTTTTTAAGTTTATTCTAATTATAATCTACTTTTTTCGAGTAATTTATCTTTGTTCTTCTTTCTCTACATCTAATTAATAACTCTATTTTGCTTTTCTTTGTCTACTATATTATCATAATTATGGTTATTATCACATGAAGGAGTGTATCCTCTTGAGATATGTACCCTGACAACAGGATCTTTCATAGCTTCTGTACGGATAACATATCTACCACTACTGCTATGTTCTACTTTATGTCTAATATCACTTTTATCTTTTCCTTTCATTATTAATTATTCTACTAAAATAAAAAATACGGTTTAATTTTTTATTGTAAAAGCAAATTAAATAAACAATATTGATAATTATAAGATTTATTTAGTTAATTCAACTAAATATTTTACTATAATAAATTAATCAATTTCAAAATAATTTTTTAGTAAGAAATTTGTTTTAGTTAAATAACTTTTATGATGTGATTTCTACCTAGAACAAGCAAGCAATTTATATCAAAAAAAAAGAATTTAATCTGGAGTTGTAAAAATTTATAAATTCAGATTAATATTTTATAAAAATGAGTCTTATAAATGCTACATTTAATTAATTAGTATTTTAAACTCAATATTTTTGTTTTTGATGTAATAAAAATACTTATTACAAAAAAAAAAGCTTAATAATAAGTTATTCTTAAAATTTATAATATAAAAAATTGTGTTTGATTTATAAATTCTTTTAAAAAAATGTTAGTTTGTTTTTTTAATTAAATTTTTGACTAAAAAAAATTAAAAAATTTTATTAATTTTTTGATTATTTTTTTGAATCAAATTATATCCAATTAATATATTATAATGATTTAATAACTTTTAAATTTAATTTTTATGAAAAATGTTTCAATAAAATAGTTTTTAATAAGAAAAATTTTACCAATCTCTTTAAATTCTTATTTTAAAACAGTTTAATAAACAATAAAAAATTGATTTAATTTACAATAGAGAAGTTATTAGAATTTTAAATATATGATTTTGACAAAACAAGTAAAGTTTTTGTTTAAAAATAATTTATGCCATTTAAGAATATGCTTTTTACTTTTTGTAATATCATAAATAGTATTTACAAATTTCATAAAATTCATTTTTATTTAACATAGATAAAATTATTGATGGCTTTTCACTATCTTCAACAATTTTATGCTCTTAGCTTTCAATCTTCTTTACATATATTTCTTAATAAGTCCTTGCTAAACATAATTTTTTCTTATTTTCAATTCCTAATTAATATAAAAAATGTTTTTTTATATTTAAAATTGGCTATTAAAATACTTTTCAATGTTAACTTGCATTTTTCTAAGAATTCAAGTTAAGCAGCTCCTAATTTGAACTTGTTAGATTTACTGTTAATTTCCTATTATATAGTTAGTGAGTGTAAATAATAAAAAATAGTCTTTTAATGATGGATAATAAATACATCAATTATTTCAATAGAAGATCCCTTTTATATCAAGTGCCATGCCATTTTATACTTTTCTCTCTACAAGACAAAATATAACGGATTCACAGGATATCCCTATTTATAAATTTAATAATATTAAATAGCTTGATATTTAAATTATTTACATGATGGAATACTGTTTTATTTAAATCTGCATTGAAGGAGCATAATAAATCTACTACTTTTTAATTGCTCCAGTTTGATGCCATTAGAATTGGAGTCCTGCCTGATTAATCTAAACAATTAATGTTTGCACCTTTTTCAAGTAAATATTTGATTGCTTCTATGCCTTATTATTCCTAATTATTGCATAATCCTACTGCACAATGGAGAAGATGTAAATTTTGCTTTTGATGTAAAAATATGTTATAATGAACTAGATTTATCTGAAATCTTTATTACAAAATCTTGCAAATTAGGATCTATTTAATTTTCTTCTATATGTTTCTTAAATTCTGCTATTTACCCTTTAGTTAACAATTAAAACGCTTATCTTTCAATAGGAGTCTATTTATTAAAATATAGTTGATATGTTTATCCTAATTCACTTAATATTATATACTAGCTTTTTATATTTGTTTGCTCTAAATTTGAAAAATAATAGTGTCGATAGCAATAGAATAACTATGGCTATTAAGAACTAATAGATATCCATCTAAAAAATAATCGCCTCTATAAATATCCCCATTCAATATTAATTATGAATTTTTTTTTATTAAACAATTATTTATTTACAAATAAATATTGAATAAATTTCATCAAAAATTTTAATCACCATAATTTTTAACTAAAATTTATTCCTACAAGGAAAATTTAAGAAATTTTTAAATAAAAAAAACATAATTTTTCTTAAGCGTCAAATTTTTTTATAGAAATTAATCACCATTTAAGTCTATTTAAAGCTTTTAATTTGATAAATATTATTATTATTATGTCATATCTTAGTAAAAAATTTCAATCACTATTTTTATAAATTATCAAATATTTCACTTTGCTCTACTATAAAAATTTTTGTAATTGATTTACAAATTCTTTTACACATTAAAATAAAAAATAAATATAAATAAGCATTTTGTTGTTATATAACACAATTTAAAGTTATTAAAAGTAAAATGGTTGAAGTACTAGAATATCTTTATATAGGCGATAAAATAGACGCATATAGAGAGGATACTCTAAATACACTCAATATTAAATACATAGTTAATTGTGCCTATGAAGTAGAAAATAAATTTGAAAAGAAAAAAAATAAACCATTTAAATACTTTTCAATCAAAGCAAATGAAAGCGGAAGATTTAAATTAATAAATTACTTTAAGAGCTCTGGATTATTTATAGATAAAGCTAGAAAATAAAAGGAAGGAGTTTTGGTTCATTGTGCATATGGAAGAAATAGAAGCGCCACTATAATTATTGCATACTTGATGCAGTATAATAAAATGAATCTTTAAGAAGCTCATAGCTTTCTTGAAGAAAAAAGACCAGAAATAATGATATAAGAATGTAATGTTTAGCAGCTTATAAAATTTGAAAAGCAGCTATAAGGATAAACATGCTGTCAAATATTTTGAACTAATATTTTAAATTAAAAGAACAAGTAATTACAACAAATGTAAAAAATTCTTTTCAAGCAAGAACACTAAAATTTTAATCTAGAATTTTTAACTGATATGAATTGTTATTTGCTAAAAAAAGAAGAATTATTTATTTAATTAATTCCTTCGTTTGATGTCTTTATCATTGGTAAAAAGTATTATAAAAATAATAACGAAATTAATAAAATAAAATTGAAAATATTAGATTATGGATTGAAAATATATTTATTTATAAGCCAATTGATTGGAGTACATAAGTGCAATTAATTTAAGATAAAGTAAATATACTAGATTTTGCTATAAGAAATTCTATTGTATACTTATTACATAGTTTCATTAAGTATTAATCGATTAATTGATTATTAAAGAATTATTTTTTTTCACTAAAAGTGAAAGTTATTAAACAAGAACTTATTAATTAATTATTTATTTATTTGTTTACTTGCCTTCTATTTAAATATATTTACAATTATGTTAATTCATTAATTATTTATTCATTCATTTATTTATTTATTTTTGGTTATTATTTTATATAATTAATTATTACTGTTGCTGATTGTTCTTTAAACTAACTAACTAACTTTTAACTTTCAAGATTATTATTATTTATAAAAGATTCAATATTTTTTCAAGGAAGTAAATTGAACCCAAAAATGCTGATCTTGTTGTTGACTTTATCAAGATGCACTTTTACACAAGAATGTTCTGATTTCTACAAATGAAGTTAATCGAAAAAGACTTCTTATCCTTTTTAGTGTTTCTTTTTATTTTCAATAACATCTAAAATATATTCTGCAGAAACAATATATGGTCTATATTATTCAAGTTCTTGTGATGATTGTTTATTGCCTATTATATTTTTTATGCTACTTAGTATTTCTTTTGAAACTTTATTTCCTAGACTACTTATAAAATCATCAACTCTTTGCTTATCTTAATCTGTAAATTCGTTGAGAGAAGCATCCTTTTAGAATATAAAGGAAACCTCTTTGTCGTTCTTTAATTACTCAATGTAATTTGCATTGCGAATATACTAAAGGAACTCATCAACGAACACTTTATAAAATTCTTATTCTTTTTTAATTGTCTGGGAGAGAGCCTTCAATTCTTTTGCATTGCTAAATAGATCTTTGTTTGCATTTTCATTTTCATTAAGTTCTATCAAGAGTTGCTACATGTCTAACTTCACTGAAGCAGCTATGCACAATATCAATTTTTAGTAATCCAACTACTAGTTATTCATGAATTGAGTGTTCTTTTTAATTTTGCTGAATAGATCAACACAAACAAAATGCTTAAAAGCAACCTATTAACGGTTATTGTTAATCATCATAAATATTTTTTTAACTTCATACTACCTGTTATTAGCTACTCCAATCTATCCATTAACTAAATTATTAGTAGGGAGGCTTGCTTATCGCTTAATATTTGCATTATTTATAGGATTTTAGGTAGCAGGAACCACAACTTTTTAGGCAGCTTAATTATTATTATCAAAAATAGATTTCTTGAGTTATTTATTAGGTTAAGATATATTATTATTACTTGTTGCAGGTTGCATTATATTTGCAGCTGATCCTAGTTTTAATGGGAATGCATTTTCTTTGTTGGAAATACTAGGGCCAAATGGGTTAGGGATATTTCTGTTCTAGGCATCATATTAATCAAACATTTTAAACAATTCATCCCAAGAGATTCTGTCTTTTTCTTCTATTACTAAAGTTCTACGTAATATCTCTTCACTTATTGTTTATAGCTTAACGTTTTTTCTAAGTTTGAATGGTTATCTCATTATATTGTTGAGAAGTTCTCTTTCATCACGAGCCTTCCAAGGCACATCCTAATATACCATTTCATGGAAAATGACACCGATAGACCATATATCACTTTTAAGACCGTAAGCTTTACGGGCTAAAATCTATGGAGCCATATAAAGAGGAGAACCTACACAACTTCTTAATAGCTAGGCAGAAGAATAGTCAACATACTTAGCAAAACCAAAGTCTGCAATTTTAAAAACTTAGTCATTAATTAAGATATTTGCTGGCTTTAAGTCTCTATGAATGACATTATGCTTAACTAATTCTTTAAATCCTAATTTATTAATAATTAAAAAATTATTTTAATATTTAGATAATATATTTTTCTTTGTATTTTAATACAGTTAAAAAATGAAATATTTATTGATTTTAAATTAAATAACTTTTCTCAAAATACTACTAAAGTTGTTATTTTATTGTTGAAAATTCTAAACAAAATATTAAACATTTGCTTTTAATAGAATTTATTAATTCAAACTAGGATATATAATCTTGCTTGCTTGCTTGCTTCTTTCTTCATTCAATTATAAGCTATCAAAATTCAAATAAATGAAATACCTTCAACTATATCTCTGAGTACATGCAAAGCTTGATTTTCTGTTAATCTCTTATTCTAGATTAAGAAACGCAGATCTTTATCTTTACAAAACTCAGTTATTATATATAATGATCGTTAAGTTGTGATTAAATCAATAAACTTAACAATATTTTTATGATTGAATCGCTTGAGAATTTCAATTTCACTAATTATAGAGTTTCTTAAATAATTATCATTCTAAAACTGTCTAATATCTAATTTTTTAATTGCTACTGTTTACTGTGTATTCTTCTCGACACCTTCATAAACTTTTCCATAAGCTCCTTCACCTAAGCAATGTCTCAGATTATATGAATAATTTCCAATAATCTTTACTTATCCGTTTTAATTGCTAACTCCGTTTATAGATTGCTAGTTAGGGTTATTTAATATATTAGCTCCGCCAATTTAAATGTTTGGCATAGAAAACTGGTACATTTTAAATAATGCTTTGAGAGAATCAGTTTGCAGAATATTTAGTTTTTTACTATATTTAAAACTAGTTGAGTTAACTAACTAACTATCTATTTTTTTTGCTCACAGCAATCAATTTGTTTTTTTGCTTTATATTATTATCATATAATTTGGATGTGTTAATAAGAAATACAAGAAAGAGTTAGTACTTAATCAAAGAAATCAAAAAATTAACTTTCATAGAATTCAAAAACCTTTTGAAATTCTTAACAAGATTTTCAAAATATCCATCATTCTTATCAAAAACATAAATGAAGTAATAATAAGAAAGAAAAAAGAATAGCTATAGATAAATCAAGGAAATACATAAATTATTCATTCTTTTCAAAACAATCACTTATCATATTTTTGAATGACTCTTTTTTAAATAAATATAAGAAAGGTTAATTAAATCCTTGGTTTTGATTGGTTGATTGGCAAAGAGGGGTTTATAAAATTTAAAATATAATTAATGGGTATTACTATATACTTTCTAAATTTTGTAAAATTAAAAACCAAGCATTTTTACTTCGAGTTATAGTTATAAAAAATCTCTTTATTATGCTAATAAAAATTGTATAAAAAATACTATCTAAAATTTTTATAAAGTTCAGATAATTTTTTATTTCTATTATTAAAAATACTAGTAATAATGAAAAAAATATATAATTACTAAATTAAATTCATTAAAAAATTATATTATAAATTAATCATTATTTAGGATAAGTTGTGTATTAAATAAATGAAATCTTTATTAAAAATAATTAATTTGTAATTATGATTTAAAAAACATCTTATTAATATTTTTTGATACAATATTTTTAATAATTTTATAGAATATCCTTCATTCATTTTTAATTTTTAATAAGAATAATACAAAATTATTTTAAAATGTTAAGAATAAATTATTTTATATTTTGGAAAACAAATTTATTAAAATTATTTATAATGAAATAAACAAAAATTTACTAATGTATATTTTAAAAAAGCTATTAAAATTCAGCCTTTAAAAATAAAAAAATTTTTAGGAGGGAGTCACTAATTTATTTTTGAAATTTTATCAACTAGGTCATATAAAACAATTATTGTTGAAAATTTTATAAAAATAAATACATTTAAGTGATAATAAACAGTTTAATAGGTGAAAAAAAATTATTTTGCTAATTAATATTTTAAAAATGTAATTATAAAAGTGATTGAATTTAATAATAAAAATTAATTAGTTGTGGTTATTTGATAAAATTATTAATAGAAAATTAAAAATTTAGGAATATTAGTAATAATAAATATTTTAATATGTTAAAAAGAAATTGGATGCTGCTAACTTAAAATAATTTACAATTTATTAAATTTAAATATTTTTATATAATTCTTTTATAATTATCGCTTAGTACTTTAAAGATTGAATTAAGTTAAAAAGCTAATTTATGTTTGAATCCTAACGTTTTATAAAAATAATTCTCTTTTTCAAAAAGAATATAACTTTTATATTAGATATTCAAAATGAAAATTAATCCATCTTTAAAATTTCAGTATTAAAATAATCCTCATTCATTTGTTCATTCATTCATTCTCTTGCTTGCTATAAATAACTACATCATTTTTGAAATGATATAGATCTTTTATAAAAGCTGCTCTAATCTATTCATTAAGTGAGTCATTCAATTCTACCTATCCTATTTACTAAGATTCTTGAGATATTTCAAGTTATTCTTGAGTTAAGTTAGAATTTTCAAAATTTCTATTTTCTAAATTATTCTCTTAATTATTTGATTAAGTTCTTTCTTAATCTTAAATGTTAGAATTGTCATGATATTCGCCATTCTTAATTGATTTATTTAAAGTTACTTCATAGTTAAAATTAGAATTGTAAGTGAAATTAGTGGGATGATTCGAATGTTGGTTACTAGATGGGGTTAAATTTTCGTTTTAAAAGTTTTCTTTGCTTTAGCATTTATTAGATTTTTAGTATTAAATTTGGTTTTTGTTAGAAGAAGGATAATTTTAAATATAGTTTTTATATGAATTATCTTCTGTAATTTAGTTCTAACTTAAGTTATTAGGATCAGCATCCATAATTTAACATTCAATTACACTTAGGTGAGTTTGTGAGATCCTGTTATGAATCTTCATCGGACTACTACTTTAGAAGTCTATGTTTGCATTAAAATGAATGATTCTTCTTATTTATATATTTTATTATAATTTTCAAAAGAAAATAAGATTAATCTTACAATTTTTTTATTTTTTTATTTTTTAAGTGGTAAAAATTTAGTAAAAGAATAAAAATTTTAATTCTGCTTTAATAATTAAATCACAAAGATATTTATTCAAACTTGTAAGATTATTTAGAAGTAAATAAATTTATATTTTTTAATATTTTATTTTGAAAATATTTCTCAAATTTGTTTTAAATAAAAAATTTAAATGAATTTTTATTAATATTAAGTCATTTATTTACTTTTAATCAACTGGATAAGAAGATTTTTCTGTTGAGTAGGAATGCAAGTCTGAATCGATTTTCAAAAAATCTCCTTTAATTTCAAGTTAAAAGCGATGAAGCAGTTTAGGACTTAGATAAATAACTAAGAAAGCACATATGAATCCAATTATATTTAGTTAAAAGAAAAACCTGGAATAGGTAGCATCAGCACTTATGAAATGGAAAATAAGCAAAAAAGTTCCAAATATTGATCCTGGGGCTATTGCTATCAAAAACAATCTCTTGATTATCATTATATACGAAATTTGGGATTAGAATTAGCCATATATATTGCAATTTTCTATGCTTCCTTAAGTGAATATGATTCCAAATAAAAATCCAAAACTAACACCAAAAATTCCTCCATCAATAAAGCATTTATTGTATAGATATTTATTAGATATACTATCAATATCATTAGTATCACAAGCAGTTTCTATTCTACCATTCCAAATGTCATTAGATGTTTCATAAGTAGTCTTAACTCCTTCAAAAGCTCCTATAAAAATTCCAATTACCATGATGTATAGAGCCAAGCAAAAGAATGCATATTTTTTAACTTTTTTTTTTGGTAGGACAGCCAATTTTATAATGAATCTATTAATTTGTTTAAAAACAATTATTCTGAAAATTAAAAAAATAAATAAAGCATATATCCATCCTAAGAGAACTTGGTTAACTCCGTGCACACCCAAATGAATTCTAGTGAATCCTACCCAAATTATGAAAATACCGTATATTATACAAGCCCACCAATATTTTTTATGGAATTGATTACCTAAAGAACTTATTCCATAAATTGCTGCAAAACAATTCAGCATAGCATGGCCACTTGGATTTCCATATTCAGCTGCACACTCTTTTCCTTGAATCTAATCATATACCATATAGGGTCTAGGATCGTTATAAATAAGCTTAAGTAAATTAAATAAAGCTGCTGTAAAAGCAAATACTATTATATAGTTAAAAGTGTAAATGCGATTTTAGCCCCAAATTACAACACAAGCTATAACTAAACCAGTAACTACGAATGAAGAATCGCTTATAATCATGGAGAGTGTATATAAAAATTCAGTATTTATAGACCATTTTTAAATACTTATAATAAAGGATTAAGAAGCATTTTTAGCAAACATTTCTCTAGTAAAAATATCTTAGAATATGTAAATTGCACACAAACCAGTTAAAATAAGTGTGATAATAAATCCTCTTTTAGATTAGCTTGAAAAGCTTTCATCATTATCATTATCTTAATCTAAACAATCATCCTCTTTTTAAGTTTTGATGGAGTTTACAGTATTTATGCCTTTGTTTTAACCCTGCTACTAGTTTGTCTGATTGGCTTTATTCATACTATGTAAATTAGAAGAATTGTTGTTATGAATATTTTAATCATCAAAATTATTTTCTTCTTAATCATCTTACTCGCTATTTATTGGCTCCTAAATTGAACTTTTATTTGCATCCATTTATTAAGTCTTATTAAGCTTCACTTAAATATCTATTTTTTAAGATTAGAATTTAAAACATTTTATAATTTAAAATTTTTTTTATTTGTAAAGACTTCTCATTCATCTAAATGAATTTTTAAATGAGTGTCATAACTAAAAATAAAATTTTGCGCATATTTTTAGTTAGTAATTTGCAAATCCTTGTTGACAAATCCTAACAAAAATACACATATAATGATTAAAATAAATACAATAGAGAAGGAAATAGGTATAAAATGATAAAAACACTCTTACTTTCTATTAAAGCGAAGGGCTTAAAATGAGTAAAAGCAATTTAAAATGGCAAATTTTTGTAAAAAAATAATATTGAAAATATAAATTTACATTTAGAAGGATTATGCTATAGTTTATCTTTCAATCCAATTATCTATTTATCTATATTCTTATTAAGATAATTTATTTTGTAAAATTTTCAATTATAACATTCTTACCTAATTACTACCTTATCAAAATTTTTCTTTTTAAGCTATTTTACTATTTAATTTTTCACCAAAAGAATTTGTTTTTAGTATTTTGTGATTAAAATACATATCTTAAAGTTATTAAAATGATTATTTTTGTACTATAAACTATTTCCTTTATTTTTTTAGCTTTTACTTAAGACTTTCAAAAAAAAGACAACCAAACATATCTTTTTACCTTTATATTATGCCTAAATTAATCAAACAAGCATTAATCCAGATTACATATATTTCAATCTATTCTGATATAACCTTATATCCTTATTTTTATAGATATAATATGTCTGATTATGTAAGCATTATTTAAAATTAAGAAAATACTTTTTATTATTTTTTATTTAAAAAAATTTATTAAGGGTTTTTAAAGTAATATCATTTGGCTATTTATTTTTCTAATTTATTTATTAATCATTTAGCATATGTTTTTAAGAAAATAGTGTTTATTTTTCATCTGTAGGGAGTAATCCAAATAAACACCAATCTAGTTGGTTCAATTATTATTAAGCACATTCTAATATTAATCAATTTAAAATAAGCAACAAAATTATTTAGTTAAGTAAAATCAATAAGATATTTTATATATTTAAAATAAATATAATATTTAGAATAGAAAATATCCATTTTTAAATTTATGAAATTATAATTGACACATTTTAAAAATTGTTTAGCAAAAATCACATTTAATCACAAATTGAAATTTATTTTTGTGGCCAGATTTATGAAAAAAAATTTTTATTGTACATATCTTTTTATAAAAAATAATAAAAAGCAATTAAAATATGATTGAAAATTACACATATAAACATTCTGGCCTACATTTAAAACAAAAATAAGCATAATCCCTATCAGTTTTTAAATAATAAACTAATTATTCTTTATGAATTAAATTTAAATTAATATTATTCCAAATATCTAAAATAATTTAAGATAATAAAAGCAGTTTTTTCGATTAAAGTAAGTGTTTTTTTACTTATTTTTTAATAAATATAAGAATTTTTGCTGAAAAAACTTAACTATTCAAGTGATAAATTATATTTCAATACAAAATTGAAAATAACATAATCTACATGAGTAAACCTCTCCTTTTTTCTTTTTATTTTAAAAGGAATCATATTTTTTATTTAATCCATGAATTTTAAATGTTTGTATTTTTAAAAATCTAATATTTTAAGGTAAAGAAGATTGCTAAAAAATTTAACGATATCCAAATTTAGCAAAATTACATTTTTAATATTTTACTTGAATTTATTGATTTAATTAATATTTTTGCTATAAAATATTGGTTGTTTACAAATATATGCAGGATTAAGAATTGTTACACATATTTTAGAGTCATTTTACTAATTGAAAATTAAAAGAATTAACAATATTGTATTTTTATAATTATTTTTGGTTCAAAGCATGAATTTAAAAAAGGACCAACTTTTTTTTTTTAATAATTATTTAATTTATAAAATAAAAAAAACGTAATAAATATCCTAAGTATCAAAATTATTCTTCAAAATTTAAAAAGATGATAAGAGTTTTATCATATCTATTACTTTTTTTGATTTCTCAGTATTTGCAAGTTAAAGGATAGGTTAATAATTGCTTATTTTACGTATAATAAACAAAATAATGCCTTCTTTGTGATTCGGGATATTAAATATCTTCATCTTAGCTTAATATATGTGAAAAAATATAAAAATGCCAATTAAACTAGTTTAATCAAACTAATAATTAGTGTTCTGATTCATGTTTGGGCTAGTAGGAGGTTTAATACGATAGATAATAATAGTAAATTAATTGTGTTGATATTGTTTATTGTCCTGTTTTGATCCCTATCTAAGACTAACTTATTGACTAAAAAGTTGGAATATTCTATTATTTAGATAAATAGTTCTAGGTCATCTTTGCTGGTAATTTAAATGGAATAAATATAATTGATATTGAAAGCGGAAATAATCAGTTTACTATATCTTACTAAAATATAAATGAATCAACCGGATAACTATTCTATTACGAGTATTATGAAAGTAGTATGATTATCTCAACAACTAACTAATAAAGATTGTATCTTGTTTATACTAAGGTTAGATTGACTCCTAGCTCTTAAGTGATAGACTTTTATCAAAATAATCAAATATTATTGAATTTTTTTGTTAATTGGGACTCAAGTTAGATTTAAATAATTTGTATTTTCAATGGGGAATTAGTAATATTCAACTATAATTTCTAATCTTAATAGAAATAAAATCCGATCTAAATTAATCCATCTAATTTAAATATCTTTTCATTTGCAAATGCTATTTTCTATTCCTCTACAAGTATCATTATAGAAGCTATCAAAGATAGTTCATCTTAAACAATAAACGCAATTTACTTATAAATACAAGATCAAAATAATTTTAGCCCTTAAGCCTTTTGTCAATATAGCAAAAATACATTTACACCTGTTTTTAGTCCTAGTACCTAAGAAATTTTATTTTACTCAGTTAGCGGATTAAAAATTTCTAATTTGAAGAGCTGCTCTGACTTTTTGAGTATTATTAACTTTAAAAATATTAGATAGGTTCTAACTAACGATCAAAAAGGATTTTTAATAATAATAAGCGATTCATCAATATATGGTTTTCCTTTTGATTAAAATCTTGGAATACAAGATATTAACAATAAACTAAATCAGTAATTACTTTTAGATAACTCATTATTAGAAATATCTTTTTGCATAGATTACACTTAAACAAATTCTTAGCTGTCAATTATTTGCTTTAATGAAGCTAAAAGTTAATTAATTTACTTACAAATCAATGAAAATAATTAATTTCAAAAATTTGGTACATTTACTTTTACTGATAATATTCTTCTTTTTACTGCATAAAAACAAGCTATTCTGCTCTCCACTTAATAATAATATATCTTTGCTCAAGGCATCTCCACATTTTTAAATGACTATACTCAAAGCAGTTGTACTTATCAAATCTCAGATTAAGGTTTAAATTCTTAGACTTAATAACTGAGTTCAAAAGTGATAATTATTGCTAATACTATGCAAAGTTAAAATTTCATTTAGTAAATAAAATTAATAGTTAATTATTAATAAGACATCTCCAATCTTGAAAATATAAATCAAATAAAAAATTTGAAAGGTGTTCAATATTTTTAATTAAAATCTAAAGGATCTGATTATATTTCTAACCTACAATCATGGATTTAAAATATGCAATATCCTTCTTTAGTCTTAAATCTAAATAATATTACATTTAGTCAAAACATTACTATTGGAAATTCAAGTCACTTAAATTCAGTATTTATTTCAAAACTTTCTATTTCTTAACAAATTAATAGTATTTCTATTGGCTTCATAAATTTAGACTTGATTGTCTTTGATGAAGTTGTAATTTATGGTAGTTAAATATCTAATAGTTTTGTTTTTCAATTAAAAAATTGCTCGAATGTAATAATTAAAAACATGAAAATCTTATCAACTACATTTTAAGATGGCCTAAGTGGGCTATTTTAAATAATCTCATCTAATTAGATTTATTTAAGGAATTTGTAAATAGTTAATTGCAATGTGAATTCTTAATCGCTCATATAAATCACTAAACCAAAATATATTTAAATTTAAAACTCGTACTTTTACAATAATACAAATTAGAACGGTTAGGTAATCTATTATAGTAGCTAACCAAGCTTAATTAATATTTAAGGATCTGATAGATTAGAATTAATTAATTTACAGTCTATTCAAAACAATAATGTAACAACAATAAATATGCTTTAATCATACTACAATGATGAAGGAGATAAAGTTATTAATGAAAAAAGCATAGCTATCTTTTAAAACATAACAGTAAATAATAATACGGCTTATTAAAATTCATAGATGTCAATTCAATCAATGTACTTTTTTGGAGATTCATTAAATTTTTAAAATAATACAAGTTTTCACTCTAATGGAACTTTTTATTTAGAGAATGCTGATATTTTTATTTAAAAATCGAACTTTTTGAATAACCAAGCATTTTCAGGAGGAGCCATATTTTTCAATATAACCAAATTTACTTAGATTGTATAATGCATTTTTAAAAATAACAATGCAACTGCTACTGGTGGAGCAGTACTTTTACTGAGTTCTTAAGCCATTTTGAACAACACGCTTATCTAATCCAACTATGCTATGATTGGTGGAGGTATAAGAATAGAGCAAGGAAAGTTATTTTATGTTTAATATGATACAAAAACAAAAATAATCAACAACAAGGCTTAGCTTTATGGTTAAAACATAGTATCTCGACTTGCAAAAAGAGAGCTTTATGTTAACAATCAGCTTATGACTGAACTAAACTAAGAAATAGTAGCTTATTTAAATACCTAAATTTCTTAATATGAGGAATACTTTAGGATAATGAAAGCATTTTTGACATAAGATTTAAGAAGTGGGTCATAAATCTATATTTTAGTAAAGTTGTATGATGTTGACGGATCACTGTTCGTTTATGATCCAAATAAGATAAGCTAATATCCAAGCAAAATATAACATGAACTGAGAGCTATTAGTGGTGTATTAACTTCTTATGTAGTATCTATTATAGGTGAGATATAGCTTTCAAAATTTTATCTAAGTGAAGGAGGTATACGCTCTGATGCCTTAACAATATTTGGAAGCCCTGGATAGAAGAGTCCAATATTTTTAGTAGAAAATTTTATTGAGTTTACCTATAACTAAAGCTAAGTAAAAAGAATGAGACATTTACAATCACAAATTCTTCAAACTAATTCTTAATTTTTTTCTGATACTATAAACTGTAATCAAAATTAAAATTTAGGGTAAGCGAAAGAAAATTAAACAAATTTAATTCATTCTTAAAAATTAAACGATTTTTATCTTAAAATTGCTAATAACGAAGGAAAAATAACTTTACTTGAAAATTTTTCATATCTTAACCAGAAAAATTCAAGAAAAAGACTGCTGTCAGATGTTGAAACGATTTCTGCAATTTTAAGTTCTTAAGACGTACTAGCGACAGGATTAGTAATAGATTTTAAGCCATGCTAAATAGGAGAAATATCAAAGGTCATAAACAAAGATTTAGGAATCGTTGAGTGCCTTCCCTGTCCAATTAATTCATATAGCCTATTTAGCAATTAAACTGAGTGTCAAAAATGCCCAGACTCAGCTTAAGTTTGTTAAAACTCAACAATATTGCTGAAAGATGGATATTGGAGATAAAATAAATCATCTGATGAAATTTACTCTTGTGATAAAACAATCCCAACATGCTTAGAGTTTACTTAAAAAAACATAGGCAAGCAATGCAAAGAAGGTAGATTTTTACAAATAAATTATTAATTATTTGTTAATTTATTAATTTCTTTTATTTATTTCAAATAGGATCAATTGGACCTTTGTGTTAAGGATGTGACATTCATGGAGATCACTGGGGCAAAAAATATTCTATTTCGAGTCTTAAGGATGGTTGTGCTGAGTGTGATGGGTAGAGTAGCTAAATCTCATTTCTAATTGTACTATTTTGTTTAACTACTTTTTATTTATTATTTGGAATATATATGGCTATTAAAAATAATATTCATCATTCTACAGCATACTATTTAAGGATGATGGGAATAGCTCCCATTTCTAGAAGTTCAACTAAAGACGAAAGCAGCTAGTACATTAAACTTATGACCCATTTTTTACAAATTGTAGCAGTAATTAACTCTGTATCTATTCAAATGCCTAATGTTATTAATTTTGTTCCTAGTTTTACTGGTAATCCTGCTTCTTCTTTAATATTGTCAGGTAACTGTCTTGTTTCCTAAATAGGATTTACAGATATAATGAGAATTAGAGTCATACAATCAGCTTTTCTCCCATTAGTTTATTGCTTAAGTGTGATAGCTATCTACTGCATTCTATGCTTCATACGAATAATTAAAAATTTTTAAAGGCAGTTTATATTCACAACTATTATTTTTTTGATAATTTTCTTCTAACCGGATTCTGTGATGTTCTTACTATCAGCAGTAGGATGTAAGAAGTTAGGAAATAGCTTATATTTGATTGCAGATGCAAATTACGAGTGTTATACCACTTATGAATATAAAGTATTTTTGTATTATGTTACACTACCATCTCTGGCAATTTGGCTTCTAGGACCTTTATCAATTCTTTACTTTTTGAGAAAAAGAAAGAACAAGTTAAACATGATTTCAACAAAAAAGTTGTTTGGCTATTTATATTTAGAGTATAAACCAAATTGCTATTATTTTGAATTTGTTAGAAGTTGCTTCAAAATGATTATAGTTTCAATTTACACTTTGTCTAACTCATCAGGTTCTTTTAATTTGAATTTAATTGCAATAATAATCTCTCTATACATAATAATCTCAAACAAAATTAAACCCTTCCTTAGTTTATTTTTATTTCATGTGGATACTATTACTCATTGCGTTCTGCTTTTTGGGGTAATACTTTCAATACTCCATATTAATTTCGAATAGGACAAAGGTAAAATTTTTATTTTTTATAAAAATATCTTTTAAAAATTCTATTTAAATTTATAATCTAAATAGATTCTTCTTACTACATCGCAATAGTTGTAACAAGTCTGAATATATTTTATGTTTCTACCATGGTATTACTTATAGCTTCTTTGAAGGTAAGATAATACACTTTTTTGGTATCTACTATGTAAAGCAAAATTGGCTTCATTTTACCCCTCCTTAAGAAAATTAAAATAGCATCCCACGAATAAAAGATGAAAACTTTGCTGAGATGGAAGTTTGTGAAAAGAAACATTCATAATATTATGTTATATAAATTTAATTATGAGAATATCAAAAGAATTCCAAGTAAATTTTTCCTTTTTTTGAAATAAATTTTTTTAATGTAATTATATATTAATTAGATTAAAAGACCATCTGTTCTACAGAATAGCAGCTAAAAAATTAAAACCACTTAACAACAGGACCAAATAATTAAGATAACCAATAATTAAATAAAAAAGATATATCAATTGAAAAAAATAAACTTCTATTAATAGAAACTCCAAGAGTGATTTAGTCTATAGAAAATTGCATTCAAGAGGTAAACATTCAGAGAAACAATAGATGCAGTATTCATTCAAAAAATAATGATAAAAACAGTTTTGAGATATTTTCAGTTGCTTGCTCTGAGATAAATATCAATTAATAATCAAACTATGCTGATTTTGACAATTATTAATTACCTGTTTTTTAAAAATTTATCTCTTAAAAAAATGTTCTTATGGCCTCTCAAAACTAGATTAATTTGCATGCGCCATAAAAATGAATAAAAAGACCACTTAATTAATAACTAAAAAAAAACCTTAAATACTAAAAATCAATTATAAATATTATGTTTCTTGTTTTGATTTTAAAATTCTTAATAAATTAAATAGATTATTATTTGTACAATAACAGTATTCTAATTTTATTTAAGTTTTTTTAAGTATTGCTTACTTTTCTCAAATTTTATTTATTTATTTATCAAATAATTCTTTTGATTTTGATGTTTTATTTTATAGAGTAGTTCAAATTTTTTTTTGAATCATGGTTGATTTTAATTTTTTTCTTTAGTAATAATTTTTAATTATAATACTAACTATCCTTACACCTCATTTTCTTTACAAATTTTTAGAAGATTAGTGATCTTAAATTAAATTGTAAGATAAAATAATAAATCATAAAAGGATTCTTGTTTTTGTAAAATTGTATCAACGTTACATGATACCCTATTTGTATTTCAAAAAAAATATAATTTACATTAATATAAATTGAGGTAGAAAAAATTAATTAATTAAGACATTCTAATAAGTTTATTTAGAAAAAAGAGATTAAAAACCAGTTGCTAACTAAAAAAAAGCAAAATGATATTCAAGCTAATATTACTTATAAGCTTAATAGATATATTAATAGCAGATTGTTCAAGTGATGCAAACTGCTTATTTTGTTCTAAAACATCTGTAAGCTGTCTAATGTGTTAATAAGGCTTCACAATTAATAGCTCAAATATATGCGCTCCAAGCAGTACTTGCTAATATTATTAATTTAGTAGCTCTGATTAGACGCAGTGTTTAAATTAGTGCCCTTCTACATAAATTGACTTCCTTAATTCATCATTGCAGTCTAATTAATGCTAAATAAAAAATTTATGCCCATAATAGTACAGCATTTCTTCAACTGATAATATTATTAGTATAACTCCTGGTGTCATTTATATGTAAGGTCAAGCGATTCCCGTAAACTAAATCTAAACGCAATACTTTTTAGATATTGTTTCTATAGATACAAATATGTCAATAGTAAAGCTAACTTCGAACATATCTAACGATTTAATAACAGGATTTAAAGTTAATGGCAACTAATCTTTAGGTTCATGCATAGTTGTGTGGTTTCAATCTTCCTAATTAATAGCTTATAGTCTTTAAAATAGCAATTAATAAACTATTGTACTTCAAAATATAGTTGCAGAAAATAATTAAATATTAGATGCTATTGTTGATATAAGTAGTACTAATGGATTTAATATTAATTTGATTGCAAAGCAAACTCCATTAAAACAATTAAGTTATATAAATATTTTAGTTAATGGATTAGTATAAAATATTATCAGTACTTGGAGCTATACTGGAAAATTTGGAAATGTTATCAAATTGTTTTACATAAACAGCTCGCTAATTATTTCTCTAGGTGTTAACTCCTCTCAGAAATTCTAATCTTTTAGCCTTCAACTTACAAATGGCTAATTAGTAGAGCAAGATCTCTGCACTTTAAATTCAGTAGCAACCCCTGCACCAAAAATTTTGCTTTTAAAGTAAAATAGCGAAATACTTTATTTCGCTTCTGGAAATATATATTCTTCTAGCTTTGTTACTTGTTACAGTTAGCAAATATCGGATTAGAGTAATGTTTTATCATTAGTTTTAGATGAAAGCGCTTAAAAGTGTTTTTCAATTTCAGCAAATGCCATCAACTCATATCAATATACTCAAGCATTAGGTGCTTAGAGTCTATCTTAAATCCCATAGGTAACAATTAATAATTTAAATTAAAATATTGTGGCTTGCTCATCGGTTGGTTTAATTTAATCTTAAAGTTAGTAACAAAATTTTATGTTAATATGCAATAATTCTTAAAATAACATATTGTCACTATTAACTTACAATTTCCAGAGCAATGTAGTAAATATTTCTAATCTGTTTAATAACAACTTTCCTGTAGTAAATCTGATATACGCGCAGCCATTAGCTACTTTGGTATTGTAAGGAGCCTAGCAAATAAGATCATTTGTAGGATTATAGCCAGTAGCAATAGCTTTATAAACATCACCTAATTAAGGCTGTATTTTTTTGCTTTAGAGTTAATTTGAGTAATCATCTAATCTTCAAAAATTAAGGATAAATACGATATAGAGCTCTTTGAGCAACTAAATATCTAGTGATTAAAAGTTAATCTATTAAGTTATTAATAATATTAATTACAATTCTTAGCTTGATTAAATTACAAATATCAGGTAATTATAAATTGTGGGTACATAATAATCAAATCCTATTATTATTAATGCTCTTAGCCTAATTGGATTCAAATTCAAATCATTAAAACTGATGGGAATTAATTTACAGCTCTAAGCTAACTCTGAGCCAGTTACCATAAATTAGTCTCAAGTTAATGAATTTATTTTAGATACAATAATTTTCAATAGTATAGCTTAAAACTCAACTCTAATAATTCAAAATAAGAATTCAGTTATTATCAGACAAGCTTATTTTCATAATTTTACACTAATTAACAGTACTTTGATAACATTTATTAACTGTAATCAAATTTTTTTTGGCAGCATAAGCATATATAATGTAACATTATCTGATTAATATAGCTCTTTATTTAAAATAATCTAATCGACCTAGGTTACATTTAATAACACGAATATCACACTGTCTAATTTAAATATTTAGCCTATGATTATAATTTCTGGATGTTAGTAAGTCAATATCCAAAACGTTATCACAGCTGGAAATTACTTTATGAATAAGTTAATATTTGGCAAACTATTTTTAATTTAAGGACCTAATTCTATTTACATTAGTAATTTAATTATCAAAAGTAATATGAATGTCCAGACATTGTAGATTGTTCCTTATTTTAATAATTCACAAAATCAATTCATTACTAATTAACAAGTATAAGTTGTAGCAGCTAATGTAATAATAAGAGATAATCTTGGAATTTTCGGTTAATAAATCTATGTCAGCTCAAATTCTGCATTCTTCTCTAAAGTTTCTGCATTCAACAATTCTTAACAAGCGGCTAATGGGACAATCTATTTTACTTAAAATTTTGTATAAATATAAGATTCTAATTTCACAAACAATACTGCGTATGGGGGCGGAGGCATATATTTCAATTAAACCCAGTTTGCATAGCTAATAAATTGCTAATTAATTAATAATTCCGCTAATGCTGCTGGAGGAGCAATTCTAATTTCTAAAGGACCAATACTTTTAAATAAAACAATAATTTAATCTAATAAAGCGTATATTGGGGGAGGAGTAAGAATAGAAAGCGGTTTTTTGTCATATCTTTAATATGATTAATAAACAATCATGTCAAATAACATAGCTCTTTTATTTGGTGATGACGTTGCTTCTAGATTACAAACATTTAAAATATTTATAAATGGGAACTAAGTTAATGAAATTAACTAAAGCGAATTCTTGAAGCTTCAAAGTTATTTCTTCTAGTAGGCTTAAGTTAACATTTAAAATGCATACTATGCTAGCAACATAAGAAGTGGGTAAAAACTAGATATTTTAGTACAAGTTTTTGATTAATCAGGAAAAATTTTGATAATAGACCCAAAAATAAGTTATCCCCCAACTATAGCTCTTGAAATAAATTAACTAGGAGGAGTTTTAAAATCTTATATAATAACTTTCATAGGTGAAAACTTCATTACAGATTATTGCCAAGATAGATAAGGTTTTTGCTTAACTAGCGATCTGACAGTATAAGGTATCCCAGGTAAAGTTTTACCTTTAGTTTTGCTAGAGAATTTTATAGAAAAACCATTAAGGCAGTCTTCTAGAATCCTGGAGTATTTTGAAGGATTATAAGAATAAATCAAAATAATTTAATCACCACAAAAAATCTTAAAAAAACGAAATTTAATTAATTTTACATCCCTACTCGGATTACTAACCTCAAGTTATACAAGTATAATAGCAATATAATTATAATTTAGAGACTGCATTAAAGGTGAAATATTAAAAGAAATCAATTCATAAAACAATATAACTGAATGCCTTCCTTGCCCTCTAAATTCATACACATTAACAAATAATGATACACAATGCTTAAAATGCCCAGATTCTGCATATCTTTGCTAAAATTACACAATACTTTTGAAAGATGGATACTGGAGATAAAAAAATGATACCGACGAAATTTATTAATGCAGAGAAGATTTAGGAAGCTGCTTATTTGAGAGCACCTAATAAACTTGCAAGAAAGGTAAATTTAAAATTTATAGCTAAATGATAAAAAATATTTTTATAATCGAGATTTGATTTATAAATTTATTCACACATTTTATGATAAAATAATTAAAAATTTAATTAAAAGATTTTTCTTGATTTTAAATTGGAATTTTAACACAAAAATATAAATTTAAAAATATGTTAATATATTTTGTTAATTCAGTTTTTTATATTAATTAGGATATGTTGGACCACTTTGCTAAGGATGTGACCTCTGGGGAGAATAATGGGGATTTTCATTTACTTAAAAAGGTATAAATGGTGCTTGCTATTAATGTGACAACTAGTAAAAATAAGTGCTTTATAACTGCCTAATCTTTATCTTTACAACTTTTTATTTAGTGTTTGGAGTTAATAATGTAATTGATAATAATAATATACACTCCCTTGCCTACTATATTAGAATTCTTAAGCTTGCTAGTATTTCAAAGAGCTCTTTAAGGGATGAAAGCAGCTAATATATAAAACTTCTCATACACTATCTTTAACTTTTAGCTGTACTGAATTCTATTAGTTTACAACTACCAGATTTTGTTACAGTTGTCCCTAAATTTACTGGTAATCCTAACACATCATTTATCCTTTCTTCGAATTGTTTTCTTTAATAGTTAAATTATAAAAATATTATGCAACTTAGAGTTCTACAATCCTCATTACTTCCATTGATTTACTGTTTTGTAGTAATGATTCTGTATATAATTTATAAATTAATAAAATGTCAAAAAATATAAAAATAATTTTTCTATACCACATTTGTATTTCTTGTCATGTTCTTTTAGCCAGATAGCATAATGTTCCTCCTAAGTTCAATAGGGTGCTAAAATTTAGGAAAAATAAAATCTCTCATTGCAGATGCAAACTTTGAATGCTATAAAGATTCTTCATACCATGAGTTCTTATACTTTTATACTATCCCTGCTTTTTTAATATGGTGCTTATTTCCTGTAATTTTCTTAATTTTGTTAAGCAGAAGAAGAAATAAATTGCATCTAATAGTAACAAAGTAAATGTATGGATATCTTTACTTAGAATACAAAGAAAAATACTACTACTTTGAATTTTTCCGCTGTGCTATTAGGATTATTATTGTAGTTTTTTAAACACTAGTGAATTCTGATTAGTAGTTTAAATTAAATTGTGTTACTCTTTTGTTATTTTTCTACTTAATAGTTTCAGTTAAGATTCTTCCTTACTAGAATATCTAAGTATTTAGAGTAGATGTTATGTCTCATGTAGTGCTGATTATAATTGTTTTATTTAATATGATTTCGGCTACTTTAGGTACTTCCTCAAGTAATTTAATTTATTTCACTATAAATTTATCTTTCTTATGATTTTTTTTTGAAAAAAGGTTTTAATGATATCATTCAAATGTTAACTGTAATTACAAATGTTGGTTATTTTTTAGTAATGATATGCATAATAGCATTTTTGAAAATTAATAACTTCAATTCTGCTTTTCTTAAACTATTAATATTTATGAAAAAGAACTTTGCAAAGTTCATTCCATGTTTAAAAAAATCAAACTTGCTTTCAAGTAATTATTTTAGGGTTCTTAAAAGATGGAAATTACTAAGAAATAATAGATAATATTTAGTATAAAAGTATTTCTAGGAGCAGCTCAACAATCATTTTGCAACAGGTATGAAAGTCTATTTTTAACTTTAAATTAAAGAATTTTTTTTAAATTAGCAAAATTAATTAATACTAAAAGAGAAATTGAACATCAAAGTACAATTTAAGCACCTGTCTCTATAGTAATCAAAGATTAAAAACCTTCAAATTTTGTTAATAGTCCAAATCAACAATCAACACCTCTTATTTAATCTTTTCCTTAATAATCTGAAAGAAGAATTTTAGAGAATAATAACAATTTAATTAAAGGAAATCAAGAATAAGATTTAGATATTTATAGTTCAGGATTTTTATCCTAAAACTTAGATGCTGAAAAAGCTAATTTAGAAATAGAAATGTACTCAGTTCCTGTTTCATCTAAATTTATATTTGATAAAAATAATCTGGTTAGATAAGCTTTTAATAGTGCTAAGTAAATTAATCCAGAAACTCAAAAATGAAAATGAATTACTTTTTTTTATATTTATTGTTTTCTTTTATTAAATTTTGTAGCTTTTATATAAATAAAATATATTTATTGTTAATTGGCGTTAATATCTTTGATAATTTATTGATAAGTTTAATTAAAAATTTTAATTTTTTAACAAAGTCTTTTAGTAAAAGAACGTGCATGTTTAATGCCAATAAAATAAAATGTAAATTTAATTAAAGAAATTTAATTACATTTCAAGATATTTATATGTTATTTAGTAAAATTATATACAAATAAAATCAAAGGAAAATCGTAAATTTCGTTAAGATTAATAATCAAAAATATATTCATAACATTTTATCAATAATTTTTATTACGTTTAAACAAAAAGAAAATAATCAAATAAAAAAATCAATTAATAATTTGAATGGTTTTACATAAAATAAAATTTTATATTTTTACCAACTAAATATACTACTTTATAAAATAAAATAATGCATTAAGATAAAAATATTTAATTTATCAGAAAAATATTTTTAGTAATAAGAATATGGCAATATATGAGAAGGATATGATTGAAGAGCTGCAAAATTTTATATACTTAACTGTTCTACCATTTAAAGGAACAGTTGTCCTATAGTTTCCGCTTTTGATCTCTCCACTTTAATTAAACCAAAGCTCTTTAAACTTATCTAAGGTTTTCTTTGATATTTTCACAGGATTTTTAAATACATGCCAATTTACAATCTCATCACAAGTTGGTGTAGTGAGAGAACCCTAGTATATATATGCCTTATTTTATTGGCTAAAAACTAGGTTCAACATAGAGGTAAAATCAAGTTCAAACTTTGGTGATAAGTCGTTAACATTTTCACCTGCAAATTCATATTTTTTAAAAAGTTAAGTTTCTTCAGCTTCATTTTCTGTTTCTTACATGAAAATACCAAAAACTGCCAATTTTTTGGGCGTTTTTACTACGTTTTAGGTTACAATATGTAACTCTAAATCAAAGTGTTCGCCATCAATAGTATGCTCTGATAAAGAATGAAAGTGAAACTATATAGCTCTATAGGTAGCTTTTACTCCATAAGCATCTGCGAAATCGATTTCAAAGAAAGGAAGTGAGTTTCCTACCGAAGTTTAGAGAGTATGTCCGTTTTATAGGGTTTATGCGTTAAATTTCCCCATATACTAGAAATCAACATTATAGCATTCAGGTGTATCATTTATAAGATAAGTTTCTATATTTATAGGAGATTATCTTTGCCCAGTTGTACAAGTAGCAGGCCAATCTGAACCATGCTAGTCATAAGTATATGAATAGCATAAATTTAAAATAATTAAATGAACTAAAATCAAATTGAAAATTTTCATTTCTTTATTTGAGTTTTATTCTTTCTTTTTTTTTTAGTAGAAATTTAGTATTAAATTAATTAATTATATAGGTAAATTTTTACTGCTTTGTTTTTAAATAAATTTCTGAACCTAATTTTTAAGTTATTGATTTAGTATTTACTTCGATTTGTTAGCTTTACTTTTACTTTAACTAATTTTGCAGTAACTCATATTAATAAATTCTCCCAAATTATGCAGAAACTTGAACCTTAACCATAAGGTTTTTTTTCCCTTCGTCATCATATAAAGTGCTGAGTTTGAAAAATAATAATATTTTTGTTTATTAAAAAAGCCAATTTGTCAAATATATTAATTTTACTTTTATCAGTTTGTTTTTTTAAATTTATTTTTTCATATTCAACTTATTTATTTTTGAAGAAATAATCCATATAAAAATAAAATACATTAATATATTTGAGAATGAATACTTAGTTAGATATTTACATGACAAAAATAGAATATTAAATAAATTAAGAAACATTAAAATATAGTATTTTTTTAAAATACATTTGATTTTTTAAGAAATAATTAAATAAATAAATAAGTTAATACATTTTCGTTTTGTAAAATAAAAGTTTATTTTTTTTGCAAATTTGATATTTCATTTGTAACCAAAGAAAAAGTCTCTAACAAATTTAGGAAGGAAGAAATAATTTTTGTGGATTCTGTCTAATTTGCTTTTTGTCTCAGGATCAAGCTCAGTAAGGTATTTCCTTTCATCTACAAAATCATAAACCTTTTTAAGAGCTATTTCTTTTTCATCTGGTTAGTTTAAAGCAAATTTTATGAGACCTAAAGCAACGCTCTGAGCTTCTTCGTCTCTATATATTTTTTAATATTCATCTTTTTCAGGAGTGTAAATATGAGTTTTTTCGAATTCTCCTTTGTCATTAATTTATATCATTCTCCATTGATTTCCATTGGTTTAAATAGCTCTACATACAGAAATTTAAGGGTCTCTAGCTTTCATATTCGTTAAAGCCCATATTGCAGCTCCTAGTAGCTCAGCTTAATTGAATTTATCTTCCCATTCGCCGAGAGAGTTTTTTTCTTTACGAGCACGTAATATTGGAACTAATGGAACTTTGGTTTCTGCATCTCTATGATAAATTAAGAAATCAATTCTGCCATGAAACGGGCAAGAGTTTGAGGGCTAGCATATATAATCATAATAATAGTCAAATCCGGTGTTTTTTAAGGCTTAAAATAAGAACGTATCAATTAATTCAGCTTCGTCTTTAACATCAAATATTTTTTTCTTTTTAAACTATTTCATTTTAAGCTAAAATTCTCTTTCAGAAACGTCTTAATGCTAAATATAAGGAGTCCATCTAAAAGGAGAGTGCAATTATAAATTCTTTGAATAAAGTGTATAAGAATGAATAAATCCATCATCCAGCTGCTAAAATGGAGGAAGTATACTTTTTTTAATTGATTATTACTGATATTAAAAGCGATTTTTATTTAAGTCACCTAAGGTTGTTGATTTAACTTTATCTTCAATTTAAAGAGAGCTATTTTGACTTGAATATACATCTGGAGAAATATTATTTTAACTTTTTGCTTACTTATCATTCTACTGTTCATCTTAGAATACTTAATCCTATTCAATTTAAATTTCCTCCTTTTACTCTTTGATAGAATCCTCCTATTGAGATTGCACTTCTGATATTGTTTACATTTGTATATTTTTTTTCTCACTTTCCATTTGCTTGGCTGATTATATATTATGGATTCCATAACTTTATAATTAATCCTTGGCTTCCTTAATTTTTTATTCAACTTCATTATCTTTTTTTTCATCCTTAAACTCGAAGGGACTATTATACTCTTCCTTCTTAAATATTTTGAAAATATGTTATTTTCTCTTATGATTCAAGCTATTATGAAACAAGCGAAGATGCTTTAAATTTTAGTTCATACTTCAAAGATGTTAAAAACTATGTCTTTCTATATATTATTATATGATAAAGTCTTTTTGTTAATCAAATAGAATTTTAAGAAAAGATATATTGTGTTTATTTATTTATTTAATTTATTTTCAAACAAAATATTTGTTAATTGATTGAATTTATGAAAGCATAAAATCTAAGAAATTACCATTATTTTCTGGAAAAACTCAAGCAAGATTATCAAGTAACCTTGAAATATAATAGTGCATACATAAAATTTAAAATAGACAATATATATTTGTCTAATTTTTTTCATTAAAATGTTTTAAGAAAACTAAAAAAATTAAATTGTATAAATAAATATAGAATAGAGAAATACATAAATAGATTGATTGATAGATAGATAAGGATATATAATTCAAATTTGTGTTAATAAGTAAAATTTTTGTAATGTATTTTATAATTTATTAGAAAATTCGATAAAAATTGAAGGATTGAACGAAAGATTGATTGATTGATGCTGGCTGAACAGATTTAAGAAATACTAAAATTTAACTATTCTAGAAAGTTTTAATTTTCTGCATCTAATCTTCCATTTTAAAATTAAATTTAAAACTAAAATAGATTTTTCACATGTCTATACCCCATATCTATTAATTATATTAATAATATTATTTTCAAATTAGCTAATATTATTTTAAACTTTACTTCTATGTTTTTTATTTTAAACTATTCTTTTCCATCAGAGCTTAGAATTTCATTATCAAATGTATCACATTTGTTAGTCTACCCTCTATATAGGTCACAATTTATAAATAATCCATATTTTTCACCACAGCCAACTCCTAATCCATCTGAATTTGAGAAGATAAAATGCTAGTTTTTACCAGTAGGTTAAAAGGCTTTTATTTTTTATTCTTCTCCTTAAAATTTAAATAAAAAGCATTCTCCATTACCATAAAAAGCATGAGTAATATGAAGAGGGTCAGAAAGGTAAGCTCCAAATTTCTCTCCTTAAAAGGTTTAAACAACTAAAAATATTGGAGACTCCTCTTCACAATGTCTATACAGGCTATTAATAGAAAATAAGTTCAATATATTATTTTTATTTGTTAATTTTACGTCTAAAAACTCATGCCATGCTTCATGTTAGAGTATAGTAGTCTCCAATTTGTGTATCTAAACATAGAAGGTACATAATATATAATCTTAAAAATTTTTTTAATTTTCAATTTAACTCTTACAAAAAATTATTATACCTGTAAAAACAATTCCTGGGTCAGTACATTGGAGTGCTCGAGCATCTTAGCACCAAATTCAAGAGTCAACCATTAATCTATAAAAAAATAATTATTTATTTAATGATAAAAAATTTATCCAAGCTAAGTTAACAAAATAAGAAATAGCTTTCAACATCTATTTATTATTTTTCTTTTAAATATTTAAGTAAATAAATTAAAGTAAATTTTACTCATTTAATTTTATTCTGCTTCTTAGGTAGTAAGTTTTTTCTTTTGAACAATATTTTCATATAAAATATCAAAAAATGGTAAAATAGTTAAGCTTTCTTGTTCAAATTCTTCATCACTTCCCTCTTTCTATTCTTCCTTTTCTTGGCTTTTATCTTCTTTTTCTTTGCTTTTCTCATGTGTAAGTGATTAAGTCATGTTAGTGTCTTGAGTTTTTGTATCGTTTAATAACATGCTTTCAAAGTCACTATTTGCTTTTGAAATAATTGGGTTGCTTTAACTTCTATTAAAATGTTTTTCTTCGCTGCTGCTTGTTTGGTCAGAGTTATTATTCGATTTTTGCAAATCAGCTTCAAGCTTTTATTCCTGTTTTTTCTTCTGTGTAATTCAATAAAAAATAATATAAAAATACTGTTTTTACTAAAAGTAGATTACTTAGTAGTTTTCAATATTTTTGTTAATGATTTCTACAACTTATTGAACTATTTACTACTTATCTTAATTACTTAAATCATTTCCTAAATGATCCTTTTCAAATACTCTGAAATACACTGTTGAAATTGATTTTTTCTCTTTTTTGAGCTATTTAAGACGATCTTTATATTTTTTATAGATATCTTTGTTTCCTATATGACTAAGAGATATTTGTAGGACATATTCTTTAGCATTTTCATTAGTTATTTCAGATGCTCTTGGAGGTAACACTAGAGCAGTAGACTCATTTATATCTTTAATATCTATACATGCTTAAAATTTAATCACTCTTTTCTCTAAATTTATTCAATAGAAATAAAAATTTGTGAGCTTTTGCTTAAAAAATTATCATTAATAAACTAACTTTGTAATTTCTGCATATTAGTAGCATTTGAAAGGGACGGATCAAACATAATAACACTATCATTAATTGATAAGCAACCCATAATATTTCCATAGGGAGTACAGTAGTAGAAATGGACTTTATTATAAAAAGTGAAATTTAAAGTTAATAATAGACTATGGTTTTTTTACATCTATGAATTTCTTAGTTTGAATCCATTCTGCTTTATAACGAAGCTTGAGGTTCTTTTTTTAATGACAAAGCTTTTCTTCTATTCATTTAGTATGTATCATCAATAGTACTATCTTCTGTAGATTAGCTTTAGCAGAGTTCTTTAGGAAATTTAAGTTTCTAGGTTATGTTAAAAAAATTGAATTTAATCATCTAATATAAAGAAATTACCATTCCTGGAAATACAGTATCAGAAACATCATTTATAAGCTTGATTTTTTATTCACTAAAATAGTAATTTTGAAAAAAAGTTGACATATGCTAAACAAATTAAAATATATTAATTTACGATATATTAAATTTTATAGATAGCCCTATAAGTGTATCTTAATTTGTAGTTGTGTAAAAAATATATTTCGATTCATCATCTTCTTATTTTTGATCGCTTGGATTTGCCCCTATACTTTTAAATTGCTCACTATTTCTCGTTATACTTGAGCTATTAACATTCATACTCTAACTTCTCTTCTTTAATAATTAAGGAGATTGATTTTCTATCTCTTCTTCTTCGACTTTACCTATAAACTGTTTTACCCTAGGCATATTTTCATTTTCTTAAATTTCGAAATTAATGACTTCATATCTTATATTATCATCTGAAGGATTCCCTTATGAATTATTGCTCTATTTTCTTGATCCTTTATTACTGGAATTTCCGTTGCTATTGCTACCCTAAAATTAAAAAGTAAAATAATTAATTGTTTATTCATAACTTGAATTATTATAGATTTATTTTAAGTTTAAGCTATTTCTTATCTTAAAAATAATTATTCATGACTAGATTGATAAATTTTGAAGCTAAAGATAAATAATTGCTATCACAGTAATGAATAATATTGTAGAAAAATATTTTAAAAATAGCTAATTACTCCAAAGCTAAGCAAGTTCTTAAAAGCATTCAGCATTCAATGAAATGGGTTTAAAGTTTTTTTTAAAACTAAAAATGATCACTTTTATGCTAAGTTTATTATTTGTTTTCTATAAAACTAATTAAAATAATAATAATAATTATTCTAAAAAAAGTGTTTGATGATGAGATATTTATTATAATAATCATAAAATAGATAATAAGAATTATTTAAGTCATGATTATATAAATAGGTATCAGTAATACAACAAACAACCCTATAATCTTAATAAAATAAGATTTTTGATCTTTTGAAATAAAAATAAGGTCATTTCACAAAGTCTCTACCTTAATTAATTAATTATAATTTACACTAAATTAAAAATTAGTAAAATAAAATGCTAAATATTTTTTGTTTTATTACCTAGCTACCAACTTATCTTATTTATAACCATCTTCCACAATTATTTTATAAAGTAAAAATTTTAAATCTTAAACAAATATAGATAGATAATTTTAGAAGATTTAAATAAAATTATTTACTTTTAATATCTTTTTTTCTAAAAATTAAATTAGATTAAAAAATATCATTTAAAATAATTTATAATTGGATTAAACTAAAATTAAGATTGAATAAATTTTTGTTAAATAATTTGAGAGTTAAACTTATTAAAATTATTATAGCAAATTAATTATTAAATAGTTTTTTAAAAATTTATATATGCAGTTTACTTTTTTACAAAAATTGTTATTCAAGTGATGATGGAATAAATAAAATCTATTTTTAAATATTGCTAACAAATAAATAAATATTATTTTTATTTGAATTTAAAACTTTAAATAAAAAGTTGTATGTATGTCTAACTAACTTTATCTTTCTAAATTTAAATTAACATTTTTTTAATTATTAAAAAAAAAAAAAAATTATGATAAATGATAAATAGAGATTATACTTATACAATCAATTAAAACGTTAACTTTTTTCAAAGAAATCCTTTCTTACTTGGATATTTAATTAAATTAAATAATTAAATAATTTTGTGGCTATTCAAAAAATCAAATTGAATGGTTTGAGTAAAAGAGATTTGTTTTAATAGAAAAATATTGGTGATTTATGAACCCTAGATTTATTAAATAAATTAATTAGTTAATTAATTGATTGATGCTTGTAAAATTAATATAAAAGTAGAAAAAAGTATATTTATTAAAAAACTAAATAAATTTGTTATTGAAAATTAGTTATAGCCAAAGTTTGATATTTATTGAACAGAAAAACAACACCATAATTTAAATTTCTATTTATTTATTAGCATAATCAATCAGCGATACCAATTAGTCATTAAGGATGATATTAGCAATCCATAAAAGCATTTTAATATATCTGGTTTTTCTTTTCAGCCATATTAACTTCTTAAAAGGTAATATTGCATATACGATGATTACTTATGAATAATACATGCATAGCATTATATACATATAAAAGTGTTAGAGATAGATGAATAAATATATTTTATTTTAAGTTTTGCGAAAATTGATTAATTTTTTTAATTATTTTTTGTAGGATAAGCTGTTACATTCACTAGTTAATCTCCAGTTGTTTTAAATACAGGTCCTGCTACTTTATAATGTACTCTAACATCTTAATTTGCCAACAGTTAGTCTCCATTTAAAGCTATATTCTATTGGGTATATTCATAGTATGCATTCACTATAGCTGAATAAATTTATTTTTCAAACAATCTTGTGGTTATTTCATAAAAAACTTAATCTCCTTTGAGTGCCTCTTACTTCTTAGGAAGAATTGAAATAAGTTTTTCAAGCTAAGATATTGACCTCACCAGTGGTGTTTATTCTGTTACATTTAGGTTCACTAACTTTAAGAACCCGTTTTCAACTAGAGTATTCGTATGCATACTACTTTATTTTGATAAAAATATTTAGATTTATATTGATTATTATTTAAATTTAAAGATTAAGCAAATTCAATCATTTTTTTAAATTAAAGGGTGGCTTTTAGCTCTACCTGATAAGTGCAAATGGTTAACAATTATAAAATACAAATATAAGCCTATCGGCGTTAACATAAGAAGTAAATTAAATATTTGTTTAATATTGAGATATATCAAAGTTAAATTAATAAAAAATAAATAACTATTTAGATAACAAGGAGCACAGCAGTCTAAGTAGTTGGAAATTGTTAAATTAATAGCAATTGTAATTTACTTCTTTAATTTACAACAACAGTTTCAATCGATAAATAAATTTGTGCAATTATTGTGAATATTGGGTAAGGAAAAAGCTATTAATTAACTTAAATTAACAACTAAGATGGTGCTTTAGTCTAATTAAGTGATGGTGTTTACCTTTTACCTAATATATTTAAAAATTTTCCAACAGATTACTAATCATCTAAGCAGCTTAGTTTTAATTTAGTAATGTCAGGATTCACATATGCTTAGACAGTTTAATTTACTGCTACTATTGTAGAAAATGCTTTAAATTATCCAAAAATGGAGACTATTCCTTTTACTTTAGTTGTACAACCTCTGCAAATTCAATCTAGTGCTTCTATATCTATACCAAATACCAGCTCCAAACTTGTAGGTAAATATAAAGTTATTCAACATTCAATTAAATATAAAAAATTAATTATAGGTGAGAACAGCATTTATTTAATAGATTTTACTCTCTCTTTGGGATTTTAGAAGGATTATACCCTTATTGTTGGTTTTGACTCAAGTTTAATTTCCATAAACGATTTAACAGCAACTAATGTTTATGACATAGGTGGAGTTTCAAATGTTTTAATAGCTACAACTCCAGTTTTAGATAATTCTAATTCTATTATTAAACTTACTTAAAGCAATTATGATTAAACTGCAAGCTATCCAAAAAAATAACTTAGAATACAGATTAGTGTGAAAAATCCATTATCAACATAAAGTTAGCTTCACTTCAGCATTTCTACAGCATTTACATCTAATACTTAATAAGTTTTAGAAAGATTAGATGCCTCTCTTAACATCGTTCTTTAGCCAAATGTATTAAGTTCCTTAACAATCACACCATAAAATCTAATAGTAGGATAACTCTCAGTTTATGATATTAAATTTACTGTTAAAACTTAAATTCCTTAAGGAGGTATGATTAAAATTTATTTTCCTCCTGACACTAGTTTTCCATTTTACAAAGCTGGAGGTACATAAGCAGGATCTCTAAATACTGTCCAGCCTGTTACTGGTAATATTTCTCCTCAAGCAACTATCAGTCTAGATTCTTTTCCTTGCAATCCAACTAATGGATGTATTGCTTCTATTAATAATGCGATTTTGACTACTATTACAGGTGGTTCTGTTGTAGAATTTACATTAAATTTTATTAGAAACTTATTTTCAACAAAACCTGCATTCATAAATGTAGCAACATTTGACCAAAATAATTTGCAAATAGATTCTAGATAAACTTAATTTTAAATGCAAACACCAAATAAATTTAATTTTGTATAAATTAAATAATAAACAAGTATTGTGGGCTAGTCATCTTACTATGACTTCAATATACAGTTCAATACAACTCATTATAATGGATATATACTATTTATAACATATCCTTAATAAATTTAGCCTAATATTCAGAATGTAAATGGTTTAACATGTACAGGTTTAGAGGGATTAATTTAGGATTTGGGTGTTCCTGACCAAAGCTGTGTGGTTACAAATGTTAATGGAGTCAATAAAATCTAGATAATTTTATAGTTTTTAGATGCAAATAACCCCTCAAGAAGTATTAAAATTAGAGTAAGTTCATTCACTAACTATTTCCTAGCAAACTAAAATTTTTAATTTGGGTTGGAAACAGTTATAAAAGAAAGTGCAGGAAACAATTAATTTAATATATTTTATGTCGAAAGCCTATTCAATGATCCAACCTTATAAGTAACTATGACTACAAATGTATTTTAATCCTTACTTGTAAGTACATCACCTGGCATTATGAATTAAAATAATGATATTACTGTTAACATAACCCCAAACACAGTTCCATAATCAAATAGTTTGACATTTTACATCAAATTTTAACTTTCTCCTTTGTTAAATGTGAACTCAAATTAATGTGCTAATTATTTTATTCCTCCTTCTAACACTGTAGCAAGTTCCTGCTCTTTTTCTAGCAATACATTCTCAATTGCTTTCTCAGTATTATATTTTTAAATTTGCTTTCATTAATTAAAATTTATTTCCAAACTAAAGATTTTAGGAACTGGCAATATGAAATTTGTACTCAAATAGGTTAACTATCCTTTTAATACAAATACATAAGCATTTATTACAGTTACCACTTACTCAACTGATTTAAACAATAATATATATCCGATGGATTATTAAGTAGCTGTTGTACCTTTAAGTTGTCAAGGATTGTGCTAAACATGTATCTCTGCTTAATCCTCTCAGTGTCTTAGCTGTTATAGTGGTTTTTACCTTGATGGATAGACTTGTGTGACATAATGTCCTCCAAATAAATATCCAGTAAATTTTATTTTTAAATCTTTTTAATAATAGTATTACAATTTACTAGATTTAATCAGGAAATATTTGGAAGTGTGAAGCATGTATAAATAATTGCTAAACATGCCAATTAGACGCAACAAATAATTATTAATGTTTAACTTGTATTGCAAATTATGTATAGACTGCCTATGATACATGTTCCAGTAACTGTCTACCTGGAACTTTTAAAAATTAATAAAATCCTCCTTCTTGCGATAAGTGTAGTACGAGTTGCTACGAATGTGTGAATGCAAACAATAATTGTACAAGCTGTAACACATAAATTACAAAAAAATATTTGTTTAAGAATTAATGCTTAAGTAGTTGTCCCATAGGGTAAATTTTTTATCTAATAATTTTAGATTTATTTTTTTGTGAATAATAAATAAAAGAACCTATCCTAATAACCTCCTAGGAACCTGCTCTCAGTGTCATTCTAATTGTACTTAGTGTACTGATTATACTGTATGCTAAGCATGTTAATTAGACTTTAAATATTTAGTTAATAATTTTTGTTATAGTACTTGCCCTAACACAACTGTAAAGAATAGCTAAGATCAGTGTGTGCCATGCACTAATAATTGCTTAACATGCTAACTAACAACTGATAATTGTACTTCGTGTAATAGTGGATATTATTTAGTAGGTTCGGTTTGTAGTGCTACATGTCCTCTTGGTTAAGTAGGCATATCAGGAATTTGCGTATCTTGCACCCCTCCCTGTACAGCTTGTAAAAATATTCAAACTTCATGCACTAAATGTGACTAAAGTAAATTTATTTTTATTGCCCTAAAACAAAAACTCACTTCATATTTTTTTTCCATTTGCTTTTAGATACATATTTAACTGGAGATTCCTGTGTTTAATAAGCTTAATGTCCATCCGGAACTTATGGCGATAACTCTTTGAGGTCGTGTGTGAGTTGTAAAAATAATTGTCTTACTTGCTCTGATGAAATAACTTGTAAATCCTGCAACTAAAATTCATCATTTAATAAATTTTATAATGGATAATGCTTGCAAGCATGTCCTTCATCTACTTATTTAGATAATCCTACAAACATTTGCAAACCATGTGCTCCAGGCTGTTTGTAATGCTCATTGACTTCTTGTTCCTAGTAATAATAAACAATACTTAAGCTTAACAAAAATTAATAACAATTTATTTATTTATTATAAAGGTGTGATCTCAACTCATAGTATCCAATTCTTATTAATGGCTAATGTTTACAGAATTGCCCGAGTAACATTCCTATTTATACTAGCTATGGATGCTAACCATGCTCATCTAAATGCCTAACTTGCTAAAATAGTGTGGACTACTGCTTAAAGTGTTCTTCAGGTATGTCATCTTTGAACGGAGATTGTCTCTCTACATGCCCTTAAGGTTAGTTTATTAAATAATTATTCTCAATATAATTTTAATTTATTTCAGGAATAATTGCATACTATGTTTAAAATTAGGATATATATCTGTATTAGGAGTTTGCTAAGAAGAAGGTACACCTGCCAGTAGCTTGATAATTTTACCTTTTTTTATTGGATCAGTTGCAATAGCAATGGTGCTTGCTTTTTATTTCTATTGGAATAGAGATATGCTTTACTCTTCTAATTTTATAGCTGTATTTTCTCTTTTAGAATTAGGAGCGTGGCTCTTTTATATAGGTGTGTTTGCTTAATTTAAAGGAAATCACACAGAAACCTAGTACTCTCTTTCAAAATCTTTATATGCTTTCTTGTTTGGTATTTTGGCTTATATTTTAATGAATATAGCATTTTTTATCTACTTTAGAAAAATTGTTTTTTAAGATACTCGCTTTAGGACTTGGCTAACATAGAAATCTAACAATAGTGTTTATAAGGGTTTATCATACTTTGGATTGGTTCTTTCATTCAAAATGAATAGACTTTTATATGGAAGATTATGCAGTTTATCTTATTTTTCAGCAGAATTTAATGACAATTAGACCATTTTCAAACCAACTAATATATTTTCAGTAGCATCTTTGATATTAAACAATCTTCCTATATTTATTAGTGCATGTATGACACTTGACACAATTTAGGCTACTTAAAAAGACTCTTAGCTTTATATAAATGGGATAGAAGTTATTCTTATGAATATTTTTATGTTTATATTAGTTTTATTAGATTTCCACAAGCCATAAAACTATTTTAATAGGCATAAAGTACAGAAATCTTAGAGTCGAGTTTATGTTGATGATAGTGGATATGGAATGATGGGATTAAATGAAAATTAAAGTGTAGATTATAAACATATGATGGATAATTACCATTAGTTTTCAAGAATTAAAAGTCCAACAAGTATGGACTAGAGTGCATTAAATTCAGCAAAGATTAATTCTGGCTTATAAACACCGTAAGGAGCTGCAAATCCTTTTAATTAAAATAAGAATAGATCTAAAATATTTGATGAAAATGGGAATGTAATACATGAAGAAGATAATGATGATGATGAAAATCTTGACTCAGAAGCAAAAAATAAAAATAAAAAATAAAATCATGGAATTGATTCTGACTAATAGTCAATAGATATCGAAAACGTTTCTAAAGATTTAGAAAATACTAAGAAAAAGATTCTTGAGTAAGAAGATATTTCTAATTAAAATATCGGAACTAAAAATAGTGAATTAGGAGGTTAAGCTTCATCTCAAGATGGTCAAGATATTGAAGCACAGAAAAATAATAAGTTGCTATCTTCTACAGATACTTTTAATGGATAAAATTTAATTGCTAACAAAATTGGAATAGCTGCTGTTGATAATGAGGATAAAAAAAGTTAAAATTTGAATGAAGGAGACTAATTAAATGAATAATAAAAACTATAAAACGAGAATGAAAACAAACAAAACAAGAATTAACTTTCTTAAAATGATTAAAATGGTTAAATCTAGAATAATAAATCAAATGGAGATGAAGAGAATAAATTAGATTAAGCTAATAATAATAAAGATATTGATAAAAATAGTTTGAAATAATAAGATGCTTAAAATTAAATTAAAAGAGGAAGATAAACAAACAGCAATGCTTCTTAAAGAAAAAGCAGCAATATTAAAGGAGATTAAGATATTTCAAAAACACTGAAGTCATAAAAATCAAGTAGCTCAATCAAAAATAATTCTCCTGCTAAAAGGAACAAAAGTCTTTAAAGTCAACCTGACTAAGATCCTGAAAAGAGCAATTTGGAAAACGCAAATGCTTCCTCTAAATCTATTCAGTAAATAAATATTATTTTTTTTTAATTTGAATTAAAGTATTTTTTTAATTAAAAAGGAGATCAAGCTCAGCAAAAAAACCACTAGATAAAAATGATGAAGGCTTTATGAGCGGTAAGGAATGTCATCATCTTTTAAGAGTTTACGAAAGAAGCACGTCTTAAGCTTCAAAATCTAAAAATGGGTAGCAAAGCCCCTCAAGAAAATAAAGCCTAAATAATAGCCAATTTTAGGCATCTTCAAGGAATCCTAGAGATACTATTGCAGGTTCAAAAAATAAAAAAATGAAAAATCAGAAGAGTTTAAAGGAGGGAGAAAATGATTACGAATAGAATGATTCAAATAACACCAACTAGGATGGAAACTATAATCCAATGATTTTTACTTATTAAAAATAAAGAAGCTAGCTAGATAGCTCTAATGCATCTAACATGATATTAAGTCCTTCGAATGACAGTAATTTATAAAACTAAGATGATTAGAGAAAGTCACATAACGCTCAAATAGAAAATTAATTAGATAATAAAAATTTAAACAACAACACATCTCTAAATAAATTAAAAAGATAAATCAATTAGAGTAGCTCAAATTTAATAGAAAATCAATAATAAAATTCAAAAAGTTAGAATCTATTTGATGCTCCTGATAAGAACTAAAATGATAATACCAAAAATAATAATAATTTATTTGAAAACTCTAGCAACATTGTAACGAGTTAAATTATAGACTAAGATGAAGAAGCAAACCAAATTTAAGGTAAAAATTTGTAAAATCCCTTAGAAAACACTAAATAAATTACATAAACCACAAATTAGTAAGAATAATCAATTTAGCAATAATAACAATTTAAAGACCCTCAAAGTTAAAAAGAAGGCATTCTGAGCTTTTAAAACCAAATTAATAATCAGAAACCTTTCACACCAGGATAAGAAATTCCAGTTGATTTAGAAGAGGAGGATGACAGTAGTGCTGATGGTGGATTATTTAATTAAGATTAAAAGAAAAAGAGGAAAATAGATCCTGAAGATGTTGGTGAATACTTTAATGAATCATAAGGATCTATGGTGCAAGATACACCATCTAATTATAATGAGTAGAATATGAGGTTTGCTATAACTAATTAAGGAATTATAGATGCTCATATGAAATTAAAGAAAAGAAATGAAGAAATAGTTATTCCAATTCAATCTTAACTTAATAATAATACATAAGAATCTTAAGAGAGCAATAATAATTTAGAAAAATATAAAAAGAAAAATCCTTCCAAAAAGAATGGATTAAATAAAACTAAAAAAAATTCTTAGAAAGCAGTTAAATAAATAAAAAAAGGCCCAAGTACAATAGAATACAGTGAAAATAATGTTATAAATATGTAAGAAAATGAAAATAATATCTATAAAACAATAGATTAAGGTTAGCTGAATAAAGATTTATAGAAATATAAAAATACTTAATCTAGCAGTAATTCTATAAACAATAATGGTAAATTTTAGCTGAACTCATTAGACCCAAGAACTTTATCTCCCAAAGTAGTCAGGAACGCTTTAAAAAATAACTTTAATAAATAAAATAGTAATAATAATTTCATGGCAGAAAACAGCAATTTAACTTCTCCAGATCAATAAATTCATATTAACTATAATGATGAAGAGCCAGAAGAAATATCATATAGATAAAAATAGAATAAGTTTGAAAGCTAAACTATCAATGTATTTATGAAAAATGGATAGCAATCTCCATCAAATACAATAGGAGGAGCGAGTGATCTTAAGAAAAAGCCATCTCTTAGAAAAAATGTCTCAAAGAGTTTAAAAAGAAGCACAAAATAACTAGAAGATAATACTATTGATTATGGAGATAACAATCATAACAATCTTTATGACATTCATTTTCCTGCAGTTGAAAATAATATCTAAGAATTTTCTGATTTTAATTCCATAGATTACAATGATATATAAGGATAGAATTCATAGTATGATTCAGATAATTTTAGGCTTCCCTCATTACCTAAAACTAATCCTAGAATGGCTGATCTTGAAAAGATATATTTATAAAGATTGGAGAGTCTACCTAAAAGTAAAATTAATAATCATACTACAAATTAACCTCGCCATAAAAGTTTGCAAAAACCAAGAGGCAGCAATAAAAACTAAATAGATTAAGATTACAATGATCTATGATAAAATAATAAAAGATTTATATTTAAAATTAATACTGTTTATTCAATATTGAATATCTAATAAATACATTAATACATAGATAAATAAATAAAATGTCAATTATAAATAATATTTTTAGTCAGTAAATAAGTAAGCAATTTATTTATCTTTAAGTTATTTTTGTTTTATTTTTATTGATTATTTGTAAAGTTATTAATTTAAAATAGAAAATACTTTTAATTTAATTTATTGATTAAATATTTTTGTATATTTTTTTTATTTAAATTTTATGTTATAAATGCATATATATTAATATTATTTATTTGTCATATTTTTTTTATTAAAAATATTATTGCAAAATCATTAAAATCTTAGTTAACAAGATAGATTAATTTTACTATTTAGATTACATCTCATTTAGAAGATAAAATTAAATTATTCATAAATTAATAACTATTCTTATGATTTTTATGAGATTCTTTTGATTATTCCAAATAATTTGTAATTCTGAATTAGATAATTTCCACTTGAATTAATGGCTTATATTCATTCTTAACATTCCAAATTTTTTATTATTTCTAAAATATCTTATATTCTACAGTAATTGAATCAATATAAAATACAGATAAATAAAAAGTATTTATCTGTAATAAATATCAATCAATACAATATAGTAAATGGAAGTTCCATAATTCATACACTACAAATAGGCTGGACCTTAAAGGAGATTTTAAAAAATTCTTTAGACTCTCACATAGAGTAACAGTTCTAATAGCCTCCACTAAAGCCATAGCAGTAAATAAAGTAATAATTTAAATAAACTACTCAATTTTTTATTGATTTAAACATATAAAGTATGATTTTTTTACTTAACTCAAGGATTAAATATTCATGAGGAGTTAATTAGACATTAAATTGAATAAACAAAGGAAGATTGCAATAAATTTTATATGGCTATTCCTATTCCTAAAGATACAACTCATAATTAGGTTTTTCATAGAAATATAATATTAGATACCTCTAATTAAAGGAATGAAGATCTTATGAAGGCTCTTTAGCAATAGAAAGGTATTCAAATCAATAGCGAATAAAAGAGGTAAAAGGAAGATTAGCAAGATATTTAAAATACAATAGTTTGCTCAAGTAAATAGCTAATTACAAACTAATCTATATCTTCTTTACCAATGATAACAGAACCTAATTAAGATAGTATTCAAAAAACTTAAGAAAATGAATCATATTATGATCCTGGAATCAATTTAAAAGAATCTTCATAAATTTAGTAAAAGTCATAAATAGCAAATTATCAAAAGAATCGTAGTACCCAAAAAGGCAGCGGAGCTACATTACATGAAATTGTCAACAAATAGCTACAAGCCATAAGATAATCAAGAAGAAGTTTAAATAAAGATCTTTCATTCAACTCTATAAATTAAAATAGTTCTTGCTAAATAGATGATTAAAGTTCTAATTTATATTTTGCTAGTAATACTGATATTTACAGTAGCTAATCTAATATATTTGTCAAATAGGATCTGTGCCAATAAGATCTGTCAGCACTCAATATTTAAGCTTTGCAAATTAGAATGAAAGAAGACAAAATCCCTTACCATTTATAAAATTAATTGCCTTAATTGAATCTACAAAGCCAATTGAATAGCATCAATAGCTATAATCCTGTGAAATACAACCACACAAAATTATCTTAAATGTAGAACTAGCTAAAATCTAATAACCAATAAGTGAGCAATATTTTAGATTTGCATAAGGCTAAAAGAGAATCATCTAATTCACCTGTTAGCTATCTAAATACTTAAAAGGTATACAAGAAAAGAAATCAAAGCTTAAATCAAGGTAGTTATAATTAAAACTCATCTTCATTCATAAAAAATGAATAAAATCCTTTGTTTAGTTAAGTAAGCAAACAATTATTGCTTAATTAAATAAATTAAAACTAAATACTAAATAGAAGTAAGGCTAAAAAGGATTTTAGCCTTGACTCTAAAATACAAAGCTATAACGTAGAAGAAGTCATACCAATTTCTAATCCTACATATTAACCAAACAAGTAGCAGGCATAAAAAATTACAGTAGTGAGGAAGTTAAACATCACCCAAACTACTATCCATCAAATTTAAAATGCAGAGTGTTAGTGTTCTCAGAAAAAAAATATTATTGATAAAGATTCAGATGAAAATTAAGAAGATGAAAATAATTAAAAATTTTTAACTTAAAGAAGCAAAGAATCACTCAAGTAAGAAAGCCCTATAAAAAAAATATTAGTAAAAGATGATTCATAAGAAAGCAATCTTAATCAAAGTAATGCTTAAGAAAAAATTGAAGTATAAAATGCTACACAAAATAATACAAATATTAGTGAAAAGACAAATAAAATAAAAATACTTTAAAATCAAGGAAATCATACACAATAAAAATCTCCTTCTAATATTTAAAATGGGTATTTTTCTATAGACGAATGTAAAAACTAAAAAATTATTTATTCGAATAAGAAAAAAAATTCTTTTAATTTCAACACACCTTCGAAGATTGACAAAAATTGTAAATCTATTATAAGTTCTGATTATGAAAATGAATCTGAAAATTCTTTAAATTCTCCATCATTACCTCCAATACTTGTATGCACTTAATAAGAAATTATCAAAAAGCTATATAAGGCCAAGCCTAAAAGAAAAACAATCACTCAATAAGAAGAATAGGAAGGTTATGATTAATCTCAATAAAAGTCATCTAAAAGATAAAGTTAAGGACGTAACTCACTTAAAAAGTAGATAAGTAGATAATCATATACAAACTCTGGATAGTCAAATTAAAATTTTGATAATTCTTTAATTTCCCACACAAACATTTAATTAAACTAGTAGGTGATTTCATAATAACAGTATGTGAATCTACCTTAAATACAAAATATGCAAACAAATCCAACACTATAGTAAAATAAATATATGCCTGAAATTTTAGAAGAGTTCAGTCAAAGCTCTCGATAAAATTATACAGATGGGAGAGTATCTTCTACTTATACAAAAATGGATATTAATAATAGCATTAGCATAAATAACGCTTCAAGATAATAAAAAAATTTCACTCCTGAAGAAATACAATAATCTTAGAAAAGCAGTATTGAATTTAAGTAATTAATATAAGAACTTATTAAGGTTATTTGCGAATTTGAAATAATATCTGCAGATGAAACAGATCCTGTTTTAGAAAGTTACCTATATAATATGTTTGCTTAAAAGAATTAATTATAAAACTAGCTGTAATTAATAAATAGCAATGAATAGCTAATATCAAATACACAAGCTTTAATAAATATAGTAAAAATATTAATTAAATAACAGCATTTTATTTCATCATATCCATTTCATAAAGCAAAATTTGATTAAATAATATAAAAATGCGAAAAAAACATAAACAATTCCTGTAAAATTTGATATTAAAAACATCAATCAGATCCAAATAAACTAACTAACTAGCTAAATTAATTATATATATTAAATGTAAATTAATTATAATGTATATTACTTATTATAATATTAATTCATAAAAAATACCAATATAACCTTACTGTTACTATTAAAAAAAAAAAAAAAAAAAAATTTCATATTAATAATTAATTATTTAATAGTAGTATTGTGATTAGCATTTTAGCATCTAATGTTTTTTAAAGCAAATGTTTTTATTTTATTTTATTGTTTCTAAACATTAAGGCTTGTAATAAAATTTTGAAAATAAAATTTTTTTTTTTCCTATTCAACAAAATTTGCAATTTTAGAAATTTTATTAAAGACAAAAAATATCTAATTGATTTTTTTAAATAGTAACTTAGGCAGTCATCAAAGAGAGGAAGAGATTTGGGTTCTATTTGTTTCTTATCAAAAAAAAAATTGTTAAAATATGCATAATCTCAAAGACAATATTAATGTTATGATAATCTGTTCTGATATTTATTGAAAATATCCTGCTTGTCAATTTTATTTACTAAATAAGTAATTAATATTAGTGATTAATTAAGAATATTAACTTTATTAGAAAGAAAAGCTTTCTCATATTGTAATAAATAGTAAATTTTATTCTAACTTCAAAACTATTTAAAATTAAAGAAAATAAGCTTGATAGTTTACCAAAAAAATGATGAATAGTAGAAAGCCTCAAAAAGTTTTTAGCTGTTTTTGTGGGAATGGGGTTTCTTACGAAGAAGAAGCAAACCTTAAAAATCATATATAAAGATGTGAAAGGTATCAAAAAGAGTCACCTTTTTTTAGGTTTTTCTCATCTCTAGATTTGAAATAGCTACCAGAAGTGCATTTAGTTGCTATTAAGAGTGAATTCTTAACTTACGTTGATGCAGTAGTTTAAGAGTTGAATAATAGTAATAAAATAAATTCTCAATAGTTTGATACATTTCTTTTCTTTTCTCTTTTTGAATTCATTTTAATCTTTTATTATAAAATAATTTTTAAATAATATTTTTTAATAAATTTAGAAGGATATATTTCTAATTAATAACCTTCGGCTCCAGTTTTGGTGAATTAATTTATTAATAATAGTTAATTCGATCCTAGGATGCAGTCTAGTATGTTTAGCTCAAGAGTAGTAATTCCATAGAAGCATGTAAATTTCTAATTCTTAACTATTTAGGATACCATTAAAATAGAGAATAAATAATTGATTGATTAACAATTTTAAAATATATTAATGATAAAAACTCTAAATAAATTTAAATAAATGAAATAGTTTATTACAAGTGATTAAGTTTAATGTTAAGGATGTAAAAAGTATTTTGACTCTAATTTTGATAGTGATAAAATCTACTACTTAAATATTTGCTTACATCCCTTTTGCAAAGGCTGTTTGATCAAACAGATAAATACTGATTTTATAAATAAGGGTGGAGTTTAATGTCTAACATGCAACAGAGATATAGTAGAATACGATTACAATGTAAGAAAAAAATTTTTAGTTCATACCTTAAACATTAAAATTAATTGTATTATTAAATATATTTAGAATGTTATAGGAAAAGAAAAGTATGAATAGCTCGAACAGAAAATGATATAGAAGATGTATAATTTAGTTTCTTGTATTAAATGCAAAGCTTAATTTGAATTTGTTTCAGGTTCAGCTGGATAAAATGTTAGAGATAATAATGGTCAACTATTGTCACCGTAATATATATATATACATAATAAAATTATTTATTGAAGTTCTTAAGAATTAGAATCAAATTAAATTTTTTAAAAATTATATAATAGGTAACTACAGTAACACTATGCTGAAAATAGATTTGTATGCTAGAATTCAGAATGTAAGCAAGAATAATGTAGAAATTGCCAAGCATTCCCTTATCACTTAGGTTATAATTGTGAAAACTTTAGATAATTCAAATAATCAAAGTATTTAGATTTGAATAATTGAAAATTTCTTAATATCTATTTTAATTAATAATATAGGCGTTGTAGGTATTGCGATGAAACAATCACTCATATTAATACAAACTAGCCTTTAGCATTGTAGGACATTTGTTCTAAGGAAGAATGCTAATCAAAGAAAAAGTACACTTGCTAAAAAATAAATAATTGTAATCATCCTTGCTACGGTATAAAGGATGAATTGAATTGTTTACCATGTCTTCATCCTGATTGTGCTAAAAATAATTCTGACTTAAGAGATAATGACAGTGATTAGTATTGTAATATTTGTTGGTCAGAAGGATTAGGAGCTGGTCCTTGTGTTTAGCTTGGATGTAAGCATATATTCCATTATGAATGTCTAAAAAAGAGACTTGATGTTAAGTAAGAAATTTTTTTTCTATCTCATTTGGCAAGAAATAGAGGCATTTTTATCATTTCGATAATTAAAATAGAAGACAATAATCATAGTTTTTTTAAATTTTATTTCATAATATTAAAGGTGGATATCTGCTCGTATTGTATTTAACTTTTGTTTTTGTCCTCTATGTAAACAATGGATGGAATTCTCTCTTGATTGTGACTTGAATAACGAAATGCAAAAAATGCTTGCTCTCTATGAAAATATCAAGAAAAAATCTTTAGACAGATTAAAATTTGAAGAGAGATTAAAGGATGAAAAATTAAATGACCCTAATTCTCCTTATTACCAATAACCTCAGGAATATGCGATGGCAATTTATGCATATTTTATGTGCTTTAAATGTAAAAAACCTTATTTTGGTGGTCTAAAAGATTGCTAAAGAGGTATGGACGAAGATAAAAGAGAATTCGATCCAAAGGAATTGATATGTGCAAACTGTTGTGAAATTCCTGTTGAAAATTGCCCCAAACATGGTAAAGATTATATCGAATTTAAGTGTAAATTTTGCTGTTCAGTTGCTTAGTGGTTCTGTTGGTAATAATTTAATTTTTTATTGAAATTCCTATTTTTAGAAATAAATAAATTAATTAAATAATTGATAAATAAAAAAAAGGGGAACTACACATTTCTGCGAGCCTTGCCATAAAAGGTAATGTAATGGTGATTATGTATCTAAGTATCCAAAAGAAAAACTTCCTAAATGCGCAGGAGGTTCAAAATGTCCTGTTGGTGGAAGTCATAAACCAAATGGAGAAGAATCTGCTCTTGGTTGCTCGTTATGTAGAAATGCAAAAGACAATCAAAAAGAATTTTGAAAATTAATTAATAAGCTACCAAAAAAAAATTTAAATGTTTTATGTAAATTTAAAAACTAAAATAAAATGCTTTTTTTTGTAAAAAATTTTAAAGTAATTCCTTATTTCATTTTTTTAAATAAAAATGTGAGAGTTTTTAATATTTCATTATTAAATTTAAAATTTAAAATTATAAATATATTAATGTATGTAATATTCTTATTTAGATGTTGATAAGTTTAATCAAAATATCTAAAGTTAATATTTAAATTAAATTAATCAAATTTTGCAAATTGCATATTAAATTTAAACATAAATATTATTATTAAAAGCTAGTTTATTGAATTAATCATGTAAAAACCTACACAATTAAAGTCATTTTTTAAATTAAGTGATTGAATACTTTATAAAAATTAAGAAGAGAATTAAAATTTCAATTTTTAAAAAGTAAAGAAAAATTGTGATAAATCCATATCAAAGATATTCAATTTTATCATATACAAAATTTAAATTTCACTTCTTTTTATTGATAACATTAAATTTGGTTTAAAATTGTATGATAAACTCTTATTTTGAGTTAAAAGTAAAAAATAATCTTTTGCTATAACTTGAAATAATAATTTGATAAGATAAACTTTTATTATTAACAAATAATTACTCTATAATATATGTTTTAGTTATAATTTAGTATTTAAATATTTCACATCATTTTTGGCAATTCCATTTATCTCTGTAGCTTTAGATTATAATCTATTTCTGCTTTTATAATCCCAAGTTCTTTTTTCTTAATTTATATTAAATAAGATTTAATTTATTTAATTTTTAATAATTAATAACTAAATTACAATATATAATTCTGATAGCTCTATATTTTTAGATAAATTAATGCTTGTATCTGTAAGCTTTTACAACTCTCCTTTTATATGATATTCTGAAATATTACTTTGCAATAAATTTTTATAAGTAATTTCTAGTTTTTGATGAAGTTGATTCATTTAGTTTGAGAGATCTTCATATTTCCTAATTGATTTATTTGAAAAAAAAATTTTGATTTCATATTTTATTCTCTAATTTACTTTATTCCATTGTTAATTATTTATAATAATTTTAAATTTAAATCTTCATCATGGCACTTTTTGTCAGGAGAATCATGAATTTTAAATAAGTGATTGCTGCTCATGCTATTATTAATAAGATCTAACTAATACTAATCTTTTTGGTATTTGTTGATGTTAGCAAAATCTTACATTTATAAATAAAAATCAATATAATTAAATAATTTAAAAATTGAAATACCTCCCATATTTTCTTAATTTAAATAGTTAAATTCATCAAACTATTCTTTCTTAAAGCTTAAAGATTAACGACTATTAGCCTGTAACTTACTAAACTCATTTTTTTAGTTCTATTAATTTTTCTAATGAAAAAATGTTTAAATAATGTTTTAATTTAAATTGAAAAAAAGTCATACTTGATTTTTGTTTTTGTAAAATAAACTAGAAAGATCATCATTTTCTTACATAGAAGCATTTTATTTTAAAGCCTTAATTTCAGCTTTTTATTTCAATATTATATTTTTAAGCTTTGGTAAAACAGTCTCAACTAAGAGAATTTTTCTATCTATCGATTAAACAAGAGGATTTATTGCGTTGCTTATTTATTCTTAAACTACAGCATAAGAAATTGTGCATATATATTGGATTATTTATTGTAACTATTAGCTTATATCTAGCTTTGAAATTATTTTTTTCATATCTTAACCTTTTGTTAAGTTAGCAGTTTCACTTAATTCATTAAAAATCAAGTAATTTTTCATTCCTAATAATGGAATGCTAGAATCTTACAGTATTCTTTAAAGTCCTCCAACTGCTCTATTAAGCTAGGCTTCGATGAATTCTATACAATACCCAACAATTTCTATTTTTTAATTGCTCTCATCCTAAACTTGCTTAACTTTTTTTTGTAATTCAGGGACTGTCATAGTACTTGTTTCTTCTATTCTACTGATATTATGCTCTAAATGTTCAACTTTGTATTCTGTTTATTTCAAAATATTCATTTAGCCTCTAAACTCCTTAAGTTGTTCAGTAATTAAAAGATTTTCTTATTCATATTCTAATATCTTATTTTACAGTTCTGAATTTATTTTGAGCTTTTTAATAGCAAATAAAATAATTTAAAATAAAACCTAACATTTATTAATTTATTCTAATTAATTATTTACAATGTTAGAATAATTTTAGAAAAGATCTTCATTATATTTTATAGTTGCTGTCAGTCTTCTTTCTAACTCTCTTTTTTCTTCAATAAGTTGCTTTAAATAAAAAAAATTCTGAATTTAACAAGATTTTCATTATAATTTTATATTCTTACAGTGTTATCGAAGTTATGCATAATGCTGCATATCTCTGATTCTCTCTGTGTCTCTCTATCCTTTAATTCCTAGATTTTTAATAAATTTGCTATCACTAAATAACAATAAAATTTTAATAATTCTTACTTTTAATTTTTTCAAAGACATCTTCAATTTCTGCTTCATATTTTCATGCTATTTCTAATAGTTTTCAATTTATTCTTTATTTCTTATATCCTAATCTTATAATTATTTTATGATTTTATTTGCTTCATTCAATTTAATTATGTTATCTTATAAATTCTTATTGCTTTAGTATAGTTTATCTTACAAATCGAGATCTATAGTGGTATTGTTTAGTGATTAATAAGCAATATCTCTAGTTGGTAAAGTAGTATTGATGGTGCAGTCTGCACATAAACTTTTATTACGCTTTTTAATTAAATTGTTGCTAGATGGACCAATACTACATAAATTTGATTAATGGATAGTACTTTAGTTTTGCTATGGGAAGTTAATAAATGATTAAGAAAAATTTTATTAGTTTTAAGGAGTAGACGATGAATTAATAACACCATTAATTGCATTTGAATTAAACAATTAAATTTTATTATTAATTTATTAAGTTAATTACTCCATTTATAAATCAGTTCTAAAGTGATTTATGATATCATAAGCTTTATTGAGTAGTGTTTCATTTTTTTAAAGTTGCTTTACGAGAGTTGTTTCATTAGAGCTGCTATTTATTTATTACTGATTGCACTAAGTATTATTAATATTTATACGCTGTTAGCTGCTGTTAGTAGGAGTAGTAGTTTTGTAAAATTTAGGTTCAGCTTCCTTAGGCTCAGTGGGTAAGTTATTTCCACCCAATGTATCCATAAAAGAGTACCTGCTTGAATCATTTAAATTTAAATTTTTGATAGTATGGTTTTAGGTAAATTCCTTATTAAATTCTTCAATCAGTGAATTTAAATGACTAAATTTATTTAAGCTTTTATTACTATTTTAATTTTAATGATTGGTAGCCTCAGTTGAAACAATATCTGCAGAGGTAGGTAAATAAGCAGATGAAATAAAATACTAAGATTATTGTTGCTACTTCATATTTTTAGAATAATTTCAATTTATTAAAAGGAGAACCTATTATTTTATTAATTATTTTTATGCAATGAGCTTAATATTTATTAATAATTTATGCAAAATAAATTTTTTTTTGAATTAAAATCAAAATTTTTTGCAGATCTTTTAATATTTGAATTCAAATAGCAAATTCTATCGGAATTAGTTAATTAATTATTAATTAACAGTAAAATTTGTTTTTAGTAATATTTTTTCAATTATGTAAATGAATAATTTGCATCTCAAATTTTTAACTAAATTTTTTAAAGCACTTCTAAAATTTGATGAATTTGAATAAATAAAATAAAGAATCAATTAGATAATATATTTATATTGATTTTTAATTCTTTATTTTTTTTATTATAATAATTAAATATAATTAATTGCTAATTAATCAATCACAAAGAATGAAATAATTTCTTATTTTGAGAAAATTTAAAAATAAAACTAGAATATTAAGTGAAAATTAAATTATTTTGTTGTATTTATTAATTAACTAAAATTACTAAGATTATTTATAATTAAGCAATTAGACAAAAAGAATTATAATAGTTAATTAATATGGCTTTATCTAAGAAAGATATCTATGGATATTTATCAAGCTAAGTAATTTATATTTTAACATTAACAATTCTTATTTGACTCTTTATTAACAAAATTAAATTTTTTAGAATTCCCACTTTTTTATTAAATTTAATTATTATAAACATATTCACTTATCAAACAATACTAAAAGCTTTATTTTAAGATATATAGATATGGATAGAAAATAGAATAAAAAGGAATACAAAGTAATTAAACTATTTTTATTTAAAAAGGATTCTATACTAAATAATCTACTCTATATGTTAAAGACATGATTATAAATTTAAATTTATGATTTAGACTTACTAATGGTTGATAAGTCATTTTTGAAAAATGTTTTTATAATAGAGATCAAGATCTAGAAGTGAAAAGAAGAGAAAGAAAGAAAAGAAGAGAAAGAATAAAGATAAGAAAAAAAAAGATAAGCATAGTAAGAAGTCAGATAGAAGATACTCAGAATCTAGAAGCAGTAGTGAAAGTAGCAGATCAAGTAGAAGCAATTCTCCTAATTAATAAGGAGGTAATGATGATAACAAAATAAAAATCATTCCTTTATCATTTCCTAGTAGTGGAAAGCCATAGTAAGAAATTACAACTCCTACATCTGCACAAGGCGCTAGCACATCAAGTGCAATTCCATCTACTATACTTCAAATTGTAAATAAAGCGCAACAAAATGTATAAGCAGCAGTTGCATCAAATACAAATCCCTTGAGAGAAAAGAGAAATGCGTTTAGTTCACCACCAAAAAATACAGGTTCAAACGGATTTGGAGCTCCTGTCTCTGCTGGTGGATTAGAGATACCAGGTCTAGGAGGAATTAATATAGGATCAGCTGGAACTAGTGGATTTGATATTGGCATCCCAGGTTTAGGTGGATTAGGAGGTTTTGGCTTACCTTAAGATACTTAAATTATTGGAAATAAAATCCCTCCTGCTCTTTAAAAGCAATACATACATGCACTGTAATTTAATAGAAACATTATTATTTATAAATTTCTATCAAAAATAGTTAAAATAGTTTTTATAAAACATCAAAACATTTTGATTAAAAAGAGGCACTCAATTTAACCAAATCTAATAAAATTTTTAGAGCATTTTTACTTTTTTTCTTAAAACAATTTAGATAGATCAAGTAAAATATTAAAATATTAAAATTTTTTATAAAATTATCAGGCGTGTTTATATTGGAAATATCCCTGACCCCGTAGATGTAGAAGATGTTTGTAAATTTGTTTTTGAGCAGATGGCTAATGCTGGAGGATTATTAGAGCCAGGAAATCCAGTAAATAATTATATTTTTAACAATTGAATATTTAATTAATAAATTTATTATGAATTAAAAAAGATTTAAAGCAAAAAGCATGATCCTATAAAAAAATTTATTTTCTTGTAGTTAAGATCTATTGAAGAAACATCTGCTTGTATGGAGCTAGATGGTATTATTTATGTAAATAGGTTTGTTTGCACATAAATGATCTTTAAATTTAAATATCTTTATTATAACAACTATAAAGAAAGGAAAAAGTTTGAGATTCAGAAGACCAAAAGACTTTGGTGTTTTGTAAAAAGTAGAAGGTACTCGTCCTGTACCTACTTTAGATAAGACTAAACTTAAGATTGTTTAAACATAAGTAGAAAATACTTACAATAAGGTAAAAATTAATTGCTTGCTAAAAAACTAATTATTTTTTTAATTTTAAATAGCTTTAAATTATGAATTTGCCTGAAAATTTCAGCGAAGAGCATGTTATGCAACTATTATTAACTTATGGGTATGATTAGATCAATTATTTATTATTTATTAATGAATTATATAAAATAGAGATCTAAAATCATTCCATTTGGCAGTTGATAAGATTACTAGTGAATCGAAGGGTTTTGCATTTTGTGAATTTATCACTGACAGATCAACTGTAGAATGCTTGAATAAATTAAGTGGTTAATAGATATGTAATTCTTTTTTATTAAAAATTTTCTTTGTAAATAAGTGAATTAAATTTTTGAAATTAGTGAATAAAGTCATAAATGTCAAAAGATGTAATCCTTAACTTGCACCACAACATGAAGAACCGATTCTTTCACTTGACTAGTTATACAAAAATTTAGTTGAAAACGTTAATAAGACAATCATTGAATCTGGCTAAAAGGATATCTAAGAAGATTATTTAAAGAAAATGCTATCAATAAATGCTCCTAAATATGACGGGTTGATTACAGAAGATGCAACAAATGTGTTAAAGTTGCATAATATTGTCAATAAGCAATTAATAGAGGAAGATGCGGAGTATCATTTTATTTTTAATGATTTGAAGACATAGCTCGATAGAATAGGAAGAACAAAATAAATTATAATTCCTAGAAAGAAAGACAAGTTCTTAGAAGGAATCGGATTTGTTTTTGTAGAATTTGATAATGAAAGAACAAGCTAAATTGCAAGCTTTTTACTTTAGGTTTAACATTTTTAATTTAGTTTTATTTTATATTTAACTGGCTAATTGTTATTAAATATAGAAAATCAAGTACGATGGTAAAGATGTTAAAGCAGAGTTTTACAGTCCTTAATATTTTGCAGATAGAACATTCTATTGAAAACAATTAGCTTAATATTATTTAAATATTGTTTAATATTTTTAAAAAAAGTGTATTATTAATTAATTAACTTGCTATTATTATTTTAGTAGTACAAAATAGATTTGAGAGGGAGATGTGCCTATCTATTAATATCTTGAAAGAACTTCTTCATATATTTTTTATAAAACATTTTTATTTTAATAAATTAATTAATTACTCTTATTCTTCAATTTTATTTATTTTTTTTAGCAAGCTTTAGGACATAAATCTTACCAAATATGCCTCAATAATTTTTATTTTTCTTCCATTTAAACCTGTAAAAGTATCCAAATAATAAATAAAAGTTTATTTAATAATTATTATTATTATTTTTTTCGGATAGAATTCGAAAATGAATGATGACTACAAACAACATCTTATTGATGAGAACTTTACAAATAGCTATTTAGCCGATTGTTTAGAATAAAATATGTATTAAAATTGATATTCCAATATGAAAAGTTGGTAAAAATTGTTTTAAACTAATTCAACTAAAACAAATATTTAAACATTTTTAAAAGAGAATTATTGTTTATAATTAAGTTATCGTTAATAGGCTCTAAAATAAGCATAATAACATTGTTCATTTTTCATGCTTCAGTTCATAAATATTTTTAATAAAATTAATTAAAAATAAAATTAAATAGAATCAAAGTCATGTTATTAATTTAAAATACTTAAAAGATTCTTAAAGTAGTTATTCTAAATTTGTTTGTATGAAAAAATAAATGGTGAATTAACATATTTTACAATTTTTAATACATTTATCTTTTAATTAAAATACAAAATTATATAATAAATTATATCAATAAAATTTAAGTTGTTTGTTAGAAACTAAATAAATTAAGGAAGTGTCAAGTTAAGTTGGAATTATCAGTAAAAAAACTAAATTAAGTATGGGTATTAATTTTATATCTTTTGATCATAAAACAAACAACTCCTACCTAACCTACACTTTTAACAGTAAATGATCTATCCATAAAAATTTATTAATTAAAATTTATTTAACTCTATATCCAACCTTCTTGAAATATATTTGTTATTAAAGTAATTATTTATTTTTAAGATTTATTTCATTGTAAAATGCAGATATTAATTTATTCAACAATATTTATCTGATATAGATTATTATAATAATAGCATTAAATATTCTTAAAATTAAAAATTAACAGGAATATAATTAAAAAATAAATAAATAATTTAATTAACTCATCAAATATTAGTAGAAATAACTAAATTAATAAAAAATATCAACATAAATTCTACCTTCACAAAACTACATTAGCACTGGTCACGCTATGGACAAATCTCTCAGAAACAGGTTCATGCCTAAGATCTAATCCATCACTCTTATTTCATCTAAAGAAAAAAGAGTGAACCCTTCACGATCTTCATCAGTTGAACAAAAAAAACTAAGGTTCAATTAAAATATAAGGTATTAATTATTTCATCGCATTTCTTTTATGAAATTGTTACAAACAATACAAAAAATATCATATCAATAAGATTTTTAAAATAGACTTTAAATAATATGTAAATAATAGAATTTTTATGAATCTTTATATTAAATAGCTATTATTAGAGCTAAAATGATCACACAAATAACATTAGCAAGAACTACATTTCAAAGCAAGAGATGGAGAGTTTCGATTATTTGCAAAAAAATGCTAAATTTATTGAGTATAGTGATTACAACATTATATGCGTTGGTCAGTAAATAATAGCTATTTCCTACTTCTACCCTGAGGACTATCCTGAATAGATGAAAGAGAAATTTGATCAAAGACTAGAAGAAACTAAATTAACTATTAAGAGAAGATTTCCTTTTGTTCAACTTCTACTTAAGCCTATGGAAAACTCTGCAGAGACTTCTTATGGAAGAGAAAAGCCTAACAAACCTTTCTTCGAAGTACAAACTTGTTCTTATATTACTAACTAAGGAATTTAGAAAAGTATTTTATCTTCTATGGCACTTAATGGTCAACTTCCTAAGGTTTCTTCAATCATAAATAATTTATGTAAATTAATTCTGATTTTTATTTATAAATAGTAATTAATTTTTTATAATAAATATAGAGAGAACTTTAAGAAATGTCGATTTAGTTGTATAATTGGATTGTTTCTTAAAGAATGTCCAATTAATAGGACCTAATAGACAAAATTAATCTCTTCTAGAGGGATTGCAAGTATCATTAAAATAAAAAACAGATGAGCTACTCCCTGTAAGTATCTATAAAGATGGAAAACTTAATACTAGCAAGATTTTAGATGAATGTGGAAGCTCCTAGTTCCTATCAAAAATAAATATACCTTCAGGCGAGAATTTGTCATTAAACAATTCTTTGTGCCGCTCCTCAAGATGTAATTAAAATTAGAAAGTTTAAATTTTTATATATTCATTTTTATTATTTTCAGCAATAAGCCAAAAGCATTTGAATTTGTCTTAGTCAAGAAGTACTAAATCAATTACATTCAGCTAAAGAAGCTCAAAGCTAATTTCTTAGACATCAATCTTCTTAGGAACAAAATCAAGTTCTAAATATGACTCTAAAAGTGTTAGAAGCAATTAAAATGAATCTATGATAAGCTAAAAAATGTTGAGCCCCATTGAAAAATTTACATCTCCCCTCAAAAAGAATCAACCAATAAAAGTTTTTTCTCTCAAAGCACAAACAAACAAAAGTGGTACTGCCTATTTAAAAAATATCCCACTTGATGTAGAAGATTACTAACTAGAAATATCAGGATCAAGAGAGCTGAAGTATTTCAAGCAGGTAAAACAAAATATAATATATTTTTATAATAAATCTTTTAATTTCTTCTTTTAAAATGATATCAGCTAATTAACTTAAAATCTCTCTATGAGTAATAAAATGATGGAATCTTAACAGTTTACTATGATTTGGAAAGGGAAGACCTTTGCTAAGGAAATATTAAGGTAAACTAAAACAAGACATTAATAAAAGACGCAATTATTAAAATTGGAAACCATGAATTTTGGAATCAATCGTCCTCATAAGAATGTAAATAATTTTTATAAAAATATTTTTAACTAAAAAAAATTAATTTAGAAAATAAAAATCTGTGGTACTAATAGATTGAGAGCGAAAATAATTAAAATTTCTATTCATTTTTTAGTCTTCCTGGTTCTTACTTTATTGAAATAAGCAAGGAAGGTTGCTACACAGAAAGAAAGTAGGTTCATTTTAAAAGAGGAACATTTGAGTTAACAGTGAATCTTGTATAGTCTACTCTTGTAAAACTTATTCTCAAAACAAAGAGCTTAATCACACAAGAACTTGTTGGAAATTTTATGCTGAAAGTTGTAGATGAATAAAATAATATCTTATGGAATTAAATGACTGATGAGACAGGTATTTCAATTATACAAATTTCTCTTATGAAAAAGGTGAGAGTTTATGTCTAAAGAGAAAACTTTGTCAGCGTTTTCTAAGATATATACTTATCAGCTGAAATGCTTGATCACGATATTTTTGTTATTCCTTAAAATGAAAATGTGAAAAACAGATTAGACATTCTCATTCATGAGCCTCATAATGAATTTAACTTAAATTACTAGTTACTATGTCCTGGGTTCAATCCTGTTAATTAACATAACACTTCAAACGTGGTCTACGGAGCTAGCTATGACTTTATCAAATTCAAGAACGGAGGTAGACTTATTGGTATTTCAGTTTAGCAACTAAATGGAAAGAATTTTGAAATTGAAGCTTTTTCTATTCTATAAAAACCTAATGTAAAAGAATAACTTTCAAATTAGACTCCAATTTAACAAAAAAAGTAAAATAATAATTTTAAGTTTGAATGAATAAAATAAATATTTTATTTTAGTAAAAATTAGACTCCTTCTGACTCATAGAATAATGAAAATGATTTCACTTTCTTAGATCTTTACTCTCGCACTGTGTGCTATCCAGATTCCACAAAGTAATAAAAATATGAAGAACATCAAAAGTTAGGAAGAAATTTCTGTAAAGCCGTACAAAGTGTAAACGGTTACTTTTATTCATAAAGATTAGCTACTACACCTTTGCAATATTAAAAGAATATCAAAGATTATGTCTATGTGAATGAATAGTTATTGAAGGTAATTTTATTTTAACCTTAAAATAATAAAGCATTTTATTTAAATTAAACAAGTATACTCCAGAAAAAAGTGCAAGAGTCTATGTTATCTATAATAACACTTTGTTGGATATATCATATATCAATCAGAATATTTTTGTTTAGAAAAAATAAATAGGATACTTTGATTTCGCATAGAAGGCTTTTATAGACAGCTTGCAATCTTATATTAGTGAACCTTATAATTGCTAATCTAAATAAGTTTTGCATGAGAAAAAAGGCAATTTATAGTAAGTTAATCCATCAGAATATGCTACCAAGAAAAATATTGCAAGGCCATTCCAAATAGATAAAATTGCTTTAAAAGACTCAAGAGAAGCAAAGTTCTTCACACCTGTAAATAAAAACTAATAAAGGTAACAATAATCTGTCTTTAATAAAAGATATTGAATATAATAAACTGAGCTTAATAAGCTCAAAAAATAAAATATATAAATATTAATAGAAGTTTTATATAAATATAATATTGTTTATTTGTTAATTTTATTTATTACTTACTTCTTAAAAATTTGTAATTATTACAATCATATTCTAAGTTGATTTACTGCTTACAAGTATATAGAATATGTAATTATTTTTATGTAGTCTATTTGTGACATATATTTTGTGTTGTCAATATAGAATTTTAAATTAAATTTTTAATAATTTTGCAGCTATTATAATTTCAATAATATTTTCATTTTATTTTTTAAGAAAATAAACAAATTAAATTTATATTTTATGGATTCATATTTAGTGCATACTTTTATTAAAAATAAATAGAATAATTATGAAAATAATATTACATTAAATAAACTAAATTACTATGGAATATTTTTTTAAAATTTGAAAAACAAACGATTTTTTATTTTTTATAAAAATATTAAATTAATTTTAATTTTTTTTTTTTTAAGAATTAAAAAAATTCATAATAAAGAAAATGTTGCGCTTAGTAGCATTTTCAAAATTAATTTTAACTAATGGCAAATAATACTAAATTTTTATTTTCCTTACTTTAAATACTGAAGCATTTATTCAAATTGTTATAAATATCCTTTAATAAAATTAAAATAAAAATCAAAGAAGCAAGAACTTTATCAGCATCTAAGGTAAAGACTCAAATATATTTAGATTATACTTATCAAGCACTTTGCGAACTGGCTTCCTTTACGATAGGATTTACGGTTGGTTAGAGTGCGAAAGAAGACTATTCCTAACGTTATTATTGAGTAACTTTTCATAGTTGCTTGAAAATAAAACGTAAGGAACACCATATCCAACATTTAGTTAGAATCTTATAATAATTAAATTTTTATTATTCAAAAAGATGTGAGTATACTATTATCCTTGTAACTTTTTTCAGTAATGAAGACAAGTTAAACTCGATTCACTTAAACTAAGCTTGATGAACCATAAAAAGAAAAGGTAACTAAATTTTCAATTATCTAAAAAGGCAGTTATGTGTACTTGCACTGATATTGTGATTTGTAAGATTACGGAAACTGCCAAAAACAAATTAGATTATATAAAGAAATGTCTTATTCTAGTTAATCTGTTTTGGACTCTTTGTATACTCATATTTTTAGACTCTAAATATGTTTAATTATAAAATCTCATATTATTTTCTTAAATTAAAGCAACATAATTTTACAATGAAGACTTTACTTCCACATGTAGTTATTGCTTTCTAAATAGGCTAGAAATGAAAATAAATTTGTAAGTAAGATTATTTTGATTATTGCAACAACAAAAAAAGGCAGTTTTGTGTACTTGCACTGATATTGTGATTTGTAAGATTACGGAAATTGCCAATAAAAAATATGAATAGAAACTCTCCTTTAAAATACTTCATTATTTTAAAATCTGTCCATCCTATTCACATTTTTTTAAATAAAAAAAAGCTATTTTTTTATTTAAATTAATTATAAATTCTAATAAAAAGGTTAAAAGGTAGACCTAAATTTATTTATCTTCTAATAGAAGAGATAAATTGCTTATTCAGATATTTACAGTCTATAATAATATTTAAAAAAATTCTGAGAAATCTCATAAAAATAATAACTAGAATTTATAATAAAACAAATAAAATTAAAGTTTATAATTTAATATTTAAGAATATTTTAAAACTATTTTATTTGTATTTCTTTTAAATATATTACTTTTCTGTCTGTAATAATTGATTGAAACTTACTTGTTTATCTAAAAATATAAAGTTAAATTTATAAAAAATGCTTTCTTATAATTATGAAATATATATAAATTATTCTACCTATACAATAAAAACCTTTCTAAAATGAGCATGAATAGTAAGAAAAATTTTACCCAAGTTTACAGGTGCCCATTTTATAGAGGGATTTTATAATAAAAAAGTTAAATTTATGATAAAAAATATATTCCATTTTTAATGAATACTCAGTTTTTAAGTGTTCCTAGTTAGACAGATTCTATTCTATTAATTTTGTATTATTATGAATTAAAAATTATTTACCTACAAATACTTTAGAAATAAAAATGTAATTTTAAGTAAAAAAAATAAAAATGAAATTACTTACTATATAAATTATTTTATTAAAAATTACTAATGTTTTGAAATCTTCTTTAGCTGTTTTTATTTTTTAATTAGAATTAATATATATTTAGCTGTATAAATTGAAACCTGGAAGATTTACAACAATCTGTCAAATATAAATATAAAATTTAAAAAAAATCATAATAATAAAATAATTTAATTTTAGTTTAGTATAAATATTGAGGTATTTAAGAATAAATAATACTTTGAGCATTGTATTTTTTATTTTTAATATTTTGAAAAAAAACACTATTTTTAATACTATCAACTATTTAATTATCATTAGTATTTTATGTAAGCTTTGAATTTTAAATTAGGTAATATTTTGTTTATTAATTGCTACAAATATCAATTAGATATTTTGTAATTATTTATTAGAAAACTTTCTAACCTCTTTGAATTACTGATATTTTATATTTTTTTAGAGTTTATCAGATTTGATAAAGCTTTAAAGATAATTTAATGCTTTAAAAAATAATGAATTTCGAATTATTTAATAATATTATGGAAAGAATATACAGTTATTTTCATTTAAAAAATATGATTTATGTATAAAAATCACAAAAAAGTGCTTAGAATTTTTTAAGATTACAAAATTTAATTTTTTTTTTTCTATTTTAATTAAAAAATTTACATTATTTGAATTGTCTAATATAATAAATTCAATTTTAAAAAACACTTAAAATAGCATTTGTGTTTAATATATCTATGTAAGTTAAAAATGTATAAATACATTCTGAATTTGATTAAAAATATAATTAATAAATACTTAAAATAATAACAATAAAACATTAAAAATTATTTATAAACAAATATAAAAATGAGCTTTAAATTTTTATAAAGATTAGTGGAAATCACTACTTTTATAATATTGCTACTAGGTATTTTCTGGATTGTATTTTCAGCTATCCTTTTTTCGAAAGATAAAGATGTTACAGATACCTCAAAGTATGACATATACAGAGGTGCTTTAGCCCTTGGTATTGCATTTGGTATTTTGCTTGTGATATGGGCTATCATTGGATTAATAGGTGCTTGCAAGAAAAATAATTGCTTGTTAGGAACTTTTAATTTTGGTATTTTTATATTCCTTTTAGTATCAATCGCTATATTAGTTTTAAGCATTATTGTTGCTGCAAATTTACCTGATTATAAAGACGATAAAAATTGCACATAAAAGAGCCTTTTAATTGACCTAAAAAATCTCAATAATCAATCTTACTAAGCACTTTGCTAGAATAGTTGTCAATGCAATTTTAAGGGATCTTCAATCTAGGCTTTATAGTAAGGTATCATTAATTACAGTGGTACTTAAGGAGCTTAGAAAGTATAAGATTGCCAAGTTTTTAGTAGCTTCGGATTAAGTAATTAGAATTCTAATAGTGATTTACTGAAGGCTATTGAAGATACTTTTGACTGCAGTGGATTTTGTTCTATAAACACATACTACGTTTTTAGTAATGTAAATAATGGATTCCCTAACAAAGATTGTAAAGTAGAGTTGCTTAACTTCATTGATGACAACAACAAAAGAGTTATTATTGCAGCAGCAGTAATAACATTCTTCCTATTTCTCACTTTTATACTTTCAATTTGCTTATGTGTTAAAAAACCTAAGGGCGAAAATTTCTATGAAAGAAATCAAGTTGGCTAGTATAATAACAAATGAAATATTATAAAATTTAAAATTATTAAACATATATAAGAATGCATGCATGTATATATGAATTTGTATTTGTAGTAACTATTAGTTTTGAGATAGAAATAGTAGATTAAATTAACAATTCATCTAAAGTTATACCTTCTATAATTATTTATGAAATCTGTTTGAGTTTTTTATGTTTAACTTTGAAAAGATATTTTTTTGATAAACAATCAGTACCTTCAAAATTATCACCACAAAATTTGCTAATTTCTCTAACTAACTTAAGATGAAGATTATTTTAATATTATTCTATATAAATATGCTATCTGATTTTAGTAAATAAAACCTTTATCCTAATGTTGTGTAATTATTAATTATCCTTGAAATCATAAAATATTAAAAAAAAGTTAACTATAGAATATTATTATAATTTATTAATATTGCTTGTTTTGCTTTTCATTCACTTTACTGTAAATAAAATTAAAAAATAATTATGAGATATTTGGTATTATTTTTATAGACTAAAAGCGTATTTTTAATTTTAGAATTAATCAGTTTTCAATAAAACATTATAGAGATTTCTATGCAAAATAAATTAAAGAATTATAAACAAAAATTTATTTAAAAATTTTCTGTAGGTATATATTACTCACTAAAAAACTAATTACTCAAACCAAAATCAGATTGAACAAATTTTTTGAAAATCAAAGTTTTAGATAACTGGACTATTTTGTCTATTCTTTAACAAAAATTTAATTTTGAAATTATCTAATTCATTTTTTAATTAAATTCAAAAATATATCAGATTTTGACGACTTTTTAATAAAGATAGGATATTAATAACTTTGAAGTAAATTTTACAAATTAATATTTACATATAAAAGCTATTAACAGATGTAAACAAAAAAAATAATAATTTACAAATTATAAAAATAAATAAAAAAGAAAACACAAAAAATATCATAAAAGAAAAATAAAGGTAAATGAACTACAAAACACTTTAAAGGTTAGTTGAATTTTCTACTGTTTTGCTCTTACTACTTGGTATCTTCTGGGTCATATTTGCAGCAATCATCTATTCAAAAAATAAAGACATAAGCAATGTTTCTGAGTATGATTCTTATAGAGGAGCCCTTGCTCTTGGTATTGCTTTTGGTATTATACTCATATTATGGGCCTTATTAGGTTTACTAGCTGCCTGCAAAAAGTACAATTGTCTCTTAGGTACCTATAATGTGGGAGTTTTTATACTTCTTCTTGTTTCTCTAGCTATTTTAATCATTAGTATAGTTGTGACTGCTTACATCAAAGACTATAAAAATGATACTGATTGTACTAAAGAGAGCCTATTAAAAGATCTAAAAAAATTAAATGATTAATCATACTAAATGCTTTGCAATGTAAACTGTAAATGCAATTATAAAGGATCAAATTTAGATGCTCTATCACATGGTATAGTTAACTATAGCAGTAGTTAGGGAGTTTTAAGAGCATAAGATTGCCAAGGATTTAGCAGTATTGGAGTAAGTAACTTAAAATCTTATAGCGACCTTTTGAGATCAGTAGAAGATACCTTTAACTGCAGTGGTTTTTGCAATACAAATAATTACTATGTTTTTAGTGATGTAAATAATGGTTTCCCTAACAAAGACTGTAAAAAAGAAGTTATTGATTTCATAGATACTAATAACACAAGAATCATTATAGCTTCAGCTATTATCACCTTCTTTTTCCTTGTCAGCTTTATATTAGTCATATGCTTATGCTGTAAAAAGCCTAAGGGAGAAAATTTTTATCAAAGAACAGGTGAAGGATAATACAAAGCATGATTAATTATATATTTTTTTGTGTATATTTATATTATTACATTTATTGTTAACTTTACATTTAATTAATTAATTTTACTTCAATTCTTGTCAACTTCAAAAATAAATCTAATATTTTAATCATATAATTTTCAATATCTTTATTGTAAATTTATTTAAAAAAATCTTAATATTACATTATTTTATCTTCTATTTTTACTCACTAAGATAAATTGAAACAAAATAATAAATAAACTATAATCTATTAATTCTAAAATAGAAAATTATCATAAAGAAGTTGAATCAGGATATAATATTGTTTTAGTATTTATGCAAATAATTAACAGTATATATGCATTTATTAAAATTAAAGGAAATTATTATAATTAGATAAATAATAAATTATAAAATTATTTTAATTAATGTCAATTATTGGAAATAATTTCAGATTAGTTATCTTATTTTATGATAATTATTTATTTCAAAAAATACTATATTTAATTTACATTCCAAAACTATTGAAAAAACGAATGTTAACTTATAAATGAAATAATTAAATCTTTATGTTTTTTTTAAGATTTCTGCTAATAAAAATTCCTTTTTAATCTATATTAGCTTTATTAAATAAAGTGAATAATTATTATTTGAATATTATTTTTTAATTTTATTCAATGATATTTTTAAATTAGCTACCCTTTCATTTTTATTAGTTTTTATATTTAACACTATATATATGTTTAATAATAAAATAATAAGGATTTTTGATAACTCTTAAATAATCTATGATTAAAAGACTATTAAATTAAAATCAAAATTACATTTTTAGAATAAATCACTAGATAAATTTGAATTTTTTAATCATAACTTAAAATCAAAAATTTAAAAAGATTTAAAAAATTATTTAAGTGATTATTAATATGATTTTATTTTGTTAGAAATATAATTTTAAATTTAAAAGTTTTTATTCAACCAACTCATTTATAAAAAAACTTATTAGAATTTTTTTGAAATTAAATTTTATTTAAATGGTTTAAAGATTTAAAATCTGGAAAGCATATAAAAAATGTAAATTTAAATCATAATATTACTATTAATATTTATAACTCTATGATTAATTTTAAAAACAATTATTGCAGATATTTAGAGCCTTTTGTCTTCCTAATTTTATGAAAACTTTTTACTTAATCAAATTTTTAATTCAAAAATATTAAAAATTTGAAGTAAATTTATTTTAAAAATAGTATCTAGCTTGTATGAAATAACATAGTTATTTATTTCATTCAAATTTTAAAAGGTTTATTTTTTTTTAATTGTTTTTACTCTTTTTGAAATGAAAATAATTGAGTTATTTTTATTATTAAATTAAATAACATTTATATAAAATTTAATTGATATTTCTAAAACAATTTGATATTTTTGAGAGTAATTTATTAAGCAAATCAAAAAAATTCAATTTAAAACATTTTGCTCCAATGAGATTTCTTTCAAATTTTCTTTAGAAATATCAAAATTTAATGAAAATATATTTAAACATAAAATTTGCTGCTAAGATTAAATTATGATTGATATCTTTAAAGTGATTGCTACATAGAGATTGCTTAATTGATATGCAAACAAACGCTAAGAACAGTTTTATTTATTATTAAAATATTTTGATAAACCCTAAATTATTTTTTATCTTAATATTTTCTGATAATAAATTTAAGATATATCACCACTTTTGGGTTCTGTCAAGAATGTAAAGAGATTCATAACGAGTAGGATAATCTCTTTCAGCAGATGGCTTAAGTCTGTGATCCCATTCACCAACATTAAAAGTTTTACCGATATCACCCAAAAGGAAGTGATTGTAAATAAGAACGTAAGCAAAGAGAACCCAAGCCAATCTGTAACTCAAGTAAACGAAAGATAAGTGAGTCTTATATTTAACGTTGTGTTCTTCTTCCAAAGAGATATGATCACCAGCATACTTAATAACTAAATTCTTCCAGGCACCTCTACATAATTTTATAAATAAAAGTAAGTTTAAGAATTCTACAAAAATATCTATTATTGAAGTAATTTCTCTGTAATAAAGTGCAATTCCTCTAAATTATAATAGATTTGAGAATAAAATACTCATCAAAATTTAACTATTTGTCCAAAATATGTTAATTTCAATTAGTCTAACATAAATGAATTAATGATATTATTTGCTATTAAAACTGCACTCATTGCTTTTTTATTTAAATTTATGTAAATTGATTCACCTTCTACCCAAATACCAGTGGGTTTCAGATTGATATTTTCTCAAGAAGGCAGCATCATACTATTCCAAGTACTTGTAGTATTGATATTTTGATGAAACTTTGAAGAATCTATTCATTTCCCTTATCTATTATTTATTTCCTTTTTATTTTTAATTTCTTAATCTTTTCTTTTATTTCTATGCAAAGATTTCTCTTTAGTATTTTATTGATATTTTCTCACTTCTTTTAGTTTAGATAATTAATCAAACAATCTTAATTATTTATTTATTTCTTTCTTTCTATCAATCTATTTATCTGTCAATCAAATTATTTGTGCTTTGATATTGCTTGCATCTTTCTCTCAAATCTTTGCTTGATTATTTGTCATTCATTTTATATTGAAAGAAAGCATCATAGTTGTTTATTTATTTATTTTTTAATAATTCTTTTTATTATTGTATGAAAATCTTATAAAAATTGAACGTACATATGCTTAGTAATTATTTAATCATTTTTTTGTTTGCAAAATGCATACTTTTGTGTTTTTTTTATTTTTAGATAAACTGTTGAAAATTGAAAATATTTTTTTTTCAATATTAAATCTTGTTTTTATGAAAATTTAGGATAAATAAATGGCTTAAATGTAAATTGATTAACTTTTTAAAAAATAAATAATTTAAGTCAATCAAAAATTAAATGATAGAGTAATTATTTCCAGTGTAAATTTTGATGAATATAAATTCCTAATTGTTAGCATTCAATTAGCATTCGATAAGTAACACTTAATATTAAAAGTTTAATTAAAAAAAACAAAGTGATAAAGGAGTGCAATTAAAAGAATCAAAATTTTAGATACTTTCAAAATAATTAAAGAAAACTCAAGAGCCTAGAATAAATTATTTAATGAAGAATAGAAATGCTGTGTCTTTGAATTAAATTTTGGCGAGCTAAAGAAACAATAAATATATTAGCGAAGGTTAATTAGATCCCATACTAGCTTACCATTTAAAAGTAAATAGATAGATAACATGTTAGAAATAATAATTGCTTAAATAATTAAAAGGTTAGAACTGAAAAAAGAAGAAGTGAATAAATGGATAACATAAAATAAAAAGAAAACAACCATTTTATATAGATTGTGTAATTATCTGAGAATACAGCCATATAAGAAAATATTAATAGCTTAAATTCTTAATAAAATCTTTTATAGAGTGCTGAAAGAAATCAAGAAATAACGAACCAAAATAACTCAAATCAAAAATATTTAATCAATAGCCCTAAAACTAACATCCCTAACTCTAACTCTACGTTGATAAAAGAATACTCAACATAAAACAATATAAATGAGCGTTCTGCCTCAAGCTAATTTTTATCTAAAAGAAATATCAGTCCATTAGAAAAAGTAAAACTAAAAGGTCTTAAATCTATAGAATCAAGTCCTTCAAAGCCTACATCAAATAATTCAGTAAAATATCTACAAATATATAATTTCACTTATTAGTTATTTATAAAATTGTTAATTTAAATTAGCTTAAGTCACCATCTATAATCAAAATCTTACCATAATTAACTACTAGAAGGACTTCCTTAATTTAAAATGTGGGATAAAGCTTAAATGATTTAAAAACTGAATACAAAGAAATAATGTCTGCAAAGACTGAGAGATAAAATATTTTTTTGAAACAGCAGGAAGAGAAATAAAAATAAATGCATTTTGATCTCAAAAATTCAATTAATAGATTAAACAATTAATCTATTGTAAAAGATGCTGCTAACCTCTACGGATAGGTCGATTGCTTCTTGGCAGGAAGCATTAATTACTCAAATTATTTGCAAAATCAAGACAATGTATTTTCCCTCAACTAGAAATTAATGGAAGAAGGAATTATAGCAAACACTTCTTAAGTTTCCTTCATTAAAAAGCGTAAAAAAAAGCAAGAAGGTAATTTGAAAATTTATATTGAGAATAGGAATAATAATATGATCTTCTTTTAAAATAATTTTTATCATTTAAAAAATAAGAAACTTAATCAGATACATAAGCTGAAGAACTGTATGAAGGTAAATTAAGAAAATAGCATAAAACTTAGATAAAAAGTAAAAATGATTTAGATGATATTCTTGGCACTAAAAAGAAATAAGAAAGAGAGGAAATATTAGCAAAAGTAGCTAAATTTTTAATGTAAAAAAAGTAAACAAAGAATAATGGTTAGAATAATTATAATAAATGGTATATTAATCCAGAGTACAGAAACGTTTAAAGAGTTGATAGATAGGAAAAACTTTATCCTTATGCCTTTGATTAAAATTATTTGTATAATAATATTGAAAATTACGAAGAACTTTATAGAGACAATCCATTTGATAAAAAGCTAGCATAATAAAGATAACAAATTAAAGATTCACAAAAACTAAAAATTGAAAATTTAAGAAGTATGTTAGTTAATTCTGATGTCATTAAAAGCTATACAAAGTAATTTATCTTTTAATTATTTCATTTTTAAACTAAAAAAAATTTATTAAAAAATAAAATTAAAATTAATTTCTAAAAAATCTAAATTAAAATTTAAACATATTATTATTTCAAATATCTAGAGACAATATAAAGTTTAAAAATAAAATAAAACTTATTGATTATTTTAATATAGTTTTTATGTTTGGCTTTTGTTTTATCAAAACCAATATGTTACTCTTTAACTTATTATTGACCATATTTGATGTAAAATAAAAATCTCATTTAAATAAAATTTAGATAACTAGTTTAAAATGGAGAAAGAATTCCACTGTTTATGAAAGAAGTTTTTGATTAAGATGCAGGTAAGGTGAAAGCAAGATCATCTTTGCTCAATAGGTATTACAATTAAAGTACAGAATCTGATAAAGTTTGATTGATACAAATAATAAAATAAAATATTTTGAATTATATTATGTTTATAAAAAGTTTAATTAATTATATTTATTGTATCACCTTAAAATTATATTTTCATTCAATTTTGAGCTTATATTGATATATCTGTAGATTTTTTGCTTTCTTGTTCATTCATTTATTGATCAGTTCTGATATAACTTTTAAAATTTCTTCTATGATAAGTATATAATTTGGATATATTTATTCTTTATTATGAATTCACATTGTTCAAACTATTATATAAAATACAAAGTACATTTAAATAGTAGCTAATAAAAATAGTTTTTTCTGATTTTTATATTAACTATTGTAGATTATCTTTCAATATTTTGATAGTATAACATTTTAAATTGATTGAAATTATCTTTTTACCAACAAATATTCAATTCTTTCCTTTTTTTGTATCAAAGGGTCTTAATGCCAAATAATTTACGAAGATACTCCCATGATATAAGTTAAATTACGTTCATAGGTCCGAAGCGGCACCACTAAGGAATAAAACCTTTATAAAATCCTTTTACACCTTCAAATTAATATGTCTTTACAGCACAATCAATAAGTCCATTATATGTCTTTGCTCCCATTTTTTAACTCATAATTCTTGTTTTAATCACATCCATTGGAGAAGTAGTAACTGAAAGGACAAAACCTGTAACAAAAGAACATATCAAATAAACAGAGAATCCTTCTTTTATATTCAAATATTTTTATATCATATGCTTAGTATGGTCATATGTGGTCATTTTGGTACCAGTAAGAATTGCTCCTCTTGTTAGATTAGGCATTAATCCTCTCCACAATCCCTAAACTCCTTAAGCTTCAATAATTTTTGAAATTTCTTAAATAAATCCTTTTTTAGCGCGTCCTTCAACATTTTATAATCTAACTTTAATTCTTTTATAATTGATATTGTTTATTTTAAATTTTAAACGGGAATTAATATTACAAATCTAAGGGATTAGAGACTAATGCTCCTGCTGATCCACTTAATAATCCAGCCATAAATTTTTTCCAAACTGGAGTGTTTTTGGGATCTGTGGCACCAAGCATTTCTTTAAAGGGTTCATAGAGACCAAGTCTCAAAGTAGAATAAGTTGCTTCTCTCAGTAAACTAGCTTAGAGACCCTTGTAAAGAGAGAAAAAGCCCTCTTCTTAAACAATTACTTTCATGCCTGTAACTATATTATAGTATTTTTTTTATTTTGGAACTCCTGCTACAACTTCTCCTTCTTTTTACAATCTAATTTTAACTGTATCAATAGGATGAGTAACAAAACCTGATATCATTGAAGCTACTCCTGCTAAAGCCATTCTTATAGCAGATTCTTAAATTGAACTTCCTTTTACTGTTTCCATTTTATAAAATAGTAATAATGCTTTGATATTAAAAAGAATTTTATTATGAATTTTAATAACCAATATTAACAAATAATCTTAATATAAATTTTTAATAAAGTAAATATATCTTATAAATATGTTTAAATGACCTTAATTTACACAAATATCGATTAATATTTCGTATTAATAGATGTAAACGTAATCATATTAAATCACCTATCATTATCATTTATATCTAAGAATAGAATAATTACATACCATTTGAAGTTAAGTTTCACTGTATTATTTCTAGCAATTTTCAAATATTCCTTGAATAATATTTATCTGATAAATCAAAATCAAGTATTATTTTAATGATATTTTTAAAAATTATAAAAATAAATTTCAATAAAATAATTTATACCAATTATAATTTTATAATTAATAAAATTAATTTCTCAATTTAATATTAGCCCTAAAACTATTGAAATTAATTTCATTCAGATTAAAAATAATGGATAATTATTAATTAAGTTAATTTTTTTAATTTATAAAGAAGACTTTAGATAAAAAATGAAAAATATATAATTTAAATAAAACTATTTTTTTAAATATTAAATTAAATAATTAAAGTTTGAGACTTTAAATATGCAATGAACATATTTTCTTTTTTAGTAAAATTCGTCATATTATGAATTTTTGATTTTTAGAAATTTAAGATATTAAGTACTCACTACACTCATTTATATAAATTAAATTTATATTAATTTTGGATATTTTAAATTAAAAGTACTCATTTCGTATTACAAGTTATTGAAAATTGAAAGCCAATAATTAAAATTTTAGCAGTATAAAAAGTATGTTTATTTTTATTTATTTATTTATTTTTTTGGGTCTATTTTAAGAAATTCATTAGTTTTTAATTTAGTACAAAGAAGATGCGAGAATTTTGTTTGAGTTTATTTTTTCTTATATCATTCTTGCTTTTCTTTCCATTATAAATTAAATTTCTTCAAAAGATTCTGGTTTGAGGCACATCATCCCAATAAGTTAAATTGGTGTAAAATTAAGAAATAGCTTTTTATCTATTTATTTTTATGTTATCTTTTTCTATTTTTCTTATATTTGTTTGTCTAGCATGCATTTAAGAGTATCATATACTATCATTCTAGATTCTCTATCCATTATGTAAGAAGGTTTATAGGATTGCTTATTAAATGCATGAAGTACTGGTTAACTTTAAAATTGCTTTACTTTTGACATTTCAAAGATTAATGAGCCATGAAGTCCATCTTTTGAATTTGCCATTTTTTAATTTTATTCTAAGTAATTTTTATATGAGAGCAAGCATTATTTGAGTAAGCCAAACCTATTATAAAACTAGTTACATCTATGTATCATATGAATCTTTAGCTTTTCGTTTTATTATAAAATTACATGTGTATTTTGGTCAACTTCTAGTATCATTCTTTTATAATCTTCTTCACTATAATACTAATGTTATTATGAATCAAACTCTTATTCTGCTTCATCTTCTTATTAAACAGAATTTTTTATTTAATCAAAGTTTTCAAATTCAATCGACTATTTGTCACGCTGTTAACTATTAGATTTTAAAGTTTTGGTGTTTTAATCATTTTCTTTACTCTCTTAAGTAGCATCTTTAGGTAAATTTTCTTTATAATTACTTATTTCAATTGCTTTAAACTAATTAAAAATGTCTATATTTTAAGGAATGTTTAGTTCAATTTATAAATTTTTATTCTCATATTGCTTATTTGTCATAGGTAGATTATAATTTTAATTTAACTCCTAATTAGATAATTAGATTTGTGATTGTGAATACATTAAATTATTATTAAAACCATTTTAAGGCTTTTTCATAAATAGCTAATCTGTTTTACTCATAAAAGTTTATTTAAGTGAAGGTTAATTTTAGTGCCCAAAAAATTTTTCAGTTGTTTGAGCCTAATTTATGATTCTCACCTAAGGGGTGATTTATCTTTTAAATGTCATTTATGTACTTTGCATCACATCATTATCCTAAGAAGAAAGCTTAGAGCGAATAGTTTACTTCATTTAAGTTTGCATATCAAGCTACTTGCTATCATAATCCATTTAAAATTTAACTTAAGACATTGTTGAGAACTACCCTTTTTAGTTCAAAGAAAACTTGTTAGACTAAAAATCATTTGCCTAAAATTACTATTCCTCTGAAACTTCTATTTATAATCCTCTATCGTTGTGTTTTAAAGTTTTACTTGCTCCTGAAACATATTTAGAATTTTATGAGTTCTAATTGCTTCTGAAGTTAGAATTAGTACTTCTGAACATTTTCACCTTAGATGCACCACAAATAGTTTCAATTCTTTGGATATCATTATCATTTTTAGCATAATAGCTTGTATATTTTGGCGGTTAGTTCTCCTGAGCTTTTTTTTTGTAGTGTTTTCTTATTTGCTTTTATGTCTTGGTTATTAAACCTGATAGAAAAAGATTTTACTCATTCAAAACTGTAAGCCTTTATTTGCGAATCTCATACAGTTAATGAATCTAACTCAGCCTTTTCTCTTCTTTCTTAATTTCTACTGCCAATCTTTCCATGTCTTATATTAAGACAGTTGAAAACTCTTGATAAATTTCACACTCTTTTTATAAGTTACGAAGAAATTAGTTCATACCTATCTTATTTTCCAAATTGCGCAATTTTATATTATAGTCTTTTATTTTTTACTAGGCATTCAAAAAAGCTTTTAGCATAGCTTGATATCTCTTATCAAGCACTGCCTTCATATGATCAAAGGTTTATCCTATTTTATCTGGAAGAAAAGATATCGACTACTCTAGTCCAACTAAATTTTTGAAGATCTTTTAAAACCCTCGTTTCATTATGTTTAAATCATCAATAGAATTTGCTATAATTTGCTAATCTAGCTTTAGAAATTTGATTTAATTGTTAGCTATAATTGAAGAATCATTTTAAATATCATATTAATTTACTTACTCTTAATATATATCGCTTAATTATTCATTTTAAAAATCATTTTCTTCATTTTATTAAAAGTAATTTTCTAATATTTATTATCTTGTGTTTTTATGTGCTATTTATGCCTAACTCAAATTTTAGTCATAATGATGGGAATCTTAGTTAGTTAAGTCAAAGTCTTCTTTATGTTTTGTATCTTCATGTACTTCTTCTATTGTAACTAATTACGATTTGCTTTCCATTTGATAATGATAATACCTAAATAAATACGCTATTTAAAAATCAAATTTCTTTTGAAATCTAAAGTCAAAAGAAAACAAATAAACAACAATAATAAATAGTAAGAATTTATTTTAATAATCAAAAAGTTATGTTTATTGTTTCTAAAAGTAATAAGTTTGTTTGCCTATTTATTTATCAAGTGAATTAGGAAACAGTCACATCAAAAATAATATTTGCTTACAAATATTTATTTTATTAAATTTTATCTTTTAAAAATACATGTTCTTCTAAAAATTTTTTAATGATTACTTTATAATTATATAAATAAATTTAACTACTTAGAATTTAAATTTTAATAGAGATTTGTGTAAGAAAAACATAAGTTAATTTAAAAAAATAAAAAATAGAAAATTTTAATCATAATAGAATTAAATTTTAAGAAGTAAAAATTTAAAAAAAATAAAGTTTTAATATGGTATTATCTAAGCAGCCGAACTAAAATAGAATATAAAAAATTATATTTAAAATTATTGATTGTCATTGATATTATTATTATTGTGTGTTTAAACAAGTAAATTGTATGTATTAATATGAATAAATTATTATTTTCTTGATTAAATAGCGAAACTTAATTAATTAATTAGTTATTAGTTTATTTAGTTATCTTTCAGCTGTACACTGACTTTTTTTTATCGTGCTTTTTTAAAATAGATAAAATTTCTGGGTTTGAAAAGCTATCAAGTAGAAAGTCTATGATTTAAATATGGCTGTCAATATTATTGATCTTACTTCTTTCAAGCCATAGTTTAGCATAGTTGTTTAAAAAGTATTTGAAAATGAATTTGTATAAGTGATGCTGAATAAGTAAGATAAGACTGTAATTGTTAAATGATTTTGATTTGATATATCTTTCAAATTTCTTTTAGATTTGTTAGAGGGTTTCTTGTTTTTATTTAAATTAGTTATAGATTGAGACTATCTACTCATTTTTAGACGTTATTTCTTCTAAGGAAAACAGCGATTTTAAATTCTTTTAGAAACCTTTCTTAGTTTAATCAATTTCTGAATAACACTCTTTGTTTATTAAAACAAAACTTTTAAATTAATTCATGATGTTTTTTACCACATTCTTTTTATCAATGCTATTGTTGATATAGTTATATTATTATTGATAACTCTCAGAAACAATTGAATTATTATTTTGGGGTGAAGTTTCTAAATTATGATGACACTCGTTAATTTATTAATTGTTAATTATTTCAATTTAAGATTTCGTATTATTTTGGCAGTAATTCACTAAATTTAAAATTTTAACCTCTTAGCTCACAATATTTTATTCGCTCCCTCTAACTTAAAAATTGTGATTAATGATGTCTACATTTTATTAATTATATCCTATATTGTCTTTCACAGTATCATCTAATTTATTTGATGATAATATTCTATTTGAAAACAGAGCTTATTAAGCATATTATTAGCTAGGTAAATAGCTACCTTCTTTGGAAGTTAATTGATTACCTTAATCAAAGTAGTACTAATTAATTTATTGATAATCTAATTAGCACTATTAAACATTTTTATGATCAAACGACTTATATTAGTATTAGTCTTCTTATTAATAGCCTTATTAGAGCAAATTGGGAATTAATTATTACTATCCAATTTCTTGATTATTCAAAAATTAATCAAAATAGTTATCTTCTAAAGGAAACTCATTAGCAAGATTGTTGAAGCTCCAATTAATATGCTACCCATCCAACTAAGTATTTACCTAATTTTAAATTAGTTATTCGTTCTATATATAGCCTAAATTATTGGTAGAGGTAAAACATTAAATTTTATCATCTACTGTGTGGTCATTATAGGTCGTTGAATATTGTTATAGTTTTATATATTAGTAACTATTATTATTTACTACATACGGAGATTAATTCTATTTAAAATTGAAAAAAATGAAATTAAATTCAAATTCTTGAAAGTTAAAATTCTACATTTATGTTCAACTCATAATAATTTTCAGATGATTATTGCTCTGGCTCTTAATGAATGAAAAATAGCCCTGCATCTTAAGATCCTTCTTGCGCATTTTGAGAACTAGTTTAGTTGTTTTGATACGCATAAATTACATTTAGCATTTTGAGTATTAAATAGTTATTTTATTATTTCTTTTATTTTTAATGTTAAAGCTTTTGCAACAAAATAAATATTTTTTAATTATTTATATTTCTTAAGCAATCAAGCAGTTTACGATAATTTTAATTTAAATTACAAGACCTACAAATACAGTCTTAAAATAAATATCAAATGATTGACATTCTAAACATAAATATAAGCAATTATTTTTAAAAAATAAAAAATTTTAAATAGATCAGAATCTCTATATTCTAAATTCGCGCTAAATAGCTTGAGAATGCTTAAATATTTACAAAATATACCTTAAATATAATTTTTAAAACTATTTTAATCAGGGAATGCAGATTAATTTGTATTTTCAAAGTTAAAATGAGGTATTATTATTATTTACTGATACTTCATAATATTTTCATTTATTTTACGAAAACTTACGCAATATTTAAAAACATTCATTTATCCTTTTAAATTTTAAAAAAACAGAGCTAATCAACTAAAAAGCATTTCATAAATAATAGAAATAAGTGTATTTTATGATGATATTTTATATTTAGATTAGGTTTTAAGTTAAAATTTTCATTTTTCTTTAATACTTTAATAACATTTATGAATAAAATATTTAAAAACTAAGGAAGTAACATGCAATTTAATTGTAGAAATAATAAGAATTGATTATCTATTTTTAAAAATAAAACACAACTAACTAAGTTTTTGATTTTTTCTTCTATAATTTGTATTAATAAAATATTCTTGAGAAAAAGTTTTAACATATTACAAAGATGACATAAATTTTACAATATTTTATGAATTTAATTTAAATAATATTTTATAATTTGTTAAGAATTTTAACTAAAAAAGAATATGGGATATCTATTAATCTATAATTTATATTCAAGTTTTTATTTGTTTGTTAGTTTTAACTATCTATGAAAAGTGTTATTTTTTAGTTTTTTGAAAGTAAATAAAGTTTATTTATTGATGGAAATGACTTTTATTAATATAATTTTATTTTATTGTTATCAGCCTAGAGTTTTGCTTGAGAATTTTGTGTATTTAGTTCTATTTTTAGCAAAAAAGTCATTTTCAATCCTATTTTATATGATTTTTATTTTGAAGTTAATTTACTGATTTTAATATAAAGTTAATTTTAAGAAATTTATTCTGTTTTATTGCATCATAAGTTCTAATTAAAGTTGAAATATTGTATATTTAATAAATAAGTTAGAACTACTTAAAATAAATAGTTAGATAGATGCGCACTTTTAATTCAATCTTCTTTACTAGCATAAAACATATTAATCAAACTTGGGCTGTAGCAGCATTTAAGTAAAAACTTTATTACGATTTGATGAATTATTTTATCTTATACTAAGCAAGACTCAAGCCATATGCCAGAGAAGTATATGAGATAATACTCTAAGAGCTTGTTGTATACTTTTTAGTTGAGTAGCTTAGTTAAGTTAGATTTATTAATTATTTTATCCTTCATAAATCTTTTAAAGCTACTGAGAACGTTTTGCATGCAAGATTTAGTATTGAGGTTTTATTTTTTTTAGAAATTAGTAAATTTATTATAAATATCTGCAATAGTTTCCTCAATGCTTGAACGAGTAGGAAGTTGCCTGGAAGAAGTCTCAATCTATCTCAATGTCTTTTCAGATGATAAAAAAGATTCAGAATTTATTAAATTATTTTATTAAAAATCTACGCATTCCTTTGCAATTCTGAAATCCTAATATTATTTATTTTATTAAGTTTCTTGATGAAAGTTATTTATTAATGCTCCAGGCCAATTTGCACTTTCGTTCTCATTTTGATTGATATTAGATTCTTGATAATTATATAATAAAAAGTTGCTTTCTTCTTTGGCTGACAAACAATTTTTGCCCTAATTTTAGATATAATTTAAATTATAATTACCTTAGTTTTCAATTGCCAAATCTGTTTAATTTTACATTATTTTTTGACTTGGCAATAATTTTATTTGAGGTTTAAAGTTATCTTAGCTATTATAGAAAAGTTCCTATTTCTTATCTTTAGAATTTTTATCTATTATCTTTTCATTACTGTTTAAATTTTAAAAAGTAGATTGCTTGAAGTAAATTTCCGTTGCTTTTGCATCATCCAATTTAGTTTTATAATTAGGGCTATCAAACTAGCTCTAATTCAGAAAGCAAATTTTTTAATTATCAGAATTAAGTTAATTAGATATTATTTTCTTTTACTAACTTTGTTATTATTGCAAATTTTCTTCTTCACCTGTTCATAAAATAAAGTGGTAAAAAATTATTTTAACATAAACTAAAAATGCAAAAAGATGCATTATATCTAATTAGTTCTCTTACTTACTCACTTATATTTTAAAAAATTAAGACTTTAAAAAATTTTAAATATTAATAAAAATCAATTAAAATATAGGCTAATTAATAATAACTATTAATCACTTAGTCTGTAATTAAAAAATTGTGACCTATTTTTGTCGTTTAAAATTTATCTTATTTTCATGGAGTTTAAGGTAAACTAAAATCTATTTTTATTTATTAAATTTTAATTGTGTAAGCAAATTGATGGTCTAATTATTAGCTACAAAATTATAATTTCTATGCTCATTAGAAATATCTTAGACGATATTTGCGTATGTATTTACGTTTGGCTGTAAAATTACGAAAGACAAAAATAATTTGTAGTGAGTGGAGCATTATCATATTTTTTATTAATATGATTGGTATAAAAAACGCTAGAGGCTAAAATAAATGAATGACTTACAAGCATCTAAGATTATGGATTATTAATTATCCTCTTTTCTTACATCATCTTTTTCATGTAAAGGGCTAGTTTCTTTTTTTATAAGCAACTCCTATTTGACTTAACGATTTTTCTACTTTATTTTTATTATACAGTGAAATAAATAAATATACAAGGCTGGTAATTGTTTATATAATAAATAATTACTTCTTAAGTTACCGGTTCTTATTTATCTTAGAATGTTTATTGCTACTGCTCACCTATAGCTTCACTATCTTCCAAGAAGTATTTGATTTCATTCTAATTTTACTTTAGATTCATTAGTTTTTTGTTTTATCTGCCAACTTTCATTTTTTTCTTTTCAAATCTAAGTAGAAATGAAGAAAAAGCATTGATTATGTTCTTTAGTACATTTATTTTTTTTTGTTTCATCTTTTGAACTTCAATAATTTGTTTAATTTCATCATTTTGAATTAAAATTTCTTTCTAGGATTAGTCTTGGTCTACTTAAGACCCATTTTTTGTCTTGAAAAACGAATCATCTAGTGAATATGTATTTTTTTTGCTCGTTTCTTCAAAAATCGATTATATCTAAAAATATTTAAATAAATTTGATATTTTATTTTTAATAATTTGTAAACAAGAATAATTTTTAAATAAATAAAGTTGAAACTAACTAGTAAATATTTAAAAGAGATTATTTTTTTAAAATAGTATTTATATACTTCTTAAAATGACATTTAAGGATTTTCTATGGAGTATTAGATCATCATGTCGATTTCATATCCTGACTTGAGAGCCTAGACATCATTTTCATCTATGAACATATTTTCTTACATCATTTTTGTATAATCTGTGTTGGATATTCTTATAATCTTATAATATTGGTATGTGAATCTTAATAATACAGGAAATAATATTGATGGCTGCTGCAAAAAGTATATGATTTAGAGTCTAAAACACAAACCTTGAAATGTTTTGTAGCTTATACGCGCTTGTTAACAAAGTATTATAAATGGTATCTTGTTTGCTTTTGTCTAGCTAAATAGTTTAGATATATGATATTGATCTATTGTTTTGAATTTAACAAATTTTTTATAATTTTTTTAATTATGATTAATAGCGTTTCTTTTATTAAGTAAAATATATAAGCGGTCTATTTCAATGGCTTTTATAAATGCTTTCTGATCAAAAGTAAATAGATAAAATTAGTAAATACTTCGTAAAGATAATCTAATACAAACTTAGTTGAATAAACAATATTTTCCATACCTAGTGAATGTCAAACTAACGTTTTTTGTTAGGTAGCTTTTAAAAAATGACTATGTTTTAAACCCATAACTCAAGTCTAGTAATTTTAAATTTACAATAAAGATAATTGATTTAATTAAGTTGAATTATAGTTTTCAGTATCATAATAATTCGAAATATTCAAGATTTCAATATAAAATAGCACATTAAATGTGAGTGAAGAATTTGTTAATTAAATTTTTTGATGTGATTCGTTAACTCTTCTATCCTTCTTCCATAAGTGTGTATGACTCCTGTTTATAATTTTTTAGAAAGAATTGAAATGTAATACCTCCTAATTTTATCTTTTTTCTACTTAAACATTATTTTTGATCCTTTTCCTCTCATTTTAAGATTATTTACAATACTCTTGGATAACTAAGTTTTATATATTTAATAAGGATTTACAGCTAAATATTTTTTCTAAACTTATCGGACAATACAGTTTTGAAATATTATGATAAGATATGAATGATTTTTGATATTTACTTAAATATCTGCTCAAATATCATTATTTCAAACTCAAAAAAATGAAAGAATGAAATTGTAAACAAAAAATCTTAATTTAAAAAACATTATTAATATAAAAAGTAATAAATTATTACTTTCAAACAATAAAACAAACAAAAATTAATTAAGTGGATATGCATTTTAATTAATAAATTTATAAGCGAAGTGATAAAGTTGATTAAAATTTATTCTAGCAAATAAACATGTGTGCTGTTTGTTGTGATGCATACATGTAATAGAAAAATATGTCAGTCTGAAAACTAATTTTTTTCTTCTAAGCTTTACAAAGTTTTAATTTTGATTGCTAATAGATTTGATTTCAGATTAGAAAAATTCATTTTTTTTTTTTTGAGTAGATTAAACATTTCAACTTATTTTTTCTTATATAAAATATATTTTTTGAAAAAAGTTAAACAATACTTGAGTGGAATATGATTGATGCATAAAATAAGAGGAGCTAAAATGTGAACATGTGGATTTTTAAATTTTATCAGGTATTTTAAGTAATTTAACAGAAACCATATGGAGTGTTACTAATTTAGATAGATATATTAGTTGCATTTCTAGGTAATCCTTAATTTTTTAACTATAATTGTTGTTTGTGTATACATTCAGATTACAATATTATAGATCTTTTTTTCTAAATTATCTATTATTAATATTGGGAATAGATAGATTACCTAAATTTATTCTATTTTTATACCCAGTATTTTAATTATTTTATTTTTATTAAGTTATAATTTTGTTTTTACTTAAATTAAAAAAAAATGTGTTTTTTTCATGTTCAAAATTTAATATTTAAGTTTCTAAATTTTATAATAAATTAAATTCATATTTAAAGATGCTTTTTTACATAAATTATGAATTGAAAGTATTTAAACTCTTCTATTAAATTGTTTTATTCTTAAATGGAAGAAGTATAATATAAATAAAGTAAATTTAACAGAATGAAAACAGTAATGAATTTATATTTATTAGCAATAAATGAGTACCTAAAAACTATAAAATAAAACTGGGACTATCTATGATAGCTAATTTAATTAGATTTTAATTTATTATTAATATTTAATAAAGAAAAAAATAACCTATTGGTTAATATCTAAGAAGTAAAAACTAAACATGTCACCATATAAATGCAAAATAGAATTTCTTGAAATCAACTTATTTAACAATCTAATCTACAAATTAGATTCATGAGGTCCTCAGAATATTTTAAATAGTTATTGGGAGAAATAAAGATTTCAATTTTATTATCAAAAATATTACGAATTCTTTTACTTTTATTCAATTAAATTTTTTACTCAATATTATTTAAAAAATGTTATTCAAGTTTTTATTATTTTTTTTGAAGTTAGATAGTCAGCTTTTCTTGTTTAAAAATAATTTTATTGTTTATAAAAGTGATAGTCATGAGTTAATTAAATAGAATAACTATGATCAGATTTACTGAAGAGAGGTTAGATAATACATTTGATCGGAATTAAATAGAAGTTTTTTTATTGAAATTTTTAATTGTGGTAAGTAGAAAAGATAATAAAATTTTGATTATTCAAGCAAAATATTTATCATAAAGTACAAAGAATTTAAATCAATAAAAAAATTAAATTGTAAAGCGGATTTATAGATTATAACAGAAACCTTTGTGATATTAAAATTTATTTCCCTACCCTTCAAGCTGTATAGAAATTCTGTTAAAATAATTAAATTTATTACATTTGTATAGAAAAAACAAGAAAAATAGCTTTCTCATAGTACTTGTACTTTTAAGTTGTAAAATTTAAGCACAACAAACAAACTTATATCATAGAATATGATAGATACTTGGTTTTTTAACAAGTAAAATATGTGTTGACTTTATAGATTATAGAATGAATACTCTTAAAACTTGTTTGTCTAGTTTTTTTAATAAAGTCAAATAGATAAATTAAATATCTAAATTATATTGAATTTAATATAGATTCATTTATATTAATATTATCTAATTTAATTTAATGTTTTTTCTCTCAATACTCATTTCAAATAGATATTTTACAAAAGAAAACAAAAAATGCTATTCGATAGTAGGTATTTACTATACGTTTTTAAATGTCCACTACCTAAAAAATATTACTTATTTCCGCATGAAATTTTTTTATTTTTGCATGGAGCAATGTTTTAATTAGATATAACTGAATAAAATTATTTCTTTTTACTCTCATTTTTTAATTATTTAAATCTCATCAAATTTCTTCTTAAAAAAACGAATCTTTTCGTTCAGTTATGTCAATTCTTAAGTAAAATTATTTAAGAAAAGGTATCCGCATTATTTAAGGCATAGTATATAACTTTATATTATTGATGAAGTTAGATATTTTTTAAATATATTATTTTTAATTTTATATAGCTTTTTTTAGAAAATCATAAATACTTAAATTTTAATCTGCTTACATAGCTTGTGTTACTACTTCGGCAACTTTAAACTTATTTTGATGATATTTTTCATAAAATTAATGCCTCTTTAACAATAAAATATCTAGTTTATTGAATTTAATTACTTATAAGCATTTTTAAGTTAGTTATAGATTTATTTATATTGTTAAAATTTATTTATAAAATATAAATTTTTAAATAATTATTTGTAACATACACAAAGTTTCTAATTATTAACATAAAAATGTTATTATATGTACATCTTTGTATGAAGTTTAATTATTTTAGAAAAGTAAACATAATAATTTACTTCAAAAAAACCTATTGAATTTTATAAAAGAGTTTACCTACCAATCATTTTTTGCAAATACTTCAGTTTTACTTCTTACTTTTTTAGAAAAACATTAATTATTTCAAACCAGTAAAAAATATAAAAAGAGTACACTAACTTAGAAATTTAAATTAGATGTAAAAACAGTCTATAAATTAAGTTTTTTACCTGAATTAATTTAAAGTAAAATAATGAGTTTGATATATAGAATAAATAAATAATCCATTTAAATTTTTTAGTTAAATTTCACTTAAATTTAAAATTTAAAAATAGTGAAAATGAGATAGATTTACACTTTAGATGTTATAATAATTATATTCATTTAGATTAAATTTCACTTATTATACAACTATCTGCATATAGATTATATTTATATATATATAATATAGATCAAGTGGGTGGGAAGATAAATATATAGAAAGGATTAAAGAGAATTGAAATTTTTAATTAATAGTGATGGGAAAATATTAAATTTTTGAGAAATTAACATATTGAATTTGAATTATTGAAAAGAAATCAAAGTATTTTAAATACATTTTTTAAATTTAATAGTGCATTTATTTAATAAAAAACTTAGAATAGAACCAACAAATAGATAAATACTAAAGCTCGAAATTATATAAAACTCTATAACGGTTGATTTATTCCTTTCTGTGATAAATCAAATTTTTGGTAAAATATTAATATAAAAAATTATATTTTCAATTTTATTTGTTTGTTTGATTGTTTGTTTGTTTATTTATTCGTTCTTTCATACTTTGAATGAAAAATGAGTAATAAAAAGGAATTAGTATAAATAAATTAATAGGAAATAATACATGAATTCACAAATATGCTATTAAATAGACATTATAATTTTTATGTGTATATATATATTTATATTTTATATATTTTATGTTAGAATTTTTGTTAATTTGTTTATTTATTTATGTGTAGTTTGAGTCTTAATGAATAGTTAATAATCATATTAGCGAACAAGTAAGTATTTTCCACTAGAGAAATTTTATCTAGCTTATAGAATGTATATATGAATCAACCTAAGAGTATAATTAATAGAAAATGTAGACAAATTTTAAAAATCTCCAAAATTAAATTTCAATCAATTAATCCATTGATTGAATTCATTCTATCTTTAATGCTTATCAATTCGCTCATTAGTAAATGGCTTTTCTCTTTTCGTGCTTTTTAAGCTTTTCGATGATGTTAATATCTTCATAAGAAGCCATAAGGAATTCAATCATAATTTTGTGACCATAAGGATCATCAACTTTACTGTTATTCAACCAGTTGTTAGCGTGGTTTTCTAAGAAGTATTTGAAAATTTAACCGTAATTTTGATGCTAGACAAGAAGACGAATGGTGTAGTGATTGAATTGTTTAGAGCTAATGTATCTCTTGAATTTCTTTCCCATTTCTTCAATGGAATCGGGTTTAACTTTGGAGTTATTGTAAATAGATAGGACATTTTCTCTTTCAACGGCAACGTTGATTTGGTAACTATCACTGTTTGAAATATTCTATTTGAGATTAGAGATTTTGGAAGGCTTAGCAGCTTAAAGAGAAGCAGTGCTGCAGCTTAAATTGGAAGAAGAGTCTAAGTTAGAAGGAGAAGAAGATTAAGAAGTTTCAGATTAGATATCTTGGATGAAACGCTTGAAAGCGCTCATAATGTTTTTTACAACATTCTTCTTGTTGGATTTCTTGATCTTATCTATTATTTCGTTTTACTCTTCAGAACCTTCCTTTTCAAAATCGTCATCTTCTTGATCGTCATACTTGTTATTTTCTTCTTCACCAAGATTAGATGAGCTCTAAACATCATTGCAATATTCTTGCTTTTATTAAATCTAAGCTGATTACTAGTTTTGGAGATTACTTTGAGGAATAATAGGAGCTTCACTCATTTAGGGATATTGAGGTAATTAATATTATTAAGGAACCTACTCTTAATATCCATTGACTTCATAACCTTAGGGAACAAATTAAGGTTGTTATTATTAAGGATAATATTAAATCTATTAATTGAATTCAGATTAACTAGCATAGTTAGCTTGCAATTATTCTTAGTTTTAAGGAGCAGGAATATTATTATAGATAGGAGCTTCAAAATGATTATAAGTGTTATTTTCTTAGTATTGAGGTTAGTAGAAAACTTCTTCTTCATTCTTGGCAAAGATGAAAGGGGCTTCGTTATCATTATAAACTTAGTTATAGATAGCATCGGAGTAGAACTCACCACTTTCTTAAACATTTTGGACTTCGTTGTTTTCGATAGGACCCAAGATATTGAAAATTTCGTTTTCATTGTTATAGGCATTTTAGTTATTGAATCCATATTGATTAAAAGGCTTATTGTCTAAGTAGACGTAGTTTTGTTATTACTACATAGGATATCCGTATTGGTATTGCTCTTAGCTGTCATAACCTTCACTTGATTCATCCTAATTAATTAAGAATAGATTTAGTATATTTTATATTATTTCAACCTTCTTTTTTAAATCTAGTAAAATCTACTCTTTTAAAAATCTATTTTTTTTACTTTTCTATCTTTTTAAAAGATAGATTGGGGTAGGGGACAAAAATTTGCTGCGTACCACTTGAAAAGTAGAAATCTCATTAAAAAATCAAAGTAAACATAATAGATTTATTATTTTTTGATTAACTTTGAGTAATGCATTAAAAGATATGATTTCTCCAAAAATAAAGATTAGTGGGGAGAAATAAACAAGCAAAATCAAATATTGCAAATAAGTAAAAGAAAAAGAAAAAAATAGTAATATCCTTTAATTAAATTATTTGGTTGATAAAAGAAACTTTCAATTTGTTTAACAGCGCAGAAAAAAATAAATTAATATTGGTTAATATAAAAAGTACATTAAGAATTCGTTCTTTCAAGATATCGAAAGTTGGTGCTAATAAATGCATATATGGCTTGCTTTTTATGTAAAGCCAAGCTTTTTAATCCAGTAATTTTATTAACTTAAATTTTCCATTTAAAGTTGCATTTATGTGTGAAGGAAATTTATTATAGCTAAAAATAAAGAAGTTTATTTAGTTTTTCAAAATTTTTTTTTTTAGAATAAAAAAATAAGTAGGAAGCTTTGACAAGTCATAATTCGTAAATTTAGCAAAATAATGAGAAAAATTAAGATTGTTTGTTTGTTTAATAGTTATTTTTCACTATTAACAATAAATTCACTTAAGATTTTCATTTCTTTATTCAAAATTTGTATATGTTATTGCTTTGTCATTTTGATATCAGTAAATTGTCATTGATATTTAATTATATTATAGTCATTCTTTTTATTCATAAATTTTATTGAGTGAGTCATTTTTTAAAGCGCATGTTAATTAGGTTTTGGTGTTAAATAAAAAATTTCAAGTTAGATATTTTAGAAAATATTTTATTAGCTTTTAAAAATGTTGAGTTTTATGTTGTAGATTTATAAAAGGTTGAGCATTTTAGATTACAAGTGAGAAAGTAAATAAAATTAAATACCTAGTATTCGTTGATGGGTTTTCCATTCAATTAGAAGGCAAAGGGATATTAATAATTTTAGTTAGGAGCAAAGAACCTAGCGAAGTTTCTTTATTAGTTTTATTCCTCTGTGTTTTGAGTATTGGTAATATAGCACATTTCAATCTATTTGAAATAAAAAAAAAATTATTATTGAGTCAATAAAATCATTTTAGAACTGTAAATGAATGAGTTTATGAGTAATGTTTTACATGTTTGTTTCAATAGTAAGATTTCAATTGTTTTATTAGCAATAGTTTCTTAACAAATATTAATTTTTGTTTTTTGATAGTTTCCACAAAAATTTTGTTTTTCTCAAATTAATTATTAATTATTTAATTATATCAAATGTATTGCGCTTCTGCATTTTAAGAAATTTTTCCTTTTGATGTATTTATTTTCTTGTTTGTTTATCAAAAAGAATACAGCTTTTATATCTGATTACAATCCCTTTGTTTAAGATTTGTATTATTACAATCACTGATCCTATTATATTAATTAATTTATTAATTATCAACTATCCCATCTGATATACTCCTAATTATCAAGTCCTTTGTAAATTTATAAATGATTGATTAAACACCTTAATTTATTTCTTTCTGTGTATTCCCTCTTCTTATTTTATCAATGAAATTAATATAGCTTGAAGTTTATAATGAAATTAACTCATTTGTACGTGAACATAAAATTTTTAATTTAATTTATAATGCCTCACATTTATTTTGATTGAATTCAGCAAAGCAAATAATAAGGAGATTCTTAGCAATATTGCATGATGATTCTTACCAATTTTTTAAAATGTAATACGTTAAAACAATAGTTATAGTATCTTAAATGCGTTATTTACTGTCAAATCATTAAAATTTCTTAAACTGTTTGGTACTCTTAACTAGGATTTCAACCCGAAAATTCAGTAAACATTCAGGAATAAAGTAACCTTAAAAACATGAGAAGCTTAAATTTAATGTAGAAATTAAGCAATCAATTTAATTCAAAATATTAAATATGAATTTGTTTTTCCTCACCCCTCTTTTTCTGCTTTTTTAGCATGTAAATTTCCCTTACCCTTAATTTAATATAATTTTTGAATTAATAGAAAGACCCACATCAACATTTTATTTCATCTTTTTTAGGCTTTATTGTAATTTATTTTTCAAACATACAAAGCCAAGTAAGCTTAAATTTGAATCTACTCTCTTAGATTATAATTTTAAAAACAAATAAAATCTTATCTTGAAGATATGATGAAATGGCAGTGGTGATTTCCCTATTTTAAAAAAATGTTAATACAATTAATTTAAGTAAGGAGAATAAAATAATAAACTAAAAAATTCATTCATCTTAAAAGCAAATTAAAATAATAAATAAAAACCAACTTTATTTTGTATTATAAACAAATTAGAAACTCTAATAATTTGAAATAAAGAGATTCCAAGGTAATATCATACACAAATTCTGCTGAATTTAAACGAAAAAAAAAAAAAAAATTAACCCTAGGGGCTTAGATAACAAAAAATTGAAAGGCACAAAACTAATTAGAAAAAAATAATACACAATTTAAATCAATCTATTTAATTATCACACCAACATAAAGATTTAATTGCATGCTCTATTTCTTTCTACAAGCAAAAACCAATATTTCCATTTTTATAAAGCAAAATTCAAAACTTATAAAATCTTAATGTCCTTAATCCCTTTTTTTAGGTATCTTCAGATATAGATTTCCTTTTGTTTTTTGTATATTTTAGAAATATGCAGCCATTTTCACATCGATTCATATTTTAAAAAAATTTAAGAACCAAACACAACAAAGTGAAAATTGGTTTATTTATGTAAGATTTTTGAAATCAAGGCTGGCTTCTGCAGATAAAAATTCTGTTTTAACATGTAGGAGGGTAAATTTCATTTTATTATCAAACTAAGTTTTGCTAAATGAGGTTTTGCCTTAGAGAATTTATCGGAATGTAGTTTCCCGTAATTATTCCTTTTGAAAGCACATTATAAATTAATTTGTAAGTTAGTAATTATCAAAATATTCAAATTAATTAATATATTTTTAACAAATTATATATTTAAATCACTGCCATATACTTCAATTGATACCCATTAAGAAAATTATTAATCTCAAAATATGAAGATAACCTACTTTATTAAAATTGGTAGTATCTAAAAAGATATGTTTGTGATGGATTGAGATCTATGTTTGTACTTTCTATTTTTTTTTGTAATTAAAATAAATAGACAAATAATCCTAAATCAATCAATTTCAATAGAGTGTATCTAATTTATTTAATTTCAATTTACCGATATTAAAAATTCCTTATTAAATATCAAAGGAAAATTTTTGTTTTTTATTTTTTTTAAAAGGAGAAAAAGCTTAGAAATTATATGGCAATATTTATGTGCAATTTCCTTTTTTAATTACTTTGTATATTAATCTCCCCACCTGAACTTTTTTTTTCAAAAATGTGATCTTTTGTAATCTTTTAAAAAATTTTTAGGTTACGTCTTACATAAAATCGAGTCATTTTGCCAATTTTACCTTGAATTTTTCTAATTGAAAAAATTTATCCGCTTTTTTTTAAAAAATTATTAATTTTGATAATCAATAGAGAATATTTACAAAAATGGCTGATATCTTAATATATTTGTATATCTCAAAGAATCAGTTCTATAAACTAAAAAAAGCTCATATTTGATCTTAAAATAGCGGGCTCAAATTATTTTGCTATGTTTTGGATAAAAATATAGTCTATTTTCTGTATAAGCTGGGTATAGTTTTATAATTTTTCTACCAACTTTGATTTATTTGGCCCCAAAATAATGAATGCAAATGATTTATATTAAACAAATGCATTTGATTGAAATAAGAATGAATAATGATAATGATAATGGCTAAAATACAAAAAAATAAATTGAATGGTAATTGAAATAAAAAATATTTATATTAAATTTGTTTTATAGTATTTTAAGGTGAGAAAAGGTTAAAAGACTATTTATTTATCTACTTGATTATATAAAAAAGCTTTAAAGTAATTTATTGCAAAAAATCTTTAAGCAAAATTATGTATTTAATGTTCTATTTAAAATTAAAAGTAAACCTTTTTAAGATATAAAAAAATTTAAACAAATCTATGATATTTAAAGCAAGCTGTTATTCTAAAAAAATGAATATTCTATAATTCCAAGTCTGATATTTATACTAACCAAATTGAAGCACCAAATCAAAATAACTCTACATTCTTCTTGTTGGCGAAACAAAATTAATTTAAAATAACTTCTATTTTGATGTTGAATTTAAGTAATTTATATGAAATGAGGTAAAAATACTTTTTATTCTAAGAAAGAGTTTTGCTTTTTAAAGTCTCTATATCATTTTAAAAAAAGTATTTAAATCAAGTAAGGAAACCTTCTTAATAAATTTACTCTTACGAATTAAAAATTTAAAAAAGTAACTTAATTTTACCTTTCTAGTTAAGTAAATTTCTAACAGTTTATAAATCAAATATTAATAAATCGTATGAAGCATATTATTATGCTTACAAATTGTGATAGAAAGATAAGAAACTTAAACAATTATTTATTGTGTAATTTTACATCTAAAACATTGAGTTATTTTCAATTAAATTACTAGTAAATTTGATCACTAACCATTCGTTTCTATTAAAAAAATTAATATTTGTAATTACCAACTTAAACTAATTTGAGCTTATCAAGTTGGTAGTAAAATATTAAAACTTAAAAATAGAAAATCAATTATTACTGAAAAATAGTAATTTTTTTTCTGTTTCTTCAAACATGTACTTGCTAGAAACTATTTTCTATCTATAAAATGAAAGTTTTTTTTCTATACCTAATCTCTAACAACTAATTTTGCCATACAATTTTTTTTTCTACTAACTAAAATTTCTTTCTTGTTTTTAATTTTGTATCTTTAAAAAGCAAAATTCAAATTTTTCTATTAGATAATAATCATTCATATTTTAATCCAAATTCTTTTTAAATTCATTAATGATTATTCTGATAAGTTATTGAGTGTATATTTTTTTAATTAATCTAAAATTTAATTATATTATAATTTTAATTTTTTTAATTGTTTTATATTTTTTAATTCATAAAGTAAATTGTATTAATTTTATTCTCTTTTAAAATAAAATTTTAACTGATTGCGAAAAAAATGGAATAAAAGGTGGTATAGATTTTAAAAATCTCAAAATTTTAAATATTGAGATTACCTATATTATAATATTCATTCATTCATTTATTATAAACTAGCAATTCATCAAAATGAATATAAATTGTCACAGATATATGTTTATAAAACAATAATAATAGTTGTTTAACCAATATGTTGATTTTAACTCTTTTATTATACTAATGTAAATTTTATTAAGAAATCTAGTTTGAGTTTAGATAGTGATTAAAGGGAAACACTTGAAAAGAAAAAATAAACGTTATAATAGGAAAGTTTAAGTAAGTAGTAAAGATGAGCGTTTAAACAAGTTAGTTTTAATAATAAGTATAAATGGAGCAAGGTAATACAATTTATAGATTTTAAAATATATTTTTAGTGTATTTAGCAGCCAAGCTGCGTGTTAATTCTTTTTAGCAAAGAATATTTGGAGGATGAATTATCGATCATAATTTTATCAAAATATTAGATAATTATAACAAAATGAATTATTGTTTCTAAAAATTAGACACAAATTAAAACTAGAAGCATTTCAACGAGTTCTTAACAGAAAGCTATGATGAAAATGACAAAAAAAACCATTGTAATATAGGTAGAGCTCGTGACGACTTAAGCGTTTTTGATAACTAAGAAGCAGACTTGGTTTAGTAACAAGAATAAGAAAGACATGTCAATGAATTAATAGATAAATACAACTCCTAAATGGAATTTTATAAACCATAGAAAACAGAATAAAATAAAATAAATTCTAACTCTAGTTAAATAAAAGGAAATTCTTCAGCAGTGAGAAATGAATCTAGCCCAATGAAATAGAGTGATTACTAATTTCAAAATACATAAAATCAACAATTTTAATAGCGTTCATAATATGAGGAATTTTAAGAAAAGCCAATTCCTTTGACAGCAGTCCTAGCTGAAGAAAGATAAAAAAATTAATATATATAAGCCAGCGGAGCCTTAAATGCATAAAGCTTGCAAAATGATGATTATGAATTCTGTCCAAACTGCAATAGGAAATTTTTTTCTGGTCGTTTAAATCTTCATTTAAAAAGCTGCAAGCCTAACAAGCCTCTAAAGCCAATAAAAAAATAATCACATATTTCAAATGAAGAGGATCAATAGTAGTTATCACCTTAAAGGAATAATTCAAGCACTGTTCAATTTAATGTAAATAATATTTGTTTTAACTCAATGATATGCAAAATCAATAGTCTTTCAGATTGGCGTAAAAAGCATTTTAAAACCATAAGCATTAAAATATTATGCTTGTAACTGTGATAGACTTTTTATAAACCAATTTATAAATTGGCTTTTATATAAAAGAAATTAGAAAGCATTTTTTTTAACATCTATTCATTTTTATATATTGAATGCTTTAATTTAAATAACTAGAAGAATTCTGAAGCCAGTAGCACTAATAATATAGCATTGTAAAACAAAGAAAATGATGAATAAATGAACAAAAGTTAGAAAAATAAATCTTAAATAAATCCTAATACTGAAAAAGAAGAGAATTTCTAATAGTCAAAGTATAATTTAGATATATTCGAGCACAAGATCAACAATTAGCATGATGAATAACAAGTATTAATAAATTCTTTTCTTTCTTATTCTGTCTCTTTCGTAGATCAATAAGATATTATGTTTGAATTTTATAAGCAAGCACACACGCTATATAAATATAAAATAATTAGAAAGCGTCAATTAAGGACTTTTTTACTATCAAATATTAAATATTTAAAGATAAAATTGATTTACTAAAATTTTTTAATTATTTGATTTGTATCAGATAATATTAATAAAATATTTCAAATCGTAGCATATAGCATTTGTTTCATAGTTTTAGAATTGCAGAACTTCATCATTATTATAATTAATAAATTTTATTTATTTTAATTTTTGTTCAGATTCTAAATAGATTCATATTTACTTTTATTTAGAGTGAAGATAATAGAGTTTAATGCGACATATGCGGAAGAAAATTCATGCAAGACAGAATCGAAAAACATTAAGTTGCTTGCTCTAAATCATAGAAAGCAAGGCCAGTTTACAATTCTAGTGCAGCTAGAGTGAATAATTATATAATTTATTAATTATAATTTAATCCATCGAAATAAAGCATAATTGACGTTATTTTATTTATTATTTTAATCTTAAAGTGTCCTGAAGATGAAAATGGTAAAAAACTAATATCTACAACCAATCTTTTACCACCAAAGGCTGCTAAAAAGGTTTCTGAAACATCAGTTATTCCAATTAAAGGACCTCCATAAATAAATTTAAAAGAGTAGGAACCAACAACAAATGAAAATTCTAAAATTGGAATAAATAAACCAGTTAATGCATAAAAAAATAGTACAACCCCATCTCAAAAGGCAAATAATCAGATAAAACAACTGCATACTGAATAAAAAAATCATAATAATGATGAGAAATAAAAAAAATTACCTAAATGGAAAATTGAGCACTAGCAATTTTTAGAAAATATACGTTACAACAAGAAAATAAAACAAGTAATAATAATTTATATTGAAACTGTTATGCTAAACCATTTTCTTCGCTAAAATAATAGATTGAAAAAGAAGGAGGAGATAAATCATAAATAGAAAGACCAGTAGATGATTTAGAAGCCTTGGGGTATATTTAATGTTAATACTGTCAAAGAAAATTTGCAAAAGGTAGATAGATTTTTTGTTTTTTTTTTAAATAGTTCAGCGGCTGAAAATATATTAATCTCTACACTTTCTTTTTGAAATAAACCAGCCATAAGGCTATTTCTTAATTTATGATTATAAATGCATTTAATTTTATAATATAACATATTTAAATAAATTAATACCAAATTTATTCATACTACTAAATGATTTTTTTTAGTGGGGATTTAATAATAATTTTTGCAAATTAACCTTTACTTACTAAAATTAGAAACTGCTGAAAGACATATTCCTTTATGCAAAAATATAATAAATAGACCTAAGCCACCCAGATAGCCTTCTAGGTAGAACTCAGATAAAGGAACTGGCTCAATTAATTAACAAGAAAATAAAAGGCAAGCAGTAAAAAAGATAATCGCTAAAAATAATTTTTCAAGTATTAAATAACTAAATTCTATTCAAATTACTATTTAATCATATTAATTTTGTGAAACATTATAAAAAAGGTGAAGACACAGAGACCTAAATTAAATCAAATATATCTTCAAATGGAGATATTTAGCAACAGTAAACAAATGACAATTCTGACTAAACTAGCTTAATTTCTAATAAAACGCTAAATACTACTGGAGGAACTGGGGCAAGCTATAGCTCAAATATTTAAAAAACAACGAATAAAATATCATCTGCCGTGTATGATAAATAAAACTAAGAATAAAATGCAAAGAGTCGAACAGGACTATTACCTGATCTAAATATAAAGTAGAGTGATAAAAAATACTTTACATCAAGGAAATTTGGAAGTTGTAAGATAATTAATTTATTTAACTATCAAAAAAACAAAGAAATAAATTAAAAATTTTACTATTTAATTCACTTTAACACATTTAAATTTTTCAAATTAAACAATTGCTTTTTATATGCAACGTGCATTTAAATATATAGAAAATTCATGTGTTATAAGTAAATAATTATTACTTTATTTCAAATAGATAATAACAGGAGCTCAAATGCAAACAACAACAGTAATAGCGAAATTTAAAAACAAAAACTCTATGAAGATATATACACAAGAGCATAGTAAATTGGTTCAGTTTAATGTCCTCATTGTGAAAGAGTGTTTGCCAAACATGCTTCTGAGAGACACATTCCAATTTGTAAAAATGTTCTAAATAGACCCAACCCCTTGGCTGATATTACTAGAAATACAAGGTAAATTGTCGAATTATTCTTATATTTTATCTTTACTTCCTAATTTTTCTAATGTAATAATAATTTTCTGTCTTAACTCAATTTCAATTCCTAAAATAGATAAAGTCTACCTAAAAAAATTTCTGCACAGAATGGTATGTATACTCAGAGATAGAGTCTCGGTCATAATTAATCTTCTCCTAAGCACTCTGATACAAACAGAGCTGTTTACGATGGTTAAAATTACTAGAAACCAAGGACAAGTGATAGCAATATGGCAAATAAAATAAGTAGTAATCTTAACAGCACTAATCCAACAAATTTTTGTGGATTTTGTGGATTCTAATTTGCCATGGATCACAAATATTGTGGGAGCTGTGGGAAAAAAAGATTTAGCACAGCTAAAAATGGCTACATTTCAAGTAAATAGATGGGGTCAAAGTAAAATTTCGATAATAATAACAACAATTCAGTTATAAATAAAACAGCAACTAATATAGATTGAAGATAAATTTTAGTTTAATATCCCTCCCTACCTCTTTCTCTATGAAAATTTTCTTTACTTTAAATTAAAAATATCTTTCAAAGTGAATGATTTAAGTTACATTGTGATTGAAAACAAATCTAATAATTTGACAAAAATATTGCTTCTATAAAATTAAATAATTTATTGCCAATTTATAAAATTAACCAAATAGTTTTTTTTCTTTATTGAAAATAAAGAAATCTATGCTAACTCAGATGAACAGATTGATAGATATAAAAAAAAATATTATACCTAATTAAAAAAATTTCAAATTTTATTAAAAAAATTTATTTGTATTGAACTTTAATTCTCCCTTAATACCTTTATTAATATTTTTGTATATAATTATATGGCTGCTTATAATTCTACAACATTTTCTTTGAATAAAATAAAATAATTTTGTAAAATATTGGTTTAAAAGTGTATAAGAACTCAAATAGTTCATATTTTTTTTTTGAAATTTTTATTAATCTTGATGAATTTTTTACTTACTGTTAGGAGGCTAAAAACAACAAAGTATATTGACTTTATAGTATTGATAAAATAATATAATAAATATCTAATTAGTAAGGAAGATAAAAATTCACTCTTATTTTCTCTAACTTTGAATTTATAATTTTATTATATCTTGAGAATGGCAGGGTAAATATACAATGTATGTATTTAACTTTATTTAATTACTTAAATCAAAATTTTGGAAGTAAAAATTTAGAAAGAAATGTAATATTTTTATATTAACTACCCTCTATCTTTTTCTTAATTAGAATGAATGGCAAATCAATAGCAAAAAATTAGTTTTACAAACCATTAATAACTATCTAAAATAATTTTTTTTCATACAGAATATTAAAGTAAGGGAAATTTTAAGTGACTTTGTAAGCGTAGCCAAACTTAGAACAAAGATTTTTACATGTATCTATAGCATTTTGTTTTGCTAAACCTTTCTGGTTAAATATGTATTATTCAAATTAATAACATATATTGCCTTTTAAGTGGTTTGATTTTTTTAAATTTTCACAAGCTAATTTGACAAAAATGAAATTGGCTTACAATTTTAACAAAAATAAACTACAATAAAAACTCCGTTGATAAAAAATAACTTCAAAATATGTATCTCCATAATATAAAATCTACACTTTGCAAATAAAAGAAAAGAAATCACTCAAAAATATTGAAAGTATGTCGAAAAACCTTTCAAATTTTACAAAAAATTCCAAAAGTTTCAATAATATTAATGATCATTTAATGGGCACAAATTAATATTTAGCAGCATTGATTGATTTAAGCATTATTTTAGTTGCTTACTAAATATACATTAACTTAAGAATAGTCTAGACAAAATTAATCATATAATTTCTTTCATCATTTCTCTCCTTAAATTCTTTACAAAGAGCTATGTCTCATTAATAATATGAACAGTCTTATTACCTTCATTATTAATGCATTCTACGAATTAATCATCTTACTTAATCTTTAAGCACTTTTCTTCCATTTATTTGCGGATTTTCTTTTCAAATTTTGTTTAAAAAAATCAATTAAAATCCAAAAGAAAATGCACAAATTTTACCTCTTATTGATAATCCAAATAGTTTTAAACAAAATATTTGTAAGATTTTCTAAAGCTGGTAAATTTCTTTTTGCAACTCTAAAAGTCTTACTCTTTTTCATGCTTAAAGCATACTGTTTGAATTTTTTCAATGACTGCTTTCTTTAAAGTTAGATAAATATTGAGATTAATAACTAACTATGATCTCAAAGTAATAATAATTTACCACCCTAAAAAATGGATCAGGTGGTTTTAAAGTCTAAAATAATTAAATAATTTAAAATCACTTCAAAAAGTATCTATTCCTTCAAGAAATTGCTGGAGGATAGATAGTTCTCCATTGAAATCATAAGATCCATTATTTAAAATTTTCAAATTTTTTATCGCTTAATAAGAAAAGAAAGATAGATGATTTTGGAATTAAAAAGAAAAAATCTTAATTTGCTTTTTTTCATATAATTTTCAAAAATTAATCTGTAAGTAAAATAAGAATACTTTGTAATTGATTGATAGATAGTAATTAAGATAAATAAACATCTTTTATTTATCCTTCTTAGTCAAATAATTATGAAGAATAAATATAAATTTTTTAAGGCATGGATTACAATATCAATGTCTTATTTTCTTTTTTTGCAATTGTTTATTTACAATTTTTTATGATTATTTACAGTGTGCTTAATTTGAGATTATATATTCGGCATTTCCTTTTATTCTGTAATCTTGCCTTTTTTATTGATATTCTTATTTATTCTGATATAAGATAAAAAAAAAAACTAAAGGTAAAATAAATTAAACTATTTATAATTTTCTTATTGGTTGTAGTACGGTTTCGAATTACCATTTTTTTTCTAACTATTTTTAATAGATTATGATTAGTTAATTAATTTAATTTGACATTTCCTATGTTTAAGAACAAGTGTGCTCTCTAGTTTTATCATATAAAAAACTTTGTTAAATTATAATTCAAAATTTACATTTTTTTATGAGGTTAAATATTAAAAAATTCAATTTTTTTTACTTTCAAATTTAAAGTTCTTTCTTTAAATTAATTTGAATTTACTTTTACGATAGAAAAACCATATAATCACTCTAACAAAAAATATCAATTTGGATAAATACTACTATTATTACTTTTCAACAATACAACTAATAAGTGAAGTAATAGACTTAATAATTTTTTTCTACTCATTTTCGTGCTAATATAAAAATATTAGTAATATTTAGCCAAAACTAAAAGCTAATCAATAAAAAATAAATTTCTTTACTTATTTGATTATAAAAATTTACTTTTAGATTAGTTATATTTCATATCAAATTAGTGTAATTTCCCTAATGATCCAAACTATTGGTTATAGTAGCACATTCTCTAAAAATAAAAATTTTAAGTCAAATTTAGTTTAGAAGTAATACTTAGACTAACAAAACTATTGCAACGGTATATATTATTATATCAAGGATTAAGAAATTTACAAAATTCAAGAGTTTTTTATTTCATCTAATTCAAGAATACCTATTTTTAAGTTTTAAATGACTGATTATCTTTTTTTTTCTTCTATCTATTTATCTGTCTGTGTACCCTTAATCTAATTAATTACGTCTAAGTTTTTTAGTACATATTTTATAAAGAAAAAATGACTGTATCTATCTAGTACTTAGAATATTATTTTTAATAATTTACAAAAATAATATATCATATCAAATTAAATTAAATTCTTGTTTGTACGTATTTATCAATATAAACTTTTTTAAGAATTCCTTTTGAAAGCAATTAAATTTTATGTAAGCATAATCTATAAATTCTGCTTTATAATAACCTTTATAATAATCCCACAATGTATTTGATTTTAATATATATAAATATCTTCTTCATTAAATATATCTTTACATAATTTAATTAGACAAAAATGCAGAAAAAATACAAAATTTATTTTTCCTTGAATAAGATTTTTATCTTACACTTCATTTTATCAGCTAATTTCAAAATTATTTAATACTCTTTAATTAAATTTATTCCATTCGACCTATTTGTTTGGATCTTACCCTATACGATATATGATTTTTTTTATATAAAAATTAGAGACTTCTTTATGAAATTTTAAAAACATTAAACTTATTTTGATATTATTTAGGATTATTTCTAATATTTAGCATCAAATTAACTTAAAAAATACTTTACAATTTTTTTATTTTTACAATTCTAATATTAAAATTTGCTAACTTATTATTAATAATAATAAATAAAAAGTGTGTAATATTATTTTTTATTATCAAAATGTTTAAATCTAGCTTTTAAAAAAATGTAAAGTATCAATACATACTTTGAGTAAGATAAAAATAATAAGTAATCAGCTTGACTCTTATTAATTTAATTTTAATTAAAGTAAATTTATTACCAAGTAAATAGCTGTTATTCAAAAGGAAATATGTTTAAATAGCACTAATCCATAGAAGATTAAATAATATTACATTTTTCAAAATTTATTTTATAAAAATCATAGATACTAGAATTGTTACAATATATAGGATTTCGGTATATAACAATTGAATATTAGATTTGAAAAATATCGATATCGATCAATTTGTATTTTTATTTATTCTCATTGTTTTTATGAAAATGATATCAAAATTTTCAAAATATATTGATTTACTCTAACAAGTTTATTAAATTATATTAGATAATTTTAAAAGAAAAAATTATCAAAATTATTTTCATTTCAATATCAGAGCAATAAAATGTTTAAATATAAAACCTCGCATTATTTATTCTAAATAAATTTTAATGATAGAATATAAATTTCAGAATATTCAAAATAGAATCAAAATATTAAATTTGAAATTAAAAATATTTTCATTTTAAAAAGAAATTATTAATTTTATGTTTAATGTAAATTTTTATTTTTAAGGTTACTTTAGAATTCAATTTGTTGTTTTTTTTATTAATGCTAATATAATTTATTTGTTTTAAATTTCATTAAGAATCAAATAACTCTTTTCAAGTAATGAAAATATAATATTTGATTTTTAGAAGAATATAAGTTTAAAACTACATAATCTATTAATTATAAATAAAAAAAAGTATTATTAATTCATGATAAAAATAAATACTTAAATTAAAACTTAGTAATTAGCAACAAGTAAACAAAATTAATGAAAATATATTGAACAAATTTTGATAATTGTAAAGTTATTTTCTATTTTATCTATTTTTTTATTTATTTTGATACACAAAAAATAAAAATTTATATAAGAATTTATCTTCATGATGAAAAAGATAGATGAAAATCTATTGAATAAACTTGATTAAACAAATAAATATACTTTTTTATTTAGGCATACTTTAATTACAAATATATTAAGGTCAACTATGGAAATCTTTTTCATTCAAATTTGATTAAATACATTTAACTTATTCATACATTTTAATATGTTAAGTATGGGTTTTAATAATAAAAAAAAGTTGATTTATTTGAAAAAAATAGTTTTCTTTCTAAAAATCAAAAATTTATCAAATTACCAATTTAATCAAGTAAAATAAATTCAAAATTTCTGTTTGTTTGCCCAACTTTTTAATGCAAAACTTTTAATTAAATAAGATTAAAATCAAAATTAAATAAAAAAAGTAATGAATATAAAGGATTTATTAAGAGTAATTTTAGGTCAAAATACAAAGTTTATGTTTATTTAAACTATAATTGAGGGAGTTTTTAGCTATATTTAATATAAAAAAAATAGAATGTTAATTATTCAAATTTGTTTTAATAAGTGATAAATATTAAACTAGTTGGCATTTTTATAACTTATATTTTTCTCATTAATTATTGAGAAAAACCCTTTTATGTCTAAATAAAAATAAATTTTTTAAAACTTTAAAAATGAGTATTCAATATTTCAATTTTGTTTGAAACATTAAAAAATAAATACTTAAATTTGTATTTATAAATTCAAATCTAAAAAAATAAATTTATGAAAATTTATTTTATATATTTTATTAAACAAATATAAATTATATGTTAAATGATTAATACTCATTTGATTTTTGTTTCATTCATATAAAATTAAATAATTAGATTTATAAATTTAAATAAATTGAATAAATTTTAGTTTACAAATAAATATTCTTTATATGTTTATATAAATATATTTCAATTTTGTTTAAGACATAAAAAAAAAATATTTAGATTAGAATTTATTAAATCTACCTAAAGTAAAAATAATTAATTATAAGATAATGAATAAATTTTAGTAAAAAAATAGATATTCTATGATTAGGCTTGTTAAAAAATAAATTTGATTAAATGCTATTCACCAAATCTGCTTTATAACTAAAATAAATTTTGATTGTATTCTACATTTAATAAAGTTATTAAAAATTTGATAAGGAAATCGAACTGTTAATAATTGCGGAACAACTTTATCAAATAACCAATGATTTTTATTAAAATTACATTTTTTATAAGTATAAAAGTAAATATTTAATTTTTTTATAAAAATATTCAAAAAAAGAAAATATATTATAATTTAATGGATAATCAGTCTTAATTTTCAAATCTTTAAAAGCTTAGCGAGTCATATCACTCACCTTTAAGTATAAATATATATTTTTAAAGCCAAAAAAGTTTACTCATTAGTATTTTAGGGTAATATAATTAGGTTGATGATTTCTCTGCTAGTGAAATGCATTAAGAAATGTCATAAAATACTAATTCAATTTCTCCTAAAAAGCTATCATCACTTTCATACCCTATATAAACATTTGATACAGTAAAATAGTACTTTGGTCAAATTTTTTGCAAAATAATACATTTTAAATTCACATAGATGAAGAGATTTAACACATATAAAGCTTAAGTAGAAAAAAGGAAAAATGAATCATTGAACAGCTCTAGATTTTAAGAGTTATATGAAGATGGTTAAAAAATTTAAAAGAAGAGAGAGGAGTAAATTAGAAAGAAGTAAGAAGAAGAATAGAATTATAAAGACCCTGAATGTACATTTAAGCCTAAAATAAAAAAATATAATACTTAATCTGCTGATTAGGATAAAAAAACAATATTTGATAAAAATCAAGAGTGGAAATAAAAAGTAGAAGATAAAATGTAAACAAAATACGAGAATTTAACTGATAAAGATCTCAAAGAATGCACATTTCACCCTAATATTGTAAATTTATGCTGTCTAATTAATCCTTTATTTGATCATTTATATTATTATAAAATTATATTTTAAAAGATATCAAACAATAAATTAACATAAAAACAGGATTAAGATTGGAAAAATAAATTTGAGGAACCTCTTTCTGATTTTAATTCGAAAGGTATTCCATAATTTTTAAAGAGATAAGTTATTGCTAGAAAAATGAAAGAATATAAAGACTTTATTATGAATTATCCTCATAGAAAGCATGAAATGAAAAACAATACCTTTACTGTTCCCAATGAACCTGTTCTGGGAATATGTGAAAATCATATTAAATCTTTAGACAGAGTAAATTAATCAATCAATAATATCTTTTTTAATATTATGCTTTACAAAAAGCCACTTATACCAGAACATTTATTTGACAGTTTTGAGCAATAGCTGCACCCTAGATAATATCGTTCATCCCTCTCAGATAGTAAGCATAACAAACAAGATCAACCATTAAATTAAACTTACAGAAAAATGATTGTAAAATTGTTAAATATAAATTTTTTTATGAGAAAAATAAAATAATAAATTAATAGGATAACTAAATTCAGATTGATCCTAAATCTAATTTCTAAGATGCATTAAAATAATTACATGAAGCCTTACATAATATTGAAATTTGATTTTAAGAATTTAATTTAATAATTTTTATTTTCTAAAATTAAAATAAAATATTTAAAAAATAATTTTTTATGTAAAAATTTATCTTTCTATTTTAGAGTATTAATTAAGAGTTTGAAACTATTATAATAATTTTGATGAATATTATTTTAAAATTTTAATATTTTTATATTTGTTTTTATTTATAATTCACTCAAAAAGTAACATCTTAACATATATTTTTTATAAATACATACTTAAATTAATTTTAATGTATTTTAGTTCATTTAATACTCAATTTTATTTTTAATCTTTTTTTTTCACTATTAAAAATATACTTTTTAAACTATCACTTTTATTTATTGCTATCATCTTCCCTTTAAATTTCTTCTTTGAGCTAACCTTGATGTGCATTTAATTTACCTATAAAATAACATTTTAAAAATAATTAATAAAATAAATAAATAAATAATTTTTTTTCATTACCAAAGAACATTTCTTTATTAAATCCGTTATCCCACATAGCTTTTTTATCTACCTTCCTCATTTTTTCTATTCTAGATTTATTAATATAATAGTTATATATTTGATTAATTCATATTTAATTTAAAATATTTACTCTCTTCTTTCATTTTCTCTGTATTCAAATTATGCTTACAAATTTTCTTCACTACCAATACCCCAAATTTCTAAACATTAAACATCAAGTTTTGTTTATTGGCGTCCGTTACTAACGATACACCCATTTCCAAAAGTTTTATCTTCTGATTTAACATAAGAGTTGGCTTAAATATCATCATCTATCCAAAATCTAAATTAGTTAAAATCTTCATTTCCTCCAAAACCTTATTTTTTGTAACAAAATATATATAAGTCTTTTCTTTTTTTTCAAAATATTATGTAAAATTTTACCTAAACCTACTTTGTATTTAGATCTTTCAATTTACCTGTTGTTTAAATAGGCATAATTTGAAGATCCTTAACCTTCATAAGAATTGAATGTCCTATATGTAGGATAGAGTGAGAAGAGATATGTCTATGAATCACCTTAATATTCTATATTTACAAAAAAAATTTAAGCTTTTAAATTTACAATTTGTATTTACTTAATTGAGAATACCACTACTCTTAATGATAAGCTCCTATAATATGAGTTGAAGATTCATTTGTTTCTTTATTTACTTCTTTATGCTTAATTAATATAAGAGTTGGTGCATTATATCCAAGAATAGCAAAGGCTAAGCGATTGAAACTAATACCAGATTTGCTTGAAGAATAAAGTAAATATAATCCTTTAGCATGCTAAATTGAAGAGTTATGAGAGTATAATATAGGTAAAAAATCATTTGAAATGATCTCAGATGGTTGAATAAATTCAGGACAAGATAGTTATTTAATTCCTATTAAGTTAAATATTATTTAAAATTGTAAATTTTTTTGATTTAATACTTACCATTGTAAACATAACCACTCCAGTAATCAATCAAAACTCTATTTATATATTGCAAAGTAGATTAAGTCTTATAAAAAAAATGATCAGCTGTTATCTCGTTTTGATTTTCTTCATATTCTATTTTCAAAAAAAATAAATTTTTTTAATAATAAGATTTTAACATAAAATATAATAATATAAATCTCTCTTCTTTCTTTCTTTGTTTAATTTGCATAAATTAATTATATTACTAAAGACTTGATCTAAGAACGCATTAATTACTTTATCAGATTCTACTCCAAAAATAAAGAGTATGTAATTCAAAACTTGAGAGCATTTTTCTCTAGTGAATATTGCTTTGTTAAATTAAATTGTATCCCATTCATCTACAAAGAACATGATCAAACAGAGGATTTCTAAGGATGTATACTTTTTCTTATTAAATTCTTCAAACATATAGCTTTGTTTACTTTTGGTCATGTATTCAACTATTAAAATATAAAAAATATTAATTATGAATTACTAATGTTTTAAAAATGATTAAGTAGAATTATTCTTCGGAATATTTTACTGACTGATGCAAATGTTTAAAATGTAACTTTCTTGTCTCCTTTTGAAGAATTTAGTTTGCTTGATATTGCTTGGAGCCATTTGTAAAATTATTATCTTTATTCAGGTTTAAAAGATAAAAAATTTTATAAACTCTCTGCATTGTCTATGTGTGCTTTTGAAATATCCTATTATTTAGAATAGCTAATAAACAGTTGAGTCAGACTCTTTTATTCTGCCTCACTAAATCTATTTTTATTTGCAGCGGGCTTTGATTTTTCAGCTCCCATTAACTTACTTTTATATGATATTATGTATAGATATCTATTTAATGCTTAAATTAATATTTAATTATTTTTTATACTTTTTTTATATTTGGAAATATTGTTTATAAAAAAATCTAAAATAGATAAATTAATCAGTTTACATTAATCAAAAATGTGGTAATGTAATAGATAATTAATATGTTCATATACAGAAAATAATTCTAATAAAAAACAATAATAATTATTTTAGTCTATCTTAGTTTTGATAATTTTGAGAATTGCTTTTTATTTATTAAAATTTAAAGTATTTTTTCATAAAAGTTAAATTATGAAATTAATTTTTTTTTTTTTCAACAAGCTTAATATTTTAATTAATCATTTTAAATTTACTGATCAATTTATTCATTAAAAAAATAATAGTAAATTTATTTGGTAGATGATTAGAAATAAAATAAATTCAATTGAACAAAAAAAAATGAATAAATAAATAAAATAAGTAGTGTTTTTTGAGCTATTTTCTAATTACAAATAATTCTATTTAACTTTTAAGAAAGCGTATTTTTAGTAGTATTAAATATGTATTCATTTATGCATTTTATATTAAATTAAAAAAATAAACGAATATTTTAATTAACTAATTGGATATTAAGCAAACCAAATAATGTAAAAAAAGGAAATTAAAAAAGAGAAAGTATATGACTCTGATAATGATAGCGTAATATCATCTTCAGAGTCAGATAGAAGCACTTCTCCTCAACAAAAAAGTAAGAAATAAAAAATTGTTTCCAACATTTCATCTCCAAACCTAAATCTGCCAAATAAGTAATCAGCTGAAAATAATACTGTAATTTTTACAAAAATTAGAGTTATTTCTTTTCTTTCCAATAATAAAATTATTTATAACTTATAATCATATGTTGCTTATTGTTTATTATAATTTGTTTAGAAAAATCAACAAGGGAGTCTGAATAGCTCTCTAATGTAATCTAGAAGCAATATTTTAAGCTAGGTAAATTTTAAATTATTGTTGCAATGCTAACATTTTGTTAGCATATACAATTTTGCAGAACTCTACAAATAAAATTAAATTGAACTCATAATATAAATAGATGACACCACAGTAGCAGAGTTTAAATCAAATTCGGTCAATTATATAATCTTTTTATGTAAAGCAACAGCTTCCATAGCAATAAAATAGCTAGATAAATTAGCATTAAAGTGATTTGTAGTAATCTTAAATAAAGATGAGTTTGTTGGAATAACAAAATAGATAATATCAATAAAAAATAAAGACCATAGAGTAAGCTAAAAATAGCGATTCAAAAGTCATTAAAAATTCAATTGCCCAAATATAGTCCCAGCTCTTTGATATACGAGTAAAATAATATTTAAAAAAATATTTTTAGAGCATTTTATTTATTATTTGTTTTATATCAAAACTTAACTGAAGCATAAAGTGGAGTCAATGAATAGCAAATCGAAAGAAAAAAATCAAAAGAAAACAAAATAAAATGAGAAAAATAGCGATGAGCACAATAAAATTAAGCAGAAAGAAAAGAAAATTAAAAAGAAAAGCGATTAGGAAAAAGACACATCAGTTTCTAGCTTAACAAGCAGTGAAGGTGATGAAAAATCTTTGGTAGAAAGCTTATCAGAGGATGAGGATTCAATGATTGAATACTCTAGCAATAAACATAATTCAAAAAACAAAAGTAAAAAAAAGAATAAAAACTCTGGAATAACTGAAAACATAAAAGGCTACTTAATACTGAATGCCCATAAATTATAGCATGAAGGGAAAAAAAATTAACTGTTGAAAGAAATTTTGAATAAAAAAATTCCTGATCAAACAACTTTAAGCAATCATTTAGTGATGGAAAGATATGATATAGTATTAAGAGATATTCTTGATGTTTTTTTAGAGTATTTATTACGTAGTGAGCCACTTCATGTAAACACAGCTTATATTTTGTAAACAGAAAAAAACAATTTGTTAAAGAAAAGTATTTAAACTAATTAAATAAAATAGATCAATGCCTCACCTTAAAAATAATAATTTGATGTTCTAAAAAAGCATGAGATTAATTTAAGCTAAAAAAATAATTAAAATGCAACTAATTTTGTAAGTTCTGAACATAATCCCCTCTATTCTTAAAATAGACTAATAACTAACGAATCTAATAGTGGTGGATAGATGCCATACTCTAATAATACAATATAACCGTTTACTCATTCAATTTCAAAATCTAATTCTTTGAATCCTACTATTTAGTAAATTTCATAAAATAATATTGATTAAATTTCATATAGAAAATCTTTAAATAACGATTCAAGAATGTAATAATTATTATCTCCTCCTTTAAATTATTCAAATTAACAAAGTTATCCAGTAGTTAATATTGACTGCATATCAAATTTAAATGATCATTAGACTATTTTAAATTAAGGAATAATTGGATCTAATGGCCGTAATCCTTCTTCAACTAAAAGTGCCTCTAGCAAATAAATTTCATTTCACAATTAAGTTTCATCATAAAATTAAAATTTGCATCTAAATTCTGGTAATAGTAGGGGTTCAATTGACTGGTATTAGTAGTAGATGAAAACCAATAAAAAATTTCCATAGCAAATAAGCATGACTTAGCAATCTTCATCACGTTTGAACAGAGAAGGAAGCTAAGGAATATTAAAACAAAATAATGTTTCATATTTTATCAACACTGAAGATTAAGGATTTGAATCAAAAGGTAGTGCAAGTACGAAAATGAGTGAAAATGCTCGTAAAAACCAGAGATTAAACCATGCAATTAGTGAAAGTTAAATAAATTTATTAAAGTAAAACTAAATATAAAAATAATTTTTATAATAACAATAATACCAGCAAGGTATTAACCAAATTCCTTAAATTCTTTAAAACAACCAAATTCAAGATAATTTCGGAATTATACACTCATTTTCTAATTTTTAAAATTCTTTGTCTCCAAAAAATAATTAAGATCTCCAAAGTGCAAGAAATGCAAATAACTTAAAAATAAATCAAGTAGAAAGTTTAATGAGCAGCTAATTCTAAAATAGTAATTAAGAACTCAATAATGCGCCATTATAGTAATTTTTTTATAGAATTATTTGTTTTTTAATATTAAAATAATAACGATAGTGGCAATCAATAAGGAATCATTTCACAGATAGGAGGAGGGAACACTTCAAATTTATCATAAAACCACTAATCTCTCTTTTCATCTCCTAATAAGCAGGCTTAGCTCTTTTAATTCTAACACAAGTATTCATCTTCTCTTCCTTTCGAGTCATTTATGAATTTAAATGCAAGTACGTCAAAAAACAATGACTCATTAGAGCACAACCACAGTAGATTTTTATAGAGTACTTCCAACCCATCAAGAGGTAACTTACTTATTTCATAAACGTTAATAATTTTACAAACTTGATATCATTAGATTACTATAGTCCTGACTTTAAATAGAGGATGATGGTGAACGGCTTTAGTAAAGAAATCCTTAATATTTATCCAGAGTAGCTTTTCTTTTAGAATGATACCAATAATTTACATGAAAGATATTAAAACTAGCAAATCTAATTAAATAATTAAGTGCTAAGAAATGATCAAGATTTTCAAAGTCAAGAAGATTATAATAACCATCAAATATCTTAGCAAGAGAGCTAAGACTTCAATAAATTAACTAAATCAGCAAGCATTTAAAAAAATATGTAAATGAATAGTTCAGATTAAATTGTGAGTGAGGAAAATTACTAAGAAGACACTACAAGTATACAAGAGTAAAGCTAAAATAGTAGATAAAAAATAGCTCATTCAAAGTCTTTAAACTTATTGATGAATAAATCCAAAATTCCATCATTTAGCCCTGAAAATACACCAACAAGTTTAAAGAGCCCTTCAATTATAAAAAAGAATCCCTAGTTAAAATTAATGCCATGTCATAAACACAATAAAAGTGCTACAATAGTTGTCAAAAGAAAGAATTCAGACAACAGCGATCATTCAAATTCAATTTCAAATATGACCAATAATAATAATAATATTAAGCAATAGCAATCAAACTAATAAAAATGCAGTAATTGCTTAATCATAAATAATAGAGAGGAGGTTAAGTAAAGGTTTTAAAAGCTGCCACCTAGCATAGAATAAGTTGGTAGAAAGGGGAAAAACAGTTCACATAATAATAACATAAAGGAAATTTTTAATTATAATTTAGAAAAATAACAATCAACTTCATAAAAATGATTGAATTAATTCCATATTTAAAATCATAAATAAGCTCAGAGTATTTTGCATAATAATTTTTTTTATTATTTACTTTGTTCGTTAATTTTTATCAATTTAAAAATAAAAAATTCTAAAAAATATTTTTATGTTCATTAAATAAATTTGCTTTAATTATAAAAAAAAAATATAAAAGTAAAATTAATAAATAATTAATTAGATAGACAATTAATAAAATTAAAATAATTGAATTCACTGAAATATTTTTAAATCATAAAATGAAATAATTTTGCTAAATACAATTTTGCTTGGCGTTTAAATTGATTTTATCAAATGCAAAATTAAATGAAAATAAAAAAATTATTAAAATTTTTTAAGTTAAAAATATTAAATTAAAAATTTGAAATAAAATTATAAATTTATAAATAAAGTATAAAAGTATAATAAATAAATAAATTAGTCAATCAAATGACTATTTATAAAGAAAAATCAATATTTTTCTTTTTATAATTTTTTCTGACTCAATTAATTTTTTTTAAATATGTGAATTAAGAAAAAATAATTTTAATATTGCTCAATTAGGAACTGGTATTATGTCTTAAATATTTTTATTATACTATTTTTTGTTTGCTTTAGAAAAATTTATATTCGTTTTAGTTCTAATTTTTTGTTTTAAATAAAGTAAATATAAAAAATATATGAATTATCAATATTTATAAAAATTACATATAGTTTTTCATAGATAGATATATTTGTTAAAAGTATTAAAAATTAATTACTACTATAGCATACTTAACTTCTCAGTCAACAAAAGTAGAAAAAACGCTTAGAAGATAAATACAATTAGATTTTCAAAAAATGAACATTCCTTTCAATGAAGACACTTCTAAAATTTTAATATCCCTATAAAACCCGCATATGCCAATTGATACCAGTGTTCATAAATAATAAAATAGTGAAAAATAAATGCAATAAATTTTAGATGTTTTGGAAGGAGAATACAAATATTCTGAAACAGAAGAAGAAACTAAACAAAAAGACGAAAAATTAAAACAATTAAGACAAATTATTAGGGATTGGATTTAAGCCATAGCAGAGGAAAATAATCATTAGCTCACTTTCGGAGGCGAATTATTATTTTTTGGGTCATATAAGCTGAAAGTAATTTTTATATAAATTTAATGTTATTAAAGCGTCATTCAAAAATGCAATTTAGTTAAATATACTTCAAGATTATAAAAAGGAAAACAGTATATTTATGTAGTATATTTAAAAGCAGAATAGCTACAAATTTTTTAAAAATACCATTAATAATTATCAGCATTATTTATTAATGAAAAATAATTCCAAAATTAAGCACAATAATTGGTATCAAATTTTATTGAAAAACATTTTTATAATTTTAAAAGGTTAACTCTCATGACAGTGATATTGACACAGTTTGTTTAGTTCCTAATTTTGTTGATAGAGATTAACATTTTTTTGGAGATTTAGTTAATATTTTGTAAAATAGAAAAGAAGTTACTGAGCTGTTTCCTATTAAGGAAGCTTCAGTACCTATCATAAAAATGAAATTTTCGGGTATACTTTTTGATCTTTCTTTTGCTAGAGCTCCTCCTTAATACAACGGGGAAAACATAGATTTGACTAGTAATTAAATGCTCCTTTCAATGGATGAGCGCTCATATCGCTCGTTTAATGGCTGCAGAGTTGCTGAATGGTTAATTAGAAAGGATAATATACAAAACTATGAGAATTTTAAGATAACTTTGAAATGTATTAAATTATGGGCAACAAACAGAGGAATTTATTCAAATATTATAGGTTATTTAAGTGGAATTGGATGGACAATACTTGTTGCAAAGATTTGCTAATTGTATCCAAATTATCCACCAAACCAGCTTATTGAGAGATTTTTTTTTCTATATTCCCATTGGAAATGGCACGATTTACCTGTATATGTGGAGCATATTCAAGAAGATGTTGCAAATACAAAGCTAAATGCAGATTAATGGAGACCTGAATTTCGAGATAGAAACAGCATGATGATTATTACTCCATGTTTTCCTTGCATGAATACTGCTCACAATGTCTCTCCCACAACTCTAAGAATTATACAAGAATAGCTTCAATATGGAAACAGAATAATAAACAAAATTAAAAAAAATGAAAAAACTTTCTCTGATTTGTTTAAGCCTTTCAATTTTTTCAAAAGATACAAACATTTTTTATAAATAAACATTGTGGCCACTAATAAAAATGATCATATTGTATGGAAGGGTCATGTTGAAAGTAGACTTAGAAAATTGACTAAATTGTTCGAGTAATCCATCCATAATAAACTAATACAAGTGCATCCATATCCCAATCCATTTGAATACTCTCCATTAGAATTAGAAGAAAAAGAAAAAAAAAGATAACTCAGCAGTAAAATAGCAGAAGATATAGTAGATGATGATGACGACGATGATGATGAAGATGACGATGAGGATAAAGAATTTGAATAAGAGGATTGCGATTATGAAGTAGGAGAGGAAATTTATTGTGGGGATGAATCCTTTATAAACTAATAGCTTGAAGATGATTGTTAGATAAATAAAGAAGGGGTAAGCAATAACTAAGCTGCTTGCAACTCATAAAACGAAAGCAGAACAAGTGGAGTCTAATAAGACAATTCTCAATAATAAAAAAGTAAGAGTTATACAAATTATTATAAAAAAAATTTAAGAAAAACTGATATTAATTTAAAAAAATAAATAAATTCTTTTATTTTGGCTAATTAATAAAATTTATTTAATGAATTTTATTATTAAAATAAATTAAAATATTTTTAAAAATAAAAACTGTAGATAAGTAAAAATAAAAAAGTAAATATAAGTACAGATGCACGTATTTTTATGGTATAAAGTGTATCTCAAAGGATAATTAGGAGTATAGTAGTGAAATAGATTTAAAAGATCCAATAATTAAATTCGTAGAGCAACTTGAAATGCCACCCATGAATAAAGTACCTGAAACGATGAATATTTATTTTAGACATGTGCTAAGAGATTAAATCAAGTTCAGATAAAAAGATATTTAGTAATTTTTAAGAAAGAAAAATCCAAGCAATCCTTCATAACTTCAAGAATAGTTAAAAGTTTTTCAAAATAAATAAAAGTAAAATAAATTTTAGAATCCAAATATACAAGTAAAACCTAAATGGGCTTAAATAAAGTATAAGAATTAGGTATAAAAAATTCCAGAATATCATTAGCAGCAATAATTATATTGAAAGCCGAAATTAATTTTTAATTTATTTTAAATCAAACATAAATTTATTTCAATTTTTTAAAAGTACTTTATATATCCAATTTTTTCTATGCGTAACATAAACAAATATTTTATTTTAATTAATTAATCAATTTATTATTATATTTAGTTGATATTACTTATTGTATTGTATTGTTATATATTAACTCACTTTAATTTGTTCACACATATTAGCTAGCTAAATTATCTTAAAATATAAAAATTAAAAAAGTTGATATAACTTTAATTTTAAATCTTTTAATCAATCAATAACTATTTTTAAAAAAATTTGTAAATAAATAAATTACTATTTAAAAAATAAATTATAATATATGTCTAAATATTTTAATAGGTATTAAAAATATAGTTTTTTTTTATATCTAAATATTTAATTTGTATTAAAAAAATAATTCATAAATTTTATTTTTTAAAAAAATATGTTTTACTACTTTTTAAAGATTTATTTCTACCTATTAAAAATATTTAAATTAATAGAATTTACAATTCTCTTTTAAGTTTTTATTTTAAAAATACATAAAAAATAAAATTGTTATTATTTTTCTTGTTTGATTAGGCATATATAAATATTAAACCCTTTCTTAGTGAAGTGCCTTAAAGCTCTTTAAATTTGGAAATTTTTTATAAAATGGATGGGATAAAGCAAGAATAAGTACGGCATTTAGATAAAAATCTCTTTTAATATTAGATTAAAATATTTCAATTAAGTTAATAAATAAATAAATTATTTTCTTATAAATTATTTATATAAAATTTGCTTAAAAATACTTTGAAGATTTTCTATTAGCTGATATGAATCAGTAAAATTATACGAAAATAAATAAATTGTTCTAATCAATTAGAACAGTAAAAATGAAAAAAAAAAAAATAGCAAAAAACACTTTTTATTTCATTTTGGAGATTTTTTTATTTGATGTAATTAATTAAATGTAAATTTTAGAAAAAGTATTTCATAATGATAGATTTCGTTCTGCTTTTGTTTATGTGTAAGGATTGAAATAAAGTAAAAAATAAATTGAATAACTGCATAAATTATTTTTTAAATTACATAAATCTATTTCTTAAAAATTTATTGAGTGTGTTCTAATAATATTTTCAAAATTTTAGAAATTATCTTTTGATTTGATTTTTTTCTAAGATATTCAATATATTTAACTGTTCAGGATTATTTATTTTTATAAAATAAATTAAAAATTTTTAGTAATGAAATATGTAACTCCTTACAGATATGCCTAATAAACAATATTTTAATGAAGTTATTCAGACTTCTTAGCTTTAAATTTGGTATCATCTTTCTTTATTTTTTCAAATTAGTTTATAAATTTTATAAATACTTTGGTACTTTTTGATAATATATTAAAAATGAGTATTTACAATAGTAAAAGAGATATCTAATAACTTGAGGCTCTTATTGAAATGAATTATTGTTCAAATTATTAGCTTTCTGATTTAAAATTTTATCCACTCATTCTTTAATTTTGAATTATTGATTTATATTGCATATTTAATTTTATTTTTAATGTCATCCATAATATTTTGACTTTGAAATTTGTCAATTAGTTGATTAATTTATGGAAATTATCTAGTTATTATTGATATGCTGCCAACAAATACTTATAATTTACAAATTTTTACATATTATTTTTTGATTGTATTAATTTGTATTTTTAATTAAAGAACTCATTTATATTTTATCAGAATCAACCAATTAAGCTTTTATCAGATTTAAAAAATTAATTAACAATAAAAGTTATAATGAAAGCATCATGAATTTTTCATTTCTAAATTCAACTAACAAATGGAAAACTTCTTTTATAAAACAAATTGTACGTAGTTTATGGTGAAGTACATTTATGATTCATAGATAATTTACTGTTATTTAAAGAGAAAAAATTACATAATAGGACTAATTCTTGATTTTTTTTAAACTTAATTTTTCATATTAAAAAGATTCACGGTATCTAGTATTACTATAAATTTGTTATTCACTGAAAGGTGGTGGCTAGGATATTTTTATCTAAAATTCTCTTCTGCATTTGCTCTTTAAATAGTTGAACTGCATCAATTTTTTTATAAAAATACTTTAAATTCTATTTATAAAATTAGCACTAAGCAAAAAATTTTCAGAAATCGAGCCATTCTAAACATTGAAAGACAGACAAACGACTACCAAAAATGCTTCCTGTTTATTTATGTCTTTAGTAGTTCTTAAATGCTAGCAAGACTATTGAAGAATTTCCTAACATTCCTGAGTCATCAAAATCCCTATTAAAGAAATACTTGACAAAGGATGTTTATAACAAACTTAAAACTGCAAAAGATGCTAATGGATTTACTCTTTAGTAACTTATTTCCTCTGGATTAGCTAACCCTGATTCATCTATTGGTGTTTATGCAGGCTCAACTGATTCTTATGTAATAAAATTGATTTTTTATAAATTTTAAAATAATTTTTCTTTTATTCAATATTTTAGAAAGTATTTGCTCCTCTATTAAACTAAATTATAAGCGATTATCATCAGTATGATGTTAACTCAAAGCACACATCTTCATGGGATATAAGCTCTTACAATTTTGAAGAGTTTAATTCAAAGCACAAAGGAGATTATGTAATATCAACCCGTGTGAGAATTGCTAGAAATCTTGCTAAGTTCCCTCTAGGTACCAATATTACAAAAGAATAAAGACAAGAAATTGAAAATTTAGCCATCTAGGCTTTCAACTCCTTTGAAGGCGAGCTTAAAGGTACATATTATCCTCTTGGAAAACTCACAGAGTAAGAAAAGAAATAGCTTAAAGAAGATCATTTCCTTTTCAAGGAAGGAGATCGTTTCCTTAAAGCATGTGGATGTGAACGTGACTGGTAAATAAATTTTGTTAAATTATATTTTTGTTCTCGGTAGAACAAATATTAAGAATAAAATGCAATAAAAATGTTTTATTGATTAATACAACAAGTAATTATCTGTAGAATTAGGAATAAGCTCATTAATTTTTTGACATTAACAAAAAAAAATAAATATCTGTGATGAAAATAAGATTTAAATTTAATTAAAAAATAAAATCAGAAGATTTATTTTTTTTTATTTGATGCTCTTTTAATAACTTACAATAATTCAAATCTTTTTCTAAAAATAGATATTTTTATTTCTTAAATTATACACCACAAATTTATTTTAATTAGGCCTGACGCAAGAGGAATTTTTATCAATCCTTCAAAAACCTTCTTAGTTTGGGTGAATGAAGAGGATTAGTTTAGAATTATTTCTATGTAGAATGGAGGTGATCTCAAGCAAGTTTTCGAAAGATTAGCAAAGGCTCATGAAATCATCAACAAAGTTGCGTAATTTTCAATCACTGAAAACCTCGGAGCAATTACAACTTGCCCAACTAAGTAACTTAAAAATATATTATGAATCTAAAATTGACTTTTCATCTGTTTATAAAGTTTGGGTACTGGTATGAGAGCATCGGTTCATGTGAAATTACCTCTTCTTTCATCTGATGAAAAAAGATTCAAGTAAATTGCTTCTAAGCACCATTTAGATATTAGAGGTATTGATGGTGAGCATTCAGAATCAAAGGGAGGTAGGAACTAATTTTTTTAAAATTATATATTTAACATGTAAAAAATTAATATTTCCTAACAGGTATTTTTGATGTTTCAAACAAGAGAAGATTAGGCTACAGTGAAGCTTAATTAGCTCTAGATATGTACAATGGAGTGAATGAACTTATTGAAGTAGAAAAGAAGTTACAGTTAGAAGTTTATCCTAGCTTTCCCTAGTCTTCTAAGTCTCTTTTAAAGAAATACCTTAGCAGATAATTATTTGATCAATTAAAGCATGTGTAAGATAATACAGGATATACCTTACAATAATTAATATCTTCTGGAGTTGCAAATCCAGACTCTTCCATTGGTGTTTATGCAGGTTCAACTGACTCTTATGTAAATTCAATAGTTTATAAAATGATAAATTAATTGCTTGTTTAATAAATAGAAAGTATTTGCTCCCTTGCTTGATAAAATAATCGAAGAATATCATAGTTATGGTGTTAATGGAAAGCATATCTAAAGCTGGGATATAAATGCATACAATTTTGAAGACTTTAATATTAAGCATGGTAGCAACTATGTTGTTTCTACCCGTGTTAGAATTGCTAGAAATTTAGCTAAATTCCCTCTAGGTACCAACATTTCTAGAGAAGAAAGAAGAGAAGTAGAAAGACTTGCTATGAAGGCATTTGATAGCTTTGAAGGAGAGCTCTAAGGCACATACTATTAATTAGGTAAACTTACAGATGCTGAAAAGAAGCAACTTAAAGAAGATCATTTCCTCTTCAAAGAAGGTGATAGATTCTTGAAATCATGTGGCTGTGAACGTGACTGGTAAATATTTAGTTTAGTTTATTATTAAGATTCTTAATCGTGTGATTTAAAATTAACACAGCGCAGAGTAATATTGTGTTAATAAAATTTATCTACCCTTCATTTTAATTAAAATTTAAATGATTACCGACAAAATATGATCTATTATTAAAACTAAAATTAAGGCATGATTTATTTAATTTAAATTTTCAAATAATTATAGGCCTGAGTCAAGAGGTATCTTCCATAACCCTTAAAAGACTTTCTTAGTATGGGTAAATGAAGAAGATCAATTTAGAATAATCTCAATGTAAAATGGAGGTAACTTAAGAGAAGTTTTCTAAAGATTAGCTACTGCTCATGAAATAATTAATAAAGTTGCTGAATTTGCTATTACTGAACATCTTGGAGCTATTACCACTTGCCCCACTAAGTAATTTTATTAATAAAAAATAAATAAAAAAATAATTTTTACTGATATTGCAGCTTAGGTACAGGTATGAGAGCTTCAGTTCATGTTAAATTACCCCTATTATCATCAGATGAAAAGAGATTTAAGGCTATTGCTGAGTAGCATCATTTAGATATAAGAGGAATAGATGGTGAACATTCTGAATCTAAAGGAGGTAAATTTTTTTTTAATTAAATAGGTCAAGCAGTACTGAATAGTTAATATAAAAAATATTAAATAGGTGTTTTTGATGTTTCAAATAAAAGAAGATTAGGATACAGTGAAGCTCAATTAGCTCTTGATATGTATAATGGTGTCAATGCTTTAATCGAAGTTGAAAAAAGTCTTCAAGAAAAATAATAAAGTTGAGAAAAATAAACAAATAATAGATAAATATAAAAAATATAATTAGTTAATTTAAATTATTTTATTATAGATAAATGTTGTATTTATTACAGTTTATAATGGTAAAATTAATTATCAAATATTATGAAAATATAATTTAAAGACTTTTAATTGATAATACATTTGATTTTCTAAGGAATTTTATAGAAATTAAGTCACTCAGTAAATTGTGGCAATTACTTCAAATTCATGCTAATTAGTTTCTTAATAATTTATTTATTCTGATAAATTACAAATTACAAAAATTTCAATTTGAATCTAAATTTATTGAATTAATTAAATCCATAAATTTATCAAAATACATTGATAAATAATGATAATGTGAGATCTTCCTAAATTTCAAAAAATTCTTTTTATAAAATTCACTAATTTACAAATTAAGTTGAGCAATATCTTAAATCAATATTTTTTATTTGTTTTACTTTTATATAGTGTTGACATAGTTAGCTTTTTATAAATAGCTATTAAAACCCATAAAAAATTGTAACCTAAAGGTGCAAATTTAAAATTAAATATTTTTTATTGTTTTTAACTAATTAATTATTTTTTTTTAATTTTAATGATTTTTTTAATAAATCAGCCACTATTTAATTTCTAAATAAAAAATTAATAAATTGATATACATACTATCATATAATCTTTGTTACCATTCACTCATATTTCCTGTTTTAAATTTCACCTAAATAAATCTTACTTTCTATGGTAATGTTAAAATCAAAATAACATTTATTATTTTTAATCTGAAAAACTTAGAATTAAGTAAAATATTTATTTTATATTTTTAAAATGGGCTGTAACAATTCAAGATAGGGAGAAACACATAATCCAAATACTAACACTTAGAAACCTAGATTATAAAAAAAACCAGAATTCTAAAATGGATGCAAATCCCTGCTTTCAAAGTACCTAACAGATGATGTCTTTTAATAGTTAAATGGGGTTTCAGATAAATTTGGCTATTCGCTTGCTGAATTGATAAATTCTGGAGTAGTAAATTAAAATTCATCTATCGGAGTATATGCTGGTTCCCCTGATAGCTACGTATTTTATCTTTTATTCTATTTTAGTTTTATTTAAACATTACTTTTATAATTAATATTTTGAAAAGAAAATTATAAAAAAAATATTTTTATGCTTTTAACATAGAGTTATTTGTTTGTTAAATTCAATATTTATTTTTTTTAAACTGATAATTTTTAAATAAAATTAGAGTACCTTTGCCCCTTTACTTAACTAAATAATTTAAGAATATCATGGGTATGATCCAGCTGATTTGCATAAATCTGATTGGGATGTATCAAAATGCAACTTTGAACCTCTAGATGATAAATATTGTATGTCAACACGTATTAGATTTGCAAGAAACTTAGCCGATTTCCCTTTAGGTACCAAAATAACTAAAGAATAACGTAGATAAGTTGAAAGTCTTGCCAAAGAAGCTTTCTAAAAGTTTGAAGGAGAATTATTAGGAACCTATCATTCTTTAGCAAACATGGATAAATAAACACAAAAGTAGTTAATTGAAGAACATTATTTATTTAAAGAAGGAGATAAATATCTTGAGGCAGCTGGGTTAAACAGAGATTGGTAATTATTAATTTTCAATAAGTTTTAATATTTAAATCAACCAAAATAAAAATTTAATCTAAATATATTTAAAAAAGGCCTGATGGCAGAGGAATATTTATTAATCATTCAAAAACCTTTTTAATTTGGGTTAATGAAGAAGACTAATTTAGAGTTATATCTATGTAAAAAGGAGGTGATATAAAAGCAGTTTTTGGTAGATTATCAAATGCTCACACAATAATAAATAAAGTAGCAAAATTTGCTTATAATGACCATTTAGGAGCAATATCAACGTAATCTAATGATTTTTCTAATTTAAATATTTTAATAACTTTTTTATTAGATGCCCAACTAATATCGGCACAGGTTTGAGAGCTTCTATCCATGTTAAGCTCCCTTTACTATCTAAAGATATGGAGACATTTGAAAAAATTGCAGAAAAAAATCATGTATAAATTAGAGGTATTCATGGTGAGCATTCAGAATCAGAAGGAGGCATATTTGATATATCTAATAAAAGGAGAATAGGTTTTTCAGAGGTTGAGCTGGTTCATGATATGTTTAATGGTGTTAAAGGTATTTAAAATATAAAATAAACATTCCTTAAATTAATTTTTATAAAAGAAATGATAGAAAAAGAAAAAGAATTGGAGAAGCATGCTATTCAAAGTTGATTTAAATTGTTAAATATACCATAATTCCTCAACCTAATTTCTAAACTAAAATACCTAAGACTGAATTTTTTAATGATTTAAAAAAAGAGAAATTTCCAATTTTTAGTTTTTCACTTAAGGCTTTATTCATGAGGAATTATGGTAAAAATAATTAATAATATATATGCCTCTGTTTAAGATATTTCATATTTTTTTCAAATATAATTACTTATAGAATATATTTTATTTCAGTGTAAATATTATAAAAATTATTTTTTTAATTAAATTATTTACAATTACTTGAAAATTTTGAGTTTATTGTATCAAAATAAATTTATCAGATTTTTAAATATTAAATTTTATGTGAAGTTTTATTAAGCAAAAATTATTAATTTACAGATAGAACAAAAATTAAATTTTGATTTAATTTAAAAAGTATTTTTATTTATATATTTTCTTTAGTATTTTATTTAATTATTTGTTTAAATTTATTATGGAAATTATCATAAGTTCTTTCTTTATTTGAAAGCATTTTGTAGGAGTAAATCACATTTTTTAAAATGTAAATTTTGGAGTCTCTAAAATATTTACTAATTTTTATCCTTAAGAGCTCCTTCTTTTTTAAAAAGTTTATGTATTTAATTCTACTTCATTATTTCTGTGTATTTTAACTCTTTATAGATCGCACTATAACTCATTTTATTAAACAGTTGATACATTAAATAGATCTTCATTTGAATTTTATCCTAATGTTATCTATTCTTGATCATAGCATTCAGCATTATTAAATTATTCTTAAATTTATTTGTTTATCAATTTAGATTTTCTTCTGCTACCTCCATCAGTGTTATAAATCATCTTTTTGTGTTTAAATATTTCATTTGTAGTTTTATTTTCTAACTAGTTTACATCTTTACTACTTTAGCATTCAATTTAAGAATTAGTTTAACTGTTAGATGATTAATTTAAATGAAAAGAGCTAGATTTATACATACCAAAATTTGGTAGAGTAAATTCATCGTTTTCATGTTTAGATTCCTCTTAAGCTTGCTCTTCAGGTTCAGGTTCAAATCCTATATAATTTTCTGGCGAATCATATTCTCTTTACTAAATTAATTTCAATAAATAGTATTCATCTTTACATTGATCGATTGATTCCTCTTATTCAATTTAATCTTAAATATTGTTTTTATTACTCTTATTACCTTATTTTAAGCAACTTTTGATTGTTGAAGTTGTCTACATCACAGAATTAACTTATACAGGTTTTTGTAATTTAATCTTAAAATCCTATGATTACTTTTGCTATTCAGATATAATTAGCTTATCAGTAAATTTTGATTCAGATTAATCTTCATTTTGATAGTCTTATATTTATTAATTTACATTTTGTTGCTAGATCTAATCCTTATTGCACTACTGTAACTTTATTAAGGAATTTTATCTTGTATCTACTTTTCTTTGAAGGTTAGTTAAAATCTCTTTTCTGATTGAATTTTCTTAAAGCTGATTTCCTAATGACTTTCTCTCTGAATTTTACTAGTTTTAATTTTGTAAAGAGTTTAATAGATTTTGTTATACAGATGTTAGTTTGCTTACAATAGATCCTTTAACAATTTTAGAAATCTAGGTTTTATTTTTTAGTAATTCTTTTTAAATCTAGCTTTAAGTTGCTAACTAGTGAGGGTTCATTTAGTTATTTGAATATTTTGCTGATTAAACCCTTTATTGAACAACTATTTTTTACATTTTTTATTGCTAAACCTATTTATTTAGTTCTAATCCTATTTATTTTAAACTATTTTTAACATTTTAATTTTGTTATCCAATCATAATTAATTTTTGAGAATTTGATACAGATTCATTAAAATTTTAAGTTTACTAACTATTTGAAATAGGGCCTACTTAAAGTGATCCATCTTTTGAGATAGATAACACCATTTACTCATTAGTATAATGATTTAGTTCTTCTTGTTCTAATTAATTTTTATAATTCTAATTAATGGCACTTTTGTTTGGTGTAAGCATTCGTTAGTCTGCATTTTATATTTAAGATTTGTTATTTTAAAAGGCCTAAATAAAGCTATATTTTGAATTCATCGATATTTTTTTGCCTCTTAAACCTGAAGATTATGGGCGCTCTAGTCTATAAGGTTAAGGTGATTAGAATCCTAAAGTTGAAGAACATCTTTGTAATGCGATTCTACTTAACTATTACGGAGATGAGTAAATAACATGTTTATCATTATTTTTTTATTTTAAGTATTAATCTGAATTTATATGGTTCTAATTATTTTGAAATAAAGTATAGTTTTAGTTTTTGCTCTCCAAATTGAATAAGTTGCTATCGTTTTAATCTTGTTTTTACATCAATTATGAAAAACTTAGTCGTTAGTTTTGCTAATTTTTCATTTTATTGGGCATCGAAAAAGGGGAATTTTAATTAGAAGTATTAGGAGAACAATTTTATATTAAGGATGGTTAAGACTAAGTTCGAGTCATATATTTTTTATGCTTTTTTCTCAAATTTTCAGCATAGCTTTTACTTTTTTCTAATAAATTTGGTGATATTCCCATTTACAAAAATGCTACTTAATTATTACTTTAATTCTACGAGCCACTGTTATTTAAGCTTTAAGATACTAACTAATTTTTATTACTTTAATGAGTATTTTTGCCTGATTATACATAGTTTGCTGTTTAAATTTCTTGTAAGCTTTATATGCTTTTAATATATTATTAATTTATTTAAAATTCATTTTTCTAAATATTTCTATTGAGTTTTTATTGAGAAATATTGATAGAATTGTTATTCAATCCTTAATTTTATTTTAAATTTTAATCGACATGATCTATTTTTGTTAAAGTATGCTTTAGATCAGATAGAGTTTATATCTATTAATTTTAAGATTATTATATTTTTTAATTCTTGAATAAATTAAATCCAGGTTGTAAATTTACATCTTACTTTTATAATTTTGAAAAATCACTATCATTATTTAAGCTTGTTTTTACAATTTTTTTTTCTTCAGAGTTTTACTAAGCTATTTAATCACGAAAAGAGTCAATATTAAAAGTGAAGATATCAATCTTATTTGAGTGTTGATATAATTTTTTTTTACCTTCCTCTATGGCTAATAAATTAGATTATTTTTATATCCTCTTTGAGCCTTCTGACAATATTCTTAAATCATAATGATCATCAAAGCTTTCACTACTCGTAGGTAAAAAGCTAGATCTAACAGGATCAGTGTCATTTTTAAACTATCTTTCACTACTCAATTAATTAGAAAACTGCGTATGTTATTAAGAAATCAATTTGTTAGAATTAGTACTATCATGCGAATCTTTAAATTAAATGATTGGAGATTGCTGCTCATGAAAATTTTATTGCTAAGATTAAATCTAATTTTGAATGAGAAAGTCTAGTTATTTCTTATAGCTTTAACTCTTATACTGCTCATATTCATTTTAACAAGCCTATTTTTATGGAGAGACCTCAGTTTTATTTTTCAAATTTTATAATTCATGTTTCTGTTAATTAGCACCTACTTAAAGTTACACCTAATGATTTATAGGAATGCTTTTCTCTCCTTAAATTTTATCTATATAAAAATTATTTATTGTTTATATTAATAGTTTATTAAAAAAATGAAAATAAATAAATCATCATAATATAATTAGTATCAATTCAGTCATTTTATAATTTGGTTTTAGTAAGGAACATTATTATAAAAGAAAATGACTTTATAGAAGGTTTTAATAAAAGAAGATTTACATTAATAAATATTACTAAAGAAAATGAAAAAATAAATTAATTACCTTTTTACTAAATAAAGAGCTATTATTAGTTAATTAGCAACTTTTAATTATTTATTAATTCTATAAAACTCCCTCTTTAAATCTTATTTTTGCTAACAAATAGACTGTTATTTGTTTATTAATCCTTCTATTGAGTAGGAGAAGATGCGTTTGATTAAGTGACTAACTTATTTTTTTATTGGTTACTGTTTGTAGTATTTTTTTAATCTGAATAATGTGTAGATTACTTCCTGATCAATTCTTTTACCTCTTTTTACAAAAAAATTTCAAAATTACTTCTGGTTCTAGCTTTCCTTGAACTATTAAACTAGCCAGATGAATATTCTTTTGATTATTATGCCTCCTTTTATTAACTTAAATTCTCTATATACATTCCAAAATTTTCACAACTTCCTACAGACTATTTATTTAACCTTTCTTGTGACTGGCTCTTTATTTAAGATCTTATTGGTGAATTATTTGGAGATTGTTCTTTCACTTGCTTCATATAATAAATTGAATCTTATTTTTGTTGAATTTTTTTGAGAGCTTAAGTAATAATTTATCTATTTTTTTGCGTGCCTTAAAATATTTTTTAGTACAAATCATTTTTTATATATCCTATGATACTGTCTTCTTCAATAAATACGCTTGCAGGTTTTTCATAAAATTTCTTATCAAAGACTTCTCCATCACCTTTTTAAACATAATATTTAATTTGATTTTAACATATGTGTTATAATAATTATAAATTCTTTTAGAAAAATTATAAAGGAATTTGTTTAATATAATTTTTATACAATCTCAAAAGCGAGAAGAAAGAAAGGATAAATGTATATTTGTCAGAATACTAATTTAAGCTATAGTAAATTACCTGCATATTTCAGAAATTTAAAACTTAATATTTATGGATGCTGCTGATAGTAGCTTGAAGAAAATTTTTAAAAAATGTGATCATACTTGATAGAGGAGATTTTGCTAATAGCATCTTCTACCTCTTATTTTTTGAATTATGCTTAGCGAATTTTTTCTCTATTTTCTTTTGTAGATGGTTAAAGCTCTAAATCTTGTAATTCAGTTTCTAATGCTTACTTCTATTTTAGTAAGTTCATTTCCTATATAATTTCTTGATTCATTTTTGGAATATAAATTGAAACCTTTCCTTTTAGTATAATGTACCAATCATTTGATTCTTTAGCATCGTAATGAAAAAGGAAAGTGTTTTTGCTATATTATTTTATGATTAAATCATTAGCCAGTTGATTTAAAATTGAGCTAATATCATAATCCTCTTCCAGTTCCTAAAAATAATTCTAACATTTTAAAAATTGCTTTAGCAAATGCTTATTAGTAAACTGAATATCTGTAGACTTCATTTGATACCCTTGCTAAAAAAATAAAGAGTTTCTTTAGTATTTTCTTTTTAGTAATTTAATAAAGAGTAAAAAATATATATTCTTTTTACTCTTTTTTTTGATTGATTTTAACTTTATTAAAAATTTGTAAATCAATTTTTAGATAGAGATGAGATTAGCTATTAACTGTATATCATAAATATCTAAAATGACTCTCTACTCTTATTTACTCATTTATTAAATTGACTTCTATTTTAAAAGGTATTGCACTTATGTTATATTCAATCTATAATTATGTAATCTCATTAAATACTCTTTTTAGTTACAGAAGAAAAATTTCTATCCTCATAGAAAAAATGCAATAATAAAAAAATATTGTCCATTCACGTGCTTTACTTCTAAATTTTATTTCACTATATTTCAAAAAGCTGTATAAGTTATAAAATAATTAATTTTATCAACTTTTTACCAAATTTTTGTTTTTCTATAAGAAAATTTTTAAATATTTTATATTGTAATTATTAAATAAAAATTCGAGTGACAATTACAATTTTAAATGATGTAAACTAAATAATTAGAATTACAGCCATAAATTTTAAAATTAAAATTTAATAATTAAAAATCAAGCTTCAAAATAATCAATCATAAATGCAGTAAGTAACAATTTTTTTAAACAATCATTTTTACCACAAATATTATTTGATACAGTCATTCTTCTTTCATCAAAATTTAAACAATAAACATTTACAAATAAAAATTATATTTATTGAACTTGGTATCATTTTTTTAAATAAAATTATATTGGCAAATTAATTATGGAAAGTTTTATTTAAAGGTTAATTCAAATAGAATTAGAGTATTGGATAATCTCTTTAAATTATTAAAAGCAAATTTATAGTTTTATAAATTATCTTAAAAAAGTTAACAAAAAATAATATTAATAATAAATGTTATAATAGATTTTTACAAAAATAATAAGATATTTAAAAATAAAATTATATTTACGGATGTCAAATTTGACATTATTTATATTAAACGATACTAAAATATTTTACAAAATATTATTTAAAATACTTCAGTTTTGTAAATATCAAAAGATCTATTTTTTTGAAGTAATAAAAGTAATTTTTACAATTTCAAAAATTATATTAAAAAGTTAAACTAAGATATTGAAACTCCATGGACATACCCAAGATGAGGAGCTAAGGGCACGATTTTTTATTTATTTTTAAAATCTCCAAAAATATAAAAATTCCTCTAAAAAAATTTTTTAAAATGGTCTAATTGGTGTGACAGGTAGTTATTATTTATAAAAATTATGATTAGTAATTTATTATTTTTAATGACCAGTTATGTATTTATTATCCTTGAAAATATAAATTTAATAATTATAACATTTCTTTTTGAGTAATAATCATCAAAAAAGTGGCAATATTACAAGCTGAATGTAGTGAGACTCATAAAATTTGAAAAATTTTTGTAAAACTATTGATTTTTATTTTATTGCATAAAATTTGTTCCATTCAGAATAAATTTATCTCTTTTATTTAAAAATTGATGCTTTTAGTTTCTTATTTGTTCTTTTCATTCCTCTCCTGATTTATTTATTTTAAAAATACAAAATATTTTTTAAATTCCTTCCTATCGGCTTCAGATTTTTAGTTGACTTTTAGGAGTAAAGTTTTTATGGAAATAATAAGTAAACATTTAATTCTTAAATAAATACAAACATAAATTTAGAATTTCAAATCAGCTTTCGAGAATAATATTTTGTTTGAAATATAAATTTAGGTTAGGTTTGATTCCTAACTAAATATCTTTTAGCTATAGAATTAGAGCATCCCTTTCTGATTATATTTAGATAGTTTTGTCTCGTAAATCTTCTATTTAGTTTCTTATGTTCTTTAAATATTCATATAATTCTGTTTTGGATTAAAATAAATATTATTATATTTTTTAGCTTTAAAGGAATTGCACTCTTAGCTGCTTACACTTTTTTTAAAGAATTTCTATTTAAAATGTAAATTTTTGTTTTATTTAATTAATTTGTTTTTCCTATAGCTCTTCAATTTTTGTAACAAAAACTTCTTTCACGTAAGTTGTCAAATCATCTAAGTTATCATTTTCATTTGTTTGCTTATCATGATAAAACCTCTATTTTATAACTTCAATCAACTACCAAATATTATCTGTTAGAGCTCTATGAACATTTTCTGATTCAGTTTAAATAATATCAGTTATCATTCCCATATCTTATGCATTCTTTAGTTTTTCTTCAAGCTCCTACTCTTCTCTTTCTCTTTCTTTTTTTTCTTCGTCTTTGTTAAAATCATCAAATTTCTCCTAAAGAATTTAATTAATGATAAATTCATCTTTCTGTTAGCTGAACTTTTCAGCTATTTAATTATTTTATTTATCCTTCTTAGATTATTTTAGTTTTTTATTTAGTTTTGGGTTTGATCGATTTTAATTTTTTTCAAAATTAGAATTATCCAAATTTTAAAAAGTTTCATTTTATTCATCTTCATTCCCATCTTCATCGTCATCATCGTTCTAACTTTAATCATCCTAATCATTAAATGAATTTTGAGTAAATTTATAATCTTGAAAGAAATTATCATTATGATCTTTCTACTCATTATTATTCTCTTTACCACTGCTGTTAAGTATAGATGCCCTTACAGCTGAATCAAATTTTCCTACTTAATTTTTTTACTCATATTTTTTGTCAAAGCTGAAGAGAAAAGAATATCTATGCTTATCTCCTTAATTGATTTATCCATTTTTATTATTTATTATTATATTCCCACTTCTACCAGATTGCTACTCCTTTTACTAATTTGAGGCTTATTATGAAGAGGCATCTAAATTTTTAAAATTGTCAAAAATTTTATCTCTTTTTTTCGTTTCATATATTAGCATATCTTTACATTTCTAGGCAATAAATTAAGATAAGTTGATAGCGATTTCAAAAAATGACTGTTATTTTTTTTAATTTTCACTGATTTAACTTAGTTTTTCCTTTTTTTTCATTTAAAGATACAACTCATACTACTTCTCAGCAGTAATATTTTTAACTTTTTCTTCATATTCCAATTAATTTTTTATATATTCACTCAATTTAAGCATATTATTTTAATTGCAATATTGAATTGTTTTACAGTATTTTCCTAAAAGATTAAAGGTTGAAGAAAAAGGTGTGATTTCTGTATTAAGCAAATGAATAATTTTTATGGCTAAGTCAAAACAATATTCTCTACTCTTAGTCTTTTCTTACCATTAGTGGTCATCACTATTTTATTTACTAAGCTCGTTTTCTAAATTTTAGCAATAGTGGTTTATAGCTGCACGAAATGATTTCCTGATTTTAATATTGTAAAAATCATCTTCTTCTGTCAATTAATTCTACTATTTATAAAACTTTTCTTAAGACTTCCAACAAGTAGAGTTTTCTTATGTATTAGCTTTTTTTACACTTCCTTAAAAATCATGATAATAAGTGCTTCTACCCACAGAATTTAAGTTCTACAATTTACTAATATTTAACTTTTATTATGCGGATAATTCAGTGTCATTTGAGCATTTTGCTAGTTAATTATTAAATTTATCTTAAATCTTTTGAATGATGTCTTAATTTAGGGATTATTCATTTTGTTTTATTTTATCATAAGATCTATTTTATTTCATGCCAGATGATTTACTAAAAAAGTTAAATATTTTATTTCTATAATTTTGAGGGCTAGATGCTCCGCTTTAAAAGCTATCATTACGATAAAGCTGATTACCCAATGAATTTTCTTTCATCAAATAATTATACTTAACTCTTTCTTCCTGTTGATACATTTAAAGATGCGCTCTAAAAGGGCTAAGTTCTTCATTTTTCTGCTATTAAATCCCTTTTAATTAGTATTAGTAAAATGTAAGAAAGATAGAAAGATTTATTGAAAAACATTTTTTTAAATACCAGGAGAATTAGGCCTATTATTAAACTTTTTGTCAGTTTTTATTTATTTCATTAAGATAAAGGTGAGATCTATAAATAAATAAGAAGTAGTCTTAAAAAGCAATATTTATTTTTTATAAAGGAAATATAAATTAAAAATTTAGGTAAATCTACTATTTTAATAATTTTATAATTAATTAATTACCATAGAATTTTAATTCCTTTATTATATTGCAAATTATTAATGTTAAAATTTTTATTAACTCAGCCATTAAAAAAAAAGAAAATAATTTTCTTATTTATTTATTTTAAATTTATTCTTTAACAATAAACAACATTTGAATATAATTTTAATAATTAAAAATATTTTATTGGATTGTTTATTAGTTTAAAAAATATTTTGGTATTTTATGAAAAATTAAAATTTAATTTAAAAAATAAAGAAAGAATTAGAATAATTATTCAAAAGAAAGTAGCTTTACTTTTTATTTTTATAAAAGAAATTGCCATTTAATTGAATTGAAAGATGAAGAGTTATTATTCTTATGAAAAGATGTAAACTGATAGATTATAAAATAATTTGTAGTTCTATGCAGAATTAATAAATTGAATTTGAAGAACATAGGAATAAAGAGTTAATCTTTTAATTTAAAAATAAATTATATCCCCTTCAATAATTGAATTGAAATGTGATGAATCATTTTTCTTATGAATAGAAAAAATATCCTAGATTTAAAAATATTTTGCTATTTTAAGCAGAATTAAAATTATATTCAAGTTGAAAGAACAATTATGGGATATAGTATATCTTTTACCTTTTAAATATATTAAAATATGATGAATTATTATTCTTATTCATAGAAAAATTATAACTAGATTAAAATATATCTTGTAAATTTTAGCAGAATTTAAATTAAAATTGAAAATTTAATTTTATATTGAGAATTAAAATAACATAGAAAATTAGCTTGCGAGTAAAGCTTTATAAAAGAAATTATTTACTTTTTAATTGAATTGAAATATGATAAATTACGGTAACATTCAAAGATTAAAAGCAGGATTAATTTAAAAAGATATAATAATTAAATTCATAAAAAAAATAAATAAAAATAAAAATGATTCTAGGCTATTGGGAAATACCAGGAAAGTGCTAAGCTATCAGATTTCTTTTAGAAATTTTGAAGGTTGAATACACCGAAAAGAGATATACTTTTAAAAATTCAAGAGAATGGTTTGAAGAAGATAAGTTGAAAATTGGATTAGATTTCCCTAATCTGCCTTATTTTATAGATGGAAACATCAAGTTATCTGAAAGCAATTCTATAGTAACCTACATTCTTGATAAATATAGCAAATAAGAATGGAAAGGTAAAAACGAAGACATATATAAAGTTGACGAACTACGATTCCTTTTTACAGATTTGTAGAGCTTAGGATATTTATCAAGCAAAGGAGACTAAGATGCTTTTAAAAATTATTTAAAAAAACTAGATTTTGTTTATTAATTTATTAAAGGTGAAAGTAAATTTTTGCTAGGATATTTTACAATAGCTGATTTATATTCATGGGAATGTATAACAAGACTTAAAGTTTAATGGCCAGAATATTATTAAAAGTATTCTGATAAATTTGATCAACTCATTTAAAATATTGAGAATATTCCTGAGTTATATTCATACATATAGTCTGATAGATGTCTTAAAATTTAACCTCTAAAAAAATGAAATAAAATATGAATAAAACATAATAAAATTAAAAAGTATTTATAATTTAATTAATAAAATTTAAAACAAAATTATTTGAAATTGAATAAAAAATAATCCTAAAATCTATCGGTATGTAACAATCTATATAAAATTAAAATAATTAACTCATAAATATATTTTGGTTTAATATCATTTTTTTGTACAGACCATTTTTAAATAAATAATTCTCATTTAATATTTTCTTTTTTATAAATTCTTAAAATTGACTCTATTTTTTATATTTGTTAAGGGTAGTTAGATGAATTATGAAGCAAAAATAATTTTTATGGTTTTTATCTAAACATGTTATGCTTAGTTGAGGTAAAAGAATTTTAGTTATATAAAGAGGGATTCCTTTCTTAGCTAGAAGGTGAATTTGTGTATTAATTAGCTGTATTATGAGATATTTAGTTTTATATTTCATCAAAGTTAGGATAAAAACTGTAAGCTGTTGAGGATTGCATTTAACTACTTTAATCTTATCCTAAGCTTTATCTTTTATGGAGTGTTTATCTATTGCTACTTTTTTTATATTAAGATTGTGATTCTACACTTCCTTTATGGGTTTAAGAATTAGATAAGTCACTACTGCTATCACAGTAATTGAGTAAAGATTTCTTAATCCTGATTAATTTGTCTTCCTTTGTTTCTTTAATGTTTGAATTTTTTGGCTTTTGCTAATAAATAAAAAAAATGTTATATTTGATAAAGAAAAATAAATTTAAAAATATTATTACTCTTGCTCTACATTTTATTAACTGCTTTATAATTTTTTCTTGGTTGTATTTTGAATCCTATTCTCCATTATCATTATATTCTTACAAGCATATAGGGTTTATATTTGTTTTCTTTTTGATAGTGTAATTATTTTATTTATTAACTGGTTTTGTAATGTTTCTATTCATTTCAACAAAATTTTATATTTTAGGAGAATTAGATAACTAGATATGCTTTTGTATAAGTGGTTAATTATATGATTCTGTAGATTAACAAAATGAACTTTGTAAATTCAAGTTTTTATCATCTTATTCTTTTATTGATTAATTTTATATGCTCTATTCAGTTTTACTTAGAAGAGATGATTTTGGTTTTTTATCAAGATTAAGATTTAAGTTATACATGTAAAAGTTTTTTTCTTAATAACTATCATTTTTCAAGAGAATAGGTGAAATGGGAATTGATAAATTATCTTTTTCATTTTATTGTTGATTTTTTTAAAGTGAATTAGTTTAATTTGCTGTAATCAAGCAATCTGCACTATGCTTTTAAGAATTTATTGACCATCTAAATCTAGCATCTCTTTTAATATGTGATTATTCTATTGGAGGGGTAGATTTTAATTTGATTTGTTGTGAATTAGAAAGTATAGGCGATTAATTTATTTTTAAATTACAGTTTTTTCTGTTGAATTGCATATAATTTTATGTGATATTTGGATTGCTTTAGCTTCTAATAATATTATGCTTGCCTTCAGCTATTAAATTTTATTAATCATATTAAAAAGCATATTTTGATTCAAAGTTATTTTAACCATTTAAATTTGTATTAATTGAGTGAAATGATTAAAATATATCATCATTATTTGTATTGATGCTTTAAAGGTGATCTAATCTTTAACCATCTGATTGTTTATCAGTGAAATTATCTTTTTCTTGCATTTTACTGATATTCTTAACATATTGATTTTATGTTTGAAAGCTCTTCTATTAATCCTATTCATGTTATTTTCTAAAAGTTTCTTAGGTTGATTAAAAAGTTTCTCTTTTACAATCTATTTTCATAAAAACATTAATTTTAAGTAAAATAAAATGTTCTTTTAATCTTCATAGTTTAGAAAGCAACAAAAATTAATTTAAAAAAATTAAAATAATACCTTTTTTTATTGAATTGATATTGTAAAAGTTCAATATTTCTTCGTTAGACTTGAAAAAGTACTCTATCTTATTTACATTATCTGTTGTTGGTTTTTAATGTTAATTGAGTTTTAGCTAGCTATCTACTTTCAAAGAACTAGAATGAGCTTTCATATTTTTAATATTTTTTTCTCTAAATTTGTTTTATTTAGGCAATGCTTTCTATATCTCTGTGTTTTATTAATTTTTTGTATAGAAAAATGGTTTGACTGTGAAAATAGATGAATGACTATCCATTTATTTATTATGAATATTTTATTAAATGAGGTTATAATTATTAAAATATAGAGCTGATTCCCTTTAACTATACTACTTAGATCTTGTTGATTCTAAATCGTTGCTATTTTACTCAGCTATATTTAATGATTATCTTTAGCCCTTTTCATTGCTGAAAATATTTTGAGTCTATAATGATCTTGCAGAATTCGAATGAATTTATTAAATCTATCTGCAATTTATGTTATTTTATTATTAATTGTTAATTTGACTATTCTTTTAAAGTTAATTCTAAGATGCCATAATTTTTTCTCTTGTTGTTTTGGAAGATAGTAAATATTCTTAAAAATTACCGATCCCAAGAAAATTGCCAGTATTTTGTTGAATGAGTAAGCTTTTTGAAATTCGAGGTGAAAAGGGAGACATATCCTTAGTATTTGCAGGAATTTGCGATTTAAATTTCGAAAACAATTAACTTTTTTTACTTTCAAATTATGCTAATTCCAATTTATTTTTAAAATTCTATTTTATATTTTAAATTTTTTTTTTAATTTCAAATTTTTAGCTACCTTACTCAGAAGCAATAATAATATCTTTATCGTTTTTTATTTAACTTCCATCTATCAAATTAGGTTAAATTAATTATTTATCAAAATTATTTTCTAATAATTCAGATGTTAAATCTTACTGATCAACTTATTTGTCTAACAAATCCTTATTTAGAGATTCTTAATTCCAATCCAATTAAAGTTTCTTATCTACTTTTTCCTCTTGAGTCTAATAATTTATTTATAAAAATTATTTAATTTAGATCATCTTAAAGTGATATTAGAATTTAGTTTTAGCTTTATGAGCATTAAATAAAATGAATTTTTTTACTTCAAAACTTTTTTAGGGCTGGGTTTTTGTCTGATTTTAAAGAGCAGAAAATATTTAAATATTTAAAGCATGTTTAATGTCCATACCAATAAACTCGCTTAGCTTAAATTTTGGCATGTATTTATATGAATTTTTAATCATAATTTTACGAATCAGATCTTTCATTTGCTTTTTCTGATGCTCAATCTTTTACATTACCTTAAATACCTTCTAATCGAACTAATCTCCTTATCTTTATAGCTTATGAATTTAATTCAAATTGAGCTATTTTTTGATGCCTATTATCTCAACACTTTTAACCAATTCTTACTTTTTTAAAAAATCATAACCACCTACCTACTTTAAATCCTATAAAATTTTCATATCTTTTTCTAGCTCTTCTTTTAAAAGTTCTAACTTTATGTGCTTTTCTATATCTTCATCTTATCCTTTGATGAAAGAATGGCATGTTAGAGAGTACTTTTTCTGTAATTTTTATTTTCTAATTTATATTTCTTCTTATATGGCTTATTTTTGCTAAAAATCTTTGGCACTCTCAGATATCTCCGCTTTTATTTCTTTTTGTAAATCATGAGAAATTTCTTACTTCTAATACCATTCTTCTTTTAGTTTAATCTGATCAAGAAATTGCTGGTATAAAAATTTATTTTCTGTGATCAATTTTTGAAATATCTATTTTAATTAAAATATTAAATTAAATAATTCTTGTAACTTAAATAACTTTTTTACTGTTGCAGGTAGTTCCCATAACACTACTTTGTTAGATATACAAATAGCATGAGATATCCTTGGCATATTCTTAATTACTTCAATTTCGCCAAAACATTATCCTACTGAAATTTATGAAAGACAAACTTTCTCTTTTACCAGCTTCTCTATTGACTGATTTTCTTACTTTTTAAATGTGTTAAGCATTTTTGAAACAGAGTCCGTCTGATCCAATTAATTTTATTTCTTTTTAATTATTCTTGTTTGTGAAAGCTTTATTTAAAATGATATTAATTGAATTTGTATAATTTATATAAAATGATTACCTCTACAAAACCTTTTTTGATAATATACACAAACTAAGAAGAATCACCTTGATGGTAAATAATATTTCCTATACTGTATTTAACACATTTAAAATTATAACTATATTTTGTTACTATTTCTTTTCCACAGCCTTGTAAAAAGTTTTCAGCAAAAAACTAGAGTCTTCTGTTAATTTATTTCATCTCTCCCTCAGATAAGATATTACTAAAATCGCCAGCATTAAGAACAGCAAACTCAGTATCTTCTCTAGCTAATATTGTAGCAGCTCTAGGTTTTTTGAGTAATAACCCTAGATTATTTTAAATATTAAACATAAATTAAAACATATTTTCTTTAACTAATAATTTAACCTAGTTCGCCAAACATAGATCCAGGGTTTAATGTGAGCAAATACTTATATTTTGAAACACCTTCTTAAAAGAAGATATCTAAATCTTGAATGGCTTCAAGTTATATATTTCCTAGCTGTTTATAAGCTGGATCATTTTCATCTAAAATGTTATTTTCTTCTATTTTTAGTGTAGAAAACAATTCATTCTAAGACTCTCCTTCTTATTGACCATTTCCAGTATCTGATACAACCACTGAGTTCTCTTCACTTTCATTTGATAAATTTTTAAAATCAATCATTACTTATTCAGGTGAATTCTATCTTTTGAAAATTGATGCTTAAACATCAGCAGATTCATCTTTCTTAATAGAAAAATTCAAATCAGAAGTTAAACTTTCTCTTCTGAATTATCTAAAGTCATTAAAAACACTTCCTCTTTTGTTATGATGTCTTTCTAAAAGTATATTATCTTTTGCTGACATTTTATTTGTAAAATTTTGATTTTTTAAATATCTATCTTCCATTTAGCTGAAGTTTAATTTAGATTGATCCATATGTTCACTAAAATTTGAAGCTGTCATATTTATTTCATCACCTTGAATTGTTAAAGCTGGATCAAACCTACTTGAATTTTATGGTCTCAAATTGTTAAACCTTGGTGATGATGAAAAAGAGTTTTCTAAAAGCATGTTTTATTACCTAGGGGTTGTAAAAGAATCTACTCCTAATTAAAATATATTGAGGGATATCAGTTAATTATTAAATAAAATTGTAAGTATTAAATATCACATGTATTTTAAGAATAATTATTTTTTATTATTTATTTTGACATACCATAAATCTAAGAAAGTAGTTAAGTAGTTTCCCTACTCTTATTAAAATTTAAGTAAATAATAAAATTACTTTTTATAGAAGGAATTTTGAAAAAGTTTGTGTTATGGTGAGGAGAAAGAGATTGTTAATGAGATATGTTTTTACTCGTTTTTAGCTACTCTCTTCTATCTTTTATCTAATTTATTCGATACCATATTGAATTTTTTATTTCTAATGTTTTTAGATTTTTTATTCTATTCTTCTCACTATTTACTTCCTAGACTAATTATTCTTTTGATTTTGGAAGCATTACGTTTACTGATCCACTTAAAACAATGTAAAACTTCTCTGGAATATCACCTTTATTTAAGAGCTATAAATTAGCTTCGAAAATAAAAAAACATCATTTACCTGCTTGAAAAACTGCTGTTCCTTTGGAAACTCTTTCATATTTTATACTACCACAACACTTATGATGCAATCTTAGTTCTACATTAATCTATTTTCTATTTAGATCTTGAAAGAACTAAAATCTGCTTGTCCATTATTGAAGGATATTAATTTCGTCTTCGTTTCTCTCTTCGCTTGGCTTTTTGATGATGCACATTGCAAACTATAAAAAAATTGAACAAAATTAAGATTTTATTATTAGTTTAAAAAGTTTTTTATTAATTCTACTTACTTCCTATAAATTTTAAGGTTAGTATATTCTTATATACTATTTAAGTATGGCTTTATATCTAATAGGATTCTAAACTCTTATTGTTTCAAAGTCTTCTTATTTCATCTGCAAAAGGATTTACTCATCTGCCAACGTATTTGCTTCATCCATTTATAAATTTATTTATTTATTTATGAAGATTTAATTGAATTTTAATATTCTTGTTAAATGTTTTTTTTTAATTGAATTAATACCAATATATTTATTTTTATCAAAATTTTGATTAAAATAAAATTAATCAAACACCATACAAAAATACAAAGAAATTTTTATTAGCTGTTTAAAGCTTGTCCTAAAGTAAATTTCTATACGTATCACCAATTATTATATTAGTATAATGTCATTTAATTAATATAAGCTCTTGTTCTTTTAATTTTTCGGGTTTATAATTCTTCAAAAAATAAATTAATTTAATTGTACAATAAATAAATATCAAGCATTTTTCATTGATTTTTGATAATTCTTTGATATTGTTTATAAATAATTAATTAATTATGCAGCAATCGATTCCTTAAGATAGATGTAAAAAGGAAATATAGCTTATACATTAATTATAATACAAAAAATTACTTTATTTAAACAAAACTTTATTTCACTCAAAAGAAAATTCCACTTTTTTTCTTTTCTAACTTTCTATTAATCTCAGTTATATTTTCTGTCATAAATGCAATACTCTGCCAAATATTTATTATTTTTTCTATTTAAAAATATTAATAAATAACTTATTTCCTTGTTGCATTTAATAAATAACTAATTTAATAATACCTTCAAATATCTTAAACTTTTCTTCCTAATCCTCTTCAAGTTTAAAACAATCTTGTTATACTTTAATTATTTTATGCTCTAAATGCTTAATTGACTCATCCTTAGCCTATTGTTTAATTTAATTCAATCAATAAGTAAATACTTTGACAATTAAATTAATTTTACATCTATATCTATTCGATGCATTTATAACTCTTATAGTATCACATCAGGTATAAAATCTCCACCTCCCATGCTATTATATTGTCCATTTATAAAATTGTTTTAGTTTTATACTGATTTATTTCTGCTATGGTAAGGTTTTTTAGTCGTTTAATAACTTTCTTCAATTTTTAACTTTTGATGAAGCCTTTTATTTTACAAAAATATAAATTGTGTAAAATGAAATTTAAAAATTAAAATCAGTTAAATTTTAGACTGAACTAAATAAATTAATTTTTTACTATTCTTCTTAAATTACATCTAAAAAGCTGTTTATCTTTTTGATTTCTGAGTGAATTGTAGTGAAATTTTTACTTATTGATTCTAAATTTTGATTATTTAATTAATTGCTGTTGTTGGCTGTCACTAATTTTTCAAGACAAACTTTCTCACATCTTCCAAGTCTACTTTCAATAGAGTCTAATAATTTCTTTAGCTACTATTCTAAATTAAACTGAGTAATTCCAATTAAAACATTATTTAGCTGTCCAATAATCTACTCTTTTCTTTTATGCATCTAATCCATTTACTACTAATATTATGTCTAGTTCGAATCTGATTAGCATGAGGTATTAATATCTCCCAAAAAATCTTGCAATTAATCTTATTCCTTTTCTTTTTTAATTTCCTCTATAAATTGGCTCACATTTTCTTCATTATTTTTGTGATTTGTAGATAATTTTTCAAACTCGATTCTCAAGCTTTTTTAATTTTTTTCATCATCGCCAAATAAATCATTTGTACTTTCCTAATTTCTAGGCAGAATTACTGATTCCTTATTAAAATAAGTATGATTTCGCAACTTGGCATACATAAATTTCAGAAAAAATAAAAAAATTTAATTGTTTACATTAAAGGATTTATCATTTGCAACTTCATTTTAACCTTTTTATACTTTTAACTCAAATCTCTATTAAAAAATAAATGATATATTCAATTTTTTTCCAACTAAGATGCTAATATAATTATACTTCATCAATAATTATTTGAAGCTTTTTGAGGAATATTTCATTCTCAAATAGCTTATCTAATTCTATCATTCAAAATTTATAATTTGGATTGATTTTTAACTACCTTAAAGTCTTAATTTCTTATTATGCTTTCTAACTTCCCTTATGCTATATTAATTACACAAAAAAAAAATCTTAAAAATTTGTTAGATATTATTAATTTAAAATTGACAATATCTTGCGTTAAATATTCTTTCTACTTATTACTTAAATTAAATTATGCATTATAAAAAAATTTGGTTTGTTTGATTGAAGATGATAAATTTTCTACTTGATCTTTTTTTTTATAGAATAGATTAAGGCTTTGAAAGGTAATTTGAATATTATTATATATATTTACATAATTAATATTGAGATTTTAATTTTAACTTTAATTATCCCTTTATGTTAAATGATAAATTATAAAGCTTATAATAAGTAATGCACTATCTATTTTAAATTGGTGCAAAACTTATTATAATATTTAGATTAATGTTTGGATAAAGGAACATTCCCTTCATTTTTCTTTTTCGCGAACTATGTAGTTAAATAATTTAATAAAAATAAATGCAATTTTATTCAAATTCATATTTTAAAGGATTTTAAATTTATTGACTTTTATTTTAATAAATTAAAGAAAATTTTTCCAAATCTCAGTTTTTAATTGAAGAAGTGAAACAAAGAAACAAACATATTTAAATAAATAGGAAATCAATTCATTAAAAGGTTACATTGCAGATAATTTAAAGATGTCTAAAAAGTATGAAATAGATGGACATGATATTAATAAGTTTTAATAATATTACATTTAAGAAAACGGAAAAGGGTTTTCTTTGGAAGACCCTCCAACCAAAATCTACTATTTCAACAAATACGGAGGATGGAGAGATGAAATAGATGGCAAAGTATTTTATTATGATTAAGATTGCAATCCCTGGATTGAAAATATCCCTTCAGATATAGAAGAACTTTAGCATTCTTAAGACTAAGATGCCTAAGAAGGAGCAAGCTAATCAGATAGATATGATTAAGAAATTTAATAAGACTTAAAAGATTATAGTGCATCAAGTGATGATGAAGAACATTGCCAAGATGATGAAGAAGAGGAGCATGCTTTAGAAGAAATGACCTCTTCTAGTGAATAAGAATATGACTATTAAGAAAACATGAAACAGGAATAATAAATTCAAGACGATTAAAATCAAAAAAATACTTAAATTTAAAAACAACAACAATAAAATTTATAAAGCGATCATTAAGAAAGATCAGAAGAGTAAGATGATTATGAAGAAGAAGAAAAGAGCTAATCTAATCATCAAACAGATGAAACAAATGACAGTGAACGTTTTAGAAAGGAATATATAAATGAGTTAATTGATATAATCTAGCAAAACAAACTTGAGACTACCTGCATTCACATAGAAAAAATACCTGCAGATTTAAATGAATCAGATTTGCTTTTAAGTTTCGGGGTTTCTTAGAAAGATTAATCTAACGTTCTTAGTATATTTTATGGACCCATTGAAAAGGAAATTTTAGATGAAGATGAAGAAGAAGAATAAAAAAATGATTAAGAAGAAGAATTCGAGGTTAAAAATGCTGTTTTAGTTGTTTCTAGCAAGGATTTTGCTAAATAATTAGTTTAAAATGAAGGAAAGCCTATTGTAAACTATTAAGATAGAGACTTATATTTAGATATTTTAACTGAAAGTAAAGATTATTACCCTATGCCTGCAATTAGTGATTAAATGTATATTAGGCTTTTGGAAAATATTAAAAATGCTTTACTTTCTGGAAGTAAGTTCAGCAAATTATAAATAGAATTAACAGATTCAAGTTAAGAAAATCTATTTAAGAGCTTAAAATAGTAATATAATTATCTAAATATTGATAAATTAAGTAACTAAATTTTAGAACTTGATTTAGATATTAAATTTTCTTGGAAAGATACTTTAATAAGTCTTTGGAATTATTTATACAACACTGATAAAATTAATATTATAAAAGATGTTAAGCTAATTTGAAAATTAATCCTATTTTTTACATGTTTTATTTTTAGTTTTCCTAAAAAATTTTAAATTAATTTTATAATCACGACTTTATTATTAAATTTATTAAAATGCAAACATTTTTTTAATTTTTTTCACACAGAAAATAAATAAAATAGATCTTTTTTTGTATTTATGTTGAAATGATTTTTCCATAAACAATTCAATCTAAATTTTATTTTTACTTTGTAATCAAATTTTGTCTTAATTTATAAATTTTTTCATCAACTTCTTCACTTAGTTAAATGTAATTTTTAGTAATAAAAAATTGATTGCTATTTGAATTACTCAAAGTATAAAAAAACAATAATTTAAATACTTATCATTTTTAAATCTCAACTTAAAATATTATATATTATTACTTTATAATATTCAATGTTAATATTAATTTATTAAGGAGAAAAAGCAAAAAATGTATTAAAATAACAAATGTAATTTTACAAATATATTAAAAAATACAAATTTTAGAAATTAAACAAGAACATATGAACTTATAAATCATGGTAAAGTTTGTAATAAAGTAATAAACTATTCTCACTCTAAATAAAACTAGAAAAAAATAATTATTTTATATTAAAACTTATTTTTAAAATAAAAAGAGTTCAATTTTGTCTTGATAAAATTAATTTAGTCATAAAGACAAAATTTCAAAAGTGAATCGAAATTAAAATTTTTTAATTTATAAAATGCAAAAATATCTTTACATACAAATAAAATATTAGGATATCATTAGGAAATATTGTATTTCTATTTAAAAAGTATTAGTTAAAATATATAATTTAAATTAGTAAAAAATAATTAGCAAAAATATTTTAATTATATTTATTTTAAATTTAATTAATTATAACTAAATATTTTTAAAAATTTTAATTTATTATAGTTTTCAGCTAAAATAAAACTTATCTTGAGATAAATATTTATAAAAAGACAATAAAATCTTAAAAAATTTAATAACTTCAAAAAATAGATTAAATAAATTTGAAGGTAGAAATGATCTTATTTTTAAAGAAAAATAATTTTTATGTTCTATTCTACAAAATATAGGTTTCATAAAGTAAATTTAAATTATTGTATAATTAAATAATAAATAACAATCTGAAGTGTTAAAATATGTTAAATGACTATATTTACACTTTCCTAAATGAATGAAATAAATTGCTAGTAAATTATTAAACAAAAAATACAAAACTTACCAGCAAACTTTTAAAAAATATTAAATCACTTAAATAAAATTTGACGTTAAAAATAGAATAATTTAAGGTTATTTATTTTTTGTTTGAATTTAAGATATATTTTTTATTAATAGTCCGAAAATTTTTGACGCATTATTTTAATTGATATTCAATAATTGTTTTTTTTAAGATTCGTCTTTATTTTTTACCAAAAAAAATTTTGGAAAATATCTAAAAATTAAATGCTTGGAATAACTAAAATTAGTAGTATAATAATTTAATTATTATTGAATTTGAATGAATTAACAATTTTTACTTTATTACTTGAAATTCATTCACTACAATAGAGTAATCTATTAGCTATAACCTTTTGTTTTTAGTTTTCACTCAATTTAGTGATAATTAAAAGACGGATAACTATCTATTAAAAAATAAATATTATTTATTTGAAAAAAGTGCAATAATGACGCTATTAATAGTATGAAATTATTATCTGAATTTATTATTTGTTATCATTATTTTGATTAAAATGAGGTTTAATTGCTCTCACTTCTTTAAAAATATAATACTATTACATCTAGAAAAAACATTTTTATTTTATTTACTTAAATATTTCTTAATTAAAAGTGTTGAATCAATTTTCATGGAAGAAACTTTGCCAAATTATAAAATTTAGCAGATTTTAAAAGGATATTTTAATTCAAAGCAAATTTAGTAAAGAAGCATTTTCTTTCAAAAAATTTACACTTCTTTATTTACATAGCAAATTCTGATAAAATCTCTGAGCCCTGAGCAATTCAGTTTTTGTCAAACTACACATATCTTTCAATCACAGACTAGGTATAGTCCATCTATCAGCTTCAAAATTAAAATTCTTCTAGACTTAAGTTGTTGGCTTGCTTATGTTGAACATCATTTTTTTATGTAATTTGGAAAATAACAATCACAATAATTGGAAATATTCAGAAAATAAAATATATAAATTTAGGTAAACTAAAAAATTAGTTAAGCATTTGTTAATTTGAGTAAATTATTGCATCACTTTAAATCAAATAAAAAGTGAATTTAGGGAAGAATTTCGTCTTATTTAAATCTAAGAATCTCAATTTTAGATTATAAAGATTTAATAAAAATAAATTTTGAATAAATATATTAAAAACAGAAAGACTTAGATTATAAATTATAATATACATAGTAATAAAATAAAAAAGTATACATGATCTCCAGAAGACTCCTCCACTGTTTCAACAGATCTTCAAAGTTATTAAACAATAAAAACTAATATAGATTTGAATCTTTGAATGATACATCCAACTTGACTGAAGACTAAGTTTTGGTTTAACAAGCTGCTTTGAATTTTACTAAAGAGCATCTACTTCCTTTTGCTAGTGAATGGGATCAAAAGAGCTAGAGCCCTATTGAAGTCTATAAAGAGGCTGGTAAGTTAGGATTTGCTTGTATTTATTCTAGCCCTGACCACGGTGGTAGTGGAATGGATAGAGTTTCTGCTTCTCTCGTATTTGAAGCATTAGCTACTGCATGCGTTTCTACAAGTTCTTACTTATCTATTTTAAATATGAACCACTGGATTATTGACACTTATGGTAATGAAAAGTAAAAGGCTGAATGGTTACCTTAACTCAGCACAGTTGAAAAATTCAGTTCTTACTGCTTGACCGAACCTGTAAGCACTTTTCTTTTTATTTTCCAACATTTTTTAGGTTTGTAATTTTAGACTGAAAGTTTGCTATAAATAACTTTAACAGAATGAATATGAAGCAGTTAAATAAATTTGAATTACAAAAGAATAAAGCATTATAGCAATTAATAATTTAACCTTTAATATACAAAATAAAATTTAGAAAACATTTTATAAAGTTTTGAAATATTTAGCATTTTTATTGAAATTAAATAAAATCAACTTTTGTTTATATATAATTAGGGTAGTGGTAGTGATGCTGCTAATATGAAAACTTTTGCAAAAAAGGATGGTGGTGATTATGTAATCAACGGTTCTAAATGCTTCATCTCAAATGCTGGATTTAGTGACCTCTATGTCGTTATGTGCAAAACTGGTGAAAACGAAAGATCATGCATATTGGTTCCTTCAGATGCTAAGGGATTATCATTTGGTAAGCCTGAAGTAAAAATGGGATGGCATGCTTCTCCTACTGCAAGCATTACCTTTGATAATGTTCGTGTTCCTTAATCTAATTTAATTTCAACTGAAGGTAACGGCTTTAAAATTGCTATGACTGCTCTTGATGGAGGTCGTGTTAATATTGCTTCTACATCTTTAGGTTCTGCAGCTCAATGCCTTGCAAAGACAAAGGAATATGTTGGCTAACGTAAATAATTTGGCAAATCAATAGACTCATTCTAAAATACATAATTCAGAATTGCTGAAATGGCTACTGATCTTATAGCTTCAAGACTCCTTGTTAGAGAAGCTGCTAAGAAAATTGATTTAAATCACCCTAATAAAACTTTATATGCTTCTATGGCTAAGATCTAAGCAACTGAAAAGTGCTACAACATTGTCGACTAATGCTTACAACTTCATGGTGGTTACGGTTACATTTCTGAATATAACATTGAAAGACATCTTAGAGATTTGAGAGTTAATCGTATTTTAGAAGGTACAAATGAAATTATGAGACTTATTGTTTCACGTTAAGTTATTAAATAGTGATTAAATAAATAAATAAATTAATAGTCGGTCTTTTTCTTATATATTTATATATTTCAGAATTACAGCCAATTTTTAGTTTGCATTTAAGATAACGTTAAATTAAAAAAATATATTACTTTTATTTTAGCTAAGATTAAAACAAATTAAGCTGAAGTTAGAGAAGTTTTTAGATATTTGTCAGTTATTAAATTTGTAGATAATTAACAAAATTACTTGATTTTTATTAGTATTTGATAATTTTTATGAAATTCTTTAATGAAATTCAATTTTATAAATGGAATTCTTATGAATTGGTGAGTGAGTAAATATAATTAATCAAATATTGGATTTAGAGATAATAATACAAAATATTTTTTATTGTTATAAAGAAGTCTATGTATTATATATAACATACAGAGAAAAATAAAATTAATAAACTAATTAATTAAATTAGATTAATTAATCAAATTCTACTTCACAATTTAAGTTCTTTGAAATAAAAAAAATAATAAAGGGAAACTATATATTAATAGATAATGCTTCGATTTATATTAGAAATATATAAAAAGAGTTAGTAATAGATAGATTGTCTATGTGGTAATTAATTCATTAAATTAAGTAGACTTTAAAAAAGTAAAAGAAAAATAAAAAAAGTAAAAAATATTTAAAGCTCTAATTGAATCGATTTATTATCTATTTGATTATGGAAAAAAAAGATAAAGATATAGTCAGAGGATGCTAAAAATTTAAAGAAAAATTTAAATACTATAGTAATAGCGATAAAGAAGCTATCATTTTCTTAAAATTGAGAAATGAAGGATGTCCCAGAAAGCCTGCCCTCAGGTTTAGTTCTAAAACTGTATGCAAATCAGACTCTACTCGTACTATATTTGGTCCTCGAAATCACAGGATACTCTAGGTTCAGCAACTACCTAGTTATTCACTTTAAAATGGATGGTTCTAAGGAAATCTATACTATAATATGGGTAAGTTTTTTATTCAATTAAAGGCAAAAATTAGACAAAAAAGTTAAGTAGAACATTTATGATTAAATATAAATAAATGCTTTATTAATGAAAAAATTTTACAATTTTATTTGATATTATAACGAAATAGACAATGAATTCAAGCTGAGTTATAAGGATATACTGCAGGAAGATATTTAAGATGATAACTTGAAAGTTTTATTTAACAAAAATGAAGAATAAGCTAAAGAATAATTTAAGAAAATGTTATAAATCACTAAATAGTATTTTGATGAAATATCTTAGATATGCACTATTAATAGAGGAAATTCTAAAGAAGAATATTTAAAGAGTATTCAAAATTTTATTTAGAACACACGCAAGCAACTTAAAACGCAAACATATTTTGAATACAAGAATATAAAGTAAAGCTTTCTTATATTTTTTAGCTCGGATGGATGGTTTATCAATTTTTTTTAAAAAGGTTTTATTATTTGTCTAGTATGTTATAATCTATTTTGGATAATGAAAAGAAATCTTCTGAAGAAATAGAGAGCATAATATAAAAGTACAATGTATTCAACGATGTTTTAAGATAGCCAGATATTAAAAGTTTAGATATCAAGTAAGAAGACAATAAGAATAAAGAATAATCTTAATAACTAATGTCTCCAAGCTCAAAGTCTGGAAAGAATCTATTTGGATTGAGAAAGTAAAATAACTAAAGCTCAAAGGAAAAATTACTAAATACAAGCTTAAGTGATAATAGCATGATGATGGTAATATATCAAAATATATACATAGATTATTTTTAAATATTTATTTAAATTTATTAATAGACTCTCAAAAGCTCACCAAAAGTGGGACTGCTATAAGGGTCATCAGATGATATTAATCTTCCTGATTTAACTTTGTAAAATTCTTCACATTAACAAACATCTATAGGACCTTTTGACTATATGTCAAGTGATTCAATAAATAGCTAAGAGCGTATACAAAGCTAAGAAGATAAATCTGTTTATGGAGATGGTGATATGTCACCTAAGAGTTCTACGTATACTGATTCCTCATTTAAAAAGTCAAACATTAGTTTCATAAATAGTGCAGCTCAGCAGCTAAAGCTACTACAATAAATGGATCAAACTAATTAAGACTTGTTCTCCAATACTCCATTGACTAAACTAGAAAGAGTATAATTCATAGAAGGTTCAGCTGAAAGTAAAAGGTTACTTGAGTAATAATTTAATGATGCATAATATTTTTATTAATATTAATAGCAAAATAATAAATCATTTGATAACAAAAATCAAAATAATCAAAATAAAAAAAAAGATGTAAAGAGTAAAGCTAAAATATATACAAATGAAAATGTTAGCAGTAAAAATAAGTAAATTAGAAAATTTTAAAGCTTATTAAAGGTAGATGCTGATTTAGAGAAAGAATTCTTAAAATTAGCCTAGTGTGAATAATATCAAATAAAACCTGAAGATATTTAAAAATAAAATAATTTTTAAAATTAAAAGCAATTAGAAATTTAGTAACAACCTCCTTCTCCAAATACTTAAAAAATGAGTCTTTTTCAAAAGGATTTTGTTGAATCGTCTAAAAACATAGAAAGAAGTAGCAGAAACAAGGAAGAAAAAATCATGTTTTCACCTACAAAAAGTTCATAACATATTAATAGTAGTTAATAGAAAATAGATGTTTTGAATAAAACAGATAGTTTTAATCTATAAAAGCTTGTTGAAAAAAAAAAATAAATGTTAGCTGCTTTTAGGAAGAGAAATTATAAGAATTTAAGCAACTAGTTTCCTTTAAATTAAGAAGCAATTAAAGCTCCTTCAAACATATACTTTTAAATTCTTCAATCAAAACCTGATAAATTCTCTCATTAAAGAAATCAAACATACTCAAATGATACAAATTCATTATTGTAAACTGCTAAGGTTGAAAATAATTTTCCTGTGTAAAATAAATTCCCTTAAAAATATATTTAAGAAAATGAGAATTACTTTACAATGAAGAACAAATATCAAGCAAAAAAACATTAAAAGTAATTACTATTAAATATATATATTATTTATAAATAATAAATATAAATTATATAAAATAGATCTCAATAAACTTAGGTTTCAGTAACTAGTACAAAAAATAATTTTAACAAATCAACAAATGATGAAACATAGAAAGATTGTGTAAAGGACTAAAGAGTCAAAACTCAATCAAGTTATTTTTTATATAAAAAGTAAGAATAGCAAAGTAGTTATATCACAAATAGTTAGAGACTGTCTTTATCTATTAAGTCTAATATGAATAAGACATAAAATATTTTTGAAAATTTAGAAAGAGCAAGAAAACCAAAAATTGATAATTTTTTCAATTAAAAAAAATGAACAAATATTTATAATAATAGAAATTAATTACTTTCTTTTTCAAACTAATTAAATAAAATAATTTAATTTCTTAGTGTAAATAAAAAATCAATATAAAAGTGAAAAAATAAATTAAAATTGTATAACAACTTTGTAGTAGAAAATATTATTTTTTCAATAAATACTTTCATCATAATTTAATTTATATTTATCATTTGATTAATGTAAAAAACAAAATTTATTTTCAGTAAACAATTTCAAATCTTAAAAAAGTAAAATTTATTTTTTTAAATCAAAAAAAATTTGGAATTAACAAATAAAATTTGTTTTTCTTAGATCTCATTTCACTAATTAAAATTTCTTAGAAAAGAATGTTTTTTATATTTTCAATTTTTGCTTTTGATTTGAAATTTTTAAATTTTTATGATGCCATTTGATTTGAATGGAGATTACTTAAATAATTTTGAATTTTTGAAGGGTAAAAAATTTTTCATCTTTATTTATAATTAAATTATAACTTTGCGTAGATTTGAAAAAATAAGCATAAAATTACAAAAACTAGGTTTATTATAAGCTTATTAAATCTAAACAAGAACAAAAAAGTAAAGAAGAAAATAAATATTGACGGGTTAATTTAGGAGTATAAAATATTTTATATAAAGAAATTTAAATGGAAAATTACGAAGTGATTGGTGAAATTGGTGCTGGATAATTCGGCAAAGTAGTTAAAATTAAGAGAAAATCAGACAATAAAATTTTAGTATGGAAGCAATTAGAGTATGGTAAAATGGATGAAAAAGAAAAAAGTTAATTAGTTGCTGAAGTAAATATTCTTAGAGAAATTCGTCATCCAAATGTAGTCAGATATTATGATAGAATAATTGATAAGCAGAATTAACATATATATATCATTATGGAGTATTGCGAAGGAGGTGATTTGGCAGCTTTTTTAAAGAATCTAAAAAAAGAAAAAGAAACTATCCCAGAAGAAGCTATCTGGAGAATTTTTATGCAGATAGTCCTTGCTCTGCATGAAATTCATCATAAAAAAATTATGCACAGAGACTTAAAACCTGCAAATATATTTTTAGATTCAAAAAACAATGCTAAACTTGGAGATTTTGGTTTAAGCAAAAAGCTTTCAGATGAAACAAAGTTTGCTTACACAAACGTAGGTACACCGTATTATATGTCTCCAGAATAAATAGAAGAAAATAAATACAATGAAAAATCAGATATTTGGGCATGTGGTAAATATTTCTTCCTTTAATAATTCAAATTAAAAATAGATTTATGAATTTCTTAAATTAAATTAAAGTTTAACTAATAAGACTTGTTATATCATTCAATCAATCATTATCAATTTTTTCAAAATTTCTTCAAATGTATTTAGTTATATTTTTTTAATATAAATTGTATGTATTTAATTAGGATGTCTTTTGTATGAGTTAGGGGCTCTTTCTCCACCTTTCCCAGCAACTAATCATCTTGCCTTAGCAATGAAAATTAAAAATGGGAAGTTTGAAAGGTTGAGCAAGTAATATTCTGATGAATTAATGAGAGTAATTTCTTGGTGCTTGCAAAAAAATTCAGAAAATAGACCGTCTGTTGATGATCTTCTTAATTTACCCTAAATTTCTATGAGGCTTAGAGAAAAAAGGTTAAAGGAGAATTAAAGTGTGTTAAAGTAAAGAGAAGATGATGCTTCGAAAAAAGAAGAGACCTTAAATGCAATGGAAAATTCAGTAAAATTAAGAGAAGATCAGTTCACTAAGTAGTAAGAGGAAATATAAAGTTAAATGAGGGTTCTAGAAGAGAAGAAAAGCAACCTTTTGTTACAATATTAATAGCTAACACTAAATTAGCAGCAAATACTTGGATAACAGTTGATGCAAGGAAACTAGAAGCAAAATGGCTCCAACTTATAATATAATTTATAGAACTTAAATGGAAATGGTTATTTAGGAAATAATAATGGAATATAATTATCTACATAGAAGCCACCATAAATATCCTTTAATAATACATCTTCGAGTATAACTAGTAATACTAAAAGGAGTTAATGTAAAAATAATGAAGATGGAAATTAAAATTTTTTTTCTCCTGCAGCTCAGGTTACTCAATTTTCAAGCACAATTGACATATAAAATTACTCTTCAAATCCTTTGTAATAGCAACAATAATTAACAGCAAATTCTTAAATCTACTTTAGTAATATAATGTAAAGCTAATCATAAAATATTGATAACAAAAATTTTTATTTATTGAACTCTAATACTTAATAAAATGTTAATGATAGCAACATTGATTAAAATATATAACTCTTTAATTAGAACAATGACATATCACAAAAAATACAGTAATAACAATAATCCAGTACGCAGTAATTAAATTCTGCTAGAAGCTCCTCATTAAATGCAAAAATTAAAATGCAATTTTGAAATTTAGAAATGTAAATGAATTTAATCAAATGTGTAAAAATGCTTTCAAATGTTTAAAATATAGATAAACTAAATAAATAAATAAAAACTAACTAGTTAATTACTAAATTATTATTTTGTATGTAATATAAATACACCTCAAAAAAATTGAAATACATATTAAATAAATTAATTATTCAAATTCTTAAGTTAAATAAATACTTCAGTTTGGAAATCATAAAATGTTATATAATTTGTTTCTATCTTTTATACTCTAAAATTCAATTAATATTTCTCTATACTATAATTATTCAAGTTCCAGATATAAATTGTTATAATTACATTAATTTTTGCTTAATTTCTGAATAAATCTGAATAGGAGGTTTACATGAAATAAACTTCTTTATTACATTATTTTTATTCAGAATTTAAAATTTGTTCACTTTTTTATAAAAAAAAAAAATATTATGCTTTTTTTGCAAAGCTTAATCTTATTTTTTATTAAGTCTTAAATTAAAGTATATCATTATAATCCTTTTACCCTTAAAAATAAATGTATTTTTATTAGTTAATCTGTAAAACTTTTAAGTGTAATATATGTTTTTTTAATTATATTTTTCAGTTAATTTAAGTGTATGATTTTAACATAATTGATTGAGTAAGGGATAGTTAATGAATATTTTTCATTTTCTTTTGTTTTAAATGATTTTTCAATAATATTTTATTTATTTCAGTTTCTGATAGAAGGTTAAAAAGAATTTGTTTGATTTTAAATACAACAGACTACAATTAATAATGTAAAAATAAAAATAAATAGAAAATCTTAGATATATAAAGAATATTCCATAAAATCTTTATTTAATCTTATATTTGATAAATAGGTATAACCCTGCAATAAAATCAAACAGCATTATAGCTAAAAATGTATTTTTAGAGGTGTTGTAACAAAAAAAAAACAACAAAAAAAGTGCAATTATTTGAAATTTAAATGATGTATTTAAAACATATTCTATATAAAATTGTTAATTTAAGTAATTTATCAAGATAATATAAAATATATTTTTCATTTTTAATAGCTATTAAACATAAAATTTTAGTAAAAATAGATACATCAATACAGTATCATTTGATTTAATAAAATAAGGTATTTTTTAGATAAATAAAATTTAGTGCAAAATTTACCATATGGTACAATTGATTTGAAAAAAATATTTTTTATACAGAAAACATGGCTTTTAATTGTTAAAGTCTAAGTGTTTAAGAAATATTTTTTCATTCATATTTAATATGCCTAATTGTTTGGTATTATTAAATCTTTCTGTTAACAATTGATTTTGCACTAATATTTAAAAAAAAAATCATTCAAGAATTAAAAAATGCATATATGAATTTTAGTATCAAATTAGTCAAGTAAGATAAATAAATAGTCCTCAATCAGCTAAATTTATAATTTCATTTTTTATATCACTTAAAAAGCTGATTAATTAATATATTATTTTTTTTTAAATTTATCAAAGAATTTTAGTTCAGTAGAATAATTATATCTAGCTCTTTTTTTATCAAAAGAGTAATTTAAATGTTGAAATTCTTGAAGATTTTTCTTATTAATTGAGGGGATTGATAGAATTACAAAAAATAACTTACATTATTGAGAAATAAATTATTGTGAATTACATAAAATCTGTTTTTAATAATTCGTATCTGGATGACAGACTAAGTTTAAGATATTATTACATCATTTCTCATAAAATACATTTTTAAGTATTTCAAGATTAAGAAATAAATGCCTAAATTAATTTTAATTGTCTAAATCCAAAATTAAATTAAGTAAAATTTTAAATCCTATAAATAAACAAGTCCCCCTCCCTCATCAAACATATTTTTTTTAAAAAAAAATCTTTCATTATTGATAGGTATTAAATTAAATATTAAATTAGGATAAATTTATCTATCATTAGTTTTTTTCCCCTTAGAATTTCTTTGATTTTTACAAATATACTAAAAATATAAATTATTATTTAATGGAATAAATCGACTAACATAAAATACAATAGTGAATTAATCGTCTCTTTTTCATTAATTTTAAATAATATTTCAAGTACCACTAACTCTTTTTCTAAAGCTTATTTATTCTTATAAAAAAATTGAAAAACAATATTATGTATGAGCCATTTGATAGACTTAATCTTTCCTTAATTAAAATAAATAAAAATTTTCTAAAGGAAAGTTAGATGAATTTTGATATTTAATCTTACATGTTTATTAAGAATGGATAAATTTAAATTATAAAATAATATGTATTATTGGCTTTAAATACTAAAGTAGAAAAGGTAAGTAATTAATCAAGGAAGGAAGGGAGGTTTTTGTTTAACTTAATTTTCAAGTTTTTTTATGCTTATAATTTAAAATTTATAAGCTTTTAGGAGTAAATTGATGTACCAAGAAATGTAATTCATCAGATTTATAATAAACCTATCAATACACTTCAATAATTATTCATTCCTTTCTTAAATATTTTGTAAGATAAAAATGACAATTTTTACAATCACTTTAATAAATATTCACGTTAATTTAGTAACTGCTTTTTGGGAAAAAATATTTCAAATACATAATCCGCTTTTCATACGGAATTATTCTTGTTTAAATTTCTAAATTTTTTTCATTTTACTAATTTCTACTTCCTTACTTACTTACTTTCTTTTAATTTTTATTTTTAAAATTATAAAAGTTAAAACAAATTAAAAAATAAAAAACATAAATCTACTTTTTTGCTAGATTACAAAAAAAATTTATACTTTCCTTTTGTGTGATATACCCACTGTTTATGAAGAGTTAAAATCCATTTTGAGGAAGATGGGAAAATTTGAATTTGAAGTATTTGAAGATTTTTAATCTATTTAGGAGGAAAAAAGATGAATTTTTATGTTTTGAATTTTATAAAAGAAAGAAATAAAGTGAACTAATAAATAAATAAATAAATTAATCAATCAATCATTTTAGTTTGAAGATAATAAGATCAATCAAAAACTTAATATTTGAATATAAAAATGATTGTGAAACAAGTGGGTAAAACATGAAAGCAATGTCAAAGATAATTAGAAACAGATATATAATTAGTTATTTACTTATATTGTGAAGATGAACTTTATTTAAATGCTGGGAAAAAAGAAAGGAAATTTCAATTAGACTTCAAACTCTTTTTATGTATTATTGATAAAAAAATAGATAAACCCCACTCTTTCTTTTTTAATTAATTTGTTTGGACTATATATATATTTGCTATTCTTTATGAAGAAACCTTTAGAAAAGCTAATTAAAGTAACTAAGTGCCCTTGATTTAGATTTCAACCTATTTTTGAATCTTACAAAGAATTTAAAAATTTAATAATTTTTTCGTTTAATACAAAGCATTAATTAAGATCCGTTCAAGTTAATACTATTTACTTAGCTTGAAGCAAAAATATAATTATTAAATAATCAAAAAAATATATTTTGGAATTAAAAAAAATCGGTCATTAACAAACAAACACACATACATTCTTAGATCGATCAAATTTGGATAAATCATACATTTTGATAATCTTAAAAAGATAAGAAATGGAACCTAGCACACCTAATTACAACATTAATAATCATAACCATTTATTTTCTTCATTCGACTCAAATAAATCCTTAGGAGAAAATTAATTTAATTTATTAGATGACATCTCTTGTTTCACCTCTAATTCTACATAAAACAACTTAATGATTGAGTCTTCTTAACTTGGTGAAGAGACTGTTACTGAAGAAAATATGGCTGTCCTCCGTAGTATTCTACAAAATTCTGAAGAAGTATAATTTGACAGTGAAATGGAGGATAGAATTTTCAGCTGGCTAGATTTAATGAACATTCACATAACTTAGCCTTCCAACTAAAGAAGAAAAACTGCTAATTTTAATTTGCTTGGCAGATAAAAAAGTTCTCTTCTCACAAAGAGAAAATAATCTACCATGAATTGAATTCAACAATAGCAATTATCTAAAATTTCAGACTCTTGCATGAAAGAAAAAAATTTGGAGCATGAATTCTAAATGCTTATTTAAATCAAGATTTTCAGATAGAATTGAAGATTATTAAAAATCTTAATTAATTTTTTTCACATTAACTATCTGAAATACCAACTCTATCCAGCATTAAAATAAGTGCTCACATATTTTTTTCTCAGTGCTTTTTACTATTTTTATTTAAATTTTTAAAATTATTTCTGAAAAAAGAATAAAAAAACTCCTTTGGTTGTTAAAACTAAAATAATAGAACTTATATTGGTATATTAAGAAATTATTCTGATGAAATTTCTGAAATAGAAAAGCTATCTATTTATCTATTGATAGGCTTTTTCTATTATGCATAAAGAATTGGGAATAATAAATATCAGAAATACAAATTTCTATCTAGCTGTAAAAACAAAAATATTAATTATTTATATATATATAATTAATTAATTAAGTATATAAATAACCATAATTAACAACTCATCTGTATATATTTCTGAAATAAAAGCAGAAGGGACAGAATAGATGGAATACTTCTCACTACTTCCATTGCCTTTGATATTGATAATTAATTTATTTATAATACACAATTCTAATAAATTATCATGCTCAAATGCAGTGATTTATATAAATACTTACTTACTTCTTATCTATATATATTATATATAAATCCATGTCTACTTTACTCCCTCTAATCTCATAAAAATTCATTAATCAATCAATCAGTCTATTTATTTTATAATAAATACTTTATATAGTGCTTACATGTGTTACATTAATTGTGAAAATAATCATTCGAATATTTTTTGATGTTTATACATTATTCATACATCATCATTGTTAGGTTGATAGGAAAAACAAATCCCCCAAAATTTTTATTTTTAAATACGATTGAGAATGTAAAATGATAATGAAGTTATAATTTATTTCTTCAAAGTCTAATAAATCACAAGATAAATAGATAAATATATTTAGGATATTCCTTCTAAATTTAATCAATATTTCTATTTTAATTTATTTAATAATAGATTTAGTTTTGTAAACTTTTTACTGATTTCATATTTGGATTCTAATTTTTGGAATTTTCTTGAATATTTTTAGCAAGCATAGTATATTTTTCTATTTATATTTTGTTCTAAATATACTTACATTATTAATTTGCACATCAATCATCTATTGAATTAAGTAAATCAAAAGTTATCAAGCAAAAAAGTAAAAAATAAAATATAATTTTTAAATAAGAAATGTTAAAACCCTTAATCTACCGCATAAAAAGAATAAATTATTTTCTAAAAACTGCTGATACTGCTAATTCTAATCCTAAGCAAGTATAATTTTATTATTAATAGCACTAAAAATCTAACTATACTCTATATTTAATTTCAGCAAAAATTTGTTCTACCATTTGTAGAATCACCTAATAGTAAGAAATCAGTATTAATAATTAAATTTTTCTCCCTGTAAAATCTCAGCAATTAATTTAATAATAAATATTCACTTATTATTCTCATAGAAATTTAGAAAATCACTTTAGAACTAATTAATCATTAGTTAATTAAAATATTACAAAAACACTGATTATTAATTCTTTATCTTATAGTATGTTTTTCTATTTCTGTAATCTGCTAAACAACTCCATTATTATTAAATAATGCTAATCATTTTGATAATACATTTCTTATTTTTTTTAATGGCGACTCAGAAGTACCTCTGAATTAATTTTATTTAAACATTTTATAATTCTAATTTACTTTATTTAAAAAAGATAAATTAATTCAGTTTACAGTTGTGAATTTAGTTTTTCATAAAAAAAATGCAATTTCCTTCAAACAAAATTCTTTTATTTTAATCTAAAATTTGATTTAGAATCGAATCATTTATTAATTATATTAAATATTTATGACATCTATCTATAGATCTATTTTCTGTTGTCCGATATGCTTATCAATATTTACAAATACTTCACACATTCATAATATCAAATAAGCTTGAAAGAATATGTCGTAAAAATTAGAAAGTAAACAGGAAAAATCATATTCTCCTTGTTTTTACAAATACTTATGCATAGACAAAATGCTTTGAACTAAAACAGGAATTTAATAATAATTATATGATAAAAATAAACGAATGGATAGCTTTAAATGACTAATTTATATTTAATTATAAATTATTTAATAGTAATTCAACATGAAATATGATACAAAGTTTAAATAATAAAAAGACGATTTTCTAAATTGAGCATAAACATCAGCCACCTTCATCTATTATAAATTTCAGATTAATTTTGCTAACTATTTTATGCTTAGTTCGCTGTTAGATTATTTATTTAGTGTAATTATTAAAAAGATTGATAAGCTAATGCTAAAAAAAATAAATTAATTCTTTTATTAATTTAAATAAATAAATGTTTTTATTTTTATTTATAAATTTGTTAAAACATATTTTTGAAGTTGTTATGATTAGAGAATTCAATTTATTTTAGAGCGATTATTTTAATTAGATTTAGAAAAGTAAAAATGAGACTAGAAAAACTGTCATTACTATCAGCCAAAAACTTTTTATTGAGTAATTCTGAAGACGACAATCTAAATTAATGTATTTTCTTACTATGTACAAATAAGAATTAACTTTTCTAGAGTTCTGCAAAGAAGAAATAAATGTATTTATTTATTATTGAATCCTTTTTATATTTTTCACCTAAGTAAAATTTAAATTCAAAATGTATAAATAAACAAGTTAGAAGGCTCAATTACAATAAAAGAAAACAAAAATTTAATTTTACGATCTTAATATAATTCTTTTAAATATTATTGTATTTTTGTAAAATTATACAGTATTTTTAATATTATTGCTTGTAAAGTAACCACATATTTTATTATTATCTCATTTGTTACAGGTGTAAATTTGAATATACAATAAATGCCAAAAAAAACTTTCAAGTATTGCTTTTGTTCCCTAAAATATTTTTTTTATTATCATAAATTAGTTTAAAATAATAGTCTCAAAATGCAAAAAAAATTCAATATACTTTACCTATTTTACTTAGAATTCATATAAAATATATTTTGTAAAGTAAATATATTACACATCTGTCTGTCATTATATTTTTAAGATATTTTAAATTCAAAAACTAAAAATGTCATATCAAAATTTTCTTCAAAAATCTAATCTAAAATTAATATTTCTTATGCCCTAAATATTTTATTGAAAAATTAAAACCTTTTATTATAATAAAAATGTTTTTATTAAGTTAATTTATTCATTTTAATTTCATAAAATTAAGTCACATTATAAAAAAATAAAAAAGATAAATTCAAAATCTTTAAATTTTCATTTAAATACAAATTTTTAAATTTCAAACATAAACTTTTCTTCAATGAAAATATATTTTATCAAATTTATATTAATTCTAAAAATTGAATAGTTTTATTTTTTATTCACACTTAATACTGAATCTCATCTTTAAATAAGCAACCATTTATACATACACATACATAACTTTACTTTTGAAAAAATAAATTAGCATCAAAGAAAAAGTAATTTCAATAAATTAAAATTAAAAGTCTATTTTAAGAATAATCAATAGTATTTCAAGTTCGCCGCTTTAGCTCAGTGGTTAGAGCATTCGCCTAGTAAGCGAAAGGTCGGCGGTTCAATCCCGCCAAGTGGCTCTTTTTTTCTTTATGAAAAAATACCTTTTCTTCTTTTTAATTAATTTTTTTATTCCAAAAAATAATATTTGTCTTTTTTTCATGAATTACATACAACATAGGAATTTTTTCTTTAAAAAATTTTAAATGTAAAGAATGCAATTATTAATGTGAATTAATTTAATCATTAGAGACTTTCAAGTTCGCCGCTTTAGCTCAGTGGTTAGAGCATTCGCCTAGTAAGCGAAAGGTCGGCGGTTCAATCCCGCCAAGTGGCTCTTTTTTTTCTTTTAATAAAATGAACTTAATGTTAATGAATTGAAAAGTAAATTCTTAAAAATTAGAATAATTATTATAAATTTGCTATTATTAAATGAACTCTAAGTATTTAATGCAAAATTTTAATTTAAAAATATATTAAGACAATTGATAAAAACTTTTATTCATTGACATATTTTTTTAAGTTTTTCAAATTTAAAATAAAATTTTTTAAAATTCTAAAAAGTTAAAATATTTAAACCAAACATTAGAAAAACAAAAATGAGATGAATACTTAGAATATTGAGATTAAATTCTGTATATATGGTAGATAATAATTTTATTTATGCAAAAATGTTATGAGTAATATTGTTCATACAAAACAAATAGAGATTAGTTAGTATAATGATGTACAGAAAAGATAAAGTTAATAAAATTTTATTTAAGTATTATAGTATATTTCAAAATCTAATAAATCAGTTTTAAATGAAAATTGCTGATTTGTTATCTGTAACTTAATTTTAGATTTGATTTTATTAATGTAATTACTTTGCATTCTAAATATTATTCATATGTTGAATAGATTCTTCGTTTATTTAGTTGCTGACACTAACTTTTTCTTAAAGCTTTTGAATTTTTCTTCTCTTGTACATATAAATGATTAACACAAAGAAAGACATAACTGCAGCTACACAAGCTACAACAATACCAACGATTAAACCGATTGCTGCAGAGCTACTTATAGAGTCATTCTAAATTTCTACCTTAATTTCTTAGTAAGGGTATTTAGTTCCTTGAATTTAGTCCAGACTTCTGAGGTTAGAGGCTAATTATCTTCTACCAAAAATTACATTGTCTATTTTTGAGACTACAATTAACGTACCAGACTTAAAGCCAATTGTACTAAATTTGTAAGTAATTTAACCTTTAGTTGTGCTATCACTTTAGTAGTTTTTAATTTCAAAGGTTCCAAGACTAGCACCACTATCATCCTTAATCAAAAGAGACAAAGAAAAAGGTTTGATTTCATTCTATTTGTATCCAGAGTCTAAGACTTAGGTCACTGTTACAAGTTCACCTGCAGTAGCTTTTATGTTACCAGAGTCAGAACATGAAGTTGTTTTATCGCAAGAAATTTACAATGTAGCTGATAATTAAAGTTCTTTAGGAATTTGACAACCTACGCAAACAGGACTAGTATTGCTACCACTACCAGAAATTGATATGTTGTCATTTAAGATTACAGCACTGTTTTAAATTTTAACTTCAAAAGTGTAAGTGTATTAAAGATATCCTTTCCAAGATAGCTTTTGAGTAAATGTACACTTATCATCAGAGCAGTCAGTATTAGTAGCTTTATCCATTTTTTTAATGGGATATTAATACAAAATTTCTAAAGCACCATTGACATTTTTAGGAGTTGATAAGGGACTTATTATATCTGTACCTATATGAAGGTCATAAGTATAACAAATACTTGGTGTGTTGAAAAATAAAACCTTCAAATTCAAATTTGTTGCATCAGTAGGATACAAAATCTAGAATGAAAATCCTACTTTGTCTGTTTACAAATATTGTAATTATTATATGCAGTAAGGTGCGCTGTCAGTGTCAACTTTTTTGCACTTAAATTAAGTTTACTCATATTCAGGGTACTCGCCATCATTTTAGCAAAGAAGGTCACATCCACTTCCTGAAGCTGAATCCTTACTCTATGAAGGGCATTAAGATACACAGATATTCTAATAGCTCTTAGCTGAGGCTTAACATTCAGTGCAAGTATTAATATCAGTACACTTAGTACAGTATTAAGGACATTAAAGACATTTACCACTACCATTGTCAAATTATCCATCAGGACATGTGGCTGCCTAAACACTAGCAATTAGTAGACAGGCAGAAAGTAATAATACAATCTTTTTATTCATATTTCTAATATTCTATTTTGTTTTTATAAATTTACTTTAGTATTGATTTTTATTTATTTAATTTATTTTATTAAAATATTATGTATTATGTTTAATGATTTAAAGTGAAGTAAAATAATGTTATAATTAGAATAACTAAACCTTAAAACTTCTCCGAGAATTTATAAGATCTCACATATTATTAAATTAGAAGATCATATATCCATTTATTCGAAATTAACATTAATCTATTTGATTCTCAATATCCTCTACTGATAAAATTAATTAATTTATCGCTAAATTATAAATTTTACTGCTAAATTTAATTACCAAGTTTTGTTTACTAAATTCTAAATTAAAAATCGGTAGAGCGATTGTTAATATATTTTTAAAAATAGAAAGCGCATAATGCAAGCTTATTTTAAAATGTATGTATTTTTAAAGCAAATAAAAAAAAAAACTTTTATTAAGTTAAAAAGGTGAAAGAATTTGGTTCAAATGCTGAATGGTTTAAAATAATTTTTTTTTACATTTAAAAAGCACTTTTAAACACGCAGGAAATTATATTAAAAATTGGTAAAAGTGTAATAAATTTTTAATAAATAGTGTAAAAAGGTATTCCATAAGAAAATTTATTTATTTATTTAATCTTTTATTGAACCTAGTATTCAAAGAATGATAATAAATTTAACTTATCATTAGTATAAATACTCATATTGATTAATTTAACAAATTCTATAAAATCAACATTTAAATACTTATCTTAAAATAATTTTACAAATTTCTTGAAAAATCATTTGATTACTTCTAAATAAATTTTAAGTTCTGTAAACTATTTTCTATTTGATTGTCTGTACCTTTTTATTTGATCTATAAGATGTCTATTTTAATTTGTTAAGTCAAGCTTAATTTTTAATTAAGCAAATATATCTGTACAAAAAGGAAGGAAAACCAAAACTAAACAAATATCAAAAAACTCTTCATTTATAATGTAGATTTATAAATTAGGAGAATGAATAAATACTTTTTTTCTTTTAATAATTAGAGCTTTATTACCAAAAATGAAATTTGAGAGATCAGATAGATACATAATAAACCTAGCTAAATATATTTTTAAGGTGAATATTTATATGGTTTATTTTTATTTCCAAAAAGCACTGTTTGATTTGAATAGATTTAGAAATACCATAAATTTTTTAGTCTTAAAATAAAACTATTAATATGTTAAATCTTTTGTATATTAAAAAGATCAAAAAATAATTTATAATAATTTTATACTTATTTCATATTTGAAAGAGACAAGTAAAATTAATAAAAGATAGCAATCATAAACAAGTAGTAAAATGAGAATAACTTTTAAATAAAATAATTTGAATTATTTTACTTAAATTTCCAAAATAAATCATAATGAAAAAGAAAATATTTAGTTTAGTTAAATGAAAAAGAATTTCCAATATTTAATATTCTTATAATAAATTTTTCTGAGAAAAATAAAAAAAATAGTTTATAAATATTTTTATTACTCTAAACTATATGTTCTCAATCAAATATTTTGATATTTACTTAATAAATAATATAATTTGACAAAAGTTAATAGTCTAAGAATAGATGACCTTTCATTTATGAAAGATGTTTAATGACAAAAAAAATAAATATTAGAAATAATTATTAAAATAGAAGCAAATAATAAACCAAACAAACATAAATTGGTTAATTAATTCATATTTAAAAATAACTAAAAATAATTTTTTTGGAATTAATATATGATGCATTTTATAAATATCAAAATAATTACAAGGTTAAAATATATTTTGTAGTAAAATTAATAATAATTATTTGTTAGCGTATTAGAATATTTAATTGCTTTACTAATTGATAATCACATTACTTGAATTGCTTTTATTACTAATTAATCAAATAATTCTTAAATTTTACAATCTAATTTTGCAGAAACTTCAAAAAATTCTGCTCCTATCGACTAAGCAAGATTTTAACCTTCTTAAATAGAAATTTCTCTTTTATCTTCTTTATCTATCTTGTTTCCAACAAGAGCTATTACTGAAGTTTTCTATCTTGTTTATAAATAATATTAATACCATTGTTATATATTATTAAATGATTATCTATCTGTTATATTATAAATAATCATATAAATATCAAAATAATATTATTTTAGGATATTTAAAGTTATAGATTAATAATTTATTTGACCAGGCGGTTCTATAATCGTAATTTTTATTTCTTTTTCTCCCTAAAATAAATAATTCATTTAAATCACCAAATTAAGTTTTCTCCTCAAATAATGTTTACTATTTTTATTTTAGAGATTCCAAAATTTTACCCAATTACAATTCCATTTTCAAACTTCTTCCCTGTTTTTCTACACAATAATTACGTTTTACCAACAAATGTATCTCCACAGAGACAGCAAATTAAATTTTTAAATTAACATATATTACTAGAATGTTAAAGGTTTATCATTTTTACTAAATATTAGATTTAAAATTTTCTATTTTTAAGCAGTTATTAGGATATTTTTTGTTTTATATTAATATATTAAATTAAAAAAAAGCTTTATTAAATATAAAAAAATTTTGATTTTTTAAAATGTGAATATTCTGATAAAAAATGAGTTAAAAAAAACGATAATAAAATGAATTTTATTTTTAAAAAATATTTATTCCATCAAGTTATTCAATAATTAAATATTTTTTAACTGTTGTAACATTAATTCTTTTATAGATTATTATAACTTGAATTTTGTTTGCCATATGCCAAGAGTCAAGACTTTAGTTTACAAATTATGGAATAAAGTAATAATTAAAATAAATTAATGTTTTTCATTTATTTAAATTGAATAGATTTTTGAAAGATATTTGGTTTTATTTTTGTAATTAATATTTACAAATAATTAACTTTTAGAATTATTATATTATCATAAATTGCATGTTGAATAAACAATTTATTTTTATCGATGATAATTTTAGTAAAAATTTCATTTAATTTTCTAAAAAATAATTTTTCTAAAAACATTTTTTTAACAAATAATTTAAAATAGCAACATTTTTAATGAAAAAATAAATTAATAAATTATATGATTAATTATTTGAATTTGATTGTTCAAAAATATATTTTAAAATAAAATTAAATTTTAATGCTTTATTGTAATTAAATAATAAAATGATTCTTTAATAAATATTTGAAAAATAGCAAATGATATTATTCTATTAAAATTAATAACTTGAGCGGTACTAAGTAAATATAAGTGGTAATAAATAAATAAATATATTAAGAGAATCAAAAATAAAAATAAATAACTATTTCGAGTTTATAAATAAACACTAATAATTTATTAATTAATTTATTTATTTATTTCATTATTTAATTATTTAGTATTTTATAAACAGCTACTGATTAAAAATTTTTATTAAACAAATAACAAGTTTAACAATAAAATAGGAATAAAATGTCTTAGGTAAATACTTCTAAGGAGTATTACTTAGAAGTTTTAAGGTCAAAAACTTTGTTTAGAAAAAAGTAAGCTGAGATAATTTAGTCACTCAAAGTAGAATTAAATTAGAGTTAAGAGGTGTATAAATTAAAAGAGTACTTAATTTCATTGTTATTATGATCATTTCATTTAATTTATAACAATTTTAAATTTCAACAAAAATAGGGAAATAGCAAAAAACTTAACCTTAGCATGTTCTGAAATTTTATCTAGTAATAAAGAAGAAGGTATATATAAGCTATCTTGTATTTTGGTAAAATATTTGTTACTTTATTTCAAACTATTTGGTGTTGATCACAATTATTTAGATTATAAAAGATATAATGGATTTAGGTTAGCAATCTGTTCTCATATATGTGAGTCAAAATCTTTTAAATTTAATAAAAACTACTGTTATTAATTTTTCAAATACAGATCCTGTTGGCATTTACTACATATCTGAAAGTCCAAGTAATATATAAATAAATATTTACTTTATTTAAGGAACAAATTCATTTTATTATGCAGTCAATATGATTTGAGTTGTTTAAAAATAAAAACACTGAACTAAGAGTATTAATAGTCAATTTAAAAAAATATATTTTATTTATTCAAAAGGCGAAAAAGATTAATAAATAGGAGAAGCTATAGTGGGTAGAATGCTTGAGTGTATTTTTACTTGGGCATGCTGGCACTTTAGGAATAGCAATGGAACAGTAATTAATTTAGCATTTATAGTTTCAAGAAATTAGTTTAATTTTAATATAAGAAAACAAGATATTTTTTAGCTTTGGAAAGCTGTCTGAGAGAAGGGACTGAGTTTCCTGAAGAAGAAAAGTTTATCTATTTTTAGAGAGAAGAAATATTTAGGTTTTAAGGAAAGGCTGGTTTTTAAGCAGTCTTGTATTTGGAAGATTTGGTTGATTTATAATTTTAAATTAGTGAAACTAAGATATTCTTGCACTAACAGTTCGATTTATCTGAGGCATAAACTGATTAGGCAAAGTTGCAAGATTGTTTAGCATATTATGAAGAAATTTTGGCAGATTAGAAGCAAAAATAGCTTGAACACTTTTTCCCTGATGATAAAATTATTTATGAGAGTGAGATGTGGTATGTTGAAAAAGTCGTCCCTAAGTTTCATAGCTATAAATCTAAAAAAATTACGTTTTAAGAGTTCAAAATTAATGTTCAGGATATAATAAACAAGCATGAAGATTATAAGAAAAAAGCAATTTAACAAAAACCAAATTAATAAAACTAATCAAGCGTAACCAATAGATCTCAGCAAGATTCAATTTCTGGATAGGCTACACAAAAATCATCTGAGGCTTAAGCAGTATAAAAGTAAAATTAATAATCTAACAGAACAGTTGAATAAAGTTCAGGTAAAATGCCACCTGAGAATGTAGATTAATAAAAGCAACAAACTCGTGCAACTTAGTAATCAATAGGCTAACAAATGTAAAGCAAAAATTAGGGTGCACAATAAACAGATGAATAGTAATAGTCTTCGATGAGAAAAAATAGTGTCGAAAAAAGAAATGATGGAGGCTAAAAATAGCCATCATAAAGTCAATTAGATAATTAACAAAAATAGAATATTGATGAATTAAAATAAGAACAATAATTGTTTTTAAGAAAAATCCTCGAACTCGAAAATAAAATCAAAGAAAAAGATGATTCAATCAAAAAATTTGAAGATATAATGTTAAAATCAGAATAAGAGCTTAAACAATTAAAGTTATCAAAAAAGCAATAAGAGGAAACCATTGAAAATTTAGAAGAATAACTTCAGGAATACAGGCTATCAGAGATGTCTCAAAAAAATTAGAACTCCCAAAAAAGTAACGAGGAAACTTTAAGATTGCAATAAAAATTAAATGAATAGATTGAGGAAAAGGACAAATTAAAATAAAAAATAACTTTTCTTTAGAGTGAATTAGAAGAATCTTAAAAGGACAGAGCATTCTTATAGTCAAAGAAAGATGAAAAGGAATAAGAAGTTGATTCTCTCAATAACAGAATTGAAGAACTTTAAAATCAAGTAGAAGATTTGAACTAAAATCTTCATCTGTAACAATAAAAAATTTATGAAATCTAAGAAGAAAAAGAAAATGAGGTTAGAGTTGAAAGATTCAATTTAGAGTAAGAAAATGATAGACTGAAAGGTTTAATCAGTGAACTTGAGCTTAAAATACAATCGCTAAGCCATGAAAAAGATTTTAATTATCAAGACTTGTAGGTAAATTAAAATCTTTTAGAAGAGAGTATAAAATAGTTGCGTGCAGAAAATGAAGAATAAAAAAATTTTATTAGTCAACTATAGCAAATAGCTGCAGACGAAGAATAAAAGACTGTGAAATGGTAATAAGATTATGATATTTTATTAGCAGAGCATCAAAATCTAAAAGAAGATTTAAATACAGCAAGAGCTAACTAGAATAAAATTAAATAAGAGGATTATAACTTTTAGATCTTAGAAAACTAAATAAAGAATCTTACAGAAAGGAATAAAGAATTGGAGCATCTATTAGAATAAGCAGAGCTTAATGCTGCTGCGGCTCCTTCTTAATTGAGTAATTAAGATTATCATGATCGTAGTTCATACTAGTAGAGAGTGCAAGAATATGATAATAAGATAAATTAATTGTAAGAAGAAAACCATAATATTCCTATTTTGCAAACTAAAATTAATGAACTTGAAACTTTAATCAATCAATAATAGAAAAGCAATCCTGTGTAATTAATTATACTTATTATGAATTATCATTTAATATTATTTTTTTTTAAAAATGACTATTGCTTTTTAATAATTTTCTTACTACTAAAACTAGTAAATCAGCTGATTAGGAAATGAGATATTCTTAAATTAAGAAAGTTCTAGCAGAGACTATTGAAAAAAGTAAATAACTAGATACACAACTAAACACTTTTATATAGTAAAAACACTCAGTTTCTTAATAGTAAGCTTTTGCTGCTCAAAGATCATCATCTGCTCAGAACTTCAGAGTTCCTTAATAAAATTAGCATAAAGATTATGAAAGTAAATTGATAGTTAAATTAATAGTATAATACTAATAATATTTAAATAGGTTCAAGAGAAGAATACAACAATTAATTTGCAAGCACATAGCAATTAAGACGCCCTGATTTGTTAAATAGATCATATAGAGGAGCTGAATAGGAGAACGACCTAAAGCATTACATGACTTAGCCTAATTTTTACAATCCAAATAGAAGCAATAATGAAAGTTAAAAATTGAGACTTTCTTAATTAAATAGTATGAAATATAATAAATTAAGTGGTATGGCTTCTACAAACGGCTTTTCAAATATGAAGAATTCTTTCAATAAGAAAGTAGAACAAATATTTGTAGATGAAAGTTTAGCCTTACCTGAAAAATATGAAGACGAAGAGGCCCAATTAAATTGTAAAAATAATCTTGTTTTTTGCTACTTTTTTTATAAATACTTACTTACTTATTCAAAAAATATTTTTAAATTAGAATCTGTAAATTCTTTAAATGATATAAGAGACTTGAGACAAATTGATAGAATAAGAGCTGATCTTATATTCCCATTCAGAAATCCTAAAACATATTATTCAAATAAAGCACGACTAAAAAGTTAAAAAGGAAAATTAGTCTAATACGATGCAAATTTATTCAGCTATATTCGCTTCTCATAAGAAACTTTGTATAAGTTCAAAAGATCTAATTTGAAGTGGAAATTCTCCATTTTTGAAAATGAGGATTTGCAAATAGGATAAATAAGTAGTTCAGATGTCATTAACAATCAATACATCGTTAAGTTAGGTCTTTATTTCACAAATAAAACAGATAACGATATCTCTAACTTGTCAATTACATACTTGCACTCTAATAGTAATTAATATTATTTTTTAGAATTATGTTAATAAAAAGAACAAAAAAAAAATTTGATTCAGAACTAACTTACTAAATTTTATTTTAATAAAAAAAATACTAGAAATTTTAATGCAAAAAGATTAACAAATTCTTATGGCACAACTTACTTCAAAAAAGCAAATAAAATAATCATTAACACTATCTTATACATAAATTCCATACGAAGTGGTTTTGGCTGATGTAGAGTATAGGTAAAATAATTTCTTGAAAGAAATAAGAAATTTAAATTAATGAAAGTTATATTATTTTTAATATTATTATTAGGTGTCATGGATTTAACCAGAAGTTCTAAGTTCCAATACCTTGTCTCTTAACAAAATACATAGAAATTTAGGAATTATAAAATGAAGCTTAGTTCAAAAATCTATGGAAAGAAATATCTAAATTTAATTTAATTACTTCTGAAGACTGTAGCATTAATAGATCTATAGCTAAATCTCCTTAGGATTTTCATAACTATTTTCCCCACTTCCTAAATTTAAACCCTGAAAAAGCAAGCTAATTCCACTTAGGTCTAAATGATTACATTTTGGGCGGATAAATATACTTGAGAGAGCCTAACGTAACTTTCATGCTCAAGATATATTTGAAGCCAAATAATATGATATCATTTAAAATTTCAAGCGGATCTGAATTTGAAGATAGAAATGTCGTTGAATTCTTCTTACAAAACCTATTATTTTTGTTTACGATTCAATGAGTTTTTTTTACAAAATTTATATTATATTTTAGTTTAGAATTTATCTTCGAAAATTTTATAAAATAAAAATAATAACTGCATATATTTGTATTTAAATTCTATTAATTACCATAAATAAATTGGAAATTTGTGACTATCAAAAATATTTTAATAACAGTAGCAGAAGCATAAAATTCTTATATCCTTTATAACATATAAATTTTTTCTGAAAATCAGATAAAAGTAATTAATTATCTAGTACTCTATAAAATATAAATGTATATAATACTTTCAAACGTTAATCTATCTTTTGATCAGTAAAGCTTTTTTAATTAACAAACCTATAAGCATAAGCTTGAAAAAAAATTTTATGTTCTTTGATAATCGAAATTATTATCAAATTTTTTGTTTAAGTTATATGTACTCAAAATATTTAATGTTCATTCATACCTTATTTTCATTTTAATGTAAAGAAATTTTAAAAATACATTTTTATTAAATTTTTACAGACATACATTTTTTAAGTATTATTAGTAGTTATTTTTACAAAGTATTATTTTTCTTCCAACCACATAATGCAATGTATATATTTTCTACTATTTTATACCTTTCTATAATAAATGAGATATGTTCAAAATAGATTTAACTGATATAAAGAAATATTTTTTTAAAATTGAAGAAAAAACTTAAAAAATACTGTTAAATATTTGTAGTACAATCTTTTGTAATTAGGAGGTATGGTTTGGTATTGAAAATTTAATTAAAATTAGTTAAATATCTAAACATCAAAATAATAATTACTCCTTTTTACTAATCTATTAATGTAATTTATTTGACTAAAATTAAATAAGTTAGAAAAAAAACTAATTAAAATTATAAATAATTTAAATATTATGTTATAACAAAAAAATTCAACCGTTTGTATGCGGTCAATAATAAATTTTCTATTTTATTTTAGATAAATAAACTTCGAATTTCTTTAATCAAAAATCAAATCAAATTTATTGTAAAACATAAAGCATTTGCTTAAAAATATTTTAAAAAACTTAACTTTTATAAAAAGATAATCATTCATTTAGAGATATTATTAAATACCACTTAGAAATAAATAAAAATTATTGATAACAAGCAATGAAATTATTTTTTAGGAACATGTTAATTAATATTTCAAATTCAAATAAAAATTTATTGATTTTTTTAATGAATTTCTAAAAAAAGAAAATATAATCCTGGGTTTTATTTTTTGAATAAAATAGTAAATTGCGTTTAGCTAGTGCACCAGAAAAGTCGAATTCAAATTAAATTTAAGAATATGATAATCATTTATTAGAATTAGGAGAAACTAAAACAATTTTTATTGCAAATTACAATTTTTCATCATTTGAACAACAAACTAGCTATTACTACTTTAAATTTAATTGATAAAAAACTTAATTTTGATTCAAGCTTTTATCAAAGAGAAGTTGTTGAAACACCACATGAAGTATTTTGAATATATTACCTAAAAACCATCATATTTAAGGATTTTTATAATAAAAACAATCTTTTAACAAGTAGTTTAATAGCTTTTTCTAGTTCTCGTTCTTACATTAATAGAGGTAGAAATTAACAATTAGAGGTAAAAAAGAACTATAAATGAGAATAGATATTTTGAATTTCCTATCAAAATAAAAGAAAAATCAAATGAAAAGTTTTAAATTAGCAGGCTATATGAAGGATATGATTAATTTTTGAAATTAAAGAAGGTAGCAGAATTTAAAATTTTGATAATTCGTCTTATTTTATTTATTCTTTCTATTAAAAAACTAACTAATTAAATTATTTATAGTACGCTCAACCAATTAATTTACTTACTTTAAAATCATTGCTTTTCTCCCCATAAACATCTACTATTCATTAAAATTCACAAAATTTACCATAACTTAAAAACTGGCTGGTTATATTTAGAAGTCTCTTAAAAAATAGCTATTGCATAATTGCAAATATATAATAATTAAATTAATATTAAATTAAAAAATAACTCGAAACGCATACTAGATAGATAACAATAACTCCTTAATACCAAACAAAAAAGAACTACAAACACACTATAATCATTTCAAGATCCCATTTATACTCAACTCAATAACTAACTATAAAAACACAAAACTTTAAGATAAAAAATTATATAATAACAATCTAATAAACTAAATGGATCCCTCATAATGTTGTTGTATTGGTAATTTAATTAATTAAATTTTAAAATCTTATAAAATTTAAAAACTATTAAATACATTTATTAATATACTTTTTATAAATAAAAGCTGAAATAAGTGTCTATGGAGGCGAAGATCCTTCTTGCCTAAAGGGTGATCACCTTGTTTTAAGCATAGAAGAACAACTGATTTACAGTTGGTTAGAAGAAAAAGGGATTAGCATGGCTAATCCTGTAGATAATATCTACTCGTATTTCGAAAATAAAAGATAAAGCGTATTGAGTGCTTAAAGTCTTTCTAAAAAACCATCTTCTCTTTTATCTCGTAGAAAGAATTAACTAAAGGCAAGTCCTTTGATGAACAATGATAGCTCTCCTTTTATTAAATTTTCTTTAGATAGTGGTAAAGATAAAATTAGCGAACTATCCCAAATTCCAGATAGATTTTCTTTCTCATCCTTGTAATCTTTCGATTCAAGTAGTAACGGTCTTAACTGATATGTTTTAAATTAAAATAATATCATAATTCATCTATTCTCATAAACAACCCAATGAGGATTAATAAAATACTTCCAATCTTCTTCAAAGTAGAAATTAAACTTACATAGATTGATTCTTAAATTATTCATTTATTTATTTTTTTAGAATCAATATGCGATCATTTAATAACTAACTAAATCATGCTAATTATGGAAATTTCGATAAGCAAATTAAAATTTAAATAAACAAGCAACTTCTATAATAAAATTAATATGAACAAAAATCTTATTAACACAACTTATAAACCTCAAAATGAAAACTGCTAGCATCTTAATAATCTTGCAAAATAAACGAATGTATGGAAATAAAAGAAACTAATTTAAGTAACTATTATATTATAAGCTTATAAGCAAAAGTAATACGCTTCAAGAAAATACTAAAATAAATCCGCAAATTATTATAAATAAAATCAATCCAAATTATATTCAAATAAAATTACTTACTACTTTAAATACTATATGAACGAATTATTAATATTTATTACACTAAAGCAAAATTGCGAAGTAATTAGATCTACATTCTATTCTAAGCTGATAGTTAAATAATTTACCATGAATTCCCTAAAAGTAAATAATTTATTAACGATTAGGTGAACCAATCTCTAAAGAAGAACATACATACATATATGCACACAGGCATACCAATCTTAAACATGCTTTTAATTAAATTTTCATCAATTAATTATATAAAACAATGATATATACATACATTTTAATATATTTATTTTTTTTGCAAATCCACCTATTTATTTATAAACCTTTATATAAAAATCTATATATTTGTATTCTATTACATTTACTACCTCTACTCATTACTTATCAAAGGCATACCCACTTCATTCATCTACATATTTCATCATTTATATGAATCAAACACTATTTTTTTAATTTAATGAATCCTGCTATAAGAAATTCTATTTTATTTATTATTTGTGAATTTTTTCGCCAAAATTATTATTTATTTCTGCTTTTAGTTTAAATTAGCTAAAATATTTGGCGCAAATATATCAAATCTAACTCAAAACTATAATATCTTTTGAAAATTATAATTATTCGTAAATTAGCTCTCCTACGAAATGAATCTGATTTTATAATTAAAAAATAACTTACATTTGGCGCTGCTAGCTATTTATTTTAACTTTTAAACAAATTTTGCAATATTATTGTGAAAAACATTTCAAAGATCTCATATTAAAATGTATTATTATTTTATAAAATCTTACATGTTATAATAAGCAAAATTAGGTTACTGGTATTTTTTAAGAATTCCATTTTAGTAGTCTAATTTTTAAAGAAACCTAAATATAGCAATACAAAGAAACTAAATATATCAATCTATTTTATAAAAAGAATTGAAAAAAATGTAAGGTTTTCAAATACATGAATTGAAGGATTAGTAATTCACTAGATGATATCAACTCTATCAATTTATTGTAATTAAGATTAAAGAATTAATAATTACAGATTTTTATAATATTAAGTTCAAAACCAAATAAATAAAAAAATTTTTTACTCTCTCTTTTTTTAAAAAAAAGGAAAAAAAACTCAAAATTAGAAATATAAAAGCTATTTGTATAAAGCAAAGGATTTGAAACAATCGATTGAAATACAAGATAAAAAATGTATTTTTACTTAATTATATAAACTTAAATTTAGAAATTCTCTAAGATAACCTAAAAGAAATAAGTTAATAATTAATTTTAAAAAATGCATACTTTAATTTTAATTTAATTATTTAAATATATATTTAGGATTGAAAAATGAGAAATTTTAACCAAAAATTTTATTATTCATAATAATCAAGTTAAGTCGATTATGAGGTTTTTTTTATAAAAATGATAAAAATGATTTATAATAGATGAAATAGTATTCAGAGATAGTTAAGCAAAATATCTATTTAGAAAAATCTTAAATAAAATTTCACATAAACTCATCCATTCATCATTAAAACAAATTATTTGATTTACTATAAATAGTTTTTAAAATACAATCAGCCATGTTAGCAATTTTACCATATTATATTTAATTTATTTTATTATTATAAATCATTTCTCATCATCTTTTATTTTAGTTATAATTTAATTTTTATATTTCGTTTTTTTCCCTTTAAACTGTAAAAAATAGCATAAGTTATTGAATATTATTTCTATTTCTATAATCAATTTTTGTTTAGTTTTATTTTTAGAAAGAATTTTCAAAAATAAAAATTTTTGTGTCTATTTTTTTATTCTTATTTTATTATTAGCAAAAAATATGTAAACCAAAAGCTAAAATACAATTTAGAATAAAATAAGTTACTATTTAAAATTAAACCGTATTATATGTATTATCATAAAAATAAAATTTAAATCGTGCAGAATATATTTAAATTTTTATTTCTTATTAAAGGAATATATCTACAAATAAAAAATTATATATAATATTATTATGATTTGTGATTGAAATGGTAGTAAATTTTATTGATAAAGTAACATTTTTTATTATTATTTTTTAACTTTTTTAAATAAACTGTCTATATTAGGTCTAACTTAATTAGTGTATCCTCATATATTCTTTCTGCATATAGGGCAATTTAAGTGCTAGGTAAACCATTAGTTTATACATTTGGAGTGGAAGATATGCCTTTTTAGTTTAATAAGATATTTATAAATTATTAAAATAATAATTTTTTTTTACTTTTAATTGCATGGCAAAATATAAATTTCCTGCTTTTTTTAAAAGTTCTCTAAACAAATCATACAATCTGCATTTTCCATATTTTATAGATTTTTTATTATTATCCTTTAAACATTTTGTGAAGCTTTCTATATATTTTTAATTAAATTTATTTAATATTAAGTATAAATGATTTAATATTATTAAATATACTTTTATCTTTTGTTTATTCACAAAGTACTTATATGCTGTATAAATTAAATAGCAGGTAAAAGAAGGTATCCATACTATCATGGAAGCAATAGTCATTATAAAGCATGCTAAGAAGGCAGATTAAAACACATAACCAATTATTAACATTAGGAATACTCCCCATTAAATATCTTTTTATAAATTTTAGTAGTTAAAATAAATGTAATGTGAAATTTATAAAATAGCAAATTAATTTTCATAAATTTAGAAAGGGTTTCTCTTTTTACTTTATTTGAAATTAAATTCCGAAATGAGGTACTATTAAAATTATGAAAAAAATTACTTATATCACAATCTGTTTGTTCGAATTTTAAGTATATGCAGTTCCCAGCAATTAGCAATAGCTATTAAAAGAAGTTACTCAGCTTGTTAAAAAGGAAGTGCAAAATCCTATATGTTTTGAAGGATTTTATTAAATGTGCTTTTACACGAGCTATATGATCTTCAAAATTCAAATTCATGTTAAGGATTTAAGTATCGTCTAAGTTTTATACAAGCTCATCAAAATAAAATCTTTTAAGAATTTCTTTTTTTTGCTAGAAGTAAATTATCATAGTAAAAATATATAAAATTGTCATTTACTCTATAAATTTAATCCATTCTAACCACTTTACCAGCTCATTAGAATCACATGAATTTGATCTAAAATAGAGAACTACAAAGCATATAAAAAACTTTACTCCATGAAATATTATGCCGTAAGCTAGATCATTAATAGCTTGTTTATAGAAAAATGTAAATGCCCTATTTTTAGCAGCAAATTATTCTTTATTTTCGTTTTCATCGATTTCCTTGATTATATTAAGGTTCTCTTACTGTTGATTAGGATTTTCATTATTCTATTATTCAACTAGCGATGTATATATTTCGTTTGTTCTACTGGTTCTATTTGCTATTTGACCATCTATTTCTTCGTTTTCTTTTAAAATTTAGTTCAACTCTTAGTTAGTCTATTCATCTATGAATAAGTGTCTTTAAGCTATTACTTACTCTTCTATTTAAAAATACTTCTCGCTTATATCCATTAGATGTTTCTTATTTATAATTCTTCTATATCAAATACAGATCTTTAATTTTTTGTTTGTTTGATAATCTTATGTTAATAATAAAAACTTTTGCTTAAATAGAACCATAAAAAGCTATGATGATAAACAACAAATAGTTTGATAAAACATCAATATTGTGACAATTTAGATTAACATTACTACAATTTTGTATAATCACTTGTATGAAACTGAGAATATAAAAGAAATTTTAAAATCAAAGATCTTTATGCAAAAAAATTTGCTATTAACAAGCATAAATACTTTTTTCAGCATATTTAGAATTTTCTAGCATGATATTATCTATTATAATGTCGAAATGACAAATTTTATTTTAAATTAAAGCAACCTTTATCTTTAAAAATTTTTATTACTTTTAGATTACTTCAAAAAAAAAAAAATTTTGATAAAATCAAACTAATAGATATCGCATATTAAAAAAATGATTCCTCCGAGGTTTGAACTCGGGACCTTCAGTGTGTTAGACTGACGTGATAACCACTACACTAAGGAATCGTTTGTGTTATATTTGAAATTTAATAGGATGATAATGGATATACTTTAATAACTTGAATTTTTTTGTATTTGTAATTATTTTATGACCATTTAATTTAATGAAACTTAAAGAGTTATAGATAGAATGATTTATATGTACAAGGAAATATAAATTTAAAAATGATAATATTTATATATAGGTTTGTTTGTTTATAGTTTGGAGATATAATTTATATTTTAATTTTTAATATTTTAAGTTTTCTTTCTTTATTTCATTTATTTTCAATATTAATTCTTTATAATTTTTATTTGTATTTAATGTTTCAAAATTGTTATTCTTGATCTTCGTCTGAATCTTTTGGAATTTATGAGCAGTTTCTAACTGTTTGTAATATACAATATGCTAAGTTGACCATTTCTTTAGTGTACCTGTTTTTTTATTAAAATTATATTGAAAATAAATAATACTAGTATTTAATTACTGAAGAGGCAGATTTTTAACTGAAGCTCTACTTGCTTCGTTTAGAAGAGATTAGTATTTCATAATAAGATCTAGAGAAAGTTCTTTTTATAAAATTTCATTACATTTTTCTAATTAATCTCCATCACTATACTCAGCCTCTAAAGCAAAAACTTGGTTTTCATTGTTAGCTGATGGTGTTTGCTCATCGTTAATATTTTGGTTGCTTACATACTCCATGTCATTATTCATACCATTAAAACTAACTTCGATTTAATTTTCTTCTTCAACTTATTAGGCATTTTGATCTTGTACAAATGACATTATAGAGGTTCTTGTATTTATCTATTCTTAACTTGTATTTTTTGTTCTTATTTCTTCTTCTATCACATCCATTTGGAATTTATTTTTGTTCTTCTAAGGATTTAGATTATTTTCAATTAAAATTTAATTTTCTGGTTAAATCTACTCTTCTTCAATCATTGGAAAATCTTGTTGCTCCATTTCTTTACCTTTTTTTCCAAAATCTGAAAATATTTCATTTTTTAATGATTCGATATGAGAGTTATTCTCTTTTTAATTGATCTAACTGAATTCTTGTAGCTACTAAGTGGCAAGTTAAAAAGAAGGAGTGGAGGAAGGATCAGTTTATAATACATTTGCACTACTTTTGCTTACATTTTCTTCTTAAGCATTCCTATTATTTCTTTTTTGCTTTAAATCCTCCTTAATAGATCTAATATTTTAAACTATTCCTTAAATATCAACTTACTATCTTGAAGAGTTTTATGCAGATGCATTTTCTGTGTTTTATTATTTTATTTAATTATTGTTTAAATTTATTTAAAGTTATTTTTTACTAGGATTTTCAGCTTCAGATTTAGGCTTTTGTTCCAGTGCGTCTTAATTTTAAGTTTTTTATGTAATTAATTACTAATTTTATTAGTTTTTAGTTGTTGCATTTTATTTTTAAGTTTAATCTTTATCACTCTGCTAATTCTTTTCTTCATGTGATTATTCTATTTTCTCAATAACATTATTGTTTTTAGATTTCTTAACAGTTTCTACCTCATTAATTTCTTAATTTTCTTTTTTTTGCTAAACTTGAACTAGATTTTTAATTGGTTTATCTTTAGCTTAATTTTAAGTTTTAATTTCATTTTTATTTTATTCTTTTGACTTAATTTCTACTAATTTTTAACTTTATTCTTAAGTTGTTGAGCTTTATTTGACAATTTCCTCTTATTACTAGACTTTGCTTATATTTTTTTAATTAATATTTTCCTCTATCTAATTTTTTCCCTTTTAAGTTGGTTGATCATTTTTCTTTTATTCATTTTATTAAATGTTTATTTTCTAATTATTAATAGTTGAAGATTACTTTTTTTTGTTATCGTTTATACTATCATCATTCTATTTTATACTTTCATTGTTTGTGTTCATATTTTGATTAGATTTTTATTCAGTATTTTAATCTCCTTAACAAGTTTATTGTTATCGATCATCTTAGTTTGATGGTGTTTTTATACTTTAAATAATAGAATTTTTTTAAAGGAGTTATGGAACAAACTATTCTACTTTAGTCAGTTCTGGAGGTTACATTGATTCTCCATAGGCTTCTAATTTTGCTTTTTAATCAATATTTGCTAATTATTATTTTATGTCTATTGTTTATAGGGGAGTGCGTGATAATTTTATTGATTTGAAGTCGATTTTTGAAGTAGAGCCACCTTAAATTAATTTCTCAGTTAATTCTTTACTTTTTTATTCTTCTTGTGCTGCATTCTTTTTAAAAGAATTTAGTTCTTCCCATTATTTGGAAAATTGATTATTTTGACTCATTTTATTTTATTGATCCTCTTTCTATGTTTGATTTTTTTCAGCAGACTCAGTAGAATCAAAATTATGAGTGCTGTAAGAGCTTTTTGTTTCTTATGTAGGGATATAAATAGTACTTTCCTCTGTTTAAGCTTTAGAATTATTTTGTTAATATTATTTTTATGAACCTTATTTATAAACTCCGACTTAATTTTGATCAGCATTAGTAATTTAGCTCCTATTTTGATTTTATTATTATAAACTTTAATTCTTTGCATTATTTGATAGTGGAGATTTTGTTTAAGTTTATTAAAACTAGCTCACTTAAAAATCACCTGTACTTTCACATTTTTGTAATCTTAGCTTTTTTGCAAAATCTTAGCCTACCTTATAACCTCCATCTTTTGAATTACTTTCAAATTCGTTTTTTTTTTTACTTTCAGAGCTATTCTAATATTGAGTTCTATATCTAAAGCCTTAGTTAATTGATTAATTTGAATTGGAATTTAATGTAAGCAAACTACTTCTAACAGTGTTCTAAACGCTATGAGGTTATATATAACTTGAATTTAAATCGTATTATTAGTTTTAAGTAGAAAACAGATTATCACCTAAGATAGATGAACTTCTAGAATTTTTTTTCATTTTATCTTTGCTAAAAATAAAACTATCATCTGTATTTTCTAGCATTAAACTATGATTTTCATATTATGGTTTCTAGTAGCTAGTGTTCCCTACTAAATTTGAAAATTTATAATAATTTTTAGTCCCTTGTTAACCTACAAACTGACTATCTGCAGCTTTTGAAGAATTATCATGAGAGTATACTCCAATTTATTAATATTGATTTTCATATAAACCATCCACAGATCTAAAATTGTTTCTCTTATTTGATAAATTACTAGAGAAATAGTCTGCCTGATTTTCTCTACTTGAAGGTTATCTGCTATTCTCGTTAGATCTATTATAAATATAAATAATTTAATGATGAAACACAACTTTTTTTTTTCCAAATAAAAAATTTTATGATGAAATTATTCTTACAATAAACCATTTATCTCTTATTTAAATTTTTATAATTATAGTTTATTAGATTGTTAACTCGCATTAGATCTTAGTTCGTTTTAATGCACATGAAAATTGGAACTGTAATAAAAGTTATCAGTGCCATCCTCTGCATTATCAAAATCACTAAAAATATATATTGTATAGAAATATTACATTTTGAAATGATTTTTATTACAAAATTACATATCAAAAAAAGAAATTTATTGGTGCTACTAGGATTACATAGATGCTACCTTGTTTGGGGATGGGTTATTGTTATTAAAGCTATCATAATTTAAAAATGATTATTATGTAGGCTACTTGAAGGCTAGCTGTGATGTTTGAGAGTATGTATTATGACCTGCAATATTACTATTAAACATGCTGATATTCTATGGCTAAGTCTAGTATTTCTAATTGTAATTTAAAAAATTTTTAAATTAATTTTATTTTCTATCAGACAATTCAAAAATGCTTCCTACAATATTTTCTGCAGTAATTGAATCTCTAACATTTAAATTTAAAAAACTTCTCTCTGCTGTACTCCCAGTAAACTGAGATAAATTACTTCCAAACAAAGAAGATTAATGATTCTATTTTCCCTTTAAATCAAATATCTGGATATCATTTTAAAATAAAGTAAGAAAAAAGTATTTCATTTCACTGATTAGATATCTAAATAATATTGGATAAATAAATTAATCTTACTTCGTTCATAGCAATATCTCTTCTTAAATCACTGCTGTTGTTGTTTAAAAAGCTGTTAGGCTTTTAACTAAACTAATTTTTTAGATAAAGCCATTTAAATTTGAATTGTTTTTTGATTGATTAATAAAATTACGTATGACATATTTATAATCTCTATTTTTTGTCCTACCTACCTATATATTTATTTAATTGTTTATTACTATTTGTTAGTTTATTATATTTTTCAATTTTTGTAAACTAAAAAGAATATTAATTAGTTAGTTTGTGTATTTTAAATTTTGTTATTTTTTAATCAATTTTTAATTTCAAGTATCTTTATTTTCAAAGTTAATTACTATAACTATTAGGTAAGAAAAATTGATATTAAACATTAAAAATTGCTGTTATCAACCAATTAAACAATAATTTCGATCATTGTGCAAAAAAAGTAAAATTATAAATGTGGTCTTTAAAAATTTGAGTTGATATTTTAAAATATTGTTAATTTTAATACTTTCTTATATTATTATATATTTTTGATGCAAATATTTTAATAAATTTCAGTCATTTAACTTAAGATAAAAATAAATAAAACTAAGTATAAAATAGATTTTACAAATAAAAAAAATATAAAACTAAATAGAATTAATTTAAAAGAGCGATATTAAATTTACAGATTTATTTTAATTCTTATAAGTGATTTAAATTGTTTTAACTAAAATAGTCATGTAATAATACAAATCTAATTCACTAAGGATGAATACAGCTATTTTTAAGAGTTTATTCGTTTTTTTTATTGAATTTAATAAATTGTTTCAATACCCTTTTTTAGTTTTTCACTTCAAATTTCTTTTTAGATGCTAATATATGATAATATTTATTAATTATAAAGCTTTTTAATATAATTTTAGTTCGAAATAAATACTAAATAACTAAGGTTAATATTTACATGATTATATTTAATTCTTTTAAAGTAATATGTTTGTTGATATTCTAAACATATCATATGCTGGTATAAATATTTTTTACATATCCTGATATTTATATAAAAATTAAAATGGAAATTCAATAAATAAAAAGTAATTTTATTACTTATTAATAATGAATGATTTCATTTTATTTACTTCATAAATAAGATAGATATATTATGATTTTAAAGTAAATATTTTGGCTGAATTAGAATATTATTTCAATATTTTACAAAAAAATTTAGTTAAAAGTTTAATTTTATAATCATATGAGTAATATTAAAAAATAACTTGCTAGCCTTATTAGCTACATTATCTAAACTATTGAAAAAATTGAATTTATTTTATTAAGAAATTCAAAATTATTTAAATAATTTGTTTAATTCTATTTTAAATATATAGATTAGATGATAAGATGTATTTTTAAGTTGGGGAGTAAATAATAAAAGTGATGTAAAATGTTAAACTAATAATTGTTATTTATAAAGTTGTCTAATTTAGTGAAATATTATTTTTTAAGACTATTTTAAAATTTAAAATGATTAAATTAAAAATATTTAATTCAAAAATTAATTTAGATATGAAAAAAATAATAAAAAAATTTAGACAATAAAAATATATGTATGTAAATATGTACTGTTTTGAAAAATATCAACTAATTAATTTTCGATTGTTTCTGCTTTCATCATATCAAATATATGGCACTTAAGTGTTATATAATAAATGATTATTTGTTTATTTATTTATTTTGTTAGTTATTTAGTATGTTAGCTAGTATTTGAAATGTCAAGATTCAGAAAAATATTAATTAGTTTATCGCAGATATTATGATAAGTTTTGATACAAATAATAAAGAGAAGAAAAGAAATAAAATGAAAAATAAAGAAGCTCTTTATTGATTAATCGAATTATAAATTATTAAGTCTTAAAAAAGATAAAGAAAATCTAAATAAATAAAAAAGGAATTTTAGTAAATAGTCTCTTAAAATGGCCTAAAGTAAATCCTTCTTTTTGTAGATCAAAGAATATCAAAGATATAAACCATTTTTTTATTTCGAAAAAATTAGCTGCTCATCAAAATAGATATCAAGGTGGTCTTTGCTATGCCTAATGCAACGAATTATTCTCTGTAATTAATTTTCCATCAGACATATCCAAAATGCATATTATAAAATTCAATAAATGAGAATACATTCAAATTAAATTAAATAATAAAGATAGTGCTATCAAATTAACTCATTTTTAAATATAAAATATAATAGTTCTGGAATCCTTCTATTCAATAATGCTGGAAGGGTTGCGATTTCGGAGTTGGCAGAGTCAACGATCCTGAAGGAAGGTATAAAAAATTTATTCTTAGATTTCTTTTTCTGCCTTTTATTTTTATTTGCTTATGTGTTTGTACATTCAAAGAAAGCAAGCAAGCATACAAAATATAAGGCAAAATTTCAAGCATATCTTAAAAAAAGCATTGAAAATAACTAGGCAACTTAGATTTTTAGATTTTGAAAATGCAGATATGAAATGGTTTTAAATTAAAATATTTTTCTGAATTATTTAGAATCGAAGCTCAATAAATGTGCAAAAGATGGGCTGCTGAATTATACTGGACTTACAAGGGTGAACTCGGTAGACTCATTAATTTAATTATTCACATATTTTTTAGCATAAAGTGCAATCAATCATAAATGATTATTTTTATTTGAAAAAATTTGCAATAAAAATGATAATATTTTATATAATAATAGACACTATCAAGGATTTGAGAGTTCATGCTGATATGTACCCTACTACTCCTTAAAATGTTTACAGAGCTTGCTTAGCTGGTGTCCGTAGATAAAAGTTCTGAAAAAAGATGTTTGGCTGGTAAATTGATTTGATTGAGAGTTTATTAGTAAGTAAATGAAATCAATCAAGCAATTAATCTGTAAAAAACAAATATAAATAAATTAATAGGATGGATATTAGTTGAAGAATTAATTAGTTAGTTAAATTATTCTTTAAAAAGAAATATTCTTTCAAACTTATTGTTGTCATATGTGTTCTTAATGTGGCAAAGTATACATAATCGACAACACGATACAATTATGCAAAATTATTATTGATTTACAAGCTATTTTATTAAGATAGGGAAATTTAATAATTTGTAGATATTTTCTAAAAATGTTTTAAAATTCTAGTTAAAAAAGCTAGCTTTTATTTTTAATTTTAATATTAAAATAATGAGAAAGAAATATTAATTTAATGCCTAATAATAAATAGCTAATTTCTAAACTTTAATATTTTGCTATTAAATATATTTTTAAAGTGATATTTCTGCTTTTCATCAAAATAAATGTTTTAATTATAAAATTATTTATAAAAAGTAAAATTTATTATTTTTAAATTACTTTATCAAAATAAAATGTAGTAACTTTAAAAAATAAGAAATAATAAAAATTTACCTATAAATTATATCATTTGAATATTTTATTTCAATAAATGCAATATTAAAATGATCTTTTAAAAAATTTTAAATAAAGAATCATTTTCATTAAAAATTTATTTATTTATTTATGTTTTAAATCTCTATTTAACTTTAGAAAATTTAACTTATTAATTCAAAATTAAATGATTAAAAAACAAATAATAGCTTTTTTTTTCTTCAAAAATTATCTTATTTGAATTTTTTTAGAAATGAATTTCTAAATATTACTAATTTCATTGCTAATAATAAACTAGATTGATTTTATGATCATTTTAAAATACTACATATTTTATGAAAAATAATTAGCAATTGTTTATTGTTAGAAAATTTTTTTTTAAAATTTATTGAAAATAACTTAAAATAATTAGGTTTTTTTGTATAAATTTCTAATGAGAGAGTGGTAGTTTTAGAAGTGATTAAAATTAATTTAAACTTATAACATCCAATGGATTGCAAATATATCCTTGTGAATTTTTGTAAAATTTATAATTATTTATATTATAAGGGTAATGTTGTTAATTAAAGCGCATATTAGTAGCATTTATCTGTTAATCTAAAATGATCTTAATCAATAGATGAGAATAAATGGATGGGTGTATGGATCGATATCTAACATTAAATTATAGTTTTATAGAGCAAGAATTGAATTTTCACTTATTCATAATAATAGGATTCTTATTCATACCAGAATTTGGAGAACCTCCCCTTGGACTACCTGGGTTAGTATTAGTAATGGTTTTATTAGCCAAGAAGTTGTATCCATATTTAGGTACTTAAAAGTTCTTAGGAGAACCTCCACTATTATTTGATGATAAATTAGGTAAGTTATTGTTTATTCCACCACTTTTTTTAATTGGATTCTAAGCATAGTTGTATTACATAGTAGTTGTATTAATATTATTGTGACTATTGTTTGGAGAATAATTTGGTGGTGAAGGATTTTAGTTTTTAGGAGAAGATTGCTTATTAGATACATTTTAAGGTGCCTTAAAGAAAGGTTAATAATTAGTTGCTCTTGGAGAAGATTTTCCTGAACCAGAATTAGAGATAGCAGCTGCAACATTTTATTAAGATATTTACATCATTTTCTATTAGAGTTAATTCAGAGGAGAATTTTATCTGTTTACCATTTATAAATTTGCTGGGCTTTATGATTTTTAAGAAAAGGGAGCATTTTTAGTTGAGTAAGCTTTAACATTTTCATCCATATGATTATTTTGATGCATGAAGTTGCTATTTATATTTTCTCTAGGAGACATATTGTTAATATTCATATTAGCTATAAGATTATTATTTTAGTTATTTCCTTATTACTGAGTCCCGTTTTAATATTAATATTATTATTATTATTATTATTATTACTACTGTTGCTACTATTAAACCTATTTATTCTAACTGATTAAATTATTTTACATATTAACTTAGCTCTACAAAACGTTTTCATTTCGTGATGTTAGGTTTATGGGAGAGTAGTTCTATTGCCTAAAAGGTTATTGAACAGGAATTTGCTATGTCATTTATTACTATTAAATAGATTAAGCGTTAATCTATTGAGGCATCTAAGAGTTATTCTTTGATGGTAAAAGATAAAAATTTAGAATAGAAAATAAAATTAATTAATTAATTAATTAATTAATTATTTACTGTTAGCCTTGGTGAATTTGCTTTTGTATGTTCAAGAGTATCGATTGCTATCAAAACAGGATTTTATTGAGTTTCTGCTTCTCTGTTAAACTCATAACCAAAGAAGTTTCTATCAAGCTTTAAACCAAATAAATTTCACTCATACAATAAAAAAAAAATGAATTAATTACCTTAATGTTTTTTTTCTTTTTATCATCATTACCCCATGGATCACCTTCTTCATCAAATTTATCAAAATTACTAACATCTTCACTGGACTTAACCTAAGTTATATTAATTATAAATGATAAAATATACTCTTAATAATAGTTAGTTTGATGTTGGTTACTTCTGGAATATATGGAGGAGTTTTTTCTCTCATTCTTTTCCAATCAACACCAACAAAGAAAGGATGGATTTTTATTTCTGTCACACCATTGATACCGAGTCTTTCAGAGGAGTCAGCAATTAATTTCCTAATTAAATCAGCAGCAGCTGGAGAAAGGTTAGCTTCTGGTGGAATTTAAAAAGTTTTTTTCCATTGCATGATTTTTTGGCATGTGATTGGAGGTTCATCACTAAAGAAAGGAGGATAACCTACTAACATTTCGAATAGTATAACTCCTAAGCTCCACCAATCAACAGTTTCTGTATAACCATTTTGCCCAAAAACTTCTGGAGCAATGTAATCAGGAGTTCCTACAGTAGAAAATGCAAGCTATATTTTATAATTAAAAAAAATAAATTATTTATTTGATGAAATAGAACTTACTTATCTATTTCTTTAGTAGTTAGCTGGTCTTTTAGTTAAAAGCACCTTTGGATCTAATTTTGCAGCATCGATATTCTCTTTTTTTCCGAATTCAATTTTAGGCTTAATTTCCTAGTTATTTTATTAAATAATTTTAATCAAGCTAAATTTTTGATTCCAATGTTAAATAAATACTGTTTGCTTGCATAAACCGAAATCTGATAATTTAATATGACCATCCTTAGCAATAAGGATATTATCCGGTTTTAAGTCTCTGTGAATATAATTCATTTTATGAACAGAATCTATAGCCAAAACTAGTTCTGCAGTATAAAACTTAGCTTCTTCTTCTGTGAGAATATCTTTCTTAATCAGTACATTCATTAAATCTTTATTTAAAAGTCGAATTAATTTTTATAAATAAATAAAAATTTCTTACCTCCACCAGCTAAGTACTCCATCACTAAATATAAGTATTTTTCATCCTAATATTTTAAATATCAAACTAAATTTTGAATTTTATTATTAAGAAGCTGATTAAAAAATAAATAAATGTTTTTTGTTTATAAAAATTCATTGAAAATAAATTTTTTGTCAGTTTTTTGTTTTTCAAGAAATGAAGATTTGATAGATGCCTGACTGACTGACTACATTCGTTCATTTGTTAAATTTAAAAAAGCAATTTTTATTTATTTTTTATCTTTATCAATAAAGAAAAATAACTAAAATTCAAAAGAAAAGAATCAATAACTACTGATTTTTAACAATGCTAATTAATTTTAAAATAAGCTATTTATTTTAATTTAGAATTAAGGCTGATTGTTTGCTTATTACTATTTATTATCTATTTAGTTTATTTGAAAGGAATAACAATAAAATGCATCTATCTGTATTTGTATATTTATTTATTTTATTTTCAGCTTTAAAAGACTTGTTTAAAAGATAACAGGATAATTACTTAGAATGAGCTTTTCAACTCAACAATCCAGGGATTTCCTGTTGATGATAGAACTTACTATTCAGATCTTATATGCCCAATTTAAGTTTTATTAGACATTTCTAATTTGTTCATTCTTTTAATAGCAACTATCTCTTATGTTTATTTATCTCTACAAACTCTAACTTCACCGAATGCACCTCTTCCAATAATACTTACTGGATCATAGTCTTTTGTCCCTTTTTTTTATCTCCTGTTATTAAGATTCAATAATTAATTAAATGTTTTGAAAATATTTTTTCATTGGTTTTAGGCTAATATAGAAAACAAACATCTTAAATGTTTAATATTAGCATAATTAAGAGTATGTCTATTGCTAAAACTATTAAAACAAAAAAATATCTTACAATCTTCTATTGTTTTCAGATTCTTTTTACAAAACATCTCTTTTGATTATAGTTTATTCTTAAGGTGTAAATTGCATTTCTTACATTTTCTTATTTAATTCATTCCAGTATTCTTTATTTTCTCTCTCTTTTTACAGCATCATAGCATATTTTCCTAATTTAAAATAAATTTAAGTTAGATTTGTAAACTAAAATAATAAATTCATACTCTCTATGTAAGCTTTAGCAGCCTCAGCCCTATCTTTAGTGGCAGCTGATATCTAAGGTTCTTTTCTTCTAACAGGAACCTATTGTTACTGTTACTATTAAGCCTACTATTGTTACTACTAATTAATTTGATTCATTTACTGCTAAGTAATCTATTACTACTATGTCTACTATTGTTATTATTGCTGAATACCAGCTTACATTTGCTAATTCTGAATCATTTAAAATAATGCAATTCAAATTTAAATATCTATCCTCTTTAGGTTGTTTCAAAAATTAACTTTATTTTATATCTTTAAAAGTAGTATTATTTGTTTTTGCTTTGTTTGTCTTTATTTAAAGAGTTTTATGCTTTTAAATTTGTATAATCTGTTTCTAATTTTTTTTTTCTTTGTTTTTCTGTTAATTAATATGTCAAAAATTGACTCATCACTCAAAAATTAATAGTAAATAAATCAAAATTTACTTCGTATATTTTTTAAATGAATTATTTTTGAAAAATTAAAAGAATAATTAAATGCGATTTCATTTAAATATAAGTAGAAAAAACTACCTTACAGGACAATGTCTAGTGTTTATCAATATTTAACATGTATGATTATCAAACTAAATTTCATCAAGAGATTTTATTTAATTATTAAATTCAATTAAATATATAAAAATTAAAGTAAATCTACAATTAAAAAATTAGTTTCAAATAAAGAAATTAATTTAATAATTTTTTTATAAAAGTTATTAAAATTTTTATTAAAAAAAATAATTTATCTATTTACACATTCATTCTTAATTTAAAATATCTATTAAAGTATTAATATGAAGATTTAAAATTTCTTAATTTTAGTTTCAAAAATTTTCAAACTAAAGCTTAACTAGAGTCACACATTTTAATTATTTTATATAATTTTGTTTTTACAAATGCAATTTGGAAACAAAATAAATTAATTAATTTGTTAATTTCATTTTTAAATTTCCATGCTTATTTGATATTTTTGAATGCTAAATAATCTTTAATAAAAGCCATATTCATAAAAATATATGACAAAAACCCTATAATTTGTTCCTAATTTTGTATAATTACCTAAATTAAATAATTTTTTATAATTTAATTATTATTTTTTTTAATTAAAATAGAAATTTCAAATTCTACATAAGTTAATATTTACATTTCAAAGGTTTATTTAATTTGATAAAAGTTAATTTAAAAAAAAAACAATGTTAAAATTAAACTTATGGTGAATTTCATCAAAAAAATGTTTTTATTTTATAAACAATAAAAAGTTGAAATATTAAATTTTTGGTGTATTGATGGATAAAATTGAATAAGGGATATTTACAAAAGAAAGAAAATGAATTGAGGCTTTTTTTTAGGTATGAAAAAATAATTATGTTTTTGTTACCAAAAATTAATTTTGTTTTATGGCATAAAATCAGTATTGAGATTTGAAGAATCAAAAGAGATAAAAAAAAAAGACAACAAATTAATCAAATAAAATCAATAGATATTTCATGCTTGATAAATAATCTAAAACAAACCAATATAATTAATTTTTTGCATACAAATTATATTTAGTATTGAAAATCATATTATTGACTTGATTATTTTAAATTGTCAAAATTTATTTGATTAATAAAAATAGAAAGCTTTCAAGAGATATTACTAAGTCATTAAATACATACTTCTTAAAAAGATAAATGTTTAATTGCTGTTTAAAGAATAATTAAAAGCATGACGATGATGATAACGGCAATAAAAAAAAGGATAAAAGGCTAAAAAGTTAAATAAATATGAAGACAATCAACACTAATGATGAATCTATCTCTTAATTATAAGATACAAAACATTATACAAATAATTTAACAGTAACAAAGACAGATATTTAGAATAATATGAATGCTAATACAGGAATACATAATTAATAAGGGTATATATCTGAAAAAAGTATACTCTCTCATTTGAATAGTGAGAAGAAAAACCATAGAGACACAGTAGAAACACATAATAACAATAACAACAATTATAATAGCTTTTTTACTTCTGGTATGAATACTCCTAATTATGACTATAATTTCAAAGGTTAAGATATCAATTAATCTGATAAAAAAGGCAATTAGTAAGTAGCAACTGAGAAGGATAAAACAATTGCTTGTTCTTTAGATGCGAGTAATTTAGAGCATTTTTAAAAAATTTTTGAAAAGAAGTAGGTAAAAGATTAGTAATTCGTGTAGCAAATAGACCAGTAAGTAAAGCAAAGGTTTCTTTTGAATAAATTCTTTTTTTTGAGAGACTAAGGAAATAAGTATGTTACTCTTGCTTATTGCAGTTATTAAGCTTTTTATGTTAATGGCGGGACATTTAATTATTCATTAGCGTCAAATAAGAGTACATAAAGTATCTTAAATAACACTAGTTTATTATTCAAAGCAGCTCCTAATTAGAATTTAAATGTTTCAAAGCAAATAAATACAAGCTAAGATAGTATAAATTCTTAAAACAATTCTACTATCTTTACTACTAGTAAAGTACAAAATAACAATGTTGATTTTTTAAACTACTAAAGTCTATATGCAAAATTTAAAGTAGATATGGATTAGACTGAAAATTTCACACCTTAAAAAATAGCATTTCATATTGCCTAAAAATTTAAAAAATACCCTATCTTAATAGACGCCTGCTGTGGTATTGGAGGAAATACTGTGCAAGTAATACTTAAATATAACAATCAAAAATTTACAATTTATTTTTCAATAACATTTTAATAATTTTACAATTTTTTATTTAATAAAAATAGTTTTCCAAAATCAATAAATTTGTTTTTGCTGTTGACTAGAGCTATAGAGCTATTAAAACATGCAATGAAAACATAAAAAACCACAAATAAGATGTCTCAAATGTAGAATTCATTTAAGCAGATTTTTTATCATTAGAGTGTGGCGAGCTAGGCTAATTAAGAGCTGATATTGTATTCATAAATCCACAGATAGATATGATTTCTGAAACAACAAAACCTGATATCTTTAAGCATTCTTCTCCTAATCTCTTAAAAGCAATGAAAAATGCATACAGAATGTCAAAAAACATAGCTATTCTACTACCCTATTACATAGATATAAACCAAATTCCTATATTATTGGATAAGTTTTATAGAATCTACAGAAATTTTCCTTTGTAAATTTAAGAATTTTAATTTTCCAAAATACTTATTTATTTGAATTAAAAAAATAATATTTTTGTAGAGACATGATTTAACATCACTGCCCTCACATAGAGATTATTTATATGAATGGAAAAATTAAGTATTTCTTGATTTTATTAGGTGACGCATCTAAGGTTATTTAATTTATATTTTTAATTTATATGAATTTGTTAAATTAATTTTTAAAAAATAGATATCTTAAGAAGATGAAATTAAATTTCTCCAAGAGTACATATTAGATAATAGTCCATATAAAGGACCTTATGAAGAAAAAGTGTTAGAGTTGTTAAATACTATATTAAGGAAAGTAGGTATGTTTAAATTAATTAGATGTTTAGCTAAATCAATTGATATCAATGATCTTTAGAAGTAAAAAAATTTACTAAATTCTTTTAGTGATGAATTAGAAAAAGAGGGCATTATCCATCAAAAAGAAATCAAAAATATGTTAAATTTAACAAACAATATTTCAAATGTTTGTGAAAGTGCTTCTGACTTAGTAGGGTCTCCAAACTAATTTCCAAACAGTTTCACATCTTAATAAAGCTTTTAGTTAAATGTTTAATAAGGTTCTCTTGTATAATCTTAGGAATTAAATTAATAGTTACCAAAAGCTACTAGCTCAAAGTAAATATCATTTGATAAGGATTCATAAAGCAACTCATTTTATGGAGGAGGAGTAGAAAGCAGTCTCGGAGATTTGTTAGAAAAAAAAGATAGCTTAAGTGAAAATGATATTTCTGATAATTACTCCAATAATGAAAGTGATTTCTATTTCGATGAATATAATAACATTCCAATAGATGGAAATAAAATTAATTTAAATGTAAATAATCAAATAAAGTCAATTTGATTCACCTTTCCTATTTCAATAATCTTAAAAAGTCTTAGTAATCTTAAAAATAAAAAAATAAATAATAAAATTAATTATCACATAAAAAAAGATATTGATGATGGATGGATAACTCATACAAATCTTTATCGATAATAAAACATTTATAAACTTATCAAATTAATTCAAATTAAAACTTATATAAATGTATAATAAAATTGATTGATTGAATAGTATATTTTACATAAATTAACTATTAATAATTATCTCTAAAAACAAAAATATTTTTTCTAAATTTTAAAAATAAAAAAATTAATTAACAAACAAATAAATTAATAAAAGATATGATATCAAAATGAATTAAAACTTAACAAAGTTATTTTAATTAGTTAAATAATATTAAATTAATTAATAATTTCAAAAATATTTATGTTTGCTTCTATTTAAATAAATATCAAAATAAATAGACTTAAAGCAAGTTTATTTTTTAATGTTAAAAATAAAATAAAAGAATAAAATTTTTTCTAATTACTATTTAATTAATTGTGATTAACTATTTAATAATTCAAATAAGTTTATTTTTATAAATGTATAAAGTATCTTTAAGAGCAGTAAATTTTTAATCAAAATTAATTCAAGATATTAAAAAAATATTGTTTATTTATTTTAAAAAGAAAAGTAAAATCTGCTTAAAGATAATAATTGGTTAAACTTTCTTTATGAAATAATTAAGAAAAATTTGCCCAAAGTACATGATTAAGTAAAATATTAATTGATTATATGTGATTGATGATAAATTTGTTTTTAAAGTAAGTTCATGAAAAAGATGTATGATACTCTTTTAAAGGATAATAATCTTAAAAAAATGAATTCAAGATAATTAAGAATATTTTATTGCTTTTTTAAGAAGGTAACACAAATCTGATGAAAGTGAAGTTAGTTAATCTTTCTTTATGAAATATTTAATAAAATAATAGAACAGAGTAATACATAATTATGTAAATACTATTTAATAGGGATTAATGATTAATTAATTCTTATAATAAGTATATAAATTATTAGTAAATTTATTTAATTTTTTTAATAATTACATTAGATTTTATTAGATGAAATTAAATTATTTACATAATTTTATTATTGAAATATTAAATTATTTCAGAAAAATCTATTTTATTTATTTCAATATTTTTGGTTATTAATTATTTCAATAAGAATGAATGCTAATTTAGTCATTCATCCTCAGTTTTTAAGCGAGCCATATTTTTTTAAGTTTTCTATTTGGTTTGATATATCCATTGGAGATAGCCAGGTGTCTTTTAATATCTTTTATTTAAAATTTAAAACAAAATTTAAAATTTTATAAATATATTTTAATATTTAATTACTGATGTTGCATTTATTCTTTCGTTGTTATTTGTGTTTAGTATTTTTTATATTAAATATTTTGCTCCTGTAGAAACATGAGGTGGGAATTTGGCTTCTCCTCTTTATATCTCTTTGAAAAGTGTTTTATCATCTATACCTCTAAAAGGAAAAGTACCACACAACATAACATACAAAAGAATACCAGCTGCCCAAATATCTACTGGCTATCCGTAATATTCTTTTTTAGCTACTATTTCAGGTGCCATATAACCTTGATTATTTTAAAATTGCTATTAAATTTTGAACAATATTTAAAATATTTACTTGGGGTTCCACAAAAAATAGATAACTTTTTTTCAGGTGGAATAATTATGGAAAATCCAAAATCAATAATTTTAACATTATTTTATTTATCAAGTAATATATTTTCAAGTTTGATATCTCTATGTACAACATTTTTAGAATGCAGATACTCTAAGCCTAAAATTAATTATTTAAATATCCTCTTTGCTTCATTTTCAGGTAGTTTTCTTCCAGTATGCAGTTTCAGGTATGAATGAAGTGAGCTTGATCCTACATATTCCATTACTAAGTTAATCTTAAAGTAAAAAATATTGAAAGTAGAACAATTTAAATAAAAAGAAAATTTAATTATTTTGTTCATTCAAAAAAATAAAAATCAATCAATTAATTTTTATGAATGAAAGAAGTTTTTGGTGAAATAATTGCTCAATCTATTTAAATTTGAGGAAGATTTAAATGTAATTTTATAAAATTGCTGAAATCAATCACTTCATATTGAACTAATTTTCAAAAATAATAAATACATGCTTTGGAGTATCTATTGTTTTAAATAATTTTATACAGTGGCTATGATCTAGCTTCTACAATATTTAAATCTCTCTTTGGACATTTTTCTTCTTTTAGGGATCAAATAGTTTAAATTTTTCGTATAGCTTCACTGCAACTTTAATATTGTTAACTTTATCTACACCTAGTTTTACAGTCGCATAGCTTCCCGTTCCTTTAGTAATAATTTAAGTAAAAATCATTTTAAAACTAACATTTTTTTAACTTATTATTCTTTTATATATAGCTTAACATAATTTATAAGCAGAATAATGATTAAAAATAATTACCTATAACAGGACCTAATGTATAATTTTCAAGTTAATTTATAGAATTTTAAGTTTAAGTAATAGGTGATAGACTTCCTTATTATATATTAGTTGTAGTGATCTTACTTGAATCTATCATTACTTTTTTTACATTCTCTTTGTCTTAAGTCTTTTTATTTAAAAATTTTTTGTTAAATAAGAGTAGGAATAACTTTTTAGGCATTTAATATTTTAAATTTACTACAATTTATCTAGAATTTCTCACAGAATTCAATGAAGATTCTCTGCGCCCTTAAGACACTGTATTATTGTTGTTTGAAGGTTTTAGAACATTTTTCATTGAACCTATTACTTATTGCTCCTTCTGGCTTGTGTTGTTTTTTAAATAAGGAATAGCAGTTAGGGTGTTTGGTTTTGTTCTGCTTACTGGTGGCTTTGAAAAACTGCTAGCTAAGTTTTCATCTTTAACTTTTCTTGAAGCTAGCTACTAGAGCTCTTTCTCGAGCATTTAGGCTTATCTTTCAATTTTAGCTTTCTTCTCTTTCTATAAAAAGTACATCTTTCTTTATTACCTTTATTTTTGATTATTTTTGTAGCTTGGTTGAAAGATAATATTTTTTTTTAAGTAAATTTAAAAGATGTGATTTTCTGATTGTTTATTTATTTATTTATTTTCTCACTTTGAAATGTTTTTCTGATTTTATGATTAAATTTCAATAAAGTCTTAAGCCTTATTAATAAATATTTAAAACCAACAATTTTTTCTTAACTACCCACTTTTTATTGATTAGCTGTTAAGATTAATTAAATTCATCACTAAAAACTCACTTTAGCTTAAAATAAGTTCACATCAATCAGATTGTATGTTTTAACCTTCTGAATTAATTCTTTTAAAAAATATAAAAATTTAAAATTAGAATAAAATATTAAATGTTATTTTTTTATGTATAATTTTAAAAGAAATAGTATTAATTATCTATCTATGAAATTTATTACCTAAAATAAATTTAAGAGAACTATAAATCCCAGAGTCTATACAAAAATATATTTTTCTTTATCATTTAATTTAAATATTCTTTAGTTGTAATTTTCAATTAAACATTAAAATAAATATTATTTATTTGTTTCTTCTTGTCTAAAATTTAATAAATCTTCTAACATATTATTTTTGCTAAAACTATTACTTATTTTCAAACTTTTAAGATAAATAATTTTTTGCAAATTAAAATTAAAAATATCTTTATTTTATTTAAAATAAGTATCAAAATTAAAAATAAATTATTGATTTTAATTTTTTTAGTCAGATATTTTTTGAGCTACTTGAATTTAATATAAAAAAATAATATAAATTATTTTTTATTTTTTATCAATTTAATAATTTAGAAAATATATTACAAAGATAAAATTTATAAAATTTCTAACTCAAAAATAAATTTTTCTAAAATGATTATTTATATATTTAGATATTATTATTGAATAATGTTTAAAAACAATTTGCTTAATATCAAGTTTTTGAAAGATTTTTTTTAAAATAAAAACAGTATTAAAATACAATTAAATATATAATAAAATCTTAAGATTAGAAATTCTATTTGTATATAAATTAATTAGCAATTAAAAGATTTTTTTTTATCTTACTTAGTTATTATTCTAATGGATCTTTAAAATTTTTAAAATTTGTTTCCTTAAAAAAAATAAAGGAATATAACTTTAAAATAACTAAAATAATTATGAAATTTACTAGCTAAAAAATTATGGCCTGAATTTTTTTATTAAATCTAAGTTAAAAATAGTAAAAATTAATTCTAATTTAATTAGCTAAAAAAAAACAAAGAAAATATTATATAAAAGCTCTAACTAATATGGGTTAAGAAGACATAATGTAAACATCTTTAGATAGCAGACCAAAAAAATAAAATCTAATAAATAGGGCTAGGAGTATATCTACCTCAGCTACAATAAATTGTAAAAGTTTTTAATTTATAGTTATATTAATTTCATTTATATTTAAAAGGTAATAATGAAAATAGATTGAAGAACAATTTATTTCTTAGTAGAAAAAATGATATTTTTTAAAGAGCATATAACCAAAATAATATTTAAAAAAGCTTTAAAATTACCAAAAATAAATAAAATAATATTGTTAAAATAGAAGACTAATCTACAATTGGTTCGATAAGGCCTAAAAATTATAGCATATTCAGCAATTCCTCTAATATGTCTAGTTCTCAAACAAAATATTCTTAACTATTAGAGGATTAATCAGATAACATTATATAAAAAAATGTTAAAAGACGTAAAAACAGTAACTGCAGTACTATATCTAATCAAAATTCAATAAACTTTCATATAGGAACAGATTAAACTATACCCTCTTAAAATGGATAAAAGACTCGAATCGACAGTCCTTTAAGTTCTTGTAAAAAAAAAGTAGAATTAAATATAGAAGTATCTTAAAAACAAAGAGTTAAAAATTTTAATACTTTAAAAAATCATATTAGCTTTAGTAAAAATAATGAAAGATATTAATGCTTTGCTGAAGATTCTATTATAGATGAAATTTCTATTGGAACTAATCCAAAATCACCTAAATCCATATGTAGTACAAAATGTAGTCCAAGATCAAGAATTTTAAGTTTTTTTTCTTATACAGACTATTAGTAGAATTTAGAAAACATACATTCATAGCCAAAAAATTTTTAAAAATAATAAAGAATTTACTTTTATGATATAAAAAAATATTTATTTAATTGCTATGATGAATTTGATCATAAGCGTTTTGGAACTATCCTTAACTAAGATTCTCCTCTAGATTATAACTTTCTTAAAGATTTCATTTAAATCAATCAAAGATTCATTTCAGATAATTTATCTTTTTAAATAGCTTCATTAGAGAAAATGCATATAAATAACTATCGTGTTTCAATAGACTGCCTTTTGAAATTATAAATTGCTAAAAAAGACGCTCAGAGCATTTAAAATTATATAAAATAATTAGAAGATTACTATAACAAGAAATAAAAAAATTTAAGTGCAGTTTATAGAAATAAAATGCTTAAATTTAACAAAGCTAATGGAAAAGTTTAGCTGAGTGTAGACGATTTTATTAAAAGTCCTTTTGATCTAGTGTTAATTATCGATTATAATAACGAATTCTAAAAATAAATTCAATAAACTATCCATTAAATTTTAGATCAAACAAATTAACACAGTAGAATTTGCCTTATTTTTCCTGATTTTATTAGAGGTAAATGTGTAAGAACTGATTTACTTATATGTAATAATGAAAATAAGCAAATTCTTTAGGATTTAATTTAAAAAAATCTTTTTAACTGCTAAATAGATCAAATCAATAATGATTATTTAGAATATTTAGAAGATGAGGAGTAGAAAAAATAAATTCAGAAGTGTTCGTATTTTTAATTTTTAAAATCTAAAGCAGGATTTCACGAAATAGCCTTCCAACATGCCTTTCTAACTCTGACTTAAAAAACCTACATAAACTATCAATAATCAATATTTCTGATTTCAGATGGATATAATCCTCCTAACTTAGAAACAATAAGGAATAAATTCAATTATTTCAGCACCTAAAATAATTATAATTTACATAATATTGATGAAAACTTAAGTTTTAAAGTTTTTTAATACTGTTCTAAAAACTAGACAGACGAATCTTTATTCAATTTATCGTAGCTGAAGGGGGGAAGATACTTTTATGTTCAAAGAATTGACGATCTTTAACATGTAGTAAATTAAGCAATGAACGATTTAAATTCAAATGTAGCTTTTTCAACAATTGCTTCAGTAGATTTAACAAATCATTCTTAAATAAATTTGAAGTCAAAAGATTAATTTATAGAGAACTTTTCATAAACACGCCCAAGACAAACATCAATCGCAAATAGTATTTTATATAATCAATAAATAAATTTTGAGTATCTTGATGAAGAATAAGAAATTATAAGAAGCGACTTGTAAGAGGGGAAAAATTAAAATCCTTAAAAAAACATAAAAGAAAAGATAGTTGAAGCTTAAATAAGCGGGTAAAAATTATTTACCTAAGAAATTAGTAAATTATATGGAGGTTAGCTAATTTGGTTTCAAGAAAGCAGTCAAAGCATATCAATTAAAATTTAACATTTCAGACATGGCCAATAAAAAATTTTTCCTTTTTGCATTGATTTGAAGCCTTCTAACTTACTAGCACAATCAGAAATAGCTGAATTTACAATTGCAAATGGCACTTGCCTATTTTTTGCCTCTTCAGAAAAATTTCATTCAAAAGCTTTTACTGTTATTTATTAGAAAAAATTTTGCTCTTGTTAAGCTGAAATTCATTTTTATTTAAATAAAAATCAAACATATAATATATCTACCTTAAACTTCCATACTTCTTCAAGATAGATTTCATACAATCAGATGAATTTAGAAAAAAATTAAGCATCGGGATTTGAGATTGTTAAATATATTACCTATTATGAGTTCATTGAAAGTCTAGAACAAATAATTGAATCTTATTTGCAAAAATCAATATCGAAGTAGGAATTCATGACAAAAATTAGATAAATACTCTTAAAAAATCCTCAAAAAAGCTTAGGAAATTTTCTCTATTAGGTCTAATCTTTGCTTTCGTACTTAAATGATTCTGAGCGAAATATCATAGCGACTTTATATTTTAAGAGCGTTATATAAAGTTGCAAGCTTTAATGTTGAAATAATTTCCCCACTTAAATATATTAGCAATAATTTAATAATTACTTACCTTAATAAAAAAAACAATAATATGTAATTATTAGATAGTCAATTTTAGAATAGTTCTAATTACTTCATCTGATTATTAATTTAAAAAGAGTACCTTTTTTAAATTTTTATTTGATGTTAATTCATAGTAGTGAGTTAGACCTCATATATGCTTTTAAAAATTATTATATAAAATGAATAATTTTACACTCTTTCTTTATTTAGATTGCTATTAATTTCTGTTTTGTAAATTTTAAAATATATTATTTTAAATTTTCATGGTAAATAAAATACTTTTATTTACTCATTTATCTTTGTATTTTAATTATTTTTTTCTATTACTTTTAAACCTAATAACTTTTATTATATATATTACCTTAAAAATAAAATAGTAGATACAAAAGATATTATCACAATTTTATAAATATTGAGATTTTATATAACTTTTATTAAAAATATATACTTCAAATATAAAATATTATTAATCAACAATAACTTATATTTAAATTATAAGTATGATTCAGTGCTCTAAAAATATCTTTTCTTTAGAATTTTTAAAAATTTATTATTAAAACTTAACCTATAAAAAAGCCTTTAAAAATAGAAAACTTTTATTTTTGATATAGAAAAGTAAAATAGGAAGATTGAATAAGGATTTCTTTGATTAATTAATTTCGAATTTATTAAATTTTTACAAATTATGTTCAATCTATTTTATTAAATTGATCAATTCGATTGTAAGAAATTGGCACAAATTTTAAGATTACATAAATAAAGGTATCAAAATTTGTCAAGAAAAATATAGCTTCAGATGAAATTAAATTATCAAATTATCTATCTATCTATTCGTTTATAAAAGATAAATATAAATAATTGTTAATATATCAAAAATAAAATATAAATAACCTATAAAAACAAAAGGCTTATTCATATTTAAATAATAAAAAAGATTTTTTCTTTAATAAAACATATACCAAAAGATCTATCTCACAAAAATACCAACAAAAACTTATATTATCATAACTCATAAATAAAAACCAAAAAATGAAAACAAACAGAATTGGTCTCACAAATTTAGAGCAGAAATAAAATTACATTTTAAAATCATTTGAAAATAGAGAAAATTCGTCAAAATAAAGAAATTACATAGTAAAAAAAATAAAAAACAATAGAGTTTTATCTATTGATCATAAATTTAGTAACTAAACTTAAACTCAACTACAAAAAGATAAATTGAATTTTTCTTACTATTCGACAGCCATGAATAGTCCTTTAGATTCTTAGAATTCCACTCCAAACTAAAAGTCAAATAATAATACACTTTGCTTTTAAGACATTAAAAATAATAACAATAAAAATCAAATTAAAAACGATTTGTGCGTTCAATAAGAAAACCAAAAAAATTAAACACCTTCTCCAAGAGATGACAAATAAAATAATAATAATTACAGTCCTGTAGTATATAATAAAATATAAAAAAGATCAGCAGGTAATCGTAGATTCTCTGTTAGCAATTAAAAGACTATTTTGGATTGTAAGTAATTTGAAAGTAAAATTAGCAAAAACAATAGTGATAAAAGTAACCAATAAATTAAAAAAGTAATTCAAGACTAAGAGTAATAAGGCAACTAATAAAATATAAAAGAAAAAATGAAACGAACTTAGAATAACTTTTTAACAATAAATGAAAGGAGAAGATCAATTTCGAATACTTTTTAGTTAAATTAATTGCATAAAAATAAACCCAATTTAGATTTTGAAATAAAAGTCCCTTCTCAATAAATTTAAAATGAAATAGAAAAAAAGTAAATAGTTGAAGATGAAAACCCCAATTAATAAATATTTTCAATTGCGTATGATTCATATGATCATTCCCAACTCGAAATATTAAATAATGACGAATAATTAGATTCTTCCTATTTAAGTGATTTTATTGAAGTCAATAGAAACTACATTGAGGAGAATTTATAAGTTTGTTTAAATGCTGACAAAAGCTGTGTTGATTTGCACTAAGGAAAATCCTCTTTTATAGATGTCATGGTATCTATTGAACTTCCTGAAAAAAGCCAACAACTCATAGAACCATTTGTAGATTCTTTCCGCCGCAATCAGTAAGATCAAATAAGAAAGTAGGATATTATTTTGTCTAGGAATTAAGGAGTTCCCTTGAGAAATAAGATATATAACACCAGAGATTACATTACTTCACCTTACGATCTAATTATAGTATTGGATGTAAATATGAATTAATAGGTTTTGAAACAGGTTTTGGATTCTATTGAATTTATTATATCAAATTCGAATAAAAACGATAGAATATCTTTGATAATCCCAATTGGAAATAAGATTCTTAAATCAAATCTGGTCCGTTGCTCTAACGCAATGAAAAAAATTTTAGTTGATGTGCTTTAGAAAGTTTAGACAAATAGTAGGCTTTCTAACCACAGAGCCCTTTTAAATGCCTTCTGGACAATTTAAGAAAGGAAGTGTGAAAACTATTAGACAGCTGTATTTTGGTATTAATATGGATAAATAACCAAGTCCTTTTCAGAATAAATAAAAGAGGATCTCATACATTTGAATATTAAAACTTCTTTTTCCTTTTATAATTTTCATATAAAAAATCCTCATGACGATTCTATAAATTATGCTAAAAACCTTTTCACAACTGAGGCTTTTAGCTAGAATTATTTATAAAATTTATCTCATATGAATGGAGGGTACTACTATTTCATTGAAAATGGTACCTAGATTGCTTAGTTTAGTGCTAAAGCCCTCGGTTCTGTTAAAACACTTGTAGGCTTTAAGGTGAGTGCTACAGTTTCGAAGTGTTTGAATTAACAAACAATAAATAGAAATTAAATGAAAAGTAACTAAAATAAAGTCTTCTTAGAGGATAAAATAAATAACTACATCCCAAGCGCTAAGATAGACTTAATGTATGGAGGAGATGCTGTATGGAGAGAGAATGAAAGCCATTAAGAATATTGCATTGACTTACCTCAAATAAACTCAGGAATTTCAAAATAATTTAACTTGAGATTCTCATTTTAGGGAACGAACATCTAAATACCAAAAGAAAATTGCTAACACTAAGTTTTCAAAGCACATTTTTATGTTTGTCATGAAAACTTATATGAAGATTAAAAATACATAATTAGAGATAGCATACTTCAATTAAATTTTAGAAATTACAACATTTAGGATTCCCCACAAATATTCATTAATAATGATGTACTAAAAAACTCATATAAATATAAGCTCCTTCCTGAGCTCATAGACTATTTAAAGCTAATTGAAAAAGGAGAACATCAATACGCCTCAAAAAAACTTGAAGAATCGAAAAGCTATATTAATAATTTATTTAATTGTTCTTCAATTCTAGCAACAGATAATTTAATCTAATTTACTGAGTCTCTAAAACATTATTCAAAATATCCTGAAGATTTTAGCGCAAATAAAAAATACGAAATCAGTGCTTTTTTACAATCTTAAATGTTATAGAAAGCAGAAACATTTTAAAAGAAATTGAATTACGGAATATAATTGAGTGATTACTCGATGAATTACATGTAATTCTACCTATAAAATTTAGCAACTTAAAATATTAACAGCTGAAAAGCTGTCTACTTAACCATAAGATATAAAACTAATTAACTTTACTTCCAAAACCATTAAAAATTAAAATTATTAGGTTATATTCAATCTTTGTATATATTAAAATTAAATGATCTACATTAAATTTTGTAAATTAATCTTTTAAATTAAAAAAATTCATCTACCATCCAGAAAAACCATTAATTTTAATATTTATATTTGCATCTATAACGCATTCTAATGCTTTATCCTATACCTTGTATTCAATATTTAATTAAAAACTCTAAGCAATTTTTTATTACCATTAATTATTAATTAAATCTTACTTTCTCAAATCCAGTTACTATTTTTCTATCAACCTATCTATCTATTTATTTAGATAGTAATTTTCTTTTTTTAAATTCTGAAATCTTGAGACATACATACTTTATACTTTGCAATAAATTCATTTCAAATTTAAAACTCATCAAAATCAATTGAGAGTAATATTAATTTTTTTTAAAATAGTTTTTTACATATTAAATAATGAGACTTACCAAATTTACATAAAAAAATCAAATAATTTTATCCTCTAAAAAGATAAAATTAGTTTTTTAATAAATTTACTTGCTTATCAAAAATTGAATTCAAATAATCTTTTATTATAAAAGAAGTAAGTAACCTAATAGCCGGAGGAAAAATTATTTGATTAAGGATGATAAGAAAATTTGGATCCTTAATATATAATTGCAAAAGTTTTTATTTTAAGAAAAATGGATAGTAATATATATATAAAGTTGTCTAAAGAACAAATAAACTCAAATAATTGTGGGAGCGAGTATAATATGATCTTTTAATATAAAAGAAAAATTAGAGCGATACAATTTAAAAAAAGTGTAATAAATTAAGATTTAAAATAGCAAAAAATAAAAAAAAGGCTTCTATTAAATTATATTTTGTTCATTTTAAAATAGCTAATGTAATACATATGTTTAATTTCTTTTAAATTATTTTAGTATTATAAAATTTTTATGTTTAAATAAACTATTTTCATTTTGAATTATCTTATTTACTTATTTGAGGTATTTTTAAAAAATTTAAGCAAATAATAGGATACACCCAGATTGTTTTATGTGTCAAAAAATTATTTATCGCTCTATCTATTAATGTAAATTCAAATGATTATCTAACAAACAAGTAAAATAGAAAAGAAATAACAAATATAGTACTTACTTATCACAATTTAAATAATTGTAAAATTCAATAAAATTTAAATGCTTGGTTGATTTTCTTTATTTGATTACTGTTATTAATTAGATACTAATTCTTAAATTATTTCAATTACTGACTATTAACATTATTCAATATAATGAAGCTCCATATTTAAATATACACAAATTATCTTAATAAAAATCTACGTTATTTAAAATTCGGTAAAGAAAAGTATTTTATTTACTTAAGCAAAAAATCAATTGTCATCATTGATTATACTTATAAAGAATAGACAATTATTGAAATGATTGACTTAATTACCTATTTCGATCAATAAAGTAGAAAAATAGATTCCCACTGTTTTTGTTTTCACAGCTGCAATAATTCGAATTAGTAAACAATGTATTGTATTTGCGTGTAAATTAAAATATTCTTGGATTTTATCATATTTCTTATAATTACCCAATTTTAGAACACAAAAATGCATATAAAGAATTAAATTAAAAAAGCAAAATATTCATCTTATATTAAAAAAGTAAATTACTTTATTCAAAGAAGACTAATTAATATCTAACTAATCTAATTAAAAATATTTGCTTTACTTTTAATTTATGAGTAAATAAGATTTTCATATCACAAATGAATATTAATGCACATACAGAAACATATCTAATAATGATGATTAACTAGTAAACACTATTTCTAAAAGTCTTCATTTACAAACTGTTTATTCTAGAGGTAAAAAGCTTGTACCATCTTAATTTTTAAGAAAATCAACAGACTAGCAGAACCTAAATATGATTGAGTAAAAAAAAATTTCACCCAAAAAATATTCTCAATCAAAATTGTAAATTCTTCTTTAAAACAACTCAAACAAATTTGTCAATGCAAAATAATTATTAAATAAATATTCTCAAAAATGCAGCAATATTAAAATAGTTGATTAGGCAGCTAATCAATCAAATATGAGCTAGCAAAATAAGAATTAAAACATGAACTCTTAAAATTAGCAAAATTATGAGCAACTTAGTAAAAAGAAATTTAGAAGAATAGACCATTCAATAAAATTTAACACTGAGCCTAAGAAAATATAATAAAATAAAGTTAGTGTACCTTTTTCTGCTTCCCCAAGTAAGAGAAAACTAGTAAATTTCTAATAACCAAAATTCAAGGATGACTTCTCAGAAGATGATAATGAAAATTATTACTTACCTTAAGTAGAATAGCTCTCAAAAAAAATGGTTGTTTCTAAGTAGAGATCCTCATCACCTTTAAAAAATTTGAGAACAAACTCCAACGCAATAAAAGGTTAAAAAAACGAAAACTTTAAAATAAGTCTTAAAGTAAATAAAAGATATATCCATAATTTAGAGTAATAATCAACTAGAAGAGAAGAAGCATCATCATCATCTTTTTATTAAAATTCACAAAGAACTGCTATAATTCCTCAAAATTAAATAATAAGAGAATAATTAAATTAAAAATAAAATTAGGAGAAATAAAAACAATAATAACCTATTTTTTCTAGTGAGGAGGAGAACAAAGTGACTAATGATGAAACAGAATTTAGCGATGATATGTTTAAGCACAATATTCACAATATTTCAAAAGAAGATTAGAAAACTGTAAAAATGAGTGAAATATAAATTTAAAGGAGAGATGGCTTCATTAAAAAAATTCAAAAAAATGATGAAAAGGATGTTAAAAAATAGAAATCAATAATTTCATCAAATAATCTTAGTTTGAATTCTACAGATTCGCAAGATGAGAATACCTCAACTAAATCTAAAATTTGTGAAAAAAACCCTTAACTAAGTGAAGATCCTATAAATTAAGAGTTCTTGGAGGAGTTTACACAAGTAAATAAGCTATTTGTTTAGGATAACTTAGAATTATAAGTCTTAATTGATCGCGAGAGAGTTCAATTATTTCATAAAAAATCTTCCTCTGCTGATGTAATGGTTAGCATTAATCTACCAGAAAAAACAGAATCTGCAATTAATCGTTATGTAAGCATGCTAAGAAAAGTAAAATTAGAAGCTATCGAAAAAAATTCTAATTCATAAATAAATTGCAAGAAATATTAAACAAAAGACTACACTTGGAGTCCATATGACTTAGTCATCCTCATTGATGACAATATTTCTGTAAAGAATATGACTAGTATCAAAAGTTCTATTAATTTTATTGTTCAACAATCATCTTAATTTGATAGAATATGTTTAATATTTCCTAACTCATAGGAAATTACTAAATCGAAGCTCGTAAAATGCGATTTATCAAATAAAGAATATTTGAAAGATATTTTAAAATATGTGAACCCAAGAGGTGATGTTGAATCCATAGAGCTTTTAGATTAGGCTTTAGAAATTCTTAATAAAAGACAAGAAAAGAATTTTATTTCTCAAATTTACTATTTTACTGAAGGTTACAACATAAAAAAATCTGATGAAATGATAAATCTTTTATAAAAAAAAAATTAATTTACATATTTCTTAAGCACATTTCATTTAAAAAATAATAATTGCGACTCAAGTATATAATAAATTTCATACTCTTAATAGGGGGACTATCACTTTATTGAAGATACTTCTAATTTACCATTGATAGCTGCAAAAGCTCTAGGTCAGCTAAAATCTACAGTAGGTTTTAAATCAAGTGCCATGATTATGCCAACTTTAGACAAAAAATTTATAGAAAAAATAACTACAGAAAGGAGATATGGTGGTTCTGGAATTTGGAAGGAAGATGATGAATTGGAAGCTTAGTCTATAGATCTTTATAATTTGATAGCAGGCTGCTCAAAAAATTATAGTTTGAGATATAGTTTCCCTGCAACTGGATATCTGATAGGCGATGAATGGATCGAAAAGCCAACATTCAAAGCAGCTTGCTTAGTATTTTTTGAATCATAAAAATATTAATAATATATTTATAATGAGTAAATTAAAAAAGTTACATTCGAAAACGGAGATATTTATAAAACAGAGTAAGAATCATTAATTAATAATCCTTACAACCCAACAGTATTAAGAAATTCTTTTAAATATTAAATCATTGATAGTTTTGAAATACTCATCTAAAACTTGTAAGATAAATTAGAGAGCGAATATAGCTTAATCAAATTTGAGGAAAATTTAGAATCAATTTTGTAAGAGTATTTCGTTGAAATTTCTCTTCATTTTGAAGAATTTTTGGAAGACATCGCATAATTGCATTAAAAAATATAAAAAAATGGCAATTAATCAATTAACAACAATCTAAATAATTTATTAAATTCATTTTTAAATGCACACAAATATCAAAAATCATAATTATCAAAAACAGATATTTCGTTTAATACTTAAATATCTGAGTATTATATGAACTATGCTTAGTTCTATTTCTAAAGAATATGCTAAAATTAAATTGTTTGAATGAATGAGCAAGTGTAATAAAATTATTAATCAAATTAGATGATTTATCTATTTAATAAATCATAAAATTAAATATAATTTTCAAATATAAATAATTAATTAAAATATACTTCTATTAAAATTTACCTTAATTTATTTATTCTTATATAATGTAAACAAATTCATATTTTTCATTGTATCAAATTTTCAAAAATTATTTCTTTATGAAATACAAACAACTTTTTTTATTTATTTCTTTGTTTGTTAAATATTCTAAATACAAAAATATATTGAATTTGATTATTTGTTTTACAAAAAAATATATTGAAATTAATTATTTGTTTTGCAAAAAAAAATATTGAAATTGATTATCTGTTTTATTCAAATAAATAATTTGAAATTGATTATTTAATTTTCAATAAATAATAACTAAGGCTTATACTTATTTATTTGTTCTCAATTCATAAAGTAGTTTTTGATTTAGAAATGGAAAATATGTATAAGAAATGAACTTTGAGATCAAATATATTCGATTTTTCGAAAGAGATTAGATAATTTAAAATGCCTAAACTAGACAAATAAATTAAATTTATTCATATCATCAAAATTAATTTCGATATCTATAAAGGATTTATTTAAATTTATCTGCAGAAAGACATTATACATATTAAAGACTTACCTATATTTTTATAATTAATTATTTCCAAATTATTAACTAGTACAATAAAACTAAATTTATTTATCATGGGCGATTAAAACTCTGTTTTATCTTAGAGCTTTTACTTGAGACTTTAGCCTGATCGCAAAATATCGATCAGTATAAGATATAATAAGAAACCTAATGGACCCTTTCTGTAGAAAGATGAGCTATCTATGTATAAATAATCTTTTGATCAATAAATTTAGCAAAGGTCTATGTCTCTGAATAAAAGCAATCTTTTATCAAGAAGAAATAGTAGTAGTGCATCAAAGAAAAATACTTTACAATAATTATTATTTAAGTAAATTGAATAAAAACCTAAAGAAAATGAATCTATAAACAATTCTAACTAATAACTCACAACTCCTAGAAAAAATATTTTAAATTTACAATTTAAATAAGAAACAAATTAATAAATCAATTAGATTTTAAGTAATAATAAATAAAAAAACGCAATTACTAAATTTAAGAGCTTTTTAATTAACAAATAAAAAATATTAAATAAAACAGAGGTATAAACAAGTTTTGATGATGAAAATGATATTCTAACTTATGATTCTCCCCTTAAAAGCAAAAACTAAACTGAAGTAAGTAACGTTATGTACACAAGTCCTGACGTAAATTAAATAACTCCACCAAGATGCGGCACTGCTTCTAAGCAGGTGAGAAGAAGATATTCAAATCAATTACTTAATAGTGTAATGAAAGATAAGAATAGATCATACAGCCATCAAAATAAAATAATTGACTGTAAATAAATATCAAGCTAATAATAAGAAAATACTGCTTCGCCATATCAAGACATCAAAAGTGCTAATGATATTGATAAAGAATTTGAAATAGAAAATAATAGTTAATTCAAAGAAAGTTTAATCAATTAAGACTTCATATAATATTTTAGATTTTTTAACAAAAAATTTATTGAAGATAATTTGAAAGTTTCTCTCGAGACTGACAAGAAAATGCAAGAATTAAATTAAATCGAAAGTACTTGCTCTGCAGATGTGATGATGAGAATTTAAATACCTGAAAAATCTATAGAAAATTTATAGAAATATGAATCTTAATGGAAATAGCATTATAAAGTATAATATAGATATTAAGACTTAACCTAAAGTAATAAAAAATTACCATTTAATTAATTTAGCTAAAAATACAATTTATCTTAACTCATATATACTCCATACGATTTATTTATCCTTATAGAGGATATCTCGGTCCAATATACAAAGAGAGCTGTTGAATTTTTACTGCTGAATTCTTATGAGAATGATAGAGTGTGCTTAATTTATGTTTAAAATGACGAAATTTATAATACACCATTGCTTAATTGCAACTAATAAAATAAAAATTACCTAAAAAATATCATTTAAAATATTCAATGTGGAAATTTAAAGCAAGAACATAAAGTGAGCATATTTGAAAGATTAAAGAATTTAATAGAATAAAGGTTTGAAGTAAATTTTTTAACTCAAGCTATATGGTTCACTCATGGTGTGAGTCTAAAATAGACAACTTAAATTACTTATAAATACAACCTAATAGACAAGAAATACAGATTTCAAGTTAGTATATTTGAATATATCGATGATAATTTGAAGAGTTTTATCAATAAATTAGCTTTTTAATCATCAGGTAATTATTATCTCATTCCATCACATTCAAATTAAAGTGAATAAATTCCTTTTGTAGCTGAGACATTATGTTAGATTAAAAAAACAATTAGCTTTAAATGTTCTGGAATGGTAAGGCGCTTAACTGAATTGGAATATGCTCAATATAATTAAAATTAAATTAAAAATGCTATTCTTCCAAAAATGCAAATTATATAAAAGTATGGAGGATAAAAAGTATGGAAAGAAGATACAATATTTTAAGGCAACTAGATATTAATACCATATTTACAGCATGACTCTGATTATAAATACTATATAAATTATTAGTTTTAACTTGAACAGCAAAGAAAATACAATTAAATAGAGGACTAAAATATACCTATTTTGAAGGTTGTGTGCCTATGCTTTTTAGATTAAATAAAGAATAGCGATTACATATTTAAATAGAGTTCATTAGAACTTTAATTCAATATTAAAACTCTAAACAACTAAATTAGTGAAGAACCTTTGAAAAATAACCAAGACAACTCTGCTGATTAAATTATTCCAGAATAAATTGTAGAGTAAATTGAAGAATAAAGTTTTTTTTAATTAAAATATAATTGCATATCTTTACTCTCTTCTTTAACAAATGTGAAGGATATAAGTTACATAAGAAATTAATTAAGCAAAATTTAAGACTCTTTTTTAAAAAGCTAAGAACAACATTTGAAAACTGACTAATATGAAGTCAGCAAAATATTAAGTCTCCTATCGGAGCTAAATATTTTTGCATAATAATCTTCTGTTCATTATTGCAATATTATGATTGAAAGTGTTGTTTATTCTCTACTCAGATCAAAGAATCCTTATTTTTAATAATAATGAACTAATAATTGAATAAATAATCTATTAACTGTTATTCCTCACTAAGTAAGAATTATTTATATTAAGGCATCTTACTAAAATTTTATGGATTAAGGCACTTAACCTAGGATTAAATCTAGAGGAGGAGTAGGTCTTAACTATTGAGAATCTACAGTATTTATTTATCTTTTCAAAATTTAACTTTTAATATATAACTAACAAATAATAAAAATCTATTAAAGGACACTACACATCTAAATTATAGATCTTTGATTACTAAACTCTTAAAAATTTTAAAAAAGTATTTAATTGTTTTATATATGTATTTATTGAAATAAAAATAACTTTATATTTAATGTTAATCTTACTATAATTAAATATTAATTTAAATATTTACTCATATTTAGGCATTTTTAATTTTTTACGTTTTAAGCAAAATTTATTTTTAGTGCAGTAAAAAAATCTTAATATAAGAACCTTTTAATAAGATCAGTTAAAAAAAAGGAAATTTTGTTTTGTTATTATTATTACTGTATTATTTTAAAGAAAAAATTTAAAAAATTATTAAGTAAATAAATAATTTGCTTATTAGAGTAAAAAAGTAAAAGTAAGGCAAAAAAATACTTAAGTAAATAAATCAAATAAATGAGTTTAGATGAAGAGGGAACAAGTGAACACTATCGATAGAAAACTTTCCTTTTAAACTAAACTGAGTAGGATTTAAACAGGTTAAAGCATCTGCATGAAAGATTGGAAGATTCATGCCATAGTGAATAGTAGAATTAAAGTAGAATTGAAGATATTTCAACGTTTCCTTTAAATTAAGTTCATACAAAAAAGAGCTAAATTGATAATGAACATTATTACTAGACAGAATAATGCAGTAATAATTAAAGTAAGCTCTCTTAAAAAAACAAAGGAACACTAAACAAGAGTTTCACATAATCCCACCTATATAGCCGCAATAAATTAGAAGAATTTGAAATAATTTCAAAGTCTCCAACTTAAAAAGTTATAAATGTGTAATTAAATGATTTAAAACAAGAAATATAAAGGGAAGAAAACAATTTAGTTAATAAATCTTCAAATTCATTTATTTCTAAATTAAGAGACCAAAAACTCACATCAAAAAAAACTAATAGCAAGCCTTCTACTGCTTTTGATATAAAAAAAATGTTCTTTATTAAAAGAGGAGTAGTTAACTTTTTTAAAAATAAAACTCTGTCAGGAAGAAATTACCTCTTAAAAAACAATAAAATAAAGTAATTTATAAATGATTAGGCTTCTATTGATGATTAAATTTAATAATCTTGGATTAAACTCTAAATTGAAAATCTATGTAATGTAGTTTAAAACAAAAAAAACTATTTTGCAAAAATTCCTCTTTTCAACCCTCAAACCCTGCCCTATTTTATATATTATATAACCATAAATGTTCTTGACTACTTATTTTTTATATTCTTATCTATTCAGATTATATTCTCAGCAGATATCTAACACATCGATATTGTATTTAAATGTACAGCATTTAAATGGATAATAGATATTTTAGTTTAGTTAAATACCTTGATGTTTGTTAAAACAGATATTATAAAAGATAGATCAATTATTATTGTTAAGTACCTTAAAAAATTTGGGATATCAGATATTATTCCAATTATATCATTTTTGATACTGTCTTAAGTAGATCATTTAAATATTTTGCTTAAGTTACTGTCTTTTATCAAACTAAAAAATACAACGACTCGTTTTAACTAAATTTAATAGCATTTTTGTGAATTAGTGAAAGATTATTTTTATGTACAATTAATTTAATTGATATTTAAGCTATTCTTAGTTGGGCATATTATTGCTTGCATGTACTACTTGACGGGTAAAATTGAATTAGAATTTTTAAATAATGATACAACTTGGTTCGATGAAAGTATAGGCTCAGATGGAACTTGGTGGAAGTTATATCTTCAAGCCTTCTATTGGTCACTAACATTAATGGCAACAGGATCTAATGAAGCAAGAACAACTTTATAAATTTTCTTTACTTCGTTTATAATGTGCTTTACAACAATTATATTTGGGTACTTTATCAGTGTAATTGGTATTATTCTTGTTCAAATGGATGAAGAAGAAGATAATAAGAGAAGAGACATAAATATTATCAATGATTTTATGAGAAGGCGAAATATTAGCAAGTAATTTTTTATTTTAATTCAATTTGATTGTGTTTAATTTTATTACATATTTTTATATAATTTAAATTATATCTCATAAATAAATAAAAGGAATTTGTAAAGAAGAGTAAATTTAGACTTGGAATACTATTATAAAAAGAATTTTAAAAAGAAATAAATTGAAAATTAATTAGTGCTTAGTAAAATATCTTAGCATTTAAATGAATAAATACTTAGGGAGTATTATGGTATTATAATTTAAAAAATATCATTTCTGAACTAAAATTTTAGTGAATAATCTATAAATTAATTATGTTTAACAATGGAAGAAGTTCAATACTTACCAAACTAGATTATTTATGATGAAAATGATCATGATGATTTTAGCCTTGTTTACATTTAATCAGGAGAGGGTAACCAATCAAATATTTTTGATTAAAATTAATAAAAAATTACATTAAATCAAATACAATTATACTATTTATTTTTTTAACTTAAAAGTTGAACTTATTCAAACAACATCTAAGGATAATCACAACAATCATATAATTGATACTATTAAGTAAAATTCTATATTAGGATAAGAGAATTTCTTTACAGGTACCTTAAGAAGCTGTCGGGCAAGAGCTAAAACATTCACTTCTGCGATAAAAATTTCAAGAAATAAATTTATAGAAATAATTAAGAATAATGAAAGTGAGTATGAAAAATTTTTATTTATAAAAGACAAAATACTTTTGTATTAAAATTATGATACAATCAAAATAAGTTGCTATATTTGTAATAAATTCTCTCATTTCACAGGAGATTGTCCTCTTGTTCATTTTGATAAAAATGAAAGTTATAATAAGATGGGATATCTTTAAAAAGTTAAGTAATAAAGATCTCCATATAAAAGAAGTAAATAAAAATCTCAAAACACCTTATTACTAATAACTAAGATCAATTATGCAACACAATAATTAATTTCTAATCAAAATTTTGATGGCTTTGCATAAGAAAATGAAGTTAGTGAGGTATCTACTGAAAGTCCATTTTGTGAAGAAGGAGAAATATCTTAAGAATTGAGCAAAGGTTAAGAGGAAATAAAAAAATCTGATGAAAATATTCTAAGTAAAGATCTATCTCCTACAGTTAATAAAAATGAATTACTGTTTAATAAATAAGAAGACGAAAAAGAAGAAGTTTAAGAACAAGAATAGGGATAAGAAGAATTAGATTTACTTTAAATTTCAAATAAAGATTCTTTATAAAAAAATTTAAATATATGCTCACCATTAAAATTAAAAAAAGAATATTCAAAAGAAAATTAGTTGAAGCCGTTATAAATATAATAAACTATATCAGAAGAATATAATTTTGACTCTAAATAAAAGAAATAAAATGTAATTTTTTTGTTTATTGATTTATTAAAAATCTACTTTTTTACAAATAATTTATCAAAAATTAAAAATATAAATTAAATAATAGCAAATCACCAATGTTTAAAAATTATGAAAGAAATATACTACAAAAGATAATTATTTTCAAGTTTTTATTATTAAATTGAATTAAACATGAGTGAAGGATTTAAATTTAAGAATTAAATTTTAACTGAACAAAAAAAGATAAAAAGATACTCTGATTTTAATATTATATTATAGAATTATTAGATATATATTTTATAATTAAGAAAAACATATTAATCATTATAAAAAGGAAAAATAAATGAGTTTGAGCAGCTTAAAGCATATTAGTAAACTAGATATGTTTTAATAGTAAAGTTATCTTGAGTAAATGGCATCTTCTCCTTTAGCTATCTAGTCTCCTTCAAAAAGAATGATCAATAGAATCTAAAAAAGAAACTCAACAAATTTGGCAGAAAATCGTAGAAATGCTACACGTCTGTAAACAGCTATACAATTCAAATCAATATTAGATATAGAAGAAAGTAATAACAAATTCCGAAAAGACCTAATATTGTGGAATTTTGATCTTTAAAAAGATTATCAAATATATTTTCCTGAAGGCAATAAATTATTTAGAATATAGCAGTAAAATGCTTAGCTCAAAAAAAAATAAAAGAAATAACTAAAAAAATAAAACAAGAAATAATTAATATTTTGAAATAATTTTTGTATTAATATGCTCTATGTAGTAAATTTAGTACATTTTTTTAATGTTGCCCTCTTAATATTTCAATCATCAAAGAATATCAATTTAAACTGTTCAAATAAAAATTCAATCGCCTTTGATAATAAAAATTATTTATTCACTGTTAACAATAATCTAATTTACTTAATATCAGAATAAATATTATTTGTAAAATATCCTATTCCCACTTTTAATTTTAAGCTATAAATTTTTGTATACCAATTGATAAAATAAAAATAATAATATATAAAATTCAATAAAAATTGATACTCTTTTTATAACTTTGCTGATATATAAATACACTTATTATAAAATATATGTTCTAAAATTTAATTTTAAATAAATTATTTGCTTTAGCTTGATATTAAAATTTTAAGTAGAAGAAAATTAATATATACTTGAAGTAGTAAAATAATGGATTTTGAGATATAGGATATTTAACCATTCAGAAAAAAATTATTTGAGCAAGAAGATTAAGATTCTCATAATTTAAGATAATTATTCGATAGAAAAGAAGAGAGCTGCAATTTTGATTAATCTATGCTATCAAGTAATTCAAGAAACTTTGTACAAAGCATTGAGTAAACAAATGATTTGTAGTAAATGAGCTCTAGCAAAAATGAAAAAGGATATCTTTATTAAAATAATTAAAGCAACATATTATAGAAATAATAAAGTTAAATATCGTAATAAGATATTGATAAAATCTAAAATAATTTATAGAATTAGGAATATTATTTTGATCATAATCAATCCTTTTAAATTATTAAAGATGTTTCTTAAAACTCCTAGTATCAAAATTATTAAATGAATAATATTAATAGCAAAGAACTTAAAAACTCTAGTTTTGATCTTACTAAAAGAAAAATGTTAATGGAATCCAATAGAAATATCGATTTTGGAGTTTAGCAGCATAAAAAACGCTAAACAAATTTACTAAAGTAAAACTTAGATTTAAATTTTGTACTAAAAATAAAAAATAGACTTATTGAGTTTTATCAAAATAATACTGATTTAGGTAGAAGAAATTTGTTAAAAAATAGAAATATCCACAAATCAATTAACGATAAAAGTGATTTTTATGAAGAATAAATAAAAAATAAAATTAAAATTAGTATAAATAGGTGTATTTCATAGCTAAAGAAATTTAAGGCAAAAGTAATTTAAAAAATTCCATTATTCAATCCTTAAAATCCTTTTATCTTTGCTCTTCAAATAATCTTTTGCTTAATTAATTGCTTCAATTTTTTATTTTACTCTGCTATTCTAACCTTTGGAGTAAAAGAGCTTTATTCAATTTAAATAGCATATTCTATTATTACTATTTGGATTTTAGAAATAATTGTTAAAATAAATACAGCTATTTATATTAACACTGACCTTGTCAAGGATAGGTCAATAATTTTAGGAATTTATTTTAAATAAAATCTATTTTTTGATGTTATTCCTATTATCTCAATTTTAAATATAATTGAAAAACCTAAATTAATTTTAATTATAGCTGCATTCATTAAACTTAAAAATGTTTTAAAGGAGTTAATCGATATCTAAAAATAATTGTGTATGGAGATCAAAAATTATTTTTATGTCTAAATCTTCAACCTGATCGCAAAAATTTTTATTTTAGGCCACATAATTGCATTAATGTACTTTCTTGTAGGCTACGTTGAGCTAAATTACTTTGGAGAATCTTCAACATGGTTTAATGCAGATTAAATGTAAGACAGTAACTTTTGGTGGAAAACCTACATTACAGCTTTATACTGGTCTTTAACTCTTATGTCTACTGGATCAAACATAGCATCAACTACATTCTAAACATTTTTTGCTTCATTCATTATGCTTTTTACAACTATTTTCTTTGGTTATTTTTTGAGTATGATTGGAATTATTTTAGAGGAAAGAGATGAGTAAGAGCTTGCATAAAGGAGAGATATAAATACAATTAATGAATTTATGAGGAAGCGTAATATAAGCAAGTAATTTTAATTCATATTATCTACCAAAATTTTATAATAATAAATTTTTAGAAACTTGTAAAGAAGAGTTAACTTAGACCTTGAATACTTTTATCTGAAGAATTTCAAAAAAATTTAAGAGCAGAATTAAGATGTTTTAGAAAGAATTTCATAAAATTTAAATGACCAACTTTAAGTTGAGTATTTTAAAGAAATTCTAAAAAAATACAGCTCATTATCAAATAATTTTAGTGAAGAATCCATCGAAAAGCTATGTTTATAAATGACTGAAGAGAATTATATTCCAAATCAAATTATTTTCTAAGAAAATGATTCAGAAAATTTAGGAATCTTAATTATTTTAGAAGGACAAAGTAAAATTTTGATTTCATTTTTCAACTTAAAAATTTTCTTAAATATTTTTATTTAATTATCTAAGTCGAAATCACTAAACAATTATCCTAAACCTAAATTGTAAGTAAAACTCTTTTAGTATTAGGAAAGGGTTAAAGTACAGGACATATGAGTTTTTTTACAGGGTAATATAGAACAGCTACAGCTAGATCAAAATCATTTACAACCATAATTAGAATTTGTAGAGATTCTTTTATCAAAATTATTAAATAAAATGATAATGATTTTTAAAAGTTTAATTTTATCAAAGATAAAATATAACTATACAATGATTATGAGGATATTCAAATTTAATGTGGTTTATGTAAAAAATTTACTCATTATACGAGCGATTGTCCTTTGGTTCATTATAATAAGCAATAATACCAAAATAAATTAAATTATTTTGAAAAAATTTAACAAAAAAGATAGTTTATGTAAAGAAAAAGTAACTACTATCACTCTATGATTTTGGTAAAAAAATTGAAAGAATACACTGAATAATTTGAATATTTATAGAATATTAAAACTAATAAAAATTTAGATAAAAACTCTGATACCATTTCATCAGATGCTTCAGAAAAATCTATAGATTAGTAAATTGAATAAAATAATAGATTTGAAGAACATGCTCATTTGGACAAACAATTTACTTAAAGAATAGATTAAAGAAAGTTATCAAACTTGTCAAAGAAATAGATATAAACTATTAGCTCTTTTAAAAATTTATAGATTGAGTTCTAAGATTAAGTATACATTATATTAAAATAATTTTATTTAACACATAAATATCTTTCTTTAACTTTAACTTAATTAATATTTTTAGGAATTGGCTAAGGCTAAGACTTCATTTATAGTTTCTAAATAAAAATCTAATGAATTTATGGATATTATTTCTTATAGAAATTTAAATATCTTTGATTCAGACGAACATGGGAAGATACCAACTTAAACTGAATCCATTCTAAAATAAAGAAAAGTGTAAGGCAACTCAGAATTAGACGTTTAATGTGTTTAAAGATCTCTTATGCATGAAAATCCTTGGATTTATGATAAGCAAAAAGATTTCTCAATATATTTCCCAGATGGAAACTTAAAATTATCACTAAGTAACTATAACAGATTAGCAAAAAGAAAAAGATAAAAAACTAAAAGAATAAAGGCTAACATAAAAAAATATAGTGTAGCATGAATAAAAAATATTATTAATTTTTTTTAGCAAGCTTAAACCAGCAATTTACATTCTTTAGCATCAATATTAAATATTTTATTTGTTAGTTTGTTTGGTTTTAATAGCTTAAAATTTTTTTAATATAAATAAATTCTATTTTATACAAAATAAAATTTACTTAATTTTGTGATAATTTTTAATATAATATGCAAGTTAATAAAAAATTTGATTTATTTTTACAAATTCTAAAATAAAATAACACTTTTTCATTTTTTATTTGAAAAATTTTTTTTTTTAATAATTTGTTGTGTGAATGAAAAAATGAATTAAATAAAACAATGAATAAAAATTAATATTTATTTTCTTGGCAATGATTGTTAAAATTAGAAAATTGCAAATTCATTTTATATATAAAATTATTTTTTTGTTTAGAATAATAATACATTTTTAACTCAAAATATTTGTATTAAACTTAAAAAACCAATTCCCATTAATAAATTTAATTTTTTAGTTTAACGTATTAATAATTTTATTAATATGTTTATCTAAATTTATTTTAATTTTTTAAAATATGATTCACAATAAAAGTTAATGAAGCTTTAGATAAAACTCAACACCCTTTCTTTTGATTTTCTTAAACAGTTATTATAAATTTTTCTTCTATAATTTTATTTCAAATAACTTATGAGCCTTTTTTTCTAAATATAATTAAAGTAGAAGAAAATTAAAATATACTTGAAGTAGTTAATTAATGGATTTTGAATTTTAGGATATTTAACCATTCAAATAAAAATTATTTGAGCAAGAGGATTAAGATTCGCACAACTTAAGATAATTATTCGATAGAAAAGAGGAGAGCTGTAATTTTGATTAATCTCTGCTTTCAAGTAATTCTAGAAATCTTGCTTAAAGCATTGAGTAAACCAATGATCACCATCAATTTTAGTAAACAAGCTTTGTAAATAATGAAGAAAGACATTTATATTAAAATAACTAAAGAAATACATTATAGAAGCTATAAAGTTAGATATTGCAATAAGATATATCTGTAATTTAAAATAACTAATAGGACTAGGATTGTAATGCTAGTCAAAAGCTTTCATTTTAAAAAATATAAGATGTTTCTTAAAACGCTTCATTTTAAAACCATATTGATAAATTTAATATGAAAGAACTTAAAAACTCTAGTTTTGATATTAATAAAAGAAAAATTTAAATGGGTTCCAATAGAAATATGGATTCTGCTCTTTCATAGCATAAAAAACGTCATACAAATTTACTTAAGCAAAATAATGATATCAATTTTATCTTAAAAATAAAAAATAGACTGATTGAGTTTTTTCATAATAATACTGATTTAGGTAGAAGAAATTTATTAAAAAATAGAAATATTCACAAATCAATTAATGATAAAAGCCATTATTATGAAGAATAAATAAAAAATGACATTAAAATTAGCATAAATAAGCTTGCCTCTAAGTTAAAGAAATTTAAGGCAAAAGTAATTTAAAAAATTCCATTATTCAATCCTTAAAATCCTTTTATATTTGCTCTTCAAATAATCTTTTGCTTAATTAATTGCTTCTATTTTTTATTTTACTCTGCTATACTAACATTTGGAGAAAGCGAACTTTACTTCATCTAAATAACCTATTTTATTATATCTGCATGGATTCTAGAAATATTTGTTAAAATAAATACAGCTATTTATATCAACACTGACCTTGTCAAGGATAGGTCAATAATTTTCGGAATTTATTTTAAATAAAATCTATTTTTTGATGTTATTCCTATTATCTCACTTTTAAATAGTTTTGAAAACTAAATACTTCATATAATATTGACAGTAGCTACCTTCATTAAACTTAAAAATGTTTTAAAGGAGTTAATTGAAATCTAAATATAATTGTGTATGGAGATCAAAAATTATTTTTATGTTTAAATCTTCAACCTAATCGCAAAAATTTTTATTTTAGGCCACATAATAGCATTAATGTACTTTCTAGTTGGCTATGTTGAGCTAAATTACTTTGGAGAACCTTCATCATGGTTTAATGCAGATTAAATGAAAGACAGCAACTTTTGGTGGAAAACTTACCTTACAGCTTTATACTGGTCTTTAACTCTTATGGCTACTGGATCAAACATAGCAACAACTACTTTCTAAACATTTTTTGCTTCATTCATTATGCTTTTTACAACTATTTTCTTTGGTTATTTTGTGAGCATGATTGGAATTATTTTAGAGGAAAGAGATGAGTAAGAACTTGCATAAAGGAGAGATATAAATATAATTAATGAATTTATGAGGAAGCGTAACATAAGCAAGTAATTTTAATTATTTCTACCAAAATTGTATATTTATGAATTTATAAATTTTAGAAACTTGTAACGAAGAGTTAATTTAGATCTTGAATACTTTTATCTGAAGAATTTTAAAAAAAATTAAGAACAGAACCAAGATGTTTTAGGAAGAATTTCATAAAATTTAAATGACCAACTATAAGTTGAATATTTTAAAGAAATTCTAAAAAAATACTGCTTTTTATCAAATAATTTTAGTGAAGAATCCATCGAAAAGCTATGTTTATTAATGACTGAAGAGAATTATATTCCAAATCAAATTATTTTCTAAGAAAATGACTCAGAGAATTTAGGAATCTTAATTATTTTAGAAGGACAAAGTAAAATTTTAATTTCATTTTTCAACTTAAAAATTTACTTTAATATTTTTATTTAACTTTTTTTAGTTGAAATGACTAAACAAGTTTCCTAAACCTAAAATGTAACTAAAACTCTTTCAGTACTAGGAAAGGGTTAAATTTCAGGGCATATGAGTTTTTTTACAGGGTAATATAGAACAGCTACAGCTAGATCAAAATCATTTACGACCATAATTAGAATTTCTAGAGAGTCTTTTATCAATATAATTAAATAAAATGATAATGATTTTTAAAAGTTTAATTATATCAAAGATAAAATATAACTCTACAATAATTATGAAGATATTCTAATTTAATGTAGTTTATGTAAAAAATTTACTCATTATACTAGCGATTGCCCTATGGTGCATTATAATAAGCAATCATATCAAAATAAATTAAATTATTTTGAAAAAATTTAACAAAAAAGATAGTATATGTAAAGAAAGAGTTAATACTATCACTCAATGACTTTGGTACAAAAATTGAAGGAATACTATGAATAATTTGAATATTTATAGCATAGTAAAACTAATAAAAATCAAGATAAAAACTCTGATACTAATTCATCAGATGCTTCAGAAAAATCTATAGATTAGTAAATAGAATAAAATAATAAATTTGAAGAACTGGCTCATTTAGAAAATTAATTTACATAAGCAGTAGATTAAAAAAAGTAATCAAGTTAGTCAAGGATTCATATAGATATTGATGGTTCTCAAAAAAATATATAAGTTGATTGCCAAGATTAAGTAATATATCTTCTTTTTAAATAAACTTTCACTTTACACATCAAATAATTAACTTTAAATTTATTTTTTTTTTTTTTGGGAGTAGGCTAAGACTATTTCTAAACAAAAATCAAATTCATATTTTGAAGCTAGTTCTATTAGAAATATAAAGAACTTTGGTGCAGATGAATATGCAAAGAGACCAACTTAAACATAATTCATTCTTAAATAAAGAAAAGTTTAGGATAGCTTATAATTAGAGGTTTAATGTGTTTAAAGCTCTTTTATGTATGAAAATCCTTGGATATATGACAAGTAAAAAGATTTTTCAATATATTTCCCAGATGGAAACTTAAAGCTATCACTATGTAAATACAACAGATTGACAAAAAGAAATAAAAGATAAAATTCTAGAAAAATAAAACTTAACATAAAAAAATCTTGTATATCATGAATGATAAATATTGTATTAGTTTGGAGTAAATATTTTAGTATGTTTAATGATTTTTAATAAATTCTATTTATTTTTTTATTCAAAATAAAAATTACTTAAATAAATAAATAATTATTTTTAATTAAACATGAATTGATTTTTATTAATTAAATATCTATTTAAAAAAAATACAAATTATTCTTTTAGTTTAATATAAAAAATCTAAATATCTTCAAAAATTCAGAAAAATACTTTTTTTATTTAAAAAAATAAAAGATTTATTTTAATTAAACATATTATTAATAATATTATTATTGCTAAGCATAATTGTTTTATATATGTAATTTAATGTATAAATAATTTATTTTATATAGTATATTAACTTTATTTAAGTTTAATTATTAACGAATTGTTTTTATTGATAATTTTTTTTAAAGCATATTAAATTAATTAATTAAGAGAAATAATTTGCATAACTAAAATTAAATGATTAATGATTTCGAAGACAATTCTATTACTCGATTTGAGGCATATAAAAGCATTTACGAAAATTCGAACAAAGACTAAGAATAGAATCACCTTAAAAATTTACATTACAGGAAAGAAGAATCATTTAATAGTGAAAAATCTAGTAAAATATTTCTGGATGAAATTATTGAACAAAAAGATCAACCTAATCAAAACACTAGTATGATAGGTGAAGCAAATGATATACTTAGCTGCAGTAAAAATAATATATTCTAAAGCAATAAAGAATATAATTCTTCAGATTAAGAAGAGATATTTGTTGAGATCAATGATATAAAAAATGAAATTAAATCAAGCCATAAAAAAGACTTTTTAGAAAGAAGCAGCGTGGCAAATATTTTTAATACATTTGCTCAAAAAACACAAGTAATTAACCAAAACTAAAATTCAAAAATTATACAATAAGAAACCTGGATGTCAAACCACAAAGCGTATCATTAAACTAACTAAAATAATAGTTTACATAAAAGCTAATTATAAAGATAAGACATAAACAAAATAACAAAAATTAGGTAGAGAATATTGAATTTTTTTTTAACAAAAACTATCTCTGGTAGAACTAATTACCTCAAAATTAGTAAGGTGAGGAATGCATTGAATGATTATAGTGATTTAAGAGATTAAAAAAGGAGCAGATTTATAAATAATCTAGAAATACTAATGATATAGTTTTAGAAGAAGAAAAAAAAGTGTTTCAAAATGATTCCTTTATTCAATCCCTAACACCCACTTTTATTTAGCTATCAAATTATTTAGAACATACTTAACATTTGTTTTTTTACTTTTTTAAGTGTTTTGCTTGTATTTGAAGGTTAGTTTGAGTATCAGAAATATACTTTAAAAATAATGGCATTTATTTGGGCTCTAAATGTTTTAATTAAATTAAACACTTCTATTTATATCGGAACAAATATTGTTGTTGATAGAGAAAAAATAATTGCTAATTACATCAAAAAAAATGCTTTAAATGATTTACTGCCGTTTGTTTCACTTATTTTGATTCAAAGTAGTGAATCAATAAATTTTTATTTAGCAATCATAAGTTTTGTAAAAGTTAGAAATATTAAAGAAGAAAATGAAGATATCTAAAGACAGCTCTGTATAGCAGTGAAAAAATATTTTAGTATTTAGCTTATTAATCTTGTTTTTAAATTATTTATGATAGCTCATGTTATTGCTTGTATGTGGCAACTAATTTTGGTTATTGAAAGGAAATATTTAAATGTAGAAGTTGAATCAACTTCAACTATCATTCCTGATAATAGGTCGTGGTGGATTGTATATTTAGAGTCTTTGTATTGGTCTTTAACACTGATGGCTACAGGATCAAATTTAGCTAATACTCCTCTATCAGTAAGCTTTACTTGTCTTAATATGTTGATAACAACAGTCATATTTGGTTATTTAATAAATGTCATTGGTGTTATGCTTTCAGCTATTGATGAACAGGAATAAATGCAAAGAAGAGATATTAATATCATAAATGACTACATGAGAAAACGTTGTATTAGCAAGTAAATTTAAATCAAAATATTAATTTAAAAATATTTTAAAACTAATATAAACATATTTTATTGCTAGAAACCTTTAAAGAAGAGTTAACATAGATTTAGAATACTTTTATCAAAAAAATTATAAGAAAATATCAGAAGAAAATGAGTAAGTGCTCTCTAAAATCTCAACTCACTTGAGTGAGTAGATTCATAGAGAATACTATGGAAGGATACTTAAAAAAATATAATACATCTCTAAATATTTTAGTGAACAGACACATAATAAGATCATAGATTGTATAGAGGAACTATACTATCTACCAAATCAAATTATATTTAGAGAAGATTAAAATAGTGATTTTTCTTTGATGTATATAGCAGAAGGGAGTGGTATTATTAAAAAGTTTTTATTTTCTAATTAATATTTTTTTTTTAAGTTGAATTATCTAGATAAGTTTCAGCTGAGTCTCAAATATCTAAAACTTTAGCCGTGCTAGGTTAAGAATGTATTTTCGGTTAACATAGTTTCTTTACTGGTCATGTTAGGGGTGCTTGTGCTAAATCTAAAGCATTTACTACTATAATAAAGATTTCAAGAGATAAATTTTTAAATGTAATCCAACAGAATGAAAAAGATTACGAGTAATTCTGCCAAATTAAAGATGACATCATGATTTATAAAAACTATGAAAAAATATAAGTCAAATGTTTCACATGCAATAAATTTAATCATTATTCAAGTGATTGTCCATTGACCCATTTTGATAGAGAAGATTTTTACGGTAATATGAGCCATTACTAAAAGGTTGAGTAATTTAGGAAGTATAAAGAAAGAAATAAAAAGAAAAAAACAAATACCTTATTAATTACTCAACAAGTTAAGGATGCTTCAAATTAAATGGTATAAATTGAATTTAAAGAATATATTGAAGAAGTAGAGAAAATAAAAGATTATCCAGTCACAGAATTAGATACAGAAGAAGAAAGCGAAAGTGAATTTTAGAGCAAAATTAAAAGTAGAGAAGAGTTTGCATCAAAATAGAGAAATTCTGTTTTAGTTCAAAGTATGAATGAACTATAAGAGTTTTCAGAGTCAAAAAAATCTTAAAGGCTAATATAAGAAGCTAAATCAAAGCTTTAAATAAGTGGAAAAGATGAATTTGGATAAATTTAGGAACGATTAGAGAACTAAAGATCTTCTATTAATAATGTATTTATTTAAAATTTTACAAAGTTTATTTTTAAAATTAATATTTTAACAGATTTTGGAAAGCAATAATTATCAACTCTAAGATATGAAAGCTTCAATGCCAAATAAGGGTAGCATAAAAAGAATAGAATTTATGGATAGAGATGCATAATAATCTATAGATAAACGGAACCAAAATAACATTTAAAAGTTATTTTAAGACAGTTAGTTTAAATTAGATTTCTTAGTTTATTTTGATAAAGCTAAAGAGTTTTAAATTTATTACCCAAATGGAAATTATAGGATTTTAATTAATAAATATAATAGGGCTATGAAAAAGTCTTTAAAAAAAAAGAAGTAAAATAAAAAAAATTGATTTTTATTGCATTAAAGGATTGCTTATCTTAAATTGATTACATTAAATATAAATAAGTGAGTTTTTATATGTTTTTTTATAAGTGTTGGTATTTTAGTTAGTAAAAACAATAGGGTATTTAATAGTAAGTAAAAAAAAGCCTAGTATTAAAAATTCAGAATAAATATTTTTGATGAATTTAAAAACTTTTTTACCTCAATAAATCGTTTGCCATAAATAAAAAATATTTTTACATTTATTTGATAAAAATAAAATTAAATTAAATTAAATTTAGTAAAAATAGATAGATAGATATATGAAGGAAATTTGGCCTTATATTATTGCAGTTTTCACTACCAACCTTTAAAAATAATGCTTATTTTTGATGAAATTATTTAATTATGTTAAAATTAGTAAAAACAATAGGGTATTTAATAGTAAGTAAAAAAAAGCCTTGTATGAAAAATTCAAAATAAATATTTTTGATGAATTTAAAAACTTTTTTATCTCAATAAATCGTTTGCCATAAATAAAAAATATTTTAACATATATTTGATAAAAATAAAATAAAATTAAATTTAGTAAAAATAGATAGATAGATATATGAAGGAAATGTGGCCTTATATTATTGCAGTTTTCACTACCAACCTTTAAAAATAATGCTTATTTTTGATGAAATTATTTAATTATGTTAAAATTTATTCAGCTTAATTCATCTGTAAAATTACGAAAAAATTAAACTTACTTAAATAAATAAGTTAGCATCATATATTTCTGATAAAAAGCTGGTTTTTTAATATGTTAAAAAAAATCAATTTTTTAATGTTTTTTAATTTATTTCTTATTTAATTAATTTTTAAAGAAAAAAAGTGAAAATAATCAATAGTTATTTATTTATTTAGTTAGGTATTAAAAATATTACATTTAGAGTAGTTCATTAAATTATGACATCAAAATCTTCTAAAAATATGGATTATGTTCCTGAAGACATTTATTCAAATTATAATAAAGAATAGAAGAACATATTAAGAAACTCTAGAGAAGATAGGATTAAGTTATAGAACCTTAATTAGCGCAATGAGGACACTTTATAAAGTGAGAAAGTTATTTAAATTTAGAATAATGAAAATCCTACTAATAGATATTACAATGACATGCAATACAGTGAAGCAAATTCATAAAATATAACTTTTTCAAGATCACCTCGAGATTAGTCAAAAATAACAGCAATAAATATTTAGTAAAGCGATTACTAAATTGTATTAGGTTAATCTTAAGATCAAAAAGAGGCAGACTTAAAGGCTGAAGTTCCTCTTTTGGCTGACTAATAATCATCTTCTACTTAATAAAGCTAGTTCCTAAAAATAGATTTACCTGTTAGAAGACAAGGTAAAAGATTAAGCTATGTTCATGGAATTGTTCCTCGTAAGGAGTCAAGAATGAGATCAATAATAGCAGTGATTCAAAAGCATAAAAAGGAAAATAAAGTGGATGAAATTAAGCTGATATCAAAAATAAAGCTTAGAATAAACTAATTTTTTAAGAAGTATACTTTAACAGGAAGAAGAGATAATCTAAGTAATTAAATGATCAAAAAATTTATAAATGACAAAAGTGAAAATTTTGAAGGCAAAAATGTATCTTCTTTTCAAGCCAAACTATTGTACCTATCTTACCAAATTTAAAAATTAAAGTGCTTAGATTAAATACCTTTATTTAATCCTCAACATCCTGTTTGCTTTTTTTTTTAAATTCTCTTTTGCTTACTAAACTGTATATTCTTTGTTTTTTAATGCATTTTAATAGTTTTTCCTACAGGCATTAATGATTAGATTATCTATATTTCATTAAGCATTTTTTGGCTTATTGAATTTTTGATAAAGATTAATACTTCCATTTACATAAATACAGACTTAATTTCAAAAAGAGAATAAATCATCAAATTGTACTTAAAAAATAATGTTTTGTATGATTTTATACCTTTATTATCAATACAGTTAATCTATGTGAATAAGGTTTCTTCACTAATTTTTAAAATAATAACTTATGTCAAGCTTAAGAATGTATTGGAAGAAATTTCTGATTTGTAGAAATAGATATGTATGGCTATCAAAAAGTACTATTATGTGTAGCTCTTCAATTTAATAAGCCAAGTCTTTATTATAGGTCATTCGATAGCATGTGCTTGGTATTTATTAGCATATTATGAGTTAGAATACATTGAAAGTGAAAATTGGTTGAGTGAAAAGGAATAAATATGGTGGAAACTCTACATTGAATCTTTATTCTGGGCTCTTACTTTGATGACTACAGGTTCAAATGAATCAAAAACCGTTTTTGAAGCACTATTTACTTCAATTATTATGCTGTTTATTTGTATTATATTTTGCTATTTATTAGACTCTATTGGAAATATTCTGGCAGATATTAACGAAAAAGAACGAATGATGAAAAAGGATATAAATATTATAAATGAGTTTATGAGGACTCACCACATAAGCAGGTAGGCAGCATTTTTTATTTAATCTTCAAGAAAAGATTTTTTTAAAAACACTGATACTTAAAAATAGAAAAAATATTTTATTAAAAAATTTACATATTTTTAAAAATTATTAATAGAAATTTGCAAAGGAGTGTGAATAAAGATCTTGAAAATTTCTATGAAAAGAATTACAAAAAGTTAAAAGAAGAAAATGAATCAGTCCTTCAGAAAATATCTCCTCATTTAAAGATTTAAATCAACAAGGAAAGCTACAAAAAATATGTTGATAAGATAGCTTTTATAATAAAAAATTTTAGTAAAGAAACTATTGAAAAGCTATGTTAAAGCGTAGAAGAGCTATACTTTACTCCAAACCAGATTCTATTTAATCAAAATGATAATGATTCCTTTTGCTTAATGTATATCGTTGAAGGTTAGGGTAAATAATTTTTTACTAAAAATTAAAATTAATTAATTTAATACCATTTTACAATATTTTGTGGTTTTTATTAATTTAATTGTTTATATATTTATTCACTTATTTTGATTTAAGAAAATTAACACTTTTTAATTAATAATAGTGGAACTTTTTAGAAAGTGTGAATAAGATCAGTCTATTCATCAAAAAATAGGTATCCTGGATAAAGACTCGATAATAGGCTAGCACAGCTTTTTGACAGGGTAGTAAAGGATGGCAGGAGCTAAATCAAAAACTTTTTCAACAATAATATAGATATCTAGAGACAATTTTTTAAAAATTATAAAATAAAATGAGGAAGACTATTAAAAATTTTGCTTGATTAAAGATAACATCATGATTTACAAAAATTTTTATAATATTGGTGTCTGTTGTTCAATATGTAAAAACTATCTTCATTATTCTTAAGACTGCCCACTTGCACATTTAGATAGAGAACAGGCATATGGAAAAGCAAAATTTTTAGAAAAAATGAAATAAAGCAGAAGTAAATATGAAAGAAAACTTGTAAAATTTGAAAACTCTTTAGCAGTTTAATAAAAGCTATATGAAATAGCATTATTTTTTTAAGATATCATTACAGTTTCTTAAGATAAATTAAATGAATAAAAAAGTTGTGTGTATTCTGATTAAGAAAGTTAAAATAGTGAAGAAGAAAAGAAAACATAAAGCTTAACAGAAGAGTATTTTAATTCTAAAAAAGGAAGTTAATTGTCAAATACGATGGTCGATTATGATGATGATAAAAAAAAATAAAATCACTCTTAAATTGAAAATTATTCTGAATAAATAAAATAAAAAAGGTTGTCAATTGATTATAAGAATAGAGCTATAAATATTAATGTTAATGAATTCCATGAAAGCAAAAATAAATATTCTTCTAAGGAAGATTTTGAAATTAAAAACACTAAAAATTATTTATCTCCATAAAGCTAAGAATAAGACTAAAACTATGAGCCTAAGAGGTCAGCTCTCAGAGATGACCATCATAAAAATATTCACTTTAGAGATGAATAAGAAAATTATAATAAATTTAAATCGTTTGACAAATAACCATCAGTAAATTTTTCAAACATGATAATAAATATTTATTATTCTTAATTAACAGGAATTGAGTACCTTGAAGCATATTGGCACAAAATAAATTTAATACTAAATAGAATAGAGTATGCATTTTACAGATATGCGTCAAAATAAACAAAAAAAACTCACTGCAAAAAGTATTATAGATTAACGAAAAGTTTTTAATTCATACTTATCACATGATAATGAGGAAGCTAATTCTAAGGAATATTATTAGAGTCCTTGGGTATTTGATAAATAAAAGGATTATACTATATACTTTCCAGATGGTAATTTATCAGTAGTTTTATTTAAATATAGTAAATTTTAAAAAAAAATATAAACCAACAAAAAAATAAATAGAAAATCTTAGAGAAGATGATCAAAAATAAACATTTCTATTTAATTTTGTATTTAAGCAATTATTTATTCAAAATAATTTACATTTTAGTATTTTTTTATATCTTTTTTATTTTATTTTTTAACCTTATTTTTGTAATTTTACTGACTAGTTTAATAAATTATTTTTAATTTAATTTTGGTTTAAATATCCAAAAAAATTAAATCTCATCTTGTCATCTTGGTTATTTAGATAGCTATCAAACAAATATATAATAAATAAATTATCTAATTATTTTATTTAATTAAGAAATTATATCAACCAATAAGAGAATTACTTTTTAATCTGTGAAATATTTATTAATAAAATAAAAATAAAAAAATTAATTAGTTTATAGAAAAGTTTATTGAAATTTATGTTTATTATAAATTAAAATAAAATTAAGAATGATTATTGAATTTATTACTTAAAAAATAATATGAAAAACTATATGATAGATTGTCATAATTAAAATAAACTTTAATTTTGCACATATAAATTTCCAAATAAAATTATAAAGTTAATTTCAATTAATTATGTATTCGATTATTTTTTAAGCATGATTAGATTTTGACAGTCAAAATATTATTTGTTTGTTAACTTGATGATTACGTGTTTTAGGAAAAAGAAAAAATTTTATTTGGTAAAATTGTGTGTACTATGAATTACTCATTATCATTTATTTATTTAAAGGTTAAATTAAATATTAGGAGTGAATGTGACGCAATTTATATTTTAGAATAATTCAATTTGTTCTTTAGATTAAATTTTGTTTTTCGATCTGATAAAAATTTTTAATTTGAACACAAAAACGCCAAATTAAATAGGTGTTACCAAAAATATTATTTATTAACGAATCGAATAAAGAAAAAGAATATTAGAGGATGACAAAATATGACAAATTAATTTATCCATAATTTTTTCAATATTTTTGAGATGTAAGAAGAGTAAAAAAAAAGAGTTATCTTACAACTTGATTATTATAAATTTCAAAAATACTACGTAATTACACAATAAATTTTATTTTAAATGATATATTTTAATTTTTTAATGTCTTTTCTAATAGAATTTAAGAAAAAATTGTTTGACACACACCCATCTTAATTTAATTAGAAATTTTATTTACTAAAATTTTAATTATCAAAAATAAAATTGTATAATAGCATCAAAAAAAAACACATTTTATTAGAATCAAAGGAAGTAATTATTAAATTTTTTGTATCGAAGTAATATTTTGATTACACATATTCAATATATATTTATTAATTTAAGTACTATACGATATTCAAATATTTATTTTGATATATATTTTAGTTTTGAGTATTTATTTTTTTATTTATTTACTATGCTTTTAATTTTTTATTTCTTTAATTATTTATCTATCTATGATTCAGTGCATAAATTTATTCCAATCTATTTTATTTTTCAAATTCATTTTTTCACAATCTAGCTGCTTGAGGAGCATAAGGAATTTCTTCGACTTTATTGACAAGAGTTGAGAGCAAAATTTTACCTTCAGACATGTGCTTGAGATAGAAACGAACAGCATCTCCGATTTAGAAGAGAGGGTATTTTTTAATGTACTTTGTGGCTAATACGTCTCTATACATGGGACCAATTTAAGCATATAATTCAAGTAATTATTTACGGTCTATTCTCTTGAGTTGAGTGCTCAACCAGAAACCTTTTATTTTCTTCTTTTTGAAGATAAGATCGAATTGACTTGCTTCACTGTTCTTCATTGACAAGTTACCGTAAATGTAAGCTGTGGAACCATCAGGCATATTTTTAAGAATGACTCCAGCAAGAGGACCTCCAACAGCATCGAAAGATATAGTGGCATCAAGCTTTTCAGAAAGGCTACGAAGATCTTCTTCAAAATTAGGTTCATCGGTTATGAGAATGTGCTCACAGCCTTCTTCTGCTCTCAAGAGATTAGCTTACTCCTTACGACGAACAATATTGATAACTGGTATATTATTGTGCTTGCAAATTCTATAAAGCATACGACCTAAAGCTGAAGCAGCAGGATTATTAACTACAGCTCTGTCTTCTCTTTCTTAAACCTTCTTGAACATCAAAACAACAGACAAGGGGTTTACTAAGCCAGAAGCACCTTCTTCGAAAGAGTAGTTATCAGGGAAGGGGATGGCTTGAATAGCTTCAGCAACAGCGTACTCAGCAAAGCATCCGTGTTATCCCTTTTCAACAAGGATAGATACCTTTTTGCCAATTAAACTCATAGCATAGGGATCAGCACCTGCATCAACAACAATACCAGCACCTTCAGAACCAAGAGTGACGGGGATCTTTTTTTGAGAAGAGTAATAACCCTTCATAAAAGAAAGATCAGCTGGGTTGATAGGTGAAACTATGATCTTAACTAAAATTTCAGAATGTCCAGGACGAGGAACTGGGACATCAACATAAATTGGGGGAGCTCCGTATTTTTCTAAAACAAGAGCTTTCATGGTGGGAGGAACGGTCTACATGTTTTTTTTTTACCTTGTAAAAGCTAAATAAATATTTAAACTTAAATGGTGTTTGTTAAAATAAATTTAATGATTAATTGATTATGTTTAAAATTTTTCTGGCAATAAATTTATTATCTGATTGAGTGCAATTTAAATAGAGGTATTCATCGGAAGAGTTAGTTTTATAATATTTTTAATCAACCGTGTCATCAGACGAAAAATTCATCTGTTTCTGACAATACTAGGAAAAAATCTTGATAATCTGTTTGATTTGGAAAAAATTAAGCAATTAGAGTGTAATTTGAAATTAGTTAAATAATATTTATATTTCATCACAGATAATGTGAACATTTATTTATAGTTTGCACTAAGAATATCGAAAAAAATTAAAGTGCATAAGATTTTTCCCCATAAAAAATGAAATTTAGTTAAATTAATTCTTCACAAGCGATTGCAAGCAATAATAGCGAGAGCTAAATCAAATCTTTTCATTCTAAATAGAATTCTCCTAGAACCTTCTAGAGGAAATCGACGCAATATCAGAGTTAAAAGTTAGAATAAAAGAGAAGTGTACATTTTTTTTACAAAAATTTTATTTGTTATAAGGAAGCAAATTTTGGTCCTTTCACATTTAAGATGTTCTTCATAATTATTTATATTATTGTTTTGCTATTATGTACATTATTATTTTTAGAATATTTTCTAAAAAATGAAAAAATATGTCGTTCAATCTTTATTTTAAAAAGAATTCAAAGGAATTGGTAGAAGAAAGATCGCAAGAAGATATCTTCTAAACATAAGTTAACATATAAAATTAATTGAAAAACAATGATCTGATGCAAATTAGCGAAACATTTCGTTAATTCTTAGAAAATAAAAAATCAGTATCATAAATGATGGGCTAATTATAGCTCAAGTCAGCGTTAGGATCAAGTACCACAAACAGTAGAAAAATGAAGCATCTTTCATATTAGAGTTCTCCAAATGGGAGTCCTTTGTTTAAAAGCAAGTAAATCCTAGTTGCAAAAAGTAATTCATCAGTAAAAATGAAGTTGGAGTAGTTAAGTAGAGAAAATAGTATGAATGTTAACGATATTGTAAATAACAACAATAATAATTCCTTTACTTACGCTAAAGATAATTGTAAGTCATATAATTTATATTTAATCACAAATTGCTCTATTATTTTTTTCTAAAATTCTAAATATTATTCAAACTTATTATCTATCAAACAAATTAATTGATATGAACAATAAGGTTACCCATCATTTGATTATATTTCGATCTATACTTATTTATTAATTTTATTGTCAGTCATAACTGTATTTAGCATTATTAAGTTGAACGTGTAATTACATCTAACTATTATTTGTAAATTTCATTAAAAAAGCCCTTCTAGCCCAATAATTGAGATCTAAAACTCCAAATGACGCTAAGCACAGATTTAATAAGAGGCAACCTAACATCAGCTTGTACAACATAATAAAAAGTCATCAAATAAAGCAGACCGAATAGAGATTCAAGAATGCAAAACAAAATGGATAAAACAGTTTTGGAATAGAAAATTTAGTAAATGAAAACACTGAAAACCAGCAAATATTTAAAAAATATATGAGTGAGTTAAAAGCCGCCTTGAATTAGGAAAGATAAACCAGATAAAAGAAAGAGGAGTAGGAAGGTTTATAAAAAGACTTTCCTTAAAATCAAAGAGATTTGTATAGTGTTAGCAATGACATTTATAACTTTTACAAAGAGTTTGATATCAGGACTGAAAGAGTTCTCTTTTTTAATAAATCTATTTTGAATGATATGATGAATTAAAATATTTCTGATAAAAATAGTATACTAAACATTCACTAGATTGAATAAAATCTTGAAAGGCTAAAAAAAAATTTTTTAAGTATTGTCTAAAATGGGTTACTAGAAATTAATTAAAAGCTGACCATAGCAATAGCTGATATCTTGAGATGCTATAACTTAATTGTAGATAAATTATGCGCTGATATTATTACAATACAAGAATAATAAAAAGAAAATATCCATGTTAAGCAGTAAACTAAAACATTTTTAATTTTTTTAAATAATTTTGATAAATTGGTACTTTTAATTAAAAAAGCGTTTAAAATCTAGAAGAGGAAATTATTAGATTGAGAATTAAACTAAATGACTAAAAAAAAAATACTGAAATACTTCAGTAGGATATTGAGACTAAGCAAAAATATTTCTCAAGTAAGATAAAACATTAATCTATTTTGAATTAATCTTTGATAAAAGAGCTAAATGATTCAGAAACACAATTGTAGAAAAGTCTTGAGCAAACTCAAATACCTACAAACAGCAACAATACAAATAAAGATGAAAGATAAAATATAGTTTTATTGAATGATGAGAACTTATAAAATATAAATTAAAAATAATCATCTTAAACATAAAAACCATAAATTGATTTATTAAATATTGAGAATGTTGATAAAATCAGTTTGGTAGAAAGGAATTTATGCATTGAAAAATCTTTGAAGCCTTAGCTAAACTATGAGGAAGAAGAGGTCAAAACAAGAAAAACTAGTTCTTCATCTATTTCTTAATAGCAATAAGATAAAAATGTTTTAACTACTTAATTTTTGATGCACATAAAGCCAACCACAACGAGAAGATATTCATTTGTTAAATAAGAATCAATAAGTTAGACTTAAAAGTTGAGTTTCAAAACTCTTTTGTAATTACCTTTTTGGAAAGGAGTAAAAAAAAGTTTATTTTATGATAATTTGAATTTTTTATTGGTTTTTTATTTAATTTAAATAGATTGACACCTTGCAAATGCAGCCTGATATGAATAAATAGGATTCGCTTGAGTTGAGGGAAATAGAAAAATATATAGAGTATATCATAAACAAGAATTAGAATAAATTTGAAAAGCAACTTTTCAATAACTTCCAGCCAAACTTTATTCAAAAAATAATTGTAATTAATTATAATTGAAATTATTTCATTTTATTTCTATAATTGTAAATATAGATTGCTCTTTCGTAAAATAGCTAAATCATAGGTCCTTAAAAAAAATATTACAAAATTATTGAAATAGTATAAAAAATGAGAAATTATTTTTAGAGAGAACAAGTCAATTTAAAATAAATGAATTTAAACACTTAGATTTTCCATCTATTCTGCTAAATAACACCTTACGAAAAAGCTCTATAAAACTTACAGCAGCTAACTCTTATGAAAAATGTTAACTTTTACCAAAAGTTATTACAAAATGACCCAAAGTCTCTTCATTTGATAAATAAAATATGGTTTAAACTTCATAAAAAAATAGAAAAATATACACATGAAAATATAAAGTATGATTTAAGTTTTTTTTCAATAAAAGATTTATTATTTATGTTAACAAATAGCTCTCTGTATAGTGATTATATAAGTATTCAAACTGTTCACATATGGATAGATAAATTAATGAAAAGAAAATCCTAACCAATACATTTGCTTGTATTTACCAACTTGCTTAGCTTTTGTGAAATAAGAAAAATAAATGGTTTTCTAAATGAAGATTAAAAATTTGAATTTTTATTTTGTTACTATCTTAGCTACAGAGAATATAAAAGATAAAGTGTGTTAGAATAGGCTATTGCAGATTTTATAAGAAATGATGATAATTACAAAAATGATGAAGTTTTTTAAAAAAGAAATGGAGAAAAATAAGAATTAAATAATTTTAATTTAATGTAATCTTGTGGCAAGTAACTAGTTGATAAAATGCAGTAATATGTTGATTTGGATTCTCTTATTAAAATTATTTAAAACGATTATCTAAATAAAGACTACTGTATTTTAAATAAAAATAATTTATCTTCTTACTATGATCGCTTGACATAAAATCAAGAAATTCGTATAACTACACAAAATATTATTTCAAAGCTTACTTTTTATACATCTTCAATTGCTGAATATAGAGTGCACAAATATGATGCAGTTTCCCTAATAACTTATTTCATTATGTATGAATTAGATGAAGCATATAATTTTATTTAAGATGTAAAAATGTTATTTTTTTCAAAGAATTTTTATTAAAAAATGTAATTAAAATATAATACCAGGATTACAAAGAATCCGGAAGAGAATATGAAATATCATTTAAGGTAAAAGATAATAAGTACTTCAATAATATAAATCAAAGCGAAATGGAGCTTTCTATATTCTTTAACTAACTCAGTCTATAGTTTTAATAGTATAATATCGAAGAAAAAACAGGAATTACTGCTGAAAGCTATATGTTCAATTATGGAAACGGAATATTTTTAAATGAGTATATAAAAAATATTAATTAGCACTAATTTATTGATAGCTTTCCATATTTGCTTGAAAAAAATAGAAGTATTTAATTTAATTTAAATTTAATTAAATGTAAACTACTTTTTTTTTTACAATAGGTCCTCCAAAAGAAAATTAAACTACAAATAAGAAAGAACACATATTTAATAGTAAAAGTTTTAACCTTAACAAGTCTTAAAAATAAAAGCTTACAACTTAGCAAAACAAAAGTGTATATATTCAGTGAATAGTAAACTTATCTATTTATAAAATGTAATTTATGTTTTGTACATTAGATATTTATTTTTCACTAATCAAAAATAATTAAATAAAAATAAAATAAAATCCTTCAATAAATAATTCAATCTCACAAAGATTATATTTGACACTATCTTTTTTTCCTGAATTAATGAAAGTCATTATTTTATTTTATTAAATTAAATAATTATTTTTTGAGTTAATTTGATTCATATAGTTTCATTATTCTTGCTTTATTACCAAATGAAATAAATTTTTTATAAGATTAAATTATTTTAAAATAAATATTTTTATTCTAGAAAGAAGTGAGTACTTAAAAATAAATAAATTTAAACTAAAGTAAATACCACAATTATAGCCAGTTATAATTAAAGTTTTTTTCTTTATAAAAAACGAATGGTTATTGCTGGTGTGCAAAAAGATTTAATATCAATTCTAATTATCAATTAGGCAATTAACTTCTAAACCAAAATATTAATCAAATCTTTTAGTAAATCAAACACACTCATTAATACTTTTTACAGGAATAAATTAAGAAACAATAAATATAAGGAGAGATTATTGCTAATATTACTAACAAAATTATAAGTAATAGTAAAATCATTTAAACTAAATTAGCTTTTGAAAAATGTAAAGGGCACTTCGAAGCTAAACTGTAGATGTTCAAGCACTACAAAGATAAATTTATCTCTCTGAATAGGATTATTTTAGTAAAGGACAAGAGTTCAATGATTCTCCATTAAAGAATTCAAATAAAAATTCTTAACAACCATTATAAAATAACAAAATAAACAGCAATAAATAAAATGGAAGTAATAAATACTTTGAAAGTAAAGCAAATCCTAAAATTATGGGAAATAATGAATTAAGATTATCAATAAGGAATCTTTTGAAAATAGTTGATTCATCAAACAAAGAAAAGGAGTAAACAAAATAATAAGCAAACCCATTGAATGATTATATTAAAAACGTTATAACTTAGCATAATTAAACATATAAGTATTATTCTAGTGATATAAACCATTCACACAACTATATAAATTACTCGTAAAAAAAAAAGAAGTTGAAACCTTAGTATTAGAGTTTTCTTGCCAACAAAGGGTCAGAGTTTGAATATTTACCTTATTAACCTTAGGTAACTCCGAATTATTGGGCTGGAATATCTAAAAATACAACAGGGAAATCTAACACTGCTATAGCACCTTATGTTTTCAAGATAAACAATTAAAAAATTGATGAAAGTTAATAGAAAAGTACTAGCCGCCTCTCTTCAAGCAGAAGTACAAGCAGAAAAAACTCATATGCTCCTACAGATACTATTTAAAATGGTTAGACAATTGATTTTGAAATGAACCCATCATTTGAATTACAATCTACTATATTTATAGCTAAAGATTAAGCTAATGCTTTAAAAAAATCTAACGAAGATATCGTTAATAAAAGTCAATGCTCAAGAAATTCGGTGGGTGGAGAAACAAAAAATTTTTAACTGCCTTTCAAAAGAGCTTCTTTATAATTCAAGTAAAAAGAAAAAAGAGTTTAGTCTGCTAGAGTGCATAAGCCATCAAACAATTTAAAAGAGTAGAATAAATCTTAAGTATCTATAGATTGCAATCATTTATATTACTCAAGTATCTTCTAAGAAAGCAATTATAATTAAGAAAGTAAAGATTTTACGAGTAGCAAAGACTCAAATTAAACACTTTAAAAGCCGAAATAATTAGATCTTAATAATGCTGTCAATATGCCTGTAGAAGATGAAATATTTAGCTCTCGCTCAAATTTTATGAGAGGAAATACCTTAAAAAATAATTGGATGAGCAGACTACAATAATAGATAAAAGATAAAAATGAATAAAAATAAAATTCTTAAAAAAATTAGAATAAAAGTAATTATTTTATTGTGGAGGTTTAGTAACCTTAAACACCATAAAAAGCTGATTAGTTTTGCTTAACAAATGAATTTATCAAAAAGCAAGCTAAAGGTTTACCATTTTAAATGATTAATTCTTTTTTTATGGAGAATGACAATAATAATATTTAAAAAAGCAAATAAATTAAAAGAGTTAGTGTTTCAAAATCTAATAAAAAAAATAAACTTTAAAATTAACATGATGAAAACCATGTATCCATAACTTCTATTTAATTTTATGACAATTTTAAAGATGGATATAAAAACGGCATTACTAAGCCTAAATAAATATCTCATCAATCAACACCAACGAGAAAAAAACTTGACGTAAAAACACCTCTAAATTTTAATAATTGGAGGAAATGATTATAAAAAATATCTAAAAATGAATTATATAAATTTGGGCTTATTAAAATTTTATTATTATTAAATTTAATCATAGGTTTTAATAATGTATTAAAAATTTCAAATTAAAGTATTAATCAAAAAGAAAATATAAAATTTATATTTAGTTATCCAGTTTTATTTTTGAGTTTTTTTATCAATTTTATCACTTAAATTTTTGAAGAAAAAAATACATTTTATTTTTATAAATAATTTTTGAACCTTGAAAAATTAATAAATAAATGATTGATTAATACAAGAAATTAATCTATGCTAAATTGATATTAAATTCATTTAATTTTAGATAATTAATTAATTATTTCAAAGATTAAGGATATATTTATTAAAAGAATAATCTAATTAATAGAAATTTGTATTAATTTAACTTGATTATTAATTTAAGTAGCAATGCTCAAAAGATATAATAGTACAATATTGAATTACTATGAAAAATATTTTGATAGTATCTTCACCCTTCATAAAAAGAGGATTATATAGTATGTTAACTTGAGTATTCCTCTCAAAATAAAACAGGATAAAGAAATAAAAGAAAACGAAGGTCTAGATTGGTATTTAGATATTACGCATCAAGAAGCTAGCCTCTAAAGAAATTTCTAAGATTGGTTCACAAGACAATTTTTATATAGCTACTGTGATACAATAGTTGTTAACGTAACAATAACCTTAACTTGAGATAGGATTATTAAAATAATTTTTTAAATAGTTTTAAAATATTCAGAAAGCCTAAAAAATTCCTTTTGAGTCATATGAAGATCTTAAATTATAGGTAGAATTAACATAAAATTGATAAATAATTATTAATTTAGAATAAGATGTGCATGATAATTTAGTTTAAATTTTAACTTATAAATTTAGTAACTGGAGCTAGCATACAGAAAGGCTAATTAGTTATTATATTAGCTATAAAATAAGGTTGAAGGCAAAAATAAAGATATATATATTATGTGCAAAGATTTGGATATATAAAATATTATAAATATAGAATTTCTAAAGACTTAATATACAAATAAATATCTCTGTATACCTTAAACTTTAGTTAATGATACTTTTGAAGATATTAATGATGAAACAGAATAATTCATGAAGTAATTTATTAAATTTTGTTAAATTTGACTTTTCTTAATAATTAATAAATATTTAGATAAAATAATATAAAACTCTTTCCTTTGTAGCATGTCAGCTCTTTTGGTATTACTGATCGTCTTATTAAATCAAAAAAATATCAAACTATTTTGTTTGAGGATGATTCATTTAACAGTAAATTTACAGATACAAAATATCCAAAACTATACTTACCAGATATTTTACTGGTATCAGCAAGCACAACAAACGTACATTTAATAGAAACAATCTTTTATAATTTATAAATCTAATTTATAAAATTAAGTAAGGACTTATTGACAAACCTAAGTTTGCTAACTTCAGTAATATGCTAGTAAGGAAATTATATAAAATGAATTTTAAGTTAATTTTTTTTTAAACAGAAAGCAAATTATGCAATTTAATCAGATATTCATATGGAAGAAGAGGATACCAAGTATTTTGTTTTACAAAAGAGAGAAAAAGAAGCTAAAGAAGAGTATGAAGATTTGTATAAAGAAATGGAAAACAAGGAGTATGAGGATTTAGAGTTAAGAAAGAGTATATAACCTGGTCTAAATTTATTAAAAAAACAAAGATAAAAGGAAAGAAGAGCAGAATGAAAAAATGAGAATAAAAAATGAATTATTAAGCTGTAAGCCTTGAAATAAGTTGTAATAATTTATGTTTTAAATCTATTGCGAGTATAAATTTTTAATGTATATTAAAAATATTTCAAAATCAGAAAATTTATTCTATCCAATGTAGAAAATATTTAATTATTTTTTTTTAAGTGTAAATAAAATGATTTTTTGAGAAATTTTCTTGATTTGTACAGTTGAAGACATTTAATTAACTAATATTTATATTAAATTAATTTGTAAAAATAAATGCATAATAAAACCTTAAATTTGAAAAAACTTTAGATATCTATGTTCATAATTAGGTAGTTTAATTATTTATTTATATAGATTTTATTTCCAAACATTTTTATTTCATAAATTAAATGTTGTTAATTTAATCAAACTTATCAAAATTTTTGAAAATAATAATAATCTTTTCTTAAAAAAGTAAAAATAATATATTTCACAAAGTTTACTTATTTAAAACGTAAACAAACCAAAAAAAATTTTGTTTTCGAAATTTCTAAATATTTAAAATTTTTTAATTCTTCAATTTCAGAAAATATTTTTAAATTACAAATAGCAGGGTTTATAATTTAAATTTAAATTTATTTTGATCTTAGTAAAAACTTAAAAGAAAATTAAAATAAATTTTCACAAATATTTATTATATTTATCAAATGAAGATATAATTCTATTATCAACTTCATTTAAGTCTTTAATACTCTTGCATTTTATCAAAAATTTTTCTAAATATTAAGTCTATAGTTTCTCATAATTAAAGATTGAAAACTGCTTTTCAAAATAATTTAATTTCTGAAATTATCCTATTTTGTTTATTAATATTTTAAGTTAAAATAACAAAAAAAGTAAAATACTTTCAGAATTGTTCTATAGGTTGCTAAAATTTATATCCAAATAATTATCTGTTAGACTAATAACTTAGATGGCAGCTAATTATTCTTAGCTGAGTAGCATCATAACAGCTTTTTTCAAAAATATAATATCTTTATAAAACTCATAAATGTTTAAACTTTTATCAAGTTCTTTTCTGATAATTTTGATCTATTTTTACTTTACACCTTTAGAAAATAGATAGGCTTTTGACTTAAAGCATCTTACAAAAAATAAAAATTGATTTTTAAAACTCTAAATTGAAAAAAAATTACTTAAACCTAAAAATTAAATTTTATAGAGCTGTTTTCAGCGATTTATCATACATAACTTTTAACTTTTAAGAAAAAATATCTTTTAAAAATTTATTTTTCCTTTCACTAGTTAGAATTTCATTTGATTCTAAATTAGTTTAAAAAGTATTGTTCTAAGCAACGACTGCAGACACTTTAGAATTTTAAAAATTTGATCTATTTCTCCCTCTTAAACAACCTGGTGATTCAATCTCAATAATTGGTTCACATCTGTTAAATTTTAACTCATTTATAATAGTTTTTTGCTAATTCTATAGCATTTATTATTGATCTGTATTAGAAATTTGGCTATTTAATCTTTATCTTGGTGATTCATTTGTAGATATTGGATTATCAATATTAAATTAATTTATTTTATTAAATTGACTGAACTTTATTTATTAATTTCTTTTAGTTTATGGATTTATAAGCACTGAAGTATTTTCACTTGCTTCCTCTGAGCAAACTGTAAAATTACTTTACTTGTTAAAACACATTTAATTTTCTGGCTTACTAATTAAATTCTAGCTTTTTTCAATTTATTCTCTAAATTTGACCTAAAAACTAGGAACAATAACATTCTTATTTGTTTCCTCTTAAACTTCTTCTTCTAGTTCTTCTTTTTACCTTAATTTCTAAAAAAACATTTCATTTGTATTATTTATAAAATTATTTTATTTTAGAATTTATTCATATTTATCCAAAAACATGCTCCTTAATATGAGCATTAAGAATTCTTCTGAGATTAGTTTTTATGATAAAAATCTACCTATACTTTTTGAGATTATTATCACAGCAGCAATACTATTTACAAGTGCAATAATTTCAGTAATTATTGGGTATTAAATTTAGAATTATTGCACAATCTCATCCGTTTCGATAGAAATTTAGATATATGGCCCAATGCCTGCGTTTAAAGATGTTTATCTATCAAATGTTTAACCAAATTAATTATATTAAATAGGTGATGAAAAAGTTTATTTACTTTAAAAAATAAACCCATCTCTAATTTATGTTTCTTATTTTTATGTTTTCACTGTGTTTAGTAAAAATTAATTTGATAAAACATAATTTTATATATTTCTGTAGTATGTTTAAATCTATTTTGAGGTAGTGTTATATTACTGAGTTTTCAACTTTAATTATAAATTAGAATTTACCTAATCGATAACATCATTTATTTCACTTTAAGCTGCACAGTTATTTGGAACTGTTGTTTTAATGTTATCTAAATCACGACATCCATAAATATTGATTTATAATTAAGAAAATATATTATTATTGTTATCAAAAGCAAGCGTATAGTTATTTGCTTTGGAAAAATCGATACAATTAAAACCTTAGAGTTGAGGATTAGTGCATTAAATTACATCAAGATATAACATTTCAGTAGCATTATTATCATATTAAAAGAATTGTATCACATAAACTATGAATGTTTTATTCTGTAAAATTTGATAGGTATCTATAGACATGGTAGAGTTATAGGCAAATTTAAATCCAACTAAATCTTAAGTTAAAGAAACATCAATTCTTTCATCTACAATAAAACTTTGAGATCTAAATTTTGGATCGATTTAATTATTAACATAAAGGTAAAGTAAGTAAAAAAAGTATGAGACTATGGTTGTAGCTGCAATTAATGATAAAGTAAAACCTGGAATCGTACCTCTTTTTTTTTATTAGCCCTCTATGTTAAAGTAAAATTCAGATGAAAATAAATCGTAATTCAAAAATTTCATTATAGAAACAAACTATTTGATTAATTTAGTTCTACAATCTTTTATTTTTTTAATAGTTTATTTACCTTCTTATTTAAAAAAAGTTTGATCAATAAAATATAATAATTTAATAAGATGTTCTTTTTAAAATGCAAAATTAAAAAATGAGTCTTGAATAAATAACTTTTAATTTATGAAGCTTTTTTGGAATAAAAAATCAATTATTTGAATATTTTTTTTAATATTAAATTGAGTTTTTTTAAATAATTTATAATACTCAATTCTATTATAAATCACAAAAATAATGATAAAGCAAAGAATACCTCAAATTTTTAATATTAGGTGAAATCTATTTACTTTGACTTTATTTTGAATTAACTAAATATTAAAAAATTAACTGTTTTCATATTTTATATTATATATATTTGTCAACAAAAATAACGATTCAATATATAAATAAACAAAAATATTATAGAATAAAATATTTTTATATCCATGGGCATGTTGTAATTGGCAATTTAAAATTTTCAAACAAATAAATAATATTCAAATAAAAGTTTTTATTTAATTTGAGCTAATTAATTTGGAGGATTTATAATTTTAAAATAATTTAATTTAAATAATTTAATAAGAATTATAAAAAGTAGAATATGTTATTAATAACTAAAAAGGCTGTAAGCAGAGACTCAACCAACATCTAAAAGCAATGAATAATCATTATAAAACACATAATAATATAGAATATTAGTAAGCATGTTTTTAGGGATATAGAGTTTTAATCTAAATAAGAATATTTACCCTAAATTTACTTTAAAAATTTTAAATTTTAACAAAATTAATAAGAATTAAAGTTTTAAAAATTAATTCTATTTAGCTATTTTGATAATTAATAAAGTTAAAGAAAAAAAATTTTTTTATTTTATTTTAAAGATATAGATTAAAGGTCAATCAATATATATCTAGATGGAGCTTAAAGTATAAAAGACTTAGATAATTGGGAAGAAGGAAATTAAAAAAGAAGGTAAAGATAAAAAAAATGAGAATAAAGATGGGTTAGAAAAATAGGTAAGCAAATGGTATGATGGAAAAGTTGTTTAATGGATTTTTTGCACATTTATACCATTTGCGTTCTTAGCTGCTTATCCTATCATAATCTTAAGTTATTATACAATTGCACATACAGTTATGGCTTAGGTTTTCGTCTAAATTGCATTAATAAATTTTTATATTAAGCCATCTAAGAGCTCTCTTGATAGTAAGGAATAGCAATTGAAAGAAATATTTATCAAGAAGTAAACAATTTAGCTTAAAGATTACAGGAACATTTTCTTCAAATTTGTAATGATATTAGAGTCATTAAACTTACTGAGTAAAATAATATTTGTGATAATTTACTATTCAAAGGAGGATTTGCAAATAGAAAATATAAAAAATGTTCTATTAGATTTAGAATTCTTTTTCGTGAGCGATTAAGCAAAACAATCTGGTGTGTAAAAAGCAAAAATGATTCTTTTATCATTTATTCCAAATATCCTTTTATTTTCAGTTTTTGTTTTAGCTAGCAGGATATATAAAAATCATAGTGAAGTTAGAATCGAGGAGCTTGTTCATCCTTCTAATTAAGTATAATTTGATAGCGAATTATTTTATTTTTAATTTTTAAAATTACTTTAACTAGAAGGCTTAAGGATTGTTAAATTTTCTTGTTTTGGTTTCATTGGCTTCATGCTAAATATTTAACCCTTCAATAATGGCTTTTGGTTTCTTAGGTCTATCATTAATATCGCAAATTGTTTCTTTGATATCAAGTAGCTAAAGAAAGATGATAAATGCATAGATGATTATTCAATCTCTTATTTAATTTTATTGCTTTGCTTAGTTTTTTTTAAACATGTTTTCAGCCACAAATACATTTTTAGAAAATAATTACTTTGAGTCTTAATTTATAGGTGTTAATTCAATAGCTGAATTTTCAAATGGTTTAAATGTAATAAATTTTTTTGTTCTCACAATAATCTTTATTTACACATATTTCATAAAAACTAATAAATTCTTCTTTAATTTACTTCATATTAAGATTTATTTTAAGGCAAACGAGCTAATTTCATTAAATTAATTATTTCTTTTATCATTGTTCTTACTGAATAATTTTTAAAACGAAAATAGTAACATCCGTTTTACATCTTGAGTTTGGTGATTCTTTTCTTTCTATCTGTTTTTTATCTTTAGAAACTTAATTATGAAAAATCAAGATGGTCTTTTATTCCTGTATATTAGCAAATCGAAAAAGAAAAAAAGAAGAATAGGCTTAAGAAGGCATTAGTTAAACTTTTAAGCTTAAAGAAATAGAACTCTAATATCTTAGAAACAAAATCAGAATTGCTTCCTAGATTTGATTAGGATAGCAATAATTAAATCATTCACTATCATACCATTAATGATTAGGATAGAGTCTAAATTGAATTACAAACTTATAATGATATCCGAACCGAATAGTAAATTTTAGACAAAAATTAAGATTAAAGCTAAGATAATGCAGATGCATTGAATCACTTAATAATTTAAGACATAATGGTAGATGAAATAATTAAAAATCCGAATACTTAAGGATAAAAGGCCAATAGAAAGTAAAAGATGACAAATTCCTTAAAACTAGGTACAGCATAAGTAAATTTTGGTAATGATTCAAAAGGTGAAATATAATAAGATGATAATGACAATAACTAAAACTAACATACGATTTTAAGTAAAATAAGGAAAAATAACAAAAGTACTACTTATACTCCAGGATTGTTTCTAAAAAAATAATAGAATAATCAACAAAGAGGTTCTTTTAAAGTTAATTAACATGAACAAGATGAATAAATATAAGACAAGGTATAAAAGTATGCTCCTTCGCTATAAGAATAAAAGGAAAAAGGTATAGAAATAATTAGGTAGCAGTTAATAAAAATAGAAAGAGGAGAAGAAGATAATATTGATAATTTTTTGACTCTAAAAAAATAAGATATTTTATATGAAGAGTCTATATAGCCTGAGAGTTATCTAATTGCAAATTAAAAAACTAGTAAAGATAAGTTTTCAGCTTTTAAAACTAAACTTTACAATTATATTTTAGATTTATCTAGTAGATCATTCATTTACATAAAATCATAATTTGAAGATTCAATAATACCTATTAGATTTCTCTAATGCTGCTCAATTTTAATAATTATGAGATATCCATGCTACTATTCATTAGGGCTAATTTCATGGTGCTTATTAAGTTCTATTTTTAAATTAGAAATTAAAATTAAATTTCTTTTCATTACATTAGTTCCTATACCTTGTATTATTATTATATACGCTTTTAATTTATATGGAAGCATACAATTAAATTATGATCTCTACCCGAAGCATGGCTTTGTCTATTAAAGATTCTTTTGGTTAGAAAGCATCATTTTTAACACAATAATTTTCCTTTTTTTCACCTATTTGCTGATACTTCGTAGATTAAAATAAAATTTGTCTTCTATTGTATAATCACAAAAGGAGAAGAGCTAAGAAAAAATAGAAGAAAATAGCAACAATAAATAAAATTTAGATGCATAATAAAATGATAATTCAAAGAGCATGATTGAATAAAACATAAAATAAATTGGTGAATAAAATAACGATTTTATATAATAGAGAAACAGCGAAAAATAAGAAAGTGTTAGCAAAAAAAACTCTTCTCCTTATAATTAAGATTAAGTAAGATTTACTTCAAAAAGTGATCCAATTAAAGGAGAGATTAATCTTAGATTCAGCAAGCAAAGTTAGAGCAGTGTAGCCAAATTGAAGGCAGACTAAGAAAACGAAAATGAGTAAAATTAAAGAATTTAAAGTAATTCTTATACAAAATCAGACAAATAAGAGAATGACAACAAGAATAGTTAGAAAATAGATTATTCTCAATAAAAACCTGTTTCCTTGATGACAATTTTTTTTGCACTAATTCTAAAATATAGCTAGACTTTGGCTTTGTTTCTTTTGTATTGGATAGGTTTTTATACAATCAATATAATTCACCTGCTTTTGGTCGTTTTATTTTTGATATTTTTCTAAAATAGTTTGAAAACAATCAAAATTAAGAAAAATGGAAAAATCTATGTAATGAGTTTTTCATTCAAATACTGGTTTATTCTCTTAATTTATCTTGGTACTGTAATTTTTGCTAAGTTTATATATACTATTTTACAGTCAGGTATGAATTATATGGGTGAATAAAATAGTGATAATAACTAGGATAGCTATTTAGCTACTATCATTAATTTTATAGGTATTAACTACGAATATGACATGCCTTTTTCTCTTAGTCTTTCAAAAGATGACTATGCTGGCTTGTCTATAATATGGATAGCCTTTATGTTTGCAACTCTACAAGAAGATACTTTTAGATCGGAAACATACTAAAAATATTCTAATAAAATTATTTTTCTGATTCAAGACTAACCTATTATTAAGAAGTATTGTCCTAATTTCCTATTTTATACTAATAAAATTACTATTCTTGGTGAGAATTTATTATATTGGTTATCATTTTTTGGAATTACAACTTGTTTAATTTTACAAGACTTTAGTTTCATAAACAGCTTTTTGCTACTATTGTCGTTCTTACTAGTATTCTATTACATATTTAAGTACAAGGACCCTCAAGCCTTTAAATATAAAAAGTAACTTATTTTTTAGCATATAATTATTTTTAAATTTTTACTATTATTTTTATTGAAAATAATAAATATTTTAATTAGATATTATAAAATATGGTATTTCTTCAATCAGATAATCATTGCGTATATCTTGCTTTGCTACATATTATAATTTACTTCCTTAAAGTTTGTTTAAGATTATATAATAAATCCTAACTCCTAAGCATATCAAACATTTAAAGACAACCGTGCAATATATGGGTTTTATCCAGAACTTGGCGTAAATGATAACTTAAGATATACATTTTTCCCTATTATATTTGTTTTATATTTTGCCATATTTGTTTAAAATTACTTGAAGATGATATACAATGCTGTTAAACACCATAACAAAGGACAAATTAGGGATAAGTCTGAAAGCAATTGCTCTGTTATAAGTGACAACCAAAAAAGGCTCTTAAGTGAAAGAGAAAATATAACAATAGATATAATCAATAAAAATTACTAGAAAGCAAGAAGAGAAGAAAACAGATAGATTTACATTAACTATGTTTTATTCGATATTTACAGTGAAGTGTAATTAATTTTATTTAATTCATTTTTATTTTTCACCTTAAGTTCTTCTAAATTTCTCTTATTCCATACAAAATATTTCAATAACTTAAGAGTGCTTGATTAGCTTTGAATAAGACCTTTTAGTATTTATTATAAGTATTTTGAAAATAAAACATCCATAATTTTGATTTTTTTTAATTTGATTTTTCAATAAAAAATGAATACGATTCCAATTTTTATAATAATTTTTCTTAGTTTAATTATTTTATTAGATTAATTTTCCACTTTTTATAAAATAGGAGCAGTGGTGTTTATTAGATACTAAAAGGACTTTAATTTATCATGATCGATATTTAGAATATGTTAGTTTTTCTATTTGCTATGGTTTTTAGATTGTCAATTTCCATGCTTATATTTATTATTATTTATTTGAAATTCTATTATCGCTATCATAACTAATTGGAAACATTTTTGGAAAAAAGTTACATGAAGAAGAGTATCAATTACTTCTTCAAAAGCTTTTAAAAGTTTTATTCATTTCCTTAAAAGAACCTCGGATGGAAAATAAATTTAGATCCAAAGCCACCTACTTCAAATAAAAATGGAAAAAAATAATAAGAAATTCAACAGTAAGATGAAGTCATTATATCATCAAACTAATTAAAGAATTTGTAAGTAGAAAAAGCAAATGATACCAAATTAAAAGAATAGGATAATGCTGAAAATGAATAAAATAAGATTGAATAAGAATAGTCTTAAAAATAGAACAGTTTAAGTTAGAATAAGAACTTATAAGCACTTCGTAGATAGAGTAAAAAAGACTTAATAGAATGCAAAATTTAAGAAAAAATTGAAGATTTTATAACCATTTAATAAAAACTTAAAATTGATGAATAAATTGGAATATGGCCATATTCGTTTTGGTTTAGCTATATATGTATCAGTATAACTTATGGTGCATAGTTTTTAGCTACTGATTTTGCTAAGTCTAATATAAGTAATTATGTAATTAATTTTATATAATGGGCATTTTTTATTTTTGGAACCAGCTGCAATACTTTGAGTTTATCAAGTATCTTTAGAAATATTTACTTCTATCTAATCATGTTTTGGATGAATATCATAATATTTGTTTTGATCAGAATGAAAAAGTAGCATGAATAGAATGTTATGAATTAAAAATAAGAGTTATAAAGCTAATCTTAATTAAATAAAAATTCTTAAATCTAAAATCGAGATTCTTCTGCTAAAAAGGGAGAAAGTAATTAAAACAATCCTCTCAATTATGATGATTTTAGAGCTTCAAAATCTCCTGCTATTAATTCAGAGTTTCCCAGGAATAGTTCATCATACAGCCAGTAATTGAATAGACTCACTTACCTTCATTTAAACTAGGCTTAAGTAGCCGATGTAAATATTTAAGAAGGTGAATAAAAGTTAGCATTTGAATCAGAAAGATTAAAGCGTGTATAGAAATCAGAAAAAGAAGTAGGAGTTGTTTATTATTAAGAAGGAGGATTGCTACCCTAAAGAATTACTTGGTGCAAATTAATTTATAAACATTTCAAATTAACAGAAGAAGAGAGTGAAGATGAAGATAATAATGAGGCTTTTATTTAAAAAACACAATTCATAGAAGGTCTTTCTCCTAATTACAACCATGATAACATTTTTAAGTAATAAAATAAGGATAAAACAGATAGCATTATTGAAAAAAACTATGATGATGCTTTTAAAAATGAAATTGAAAACTCTATTGAAGATGAGGGTTCTATCAATTAAATTAAGAATAAACTTGATGGCTATGCATTTAATGTACAATCTCCTAATATACTCAAAGATTAATATGAATAAAAATAGGAATAATCTGATGAAGAAAAGAAATAAGAGCTTTAAGATGAAATTCTCATTAAAAAAAGGTATGAATAAAAAATTTTAAAAATTATTAGAGCAGAAGAAGAAGAAAGGCAAAAAAAAATGTACAGAGAGGACCCTGATTTCATTTACAATAATTATTTAAGGATACAATATTTTTATCAAATGAAGTCTTGTTATGTTAAACAAAAATTTAAATCTGGACTCCTACTTGCTCTTTATCCCTTTTACTCTGTAATTTTAATGCATGTTTCTGAATAGAAGCATGACGTTTTTTCTTATATATATTTGTTGGTAGCATTTTTAGGTAACTCTATCAAGGCTATTAACAGAAATACTATTTTCCTAGTGTTGATTTAGTATATTTTGCTACTTGTCAATATAAATCAACAGACAAGTCCACTCCAAATAGATTAGTACTTACTTGATTTCAAAAGCATGTCTCTAATACAACAGTACATAACTGATAAGGAGCTTTTATAATATTTGGCATTCAATAGCAGTAATTAAAGTAGTGCAGCAACTATCTCATTTATTTTAAATTGCCTAGTATTTACAGTTATAGGCATTTACTTTAATTGCTATAAGTTTTTAGTTAATAGTATTATAAGAAATATTTAAAAAGTGAAAAATAAAGTAAAGTATATCTATGAGAATAATCTTTTCCCTTAGCAAATAGCGCCTATTAGTATTTACAAGATTGATTAAGCATAGAAAAAATAATAAGAAAACCAAAACGGTTCTGTGAATAATCCTGACTCTGATTAAATTGTTCACGACTAAATTTTAAAAAATTAGAAATTTTAATTGTCAAACAATAATCTTTCAACATATTCAATAGAATTTACAGATCGCAGTGATTCTAAATATGAATATTAGTATGATGAAGATGGATAATTAATAAATCCTATACAGCCATTATGGATAAATTACTAAAATTGGAAATCTTAGACTTTTTAATTTGTTAATTTGATGTATGAAATAAGTATATCATTTGGTTATATCATCTGCGCTGTATTGATAATGATAATTTCTTGCTAATACCTAGATATTTTTAACTTCATAATACTTGCATACAATATGATCATCTTTTTTATTATAGAATTTGTTGTGCCCTTTCCTTAAATGCTTAATTAAAGAAAGAAAATTTAGAATTTATTAAGAGTATTGTAATTCTACTTATATGCTGTGTTTGCTCTATATTCTACTATGCAAATTCCATATGTCAGAAACAACATATCAGCAACAGGTTAATTTTTATCTTATCAATTTTTAAATTTAAAGATAATTGATAAAATCTACATTATGTTTTGCATAATGTGCACTCAATTATTGATAAGTTCATAAGATTTCAAAACAATCACTTTTTCACTAAGTTAGTCTTATATCCTTAATGCTAATTTAAGTCATAAGGCTCTTTCGATACACCAAAATGATTAAACTATTTCTGAGTTGCTCAAAAATGAAAAAGAGAGAAGAAGCTTAAGAGAAGTTGTCCGTAAAGTTACCCAAACTTTAAAAAATTGGCATAAATCACAGTCATATATATAGCCTTCTATTGTTTAGTAACAGAATAATTAAAATAAAAATTTAAACACGAGTCTATAAATAAATTAATTTTAAAGTTCTAAAAATTTATAAAATACTCTTCCTGCTAGATCATAAAGTGCTCACAATGTACCACTTAGCTGCTTTTCAAATTAAATGAATACTCGAAGTGATAGTAAAGACAGCATTTTATATGAACAGTAGGGATTAATTTCTAATTAAATTTAAAGAGGGTTTTAAAATAAAAGCAAAAGTAAAAATATTATTAAAAACAATCCATTAGAAGCATAAACTTATCAGAAAGATAAATTTTAGTAAACACCAATTAATAAGTAAAACTAAGAAACTGTATAAGATTTTTAAAAGAATGATTAAAATTCTCCAACTATTTTGATCAATTTAGCCAGTAACGAAAAATAGGAATAAAATAATAATTAGTTATTGTAGAATGAAGAATTTTCAAAAAAACCAGATCAGCAACATATTACCAAAGAAAAAGCTCTTTAAAAAAAAGATGTTGAAATTGATGAGCTTGATTATAGTTCAGATGAATCAATAGGAAATATTGATGAAGTTAATCATGCGAATAGCGGTATTCAAATTAAAAAATATGATTTTCCAAGAATAAGTTAAATCAAAATAAATAACTTAGAAAATTTATAATAATAATAATTTAATAAGCAAGACTAGCTAAATAATAGTAGTTTAAAAAGAATGAAAATCAGTAGAGTTAGCAGTGTTGATCATTTAGAGTAAAATCTTCTATTTGACTAATAGAGCGCACTCAAAAAAAGCTTTAACATAAATTAATAAAAAGATACTGATTCAAGTTATACAACAAGGAAAGTAAGGAATTAATCAAAAGAAAAGAGTGTTTGCTTTTAGAAATAAAAGGTAGTAAAGACAAGTAGAAAGAAATCTCTGAAAGATAAAAAATAAGAAAAAGCCAATAAATACCATAATGTAGAAAATATTTAAGCTGTTAAAAAATACTAAAAAGATTCTGACTCTGAAGATTCTGAAGATAGCCAGGTAAGTCTTTTCAATTCTTCTGAAATAGTAGATGAAGAGGATAATGACTTAATGGATTAAATAAAGCAATAGTTTGATAACAAGATATAAAAATAAAAAGAGGAAGAAGAAGCTCTCCTTCAAGGTAGTAAATAAGCAAAGCGTGAGACTTCTCACAAAATTTTAATCAAAATTTGTAAGCTGATAGAATCATAAGTAAATCCATTACTTTTCATGGACACAGTTTAAATAAGCGATTATATTCTTAAAAATAATTGCCAAATCTTCAGTAAAATATACATAAACATTTAAGATCTTTTGTTAGGAAATTTGACTTCTCTTATGGAGTATAGTCACCTTCTCTCTATAGTTTATTATTGTATATATTAAACGATTTAAGAGGCTGGTGTCGAATTTGCATTTAATAATCTTTTTGCTATCATACAAAGAGCTACTGAGTGTGATGAGATATCAAAAATAATTTATGATAGTTTAATAGAAACTTCTTCCTAATACCCAACCATTCCATATTATTACCATTTGAGAAAAGAGCAAGAGAAAAATATTACAGATAAAAAAATAATATAAAGAGAATAAAGAAATAATCTTGATCATATATGCATTTATCACCCCTAAATTCCTATGTACATATACAATGTTAAATCCACAAACTCTTTGCCTTTTAATCTTCTTACTAAGTTTGGGCTTTTAAAAAGGTAATTTATTCATTTTGTTTGTAACTTATTAAAATATTTAAATATTTTATATTTTAAAGGCTTTTGAAAAGTTTTTTTAAGATGGTTCTGAGCAACTGGTAGTTTGTTTGCTTTTTCTTTTTTTTGATGTATTATTTCTCTAACACTGGTTTGATGAGTATGCCATTTCCTTGTTTAGTTTTCCTAAACTTCTTAATCGAAATAAAATTTGTTTCCTTGCAAATATGGATGATTAGCTTTATTTATGTCACTTTCTTACTAATTTTTAAATTTATTATTCAGATCAATGGAATATATATGGACACTCAACTGCAAAATACTTTTTTTAATGACAATCTTAGTTTTAGCTTTGAAGGGTACTTAATATTTTTGATTTTTGTTGCTTAAATTATGACAAAGTATATTGGAATGGATAAAGAGGATGTATACAATAGTGAAAATATATATCAATCATATATTAGAAAATGTGTAAATGACTTAGAATTTAGACAGGATTTTATTGAAAATTGCTTACAGCCTACAAATGAAGATAATATGTTGAAAAATATTGATTAAATTTCTCCTATTTATAAAAAAACATAAGATAAGCCAAATTTATTTCATATAAGATAGATGAGTTAGTAATAATTTGATGGAGACAATCAATTATTTAGAGATGAAAATTTGAATAAAAATACCTAAAATTTGCTAAATAAATAAATGAAAATCGAAAGAGACCAATCAACAGAAAATCAAAACGATTTTGATAATATTGGTCAGTTAAAAAAGCAACCTAGCTTAAATAAATAAGGATCCTTGCAACATAAAAACACATTTAAATAAAACCCATAGCTATTTCTAGAGGATCAAACTTTATCAGAAGCAGAAGAAAACAATAAAATCTAAATTAAAAGTAATTAAGATATTCTACTTAAGTCTTTTAACTAAGGCAAAAATAACTTATTATCAATTTCAGAGTAAGAAAGATCAATTAGCATGCATGAATAAATGCTAAAAGATTTAAAATAAAAACCTGACTTATTAGTCAATGACACTTTTAAAAAAGAGAATTTCTTTAAAAGAGTATTTAGTAATTACAATAAACGCTCAGGAAAAGATTTTTATCCTTGGATTGCTTTAGTGTAGGTGATAATTTTGCTTTTTATATTCATATTTTATACTAGGATGGACGCAAATAACACTTAAGGTATAAATGAATAACTTAAATATAATTAATTTAGTGGAGAAATGGTTATTTGCCTGTTTATTTAGGTGGCTTTTATGGTTTTTGAAAGATACCTTGCACTTAGAAGAGTTAGTGAAAAAACTAAAAAAGAAAAACCTAAAAAGAAAAAGGAAAAAAATTCTTCTAGCTCTGATAATTCTAATGACTCAGATTTATCAACTTCCAATAATTTATCTTAAACTTAAATTATAGATGAAGAAGATTCTCTTATATAAAAAAAGTAAAAAGCCAATAAGGCATTTGACTCCTTTGATGAAAAAGCATATTCCAGATAAAACTAACCAAGGTCATAGAGCTAAATCAAAAGGAAACCAACATTCAAGAAGGAAGTTAACATCAAGCATCTAAGATCAAGCACTAAAATATCTTAAGAATATGACACTTATAAGAATTTTTAAGAAATGCAATCTTTAGTTTTAAATTAAGAAGATGATGAGGAGATTGATAATAAAAAGCAAAATAAAATTCTAAAAGATACTTATAAAGATGCTTTGAAATAGCAAGATCATTATGAAGAAAAATAAATAGATAATGAGAAGTAATAAAATAAGAAGGGGTATGATTAAAAAGATTTTGAAATAGTTAATGATACTCCTTAAAATAGAGTTAGGAGCTTCGCATCTCATACTAGAAATTCTAAGGAATATGATGAAGATGTGTTTAAATTAAGATAGCAGCATAGATTGTCTTTAGTATTAAGAGAAGAAATAATTTTTGCTAATCTAGAGAAAGAATAAATTAATGCAAATTTGTAAAATTTTAAATAGTATGGTAATTTGATTACAAAAAACAAAGATTCGAATAATTTAGATTCCTCATTATCTTCATCAGATGATTAAAAATCTTTTTTATAGGATTCTTCTGTAAATCTATCTTAGGGCAAGAACATAAATAAAAAGAAAAGCAATTAAAATACTCCATAAAATAAAAAAGGATAAACTAGGGATCTTGAAAATTAGATTGAAGAAACTAAAAAATCCTCAAACTAAAAAGAAAAGAATCAAATGGTCTCCTATCCAACTGATAATATAATTAAGTATCAAGATGAGACAGAAGCTAATCAAAATGCTATTAATAAACAAAAAAAATATAATGATCCTGTAATACTACCTTTTGAACAGCAACAAGGTATTTAAAGCAGCTAGGACGAAGATAACTAAGATTTTAAAAGTGATGCTAGTGCTAGTGATAATGTTAGTATCAATAAAAATAAAAAAGAAAAGCCGAAGGAAAGTTTTGTTCTAACTACAGAACTTCTTAAATTCATTTAACTAACAGTTTTTCTTATTTTATTCAGCTGGTTTGTCTTTTTTTATGTACCTTAATCTTTCTAAAAAAATACTATTAGTGATTAAAAAGTCGTTGTAAACTATTCCACAAACGGTTACCTTATTGCATTTGTTTTTATTGTTATGATATATCTTCTTTTGTCAACTTTACAACTAAGGTACGGCTATAAAAAACTGAAGTTAAGAAATACAATTTTGCAGTTTAAAAATACTGTTGCAGGTAAATTCTAATTATTTTATTTTATAATTTATAAATTATTTTGTAATAGGATTCTGTGCTGTTGTTGTGAGAGCAATACCATTCTTACAAGAACTGAAAGTCATACTTGATTGGACAGTAACTAAAACATCACTAACTTTATTTTAATGGTTCTTGTTAGAAGATATACACTATTCTTTATACGTTGCTAAATTAGATTCTAAAGATGTTAGAAGCACAAAGGTAGATGCTCCTTAAAGTAAATTAGTTAAAATATTTTTGGGGCTGCTATAAGTAATTGTTATTCTTTTGCTCATATTCGGGCCTATGCTACTATTTTCAACTTTAAATCCTATATCTGATTATAATGGTATAACTAGTGGTGAAATTGAAGTTGGAATCTAATTTAAGCAGCTTGGTTAAATTAACTATTATCCTATTTTTACTAACTCTCATACAAACAACCTTTAAACAGTCTAAAGAGACTGTACTTATGACCCTTAAAAGAATGTTAATAATTAAGATGCTTCATAATAAGAGTGCTACTGGGATGAATATAAATTTAGAGATGTTAACATTATTTACACTACAGATTCTTAGCAATTTTAGGTAGAAAAATATTCTTAATTCAAAATGATAAAAATTTATTTATTTATTTATTTATTTTTAAATAGAAATTCAATTTTTATAGTTACTCAGAAAACTCTTGGGATTTATCTTTTCCTTCAAAGAAAGATATTGAAAGTAAATTTGAGGATATATTGAATAATTAAAATACAAGTTAAACTGCATAACTTGTTATCAAATTAGTACTTAATAGAAAAGTAATTTAATTAGAATTAATCATTTTTTTGTTTCAATTAATTTTATCTCTTGCTTTCCATTTAAAAACTCTTTTAAATGAATAAATAAATAGGTTTCTTAGTACAATACAGCTCCATATATTAGCTATTATCCTAATCCTCAAATATAAAATAGCTCTTACCTAAATAAATAGATTATCTAAGGTTTTTATGATACTTTAACTGATTGTTAGAAACCAGGAGTTATACTACCGAATTTTTACATCTTTGTAATTAAAACTATATTAAAAAAATAAATCTAATATTTTTAATTTATATTTATAGCTGCTTTCATCAACAATAAGCAATTAGAGTTATATTTCATCTCCCATAAATCATGAGGATAATAATAACAGTGCTTATTTTGCTAAAGATTCATATATATAACTTAAATGTTAAGATATCTAGAATCCTCAGACACAAAAGTACTGGGAAATTTCAATTGATTAAGCTGGCACATCAGGTTTATCATATTTTGTGGTTACAGATAAATATTCATAGGCAACTTTTGGGTTTTCAATTATCACTTTATATACTTCTGTGATTTTAGTCATAGGTAAGTTTATTAGAGATGCATTTGGTGGGGAGCTAGAAAAAATTATTATAAAATGCATGCCAAACCCAGATGAACTTTTACGTATTTGTGAAGCCATTTCAAATGCAAGAAACGAAAAAGATTTGCTCAAGTAAGATTAAAAATTTGAAGTTTGAAATTTATAACGTTTTGAAATTAATTAATAGAGAAAGAATTTTATATTTTGAATTGATGGATTTGATTAGATCTCCTGAAGTGTTAAAAAAATTGACAGGATCTTATTCATTTGTTTTGAACTAAAAGCATAAGCTAGACTTATAATAGGAAGAGATAGACAAAGCTTTTAAAAAGAGGAAAAGACTTATAAAGAAAAAGTTAGCAAATAAGAAGAAGAAAGAGAAATAGAGATTATAAAAATTGTTAGATGAGAATAAAGAAACTCAAAATAAAGAAGAAACTTAACATGATGAATAAAATAAAAATTTTTAAATAGAGGAACAAGCAGAGGAAGAAGAAGAATATGATCAAATTACAATAAACTAATTTCTTAAAAAATGAATAAATATTTAGTCCTACTAAATACAAAAATAATTCTTCAAATTAAAAAATAAATAAATAAAATAAAATTTTGATATGAATATTTTTATTAAAAATTGTTTTTCAAAAATAATTCATTCATTTAATTACGTATTTAATTTTAAACAAGACAAATTAAAATATTTAATGCTTTATTTATGATTATTTGTACATTTATTAACTATTATTTTATAATAACAATCATAAATTATACTTTGAAGATACTCTCAGTATTATGTAAGCAAAGAAAATGCAAACGCTTACAGTTAAAAATATAGTAATGTATAGTGTGTACTCTTTATCTGCTATGTTTCCAACTGGAACTTGTCTTTCTAATATTTTAACTTTTTAATCAGCTTGCTGAACATCAATTTATCTAAAATTTGTTGTATTGAAGGCGGTGTTAACCATTCTCTCAATTAATGAAGTCTTAATGCTAGCATTGCTTTTTTTGGGCTACTCAATACAATTTAGTAAGAAGTAAGGATATATATTCATATATGACTATTTATACTTTCCCTCAAATGGAGTTCTATACCTGTAGTGGAATAAAAATGACTCATCCATTTACATAATATATTTATTTTTGCTAACATCATATGTAATATCAGAATCTTTAAATCTGTATTTTAGAATGTATACGTGCTAAGGGCTTAAACTACTAGGTCTTTCAATATCATGGACTCTATAGTTTGTTAAATTCTATTTTTTTAATAATAAAATATCTCAATTAATATTTGAATAAAAATATAGTTTTTATTTACAAGATTATCATGAAGATAGAGTTCATCAAAGTCAACATATTGAGTGGTATCGAGATAATCTACTATAGCTAGTTCACATTCTTTACCTTCCTTCTTTAAGTTTTATTTAGAAGATTCATACTTAAATTATATTTAAGATTTTTGATGTAACCCAGTACCTTCAGCTTCTCTGTTAAAGAATGCATTGTAGAAAGATCTATCACTAACAAATTAACTTATCTATTTTACTTAGCCCTTAAATATTTCTAAAGTTGAACCTAATTAAACTGGAATTTTTGAATGTATTTCTAAAACAGATCTTTGAGTTTTTGAGGATATCTTCACGTAGCGGGTTTAGTTTTTTTGATTGTAATTGACTTCAATCTCAAAAATTTAATCGAAAGATAGCAAGAATAAATTATTTTCAACTTCAGAAAATGAAGAACTAATAAATGCGTTTAATTCCTTTTAAACCTAACTAATATTAATTAATTATGTGTAATTTTTTTAATAAAGAACATTAAATCCAAAGCATTCATCCCCATTTTCGTTTAATGTAAGAGTGAAATTTCTTTTCTTGAAATATTCTTCAAACTTATCACTAAATATTAAATCAGGTCTTTATTAAGCTTTGTTAAGTGAGCCACATCTCACTACAGAAAAGCGTTCATGAGGTATATTTGAAATAAAAACTGCATTCTTTATAATATCTTCTTATTCTTTTTAGGAAATAAAATAAATTTCAATTTGATCATTTTCAAAACAAAGCTGAAATAACAATTTTATTTACATCCATTTTAGAATACAAAGCCAACTGCATTCGTTTATTTATGGAATTTTATAATATTCTAATCTTGAGAGATGCTAAACTCTTCTTCCTTAATATTTCTTTCAAAATCTACTGCTAAAAACTTTTGAGTATTAGCTGAGGCTAAGAAAATTGCTAAAAATACGAAAAATATCTTCATGACAAACAATAATTTTTAAATTATTTTTAATTAAATTAATTATTAAATATAATAAGTATTTATTTATTTATTTATTTGCTTTTAAATATCTTTTAAATCAAATTTTTATTACTTTAATATCATATCAACTCAATAGCTTGCTTTTCTACTTGATATTTTTATTTTAAAAGACTTTATTTTTTTAATTAAAATACATAAAATAAAAAGTGTATTATGAATATATCTATCTATGTATATTTATCGTAAGTCATATTCAAACTATTTAACAATACTAATATATATATATATATGTAAATATAGTTAATCAGATTGTTATTTTTAATTTATAAGTGAATTATATTTATGAATTATTATCAAAAATCTATTATCAAAATATATAACAAAAATCACATTAACAGCTATTTTCTGGATTTTTAATTTAATTATCAAATTTATAGTTTTAATAATTTTTAATAATATCCACAAGCAATTCTGATTTTTCTTTAAGTGTGTTAGCATCTTCATACTATTCTTAGATATGCAACTAATTTGTAATGTAATAGGTAGCTATATAATTAACTTATAAATGAGCAAAATACTCTATATTGGCTATTTAGGGTAGCTTGAATTTACTAACTCCTAAATTTTCAAGAATTAAATCAAAGCCTTAGATCCATGTTTTGAATAGATTTTAATCTATTTTAAAATTTTCAGATATTAAATCCTTTTCTTGAAAGAGAGTTATTTTTCTAGATATAAATTCAGCAATCGTATCGAATTCTGTCTAGCTATTGGCTAGCTTTCTAAATTAAATTAGAAAAAATAATGTAAATAAATTAATTTATATTGGTTATTTATTACGTAAATAGAATAGATTTTTTAATTAGTTCTGAATCTTCTAATGATTGATAAATAAATTAGGTTGAGGAGCTAATTGTATATCCTACAACTGGCAATAAAGCAATTAAAGATATACCAATTTGTATTAGAAGATTTTGGCTATCAAGAATAACATTTTTAGACTTGATAACAACAGATTGGCAATAGCAGTGACTTAATGTAGAATAAAAAGTATTATAAAACTTCTTTAGATTTGGTATTGACTTTATATCTATTTTCATAAATTTATTCATCTTAATATGTTGATTTTCACTTCATAACATATAAATGAATGATAGAATTAAATTTACATTTTTATTCCTAAGCTTTAGTATTTATATCTTCAACTAATGAATTAATTTCTTTCAATTATTGATTAATTTTACTCTGCTGGAATTTAGTAAAATTAATCTCCTACTTATGCTAAGCGACATTACTTTATAAGTTAATTTGTGTATTTTGGATTTTTTATAAATGATTGAGTAGTTAATTATGGTTATTTTGTAGACTTGAGTAATTTTGCTATAATTAAGCAATGTCTTTTTATTGTTGGTTCACCTAATTTAGTAGTTTATTATTTACGATACTTTCTGAGTATGATGTAGTGCTATTATCTAAATCGTCCATTTTTTTAATTGAAAAATTTTGAATAGAAGCCAAGTGTGTAATTGAAATCTTATATTTATTTATATTTCTATTTTGATTTATTCAAAAATTAATAGTATTGGTAATTTAAATATTATTGATTCATTATGATTAAATAAAACACTCAAAAATTTTTTTGTAAAACTTCAGTTTTTCATAAATTTTTTTAATTCTAACTGCAAATAAATTTATTTTATTTTTTCTGATTAAAAATATTAAATTTTTTTAATGAAAACTATAGAAAGAAAATAACTAAAAATTAAAAATAAATTATGAAAAAGTTATTTAATTCAAATTATTATTGATTTGCATTCGACCAATAGTTAATAAATTAGCTTAATCTCTCTAAATATGAGATTATTTATTAAAAAAGAAAGAAAGAATACTAAAAAGTTGGTAATATTTAAGCGGTAGAGTATTATTATATTAATTTTTTAGTCCTACTTTACTGATACAGATTTTGCTGTTTTTGTTTGTTAATAAAAATTAAGTCAAATTATATTTTATTATTTATTATGCAATAACAGTAAATAGAATTAAAAAGCTTTAATTTAAATTCTACTATAATGAATACATTTTTTGAAGAAAATGGTAGTCAGCATTATTAAACACAACACTTATAATAAAGTCTATGGCTCCATTCGCCTGACTAAAAAGAAATTGCTAATCTCAATAAAAAGTAGCATGAAAATAGCTCTATAAATTCATCTGAAAACCTTTCAGATGAATAGCCAACAAGAGTGTAAAGAAGATCATAAAAAATAATATATTAAAATTAAGAAAATTAGGATATATCTGAAAATTATTCCTCAAGAGATAGTAATCTTAAGTGCAGTATTAAGGTTGAAGGATAAAATAATAAAAATAATGTAGAATTAAATTATACATTTTAGAAGTCTCTTAGAAATAGAGAGATATCCTTCGAAAGAAATCATTTATATAGAGAAGAAAGTATTAATGATTAGATAAGGGGCTCTATGATAGCAAGCCCAATAAGAAGATTAGAATCTTCTAAAAGATACAATAATGGTAGGCCAGCTAATGTGTAAAAGGAATTATTAAATAGATTTATGCAAATTTATCAAAAGCAAAAGCATTAATTGACTAAATTAGATGTAATTGTAAAACTAAAAACAAAGCTAAAAAAATTTTTTATAAATTACACCTACTAAGGAAGGACATATTTGCTTAAAGATAACTATTAAATAAGGAAGTTTATAAGAGACAAAAGCGATATATTAGCATTTGGCAAAGAGGATAAATCTAAATTTAATAAAAAATAAATAGCTCATGCTCAATAAAATTAAAATGATTTAAGGTATTCAATGACATAAATAGCAGCGAAGCAAAACTACTTTGACTAAGTACTGCGCTATGTAGGTAAAAAAATTAATAAAACTACAAGAAAGATACTTACAATCTAGGTAATAAAACCTCACTATGACTGGGTAATTACTCTTAATATAATTTTTGTAGTTTTAAACTACATTTACTTCTACTTTCTTTCAATGATTACAACATTTGAGATATAGTTGGAGAGTAAAAAAATTAACTAATATAATATATGCACATTCATTTAGTGGATAATCGAAATATGTGTCAAATTAAATACTGCTACATTTCATGGAGGATAGTTTATCTATAGCAGAAAAACTATAATAAAACACTATCTTTAAGGAAATTTTATTTTTGATATTATTCCTCTTGTTTTAATTCTTTTCTCTGATATAGAGACTAGCTCATCTACAATAATTAGGATCTTTATGTTTATTAAGCTAATTAACAATTTCAGACTCAAATAGGAAGTTGAAAAGATATTGTTAATGAGAATAAAGTACCATTATTATATAGATATTTTTAATTTAGTTTTGAACATATATTTAGTAGGTCACCTAATAGTCATAGGTTTTTACAATGTTGTGAGATTAGAAATTAACTATTTAGGATATACTCATACCTTTATTGATACCATTTAAGAATTTTAAGATAAATGGTGGTAGAGATATATTTCATCTATCGAATGGGCATTTACTTTAATGTGCACAGGATCAAATGTAGCAGAGACAACTCCTGAAGTTGTCTACATGATTTCTATATAGATGATTATATTTGTTCTCTTTGGATATATAATAAATATGATTGGATTTATCATTCTCGAAATGCAAAAATCCTCAGATGAAAAAAATAGAGATATAAATGTCATCAATAATTTCATGAATAGGAAGCATACCTCATAGTAAAAAATTAATTCAATAATTTGTTAAAAATATATTTTTTTAATTAATCGTATAGAGAACTAAAGCATAAAGTAAACCTAGATTTAGAATATTACTACCAAAGAACAGTAAAAAAAAAATCAGATATTGAATAAAGTGTTTTAGGTAAAATATCCTAAGAATTGTCAGATGCTATCGCCTTAGAATATAATAAGAAAATAATATCAAAAATTAAATTTCTAAATAATAGCTTTAGTTAATAAATAATAGATAAGCTATGTGTGAAAGTTGAAGAGAGCTTTTATTCGCCTAACTAAACTATATTCAAAGAAGACCATCTATCACTAAATCCACCACTTATTTATATTATTTCTGGAAAAGGTAATTAATTTATTTCTTTTCGAAGATTAATAATTTATCGAAAGTACAAAAATAGTTTATTTTAATAAAAATACTTCATTAATTTCTTAATTATTTATAATAACCATTACCAAATAAAAATATAAATAGCTGAAATTTTAAAGCAAGTGGAAGTAGATTCAAAATAAAATGATCTAAAAGCTCCCAAAAAGAAAATTGAATATTGCAATAGCATGAAAACAATTGTTGAGTAATTAATTAATTTTTTCTTTTTAATTACAAAATTTTATTGAATATAAATAATAATTTTAAAAGACGAAATAATGACGATACTAAAAGCCAAACATTTGTTCAAGTAATTGGTGAACTAAAAAAAGGATAAATATTTGGCGAAAAGAGCTTTTTTACTGGAAGCTCAAATCCATACGAAATAAGATCAACTGATTTCACCACTGTTCTCAAATTAGAGAGATCTGCATTTATAAGCATAATAAAAGAAAACGAAAAGGATTTTTAGGTTTTTAATGAAATTAAAGATAAATCTATCTTTCTGTCTGATTTTTAGCAACTAGGGATAAGATGCAAAATATGTAAAAGCTATAACCATGAGGAAATGAATTGCCCTCGATGTCATCTAAATAAAAATAATTCAATCCTTTTTGATAAATTAAACTACTCTTAAATGTAGGAAAGAACTGGGAATGTTAGAAAAATTAAGTAAAAATTTAATGCTCGATTTGACATGGTTTTTATTCTGAGAGATGTTGAAAAAATTATAGATTAAATTGAGATAGAAAGCGTAGATGAATAACTCTACCAAACTCTAGAAGCAAATGATTTTTCTTAAGAAAACGAAAGCTAAGATTTGAAGTTATCGATTGAATCTAGCAGTGATGAAAAATATGAAAAAGTAAATAGCTAAGGTCTAGTGAGATAGCCATCTTAGAAGTTAAGCATAAATCCTGCTAAGTTTGAATAAGATAAATAACTTCAAGGTAGTGCTATTGATATCATGGATAAAAACCCTAGTTATTTAAGTGCAAATATATTCTCAAGATAATTAGAAGATGAAAGTAATTACTCAGTTAATTAAAATAATTCAAGGAATAATTCTTTTGTAGTCGGCTCTCATTTGCAGCCTGTCAGCATCAATTATAAGAATTAGATAGATTAGCAAATAAAAGACCATAGAGATAAAGAAACTTTGAGAGAAGTAAATAATTTTATCATCTTTATAAAAATCTTTAATTAAATTATTTTGAATAGATAAAAAAATATTTTTAATTATGTCAACTTTTACTTTAATTTATAGACAGAAAAAAATTTGTGATATTATTTTTAATTTAAAGTTGATTACAGAGATAAAATTATTAAAATTAAAATAAATAAATAAATAAATAAATAAATAATATATGTTAATTATTAATACAATTTTATTTAGAAATCAATCAACAACTTATGAAATTGGATTTCTAAATTTATTTATATTTTTAAATTTAGATTACCTAAATTAAAGATTAAAATACAAAAAATTATTTTAATTTATAGCTTATTCTAACTTGGTTTCTTTTCTTTTTTATTTATTGATTGCTTTTATTTATTTAATTTTAATAAAGAGTACAAATTTTTTTATAGGGAAAATAAAATTATTTTTTATTTTTTATAAAAAAAGAAATCATTAACAAGTATCAAGGAAAGAGATTTGATTTCATAAAAATCATCAATGGAAAAGAGATCAAGAGTTTAATAAATAAATTAGGGCACTAATAACTAAATTTTAGAGGAGTTATAAAAAATTTTTTATTAATTTTAAATGATGTCTAATAATAGAAGGAGCTCATACATTAACTCACCATTTAGGATATCAAATACTAAAAATACTGGAAATGATAAAAAAGCTGGAACGCTCTATGAGTAAAATATTTTTGCTGAAGAAAGGCTCAAATAAGATTAATATTGGATGTTTGATTCATTATAGGACTACGAATTCTACTTCTAAGAAGGTAACCACAGCTTAGTACTTTAGAGACATTAAAATATCAGAAAAAAATTATTAAAAGAAGGTAATAAAGCCATAAGTGTTGTAGAAAAAATAGGCTCTAAAAGAAATCTAAAATCATAAAAAACTGGATTATGATTTTAAATAGAAGCAAAAAAAAAGATATTAAAAATTTTCAAAATTTTGTAACAAAAATAACATTCTCATTTACCATAAAATATAAGAGAATACAAATTTTTTCCATATTATTGATAAATTTATTTTTAATAGATTAACTCTCTATCTATCTATTTAAATTATATTGTTAATTTTATGTTTTAATTTAACTCTAAAAGTAATTGATGTAAAAGTTTAATAACAAATAAGGCTCTATTAAAAACAAAAATAAAAAAAAGGTCTTCTAATTCAAAAAGATATTTAAAAATAAAAACTTGTTTATCAAATTCAAAAAAGCAATTAATTTGTATTTAAAATTTGGTTTATTACTAACTAATTAAATATTACAAAATTTAAATATTTTCCTTGATTGATACTGCTTTAAAAATGGATTTATTTTATTTAATTAATTCATTGTAAGTTAGTAAAACTGGATTTAAAAATGTGTATAATAATTACATATTAAGCTCATTATTATTTGGATCAAGAAAAGATAATATTTACTTATTTAAGCTGTATGTTTAATTAATAAATTAGCAAAAATTGAATTTGATATCTCTATTTTATTTAATTACAAAAAATAAGAAGTAATCATGTATTATCTATCACTATTTTTTAATTATTGTTTTCTAAAAATTTTTTATAATAAATTTGCTTAAAAGATAAATTTTTACTGCTTTGAAAAAATTCATTTTTAGTATCCAAAGCGTGTCTTTCTGTCTGTCAATAATAATATAAAAACAGAGGTGAAATAACTATTCTACCTTTAGAAAAAATGCAAAAACACTAAATTAAAGAATAAATCAAAGCATCCTTCAATTCTCATAACAGTTAAGGGAGAATATTTAGAAAAAGCTAAGATGAGATGATCGATGATGACTGGATGAAATTTCAAGGATTAAATTTAAGGAAAGAGGATTCCTTTTAAATAGAGCCTGACTTAATTTAAGAATAGGGAGTAAGTGAATCAATAAAAAATGGAAAATCTTAAATCTTAAAAGCTGTTGGTGATAATTCTAATAAATTTTCTCTAATTGGACAACAGACAGGGTACTTAGAGGAAAGCTAAACAAAAAATATGCTAAATCCAGATGATATTTAAATCCAAACACCTCATTATATGGATACAAATAATTATAAATCGTATGAAAAGTTAGGTGTTAGCTAATAATAAATTCCACTTACTAGTCTGAGCGCAGGCTTAACTAGAAAGTAGTAATCTAAAATGACTCAATTTAACAAACCTTCTCTTAATTTAATTTCTACATCTGCTGCAGATATTGTTAACAAAGATCGTAATAGCAATCATAATAATACAAATATAAAGTTATTAGGATAGAGTAATAACTTAAATTTAATCATGAATATTAGAAAAAGAATTTTCAACTATATTAACTACTACACATATTTTGGGAGAAAAAATTTCTTGTAAAATGAATTAGTTAGAAAAGCAATTAATGATCAAAGTGATTTTGGTTTTGATTAAATTGATGCAAAACCTTGTTGTTTGGGTTTTCACAAACTTTTATCTTGTATTAGACGACACAAGTGCTTTCGCTATCTGAAAAATTTTCAGTTTGAACCACTGAGTCCACATACTACGTTTTACTTAATATGGAAATTATATGTTACTCTTTATAATTATTTGTTCTTTATTGTCCTTTCTCTACTTATAGTCTTTGATGCTGGATTAAATAATCAATAAATCTAAGAGATATACTTTAACATTACTGCCTTCTAATGGTGTTTAGAAATATTTATCAAAATAAATACAGCATTGTATATAAAAACAAAATTTATAAATAAAAGACAAGAAATATGCAAAATATACTTTTAGAAGTACTTTTTATTTGATATAATACCTTTAATTCTTATACTCACACCCCAAGTAAAAGATGCAAGTATATCTTATATAGCTATTAGACTCCTTTTGTTCATAAAATATGTTAATTCTTACAGAGATTCAGAAGAAGCTTAGAAGCAACTTTTAATGAGATTAAGGCATTTCTATGTAGTTTCACTAATAAATTTGATCGTTAACTTATTTCTTGTAGGTCACATTTTATCTTGTTTATGGTATCTAATGTCTATAATTTAAAAAAACTTACTAGACTCAGACCAATCTTGGTTCAATAAAGAGGAAAGTAGAGAAGGAACTTGGTGGAAGATGTACCTTTCTTCATACTATTGGTCTTTTACATTAATGGCTACAGGATCTAATGAAGCAACAACAACAGTTGAAATATTCTTCACTTGTGTAGTTATGATATTTACAACCATAATTTTTGGTTATATAGTAAACACGATTGGTATAATTCTATCAGAAATGAATAAACTAGAAGAAGAGCAAAGAAAAGATATTAATTTAATTAACACTTATATGAAAAGAAAATGTATATCAAAGTAAATTTTTATTATTTTTATGGTTAGAAAATAAAAAAAACATATTTTATAAAATAAAGGAAACTTTAATTAAAAATAAATCTTGATTTAGAATAATACTACTTGAGAAACACAAAAAATAAATCAGAAGAAGAAAACAGAGTTCTAACAAAAATTTCAGCTGATCTTAATGACGAAATCAAATTAGAATACTACAAAAATATTCTATAAAAAGTGCCATTTTTAATAGGTAATTTTTAGAAGGAAACAATAGACAAACTTTGTCTCTCTATTGAAGAAGTTTTTTACTCTCCGAATTAGATTATTTTCAACGAGCAAGAGTCTAATGACTTTTCGCTGATAGTGATTGTTTCTGGTTAAGGTATTATTTTTACTTTTATCACAAATTAATTTTTTTTACATTATTAGTTGATCTTCTAAAAGGTGTTCGCGCTTAATTAAACTAAGGACAGTAAATTAAGGAAGAAATAGAAGAAGAATAACAGTTTACTAATCCTTAATAAACATAAAGGTTTATTTAAAATAAATTAATATTATCAATTATGCCTAAATTTTTGGGAAATTTTCATAATTGCTTGCTTTTTTCTTTTTTGTCTCAAAAATAAAAAATTAGCATTGAATTTAAATACAATTTATTATTAAATTTAAAGGAAATTAATTTGCAATAATGAAAACTACAAAGTTATAAGCACACTAAAAAAAGGATGCACTTTTGGAGAAGTCAATTTCTTTACTTAAACTTAAAGAGAGTGCACAGCTAAATCTCGAACTTTTACAACTATTCTTAAAATAGAAAGAAATAATTTTTTATCAATAATCTAGAATAATTAAAAAGATTTTGAGGTCTTTTGTGAAATGAAAGATAAGATACAGATGTACAATAACTATAAAATAATAAATAAAAGCTGTATACTGTGTTAAAATAGCTTCCATTCAGAATAAAGTTGTAGCCAAGCTCATTTTAATAAGAATTCTCCTTTCATATTTAGCCGAATTAACAAAAAATAGTTTTAAGAAAGAAGTTTTTATAAAAGAAAATTAGCAAAATCAGATAACTCTTATTTAATTCGAATCTTAGCTTAAAATTGTATTGATACTCTCAAACAACAGTATGATGTAAGTGAAGAAAATAAAAGAAAATCGCTTGCTGAAGAACTTCCAATACAATTTTGTAATATGTCACTTGATTATGAAAATGATGACGAAGATGATTACTTTGATAATGAGTAGAATTATGAAGAAAAGTTTTCACCAGGAGTATCTCCGATTTTAGCAAAAGAGGAATCACAAAATAATGGTTATTATAGTTAAAATAATTTATAGGCTTTACCTCTGTTTATGATACCAGAAGAAAATACTAGATAAAGAACAGTAGAATCTACTTCTGAGCTTCCTTCATTCTAAAATGCAAATAGCTTAGTTTATATCAACCATGGAAGCAGTAATAATATTGAATCTGGATTTTAGAATTTCTAACAAAAACAGTCAATAAGGTTTTAATCAAATGGCCATTTAAATTCATAAAGTCTTAAAAAGGAAGATTCCTATCAAAAAGAGGTATTTATTTATTAATTATTATTTAACTTTACGCTTGTGCTCAAAATTAAATTTAAATTAAATGTCAAAAGTTGATTAATTGATTTTTATAAAAATGAAATTTTATTTTTTTATAATAAATAAAGCTAACGCAATAATAATAAAAAACTATTGATAATATTGATGAATCTTAAAAGTAAATCTTTAATACAAGAGAAAATTAATACAATTAATTTAGAGAGAATCTTGAACACAGAAAGACAATTCTAATTAATAATTCTCCTAGAAGTACCAGAAAAATGAAAAGTTTTGTTCAAAGGAGAACTACTATTTTGTAGAATAATGATTAAATGAATACTTCTATTAATAGCCCATATAGAGATACTAATTAATAAAAAAAATAAAGTCTTTTGTAAATACAAACAAGTCAATAAGCATAAATGATATAAAATTTATTATAGGGTGAAAAACTTTAGAACTAGATTGAAAGGGGACCAGAGAAATAGACAACTTACTTCAGAAATGAAAATTGGAATGAAAAAACCATTCCTTTAGAAGAAAAAAATAAAAATGACTTTTTATTTTTATTTGACTGCCTTAAGCTATTTAATCATTACTTTGTTTAAGGAAATGCAAATATTATGATTAGCAAATGGAGTCATTAAAGAAAAAAATATCTGAAAAAATATGCTAGCGGAGAAGCTAAAATAACTGGCATAAGAATAAATAAATCAGCCCTAAGTTATAAACTTAAATCATCTAACATGATAAGTTCTCCTAACTAATTTAACTAGAGAGGCTAATAATCTCCTTTTAAAGAAAAAAAGTGAAAAGGAACTATTAAATTATTAAATTATACATTATGTTATTATATATTACTTTTGTAATGATTTTCTTAAATTTATAAAATATTTCTTCAATTATATTGGTTAGCAATTATTTAATCCAAGATATTAAAAATTAAAGTAATTTTATTTTTAATCACTAGTAAGACAGACAATAATAAAGAATATTTATTTTTAGGTGAGAAATAATTTCCATAGAAAAAAGAAATAGTTAACATGATAAAGCATAACCTAAATTCTTAAGCTTTAATTGCTTATACTTTTTTCATAGTTTTCTAGTTAGTTTACTTAATAGGAAAGAGTTAACTGTATTGTTTGTTTTAATAAAATTTTTTTATAGATTTAATATTTATTTTTTATTTATTTTTAATTCTATATCAAAACTTAAAGATTAATAAGCAAGCCAAGCAAAGTAGAAATAATAATTTGAAAAACTAATTCAGAAAGTTTTGAAAATGAGTCAAGATATATCAAGAATGGAAAAGTAAAAGGAAATTTATAAAAAGGATGATGAGAATTCATATAAGTAAGCAAATTAGAAAAGAGATGATTCTCTTTAGAGCTTTAGGACTATTCGCAGCTCTTTTACAGGAATGAGTAAACTAGATGATGAGTCCTCTCATAGAAAAAGCCATATTTCAATAAAGAAAAACATGTTAAATCCTTAGATAGTCTCATAAAAATTAGGCTCGTTTTCTGGCTTGCAAAAGATCATAGGAAGTGACTAGAATATTTAAGTAAGTAATAATCAATATAACTTTTAAATCATTGAGAATTCCTACGTGTCAAAAAAAACTAATGAAAGTGAATAAGAAAAAGGGTATCTAAATATTGATTAGCATTCAAAAAATCTCTAAGTTTCCTCAAATTTTGATATCACAAGCAAATATAAAAAGAATAGTGAGTGCGCATCAAGGATAAGTATGAGATCTAATAGATCTCAACAAAAAAACTAGTTAAAAAATCTAAAAACATCAGTTAAGGAACCAAATTCTTCTACTCCTAACAAAAATAATAGGTCTCAATAGCATAACGCTCCAGATTAACTGAGAATTAACATGGTATTCAAAGTTAAATCAAAATTTAGATCATTCTTTTAAAAGTTCACATATTCTGGGAGAGCAAAGCAATCTAACTTTCAAAAAATAAGGGCATTTATAAAAGATAAAAGCGACAGTACAAATGGAGTATAGTATAACAATATATGTGGTTCTATATTTACTAGTATTAGATAATAGGTTTAATCACTTTACTTTTGTTACAAAAAATCTATTTTTTCTACTTATAAGACTTTTCACCCATAGAATGCTTGGTACTTGTGGTTTACTGGTTACTGCTCCATTGTTAACTATATTTTCTTTTTCATTCTTTCTATAATATTATTTTTCATGCAAGGAGACGAAAGCTTTTTCATTATAGAATATCTTTACAAATACATGTAAATCTAGTGGATAGTTGAAGCGCTTATCAAATTTAATACAGGAGTTTTTTAATAAACACATTACATTTCTTAAAGAAGATAGATAATTCCACTTTATGTATAATAAAGACTGATTTTCGATTTAATTCCAATCTTTTCTTTAATTTTTACTGCTCCAGATATTTATATTTACTATGTATTGAGAGGAATAACATTTTTGAGGCTTTTGAATGTCTATTAGGATCATATGAATATTGAAAAATATTTGGTGGTAAAAATAAGGCACTTTTATGTTCTTTAAATTATAAATTTAATTAGCTAAATGTTCTTAATTGGGCACGTGATATCTTGCTTATATTATGTAATAGCAATTATTGACATCAAATATTTCATCTCTGAATCTGATAGCTGGCTGAACAATCCTGTGATAGAAGATAAATAGTGGTGGAAAGTATATATTTATGCAATTCACTGGACTTTCACTTTGATGAATACTGGTTCTAACGAAGCCAATTCTGTTTTAGGATATTACTTTACTGTCATAACTATGCTAATAACATGTATTGTTTATGGCTATATGCTTAGTACAGTAAGTGAAATCTTGAGTGAAATGAACAAGTTTAGTCAAACTTAAAGAAGAGATATTAATACAATTAACACATACATGCATAGAAAAAATATATCTGTGTAACAAATTATTTTAAATTAAAATTTTTTATATCAATCTGTTATTCTCTATTTACTATTATAGGAATTTGTAGAGGATGGTTAATTTAGATCTCGAAAATTATCACTTAAGAAGCATTAAATAGTAATCAGATGAGGAACTAAATGTGCTTGAAAAGATATCTCATGATTTAAACGACTCTCTTAAATTGGAATATAACAAGAATATTATTTAAAAAATTAAATATTTAGTTGATAATTTTAGTCCAGAATCTATCGAGCAAATAAGTCTCAAAGCATAGGAAATGTACTACTCTCCTAATCAAGTGATTTTTGGAGAAGACGAAATTACGAACTCTTCTCTTATGTTTATTGTTGATGGAAAGGGTAAAAATTTAAAACATCAAACACAACCAACATTCGTTTCAAAACCAAATTTAAAAGAAAATATTTTTTATTTAATTTTAAATAATAGTTGGAATATTTTAAAAATATAAAAAATCTGATATCAGGCATCCTCGAATAAAATTTATTGCTGTGTAAATATTTTATTTAAAAGACTACTTTTCTATTTTTTTTTTCTTTTATAGAGATTGGTCTAAATAGCAAAAGCCCGATTAAGATCAAAAATTACTCTGCACGCTTGCCACAGGAACCTCGTTTGGAGAATTAAATTTTTTCAGCGGAATGGCTAGGTAGGCTAGTGCAGTTTCTTAAGATTTTACTACAATACTCCAAATTGATAGACAAGATTTTATTGATATTGTTAAGAAAAATGAAAAAGATTTTGAAACTTTTTGTTATTTTAAAGATAGTATAATGCTTTATAACGATCTGAGGTCCGTAAATAGAAAGTGTGCAGTATGCAATAGTTTTGTTCATCTTGAGAATCATTGCCCACTTGTACATTTAAATAAGGATAACCCTTACATTTATATGAGATTTTAGTACTCAGATGTTTAAGAAAGAAACTAAGATATTTATGATCGATATAGAAGGAAAAGGACTCTTAATGCTAAAGAAATAATGGAAGATGTGCTAGAAGCTATTGACAAAGTTTGGGAAAATCTTGATGAATTTATCAAGAAAGGGAAAAAAAATGAAAATTAAGATGATGATGACGAAGATGATGGGAGCAAATCTAATGATGATGATGAATCTGACTAAGAAAATGAAGATATGTAGTCATAAAATAAGGAATCATAATTTTATTATTTTGAAAATGATGTAAGAAGAGAAGAATAATCAGCAATAAGTACTGAATTTTAACTAAATCAAAATGAAAATCATTATACAAGCAAGCTTACAGCAGATGAATTGAGTAAAAACTAAATTGATGATTAAGGAAATTCTTAAAATAAATTTGTAAGTAGATAAAACAACTCTCTTGTTCCTTAAAGAAGCTCTATGAAAAGATTAAGTGTTGGTTAATAAATGATAGAAAGAACAAAAACTAATCTTTAAATTTAACATCCAGAATTATTTAACAAATAGAATAAAATAAATGAAAATTTAATGTGGTATTTTGATAAGTTAAAGGTTTATACTCACTACTTCCCAGAAAGTAATTTCTAAAATAGGCTAACTAGATTTCACATCTAAAGAAATAGGTATCTTAAAAAGAAGTATGGTAAGAACATTACTTAAGAGAGGCAGAAAACAACTGGTTAAATTTTCAATAAATCAGAGAAAAATATAGTAAAATAAATAAAAGAAAACAGTTGAGGAATTTAATAAAGGAATAATATTTTTTATTTTTTGTTATCAGGTTATCTGTATTTTCAATTTTTATTTTTGAATTGATACGTTTTTTCATAAAATATTATTTTTTTGATTTAATGAAGTATTGCATATTTCTTTCGAAATTAATATCATAATTAAATAATTATTTACTAATTTCATATCATTTCGATATTTAATTAGAAGTAAACTAAACATTAATTTATTTCTATTGAGGTAAAGTAAATTATTTATTTGAATTATATTTTTTAAATTACATATAGGCTATTTTTTTACAATAAAATTTATCTATATTAGCTATTATTGTTTCGCACTAATACTTTGATTATGCGTTATAAAACAATACAATTCTCCTTACGATTTCTATTAAAAAATTGAAAAATAAATCATAATTTTATAAAGTATTTTGATTACTGTTAAAAAATATTGCAAAATACCTTAATATTATGAAATTTACGAAGACTTTATACTTCAAAGAGTGAGAAAATAATTGAATTTTGGTTTTGGTAATTCAAAATATAGACTTCATCAAGCTTAGACTTTATAATAAAATTATGAATAGATTAATCTTTTAAATATCTTTATTATAATATAAATAAATTTCTGCTAAAATAAAGTTTTTGTAAGTTTAAATTTTAATAATTATATATATTTATAATATTTAGAATTTTATCAAAGTTTTAATAACAAAAGAAATGATGGACATATAATTATAAATTATTTCATTTTTATATAATCTAAAATAAGTAAACAATGATTCTATTTTAGTAAGTATTTACATAATAAATTAATTTAATTATTTCATTATTAAAATCTAAATATTTTAATTGCCAAATAAAAAAATAAATTAATAACATAGTCAAAAATATTTTCTTCTCTAATTACTTAAAATAATTTCATCTAAATAAAATGCCAAATCGTGACCAGATAAATATAATTAAAAGTACCAAAAAGTAAATGTTTTGATATATATTATCATCTTTATTTTATTTACAAATCCTAATTCATTTGGTGAGAAAAATATAAAGAAAGACTATTATGCATTTTAGAAAAATTTTTTAATAAAATAGAAAAACATCTATTTCTTTTTTGTAATTGATAAGTTGATTGAAAAATTAAATATTGAAAATTTAGTAATATATTGCTGATAAATAGAAAAGCTTATAAATCTTATAAATATGTTTCATTATTTTTGTTTAAATTTAAATAAAAATATGCCTTACAAAAATAATTTTTATTTTTTTTAAATGTAATAAAAATTACTTGCGTAGCAAATAGAAAATTTAATCTTTAGGAAAAACAATAATTGTTATTTTTTTGTTAGGAATTTAGAGTATGTAATAATTATCAATATTTTTTTTTGTTTATTTGTTTTCTTGTATGTATGTTTCCAAAGCATATATATGGAATAATATCGATTTTCATTGACTGATTGTAAAAATTTAAAATAGATTCATTGTTTTCTTTATATTTTGTATAATAATTCGAAAGACTTATTTAATGAATGGTCTAGCGGATTTTTAGCTTAATAAATTTCTTTTGATTTTAATAATTTTTTCAGTTCATGAATTAATTTATGAAGTAAAGAGTATAATTTTTTTAACAAAAACTTATGTCCTTTTGAATAGAACCACTTTTAATTAAAACTTTCATTAAAAGTACAATTTGGAATAATTGTTAAATTTCTTTAATGACTATCATTAAATATTAGAATCTTATTTGATTATAATTAATAAAAACTTCAAAAAAAAATCAAAACAAAAAGAATCAACTTATTAATATAGTAATTGCTAAACATATCTACTATATTGCAAACACACCATACATTTATTATACGCTAACAATATTAATATAAATTATGGGATTATGTCTCGGCAAGTTAGCTAAAGCAAACAAGTCGTCTGAATATGAAAAAAAATAATAGGAGATTTAAAAGTAGCTTCAATTAAGTAAAGATTTCTCTTTAGTTATTGGAAAGGGAAGCCAATTTTCTGATTAAGATTATTTTTACAATTACGATAATTGGTATGAAAAAGATCATTACAAAGGAGAACTTTTATTTTCAAAGAATTTATTCATAAAACTCTATTAAAATTATGCATAATTGTAGGTAAAATATTTTTTTTTATTGCTATAGCTTTATAGCGTTTCTAATTTTTTTTATTTAACTATCAACAATTAATTGACACATATTTTTTGAATTTAGCAAACATACTCCAAAAATTTTATTGATATAATCCTTGAATCAAACCCATAAGCTATCTCTAGCAGCAATGAGAGAGGATTCAGTAATAACATTATGTTCAAACTAAGATATTTGGTGAGAAGGTATTAATTTTTATTGAATTTTATGTAAATCAAATTAAAATGCTTGTATTCATATATATACTTGATAATATTATTGAGTTAATACTTAATGACTGGCTTTTAGTTATATTAAATGGCTTCATAAATAATTTTAATTAATTTATATTTAAATAGAGGAAGTAATGTCGGGCTTATAAGAAGATTAATTAAAAATAAATTCAGATTAGAATGGAATAGCTTTGAACAAAAATATGAGATAATGAAAACTGTTGTGTTTGAACACAGTAGTTCATCTGACGTACGTTTGGTACCAACATTTAGCTAGCACAGTGTTTAATAATTGCTTTAAGTACACTGCTTGAATAAAGCAGGTGAATCTTCTTTAAAGCGCATATTGTGGGTAATTAGAGAGAATTATCCAAAATTAGATTACAATCCTATGATTATATAAGTCTGCGCTATTTGCTTAATATTCTTTAATGAATATGAAACATACCTTTTGCTTAAAACTATGATAGATGACAGCTTTTAAAAGTTAGATGAAAAAAAGTAAATTAACTAAGAAGTCATGAAAGATTTAAGATGGTACTTCACAACATCATATGGAGATTATAAAAAGTAAGTTCATTTAATTAATCAATAACACATTAAATAATAATAAAATCAAATGAATTATTCGAATTTTTAGTGTACTAAATATTTGTCTGCTTGTGATATTGATGATTTAATTATTCACTAAAATCAAATTATTTTTTTTAATACCTAAATTAGAAACGCAAAGCTCTTTTTTGATGTAGCTTGCCAAAGAAGCTCTGGTTTTAAGGAAATAATAGAATTCTTAGATTCTAAAAATTTTGATTATATCTAGTAATTCATAGATTGGACAACCCATTTTTTCCTAAACATTCTTCGCTTTTCAGTAAACACTAAATTTAGATTAGGATTTTTTCAAATTTATTTATTCATTATACTTTATAAATATTAACTTTTTTTATATTAAATAGACTGTCTTGAGAATATGGACTATTTATTTGAATGAAGGAATCCGTACATTATATAAAATAACCTTTGGTATTTGGATGACTGTGAAAGTAATATAATATATTTTATATTTTAAAAGAAATTTTAGAAAAGTATATATTTAGCTTACACTTTTTTAAAAAAATTAAAAAAGGATTAAGTCAAATAAATGTAAACAAGTGATGAAATTAAAGAGTTTCTGAAAACCTGCAAAATCGATAAGACTATCGAAGAAACAGACTAACTTTTTGTGGTAATTTGACTTCTAATTTCATAATTCATTAAATACATAAAATATAAAATTATTAAATTTTATTTCAATATTATTTTAGACTGCCTACTACTTGAAAATAAAAAAAATAAATAAATTTTTCAGAGAAATATTATCTTCTTAAAACTCGCCTCAAATGAAAATCATTTATAGACCTAGAACTAAAGAAAAATCATAAATAATCACATACTAGCATGTAATTAATTTAATTAAGTCTACATTAATTTATTTTATTAAAATCGATAATTTATTTAATCAAATAGTTTGAAGCAATATGGGATTGGATTCCAAGTTAATTTAAAATCTCAAATCCTACTTTGATATATTCTACTTTTAAAGATGGATACTCGTTTAATACTTTATACTTAAAGGGTGCTTAACATATCAACAGCCCAATGCTCTTATTACTCAAAACCCCTGATCAAGTAATATTTAATAATTCTTTTATATTTTTAAATTCATTCTCATATTTTAATAGTAAAAATTCGGTGTTTTTAGTGAGACCATGATAAGAATCGGTCACGGTGATAATTTCTATGGAACAGAGGATATATTTTTATTTTGCTTAGAGCCAAAAGAAGTAGTTTTTATGCCTACTGGCACAAACTAGCACTACATCTAATCGACTCGCTAGAAAATAACTTTTGGCTCTGGATCTGATGGTCCTGGTTTAACTATTAATGAAAATTTAAATGGATAGAGTTCTGTGTCAGATACATTCGATAACTTGCCTTTGCATGGAAATTTTAAAGATAAAAATTTCAAAATTATGAGCATAGAACTCTACTATCTTAGTAGTTGAACTAAATTTGCAAAATAATTACTAAAATTTTAAAAAATATAAAAGCTCACAAAAAAATAAATAAAAATCAATTAATTACTATTCAATCTTACAAAAAATCCTATATTTCTAAATTCCCCTCATACTACTAATCAAAAATACAAAAATAAAATATCTTCAAAATACAATAATTATCAAAAAACACTTTACTATAAATATATCATAAAAAATTAACAACTATCTTAAAATGCAAACTTAAAAATATTTTTTAAACCAATTCATAAACTAATTAGCTGATTATTTAATTCACAATTATTTTAATTTAACTTATTATAAATATTTAATATATTTTATATTTTATTTGCTGTAAGATACTAACAATAGTTAATAACTCAATTGCTAGCACCCATTAAATAAAAATGTTATTTATAAAAGTTTATTTATTTTTATTAAATCCTTTCACCTTTTCTTTAATTCAAGAAATCTTGATTAATATTTTTTATTATTAATTTAAAAATAAAAACTGAAAATTACTTAATAAAATAAATTATATTCTATTTTAATTTTAAAACTAAACTAAATAAATTCAATTTTTTTTGAGCTGAAGAATTTATTAAATTAAATAGAAAAATAAATTATTTCATGATATTTAAAAGAAAGTTTCTATGAATTTTGGAATAAAAGAAACAATTCAAGCTAAAATAAAGAGAAAAAACAATTTATTTATATTAAGCCAGTTATTTATACTACAAATTTTCTCATAAAATATTACTTACTATTGTACATTATTGATAATTAGCTGAAATACATATTTATTTATATTATATTATTTTGATTAAATAAGATGTAAATATAAATTTTAATATAAACAAAATATAATTATCAATCAAAATAAATAAATAGATTAAATCAATCCTTAGAAATAGAAATAAATTATATATATTGTCTTATATTTTTACACTTTTTTATAAATAAATTTTAAAGTAAATGAATCTAAATTTTAGTATAATATATTTTAAATTTGAAATTTTATTTGAATAAAGCTGTAGGATTTTTAATTTTATTTATTTATTTGTTTCAATACATAAGTCTATATTTCACTTATTTTAATTATTAATTATTTTTTATGAGTTTATTTATTTAATTAATTTAAATAATCAATTATTTTATTGATTGTTGTCTATATCTTTTCCACATATTGATATTCTATAACCACGACTTGTTTGGGATTAATTTCCTCCACTTAATTCTTTTTCTCTATGCAAAATTGATGAATTTTTCTTAGAGCTTACCTATAGTTTTATTGAAACCGATTTTTCCCTTGAACCCAAAAGTGTATTTGTTAGGGAATCAGCACCTTATTGATCGGAATTAACAAATAAATGATCCTATTACTGATTTGATTAGCTGCTTCTACTTTGAAGAGGTTGTGAAAACACTTATGCAGAAGGGATATTATGAATAAACGAGTTTATTTGCTTACTTTTTAGCTCGTAAGGCGACAAACTAGATTAATTAAATTACTGCTATTGTTGTTATTATAGTTATTAAAGCTAAGATTGCATTTGTTAATTGTTAATTTAGTTATTTAATGAATCATTCATTACATTTTAACCTGAAAAACTTTTTACTGGAGATTATGATGAGCTAATTAAAATATTTGATTGAGATCCACATTCATTTTACAAATTGCTTCCAATTTAGAGTTAAGATTCGTTCTAGAAATTATTTTCTTTGGACCCATACTGAGTTCCTTATCCAAGTGTATTCACAATAAGTGATTCAGGATCTTCGATCATTTGTGTTTTTTAGTCAAAAATTAAATTAAAACTACTCTTTTATCTTAATTTCCTACCTTAATATCCTTATTAATTACCATTCTGTTATGCAAATGTTTTATTAATTTACTCTGCTATATTAGCTAAGTACATATACTAAAGATTTTATTCATCAAGCTATTATTATTGATTACGATTAAACTTACTCATTGGATTTTACTAATGAGAAGAATTGTGTGATGATGGATCGCTGATAAGATGTAAATTTCCAACATAATTACCTTAACTATTTATATTATGTGTATTTTAAATGGGATTTTAGTGTGGAGAGGTTATAATTATGCTATCTTATGATCCAGGTCCATTGTTAGGATCTAAGAAATCTGGAGAAGATCTAAAAATTTTTTTATCATAAGCTCCTTAAATGCTTTGCTTTCTTGCAGATTTTTTAGGAGTTTCTGACTTAAACGGATTTTATTATATTTTCATGTTTACTTACTAAGAAGGTTAAAGCTATTAAATACCTTAAAAATTTGAGAACAACTCTTTTGCATTTTTTAAAGAACCCTCTTTTTAAGACTAATTTTCTTCTATTTTAGGCAAAGAACCCATAGAACTATTATTATTATTATTATTATGACTTGTATTTTAATTGTTACTTGATGCATTAAAGGTACCTTTAGATCCATTTTATGTGAATTATGGCTGCTGAAAATTAGCTAACATTTAATCATTAGTATTCAAAGTAAAAGGAAAAAGTTAACTATGATTTTAAAGATTTGCAAAAGATATAGTAGTAATTGAATTATTTGTATTATTTGAAAATGGTGCCTATATAAAAGATAGCTTCTTATTGGAATGATGGCCAGTGATAATTGGTATCAGATTGCTTCCATTAATGAAGTTTAAGTTTTCATTCTAATCATATTTAAATCCTTAATTAGGATTGAGATACTATTCACTTTTTTATAAATTAAATACAGCAGCTTCTTCACCAGATATCATTTTGTAGCAGTTACCTCCAAGATTTAAATATTCCAGAGCATCTTCATCTATATTTTCCTAAGCATCTAAGTGAATTAATGGCTATACTAAATTCTTGCTTTTTAATTCACTTAGGCCTTAGTTAATAGAGTAATCGTTGCTACCACCTGAACTAGATTATTTATTTAAATTCATATTACTTTCTTTTGAACCTGATTATTAATTACGAGGAGATAGGACAGGGTTAGGTTAGTTATTTCCACTTTATACTAAATTAATATTTAATCCTGATTGAATGTTACCACTTGAATTTAATGCTTCTTTTCCATTTTGCAAATGATTATTCAAAGCATTAATCTGATCTTTTGCATTCTGATTAGATAGAATTTAAGTAGAATTGATCATTGGATTTTAATGATTATGGGCATTTTAAATGTTATTATTATGAAAGACACTAAAGCTAGAGTTTTTATGTCTCCTTTACTGAGAAGGTAATATAGGCTAATTAGCAATTGAATTCTTATAATTCCCCGAATTTATTATTTATTTTAAATCTTAGTAAACCTCAAAAGTTACATTAGTCCCAACTCCTGGCTTTGAAAATATTTTTGGAAAGCTTGGACCTAATTTATTTACAAGAAATTTACATACTGCTAATCCAATACCTAAACCAGATTATTACTTTTATTATACTTATGCTGAAGGGAACGAATTCATTTAACTATTTTTATTTTCTTGAGTTAAATTAATCATACTGCTATCGATTGCAACACTATCTTCGATCCCATTAATGTTTACGTTATTTTTTTATGCACTCTAAGAGTTTTAGATGTTGAATTATATTTTTTTCTCTCTTTCAGTATTCATGGCATTGGAAAAACCTATTATATTTATACTTTATTTCAGCCTTGCTCTTGGTGCACCGACTCCTGAAATATCTTCTTCTGATGGAATATTCGATTTAAACTCTGTACCAACTGCATTTGATGCTCTTGTTGATTCAAATTTGGGATTTATCCCTTTACCACTATCAATTATCTAAAATTTTATAGTTTCCAATCCTAAGCTATTTGTTTTGGAGACTTTCACCTAGACATATCCTTTTGAAGTATACTCAATAGAATTACTAATATAATTTACCAAGACTCGATAAAGTCTATTTTTATCTGTAATAATTACTAAATCTTCAGGCGTTTCATTGATTAGGATAAATTGAATTTATTTTTCTAAGCATACTTTCTTCATAAGTTTTTCAAGTTATGATAACATTTCTTAAAGCCCCAGTGTTTCTATATTAAAAAATTTGTTTGTATTTCGAAAAAATATTTTAGCATAGCTGCCTATCTTATCATCATTATTATCCTTTGTATCTTTAGATTAAGATTAATTTTACATATTTTACAAATAATCCTTAATGTTGTTAATTTATATATTCAAAATAAGAGTATTATAGAGCACCTAAGTTGGAATATTTTTGCTACTAACTTCATTTAAGCCTGTCATAGCCTTTTTTACCAAACCTTAAAAGTGAGTTAGAGTTTTTTAAAAGACATGATTTGTATTAGAATAGAGATTTTTTTGAAATTTAAGGGTAGATTTATGGCTTTTATCTTCTATACTCAGTATTAAAGAAGACTAATTATCCCCTTAAACAGTATATATTTTAATTTTGTACTTCTTTGAAGTTGCAAATTCTTTCTCTTTATAATATCCTATTAGACTTTCTACACGATTGTAGTGATCACTTGCTGATCCTCCATGCATATTCTTACCTTAAACACCATTTCCATTTAAATTATTCAAACTCTTTATGGAAAACTATTTTGGTTTATCTTCATTCATTTAATGCAAATTATCGTCTGTTTATCTTTTTTTACTAGACAAATTCTATCCTAATGCGAGCACGCTTTTTAGTTGATTGTCTATTTCATTAAGACTGTAATTAGCAGTACTTTTATCTCGAGATATCCTTTGTCTCTCAGCTATAGAAAAATGTTTATTGAGCACATAATCTCTTAAGGACTAGCTACTTTCACTTTCATTATTACCTATTTTCATTTTGATAAGCATTGAATTATATGTTTCATTGTCTTTGATTTTAAAAATTTTTGAGCAATTTGTGTTGCAACTGCCTATTTTATTTGTTAAAAAATATCAAATAAAGATAATTATGATTATTTCTTATGAAATAATTTTTAAAGAATTAAAAATAATAATTTTTATTTACTAAATTTGTCAAAAAATAAAGGAAAAATATCAATCAAATATTAATGAATTACCCAAAATAATTTCGCATGTCCTTTAATTAAATTTAGATATTATTATATTTACTGGAAGGACTTTATCAACTATTTCTGCCCACTAATCATGACTATTTTTTAATAAGTACTTCTCTCTAGCATTCTTCTCAGACTGAAAAAAATAAAAGAATACAATAGATACTGTTTTTTTTTAATTAAAAAATAAAGTAATGAAAAAATATTTAATTCAGTTAACTTTATACTGTAAACTCAAATTTAATTGAGAAAATCATTAAATTTGTTAGTTTATAAATATTTATTTACATCAATATCAAATCAAATTATTATAAAATATTCCTCTCGAATTTTTTGTATTTTTTACTAATTTATACTGATTTGACTATCAATGTAATGTTTGTGTGTAAATCTTTTAATCCTTGTTGAATTTATTTAAAAATATAGAAAATATCAAATGTAAATATTCAAAATCAACACTTTAAATAATCTCTTAATTGGTAGATTGTTAAAAATTATTATTTAGTATGATTATGATTTTCTATTTAGATTTTACTAAATTAATCTAATATATTACCTTAAGAAGCAATCAAAAAAGCAATTGAAGCTATTTCCATATCTCTATAAATCTTGCCAAGAAAAATCAAATGAATTATTCTAGTCACTAAAACAAGCAAACAGTCAAGTATGAAAATTCTTGTTCTAAAATATATGCAAATAGTAACAGTAATAAAAAACTCCCCAAGAATAATATTTTTCGTGTCCATAATATTCGAGTTTGTGATGAGCATATCATATATTACTTAATTAAAAATACTAAAAAATGCAATCTTTAATTCTATTAATTAAAAGGGATATTTTTTAACAATAAAGTACCCAAGTATATTCGTTGCGATACTAATTGTAGAGGGAATCAAAAAATAAGAATTTTTCACCAAGTTCCAAATCACTATTACTATACCAAAAAAGCTTAAAGTTAACAATATTGTACGCAATTAAAAGCGATTCTTTTTTTAAGTATCGTTTCTATAATCTTTCTCCATTTTAGAACTTAAAAACATAAGAGTAAATTTATTATAGTATTAAGCGAAATTCTTCTCTATTCCTTCCTATATAACTGTAGTTAAATTCATTTTACTTTTTCGAGTTATATTCTAACTTTTGAGAGATTAAAAAATAATATTTTGGAGCTTAGATTATAGTCTATTTATAATTATTTGTTTTTTCACAAAATAATAAGTAAATATTAGTTCTTTATCTATCAAATCAAATAATATCCAAACAATCTCAAGTTGGAAATTAAAGTTTTTTTCTACTCTAACGCTTTACATTCTAATTAACTATTGAATGCCACAATTATTTTTGATGTATTTATATTTAATTTGGTTTCATCGAATACATCTTTCTTATTGTAAGTAAGTATTAGCAAATTTATATTTTAAGCGATATTATCAAACATTTTACATTCATTTTAAAAATATTTTTTATTTTCTAACACAATTAAATTAAGAATTATGTATTTCATACAAATTCAAATTTTTTTAAATAAACTTTGTTTTTCAAAAAATAAACTTTCATATTGAAAATTACCTAAATTTCTTAATGTAATTTAAATTTGCTATAAATTTTTCAGTGCCAAAGATTTAGCAGTATTTTATAATTAAGTATTTATTTTAAGCAGATATATATATTTTAATTTGATATTATTTATTCAAATATTTTTAGGAAATTCTTTTAAATAATTATGAAGAATAAGTAAAATAAAATTATGAATGAAAAAAGTAGTTAGTTAGATAAATGTTATATTAATTTTAGGTAAAAACAATAAAAATACTTATAAAAATAAATATTAATTAAAATAATATTGCAATTAATAATATTATTAATATTTTATAAAAATCACTCTGTTATGGTTTTTTTAGCTTTGCATTAATTCAATGAATCAAATACTAAAGAAACTAGAGAAGAAACATCGTTACCGATCTTGGTGAATTTCTTTTCATTTAAATCAATCATTACAGTTTCTAAATGCTAGCCAATAATTTTGAAATCCTAGACACACATTTAGAGATCTTATGCATTGATTAAGTTAGTATTCAAATCCATATCAAAGCCACATGAGTTGACTAATGGTTGAATAGATCCAATAATTTTTTGCAATTATGAAGAAATTTCTTAATTATTTTTTCCACTTTGGATATCTGAAACAAGTGTCTTCAAATTCTCAGAAAGTTATTGAGTGTTGCTAAAGCAAGAATTGTAAGCAGCAAGAATTGGTTTTTTGTTAATTTTGCACTTTTTATAGATTTCTACGGAATTAGAAAAGATTTCTTTTAATTCACTAACGATGTTAGTAAAGTTCTTAGATTGAATGTCTTGAATTGTTTAGTTTACACTTTTGACTATTTTGCTTAAATTATTTACGCAGTATTTCTTGTCTTCAATGTCGTTAATCTTAGGGAGAGTATAGTTGAATCCACAAATTGGTAAAGCATCAACAGCAGTATTGTACATATAAGCTGCATCAACAAAAAGATCAGAGATAGATTTAGTTTTTTTAACGGTGTTATTTACAAAAGCAATAGCATCTCTTGTCAAATTTTAAGCATAAACAAAACACTTGGGTTAGAATACAGAGAAGTCTATCATCTTCAAATCATCAAAGCTTAAACTAAGCAAGTTTTTATCTTCTTGGATAATTTTACAGTTTTTAATCATTTGCTTAGCTTCTTTAACCATGTCTTAGCCGAAAGAAAGGTAATTGAAAATTTAGCTTTCAAAACTGAATTGATTATTTTTGAAGTATGAATAAGTGGTGTTAGAATGGAATATTAAGTTAGCAATATTTTCAAAGCATTACTATTGAGAAGTAGGTTTGAAACTCATTACTTTATCCATAACTTAGAAATCTAACCCACATGATTCTAAAAGAGGATTAACACCTTAAAAAGCAGTAAATGTGTTATTTAAAAATTTTCCCAAAGATTACTTTTCAAAGCTAGCATTTTGAGCAATGTCTTAAATTTGTCTAGAGAAATCAGTAACTCCTTAAATGCAAGTAGGAATGTCTACTTTATAGGCTGAAATCAATGAGACCAATAAGATTAAAGAAATTAATTTTTTCTACATTTTTACTTTAGTTTTTGTTGTTAAATTGTTATGTTTATTTTTTTAATTTATTATTGAAAAATTTTATCAAACACTTTTAACCTTACTTTTCTCTTATTCCTTCAATTTTGCTAGTATATTACAAATAATATTAATCACTAATTTCCTGCTAGAACCATTTTAACAAAATATTATGTAAGGGAGCCAGCTATCAACTTTTGTTTGCCCTTTAATTTTTTTAATCAACTAAAGAATATTTAAACTTTACTAATTTTGTTTTCATCATATCCTCCATCATAATTATATTCTTTGATCTCCTCTAAATTTATATTTTCAATCACATAATAACTTTCCTCTTTGCTAAGAGAAGTAAATTTAAATAATAATTCAATTTTAGATAAAACTTATAAAAAAATGCATTCAGGCAATTGAAATTTTATATTTTGATAAAATATTTAATTTTTATAAATATTTTCAATAAAATAATTTTCTATTTTTGAAATTTTAACTAACTTGTTTAATAGAAATAAAAACATTAAATAAAATTTATTTAAGTATAAGACATATTACATAATACTGTTCTAGTCTAATCTAATTCAAGGTATTTTTTTTAAATTAAAACTAAATTTATTTAAATTTGTACTTTAATAATTAAAAAAAAAATAAACATTAATTAATTTCTATTTATTTAATTTTTTACTGTTTTAATTTTATACTTTTATAAACTCTAAATATAATTAATTATTTTATTTACATATATTTACAATTAATCAATTTTTAATTAGTTCAAAACATATCTAATTTTATTCATAAATTTAAGGTTTTAACTTTTTTTTACTACGCTATTAATTTTTTATCTTAATTATAAGGGTATTATTATATTATTATTTCTTTCTTATTTTTTTAAATAATTATAAAATATATTTCTTCATTTGTAATAATTTCTTTATTCCTAAACAGTTTCGCTGTATACGCTCTAGTCACTGCTATTTATATAGCCTTCATTATGAAGTGATAAATTTTTATTACTGTCAGTGTATAAATACTTACTTTATATATTACTCTATAATAACTAATCAGAGTAAGATATGCATGGTGACTTTTCTCCACCATTTTATTGCCTCTATTAACTTTTATTTGATTTTTATGATTTATTAGAATTTTAAGAAGATATATGGCTCTTACAGCTTCTGCTGCTAAGATTTTTTTTATAAATATCATTAGAGTAAAGCATATTTTCCTGATTCAAGTCATATTCATTTAAGTACAAATTCTTTTAGTTATAACTATCTTTTTTGATATTTTTGAGAGAAAAATTATTACTATTGAGTTAATATAGTTGCTTGTTATCTCTGAATGACCATTCTTAAGTATTATTTTCTTCTTAAGATTTTTAAGGAATAGCGAAGCTCTAAGTACTTTCAAAATTATTAGTATTGTTCATTTTAATAGAATACACTTTTTCAAGAGATCTTTAGGTTTGTCTTAAATATTTATTAATTAAAAAAGCTTCAATATTAAAAAATCTGACATTATGAAGAATTAGTTGAAATTATAATTAATCCATTTTTTTTAAAAAGTTCTTTATAATAATTTAAAAATATTTTTACCTTTGTTTGATTTAGTTTTCAAACTTTTCTAGATCAATTCTATTTCTCAAAAAATTATATATTTCTTGATTAAAAATTTTCTATTTTTCTTAAATGCTTTCAGTTTCATGATAAGCCTGTTCTTTAACTCCTTAGTTTTCAGTGAAAGCTCTCCATTTTCTATTTAATAAGGAAAGTTATATTATTTGTATGGTTAATAGTTATTTAGATTTAAAATAATTTTGTTTTACCTAAAATAAGTAATAAGACCATCCTTTTTCTATTTGATTAAATTTTTTACAAGAACAATTTGTAATTTATTTAATCTAAGATTATATAATAATCTATTTGCATTTAAAGAACTAAATCCAACATGAAGTTATTATTTTGATAATTTAATTATGAAGTTTGCAAGCTTATTACAAAATAAAAGAGTTTTTTAGTTGTTTTTTTATTATTCGCAGCTTTAAAGAATATGATTAAATGAGTAAGTTAAATATTTTTTTGTTTAAAAATTTTAAATGATTCTTGTAAATTTATAAATTTTTGTTTTAAAAACCCATTTTTATATCATATTTTTGCAATTTTTTATTTACAGCTACTTCATAAATTTAAATCCTATTTATTTTTTTTATTCGAGATCTTTTGATATTTACAAATTATTGAATTATTTTAATCTTGGAAAGAAAGCTCTTAACATTACTTTTTTATACTTTTTGAACAAATAAGTTGCAACGCTCACCAATCTTCTTCGTTCATTATATGTTTTTTCTCTGATAGGACTCAGGTCTCTCTTATTAGCAGACCTATTAACTGGTGATTTAGATTGACTTCTTTTGATAATACTCCTATGGTTAATTCGCTCCTAAGATATTTGCTTAATTTTTATAAATGGAACTAATAATTTCTTTGTATAAAATTTATTTATTAATTTAAATGCTAATCTACTGTTTTTTTATTTTAACATTTTTAATATTTAATTTTGGTCATTTTTGCTATTTGAAACTAAAGATTTTTCTGACTACAATTATTATACTTATTTTAATTAACTTTCTAATTCTTAAATTTTAAATAAAAATTATTTTTCTTTTTCAATAAATTGATTTTGCTGCTTCTAAAAATTTTAGGAATATTTAGCATTTTCTTCATCAAATTTTATTTCTAGTTACTTAATTATACATAAACTTAATTCTTTTTCTTAAAAAAGCACTGAATTATCTTGCTTAAGACTTTCATTTTACCTTTAAAGGTCTTTCAATTATGTGTCATCTTCATCTTTATTCTTACTTTGAAGTAAAGCCAATAGTTAATTTTATAATTCTATATTTTTATTTGATTTCTCATCAATCATTCTTTATTATTCTTTTATCCTTATAAGAAGGTCGCTTTAATTCAAGTTTTCATTTTTAATAAGCTTATCATATTCTTTAATTTTTTCTGATAAAATAATATTTTAATATCTTAATTCTGAAATTTGGTTATTAAGTCTATCATTGTCTTATTAGTGTAGCAATAATTCTTCCTCAAGCTATTTAATTTCCTCTTATACTACAGATTTTTGAACATCTATTGAAATTGCATTTATGCTTTCTTATTTGAATTAATCATTTAAGAGTTTTATTTAATATTTTAAATCTTATATAATTGATTCTTAAGAATTAAGCCTAAGTTTCTATTCTTCTATCATTAAATCTTTTTAATTGTAATTAATTTCTTTGAAATTTTTAGAACTCATTTAATCTTTTCTTAAGATATCATCATGTAATAAATTATCTGTATAGCCTGTACTTATTTGATAACTTTTTTCAGAGGTATTAAAGGTTCTTACCTGAATATTTTCTTTAGTAGGCGTTTTAAAGCAATTAAGAGTCTGCTTTTATTAAATTCTAACTATTGAATAGTCTAATTTTTGATAACTTGGTTAACATTATTTAAGTTATGAAAATGCGAATGAAAACAGAAGATTATTTATTTTTGCAGTAGATTCTTGAATCTATTTTTCATAAATAAATTAATCCAAAGGACCCTTTCCATAACCACCAGCATTAAATGTTTAATTTTTAATTTAGTTTGTTTCTGATAACTCTGAATTTATTGTTGAATACTAATCCTGATTGTTCAACAAAAGATTTTTAGAACTTAACTCCTTAAGTAAGATGTCTAAATTATTATTTTTTTTTTACTTATTGGAGCATTCTGTATCAATCTATTAATACTTTTAAAAACTCATGCTACTAACTTTAGCAAATTAATTTAATCTATTATTTTTTATTCAATCTCAATTTATGTTGATTAATAAATAACAAATTCAGTATAAAAAATAAGCAATATTCTTCTTTTATTTGTTTTTAACGAATAAATATTCTACAAAGAATAAAGTAAATCTGTTAGAGGTTTGAATTTTTCGAAAATATCAAAAAAAAAAAATTCATTTGATTAAAAAATAAATAATAATCTTTTATAATTAATTCTATATAAAATAAAATAATTTAAATTAATCTGATTAAAAAAGGTATTGACATCACTACTATATAAATTGATGTTAAAAATTGTAAATTTTATGAAATTAATTTTTTATTTAAAATTAAATTTTTTATGAATTTCTTAATTGTTTTCTAATTTCTAAAAATAAATACTTAAATATAAACAATTTAATTAATAATTTTCATTTATTAATTTTATATTAAATTACTTAATTATTCATTTATTCTTAACATTGCAAGAAAACCTCAGAAATTTCTATCATTTCAATCAAATTTTGAGTGTTTTTAATTATGATTGATTATTTAAATTATAATTGGGGTAAATATTTAGTCAATTATTTTTTTAATAATTGTATCTTATTAAAACAAATAATTTACCTATGAATGCATTAAATTATGATCTTCCTATTTATATCTATTGTGAGGGTCTCTGAAAAATTTAATTATAATAATTTAAAATTTTTTTATATAAAATGATAATAGTTTTTGTTATAATGTTTATCAAATAATTTATTTATATTTTATTATAATTATTAAATTGAAATCTAAAGCAAAAATTCTGATGTTGCTTCCATATAAAATTTAAAAGTTTTATAATAATGCTTGCTATCAATTTAAGTATGCGTAAACCTAATGCGCTTATGTATATATTCATAAACCAAAAGGTTTTGAAAATTTACATAAATAAAGGAGTTTAAGAGAAGTATTAATAAATGGGTAGTGATTAAGAATGAGAAAGATATATTAATTTTTGAAAGATTTCAAACATTTTTATACAAGACAGCTAAATTAAAGGGAAAATAAGTTAATAATTAAAATAATAATAATTAAAAATATAATAAATACAAGTCATACTATTAATTATAAATAAAGCACAAATGTTTAAGAATATCTTAAAGTTAGGTTCCAACACCTAAAAAACTTTATCTGCTATTCCTTGTTATGGTTTCGCTAAGTTCCAAAGAAATAAACCTCACTTGAATGTCGGTACCATTGGTCATATTGATCACGGTAAGACCACTCTTACTGCTGCCATCACTAAGATTTGTGCTGATAAGAAGTTAGCTGAATTCATGGCTTACGATTCTATCGATAAGGCTCCTGAAGAAAAGGCCAGAGGTATTACCATTAACACTGCTACCGTAGAATACGAAACTGAAACCCGTCACTACGGTCACGTTGATTGCCCTGGTCACATCGATTACGTTAAGAATATGATTACTGGTAAATTTTAATATTTTTTTCTTCTCCTATTTTTTGATATATTTTAACTAGTTCTCTCTATGATTGTGAGTTAAGAATAATAAAATAAAGAAAATCTTAGAAAGAGGAAATATCATTTCTTCGAATCTTCTGTTTTTTTCTTAAACCATCAATCTAATCACAATTTTAAAATTAATAAAATAAAATTATAAAATTTTTTATAACACTCATAATCTAGCTATTCAGTTCAATATAATAAATATAACAATATTCTATTATAAGCCTGTATAGTTTAGCATAATAGCTCTTATCTATTTACAAAATCAATAGTTTTTTCTATCTTCTTGAGATATGTTATGATTTAACTCTCCAACAAAAGAATTCTAAACAAGAGCAAGAAATGCATTAGATTGATGGATTATAAGATAAATAAAATAAAGTATAGATAATATATGAATTTAAAATAGAAATTTCATGAAGCATTTTGAATAAATTTTGACAATCTCTAGGAGAATTTATAAATATTTCAAATAATTAGAACAACATTATTAAAATAAAATCATTTATTGAAAAAAAGGTGCCGCTAAGATGGATGCTGGTATTTTAGTTTGCTCTGCCACTGATGGTGTCATGCCTTAAACCAGAGAACATATTTTATTATGCAGATAAGTCGGTGTCAAGACTATTATCGTTTTCGTCAATAAGTGTGATATGGCTAAGGATCCTGAAATCTAAGAATTGGTTGAAATGGAAGTTAGAGAATTGCTTTCTAAATACGAATACAATGGTGATGAAGCTCCAGTTATCTTTGGTTCCGCCCTTTGCGCCCTCAACGGTACTGATCCCGAAATTGGTATCAATAAGGTAATAAATAAAAAAGCTTTCGAATTAAATCAATAAGAAATCTATAATGATTGTTTTTTAATACTGATGTTATTATCTATAAAAATAAAGAATTGAAAGTATTAAAGATTTTTCTATTTTCAATTCACTTAAAAAAGGATTAACATAGTAGAACTTAAATATATTTTTAGCAACAATAAATAATTAATTGTGTAGAATTAAATATTCAACATAAATAAATAAAAAAGATTATAAAATATAATCAACCACTTTGGTAAAAAACTCATACTGAAAGGCGTCTTGCAAGATTGGATTGAGTAAACTAAAAGTGGAAAATCAATTCCTACCAAAACCTTAAGATTTTATCAATTAGAAAGATGGAAAAAGAACTTACGTTCTGAATAAAATGCGTTAGAGATGTAGATTTGAGTAATTGAAAAATTATTCATGTCTATTAATTTCTAGCGTACACCAAAATTTTATGCCATCGATCGAGGGCGTTATCATGCACCTTACATTTGATGAAATTGAGCATACGGAAGGAAACATTCAAATTAAAATTATTACATACCATAAAAATAAATGATATTGCAATTATCATTAACAATAATAAATTTTAACTTATTTTAAATAAATAAAACAGATTAATACTTTATTAGACACCATGGATAAATAAATTGCTTTACCCGAAAGAACTGTTGATAAGCCTTTCATGATGTCAGTCGAAGGTACCTATTAAATTCCCGGTAGAGGTACTGTCGTTACTGGTACCGTCGATACTGGTAAGGTTAAGACTGGTGAAGATATCGAAATTGTTGGTTACTCTAATAAGGTCCTTAAGACCACAATTACCGGTATTGAAACCTTCAGAAAGCAACTTGACTACGCTGAAGCTGGTGACAACGTTGGTCTCCTTCTTAGAGGTGTTACTAGAGATGATGTCAGAAGAGGTATTAAATTATTAATAAAGTAGTTAACTTATTATTAATCTTATTAATATTAAAAATAGGTTAAGTTTTAAGTAAACCTGGTACTTAAGAATCCCATAAAAAGATTGAAGCTAACTTATATATCTTGACCGAATAAGAAGGTGGTCGTAAGAAGCCTTTCCCCGATGGTTACAGACCTTAACTCTATTTGAGAACTGCTGATGTTGCTGCTCAAATCTCTATTCACGGTGCTAATAAATTAGGTATGCCTGGTGATAATATTACTGCTAACCTCGATCTTCACTTCCCTCTCCCTGTTGCTCCAGGTAAATTAACTATCATTTTGTTTAATAATTAATGTTAATAATAAAATAATTTTTAAATTAAAGGTTTGAGATTCGCTCTTAGAGAAGGTGGTAAGACTATTGCTGCCGGTGTTATTTCTAAGGTTATCCCTGAAGAAAAGGAAGCTCCCAAGAAATGAAATTAATGAAGAATAGTAATTATAACAGCTGAAAGGTCAAAGAAAAAACAAAAATATATAAAGAAAAGTGTAGTTGAAGGAAAGAATATTAGAAAAATAATTAACTTAATATACATATAATTTAATAATTATAAAAGACAAAAATTCAATTAATTACATAAATTCACCAATTAATAGATTTTTTGACTCTCCCATCATAAATACATACAACCAATCAGTACATCAATCGATCAACTATACATTTCTTCAACTATCCCTTAATATAAAAATTAATTTATAGTTAAATAATTCATTTAAATCTCATAGCTAATCTTTAACCTATGCTGCAAATTAAACGTATTACTTTTTATATCTCTACATATTTGTGTTTATTATTATTATTTTTTTTATTTAATCATATCTTCATTTTTAAATTAAATTAAAGAAAATATGCTTTTAGTTTTAAATATACAAAAAAATAAATATATATATAAATACAAAAGTTTTAAAGAAGTACTTAACCGAAGTCCAATTTTTTTTTTAGAGTTTTTTTAATTAAAAATACAAAAATAATCTTTAGAAAAAAAATTAATTTAAAGTATATATGTATTTTTTATCATAATTAAGAAGGATCTATTAATTCTAACACATATATGATTAAAATAGGCTTTATTAATACTAACACATTTATGGTAAAAAAATATATATATAACTTTAAAGAAGTCTTAATCAAACTGAAGATAAATCTAAAATTTAACCAAAAGTAGTTCTATCAAAAGTAATAACAACTATACCTTTACCAGTACCGATGTCAAATTTATCTGAAAGTTTCTTTTCATTAAAAAAACACATTAAAATCTGAAAAAAATTAATTTAAAGGACTTCAGTATTTTGATACCATAAATAAATAAGAAAGCTCTACAAATACTAAGGCATACAATATTAAAAAATATAACAATTAACAAGCTTTTAGTTCATAATTTTTATAAATTTTAGAAGTAAAATAAAAGAAAATTAATTAATGAATTTTAAAATTATTACTTAAACCAACAACATAAACATTTTATTAAATGTTTTAAGAATAAAACATACAATTTAGTATTATTCTTTTTTTATCACTTTTTCTTTTTATTTTTATCTCCTTTTTAGTCATCTGCTGGTGCTTTCTTCGCTTCATAATTTGCTTGGAGCCCAGTAACTACTTAATTAAATTTCTACAAAAAAATTTTTAATATTCAAATAATTTTTTACAAAAGTTTTTACCTTAAACTCTTTAAATTCTTCTTTTGAGGTGAATGGTACATTAGAGAGTGGTCCAATAAACTCACTAAGCTTTATTTATTCTTCATTAATCTAAATTAAATTAAAATATAATTTAAACTTTTTAAAAATAAAATATTTAAAGAGCTTACTTTTTGTAATCTTCTTTCTGTAAAAACTCTATCAATTGCCATTTTGAACTATTTAAATAAAAAAATTTTGAAAAAACATAATATTAAATTAAAAATTTACTGATCCTGCTGACCAACCCTCTGTAATATGAGCAATAGTATTAATTGGAAAATTATCTGGTAATGGGACTTTTTTCTATTCAAGGAATGTTTTAAATAATAACATTCTTGTGCCATAATTGGGGAAGGGGAAATATATTTTTTTATCGAAGAATGACTTAATTTCCTTTTATGAGCAATCCCAAGGTCTGTTAGTGCTACCAATAAATACTACTCTATCTTCAGGTTCAAAGAATTTACCTTTCTTGAAATCCATTAAAGGTTTCTTCATTTTTGCGAAAAGAGGATTCACCTAAGACTTCTTCTTTTTAGCTTATCCAAAGATGTACTCAAAATCTTCGCAATAAATAATTGCTGGTTAGAATTCTTTTGCAACTTTAAAGGCACTGTTTATCATACCATCAATCTACTTTTTATCAGTATACTATCCATCAATATTAGATGGAGATATATCTAAAACTATTGCATTACATTCGTGTGCCAACGCTCTGACAGCCAGAGTTTTTCCTGATCCTCTAGGACCCATAAAGAAGAAATAGTTCATCTTATCTAACTTTTCTTTGGCATACTTAGATCCAAGAGGAAAAGCGATGTACTCTGCTATAATCTAATATTATCAGAATTAAGTATTCTTTCAAAATAAATGAATCAATTAACATACTTATCTTATTTAAGCAATAGATGGATCGGGCATTTTTGTTGATGGCTCTTCTAATTAAGCTTTTTTCAACTTCGCATCAGTTAATGCTTCAGTTTTTTTGAGATTTTCGTCAGCCTAAATTTCTTATATTTTTCCCAAAACATTTTATTCTCCCTTCAGATCCATTAGCGAGGCTGGTATAAGCTTTTTTGCGACTCTTTTTTCAACAAGCTTTACCAAAAAAAAATTAGTAAAACAATTTTTAAATATAAAAATTAACACAATTTATTTAATTAATTACCCCTGCTAGAATATCTTTAGGATCTCTGCCTTTATTAGAAGAATCACCAGGGAATTTCTTTTTATTTTTACCTTTGTTTCTTGGTCTGGGTGGCTTTTTTTACTTCTTTTTTTTGATATCATATCTCAACCTCACAATATCTAACTCTTCAGCAATCATTTCATCTACTTATTGCTTAATTTATTCTTCTACAACTGGCTTAATGAGCATTTTTGCAAGCTCAGTTTCATGCTTTTACTCAAAATTATTGGTCTCATCTCTTTTACTCCATTCTCCTGAGTGTTTTTCAATCCTTTTATAGCATATTCATTTAAAATAAAACAAAACTTTGATATAGAATTTTACTGCTCTTAAAGTTTGAGGACTATTGGAGATGGCCCAGTTGGTTTATTGTTTTCTAAAAATTCGTCCAACTAATTTATTATATATCATACAACACTAAATAAAATATGAAGTAATTAAATTTACTTCTGAGGGTTTACCCTTCTTTTTCTTATCATCTTTTTTAGCAGCTCCTTTTTTCTTAGCTTCTTCTGCAGCTTTTGCTGCCTCTGCTGCTTACTATTCAGGATCCATCACTTGTTGATTATAAAATTCTGAGGGGTCTTAAGGAGCTTCTTTGAATTCATTCTTCTCTAGCTCTCTCATTATCCATTCTCTCCTTTCAGCTCTCATCTTATCTAAGATATCTGGACCTTCATTACCCTTAACAAGCCTTTTCAGATTTTCTATTTCATCATTGAATTCTTACTCATGTTCTTCCTAAATATATTTCATCTTTTATCTTTTATTTTATGCTTACTTATACTATGACTCTGGTAAAGTAGGATCTTCAACTACTTTTTTCATTCCTAAAAATAGCAATTCTTCTTCTCTTATATCTTAAACCTTAAAAATAGTTTTAGAATATATTTTTATAAATTAATTAATTAATGAATTAATTTCATACTAATTTTCTTGACTTATAACCTCTCCAATATTTTTTGATTACTAAAGCAGCATCATCTTTTTCTGTCTCTTCACCAATTTCTGTACCTTCAGCAAGCTTTTTTTATCTTTCTAGTTTCTTTTCTTCTTCTTTTTTAAGTATTTTTGCTAGGTTAGCTCTTTCTATACCCTAGCGCCCTCTTTCATAGCGCTAAATAATTCTAATAGCTGTATCCATGTCAGCCTATAGAGTGTTTTAGTCTTCATACTATTCTTCTTAAGGCTCTTTTGTGTCAGTGTATTCCAAAAGAAGTGCATCGAGTATTTAATTTCTTTCATCTAAACGTTTTTTGTCTTCTTCTCTGAAATATCTAGGAATAGGTATATCCAAACAGTCTGGAGTTAACTTCAAATCCATAACAAGTTCATCCAGATTAGGATAATCACTTTTGTAAGTAGCATCGTATTGAGTATTGTATTTTACAACTTACTAAATTAATATAAAAAAATTAATAAAAACTTAAAATATTTAAATCCATATAAGCTTCTTAATATTGGTAATAAACATTTAAAAGTATATTATATTTATGAATCTTTTTTTTAAATATCATTATATTATTACTGATTTGGTTTCACATAATCTGACTATCACATTTTCTAGCATTTCCTTAAGGAGAACTCTTTTTTAAGGATGAACTAATTAATCATAGCAATCTTCTAATTTCTTATAAATATCTATATATTTAATGTAGAGGGTTGCCCAGAAATGGAACCATTCGGAACTATCTCTTTTATACTTCATCTTTTATTATTTTAAAGATAAGATTTTAAAATTTCAAACTTGTTAAAATATTCATATATTTTGGATTATATCATAGATTTTCTAAAATTATAAATTTTCATCAAAAATCAAGAATAAATAAAAATAGAAAATCTAAATCTTAAATCCAGGAAGCTTGGTCAATTTATTAAGACTACTTACTCCTAACTATTATTCATTTTATTCTAAAGGAAGGTATTCTAGAGTAACTTACTCCATGAGATCATTAATGGCTTCTTGCCATTTCATATTATACATCCTATTAAAAATATAAATTATTATTTGATCTACTAACTGGGCTAAATTTATATGAGAGCTTTACATATTAGACATTTCTATAAGCTTGTATACTGATTTTCTATTTGAAAAAAAATTTAACTGTATTCAGTCAGACCTTAGGCTTAGATTTTGTTCTATGTTGTAATTGAATAGTTTATATATTTAAATTGCACTTAATATCTAAAGTATATAATAATTTGTTAAGCAATAAGTAATTAATTAATTTTAAAATGAATCTATTTATTTCTAATTAATTAATTAATAAAAAAATGCTTTCACATATTACAAAATTTCAGTTTTATAAAATATAGAAAAATTAATATATCTTAGAAAACTACAAAATATATAAAAATCATTTAAAAAATATATTTACTGCTCTACTATTTTAGTGAATTAACTATTAAAAAATAATTATATTTTAATAGTTATTTACACAATATTTTAATTTATATCTGAACTTTTTAAGCACTTTATTTTACTAAAATTAATTTTATTTAAATGCTTTATCAACTATTAACAAATTAATGAAAATAGATAGATATAAAATATAATGTTTTAACCTTGAGAAATGAATATTTAACTCTTCACATGTTTATTGAGATAATTTTTTCTATATTAAATTACTTGAAAATTTATGAATAGAAATTTTCTTTGCTTCTTATATTTTAGTTTACAAAACATATTAAAAAAATTAATTTAGAAAAAATAAAAAATTAAGAAATATTTAGATAAACTTTTATAAAAAATTAATTTTAGGAGCCATAAAAAAAATAAGAAACTTAATTAGTCATTTCTATAAATCGATAAAAAACTAGCAAATATTTATTATTCATAGTAATGTTTTTTAGATATCTTTATGTTTTTATAATTTGACACACTCTATCAAACGATATAAGAATATATTTTAATTACACAAATTTTAACGAACTGATTAATAGATTTAATTGAAAATAAGCAAACGCAATAACTGTGAATAAGATAGAATAATTAAAAAATAAGATTAAATAATTATATCAATTATAGCTAATATAAAATAATCAGAACTAATATATGCACCGTTTTAACTAGTTAAACGATACTTAGCAAACAGGCTAATAGTTTTGGGATAGATCTTAAAAATAAACGAATCTAAGTCATTATTTAGAAGAACAAAATCCTTAATTACAAAATGATTAATGTAAAATGAGGAAGGCAATAAGAGCATATTTTGACTCTAGACCATTTTCAACAAGTAAGAATTAAATTATTTTCTTTTTATTCAATATAATTGTAAAAATAATTTAACAAAAGTATAAGACGATAAATCTAAAAAGAACAACTCTTCATGCTCAAATAGTTACTCTAATGATAATAGTGATATTATTACAATGCATTCACAAAATTATCATCAATTAGCTAATGAAAGTGACCTAGAATATGATGAATAGTTAAGTTAATTATTAAAAGTTCCTATAATATAAGATGCTAACCTTCAAAATTCCAAACAATACATACCAAAGTAGTCTTTCGATATTCTTTAAAAAGCATACATTGAATTATAGCAAAAGTATTTCAACGGTAATTTTAATTATTTGTAGAACTTAAATTTTCTTAAGTTAATATTTTAAGAAATTCAATTAATACTACTTAATAATTAGATTTTATTATATAAATTATTCATAATAATTTTAAATTTTTGTTTATAGTTAGGGAGGAAATAAAAGAAAACTAGAATTAATTATGTTCTTTGTTAAGTGAATTAAAATCATAGTAACAAAATAATGCATAGTTATCGAACTGTAGCTAATTAAGTGAGTAGAGTATAAGCTCAAAGCTTGAAGAGAAATTTACAAGTTAAATTAATAAGGCTTTCAGGATTATGTATGAAAATTTAAAGGAGGAATCAGAAAAAATAATTTAGTAAAAAGATAAGCAAATACAAGACTTGAAAGAGCAAACTGAATAGTTGTCGAAAGTAAATGAATTATTAATTTAGCAGAATGAGTAAAAAGAAAATGCATTAATGGATATTATACAGTATTATGGTATACTGAAGCAGTAAATAGAGAGTATAAAGCAAGAAAGAGAATTAAACTAAGAATCACCTTCCTTAGTTGTTACTCAAAGAAACTAGAACATAAAATAAGCTTTCGATTAAATGAATAATACAAATTCTAGTTTTTAAGTACTCTAAGAGTAAACCGAAAACGCTTATTCAATTCCATCATTCTCTTCTTCAAATAGTAAAAATATCACAGATAGCATTAAAAAAAGTGATCTTCAATTCTATTCTAAAAATGGTAACAATTAATCATATCAACTCAACCCAGGCTTTTCTTTTGCAATTAAAAGCTAGGGATGTTAGTAAGAGAGTGAAAAAAAATCAAAAGAAGAGAATTAATCAAATAAAGAAAACTCTTAAAATAGCATAACCAAGCATGAGCAAAAATAAAATAATGATAAGAAATAAATTACTAAGCAGTACGAAACGTTCAAAACAGAAGAGTGCGATAAAAATGAAGAACTAATTTATTTAGAGAATTAGTAAAAAATTTAAGTACTTACTTAAAAAGATCTTAATTAGCAATAGGATAAGCAACTCAATTAATAAAGCGATGCACAATATTACTTCGATGATTAAAGCGAAACAGTATTTGAAGATGTTTAAGGATAAAGCCTTTATGATCAGTAGTTTATTTCTAATCAATAAAATTAAAAGATGCAATAATTCGGAGAAGAGAACTATATTAGCAATGATATTTCAGCTTAATTTAATAATTAGATGAGTAATCCATAATAAAGAGACTGTAAGTATCAAATTTAATCAAATAGTACACCTAATAAGCAGTTTAGACAGCTAAATGATTATCTTCATTCTCATGAAATAAATTTTGAATAGGAATAATAAGAAATATAAATGATAAAATAAAAAGTGAAAAAATGCAATAGATTGAACATGTTATCAAAACTTAAAAAAGAAGTATTTTAGGAAGGACTTAAAACTGCTCTTATACCATCATCTATCTAAACAAATAGAAAGAGTAGTACTACTCCTAGAAAATTAATTTCTTCTATTAATAGTAGGGGTGGAGATTAAATACTATCAACTTCTAGAAATAGATCGTTTAAAGAAACCAATTAAAAGCATATTGATATCAGTCAAATAGATGATCCAATTTAGAGGGGTTTCATGATTATAGAAAATTTATATCACTCAATAGAAAGAAAATTTTAAAAATAAGAATAAGTTTGAATTTAAATAGTAAAAACACAAAATAAAAAATTATAACAAATACTTTAACTCTTCATTAATTGTGGAATATCCACCTCATTTTGTAGAGCTAATTTGTGGCCTTTTGGCTCTTAATTGAAAATTTGGTTATAAAATTATGTGGCTCTTAATTCATGAAGAGTTAGAGTATATCATTATATATATAATATATTTTTTTCATCGTTGATAATATTATCAACTTTAAAAAAATTTATCTTAATTAAAATATTTGATTATAAATTTATATGTAATTCAGTAAATAATTAAAATTTGGATCTTATTATATTAACTCTAATTTAAAAATGCAATCAAATATAAAATTTTTTCTTTATTTCCTTAAAAAGCATAATATATTTAATTTATCAGAAAGAATTTAAGTTTATAAAATGAGAAGATCTCAAAACCCATTTTTGAGAAGCAGAGTCTTTGTGTAAATTTATTTTACAGAAATTTCCATCTAATAATGAACCAGGGTTAACAACAGGAACTTTGTAAATATTATTTCTTCCATGAGAATCATGAGTATGACCATGAACATTGACTATAACTTGTTAAGAGTAGCTTTACAATAATTTATCCAAATATTCAGAGCCACTATAAACATGTTAATCACTAACAGATTCTGTTTTCACAATAGTAGTTGAAGAGTTGTATGGACCTACGTGTGTCATAAGAATAAATTGCTTTTATGGTTCATTTTCAAATTATTTTTTGAAGAATTCATTTGCATCATCTTCTAATTCCTTTTCTGAATCGTAGGGATAACCATCCCACAATTTAGTTTTTACTCCATTAGGAAATTAGTAGCCTGGGATGCTTCCTCCAAAACCTTTTAATTTAATTTAATACAACTTAAAATAAAACTTTAATAAATAACTTTAAGATTACCAACTACTGATAAAGTTTGATTTAATTAGAAAGCCTATTTATGTATATTGAATGAATGCTGTGTCATTCTAGGTAATTCTGAAGATTTTTTATGTGCATCAAACATCGTTTAAGGATCATGATTTCCAGGTATAAGTAAAAGAGGGCATGATAGAAACTCTAAAAAATTTAATAAATTTGTGATACGAGCTTCTGATTAGCAGCATTCATTAAGATCTATATTGTTTTTATCTTAGAAAAGATTATCGAAATCACCTAAAATAAATGCATAATCTATTATGTCGTTATTGTAATCTTTATGCCATCCTTTAAGTTTTTCAATTTTTTTGTGATCCAAATGAATATCAGAAAGTAGTAATATAACCAAATCCTTTTCTTTTTTATCTCCGTACGCAAAAGGATTCAATGGTATTCTACCACTATCTGTTATTATTTCTTTCTCAATCATATTTCTTAGTATTTCTTTACTTGCTTACTTGTTTGATATTTTTTTAAAAAAAATTTATTTGATTTATCGTATGAATCTTTTATTATTACAAAGAAATTTAAAAGATACAATGTTGAATTTTTTATCAGAAAAGAAATTAATAAAATAACTCAAATAATATTTTTCAATAATCTGATTAAGTGTCTAATTTTAATTAATAATAATTACTGAAAAATCTATTTTTTTATTAAAATGCTAAACTATAAAATAAATTACTCTTTTTTAATATTTAGTTAGTAGTTTTTTTAATTGAATAGAAAATGATTTTTATTATTATTATTTATTTATTACTTATACATAACAATATATTTTTATATAAAATTTTTACATTTATAAAGGCATCAAAATAATTGAAAATATTCATTATAATATCTAAAACTTAAAAATCAAAATATTTTTTCTTAAAACATCTAGAATTATTTGTTTTTATTTTGAAACAGAATCAGAAATAAATAAAATCTTTATCTCTAGGATTGAAATGGAGATCTGAAGGATCATCTTTGATTCTGTATGATTCTACAAATTCTTAACCTTTATCTTTGTACATTAATACGTGAGCTAAGCCAATTCTAGCCTTTTTTCTTTTTTTATATAAATTTTTTATCTAAAAAATGCAAATAAATCTACTTTCAAAAATACTATAAAGCAAATCATTAAAATGTTTAATTTATGTAAATAGTATACCTTTCAATTTTAATCTTTTTTTCATCTGTTAGCTATTTATTTTCTCTAAATTCTTCTCTGATAGCCATCATAATTTAGAATCTGTTCTTAGATGGATAATATTTCATATTTTTTAATAGTAATCTGTAAATAGTTTTAGTAGTCAAATTTGCTACATCTGCTAAACTATTAGTGCTCATTAAATATAACTTTTTGTTTTTAAAATTTAAAAATTAAAGAAACTATGCTTTTAGTTACTTTTTATAAGAATTTCTATACTATCTATTTATTATTAATATAAAAAAGTAAATATGTTTTCAATCTTAATATTGGAAATAATTTACAGACTTATAATCAAAACTAATCAAATTAAATATTTTTTGAAATTTATAATACCAATTAGAACTTTACTATGTAAAATTAAATATCTATTATTAAAAAAAAAAAATGCCTTCACTCGGGATCGAACCGAGGACCGTAAGATCTTCAGTCTTACGCTCTCCCAGCTGAGCTATAAAGGCTTAACAATTATTATCTGCTTTATTCTAAAAATATTTAGTTAAATTCTTATTTTCTTTAAAATCAAGATTATAATTTAATTTCTTCTATTATTAAATACTATGTCTTAAAATATCTGTAAAATAAATATTTTAAAAACTTACTCTCTCATATAATTTACCAAGAAATATTAAACTATTTTAAAGTAATTCAATTTAAAATCCTTTTTATATATTTTTGTTTAGAATATTAACCTTAAAAATTTTAATCAGAAAAAACAAAAAAACAATTAATTCTTTTTAAAAACTTTCATATTTGATAAAAATAGTAAAAAAGAACAAAAAAATAAATGAGCCTATCTCAATCTGTCATAGTTTAGCCAATAAAGAAAAATAAAAATAAATAATAATGGAATGAAGAGAAATAAGATAAATAATCTGTCGAAAACTTTAATAAACTTGACAAAATGTCAGATTTGTTTTGTAATGACCAAGTTAGATTGAAGTACAATTTTAACAAAATAATTTAGGATATGCAAGATTTTCTTTAAAAGGTGAGTTTATAACAGTTAAAGCCTCCATTTTTGCACAATACATTTGGCCTTTGGAGAAAAACAAGCTTTGAAAAGTTAGATATATTAGTTAGATTTTGTACTTTCAAGCAATAATAAACTTGGAAAAAAGTTTTTTATGAAAGAGTAGATCAAGAATTGTTTTAATAGTATATTTTAAGACTTCAAGAACCGTATATGAATTAAATACTCTATGAAAATTATTAAATTCCTCAATAACTAGAGCCTAACCTTCTTAAAAAGACACTTCAATTATGTAATTATTAATTGAATTTTTTAAGCAAGACAGGTAAACTTTGATAAAATATAGAATCTATATTTATAAAATAGACTAAGAATTATCAGATCTATCATAAGTAATTCGTGAATGGTGTATTTAATTAGAAATCACTTTTGACATCATTGATAGAGTCAATTTATATTAAATATGTAACACTAAGCAATGGTAATTTATATTCTTATCTTACTTTACAAGTATATTAACACTATTATAAATATATTAAAAGCTTTTACATTAGTGATAACATTAAAAAAGAATTTGATATCAACAAAATTCAACTAGATTCTATTAATAAGAAGGGTTATAATTTTTAAGATTTTCTTATGAAAAAGGCATTAGTGTTTGGTGTGAGGAAATTATAAGGATTATTTAAATAAAAAGGATTGACTTGGGGCACTATACTAACTGTATTATATTCTATAGCTGCAGGTACTGCTAATCCTGTTATTGCCATATTAATTGGAAGTGTAATAAAATTTTTAAACATTTAGAAAGAAATCAACTAAATTTAAATAATATTTTAACAGATGGGTAATTCAGTAGTTGGAAACATTCTTTCAGTAGTTTCAGATTATCTTGAAAAAGATGATAAAAAAAAATTAATAAACAACCTAATAGTAGAGTTGAATCCAATAGTTAAAAGTTTGAAACAATAAAACGAAATGTGTGAAGTAAATATATTAAAATGTTTTGAGGCCAGTAATGAAAGCGATTATTTATTAGCTAAAGAAGGTATTTTTTTATTAATAAACAAAAATTTAACTATTTTTAATAGAGCTAAAACATAGTATAGAAAAATTGATGGAAAATGATATTGATGAATATACATACTCAAAAGGAGTGCTGTTATAAGAAAAGCAAGTAGGAGAATGGAATGTGATAGATTATGCTGAAGATTTAGAAGAAGATGTGTAAGGAGATTTTGCTTTGATTGATCTACCTTCTTAAAACAAGAAAAATAATTTGTGAATGCCACTATAAAAAGCTTTGAATATGGGAATGAATGTTTTTAAAAAAGCTTTGAACTGATTTCAATAATTAATTTTTTAATTTTACATGAAGAAATTCTAATGATTTGATTAGACTTAAAAATTATTACTTACTTTATAAAAATACCTTACTAATTAATTATAAATTAAATGTAAAAAAATATATATATAATTAATATATAATATAGTCTAAGAATAAACTATTATAATTTTATTTTAATTATTAGGATTATTTTAAGCTTTCACTCACTTTTTTTCCCTTCCTATTGAGTTTCTGTTTCCTTTTTTTATGATTATTATTCATTTTATTTTGTTTCAGCAACATCTATATGTTCTTCTTTGCATTAGGCCTTCATAGGATACTCTCTTGCTCCAAAAATAGTTGTTCCAATTCTAACATTAGTTGATCCATAAAGAATCTAGTTATATAATTTTTTTGTTAATTCATTAAAACTACTAAAAAAATATTATTTATTTTACTGCTTTTTCAAAATCTTATGACATTCCCATAGATAGCTCTATTTCATCTTTGTTCAACTTAAATTTCTCACATATTTCTATTTTCAAATCGTAAAGTTGCTAATTTAAAAGATTAAATAAAGTGATTTAGAATGTTTTATTGAATTAACAATTGTTTTACAATAAATGCGTTCTCATCCCCTTCATATCCTATTGTCATCAAACCTGAAAACCTTTATATTTAAATATTTTAGAATTATATTAGAATATTTTAATTACTCTAAATTGGGACATTGTGTCATAATAAACTCTACAAGAGCTGGAGCATCTTCAGTACTTACTCCTGATTTGGCTTATTTTAGTTTTAAAAAACAAATTAGATTTTATCATTTAAAAGTTTGCTTTTTACTGTCTTCAGTACTTGTTTTGACTTGAATTAAAACTTTTAACTTTTTGGATAGCTTCTAGCATTCTTTATTTACCTTAGTTGCCAACCTGAAAATAATAAAGAAATAAGTAATTTAAAATTAAAATTATGCTCTACTTTATTGAATCTATTGTTTCAAGCATGTACAGATTTGGGACAAGTACTTATTTAATCTTATTTGTTTGTAGATGTCCAATATAATGCCATTTTATGTCTTATGGAAGCTATTTTTAATAATCAAACATTAATTAATTGATTTTTGTTTTATTTATAATTACTTTAGGTGCTTTTGTGACAATTTCATCAACATAATTTTCACCGAAATGTCTTAAACCAGCGTCATAAGCTTGCTACAATAACTCAAGAGGCTTTGTCTTAGAAGCACCTACTATTGTGCATCTACTGGTTTTAGTACTATTTTTTATAGCTGAATTAACTTTATCGATAACTTGCTTTAAAGATTTAGCTATTGCGGTCTCCATTTTTATCTTAATGAAAAATATAAAAAATATCTATCTAAGTTTATTAGTAAATTTGATTTATTTTTGATAAAAAATTTGTAAGTATAAAAAGTAAAATTGATATTTCTGGAACTCTTCTAATTTTCTGGCATTATTCAGCAAAAAGATTGAATTAAATATAATTGCATCAACTCTAAATTGATTTGCAAAGTTTGAATCTCTGGAAGATCAAATGACGAATATCTTATAAATGGATTTTCATTTTTTTCTCTAAAAATTCTTTTTTAAATTGCAGTATTTTTGTTATATTTTTTAAAAAGCTATTTAAATGAATTTTATATTTGATCTTGACAATTGTTTATAAAGAAAATAAAAGTATGAGATCTTTAATGATTATTGATAGGATATATAAAATTTTTATGGTATTTAATAACTAAAATTATTCAAAGAATAAAATCATAAAATTTCTTCAAATTTGCTAGAAATAGAATAGAGCATTTGAAGTTTAATAGGAATTATATCCTGTATTATAGTCTCTGTCTCATATTCTACTTAAATATTGATGCTTTCTTAATCTATTAATCTATAGCTTAGCCAAATAACTATTTTTAAAAATAATATGTACATATATACATATAGTTCAAGAAATTAAAATTACTTTTAGCATTTTTCTCATTATAATTAGTCAATTGTTCTGTTAAGTTTTCTATGATAGCCTTAATGTGAGGTTTATATTAGTCACATTTTAAAAATCTATATTTAAGTAATTTAAAACGGTAATTCCAGTTTTAGCATAAATCATCAATAGTTTTGATATCATCATTTTAGTTTTGAACTTAGCAGAATTCTGAGCACCTTTTTTATGAGAATAAATCTTTTTCTATGCAAATATCAACGAATTTGTTTAAGGTTAGAGCTTTTTCTCCTGTTTTTGGGTTAATAATGTCAGCTTCTTCAGAGAATTATGATTAAACAATCTGTTTGTCATATTTTTTTTTCTCAACATATTTATACATTAAATCAAATTCATAATACTCAATCGTATCATTTTTGTCAAGCTTTTATTAAAATTTTTTTTCATGTTTATGAATTTTTTAAATAAATATTACATCACAAGCATAAAATATTTCTGAAACATGCTTTTTACATTCAGCTTTCGTTTTTTCATAAAAAGAAATTGCAATATTCATAAACGTCTCAAATCTAATACCGTTTTCTACTGTATATATTATTTAAAGATATTTATAAAAATCAATTAAATTTAATTTACCTTTAGCACTGCTACTTAAATTTTGATTATGTTAAGTTTATTTAATATTTAAAACTAAATCTGAATAATTTTTTTATCCTAATTTAAATAAAACAATTTAATGTAAAATTCCAAGCAAAATATTTTCAATAAATTAAAAAATATTTTTAAACTAATGGTTTTTTTATATTTAGGCCAGAAAATTAAAGAATACTATTTTTTTTACCTTGATTAATAAAGATTTATGGTACTTAAAAATATTTTTATTCTTAAAATGTATTAAATAAAATAGTTTATCAAATTTATTAATTAATTCAAGTAATAAATATATTGATTTATTTTATTAAAAAATTAATTTTTATAATTATTTTTACCTAATTTTTCTTTAAAGAAATCATCAATAAATGGGTAAATTTTGTCATAGGTAATTAAGGTATCTTCTTAAAGATTGCATATTTAATTGATTTGTAACTCATAAAAGTACTGTATAGCTTTGATATAAATATGATAGTTAGTGTCATCATAATGATCAGAAATACCACAATAGATAGCTGAAGATTTCAATCTTGGAGTTTGATTTCTATAAAAATATAAGCTTTTAAAAATTTATTTGAGCTTATTTTCGGCAACAGTCTTAAGACCATACTTTTAAAGAATTAAATCATAGCAACACGTATGTAATGGAATTCTGTTAGAATTTTCATTTTTTACCAACTCTTAATAAACACCGCTGAGGAATTTAATAATTGTGTTCATTGGTAATTCTGGTTTTTTTATCTTATCTCTCTGCTGGTAAATAGAATTTACAAGTTTTTATGATTATTCTTAGTTTGGACTAAAAAATCTTTTCTATAAGACTTTTGAATTTAGCACTTTTTATTTATTTATTTTTTTAAAAATTATAAAAAAACTCTAACAAAAATTTTAATTACTTGATTAGTCAAGAGCTGATATTTATTATTAAACTTAACTTGGTGATACTGATTACTTGGATGCCCTAATACTCATCTTCATATTTTATTAGATTGCTTTTTTTCTGATATCATCTGAGGCCCTTGCTTTGTTCACCACACTAGCAAAGCTCATATTCATATTAACTGAGTTTTTATGACTTCCAAAATTAGAATTTTTTGAAGTTTTTCTAACTTTTATGTTATCTAGTTTAATGCCAATTAACGAATTTAGTAAATCTTTAATAGATTTTCCATTCTATAATATTAATAAAATACAAAATATAGATAATTAGATTGATAAATATATTAAATTAAGTTAAATTACCTTTTAGGATTCAGGTGATACGAATAAACTTTGCTTTCTATCTTGTTCTTGATTATGCTTAAGTTATTATCTTTGTATAATTTTCATTAAGTATTTACTTAATCTTCTTTAGCCATCAGGATCTTCACTATCATCATCTTCATCATCTGAGCTATCATCAGTTTCACCTTCTGAGCTGCTATCATTATGCCTCTCATGTCTCTTTTTACCATCTTGTTTTTCTTCTGCATCATCTTAATCACCTATTAATTGTTTAGCTTTAATTCTATCTTACTCTTCTTATCCATCTTCGTTTGGTGTTTAGTTATCATCTATATTTTGATTTTCTTATTGAGTCCCTTCTAAATCGTTTGCTTAATTTTTCTTAATTATTTGCTTAACCATTCCCTTAAAGAAACTCTTTATACTTTTTTATTCATTCTTCACTTTTTCTTTAGCAGAGCTAAGCTCATCTTATAAATGGCAAATCATTGTGTTTTTCTTTTTAAATTTTGATTTTATTTGAAAATAATTCCAAAAAAATATTTTACTTTTTCATATTTCTATTTAACATTTTTATAATGTGATTTCATATCTTCGATTTCAACTTAGCTCTCTTTATACTTAAGTTCCCATTCAAATTTTTCATTTTAAAGTTTTATATTTTCATTAGCGATAGCATTTAGAGTTTCAGACATTTTGATATATGCTTCCAACTACTTTAAAGCATTTTTAATAGCATCTACAGCTTCCATTTTTTATTCAAATTACATCTCTCCTGTCTTTATAATTTCTAAAGCTTTTTCGTATTAAGTAGAAAGACTAGAATTATCTCCACCTTATACTTGATCTAATTTATATTTTAAAGTTAAATATCATGATTGGCTTACTATATTTTAATTAATACCAAATTTTGTCAATTCATGAATTAGAACATTTATTTGTTCACATTCTGATAATCTAATATATTCAGTTTAGACTTCTTATTCCCTAAGTTCATACTATAAATCATCATCATCGTCTAATGTACAAAGCTCTAATAAATTCAATTTTTAATTAACATAATAAATTTTTTAATTTTATTATTTTATTTAATAAAAAAAATCTATTTAGTTACATTTCAATTTTTCTCTTTTTTCTTCATTTGCTTCTTGCTCTATCAAAAAGTCTAACTCTTCTTGAGATGTTTTATTTATCTAATTTTTTAATTCCTCTTACAAGTCCTAATCTTCTTTTTCTTAATGATTTTCTTCTTCAGTATTGAAGATCAAATTTCCTATAAAAGTGTATATTTTTAAAAATCAGTAAAAAATTTATCTTTGTTTTACTTCTGTTTAGTAAATGAGAAACTACAGAGATTTTTGAATTTTTGAATTCTTCTTTCGTTTCTTCCTCATTCTAACTCCTTATTTTGTGTAAATATTATGGTGTTTAAGATACTTCTTCCTAATCATCTTCTACAGGCTAGTCTTCTGATAACTAAGATTAATTCATTTCATCTTAGCTGTTATCTTCATCTCTTTCTTCCTTTCTCTGTGATGATCTTGGTGATTGAAGACCAAATCTACTAGTTTTTGATGAGGTTCTAATTCTATTTGAAGCTTTTTTTTCTTATTTTTTATGTTCTGAATTAATCAATTTTAGTTTTAGTTTTTCTTAAATAACAGCTTCAAGCTAATTTCTAAGATCCTCTTCCACATTTTTATGCTTTTTTATTTCTAAATCTGCATTTAAAAGTTTCTTCTTAAAGTAACTAGTAGCTTCGGTTAATATTTAGATTTCTTTTTACTATTCATCAAGCTTTGCCCTATCTTTTTTTCTTTCCTACTCCAGAAGAGCTATTTATTGGCCATAAGCTTTATGCAATCTCGAAGTATCATCTAAGAATTCCTTATTTATTTTTTAGAAGAATAGCTTTAGGTAAATAAAATTAAATATTATTTACTTATTCCAATTTACTATGATATTATTAGTTAGCTGTCTATCCCTTGAGTATTAAATCAGTGTAAGCAATCCACACTTTTTCAAATAATGTTCCCCTTTCTAAACAAGAAATTTTTACTTATCTTATTAGTTCCTTTAGACAAGCTGTGTAAATAACTTGGTAACCATCTAGAAGTTTTTATTTTGGTAAATCTTTTTGTTCAGAGAGATTATGCAGCATATCATTCAACCAAATCTCAAGATCCTAAACCTTAAATATAATAAAAATCTCAATATTTACAATAATAAGATATTTAATTTTTTTAATTACATCTTTCCTCGAAATGGGTAAATTAGAAATTTAGAATGGAAGCTTTGACTGAAGCGAGCCCATTTAAGTTGTTGACGTGTCGTTTCCTTCAGTAAGAATACGCTAATTAGATCCAGATAAATAATTCTTTTAAGATCTATTAGTTTTAGTTTCATTTAAATTTGAGAATGAGTTCTAAAAAATCGAATTTTCTTCTGTTTTTGTAGCTTTTGATGAGTTATAAAATTGGTTTTAACCAGCATTGAAAGCTCTATTTGAGGCTAATGAAATATTATTTAATATCTCTTTATGATTTTAGATATATTGGTTTTCATTCTCTTGATCTTTTTCTTTATAAAATCTGTCAATTTAAATCTTTTTTTCAATATTATCTATGTCAGAGTCATACTTTGCATTTTCATGTGATATTTCATAAACTAATAAAAAATAAAGTTAACTAATAAGTAAAGAGTAAATTATTTGAAAAATATGAATTTACATTGTAGGTATACATTGTTTTTCTTCTTCTTTGTATTATTCTAAGTTGATAGATAGATAGATATTTATATTTTAAGAAGATAACAATTATTTTTAAAAAAATTACCATTATTTAAAGTTATCCATCAAAATGAATAATACTGTTAGATGCTTCCTTCAAATCCATTTCTATCTTTGGACTTTTTTGTATGTAGGAAATATCATTTAGATTCAGTAATGTACGATCTTTTAATTATTTTTTATCCTCTTGAATCATGTCCATTATTTTAATGTTATGATTTTTTGCTTAAAGATTTTAAAGTGAGTAATCATCTTTTTATATTGTTTAAATTTTTTAAAATAATAATTTTATAAAAAAAGATAAGATTACTTCTCAAGGTCTTTGAATCTAATAAATTAACTCCATTCATTCCTTTTAAAATAGATTCGTTGTTAATCAGTTAAGTGCTCAACGATATTTGCTTTTTTCTACTAGTACCTTGATTAAGTAAAAGCGTGAATAAAGTTTAAATAGGTTTTTTAAGTGAAAAGTTACTTGTTTAGATTTTTTAAAGAAGATATTTAGGGATACTATGTTGATCATTTATAGATTAATTATGTAGCTGTTTTGAAATATTCGATATATTAAGAGCTGGTAGATTTATAGATTTATCTTTAAATTGCTTTGCATCTTAAAAATATTCATTATTCTTAATGATCGTTTATGAATGGCTATCCTGCTTTGTAATATTTTAAGATAAACTTTTGTGTAATTTTTCCCCTTACTACTAATGTATTATTGGTTATTAGGGTTAATTGATTTCTAAATCTGAATTAGAAGTTTCAACATCTTTAAAATTAAACAGGACTTTGTATTTATCAACCTTTTTTTAAACTTTTTGGTTTGCCTAATATTACAAAAGTAAAAAACCTTATTATTCATGCTATGATTTATTTATTTTATTTGTAATATTTTACTTTCATCGCCTTTTATTTGTCTCAGCTGCCTTTTATTATTTAAAAAACTTTTAGGTTTTTTCAATTATAATTGAATTAGCAGTTTTTTGCAGATTAAATTAATATTTTTTTTACTTTAATTTTTTATTCTACTAAATTTACAAAAATGCTAGCAATTATTTTAATTATTTGATGTTGAAAATAATAAAATAAAGTTGTTTTGCACAAAAAGAATTGTCGATATATAAATAAATGTTATATTAAAAAAATCTGAAATAAGAAAATTTATATTCTGTTTAATCTTTCTGTTTGTTTATAATTATTAATTAAATGCTTATCTTTATATATAAATTTAATATAATTTATATAAATAAATAATTATTAAAACGTTTATTAAGTATGTAACAAATAAATAAGAAAATGAAATTGATATTTAGATAGGGTATATTTTTTTATTAATTAATTGATATAGTTATTTAGTTATAAAATAGGATAAGATTTATTTTTAGATTAATTGATTTATTAAAAAATGATCACTGGCTGATCTATTCAAATTTATAAATATTCGAGCTCTGTAATATGCTAAAATACCTTCTTTGTGTAATTATTTATCAAATCTTGGAATTCCTACTAATCTTAGGGGTCAATTTAATTGGTATATTTTTCAATAGGTTAAATGATAAACTTAATAAATTAAGATGAAAGAATTTGGTTATTTATAACATAATTGAGAAATTCTTATGAATTAGTAAATTTTGTCATCATTTTTTCAATTATTCTTTCGCATTGCTTATACTTATTCTGTTCTTATCCTAGTTTGACACACAAAAATTTTTGAAATTGAAAAATAAAGTCATTTAGTGTTAAGTTTTGAAAGAATCTTTGTCTTTAAGATTCTATTTTTTATTCAATTACTTTTAGATAATTATCAGTTTAACTGCATAGTCCCTATAATAGAATCTTATGTATTTTTTTTTGCAAGCGATTAATTTCTTATTTAATTAAATCATAGTTCTTTCCACACTTTTTTTCACTATTTTTTTACGAAACCAAGGATTAAGCATTTTATTCTTCAATTTACATTACATCATTTTTAATGTTCTCTAAGGCTTATTTATTTTATTCAAATTATAGCTCACATTCTTTAGAAGGTTAAAGTTGCTTCTTGTTTTCATTCTTATTTTCATTTATTAATGTTGTCTGACTAGTATCGTCTTGACCTTCAATCTAATTTTGATTATTTTAGTAAGAATTAGTACTATTTTATATTTAGATCTGTGGTTGAGAGCTTTCAGAGTTAATATTTAAAATATTTTTATTGGGAGAATTTTATTATTTACTGTTTATAGAAGATAAAGGTAACTACAATTTTTAAATTTAAAAATGTTATTCTTTTTCAATTTAATTTTAGGAGATTTATTTTTCAAATTTGTTTTTATCTTAAAATGTATTTTCATTTGGAGAGTTTTTTAACTATTTTTTTAAATTAGGTAAATCATTCATTTTGTTGTTAACTAAAGATTTATTTTATAGCGATAGAGTCTGCTAATCTTAATTTGTAGCTATTATGCTAGATTGTTTGCTTTTTTAAAACTTTGATAAAATCCTTTACTTTACATTGCTTCGAACTTATTTATTTAATTTAATTTAAGATTTTTCAGGTAAGTTATCTTGATCTTAGGAGTTTTCTATTTTGACAGATTCGTTTTTAAATTAAGTCTAATTAAATAATTAAATTTTTAATTAATCATCCTAATTTTCTGTTTTGACAATACTGTTTTCTTCAGAGCTTCTTAATTTGTTTATTCTTTCAGGTGATTCTGGTTTTTAAGTCTAAGAATTAACATTTTAAATTACTTTTTACATTGTGACAGTTTATTATTATTAAACACAAAGCTAATTGGCCTAATTATAGCATTAATATTTGGGAATCCACTAATATGAGGGATAATTGTAGTAACTATTTTGATACTGAGTTGATGTAGTGCATACATAGTTGTTATTGTATATGTTGGGAGTAGAGGTAGTATATATTACAGGGTAAATGTTTGGCTAAGCATTATTTGTGATTTATTAAGTGGTTGTAGGAACACTATTTTAGTAATAGCTTGGATAAATAACCATAGGTACACTACTCTGCTAAATAGGTACTGGTTGCTTATAATCATTTATTTTTAAAGGAGAAACTATGTTATTCTACTAACATATTTATAAAGGATTAGAATATGGCATTTGATAAGGTTTTTTACTTGAATCATAATTAATTTCTGTTTATTATATCCCATTCGCTTACTTATTATCTAACAGTAATGGCTGATGTAGTTTTAAATAAGAATTTGGCTGTATTTATTACTATTTGCCATTCATTATTTGTTGTTATGATTCCATTATAGGAGGGAAATTACTTACTAGGGAGACGAAACTCATTTGCTAATAACTTAATTTTTATTTAAAAGTAATTATTAATTTTCTTCCCACACTCTTCAAATAAATTAGTAAATAATTATTAGTATGTTTGCAAAACAATTTATATGGATTAATTAACTAGTAAGTGATTTTTATATGTGATTTCTTGTAAAATATCTTTACTTTGATAACTAAACAGACTAATTTTTTTTCTATGACATGAATAAGTATAATAATTATAGAATTAGAGATATAAAACTATTGTGCTAACCAAATTGAAATTTTGTATCATCTAAGTATTTCGTGATAAAATATTGGCAATCTTAAGTTTACTCTTACTTATTCTAAAACTTTTAATGTAGATTTACAAAAATTAGCTTGTCCGATTAGTATTAAATGAAAAAATGTATAAATATTATACCAAAACGCATTTGGATGATAAAACACGTATTGTGATTTGCTTTATTAAATTTTTTATTTTTCTTCTATTTTATTAAACTTCAATCAATAATTGAGAAGTCAATCACATAAAATAGTGATAAAAAAAAATAAATTTCACTGCTTTAAACGCAATTCAATAACTCATAAAAATAAGAATACACAATTAATATTGAAGCACAATACCTACAATCATTATATAAATACCTAAAATACTTTGAAATGTAATTTCGTAAGCATAAATAAGAAAATATCCGTTTTTATTTTAGAAAATATGAATTTATTTTAAAACGAACTTTTTTACAAGCATCACTTGTTACAAAAATAAACTTTTAATTCAATAACTCTTAGACAAGAGCATAGACATATCAATATTTAAAAAAAAATATTAAACACCATACTTTGAATTTATTAATCTATATGAACATTATTTATTTATTTATTTAAATTGAAGCAAGATATTAATTTTGAAGAATTTTTATGTTCATATTTTTTTATTGAGTAATAATAAATAACCATAATATCTGGTTCCTTTTATAATATAAGTTAAAATTAATGATTTAATTAGTAAGAATAACGAAATCAATCCGTTTTGTTCTAACTTTCATTTTATCAAACAAAAGAATTATTTGTGTTTAAGATCTTAATTAAAAAAAACAACTAATTACAAATAAAAACAAATTTTAATGGATAAGTTATACAAAAATCATATTTTTTGGTAGATATATAGCAATTAAAAACGTTAATAACTAGTAAAAACATAATATCGAAATCTATTTAAACTTACATAAAACATAAATGGATATGATAAAATATTAGGAACCTTTCTCCAAAAGGAGATTTCTAAGCAGTACAAAGAAAAGTTGAGTGAATAAAATATAGAAAAAATTAGAAAATTCTTAGCAACAAACAGTAACGTTGAAAATATCTTAAAATAAATACTTTTAGACTTTCAGACAAGGACTAATACTCCATCTATGAAAACGATTGAGGCGATTAGAAATGCATATTTGCAATCAGGTTTACCTAAATTTGAGGCTGTTAAATCCATTTTGAAAGAAACAAGTCACTCACCCATTACTATTAGAGAATCACTAAAGGAAAATTTAACTTACAATATTCCAATCCCTCTAGATAGTAAAAAATAATTGTTAATAAACTCTATTAAATATCATCATCTCTACAATACTTTATTTAAGCCAAGTTATTATGACTTTATAGAGCCTAACAAATAACTTCTTTATCAAGAATACTGCTGAATCAAAACTACATAACCCTACTTTAGGTTTAGATTTAATTAAATTTAAATTAGAGATGATTCATAAATTTTGAATCGTATATATTCTATTTATATCTTTTAATTCTTTTTATACTAAAATTAATATTATTAAAATAAAATTCTAACTCATTATTTATTATATTCAACATGTTATTTAAAGACTTTTCTTTTTAATATTAAACATTTAATTTTTGTTTACATTTTAAAGTATTATAAAAAATTAATTATTAGTATTATTATAATTATTATTTTCAAATCAAAAATTCAGGCTAAAAATATTTTTTTTAATTAATCCAAGATATAATTTGATTATTTTATTTTAAAAATATTATCTAATATATTTTTTATTACAAACTAAAGTTCTTCATTCTTAATTGTAAATAATTAATTAAGACAATAGTATTATAAAATAATTGATGATATCTAAGCATACTGATATATTTTTAATTTTATTGTAAATCTTATACTTCAAAAGAATTCTTAATTAGTTCATTCTCAAATGTTAATTAATATTTTTAATGTATTTAAAGATATTTATCTACTACTGAAGTTATTTTATTTATATGCAAATATTATCATATATTAAATTCTAAAATGTTTAATTAATTTATGAAATTCTAATTAATAAATTATCTTCAAATTTATTTTATCATTTATCAAAAAATAAATATTTAAATTAAATATGTTTGCTTGTTTAAAATTATTTTTTTTGTTAGCTTAGTTATGTAAAAAGTTTTTGGACTAAACTTTAGCCAATTAAATGGCGTATTAATAATAATTTATAACCTTATTTTATTGAGCAAAGTAATTATTAGATTTTATTTATTATTTACTGAAAAAAAAAACAATTAAATAAGTGTTAAATAATTTATATTTTTGATAAATTTCTTTTCTTTTGAAATGAATCCACAAGATATATATCAAAGAAATCTAGAGATGCATCTACTTGCCACTCAATAGATGCCTATTGCATCAGATATGAAACCTCAATCTGAATCAGTAAATAGATTAGGTAATGATGATTGTTTCAGTTGATAAATATTTTTTTTTTAAATAGTTGCTTGACTAACTTTATATTAAACATTATTCATATTCTAAAACATTTTTTGTAAAAAATAGCCTATCCAGTTCCTTAGCAGTATACAGTAAACATTTAATTTAAATATTATTCTAGGTATTAAATATTAAATAAGAATTGAGATGATGAGCATCTCAAACTTAAGCAATAAGCCAAAAAGTGCTAAAATTTTAATTAGAATTAAAATTTTATATGGGCACAAAAGAAAGAAAAACTAACTTTTAAAAATGTTTTAAAGAATAATTAATTTACTTCTTTATAAATTAATATTAATAACTTAAATTTAATAAACCAATAGGATTTCAATGAAGCAAACTTTAACCCTAAGGTAAATTAAAATAATTGAACACTTTAGAGTTATTATACTGGTAACAATAAATTACTTATTTTTTATGAATAATAAAAGATAAATGAGAAATCAGTAAGTTTGAATAGAGGCTATGATGATTTGATTGCTTGGAAGCAAAAAGTAGAAGCAAAGAATGTACTTTTGAAATAGTACAAAGACTAAGAAGAAGAAAAAGAATAGACTGAGTAATATGTATACACAAATAACAATTCAAATAAGATTTTAGGAGATACAAGAAGCTAATAAAAAGTAATAAACAACAAATAAAAATATTTGTTCGCTAAAATTTTTTAACATAAATTGAAAGGTAGAGGATATCTTAATTATGAAAGGAGAAGAAAAAAAGTAAAAAATCATGTAAAAAGAATAAGAATTGTATGGTTAATTAGGAAAACCTCAAATTAATTAGTATTAATAAAATGATTACACTTAAAAAAATGTTTACACTAGGTATGTATGTTTTTGATGAGTTAAAAATAATTTATTTATAACTTATTTATATTAAATTAGGTTGTATGATAAGGCTGTAGTTAGCTAATAAAAATAGTAAGATGAAAAGAAAAAATAGCAAATAAAGGAAGAAAGGAAGAAGGCTTTATTAGCCAGTGAGCAAGAAAAGAAAAAGGAAACATAGTAAGGAAATTTTAATTGGAACTTAGCATTCAGACAACCCTAAAATCTTTTCTAAAAACCTAAAAATGCTTTAGAAAAAGCAGAAGAACAATAAAAGTTAATGGAGATTATGAAATAAAACTTTGAATTTGCAAGATAAAGCTTGTCTTCGAAAAAATCAATTGTAGAAATTTAAGAAAATGGACAAGTTTCTCCAGGATAGCTTAATTAGCTTGCTTAATCTATACAATAGTTTGAATCTAATTAAAATTAATTAAATGAATTTGAAGCTTCGTCCAAAAAAAACCAAGATGATTAGTAAAAAATTTGATTCATTTTTATAAAATATTGAAAATTCTATTGATAAATAAATAAGAAATATTTTATGTTTAAAAGGTTAGTTATTTCTAATTTCATTAATTATGAAGAAGAAGTTAAAAAGGAGGCATAGCATATTTAAGGCTCAAGAATTTAGAATTAGGATAATACATAGAATGTGGAATAGCAACATTAGGATGAAGATGTTAAGAAAGATAAAAGAATTATATTTTTAACTCCAGGAACAAGCAAGCCAATAGAAGCAAACTAATTAAAATAATAGTAAACAACTATTGGAGTAAATGTAATGAATCCTAAGTTTACTTTACTTACTTCTCCTAGTGATTAAGATTCGAAATATTAAAGAAATAATTAATTACGCTAGAAATCTTAATAAAATCTTAAAAGTAAAGAAGTTGAAGAAGGTTCTAAGCACACTTCCCAATTATAGAAGTAAAATTTGAATAAATCAAACAGTGTTGTTTCATATCTGCATTCAAATGAAATGAAAAAAAACAATGAAGAGTTAATTGAAAGAAAAGCAAGTCCACAATTTAAATAATTTTTTAAGCCTGTAGCATGGAGTCACGAAGCAGCCTTGTAACTTGCACAAAAAAGCGGCTCTCTTGAAGAAATTCCATAAGAACCTCTCGTTCATTCTAACTAAGCTATAAGAGGCACTCAAGCTCCATTAGCATTTAATTCTAAAGAAAGCTTTGGTAATATTGAATAAAATTAATTACAATCTTACATTCCTAGTCCTTAATAGTAATCACTTTAGAATATTGGAAAGCAAGTTCAATTTTCATAATCATAAATTGCTTTACAAAACTAAGCACAAAAATTAACAGAATAAAATATTGAAAGATAATATTCTGCTCACGATTCTTAACATAATTAGCAGAATCTTCTTTATTCTAGGGCTTTGAGTAAATAATTAGAAAACAGCATTAGTAATTCTAATGCTTAAGCTAATCCAAAATATGTTTATGTTAACTTTAATGATCCAAATTTACATTAGTAAATTTAAGAGGAAACTGATCCTTATAAGAAAAAGTTATTACAGTAATAATTAAAAGCTAGACAAATGACTTAAAAGGATATAGAAGAATAATAAAGAAAATTAAAGTAATGGCAAACAAAAAAAGATAGTAAGATTGAGAACAAAAGAGTTGAAAAATAATCCAACGAAGTTAAAGAATGTACATTTAAGCCTGATCTTAAACATTTATCAGAATCAGCAAAAAAGGCTATGATGCTAACGAATAACATAGAGTAATCGTTAAAATATAGTACTGTTTCTCCATCTAAAACTAAATTTGACTCCTATGCAGACGCAAGAAAGTATTAGCAAGACTTAAAGAAAACATTTTCTAAAGTAAATGAAAGTAAGCAATAATAATATTACAGTAATTAAACTACAGAAAATTATCAATAGTAAAACTATCAATCTCAAATTTAACAGTAAATTTCAGAACATCTGAACTAGCAATAATAAAGCATATAATCACATGAATTAGAAAAAGAATACAATTCAGATAATTTAATTGAATTCAATATGATTAACTAAGACACATAATCTTCAAATTGAGTCAGTATACTATTTTTTGTATTTAAATATTAAATAAATCTATAAGATAAATAAAAAATTAAGAACTAATTACTCAAATTATATTATTTAGATTCTTACAAAACTATATTTTTTTTGTATTAAGTTATCAAATTTATTTATAAATTATTTCAAGTTTTTTAGATTAATCTTGTACATTTGTTATATTTTCTTTAATTTTGTAAATCTATTTTTTTAAATTAATTTTTCAATTTATAATATTGCTTTTCCTACATTTGAAATATCACGAACCATGATATCATGTTTTGTGATATTTCAAATAATTTTTATATGAATAATGAATATTTTTTTTTAAATCTTAATTACCGTCAATTCTATAATATAAGAACCTAAAAAATTAATTATTTTTGGAAAAATGATTCTTATTAGAAACAATAAAATATATTTTCAAAATATTTAATTTCAAAATACTTTAAAAATTAATTATAATATATAAAATAAAAAGTAGGATATTTTAAGAATCTTAATAACTTTATTAAAATTAATTTTTATAAGAATATAGATTAAATAAAATTTAGAAACATTTATTGATCATAATTTTTATAAAATAAATTTAGATTTATAACTAACTAACTACCTACTTATTGCTTTTTTGAAATTACACCTAACTAACTTTTTAAAATTTGTTGTTACTTAAATTTTTTAAGCAAATTTATAATTGACAGTAAATTTAAATATTACTTAATTATAATTTTTATGCTATTATCAACTTAAAAATAAGTAATTAACCACTTTAAATGTTAAATAAGAATATATCAAGTAATAATTTCTTTATTTTGTAAATAAGTACTATAATAAGAATTAGATTTTTAATAAAGCTAGTAGAATTATAAAGCTCTAAGTAGCTAAAAAGATTAAAGGTCCAATCAAATTTGAATAAAAAGACAATTAGAACTACATATTGTACCCTTTAGTCATTTTGTTTTAAAAGAATTTTGAAAAATGAATTTTAAGCAGCAAAGTGAAGGCGATGATGGCTTTAATTTAGATGGAGAATCATTTTTTATTAAGCTAATCAGGGACTTTAAAAAAACTATCTTTAACTACGCATATCATTTACTTAATGGTGAAAGAATAGGGTTCTTTTAAAGGATTATTCTTTTGATCATAGAGACATTTTAGATATTGAACTTTTAATTTTGCTACGAGCTCTCTTCCCTTTGGAAAAACAAAAGCATAGTTAATGGAATAAGATTAGTGTTAAAAATTACATCAATATATTAGTATTTTGATGGAAATTCATCTAGTTCATATTCAACATACAAGGGATTGTTTTTTGCACTGTCTTCAATTTTTCTTTTTTTATGCCTCATTTTTATTTATGTAATTATCAGCTTGAAAAGGAAGAATACACATATTTCTTTTTTAATTAATATTTTGCGCTTCAGCACAGAATTGCTTGTAACTGTGCTTTTTTTACCTTTGATTTAACTATTTCTAAGTCCATTAAATTGCCAGAATGGAATAATTGACTCTAATTAAGTATATGTAATGGCTAACTTCCCTACAGTACAATGCTTTGGTAGTGATGAAATAGCACTTGTATTTTTAGGTAATTAATTTCATTTTAAAAAGCTCATTTTTTTCAAAATTAATTCACAAAAAGCAGATAAAAAATTAGGAATTTAAAATCATAAAGCATATTGGTATTCTTATTAATAAAATAGATTTTATAATAATAAATTACAATAATCCAAAAAGTTTATTTTGATATTTAAATTATTTATATTATAAATTTATTTATTTATATAGGTATTGTTTGTAGCATTTTGCTTAGTGTGTATGTAGGCTTAATGACACTATTATTTTTTGGGTGTAGAACAAATGCATAAGATTGTTATACTAAAAATTCAGGAAGAGGAGAGTTTTGCTTTTTTATTCTTAAACTAATATTAGCTCTTTTTTACAATTTTCTAATGAATAAGGGGTATGATGTTGTCTTTATAGTTATAATGCTTATCGGATCATTTTTGTTGTTCGATCACTATTAATTTAATTTAACATATCATGACTTCTATATTTCAAAGCTAATAACTGCCTAGCATGCAATTAATCTTTGGACTACTCTCATGCTTATTTTAGCTAAAATTACTGAAAATTACGAATTTGATGGATCCTCTATAATATGGATTATAGGCATACCTTTTGTATATATAATTATTCTTATGAGAACTGAATAAAGGTTAAAAATAATTCGTTCATATTTTATATTAAAAATAATATATTTATTAATTAGGTATGATATCTTATTGATAAATACAAATTAGTATGACGTATTATCTGACCCCTTAAAATAGTTGCCATACATAACTAAACTTTTAGGTAGGTACACTAAAGATAAGCACATATAAATTATGTTAGATGGATTTTTAGACCATCATAGGAATACTTGCATTCAAGAAGACTGCCCATCTAAAAGAAGATTAGCAAAAACTACAAAATTCTCTAAAGCTTTAAGAAATGAAAAAGTTAGTGAATAGCTTATTATGATTTATACAGTTATTTAGAGCATGTATTATTTTGCTTTGCAAAAGTTTCCAAATAATACCAAAATACGTATTCTTTATGCATTATATCTTGTTGATATAATGAGATCTTCACAATAGGCACTCCAAGAACTCTTGAATACAGAAAGCGAAAGGCCTGTATTTGATGAAGAATTTATCATTTTTAGGTATAAGCAAGTTATAGAAAATGACCTAATGGAAAATAGCACAACCCTTGATGGTTAAAAAGATTAACAAGGCTCTAGTGATGTAGTTAATGAATTATCTGTTTAAAATCATGAAAGGTAAATTTATTTAATTAAAAAATTTGATGTTTGTTTCATTTTTGATAAATTTTATTTAGTATTCGGTTTTTTTTATACTCTACAATAATCTTAAAATAACAAAATATTGATTGAATACTGATTACATAATTACTTATTTAATAATATCATAGACTCTGTAGGGTTAACATTGAAAAGAGTACTGCACTTCATATAGAATTTTGGTCTTAGCTTAGTGAAGATAATCCTGATTTAGGTAAATTAAGTGAGCTAGGCTTTAAAATAACAATTGCAAATTAGAATGCAGAAGATTAGTGGAACAGATTGGATAGGATAAATACTTACATCCCATCTTTAATGAGGATATATGCTAAATTTTTGTCGGACATTATCCATGACAAAGATGGAGCTTTCAATATTCTTAAAAAGTTGGTTGATATCAACTTTAAAAACTAGAATTCAAATAAAATAAGCAATTTTTTAGATTTATCAACAGGTAAACAAACATACATTTTAAATATATCTATTAGCTTTAAAATTTAATTTTAAATAGATTCTAGGCCTTCAATTGTTATAAGTGCAGAAGATGATTCTTTTGGATTAGTTGCTAACATTAATTTAGCAGCTGCTTCTTTAAGTGGATATAATAAAATGGAGATATTGAACAGAAATGTAAGCGCTCTCATGCCATAAATGTATGCTAGATATCATGATCAATTCTTAGAGAGCTATTTAGCAACTTTAGAACCTAGAATATTGAATGTTGAAAGAATTCTATCTATGAAAAGTAAATAAGGTTATATTTCTCCTTTGATCGTTTTAGTTAGGCATGTGCCCTCGTTAATTCATGGACTTCAATTTGTATCAACTTTTAGAGTTAATAAAAATTTAAAAGAAGTCTGTTAGCTAATTGTAAATAAAGATGGAAACATTGATAATATTGGATCTTCATGCATAAATATTTTAAGGATAGATATAAAAAAGCTAAACAAAAAAGACATACCTATAACATCAATTATTCCATCTTACTGGGATAATTTAAAAGCTTTTTAAGACAAACATGGTGCAATAGTAATTGTCATGTAGTCTACAAGAGCAAAAAAAGAATTTTACGCTAAAATCACTGCATAAGAAATAGTGTATGATTACATTCACTTTATCATTTTATCAACAACTTTTTGAAATATTTTTTAAATAGGTTCAGAACTTATGGACATTAAGGATACTTACTCAGAATAGAAAAAATTAAAGAAGGAGAAACAGACATAAAAATGTAAGAGCATAATAAATTAAAGAACACTGTTAACGAGCTTAGTGTTGTAGGCTAAAATTCAGCTCTTTAGTAAGCCAAGAAATCAAAAATTAAAAAAGCTACAATTAACCAACATTTGGTTGTTAAGTTTGATAGCTATACTCTAACATATGTAGGAGAAAATTTAGTTGGTCCACCACTATAGATTCACGAAGAAGAAAATGCAAATGAAACACAGTCTAATATTTTTTCAACTCTATCTGCTGTCAGATACAATGCTAAGGTAGTTATTTATTAATAAATAATGAATGATAAAAGAGTTTAAATTTTTTTTTGAATGAAAATTAGGATGAAATTTAATAAAACGATGAAGATGAATTGCAAGGAGATAAAAATTAAGGTGAAAACAAGCAGTTTATAAATTATGGATAGGGAATTAGAACTCTTAGGCTTGTAAATAACTAATTTGTAGATATCGAAGAACTTAGATAAAAAGAAGAAGAAGCTGAGGAAGATATGGAATAGGAATAATTAGAAGAAGAGGAAGAAGAAAAAAATTATAACAAATATAGATAAGAGGATTAATTTTCTGCTGTCCAGCAGGATTCAAATGATAGTGGTAATGTATTTAAAAAGAAGCACTCGTTTGTAAGATTTATTGAGGAAAGTAGATTTTTACATTCTTCTTCACTGGAGAAGGTAAAATTATTCGCTCTAGGATTTGTAGTTCTTTGTTCTACTTTTGTGGCTGTAAATCATATTTTGATTACTTAGTAACTCAACGAAGTAAATGAACGAGTTTTAGTATACACTTAAACAACTATTTTTGCAGCAGATGGATAAAGAGAAGTGACAAAATCTTTAATAAACTACTAGTATAACAAAAAGATACTCACATCGTAATTTTTAAATACATTATTATTTTTCTTAATATTGCCTAATATTTTTATTAATTAAAAATAAAAAATAAACCTTATTACCTACTTTTCTACCCTATAGATAATATAATTTACAAATATTTTTCAACAATTTATATCAAAAAATATTTAAAATTAAAAAATTTTTAATTTGAGAGATTATTCTAAATAAGGCTATTTATTTTCTATTAAATATAGTTTGTTTAAAATATTTATTTTAAATTATATTTAAATTTTTACATAAGTTTATTTACTAATTATGAATGAATAAATAGTGTTGTTCCATCAAAAATTCTTTCTGATATGAGTTCAACTGCTTAGGAAATGAAGTAAGTGAATGACTATATCGAATTAAGCAGCCTAAGTTTATCTAGCTAGCATTAAAATTTTTTGAACAATGAAAAAGTTACTTTATATGATATTAATTCTAGTTAACAGCAAACTTTAAAATTAGCAAATTAGTAAATTTTAGCAAGGATAAATAACTTAATTGGAGATACTACTATCTAAAGTTACTATTTCACAGATACAGACTTCTACTTTCTCGTATACAACTTAATGAATGATTATTTTTCATTTCTTACTACTTAGTCTAATTATTATCTGCAAGAATTGAATGACTGGGGGTCTTCTTAGCAAAATTAATTTGTATTATACCTCATTTTATCCGTAGTGTGGTCTCTATTGTGCTTTATTGGATTACTACCTTTCTATATTCTAGTTAATAACTCCTAATAATAAATTTTAACTATGTTTTTGGATATCCCTGTTGTTAGAGTCAAGTAAAATATAAAATTTAGATTTAAATTTTTATTTCCATATTTAGTATTATTTTTTAAATTTAAATAAATAATTGTTTTTAATAAATAGAAAGTTATTTTCAAAGTGTGAAAATTTTCTCGCTTGCCTTCAAGGCTCAAACGAAGATGATGCAAGCTCCACCTTTAGTGATATGTAGGAAGATGAAGACTAATCTCTTACAGGTACAAACCTAAGAAGAAGGAGCAAAAAAAGAAGAAATTTTAGAATAAACTTAAAAAACAAATAAAATTTTTTCCTTCCATTTATTTTAATTATAATAATATTTGAAGGGTATTTTAGCTATACTTATATTTTATCAACAAACAATGCATAAAATATTAAAACGTTCTTAAATGAGTTAAATGTCACTTCAACTTTTGAATAATTCTATGGATATTCATTAAATTCACTTCAATTAATGCTTTTAAATAATACCTTTTCAGTAATTTTAATTTTATTATCTTTTACTAGATTTAATGAAATAAATAAACAATTATAACAGACATATTGAATGTTTGAGGATTAAAGATAATTGAAAAAATAAGATTTATATTAATTATTTGATTAAATAGAATTTAAATTGATTTAATTTATTAAAAAGGTTAATGGCAGTACTTCAGAAAAATATGTTAGCTGGGCTATAAATTAAATGTACAATCTAAATAATTAACTCTAAAAAGAGCACTAAGAAAACATGAATATACATTAATCTTCGTACAATTAAGCTTTTAACATGATATTTATGGAGGATAGTTGTTAAACTTTATCCAGTTTAACACTTCTTGATTAATTATAATGCGAATAGTTTGCTTAGTCTAATATTCGCTAAGGACTTTCTTTAAGTTTATCAAAACATATTGAGAACTTTATTTCAGTATATAATCAGTATGAAGCAAATAAATCAAATGCTTAAAACAATTAAAAATTATTATCTAGTAACGAAACATAAATGATATAGACTATGTAAGATGTCTATATTAAAGTTATGATGAGATATTTAGTTTAATAGTTTAGAGATAGTATTTAATAGATGTACGATAATAGCTAAACAATAAGAATAACTCTGTTGATTCTAGCTATTATAATAATAATATTACTATATATATCTATCTTAGTACCAATTTTGAATACAATTTCTAGAGAAATAGTTAGGGTAAGATCTATGATTTTTATGATTCCATTAGATATTATTGCAAGTGTTAAATCCATAAAAGAAATATTTCAACCATTTTTATCAAAGCTATATACAAGAGAATGACTATTATTTAAAGATATTATATTGTATGTATTTATTATTGTTTTTACACATTGTACTTAATCTAAAATTTTATGTATAAATAAACCTTTCTATTGAATTCAATTTTATAATAAAAGAAATAAATTATAAATAATTAATTAGCAAACAAATATTCTTTCTTACTTTTCAAAAAAAAAAAAAAAATTTTCTTATCAGAGATATCAAAAAAAAAATCAAAAATTAAATAAATAGAAAAAAAACCTTCATGCTATGGATTTTTATAGCATATAGGGAAAAAAAGGAATATATCATGTGTCAAATCGTAAACTTGGTAGCGGAGCAATATCAGAAGTTTATTATGGTGAAAACTATAAACAGGAAAAAGTTGCAATTAAAATCGTCAAAAGAGAATAATATGCAGGTATAAAACAATTTTCAATATAAATAGTTTATTATTTTATTTACTATTGTTACTTAAATTATTTAGATATTTTAGATAATTTAAGTTAGATAGATACTAATACATACAAATCTATGTATTTATTTTTAATATTTCTTCATTTTTTTTAATTTAAAAATAGAAAAAAAGTAAAATCTGTATTATTAAAGCGAGTTAGAGGTATCTAAATACTTAGCCTCTAAGGTTAATATATATGAAAACATATGCAGAATTTTTGATGTCATTGAATGCTAAGATTAGTTCTTTGTAATTATGGAATTTTGCGAAGGTGGGAATCTTTTAGATTATATTATGATGTAAAGTTAAGAAGATATAAACAAAAATATTCTTGATATAGCTTTAGAAATTGTAAAAGGAGTTTCTTATTTACACTAAAATGGGATTGTTCACAGAGATTTAAAACCAGAAAATATATATTTATATAAAAAAAGAGTACCTATTTATTATAATCAGTTTTAAGATATTTACATATTCAAAATTGGTGATTTTGGGCTGAGTAAATTCTTAAAATCTAGCAACAATTCAGTTGTAGGTACCATTAATTATATGGCTCCTGAAATATTAGAGAACAACTATGGGAAAGAAGTCGATATTTGGAGTATTGGATGTATTTTATATGAATTAAAAACTTAAAAATAATTATTTTATTCACTAAAAATGGATTTAAGAGAAATAATATCTTAAATTAGAGCATTTAATTGTTAAAGAAGTAATGATAGTAATAATATTGACTACTTGATTTAAGTTTGTTTGGAAAGAAATAATTTAAATAGAATAACAATAGATAAATTATAAACTAAAATTGAAAAAATGAAAGATAATTTAGAATATGAGTTTATTGAAAATGATAATTCATAGTTAGAAATATTTAAAAAAGAACCTTCACTCAGAATGACTTAATTTTATAGTACAATTCTAAAAAAATCTACTCATCCATATGAGCAAAACATCTTTAATAATAATTAATTTAACTAAAATGATTAATTAGATAATATTTAAGATTTATAATAAACATAAGATTACTAAAATGTTAATATTACTGAATATGAAGCCTCTAGAACAGCGAGTTATTAAGAAATAATGCCTTATGAGACTTAAAGGGATGAAACTTTTTCTTTAGATTTAGAATTAACAAATGATTATTTTAAAGATAATATTGATTAAATAAGATAATCAGAATTAAGGAATTCTTCTAAGTATTAATAGGAACCTGATATATTGAAACCAAAAAGAATATTTTAAGAAAATTAAGATAAAGAGAAAAATAATAAAATAATTTAAAATTTTGAAAACAAATTCCTAAAAGCACTCTTAAAAAGCTAAGATTATTTATAAGCAATAGCAGAAATAAATATATTACTAGACCAAATAAAGACATAATATCTGGAATAGTATTTAAGTAAAATAATTGAAACAATTCTCATAAATAATAATAATATAGAAAAGGAGTATCAACAGCAATAATGTAACTCAAGTATAATAAAAAACTAAAATAAATAAGGTATTACTAAAATATAAGAGGAAGAATTTATATTTTAAAAGATAGAAAATTAATCCCTCAAATAGATAAAAAAAATTGTTTAATTTTCTTTTGATCAATCAAAAATGTTAATGTCATAGAACTAGAACTCTGCTTAAAGATTAAATTCTTTATAAAATAAATCTTTAAGCAAAATTGACTATCTAATTTCAAGCTAAGTTAATTCTGTTAAAAGGACTTCTTAACTAAATTTGTTTGAAAATAATTTCACAAGACAAAGAGTATTTAGTATAAATACTATCTCATTATCATCTTTTAGTATAGATAGAAGAGATATATTAAATAACTTGGATTTAAAATATAATATTTTTATTTAGCTTATTATAAACTAGATATACGACACAATCAATTTACAATAGTTTCTTATTTTTCTAATTTATTGTACAATTAGTAAACATATCAATGAATAATTACCAGGTGATAAGAGAATTACATACAAAGAAACATAAAATTATACCAAAAAAAACTATCCTTATTGTAGCCTAATATTTTTGATGATGTTTAATAAAATAGTTTAAATTATAAAATCTAAATCCAGAATTAGCGACTCAAGTTTAGGAAACATTAAGCAAGAAGCTTTCAAGATATTTAAAATTTTGATTAAGGAAATAGAAATCTATTAAAATTTTGTTGAATTCATAGACGATTATTTTAAATTTATCCAAAACGAAAAAGATAAAAAAAATAAATATATTTTTTTTGATCAAGAAATTATCCAATTACAATTAGACTCTTAGTAAAGTATACAGCTGATTGAGAAAGATCCTCTCAAAGTTGTCTATTTTTATATAGATAATAAAAATTAGCAAGGAAATATTCTCATGTCTCAAACTTAAGAATAAATTTTTTTTTCTTAAAAATATTCAAACATAGAATAAAGTATTTATAAATAAAAATCTAAAATTTGATCAAAAAAATATTTTTTTTAATTTCAATTGTTCATTAAATTAAAACTCATTTAGAATATTTCAAAACTTTAAAAGAGTTGTTGCAAATAAATTAGATTATTCAAAAGCAGTGATCTTACATGATGAAAAATTAAAAAATATTTAATTTGAGAAATGAATGTAAAATTTATGGTATTTAGAATATTCAATTACTTTCCTAAATTATATTTCAAATTAGAAAATTATGCTATCCTTGTTCAAAAGTAATAGAAATTATTTGTAAAACTAAGAATTATATAAATAAATAAAATAGTTAAATATACTTAAATACTATCAATATAAAAAATTCTTTTTCTTTATAAGCTTAATTTACTGTAAAAAAAAATAAATATTTGATAAGTTTATCCAAAAAAATAAACTAAATATTTTAGATAAAAAAAATTATTTGAAAGAATATAAAATTATAATAATGAAGTTATGTTTTTTGTAAGGTTTTTTAAAATATATATTTTTATTTTTCTCTTGCTTGAAACAATTGATTTTATTTTAGACTATGTTAATAATTTAATTTTCTTTTATTAAGTTGATTTAAAGACCTTTTGTAATTTTTTTTTGAATTAATAGTTTATTACTATTTTTTAGTTAGAATTTTAATTCTGTTAATAATAAATAAATTAATTAACATTTTCTGTTAATGTTGATTATTTTTCCAAATAGATATTATCAAAAATTCACAAAATTAAATAATAATACTATCTAAAAATGAAATAAGATAGCATAAATATTGTTGTATTAAAAGGCAAAGAGCATTAATACCTGCTTTAATTAGAAAATGTCATAGGAAAAGGGGCAGTAAGTGAGGTCTTTCTGGGTAAAATAATTTAAAATGATAAAACTGTCGCAATTAAAGTACTCAGAGACAAAAAAATAGAAAGTAAATGAGAGAATGAGTTAGAGTTATTTGAAATTATTTTTATTAATAAAGGTAACCAATAAAACAGCTATCTACAAAGAGAGTATGAAGTTTGTTTAAAGATTAAAAGTGTTCAAGATAATGATGAAAAGTAAGGCAAATTAAATCATAATGTTTTGAGAATTTTAGATTGTTTAGATTTTAAAGCAAATGAAAACAAAATATCTTGTTAAAGTTCTAGGGTTAATCCAGCTAATACATATAATAATTTGATTGATTATATTCAAGAAAAATATATTATAACTGAATATTGTAACAAATCTAGCTTGTATGATTATTTAACAGATAAAGGATTTTCACTTTAACTTACAGAAGTGCTTGATACTTCTATGCAAATTGCATAAGGATTAAAGTTTCTTCATGATTAAAAAATAATGCATAGAGATCTTAAACCAGAAAACATATTTGTTCATGAAGTAAATTAAGATAAATATTTGTTTAAGATTGGTGACTTTGGTATAGGAAAGTAATTTTAAGAGGAAGGCATTGAGCAATCTTTTGTTGGGACTATAAATTATATGAGTCCTGAAGTAATAAATAGACAATAATATTCTAATCAAATAGATTATTGGAGTTTAGGATGTATAATATATGAGATTTATAAAGGATATTAAATGTTTCGCGGATATACTGAAAAAGAAGTTGAGGAAAAGATTAAAAATTTTAGAAGCTAACAACATTTTGTGTTTTCATTAAATATTTCCTTAGAAAATATAATACATAAATGTCTAGTTAGCAGTAATTAAGGAGGATATTAAAATATTGATTAAATTATTAATGATATTTAATCTTTACAAAATGAAAAATAGTAATAAAAATAACAAGAAGAAAAATAATTCTAATTACAATAAGACAGACAAAACAAACAAAAATAATACAAATTAACAATGTAATTTAAACAATTATATTAGTAACAATTGTAAGAAAAAAATTAATTATAACAGAATCTATTCAATTTTTAAAAAAGTCCTAATAATGGTTAGGCTTAAAACAAAATTAAAGATCAGAATTTTAATTAAATGATGTAAACATTACAATACTAAGATAAAAATAATTTTGAGAAAGTATTAATTAAAAATTAATAGATTTCTAACATAACAAAAAAAGAATGTTTACATGCAATAAAGCCTTAACATGAATATAAAAAAGAAGAAAGTATTAGCAATAATTCTAAATTAGATTTTGAAAATAAAGATAATTATTTGAATGCTAATCATATAAATTCTCAGAATATATAAGATTAAAACTACAGATAACAGAAATCAAACATTTAATAGCCATCAATAAATAATAACTCTTAAAATTAAAATACCTATCTAAGTATTCAGTAATAATAAAATAAATAAAATAGTAGCTATAAATTTTTTTATCCAAATAAAAAAAATAGTTATTAAAGCGATTATAATCGACTAAATAATCATAAATCAAATAATTAAGAATAAAATTAGTAGGAATAATAAAAAATAAAAACTATTTCAGCTTAAAATGAGTAGATTGCAAGGGGAAGTAGTTGCATTAATGGAGCTGTAAGAATAATACAAGCTGAAAAGACTATTAAAGCTAGATCTATTTCAAGAAATAAATAATATTTTGATTAGTGAGAACAATTAAAAATTAAAATTTGAATTGAATATTTATAATAAAATTTTATATATATTTAGTCTATATATGTATTTATAATTAATTACCTATTATTGAATTACTTTATAATTTCAATAATACAATAAGCAAAAAAATATTATTTTATTAGCAATATAAAATTGAAAATGAGCTTTAAAAAATAATTGATTTTTCAAATTACTCTTTATATCTTATTCTTCATATTGTTTTAATTCAAATATTCAAACTATTTTTATAATAAACTAAATATAATCTTTGTTCATTTTTGATCATAAAAATATTTGTAAATATTTTAAATATTCTAACACCTGACTCATAAGATAATAAGATAGGCAATAAAAACAAATTGGTTAAAATACTGTTATTGGCATAATATTAAGATATATTATAATATATTAGTAATATATTAATAATATCTTATATAATATTTTTATATTTTATTTTATCAAAACAATTATTTAAAAAAACTTCATAATATTGTTAAATTCAAATAATTTAAGATTTAAGTTTAAATAAATAATAAGAATATATAATAAAAAAATTAATCTAAGAGTTATAAAGATAGCTTATTGAATAAAAATATGCACTTAATCGTATTTTTAAAATAAATAATACTAAAATTTTTAAAAATAATTATAAAGATATTATAAGATTTTATATTACTAATATATTATAATATATCTTAATTTTATGCCAATAACTGTATTTTAACCAACAAATTAGTATATATTATATATATTCATTAAAAGCATTAAACAAAAAGTTGAAAATAAACATCTTTCATAATGCAAGAGTTTTAATAAAATTAATTTTAAGGAAATAAGAACTCTTACTTTATTTTAGGTAAGATTAATGAAGGCGCCATTTATGAAATTTATAAAGCTTAAATTCAATCAACATAGGAATTTGTTGCCATTAAAATTCTTAATCGTTTTAGAACAATAGGCATTTATTTAATTTATTGTTTTTACAAGTTTAAATAAATAATTTTATATCAGATAACATGCCTAACATTTATATTGAGAAAGAAATAGAGATTGCTTAAAAATTAGCTAGCATGAATTATAAATGTGCTAATATTGCTAATATGATTGAAGTTTTTACAATTAATTAAGGGTAGTCCTACATGATAGTTTTTGAGTATTGTCAATAAGAAGATTTATAAAAAACTACTTGAGTTTAAAATGAATATATTGCTAAGGGAAGCAGTTGCAATAATGGAGCCGCAAGAATAATACAAGCTGAATAAATAAATAAATAAATAAATAAATAAATAAGATTTTAATGAGTGAGAACAATTTAAATTTAAAAATTTGAATTTAACACCTAAATAAAATTTAATATATATTTAGTCTTTATATTTATTTACTTATTTATAATTAATTACCTACAAAATTATTTTATAATTTGAATAATACAATAAGCAAAAGATATATTTTATTTTCAATATAAAATTACAAATGAGCTTTAAAAAGAATTGATTTTTCAAATTACTACATCTGTCTTTTGTATTCATATTGTTTTAATTCAAATTTTCAAACTAATTGTATAATAAAGTAAATAAAATATTTGTTAATTTCTGATCATAAAAATATTTGTAAATAGCATTTAAATATTCTAACACCTCACTCATAAGATAAACAAAAAACAAATAATCCAAAACAAATTATCATATATTATTTATTTTCATTAAAAAAATTAAACAAAAAGTATAAAATAAACATCTTTCATAATGCAAGAGCTTTAATAAAATTAATTTTTTTAAGGAAATAAGGACTCTTACTTTATTTTGGGTAAGATTAATGAAGGCGCTATTTCTGAAGTTTATAAAGCTTAAGCTCAATCAACATAGGAATTTGTTGCCATTAAAATCCTGAATCGTTTTAGAAGAATGGGTATTTATTAAATTTATTGTTTTTATAAGTTTAAATAAATAATTTTATATTAGATAACATGCCTAACATTTATTTTGAGAACGAAATCGAGATTACTTAAAAATTAGCTAACATGGATTATAAAAGTGCTAATATTGCTAATATAATTGAAGTTTTTACAATTAATTAAGGGTAGTCTTACATGATAGTTTAGGAGTATTGTCAATATGGAGATTTATACTAAAATATGTTTGTAAATTAAGGAAAACTAGATGAAAGGACTAAGCTTATTTACTGTATACTAATATGTGAAGGATTAGTTTACTTACATAATAATAATATAGTTCACAGAGATCTAAAACCAGAAAATATTATGATAGCATATCAAAATAATTAATATAGATTAAAAATTACTGATTATGGCTTGTGCAAGTAAGGCGAAGAACTTTTCAATTCATTTGTTGGAACAATTACATACATGGCACCAGAAATATTACTGAATTAGTAATATACTAAAAAAGTTGATATTTGGAGCATGGGTTGCATCATGGATGAAATTGTTAGAGAAACTACTACTTTTGATGGTGAATCATTTTAGCAAATACAAAATGATATAATCAACTATAGAGGATATACATATAATAATTTTCTAAGCTAAATTATATAAAAATGTTTGGTAGTTGATCCAAAAAATAGAATTGATTCAACTTAACTGCAGTAAGAGCTACGCTAATTGCTAAATCAATTTGAAAATCGATATATTAACCATAAATGTTAGCAACAGTATTATAAAGAGAAATAAATAGTGTAAGATGCTCATAAGTAAAGTATAGATGAACTCGAAAGCAAAATTTAAATACCACTCTAAAGCTAGATTTAAGACTCATAACTATTATCAAAATTAAATAATAAAAAGTATTAAGTATCTAAAATTTAATATTAAGGTAACTAATCTGCTCTGATAAAAAATAATTTATAAAGTAAATAAAATTTTTAATTTCATACTTTCTACTCACAAATACATTCTAATTATGAGAAAAACACAGACAATAAATTTGAAAATTAAGCTGATTAATAAAAATTGATTTAAGAGCTAGATATCAAAACACAAATTTAATAAAAGGATAACTTATAATTATAGAGTAATATTTAAGATTAATTCTAAGAATAAAATTAAAAAATTGAAAATTATTATCCTTAAAATTAATTTAACCAATAATAAATAGAATTTTATTAAAATTAAAATAATAACTCTAATACTAATCATTTAAGTTTGGTTGTGAATGATTTTGACAATAAATTAAATTTTACTGAATAAAATTGCTATAAAATAGATATCTAAAACAAAACCAATTAAGTTAGTATTGGTAATTAGTTAAAATCTTAAGATGAATAGTGTGAGGAAAAGTTATTATGTAAATTACAAATAAACTAAAATGATTAGAATAATTAAAATTAAAATGATTATTTTTATTCATCAGTTTAAGATTAAATTTAGATGTCTAATTGTGAAAATAATAATTTCTATTAAGCTTAAATTTAAGTCTAACCAATGCACAAAGAATAAGAGTTAGAAAACAACAAAAGCGAATAAGTCAAATAATTGAATAATAAAGATAATTATTAACCAAATAATAATTACTAACCTTAATAAATAAATGAAAACGAATCTATTTAGAATAATTATTATTATAATCCTTAATCTAACTCATTTGTTTAAAATTAAAGTAAGATAGATCATTATTAAAATTAAGATTTTTATTTCTCCAGCAAAGTAATTATTAATTAAAAGGATTACCAAAAAAATGAATTATAATAAAAAAATGAAGATTCTATAAATTAATTTAAAGAAATAACATATACTGAATATATTAATGAAAGATATAAATAATTCGCTTAAAAATACTAAATAGGTAGTTATTAAAATAACTAATAAGCTAGTTAATAAAATTAAGATTTAAAAATTGAAGATACATTCAGTAAGACCAATGATAAATTTAAAGAAGTATCTATAAATCTAGTATTTATTTCCAAAAATAAAGCTGAGTTCTATATAAATCTAGTAAAATACCTAATTTTTGTTCATTTTTTATCATTAGAAGTTGATGGAAAGACATATTTATTAGAAAAAATTTTAAATACAATAATGATGAACATGGATAATATTTAAAATGAATATTATTAAAAAATAAATGAATAAGGTGAAATTTGTTTCTAAAAAAAATTACAAAATTTAAATTATTTCATTTCATTTTTACATGAGCTTTATAAAAGTAACCAATAGTCTTTAGTATCTTTTTGTTATGCTGTGGTATGTAAATAATTTTACTCTGATACTTTTGAAGAGATCGGAAAATCTCTCTTTGAAAACTTAGAAAATGAAAAAAAAGATATAGGTATAAACAAATCTGGATCCTCTTTCATTTATGAATCAGATTTTTTTGATTACTTATTGGAAGAAGATAATTAAAATTTATATTTTTAAAAGTTAAACTATTTTTAAAGTAAAAATAAAGAATATTTTATAGCTTTTACTAAAGTAGAATATGCCATTTATAAATAAATAAAATAAATAATGAATATCGATATAAATTCATGAAAAATATGTCTCCGTGTTTGTTTTTTATCTCATAAATAATTTATTTTATGGAAAAAATATCAAATTAAAGTTTTTAATTACCTTAATTAATATTTTACTAAAAAATACTTATTTAATTTACTTTGTTTTTTTATATTTATTTAAAAAACATTCTAATTTTGATTATTTATTTTAAACTTAGAATGCAAGAAAATTTTTTTGTTTTGTTTTTTAATTCAAAAAATTTTGAAGTAGAATATTTAATAGAAAATAAACATTAAAATTAATTTAGATATTTAATTTATATCTTTTCATGTCAAAAAAAGATATTTTGTTGAAAATATACTCCCCCATTTTATCAAATCACTATGATTTGAAAAACATGATTAAACAAAGAATAACCTAAAGTAGTTAACCTAATAATATTTTTTCAGCAAAAAACTAATTATATATTCTAAGTAATTGAACAAATTATCAAAGAAAAAAATTAAATCAAAATATTAAGTATTTAAATTAATAAATACAGAAAATGATAAAGGAAGATTAAATTATTTAAGGAACAAATAATTCTTATAAAATTTTAGAAGTTGTTGGAATTGGAAACATTAGCAAAGTGTTTAAGGCTGTTAATTTATAAACTTGTGAATATGTTGCAATAAAAGTTATAAGCAAGATTAGGTTAGGAGGTAATGAATATTTATAAATTACAAAAAAGTTAATGGCAATTAAATAATATATTAATAGATCAAAATGATAACCTATACTACGAGAGAGAAATTTTAATATTGAAGAAGCTCATGAAAAATGAAAACTAACATTAAAATATAATAAAAATTTTTGAGATTTTTGAATCTAATAACTGCTAGTTTGTTGTGTTTGAGTTGCTGACTGATGGAAATTTAATAGAATACTTATTAAGTAAAGATATGAATATAGATGAAATATAAGCTCTTAATATTATGTACTAAGTCACTAAAGCAATATGTCATTTGCATAAACTAAAAATAATGCATAGAGATATAAAACCAGAGAATATCCTTCTTAAAGTAGATAGTTAACATATAACTGTTAAACTCATAGATTTTGGAGTAAGCTCTTAAAATGAAAATTCAATAGCTGATTCTATGGTAGGATCAATATCATACATTTCAAAAGAAGTATTACTCCATTAAAAGATGTATAATGAAAAATGTGATGTATGGAGCTTGGGGTGTTTGTTTCATGAGCTAATTACAGGAAACCAATTATTTTGTGGAGAAACTATTAAATAGATATACGATCAAATAATGAGTTTTAGGTAATACGATTAAAATTCTAAGTGGTCATATATCATCTCAAAATGTTTAGAAGTTGACATAGAAAAAAGAATCTCTAGTAAAGAGTTACTAGATCTATTGCAATCTGAGTATAATAAATATAATATCTAAAAATAAAGCATGACCTAATCAAATTAATTGCAAGAAGTTACTCCATAATCATGTTATTCATCTAGTATTTCAACTAGAAAGGATTTAAAGATTTAAAATAGATAAAGCTTAATAATTTTGTTAGAAGAAAAAAATTAAAATGTTAATAGTCATAAAACGAATGATTACAATGGTTGTTATGAAATGTAACCAAATTAAGAAACTTTATAATTTTTTAATTATGAGCCAAGAAAAGACATATCTATGTAAAATTAAAATACAATAGTTGCAATTGAGTTTCCAATAATTAGTTAAGAATAAAAAATTAATGAAGAAAAAGAAGGTGAAGAAGAAGTAAAAGTAGAAGAAGAAAAATAAGAGCAAGAAAATGTAAAAAATGAGAATTTTTTATGTACTAATTAATCATAAATTAAAATTATTGATAGAAGCTATGGCTCAAAAGATTTATGGAATGATCTTTGTAGTTTGACAAATAAATATTTTTTTACTAAAAAATTAAAAAATATTGAATTTTTTTATTATCCAAATACAACAGAGGGTATTAGGTCCTTTTAGTAAAATAAATATGTAGACTAAGATGATTTTTATTATTCCATATTTCATTTAATTATTCTGATTTAATTTCTTAAAATGTTCCAAATATCTAATCAATAAGTGAAAAAAATAATAAAAGAAGACTAATTATCTAGTTTAAAAAAATTGATTGTAAGTATCTATAATTTAAAGGAAGAAAAGAACTTTAATGATATTTCTAAAAAAGATCTTTTTAGGCTTTTAAGCGGATTATCAGAGTTAGTTTAAGAAAAACCGTTAGAATATATAATAATAAATTATTACTAATTCTTAAAATATAAAAGTTTTTAAAGTACAATGTAAAAATTAGGAAAGTGCTTTTGTGAAAATAAAACAGAACTCTAAAATGTCTTTTCTATTTCTAATATTTAAAAAAGCTTTGGTGAACAAAAAATATAAAAAATAGATGAAATCAATTACGATTCTGAAAAGAATAAAAAGTATTAAATCATCCTAAACGAATTTTAATATTCAATTTTTCAAAAGCTATAAAAATAAATAAAATTTTAAGATATATAAATACATCAATATATTGATTGAGGGATCTAAAATGAGAATTTAATACAACCATACAAAAATATTTGGTATTTTTTTATAAACATTAATTATGTTTTATAGGAGAAAATATTGATGAAAAACTTTTTTCAAATTAAATTAATTAATTTAAACCTAACTAATCACTTTAAATGTATCAAATTTTATTATTTAGCTTAACAGCTTAACAAAATACTTGTTGTGTTATGTTCTAGGACATTATTTTTTTAAATCAATAAGAATTTTCTAAATAAAAAATTCAATAAATAGAATTACTTGTCTTATTAAAATTTATAAGGAAATAAAATAATTTTAATATGAAGATTTTTTTTTATTTTATTTCAGTTAATTATTTTCTTGTTAAAATAAATTACATATTTATAAGAATCTATTTACTCAATAATTAGGTTTTTAAATTCAAATTTTTTAAAACAAAAAATCTGATTAATTAATTAAGTATTACGCTTAATATTCAAATAAATTAAAATGGATTAAGATTTTAAATAAAAAAACATTTTTTAAAATTAAATTTATTGTTAGATTCACGTAAACTGCTAAGTCATAGCTTTCTAAACTTAAATTGTATAAAAAAACCAACTTAAGTGTATTTAATGCATTATTGATGAAAATATTTCTGGAAGTAGTTTGCTTTCTATTTAAGAAATATGTCAAAGTTCTTAGCTATCTATATTTGGAAACTGGCCTCCTCTAAAAAATAAATCTGTTTTACTTGAGATAAACTAGATTTTACTAAATGACAAGAATGACAAGTAGAATGTATTCCTAAAAATTAGGTAGTATTTTGATGATTTCAAAGAAAAATTAGAAGTAAAGATGCAATAAATTGAAAATTAAATAACATAAAGAGCTCAGTAATACTTGGTAAATTGTTCATAAATTACCTCATAATATAACAATTCTGCAGAAAAAGAATATCTTTAGCAGCTATTTATAAACTCTAATTCATTCTAATATGATGAAATAAACTAATAAGTATAATCTATTGTAAAATCTAAAATCTAAGAATAGGAAAAAAACTAAGAAAATTTAAAAAAAGTTGTCGATTCTTTTATTTCTTCAAGCAAAATTATTTATTTTTCTCTACCACAATCTTTTAAAGATGATATCCTATAAGAGTTATCTAAACTTGAGGTTTTTTCATATTAAGCCCAACCGTAATCTAGAGAATAAGACTCCATAATTAACAAAGACCCAAAATCAAGTAAAATTGATGTAATAAACGACAATTTAAATGCATTTTATAATCTAAAGCAAGAATAGCTTAATGATTTGATTTAGTTAACTAATAAAATAATAGAAATAGATAACTAGAGCATATAAGAATATAATCAAGAAAATAACAATTGGGGAAATTTAAGGTAGAACTCTTATAAAATATACACAGCCTTAAAAAATAGCCATTTTTGCTCTGAAAGTAAATCAGCTATAAAAAGAATTTTATAATAATATCCAGTGTTTGATCTAATATCTCCTATATCAATCGATTTACATAATAGAAATTAATATGTAAAACTAACTAACTAATACTAATTGATTATGAGTAATAATAAGGAATACTAATCAGGAAAAATAAATATAAATAATGATGGAAAATATTTTTTAGAGAAAAGTTCTCTTAATGGCTACTCTATTTGCTATTCAAATATCCTCTTTAATCCAAAAGATAAATATATTGTAAGAGTTTAAATTGATAAAAATAGTGACCAAGATTGGATTGTTGTAGGTTTAATGTCAGATTCTTTAAAAGACAAATCTACACTTTACGAGTAATAAATTTGTTTTCATTATGGTTATGGAGATCTTGCGAATCAAACAGTTTTAAAAGGTTAAAATTTGTAACTAGATTAACTTAAAAAAGGGAAATCCATGATTTTAGAATTAAGAATTTGCATCTAAGATAAACTTTTTATGATCACAGACTATCCCAAGCATGAAAATGTAGCATAAATAAATAAAGAGCCTAAATCACCTTTCCTCAACGAAGAAAATTATAGATTCTCAATTGCTTTGTATAATCCTGGAGATAAAGTTACATTAATTGAAGTTGAGGTTGTTTAATAATTTAATTAGATATGAAATCTAATATTTATGTAGTCAATTTTTGAGTTTACAGAAAATAAAATTTTACTCTAAATAAATAATTAATATAATTTAAATAATAAAATCTAAAATAAATAATTTATATTTATTTAGAAATTTTAATTTAAAAAATTAAAAATAAATTTTATTTTTTAGAATGGTTTAAGTTAAATTAAATTAATTGATGTTGAGGTTTTTTAATCATTTAATTAATTATGTAGAGTTATTTTAATATTTATGAAATATTTTTTAACAATTTTTGTTTTGTATATCTTTCTTTTACTTTATATCAATTTTTTATTTTTCAAAAAATATAATTTTCATCTAATTAATTATTAGAACAATTAAAATGATAAAATATAAAATAAATTATTTATATTTATTATAAAAAAAGGGTTTACAAATAGAAAAGCTAATTAATATTTTTAGAATGATAGCTGAAATTACATTAATTGATGTTGAGGTTATTTAATAATTTAATTACTTATGTAATGTGTATTTTGTTTATGAAATAAATTTTTTTAAAAAAACACAAATTTAGTTTTCAGTCTAAAAATTATTATTAAAATTATAAAATCTAAGATAAAGGATTTATATTGATTTAAAAATAAATTTATTTTAAAAAAAAAAGGTATTTTTTAGAATATTGATTGAAATTAAATTACTCCATGTTAAGATTATTTAATAATTTTGATTAATTATGAAATTTTTTTTATCATTTATGTTGTAAATTTTTATTTTACAGTGAAGAGAATTTTAATTAAAGAATTAGAATAATTAAATAGATAAAATATATGATTAATAGTTAAGATATTTATATAAATGAAAATTAGTAATAAAAGTAAGATATTCAGTATTTTTTTGTATGGCTGCTGAAAAATTGATAATGGATTAATAAAAAAAATACAAAAAGTGATAGTAATATTTTTAAAAATAACTTAGATAAAATCAAATTGTTTCTAAAAAATAGATAAAAAATTTTTTATTTGATCAGTATGTCCAAATTTGCTATATAAAAATTCAGATATCAAAAATCTTAGCAAAAATTATTAAAAATAAATATCATTTATTGAATCTAAGGTAAAAAAAATTATAATATGGAGAAATTCAACAATTAATAAATTTTAGAAAAGTATCATAATTTTAGCTAGCTAGGACAAGGCGCAGTAAGTGCTATATATTATGCAGAAAATAAATAAACTGGCTAGCCAGTAGCAATCAAAGTCGTTACTAAACAAAAGGTAGCAAATGGTAAAGATATATATGTCAATCAATAACTAATTATACTTATTTTATAATTTTTAATAAGCTTTAAGAAATAAATAAAATATTTTAAAAATATAGATAAGTAAGAAAACTATTATTATTAGCAAGAATTAGAAATCACTAAGGCTATTATAGCAAAAGGTAAAAATGAAAATATAGTAAATATATTAGAGCTTATTGAAGGTAGCAGTGAATATTTTATTGTGACTGAGTACTACAAAGATGGAGATTTATTTAATCTTTTAGAGAGATTTTCATTTAAATTTTCACCAGACATTGCTATATCTTTCTGTATTTCTATAGCAAATGGATTAAGTTTCCTCCATTCATCAAAGATATGCCATCGAGACTTAAAACCTGAAAATATTTTAATTGCAAAATAAGCAGATGAATCTTATTTAATTAAAATTGCAGACTTTGGAATTAGCAAAATGGCAGAAGATATGATGAAATCAACAATTGGTACAATAACATACATGGCTCCAGAAATTTTGAAATGTTAGGAATATGATTAAAAGGTAGATATTTGGAGTTTTGGCTGTCTTATTTACGAAATATTTACTGGTGAGTAGCTTTTTGGAGGAAATTCACTCAAAGAAGTAGCTCTTAAAATAACAGGATTTTAAGAAGATACTTTAAACAAAATACCAGAAAGCAAAATCCCAAAATCTGTAACATAAATAATAAAAAAATGCTTAAAAAGATAACCTGCTATGAGAATTTCTTTAGATTAAATAATCAAGGATTTGTTGTAGGCTAAAACAGAAATGAAAATTAATATGACTCAAAGTATATTAGTTCAATCAGAAGAAGATAGCACATAAAATTGTTCAAATTTATATAAAGAGATATCTGAATAATAGAAAGAAGTGGTTGGGGCTACGTCTCATCCTTCTTAAATTATATTTACTGATAATCTTAATAATAGTTTTGATAACTATAGTCATGATATTGATGATACTTAATCAAAAGAAAAAGAATCAAATGAAAATATGTTGTTAAAAGAGTTATCTCTCTAGATTACTAAAGCTGAAAGCTAAAAAGAGGAAAATAATTAAACATTAGATGAAGCATACTATATCACACCAAAGAACAATAACTTATCAAATTAAAATTTTTAACAAAGTGAAGATAAAAACTAATAGATAAAGCTAAAGTTATTAGATGAGGAGTAGAAAAATAAAAAAATGTTGGAAAAAGAAAAAAATAATTATAATTTAAAAATCTAGTAAAAAGTCGAGTTAAATTAATATTAATAAAAGTTAACTTAAAATTATGATTAAATATCTACTTAAAGTGATATTGAGCAAAGCATAGTTTTAGAAAAAAAATCAAACCCTAATTTTTTAAATAATAAATTATAAATGAATTTAACCCCATAACCAGTCAAATCTAATTTAGACATAAATTACAATTATCCCTATTCTGATCATAAACCGTATGAATATAAAAATAATAACTCCAACAATTAATTGTATTCTCAAACCCCAAATATAACTCCTTTTTATTAAGCTTAAAGCAATTTAAGCTCAAATGAAACTAAGTTTGGTTCTATTATAAGTTCTCCTTATTCAACTAATTAATATAGTACTTAATTTAATACTCCATAATCTAATTAATAATATTATAGCAATTTAACAGCAAATTCTATTTAACCACAAAAACAAATAAGCAATACATTTTAGCAAAATTAATAAATCTCTCCAAAAATTATTGTACTTAACGAACCAAAATACCCTTACTAAGTTAGCCCCTTAGTTTATAATTAATAAGATTTTACATAAAAAAGTAAATTACAGCAATCTCCTTCCTATATCGATACAAATTTTTAAGATTAAGTATCTAAGAATAACTAATCCAAAGATATTTAAAGTATTTTTAAGCTCTTTAATAGTAGCTCATAATCAACAGAATAAAAAATAAAATAAAAAATTGAAATCAAGATAAATTATGATCTCAATGATTATGAAAAACAAAGTATTTTCAGAGAACTTGATAGTTATGCCTCTGATCCATAATTTAATTATAATAATACATAATCAGTATATTAATTCAAAGAAGAATTCTTTTAGGATTTATAGCTCAAATTACCATGTGTTTAAATTTAAAATAGTGCAGATATTAATATATTAGAGTTTTTAAGTTTTATTTACTCAAGTTTCGAATAGTAATAAAAAGATAAGAAAGAAACCCCTCTCCATAAATTTATTGGATTAATCTATAAGAATTAAGATTATTACATTTAATTTTCACCTTTTATTAAGGAAAATTAAAAAGACCTTAAAGCATTTTTGAAATCTTTGTATGGCATCCTAAAAATGGAAAATAACTTGAGCAATATTTAAAGATATGACAAATTATATTAATATACACTAAATTCAAAATTTTAAGGTTTTTTAGGAGTGTTTGGTTCTTTATTGTAGATGTTCAAAGATAAATAATAAACTGAGTTTTTATATGCAAAACATGATAAACCCAAAATATAAGAATACACTCATCAAAAAAAACCTTTCAAATTAGAAATTAATGACAAAAGGTATTTCGTTCATTTTATTAATACAAACGAGTCTTGATTATATTTCTCATAAATTCAAAGAATCATTCATAGGTCCATAAAACAATACTAAGCTATAATTTGCAATTTATATATTGTTTTTTATATATAATTTTTCTCACTGTTTTTTTGAAAATAGAATATTACTGTCTATATTAAATATTCTAATAATTTTTAAAAATAGATAAATAATCAGTAAATAATATTTAAATTTTTGCATTTACTTTAGTTTACAGTTTTTAATAATAATATTCAAAGAATATTGCTTTCTTATTTCTTTGATTAAATAATTGATTTATTTTAATACCAAATCTAATTAAAATGGAAAATTAAATATTGAAAGGATAAAGTAAGTCTTATCAGTTTATATAGCTGATTGGTAAGGGGGGGATTAGCTATGTGTATAAAGCTAAAGACTAGTTTAACTAGATGTATGCAGTAAAAAGTATAAGCAATGTTTCAGTTTCAGGTTTGGAGATTTAATTTGTTTATTGAGTTAATCATTTCAAAGATTTTTTTTTAGAATATTTAAATTGATGATTGATTGTTTTTTTAGTGTTTTGTTTAAAATTTATTTTATTATAAAATAGATTCTAAATAAAACCTTTACTTTGAAAAGGAAATTCAGACTTTAAAATATTTGCATGAAAAAGTTGAAAAACATTAACATATTTTACAAGTTGAAGATATTATTTATGATAAAACATCAAATACTAATAATACAGTTTATTTAGTAACAGAGCTTTGTGATTAAGGAGATTTATATGAATTTCAATAAAAGTTTTATCCTTAATTTGATCTAGAAACTAAATTAGCATTTTCTATTTAGATAGCTTAAGGATTGCAGCACTTGCACAATTAAAAGATTGTTCATAGAGATTTAAAACCTGAAAATTGTTTAGTGAAATCTCTACTTAACTCTTAAGTAAGTAGCTTTCATGAAAAATTTTAAATAAAAATTGGAGATTTTGGTGTAAGCTAAATTAATTACCAATTAGGCTTTCTAAAGTCTTAAATTGGGACTCCTAATTACATGGCTCCAGAAATAATTAATTAGGAGATGTATTCTTAATAAGTAGATATATGGAGTTTAGGGTGTATTATTTATGAGATATTTACTAACTAATAATTATTTAGTGGAGGTAATTTGGTTTAAATAGTAAAAGCTGCAATTTAACATAACAATAGTTTTGAATACATTTAGGGCAACATTTAAGAATCTAAAAATATTAACTAACTTATAAAACAGTGCTTAGCATAAAACCCTTCATAGAGACTAAGCATAAATTAAGTAGTCAATTTTTTAATTGAAATATATGAAAGGGTTAAAAGTAAAAAAAGCAAAAGTTACAAATGTCCTAAAGCAATTCAAGATGAAAATGAACGTAATTCTTCAGTAATTATATAAGATTCTTTACTTGAAAATTAAAAGTATTAATTAGTTAAAAATCCAGAATATAACTAAAATGGAGAGACATCTGTCTTTGAAGAAGACGATGTTTACATTATTGATTATAATGAAAAAGAAAATAATATCTTAAATAGTTAACTTAAAGATTTCTTAGAATAAAATAATTTCAAATTATAAAATGTTGATTACTAAAAATAAATAAAAATGGATTTTAGCAATACAATAAATTAAGCTTAACGAAATTAAGACTAAAATATTTAACTAATTTTAAATTTATTAGAAAATTCAATCACTCCTCGAGGATAAAAAAATAAAATTGAAAAAGATAAAAAAATGAAACAATACCAAGATTTGTAAAAAAATTGTTAAGAAATTTTAAATAAAAAAATGATAATTTCTGAAGGTAAAACTCTTTTATTAGCAAACAAACAATATGCTCTAAAATATGTTCAAAGTTAAGGCTTACAAAATTAAACTTACAATTAAGTAGTATTTACCAATAAAAATAATCAGTATGAATTATCAAAGAAAGAAGCAAATTTTGCTTATTCTTTTAATTTCTTAATAGCTGAAATTATTTTTTATGATAAAAATTAAGAAATAAGGTTTTAAGATTAATATCTAAATAGTTTTGAAAAATTAATCCATGAATTAAATCATGAAAATACAGAAGAATTATTGGAATTAGTTAAGGAAATAAATAGGACAGAAAATACTTCTTTGGAGAAATTATTAAAATTATTTTAAATTTGTGAAAACCATGTAGATTTACTCTAAAATATTGATGTAAGATCTTTTATAAGTAGCTAATAAAATTCTTCACAAAATTTTAGTCTGAAGGTATTTATAGAATAAAATGAAAATTCCCAGAATATTTTCACATAATTTCACAAAAATTTAATTACTAGTTCGAAAAGTGGTCCAAATATTATCAAATAAGATTAACCACTCTTACTATAAATATAAAATATCTTAAATAAATAACCATAGAAAACTTTGGATGAAGAATAAAAAAAGTTAATTAAATAGCTTTAGACATTTTATTCAGTTGAAACTCCATCTTCTTTTTGATTTATCAAACAAATGAAAATAAATACAAGGAATTTTCAAAAACTTAAAAAATAGTTAATTAGATTTAATAGAAAAATTTATAAAATTTAATCAGTAACGATAAATTATTTAATCAAAAAAATTAAATTCATGTTTCCTTCTTTTTTTAAAAAAAGAATACTTAAACCAGTTTCTTCCAATCGAAATAACTTTATTAAATAATTGATTTTGATGCTATTCACCATACATCATCCTTTATATTTCTAACTTTTAAGTTAGAATAAACTAAGAATGAACAATTAATTTTTCATTTTTATAAAAAAAATATTAGATTTTACTATTTTTTCTTAGTAAAAAAATTGTCAAATTAATAAATGATCGATTTGATTGATTAATTATCAATCTATTATCACAAATTATAATTGATAAACTATTTTGAATTTTACATTTTTCTCCTACTTGTAAATTCTTCTATATCTTTAAAATTAAATTATTACAGTTCTTTGTACTATTCAAGATTAAAGAGTATTTATTTTAACATCATGATAGAGTATAATGAAAAGTTTTGTAAGCTGATGATGGTATCAACTTCAAAGATTTATTTTAATCTATTAATTATTTAAATAACTAATTTCTTTGAGTAGTATTAAATATAATATTAGCTAGATTTTAGTTTTTAATAAGGCATACAAAATTATCACAACTTTTCGTAGGTGAGGTTGAGGTTCTATTTTAAAAAAATAATTTAAATGAAACTCATGATTGTTCGTTCACTTCAAGCACTCTATTTTATTGCAAATTAGTAAAAAAGTTAAAAATGATGTTTTTGATAAAAATTCTTTGATTTATTCTGGTAGATTTTAAGATTTGTATGATTTGCCCCCACCGCACAATATCTAATTTAACATTTTTTCATGTATTAGCTACACGAATTTTATTTACTTGCTCTTGTTAGCATTTATTATTTATTTGAATTGATTTGGTTTTGATAGAGTTTTTGCTTCTAAATCAGATAAGTAATTAAATAATTTATGAGTAATAATAATAATTATTAAAATTTTAAGCACCTATAGATAAATTTGATTTTCGACAATTAGCAGAATTTATAGGTTTATAAAAAACAGATATGAAATCAGGAACAAATAACAATTAAGAATATTATTAGATTATATATGGATAGTAGAGGAATTACAGAGTTAAAGGTGTACTTGGTCATGGAGCGATTAGCGAAGTTCTAATAGGGAGTATATGTAACGAAGAGGATCCATTTAATGAGCAGGATGTGGCAATTAAAGTTTTAAAAAATACTACTTTTATAGGTAATTTACATTCATTTGTTGATTAGTTTTAAAATTATTTAAAAGCAAAAATGAAATGTAATGTACAATATAACTATTGAGCAATCCAAGTAACTATTAAATTTGCATGATAAGTGATTAGATGGGCATTTTTTTATAAAATTTAAGCTCACAGATGCTATTTTGGATGCTGTTAGAGCATTTATACATTTTTGAATTTTCAAAAATGTTTATTTATTCAGTAGTTATTTATGATAAGAATATAGAATAAATATATATGAGTAGAATCGCAAAAAAAAAAAACACATAGCTAATAACTAAAATCTATATTTTAAAAAGGTAATTAAGAGAATAAATACTTTTTTCAGGAGAAGGATATTGTGCATAAATTGAGTACATAGAGGGACGATCACATAGTTAATATTATAGAAGTAATTGAGACAAATGATACATATTATATTGTAATGGAATATTGTGAAAATGGCAGTCTGTTAGATTAGATTTATTTAGAAATTCCAAACAGACTAAAGGTCGTTGTCAATTTTTCAACTCAATTAACGAAAGGTATTACCTTCCTTCACGCTCATGGAATTGCACATAGAGATTTAAAACCAGAGAATATATTTATCCATGAAAAAGATGGTTAATATATTCTGAAGATAGGCGATTATGGATTAGGAAAAAATGAAGAGATATATATGATGCATTCCTGTATCGGAACCATTAATTATATGGCGCCAGAGATGATAAGAAAGTAAGAATATGACTTTACTGTAGACATTTGGGCTCTTGGATGCATCATGCATGAGCTTATTACTGGTGAGTAGCTTTTTGCAGATTTTACAATAGCTGAGATATCTAACCAGATTAGAAGTATGGAAGAATATCGCTGCATTGAAGGAAACTTTGGCAATTTAATATCAAGATGTCTTTAGCCAATAGCATCAAATAGAATTAAAGTAAATGATCTTTATATTGAATTGTATCACTTATACGAAGACATAGCCAATCAAAGAAAAGATATAGTCCATAGGGTTGTTTATAAAAATTACAGAGAGTAATAAAATCAACAAAATTAATCATAAACCTAAACAAGTTGTAATAATAACTAAGGTAATACTTAAATGATAGTGAGTTAGATATTTGCAAATTCTTAAGAATACTTTAACACGAATGAAATTTAAGAATTTGTTACTGAAAATTCAAACGACCCTCAGCTAACTTTATCAATAAATAAGGATTTCTTGAATATAGGAGCTCCAATGACACCAAGCAATAACAATATTAATTTTCAAAACACTCCTTCCCAAATTAATAACAATAGTTAAAATAACAATCGCAATACTTTCTTTAAAGATATTTTCAACAACAAATAAGCTATAGAAAGCAACGAAAATATATCATAAAGCAACATTTAAAAACTAGAAGATGGAAATAATTCCAACACTGGCTAAGCATATTCGATAGAAAATGAAAACTCTAGCCACTTTAATTAAGGTTAATTGTAACTTAATTAGTCAGAAAGTAATTTAGACCCGAGATACCTAGATCTTAATCGAACTTAAAATTATAACTTTTATCAAGATAAAGATACTTAGCAGGCTCTCCGTAAAAAAGCTCAATACAATAAAAAAAAGGGGAAAACTCATAAAATTAAAAAGTACAAAGAAATATTGAACAATTTAAATTTGAAGCATGCAGATTCAGTAACATTTTTAGCTTAAGAATCTCCTTCTACTAGTAAATCAAATAAAATTACTTTAGAAAATAAATTTGATCAAACAAATCTGCAATAGTAAGTATAGTAGGGTTTTTCATTTTTAACTCCAAATCTACCTCTAGTAATATCTCCGACATAAAATTAATAAATTTAATTTAAATAGTAAAATTAAATAAATATATAAAATGAATTAAATTAATAAGCAATCCCATCATAAAACTAGCATAATTTTTAATAACCTTAATAATAAAATATGACAAACTTATAATCATTAAATCCTAATTTATAGCAATAATAGCTCTTATAACCATAAAATAATTAATAAAAAGAATAGTCATTTTTATAAAAAAATCAATCATTTAGCAATTTATAAGTGTAAAATGTCCAACACCAATAGTAATAATATACAAAGCCTAGCATTAATCAACCATAATATTTATCACCTAACAATAATCATTAATTATATGCTTAACCTAATAATAATTAGTAATAATATGCATAACCTAGTAATAATTAATAATAATATTCATAACCTAATAATTAATAGTAGTATGCATAAACTAATAATAACAAACATCAATATTTATAAACTAATAATAATTAATAGCAGTAGTATTAACAACCTAACAATAACTAATAGCAATATACATAAACTACTAACAATCTATAATAGGGTATAAATATATAGCAACATTAATAGCTTTAATAATAATAGTAAACTTATCAGCAATAGCAAGGCGGCTACCAAATAGATTAAAAAAATTAATATTAAGAAAGATAGCAAATTCCTGGGTAAGATTTTTAGCATTAGATATAAAATTAATATCCTCACTAATACTAGGTACAGTAATATTAGTAAACATAAAATTAATTTTAAGTTTAGCAATAATATTAGCCATAATAATAAATAGGATAACACCAATAATAGGCTTAAAATTAAAATCTAAAACCTCACCAATAACTTTTTACAAATAATCAAAACATTTAAAATTAATTTTAATAAATACAAAACTAATAAGATAATAAATAATTTTAGTTTTAATAATATTAATCACAATACCCTCAAATATAGAATACGAATGTTTAACCAATTTAGTAAGGGTAAAAAAAAATTAATGAAAGTTCTAACAATGGAAATGGCGGTCAGGATTACTGTTAATAGTAAAATTTAGTTAATTAACCATTTTAAGTCTAATATTAATAAGGATAAAGCAATAATTAATATTAAAATATGTAAAAGCATTTTTAAGATTACTAAAACCAACAAAATAATTAAAACCAGACAAATAAATAATAAATTTAAATGGTTCAAAACTAGTAGAATTTGTAGGCCTAACCTCAACTTAAATAACAATTTTAGCACCCAAACTAAAATTAATTTGGTTGTGCTAATTAATAAATTTTAGATAATGCATCATAATAATAGTAGTAGCAAACCTAGAATTAGTAAAACCCTTTCTTATAGAGACAAAATCTTATGAAAATATAAAACTAGCCAGGTGTTGTTTCTCATTAAGAATAAAACTATAATTAATCTAGCCATGTAAAGATAGAAATACCATAGAGTAGTTCAAATAATAGCAACTTTAGTTTTAACTAAAACAATAATATTTCAAGCAATAGTATGAATAATAATACTTAAAATTATAACAATGGAAATTTTTAAAATAGAGTAAATCAAACTAATGGCGCTTACTAACCAAATAATTCTCCAAATTAAAATAGACTGATTTAAAATTATGAACAAATGAAACAAAGCCACTCTAATAAAGAAATATATTCAAATAAATAACAGGAAAAGTAATAATAAAATAATTAGTAGTACTTCAACAAAGATCATATAAGTAACAGTGTAAATAGGAATTATGCTGATAGTCCTTATAACAAAGATTAGCTAAATAGAAATTATGGTGAGGACTCATACTAATATTAGCATATAAACACTCTTAACGGTAACAACGGCACCCTTGCAAACAAAGATAATAATTAATATGCCTATGGTTAGAATGAATAGACAAATATTTAGTTTGAAAGGTTAAGTATTTAAAATAATAGAGGTTCTTCAATAAATTCTAATTTTTTATCTAGCAGTAATAATGATAATTAAGAAAATTAACAGTACCTACTTGAAAACGAAACATACAAAAGTAATTCTTATTAGAATTAATATGATTCTTATACTTAAAAATAAGAAACACAATCATACTATTTTTAGATGCAAAACGGAAATAATCAATATAATTATATCCCTTAGCAAGGAGAATAGATTTATAACAGGCCTTGAAGATTTATTTCAACATATATACATAAAAAATTTATAATATAAAATAAATTATATTTTTTTAAAAATATTTTGATTTATCAATTACCTTATATAATAGTTTAAATAATGTTTATTTAAATAATAACATTTTAATTTATTAAGTTTTTATTTTACTAATAGATTCACGCTCTAACACTTCTTAAATTATTTTATAAATTTATTTACACTTTTTATTTCCTTATAAATTTAATAATAATTCTTCGAATTACTTTTAAAAAATAATACATAAAAATTTATATATTTTATCTTTAAATAGTTTAAATTAAAATATTTTTTAATTTTCTATAAAAATTTTATTTTTAATTTAGCAAAAAATTTATAAATAATCAATCATACACTTAAGTACCCCTGATAAAAATTTAGGAATTAGAAAAATTATATTTATTTTGGGTATTTGTCTATCTTTTATGTTTATTTAAATTAAATATAATTTTAATAGAGACAATCTAAATATTATTCTTTTAAGAATGTAAAATAATAAACTTTATTATAATTTCTGCTTAAAAAATAATTTAATTTCCAAATTTTATTAATTCATTTGATTTAAATATTTTATAATAAAATCTTATTTAAAAAATAGCTGAAACTTGTATCAATTAACAAATCTTATGAAATGTAAAGACTTTTTATTTAGAAGGTTTTCTAGGTAGTATTTATTTTTAATTTTTATATGTAAGGCTGCAAATATTAAATATTTATCATTTAGTTTATTTGGATGAAAATTTTAATATCATATGAAGAACTATTTTTATGTTATAATTTTATTTAATTTAATATAAATTATTGAGTTCATTTATAGGTAGTTTCTTTCTAGGCTAACCAATTTTTTAAAATGTAAAATTATTTTTTTTGAGATTTTAACTTTTGATAGCTAGAATTATTATTATCACAATTAGTTTGAAATATGTATTCAGAAAAATATAAATATCTTATGGCAAAATATCATAAATTAGAAATTAGGAAAATGATTGTTTTTATTTTTTATTAACTTTTAAAATTGAGAAGTTATAAATATATTATGAGCAAATAATAATACTTATTATATAAATGGTTTACTTTTTTTTTTACTAGGAGACATTTTAGTTGATTATTTTTATATCAATAATAAAATAAAAATATTAATACTATTTTTTTGCTTTTATTAAGATATCTTATAGAAGTATAAATTAAAATTGCGTCAGAGTTATAAGATTGTATAAAGAAGACTTTTGAGATGTGACTATGAAATTAATCAACACAAAATCAATCTGATGATGGGATATGTATACCAAATTATTATTTTAACAATTATTGGATATTTCAAGCATCATAAATAAAAAACCTGAGACCATCAATAAAGAATTTTAATTAAAATCAAATATTGAAATAAAAAATCTAAAGCCATTAAAATATTATAAGTAAATAGGAATGTTGTGCATTTTGAACAGGGGATTAAAGTTAAAAATGACTTAAATGAAAAGACTTGCTTACTATAGCACTGAGTAAGTAAGCTTTGATTTCAATGAAATTTTAGATGAAAATCTTGATTTGAATGAGCGTATTAAAACTGCATTTGGACCTGAAGGAACTGGTATTTGCACTATTAAAAATGTCCCTAATTACAAAAGAGCAAGATAAAATCTTCTTAATTTAAGCTATCAACTCGCTAATCTTCCTTAAGAAGAAAAAGCTAAGTTAGATAGACCTGAAGTTAAATGGTCTAGAGGTTGGTAAGAAAGTAAAGAGCATTTTGGTAATAAGAATGACAAATTGAAAAGCGCTTTTATTGCACTCCCACTTAGAGAGGAAGAAACTCATTTGACCTAAACTTAATAGCAAGTTCTTGGAGATGCAGCTTCAAAGTTATACTAAAGTGGAAATGTATGGCCCGAAGGCCCTCTTCCTACTTTTAAGCCTCACTTTAAACTTTTAAGTAATATTATGGTTGATACCTCATTCCTTTTAGCTAAGCATATTGATAAGTATGTGAGTCAAGTTATGACTTCTTATAAAAGAGATACTCTTTATAACTTGATTAAGAATAATAAAGATCATGTAGGTAGACTTAATTATTACAAATCCTCTACTGATCCTATTACTCGTGAGGATGATTGGAATTCTTGGCACACAGATTATTCTGCTCTTTCAGGTAATAAAATTGAATTTTTAAAAAATATTTATTTAGGTGAGAATTACAAAAATAAAAATTTAAAATAGACTTTTAAAGATTCTGCATTTTTTTATCTTATTAAGAAATTTTTTAAAATGTAGAGCATTTTATTCTTTCAAAAAGGGAATAAAATTAAAATGCTAAATAGAATAAAATATAGATTTCTAACTTATTTTTATCCAAAATGATGATCGAATTTAAAATAACATAATTTTTTTGATATTTTTAATATAATTTTTAATTGTAAAAGCTCTTACTCCTGCTATATACATCACCCATGATGGCTATCCTGTAACTTTTGATGATAGAAAGACTGGACTTTTCTTTAAAAATAGATGGGGTGAAAAAGAACATATTAGTGCTGATAAAGACTCTATTATTTTCTAAATTGGTGAATCTATGTAAATTTTATCTGGTGGTGTGTTAGAAGCTACCCCTTATTGTGTCTCACGTTCCAAAAAATCATAAGATCTTGGATTAAATCGTGCTACATTCTAACTTTACTTAGTTCCTCCACCTGAATATAAATTATTCACCCCCTCAGGTATTGATGAAAGATATGCATATGGAAGATAAATAGATCAAGTTCCTCACATTACAAAGCGTTGGAATTAAGGTATTCCATTTGCAACTTTCTAACAAAAAACTATTTAAGAATATCGTATTTGAATTTAATTGGAGATAAAATTATGTGTTAAAGTATTTCTAAATAAATTACTTGTTAAATTCTAATTACTATTTTTTATTATTTCAAAATATAATAACAATCAATTGACTAGCTTATTTATATTTGTATATAAAATTACTAAATGTGTTTTTTAAAATTAATAAAATTCAAATAAATTTTTTTTTTTAATTTAATAATTTCAATAAAAAGAACATCGTCGTTTTTTATAAAAAACTAATTTTATTTAATATTCTTATTATTTTGAAATAAATTTATTTGTTTATTCTTTATTAAATTTATATAATTTTTTTTAAATATGTAAATTAATACAAATTCAATAATTAAAAAAACAAAAATTAGTTTAGTTTACAAAAATGTAAATGTTTTAAATCAAAAGAATTGAATAAAAAATTTGAAAATTAGTTGATATTATGATTAACATATTTTTATGTAAATTAATAATATTTATTTAATGATACCAAATTATTCATTTAAATTTCCCCTATTTTGATCAAAAATTTTTAATTTGTGTGTTAATTGATGTATTGAAATTTAATTTTAAAAAAACATAAAGATAGATAATAATATTCTTAAATACAATTTTTTATTTTTTTATTTCAAAGTTTTACTAATTTAGTTGATAAATCCCACAATTTTTATGCATTTTCTTCGGTTATACACTTGTTTCCAAAATTTTATTTCTTGCAATCAGAATAATAGGCACCTTTAACAAGTTTATCGAAGTCTTCATGTATACAATATAAAGTGGTTTGAGCACCTTGATTTGGAGATTTAGAAAATAAATAGAATAATGGATAGGCTAAAGTATATAAAACCCTAAAAAGTGGATTTTAATTCCTTGATATATCTGTCCTTACAGTTCCAGGATGAAGACTCACAGAAATTCCATTTAGTTTTTGTTGATCTATCCTCTTTTACAAGTTAATAGTAAATAGAATGTTAGCTATTTTACTTTGTGCATAGGCTTCAAATTATTTGTAAGATCTTTTTTCAAAATGCAAGTCATCAAAGTCTATTGTTGAAAAAGTATGAGCTAAAGAAGAAACATTTATAACTCTAAATTAAGGAGCAGCTTTTAGTTGATCCATAAGAAGATTAGTCAAAAGAAAGTGTCCAAAGTGATTTGTACCTATCTATGTTTCGAAACCATCTTTAGTTAAATTACGCTCAGGTAATATAATAGCTGCGTTGTTTATCAACAAATCTAATTTGTTGTATTTACTTTTAAACTCGTTTACAAATAGACGTACAGAAGAAAGATCACCAAGATCTAATCTAATGAATTCAGCTTAGTTAGGGCATAGTTGGTTAATAGATTCTAAAGCAGGCTAAGTTCTCTTTTAATCTCTGCACGCTAAAATTACTTTAGCTCCATTAAGTGCACAGTCTTTAGCAGTTTCAAATCCAATACCTGTATTAGAACCAGTAACAATAACAATTTAACCAGAAAGATTTCTGAATTTTTTATTAGCCCTAGTTTTAATGTAAAAACTTAGTAATAGCAAGATTGCAAAAATAAATCCAAATGCTAAAATAAAGATTTATGAGTAAGTTAAATTTTGAAAATCTAAATTCATATTTGAATATAAGCCTCTGTATAATTTAATTGAAATTTAATCATTATATTATTTTATTTTTTAGATTAAATTTTAAAATGTAAGAATGGAACATTTAAAGAAATTTTCAAAGTGTAAGATAGATAAATAACGAATTATTCTAGAAAAAATATTGAAATTATTTATTCTGGTGTTTTTAAAGAAAATTTATAAAATGAAAACAAATATAAGCAAATAAATCTTTCTACTATTTCTCTTTTAAAGAATAAATATTTAAAATATAATAAAACTAGAATAATTTATAAATTTAACTTTAAATAAACTTTTACAGTCTGTCTAAAAATTGTTTATTCTTATTGATGTGATTTTATGTTTTTATTTTAAAAACAAAATTTTATATTTGACAATAAATTTTTAATAAAAATTTGATGAGTTATTTGTGAAATTTAATTGTTTTTATTTTTGACTTAATTTTTTCAAAGATTTTGTTTGTATTTGAATACAAACTATTTTGATTTATAAGAAAAAGCCATAAATTTTTTTTAAATCTTGTTTAGTTTTTTAATTACTTGGATTAGTGTTTTTTCAGAAACTAACAAAAATGGATTTATTTGGTTAAAATTCTATAAAATATTTTTATGATTTGATTTATTTTTTTAGACAAAATTGAAAAGTGATTAAAAAATACAGTTTCTACATAAACAAGTTCTACAAAAAATAAAACAAGATTATTTCATTATAACAATTAAATCACAATTTTAATTATTTTAAAGAGATGTCCCAAAATCTCTCAGCATTTTCTTCAGTAATTTATTTGTTACCATATTTTTTAGTCTTACAGTCAGAATAATAGCCACCTTTAACTAGTTTATCAAAGTTTTCATGAACACAATATAAAGTTGTTTATGCTCCTTATTCTGGAGATTTAGATAAGAGATACCACAAAGGAGAAATTAAAAATTTCATAAATCCTAAAATACCAGTGTAATGTCTTGTTAATTCAGTTCTTACTACACCAGGATGAAGACTTACTGCAATACCGTTCAACTTTTATTGGGTAATTCTTTTTTACAATGCAATTGTAAAGAGAATGTTGGCAATCTTGCTTTAAGAATAAGCTGAGTTACGGTCATAGGCTCTTTTTTCGTAATGGAGATCATCGAAGTTCATAGATCCAAAGCTATGTGCAAGAGAAGAAAGATTAATGACTCTAAATTAAGGAGATGCTTTTAAGCTATCCATCAAAAGGTGAGTAAGAAGGAAATGACCAAAATGGTTTGTACCAATTTAACTTTCAAAGCCGTCTTTTGTTAAAACTCTATTTGGTATGTGCATTATACCAGCATTATTAATGAGGATATCTAGTTTATTGTATTTACTCTTAAATTCATTAACAAACAAACGAACTGATGAAAGATCACTTAAATCCAATCTCATAAATTCAGCTGAATTAGGCTTAATTGAATTAATTAAATCTAGAGCATTTTAAGTTCTCTTTTAATCTCTGCAAGCAAGTATGACTTTAGCTCCATTTTAAACACAGTTCTTAGCAGTTTCTAATCCAATACCAGTATTTGAGCCTGTAATGATAACCAATTAATTGCTTAAATCTCTTTTCTTGTTATTAACAGAGCCATTAGACCATATCTTAATAAAGACTAATGCTAAAGCAGCAACTCCAAAAATAGCTGCATTATTAACAGTTAAATAGCTACTTATCAAACTAGTATTCATTTTTTATTACTAAAATTTATTTACTTAATTATTAAATTAAAAATTTATTATAATCAGATATTTTTGTTGGCGAATTTAAATTTAGAGTTTACAATATCTTACATTAAGATATCTTTTATCTGAGTGTAAGATTGCTTTAATAAGAAATTATTAGAAATATTCTAAATTCTTAATAGAAAAATAGTTGTTTATAATTTATACGTATTTTTATATCCAATAAAAAGGAGTAAACTTGCATCGATATATTTATTTATTTAAAATTATAAAGGAATAATATTTTAATATTACTATTAAAAAATTAATTTATACATTAAATAAATTATATAAATTATTGATTTATTTATTAATTTCTAATTTTTGTTTCTATTTTTAGAAAAGCTTTAAAGTTTTTCTTGATTTGTTTTACTTTTTATAAAGGTTGCTATTATTATCAGGAAGATATATTTGTTTTTAAATTTTCCCTTTAAACGCTTGAATTAATTATTTAATTTCTGATAACAAAAATTTGAGAAATAAAAATTGATTTAATTACATAATAAATTATAATTTTTAGGGATTCCTTATAAATTATTTCTATACTTTTATGTAAATATATTTATAAATACAATCTAAATAAATAACAAGGATATTTTCATTTATATATAAATTTTACTAATCATAACCCAAATATTTTCATAGATAAATTCCATAAGATATCTGCATTTTCAGGAGTAATGCAATTATTCAATCTTTTTTACTTTTGACAGTCAGAATAATAGGCTCCTTTTTCTAGTTTAAAATAATTTTAGTGAATGCAATACAATGTAGTTTAAGCACCTTCAAATGAGTTGTTATATATAAAATTGAAAAGAGGAGAAATTAGCTTAAACAAGACTTTAGTTAGACCTCTTAAATGCCTAAATAAATTAGTTTGAACTATTCCAGGATGTAAAGAAACACTTAAGCCAGATAGTTTTTGATCATCAAATTTTTTTTATAAAGAAATTGTAAATAATATATTTGCAATTTTACTTTAGAAATAAGCAAGCATTCCATGATAAAATCTTTTAGAAAAATGTAAATCTTAAAAATCAATAGTCCCAGCTAAATGAGCCACAGAGGAAACATTTATTACCCTGAATTAAGATGATAACTTCAAATGATCTAATAAAAGTTGGGTGAGAAGGAAATGACCAAAATAATTTACTCCAATAGTTTATTCAAATCCTTCCTTAGTAAGGCAGCGATTAGGGATAGCCATAACACCTGCATTATTTACAAGGATATCTAATTTTGAATATTTTTTTTTAAAGATATTAGCAAATTAGCGGATAGAAGAACTATCAGATAAGTCTAGTTTAATAAATTCTGTTGATTTTTTTTTTATTGAATTAAGCTATAGACAAGATTGCTATGCAGTAATTTCATCTCTACAAGCTAAAACAACTTTTGCTCCATGCTAAACACAATTTTTAGCTGTTTCAAACCCGATTCCTGAGTTGGCTCCAGTTATAACAATAATTTGGTTTGATAAATCTCTTGTTACATTATTTTTAATATTCTTACTTATTTTCCTTAATAAAAATATAGCCAAAACTATATAAATTGCATAAGCTGTATAATGAACCAAATAATATGGAATGAATTTAAATAATATCTCCATTTTAGATATTTATTAGATTATTTATATTTCAAATATTTTGATTAATATTAATTTAGAAATTGATTATTTGTTTTGGAATATGCATTTCTGATTTTCATAAAAATAAGCGTATATTATTTTTTTAATATCTAACATACTAAAAACTGTTATATTATATATCTATTTACATGGAAAAACATTCTAATGTACAAGATATTAAACAATAGAAAACAATGTATAAAATACATAAAATTATTTAAAAGTTATTTGTTTTTTTATTTATTTTATACAAACAAATCAATGATGCTCATTTCATTTTTTTTATATCTATGTCTTAGGATATAGCAATATTGTAGTAGTTAATAAAAAAACCTTTAATAAAAATCATAGGGTTTTGTAAATTATGTAAAGACTTAAATGTAATAGTAACAAATCCAATAGTAAGAATCAATACTAGAAATACTAACATACCGCTCAAAATTCTATAGGGATAAGACATCGGTAGATAGTTTTTTAGGTAATCAAATATTAGGTAATCAAAAATATTAAACTTAAGTAAGTAGGTTTAAGCTAGATCAGTTAAGACAAATCTAATTAATATCATCATGATATCACTGTATATTTTAACAAAAAGCTTGTAAGCTTTGTTGTTATTTATTTAATCTTAGTCTTCTTAGTCTTAAACCTATTTTTAGTTTTCAAACGCGATATCCATTTAAGAGTTTACAATTTCTATATTTTTTAATAATAACTTAATTAATTTGTATCAATGATTGATCAATTGATTTTAAATATTCAAATTTATTAAAAATTTCTTCTTATCAAAGATATTAAAGATACAAAATGTTCAATTATTAAATATAAAATTAGCTATTATCTGTAATTATAGAGATGTTAATATTTAAAAAATATAAAATAATTATAATTAATTAATAAATAAATTAAATTTATAAAATATAAATACTACTATAAGAAATTTTAAAAGAAATATTAATTAAAAAATTAAATTAATAAATATCTAAAAAAGATAAAAATCATACATAATCTTAATTAATTATTCAAAAACAAACTTTGATTTTTTAAGAATAAAATCTTTATTAAATTTTTAAAAACATTGCAAAATATATTTAGGGTAGGTAGGGATATTTAATAAAGGAGATTATATATTATAAGTTAGTAAAGTGTGATGAAGCTTTTAGCTAAGAATAATAATGTCTTAAATCAAGTGCCAATTAAGTTGAAATTGTTTAAAAGTAGTAATCTAGTAAAGTAGAAATTAACTATTTTAAATGAAATTTCTAATGACTTATGCCAAATTATAGACACTTCTAATATCTTATACTACAGTAAGATGTATAGCCAACAAAAAACTATTTTTAAGGAAATAATAGAGAAAATCCAGCATTAATTTAATTATTTAAACTCTGATACTCAGATTTACAATTAATCTCTCTACATGTATTATCTTGAAGGTTAAGATTATTTAGATTTAGATATTAATGATAATTAATCACCTTTAGGCAAACAATTAGTGTAAAAATTACAAAATTAAATGAAAAATGGTGAAAAAGTAAACAACTTAGATGATTAAGACGTCTAGTTTTTAAAGATGTTAATAAACGACTATGAATTAAGATATTTTATCAATAAAACAGAAAATGAAAGGGAACGTTTGCAAGGACTTTTAATGATTGAACAATTAATTCTTCAATAATTAAGAGCCTCATAAGCTAAAAATAAAAAAGTATTACAGATAAAAAGAGAAAAGACCTACTCTTTTGAAATATTCCCTGATTTTTATATGGGCTATTTCTCTTCAATGAATCGCTCTACAGATATGATTAGTTTGGATTTACCATCTTAAATACAAGCATAATTGCTAAAACTATGCTCAGATCCTAAATTAAGGTCTTAAATTTTTAATGACTTTTTAGAAACAAATAAATCAAATGAAACTCTACTTAACTAATTGATGGAAGTAAGATTATAATTTGCTAATTAATTAGGATTTGAAGATTTTTAGCATTATTCTTTGGCATTGAATTCAAAATTTTTCCATTTTACAAGAAATACATCTTTAAAATAAATGCTCAACTCTGTAAACTAATAGAAATAAGGATTTAACATTAAAGATAATAGCAACAATTTAAATAACGATTTAATCAACTAAACGAGAGATATTAAAATAATAATTTAAAGAATATTGAACGCTTCTGTTGAAAGATGTCATAAAAGATTAGAAACTTTGCTTTCTGATCCTTTATTATACAAAAGTCTTTAGGAGAAAGCTAAAATTAAAAATACAAGTGAATAATAATAGTGTTAGCTTGAATATTAAGATTTTCTTTACTTAAGATAAAATATTTTAGGCACTCCTTCAAATAATTTTACTCTTACATGGTAGTAAGCTTTTAACCTTTTAAATTAGGTTTCATAAAGATTTTTAAATGTTGAATTCAAAGAGTGTTAAGCACCAAAAAACCATTTCTTTAACAGAGTTTGTGACAACAGTAAAGAAGAACTTTCTAATTTATCAGAAGTTCATTCATCTGATGCATTCAAATAAAGTGGCACTTAAGACCAGCAATAAAAAAATACCTAAGTTGATGAGAAAAATATAAAATGCTTTGAATTATTTTTAAAAGAAAAAAATGGAAATTAGAAATTGAAAGGAGTTGTGTTTTTAGATTTTAATGCATACGAAGATGCAAAAACATGTTTTAGCTCAGGATATTGTGAAATAAATAAATATGTATAACTTCCTTGCTTATTAGTTAGAATGAATTTCAAAGTTTTAGATAATAAAACTGAAATGACATTTGATAATTTTTAAACTTTTATGCATGAAATTGGCCACTCACTTCATAGTGTTCTCAATCATCACCGCTATTAACTATATGCTAATAACTTTAAGATAGATTATGCAGAAATATGTGCAAAAGTTTTTGAAAATTTAATATTTCTTCTTCCATAGAATGCTGCTCCTAAATCTTCTGCAACATCTAAAGAAGAACAATAAAAACCTGATCTCTCTACAGAGTTTATCTTTTAGAAGCCATTTTAATAATATATAGAAATTTTTAGAATTGTAAGCTAGTTAGAACAAATCTATTAGGCTAAACTTGATCTTTTCCTTCACGAAAAGCATCCAGAGAATTCAATTACATTAAAAGAATTCAGCTCTTTAATCTAAAAAAACATCTTTAAGAATTTAATTCCAAATAATGATAATTATTGGTTTTGCAACTTATCTCATCTCGAGGAGTATTCTGGACTTTACTTTTCATATGCTGTTGGTGAAGAAGTGTTCAACGAACTATAAGATAGGAATGATTCCTTGCAAGATCAATAATAATTTATTTAAAATTTATTTACATCAGCTCATCAATGAGCTTTAATCAATACAAAATATTTATAAAATCTATGTTTATTTTTACAACTTAAATTATAATTTATAAATTACAAATAAACTCATCACTAAAATTATTTTAAATTTAAGATTGCATAATAATTTATTATTTTGAATAGTTTTTATTTTTAAAATCAAAAATGATATTAGCAATCTATCTTGTTGAATCACTAAAACATGCTTTAATTTTAAAAAAAAAAATTAATGAATTTTTAAAATTAATTTACAATTTTTAAAAAGCTAACCAAAATCTAATAAAAAAATAAATCAAAAGTTATTTTTATTAATAAAAGCAGATAAATAGAAAGCAATTTCAAAATTTAATATCATATATTGAAACGAAAAATTTAGTTTATTTGTAATTATATTTTTCAATAAAATATCTCAAAATTTTAATACAAAAAATTAATTTAACATAATAGAAATAAATAAATGTCTGAAGTTGAAGAAACCCTTAATAGAATCAAAACCCATAAATCAGTTTAAGGAATTGTTATCGTTAATAATGAAGGTAATATTATCAGAACCACATATGAAGGAGATTAAAAAAGTTTAGGTGAAAAGATTGCCATTAACATACCTTAATTGGCAGCTAAGGCAAAATCTACTGTCAGAGATCTTGATGAGAATAATCATTTAGTATTTCTGAGAATTAAATCTGATCGTAACGAAATAATGGTTGCCCCTGATAAAGATTTTATGCTTATAGTTGTTTAAGGTAAAAGTGATAAAAAGGAAGATGCTGATTGAAGCTTAATTTTAATCTTTCTTAACTTAAGTAATATTATAATTAATTGGCGAAATAAAAATTTAAATCCAAAATATCCTAAAATGTCAATTTAACAAGTGTTTTTTTGATTTACATATAATAAATAGCTTACATTTTTGTATTAGTATTTCTACTATATTATTTTGAACTAATTAATTATTAATTTATTATCCAAGAAATATCTGTTTTTTTAAAATTTAGCATAATATTCTGAATTTCTTTAGAGACACTACCTTTTTTCTTAATTATTCATAAACAGTTTATAAACATTAGCCTTTTCTTTATATTTAAAACAATCCAATCCAAACCAATCCAATACTACTTTCATACAAATAGACATGAAAATGTATTTCAATATTTATTTGTAAATATAATCTTTTATGATAGTTTTACAATAATATCTCAACATATATTTACAATTCTTAATATCAATTAATAATATAAACAATTTTATGGCATTTTAATATTTACAAGATTTTTATTTATTTTGTGTTTTTTTCAGTCCATCAACATTTAGGACAATTTAGCTTTTGCTTGTGTATTAAAATATCACATTCCCTATAAAATTTAGTTAAAAAATTGTTAAAAAGTTGCTTGTGTGAATAAAACAATTAATTTACAAGCAGAATATTGATTTACAATTTTAACATTTTGAGAAGTAATCTTCTTTAATATCTTCAGAGCATCCATTACAAAGGATATTTTATGTTTTATCTTACTCGGTTTCCATACTATTATTAGATTTTTCTTGTCCTAACAATTCGAATTCTTTTAAATTTTAACTAAAATGATAGCTCTTTGTGATATGCAAAGGAAGAATTAAATTTAATTGGCATCCCTTATTAGTAAATTTAATAAAAACTTGTAAATTTTTAAAAATTCTAAAAAATTAGTTACTGAACATTTTGAAGGAACTTCACAGTTTTTACTTTTGCATTAAGGGCAAATGTAAAAGTTAGTTTTTAACTCCATATGGCAAGCACATAATACAGAAATTTTAGAATATTTTTTATTAGGGAAACCAACTTGTATAAGAGTTTTTTCAGTTTTATTTAATATTTATTATGGAGGTTCACAATAGCTGTTAAGTAAATTTTCATAATCTTTTTCATGTAAAGCTGTGTCATATTTACCTTATGTCTCTTTTGTCAATTTCTATTAAATATAGAGTTTTGCATGGTTTGTGCAATGTATAAATTTAAAATCTATTTACCTAAAATATGAATGTTTTTGCATTAAGTGATATAATATTAAAAGTTATTTTGCATTATTTGGCTTTATTTATTTATTCATTTATATCACCTTTATCTTTTGTTGAAGGTGTTGACTAAATTAGAACTACTTCTCTGAAAGCATATGGAGGTGCTTCAGCAAAAATATTAAAAGTTTCCTTTATTTTAAATGTTTTTTAGATAAAGATTTGGTCTTAAAAAATATTTTATTCACAAACATTCAAAAGAAATTTATAAATTTACATTTAAACATTCAAAAAGAGAAAAATCCTCCTTTTCATCAACTACAAGTTTTTCGATTGTTTTATCTAAAAGAGATATACTAGATGTAAATTCTTAAAGAGTTATACACTAGCCATTTTATGTTTTACCAATAGATAATACACTCAAAGGATTAGAATCAAAAAAGTTTTTTATGAAGTTCTAATTAATATTAAAAATAATATTAATTTTTTATAAATTAAAAATTTTGAATGCAATATTATTACCTTTAAGTAGATTTACGTTAGTCCTATTCTCGAAGGCTTGAAATCTACTCTTGTAGAAGATTAGGTTGTATCAACTATAATATATACAAATCTTAGGAGACTCTTTTTTGTTGTAGAGGTATATCCTTTATCGATGATTTTCTTTGTTTGTATTAAAGGATTTTCTTCTTTAATATTTAGTTTTTATTCTACGAAATCAATAATTGATCTTCTATCTGCTTCTTCAATATCCATTTTACTTTAAATTTTGTATTGCTAATTAATATTCTTATGTAATTTATATTAAGATTTTAATCTTTTTAATTATTTTGATGAGTTTAATTTGATTAAAATCTAACAAACATAAAAAGATACAATACTTTTTATATAAACAGTAATATAGTATGTAGCTAGATTGTCTAGAATTTTAAAAGAAATAGTTTTATGCGCTCTTTTAGTTTGTTTCTACTTTTCAAGTAAAATCTATTTTTTTAGTGTTAGTTACAAATTAAGTATTGAAAATTTTGCAAAAATTATTTTATGAAAAATTTATTTGTTTAATCAAATTTACCAAAATATTTTAAATTTCAAAAAAATAATATTAATTAAAAATTATTCTAATATTGAATTGAACTGATGGAAAACAAAAGATTTCAAAATTTATTATAAAAATTGTTTGAATTTTGATTATATTAAACAGAAAGAAAATTAATTTAAGGTATTTTTTTTTTTTATATTATTTGTAGATAAATCAAAGATAAATAAGCTTCAGTTAAAGATACAAATGGCTAGCAATGATAATTCCAAAATTAGTTAGAGTGCTCTTGCTGCTTTACAACGATATTGCCAATAAAATAATTATATACGCTGTGAAAAATTGAGCTAGAGTAAGTAAATTAATTAAAGCTTTTGAATTTGTATGATTGAAAATTTACAATTTTATTGAAAATTTGAAGAGTTTGTTTTTAATATTAACATTTAAAAAATAAATTATGAAGGTGGTTATGCATGGAACTAAAGAATTTTGTTCGTGAATAGCTAATATATAGCTTATTATAATGTTACTAAAAGCTTCGATGAAAATAAGTTTAAATAAAAAGTATTGTTAAGTAATTTAACTCAGCTAAGTCATCCCACAAGTGAAATATCTCTTTAAAGAGCAAAAAATTGTATTACAATAGTTTTTTAAACTAAATACTGCCAAAACTATAAGGTATTTTAAAAGATAATTTCTATTAATTCATTTTATTGACTTTGGTAGTTTAATATTTTTTTCTACTTTAGTTAACTTTTTTCAAATAAATAAGAGTAAAAGAAATTCAAATGAATCAGAAAATGATTAAGATATTGGGCATACACTTTGGATATTTAAATTTGATCCTAAGAAATATGATATATTTACAGAGTAAATCCCTAATTAATTCTAAAATTCCGAGCAGAACGAGGGTTAATAATAATATTAATAATAATAAAAATTGAATGCAAATTAAGATAGTAGCTTAATCATGTAGAATAATTAAAATATCTAGTAGCAGTATTAAATGTAATAATCAAGGTATGGATAACAATAAAATGCAAGCGTTGTAGCTAGCAGATATAAATAGAGTCCGTAATATTATTCGTTAATAAAATTATTTCATCTATAACATAGCTTTTTTAAAGTCAAAGATAGCAAGCAAATTTATAAAATGATAAGGAAAGTAAAAAGAAAAGAATGAGAATCAAATGGGATTACCGATATAACAATTTATGGGAAGAATACTACTCTGTTTTTATGGAAAATAAGAATAAATCGAATTATAATTTTGATTTAGATTTTGAAAATAAATTTGGTTTAAAGCTATTTGCTTTTATAGGGGAGTAATAAAGTATTTTATTGATAAATTATTAAAATAATAATACAATTTGGGAATAAAAATATAGGTTCAGAAAGCAAGCAGTTGAAAATGTTAGGAATATAATTCATGAGCTCATATTTCCTGTTAAACTTAGAAGATACTTAGAAGTTAAAAACAATCATCCTATGTACTAATTTAAGAATAGAAACGAAAGAGCATACTTAGTAGATGGAATTTTCATAAGAGTGGCTTAAATAGAGATATTTTCCAAGGAGTCCCTATAATTAAAAAAGAGAAGTGATTCATCTTAAAAAAATTAAATGAAAGATATCATCTCAGATACCCAAGAAAACAAATAAGTAAGCAGTTAATAGACTGAAATATACCGTAATTTAGAAACGAAGATGATTGCTCACGAATTCCGATCAAATGACATAATTGCAGATGCAATTCATTAATTTATTATGAGTTCTATTGAATCATTTGAGAAGACTAAGGATAACTAAGAAATCAAGGAAAAGGACCTCTTTTCTTTAAGGGTAAATTAATAAAAAATTAAATAAATATTTAATTTCCATTTAAATTATTTTTAAAAATCTAATTTTAAATAGATCCCATTAACATGCTAAATTGACTATTTAGGTTTTACATGCTTGTGCTCAACAGTTGCACCTTTACTTCTTGTATATATATAAAAATAATTTTTTCAACATCAAATAATTAGCTAATCAATAAATTCTATTATTTTTTCAAGCCTCTAAAGAAGAAGCAGATAAGATAACAAAATGAAGATGATTTAGAAAACTTGATAAGGTCTGAAAAAAACGCTAATAATCTTAGCTTAATTCATGGGTTAACGAGAAATGGTGTTTATTTAGAATATGAAAGCTAAAAACTAATTGATGATTTAGAGCTACTAGGAGATTGCTTAAAGCTTAAACCTTTTTAAATTAATGGTATTCGAGATAAGATTTCCAAATAAATTAATGTTTATATTTCTTTGCTTACAGAAGTTCATTGCCTAAAAAATAAAGATTTGATCTAGAGTGATATTAAAAACGAAGTAGAAGGAGAAACTAGGGATAAGAAACTTAAGAGATTAAAAATTCTTCATAGCAAATAGAAAAAAAGCGATAAAAGTGATATTTAAGAGCATAATAAATTTTATTTAATGAAAACTGCTACAACGTTCCCTTTATAAGTTGACGTTGACGGAGATAAGTAAAAAATGGATCTTTTTAAAAACAGACTAAGACCTGAATTTTTATCAATGATTCAATGCTCTTTATCTAATGGAGCGTTTTTAAATTCAAATAACTCAGTAAACACTGATGTAAAAAAAAATTATTACTTTTTTGCATCTCTATATTTTATTTTACTAAAAAAAAGTAAGATGACTTGCTTCTTGCTTCAGCTTGTCTCAAATTAATGAGTGATGGCATTAAAAATTTGGTAGAGGATCTTCAAAACATGGTTATCTAGCCAATAGGAACTGAATAACTTTCTTACTATTTTCATTTTTATGGAGTTAACATGAGACACCTTGGAAAGGTAGCTAGCAGAAGCAATCTACCTCATATTAAAGAAATTTGCATAACAGACATGATTGCAAGAAGCTCAAAAAAAATTTTGAGGGCAAATCTTGCTAAACTTATTGTTAATCACTATTCACAATCCTAAGGATATTCTACATACGAAATATCCTAAAGTAAATTTTTACAAATTCAATTAAATAGAGCTAACTCATTTTAAATGTTAGATATTTATTTATATTTATCAAAATAAATGAAAAGAAATAGAAAATTTATTGAAAAGAGATGATACAGTAAAGGAATATAGTGAATACGATTATGAAAGAGAATTTATCACAGTTTAAGATAATATTGATTATAACAAGGGTAAAACTAGTAGCATTGATAAGAGAATATCCGATGGTGATAAAAAACCAGCTGGTAAAAATGGTATAGTTCAAAGAGAAAACTCAGAGGATGAACACATAAATCTATCAGATTAGAAAAAGTAAGATGATGATCAAATATATGAAGAGGAACATGAATTTTAATAGCGATTTGATGAAAATATTTAATCTATTAAGAATGAGATGGCTTATAAATTTCAAGAAGTTCTAAAAGAAGCACACCTTGAATGTTTAAATCTAATGTTTACGAAAGATTAGCAGTCAATTGATTTTTGGAATGAGATTCTGATACCTCAAATTTAGTAAGATTTTGATTATACAATCACATATGAATAAGCATCTAGCCTATCACATGGATATCTTTTGCATGCTATTTCCTACCATTGGAGATTATCATTTAACAAAAAATATGAAATTAAAATCTTTGATAAAATACAACCTTCTGATCATAACAATTTTATTGATATTCATGTTCATAGTAAGGTCTACCAATTTAGAACTTTAAAAATTAATTAAATTACTAAAGACTACAACAAATGCATAAACTTAGGTTAATATGATGAAGCAATTACATATATGAAAATCAAAAAGAGTATTTATTTAATTAATTAATTATTCTTTGCTCATTTATTTTTGTTTTCTATAATAATTTAAATTCCTTTCTAACTTTACTTTTAATTGCAATAGAAAATTATTAGTTAACGTACGATAAAATCTTGACTGCACCTGCACCACATTTAGAAAATGATTTGACTGTTGAAATAGTCGATGCTAACTTGATGAAATTAGATGCAAAAAATAAAGAATTATAAAATTAAAAAACGAAAAAAGGAAATAGATATAGAAGCTACTCAAAAAGATAATCACCTCCAAGTTCTCCAAGTATTCAATCTTAAGGAACCAATCCCTTTTAGCGAGAAATGGATGAGGAAAAGCTGTTGTAAGAAATGATAAAAGATATAAAAAATGTTTTGGCTACTTTGCCCTTAAAGCATGCATATAGCATAAAACCTATGAGGACTTTGATAAAAATTTATACATATATTAATAGCAATACAAAAAATACTAATTTAAAAGAATAGAATATAAAAGATTGTATGGATCTATAAAATTATATGTTAGAGTATATTAAATATCATTTAGGTGATCACCACCCACTTAATGCAGACTTATGTGCTATCTAGTCAGATTATAACTTTTTAGTTCAAGAAAATGAAAAAGCTCTTCAAAGTCTTAGTGATGCTATCAAAATATGTAAAACCATATTAGGTAAAATAATTTGTTTTATAATTTAGATATTTTCTACAATTTAATTACTTTTCTATATTATTTTTTGGTGTTTATTTTTATTTTGAATAAATTTTAAATTAATTAATTAGGAGGAAACCATGTTAAAATGTCTGATCTTTACTAAAAATAAGCTATCATTTTTCTTAACTAAAAATAAAATCAAAAGGCACTTTAATTTTTTTAGTTGTCTAAATCAATTATCGAAAATAAATTTGGTCCTGAGTCAATAAACTACGGAAAAATATGTTATGAGATTAGTAAAATTTACTTTAGCACATGTAAAGCTTATATTTTAAGAAAAAAAAATGTGTTTATTTTTTTATTATTTTTTATTTTACAATAAGCTGATCTCTAATAAGGAATTTAACTCTGTAAGCAAGCATATTAAATTTTTTACTAACATGGAGAAGATTATATTATGTAATCTTTAAATTGTTGCAGATAATGTTGTGAAGCTGCTCTCAATTTAAGATAGCCTAAAGAAGTATTTATTGATTGATTGATTTATTGATGATTATTTTTATTAAATTATTTTATAAAATTATTAAAAAGGTTATTGAATATGCAGAGAAAACATGGGATATTTTAAAATAATTTGATAAAAAACTAAAGAAATCTTAAAGGATTTCTTACTTAGAATTCATCTTTGAAGTAGCTTTTTTACTCTTAATTCCAATCTTTTTTAGAAATAAATTATGTAAAACTTTTTATAAAAATAAGGCTCTCCTTAGGATTGTTATTTATTCTTTAAGGCCCGAAGAAAGAAATTATTTATTTTGCATTCTTTTATATTGTTCTACTGAAAAGAATCCTTTTAGGCATATTGTTAATGTGTAAGAAAATAAATCTAAAAATGAAAATTCCGTTCAGAATTCAAGTGTAGAAAGATAACCCTCTAACATAGATTCATCAATATCTTAAATAGGGTCACCAGTAATTTTAAAAAAATAATCTATTTATATAAATAATTTTAATCTTTACATTTGTAAAGGATTCAAGGATGAGAGGCAAAACTAGCTTTGATCTAAACTTAGAGGAATACGAGTAAAATTATGAAGATAACACTCTCAATATATTTGAAGACTATAGATAAAGAGTAAAAAAGCTAAAGATTTAAGATTTAAACTAGGATTAGCTAGAGAGAGCAAGTTTGTACCCAGACTATAGAATTTTCAATCCTTAATAAATTTTTGAATAATTTGATTAATAAAATTAAGTAGATGTTGAGAATAAAAAGAAAGATTTATTTGAATAATTAACAAAAGATATCTCAGTAATATTAATTCAGTTTTTCCCAAAAAAAAACTAAAAAAATTTATTATTTTAAAGGTTAGTGCTCTTGATATTATAAAAAACATGTTTATTGATATACTTTCAAAAAAATATATTATCCCTCTGAAAGATTTTTTCATCAATTTCAAAAAATATTTAGCTAAAAATAATGACTATGAGAAGTTAGAGTAATTTTTACATTCATAATTAATTTAATAACATAAACATTGATTACTTTTAATACTAAAGATAATTATTTGAATTTGTTTGAATTTCTTTTAAAATTTTTTATTTTTTTATTTTAAAAAATAAATTTTAAATATTTAATAGGTAACTTGATTTATACAAAACGTTTATTGAAATATATGGTTATGTATTCTTCTATAAATAGTTAAATAATGCTGAATTCAGCAAATATAAAATATTGGATTATGATCCTAAATGATTTTTGTAATTTCATTTATGTATTTGACCATGTATTTTCTTTAAATTCTATCTTTTAGTTATTTTATTTTATTTAAAATAACCACTTTCTTTTTATTTTATTTTCTTTAAATACTTTTATTTCAAAAAAAATAAAAAATATTCTAATTAAATTTAATTAGTTAAAATTTTTCTATTGTACTTTTTAAATACATGATGCATAGTCATTTAATTTCAAATATAATATCTTAAATTAATATTAAAAAATTATTTCTTCAAAAATTATAATTTTAAAAAATTAAAACAAACAATTCTAATGAAATGAAAAATTTTAGAAAATATATTTTTAATTAAAATCATTTAATTAAACAGTTTTATATTAGTTCAATGTACAGACAGAACCAATTTATAAAGAAGTGACAATTAGTTAAAAGTTATAAAATTATAATTTTTAAGCTAAAACTAGAATTTTATATTAAAACTAATTTATAATTCAAAAATAATTCTTAAAAGAATAAATAAATTATTTAATTAATTAAAACAAATAATCCTTAAATAAAAACAATTTAAAAAGTGGTATTTTTAATTAAATTCTTTCACTTAAACAGTGTAAAATTGGTTTGCTGCACAAAACTCATTTATTAAAAAGTTTTAGTTAGTTAGGAGTTTAAAAATTTAAGACAGAAGCTAATATTTTTAATATAACTTTTATTGTAGACACTTTTACAATCTATAAAGAAAGTAGTAAAAAACTATATTTAATTATTGTAAATCTTTTTAATATTTAAAATAATTTTTATTTTTATAAATTTTTCAGATTATTTTATTAAAATTATTTTTTTGCTTATTTTTCGTTTTAGGAAAAGTAAAACTCTTTCATTATTCATCAATGCTTTCCATCTATTAATTTGATATATTACCCTATTTTTAAGTAGGTAATTGCTCTTTTTAACTTCCTTAAAATCCATTTAGTGTTTTTTCCTAGATTTTAGTCTTACTATTTCTTTTACTTTTCTTTTCCAAAGAAAAATTACCTACTTCTTAACTAGGTGACGATTATAGGCTTTTTCTTTAAGGACTATTTATAGAGACGTTATTTTATACACCTTATGGATGCTGACTTTTTTTGAATGCCACCTAGTTTTCTTGATTGATCATATTTCTTTCAGAATTAACTCCATTGCTTGCGATCTTCTTTTCATACTGTTAAACTTAATGATGGTTTCTTGCTGTATTTTACTAAGACTAAGAAGTAGCCACAAAAAGATGATTATTTCCTTAAAAATTGTTTTTATAACTAGAATTTTGTGTAAGCTTTTCAATTTTTTTTTTTATTTTTTTTTTCTTAGAATCCTTCTTAGTTTTACTATTAGATTAGATTGGAAGCTGTAAAGGAGTAAGTAGATTTGAAGCTGAAGTACTTGCTTTCATTTAATTTCTTCCTAGAGAATTACTTCTTTAAAATTTACTTATGGTATTTTACTAGTTGTAATTTTATTCATTTAAAAAATTTTGAATACTTTCATATGCTCTAAGATCTTTGTTTGAAAATTAAATATCTTAATTTTAATGTGGGTTATAATGTATTGCAAATTGCTTAGTAGCAGAAGAATTTTATTAATGATTGTAGTGTTATTATTAAGTAGAGGAGAAGTTTATGTTTTAATTATTCTAGCTAATAAGGTGGTTTTAATTACTGCTGTGACTGTGATTATGATGTTGACTTATATTTTTGATTTCGCTACTCATTTTCCAAACACTTTTAAGATCATTAAAATCTATGTTTTTTTCCATCAATTTTTTTAATAGTCTATCTTTACTCCTAGAAGATTAGGTCTGTCCAGTTGATTTTGATGGTAGAGTGTGTGTATTTTACTACTAATTACTGCTATTTAATGCTACGTTTTTGAATAGATTGCTTGTAGAATTATGAGATGCTAGAGTATTATTATGATGCTAAACAGATTGATTCTAATTAAGAGTAGCATTTAATGTTGTATTAAAAAGTTAGTTAGAATTGCTACTATTCTGGTTATAATTAACATTAAATGTGTTATTGTTAGGGTATATACCGCTTAATGAAGAATTCGTTCCAAAATGTGCTTTATAATTACTGGGAACGGATACAAGTCTATTAATATTAATCTTTTCAGATATGAATTTATTGGTTGGATTTGTGCTATTTGCTATCTGCTATATGGCTTAAGTTTATGAAACAGAAGTTAAGGGATTTTAGTAAGCTTGGAACTAAGAAATATTCAAGTATGAAAAGCTCCCTTGAGCAGCAGAAATACTATTATTAGTTTATTCTTAAAGTAATGCTCTTTCACTAATTTAGCCTGATTGTGGAACTTACAATAATTATTCAGAATTCTAAATTTGATTTTGCAAATTGTTTCTATTTTCAATATTTTAAACTTTTTCTTAGTATTATTCCTCAAAAGAGTTAGCTCCAGGAATTCCAAAATTTTATATAATTCCATTTAGATAATTGCCTTTCTATGAATTAGATAAATTATTTTATATTTAATTATTCTTTTGTTAATCTGTCAACTGTTAGTTAGTTAATATGCCATCTAATTATTGTATAGTGTTGAGATTCTTAGAATTACTGTTGTTGTTTGATTAATTTTAAATATTATTGTTTTATGAATTAGCTATTGAATTACTTATTTTTTCTATATCTTGATAAAAGCCATTGCTCTGTTTTTAACTCTTATCACTTTCTTCCTGATTTACAATATAATTATTTTATAAAATTTACTGTTATTTGGTTGATGAGTTGTTATTAATATTGTTGCTACTGCTGTTATTATTTTTTAATTCGCTGCTATCATTAGAATAATAACCAATAGAACCCATCAACGAATTAGAACTTTCTTTGGACTTGTTTTTGTTTCCTGAACTTGATTTATTATTGTTGTTGTTCTATTTAAAGCTTTCAATTTATTATTATTATTAATATTTATTAGATTAATTTTATTGGATCTACTAACTTTAACTTGATATTTAGCTTTTATAAGGAGGAGAAGGACTATCTAAGTTTACTATATCAGTATTTTGATCAAATGGAGAAGAAAGTAACTCATTTTCTAAAACTCCATTTTAATTTTATTCATAATTTTGTTCATTTATATATTTAAGATCACTTTTCTTAAGAAAGCCTGATTAAGGTCTCGGTGGAGAAAAGTATCTCATTTACTAATAATTTTTAGAATTAGTTAAATAGTTTATTTCTTATTTGTTTGATTTATTTTTTTCTTGAGCATTAGCTTGTTGAAGATATTTGCTATCGTTTTAAATAACAGCATCAGAGTTGTTTGTAATTGCTTGTTTAGATGAAGAATATCTGGATTTTAGTATATTAAGATGTTCATCTTCTGAAGATTCGTCTTGTACTTAATTGTTCTTTAGATTTTAAATACTCTGTTTTATTGATTTTGTAGTCACTTACTATGGCAAAGCAGCTTTCACAGATTAATTTTTATTGATTTGTTAATTTTATGAATTGATGAGTTAATTATTATTTCCTGCAGCTACTTGTGCAATTGATGGTAATGAAGATGATTACTAAGGAAGCATCTCGAAATTATGATAAAAGTTAGATCCTCCTAAACCTTATACGCTTCCTGGTGGATTATTATTCATGGATGCTTCTTCTTTTTTTAATTTTGCTGAAAGAGGTCGATTAGGAATATCACGATTATTTTTTAGTTAAGATTTTTATTATTTTTACTATCTAAATAAAAACTCCTATTATTTGATGAACATGTCTTAATAATCATCACTTTCTGCGCTATCTGAATAAATATATTCTTCTGATTTTTACTATGGTAAAAACGAATTCTTTGAAAAGCTGATAAAACTGCTTTTTTAATCACTTGAATGATCAAAGGCACGATTATTGTTAATTTAATTATTGTTTAACTGTTAAAGCTAATTTGAGTTTAATTTGTTAAACTAATATTTTTAAGAATTAAATTCTTCTTCATTAGTTTCTTAGAAGGTTTAAGGTAACTCTTCAATTAAAATTGGTGGGGTGTTTGGTCTAAGTTTATCATATTTATCATTGTTATTTTACTACTGACCACCAGATGAATTTTACGAAGAACTTTACTAATTTTTATAATTTGACATTTTTTATGATTTTGCTGAGCTTTGCTGTAATGTATTTTATTTTTTCTTAGACCTATCTTCGCTACTTGAATTTGTATTGTTGCTATTGTTTTTTTGCAATGCTAGATTATTTTGTTTTAAAAATTGCATTAGTTCTAACTCGTCAATTATTCTGACATTCTCGCCATCATCAATCTGCAAATACTGCTCAACTACAGAATAAGGATCATTTGCTTAATTATGGAGTTCTTCTTGGCTACTAATATCTTCCCCTGATTCCTCTTCAATTATAGAACTTTTTTATATCTAATTATTTGCTTTTTCTGGTGATTTGGTTGGCTGCTTCATATCTTTTTCCTATTTTAAAGTAACTTTAATAATAATTCTAAGTATAATAGATTTACATTGCTTTAGGTTACTCTAGAAGAAAATGAATCACTTCCTGAATCATTTATTAGATTTTACTGTTGTTATTGTAATTTGCTTTTCCTCACCACTCTCATTGATGGACTTTTATCTCTAATTTATAGCTAAGGTGAGATGTTGTTAATTTTTTATTTTAAGTTTGGAATTTTCCTTCTTGTATTATCTGAATCTACTACATCATATTCATTCCACTCTTCGTCATCAACCTCTATAATTCCTAAATCATCTAAATCCAAAATTTCTTCTTCTTTATCTAATCCAAACTCTAAAAAAATGATTTAAAATTGATTAATTTAACTTAATCTAACTTACACTTAAACCCATCATAAGTTTATTTTTCATCTATCCAAGAATAATTTTGTTCAATTTCTTCTTGTTTTGACTCCTCCATATTATAGTTAACTCTTTCTATCCAAAGTGTTTAGGGTGGTTTAAATTCATTCTTAAACATAGAAATGAGCTCCATAATGTCTTCTTTTTCCAGCTATGGTATCCAAAATACATATTAATCTTCAATATAGTCATCTATTTAATATTCTTTTTCTTTAAAAATGTAATTAAAATTCAAGTCGCTATTATGTAATAATCTACTATTCAATTGCCATTAATCAGATTGTTTCTTATGAGATTTTATCTAATTCCATTACTCTGCCATGCTTATTAAGTTTTCTTCTATAGCTTTTTACTAATTATTTAAAAAATTTATGATTAAATATTTGACATTTTTAAAAATTCCAATTTACCTCATTGCTTTAAACCTACAATTATTGAGATGCTCTCTAAGTTATTTTAAATGTTAAACCTGATTGCCTATTTTTAACTATATTTTTAACTAAATCTTTTGGAGCACATAGCTAAACTAATATTATAGAAGCAGCTTAATTCGTCTAATCCCAATCGAATTGCATATCATAAACAGTCTCCCATAAAGAGTATGGAATTAAGTCACTGTTTCTTCTAAAAAATTCAACAAAGCTTTTATTATCTTTAAAGTCATTTTATAATTAATCAAAATTAAAGCCTAGTCCACACATACTACCTAAAATATTGAGTCCACCTGTCCTACACTCACTTTCTTTAGAAGTCAACAAACTTTATAAAGTATTAATCAAATAACTTAAAAACTTTTTTTCACTCAAGCCCTTTATTTATATAAAAAAATTTTTATGAAGCAAATTTATATTTATTTATTTGAGTTAATTATTAATTTATTAATATACACTGCTATCTTTGACCCAATAACAAATAATTCCATATGCTATGCTTCTTATGTTACTCCAAGGAGAATCTATCAACATACTAATTATAGGCCAAAGTTTTAGGATTTCCTTTTATCTAAATTAAAGATATTCCATACTATCGAATTCAATCTATTAATATTAAAAATTTTATAAAATTATTTAAATAAGAGGTAATTTTTTACCTGCTCATTGATTTAGCTTATAAGATTTTCAATTTAATCTATATTTGTTGAATTTGAGCTTTGGCTATTATGAATTTATTTATTTTTTTATGATGACGATAGTTTAATTTCTTATGAAAGATTAGGTCCTTTAAATAGATGCTAAAAAAACTAATCCAATATGAGAAGAGCGTTAAATTGTAGTTTACTGTCTCTCTCGTTTTCAAGACCTCGTTTCAGGCAAATAAGCATCAACTTTATAAAATAAGCATCTTAGCGATTAAGCCTTACAATTGGTTTGATTGTATACGAGTATATCTCTAAATATTATTCAAACAGTACCTTTAATATGTTTAACCCTTTTAATCTACTCTTTGAATTTCTTGAGTTGATTAAATCTAGTATAAGTTTTTACAGCTTATTTGATTAAATTAACTCCTCAATAACAAAAAAATTTTCTTTATTAAGCTAGGAAAATATTTCACTAACTAAACTCAACTTTTCACTAAAAAGCTCTTGCATTTAAGAGCACAATTTTGTATCATTTTTCTTTTTGGTTATTATCAATAATTCTTAGTTCTCAAAAAGAAGTTTTTGTAAAGCTTCATACAAATTTTATCTAGTTTGCAAAATGACTTATATAAATTTATCCTTACTCTTTCTATGGGCTTTGCCTTTAACAGTGTATTAATCTAGCAACATATTTATGCATTACTATATATTTTGAGTTTTTAAATATTTTTTAATTATAATAAATTTAAATTACTTCAATTAAGCGAGGAGTAAAATTTTTAGGGGCAATAATATCACAAAGGTTATCAAAAATAATAAAAGTCTCATCGTAAATAGAGTGAGGAATACACTATACATAAGAGTCAAAAAATTTAAGGAAAAAAAATAATATAGTTTATGACTCTTAAGGAAATTGGAGCAGAGAGTTAGTAATTATCACTAAAAATTGAAGCATTTTTTCGTTTGGTTGTTAATTTTAGATGTGTTGATTTATTTTTTATAATAACGGAAGAGCTATATCTGCTATTGTAAGGTGGCTTAACTACTTTGAATTGTTATTTTTAAAAAATATGGATGCCTGATCTAAATTTTTGTTTAAGCTAGCATCTTATAAAAATTGAATCTGCTATGATTGAGTTTACTCATAACTTAAAGAAAGTTGTTTCTGACTAGAAGAAGAATTACTTAGAGCAATAAGCACTTCAATAAGAACATGCCAAATACTTCTAAATAATTCCAATTTTGTTTAATATTGTAATGAATTTTCAACCCATATTATGAGAGGCTTTAAGAGATATTCTATATTGATCAATTCATTTTAATTAACAATCAAAGCAGCTTTTTAACTTTTGAGTTTAAAATAAAATTTCATTATAACATTATGAGATTCATAGTCTTAGCTTTGATTATAGTTTTAAGTAGTTAAAATTTAACTCGAGTTGGTTTTTTAATTAGCGTTTTGTAATCCTACTCCATTTTGTAGACTTGTTGGAGTTATTGGATTACTCTTTTCTTGGAAATGAGAGTTAAATGCAATCTCTTTTTAGCTTCGACTTGTATTAATTAAATTATTTTTTTTCTACATACTTGGACCGTTCTGTTTGTAGCATATTACAGAAGTAATATCAAGTAAATGATACAAAAAACTAAAATTTTAAAAATTTTCGTTCTCTGATAGCTAAATTAAATTACTAGCAATCCACTCAATTAACTTTTTAAAGTTACAAAATTTTAATGATTTAAAACTAAAAAAAGTAAATTAATTTTACTTTATTCATTTATTAACTTCCCATATTATAAATATATTTTAATTTAATTGATTCCCATAATTTATTCACATGAAATTTAAGATTGACGTTCATATTAGGTCTAGTATTCATTTCCTCTTATAGATTAATAACTTCATTTATAATTTAAGGACTTACCTATTTTAAAAGCATCAAAATAAATTAAAATTTCTTTCAAATTTAATTAAAAAAAAATAAATTACTTCTATATCACCTTGACATATTGCTAAAATTTTTTCTGTTACTCTAATACAATATATTTTTAATTCTGGATTAACTTCTTATTTAAATAAATTATTAATTATAACATCAGAAAATATGACCCTTAAAATTTAAGAACTAGCACTTGCTAGAACATTCAGAAAGCTTTCTAATAAATGATGATACATATCTATGATTATTTTAAAATTAATTAAATTTTAGCTCTTAAGAAATGTATTTTGCTGATCATTATTTTGAGGATAATTTTTTTGATCTTATTATGATTAAGATTAACCAATTCCTAATAAATAAATGAAATTAAAATATAGATATTTTAAAGCTAAATTTATCAACCTTCTATGAAAGCATGTGATCTATTTCTGTTTGAATCTTATGAACTTTTTGATAATTTTTAGCTATTTGATCCGCTAATAGTAGTTATATTTTCACTACCTGATTAACTTTCACTAAAAGACTAATTTTGGGTTTATTCTACAGATAAATCATTCATCGAAGGATAAGTTTTGAATATTTCTGAAAGTATTTAAGGCAAATAGTTACCTAAAGTACAACCTAAATATTCAATCAAAAACTCTAAACCTCTTATACCTGCTAATTTAATTGGTTCGAAGGTGTCTGAGAGAGTTTTAACAAGAAATTTGCATAAAAAAGGACACAGCTATAACAGACCAGAATATACATCATAAGAACCTTGAAAATCTATTTCTTTGTATTGTTAATTTGTAAAGTATTCTGTTGCTCTCTAATAGGCTATTTTTTTTAATAAAAACAACTAAATAATTTGAATAAATTTATTTTTTTAAATGGTTTTTTTTTGAACTTATAAAAGGGAAATTTTTATTGAAAATATTTAAATCATAAGCAAACAACAAATATCTTTTGTGATTAAAAACTACCTTACAGCTTCTCTATGATCATAGATGGATGATTTATTGAGTCAGCAACTAAAAGCTCCATTTTTGCTGCTCTTAGCAAATATTTATTATTTGTACCAATACATTATTATTCAGAATAACTATGATAGCTATTCCCGCTTGATCCTATAATACCTCTTTTACTCCCTTATACTGAAGTATTATTTCCACTGTTTATGGCAGTTTCCTCGTTTTTTTACCTTTAAGTTTATTCTTTATTAGTTTTTCTCATTTTTGGGGTGTTGTCTAGAAAATGCTGCTTTCCTTCTATTATTTTAATGTTATTCATAAAATCTTTAAATTGATAAAACCAAAAATAGCTATTTACAAAAAAATAAAAGATTGAATTCTGATTAGTTGGTTTATTTATATTTTTGTATAAAATGTTAAGAGCATTTTTTCAAAATTTCAGAAGCCTGTATATATTTTCTTGAGCTTAGCATACTGAGACCAAGTAATATTTCACATTCAATGGCATCATCTACTCTTCCACTCTTTCTCAAAATGTGAGAAATATTTAGCAGAGATAAACACTAATTATCATTTATATATTTTATAATTTCTATAAATCATATTTCTGCATAGCTATTAATAATTTTACCTAACTAGCTAAAGGACTCACATTTAACTAATATCCATATATTTTAATTGTATCAAAGCATATTTTGAACAAATTAATCATCTAATGTAAGTTTATATTATAATAAATTATAGAATTTTATTTTTGATTATCTATTTATTAATTTACATCATCTTTCTCTAATAATCTGCTAGTGTTTGAGTGATCTTGTTCTTTATTTAAATAAAATTTTTATTCATTTATTTTTAACATTTCCTAAAATGTTGATAAAAATAATTTTGAATTGATTTACCTCCAAATAAAACTTTTAGAAAATTGCACGCTTCTTCTGAAAAATCTAAACTTTCATTTTTTTCAAATTTGATTGCTACATCTAGTATACTGTAGCTCATACAGAGAAATTAAACCCTAAACTTTTTTGAAAGCCCAATCGCGTCTATTTTTAAGCTAATATAATATTATATTTTAAATAATCATCTTAGGAATCTAATTTAAAAGTAATTTTGCTATAAGTTTTAAAGAAATTCTAAATTCTACTATATCATAGTTTATAATAACAAACAAATAGTTTACTGCTTATCTTCATCACTTTCGTTTTCACTAATTTGAAGCATTCTTTATGTACTTTTTGTTTCTTAAACAAAAGTTTCGATATTAAGGCATTTAAAATTACTTCTACTGAATGCTGGTTGTTATGATGCAAATACCATGTTCTAAATTTTAAAAATTAGAATTTTTAAATCTTTTCAAAAATTTAATAGTGATATTTAAAAAGCATTTATTTAAGTTTACTGAAATTATAGCCTGTCTTGGTATTTCGAACTCTAGTGTTAGTATAGCAGGCGCTTGTTTTTATGAATTTAACCCTTATGATTAATTTAACATCTGCTGACCTTAATTTGCAGTAGTTGTTGAAGAATTTTCTATCTAAAATATGCTATTTTAATCTCCAAATGTGAATGCAACTTTATCACAAACTCTCACTTCAGCAATTAACTAGTTGCTTGAAGTCTAAACCCCTTAACTTTATTATGATGATTACAGCTGCTATTAACCCTAAAAATCTTGCTCATCTACTATATAATGTTCTTTGAATTCTGTTTAAAAATTACTATGTTTTTGAGCTTTATTATAAGCCATATCTATATATATAAAAATATTTGCTTTATTTAATTTAGTAAAATTCTTTTCAGTATCCTTTTTTAAATTTACATAAATAGCAGCTTGAAATTATGAAAAATTATATACAAATAATAAAATAAATAAAATAATTGAAATTCAAAGTACTAAAAAGTTGAAAGTGATTATAATTAAATTAGTTTTAATATGAATTCAAAACATCTAAACTATGTAATAATCTATCTACAAGGAGTATTAATTGATTTGATTATGAGTACTAAATAATTTTTATATTTTAATTTAAATATCAGGCAACTTATATTAATTTTATGTATTGATAATAATTTATTTAAAATATTGGTAAATTATATTCTATTTTTTCTTAAATAGAATTAACAAATATTTCTCTCTAAATTTTTTTATTAATTTTAAATAAATACTTTTTAAGCAAATTGATTATTTTTAAATCCTCAAAATGAATTAGTGAATAATGTTTGACTTAATAAAGTTTACAAAACATGAATATCATTTCAAAAATATTATTTATTCTAATTTTTTATAATAAATTTTTTTATGAAGAGAATTAATTATGCTTCCATCTGTTTTTCTAATTTCTAAAAGCACTTTATTCAAGTTAAAATTTACTAAAATTTGTTAAAAATTATAAATATTTAATTTAGAAAAAAAAAATAAGAATTTATTTGGAATTTTAGAAAATTAATTAATAAAGTAGTATAGATAGGAAGTAATCAACACATTCTTGATTTTCTTAAGAAATGTTCTGGATAATTTTTTCAGTCTTCTTTGCAGTTTTATTTTCTATATTTTTCTTGATCCCTGACTCATCAAACAAAAAAAATGACTAAAATAATATGTAAAATAAGCTAAATGAATCTTCTAAAAAGTAGCAATTATCAAGCATTCAAAAAAATATGAATTCTTAATATAGCACTTATTCTAAGATTCTAGTTGAAATGAGTTAAAAAAAGTAAAATGAAGTTAACAATAATCAAAAGAAGAAGGTTACAATTCACTTAAATGGTCTTTTGAAATCTCCTATTGAAGCATCCTTATTCATTTCTCAAATAAAAAGCGTTTTTGATGAACATTAGATTCTTTTTGTTTATTCTACTGAGGATTGTGATTAAATAACATAAAAATTAGTTGAATCTTTAAAGCAAGAATTTAAAAAAGCAAGTTTTATTAATAGCAAAACTACTGAAGGTATTTAGTCTGTTTTAAGATAATTAAATCCTAGATTACATATAGAATCCTAAACTAATGTAGTAGCAGTTATGAAGTAGCATTTGCTTAGAATAGTATATATATGCAGTGAAAAATCTAAATGGGATAATCTCTCAAATTTATATAACTAAAAGAATAATATTTACTTTAAAGAAGATTATAATGATGCAATCAATAGTATATCTTAATTGTTAAAGCAAAATTGAGAAATTTTTATTATTTATTTATGCTTGCTTAATGTATTTTTATTTAACATAAAAAAATTTTATAAATTACTATATAGGTATCTTAAAGAATATTTTCTATTAGTTTTTTTATCAAATGATTCTAATTAATTTAAAAAATATTTATTGTATTGAAAATCATTATAATAGCTTATATATTTTGAAGAAAAATTTTAATTTAATTGATTTTTTCTTAAAAGTTAAATTGGTTTTTTTGTTAAAAAAATAAAACAGATATCGAAAGTAATACAGTAAATAGCTTTTATTAATAATTAAAATAAATTTAATATACTTTTATCAGTTTTACTTACCATTTAATATAAATAATTAAACTTATATTAGCATTTTTAAAAACTATTATCTTTAAAATATTATTGAAATATTAGACTTAAATATCTTTTGATGATTTTTGATCAAAAGTTAAATTAAACTCATTCATTCGTTCTTTCTTGTATTAATTTATACAGAAATCATATATTTTATTCAATAAATAAATAACGTTTTACAATATAGTGTTAAAGTATTAAACTAATATAAAATCTAATTCATATTATTCAATTTAAGATTATAATGAACAGATTGATTTACCTGCCATCAGCTTCAAAGAATGTACTTGTAAATAGCAAAAAATACCTAGAATAAAAAATAATTAACTTATTAAATAACTTTTAAAAACGTAAAAATTTACTAAAATAATCAAAATCAGTAAATAATAATTAATGCCATTAGATCCCTCCATTTTTTTTTTTAACCTCTTAGAATTATATTTAAGTTCGTTAGAAGATATTGAAAGATATTTAGATTTGCCTTCTATATTGCTTATTTTAAGTTCTCTGTCCATTAACTTATCTTTTTTATAAAATAAAATTTCATGATAAAAATCATAAATGCTGTAAAAATAATTCGAATTAAAAAATAAATTTCTACCTATACTTTGTTTTGCTATCTCGTTTACTTATTCTATATCCTTTTCTAATTTTGCTAAATTTTAAAGCTATTTAACTACTGTTTCGCCTTTATTGTACTCATCCTTTTATGATATAATAATTAATTTTTAACACTCTAATTAAAATAAATACAAAAATACCATTAAATTCTTTATCATCAACGACAAAATTGCTTATTAACTCTTTCCTGAATTTTCTACATCTTTTCCATATGATGTTTCTTAAATATAAGCATCTTTGAGCTAATCTAAAAATTAAAATGCTATTTATTTGAATTTATCTTAATTATCGCAAACGCAAAGAAAAGTTTATTCCTAATGCCCAAAGAAGCAAAATATATAATCATCTCTTATAAAAAGCTATTTTTGCTAATTTTTATTTTACTAAATGAGAATTTTCTTTGAGATTACAGCAAAATCTGTTTCCTAATCTGTGTAATCAGCTAATATTAATGACCCTCTTGAAATTAAAGCATACTTAATCATTTTTGAAGAATACTTACTTTATATATTTAGAATTATAAGTGTTTAAAAAAATTAATTAAAATATAAACAATTTCAACTGTTTGATAAGCCACAGAGCTTTTTTAATCAAATATCAATTTTGTTAATAAAATAAAAGTAAGAGTAAAGTTTTTAAAGATTTAGATTTACCATATTTGTTTCAACAATTATACTTTGTTTTAAAATATTTTATTTTATTTATTGTGGTTATTTTACACAGAGAAAAAAACATAAGAGAATTAATAATTTATTTGAAAAAGTTATTTTTAATTGAAATCTTTCAGAAATAGCTATTTCATCTTTTTTCTTTGAGAGTTTATTTAATATTTTTATTTAAAATAAAACATTATTGTTTTAATATCAATAAATTTTATGAATATATTTTTCTATTTTATAGTTATTTTAATATCTCTTTATAAAGTAAGCTAGTTTTACTAAACCATTAAAAGTTAAAATATTAATTAAATTCACACTTTTAAGATATACTTTTTTAAATTAAAAAAAACCTTTATTTTCAAATCAATTTCTTAAAGTAATTTTCTTTTATTTGAATAAAATATTTTTAAAAAAAAATTTTTTCTTTTTTAAATTATACTATAATCAGTGTATATTTTTTATTTATGAAGTATTTACATTTATGCTGATCAGAATTTGTTTCTTATAAAGTAATTTAAAGTGTAATTTTTAAGCGCTTTTTTATTCATATGTATGGAAAAAAAGTAATAAAGATAGTAAATATTTTCAATTTTTTTTATCTATGAGAATCAAATAGTAATACTATTTCTAGATTCTTTCTAAAAGATTACTTAAAAAGATCTCAATGAATATACTAATTAAATTTAATTAAAAAAAAAACAGAAGCAGCTAAAAAAATCGTCAAGACAAATTAAGATAAAATGGACAATAAAATTTTACTATCACCTGTTTAACTTGGTGATTTACACCTAAAGAATAGATTAGTTGTTGCTCCTTTAACAAGGGTAAGAGCTGATGATAAGGGTATTCCTACTGATATGATGGTTAAACACTATACTTTAAGATCTCAATTTGGACTAATTATCACAGAAGCTAGCTCTACATCTCATAACTCTAAAACTTTTGGAAGTAATATAGTTATTAAAAAAACTATTTAGCTTTAGCTTTACATTATTAATGATTATCACAATATTTATTTCTGAAATGGGCTCTTATTTTAATTTATGTTTATATTTTTAATAGATTCTGGTAACATTTATACTGAAGAACAAATGTAAGGCTGGAAAAAGGTAGTGGAATCTGTTCACTAACAAGGTGGTTTGATATGCTTATAAATATGGCATGGAGGAAGGACTACCAACAAAGTATAGATCGAAGGAAGAGATCCCGTAGCACCAAGCCCTATAGCTATTAATGGACAAAATAGATACACTAATCTTCCTTATGATGTTCCTCACGAGCTAACTATATAAGAAATTAAAGAAGTAGTTGAAGAGTTTCGTAAAGGTGCTATCAATGCAAAAAATGCTGGATTTGATGCAATTTAATTACATGGCGCAAATAGCTATTTAGTTGATGAATTTTTGAAAGATTCTTCAAATAAACGTACTGATGAGTATGGAGGAAGTATTCCTAATAGATGCAGATTTGCTTTAGAGGTGATAGATGTTTTAATTTCAGTTTTTGGAGCTGGTAGAGTATCAGTAAGATTTTCACCTACAGGAAGAACAAATGATATGTATGATAGTAATCCTTTAGAATTAATGACATATTTACTCTCTGAACTTGATAAAAGAAATATAGCATTTGTAGAAATAAAAAGATATAATCCCTTTGATATTCATATAAATAAAAGTGATTAAATTTCTCCAGAAATTCAGATTCCCGATTTTTTTAAAACATTAAGAAAGTTATACAAAGGAAATATTATTGGTAATGATAGTATTACTTTAACTGAAGCTGAAACTCTTGTCTAGGAAAAAACAGTGGAGGCTGTTTCTTTTGGAATGTTGTCTATTTTCAATCCAGATCTTGTTTAAAGATATGTAAATGATTGGCCATTAAATTAAAGCACTGATAGAACTTATTTTTATGTTGGTGGCGAAAAATTATACTTAGATGTACCTCTTTACACAGATGAAAAAAAGGCAGAAAATGGAGAAAATTAGGTTATTTCATAATGAATGAAATATTTTAAATTTAAAAAAATTATTAAAATATTAAGATTAGCAAGCTTTTACAATATTTATATTTTATTTTTATTTTCAATAATTCTTGATTGATAATTCTAATAAAATAAATCCCTCCTCAAATATAAAAAATACTTTTTTAAAATAAAAAAAATAAGGTAATTAAAAATAAAAACTTTTTTAAAATTTAAAAAGGAGGTATGTTTTAAAATCTAATACAATGTTGTTTATTTGTGTGTTTTTTTGTAAATTGAATTTTTAACTTCAAAAACTTTAAATTGTTATTTAATTAAATTAATGCAGTTCTTTGCAAATTAAAAATTATTGTAAATAAAGAATAAATGAAATACTAATATTTTTTTTAGAAAATTATTTAATTTTTATAATTTAAAAAAATATAAAGTAAATGATGTAAGCAAATTTTTAATATTATCATATCAGTTTTATAAAGTATTTCAGAAATCATTCATCATTTTATTTACACTGTTAACAATAAAGTTCTTTATTTTTTCAGAATTAGCTGCTAATAATGGATCAACTGCCTGGACACTAACTTTTTGCTTTACAAGAGGTCCTGGTCCATTCACTTTCTTAAATTCCATATCTTAATCTGGACAATTAGAGAAGTAGAAGTTAATTGAGAAATCAATATCTCTAAATTCTTCTCCTTCCACTTCACCTTTCATAGTACAAGGAACTATACAATAAGTTTTACCAGGCTCTACATCTATCAATTTACCAAAGTCTACTTCTCTTCTCAAATTGAACTTACCACTAGAAGCTATCATAATCTTTTGATCAAACTTTTCTAGTTTTGTTTTACCATTTTCAAGAACAAATAAGCAAAGAAGAAGAGATTGTTAAATATTTTCATAAGGATATTTAGCACCTATGTATAGTCTTCCATCATCTTGAACTAAGTTAATGAAAGCCTTAACAGGTTCTCTCTATGCCTTTTTCAGTTAAAATACAAACTAGGGATTTTTTTATGCAAAGTTTGTAATACTTGGCTCACCTTTTTTGACAGAGCCAGAGCAGAATCCTTTAGACCACTTGTCTTCGATTTCATAGCCAATCCAGACACTAGGATCAAATTTAAAGCAAATAAAAAGATTTGAAAAAATTGTTCTCCAATCTTTGTAGCAAATCAAAAACATACCATCATCAGTACCAGGTTAATATCTTTATATTTTTTAAATAAATAAATAAATTTCTCATTTATTGTAAAAAAAAGTTAATACTTATCTGGAGGATCTAATCCTTTTGATTTAGCTACTTCAATTTTCTTATCGAAATAATCACTTATAGCTTTCTCATATCTTGAAAGTTTTCCTTCTTCTTCAGTTTCAGACCACTTTAAAAGCCATTCACCAAAACCCCAAGGATTACGAAGGCAAAGCAATCTATGGTATTATCTGTGATTACTATCATGATTTTTTTTTTCTTCTTAACTATAATCAATCTAAAATATATCTATAACGGAATATGCGTGTCCTGAATAAATTCCTGCCTTTTCATCATTGTAAGTAATTGCAGATTCTGTTCCACCATCAGCGCTGCATCCCATTAAACTTCCTATTAATTTAAAAATGATACTTATTTATATTCAATAATAATTAATTATATACCTTGATTATCAAATAAGGATAAAGCGTTCCAAAGATTATCTCTTTCTTAAACTATTTTGTCATAGACTTTTTTGTAGGATGCTTCATCACTGCAATCATATTTAACACCATTTATCATAATACCGCTCTTATCAAAATCACCTCCTTCAATTTATTATAAAGTAGTTTTAATACTATCGAATCTCATCTTCATGGATACTTAACCAGTTAAATCAGACAAACCTTAACCTATATCACCAGAAGTTAGAGCTTGATAGCAATTATGGATTTTAGCATATGCTTTTTCTATGAGAGATACCCAAAATTCGTTATAAGAACTACAGTGAGAATATATCTAATTTAAATAATTTATGAATATATTTTAAATGTTTTGGGTTAACTCAAATTCATAGTTTGTAAAATAAATAATTTAAAAAATAAATTTATCAGATAATAAAATTTTTTTTATAAATAATTCTGATAAAAATGAATGAAAAGTTTAAAGTGTATAAACAAACATGTTAAAGAAAGCCATTCAATTTTAAAGAATTATTTTAATAAAAATATTTTAGGACAAAGAAAGAAAACTATAAATTAAAAATTGTAAGAAAGAATAAATATCTAAAAAATTATTTAGAAAACTTAAATTAAATAGCTTATAAAATAAATGATTCAAAAAATATAATTTTATTACAATCTTTCCATCAAGGCAAGGTAATTTGTCATCAATTATAACGTATCTCCATTCGAAATTTTTATAAAATTTAAAAATAAAAACTCCATACTACTTGAGGAAGTGGAACATAGGAGGGTATATACCTTCAGACATTTGAATTAAGACTTATTCTTGGGAAACATTTTTAGCACTAGGATCGTAGCTTCCTACTAAATAAGCATCATTTTAGGCTATGATACTTAATGCACTAACAAACCAGCAATCACCCAAATAACTGCTTTGTTTAACATCATTACTGCTTGCTCCTGATAACAAGAAATGAGCTTCGTCAGAATGATCGTCAGTATTATCTTCTGGATTATTTTCTAAGTGTCTTTCTAATTATTCACCTATTCTAAGCCATTCTACATTCTCAGGAGGAGGACATCCTGTAGGAATATCATTATCACTAAAATACATAGATTTAGAACCATAGGGATCACTTTCAGTTGGTCCAAACTCAGGATCATTCCACATCTCTCCTGGTTTTAAATTTTTTACAATTTCTAAAGCTTTTTTCAAGGTAGGAAGTTCATCATTTAATATAGTTTACCAATACGTATACTCTACTTCTCCTTCATCATTTCTAGTAATCTGATATTTATTTTAGGTATTATAAATTAAATTTTTACAAAGAAATAGAAAATTAATTAAATTACCTTTTCAAAAAAATCTTTTTTTTAATCGAATTTAGGATAAACTTAAGACATAATTTTTTCATATTCGTTAATGTCAGTTTCAACATAGGAAAGGGCCTTAGTATTAATCCTATTTAAAGAAGGGAGTTTTTTATTAGATCCCTTAGATCCTGCTGATTCTTATCTTTGTAGTACAGAGTTTTTTAAATTAGCGAATGATTTTTTGCCTCCCATCTTGGAAATAGAATTGCTAGACTTATTTAGCCTGCTTGATTGCAAGTCACCATCATGGCTTTCAAAAAAGTCTATCTCTTTATCTATTTCAAAGATCAGTTTCTCAGCTGATAATACACCTAAGCCATTAGTTAATTCTCTTTTTTTAGATAGTTAATTTTAAAAGAAATTAAAAATTTTACTAAATGAATTTATAAATACTTAAAAACGATTTCTTGAAGCTTGGGTCTTTAGACACTAAATATTTTATCTGCAACTACAACAAAGCTTTTTTAATCTAGTTATGCATCTGGCTAAATGCTCAAGAATGAAAGAGCTTCAGTTGTTCTTATTTAGATAGATCTAAATATTCTTGCTACGATAGTGTAAATAAAACTCATGGGACTAGAAGGATCTTTTCTTTCTACATAAAACTAGATCATTTCTTCATAATCTATAGAACCATTGTTACCAGAATCCATACACTTAAAGAATTTCATCTTAACCTCATTAGGGATTTTTCTTCCAATTTTAAGCTTCTCAAAAGCACTAAAAAAATCGCTAACAAAAATACCTGAATTTGGATGTTTACAGTTAAGAATAATATGAGAAAGAAGTTCTTTGATGTCTATTTTATAAGTCTAAGTTAATTTATTGACGACATCCTTTATATCTTGATCACTTATTTTATTTACTTAAATTGGAACAGAATTTGTACCGAAATCTATTTCAACCAAGCTATTAGGCCCAGCAGAAGAATTACCTCCTTTTTAGCTGCTTTAGCCTTTGTTTGAGCTTGAAGGTCCTGCAGGCCTTGGAGGTAAATTGGATTTACTATCAATAAAATCATCAATATTAACTGACTTTTCTTTAGCAACAACCCTCATATATTTTTTAACTTCAACCACAAACATATCTCTACCAATACGCTGCTCTTTGTCTATATCCAAATAATTAAAGGCGCCAATACATTCAGTATCGTTCATATTTTTGCAATACTTGGCAACATAGCTATTTAAATCATCATAATTAATAATATTTGCCTAATATTTAACAAAAATGAATTAATTATTTTATTTTAGTATTATTTATTTTATAATTAATAATCGATTAAAATTAAAAATTCAGCGTTTTTTAAAAACAATAAATTTAAAATCGCTTAATTTTATTTACGCTTAACAAAATTTATTTATTAAAAAACTTAAGAAGTATTTAGCTGTTTTAAATTAGCTTTTTAATATATTTATTTTTCTTTTCTTTGTTTTTCAATGCTAAAAAAAGAGATGTTAAATTGATTATTAAAAAATTTATACTCCAGAACTATCCATAGCCGAGAAGCAGTCATGAGGAGATGTTTTCTTATCAATAAGGTTCTAAGCAAATTTAATCAAACTCTTTTGGACAAATGTTCTGTTATCTGATGTATTATTATTAACTTCTTAGTTGACCTAGAATGCTGCAAGACATTCATAATAGGATTGTTTTTTGATAATTCCTGTGCAATTAATATCAGAAAGCTGAACAATTCTTTAAATATATTAAGTGTTAATACCTAATCTACTTTATTACAAAAATGATTTAAATTGCTAATCTGTTATTTATCCTGTCCCTTCTACATCAGCTGCCCTAAATAAGCTTTCAGGAGACATTCCTAAATTCAACTTGCATCTCTGAGAAAATTCTCTCATAACGTTTTTATCATAACTCATATAATTAGCAGAATTTTTCGAAGGACTTTAATCTCCTTTAAGAAAATCTTTATCTAAATCTGCAATTATGTTTTCATCAGCTCCAGCTGGCCCTCTATTTCCTTATTAAAGGGCCATCCTTTTAACTGTATCCTCTAATTTAACCTTTTCTTCTTAAAGCTTAATATATTTAAGCTTAAGAAGTTTGATATCTCTACGATAATCTTCAATTGTTTTCTCCTATTTCATGTTTTAGATATAATTACTTAACAATACTATTAATCTATAGATATTTATTAATATATAACTATAATAAACAATTTCTTCTGTTTCAATATTTTATTTAAATTATTAAAAATAATTAAGCAAAGAAATAAACTATTCACAGTAATATCTATCACCCAATAAGTAAAAATTAAAAAAAAGTATCATTTTTTACATGAAATTATTATTTTTAAGCAAGTTATATGTTATTTTACTTTATTGAATCATAATTTATTTATTTATTTGTTAAAATAAAATATTTAAAATTATTTTTAATTTTTAATTTTTTTTAGACTCTTTAAAGAATTAAAACAGTTAAAATTTATATTAAAAAAATATTTCCCTGTTTAAACATAGTAATTTATTTCAAGTAATTTAATATATACTTTAAAGTAAATATAAAAATAATGAACTACTAAAAAACATAATGTTAAAATAAACATTTTAATTTTTTAAATTAGTTTATTTTTTAAATAAATTGTTGCTTTTTTTTTGTGTTTTTATCTTATTTAAATCGATAATATTTTTATTATTTATTATTTGTAAGGTAAGATGAATTTCATTCAATTTTCAGTTTCAATTCTAACTTCTAAATACTGTATTTTTATTTATTCAAATTAAATAATTAAAATGTTTTATTAAGTGAATAAAATTGAATTAATTTATTGAAAAAACAACTTATTTGACTAGATATATAAACAAATTTAATTAAAAATATGATACTTAATTAATTAGAATAAAAATTCATTAATATTTAAATTATGCTTCTACTCGTTAATATTAAAATTCTTGATATATAGATGAAAATTAACATCATTAAAGATTGTTAATTAACCAATCAATTTGTTAATTAATCAGTTAGATATTTAGGTTATTAGTTAGTTATTTAGTTATTAATTAAACTGTAAAACAGTTGGTTTTGCCTATAAAATAAAAATTAATTTATTGTTTTTTCATTCGCTTTAAGCAGAATTTATATTTTAATTATTTTTTTCTTTTATTCATCAATTTATACTAATTATTTGGTTTCTAACTACTTTGTAACATCTTAATATTCAATTGTCTTCAAAAGTATCATTTTCTATTAAATAATCTCGATTATCTTCAATTTCAGATTGGTTATTTATGCACTAATTATCTATTAAAGGAGTTTTATCTTAATTTTCTTGATGGGTTTGAGTTGACTCGATATCGTTAGTGGGTGTATTATCATTTTCTTATTATTTTAATTCTAGTTGTTTTTGCATTTATGCCTCAATTAACTTTTCATTTTCCAGCTATTACTCTTAGAGTTTTTAATTGATTGAATGAATATATATTGCCTGCTGAGTATTTTCATTAATTAATAAATTAATTTTTTCTTGCATTTGATTGCTCATCTTAACTAGCATCATCATTTATTCATTTTTTTCTCCAAGTTATCTTTCTAATTTATCTATTGTTTTTTATTTTTAAATTAGTTCAGAAATCTTTTCATCAAACTGAGCTAGGGTTTGCTTGTAGTTAGACACTATGCTAAACACCATGTTTATGTTTTCAAGTGGCTCACTAATTTATTCCTTAAGATCTTCTAATTGCTTGTCTTTATCATCAAGTTGTTTTTCCTTATATTCGAGTCTCTACTTAAATTCTTAATTAAGATCTTAGCAGTCCTTTAATTTAGCTTAATAAACATTTTTCTTTTCTTTTAGTTAGTTAAGTTCGTACTCTCTAAACTGATTTTATTTTATAATAAAATATTAATAAAAAAACTATAAAAATAGTAAAAATTCTAAAAAAATCTTTTAAAAATTTTATTAAACTGGAAAAATAAAATTTATTTTTGGCTAATTAACTATTTTCAACACAAACTAATTTAACTTAAAATAAATAATTTTATGACCAAAAAAAAGATTTTTTAAATTTAAAATAACGAAAACTTATTTACCTCTAACTTTTCTTATAATCTGCCCATTTCTTACTTGAATTTTTAGATTAATTCTTAGTATTACTTTTGTTAAGATAATAAGTTCTCCTGTTTAATTTCCATTTCTGCTATTTTAGTAATCAAATTTTTTTTCTCGTTTTCATATGTTCTGTGATGCATTTACTCAATTTAAATCAAACTTTCCAGCTAAAATATGCGTTTTTCTTGAAAGAACATTTCTTTTGAGTTATCTTCTTTTATTTTTTAAATGTCAGAATATAAGTCCTAAATACTTAAATCATAGCAATTTTTCTCAATCATTCTACAAATAACTGAGTCAACATAGAGTTCACTTATATTTTCTTACATTTAATTATCTTCTTAATTCTCAAAGTAACTTGGAATATTGTAAAAAACAAAATTTTCACCTTAATCAATAATACTCACAGAATCAAGATTATTTTGAACGCCCTAAATTATAGATTTTAAATATTGAATTTCAATGCTATCTGCCATTCTTTTAGCCTTCAACATTTAAATTTCTTCATCTTTTTCAAGGAGAGCTTCACTTTAATCCTCACTTTGATCATTATATCTATATATAGATTCGTTTAGACTTTCAACTTTAGTAGATTCGATTTGGCTTTAAGACAGACCTACCCTTAGTTTATTAGAGGAATAAATAATATTTTCTTTAATATCTTGTTCAATTTAAGCTTTTTTTAAAAAAAATATTTTAAATTATTTATTAGAATTATCATAATAAAAATTCTATATAATTTACAATAAATATTATTTAAAGAAAAATTAAAAAGAAAACAATTAATTTATTACTTTTATAGGCATTTTCATCATTAACACTATTTTCTGTATGACAACGTTTAGCTTATTTATTGGTTTTTTTGCAATTCAATTCACGAAACTTATTGGGAGAGTAACTGAGATTATTGTTAATTATATTATTTTTAGATATACTGCATGGTTGAAGTATGTTAAAAACTTGCTTAGATGAATTGTTATCCTCTTATTGTTTAAGTGGATTGATACAGGTCGTCATAGGTTAGAAGAACATTTAATCCTATTAATTCTATTTTAAATCGTTCTGTATATTTAAGGAATCAGTCATTTGAAGAATATCAGAATGCTTTTTTTGTTAGTATTAATTATTTTTAGTTGATTAATATTTATAACTCTCTCTCAGTCTTATTTCGAAATAATAACAAATAAAAAAATTCAATTTGTTTGTTTGCTTATTTATTTTATGATAATATCTGATTATACCTAATACTATATTATTCATTCTTTAGTAATTTGAATTTTAAACGTTAAGTTTCTTAATTTAAATGACTTTTCTTAATAATAAATAAATGTAAATGTATAGAGATATTTAGCTTCTGTTAAACTAATATTATAAATCTATCAATCTAAAATATTCATTCATTTATTTATTCAATATACATCTATGATTGGTTTAAATTTTTATAATAAGATAATAAAAATTTTAAAGCTATTTTTCTATTTTTTTATTAAAGATATTTGTAAAATTATTTTCTTCACAAATTTCTCAATGAATGAATTTAAAGATTTTAATATTTAATTTGTAAAAAGAAGCATTAATTATAATAATTTCTACTATAAATACATATTATAAAACATTAAATCAGACTTCTTGAATTTTTGAGTTATTACAAATTAAGCTTTTTTAAAATGATTATGATTTATTTATTTCTTAAGTATCTTAAACCTCTTGCCCATCTTGTGCTTCTTATTCGTCTAATAATTTATTTATTTAATATTTTAAGTAGTTATTTTAATATTTACCTTGGAAGGTCAACAAATTATTCATTTTAACTCTTTTAGGATAAAATAGCTAAAGAATCAATAATTAAGCTAAGAAATATCCAAACATTTTATTTAGATTAAAAATAATTCCTACTCTAATTAAATTAATAATGTTAATTGTAATTAATATAAAATTAATTTACTCAACTCTATCTTAGTTTAAAAATTCTGAGTTTTATTTGAGATTGTACCTTGGATCTACAATTAGATATAAGTTTGTTACACATTTAAATAGCCCAGTTAGGCATAATGGAATCAAATAGTATAATATCTGCATTTTTAATAAATTATTATTAATTTTCAAATGAAAATTTGTTTACCTTTTGCTTGAATTAATATTCAATGTCATATATATTTTTAACAATTTAGTAGAACTTATAGCTAATTACAAAAAAGCCAATTATTTATATTAATGAGCATACTAATATTGAATAATGCCTATTTTAAAACAAATAATTATAGTTAATTTATCAGTGATAAAAATCAAAGCAAAGTTAAAAATTAAATATTGTTTTACATAATTGTCTAGTAGTAGAAATTCTCTTATATAGAAATATGTGTATTTTCATAAATTATTAACCCTATACATACAAAAAAGATAACACTATAGCTTAACACTATAACAATCTATATAATCTTATTTATTCTAACGAATAGTTTATATTCTTATATCTGTTCTACTACTGTCAACCTATTAATTAAATTATTAAAGCCATATTTTTAAAAATAATAACTTACCATCTCAGAGTAACCAATAAGTACAACACAAAGTAGAAGAATGTAATAATCATATATCCCATATTTAAAAGATTTATTTTTTGTAATGTAGATTCATATAGGGTATAAGAAACAGGATCGTATAAGTCCTAATCACAAAATGCAGTTAATATTGATATTTGTATCGCAATTAAATCTATTTATTCATATTATTTAAATATAAGCATTATAAAATACTGAATAAGCATTTAAGTAAATTAACTAATTGTTTTTTTTAAATGAAAAAGCAAATTAAAAATTAGCAATAAAATTTACTCAACGATATTGCTAAGCATGTAAAATGTATGTAATATATTTGTTTATAATATTTAGATCCTTATTCTTTGAAAATAAGTCTAATTTTATACAGAGCCCGTATTTGATATATTAAAAATAGGCACTAAATAACCAAAATAATAATATTTTCAATCTTTTATAGAGTATTTGTGCATTCTATATCAGCAATCAATGGTTAATAACAGTCACCACTCTCTTCATCACAACCACTATTTGTCATTTCTAAATATAGATTGCCTTTAAATGGAGCAATAATGATTTTACTATTTTTTTTAAAGGAATATTAAGAACAAGTTTAATTTGAAATATACAAGTTAAGGTTTAGATTAATAAGCATATAATTTTTTGTAAAAATATATGTATCTTTAACTTTAAATTTCAATTAAAATATTCTTTTACATAAATCGTTGCTGTAATTCGTATTATTAATTTAATATTCCTCAAATACTTAACTAAATTAAAAAGTATGCGATAATATTATTCATTATTAATTTTAGATTATAAGGTGATCCATTTACAGATTTTTAATAGAAATAAATCTTTAGAAAATTAATTTTCATTTTATCATATTTGTTAAGTTACTTAAATTAAAGATTTCAAATTCATTTTTTTGTGAAAATATCTTTTTAGTAATTGGAATTTTAGTTTTTTAATTCAAAAATTTATAGATTTTATTAATAGTAGATGAAAGTTAATATTCAAAATCATGAATTACTACCTTTAATCATGCATGATTATTGGTTAAGCAATTTTTTAAATTTTTTAGAGCAAACCAAAAAGTAATTAATTAAAATACTATTTTTTTAAAAAATTATGTTTAGATTAAAAATTTAGGAATTTAAATAAATTGAATTATGAGCTAGTTTTATATTTGATAATGAAATCATAATAAATGATACTATATTTCTTGATATAATTTTATGTCTAATAAATACTATTTGTAGTTTTTTGATTTTTTAGTTATCAAATTTTTTAAATTATTGAAAATTAAGTAAATAACATTCATAAAAATATTTCATTTTTAAATTTATTTATTTATTTAATTTAAAGGATAATTTTATTATAAGAGATCCAGACAGACAGACATCGAGATACTTTAAAAATATAGAACTTACTAATTTTAATTATATTTTAATTGTGTAGTTAATTAAGTTTGGAAAACATTTAACTTTTTATTTTTTAGTTAGATAATTTATAATAAATTTTAATATATTGAAATAGATTATTTTTGTTTTCAAAAAGCTTGTCTAGTAGTAGCAGTGTTCATATAAGGACGAAGTACCCATTCTTTGGTAGCTTCTGTTTAATCTAAAGTTCCTAAAGAAATTTAATAAGGTTTTAATTCAAAACGAGGACCAAGTTCAATAAGATCTACAGTTTTGTAATCAACTTTATCATGGACATGATGTCTAACAGATATAAGATCACTATTATTTGAGAAAGTAATTACTTTCTTTGAATCGTGCTTTGGAACTGGGAATAAGTGCTTTAAAATTGAAGTAATTCTTTCTCCTAAGGGTGAATTGAAGTTGTTGAAGATTAAATGAGGATTTTATTTGCTAACAGCATCTAGCTTTTCAGTTTTTAAGTCGTGACGTAAGACAACATTTTTAATACCTAAATATAGAGTAGGACCAAGAGGAAAGTGAGTAATAATCATACCATCTGGTTCACCTCTATGTTCGTGTAAAATAACTAAATCTGTCACATTCTTTTATATACAATATCTACTTAACTCTTTAACTACAGTTTGACCTCTGTTCATTCTTTCACTATTAGGGAAGAAAGAGACAAGTTCCTATATTTAAAAAATTTTAAGTTAGATTAAGCATTGAACTCCTTTTATTTTAGTTATTGATAAATAAATCATAATAATTTAGCTGTTTTTTTATTGAGATTTTCATTCATATTTATGAGATTTTTTAATATTTTTGTAAAAATGCTAAAATTTTTTGCTTTACCTTTTAAAAATTAACTAATCTTGGAGAGGGATCTCTGGAGGTAGTAATTAAAATCATAGGTTCTCTGTATTCAGCTGTGGCGTATTCATCATCGATATGATTTCTAGGAACTTTAAAAAAAAAATAAATACAAATATTCTACTAAGCAGCAGAAAATATTGCTAAATGAATATTATTTTAAAAATTTACTAATTGTATTGATGTCATTTGTTTATAATTCTTTTTTCAAGCTTTCAGATTCCTTGTATAATTCAGTTGGTATACTCTTATTCACTGTTTAATTAATAAATAATTTTTAATTGCATTGATTTGTATTTCATCGAGATAATAATTCTATTCTCAATAACACTAATAATGTGTATTACTTGCAACTGCATTCTTAATTTGAATTTTTTGTTCATATTTTGATTTAGCCTTCTTCTCTTATTCCATATTGAAGAGATATTCTCTTCTCATTCTGATATTTTTCCTAAGCATTTTGAGATAGTCCTAAAATTTATTCTATTATTTACTATTATTATGATTCTTAAGTTTTGCTTAATCTAGTTTATTAATTACTAACTATTAACTAAATGTATCTTTCAATCAAATTTCTATTTATTTTTTGTTTTATTTTCAATTCTTTTCATTCATTCTAATTTAGCTCTAATTAAAATTGTATGTATATATATATTTTTTGCTTCTGATAGCTTTCTCACATCTATCTGAAAATAACACAAATATACCAGTCAAACAAATTTCTAATACTGAAAATTTAATTCTACATAAGCAATGTTGCCATTTAATTTTTTTTGTTAAATTTCAAAAATTATTTTAAAATAAAATATTTATATTTTTGATAGATTTAAGATTAAAAAAATACATTTTATTATTGAGTATTAAAAAATTTTATTTTCAGAAATAGTTTTTTAATAATAATAGAATCGTAATTTAATTGTATTAATTATTTCAAAACTATTTAAACTTTATTGTTATCTTTTATAATCAAATTATTAAAATTTTATTACTTTTTATATCTTGATTTCATAATATATTTATTTGAAATATTTTAATTAAAAATTTAATATTAATATAAAAATCTTTGTATTCTCTAAAAATAAGTAGTTTATTCTTTAAATAATTTTTTTATGAAATAAATTAACCATCTAAAAATTTATTGCAATTTTGGCACAAAAATTAGGATTTATGCTCATAATTATTATTTATTAATAAATAGAATCAAAATCTAAATATACACATACATGATTACATATTTATTTATTTATCTTTAAAATCAATTAAAATTTTTTATTTATATGCATTAAAATCTTATCATTTATTTGTTAAATCCAACTAAAATATTATTTATTTATTTTAGCATTTTAATTTTTTATAAATATTGAAAAAATCTCAAAAAATATAGAAATACTTTCAATAGTAATTTCCTTTTTCTCTTATTAACTTATTTAATCTTTTCTCTAAAACACTTCCAGGTTTTATTTGTTGTTAAAAATTCATTTTGGGCTTATCTGTCTTTTCCATTAGATACTCTATTCTCAAATTTCTTATCAAATTCGTTTCATATTTTTAAATAAATTCTTCATCTGAAAGCTCTTTTTATGTTTAATTCTTTTTAGTTGTAGTAATTCTTTTTTATGCATTGACTGCTCCTATCTTTCCTATTCTTTCGTTTGCTTCTATTCTGTCTTTCTAAAATTTATTTATTGACTTTTCTAGTCTAAAACGCATAGATGGATTGTGCTTGCATTTCTCAATAAAACTCTTTATTTCATTTTGAGCTTCATTTCTCAAATGGCTAATTTCTTAATTTAGTTCATGCATATCTGGATCATATGGAATGTTTCTTATAAGTTATTTCTTTTTCATTTTATTTTTATATGCTTTTTCTTCTTCTGTCATGTTAAAATCGTCCTCATCTGATGAAGAATCACTTAAATCCAGAGGCATTAGACCTTTATCTTTACGAAGGGAATCTATTTTCTCAAATATGTTAACTAAATTGTTTACTTGGTCTTGCATTTATTTTTACTATTTAGCTTTATTATCTTCAAAAAGCTGTTGAGCTTTAGATATTTAATTGTTCTATATATAATTTGCATTTGATGTAGATACAGCCCTTTTACTTCTTTATTACTGTAAATTTTTATTATTTGAGCCAAAATCAAAGCTTTTATCTCTAATATTATATCCACTATCTTCGTTTAGTGAATAATTTCCTATTAAACTTCTTTTACTGTTATTGTTATTAGAATTATTTTAGCTTAAAAAATAAGGATCATATTTAAGTTATCTCATATTATTTATTAGCCATTCACAATAGCTTGCTAAATCAAATCTAGCTGCATTACCATCTTTTGAATCTTTTGCAATCATAGCAACATCAGATTTTAACTTTTACTATTTTACATCAGATTATATCTCTGCAATACCAGATTTTGTAAAATTCTTTAGATATTTGGAGTATTTGCTTTAAAAGCATCCATACTCAAATCCCTCGTGAAGTTGAAATTCATTTGGAAAAAATCCCATAATCCTTAGAATTTCATAAAGAGCTTTAACTGTCATCTAATCAACACCAAAATCATATTAAGCAGTCTTTTTAGCCTCTAAAAAACATTTTTCTATGTATTTTTAAGGTTCTTTTTGTTTTTTAAAAAGATTCATATTTATGGGACACAATTATTTTGCAGGAGGTATTTCAATAGAGCTGCCTCCATAAAATTAAATCATAAAATATCAAAGTATTCTATTTTATTAATTTCTTCAATACACAACTAATATTCTTATATATATTTTTTAATAAGATTAATTAAGCATAATTATTGATTTTGAGCCAATTAATATTTTATTCAATTAAATCAGAAATTTTAGTTAAAATTTAATATTTTGGCTAATTTATAAAAATATTTATGTGTTTTTTATTTATAACAATTACACTTTCTTTATTTAATTTTAACACAATAATGTAGAGAAAAAACATTTTATTTTAAACATTTATCAGAAAATCCTTCATCAAAGATATTTCAATTTAAGAAAATATATAACATTTAAATAAAATAGTAATAGATTTTTTTTTTCTAGTTTAAATAAAATATATTTTTAATTTAATAAAAACATACAACATTAAAATAAAATATAGTAATTGATTTATAATTATTTTATTAAAAAACAAAGTGTCATTTAGCAAATACTGATTATATCTTGAATTAGTTTATATGTTAAGCATCAAATTATTTTTAATTAAGATTATTTATTCCTCTTGCATTTTAGTTTATGCTACTAATTTGTAAAATTGAAGAAGCATCATCACCATTTAGATTCATGTTAATTCTATTTTTCTTGTGCTGATTTTATGTCAATTTAAAATTGTTGGCTGTTTTTGGCCTATTTATTGAGTTCATTTAAAGTTTAGGTTCAAAGCTAGGCATCATATTAACATAAGAATTAGAAGGCAAAAATGAAGAATTTTCTAAACTTTGCTGAATATGAAAGCTCAAAGCTTAATCTTTAGCATATTTTTCTTTTAAAAATTTATTTATTTAAACAGATTAAGGTCTTGAAATTTTTTTTTTATTAGCACTCTATAAACTTCTAACCATAATAAGAGACGAGTCATTTATGTTGCTTTGATAACTAAAGTTAGTAATATTATCATGAAACTTATTATTTATTTGTATTATATTTGGAGGACTGTTAGAATAATCTTCAGATGCTTCATTTTTGCTATTTTATTTTTTTAAATTTTGATTATTTCTACTACATTTCTAAAAAATACTTTCTATTTTTTTAATTTGCTTTTAAGAAGATTATCTTTCTGTGGTTTATTCTTAAGCATTATAAAATTTGCTAACATTAAAACTTGACTGTACATTATTTTATGATGACAAATCAGTTTATTGTTAATTTTACATCTTTAAGCATTACAAAGCTTAGTTTTGTGATAATGAAAAATTCTAAGGCTATTATATAGTAAATTATTTTTATTATGACTATTCATAAGTACTCTGTGATAATTGGCTCTATGCATTATATTAAAATAAACTTGATTAGTATTCTTGTAATTGTGAATGGAATAAAGGTGATTCAGATTATATTAAAGGAGAATATTGTCTATTTAAGTTTAAAAAAGCAGAAAAATTTTAATTCATTTTTGAAGTATTAGAATTATTTAAAGAATCATAATAGCTATATTAAGATATCGGTGTTTATAAGCTAGTTTATATAGCTTAACTATTTTAACTTTTAAATTTTTATTTCGAACTTGTAAATATTTTAGATTTGTTATGGATTTAATTAGATTTATCTAGATTGTGTTTAAATTTTTTCTTCAAAATAAGAACTTACTTATATTCATCAACTTATTTTTAAATTTGCTTAAAATAGTTTTGGCAGTTTTTTTCTATGAATTCTTTATTAGATTCTGATATTAACTTGTATTTTTCGATGATATCGGCACACTACTTATAAGGATTATCTGACGAAATAAAATCCTCTCTTAGATCAGAAAAAGAAGGAGGTTTTTTTTAAATGAGTTTTCCATTTTTCAATTCGAAGTCCTCATTCAGTTTTAATTCTTAGGCTAAAAACTCTTCCTGAACCAGTAAGCTGTCTTAAGAGTGCCTTAATTTATTATAAAAATTATTTCTTTCAGTTGACTATGCTTTTTTAAGAGAGATATTATGATCAAAAGAATTAAGGTTTAGTTATTGCCTTAAATCTTTTATATTAAGTAATTATTAGCTATTTGATCTATCTTTACTATTATTCATCATTTTCACAGACTAGTTATTTCTATCTTTTTAATCTTTTTTCTATTATTAATAAAATTATTTTTAAGTATTATTTTTTTGCTAAGGTGTTGCTGTTGGGTCTACCTTCTACTAAAAGCTAATATTGCTTTTTTAATTATTAACTGATTTAAATTCTATATATTCTGACTGTTAACTATTTTGCTGTTTGTAAGGTATTTTTTTTAGTTCATAATTAGTTTGAACTTAATTTTGAAAAGTCTTTGTACTTTCTCCAATTTCATCAAATGAGAGTTATCTATAATATTTCTCATAATTTTTATTTCCATTAGAGTCAAGTTGTATTAAATCTTAATCTTAATCATTTTAACTTTCAATATTATAAATTTCTAACTATCTTGGTGAAACAGATTTTTCTGTATCTTTTATTAAATTTTTAGCCTACTATTATATGTGAGATTTTTATATGTTAATTTCTTAACCAAATTTAATTAAATCTTAACTTTATTGATTAGAAAGTTTACTTTTTAATACCTTTTTATCGACATGCTAGGAAATAGGTGTAGATTATTCGTTAAAATAATTACTATACAGAGATTGTGATTTTAGTTGATCTACATTTTATACCTAACTTTCTGAGATTTTTTATTATTTGGAGGATATTTAATAAGGAGAGTCTTTATTAATTTAAAAATTCTTAGTTTTAAAATTAGTTTCTTAATTTTATTTAATAAACTATTAAGGAGATTAATTAATTTCTTTATTTGAGTTAATTTTTTATTTACTTGGTCTGAATTTAAGCATATTATTTACAATTGATTTTAAATATGCTTGGGATTTTTAGTTTTCTGTTTCGGGAACAAAATAAATTTACATTTTTTAATTTTTTTAACAGGATTTTAGCATTAAATTAGTTTCTTAGTTTTCTATCTATTAATTTTACTTTTAATTGTTATTATTATTTTGTAAATTATTTACAAACCCATATTTTGAAATATTTTTTATTTTATCACTCTTGTTTTAAATTAAATTTTACATTTTCTCTTATTGAGAAAAATCTGTATTTAAGCTATTTATTTGCATAGGATTTAAAAGTTGCTTAATTTATTCTAGGTGCTGTATAATAAATTTTGAGCGTTGCTATCCTAATTCAGTTAGAGTTTGTGCTATTTAATAGTTATTGTGGGTTTATTAAACTTCTTCTATTGCTTTCTTTGTTATTCCGAGTAGTTAGAGCTTATTTGTTGTGCTTATAAATCTTATATTTGAATTCTCAAAATCTTCACCAAATGATGGTGCATACTTTTCAACTCCTATAATAGACTCTTAGCTAAGCGAAAAGATATTATAATCTGAACCATTCTAAGTTTCTTTTACTAAAATAGTCCCATCATAGATGATGAAAAATGCTATTTAGTTAAGATTTTATTCTATGTGATTCACATGTAATGATTTTTTAAGCTAGCTTGACCCTAAATGGGTTTAAGAGTTAAGTGAATAAATTTCTTAATTTAAATCATAGAACATTGATTTAAATTACTGAGCTAATGCCAACAAAATAGTTTTATCTACACTGCTAAACTAATTATACAGGACTCTTAATAGAAATTTTATTTTTTAAACTTCTTTATTGAATACACTGTAGAAGTCCTCTCCAGTTATGATTAAAAATTAGCAGTCTGATTCAGCTATCATCGTATGTATAGGACGGGTGTTGTAAAGATTATTTGAATAACCAAAAATATCTACTCTTCGATTATATATTTTTTCAAAGCAGGCCGTGTTAATTCCATCTTCGTTTTTGAAAATAGAAGATAATTTAAAATCATATTTTTATAAGATATTAAGTTGTTTTCTCATTTATTCCAGCTCCCTTTCCCATTAAGGTATTTTTTTATTGTTCTCTTGTTTATTTTTTTTATCCTATTTAAGCTATGTTTCAAATTCTATCAGTTTTTAAAGTTTTTCAATCTAGTTGATTATATTTTTCTCTTAGTCAATGCTTTCTTTACTTTTGCTTTTCCATGAACTTACTTTACCTTTCATGATAAAGTAAATATAGTCATTTTTTTAGCTTTTCCTGTAAATAGCTTCACCTTATTTGATACTTTTTATCTTTAAATGTGGAATAAGTTAAGCAATTACATTAGAATCTCCTTAGTACTGTTTAATTTAATTATTGATGTATGTAAATCCCTAGAGATAATCACAAATAAAGTATAAATCCTATTGATCTTTTAAAAAAGATTTAGAATTTATTATTGATTCCACCTTAGAGACTTCTTCTTGCTCTTAATTTTAAGTGTTAAGCTCATTCATCTTTTAAAAAATGCTAGTTAAAATTGTTTGTTTTGAGAGCAAAAAGAAAAGTTAATTCTACTTATTTTTTAATTTAATTAAATCTTAATGAAATCATCAAAGTAACCATTAAATTTTTATCACAAAAGCAATAATTGATAATCATTAAGATTTGATAAGCATTAGTTATTTAGCAAGTTAAATGCTAACTTTGTGTGATTTAAAAAAAATAAATATAACAAACTAATTAATTAAATTTTTATCTAGAGTTTTATGGTGGTTTTTTTAATTTTAAAATAATAAATAGAAAATTAAAATATAAATAAAATAATTTATAATTTTCTAAATAAAGCAAAAAAGAAATAATCAGTAGGCCTAAATTTGATTTCATATTTGTTATCATAATCCTTTAACAACCATCATTTTATTTCTAATACATATATAATATTTAGTTTTTTAATAAATTAGGTAACATTTATTTTTAACCCTCAATTATTTTTATATATCTGACTTTATGGGTTTCTTTAATTATGAAGTTTAATAAATTAATTAAATGCAAGATGGAGCAATAAATATCAATGAGTAAAACTGTAATAATTAATTAAATAATAAATGAACTAATTTTCAAATAATTAATGAGATAGCTTGAGCGAAACAGAATATTTCAAAGAAATACCTTATAATATATATAGTAAACAACTATTAATGTTATAATTATTTATTTATTTATAAATTTATATTAGCATTAATAAATATATTTATGCCAATTTTATTATATAGTTTTTTTATGAAAGATTTTTATTTTCTAATTATGCATTTGAGTGATCTTTTGATTACAAAAGATCATTCTTTTTAATATATTTCAGCTTTTCATAGCTCTTCTGATTTTTTTTAATTTAATACAAGGTTTTAATATTAGCCATTTTTAAAGTTACTAATGTCATCTCTGGGGAACTAAATATCATTTTCTATTAAGAGATTTTCCAGTTATTAATTTCTCTAAACTTGATATTCTAAAGACTCTTCTGTTTCTCTATGAATACGGTCGTATGCATCCAGCTCTTCCTAAAGCTGAATTATAGTTTCATCTCTCTCATTTAATCTAGTTGTAAGAGCAATCATTATATCTCTTTATTTTAATAAAAGCTATCTATAACGGTCAACTTAAGCCTTATCTTCAGTAATTTATTCTCTTTCTTTTTCAAGGTCTTAAAGGCGTTTTTCATATTAGCACCTGATTATTCTTTACTATTCTTCCAATGCATTTCTAAATTGAGGAGTATCTTCTATCTTTTAACCACCTACTAGAATTTATGTGTTAATGCTTCTTATCTTTTCTTCAAGTTTCTTCTTTTCTTCTCTTTCTTAAAAGAATTCTTTGGAGCGTTTTTCAAGTGCAGCCATTGCGTTTTTCTTTTCTAACTCTGCCCTTTTCTTATCTTCCTCTAGTTGAATGAGACGAGATTTATCAATAAGCATCTTATTTCTTTCTTCTAATTCTTATTTCAATTTTTTTAATTCTATTTCATATTTTCTCAACAAAGCTCTTTGATCTACGTCCTCATTTACAATAGGTTAATTCTTAATATTTTTTGCTCTGTTTGCAAATTTCAATGAACTTAAACTCTCACTGAATGCTTCTAGAGCTGGTGAAATCATAGCCATCATAGTAGTCTTACAGTTACCACCCAACGAATCTTCTAATAATCTGGTAAGCTAAATTTATTTGCATAAATAATTTTAATTAGAATATAAACAATAAATTAATTTACCTTTGAATCTCTATAAGGAATATGGGATTTAGGGGATTTAGAGTCTGTCAAAGCAGAAATTACATTACCAAGACAAGAAAGAGATTAGTTAATTTTCTTGCATTCCTCTAAACGCTTTCCAGTAGCACCTGTGACTCTTACTCTTTCGCTACCTGCTAAATCAACTAAATTTAGCTTTCCTACTCTAATTTATTTGGAGGCTTGAGAAGCTTCATCTCCATTAAATGTCATTTATTCTACAATGATTATAAAAACAGCATGAGAACGAGATGAAACATCATTCATCTTAGTAGCAGCTGTTCTTCTAAATTAAGCACCACGTTAAATAAGTGAGAATATTTCAGTGGGATTTCTAACTGCCCATTCTGATAATCCATCAACAAATACACCTCTTTTTTTATCTTCTCTGATTAAAAGATTGTTGCGATCAGTTCTAATTAAATCACTTATAACTTCGTTATAAATTTGCAGATAGCTTGCTCTGACCATAAATTAAGTCTTTAAATTAAAAACAAAAAAATTGAAAACAAAATTTTTGTTTGATTTAAAAATTTAAAAATCATTATTCTTTACTCAATCTGAATTTAACGATTTAAAATCAATAAATAAATAAATTAAATATTTTTTGAAAAGCAAATTCATTTTAATTATTTAAAAATTGTATTAGTTTTTACGCTTTCGTTAGAGCAATTCTCGATATATTTGAAAATCTCTTCAATCGAACGAGGAATAATACCTCTTTGAGGATCCATTGAGTTATACTTAAACCCTTCCATTGTGAAAGTTTTACCTGTTCCTGTTTAACCATAAGCCATAATAGTAGCATTAAACCCTTAAAGTACATTCATAACTGATTATTTAGCTGTGTTTTCGTATACTTCTTCTTGAGTTGAGTCTTAATCATAAACATTGTCAAATGAAAATTGATGCATAGTATAATTATTTGCATTATTCAAATAGTCTTATAGCTGTTCTGGTTCTACAAGTTCTATATTGTAGTATTCATAAATACAAATTTTTTTGCCGTCGGGGGAAACTTAAATCTATATTTAAAATTTATTTCATTTTTGTATTGAGATTTCTATAAGTTAGTTAGTTAAAAAGTGAGTGAACTATCTTTCAAATTAATTTACTGTAGAAATGAAGCGGCCATCTTCGATTTCTCTTGGTAGAGGAGGACGAACTCTTACAACTACTTTGCAATTATCTTTGTTTGTGCTTGATGGAGCTCCGCTCATGCTCATATTATTCATATTTGATTGGTGAGAAAATCCACTTGTATTAAGCTAATCCTTTTTTAGTATTACAAATTAAAAATTACTATTGTGCTTTCTTGGTTAATCTAAGATAATCTAAATGGACTGTCAAAGAATGCTAATTTTTTACCTTTTGAAAGTTATTAATCATTTACTACTTAGACCTATTTTTTAAACTATTTATAAAATTCTATTTTATTTTGAGAAACAAGTTAATGTCAATTGCTTATTTAAAATATCAACACCGTTCTAATTTGATTTTTTTTTTTTGATTTTTGGTTTTTTTATCTGATTGACTGTATGAATGTATTAGATTGTTTATTTTAAATTTAATAAATATAAACGGATTTGCCTAAAAATATATATTGCCTGTATATTTGATTATCACATAAATATTGAGTTCGTTCTTGCTTGCTTGTAAATATTGATTCACAAGCTTTTTTATTTTTGAATTCAATTAAATTTTGATTTTTATTGTCGTTGGTACTTTATTTTCATTATTTATAAAGGATTCGCTGTTATGTTTAAGAGTGTTTATAATTTTCAAATCTTAAGAAAACGATTGTGCAATCCAAAGAGCTATTATTATTCAATTTTTTTGCTTACTTCCATAAAATACATTAAACATATCATTTATTTTACTTAATTTAAAAAAAAGTGATTATTTTTTAAAATTAAAAATTTCTAAAATTATTTTTTAAATTAAAAATATGTCAAAAAATAGATATTTAAGCTTATGATAAAAAAAATGATTAAATCAATCAAAATATATCAATTTTTTTTTAATTATGCATATTCGAAAAGATCAATCAAATCTTTTGTAAAGCTATTTCCTAATTTAATTTTCATGGACTATACTTAAATAAATTTGTATGTAAATTAATTTTTTTATCAGAAACAATATATCAATAAGTATTATAGAATATTTATGGAAGATAATTTATATAAAAAATAAAAGTTTATTTAAAATCTGCTTTATTATGAATCATTTCTATTATTTATGTTAATATATATATATATATCTCTATATAAATTTAAATATCAAAAAAAAAATATTGATTTGATAAATATTAAACTAAATTTTATGCATATAAATAGTTTTTAATACTCCTTTTACAATAAATAATCACACAAGTATAAAAATAGGTAGTATTATAATTCTAATAAAATATTTAACTATGTGAAAAAATCAAATGAAATTAATAATGTAATAAACTTACTGATAAATTATAATCTATTATGTTCTTTTTTAGATTTAAATATTGATTTATAGTGAATATTAGTGTATATATTTAATATATTAAAGTGATGAATTTGTTAGCCTAAGTAAGTTGATTGTTGCTAAAAGTATCATTTGAATGAATTTTTGTAAAGTTAGCTAGCGCTATATATATTATGTGCATTAATTATGTATAAAAATCCAAAGTTATTAAAAATATATAATTTTAATTAATATAAAAAATATCTTTTGTCTATCAATAGCTTTAAACATACAAAATAAGTATAGCATACAAGCAAAAAAAAAGAAAAATGAATCAATAAGATAACGAAAATAAAATTAACTTCTCAGCCTAGAGTGTTCGTTATATTTGTGGATGTAAAATATTTTTATTTTTTATTTTTAGTTAAGCAAAATAGCTTTTTTAGAGATTAGTAGCCTCATTAAAAACAATAAACTAAAAAATTTTTTAATATTTAGATTGTGGAGAAGAAGTTGTTTTAGAAGATGCCTAGAGAACTAGAATTAAATGTTCTCGCTGCGCAAGAAATATTCTTTACAAAAAGAGACGTTCAGATTAAAAATTTTTCTAATATGAAGCTATTTGAAAGAATTGGTTTTATAAAAATTTAAATAATTATCTGATTATACTTCTCTATTTACTTACTGATTAATGAAAAATAAGACTAACAGCGATACTATGATATGGAGTTAGTTCAGCTGAAGGATAGTTAAATTTAGCTTGATAGTAAATATATAAATTAAATTTACAGGAAAATTACTACTACAAATAAAAATAAAAGTTATAAGGTGGCATCTATATTTACAAATATTAATAATTTTTTACATTTAGTAATTATATAATGCATTTGTTTATATATAAAAAAAATATTAGTTTCTAGTTTTTAAAAGTTTTTAGTATTTTAATTTTAAAGAATGTTTTAGAATTAAATATCTTGAAAAGTATTTTATTATTTTTTTTAAATGCTGACATAAAAATTTTAATTTTTAAAGAACTGAGTTGAATCCTAAATTATTTGGTTTATATTAGAAATTATATGTTATTTTTATAGAAGAAATTAATTGACTTTTTTTGTATCGGATTTGATTATTTAAGTTTGATTTTATTAAATTAGCTGATCATTAAAATAAAATAGAAAGGACCAGAGAAATTAAATTCATCTCAATATTATTGTGATTTGCTTGTCATTCATTTCAATATAGATCTAATAATAGAAATGAAAATTTAATTGTAGTCAGATTTTTAAGAAAATGAAAAAATAATTTGCATTAAGTAAATCATTTAATGAGTTAAATAAAATTAAGAAGAGAATTCTTTGATAAAGAAAAAGGTAGGTATGTATGTCTGTATATATGTATGTATGTAGGTAACTAAGTAGGTAGGTTGGGTTGTTTGAAGAGGAAAAATTTATTTGAAAAACAAAGAGAGTTATCAAAAATAAAGAAAAAATAAATATCTCAAAAAAACAAAAGAGTTAAAACAAAAAGCAAAAAAGAAAAGAAAAAACTTGAATTAAAATTAAAAGGTTAAGAAATTGAAATGGGAGCTTTGGACATAGATCAGTACTTAGAAAACTTAAAAAAGGGTAAATACTGCCTTCCTGAAAGAGATTTGAGACGCATTTGTGAGAAAGTCAAGGAATTACTTGCTGAAGAATCAAATGTTTAACCAGTTAACTCCCCAGTTAACATTTGTGGTGATATCCATGGTTAATTCTTTGATGTACTTGAATTATTTAGAAAGGGAGGTGATCTTCCTGAAAATAAATACATTTTCATTGGTGATTTTGTTGACAGAGGCCATAATTCAGTTGAAACTATTGAATATCTCCTCTGCTTGAAGGCTAAATACCCTTAATGCATCACTCTTCTCAGAGGTAATCACGAATCTAGATAAACTACTTAAGCTTATGGCTTTTACGATGAAGTTTTGAGAAAGTACGGTAACATTAACCCTTGGCACTATTTCACTGAAGTCTTCGATTACCTCCCCTTGGGTGCTATCGTTGATGGATCTGTCTTCTGTGTCCATGGTGGTCTTTCTCCCGATATTAAAACTGTTGATTAAATCAGAGTTATTCACAGAAAGTAAGAAATTCCCCTCGAAGGTCCCTTCACAGATCTCTTATGGTCAGACCCTGTAAGAATTTAAAAAATTAAAGTTTATTTAGATAATTTGGAAAGAATTTAGTTAATTTTGATTAAAAGAATTGAGAGTTTTATTTCATTCATTAGTATGGAGAGCTTACTCTTAAACTAAATAAATGATACATTTTTTTTGAGATAAAATTTAAAAAGAAATTTTATTTTCCTCTTATGGCAAATAAATAATTAAATATTTACAACTTTTAAAATAAAAATAAAATCCAAAACTTGGTATTTATTTATTTTTAACTCCATTCAACCATCATATTTATTTAAAAATTAGATGTTTTAAAACATTTTATTCATTTCCTAATAACATTTGCTTAGGATTTTCACAATTTACTTTAGAATTGTTGGAAAATTGCAAAATTTTAAATATAAAATTTGATTTTGAATTAGAATAAAAAATAAAAAAAATTTTTGTTTTCTTAATATTAAAAATACTTAAAATATTTTACTATCTAAAATAGGATGATGTTGGTTCTTGGGCTATGAACAGTCGTGGTGCTGGTTGGTTATTCGGTGATAAAGTTACAACTGATTTCAACCACATAAACGGTTTCTAATTAATATGCAGAGCTCACTAACTTGCTCATGAAGGTTATCAATACTGGTTCAATGAGAAAAACTTAGTTACAGTTTGGTCTGCTCCTAACTATTGCTACAGAATGGGTAATAAAGCTTCTATCCTCAAGCTTGATGAACAATTAAATACACACTTCGAAATCTTTAACGAAGTTCCTGAATCAAGCCAAGCTGTTCCTCCCAGAAAAGCTCTTCCTTATTTCCTCTGATCAAACAGAAAATAAGAACTAAATTCTAAAATTAAAAATAAAAAATATATAAACTCTAGTGATTCAAATAAAAATCACATAAAAATATTAATACAAATTTATCTCTTTTTAAGCCATCATAAAAACTATTGAATTACAATAGCTACATGCATGATGGTTTAATAAAGAGAAGGTATTATATAAAAATAGTAACCATTATAAATATAATCTTTCTTACAAAATAACAACAAACAAATAAAAACTACAAAGCTTACTTACGTGCTTTGATATTAAACAAAATATATTAACACAAAGAGAAGATTGGAAGCCAAATTAATTACTTAATTAGCTTCCATTTTATACCCTTCTCTTAAATCTTAAATAAAATGCATCTTTTACAATCAAATAACAGACTTTGAATCCTCATAGCTAAATTTATTAGCTCATAAAAAATTGGACTCATCTTTTTATTACATGAAACTAAGTAGCTTCTAAAATGGTTCTAAGCTTTCTTAGTTAGTTTTATGAGATAAGCTTTTTTCCCATTTTTCTTCTTTAGGGAAAAACTTAAAAATAATTATTCTAATTTACTCAATTTTTGATGAAATTATTAACGTAGTAATCATTCTTTCTTGCATCATCATACTAAATGTTAGTAAACTCAATTTTCTTTCGAAAAAGATTTACTCACAAGTAATTTTTCTTGCAATTAAGAATGGCAACACAACCAATAGCTTATCAATTAACTTCTCAGAATATAAAATTATGCAGTTCTCTCTCTAGTTACAAAAAAAGTAAGCTTCTTTTATCACAAGATGAGTGATTTGTAAAAAGTGCAAATTATTCTATATAATATTTTATATATAAATTTATATAATATAAGATAAACTATATCAATTAGCATTATATATTCCTATATAATACTTATCTTTTATTAAATAATTGAAAATAAAATTAAATAATTCTTCTTTATATTTTGTTTATTTATTAAGAATTTTGTTTGTTATTAATACTTAACTCACTCAAAAGAAATTAATTTAAAAACATTTATTATATTAGATGAATTGATTTTTTATGACCATCAAATTTTAAATATTTGATAATTAATTTACATGATGACTTAAAAATTTTTTGAAAAAAATGATGTAAAAGAATAATTAATTGTAAGTTTATTGCTAGCTTGTTGGTTATTAAATATTTAAAATTATTTTTAAAGTTGCAATAAAAATATTTTTACAAGAAATAAACAGATTTATTAAAAAATATTTTAAACAAATATCAAATTTTTTTTTATTCTTTTGATACATTATTAAATATTTAATCCTTGAATACTATTTAATATTTAAAAATTATTTAGATAATTATTTGAATATTTATTTCTCATATTACTATTTTAAGATAATAACAAAATTTGAATTATAAAACTTGAAATTTCTATTTAAATATCAGGATTTATTGAAATTTATAAATCTTTAAAAATGATAAAAGCATCAATACTATAACAAACAAACAAACACATTTATTTTATTTTAAAGATATGGTTGGATGGATCAATGAAATCTACAATTTTTAATTTACAAAAAACAGATTACCTAAAAATATTGATTGCATTATCTTTGAAAAGATAGATAAAAACAATATTTATTATTAATTAATTAGAGATTGATTATTTTTCATTTAATTCATAAATATTAAATGCTAAATAATAAATATAATTTTTACCAAGCAAATAGTTTCTTAAAGCAATCAAATATTTAAAGCTCAGAATATCAAAGCAAGAAAATGAACATAAATATCACTCCTTTATCTCTTTGTTCGTCTCCATCAAATAAATCTAACCCATAAAAAGGTAAATTCGAATTTATAATATCTCCTCTATTTGATTTAAATATATTTAAATTTATTATCAAATTATTAACAAAACAATAATTTTATAACTTTTAGTAGCTTAATCAAACTGATTTAAAATGAAAATCTTTTATAAAAATTTTATTTTTAACATATTAGGTTAAAAGCAATAAGAAAACAAGCCATTATCTGCTAAAAATAACACTTTAACAAAAAAATTAGCTCTTTTTTAATCAGTTTCTAATTTAAAAATTAAGGATTCTATAACAAAAAAGCGTAAGAGTGAGTAGAATTTGTTAAAAGGGATAAAGGGTGATAAAAATAATACCAATTAACCTTTAAATCAACCTTTTTTAACTCAGGTTTAGTAATAGAATCATGTCTTATAAAATATTTTTTATATGACAGAAGGTGATGAATTAAAAGAATCAAACTAAGATTATTTCTAGTAATAAAATGCATAGAAACGATAAAATCTTGACTTATAAAAAAATATTTTTACTAATAAGCAAAATTAAAACTAGGAATCATATAATCTTTAGATTTAGCAGGTAAAAATAATTTAAATATCATCAAAGAATTTTATTATTAATTTAAATAATAGGTTAATTTTTAAAAGCTAAACGAATATGACAATATAAGTTAGGAAGCTAATTAATAGGGATTAAGTAATAATTATTTGGGAGTCCATTTAAGGGCTAATGAAGCAGACAAAGCTTAATTTTAAAAAATAAAATAATTTTAAAACTCCTACTAAATGAATAATGAATAAGGATTGAAATTCCACAATAATTTTTCTAGTTCTACGCTTATTTTAAAGTAAAAATAAATAGAAAACGATATTTAACTCAAGAAAACATCAAATTTATAAACAGAAAATTATCAAAATATCATCTAATAGTAAATAAGGTAGAATAATAATATTTAGTATTAGAATAAGACCGAATAATAATAAAGTTTATCCCCAAACAAAAGCAGCTAATAACAACTTAAGAATTCTAAAATTTAAATAGATAAATAGTCAATAAATAATGAGCCAGATCTTTCTAACATATTTAAAAAATAGCAGCCTGACTATTCAAGTATTATGGAAATGCTAAGTAACAGGAATAAAGAAATACAAAAACTTAGCAACTATAAGTTAAATCTTTCTGAAAAACTTTTAGAGTTGAGAACTTAAGTTAATTAATTACAAAATGTCTAAAAGAAAAATTCTGACTAAGATTATGCTGAATAAGCTTCCAATAATCTAGTAAATTAAGAAGCAGATAATAAATTGACTATAGTTGATTTTATTAATTAATAAAAATAAAATTGTAACACCATAAACTAAGACGAAAAATAGAAAGAAATGGAGAGCGAAAGCTTAAATTAAAACGTAGAATTAAATTTTATAGAAAATTAATTTAAAAACTCAATGAATAAAGGATATTTTCAACATTTGAATAATCCAAACAACTTGTATATTTAAGGAACAACAGGAACGAATGACTATAATAGTTAAAATTAGGGTGTAAGTTTGAATATGATGCAATCCTTAACAAATGATGAAATAATATGCCCACTTTCAACTAAGAGTTAAGGAGTTCCCACTAGAGATAACATAATATAAAATTATAAGGTACACCATCTCTCTAATGATTTCGGTATTAACAAAGAAAATGTTTTATTTTCTTAAAGACAAAATGCAATCCTTTAAAATTCTGGCAAGAAAGATTAAAATTTAAACAACTCAAATAAAAAAAAGAAAACTAACAGCTAACCTTAAAAAGTCCCTAAATAAGCATAAGTGTTTAAATTTAATAACATTAAATCTGGTGATTGTTTTACTTCTAGCAATTAAGTACCCCAAAACCATGATATAGAAAACAATTTAAATTCATAGGAAGTCAATTTATAACCAGAAAATAATATAGCTGAATTAGTTAAATATCAAAACGCTCCTCTATCATCAAAAAGTGTAAAAATTGAATAATCTAACTCTACTTAGCTTTCATAGAAACATTTTGTATCTGTTGGAAATTAGATAAATCCTAATTAAATTATTACTTAGTCTAATAATAATAATAATTATTAAAATAATTTAAAAAAATAATCAGGTATTAGTTAATAATTTAATTCTCAACTACAATAAAACTCTTAAAACTATTAGTAAAAGCTACATGATTATAACTAGTAGTGCTATGTAAACCAAATTGCTGCTAAAACAAATGTTTCTTTAAAAAAGAGCTCTAAAGATTTTCTATTAGACAAACTGTAATTAGAAAATCAGCTCCAACAACAAAAATTATAAAACAAGAATCATTCTAATTTAAATATTCTTATAAATAATAACAATAATAACAACTAGAACAACTTAGCAAATTAAGCTCCATAAATTCATATCTATCCATAAACTACCTCATCAAAATCATTAAACTAACAAAATAAGGTCAATAATAATTCTCCTATATTTTATAAGTCAACAATTTAACTCTCTCGCTTGAATAAAAGTAAGAAAAAAATTGATCAAAATGGAGGTAATAGCGCTAGATTAAATGAATTTGATAGTCATAGAAATAATAAAATCCAAAGCAATTAAAATTTTAAGTGTAGTACAACTGAGAATTCAAAGATTTGTAGAAGATTGAGTACAAACGATAATAACATATAAAATAAAAGCTCAGAAAATATAATTATGAACTCAAATTCTAATAAAGCAAACATAAACGATAACTTATCATTAGGCAATGGATAGTATCTGTAAGATTAAAATTTGTAAATTGTATAGCAGTAAGTTAATTCAGCAACTTTAAGTAATGGTAATAGTACCTATTTCCCTCTAACAAAAAAAGAACTACCCTAAAATACTAATAAATAAACTAGCAATAATAAAATTTATCAATAAAAATCAAAAAATGCAAATTAAGCTACTCTAATATAATAAAAGTTATTGTTGTCTAATGCACAAAGTTATACAACTTCAAATAATTCAACCAATGGAAATACTTAGCATTATTCTTCAAATTATTAAAATCTATCGACCTAAGCAGAAAATGGGTACAATCCACTATTAAAGAGTAATACAATTTTCTAATAAAATACAAATGGTATACAAGAAAATAATTTTTTGAATAAGTCAACTCCATTAAATCAATAGTTGATAACTCACCAAGATTAGTTTTCATAAATAAATGCACCTTTTAATACATTGAAGTCAAACAGTGAGGATATTTAATTATAATTGAACTAGCAAATAAATCAAATTAACATCTAATAAGAATTGGATCTGTTAAAGTAAAAAATGGTAAGAGTTCTTAATAAATACTCAAATAAGTAAGCTTTCTTAGAAAACTTGAATAAACAACTAATTTAAAAGTTTGAAAATTTTTAAATTTGAACTAAAAGCTTATTATATTTATTTAATATATATTCATTCTCGAGAATTTATTTAAGCTTGTAATGATATTTTACAATTAAAATGTTTTTTTATCTTTAATTTTTATTTTAAGTCTAAAAATTTAATTTACCTTATTATTTCCAATTTTAAAATTTGCTAATTCATTTTGGGATAAACAGTTATCAAAATAATTTTTTAAGGAAATTATTTATAAATGCAAATTACATTTTATTATTTTGAGGAGTTGCATTAAATTCAAAATTTAATTGGCTTATTTAGATACACAATTTTTTAACTTGATTATAATATATTTTATTTATGGGTTATTAATTTATTTTAATAATAATGTAACATATTTATCTCTATTATAGCAAGATTCTTTTAAATATTTGAATTTAAAGACGCTTTTAATTCTAATTAATTTTTTTGTTAAAAAGCTTTTAGGTATAAGTTTTATTTTAATTTTTTATCAACCAATTTTATTTGCAAAAATAATATGAGAATAGGATTTATACCTGATAGAAGGAATTTAGGAGGAAAGAAAGATATAGATAATTTATAAAAAAACCATTTATTGGCTCTTATAAATGCAAAGAGTATAACCAATAATAAAGTAGCTCCTATTAAGCCAATTGCTCATTAAAAAAAATCAAGATAAAAAAGCTTAGGTTAAATTTAAATAGAATTCAGAGAGGTTTATGAATCTTAAAAAAGAGTGCTAAATCTAAAAAAAGGAGGAATAGATAATACATAGCCTGTGTGCTTTGATAGAAAAAATTTTATTAAGAATAGAGCATGTTTGGCTAAGGATATTTAAACACAAGACCATTAAAGAAATATTATTTCATTATCAAAAAAGTTAAATGGTATTTAATATAAGTCTGAATAAAATATACAAAAAATGAAGGAAGAATAAATGAAGCAGTAGACTCTTTCTTCTAAATTTCATAGCAGACATGACCATAGCTTATTTTAAAATTCAGATGCATATAGTATTTTAAGAGGACGCCCATAAAGCGCTAGCACCAAAAGCTCTGTAAAAGGATTTAAACAGTCCTTAAAGCAGTCTATAGATTATTCATAGATTGAAGTATAAGATATTTTAGTTCCAGTAAACTATGCATACAAAAATAAATCTTATGCTGATTTAAACTTAAAAAAAAATCAATCACATTTAGTTTCAATGGATTACAGCGAAATTCTTATTTCAGAAAATTAAACAAATTTGAATTCTCAAAACTTGAAAAACAACTAGGACAATAACAACCATAAAAAAAGCTATATAGATTCAAAAGAAGATTTTCTAATAAGTGGAGCTCCAAAGGCAAGAAAAGATATAAACTTTTAGGCATATGAAAATCAACCAGATGAAGAAGAAGTTGAATATTTATATTAAAAAAATAAATCTGAAAACTCTATTCAGTTATTTGAGGGTTAACAGCTGATCCAAAATGATAAGAATTCTCATAAAAACTCATACCATAATAGTGTACCTATAAATTAAAACAATTAAATGGGTACATAAAATCAATAACCAAAGCCTATTTAATAGGCCATCCCTTTTATAACAATTGTTGAAAATAATGACCCATATACTGAGCTTAGAAGAAGTTTGTTAAATGTCATAATGGATTATAAGTTATATGATAAAGAATAGATGATGGATTTAGCAAATATGGTTAAAAAGAAGAATCCTCATTTAGATTTAAAATAAATTTAAGGAGTTTGTAGAAATATTGTTATAAGACTTTATGGAGAGCTTTGATAATTAATTATTTATAAATTATATTAGTGTATTAACATAAATAGTAATTTGTTTATTCTATTTATAACCAGTAAAGAGCTTAGAATGTATGATAATTTAAACTTTAAAAAAAATAATTAATATCTATTTAAATACTGTAATAGCTTTTTAATTTTAAGTTATTAAGGGTATTTCTTATTAAAAAGTGTTCACAAGTTATAAATTTTTAGTTTTTAATCTTAAAATTTGCAAAAAAGCCCTTACAGTAGAGTTATTACAGTACATGTCCCAAGAGTTTCATATAAATCATTTTAGATTTATATAATTTAATTAATTATTTTGTTAATAAATTAGCACTATACCATTTCCAATAAACAATAAATAATAAATTAAGTAAATACATAAATTTTTATAATTAAAATATTAAGTTATTAATTAATTTTACAATAATATTTTAAAGGACAAACAATAAAAAGAAAATAAAGTAGTATACATGTAAACAACTTTTTAAACAAGAATTTAACTTAGTTTATTTAAACCAAATAATGTTCAATGTTATACCTTTTTTTCTTTTTCTTAGCCCTCTTCTTATGAAGAAACAAGTAAATAAGATTAAATTATCAAGGTGTACTTTATGAATACTTTTAAACTGAACAAAGAAAGCAGTAAGAATAGAGGAACTTTTTATAAAATATATTTATTTAAGATACCATATTAGAAAAATGTAATGTAAGCTTACTTGCTTTACCAAATCTTGAATTCCATTAGTAGGAACTAATAAAACTAAATTGAGTAAGAGATGTATGGTCTAACTTAGCTAAAGGGAACTTTTCTGCTAAAATGGCTTCGTAAGTACCAAATTAATCTGCTAAACCATTATTTATAGCCTATTTTCCTGTATATTCTTTAGTCAAGAGTTCTTCATTAACCTATTTATATTTTATTGAAATTAACTTTTTCTTACTCATAAAATGACATATTTTACTTTCAAATTTTTTCCTCTTGAAACTTGAATATCTCCTAAAATCAATTTGCTTATTCTATCAGTAATTTCTTAAATAAACTTTTTATCTTTTTCGCTGTCCTTTATTGCCCAGTTGAATCTGTATTCATTAACTAATCTATAAAATGTATTTTAATATATAAATAATTTAATATTAAATTTCTAAATAAATATTTTACGGATTAGAAGCTATAATTCTAGATTCGATTTAATTCTTAAGTAAAAATTAAGAGAAATCTATATCTGCTTAAGGTTCAGAAGCATTACCTACTATGCTGGTAGGATTAACATAGATAGTATTTCCTATATTTATTAAATAATTGCTTTGTCTAAAAGTAATAATTATAGTCATTGTATTCTAGTTTAAAAGTGAAATCTAGTTTTACCAGCACTAAGAATGTAGTATGCACCTATTTATTTTATTATTAAAAGTAAGTATTTGAAATCGTTTTGAGATTTTTCTATTTATAAATATTAAAGTATTTTTACCATGAGTAGCAAAGTTTTCAGCAAAGCAATAGAGAGGAATATTATTATCTTTGGAAAATTGTAATAGTTAATTTCTAATAGTCTAGCATTGACCTGTAGAACCGCCTTATTTACATTTTAAAATAGATTGACTCAATTATTTAATTATTAAATATAAGTTGATATATAATATGCTAAATAATTCTAGTCTCGAATTTATTTAACAAGATTGCTTAGTTTTTGATTCATATAATTAAATTATTTATCTAATAGTTGCTATTACCTCTTGAATCTAAAACAACTGCTAAACCTTCAGTACGACTGGTATTAATTTTTCTAAGCTTATTTCCAATAGAGTTTGTACTTAAATAGTTTTAAAAATATTAATTATTTCAAAGAAAAAAGTATGATCGAAAGATATAAGCTATAAATAAAATCTTTTTTGAATATTTAAGATGGTACGTGTTTGGAGTAATAATTCCTTCTATCCTAAGAACAGGGACCAAAGGACCAAACAAAAATTTAGAAATTGAAGGGAAGCCCATATCTCTATATTTGCTTTTACTATTTTAATTAATTAAGTTTGAAAATAAGATTTTTTGTAAATACTTTATCTATCTAATAAAATTTTGATATAATTTTTATTTGTAAAAATCTAACAAAGATATCTATCTTTTACTAGCTAGTTAATTAACTAATATATGCAATTTTTTAATATAACAATTAATATTTAAGCTTCAAAATATAAATAAAAAGATTTGTAGGCAATTTATAAGTTGATTTAATTTGAAATTAATTTATTATTCTAATTAATAAAAACTTTTAAAAAAATATTACAGCTTAAAGTTAGATCAAACTTATCAATTTAAAATTGACTATAATATATATTAAAAATATTATTGGGGTTGGGGTTGGGGTTGGGGTTGGGGTTGGGGTTGGGGTTGGGGTTGGGGGTTGGGGTTGGGGTTGGGGTTGGGGTTGGGGTTGGGGTTGGGGTTGGGGTTGGGGGTTGGGGTTGGGGTTGGGGTTGGGGTTGGGGTTGGGGTTGGGGTTGGGGTTGGG